AATAACGCGCGGAAGGAAGATCAAATATACCAGCAGTTCGCACTCGCACTTGAAAAGGGAGACCGACGAATCCCTGCCGAATCGAACCTGAAAATAAGCCTATCCGAGTGTGACTTAGATGAACGAAATCTTCTACGCTTTAGGAAAAGGACATGGATTCCAGACAACGAACCACTACGCACAACCTTGATCCAGAAGGTCCATGATTCCTACACGACTGGACATCCAGGACGGGACGCAACCTATACGATACTGGCCCGTAGATTCTTTTGGCCAGGAATGACGAACGATGTACGGAGATTCTTAAGGAATTGCACCATTTGCGGACGAAACACGATTTGGAGAGATTCGAAGCAAGGCCTACTTAAACCGTTACCGATTCCACAACGAATCTGGGCCGAACTATCCATGGATTTCATCACAGAACTTCCACCCACTGGGAAAGAAAGAGCGACGAATTGTCTAGTAATTACTGATCGGCTATCTAAAGGAGTGATCCTAATAGATATGCATAGTATTACTGCGGAAAGCGTCGCAGATGTCTTTATGAAGCATATTTATATGCATCATGGTTTACCGATAGCGATCACTAGTGACCGCGGCCCACAGTTCGTAGGGGGGTTCTGGCGAATCGTGTGCGAAAAGCTAAAGATTCGACGCCGATTATCTACCGCATTCCACCCCCAAACTGATGGAGCTACGGAACGCGCAAATCAAGAAGTCGAACGAATTCTACGCGCCTTTACTACGTACGCACAGGACGACTGGGCAAGTTTACTACCTATCGTAGCCATGGCGATCAATAACCGAGACGCAACCTCTACTGGACTATCTCCATTCTTCTTCACACACGGATACCATGTCGATCCAGTCGAAGTGATAGAAGTCCAAGCAGAGAAAGGACCAGAGATCGCAGCGGAAACGTTCACGAACCGGCTACAAGACGCCACCGATTGGGCAAATGCAGCGATGGCTATCGCCCAAGAACGCCAACAGGAACAAGCGAATCGTTCAAGACGAGCCGCTCCAGTCTATAATATCAACGATAAAGTATGGCTAAACCTACGGAATGTACGCACGATACGGCCTTCAAAGAAACTAGACTGGCTTCACGCCAAATACACAGTTCTAGAAGTGCCATCCTCTCATACAGTGAAGCTGGATGTGCCAAGCGGCATACATCCTGTCTTCCATGTTGAGTTAATAAGACCCGCGGCAACGGACCCGTTACCGTCACAAATCGTGGACGATTCGCAACCGCCTCCGCTGTTAGTCGAAGGAGATCTGGAATACGAAATTGAAGAGATCCTACAAGCAAGGACGCGAAAAATTGGACGTGGATCGCGGAGGGAAGCATTAGTGAAATGGCGAGGATACGCAGAACTGACATGGGAACCTATCGACGCAATGGAAAACTGCACAGCTCTCGACACCTTTGAACTACGATACGGACCAATTACGACTTCGAATGGACCCCGGAAAACAGGAGAATAGGAGGGGGGTATTGTAACAGGTTGAATCCTGGTGAACTATCACGTGGTTGTACCACGTGACCCACCAACCGCATACCTCACGATTCCACCCCGAATTGTTCACGTTCTTCAAGGATTTTGTAAACAGCATGTGCCTAGCTAGTTCTGAATTTAAGATTAGCTTTAGCCCTTCACAATACCCTTGATACATAATAGAAATAGTAACGAATTGACACCACCTTATGGGCCATTATATAGAATGAATAGAGAAGAGCTATTAGTTCTACGAAAAACTCTTACCGATCTACTAGGAAAAGGATTTATACAAGTCAGCAAATCGCCAGCAGCTTCACCGGTGTTATTAGTACGAAAACCTGGTGGAGGCATCCGATTCTGTGTCGATTATAGAGGGTTAAACTCTATAACCATTAAGGACCGTTACCCCCTACCTCTGATTCAAGAAACACTACGAAACATGTCGAAGGCTCGCTGGTTTACCAAACTCGATATTATAGCGGCTTTCCATAAGATCAGAATATAGGAAGGCGAAGAATGGAAGATAGTGTTTCGAACACGATACGGGCTCTATAAGTGGCTAGTTACACCTTTTGGCCTGACTAGCGCTCCCGCAACCTTCCAACAGTATATTAATGAAGTTCTACGCGAATTTCTCGACGAGTTTGTGTCAGCATATATAGATGATATCATTATTTACTCCGACGGATCGATCACGGATCATAGACGAAAAGTACGCGAGGTGCTCTAAAAGCTAAGAGATGCTGGACTTTAATGCAATATCGAGAAATCTGAATTTGAACAGAGCTCTATGAAATACCTAGGGTTCATCATACGAGCTAGAGAAGGTCTATGTATAGACCCAAAGAAAGTTGAAGCTATTAAGCTATGGGAAGCACCTACTAATGTCCGAGAAGTATATGGTTTTGTTGGATTCGCTAACTTCTACCGGACGTTTATACCACGATTCGCAGACGTCTCTACACCATTGGTGCAGTTGATAAAGAAAGATACGATATTCAAATAGGACAAGGAGAAACAAGAATCATTCGAGACCCTAAAGGACCTCTTTATCTCTGCACCAATATTGGCTCATTTCCGAGAAGACACCAAAACAATAATGGAAACAGACGCATCTGGATGGGCGACAGGAGCAGTCTTATCCTAAAGATAAGAAGATAGGACGCTAAGACCATGCGCCTATCTCTCGCGTAAGTTCTCACCTATAGAGACCAATTATATGATACACGATAAGGAATTACTTGCTATCATCTATGCGCTATAGGAATGGAAGCTAGAGCTGAAGATGGTCCCGCGATTTGTGGTCTTAACGGACCACAAAAATCTACGATATTTTCATAAGGCGCAGGATCTAAGCGAACGACAAATGAGATAGGTAGACATCCTGGCCGAATTCGACTTTGAGCTACGATATCGACCCGGGAAATAGGCGATCCAACCAGATGCTCTATCCCGGCGAGGATAAAACGAACCTAAAGGAATCTCTGATAAGAGGCTCACGAATCGTTTCCGGAAACTCTTCGAATCAGTAACGATCCGTAACAATAGCACTAAACCAAGTCCACCTTTAGACTTTGATATACTAGTGGCGATGTTTAAAGAAGCAGAAACGTAGGAAGCATGGAATAACGCGCGGAAGGAAGATCAAATATACCAGCAGTTCGCACTCGCACTTGAAAAGGGAGACCGACGAATCCCTACCGAATCGAACCTGAAAATAAGCCTATCCGAGTGTGACTTAGATAAACGAAATCTTCTACGCTTTAGGAAAAGGACATGGATTCTAGACAACGAACTACTACGCACAACCTTGATCCAGAAGGTCCACAATTCCTATACAACTGGACATCTAGGACGGGACGCAACCTATACGATACTAGCCTGTAGATTCTTTTGGCCAGGAATGACGAATGATGTACGGAGATTCTTAAGGAATTGCACTATTTACGGACGAAACACGATTTAGAGAGATTCGAAGCAAGGCCTACTTAAACCGTTACCGATTCCATAACGAATCTGGGCCGAACTATCCATGGATTTCATCACAGAACTTCCACCTACTAGGAAAGAAAGAGCGACGAATTGTCTAGTAATTACTGATCGGCTATCTAAAGGAGTGATCCTAATAGATATGCATAGTATTACTGCGGAAAGCGTCGCAGATGTCTTTATGAAGCATATTTATATATATCATGGTTTACCGATAGCGATCACTAGTGACCGCGGCCCATAGTTCGTAGGGGGGTTCTAGCGAATTGTGTGCGAAAAGCTAAAGATTCGACGCCGATTATCTACCGCATTCCACCCCCAAACTGATGGAGCTACGGAACACGCAAATCAAGAAGTCGAACGAATTCTACGCGCCTTTACTACGTATATACAGGACGACTGGGCAAGTTTACTACCTATCGTAGCCATGGCGATCAATAACCGAGACGCAACCTCTACTAGACTATCTCCATTCTTCTTCACACACGGATACCATGTCGATCCAGTCGAAGTGATAGAAGTCCAAGCAGAGAGAGGACCAGAGATCGCAGCGGAAACGTTCACGAACCGGCTACGAGACGCCACCGATTAGGCAAATGCAGCGATGGCTATCGCCCAAGAACGCCAACAGGAACAAGCGAATCGTTCAAGACGAGCCGCTCCAGTCTATAATATCAACGATAAAGTATGGCTAAACCTACGGAATGTACGCACGATACGGCCTTCAAAGAAACTAGACTGGCTCCACGCCAAATACACAGTTCTAGAAGTGCCATCCTCTCATACAGTGAAGCTGGATGTGCCAAGCGGCATACATCCTGTCTTCCATGTTGAGTTAATAAGACCCGCGGCAACGGACCCGTTACCGTCACAAATCGTGGACGATTCGCAACCGCCTCCGCTGTTAGTCGAAGGAGATCTGGAATACGAAATTGAAGAGATCCTACAAGCAAGGACACGAAAAATTGGACGTGGATCGCGGAGGGAAGCATTAGTGAAATGGCGAGGATACGCAGAACTGACATGGGAACCTATCGACGCAATGGAAAACTGCACAGCTCTCGACACCTTTGAACTACGATACGGACCAATTACGACTTCGAATGGACCCCGGAAAACAGGAGAATAGGAGGGGGGTATTGTAACAGGTTGAATCCTGGTGAACTATCACGTGGTTGTACCACGTGACCCACCAACCGCATACCTCACGATTCCACCCCGAATTGTTCACGTTCTTCAAGGATTTTGTAAATAGCATGTGCCTAGCTAGTTCTGAATTTAAGATTAGCTTTAGCCCTTCACAAAGTCCACGACGGGCGAGCCTGCGGTGGACTCTACCAGCGGCAAGCCTACCACCCAAGCCAAATCCTCCGCCAAAACCATCGTAATAAGTGGGCGTCTGAGCTGGGACAACTACAACAGTTTGGGAGGGTTGCTGTGGCTGGGTATAGTGTTGTTTGCTGGAAAAAATCAGCCTTCACCTCGGGTTAACGAATTAAGGGATCAGGAGGTCTCTACATACAGCTTGTTGCTTACCATATTCATACCGACAGCTCCCAGGAGCGCACCTCCAGCAGTAGCCAACTTTCCACCGCCCATCTGATGAGCTGTATAACCTCCAGCAGCGCCGCCGGAAATTGTAGAGCCGAGACCCCTATCGCCCACTGTCTGCTCAGGAATCTGGCTCGCTTCTTCATCGCCAGCTGGAATGTTATGCTGGTAATAAGAGGCATTCTCGCCATACTGCTGCTGCTGCTGCTGCTGCAACTGGTATGGCGGAGGTGAAGGATCTGGAGTAAAAGATGATGTTTGTACATCTTTTGACCCATAGTGACACGAGCATGTCTCCCCGTTAGCAGAGAAAATTTCATGACTACATATTGGTTCAGTAGCATGATTGTGCTGCTATACAGTTTCGTGGTTAGAATTTCCCTCTTTTGAAGCAGACTAGGATGCCATTGGCAGAAAAAGACTAACCTGGAGATGATAGGAGGCCTGTGGCTGGCCTTGGGTGCCCTGCTGGTTATATTGACTGGTACTCCACGACATATTGATAAAAGAGTTCAATGTTTTAATTTTAAAGGCAGACAAAGGATATAATGATATAGACGAGATAGTGGAGAATTTTGAGATCTTTATATCGAGAACTTCGATGAAACCAAATCGTGTATTTCAAGAAGCCAGAAGGGGGGGGGGGGGGGGGGTAAACATCTTAAATATTGTGCAGAGAAACGCTGTGGCGAAAATTCTCATTGAATCAGAGGACCAGAAACGGTGTTGTATTTTGTGCTACGTACAATAGAGCGCAAATTTTCGTGTTGTCAGCGCGCAAATTCTTGAGTTGGCGCTATCGGAATGGAACTAGGTATGTGCGGGGTGGCGAGAACAAAAATAGTATAGCGCGTAGACGCGGGTCTGAACCAAGCTGTGATAATCACGCGGAGTACCCCAATAAACCGCAAATTGCTCTTTAGTCCATGTCTAGTTCTCAGCTACATCCCTTGTGCTCTTATTTGCCACTGTGAATATACGAGTATGCAAGAATCAAAGACTGAACGAGGCCCGAGGGGAAAATATGCTCGCACTATATGCCGCGGGTGTAGATCAAGGAAGATTAAATGCGTTATGCAGAGCCCTGGTGACCTGAGTCCTCTGGGTATCCCCCGGCCAAAAGAAATGTCTTGTGCCCGATGCCTTCATCTAGGCCTGGAATGTATAGTTGAGCGTACCTGTTTGGGACGTCCCGCATCTAAACGTCTTCATCGCCCGAATGTTCAAGAAAGTGGCTCCGTGCGCTCGGTAGAGTCGAAAGGTCGCAATGAAACTAGTACTTCTACTCTCTCGGAACTTTATATCAAGCCTCATCTCTTTTCTGATTTATCAGACCAAGAGACGCCGGTGTTTCAGAAACCAACTACAGAACAGCTTTTTCAATGTATGATAGAACCCCACTATTTTCTTTCGTCGATTTTGGCGAAAGATCAAGCATTTGGGGCAGACATGGCTCCAATACCATCACATTGGACTTTATCTCTGCCAAATCTTATTGACAGTGATTTGGCTCATGTTCTTGACAAAAAGTGAGCTCCATCGATCTAATATTTCATATCCTGTCTAACATAGTCCAAAAGCTTGACTTGGCACCGCTTTTTCCTAGTACCCTTGTCCTCACTGACTGACCTAAGAAACCGTTTAATATCAAATAAATTCATGTCAGCCAACTCCGCTACCAGCTTGCTCTTTGCGCTGCTCTGTTTGATCGCTTTGGAAATCGATGAGGGCCTTAATAAGAAAAATCCCGATTTGAAGGCCACTTTACGGCTTGCTGTCACCTTCCTCGGTCAAGATTTTATATTTTCTCCACCTATAAATCATGATTCGATCACAGTTTGCCTTGTATTAGCCGACTACAAACCAACAGCCCTGGCTACGACTCGAGCAGCCCTGCATCGAGCAATAAAATCCGAACTTTTTGTCAATTTAGCATACAGAATGGCTGAAAAATTGGGTGAAGTGTCTGGAAAGTACGCAGCACTTGCCAAAGAGTTAGATATTGCAGACAACGTTCAATTTGACGACCGTTTGTGCCAAACGATACGGTATCTACAGATTGTGTATTATGATATCTTTCTGGATGGTTACTTTGCAAAATCACACCAGGCTCTACGACAAGTTCTTGCAAAAACAAATCCAATTGTTGAAGCGTACCAGAGTATCTCAAATCGTCGTCGGTGTTCCCCAAGAACTATTTTTCATATATTTTGGGCCACATCGACCTGTATCCTACTAAAAGCTTTAGCAGATATCAAAGAATACTGGGTCAACCCCGGCAGTCTGTTTGCATTCATTGAGGAGACCGAGAAGAAATGTCTTGATGAAATCAAAACTAGCAAGACTTTGTTAAAGGCAGCATCAGGCCTTTTTGAAGCGGAAGAGGTAGTAGGTGTTCAATGCCTGCTAGAGCTAAGATTCAATTCTATCATAGTTAGAGTATGGGGACTTGGCCTGTTACATGCTGCGGTGCTAAGAGCAAGGTCGCAAGAAGGCATAATATCACGGGAACGCGATATAGGGAGTCATGAAGCCATTCACATCAGTGCACAGGTCACACACAGCAAAGAAAATGTATTAGCAGATGCAGCTGAACCCTTTGCGATGGTTCTACGCTGGCTAGGAGCAAAGTATCCTGAAAAGTTAGGAAGTCTTCTGAATCTTTTCATTGAGTGCACAAACTTGAAAATGGGTGGCATCTCTTTCCGCCCGCCGTTTCAACATCTTGCTTTCGAGGTTCTCATACATTGCAAAAATCTTCTTGAAAACAATATTGTTCAATGGAGGTGTTTTGGACGGTTGAACGTGGAGTTTGAGAAGCAGCTTGAGCTCTTTACCATTTGTGCACAGCGATTTGACTCGATGGTTTCTGGAGCTTGGACTTCCACAGATACTGCCTTTTCTCACGGCTGTATATTTGCTGCAAATAGCAAATTGATCACCGGGTTTTGTGTATTGATGAGAGAACTCAAAGAAAAAAGTCTCGAGAAAAAAGGAGAGGAAAGCGAAGGTACGCGTGAAGGACCAGTGGAATCAGAAGTATTCAATACATTTACGAATCTGAGTGACCCATATATTGGTGGATCCAATACATCCACCGGGGCATCAAACTTGTGGCCTTATATTGGAGAATTTGACCCTCTTGCCAACCCGCAGGAGCTCTTTGGCTGGATCGAAACTATGAACACTAGTACTGAGCTTGGCACAGAATGGTGTTTCCCAGATTAGAAAGGCATAATTTCTTACTGCTTAATTGAATTTTACAATTAGACAGAACCGTTTTATTACTCACGGCGACGTGTTCTAATTAACGAACTTGGTCATCTTGAAATCCAAGTGAAACAGGGTTTTATAGTTAAGATATACATCAATAGCACGGATCGCCGCTCAGCCGAAAAATCAAGGCGCAACGAGTGCGCAACGAGTGCGCAATTTTTAAATATCTCTTTGCGTGTGGAGATTAGTAATGAAGACCAATTAACTCACATTACTATCTCTCTGGGCCCACCTGCAAGCCAGCGATCCCCCTTTGGCGTTCACAGTCGAATTGAAAGTACATTATATCTGACCCAGTAAAATTACACGGTAAGACGATTTGATTTGAAATCCTCTCGAGGAATTAGTTAACTAAATCAAACTGCGGAAAAAGGAATTTTTCCATTTAGAATAAATAAAAGTCCCAGTGCTGTAATGATTCAGGCCTGTTTTATTCAACTGATCTCAAAACAATATTCTTAAGATGGTTTTTATCGTCAAAATCCTTAGGACAGGCCTAGGACTGGCATCAGAAGCAATACATGCCATCCGAGATCCACCTTCGTCAAATGACTACTCTTGTGCCAGCTTTCCTGATCACTCTTCCTCAGAGGACTCATCAAAGAACTCCGAGTGCGTTGAGCTCACTGAGACAGCTGCTGTAGATATTATTGACCGGCGTCATCTGTCTGAATACATCAATGATGAGAATTCTGAGCAGAATAAGACGAGAGCCCTTTTCGTCGAATCAGATGCCTCGTCAGAAAATTTGGCGACTACTGATCAGGACGAGGTGGCGTGGCAGCTTGATGATTTGGCCGAACTGCTGAGACGTTCAAGCTGCGATAATCAATCACAACCACGTCTCTGTGAATATGATTTAATCAACTCAGGCGAAAATGCGGAGGAAGATGCCCAAGAAAAAGTTAAACAGAGGGAAAGGTTGGTTCGGGAGCTCGTTGCTATGGCAGGACACCGTCCCGAAGATCTACAGCGACTTTCGTGTCCCGTCATAATTCCTCAACGCCGGCCTAGAAATAAAGACCGCGGATTTGTTCGTGCATACGCACCTATTCTCGAAGGTTGTGGGATCAGTGATGAGGTCTTCTTAAAATTCTTGGAATATCTGGATATAAGCAACCATGTTCGTGAAAATACCCTGTGTCTTGAATTCGATATATACTAACCTTTGACGAAGGCTTCAGCCTGGATTGAAGTAATCTTCATCGCTGCTCAAATAACTTCATCTATCCCATTTACAACAGCCATGATAGTTGGTATGGTTGTCTCGATTGTTGCTGGCACAGCTCGAGAGTTACAGAAGCGTACTCGTGCAAATACTTTTCTTGAGATGGTTAATCGCGATTTGTTTATGCCGCGCGGATTGTTTGCTATGGTGATTGCATTCAGACCAGACGATAGCGCACATCAAGGACCGCTAGACAAGATAAACAACTCAATGGAAACTCCACTTTTCAAAAAGGAGAAGGTCGATATAGCCCAGGCAGCTAAAACGTGGAGCAATCTTGATCCAGAGAGATCTAAATTCCGAAAAAAAGTTGAAAAAATCCGGGTGAAGAGTGGGGAGACAAATTCCGTGCTAGAATTGCCCGAAGTTGCACCTCTAGTTTATCCTGATTTGGATCGGATCGCACTAGATGGCTGTAAGTCTGAAAAAACACAAAAAATTGTGGAAAAATTCAAAGGCGCCGGAAAATGGGTCAGCGACTACATGGATAGAAGAGCCATGGTCTTCTTTGTGAGCTCTACTCTTATGCCTCTTTCTTACCTCGCTAATGATGAAACAGGAAGCAAAACATCCAGAAACCCCACTAGTTGTTCCTACTCACCAGCGAAAACCCATGAAATCCAGGTTCAACGATCCAGATCACCCTGCGAACAGTGGTTCGATTATTTCCCTAGTTACCGGTGGCTTAGTCCCGGTACCCGGACCTGGTAAAATACTTGCTCAGAGAAATGAATTACTAGGGATAAATCGACTTCTTGGTCAGCATTCTAACCCAGACGATGGTCGACTGATTCCCAGCACTGGAAAACATTATGTCAAGAAGATCTTCCAAAAGGATGTGCTATATCTTACAATAGTAAATTTACCCACCGACGAACAAATGGAGGGGACAAACATTCCACTTGAAAACGCGACTTAGGAAAGAAGCATTGTTCTTTTTATCACAAAGCCACCAATTACGCTTAAATTATCATTCTTTTTTTGGTTTCGGATTTGAGACTCATAGATATCTTCAGAAGTTTTGATTATAAATTTCAGAGTCAAATTTCCAATATATTTATGAATAGTATGGCCCTAAAATAAGGCACCAATGTAGCTCCTTCTTCCCTTAACTAAAACGATTGATAAATGGAACCTCACCGAGCTGTTGAAATAAGAAAAAGTGATTTGACAATGCCTAAGCCTTTCGTTGTGGATGACAACGAATTCGCCTCACAAAGGAGTCATGTAGTATCTGTAGTGATATGATTGTAAGTTTTGACGAAAGTCTGTATCTGCACTATTTCTGCCACGGGAAATGGAAATTCATTACTACATATTCCAATGTTATCAATGGAAGCGAACGATGATCCACTTGTAATTTTTCCCTCTGCCGCCTGGAAAATACTCATAAGAGTAAAGATAGAAGAAAATCCGTGCTGTTTGAATGGATACAAATCAACTTTGAAATTTTCTGTACACATCCAAAAATTATGACGTGCCTTCTTCATTGCGCGTTCGTTGCGCGCACGTTGCGCATTCCCATCGCCCTAGCTTTGATCTATTCTGACTTCATACACCCAGCAATTAGAAAAGAAAAACCTAAAAAACTTTAGAAACCAATGAGATTCTGTCATCTCATGTAGTTTTGTCGATCTGCTTGGTTCAGCTAAATCCTTTACGCACCACAATGATAAGCGGGAAAATGAATTATGCTGTGCATTCAGGCAGCATCCAAGCAGTTGAAATGCCAAATGGGACGGTGAATATTAGGTACAAGCAAAAATACTATTTAAGTCATTTGATTCCAAGTAGTCGTAAATTAAACGCTGTCAAAATGATTTTTCTTGCAAGTCTCTTCTTTGCTGCGACACAGTCCGCTTTTCACCAATGTAAATGTGTATGTATAATCGAATGTTGACTCATAACACCCTCGAGACTAACTGATATAATTTCAATAGACCCCAGCTGACCTTTGCTGGCCTTCTATTCCCACATGGAGTGCCCTCAATGCGTCTGTTGATGGGCAACTCATCGCTAATCAACCCATTGCCCAGCCATGTTACCCCGGTCCTGGTCAGGACGTTCAGCTATGTCAGGAAATAAGTCAACAGTGGACTAATTCCTCATTCCAAGAGACTTCGCCAATAGGATATACCTATCCAGTGACTGAGGAATGTCCCCCAATCAATGGCTCTGTAGCCGCCTACCCCCTGTGCCAGCTGGGTGCTGCTCCAGTGTACACTATCAATGCAACAAAGGCAGAACACGTTGCAGCAGGAGTGATATTTTCCAAAATGAATAACGTGCGACTCGTGGTCAAAAATACAGGCCATGATATTGTACAAAGGTATCAAATCTTTTTCCCGAGAACTTGTAAGGTCTTATTTGCTGACATTAAAGCCATAGATCCCAAGGATACGGCAGCCTCTCGATATGGGTCAAATATGTTCAGGATGGGCTTCAGTATTATGAGAATTATTCATCACCTAACAACTCTTGTCCAAGCAATTGGACAGGAGGAGCAATTACGGTTGGTGGTGGATATATTTGGAAGGACGTATATGCCTTTGCAAGCGAACATAACTCTATTGTTGTTGGTGGCGATGATCGTGTAAGACTCATATCCCTGAGAACAATTTAACTGATAGCAAGAAACTAATATGACTCTAGACCGTTGGAGCTATCGGAGGCTTCCTCCAGGGTGGTGGTCACGGCCCCGTGAGCCACGAATTCGGATTGGCAGCCGATCAAGTCCTCGAGTACAAAGTTGTTTTAGCGTCAGGGCAGCTTGTCAAGGCAAACGCATGTCAATATACAGACCTTTTTATTGCCCTACGTGGAGGCGGTGGTGGTACCTTTGGTGTTGTCGTATCGGCCACAATTAAAGCACACCCAACCCGTCCGACCCTCGCGCATACCTTAGCCATGACTCCATTATATGGCAACATAACTGATTTGCTCAATGCCACCGGAGATCTATTATCGAAGTATCCTATTATCTCTGACCGTGGATTCGGAGGCAATGGAGAGTTACTTCATATGGATGGAGAGACCCTATACACCCATACTTTTATAATGTTGCTTGAAAACAGCTCTTCTATTTCCATTGAGAGTGCAAAGCAGTTCATGAATACGCAAATTCTAAAAAGCCTCCTTCCACTTAATGGAAGCAAGCTTTCTATCACCTCGTCCTTCAACTATTATTCGACTTTTCAAGAATACATGCTCACGGGGAAACATCAAGCTGAGGCTGAAGACAGTCTCCTGATGGTATCACGCCTGTTCAACAAGGACTCCCTTAATATGAAGGAGGAAAACCTTATCAAAATGCTTGAGGTCCTATTTATCGAGACAGGCCAGGGTGCTCGGCCAGCCGGATCTGGGCTTTCCCTGTGTCTCGTCGGGGGTGGAAAGGTCCTACAGCCAGATCCATATACTTCCGTCAACCCTGCATGGCGGAAGGCTTATACTCTCCTAGCTCATGTTGATCTGTATCCTTTGAATGCAGGATTAGAAGGAGTTCAGCAAGTGAGGGACAAGGCTACCTCCAAGAAGCTGAAAGTAATGGAGGAATTGACGCCTGGCATGGGAACATATTTGAACGAGGCCGATGGATTTGATCCACAGTGGAAGGAAAGCTGGTTTGGACACAAGTACGATTGGCTCAAAACAGTGAAACAGCGATATGACCCAGAAGGTGTGTTTTGGTGTTGGAGATGCGTCGGAAACGAAGATTGGGAAGAGGTGAAAGGCGGCGCAACCTACGGACCACTATGTACTATTAAATAAAATTTCTGGAGTAGCCAATGTTGATAGTCAAGTTTGGTTGCACAAGCCACAAAGTCATATCGTGTCTATCGGGCTTTCTAGAAACTATTGTAGGCCTTGTATATGTTGATGTCATACTTCCTCAGACTTTCTCACATAAAATCTTCTTTGTTCCGCCTGTAGTCCTATTTCAGAAACTGTAATGTTATTGAAGTATTCTTTAAAAGTGGAATACGAAAAGACTCCAAATAATTTCATAATTTGGCATCTTGATTAATCATACAGCCCCATCTTTCATATTGGTAGAGCGTTAAATAAATTTGAAAAATGAAGTATACGATGGTCTCTTAAAACAGCTTAGACAAGGTCATAGAAACCAGAACAAAATGTCCTACCAAGAATACATTGAGTTACAGCATGAACAAACTAAATAAGGCAATAGTTCAGGTGACTCGCCAAATAAATTGAAGCCATGAAACCTTGGAATAAGAGCAGATAGTTTCAAAATCATTTCTTGTTCAATAATTAATAGGCAAGAAGCAGGAATGAAAATTTATATACTCGAAACTATGTCAAAAAGATTAGGAAGAAATAATGAATTTTAAAGCACTTGGGCAACATACTTCCATAGATGGGACTTGAGCGAAATCCCACGCGGCCAACATACATATGTACTCCTGATTCCTTTCAAGGGCCAATGAATAGAATGGAAATTTCTACCATTCCCAGTTTAATGTCCAGAAGTTGAATTTTGATATGTCGGCAAAGCATTTTGATGACTTTGAGGGGTCATCGCTGGATGTGGGCGTACTGCAGGTCCCGCAGGAGGTTTTGAGCTCGTGTTCTTATCCTTGAAGAGGAATCCGAGGGCAAGACACATGGCTAGATCTTTTTTAAGAAGAATGATCTGGTGAAGACAGATCTATTCCAAATCATCTTGTTTAACCTGGCATGCTCCTGTGGAAGATTGATCAATGAACTCACATAGGAAGTTGGTGCTTATATTATTATGTCTGTCTTGAGCTGTAGGAAATATCTCAGAGCCACTATTTTCAAATGTAGTTCAGGAGCAAATATTATGTATCATGTGTCTTGTCGGCGCTGATATGAAGATATAGGAATTTGAATGTATGGGAATTATGCACCCAGAAGCAAACACTTGTACCTTTATATATCAATTCTCAAGATAAATCCACATACAACCATTTTTACTGCTTCATGGCTAACCCCGATCAGCCCTGAGTCAGGCCAACACGGTACTTACCTCAATTCCCCACATCCTGTAGATCATGAGGTTTAATTTGAGCGCGCAATTAATTGCGCACTTTCCGCGTAGTCCGAGTGTACTCAGGGGCTCAATGCGGCTCTTCGCCTGATGATTGGCCCGTCGTGCAGTAAGATCACGTGACTCGAAGGTCCTTCATCCTCGACTCCATCGACCTTCTTACAACCCTTAAGGATTTTGTACACAGTTTGTGACCTAGCTAGTTCTGAATCTAAGTTTAGCTTTAGCCCTTCACAATTTAAGCACCTTCGAAATCAGGGTATTGGTGCAGTTGGGACAACACGACCTTATACACCAAGAGGGTGTTTCCCGAAAGCGCTACAGAAAATCAAGGACGGCAGTAATAAGGTTACAAAACTAAAGTGGAATGACCTTTATGCTGCGCCAGTTGATAAGGTCCTATGCTTTATGTGGCAAGATAATAATATTGTTACTGGTTTAACGACCGTACATACTATTAATAAAGCTTCAGACTGGATCACACACCTTCGAAAGCACCCTGGAAAGACCTCTACTAGTGCCAAAATCGCTAGGACAGCCTTTAATGGTGAACCTATAGCAGAGTTTGATATCCCTGTTATTATTATTGATGATCATAATCATAAGACGGGGGGTGTCGATATCGTGAATCAACTCCGTGTGAGCTATGAGACAGCAGAGGTGCCTTCGCTCATGGTGGCCACTGTTTTTCTGGCTTCGTGATGCGTCTATTGTTAACTCTTATGAGCTGATGAAGACTGAGCAATTGAAGATAGGTATACCAGCTAAGAAGCTGATTACCCAGAAGGAGTTTCGCAAGCAGCTCTATTTACAGCTTTTTAAACTTGGTGCAGAAGAGCTGAACCCACCACAACCTACACCCAATGCAGTACATAAGGTAGTGAGACTTCCAGGGATGAAATACTGTATCGTCTGTTCAGAAGAAAAGAGATCACTCAAAAAGCTAGGAGGTCCAGGAGGGAAGCGAAAACCAGCTCAGACTCAATGGGCGTGTCAGCTATGTGAGGAGCCCTTATGTAGAGATGACCATAAAACGCGTAAATGTTGGAAAAGCTTTCATGGGTTTTAATTGGCTAGCATAGGTATTAATCTATTCCTTTTTCGGGTGTAATTATGGAGACTGTATTGGCAGAAAAAAGGCGCTAAAACACTTCCCTCCGACAGGACATAGTACAAGATAATTACCTAGGTACAGCCCATGCACTTTTCATTGAAATAGCAGTGCCATAATTATTGAATACATTTCTTGAAAAGAAGTAACACGGGGAGAATACCCAGGTAATAATGACCGAAGACAGAACTCGTTGATTTATTGATAGTTACATAGGTAGCTTTACTTACCGTTTTTTCTATGACGGGGCTTTCATACTTCATGCGACCACTCCACTCAGCACTCAGTGATTGGGATTGGCTGTTCACTGATCGCTCACTTGTCCAAGGCCCTGATTGTAACTATTTCAAAGCATCAGCCGGTACCCCCAAACAGACAGCTATTTTCTTATGTCTACTGACATTGAAGATGACTGAAACACTCTAGAGGCTAGTGCTGAAGCAAGGGTGGCAGCTTACGAGCCAACAGGCCGAGCCTCTGATAGTCGATTGCAATCCGGCTTAAATGCCTTGATCAAATGGCTGCCCCAAGGCGGCAGAGATTCTCCGGCCCGCGATATTCTTGACGCGGAGACGGATGAGGAGCTACACGCTGTATTTTTCAATATACTCACTGGACTCGTAGCACCGAGTAAATCCTGGATATCACATAGAGTAAACTATATACCGCTAATCATTATCTGGGAATAGTGAAAGCCAGAACTTGGGCCCCTTCTGTTGCGGCATCACCGACGATAGATGGAAGTCTCGTGAAGCAATTCCAGATTGAAGCATTCCGAGAGGCTTGCTTCTGCCGTGACGGGTATCGCTGTGTTTCATCTGGGTACATGGAAACCGATCACTGGAATGCTATCAAGGAGGACCCAGAGGCGGACCCAGATACTGAGGATGCGCGGTGCGTAGGCGCTCATATCATCCCATATTCATATGCATCATGGAAGACTACCCCCTGGATAGGAGTGAGGCTCCCAGGATGAACGGCCATTCTAGTGAAATCCGACATTCATTGATAAGATAATGTAAACAACCTACATAGGAAGGGACGGGACTAGTGTGTTGCATTTTATTAAGTACTTAGTGAGCAAAAGCGGCGAGGGGATACGGAAGGGAAACGCCAAGAACTGGCATTAAAAATCCAGTACATAGGGATCCTAGTACCTAGGTAGTCCAAAACTCCCATCAGCTTAAAGTTTTAAACATAAAATAACAATACACTAGCCTAGGTTTTGGAATAATAGTGCAAGAATTGAGCGGGCTGCCTCTATGCCTTCAGTCAGTTCATTGATACAGACTTGAAACGAGTTAAATGAGACTTAATTGCTAGAACAACCAAGTCAGTAAAGGTGATCAGGGAAACAGCCATTCAAGACCAGATGGACCCATACCGAGGATAGTCCGCTATCTAACCAGCAATTTGTACACTGGCTAGTAGGCCCACATGCATTTGTAGGCCATCAACCTATGACCCAGCCGATCATACTCTAGTTTTCCAATCCAGCTGTCATTAGTCCCGCTAAGTTTGCCAAAAATGCTAGCACCCTTCCATACAACAACTTGGGGATCCAAGTCTCGTGGTGGCACTCCAATCATGATATCTTTCGCAAAACCAGGACGGAGTGCTTGGAGTCTCTCCTCCAAGAACAGGTGGAATCCACTAGTCAGGGTGCCGCCACCAACAACCATGATACCACCAATAAAATCACGCATCTTCTTCTCATCTGAGCGGGCAGCATGGGCAATTGAGGTCAGAATTGCGCTGTCGAGGGAGAACACGGGCAAGATATCATCCCGATAATCCACAGAAGGAGGAGGTTGACTTGTCGGTGCGGAGACAGCAGCTGTAGCTCCGCCAGCCTGAGCACCTGGAACCTCTGGTACCGGAGACCCGGCAACGGACGATTGTGGTGTACCTTCTTGTTCCTGTACCCGTCCTAGAGCATTGGGTGGCTGAGGGCGACTAGATGCATCCACGGATTGTTGGGCGTCTAAGTTGACCTTGGGAAGTGGGGGAGCAAGGGCAGTGAGAATTTCAGACTGAGCGGCGGAGATGGGGTCATTCGGCTGACCATCGTAAATGTCAATAGACTTTTTGATAAGCTTCCGTCGTCCATCAAGCTTATGAGTGTTATCAAAAATAGTTGTCTCGAAGAAACCCATTGGGGCCAGGTGAACTTCATCGAAGGCTTTGAAGGTGTACTTCTGGGTGTCTTGGCCCGCCACTCGAAGATGAAAGTCAAACACCTGCGGCGAAACGCTAGCTTCGTTCATAGTGCAGATACTTCTCTTAAGTTCTTCGGCCAACAAGAAATCGTACCTGCGGAACAGGTTGATGTCTGCGTATGGAAAATGGTCATACAACATCATTTGGATAAAGGCCTCAGTCACATCCCGGCCACCCATTTTCAGATTCACCCGCGAGTTTTCCACGCACATGCCTTCTTCAACGCAGCAGATTGATGTTTTCTGTGCTCCAATATCGACCACACAAGCGGAAGTCAATCCTGCGCCAAAGGTTGCCGCCAGACTCTCTTGTATGAAACATACACGAGCGAATGAGAACTCCCGCATCAAAATCTCCAGGACCTGTGTGACATAGGACTTATCATAGAGATCTGGAATGACGAACACGCAAGAGTACTGGGTCCAGTTTTTCTTGCTAGTCAGACCCAATTGATTTTTGATCGCTTCTTCCAGGATTAGTGCAATATCCAAGAATATCATCTGTTTGCTCTGATAGTCATTTTCATTACACCATCCATTTTTGATTGGCCAATATAACTTGTAACGCGGGGTTGAGGCGTCCGGTACTCTTAAAGCATCATGACCAACGATATACTCCGGCGAGGGATTTGAAAGCTCGGTCCATTCCATACGCATGGGGTCATTGTGTTCTGAAATGGGGTCTGGCACCACTTTCCGGTTGTAATTGACGACCATTTCCTTTGAGTTAGGCAGCATTCTTCGCTTGTTGAGGCGCATCCGGACCTTGAGTTCTGCCGACATCTTGTTGAACTGAGACGACCACTATTCTCCATGATTAGCAAGCTCTCAGACTTCCTTCGCATAATGCTGGATTCATTGTACCTCTTCTCCAAACATCTTTTCCGGCTCATCCTCGGTGGTACCATCGTCTCGCTTCACACGCTTGGGCTTTGGTTCCTCTTGGTCTTCGCTCTCACTCGTAGTCGACTTTCTGGCAATTACCATCGGTACTGTCTTTGGCAAGGCATCGCTAGCTAGCCCAATCCGTAGGTTTTGGCTGCCAACATGAACAACAATGACCTTTGATCCAGCGGTCTCCGCAGGGGTCTCTTCTTCTGCATCATCCATGTTGACATCTTCATCTTCTCCCTCAACCTCAGCCTCTCCTTCGGCTGCTTCATTACTGTTGGCCATCGCGAGGGCGCGGTCCTTGTCCTTGGCCTTCTTTGTCATTTTCGTCCTTGCCTCTTCGTTTTGCAGTCTGAAGGCTAGACTCTGATCGTCTCTCTTCAGATAGTCACTAGAATAGACGAATTGAAATCAGCGTTGAAATTCGTCGAGGGAAATTGGGTATGACAAACGTGTAGTAGTTCTTCTGATTAATTGCCGCTACTTGCGGCCAGCTCGAGAGGTCCATATTATTGTCCGTCCGCTCCAAGCCTAACAGTTCATTATATCGTCAGGCAATTATCTGCAGGTGGATGTATATGAGAAATTTACCTTCATCCCGAAGGGCTTTGCCCGACTTCTTACCAACCATGATGAATATTTCTGTGCGACAGCTCTTTGTTTCGTTCGATTGGAGTTAAGTGGGATTATGCACAGCTCAAACTAGGGCGCAAACAGATGGGATTAGTTGTTCCCTGGTCGCGTACTCGATAACGGTAAAGCGTTCGTGAAAAATATTGTAGACAGGTAAAGTACAAGAAGGAGGGGGAAGAAAAAAGGCTGAAGCATGAACGTAAGGGACTTTGAACGGGAAAGCTCGCCCCGTCTAGAAGAACGAGACCATCAACCAATTCCCCGATTGACCGCCCACACGCACAGGCCGAGTGCCAATCCATCGAATGTGATTGCCACCAAAGAACATCTCCTTTCACTATTCATTGACTTCCAACTTCCTCTATTTGTTTGCACCATACCCTATATTCTTACTTACCGCCAATTCTGTCCTCCCACAAACGCGCTATCACATCGTTCTCCCAAGTTGTCCATACTCCGTACTCCCGCTCAATACCCATCCTTACGAGACCAAGAACTACGACCACCTTAGCCACAGTATCATACGCAATCATGGGAGGGTCATTATCACGCCTTTGGTCCCTGGTTTGGAGCAAGAAGGAAATTCGCATTCTCATCCTCGGACTTGTATGTGACACTCTCCCAAAGCGCGGGGGAATTATCGCACCCCGAAGCCATAGCTTGAGCTATACTAAATGGTTCCATGATAGGATAACGCCGGAAAGACCACTCTTCTCTACAGACTTAAGGTAGGATTATCAATTGCTATCAACAAACCCGGGGGTCGGGCGCACTTGTTTATGTGGATACTAACACTTCGTGTCTTCAGATCGGTGAAGTGGTCACTACAATCCCTACCATCGGATTCAACGTCGAGTCGGTGACATATAAGAATCTAAATCTCAATGTCTGGGTATGTAGCTCAAAGCTCCATCTCCGCTCAATTCCCCGCTGATCGCAATCACTCTAGGATCTCGGTGGCCAAACATCTATCCGTCCGTACTGGCGGTGTTACTACGCTAACACTGCAGCCGTCATCTTCGTCATTGACTCTACAGATATTGAGCGACTGGGTACTGCCGCAGATGAACTAGCAGCCATGTTGAACGAAGATGAGCTCCGCGATTCTGCTCTCCTAGTGTTTGCCAACAAGCAGGATCAGCCTGGAGCCAAGGGAGCAGGCGAGATTTCCGAGGCATTGAAACTGGGCGAGCTTCGTGACCGAAACTGGAGTATTGTTGCTTGTTCTGCCATCGACGGCAAGGGTATTGATGAAGGAATGGACTGGTTGGTGGTTCGTCTCTCTATTCATTGTTGCGTCCACATTATACTAATCATTCACATCTATAGCAAACCATCCAGACTGAAACCGCATGATAAACCAATTTAGTGGCTGGGCGATAGACCTGGATCTTTGATATACCTTGCGCCTCGAGTATCCCACACGACTCGGGGGCTTTCTGCTGCATTCGGCGGTGTTGTTCATTCTCTTCTGTTCACTCTCTTCGGCTCAGTTCAGAGCCGGCGGAGTCCTTGTCTTATATTGCTACATGTTTGATGTATGCGCCTTGCGGCTGTTAGAGATAATAGTTTAATGCAGCCGTTCCGGCTTGAATACTTAGGGTATTCCCTCGAAGGGATTCAAGTGAAAGGTGAATCCAATGCTTATCAATATATGGAAGTAGATATTGAACGTTAAAATGGTAAAACACGGATCCATATGATTAATTACCCTGCGACTATCTATTGACATTCGAGATAAGGTGCATTAACCCCCGCTTTCCAAATCCACCCTAATCTATTTAAGTATCTAGCCTGTGCCCCCTCCTGAATCTTACAACGCTCGATTAAAGAACCCTTGAAAGGCTTGCAGTATGGCGATTCCATCCACGCAAGTCGCAGCTGTTGTTCCCTCTGGGGCACAAGACGTTTCGGATGTACAAATCGTCAAGACTTACCCTGTACCGGTCCCAGGTGATGGCGATATCTTGATAAAGCTGGAATTCTCTGGAGTTTGTCATTCAGACGTTCATAGCATCCGAGGAGATACACCGATGCTGACAGATGTTGCGGGCCATGAAGGTGTGGGAAAGGTGATCGGAGGTAGGAGATATCACCAAGTATAAAGCTTTGATAAGTATTGACCCTGTTAGTTGGTCCGAATGTGGACGAACAACAGTGGATAGGCCAGAGAGTAGGTGTCAGGTGAGTATTCCCGCCTACTATTAGAGCTGATTCTGGATTTTAACACTTTTTAGATGGCTTTATAGCTCTTGCTTGGAATGCGAAATCTGTGCAGTCAACCATACTGCTTGCCCTAAGCAGAAGAACGCAGGTGCGGTATGTTGCCATACATTTTCATGACGCCATATTAGACCTGGATCTTATAATGTTTCTTTCGATGATTTTTAGAACGTCCCAGGTACTTTTCAGCGTGAGTATACATATCCCATGCCGACTTGTGCTTGTGCGATGGCTTAGTCGATATAGAATACATTGTCAGTCCGGCGATTCATGCCACAATGATTCCACAGGGGCTATCTCCAGATGTAGCTGCTCCTTTGTTATGTGGTATGCTATACCAAGGCTGCAGTTCTCTCAGATGTCTTCAGCTTATCACTGATTCTCTATAGCTGGTATTGCAATGTACTCGTCAATCCAGAAAACGAAGACGCGTCCAGGTGATTGGATTGCCATCCTTGGCGCAGGCGGAGGTCTAGGACATATGTATATATACAACCTTGCAATCACCCTCATTAATATCTGATCTTGAGTTCTAATCTAACTATACAGGGGCATACAGATCGCAGCCAAAAAAGGGATACGGGTCCTCGCAATTGACAAGTGAGTGAAACTCCAGAGCTCCCACCTGCAGGTGCTCAAGAAGTTCTCCCTTCAAAATTTCCATTTAAATGCTTACTTTCTACAGGGGCAACAAAAAGGAGAACTCTGCCTTTCCCTTGGTGCCACAGAATATCTAGACTTTGGAAAGGTAAATATCGTCGAAGCCGTTAAGACCATCACCTCTGGGCTCGGTGCACACGCTGTGATCTGTACTGCCAATAGCGAGAGATCGTATGAGCAGAGTATGCAGATGCTTCGTCCTCTTGGAACATTGGTCTGTGTCGGTATACCAAATACGCCATTCAAACTACCGGCTTCACCATTCGATATGATTGTGAAAGGTAAACAAATATATAATTCACTCGTACAATCTTGGAAGGCTGAGTGTGCTGATAATTTTTGTAGGCCATACCATCGTGGGAAACTCAGCGGGTACTGCAAAAGAAATGGAAGAGCTGATAGAGATGGCAGTGGCTGGTGATGTTGAGGCTCATGTCCAGGTTTTCGAGTTTGATGAAATTGCCCAGGTCCTTCGACGACTCGAACAAGCCAGTATTGAGGGGAGGGCAGTCCTGCGTATTCCTGAATAAGGTATCTATTAGATTACGAAATTTCAGGTTTATTCAGATGCTTTTAGTTTTGTCCTGAATTGAAGATTTACAATTTGGAAAAAAGTAAATAAGAAGTAATAAAGAGGACGTGAATATAGTCAGAAAAAATATCGATTCTGATAAAATAAGAAAAAAGCAAAAAAGTTATTAGGAATGGTCCCAGAGGGGGTCGAACCCTCGACTTTGGCGTTATTAGCACCACACTCTAACCAACTGAGTTATGGAACCGTAATTGATGAAGAGGATTCGGCATTATGGATTCATAATGGAAAGGAAGAAAATTCAGTGGCCCACATTGGCTTACCTAAGTGACAATGACAGGAATCTACCCAGGTATGCTCTATGTAGCAGATTTCCTTCCTCTAGCGGGGCTTTCCAAAATAAGTAAGTCAAAGTAACCGCCGCTTTAATGAGGGCGCTCATTGTCAGGCTTAGTGAGTAAATTTCAGTCCGAGTTATGTGTTCGATTCATCTAGCTACTCGAGTTTAATATAGTCATTCCCGTGACTCGGGGGTCTGTTTGTTCCGTTCCGGGTTGTGGTATTGTAGGATTGCAATATCCATGTTCCGACAATTGTAAATTACACCATCGAAATAACATCTGTATCAAACTTGTATGGTTTTAAATTTGAACTTTGATCCTGCAAACTAGGCAAAAAGAAGGGGACATGTTGTCAAAGGACTGATTCCTAATTTAGTTTAGTGCATTATTAATCGTCTGTCGTAACTAGAAGTACTCCTATTTTATTACTTAGTGAATTACATACACAACATTCTTGAATAGTTACTCTGTTTCTATTTGTCCGTTCAAATCTACCTTATTAAGCAAAGTTGATACATTCTGGCGCTAAAACCCGGGGTCCTCACTTCTGCATGTATATAGTAATGCTACCATTTTTTGTAATTTCCTAGTTGATAGTAAGTCAGGCCTTTATGCTGTGATTAGCTGTTGAAAAATGCATTAACATCGAGGCCTTTGATGGCTCCCACAACACCCTTGCCATTGTTTGTGGCCTTGACATCGTGAACATCCAGGTGAATATCTCCATGTGCCTGATCGTAGTTGATGAGACCGACAAGCAGTTTTCCGCCATCACTCATATCGATCTTAGAGATCGTTAGTCCTGTGTGTACTTCGTGAGTCTTCGAAAGCAGTTCTTCCAAGAGCCTTCGAGAATCATCCAGTTCAGCAAGTTGATCTTCGAGTTGCTCAATCGCCTGGGTACGGTTTTGATGGCTATCTTCTCTCAGTTCGAGCTCCGTGAACTTCTGGAGGGCCTTTTGTGTGAACGCCTTCTGGTTATCAACCTCGATGATATCCTTGGCGATATTTATCTCTTTAGTGCGAAGCTCACTCTGCGTTGCTGTCGAAATCCTGGAATTTGGTTAGCCCACTTCCTTTACTTAGACAACAATATAATTAGTCTAAAAGATAAACCCACAAAACTGCTGTGCCAACTGCTGCAATGATGCTGGACTTGTTGCGCCCGAGTTGCTTATTCAAAGACTCGACCGTCGCCTCAGCGAATAAACCAACGCGAACTCGATCCCACCATTGCATTTTTTCGTCTGAGTGCTTGGTCCACTGCGTCAACTTCACGCCAAATTTGTCGCACGCTTTTTGACAATTCTTAATAGCTAGCTGTAATGCCATATTTGCCTGTGGCGAGAGATTTTTAAGCTCATTTTTCATTTCTGAACTTTCCAAACTCTTCATGATAGCGTCCATAGCCAAAAGATCATTTTTTAGATCAGCGATAACCTCTGGTGCGTCTTTAACTGCATTGATATCGTGAATAAGCGTATTGATGCTGTGTACCGCTGTCCCAGCAATACCTATAGTACCAGCAATGATGCTGAGTGGATCCATTACCGTGAAGATCAGAATTGTAAGTCTTATGAAAAGGATGAGGGGTGGACTATATAGAGTTGAGAAGTTAAATTTTAGCGCCTTATCTTGCCTAATTCCCACGTCATGGCCTATCAGGAGTATCAAACCATCCCCGATATGTAGTTTTAGCTTAATATGGTAAATTACAATGGGCGAAATCAGCGAATAACCCGTGTCCGATAGGAGCTACCAGCGCGATGTAAGCAGCCACATATAATTGCGGACCATGACAAGGCGAACTATGACAAGGCAGTATGTCTTGGCAAACAGCATAGTGTCATCTGTCACATTCCCTTAAGATTCTTTATCATTAGGCAGGCCCGAAGAAATCCTTTGACTTCATACTCTCAAATTCGCGACTATGTCGACTTTACCGACTAGTTCGTCTTCGATGGCTATGCTAGGACAAGAAGCTACAAGAAATCCTATCAAGCAAATTCACATTCAGATATCCAACATCAGTGCTGAGTCCCATGGAAGAGCGTCAGCAGTGTATGCAGACAACAGTACCAGTCATAACTTTTATGGGGGCACTCATAATCATCAACACCTAGGTAAGTGTCATTAGAGGTCGTGAAAATTAGTTTAACGAATATGCTTTAATAGAGCGACCGGAAACTCCACCTAGCCCATTATCAATGGTCCCATTCCCGCGCGATCCAGATTTTGTTAGACGCAATGCTCTCCTTGATCAGATCCGAGAGAAAAACCTAGTTCCGGGGTCGAGAATAGCACTAATTGGTCTGGGTGGTACTGGGTAAGTGTAAATCGGCTCTTGTGCGATCTATTACTTATAAATTATAAAAGAAAATCGCAACTTGTAATCGAATACTCCTACCAAGTCCGATCTGAGTCGCCGGCAACATGGGTCTTCTGGGTGCATGCGAGTAACGAAGCCCGGTTCGAGCAAAGTTTCCGGGATATTGCGGACCAGGTCAAAATCCCGGGTCGCCAGGATCCTAAAAACAACATCTTCAAACTAGTCGAAAACTGGCTCCGAGATGAGAAGATAGGGAGATGGGTTTGCATCCTTGATAATGTCGACGATGATAAGTTCCTTTGCTCGATTCCAGTGGTAGATAAGAGAGATCAGACGGAAGGCCTAGCAAGGTACTCGACAAAACCACTGTTAGAACACATTCCAAGAAGTCGAAATGGGTCTATTATTATCACAAGCCGAGCGAGAGAAATAGCGTTAAAAATGGTCGAGCATAAAGACCTGATTCAGGTTCAACCCATGGAAAGTTCTGAAGCACTAGATCTTCTCCAAAGAAAGCTTAATAACCTGGAAGAAAACCAAGACATTCAAAGCCAAGAGAATCGACAGTTAGTGGACGCACTCGAGTATATGCCTCTAGCAATCGTACAAGCAGCCAGCTTTATTCGGAATCGGGCGCCTCGCTATTCAGTATCACAATACCTCAGAGATTTCCAAGAGAGTGACCGCGAAGCAATCAAGCTTCTAAAGAAAGAGGCTGGTTACCTCCACCGGGACTGGGAAGCAAAGAATTCGATTCTGGTGACCTGGCAAATATCCTTCGACTTTATACGAAAAAAAACCCCATCTGCAGCAGATCTACTTTCCTTTATGAGTTTTTTCGATCGGCAAGAGATACCAGAAGAACTTATCCGGCATCAATCTCGGGCTGAATACACATCAAGCTTAGAGCTTTCCAACAACTTAAGTGATGGAGAGACGTCTGATTCCGATACGGGAGCTGATTTTGAGGATGATATCACAACACTAAGAGATTATTCATTTATATCTTCTAGTACGAACAATACTTTCTTTACGATGCATCGGCTAGTGCAGCTAACAACACACGCGTGGTTAAAATCTCATGGCAAAAGAGACCAGTGGAGAGATAGATTTATTAACACCCTTTATAAGGAGTTTCTAACTGGTGAGCACCAAACCTGGGAGAGATGCAAGGCACTCTTCCCTCATGTGAAATCCGCAATATCGCAACGGCCATCATCAACTATGTATCAGCAAAAATGGGCTACATTACTTTATAGGGGGGCATGGTATGCGTCAGAAATGGGTAATATCACAGATACAAGAGAAATGGCATTAAAATCGAGAGATCAAAGAGTGAGATTATTTCATAATGAGAATGAAGATGTCCTTGCTAGTTCAAGTATGCTAGCAGCAGCATTTAGGCTTGAGGGCCGGTGGGGGGAGGCCGAGCAGCTCGAGGTGCAGGTCCTAGAGACTCGCAAGACGAAGCTCGGTGCGGATCATCCCGACACGTTGACGAGCATGGCCAATCTGGCGTTGACATACTGGAACCAGGGCCGATGGGAAGAGGCCGAACAGCTTAACGTGCAGGTGTTAGAGACTCGCAAGACAAATCTTAGCGCGGATCATCCCGACACACTTACGAGCATGGCCAATCTAGCGAGGACATACGCAGACCAGGGCCGATTGGAGGAGGCCGAGCAGCTCGAGGTGCAGGTGTTGGAGATAAGCAAGATGAGGCTTGGCGCGGATCATCCCTCCACACTGACGAGCGCAGCCAATCTAGCGAGAACATACGCGAACCAGGGCCGATTAGAGGAAGCCGAGCAACTCGAGGTGCAGGTATTAGAGACTCGTAAGATGAAGCTCGGCGCGGATCATCCCGACACACTGACGAGCACGGCCAATCTGGCGTCAACATACGCGGATCAGGGCCGATGGGAGGAGGCCGAGCAGCTCGAGGTGCAGGTGTTAGAGACAAGTAAGACGAAGCTCGGCGCAGATCATCCCTCCACACTGACGAGCATGGCCAATCTGGCGAGGACGTATGCGAACCAGGGCCGGTGGGAGGAGGCCGAGCAGCTCAACGTGCAGGTCCTAGAGACTCGCAAGACGAAGCTCGGCGCGGATCATCCCTCCACACTGACGAGCATGGACAATCTGGCGTCGACATACGCGGATCAGGGCCGATTGGAGGAGGCTGAGCAGCTCGGAATGCAGGTGTTAGAGATAAGCAGTACGAAGCTCGGTGCGGATCATCCCGACACACTGACCAGCATGGCTAATCTGGCGTCGACATACTGGAACCAGGGCCGATGGGAAGAGGCCGAGCAGCTCTTTGTGCAGGTGTTAGAGACAAGTAAGACGAAGCTCGGCGCAGATCATCCCTCCACACTGACGAGCATGGCCAATCTGGCATCGACGTATCAAATTCAGGGCCGATGGGAGGAGGCCGAGCAGCTCGAGGTGCAGGTGTTAGAGACTCGCAAGACGAAGCTCGGTGCGGATCATCCCTCCACACTGACGAGCATGGACAATCTGGCGTCGACATACGCGGATCAGGGCCGATTGGAGGAGGCTGAGCAGCTCGGGATGCAGGTGTTAGAGATAAGCAATACGAAGCTCGGTGCGGATCATCCCTCCACACTGACCAGCATGGCTAATCTGGCGTCGACATACTGGAACCAGGGCCGATGGGAAGAGGCCGAACAGCTTAACGTGCAGGTTTTAGAGACTCGCAAGACAAATCTTGGCGCGGATCATCCCTCCACACTGACGAGCATGGCTAATCTAGCGAGGACATACGCGGACCAGGGCCGATGGGAGGAGACCGAGCAACTCGAGGTGCAGGTGTTAGAGACTCGCAAGACGAAGCTCGGCGCGGATCATCCCGACACACTGATGAGCATGGCCAATCTCGCTTTCACCTGGAAAACTTCAGGTCACATTGCCAAAGCCATCATTTTGCTAAGAAACTGCGCAGCTAAGCAGAAACAAGTACTCGGTCCGAACCATCCACAGACTTTATCTAGTTCTGAGACACTGCTTGAATGGGAAATTGAGACCTCAAATTTGAATACTTAAACAAGCTGAATAATTGAATATCATACGTTGATTATTTTCAGCTTTAAATGGTTACATCTTGAAACACATTGAAATCATGCTTTGATATAGTATCGTGCAAACGTTATCAACCTTACAAATCAAGTGAAATTCTTGCCAAAAGATAGATAGAGCACGCATAAGGCAAGGCAAGTCATCAAACGAGCAAGATGTGAGTTTGGCTTTCGGTTTTTTTTTGGTAAAAATAGGGGATCGCTTACTTCTCCCGTGGATTTATTTTTGTAGTGGCGGGCTGTTTAAATGAAGCAGGAAACGAACTAGGAGTATCGATGACATCCATGGGCGTGGACCCCGGGAGAAGCTTCCAAGGCTGCCCAGGTATGAAGGTATTTGAAGTTGAAAAGGATTCACTCAGAGTGATTTCTTGAAAGAGAATTAATGAGAGACTTTCAATGTTCTTTATTTTCGTTTTCTTTGCTTGACTAGAGCTAGCTGCTAGTACTTCAAGGTGTCTATAGGGATTTAGTGGTCCACCTTCCCTCGTTTTATCCTTCTCTGCTCTTCTATACTCGAGTTTCGACGATTTCTGACTCGACTGAGTGCATACGACTACATACCCACTCATCTCTAAATTTAATCTCAATCAAAAACTTCATTTATCTGGGTCAGGTGAGATATCATGGCCTGATCTACTAAGTACTTAGGGCTAAATCCATCACCGGCGACCGCCTTCGTCCTTCACCGCCCTGGCAAAGAGCCTCGATTTCGCCGAGTATCTTAGATCTGCAAGGGCGCGAACCTTGGATCAATCAATTGAAGTAAGTTTTCCCCGACTGTCAGGACTTAGACTGATGAGTTTAGACTAAAGTCATTCCCTACCCAAACTCATTATCAAAGAATACAAAACTCATCAATTGTGTTTAGATCCAACTTATCCCGGCTCTCGCCGAGCTCCCTCCAAGGCCAATTTCAAGTGCAAATTCCATCACTTCGCTCAGATGACGTCCGCTTCTGCCTCAATGGCTTGGAGGGCAGGTCTCCGCGCTCGCTCACTCCCTACATCTCGCTGGTCGCAGCGACCAGCTACTTTACTGAAGCGCGAGGGCGTAATTGGCGCGCGATATGCCTCGGATTCGGCCCCCGCTGCCGCCGAGGCCGTGAAGGAGGCCTCGAAGGAAGTCCCGAAGCGGGCTGCTCGTGGTTCCCGGAAGACCCTTTACGGTACCTCGCTGGCTGTGGTGCTGTTGGTTGGATATATCTACGGAACTGATACCAGGGCTAGTTTCCACCGGTACGGCGTTGTGCCTATTGTTCGGAATATCTATCCAGATGCCGAGGATGCACACCACGAGGGTGTGTATTGGTTGAAGTTGCTTCATCAATTTGGATTGCATCCCAGGGAGAGAGGCGATCCTGATCGGGATGGAGCTCTAGCTACCGAGGTAACCAGCCGTTTTACATCAATTGAATATTAACGCTAATGGTTTTATTTTCTTTCAGGTCTTTGGCCACACCATTTCGAACCCAATTGCTATTTCTGCCGGTCTGGACAAACATGCCGATATTCCTGACGTTCTATTCGACATTGGATCCGGCATTGTCGAGGTCGGTGGCACAACGCCTCTGCCACAAGAAGGAAACCCGAAGCCACGGGTGTTTCGTATCGTCTCGCAACGTGCTATGATCAACCGGTACGGCCTCAATTCCAAGGGCGCTGATCACATGGCCGATGTGCTGCAGCAGCGCGTTCGTGACTTTGCATACGCCGCCGGCTTCGGCGACCATGAGGATGCTGAGCAACTTGTTCTGGATGGTGCCGCCAACGTGCCTCCGGGAAGTCTGGTCCCTGGGAAGCTACTTGCCGTGCAGGTGGCCAAGAACAAGTTGACCCCAGATGGTGATATCGATGCGATCAAGCAGGACTACGTGTACTGCGTCGACCGGGTAGCCCGCTACGCAGATATTCTGGTTGTGAACGTGTCCAGCCCTAACACACCAGGTCTGCGCGACCTGCAAGCCGCCGCACCTCTGACAGCCATCTTGACAGCGGTTGTGGGGGCAGCGAAGAACGTCGATCGCAAGACAAAGCCCTATGTCATGGTGAAAGTGAGTCCCGACGAGGACTCCGACGAACAGATCTCAGGCATTGCAGAGGCCGTTTGGAACTCCGGCGTTGACGGCGTTATCGTCGGCAACACCACCAACTGCCGACCCGATGCCCTTCCTAGGGGCTTCGAGCTCCCTGAAAAGGAGCAGAAGGTTCTCAAGGAGACTGGCGGCTACTCTGGCCCGCAGCTCTTTGACAACTGTGTTTCTCTGGTCGCTCGCTACCGTGCCCTGCTTGACAAGGGTCCCCCATCCCAGACCGCAGTTGAAGGCGAAGAAGCCTCTGTCCCCTCTGAGCAGCCACGCAAGGTCATCTTTGCATCGGGTGGTATCACGACTGGGGAGCAGGCGCGCAAGGTGCTAGATGCTGGAGCCTCGGTTGCCATGATGTACACTGGTGTGGTATTTGGTGGTATTGGAACCGTGACACGAGTCAAGCAGGAGCTGCGCGAGGAACTACAGAAGAAATGAAGCAGCGTTCAGATTCAATAATAAAAGGTGATAAATCGATTTCAAAACAATTTGTACATATCATAAGATAGGACTTTTTAGCATCCCTGAATTTCATTTGTCTTTTTTACCTCGAAAGGTATCCCGTTCAATCGCATCGCAGGAAGCTCAATTACAAGGTCCTCGGATTACTTGATTTGGTCACGTATCCACAAAAGCCACCTTTATAGCAGTGGAGCATCAAGAAAACCACACCTACTTAGGTAGGCGTAGAGGAACTCCATGAAAATTAGACAAAATCTCTGATGAGCCTCGTGATGAAATAAGAATAGTGGAGCTTCAACCCCGGATTTCCTAGATAGGCGTCCCGGCCCAGATCCACTTTATGGATCCAACCTAGAATCTGGTTCGTACGGTATTGCCCATACAGCATGCGTTTTTTATACAGTCAGATACCCAGACTCTCTTCCACTTCACGGACGACCTTGTGCACACCGTCAATCTCATGCGCAAATCGACCTAGAAACATGCCATCAACAGCTTTGCCGAGTCCACCAGCTCCCCAAAGACCAGGCCCCGCACTGCCTCCATATAGCACCCGCGTAGCACCAGGTCTTGAACCGATCATGCGACGAAGTCCTTCTACAACTGCAGCGACGTGGTCCACTCCCGCAGGCTTGGGCTTCCCAATTGCCCACACAGGCTCGTAGGCAAAAATTATAGGTGCATCGGTAGGTATAGCAGCCAGCACAGCTCGTATCAGAACAGAGCACTCAGTCACAGCCTGACCAACAGCCTGGGAAGCAATGGGCCCAGGGGCAGTGATCTCGCCTATACAGACAAGAGGCACCATTCCCTGTGCACAGGTCGCAGCTGCCTTGCGCGCGGTCTGGTCATCCGTCTCGCCGAATAAGGCACGGCGCTCAGCGTGGCCTAGTTCGACAATCGAACATCCTAGCGACCGGATAGACGCTGGTGACACTTCGCCTGTGTAAGCGCCGCTATCCTCCCACATGCAGTCTTGGGCACCAAGGAAGAAAGCGTTTGATCCAAGCTTGCTTTTGTGTTCTTGGATGATTTCGGCACATGGCCAGATTGTTAGGAAGTCTGGAATTAACGCTAAGGCTAGCTTTTCGCTATTCTCTGGCTTGACGAGGTCTAGTAGACTGCGCAGGTAGTTGAGTGTACGATCTGGGGCGAAGTACATCTTCAATGAGATGAGAAGAAGTTTCTCGGGGAGAACGGGGTATACTGGAGTGGCCATAGGGGGCAAATGATTGTAACGATTGCGCAATTGAATGAAGATGCTCCGATTATTTGTTGGATGATGCTCGAGCTTAGGAGTAGTAGAATCACCCGGGCCAGGAATGATGTCAGAAGTACTATGACAGAGTAGACAAGCTAGAGAATTGACACAAGGAAATCTGATAGGTAGAAGCAGGATATCAGGTACCAGAGATTAGCGATTTGATGAGAGGTTAGAACGGAGCAAAAAAAGAAAGAAAAAAAAAACAGGTTGCTGATATTCCCGATCTTATTGTTTGCATACTCTTGAGAGCATTGGCCCCTTCTCTTTCTACCTCGGTTTTACAAGTTATCCTTGCCAGTACAGTTGTAATTTTCTGTCTTTGATACAGTCACATGCATTCAAAATAACAGATATGTAGCTCTAGTTCGCGTATGTAAAGTGGAGTTTGGCGGGGAAAAATACAAAACTGGAGAAGGGGGAAAGATCGTCCAGACTGCCGAGCCCCATTTTGATGTATTTTTATATTGATTATTGGCTAGTGTTTCTGCCTGAATCCATACATTGGGACATCCTACTATTAGAAATCAAATCTTGAATTGAACAGATCATGTTGAAATGGTGCTAGTGGAACCGGAATAATCCCATTGGCGCATATATGGCACTTTGATTGATACAATGCCCTCATTTGCGTTAAGGTGACATAGATGGCTTTAAGGTGAGCATTCCAGGGTTTTTTATTTTGAAACATGAGGGCTGGATATGTTCCCTGACCTACTTGCTACCTGGATGGTACTTGATCTATACTTGTATTGCCTCTCAAGTAAGAGAACTACCTAGGTATATAGGAAATCAATGCCAGGTATTACCGTATACCAATACGGACTTGTCAGTCTGGCTCCCGCCTATCACAACCCACTTCACCAATAGCATGACGCTATGGCCCAAAGACCGGCATCCCCAGTCCCAATTGATACTATTTCCCTTGGGACGAGTGGAGCCTGATGTATTTCAGATTGGTTCTAGTCCGTGCTCTGGGGATATGGAATGTGATGAGGACAAAGGTATAAAGGGAGAAGCCCCCATTATATCCAGGAACTACCAATAGTCACCATTCCTCAATCCTCAATCCTTAATAAAGCACCATATTCCTCTCACAAAGCACTTATCTGGACACCAAGGTTCCCTGCGGTCATGTCTACCGACCTGAAACCCCTGCGCATCGTCATGGCCTGCGACGAGGCCGGTGTACCTTACAAAGATGCTATCAAGGCTATTCTGGAGAAAAACCCTCTGGTCGAGTCCATAGTCGATGTCGGTGTTAACTCTGTTTCTGACAAGACTGCCTATCCTCATCCAGCAGTTGAAGGGGCAAGGCTGATCAAGGAAGGCAAAGCAGAACGTGGTCTTTTCATCTGTGGCACCGGTCTTGGTGTTGCCATTGCCGCCAATAAAGTCCCTGGTATTCGAGCTGTCACTGCTCACGATCCATTCTCCGTCGAGCGCTCCATCCTGAGTAATGATGCTCAAGTCCTCTGCATGGGACAACGAGTTATCGGTGTTGAGTTGGCGAAGAAGCTCGCTACTGACTGGCTCAACTACCGCTTTGACCCTAAGAGCGCCTCTGCTGCTAAGGTGCAGGCTATCTGTGACTATGAGACTCAGTTCTCTGTGGTCGCTTAATTGGTGCTACGACTTATCAATGGCTGATTCGGAGATTATCTGGCTTTCTTTCCTCTACTTTCACAAATCATCATGGCTTACCGCATACTCCGCACTCTTGCTTCCCTGGGGATTCCTATACTACTCGTTGTTATACCAAGCGCATTATGATACCACGAATACTTCTATCACCTCCATGGATCCATAACTATGTAGCTCAAAAATAATCAGATGGAGATTTTAATGTACTACCTACCACCATATCCACCCGCCTGTGATCAAGCAAGCCTTTATATTGACTTACTATTCACACAAGATGATACTTCAGTTGGTAAGTAACTAATAGCTACATAGTTAGGCAGTTCAACAAGGGAGAATTACCCCCCAAAACTATAAAGAATCAATGATTGAAAGCCCTTTTTGACCTGAAGAATATGGATCATGTTGCTGAGTCAGCTATCATTCTATGAGCTTCTATAGTTCTAAAGGCATTCAACCCATCTTCATTGCCATGAGAAGACTAATGACCTTTCATTTATTTAAGAGAGTGTAGTGAACATAGAGTTCAGAATAATATCCAGCACTTCTCTGAGTTTCCCTAACATTTTCATGCTTCCTTGCAAGGTTGCTACTTCTATATACCGTGTACAGACCTCCCTGATCGCCACTGCATAGTGCCCCACCTGTACTTCTCGATCTGCTCAAGGCACTGTTCTTTTTACAACCGCACATCTCCGACTCCATTTCACACCCTCCTATTCCTGGGGTAGTGTGACGGGCAAAATGGACCAAGAGCTTAAAGCAAAAGGCAACGAGCTCTTCAAAGCTGGTGACTACACCGGTGCCGAGGAATTCTTCTCCCAAGCGTAAGAATGCCGGTTCTCTTCTCCCCGCACGCGCATATCCCACCATAAACAATAGAAAAACAACCGATTGAATTGGTCAGGAAAGATCTGATCTTGGATTGATTTAGCATTCTCAAAAACCCCACCGACCCGACCTTTTTCACCAACCGCGCTATCACGCGCATCAAACTCGAGAAATGGGCCGAGGTCGAACATGATGCACGCGCTGCAATTGATATCTACGGCTTGAAAAGTCCAGCAGCTCTCAAGAGCTCTTTCTATCTTGCACAGGCTCTGCTGGGTCTGAAGCGCCCTCAGGAAGCTTATGATGTCGCCTCCGACGCCTATCAGTTGAGTCTGGCTGCTAAGAATGTGCAGACGGAGAACCTGTCGCGTACGCTGTTGCGCGCGAAACAACAGCTCTGGGATGCAAGAGAGACTGCAAGATTGCGCGAGATGAACGAGACTTTGAAGGGTGTCGAGTTGCTTATTGAGGCAGATCTGGCGCGTAGCGTTGCTGAGCTGCAGGCGCAATTGGAGCGTGGGGAGATTGGAGAGATTGGATTTGGACAAGATGAACGGGCATTGCGCGAGGATGCGCAGAAGAAGGTGACGGATGTGCGGGAGGCCTTTCGTATTTCTTCCAAGGGGGAGATTCAGGAGCGAGTGAGTTTTATTATTGGGACTTGGAATGATTTCTGTGCTAATTTCTAATCTAATAGATTGTGCCTGACTACCTCATTGATGGTATCACTTTTGAGATCATGCATGATCCTGTTATGACCCCCTCTGGTAGTAGCTTTGATCGTCTTAGTCTGTCGAAATATGTGGAGAAAGCCGGTGTTGATCCTATCACTCGTGCTCCTCTGACTGTCAACGACCTACGACCCAACTACGCCCTCAAGGCTGCTTGTGAGGAATTCCTCACTAAAAATGGATGGGCTGTTGACTGGTGAGGTTCTTCAAAAGGCTTGTATTATTCTTTTCTTATTTATACATCTTGGCGAGCGACATGTGTGATCTGCATGGGTTGGCGTTAGAATTGATTATGGTTCCTTTCGTCATAGACCAGATACTTTGATATTGAAACTCCATTGAATTCTTGATTGTCTCATAATCATATAACCCAGCTCCGCCCTTGCCAGTCTGGCAATTCATGCGGGGCCGAGGCGCACCATGGCTCATCGGTGTCGCCGTAGGGGGTGAGTGGCAGGTCATACGGCATTCGCAAACCGACCACTGTAGTAACTGGTGTTGTGTCACTGTCGTTCAAGGAGCGAATAGGGGTATCCCGTTTGAAGCATGGGACCATCAGTATGGAAGGGGGATCAATCGCATTTCCTTTGGTATTCTCTGTAAACAAGTCCGGCCAAACGACAACGCCAACCTCAAAACTTGAGATTCGGACTTCACCAGCTGTATTTGCTCCCGCGCCCCAGGCTTGGGTTGACAAGTTTGCAGAAGTCACAATTGCCCAATCAATTGTATCCATCTTCGGGTCCGAAAACCGGATATATGTCTTGATATGGGGGGCCGCGCGGCTGCGACCTGCTTCTCGCGTTGTGCTCTTCTCAGACAAGTCGATGGATTTGGACTGGGAAGACCCTTGCTGGCTATCCCAATGGCATAGATGAGAACGCATGTAGTTCAATTGCCTCTTCTGACGATCACTCTGAATCTTCATGTGGATCGATCCGCCGGATCCATACCCGTCGAGAGAGTGGCGGATTTCCTCCGGTGTGGGGAATATTATTGAATAGTTGGGCTCAAGATTGATGGATCCTGGTGAAAGTGCTTTGAAAAAAACGTCCTTGAGCCACTTATCTGTCACTCCAAGGGAAGCTACGGAGGAAACCTAGGAATTGTCAGAGAAGAAATGTCATGAAGGGAGGGAGAGTTTAAGCATACCTGTATCACAATTTGTGCCTTGTTCGAGTGGTTCATTGGCTGGCGAAGTGGGAGATTTCCCATAATATCGTTTAACGCTGGCCATCCCCATAGAGTTGTAGTGTTTGAGTCTAAGCCGTTGAGTTGTTGCTTCGAAGGAATGCTTGCAAGAAAGGCCGCACGCACTACACTGAAATCGTATTCACTCAACTGCTTGACCAGGGTCCCAGTCTTCTTAGATCCATATGCTTTCAGATAGCTCATGATATCTCTCTTGAACCTTCTGCCAGTGCCAAAAGCTGGTTGTCCTGCAGAAGTGGATGTGTTGGGTTTTTCCAGAGGAAGGAGAGGAGACTTCCATACTGCTTGGGTCATATTCTGCCAGTCTCCCTGTATCATATTGGCAGTATGAATGATAACCCTAATAAAACTTTTTAATAATCGATCATGATAGGGCTAAGGGAACTTACTGAGCTAAATCATCATGACGAAAAAGGATCATCATTTTTGTATGATGAGTGCCAAAGGGTTCGGGCATATAAGCGATAATGGGCTCAACATTCGACCACCGAGAGCATGCTTCCTAGTCCTTGGTCAATATATTTCTAAGGACACCTCGTTTCCCCAGACATCTCAAGACATGCTTCAAGGGGATGATGGTGAATTTATCAAGAAGAGTACTCACCTCGACAATAATTCTATTCTGAGATTCCCTCTGCCAAGACCCATGAACAACTTTCACTTTCACGAGGTGCTGCACATCACTGTCGAACTGTGACATGAGAAAGTCTACATCGAAGAGGAAGTTGAATTGCCAGCATTCACTGATCATAGGATCTCCGAGGATGTCGCGCAGCTGCACTGTGTCGACATTGAAGCCCTGCCGATCTGACAAATCCTTGATGTGGGTGAGCTGGATTGGAGAAGGAATTAGATGAGATGATGATGCACAGGGTCTTGTGACCGGTTCATTCTTTTCACCCCTAGTGTTGACTGGATGAGATGGTCGTGACAAGCGCGATCTCTTTGAGCACCCGGAAGTCGGGGGTGAGATAGATCTATGAAGAGAGATCAATGACTTTATATGATCATCCCCCTTGCTGGAGCCTGATGAGACTCGTGCCCGTTTTGAGGGTTCCATTCAGCGACTCCGAGATTGGAGGTGAAGCAAAGGAAGTGCACGTGTTTTATGAATTGTCGACAACACAAAGGTGAACTGTACTCTAGAGAAAACAAGAATTTGGGATGTCTATCTATTCATTCGCAGCTGTGGCGGTGATGATGGTGTAGGGTAAAATGATAACAAGAGTGGAAACTGCAATTCGCACTCATATTTCTACCGCCCGCATCAGTGTTCAGCTCTATCTACGTCTTATAATATTAAACACCGCAACAATGTTGAAAATGATTGATAATCTACAATTAATACATCTAATTACGATAATATACAAGAAAATCACATCCTTCATGAGGGACGGTCCAAATTGATCACCACATGAACCGCTGAATCTTGCCCGGCTCCTGGGGCCATTCAAAGCCCTTGTACAAGAATACATAGCCTGTCACGACATTAATGAGTAAGAACCACGCAGTCTCTAAGAACTTGGGGGCATTAGTTGCCATATCAGCCGATTCTCGCTCTCTCTCGCCATCAGGGCGCCGTTTCCGGAACACAGCCAAGGATGGAGATGGAGGCAGATGTAGACGCCACATTACCCAAGGAATAATGAAGTAGCGTGGTTCTACAAGAGGTGCTGTCACGAGAGATAAAGCGGTCGCAGCAAGCCAAACAAGAACAAAGCTAGCCCGAGTTCCTTCGGGTTGCTGATTTTGACGCTGGATGAGAGCCTGCTGAATCCTGGCAAATGCTTCAGCTGTCACTGGTGGGGGTTGCGTCGGTTGCACTGGCTGAGTTTTCTTGGATGTGGTCTTGCGAGTGGGCTTTCTGGTCTCTTTGGGCTGCTCTTTGACAGCAGGTTTGGATGCAGGAGATGCAGGCTTTGGGGCAACTGGCATCTGGAAGACGCGAGGGGCCTTCCGAAGAACAGAAAATCCAAAGGCAGAAATCACAGCCCATCCGCAAAGGAAGTAAACTAGCACCGCAGCATACTTGACAGCGGGGTGATAACCTAGCAAGATGCGGAACACGTAGAAGACATAGTGTCGGTTGTCAGCCAGGGTGAAGGGATGCACAATTGTGTTGAAATGAACAATAGCAGCCATAACTGGCATGATAACCAAAGCCGCAATGATACTAGGCAGTTTCTTTTGTTTTTCCGGGAAGCCGTAGTTGAGATACTTTGGTAAAAACTTCGTTGGCAGAATAACATTGATCACAGGAACAACGAGCAACGGCCAAGAGAAGAATACGAAATAGGGCCAAATATAAAGCATCTGCGCTAGATGCACTCCAGCAGTGTGGAATTCTTTATGACCTAGTTTTAGAGAGATGTTAGTATGCCATTTTGTTGCGAAACAATATCACAGAACCCACCGAGGACAACACCACCATTCCATAGGATGAATGCACCGAATGCCCCAAGGATAATGAGATGAGGGAAGACCGAGGCAAGGAAAGAAAAAGGGCTGGCAAGACCGGCAGTTGCAAATGAGATGGCAGTCTTGACATAGTCCGCCAAAGAGGCCTCGGAGACAAGAGGGTCGTAGACCTCATTGTTCAAACCAGCCTTAACAATTTCAGATACATCAGATGATTTGCACGACTTGGAAGATTTGCGGATTTCCTTAACGGCCTGTAGTCCGCCTAGAAACACAGAGACCCAAAAGATGTTCGTTTGACGACAAGCTAGCGCAGCCAATCCAAACACCAAGAATCCAAGAGTGGACAGGAGAGATGAGCCAGTTCCCGATATACGCTTAAGATCCCAGTTGTATGCCTCGATGACCACAAGCAAAGCCAGGATGTCGGTGTAGTATAGACCGGAGAAGAAGAACAGCGGTGGGAACAGGCAAATGTTCAAGATAGAGTGACTGAGTCGCGCATTCAGAGGCCGGGTGTTCCGAACTTTGTGCACAATATCAGAGACCGTCTGGAGTCTCCATGGAAGAAACAACCCAGCTGTAGCAGCATTGGTCATGCGCAGAACTTCGGTGGTGAGCTGTGTCGGAGAGCCGCGGAGAGTATACAGAGCTGCACAGAGGATATACGACCAAAGGTACAGGCCAGGTGGAGTGGTTATTTTCGGATCCCAGGATGTCCACTTGTGCGCCCAATACTCCTGCGCCTGTGGAACGTGAAATACCTCATCTAGATATGGCTCGGGGACTTCGGTGGTGACCTTGGCTCTCCAGATCCCAATTGCGGTCAGAGCAAAGGGGACGGCGTAGCGTGCCGCTCGACTAAGATCAGACTCTGTGGCACTCATTGTGATCCAAGTCCAAGAAACGAAATAAACTTGGAGAAGGTCGAGAGTTGAGCTTGAGCTTTGAGAAAGGGACAAGGTGGGATCTACTAAATAGTGGTGCAAACACGACAAACACAAGTATTTGGCGTTCAGTTTGCGATTTGATCACTACCACAAATTAAACATGGTGTATTGACGAAGAAACCACATCATTGACGTCTGAATTATCGTACTAATATTTTATTCCATTTTATTGTTCACTTGAAGTTCAATGGCATTCCCTCTGCCGCGGGGCATTACGCCCTCGGAGATCGCCTTCTTGGCCGAGATGGAATTGGTGTCCGTCGTGCCTCGTCAACGCTTAGAAGGCCTAGAACTGCTCGGGGTAAAAATCCATCGCATTCAATACGCTTATATTAAAATTAATTGACATCCACAGGGTCCTATTGAACCTCTCGTACCTCCTCGACGCGCCTCACTCCCCCTATGGCTTGCTCTACTTTTAAAACGCCAACGGCGCGCCAATATCATGCCGCCGCCATGGTTGCACCCTGAGCCGCTCAAGCTCATCCTCGAGGTCGAATCCCATCACGAAGATTACAAAAATGCTTTCTCTCCTCCACCCCCTCTACCAGGTCAGCCTAGTGTGCGTGACCATGGCCTCGAATCTAAAGCTCGGCCACAGTACACTCGCGACGGCGAGAGGTACCTTGCTGCACCGCCATTCTTACCACAGAATGTTGCACAAACGAATATATCCTCTAGGGATATACCTTCATTGCCGTTTCATTGGATCGAGGTCGCGAATATGCTGTTGGATGCTGCTAGTGATGATCTAGTTGACCCGGACCAAATCCGACGGCTCTTGAAAGACCTGCGCGAAGTGCGCATGGCTAAGATACGGTCTGGAGTTGATGCGCTGGACGCTGCTGCCAGTGGTGGTGGAGGAGTCGCACTAACGGGTGTTGGTGCCATGGAGATGGGTGAAGAGCGTGGTTTCTTGGCTGGCGTGGTGGATAACCTTCGGTATGCGACGATTTGTATTGTCAGCAGCGAAATTATGTGTTGCTAACTCTAATTGTCAGGAAAATCGGTGCCTCCAAAGAACAAGCACGACGAGAACAGCTGGCAGAGCAACGGGCTAATGGGGGTTATGATGAAGCTCAAGATGACGAGGACGATGACATGGAGTTTTAGATTGCATTTGGCGATAATTATTATTATTTCGATTTTATTGGCGTACAAGGTGCGTATGCGACGGAACACCTCCTGTCGAACGATATTTATGTATAGAGACTTTATATACCCGAGATTTCAAACTGGTAACAACCAAGGCTTTTCCAATTTACCTGACACGATGTGTTATGCGGATGCTTGAATAGAAAAAGAAAGTATGGAAAGTATTCCTTCAGATCAGAATGAGTAATGGATAATGCTGAGGAATGACTGATGACTCCAAAGGATCGTCATGATGCATCGCGCGAACACGGACCACAGCATAGAAACCTCAAATAGATCGCAATTATTAAATGGGGAATCGTTTTAACTCATTGCTTGTTCTTCTGCGCCATCTTCCTCCGCGCTTCCAAAATCATTTCGTCTCGTCGTTTCTGCAGTAGTCGTTGTCGTTCTTCTTTGTTCTGGGCCCATGCGCTTGAAGAGAGTGCTGCCTGAGCAGATTCTGAGCTATCACTTGTAATCTTTTCGCTCAGATTATATCTAGAAATCAGGTCTTGCCCGTCCCGCTTTGTCGCAGCTGAGGATGTAGCTGGAACAACCGGACGATTCGTGGAGGCAGTTGGGAGGGGAGGTTGGAATGATGGAGGAGGCTAAAAGTAAATGAATTTGAGTCAATGTTTGTTAAGAGGTTATGTAAACTGGGAGACCTACCGTGTCCAAGCCCCGCCCACTTAAGATGCGCTCTGTTGTCGCCCCGACGCTACCACCGTTGCGCTGGAGATCCCACATGATGGTGCGACTACTCAACTGAGGGAACATCTGGGAGATCTGCTCCACTTGAGCAGGGTCGACGGCATTCCCACGTCGGGGCCGGTTGGCGCTGGAGCTATCGTCACGGTTAAAGAACCATCGCAGAACAAAAAACGATACAACGGCTAACGTAAGAAGGGAAGGAATGTTAAGTGTGGGCTCTTCGTCGGTCATTGTGATGGAAGTGCGATCGTGCGCGATATGGGAGTTGCTGAGTCAATTCCGTTAGATGTGGAATGACAGTGTCGAGGCGGAACAGTTCCGGCTTGGGTAGGAGGTCGTGTGAGATGACAGGAGTTGTCACAACCACGAGGCGACCAATATAAAGCTAGAAAGAAGTTGGAGAAGTGTTTGCGCGTCGTGAGAATCAAAGCAGTGCACAAGTGGAGGATTGAAAGGAGATTCGGGATTTGGGTGTCCTGGCACGTGCAACTTAACCCGACCGTTGAGCCACAAACAGAATATAAAGTAGTTAGACTGAGATAATATGGAATATTACCGATAAATGAGTAATAATCACGTTCTAGACAGATCACTTATTACCCAAAAATACCTTAATTATAAGACGGCATTTGTAGACTCCGTATAGTGGCGTGTCCGGCCCCATAAACTAGCTATCTTTTATGATATCAGATTGCTACACATACACACCACGGTAGAGATTAAAAAATAATTCTCACTATCTGGATTCTACTATACAGAGAACAGCTGGAATCTTTCGCAGAATCGAAAAATCATCATCATGCATAGATCATGAGCCAAAATCCGTTCCCATCCAGCAAATGTATACAGTACCACAAACACCGACTACCGACCAACTGCTCCACTAATTCAAAAATCAAAGGACATCAAAAATCAAAGGACATGAGGGCCGTCAAAAACATTAAACTGAAAGCTCAGTTGCAGGCTTATCTCATGTCAGCCGGGGTTAGCGCCTGGACAATACTAGTACCCTCGCTGAACCGCGTACGGAAGATGCGGTTGGCGTTCTGGAACATGCCGTCCTTGAGTGAGACCACGATGAACTGAGATCCCTTGAAGCGGGTCTTGATCAATCGTCCAATGTTTTGGGTGTGTGAAAGATCCAGCGCGGCGTCAACCTCATCGAGAATGTACATGGGCGCGGGCTTGAATTGCAAGAGTGCCATGATCAAAGAGAGTGCAATAAGAGATCTATAGATGGGGGATTTAGTCATGTTGACTCAAGAGACAAAAATCAGGTAGGAACATACCTTTGTCCACCACTCAGTTCTGTCAGGCTCTGCTTCCAAACCTTGCCCAGAGACACCTTGACCTCGAGACCGTCTGTGATCTCCTTGCCCTCCGGCGGATCAAGCTTCGCAAAGCTGCCTGGCAGGAGCTCAGCAAAGATATTACCAAAATCAGTATTGACCTTAGTCCAAGTCTTGTGCAGCGCCTCCTTCTTGTACTCGTTGAGGTTGAGAATGGTCTCCTCGATCTTGCTTTTATCACGGATGACAGTTCGCATCATGTTCTTGAGCGCAGACTCCTTCTTTTCCACGCTATCAATCATGTTCATGACCTTCGGGTTGATCTTTTTCTTCATCCCTTGCGACCGTTCCGTCAAGTTGCGTAGTGTTGATTTGCATTCGGCAATATTCTGACCCTGGAAGTAGTATGGGGTATTCGGACGACCAAACTGTTCTTTCTCATCCGCGATCCACTCATGCTCTTTCTCCATATGAGAGAAAGAGTGTTGGGCAGTTTCTTGGTCCTTCTGTAACTTCTCAAGTTGATGGCCCAGTTTTTGCATCTCAAGACTTTCTTCAGTGATTTGTGAAGATTTGGATTTTATAGCTCGCTCTAGTTCGCGCGTTTCTTCGTCGAAGCCGGTCAGCTTGGCCCTCTCATCATCAAGCTGGGCCTGCGCAATATCGTGTGCATCCTTTAAGTCGTTAGCGCTGGGTTTGTATAGTAAACTGTTGGCGTTTTAGTTACCTTGACTCGTGCCTGCTCCCGCTTCATAGACTCAATCTCCTTCACCTGTGCCTTCAGCGTACTACCCGACTCGGTAAGCTGCTCTTCAGCTGCTGAAAGGTCACTTCCGACTTGCTCAGAATCAAGACGGGACGACTGCAGCTCCTTCTGAAGCTCCTTGACTGAAGCAGAGTTTTTTGTAAGGGTCTTCTTCAAGCTGTTGAGTGAAGTTTGTAGCTCTTCCAGCTTGCTATCTTTATTATTGCTGAATTCACTCATATCTTTCTCGATGCGCTTGATATCCTTGGATGCTTCTGCGTGGCGACTTTTGGCGTCGACAATATCTTTCTTCAATTGCTCGATGTTGACTTTCATCTCTTCGACGGCAGCAATGATCTAATGTTATGTTAGAAGCAGGTTCAGTCTCGGCTAAAACTAAATACATACTGATGAAGAGGAGTTGTTGTTGATTTGCTCCTCAGTAAGTTTGATTTCATGGGTTTTGAGGTCAAGATCTTGTTTAATCGACCGGACCGCATCGAGCTTCTTCTTCTCTTTCTTCATATTGTCCTCCAAAGTGGCAAGTTGTCGCTCCTTGGTTTTCAGTTCCTTGGTAATATCGTGGAGCTTCTGTAGGGTTACAAGTACACCACTGGAGTTAGGGGAGCTACCACCAGATAGTGTTCCGGAGGGATCGTAGACATCGCCTTCATAGGTCACGCTCTTCATCCGAACTGAAGGGTCAAATGTGACATTCTTAGCCGTGGCAGCATCCTTGCAAATAAGTGTGTTACCAAACACGTAGTTCATCGCCGCAAGCACCTCATCTTCGTGTCCGATCAAACTCAAAGCCAGATCCACCTTTCCAGGAGCAAGGTTTTGGGCGGCTCCAATCTTTTCAGCTGAGGCCCTGAAGTTCGAGATCTTGTTAAGAGGAATGATAGTCACACGCTTTCGCAGCTTGCCACCCTGTAGCAGCTGCTTTCCTGTTTCCGATGAATCGACCACTACATTGTAAAGTCGGCCGCCTGCACAGATTTCCAAAGCAGTTGCAGCTTCGACCTGATCTCTATTCAAAGTGAAGAGCTGGGCAACCAAGCCTTTAACCTTCGACCGGTCGAAGTTAGGTTGTGGATCAGCGTAGGTGAAGTCGATATTGGACGCCTGCCTGCGGAGACCATCGGCTCTTTGACGAAGTTCCCGGATATCTCTCTCGAGCCCGGTTTTCTCTTGATAAATCTGCTCCTCTTTGCCAGGCTCAAAGCCAAGCCGAGTGAGTTCCGACTCCAGCTTCTTCGCCTGGGATTTTAGGCCTTCCAAGTCCCGCAGCAGGCCCAAGTTCTGTTCCTTAGCCTTCTTTGCCCGCGGCTCCTCTTCCTTGATCCTCTTCTCTGAATGGGCAATCTTGAGTTTCGCTTGTTCTTGCTCTGTGGTGGCGGTGCTGGCTCGGTTTCGTGCGTCCTGCAGCTGTCCTTGGTAGCCACTCTCCTGTCCTTCCTTCGATGCGACACCTGTTTGCAAAGTCTGGAGCAACTCTTCCTTTTGCTCCACTTCGACGTTCTGCGCATCAAGCTCTGATTTGGCGGCGTCATACTGCGCCTGAAGCCTTTCATAGACCGCTCGCTTCTCCTTCAGCATCTTTTCAAGGTCACTCACTGCGTTCTGCATTGTCTTCCGTTTCTCCTTCTCTTCATCCAAGCTGGAGTTTTTGAGGTCAAATACGGTGGTCAACCGAACTAACTCGTGAGAGTGATTCTTGACTTCATCTTCCAGAGCCTGGAACTTGCCGCCCTTTCGCAATTCCTTGTCACGAGCTGCTTTGACACGCTTGACATCCTCCTCCAAGTACGCAATCTCGCTCTTCAGCCTGGTTGCATTGGCCTCCAGATTCTGAACCTTGTCCTTTTTCTTGTCACACTCCTCGGCTGCAACTCGCAAGCGCTCTCCACCACGAACATAGTCGTGGGCAATGACAAGCCGTGTCAAACGCTCCAAGTCGTTTTGTGTCTGTTGGAAGTCGAGGAAAGCACGTTTTTCGGACCGAAGCTTCTCAAGTTTAGGCTCAATTTCCTCCTTCAAGAGACCTTCAATTTCCCTCAGCTTCAATTCCTTCTTTCCCATTGTCTTATTAGCTTTTTCACGTCTATCCTCAAACATGCGGGTACCCGCCGCCTCCTCGATCATCGACAAAATTTCGACGGCCTTCATGTTCAAGACCTTGGTGATGCGACCCTGCATGATGAGGAAATTGGGGTTGTTAATATTGAGCTGAACGCTCTGGAACAGGTTCTGGACGGTTTGCTGCTGCGCGCGGTGGCCGTTGATCAAGTATTTGCTAGTACCGCCCAGCACAATTTGTCGGGTAACGGAGATATTAGCGTATTCCTCAAAGCCGATCGGGGATTTTGCGGTGTCGCGATTATCAAAGACGATTGTGACGCTGGCCTTGGTCACACCTGCTTGACCGCGCTTATAGATCAGGTCTTGGAGATTTTGCGCTCGGACAGTCGACATGTTGGTGATACCGAGAACGAAGCAGATGGCATCGAGGATGTTGGATTTGCCACTACCGTTAAGACCGGTAATGGAGTTGAACGCTTCATCCCTACATGACAAGCGATCAGTAATTTTTCACTGTGAGGGGCTCTTCACTTCAAGTTGGTGTAAGGGAAGGGAAAGCGCACGCACTAAAATTCATAAATTCATCAGTTTGGATCTCATCAGAGACACTAGGGAGAACATACCCATCCACTGATCACAGTTCGAACTGCGTATGATTTGAAGCCGTCTATCACAATTTCTGTAATCCTCATGGTTGCGGTTGCGATTGCGAGTCAGCTCGCGGGGCGGAGTACATCTGAAGATGGAGAGGGGCGCGAGCGGTTGTTTTGCTGTTGATAGTTTGCCCGTTTTGCACTAGCGCCACAGGTGATGTAATCAGCCACGTGATATAAATCCATCTATTCTGTAACTAATCTTTCTGTTCATGGAAGATGCCAACAAGGCACTGAATCCATCAAGCTGACTACAGTATGATAATTTCCCCAGGAAATAGAACATGGAAAATCATGTAAAAAATGACATGATATCCGATCCTACCAGTCAGAATCTTCAAATCTTCCAAGGTCCCCAATACTCAGGGCCACTGAATGCTAGCGTGAAAAGTCAGTCAAATTCAACCAATAGTTAATTCTAGTCTATTGCTGGATTGGTCATGACTCAGTGACCCAAACGAGAAATATGACAGCCTTTTTCCCGGAAGAGATGCCGTTTCTCAAGTTCTGGATTCGCGGAGACATTGTCGGAAACTTTTCGCTGCTTTAGGTTCAATAGTTACAGAATGCCCAGATGTCCAATGGCAGGAAGACCACAGGTACTATCTAGGCCTGCTATGTATAAAAAGACCAATTCCCACGTCAAATTGCGTTTCTCGGACTTCCATCTATCATTTAATATCCAATATTTCAAGACAATACATCGCATCACCAAGGGACTTTGCACCATGACGGGCCAAAATTGGGACACTCTATTCAAGAGCGACTCCTTCGTGAACCAATACAAAACGGGCGGCAAGATAACTGGGCAGTATGCACTTTCACTGATAGAGCAGAGCAATATCATTGCCAATTCTAAGTTGAATCCGAACCAGCCTCTGGTGGTGCTTGATAACGCTTGTGGTACCGGAGTTGTTTCCAGTATCCTCCATCATGAGCTGGGTGACAAGGTCAAAAAAAACTGGAAACTGACCTGTGGAGATATTTCCCCAGGCATGATAGAGTCCACTCGGCGTAGAGCGGAGGAGGAGCAGTGGTCCAATGCAACCACCCAAGTGCTGGACGCACAGAAAATGAGTTTGCCCACTGCTCATTTCACTCATGCCTTCACTGCATTTGGTATATAAATTCCATAAATTCCCACCATTTTAGAAGCCTTTGACTAACCTGACTTCTTTGAAAGCCTTCATGGCTATGCCACAGCCCCTGGAGGCACTTGATGGTAAGTTCGATCAGTTTGGCTTGATCGATGCCATGCTTCAAGGCCATTTATAACCTCTAATTCGTCGATAGAAGCCTGTCGAGTTCTGCAACCAGGAGGCACGATTGCGTTCTCCACATGGATTCAGCGTAAGTCTCTGCGATTTAACCCATTGCCCTTTGGAGTTTCCAATGATCGAATGGTGAAATAAGACGCTGATAAATGAACAGCTGGCTGGATCTCTATCGTTGGAAATGCAGTCAAAATGATGCCCAATGAGCTTCCTTGGCCGACACCCCAGGAGTTTTTGCACGTCACCCAGAAGGGAGAATGGGATTCGATGGCCTGGATCGAGTCGCAGCTTCATCAGCGCAAATTTCAAAATATCGACGTCAGGGCTGTTAGCAAGAGCATATCGTTGAAGGTTCCCGAGCTATCTGCAATGACTATGGTCATGATTCCTTTGGTGTTTCAACACTTTTGGTCAGAGAAGCAGCTAGAGGAGACCAGAGAGGATTTCTCCGGAGCATTGGAAAAGTATTTGACCGACACGTATGGGAAGGAAGGCGAAGTGGCCATGGAATGGGTGGCTATTCTATCTACCGCATGCAAGCCAAGCACTAGCTAGACCTACACTATGGCGTTAGTCTTCATAGCCCATAGAGCTTCCACGTCAATGAGCTAAAATGACAATATACATAATTCTGGAATCTACTTAGAATGCGTCGCAGATAATACATTAATTTAGGGCAAAATAATGGAAAGAACAAAACTTCAAATGTTCGAGATAAAAGCGGTGCAGTTGAGCCGCCAAGAATCAGAGTGTGCCTGGAGGGTTAGAGGCTTTAGATTCCGCATGAGCCCGCATTCCCCCCGCAACTTTCTTTATCGTGAAAGAATCAAAATTTGATAATCTGATTGTTGATTTCAACCCCTGAGTGGATATCGAACACTCCATCCCTCTCCGCCTTGATTTCCAAGTATCTCTCGGCCGCAGACCGCTTCTTCTATCTCTCATTCCTCCATATCCTTCTTCCCACCAATTCCAATTCCATCTCTCTTTCCCCTTCCATTGCCACTATATCTTACCTCACTTCCTCGTGAAATCCCTCATTTTATTTGACCCGATACATCGATTCTGTCTGTCAGTTCGATCGCATCTCTCCAGAGACGTGATCACTTACAACCGCCACCATTTTCGGCACGCAGCTTAACTCGTGAGATCCCCCCCCCCCCCCCCCCCCTATTCTGTACTCTGGCAATGGTCATTAACATTCACCCACTCAGGCGCCACCACCCGTTCAACGGTCGACGCTCATCCAGCCGTGGAGGGGCGCCTGAGAACGCGCTTTGGGTTCTCTAAATCAATCGCAAGATCCGAACGCGTTTATCTACCTTACCTACTTAACCTACAACTACCCCTCCAATTTTTTGATTTCTTTGCTGCTTGAGCATGGCCGATCCTAGAGTGGGAGATGCGGTCGTGCCGGTGGGAGGGCCATTGGCTTCTCACTCCAGTGACGGTGAAAAGATCGGGACTCATGCAATTGAGCCCGTGAATGGGACTCTCCACCACTATTCCTCCGCCGATCAGTCGCAATCGGACTCGTCTATGACCAACGTCATTCGAAATGCGAAGGCGGCTACAGATAAAGAGCAGAAGATGGGTCTGTTGCAGGGTATCCGTCTGTACCCTAAGGCGGTCTTTTGGAGTATTCTCATCTCCACGTGCATTGCGATGGAGGGATATGATATCTCCCTGGTCAACAATTTTTACGCTTTCCCGCAATTCAACCGCAAATACGGAACGCTGTCGACTGACGGTACCTATCAAGTATCGGCAGCGGTATGTTTACCTGACATCCGCTATTGAGAAACTAAAACTAATTCAAAATTATAGTGGCAAGCTGGTTTGAGTAATGGTGCATATGTCGGCGAGATTATCGGATTACTTATCAACGGTTGGGCTTCCGAGCGCTTTGGATATCGATACACCATCATGGCTTGCCTAGTCCTTGTCAGTGCATGGACGGCAATTTTCTTCACTGCTCAGAGTGTGCATGCTCTGCTGGCCGCAGAGATATTGTGTGGTCTTCCTTGGGGTGTTTTCCAGACCCTGACCATCACCTATGCATCCGAGGTGTGCCCGGTGGCCCTGCGTGGTTACCTGACAACCTATGTCAATTTCTGCTGGGGTCTGGGTCAGCTCATCGGAGTCGGTGTCATCAAGGCAATGTTGAAACGTGCTGATGAGTGGGCGTACCGAATCCCCTACGGCCTGCAGTGGATGTGGCCGTTGCCTCTCTTTGTTGGAATCATGCTTGCCCCCGAGTCTCCCTGGTGGTTGGTCCGAAAGGGCCGAACCCAGGACGCAAAGCATTCACTGGAGCGGTTGACTAACAAGAAAGCTGACTCCGATTTCGATGCAGATGAAACCATCGCCATGATGGTTCACACGACTGCACTGGAGGCCAAGATCACGGCAGGTGCCAGTTACTTGGACTGCTTCAAGGGTACCGACCTCCGCCGGACCGAGATTGTCTGCGTAACCTGGGCAATCCAGAATCTTAGCGGTAATTCGTTCTCCAACTACTCAACCTACTTTTTGGAGCAGGCCGGCCTGTCATCGTCCAACTCCTACAACTTTGCCATGGGTCAGTACGGCATTAACATGGTTGGCGTTTTCGGAGCATGGTTCCTCATGAGTATCGGCATAGGCCGTCGAACACTCTGTCTGTACGGCTTGTGCGGTCTCTTCCTCATGCTTTTGATCATGGGATTCCTCGGGCTTGTCCCGGAGTCGCATATCGAACAGGCTTCGATGGCTACCGGGTCCCTCATGCTGGCCTGGGCCCTTTTCTACCAGCTTACCGTCGGCACGGTCTGCTACTCGCTCGTCGCTGAGATCTCTACCCGTCGTCTTCAAATCAAGACTGTCGTCCTCGGTCGCTGCCTGTTCAACGTGGTCGGCATCGTCTGTGGCGTCCTCACCCCATACATGCTGAACCCCACTGCATGGAACTGGGGCAACTACACCGGCTTCTTCTGGAGTGGTATCTGCTTCATGTGCATTGTTTACGCTTACTTCCGCATCCCTGAGCCTCGCGGTCGTTCGTTTGCAGAACTTGATCTGCTGTTCGAGCGCAAAGTCAGTGCTCGTAAATTTGCGACCACGCGTGTTGATGTATTCGATGAGACCATCGAAACCAATGTCATCGACTGCTATCGCCATGAGAAGCATAGCTCAGTGGCTGAACCGAGTCAAGTCGAGAAGGCTGATCTCTCGTCTTGATCTAGCTTGATGGTCATCATTCTCAACCAAGACCATGCAAGGCAAAACCTATCTTCAGGGAGGTATAGTGGGTCGTTAACCGACCTACGTGACTATTCCGATCGATCAAAAAGTCGAACGCTGGTAGATTTGGCTACTTGAGTTTTGGCTCTTTGATCTTTCTGATTTTCCGATTTTCAATTCTTGATATTTCCTACATGTACCTAATAACCTGCTGCGTTTAACCCTAAATTGAAGTATTTTGTTTTTCATCTGAATCATAAATTCCGATCTCATCAATAATTGGATCCATCGTAGCGAGATCGGAGATCAGAGATCGGCAGCCGTGGTTCTAAGGTTGACAGCTGTTAAAGCATACGTCAGAAACCTTTTCTTTTACTCCTCTTGAGGTCCGATATCTTTTTTACTTCTTCCTTTGCTTTTCTGTCCACTACTGCGCTTGCAGGGGACGCATGCAGTTGTACAATAATTCTCCGAGTCCTACATTCATCTTGCGGGGTACTCCGTAGGTTCCACTTTTCTTCAGCATGGATACAACATTTATCACGATACATGGCAGGTCCATTGACTCTTCCTGATCTAATTGCCAGCTCTAACACCATCTAGATCTCTCATATGACGCCTCGATTCTCTATGCCTCTGACAGTATCCGGGTGGTGCTGGGCTATGAGCCAAACGAGGTATTAGAACGCTCGTGCTGGGAATATTTCCATCCTGAGGAACTAGCCTTTGCGCGGAGCGTGCATGGCCGAGGCGTATATCTCGATAAGGCTGCCGTTCTTAATTATTGCTCTATCCTTCACAAGAATGGGTATTGGGTTGGTTGCGAATGTGTTTTCACAGTCGTGTACGATGTGTTGATCGCAAGCACCACCGTCTATGGACGCGGAAATAGTAGTCAAAGTAAGATCACCTCATGGCAGTTTGAGTCCGGATGTTTTGCTGATATTTTTTATTTCATAGAACGTGCTGTGGACGCTCCGATTGTTCGGAGGCTCTTTGACTCGTCTCCAAATGACCCGCGCTACCATATGCTCACATTCATATCAAATAAGTTTTCGCGCCGTCTAACAGAACCGCTTCACGAGACGCGCGCTGCGTTGTTCGTCAATCGCTTCACTCGTACAGCGACTATCATGTACGCAACTAGCGGCGTGGCAGAGATTCTAGGACTAAGCCCAGCCCAGTTGACATCGAAAAGTTTTTTCTACTGTATCCAAGAGTCATGCCTGCGCGACGCGGTGCGTTGTATTGAAAGCGCAAAGAGTAATGACTCCATTGCGTATCTGCGCTTCTGGTCCCGGGATCCTCGAGAGGACGAAAATACTGGCGCGCCTGGACATGGCAGCGGCCTACCAGCAGAGTTGATACACCCCGTTGAACTAGAAGCTGTTGTTTCCTGTACGTCTGACGGGCTGGTTGTTATTCTTCGTCGTGCCCGTTCTCCAATCCCAATCAGTGGGTCCCTTCCGCCACAGCCTGTTCCCGTCTATTCAAACGGTCTCTTTGCAGCTCCTTGGGCGGTTGAACCGATCTTCTCATATGGCACTGCGCCTTATCCACATGCGCACAATGGATCAACTCCTCGCGCAGATTACCCAGAAGAGCGGGGCACACTTTGTAGAGAGACATCCTTTTCTACGGGTCTGCCAACGCCGAGTTCAAGCGCAAGTGCCAGTGCAAGCACAAGTAAGAGTGCAAGTGTTGGGGCAAGTACGAAAACAAATTCAAGTACTTACATGTCTGAAATGCCTCCATTACAGGCAGATGCAAAGACAAGCGGGACTAGTGGCCCTGAGGCATATAGACTCATGGACACGATCCGCGAGGTGGCCGTCTTTGCATGGGGTATTGTCGGTATCAACCGATCACTTGAACAGTACAAATGCGGAACACCGTCGGGTGAAGCACAGCCTGAGGCTGAAGTTAAGCAAGAAGCTGAAGTTAAGCAAGAGGCCGGAGTTAAGCAAGAGGCTGAGGTTAAGCAGGAGGTTGAAATTAAGCAAGAGGCGTGGGATTAAAGCTCCGGCTGGCCGTAGCTAAGAGGACATGATTGAGACTATAGTGAGACAGATTGCTAGCCTTGGATTTGTTACAATTTCATTCGATGATAGACTCAGTATCTGTGTTGCACTTAATTAAGTTGTGCACATGAAATTTCACTTCTGTGGGTGCCTCTACTTGTGCGACCACTCGGCTTTCTTCTTCTCTGCAAAAGCAGTCATGCCTATGAAGGAGCATCAGTAATTCAAACCTCATAGATCAGTATCGTAATCGACTTAGAGAATACTCACCAATTTTCTGATCTGCACTGCCAAAAAGCCCATGGAACAATCGCCGCTCATACTCAACACCCTCGCGCAGAGACAATTCCTGACTCTTATTCACAACCTCCTTTGCTGCAACAGTCACCACACGACTATACCCAGCAATAGTCTCAGCTGTCTTGAACGCAACCTCCAGCAACTCGTCCTTGCCGCCATCAACCACCTGCGCGGCAACTCCCCACTCTCCCGCCTCCTTGCCACTAAAGATTTTTCCTGTAAGAATAAGTTCCATAGCTTTGCTCTTACCAACGGCACGAGTGAGACGCTGGGACCCGCCAGCACCAGGGATCACACCTAGCTTGATCTCAGGCTGGCCAAAATTCGCACTGGCTGTGCAGTACAAGATGTCGCACATTAGCGCCAGTTCGCATCCGCCACCAAGAGCATATCCAGACACTGCAGCTATAACAGGCTTGCGGATTGTATTGGCCAGGTGGGACCAGGGCTCAATGAAGTTGTTACCGTAGGCAGCGGAGAATGTAAGAGGTGCCATTTCCTTGATATCGGCCCCGGCTTGAGAAATGTTAGTTCTGTATGTGTATATTCGATAAGATATTAATGCGATAGCATACCAGCAAATGCCTTCTCGCTACCAGTGATGACAATGGCACCGATGTCTTTATCATTTTCGTACTTGCTCAAGGCATCGTTCAGCTCAACAAAAAGCGCGCTGTTGAGGGCATTCAAAGCCTTGGGCCGGTTAAGGGTGACTAGACTCATATGTCAATCTCATCTTTCGCTGGGCCTACAGTGTGGACTACTTACTCAGACCTACGCCGGGCTTTGGCGTCGAAGCGAGTATGTTCTCATACATTGCAGCGGACGAATACGGTCGCAGGCGGGCTATGTAGGAGGCCAAAGGGACTGATGTCCGGGATGAAACTAGGCGAGAGCAGCGACGAGCGAACATTTTGAATTTTGCTTGAATTGAAGCATCAACTTTGAAGCATTTAGTTTGAGGAGAAGGAAGCCCTCGGTTATGATATAGCCATAGTTTATCCCCGCAATTTAACTCCGAAAAAGGGCCGAACTAACCCAAGGAGGCAATGACTAAGCTTACAAACATACAGCCATATATCACGTGATGTGATAGTAGTTAGGAAATGTAGTTTCATTCACTTGTGGCATTTGAGTGATTGTCAGGTTGAATTTCCAAGTTGACAAGAATAGCGATTAGGGGTATTTAAAAACATGGCAGGCGGAAGCGGTTAAAAGAATGAAAAAAGGAAAACTGAATGCCATTAACTGCACCGTTCAGACGGCAGTAGCACTTTCGCAAAAGAAAAGAAAAGTAAAGAATAGAAGACAAACAGCAAAAAAAAAAAAAAAAAGGAGCAAGAAGGAACTAATCTCAGCACTTCAAAACATGTAGCCCCATCTCTCGACAGCGTCTACGGCTGTTGAGTCTGGTCCCAGGACCCAACCCTGGTATTCCTGGCTGCAGCTCAGAACAAGATTTTCCGGGTAATTCACATTGCTTAGGCCGTCCTCGTTTCCCTTCTTCATTCTCTTCCTTGATGGAGAATCCTCCTCATGGTTCGCGGGTCGCTTCTTGTCCATACACTCGCTGTTCGAGGGACGCTGGTCGCTACTGTTTCCATCCTTCGGTAGCCGCAGCCTAGCTTCCTGGATGTTGATTTGGTTTAACAAAATGCCGTTGACAGTTCGTTCTTCGAAATAGAGGGTTTGGATTTCAGCCAGCTGATGACTGGTGTCCCGGTCCAAGATAGATACACGCGCGCTACCCAAGGCCATTATGCAACGTCTCAACATCGCCACTGAAGCCCCATGCCATGGTTTTGAATAATTCGCATAATCGTAGTCAAATAATGGGCCAAGTTACTGCTTCAAGAAGACGGGCTTGAACCGCCCGCCCTGGTCATGGTATACGACATTGGTAGGAACTTTGCGGCCTGAGCCAATCTCCGTCGTCGTCCGTCTTTCCTGGTCCTCGAGCTCATGACGAATGAAGAACTCCAGATCTGTCGGCACTATTATGAGGCCTTGATCTCCATCACAGTCAAATTGATTGTGGCACAGGCCGCATAGAGGGATTCCATTGAAGATGGACGTGAGTTCGAAGGTGAGGAGCCCGGTCTGAGATCAGAGGTCAGTCTGTCCAACTAAGTTAGTCTAATTCTATTGAAATCAGCCGCGGAAATACAGACCTGTCGGTCCTTCTTCCCAATCACATGGGCGATCTCAGGGTTCATCGCCCCACAGACCCAGCAATAGGGTCCCGATTTGTGTTTCACCTCATTCTGGACGGTGTTTGAAAAGTCACCTGACTTATTGCTATCGGAGGCGGCGGTGTCAGACATGATAGACTGACGTATAAATTTTTTATTGGGTGTTAAGACTTGGAAGATGTGTAAGATGTGGAAGATGCGAAAAAACACTTACCAGAAAGCGTAGACTGGTCAGTTATCTATGTCAGTGAGCTCCTTCCTACGGATCAGTTACTTGTATGTGAGCTCTTTCCTCCAAAGCAATACTATCTAATGACAGCTTGATTTTTATCGGGCAATTAATAATACCGCCTTCCTAATACAACTCACCGCTTAAAGAAACTAATCTCAAGTAGATTCTGACGTAATCTTATCTCTGATTGGTCCCACTCCAGGGGACACTTTGCTCTTGTTTTCCAGAACAGTCTGCATTCAGCACTGCGAATTGCGATTCCTCCGGTTGTCAACTTGTTTCTCTTTTTTCTGCAAATCTCTCGCCATGGATGTCCCAGAGCCTGATCAGTCGCCTTTCACTGCCGTGTCAGTGCACACCTCGAAACTGACCAGAGTGAGTTTCCGCCAGAGGGGCTGCCAATGTCGCAATGCGATGCCTCCGGACTTGGAGAGCTAGACGCGCCTGTTCGAAGTGTTAACCGTTAGGTGCAGCAATACCAAGCTTATCTCGATGCGTCTACTCCTTACACCACCTACCGTTGGGTTGGATCCGCTGTTCTTCTCGTCCTTCTCTTCCTGCGTATTATTTTGGCGCAAGGATGGTACATCGGTACGTCTTATCCGGTGCTGTCGCAGCAGTCTTCGGCAATTTCAACAGAAAGAACCAAGAACCCAGGACTCCTAAGCATTGAATTGCACAGCAAAACATCGCAGGCATCGTTTATCCAGTTCTAAAAGCTAACTCGCTCGCAGTGGCCTACACTGTCGGCATCTACCTCCTGAACTTGTTCCTAGCCTTCCTCACTCCCAAATTTGACCCATCTATGAGCCAGGACGAAGGTCTAGAAGATGGTGATGCGGATTCCAGCCTCCCCACCAAGCAGGACGACGAGTTTAAACCATTCATCCGCCGTCTGCCCGAGTTCAAGTTCTGGCACTCTGCCACCCGCGCCATCTTCATCGGCTTCGTGTGCTGCTGGCTGCCCTTCTTTGATATTCCCGTATTCTGGCCCGTTCTAGTTGTCTATTGGATCATTTTGTTTGTCTTGACAAGTACGCAATCCCCCAGATCTGAAATTGAGCTCTTATTTTTCCGAGGAGTACCAAACTAACAGATATACTTCTTCCTGCAGTGCGACGACAAATCCAGCATATGATCAAGTACCGCTATGTTCCCTTCTCCTTTGGAAAGACACGTTACGGCCGCTCATGAGCAATAAGCCAAAGTTCCCCTCTCTGCATCTCATGGCTGTACCTTTAAATTTTATTAATTTTTGTGCTGCGATAAGCTCGTATGATTAATGCAGAGCAACGGTGCAATTAATACAATGTGTCTGTGTTGAATCCAGCTCCCGCGGCGCCATGGAAGTTTCCCCGGATATTGCGAGTGATTAGGCCAACGTTCAGGTCAAAAAGAGAAAGAAAGTTGAGGTGTTTTTGTTGCTGGCTTCATGATGTCCCCCATTTCTAACGAAATTCACCCTTGTTGGGTTTGTAATCATGTCTCTTGAGGGCTTTTCTTTACGCCTCTATGATGTCTATTTCCTTTCTGTCTTGGTTAGCTACTGTGAGATATTATTAGACATGGGATTGGTTGATACCTCGGTATACTTATAACGTTTTTCTCTTTCGTGGCGAGTTCCTTTTCATCTGAATATCTAGATTGTAGATTAATACATTTCTTATAGACTTGAAGTCCACAGGTACATCATATCTCTCCAGGGTTTCACTTTGAACTTACTTTCACTATCAATCTCATTCTCACTTTCACTTTCCTGTCTTCCTTGTAGGTAGGGACTGCTATATAAGTAAAATATCTGTTTCTTCCCTCCATATTCTTCCTCCATCTTCATCTTCTTCCCTCCACTCATCTCTTTTACCATCGTCTCTCATTACGCCTCCTGATCAATACAGAAAAGTGGGTTACACTGCTATGAAGACTGAAAGAGAACACTTCAATATTCCAATTCTGATGCTATAATGAGTATCACGATTGGGAAAAAATGGATCAAGGGTATGCGCACAGGTGATAGGTTTCCACCTTTCATAACTTGCCATGTCATACCAGACCATACTACATACTAAACACGATTTGCCCGGTACTCACCTCACAAATGACCAAGTTTCGCCACCAGGCACAGACTGTTGTGGCTGTGTCCATTGACCGTCACCAATTCTTGCCATGCGACGAATAGGTACGACTATAACCACCAAAGATTCTTCTTTGCCTGGATCGCCAACATAATTCCCAAGGCCAAGCAACAAGACGGTAACGAGCTTTATCCCCAAGACCTGTGTGAAAGACATCATGTACCTTGAAGTGCTGCGAATTTCAGCTCAGGACGCTTCTGGTTCTTGGCTGATTTCAAGAAGCTTAGCAGCATCACATTCAATGGTTGCAGCTTTTTCAAGGCCATAACTTTATGGTTTAGAAACTCTTCTGTTCATAGGCACGTAGATGCTGGTCCTAGAAAAACAGGGGTTCAAAAGGCTTCGTTTGATAAGTTTTCCTTCGAAATTTGATCGAAGTGCTCAAATCGTCGTGGGTAATTGGTTTCGTGTCTGGATAGAAAAAGGGGGGAAAAATGATTTTTCTGCTTTTTATTATTCTCAGACTAACTAACTAGCCTGGTCTTTACCTAACTGGGTACATCTAGAGGTTATAGTTGAAAACAAAAAGTAAATATTCACATGTAGGTAGTCCGTCCAGGTAGCAGTAGCTGGACAGGAGTGACATACTGATTTTCCATAAAATCTACCAATAATCATAAATATTCATTGCTCCAGGGTTATCATTAAAATAGAAAAAAAGACGCATGAGAAATGTAAAGGGGAAAAAACACCTCATATTCAAATCTGCAAGTCTTCAAGACTGGCTGATTTTGAGACCGCAACCGCACTGTCAGGGAGAGACAGGAGAGAAATAGTACGGTCTTTCTGAGGACGGACAATATCTTCAGTTTTGGTGCAGATCCAGGTCGAAGCGTACATGTTAACCCTAAATTGTATAAGCATTTGAATTTTCATCGTCTGAGGTTTGTTGTCACTTACCGGTCAATGCAGGTTCCTGGGAACCGGGCGCCAACACGACGTGCTGTGAATCCGTTCTCTTCAAAGTGCTTGATGTACCAAGGCTCAATGCTGGCGGAGCGGAGGAGGACGCGACCATCCTTCTTCAGGGCCTGGTTGAAGCGACGGGCTTGAGCTATTGCCTCCTCGCCACTAGGGTCAAACCAATCCATTGAGTCCATGACCTAGATGTGGTATATGAGTAAATGTAGTCAACCGGAAATATTTTTGAAGCAGGTCCAACTTACCACGGCGATAGTCAGTGTACCAGGGGTAATACGGTTGATCACTTCGTTAATCTCGTCGGTGTGGATACGAAGGCCATCAAAAGCGCCTGGTGTTGAGAGCTTAACGTGTGCCTGAGGTGACAGGTAGGTCGGGTGGCAACTGTGATGCGATGAAAATTAGTGGAATGTCTTCGAATTATATGAGAGTAGTTAGAACAAACCGTCGTGAGAATTGACCGTTGATGCACAGGTAGTAAAAGTAGTTGTCGGTGCCAATAAGTGTATCGTTGATGACAGGATCAAGAGTGTTGACAACATACTCCCAGATCGATTGCCCACTAACATCCTTGGCATTCTTCATTTGAGAGTCCAATCCATTGCGGCGGAAGTAGTCATGGACGATCATATTGCGCTGGTTGCGCGGCACACCGGCAGCCTTCCAAGCGAACCACTCAGTGCTGACAATAGCCCAATTCAAGGGCTTACTCAGAAGCACACTGCGGAGACGAGGCCAGATCTTACGTTGTTCAACCAAAGTCTGCGCATCGCACAGCTTTTGCAGTGCACCATGCAATCCAAAAATATTAGCCAAATACCGTACCATCTTGATAGCATGGCGCGAACCACCGGTCTCATATAAGCCACGACCGGATTTGGCACTGAAAACCTGCGAGTGTTCGAGCCAGTACTGGAAAGCTTGACTGGAGAGGTGCGGGCTCAGCTTGGAGATGAGTAGTTGACGGAATTCCGCGTGCTTGCCCTCGCCAAATATTTTCCACATGTCACGGTGGCCCAGGGCAGAGTAGCTGGCAACCTTGAGCTCGAGGAGATGGTTTTGGTTAGGATTCAAGTCTACTGCGTGCACTCTGCGAGGTTTCTTCTGGAGGTAGTCCAGGATGTTGTCGCCAGCGCTGGTAATGGCCAGAATAACATCATCGGGTCCGATGTTGAGAAGGCGGTGGTCCACGCGGGGATCCTCCCAGGTGAAAGCGTAGATGTATTCGTTCTGGAACTGTGTGTGCTTCTCCAGCATATCATTGTAGTGGATCCGGTAGTGATTGTTCTGGTAAAAGGCGGATGGCAGGGGCAAGTTGGCGCTCAGGTTGACAACAGCTGTCTCATATGCCTTGGAGCGAATCTCGTGGCTGCTCTGCTCCACAGCTTGATTGCGTTCCTGTTTGTAGTTGGCTGGGGCGAGGTAAGGAGACTCAGTGAAGCTGGCATCCAGCTTCTCGATAGTGGATCGGCTTGATGGAGTTGAGGCAATGTCTTTAGTGCAGCCAACGAAAATGTAATAAGGAATACCACCAAGGAAGTAATTGCGCTCACTGGCCGACAGTACGGTGCCGAACTTATACTCCAAATAGTCACGACGAGCGGCCTCTAGGTTGACTCGGTCAAAGTCAAACCACGCACGCCAGAAAAGACGACTGAGCCAGTTGACATGGCGGTTGAAGGCGCCACCAGTGTAATTGCGAGCGGAGACATCGACGATATTTTGAACTATGAAGGTTGTCAGCATTCTGATCTTTTGCTCTACCGAAAAGAATGTATACCATAGAAATCGCAGACACCCAGGAGACCATGTGATTTGAGGCGCGAGGTAAGCGAGTCCACGACGCTGTAATAATCTAAACACTAGGTGAGCAATGGTTTTCGATCGAGAGTTACAGTATTTTCTACTCACCTGGGATCATTGAAAGACTATAGCTCATAGTGATCAGATCGGCTTGACCAGCTGTAGCATTTTGTTTTGACAAAGGATCAATTTGTCTCTCAGGCAGACGGAAGGACCGAGCATCCTGGCACAGAACAGTGACATTTTTCCACCCAAGGCGCTCAAAGCGCTGACGAGCCACTTCGCAAAGAGACGGAGAAAGGTCAACAAGGTACACCTGGTCGAAGAACTTGTCAACGGGGAGGAAAGCTGCCATGGCCTCGATGTTGAAGCTATGAAATCGATCAGTCATGAATTCCTGGAGCAGCTTATTGTAACTTAAGGGCTTACCCAGTGCCACCGCCAACCTAAATAAGTCAGTATCAGTCTCAAAATTGTATGTATGAAGTTGAAATAGTTCCATGCTGCCAGAACTTACATCAACCCAGATGGGCTTTCCAGATTTGATTTCTTTGCTCTCCACCTTGTGCTTCAGCTGCGCGGCAACCAGACCCAACATATCTTCGCGTCCATGAAGAAGGCGACTGCGCGTGGCATCGTAGAAGCTAGCCTAGGTAGTATAAGCACTCAAATACACCTCGTCCACACTATGTCATATTTCACGCACCTGAGTCCTGTAAAAGCTCTCCAACGCATCTTGCTGCCCACCGACCTTCTTGTCGTGAGGTTTTAAGAAGTTGACGTAAATGAATTTGAGGTAAGTAAAGACAGACTTATTGGTGTTCACTTTGACCTTCTGGAATGCAGTGAGAAGTACCAATGCCACGATGGCAATGACCGCAAATGCGGCTCCAGCGATATAAAAATGTACCAAATCCATAATTTGCAGTCGAGGACACCAAAAGAGTGAAATTGGAGAAGTATTAGAAGGCACTAGGGAGAGGTTCATATACAGCACATGTGCATTCAACTCCTACGGGACGGGCTCCATAGATACGAACAGGGAGCATCGTCCACATCCTATCACCGCGACACATGGGTGGGGGAGGCGATAAGCTCAAGGTTTGGAGGTAATGGAGGGGCAGATGAAAACAGATAGGATGTAGAAGGAACATAGCTCCGAGGACAAATTATAGTGGTAGATGAAAGTCAATGCTACATTTAGAAGGAATCGGCCTAGTAGATATCAACCCGATTTCCTCCTAGTGACCCTTAGAAATCGATCACCGGGGCAGAAAGTAATCCGTGCTGTGATACTAGTTATTCAAATATAGTTACTACAGAGTATGAAGTTAACTTTAAAACGGTTTGGCTTATCCACCTGCAGTAGTGTCGATACTGGAGCCAGTTAGAGCCCATGTTGCCCGCATGTGTTTATAGAGGCTCCACTCAACAACCCATAATTTCCCCGTGGAGGCACACTGTCCCTTTATAGGTCGATCTTGGATGTATAAGTACACCAATTAGATCTTTCAATTTGTGCACATTGAAGATTCCCCACGTTTGATGGGAGCGTCGATAAGGCGGCCAAGTACCTATTGGGTTCATAGCTTTGGCCCCCTTAGTCGCCTCCACGGCTATATAGCCCTAAGATGAGCCGCCATTTACTTCGATCAACTGATCATTGTTTTCAATATACATTCCGACTCAAGAGACCTTCCATGATAGAATTCTACCTACATTTAGGTAGTATCTACATTTTTGAGATTTGGAGGCCCGATAGTACCGGATGTCCTCTCTTTGCCGTTTCATACCTAGGCTCCCCTCCAGGGCTTTAGCGCTTACCTCTTGCCGCTTTGTCCCCGGCCATTGCACCATCTTCAAGTACTTCGTAACTTTTTCTACATATAAGCCACTTGTAATTGCCCATAGCCTATACTAGCCCTGTAGTGTAGTAGGTAGCCTTGTGGGGTATGTTTCCAAGTCACTTGGGTACACTAGCCATAGTGTCTCAAGAATGAGGTGACTAACAACTGAGTACCTATGTATTGGAGATTAAACATGAATCAATAGACTGCCATGCACTGAACTCGATGGGGAAAAAAGCTTTAAGTCGCTGATAGAGCACATGCTAGTCACATTTAGGAAGAAGCAGTGGATCCGCTATCATGCGCTCCATATCCTGAGCTCGAGTATGGATTGATACATCTACTCCATTCTCGATCCAAGAATTGATATCAGATGCTGAATCCTTCGCCGGCGGGCCCTCTTTAATAAGAACAAGTCCATCCAAATCTGCAACAACACCTTCTACATAACGAATGCTATTTGGCGGACTCAATCCAAAATCGATATCATAAATACCTGCACGAGCCCAGCTTGTGACCAGAATGTGCCGCTGACCGAGAAATGCCTGCCAGATGCGCTGGGGACTAGTTTCATAGGCGATACTATGTATGTGGGCAGCAACTGATGAGGGCCTATTGATCTGGTTGAGTGTCTTGCGGATGTTTTGCGCGATGGATGAAATTCTCTTGGCCTGTGAAATATCTGAAGAAGCTAACTCGCAGCCAGTCATCTCGATGTTTACCATCATGCTTGGAGAGCCGACAAAGGCCTGCCCTAGGTGAAATGCAGCGCGTGAGCCGTAAGTTAAATCACAATAGAAGGGGCCGGTATCTTCGTGGATATTTCGTGCACGCGCAATGCAGGCCCAGATATGGGCTAAGACAGCATCGTGCCGACTGATTCGGATGACACCCCTCTCATGGGGGCTGTCCTTGACGGCGTCTCTCCAGAGAATCTCCACTTGATCTCGAGTCAAATGGATCACGTAGTGTGAGACGGGGGAGGCAGAATCCCATTCAGCCCAGGGCATCGACTTTCCTGCAGGAGTAATATCCTGAATCTTGTATTCATCGGGTACGACTGCTTCCCAAGGACAACCGACAGTTGAGATCCACCAATCGTAGCGATGCATGGGAAGCCGATCAACTTGTTTCATAACCTTTGGGTCTGGACTTTCTGCATTGATATCTCCTGCAGCCAGATTATCCAGCTTCTCTGGGACAAATATTGGCTCTAGAACAGGTGCAGGATCTTTTGCACCCGAAATAATCCAGCGACTGACGCTTGCCAAGTCTTTGATGAAGTAAGTCAGCGATTGGATATCGGCCAGTGGATGTCCAATTTTAGCCGCCAGTGCGAAGCCGCCACAGGCTAATTGCGTTATTTGGACTGCCACCAAAGGTGGAAGAAGACTGGTTTCATCTGAGCTTGACCGTATGGCATTGGCAATGCGAACAGAGGGAACAAGATTGTTCAAAGGAACCTTTTGACGGTCGTATATAGGTTCTTCCGTCTGCCGGAGGACCGGAGATAAGTCGTCAAGGGTAGCAGTAGTTTTCGCAGTCACAAACTCGACACCGGGATCTTGAGGAGTCCCAAAATGAACATATACCCGACCATAACGTCGCGCATGTGGTGCAAAATGGTGAGTTTCACTTGGGGCTTTTGCAGGATCAAGTGTAGAGATACCTTTCAAAAGACCGCACCATTGTGGATAGGCGTTAAAAGTGATCTTTAAAGACTGGCGAAAATGATCAAAAAGGTTGAATTGGTCGCCTTGGTGCGCAGGTTTTTCACACAGCCATATCGCACAGCTTGTTGAAAAGTCCACTGTTGTCGCATCTATCAACGAAAGTGCGATAGCCTGTTCTTCCAGTTGAGCATTAGGAAAAACTCGCTCGGCTTCAATGTGATCTACTTCGATGGGGCTCATGTTAATACCAATAGTCGTTTGAATTCTTGAGATGAAATTCGGTCAGTTGATGCTCTCGTCCATGGATATAAATACTCAACCCTCGCAGGGAGTGGCGGCAAAGTAACCTCGTGAAATTAGCAGTGAAGTCCCGAGTGCGTATCTAGGGGATACTATCATATTCAAGTGGCAAATCCTAACCTTGTTGAATATAATACCTAGTTTATGTGGTAGTAGTGTTGACAGCTAGTCTTAATGTGGTTAGTGCATCACGACGCGCTTACTCCCCGCAGCGACACTTTACCTTCCAAAGCATCAGCGCTTGGACGATTTGTCTATCACCGGTGACGGTTTTCGTCTCTCGCACCGGCGAAAAGCCGAGTTCATCGATGTGTGGTTGTTCAAGATTTTGGTAAACCGATTTTGGAAGCAAGTAGTCACCAGGCCCTACTGCCGATGGCAAGTCGTATCGACACCGTTCATTGCATGAGAAGGGCATTTTGCACCGTGATATATCCATTCACAATCTTCTCATTCATAGAGAGGTAGGGAATGCAAATGTTTCCAGTACGACCAAAAGAATTGGATGGAAGAAATTAGATTGGCTCTTTCTAAACTAGGCCTTGTTCACGGCGGCGTCTTCTAGAGCATCGCGGGGTGACTTCACTGCTATCTTAAACCAATAATCCCACGCATGGGTTTGCTCCGAAATGCAGTCCCCCCTGCTACACTTACAAAAGGGGCAGGTGAATTTGAAGGGTTGTACCAGAAAAAAATGGGCATCCTAAAAGATACTGAAGAAACTCTTATTGACGTATTATAAATGATCAACGAATAGAGGCTGTTATGCTCTTTCTTCTTACACTGAAACCTTGGAAGCTCAATTCTGGCCTGATGACTCCGTACTCCGCACATAGTAGTGGCTGTAACTGTGACCTTGACCGTGACGGTATGTGATGTATGCCAGCATCCCCACAGGGGAAGGGCCGGTGGCGATGCATGCAGAGTTTGGTCTCGCATGGTGAGTAAGTGCAGATGGCATAGATGATGGAATCGCTATATTCAAAGCGCTGGTGGTCTCATCCCAGAATCCTCAGCCTAATATTAGACTCTGCATATTCATGTGGCTTATTTCGCATTGTGTGTGGCTATGATAGTCGTTGACGGGGGCGGGGTTATTGTAGGTGACGTTATTGTAGGTGATGTTATTATAGGTGGGAGTGTCGTTGTACTTGTCGGGTCATTACAACCGAACCAGCCAGGCGTCGCACATGTTGAAGTTGAGGTTGAAGTTGAGGTTGAAGTTGGAGTTGCAGAAGTAGATGTCGATACTAAAGTTGCTGTCGTGGTAGTAGTTGGATCGTTGCAGCCAAACCAACCAGGTGTTTTACATGTCGTAGTACTGGTTGTAGCTGAAGTTGTCGTGGTGGTGGCAGTAGTGGTCGACGAATCCAGGCATCCCCACCATCCTGGGGTGCTGCAGGTTGCTGTTCTTGTAAAAGTAGGAGATGTAGTGGTTGTCGTCGTCGTCGTAGTGATTTCAGAGCCATTGCTTTTGAAGAATTTCCATAGAATGCAATCATAGCATTCTTCTTCGGCAGAACATTCTGGTACAGTATCGTACTTCTCTATGACGTCGGATATGACACTCTTGATCTTATGAGTGCCGAGACCAACACGCCAGCCTTTATCCGCCACAGTGTCATAGACACACATCTGGCCGGTGTGGCATGCCGACTCCATGGCGTAGCCGCCCCATGTGCATATGGAGTCGATTCCGTTACAAGTTCCCATATAGACCGGATCAGCTGTATGTCCAAAATGGAACGATCCAGTCCATTTCCGCGTCTGTGGAAGTCTTGAATCATGACCAGGCGGACTTGGAAGACCGAGTCGAGCCGCAGGCAGCGCTTCAGGAACTGCCTCAAAAGTCACAGCGGGTATTCCAAAAGTCAACCCAAGCAGACTGCTCATAGCACCACCCAGAGAATGACCTGTCAGCCAGACGTTTGCTCCGGGGTAGATTGCTGTAACATTGGAATACAGATCGATCGCGGCTCTATAGTAGCGATTCTCGTCATAGAGAGACTCTGTAATGCAGGTCAAGTTTGCAGTGTATGCAGTAGTTTGGCAGTCGCAAACTTGTCTCCACAAGTACGATCCTCCCTGACCACAGCAGCAACTAAAGAACAAGTTATCGTTCTCTTTATCCTTGGTGGTTGTCCCTACACCGTCGAAGAGGGCCGGGGATGTTCCTTTTATGGATATAACGATGGTGCTGTTCTTCTTATCGGCATATATATGTCCTCGAAGTCCGTCCTTTTGCCATCCAAAACTTGACGAGTAGTTGAAATCGCCGTTGATTGTTTTCCAGTCTTCTGTATCAGGCAGTTGAATATAGTCATTCGCAGTCATTTTTGCGAACGTCAATACAGTTTCCTTGTCTGTAACATTAGGACCGTCAACCAGGTCCATAACCCAATCTAACGGCGACAATATACTTGGAGCACCTGACAGCTGCGCTGTCGTCAAGTGATCCTCGATCACCGATAGACGTCGGTCTGCAAGCCGCTGTATGGTGATCGGATTTGAAGATGCCACTAAAAATGGGAGAGTTCTCACATCCTCCTCGATTCCGTCGTCTGACAAAGTTCGGAGTTGAGTATCGGGTCTGATATCTAGCCTTGCGTGGAGGCTGGGGTGTTCGTAGGCACCTCGCTGGAATATGTGTCGTAGAGACTATAGATATATTAGTATGACAGGAATGGGAACATATTTGAGATTGATGAATCACAAATTCAAGTGGTTCGGATGATAGCTCTGGTTCATCCATAGGCACCTGTGGCGGTAGTATGGGTATCTGGAGGTTGGGATCATAGTAGGCGGAGACCGCTCCTGGAAGTAGTATAATAGTTGACAAGAAGGCACCAAAAAGCCCTGACCCCTGCCAAATCCTCCCCTGAGACCTCTGGGATCTTTGAAAACGAGACATGATGTGAGTAAGTAAGTAGATGATGAGAGATTGGGAGGGAGGTATGACGACGGGGCGAGAGTTATCAGCTTATCGGGTGGATATTCACGTGATGGGGTCCCGTGGACGCGCGGATAAGGAGATTCAGACATTATTGATTGTGGATTGATATGACTATTTGGGGAATTGCTTCTTATTGGGATCTGGTCTCATCTTTCAGATTTAGCTAATAGCTATTGAAGATCCCTTCAATTTGTCTAGCCCATAATATATCGATATAACTCTGCAGCCTGCAGTTTGCAGGACTCAACACACCAACAGAGAGGGGAGCTTTAACATAGGATCTGCATGAGCCTATCAGCTGAGCCTAGCGGAGTCACTTGCGACTTAGTGTCCCATAAGCAGTTGGGGCTGCTTGACTGAACATGTCTAGCCTCTCCGACGATGGCTCTGGCTCACTCAACCTGCATTCGACTCGTTCATTTACCAGAATGGACACCTTCGACACACAATCTCCAACTTCCAATAAGCAGGCAACAGCCGAGCTGCTAGATCAATCACTGCCAACTGCCGATGATGGTGGACAAGGAAATAGCCCCGATTTATTCGAGAGACGAGGTTCGGCTGATTCTGCTGGCACAGGGGATTTGCAGAGAAATGAAGGATTCGTGCTGTCACAGAGTGTTGATGATCCATCCGAAGAGCTCCCAATCGAGCTCATCAGCTTATCAGATCGGTAGGTTCGCTGATCAACTATGAATCTGAATCTTGTCTAATGGGCTTTATATCCAGATTTGTCAACTCTTTGAGCGCCAAAGTTCACTCCTCTCCCCCCACCATCGAGAAAGTCTCCTCCCTATTCCAGGTTTTCTACAGCCGTGCCGAGTCTCATATCGCGACCCATATTTCCACGCTTGCATCTCGTATTAACCGTGATCCGTCTCCTCAAGCTCCCTCAAAGTCACCAGGAAACCCTTTATCGAAATTGAGCGGCAAGATCTCCCATGATGATGTACGAAGTACATCTGCTCGACAGATGTTAACCGTTGAAGAAGTATCTGAAAAACGGAGAGCGCGCAAGGCTCTAGAATACAAACGAGGTGCATTGGAAGAAGCTGCAGAGCGAAGAATTTGCGAAACAGTCTACGATAAGATCTGGAGGCACAGTAGCACTTTGGATGATGTTCGGGATGAAAAACTACGTTCTAAGACTGCAGCTTTGTTGCTAGTTGGCATTAACCTCAAGGACCTTGGTATCGAGCTTGACATGACGACAATCGACGAAAAGAAGCAGCAAGAGGCGAACGACTGCATTGCCCAAGCACGTGAGCATCTTGAGAAGATGAACGACTACAAATACCCGCTTGGCAAGCTCCAGCAATTAGCAGCTGCCCACAAAGCCATTGTTGATGCTCTTACCAAACTTCTCCCCTCTTCCTCTTCCGCAGACGAGATTCTGCCCACTTTGATCTATTCACTCATTACATGTCCACCAGAAGGCATTCATATAATCAGCAACTTTCTCTTCATCCAACGATTTAGGTCATCCACCAAAATCGACGGCGAGACTGCGTACTGTTTGACCAACCTGGAAGCTGCTATCTGCTTCCTCGAAAATGTAGAACTATCAAGTCTACGTGCAGACGAGCTGCAGGAAGGTCCCCCAAAGACTGCGAGCGCATCAGCAACTCCATCCTCGGAGCGGCCGGATCCTTTCCGACCAGCAAAAGAAACCACAACTTCATCTGTCACAACGGTTTCGGCATCTCCAGAGCTTTTGAAACCAGAGATCAAGCCAACATCTGCAACTTTACCGAGGCCGCAACCCTCACCACAGCAAAGGCGCCTAAGCAATCTCTTCCAACCTCCCACGAAAGTCCTCGAAGCTGCAAACGATGCGGTTCGCAGCACTGCAGATCAGGGACTGAAGAATATTGGCGCATCTCTAGACAACAGCTTCAATTTTCTGTTCGGTCGTCTCAAGGAACTCCAGACCCAAGCTCCCAATTCACAAGGAAACGGTTCAGTGTTGCCAAAGACGCTTGCCGAAGCTCGTCGTCTAGTTGCCATGCCACCAGCCAATCAGCCATCTCTTAGCCCAGAAGACCTAGCCTCAATTAACGCCACTCACTCCGAAGGCGGAACACCAATCCGCAACTCAAGAGCTACGAGTCTCGCCAGTGAAGGCCACACACCCCGTGATCGAAGCATCGATAGTGCGAGACTACGAGCCAAAGCAAGTGTCCATTCGTTACGAGAGGAAGCGGTGTCAACGCCATCTTCAGTCACCACACCCAATCCCATCGAATCTATGCGATATTTTGGTAACACCCTTAACCCTCTTAACCATATTCCAGGGATGATCAAGAACTTTGGACGTCAAGTGCCAGAAACACCAGGCACGAGATCATTGTCCCCAGCGCCCTTAGACCGCCGGAAGACTTCACCTCCTTCAATGGAGGCTCCTACTATCACCCGAAGTCCAGTTCCACCACCACAGATAATTGATCCTCCCATTCAGCGATTCCTTCAGATGAAGGACGCCCGTGATCTCCGCATTGGAGACGTTGCTTCTCTACTTGATGATTATAAGCGTCTAGCTGCCGCTCTTTCTAAAATTGGAGCTGGATCTCGATGAATGTGTCAAATGCAACATAAATTCATCGAGTATCTTTTATCCCATATACTTTTACTTTGTTTACAACCCCATTTTCGGGATAAATTCGCGGATAGAAACCTGTGCATGAGGATTCTCTTAAACTACTCATTACTCATAGCAATCAACAACATTTGAAGATTTTAATATTCTTATAGCTGAATAAAGGCTTGGAGACTAAGCCATTTGAATTTTGGATTATGCATTCTGTAGCCAGTAATATCATTTTCATGAGACCAATTTTCCATCTCAATAAAAAAAGGGCAAAGACACTATCAGCCCAGACGTACAAGATAGGGTATTAAACATGAAGAAAGGAACAATATCTTGACTCGTAATAATGACGTTGAAAGATACTGAACCATGGATATCGAAGATAATATCAGGTGAGCAATGGAAAGTAAGCATGGCGTGATAGAGTTGAAAGCAAAAAGTGACCTTCAAGAGCTAAGTCTTGCGTCCGCGCAAGACTTCTGCACCACCAGTTCGCATCTCATCAAGCTTCTGGGAGAGATCCGAGTTCTGTGCCTCTACTAGTTCATGACGACGTCGGATCTCGGATTCAAATACCGCAGCCGTTTGGCGACGGGCACGGCGCAGCTTCTTCATTTCTGTGAGAAGTTTGCTGAATTGGTCGATGAGTTGATCTCCACAATCTTCCCATTCATCCACCGAAATGCGAGAAAGGTATGCTTGGCGATCCTTCTCGCCGATGCTCATAATATGAGATGCGGCATCGTTGGGAGACAGAGCAGCTATATTTAGGGAGGGCTGGGGCGACAAGGAGGGTGATTTGACAGGAGTGGGAGCCCGTGTGGGGATCTTCTCGAAAGGCTCAGCTTGTAGCTCAGCAAATGATTTTTGGTATAGTTGGTTGGGAGGGTAATCTGCTTCAAAATTTCGTTTCTTTGTATTGATGACTGTGTTGCGACGATAGTGTTTGTTAGAGGTAGAGGTTGAGATAGAGTGAGAAAGAAATGGACCTTGAGTCTCGACCTCGCCGTGATTGTCAGTCACGTTGGTGATATCATAAGTGTTGAATGACTTTCCACTTGCCCGTCGACTGCTGAGACGTATCGTCTCATCATTACCTGTATCATCCTCGTCATCACTGTGATCGTGGAAAGCTGTGATGCTTATAGTTCGGCCGGTTTGAGATGGTGGCGCGGAGCCATATCTAGGAGGAGACAAGTCCAATTGATCAAGAAGAGAAGGTTTGGGAGGACTGAAGCGTGTCCTTGGAGTTGATGTCATGCTAGGGGGAAGTGTGATCTTCCTAGCTGCGGTAGGAGGCAGCATATGGCCTAGTTTCCGCGGCTGGCTCTGCAATTCAGGAACAACAATCTCCACTGGGGATTGAGGCTGTGACATCGTCTGCAGTTGATCTACAGGCTTTGATTGTCTTTTTCGCGCGGACCAAAAATTCTCTAGGCGTTTGCTCAACGGCTCTTCGGCCGAGCGATTCCTATGAGCCATGAACCAGCTGCCCTGTTCGACAGCTTGGTCCTCAATCTTTTCATCATCTGCTGCCCCAACAGACGAGGTAGCCTGGCTGGAAGAATCTTCGAGGTCTGTGTCAAAGCCAGCTTTTTTCATGGCGTTGTCGCTATAACCCTCAAACCAAGTTGATCGGCCACGATTACTAGGTCGAGGTAAGTAAGATGGCGGTGGTACAAAGTCAACATAGTGTTTGATGGCCGATGGCTCCTGGGAACGGCCATCGTCAAATGCGTGAACACTCGTCGCTGCAATAGTTGAATCATCCACCCCTTCAACGTCAGTATCAAACATATCTCGCTGTCCTCCACTTTCGGTAGGGGGGCGAGCTTGCTGATCCGGGATGTTCCTCTGCTCTTGGAAAGCCAGAGAGACAACTCGACCACTCGACTGTAGATCACCCAGGCGAGTAACAGGAACTTCAACTTTGCTTTGAGCAGCCCGTAGTTGGCGTTGTGATGGACCCATATCGGTGTGCGCACGAGGTTGCCCGGCCTCCTTAGAGTGGACATAGTCACCCACTCCCATTGTGAATAGACAGACTCGCTAGCTTCTACCTATCCTAGATCCTCATAAGAGAATAATCTTTGTAGAGCATCAGCTTGTAATTGACTTTTCCACAGAAGGCAATGGAGATACAAGATCCTTTTTTTTTTGGCCAGATCAACGCGAAGGAGGCGCGTGGTCACGTGTACTTTCACATGTACTTTCTACTGGGAATCCGAGATAGACATCTGAAGGACTTGTGCTTGTCACTTTGAATATTTTTTGTATGACTCCAAGGTTGTGTATTGGAACTGAAAACAACATTCGAAACTTTTCATGTTGGCCCACTATCTTACATCCAGGGCTATTAAGGCCACCTTAATTAAATGTAGCATTAAAGATATATCTATGAAGCTAATTAAAAGGCGATGGTGATCCATCGCCAATGTGAAGATGCTTTAAGTTTTCAGCAACACTTTTTCCACGTTGCCTGGCCTTTTCCAAAAATTCCCTTGCTTTTTCCAACTCTGCCTGCCTTCGCTCTATAGCGACCTGTTGTTGACGCCGTGTCTCCATTGAACCTTGATTGCTATCAATTAGCATAGCCTCAGGGTCATACTCTTCCCCATCCTCTGGTGATGTGACCAAGGAACTTATCAGTAAATCTCCAATCCAAAGTGACACCATGCCTTGGAGTTCCAGTAACTCAGAGGAGTCTGAATATGGAGGTGATGCAAGGAGAGAGCCAAGGCGCGCAGCAATTTGCTGTGCCTGCTCCAATTCCTTCGCACGAACAGCAGAAGTCATCGTCTGTCTCTTTTCCGCTTCGCGACGTTCAAAATCGATCGATGAGTTTCCGTCGTCAGAGAAGACATCAGATAAATCATCGGAATTTAGAGCTATTTTCTCCCTTGCTAAATCACTCTCCTCCTGTGAAGTATAGATCCACAGACCAAACATCGCTGGGTAGAAGTGTAGAGCAGATATGGAGTTCGGTGAAGATTTCGCGAAGGGGTGATTTAGAATCAATCTCTCGTAGTACTCTTGCGCATCCGCAAATCCCTTTGAAGTAAATGGAGATTGTGTGTTATCAAACAATGAATGATCCGCCTCTGCTGGCACTTTCTGTTGGCCTTTTCGCAGCAGGATCTCTGCTCCGATGCCCCACCTGCCTTCACTGCGCACATCTAGCGGAATGCCTCTGAATTCTTCTCGTAAAAGGAGACCCCATGCCCTTCCAGCTCGGATGTAGTCTCTTTGGAGGAGACAGCGATGGAGAATGGCAGTCAAAACTGCAAGGTGCTGGAGACGAACATTACCTTGGTGCGCAGCGGCCTGTGGGGGGTAGACAGGCGATGTCAGAGACGCTAGGGCACCGGGAAGATGACCTGGAAGATTCTGCTTGTTTGGTTGTTCTTTCTTGGGAGGCGCATGGGGAAATTGACCGCCTGGTAATTCTTGGTCAAAAGAGAGACCAGCGGTTCTATACTGATGAGCTTCATTGGGTGTCAAAATCAGAGATTGTCTAGCAGGAACCGACTCTGCCACTGAAGCGGCATCTGTCGTATCTGCACCATCCCCATTATCATCCGTATACTCAATACTCTTCTTGCGTTTTTGGCGATCGTATTGGGCGACTCGAGTGCTTGTTGGCTGCAGCCAGGGAGGTAGCGGCAAAGAGAAGGTAGATGCCGACAGAACAGGCGCCATCTACTTAACGTAGCGTGAATTCCATTCAGGGCCGTTCAATTTTAGACTAAACAATTGGGGGCCAAAGGATGGGTGGGAAGATAGTAGAACGGAATCATTAAGAGTTGATAACCTAACTTTCGTCAGTCGTTGACTAAGAAAGTCCGAAACAACCGAGGGGAGCAAAGCAGGCAAACATCACTTATCGCTATCATCTACCACATCATCGTTCTGTCCCCTTTCTTTCTTTATCCCCTCCTCGTCTATTAGACGTCTCCTTTCCCATTTCTGTTGATTATTCGACTCTGCTTCCCGCATCTTTTCCAAGGAATCCCCATCTAGCCGATCTCTCCCACACTCTCAAACATCGGCGGGTATCTCGCCTTGTACCTGGCGCCTGTCAGACTGGTTGAGACTCTACTTACTGTACTCTCGCGTCGGACAACTGGTTTCACCTTACCCCCAAGGTGTTCATTGAATATCGACTACTCTCTTCACTTGTTCTCCATTCCTCTATCACGGTCCCTCTTTATCCCCCCTCTATCTTAAACATCACGTCACCACTCAACTTGGGGCTAGCTCCATCTCATCGGTAGAGTCAGAAAAGGCGTGCATTTCAGATTGAGAGTCATTAGAAATCAATCATTCGGTTAGTTTCTTCGAACTTCCCCCAGATAATCGGGTAGAATCTGGGCACTGACACGGTCGCTTTTAGCTATTTCGGGAATTCCTTATGGCAGTAGGCGGTCTCTAATATTCTTTGTACTAAGATCTCATTGCTGGCACCTGCTACTATGGGACAGTCGTCTTCCACGGCCCGACAATCTCGCATCACGAACTACCCCACAACACCTTCTCTAACGGAGCGCGACTCTAGAACGAGGAATGAAGAGATGAACAACACACAAAGAAGTCTCCAAGATGAAGAGGCAGGTTCATCAGAGGTGAACTCACACTCGCAGAACGGTCATGATACACTATCGAGCCAACCAACTCCGTCGGCCACTCAACAACAGTCAACCACTCGGTTCTCAGGAATGCGTTCTTCGAGACAAATGCAAACTATTGAAGAGGCGATTCGTGAACAAGATCGCGAGGGTGTAAATACCAGGCCAGGATCAGCTAGAATGACCAGAAGGCATTCTACTATGACGCGGCTGGGCTCTCGATTACTCCCTGACTCAGTAATTCGTGGTCTCCTGAATAGCGAAGAGGAAACACCGGCAGAGGGTCACGCACACCGCCATGGACTAGTATCACGAACCACTCCACGATCTGAGGCTATACATAGCAGTCGCTTTAGTCCCTTCAGTGTACTTGGACAACGGGGTATCACACGTCGACGTTCCAATCGAAGCCCATACATTCCGCGTACCGACTCTCCTACGACATCTGATTCAGCAACTTCCCAATCATTCCTTGGTGCGGATACAGAGCAGGTTGCTGACGCAAATCGGTCTTCCTGGCGTCGCAGCGCCCGCTTGCATCGCATGCGACATTCGATCTCAACACCGATTTCTCACATGTTCGGATCGACCTCTTCAGTCCCTCGTGATGACTCTGATTACAGTGTTGACCAAGGGATTGGATCCGCACCCAGACCCTATCTTCCCGTCGACGCCATGGACACTCGATATGACTCTGGGGACCTTTTGCATGAACTCGATTCGGTAGAGTCGAGCGTACAAGCTGGCAGACCGCTTTCTTCTACTCAAGCAAGCCCCCTTTGATGCGCCGCCTTCCAGATCTTCTAAGAGCACGGTCTGCACGACCCCTGCGACGAGAAGAGCAAACACCTCTTTCCCGAGTGCTCCAGCTTGCTGCCACTGCAATAGCTGCCCAGCTTTCCGGGACCACCGGGCCTCCTCTACCGAATATCCAAGCTTTAGGAAATGATGGAATAGAAAATTCCTTGGAGACCTTTATTCAGAGTTTGCAGAATGCCTCAACTACACCGCCCCAGCCAGCAGCAACAGGCGAAGGTCCAAGCAACACTGGAAATGAGGGGCCTTCGACGCCAGTGAATTTCTTACGAGTTTTCCGATTTGTCAATTCTGATACTCCAGGAGGCACCAATCCTTTCACTCCAAACGCGGGCAGCTCTGAGAATGCTGGATCACAGCCTGACACAATGTCAATCGACGAGCCTGCGGAAGCAACTGAGGGACGGACAGTCACACTCGTTGTGGTTGGTGTTCGATCTGTCCCTGCGAGCAATAGTCTACCCAGTGAACAAGGACCGGGGGCTATCACAGGTCCAGGACTGGATGCTCTTCTTGGATTGCCACTCATTCCACACATTGGCAATCCCTCACGGCGGCGCGACGCATCGGGCAACCCCAGAATGGCTTTTACCCGACCATCAGGTAACTCGGAATTGTTGGGTCATCCTGGTATCCAACCATCGCGACAGCCCTCGCGAAGATTATCTGATTCCGGAGTCCGCGCGGCACATACATCTTACCCCCCTTCTGCATTTTCTGATAGTCCCCCTGGACCTCACCCTCCCCCATCAACACCTGCCGAACACGGTTTATCAGCCGTATCCTCCGGTACTTCCACTCCCCGTCGCCGGCCATCCTCAGCCTCGGCTTTATCACCAAGTCTTCTTCCACAGGTACACGAGGAACGAGCTATGCCGCCCCCGCCGTCTGTAGATGAACCGCAGCAGCGAAGACGAAGCGACTCTGAGTATTCACGTAATCGGTCTCTCGGCTCAGGGAATATTCGCCGCAATGGCATGGTTGAGCCTGATCAACCCACACCGAGAGAAGGTCGAAGCTGGTTGATCTACGTTGTTGGAACCAATCTCTCTGAAAATCATCCGGCTCTGACTACCCCGAGTCTTTTTACTGATGTATGGACTGTGACCAACTGCCTTTTCACTTGGAATTCGCTAACCTCCCCTTTAGAACCCTACTTATGAGGATATGATTTTACTCCAATCTCTTTTGGGCCCTGTCAAACCTCCAGTTGCCACCCAGGAAGATATCAATACTGCAGGCGGAGTGTTCCGGCTTATTGAGCGAGGGGGCTCGTTAGTCGCAGAATCTCTTGCTGATGGTAGTATCATAGAAATCCAGAATGGAGAACGCTGTCTGATCTGCCTGTGTGACTATGAGGCGGCCGAGGAAGTTCGGAAACTTTCCAAATGCAAACATGTTTATCACAAAGATTGCATCGACCAGGTAACAAGTGGACCTTATCGTCTCCCTAGCGGATATTTTCTAATTTTTAATGTTTAATAGTGGCTTACTACCGGACGGAACTCCTGCCCTCTCTGCCGAGGACAAGGTGTGGGCGAAACATCTAACAGTGATGGCCCGGCATCTGGCCCATCTCTGGCACCTGAAGCCCCAGTCGTGTAAAATGCAAAGTTGTTTATCAACAAAGATTACATCTACCAGGTAGACAATTCATCCAACCCATCCCCTGACTGATAGTTTCTAATGTTTAATGTTTAATAGTCGAACTCATTCCATGCCAAGACTTGGGCGAAACATCTAACAAGGATGATTTGGCATCTGGTTCATTTTCTCGCAATCCGTTCCTAGATCTGATTTAATAGGGGCCCCCTCCCAATCCCCTTTCCCATTATCACCCCTCTATCGTTGGACCCTCGCGGTCTGCACTTCGCTCATTGAAATTAGCATTCAGCATCGGCTTGAAGCCCTAACGAATATCTTTTATACGAATATCCCCCCAATCCGCTCCATTTGTCGCGCTAGTTTCAGCGCATATCTTTACAGCATATCTCATTCAACTACCTGTCAACATTCATCTACTCTTTACTAGTGTAGGGGCGGCGTCATTCTTTTGTCCTTTTGAACAGTCATACGTTATTGTTTGGCTGCCTTCAAATTTCTCACTGTGTACTATTTTTTGGATACGGTTCATCATCGGTGTGCTTCGGGTCAATTTTATTTTCAAGCGATATCTTTTTCTGTCAAGGCAAGTTCCACTTGTTCGATCCTTTTCTGTCGTTGGATTTTGAAAGCAAAAAATGAAGACGTTTCTACGGAATAAATCAAGTCAATTCCTTCTACAGCTGTAATAGTCATTAACGTGAACCCCGCTATGCTCAGAGATATGGCCAATCTTTTACTTCGGTCGCGTTTTTCAACCACCAATACCCCTTCTATCGGCAAAAACTGGGTAACAGGCTTTGTTAAGCGTCGCAAAAACCAGTTTCACGCCTCTCAAAAACATGGTTATAAGAGAACTGAAGCTTAAGACTCTAGAATCATTGTACCATGGTTTAAACTGGTTCAAAACACTATCCAAGAATATGGTAATATGTTATAGATTGGTACGACATCTTTAACAGTGACCCATTCGCGATTCCCGGGCTATAAAACAGTTCTCTGACCATGATATTTAGAAGATGTAATGACTTTTTGGGTCGTATTCATTCCCATCGCGAAGCCAGATTCGTCAATGTTTAAGTTGTCGTGCGAATCTATTATCTATAACATATTACCATGTTCTTTAATAGTGTTTTGAACCAGTTTAAACCATGGTACAATGATTCTAGAGTTTTGAGCTTCAGCTCTCTTATAACTAATCGTTATCATGTTTCTGAGTCAAACCTCTTGAGTATTAGTCATCATGATTCTGCCGGCCAAAATCTTTCTTGACGAGGGCGGTGTGAGCTTGCTTTCATTTACAGCAGGCGACACCAAAGTCCAGTTGTAAAAAAGGCGAAGTAGGATGGATCTTGAGACAAGCTTATAGGTCAGCAGACTTGCCTCGACTATTGAAGTTTCTTAAATTTCCAGTATAATCAGACTTAACCGTTGTAGTAAAGCGGTACCCCAAGCGGTGTGTTTTCGTCCTGCTTTTTGCCCCACCGGCCCCGCGAATGGGTCACGTGCAAGAAAACTTTCGAGCGGAGCTCAACATCAGTTTGAAGTATTAACACTTTGCTTAAAGGGATTCTTCTGTCTTTGATTGAGAGTAGGTTGAAGATTGAGGTTGGAATTTAACCTTTTTACTAATCTCCACGCAGTCAATTCTCGCCAATTGTAAAAAGAAAGCTCCTCTCAATTCAACTGCCCGAGTTCTCAAAAAGTTTTGTATATCAACTACGACAACATGGCCTCCCCAATTCGCACCACCGTCCTGATTTCAGGAAACGGCTCCAACCTCCAAGCCGTGATCGATCAAATTTCTGCTGGAAAACTGAACGCGACAATCGTGCGCGTGCTTTCCAACCGCAAAGACGCATATGGCCTCGAGCGCGCGAAGAAAGCCAACATCCCCACACAATACCACAATCTAGTCAAGTACAAGAAGCAGCACCCAGCAACTCCTGAAGGTGTTAAGGCTGCACGTGAGGAGTACGACGCTGAGCTGGCACGCCTTATCCTGGCCGACTCTCCTGATCTGGTCGTGTGTCTCGGATTTATGCATATCCTATCACCGCAGTTCTTGGAGCCATTGGAGGCTGCTAAAGTGCGCATAATCAACCTGCACCCGGCTCTGCCTGGTGCGTTCAATGGCGTAGTAAGTTAGCTCATTTTCGTCTATATCTAAGACTTTCCCGCACAGAAGGGTCAGTGACTAATATGTTTCTTATAGAGTGCAATTGAGCGGGCCCATGCTGCTTGGTTGGAGGGAAAGATTGACAAGACTGGCGTCATGATCCACGACGTTATCTCAGAAGTGGATATGGGAAATCCGATTCTGGTGAAAGAGATTCCATTCCGGAAGGGCCAGGATGAGGACTTGCATGCTTTCGAGAAGCGGGTACATGAGACAGAATGGGGCACTGTTATTGAAGGTGTGGATACAGTTTTGAAGGAACTTGCTGCTCAGAAGCAGGCATCGAGTGCATGAACTGAACGCGGTCTGTCCATCCTTTCTCACTCAGTTGACGAATTATGAAATCTTGTCTTATATATCACATTCCATACGTGAAAGACCATCATTTTGCATGTCATTGCATATGCTACTGTTTCTAGAAGCGTCACATCTACATTATAGTGTAGATCAGACAAGCGTGTTGCCGAATATCGCCACAGCAGGCAGATTGGAAGTGAGCGGGGCTCAGAAAAGTCAAATGGTAACTATCGATCAACTGCGATTCAGCAGGACTTGGCCTGCAGCCCGCCTGAACATTTTAGCGGGCCAGAACTGGGTCGATGGAGAGCTGGAAGTAGATACATGCAATCTGTATCATACAGCTGGATAGAAGTATCCACCTTGACGAAACAGGCTAACGTAAGAAGGAAGAGAACCAGATACATGGCTTTGATTGAGGGGTTCGTAGACTTGTGATCTGGGCTGCGTGACATATACGCGTACCTAGGTATGGAGTCGGAAAAGCCGGTGTTCCTCGTTTCTTGGGTTCATGGCTCGTCTCCATTCGATAAGAAAGGCGATGGTCAAGGTATATTTGGCCCCGCTTGACGCGGCTCAGGCAACGCGCAGGAATGTGGGTTTGTAGAATTGGAGATGCAGTACTTTTGCGCACGCCACGAGTTACTTCCTCGGCCAGGCTCGGCAGTCTTTCAAGGTTGGTTACTAACAACCCTAATAGAATAAAGCCCATATTAATTTCAGTCTTATTCTAGGTTAGAATTAAAAAAGTATTTGATAATAAATTGATAATCTAATTTGTAGGGCTGAGCTTCAGAAGGATGTATGTGGAGAGCATACTTTTTTATCTCGCACATAATCTCCGTTGCTCACCCGTTTTTCGGCCGAACTACACTAGATTCCCAAAGCCCTGTTTTTATTATAGGAGTCCATGTTTATTTATGACACTCGATGTACTACAGTGCTCCGTACGAGATTGTACCTCCTGGAATGGGGCCTATTTACCCACTAAACTAGGCATAGTTAGCAGCAGCAGCAGCAACAGAGTGGATCCTCGAATCCCCGAATCCAGGACATTGGGGAACATGGAATGAAGGAGAATGGGGAATCAGATCGGATCGGAGATGATGCCAATTCAGGCCCAGCGTAGACAATGAAAAGGCTAAAGCAGAGACTAAGAGACAAACTAGGAACATGATCGACAGTTTTCAAGGAGATTATTGGAATAAGGAATAAGATGTACTGCCCCACAGTCTGTCCAGGTGTCAAAATGAACCGAGAACTAACTTGGATCCGGGTCACCTTTCATCCATGAGCCATGAGATAGTATTCAGTTAAGCTAGTGTTTTAGTGCTTTGGGACAATTGACATCGCTGTTCCGCCACATGCTGATCTTCCATTGTTATTAGTAACCACTGTCCATAGGTAGCTTAGCTCCAACCAGAAAGCTCTCAGGTCCTTGTTCTTGGGCCCGATTGGGTCGACCCCAATAAAAATCCTGCTCTAGATCTAGGCACTCGGCCCACAGTATTTCGAGCTATGATGCATATGTGGAAAACAAAAATCACATGCAGCTTTTCAAGATTGACAATGATGAATTTAGGAAAAAAAAAGAGTAAATAAGAAAACTAGAAAATCAGAAAAGAAGGATGTGAAGTGTTTAGTATAGTTGGTCGTGAAGCATTAGTCATCCGAGAACATCACCCGAGAACTTCATCCGAGAACTTCACCCGGAGAACCTTGGAACGTTCAACGTCCTAACTTTTTCGGCACTTCAACATTGCACCTCCATATGTTTTAATAGCATTGCCGTTGAGCGGGCCCATCCTGTTCACGATATCTCATACTTCGACTATCTGGTCCAAATAGGATAGTCTGTGCCATGAACTGATCGAAGGTTCGGTTCCATTATGTCATTTTACCAACATTTTCGGACGAGTTCGGCACATGTTCCAATTCCAGTTCCATTTCCTTCTTTTCTTCTTCCCATTAAGCATTTTTTTGGTTGGCAAATCGGCCATTGAGAGAACATCAATTCAGGGGAAGGGGTGGAGCAAGAGTACATACATAGTTCTTGGACGGAGTTAGGGTGCTCCGTGTGGAGCCCTGGAGCTCCGTGCAGTATTGACGTATAACTGATTCAGCGCTATGATCATTACGAGGATCGTCCCCTTTCCCATACACTCACGGAAGGGTGGATATTTAATCTTCTTGGATCACTGGGGTTTGTCTTCCTCGAAATCACTGAGATCCGAAGCAATCCGGAGATCTACCATCTCCGGAAGATATAAAGCGTGGTGGAGTTTCGAAATGGGAAAAGGGGCATCTGTTATTGGACTTCCACCTAGGATGGACCTAGTACGAATTGACCAGATCTAGGAACAGTAGTATCCTCTAGGCCTAGATTAAGGAGTTAGTGTTATTATTGAATACGGCCCAAGAATAAGGATAGTAAAAATGATAGAAGCAGCATAAGCAGAAGCATCAAGTGGGGACGAAATCAAGTTGAAAAGAAAAAAGGGAAAAAGGCAAGAAAAGCAAAAAGACTCTTTTGACACCAAAAAACAGAGTTTCCCTAGCACATTTGTTAATCTCCGCTTTTAACATCCTGGTTCACTTAGTCTGGGTCGAACTCGACTTCAACCCCACCCCTTCTCTTACAGCTTCTATTTACCTTACCGCATCCCCTATTTCTTTTTGTATTTCCTTTCCTTTCCTGTATATTACTATGTCAGCTTCTTAATACTGATTATAATCGCTGGGGGAAACATCTACAAGCTAATATTCTAGCTTGCTTGGCCACTATGGCGTCGTATCAACAATCACAAGCTGCCATGGCAGGATTTTTCGGTTCAATGCAACAAGATACAGACATGTCTGCATACTCGTTCTTCGGCCCAACAGAGTATCCGGAGAGCGTGGCTTTCTGGCATGATCCCTCAGCAGTTCCGTTGCCATCATTCGCTCCTTCATACCCGTCCAAGCAACCCATATCACACCAGCCTGCCTCCGACCACAAGAAACATAAGCGCACCCGTAGTGGATGCTTCACATGTCGTTCTCGCCGGATAAAGTGTGACGAGTCCCGTCCTATCTGTGAGCGTTGTCGAAGAGGAAACCGGGATTGCACATATCCCTTACCCAATAGCACCAAGGCAGCATCCAGGGCTGCGGCAAAGTCGCGCAGTTCTCATGCTTCTGCACTGGCAAGTGACTCACCCAAAAGGCCAGAAATTGACGAGAGTAGCCCCCTTGAGCCCATCATCGACGAAGAAGAACCCGACAATGCCGGGCCAATATCTCGCTCTTCGCCAATGAGTATCGGTGCAGGCCCACCACAGCCGTATCTACACAAGACGCAGAGTTCGCAATCTCTTCATAAGCCGAGCATGAAGCAAGTCTTCGAGTCTGGATCTTTTAAAATGGAGCCGGGCAGCTCACCATCATCTGAATCGTCTCGTTTTGAGTCGGTCAGTGTGCGGTCGGCCAGTGTCAGCCAGACCACGACCGACTTGCTCAACTCGGCTCGATTATCAGAGGATGTGCGATTTTATCTGAACTTCCATGTGGACTTCCTCACCAATGAACATTTTTTCTTGAGGCGAAGAAGTTCTCCGTTCATTCATCTCGGCATAATTGAACTTGCTTTAGGGTATGAGCCTTTGCTTTATGCTCTTGTGGGCTTTTCTGCATATCATCACTCATTGAATGTACCTGGAGGAAAGCTTTACAATTTCCTCAAGTACTATAATAAGGCTTTGGTTCTTTTACGGAAATCACTTGGCTCTGGAGAGGAACATACCGAGGCAACATTGTGCACAGTTCTTGTCTTGACGACTTTTGAGGTATCCATCCTAATCTTGTTTATATTTCATCCATGTACATCTTTTCTGACAGCTTTTTCTTTGTCAAATACAGGAATATATTGGAGATTGGGTGAACTTAGTCGAACACCACCAAGCCGCTCACGCATTAATGCAAGAATTACTGACACCCGAGTCTTCCAATTATGACGAACTTCATACGAACATATTCCTATGGTACGCCCGTTTCGACGTCGTAGTAGGAATCTTGGCTGGTACCGAGGTGATACTTGGTCGGAACTGGTATCTTGCCAAAGAGGAGTACGACGCTGAACAAGCTGCGCTCAATCCAGGCGACCCAAGTAAGCAACTCGCACTGGTTGCATCAATCAACCGGCGTTTCGGTCTGGATATGGCCTCTTTATACGCCAAGCTCTCACGCGGCATGATCCCCTATCAAGATTTCATTGAACAGAATGATCAATTAGGGGAAACCATCGAGCGGGCGAAGGACATCATGAGAAAATTCGACGACTCCGAATACAGCGTCCGGTCTTATCCCAACAAACAACCTGTGACAGAAGATGACATCGTGGATCCTTATTTGCCTGGTCGAATTCATCAGGGTCCCTTGTGGGATGCTAACTATACCTGGATCGACTTATTAGCTACTGAAGCGATGCACAAGTATCAGACCATGCTCGCTGTCAAGAGACCATTGATGCCGGAAATTTCAAAGCTGGCCTTTGAGCAGTGTCAGTTGATTGAGACCATCGACCGCTGGCCAGAGAAGGTCAACGGAGCATTCATCGGTTTCAAAAATAGTATTGGCATGGCTAGCATGTTTCTTCCAAGAGATATGAAGCACGAGATGTGGGCTCGGCGGAAAATGGCTAAGATGGAACAAACTGGGTAGGTGGACAGCGCTTTCAAAATTACTCTTCAGTACTCTTGAGAAGTAAAAACTAATAACTCTACTTTCTTATTCAGATACATTATCGCTCCTCGCTTTAGAGGTGCCCTGGCAGCTATTTGGCAATGTCCAGAATTGCACCACTGGTGGCTTCCAAATGATGAGGGATACACAGATATCGTCCGCGAAATCCGAGCTATGTCCGATGAACGTATGAAACAGCCTCGAGACGATGACTTTCGTGAAAACGTACGGGATATGAAATCTCTTTTCTGGAAGCTGAACGTGAATGATGAGGAAGATGAGCAGAGTCCTTCTAGCAGCCATCATAGCTTGGGTTGAAGGCTTCCATTCATTGATGATACCCCCACCACAAGGGAAAACAAAAAAGCAAGTTGCGACTAAAGCGCGCAAGCTTGGCTATATCCAGGTCTACTATGACCTCCCCAAAAGTTTGATTCCAGTATTATTGTATTCTATACCCCCAACTCGATTCACTCGATGCCAACCTTGATATTACATACCCTCTCTTTTGACTATTCTGTACCTACATATACTTTTATACCCTACTTACAAGATCGTACATCGGAAATCACAATCATGTCTAAGATATGGCATTCACTAGTTATCGAACATTGCAGCTGGGGCATCGATTGCACTAGAAGAATATCTAAAAAACTTCTTAAGCTTACGTTCTATTAATACTTTAGGTAATTTCTATGTCTTCACTGGTCAGCCCAGTTTCTTAGGTTTCGCCAGGATTCATCCCCAGTCTTCCATGGGACAAACCCAATCCGCAACGATTCTTTCAAATAGTTCCACTCGTCGGCTTCTTTTCCTAGGGTTCCCCAGGATTCCTCAGTCTTCCATGGGACACGCTCGGCTGGAACGATTGTCTCCAATCCACCTACCAGTTCACCCCCATTTTCGACGTTGACCTCCTCACCCCACGGCAAGTTATCCACGTCAACATCCCATCCAAGAATGCATCGTAAGATAACGCCCGCGCCAGCTTTGCTCATCACCAAATTCGACTCCTTGCACCGATCATCGCATACACACTCCACACATCCCTGCGGATTAACACATGGACAATCGTCAATGCGCGCTACGGCACGACGAAGAAGTAGTTCTATGAACTCAAATGCCTTTTTTGCGATTCCAGAACCACAGGCTCCGCCCTTTGCATCGTAGAATGTCAGACGAGCTGGGCGTTGGCGGGAGGGTGGCTGGAGTAGTTTTGCCGGATTCGCCCGCTCACTGGCTGAGAGGTTGTTGGCGGCACTGAGTCGGCGCCCGAGTTCTTTCTTGGCTACTTTGCATTCTGTGCAGACGTCGCCGGGCGATGAGATCACGAACGTTGGTAGGAGAGATAGCACTGCGTGTTCGGCTGAGTGAATTGCCGCGGCAATGTTGAGATTGTGAGACTTCAGGATATTCAAGGCGGAGGTTGGGACATCGAGCCACATTCCCTTGGTCAGGCGGGTGATGGGTGGGTTATTGACTTCGACGGCGTCAAGGATAGCGCCGCGCTTGTCGATCTTGAAGAAGCCGTAGACGACAGAGTGAATCTGAATAGATCCCCAAAAGGCTCGAGATTCATCTACACCGACGGCGTGCATGAACTCGAGTTCGATGGGATCGATGTTTGTGAAATCGCGTTGCATCGTGCTCCATTCGACTTGCACGCGCACTACTCGCGCAAAGTAACGTTCTGTGTTCAATTCTTGGACTAGGTAGCTCTGACCTTGGTGAAGGAAGATGCCGCCTTCGTAGATTGTGAAGAATGCGCGTGAGGCTTCTACTTCCTCTAGCACTATGTTTCGATTGTTGGTTGCGTCAATGACGGCGAATTTCTGATCTTCGGAGTCGCGAATTGCGACGCATTTGGACGGACTGGGATGAAATCTATTATGGCAATGGAAGAAACCCAAGTTATCCTCAACCAGGCGGGTTGCAGCGAGCGCAAATAGTTGCTTGCCAAAGTAGATGTAGTCTCTATCTGGTCGAATGGCCATCTCGTTAGCTGCACATTGTACATGCCCTTCCAATATGAGCTCGTTTTCCAGATCAATTTGGAGCTCACAGTTCGGCTTGGTAAAGATCTCGTCTGGGTTCCGCATGTAGTGTTGATCCGTTGGGTATCTATCTCCCACTAGCACAGAAAGGGAATCCTTGTTGCGCCGCCCGGCTCTGCCGCTTTGCTGGCGAAGATTAGAGATTGAATATGGAAAGCCAAGAGTGATGACTGCGTCTAAAGACCCAATATCAACACCCAGCTCCAAAGCATTCGTAGCCACAATTCCCAACAATTGCCCTTCGAACATTTCCTTCTCGATTCGACGTCGGTCTTGAGGACTGTAACCACCTCGGTAGCCCATGATCATATTACCAATTTCAGGGTGATTGAGAGCTTTTAATTCGCTCCGTACAGCCTGCAGAAGAATCTCACATATTTTTCTGATCCGGCAGAAGGCAATTGCACGCACTCCGCGGAGGATAAGTTGGCAGAATAGTCGTGCGGCTTCAGCAATGCTGTCACCACGGCCAGAAGATGGATCGGTGGGGTCTTTGAATGGAGTGTTCCAACATAAGAATTCTTTTCGGCCGGAAGGAGAGCCATCGAAATCAATCAACTTCACATCATCGATGCCAAATATCGACTTCATATGCTCTTCGGGGTTCGCTACAGTAGCAGAGCAGGATATGAACTTGATATGGTGGTTCCCCAAGGCAAAGCAAAGTCTTCGAAGACGTCGCATCACAAAGGCGACGTGGGAACCAAATAGGCCATTGTAGACATGAAGTTCATCGACGACCACAAACTTCAAATTTCTCAGAAAAGTCCGCCAGGAGCTTTCTTGGGGCAAGATGGTAATGTGTAGCATGTCCGGGTTGGTGAAAATGATTCGTGCCTGATCTCGGATGTGGTTTCGACTTTCCATGGGGGTATCACCGTCGAATGTCTCAACCATGCTGTGCTGCAGACCATTCATGTATTGTAGAAGATCCATCATGCTGCGCTTTTGGTCTTGGGCTAAGGCTTTGGTGGGGAAAATGTAGAGACCCCTGCTCTCAGAATCCTGCTCGAGTTCGTGCAGCATCGGGATTTGATAGATGAGCGATTTCCCAGAGCTTGTGGAGGTAGACACAATCACATTGTGGCCTTCGTACAGGTAATTGATCGCTTCCGCTTGATGAGAGTAAAGTTCAGTAATGCCTCTAGAGTTGTATAGGGCATTGACCAGGTCCTGTGATAGCAGAAATGTTAAATCATCATAAACGGGTGTTTTAGCGGGGAGAACTCGATGACCGTCCGGCACAATCTGGGAATGGTACCAATCCATCGCGCGAATTTCCTCAATGATTTCTGCAACGGACTTGCGCTCCCTGGGAATTGTCGGCGGTGCTTTCCCTTTATTGGCAATTGTTTCAGGTTCAGGAATCTTAGGCAGAAAAGCCTCTTTCTCATGCTCCAATTCCATCCACGGGTCGACGCCCTGATCTTTACAGCGAACTAAAAATGCATCAACGGCGTCTGAAAACTTCGCATTGCGCTTGTCGATCAGCTTGGACATCTGTTGTTGACTGTAAACGGGCATTTTCAGGTCCTCATATCTCAACCGACGGTAAGCATTCAATGGCTCTCCAGTCTTTGGATCAACTACTTCTCGCTTGAGATCTCCGCCCACGAATTCGAACAGAAGGACATGTGTCCCACTACCCGAGTCATGATTCCATGCCGCGTTGCCACTTGTCAACTCCTCTGCAGTCCATGCAACTCGTTGTTTGGTTAAACCGTCATCATCAGTCATTACGTCGAGACTTGCTTCGTCCACATATTCGAAGCGTACAGCCCATGGAATCAAAACCTTCATTCGTGCCACATCTTCAACTGTAAATTCTCGATTTGGGCCGAGTTGGGCCTGCACCGATTTCTTGAGGTTGTTAAACGTGGTTGCAAAGTGTTTACGTGCCTGACAAAATGTATACACGATGTTCAGGGCACGGTGAATTTGCACTAAGCGTTTGAAAGTATCAGGCCATGGTGCAGACGGCTTGGTATTCTTAGTGAGACTGTTTTCCTTGTCAGTTTTTTTCTTCTTCGGCGGATTGTTATCGGAGTCTGTTGAATCACTCGAACCAGCATCTAGTGAAGCGTTCAAGCTCGAAGCTGTAGCGACGGCGGAAGCTTGCTCATCATCGCTCTTTTTACGTTTCAGTGAATCAAAATTATCTGTAGTAGATGAGGAGTCCGGCATGTTGATGTGGCATTGTGATTTGCAAAAGATGAAAGTTGTAGGATCTAGATAATACAAATCAAAACACGTCGAAATACGCGAAGTCACGTGCTCTAATATGATCTTAATCCAACTCACATTGCAGTTGCGTCATGGCTCAGCGGACTAACTACTATAGGTTCGATTTCCAGACTTATGTTCAATGAGAACCATTCCGAAGGTGGTTCGATGCTAAGTCTACATCATTCCGATTATCGGCACTTATCCCGAGCTGTATCAAGGGGAGGCGACTTCGCTTTTTAATTTTGATGAAGCCGCTTATCCATTATCGAAGGACTTGCATGAGATTTGAAGATGTTTGGCCGATCTAGGATAAATGAAATCATACGGTGTACTTTAAACGATCTGTAATATGATCATTTAAATGCTCAACTTCCGATATCGCAACGTTTGGTCTTATATCTACCTCTAAACATTCAAAGCTTCCAAAGTTCAAACTCACCACCTTCAGATCTTGAACTTTGAATCTTGGAAGTGTACCCAGGTATTCTTTCCAACGTTCTCTCTTCAATGTTTTGCATCAAATCCACAGCCCAAAGATTGCTTTCGCCAAAAGCTTTCCCCGCATCAATCAGAAACATGTCAACAACAAGAGCCATACCAGCTCACGACTGGAGTGCGGCACAATATCTCAAATTTGAAGATGAGCGCACTCAACCAGCTCGTGATTTACTCGCCCGCGTTCCTCTCCAGTCACCTAAGACAGTGGTCGACCTAGGCTGCGGACCTGGAAATTCTACCACCGTATTGGAGACTCGTTATCCCAATGCGCAAATAATAGGCATGGACTCATCACCGGACATGATACGCAAAGCCAAAGCCACCCACCCACATCTAGAATTCTCAGTTGGAGACTTGAATTCGTATTCGCCGCCAAAATCAGTTGATCTCTTCTTTTCCAATGCCGTCTTCCAGTGGCTTGGTAAAGAGGAGCGGATTAATATCATCAGGCGACTGATGGAAACACAGCAGTCTGGTGGTGTGTTTGCTTTCCAGGTACCAGATAATCTTACTGAACCAGTGCATGCTCTCATGCGGGAAGTCGCTCAGGATGGACCTTGGGCCGCGACTTTGGCCACTGTCGGACGGGATTCTATCCAGACACCACAGGAAATCTATGATCAGCTTAAGCCTATCTCATCAGCGGTTCATCTATTCCATACAAGCTACTATCATTCGCTTGAGAGCCATGAGGCTATTATTGAGTGGGTCAAGGGTACTGCCCTTAGGCCATACGTTAACCCATTGCAACCACTAGAGAAAGAGGAGTATTTGCAGGAGTATTTGGAACGTCTGAGAAAGGCATATCCGAAACTAGTCGACGGTCGAGTCTTGCTTCGCTATCCAAGGTTGTTCATGGTCGCCGTGAAAAAATAATGTATGAGAGATATTGATATTGGGCCTAAGAATTGATGTACAAGAACAAACCTCACGCGGAAAAACCTAGAATATACTACAAGAGTAAAAGTAATTACGATTTGAAATTAAAATTAAGGGCCATTGATGGCAAGATCACTAATATGAAATGATAAGGAACTTTTTGCGAAGAAAATAAACATAAAGTGGCCACTTGAGACCATGCTCTAAAATCGTCGTGAGAGCTGCATGTTGAGCTCATCGATGAAGACATGAAACTAAAAGATCATGCTCCTGGGTAAGACTGTCTATGACACCCAAAAACGCCGTATTACGCACCGGGAGTGAAGAAAGCAAAAAAAAAAAAAAAACCAGGGCAACCATCTACCGTTAAGGTGTTCCCAACATACTAGACACTGGCGAAATGGATCACCAACGGCTGTTGCCAAGTGGAGCGGAGTTACCAGCTGAACCGCCTCCGTAACCGCCACCACCACCACCTCGGCGGCCCCAGCCTCCACGTCCACGGCCACCTCCGCGACCATATCGGCCACCGCCGCCGCCGCCGCCAAAGCGAACCATCTCCGAGAGACGGGGATCAATCTGCTGCTTAGCCTCGGTGAGGATGGTAACCAGGTCACGAGCTTGCTTAGAGTCAGCGGTAGTGAAGAAGGTAATTGCAGTTCCCTATGGTAATAAAAGAGGTTAGTATATATATAAAAAAATAAGCAGACTTGTGACCCACAGTGTTTCCGGCACGACCAGTACGACCAATACGGTGAACGTAATCCTCCGAGTTGTTGGGGTAGTCATAGTTCAGCACGTGAGTAATATCGCGCACATCTTTTTACAGAAATCTTGTTAGCAAATCGAGCATTCCGGGGGGATGAGATTAGTAAAAGAGAGCCCTTTCTCGGCTGTGGACTTGATGCATCACTGCTCTCTGCACCTGGAGTTCATTGAAAAAGAAAAATTCTTCAACAAAATTCGAGTGAGGGAAGCGAGTCCATGGATTGACGGTAAGATCACGGCCCTAGAGAAACCTTGGAAAATGCAGCTTTTCAACAGTTCAAGAACAACTTTTCTGAGACGTCATGATCCAACTCGCTGGAGAGTTGGCAAACAAAAGAGAAATTCCTGTGAGGACTGCTGTCTGTTATGCTGCATCGTGAGTCCAAGGCCTTCCTGGTAAAAGATAACCATTTGAGATGACCTGACGTTCCACATGGACGCGTCGTGTGTAAAGACAACACGCTTCAAGAGAGTTAAGCATCGTGCCGTTGTATCACACAACATTTCAACACGAGTGAGTTTTGTCAAGGGTCCCTTTATGGGGGAAAGGGAGGGGGAGATGGATAGGGTACATACCAATACCACGGGAAGCCACGTCAGTGGCCACCATGATGGGGCTCTTGCCCTGCTTGAATTCATTGAGAACCCAGTCACGCTCCTGCTGCTGCTTGTCTCCGTGGATGGCTAAGAAATAGGATCAGTTATAATGAACATCAAGAGGAAACAGAAGGTACATACAAAGAGCAGGCCAGCCATCCTGGCGGAGGAATCGAGTAATGTCGTCAGCGACGCGCTTGGTACCGGTGAAGATGATAATCTTGTTGGAGCGGTCTTCCATAATCTTTTCCATGTGCTTGATCATGCGATCACGCTTCTCGAAGTCGGAAACAACCTCAACGATTTGGGTGATGCGGTGGTTAGCCGACAATTCAGGCGAACCGACGTTCACCTGGATGAAGTCGTTAAGGAAATCAGAGGCCAGCTGGCGCACATCCTTGGGCCAAGTGGCGGACCACATGCAAGTTTGACGGTCAGGGCGAATCTGACTGATGATCTTGCGAATCTGGGGCTCGAAACCCATGTCGAGCATGCGATCAGCCTCGTCAAGAACGAGATAAGTGACACGGCGCAGATTAGTGCGACCGGCCTCCAGCATGTCGATCAGACGACCAGGAGTAGCGATACAGACCTCAACACCGCGGGTCAAATCACGGATCTGGGGACCCTTGGGCACACCACCGTAAACACAGGTGTTGCGAATGCGGGAAGACTTGCCGAACTTGGTAATCTCGGCCTGAATCTGAACAGCAAGCTCACGAGTGGGAGCAAGAACAAGAACGATAGGACCATCACCCTGAGCCAAGAGTGGCTGGGCGTTAATGTGAACAATGGCGGGAAGACAGTAGGTGAGAGTCTTTCCGGAACCGGTCTCGGCAACACCGACAACGTCACGACCGGAGAGGGCCATGGGCCAACCCTGAGCCTGAATAGCGGTAGGGTTGGGGAAACCCTGGGCCTTGACCTCGGAAAGAACGTACTGGGGGAAGCCAGCCTCATCGAAGTTCTCAACGGGGCGAGGGACGTTCACACCCTGAACAACCATCTGCTTCTCTTTGCGGAAAGCATCAATTTCCTCCTGGGAACGAGCAGTGACATCCGGGTGCTCGCTATAGAAAGACTTTTCGAACTTGGGCATGGTGTCAAGATCTGCAAAGTTATTGTTAGAACCATCGGATTCAAACCCAGGGATGATACTATGTTGAGATTGAAACTTACCCCAGTCTTGCTTCTTCAAGCCGGAGCCCAGGTTTGACATGCGATCACCACCCTGGCCACCCTGGAAGCCTCCTCGGCCACCACCTCCGTAGCCGCCCTGGCCACCACCATGGCCACCACCATAGCCACCGCCGTTGGAGTATCCATTGTTCCCACCATCGCGTGAGCTGGATAGAGAATCCGGTTAGCCAGTGAAATAATTTTGGATTCAAAAATAATAATAAAAATTGTAGGAGACGCGAAGCCCAACCATCAGCCCAATGCCGCCCTAAACGCCATAGAGCAATGACGTATATTGAATGGGCTAAGCCAGAAGAATACACGACTTATAGACATTCGAACGAAGACGTTGTGGAAGATTTTTTTGGATACAACAAAGTGAAGAGACTTACCGGTAGGAATCACCGCCGCGAGAATAACCACCACCACCGTAAGACATGTTGGCAATGGTTTGAAGAAGTTTTGAGTAATGGAAAGGGATTACTCAAGGGATTATGAAGGGGGGAAAGGAAAAGAGAAAAGGAAGGGATGAAGAAAGTGAATTCTAGGATGAAGGAAAGAACAACTTATCAGGGGAGAAAGAGGAGGCAAATTTGGCGGGAAGAAAATTTTTGGTAGTTTCAAGACCCACTTTTATTTACTGCCGGCAAAAACAGCTTTGCCGGGCGGTGTATACGAAGAAAATGAGATTTTTGTTTAGTTGTACATTCCAAGGTTAAATCTGATCAGGTAAATAGTAGTTAATTTCTACTCAAATCTTTTCACTCAATCCCATAGCCCAGAAGCTAATCTCAAGCTCCGTCGCTCGAATAAAGATCTTGATCAATTCCTCCATGCGGCTAGGCGATACCTTGTGCACATGATCCTCCAGTAGAGCTTTTATATAAAAATGAGCGATTAGCTTTGCTTAGAGTAGAATCTTGAGATTGGGGCTTGAGATTACCTGATCCAATCTCGACAGCCTCCACATAGTCATCGGCGACGTAGTTCTCAATCCATTTCCAGTAGTGGTTCCCTTCCCGAAGACTACCTTTATCTTCGTATAGTCGTTTTGCAATTGCGCCGTATCCAATCAAACAGGGAGCGAGAGCCATCTGAAGTGCAAGCCAATCCTCTGATTGACCGATATCGAGAATGTATCGGCTGTATGCAGTACATGCTATTGAAAATTCGGGTTAGAACAGATTCAACGCACATGCACGAATATAGATACAGGCATCATACCGAGGGTTTCTGGATGGGACTCAATTTCCTCTTTGGAAAGGCCGAAAGAGGCGCAATAATCAAGGTGTAAAGACATTTCACGCTGAATATGCAGTATAATGCGAGCAGACTGGATCAAAGTTAGAATTGGAAACCCTGTACACGAAACATTGACACTCACAGCCGCTATTGACTCCATGTTGTGGGACTTATAAGAAGCCAGCGCATTGGAACGAGCAAATTGAACCTGTGTTGACTGATGAGAGGCTACCCTGAGATTCATAGTGAAAAAAAACATTTACCAAGTAGAGATAATCCTGTACAAGGTACTCCTTGAAACGCTCCAAGGGGAGCGTGCCTTTGCCTAGGCCTTTGACAAAGTCATGATGGGTGAACCGCTCCCATAATTTCTGGACATCTGGGCGATCCAGCATATATTCAATGAACCGACCTCTAGAGGAGAGCCAGATTAGTAAATATTGACGTCAGTAAATTCAACTTTGGTTGGAGTTGATCACATACGGCGCAAATGGCATGGTGTAGATCGAGTGAAAATGGTTGATCGGACCACTTCCCTTACCAAGATCGGAACTAGTTCTAATTCCGGCTTCAACAAATCGAACCGCATTACGCACAGCTCGCTTCATATCTTGTCCCAGAGCAAGGTTGGCGGCAATTGCCGAAGCAAGTGAGCAGCCAGTACCGTGCGTGTTCTTCGAAATCAAATAGCCGGTCTCAAAGAATTTCGTGACGTTAGTTTCCCCATCGTAGAGAATGTCAACGACCGCTGTTGCCTCTTCAGGATTCAGGGCCCTTTTGTGCTCTTTGGTCAGTGGGATATGACCTCCCTTGAGAAGCACTGCTCTCGGACCTAAGCAACAGACCTGCTTGGCCAGTTGAACCATGCCAGCCAGATCCTCCGGCTCGGAAGAATCGATACCTGCATCCTGGAGCAAAAGCTGAGCTTCCGGGATATTAGGTGTAAGAACAGTGGCGATAGGGAGCAACTTGGTGCGTAGCACCTTCACAGCTTTCTCCGGTAGCAAGCGAGCTCCGCTGGTCGACACCATTACCTTTCAAGTAGTTAGCAGGGTCCTAGACTAGAGGGTATAGTGTAATACCGGATCCAGCACCAAGTATGGCACTTTGTAGATTGTCAATGCCTCTACAATGGCATCAATTGTCTCAGCAGACGACAGCATTCCTGTTCTTAGTTAGTTTAGAGAATCAGATTATCGAGAATAACTAACCCAATTTCACTACATCGGCACCAACATCTTCAAGGCCAGCAATGATCTGCTTTTTCACAAACTGTGGTGGGACAACAAAGATATCTTGCACACCTAGTGTGTTTTGTGCGGTCAATCCGGTTGTAGCCGTAAGAGCATAGCAACCATGGGCAGCAAGGACCCTTTGATCAGCTTCTAGGCCACTATAAATTGCGACTGATCAGTATCGGCTCAGAACGCAAACGTTCCCAAGGACATATGGAACTTTGCGGGAACACCAAATTACCCACTCCGTGTTCATGCAGCCTTTCCTTTTGGGGTTAGATTTAGTACTCACGCGCCACCAGAGCTATCAGAACCTGCAATTACAAGCACCCGCTTGGTAGACATGCTGGAACCAATTGAATGTTTTGGTAAAATTAAATGGAAAGGAAAGACCGAAAACTTTCCCTGGTCAGAGAAAAGCGGGGAAAACGGCACGAACATACGATAAGACCGAATTTGTTTACCGATGGCAACATCTACGTCAAAATGATATCAATCTAGGTATATAAACGCATTGCTTCATTTGTAAAAACTTCATAAAAATTAACTATTTGCAAATTTGAAGCGCCACCAGGGCAATTATTGCATCATGAAACGGAACAAAGTATCCATCTCAACCCACTGTCGGCCGCACTTCTTTAGGTATCCATCAACCACTGTCTTAATCGTAGCAAACCGATTTCGGTTGAATTCAGCAAGTGCTGCGAGACTATCTTTTTTCTCTCCAGATTCTTTGTTGGCTGCAATCTTGGCCTTTTCCACGTCCCAGAGTCCAGAGAAGTAGAGCAGCTGGTTGTAGATCCGCTTCTCGCTGAACTCGTACGACATTCGACCAGAGCATCCTTCAGCATGTCCACGTGGTCCTAGACAGCGATGGCCAGCGACACTAATTTGGCGAGTCCGGTTACCACAAGCCGAATCATCGCAAACAAGCCAGCCCTCGTAGTATTGAGCTGTTTGTTCGCGAATCTGGTTTTCCAGCTGTGCAATGATTGTAATGACTGCGAATGGTTTCTCGCAGTTTTGGTTGGGGCAAACAATACCATTAGCAGTACACATCTGCGTAGACCCGGCCAGCCCTTCAAACACCGATGATTCCTTGCAGAATCGGCATTTCAGGGTCAGTCGAACGGAGTCCGCGAACCGAACGGAATCTGGAATCTGCGACTCGAGCGGGAATATCTCGGCGTTTTGTGAGTTGGTAGAACTTGACGTGTTGATTTGATATTTGCGAGCGTCAAGCCCCAAGCACTCGGCCAGACGAACGGCATCAGTACCTGGGATTGGAGCACACAGACGTTCGATCGGAGGGAATATTTGCTTGAGAAGATAGAATTCGACATCAGGCTTCAGACCCGAGTCCGGCTTGAGCACATCTTGTGGGGTATACGAGCGCTTTGCTGGGGGTAAGGATGATGTCTCTGAGTCTCCACTAGTGACAATGTAGGAAATAACATCATTGGGCCGAATGTTCTTGCCCCGGGCGATTTCCCGAAGAGCAACCTGTGCAGGGGGCATGGTCTCTTTGTTCGGGTATTCACTTGGTCTTTTCGATAGTTTCTATCAGAATAAGGTTAGCAGATCAACTTCAGTCTGAGGTCTGTCTGACATACCGTGTAAATAACATATTTCTGAACAGGAATTGTAAACTCCTTCATCTTCCCTGCAAGTTCACGCAGGTACTCGTGGACATTGTTGAGAACGACTTCTTGATCCTCCCCAGAAAGAATTTCGTTCAAAAGTTTTGATGAGACTTCTTTCGAAAGAGCACAGTATTCACGTCGCTTCATGTCAAGACCCTTTACTTCAAGCTTCTCTACATACTTGCCATCCACCTCAGTCATGTTCACAGCGGCGTACTTCTTCTTTGCATGCAACAGCAGACGACGGAAAACATTGTCAATGTCGATCTCGAGCAGTCGGTATCGCTCATTGACAGATCTTTTGAACTCTTCACCGACCTTCAGCGCCTCGCTCATGGTGTCCATGTTCGTGTTGATCATTACGGAATCAGTATCACCATAGATGACCCGTAGCTGTTTGCTCTCGGCCAACTCCTTGGTGCTCCTCAAGATCTCACGTCCCTTGAAGGTGGTGAGCATTGCCAGGGGTCGAGCGTAAAATCGACTCTGTGTGTATCCCAGACAACCGTACATGGAGTTGGCAGTCAGCTTAAAGGCAAGCTGCTTCGTGTCCCATAAAGCAAGCTGCTCAGCTGTAGCACGCTTGTCTTTCATAAGCTTCTTCACCTCGCGACGACGACCGACTAGAGTAGCAATGAGCTTGGGTAGAATGCCCTGTTCTTGGTCGGAGGATGGGATCTCCGGAACCTTCTCTTCGTTCTCGTTTTCTGCTGCAGATGTTCGGTCGACGGTGGTAAAACAAATGTTGTACTCCTGAATGATACTTGGATAAAGACTGTTGAAATCCATGACCAGAATAAATCGGTCATACAGGCCTTTCTCAGGCTCGAAAACGAGACCACCCTTATATTTGTCTTTCTTTTTCTTGTCACCGCCCTCATCGTCGTCGCCATCCTGCATCTTTTCTTCGGCCTTTTGTAGACGAGAAGAATACTTGTCAGGGCAGATGTATTTGTTCTTGTGGAACTCGTGAAGCAGAATGTACTCGTTTCGCTCTGCGCGAGTACCACTTAGCGTACGTGCCCAGGAATTACCGGCAATATTTGTCAGGACCTTAGTCAACGGCAGCATCTGCAACTTCAACACAAGAGCAGCGATGAAGTAAGTATCTGTGTCACAGTGATTGACGAAATTCATGAGACCGTCCTTGGTTGAAGCCCATGACTTCAGGGCTGCTTCAACATCCAGATCTTGGCGATTGTTACCCTCTCCAAGGTAAAGTTGGCTCATTTCTGTCAAGCTCCATGCTTGGCACTTCATCATAAGAGACTGTTGTTTTCAGAGTTAGTTAGTTTATCTATATCATTCTTCTTCTTCTGGGGAAAAACTTGCCTTGCCCATATCGTTAGCAACGTCACACATGAGACGACCAGCAATAAGCTGTCTCTCGGCGAAGAAGCCCCCGCCACCTCTGTTGAGATTTTTAGGCCATTCACCACGTCTGAGTCTACCAATACGATGCCATCCGGGAGTTTTATTCTCTCGCAAACGACTGAGAAGAATACCCAGATCTACATCCTGCAATTGGTGACCCATGATCACATCCGGATCCATTTTCTCGAACAAGGCCAGGAATTTGCTGAGAAGGAACTGCTCGCTCTTCTCCAGGATGAAGGTGCCTCGTTGCTTTCGACATTCAGCCTCAAAGTGCATCGGATATGAAGATGCAGATGGACGCATTACAGTGAAGGTTTTGCAGGGAAGTTTCTCTGGGGGGGTGGTATCAGACAGAGAAACATTTTCGTAAACTCTGGCACTAGCCAGGAGAATTTCCTGCTTATTTTCTTTACTGTTGAGCTGGGTTCGGAACGAAAGACTCATGAGCGTCAGAGGTGGCATATCCAAGTTCTCAGAATCTGGAACCGGGGTGATAAGTGCTGGTTTAGAGGCCTGGCACTCAAACTTGCACCAGGAAGCATTGTTGACGGCAGAGAAATCAGCTTCCCCGATCTTCAACCAGCAAGGGCCCATGATGTTCTTCCAAAGAACGAACTGCTCAAAAAGTGCAGTGTTGGTACCGAAAACGTTCGAGAAAGTCTCTCCCTTGACGTCCATTGGAAGTGTGGGTTTGTCATATGGATAAAGAAGCTTGAGATACTCTGTTTCTTTCGGAACACCAGGCATTTCAAATGCATACTTTCGCGTGCAGGGTTTGATTTTGTGCATTCCCACTCGCATTTTCGTCATCATCTCATCCACTTCACCGTAGACATCCTCCATCCCAACTTCCTCATCCATCTCCCTTCCATGCTTTGTCCGGCGCTCGCGGGGAAGGAAGTAGAGCTTGCGTAAGATATTATCAACCTTGACGAAGGCGCTAGTATATGTGCCATTCTGTTTGTTTTTCACCTTTCCAAACAAGCAGAGACTACCATTAACTTCAGTATAGTCCAGCCAGAAGAAATGAAGACTGCCATCTTCTTCAACTACATCCTGAGCACGCAGCTTCCCGAAAGAAGAGCGCATTTCCGGAGCCGGGCTACTTAGAACATTCAGCTTGCTTCTCACATTATTCCACGAAGGTTCGACAACTTCGGGTAATGCTTTCGTTGGAGAGGAGCTTGCTAGTATAGGGAGAGGCTCCTTCTTGAGCTTTGGAGGTGGTCGACTACCAGTCATATTGACGCTCTGCATCTTGACACTGGAAGATCCAGTAGCCTCCGTGACGTCCATCATGTCAATATCCTCATCGTCTGAGATCTCAGACTTGATTTGGACCATGCTCTTGCGTTCTACGGCCTTGGTGACGGGAGATGATGGCATGGGGTCACTCATGTGCACATCATCGTCATCGGCCACAGGAACGATGTCGTCAGAATGGAGTTGTGGTTGATATTTTACCGGGGAGCTTGGCATTTCGTTTTCATCCATTGCTTGGTATTTCTCTGATCGTTTCTTTTCGGATAGAGGTGGGGACAAAACGCGAACTTTTCGACGTGCCTCGGACTTGATAATGTTCTGAGTAGGGGCGCGTTTGGAAACGACGTTCGTATCTACCTCACCCAGTAGATCCGCCATAAAAGCGTCATCCGCTGCAGATGCAACTGGCTATTCAAAGTTTAGCAAGGAGTTTGTAGCAACAAGCAGAACACCGCACACACCTTCGGCTTGGGAGCTGATGCTGCACCATTACCCTTGTTGAAGTACTTGGAGATACCATTGGTAATCTTCTCTTGTCGCTGTTTCTCTTCTTCTTCACGTTTTCTTTTGGAGACTTTACTGCGTGCGGGTAGTTCGTCGTCCTCGTCGCTGTAATCGGCCGTTTGTTCGTTCCATACTTCTCGGCCATCGTCTGCGTAGCCAGCGCCGTTATCATCTACAACAAAGTCGTCTTCATCTAGACGACTGCGAATGACTTTCTTATAGCCCTCATCGTCAACCTCCTCATAGATGTCGCCTTGTTCCTCAATCTCGTAGGTCGCCAAACGCTTCTTTCCGGAGGCACGGAGAGCACGCAGCTCGGCCAATTTTTCACGAGCAGAAGACATGGTGGCTTAATATTTCGAATGTTTATCCATAAGCGTCCTCACAATAATAATGGGGTTGCGGGGGAAAGGGAGGATAACTAAGAAAGATCGGAAGATCGCGACCACATGCAAGGCTCGTGTTTGGACGCGCTCTCAGCACGCGTTTAAGTGGTGGACCTTAAATGGCCTCAGGCATAAAGGCAGCCAATTTCATGTGGGGCTTTTCCTGTTTCAGCTATCATTGTTTTTATAACGTGCGTATTCCCTCATCAACTTCTTGTTATCTCTCCAGCTTTCTTGTTCCCTGTTCCTCGGAGTAATATGATAATACTTGGAGCACCTGCATATGTTTGAGAGAAAGTTTATCGAAAAGAGGTCCAATGCGATGGTAGACGTACCTAGAGAAAGAGTCATGCAGCGAGCGAAAAAAAGCTCCAATTGACGTATATGAATGAATGTACTCAATGTTTGAATACGAGTGAATGGGGTAGCATAACTAGATGCAGAAAAAATTTGAGATGCGATTATTGTGACGCAGAAAGTGAAGAGATTATCGATGACTACATATGGTCGAAGTACCCCCAATGCGAAGCAAAGGGCGACGAAAGCAACAGATCCAGATTGCAATCAAAAAAGTGGTAGAAAATATCGGTAACCCCAGATTCTCTACATACGAGAAACATAAAGCAGAAAGCCCAGGTGCGAAGAGAGCACTAAATGCGCGGTCAATCCTTGGAATGCGTCTCCAATGATATATCTAGGTACATTTGCTCGTACTGAAGGAAAGAATGAGAAATAATGGGCTCACTCAGAGGGACACCTTATCGTGATTTTTTCGAGCCATATGGCTGCATTAGCTATCCATTAAATTTTCATTTTTGATTTCTCCCCTGTAATAGAGAGGCCTATTCTACTTTCGAGGCTTGCTGGGCTGTCTGATACCATGGCTCCATGCCCATTTAAGAATTATCATTGAAATTCTGAATTAATCCACAAAAGTGTAGGTGGCTAGCTTCACTAGGGGTGATATAAGACTGGGAAAACTAGTATTCCAAATAGGGAACCTCTCATAATGAACGTGAACAGAGAACTAAGCCCAAGTAAAGAACCAATCCAGACCAAAAAACTGCGCTGGACAAGAGCAATGGACCAAAGCAGAGAGACGAACGCACCCAATCTCCTTAGTAGCCTTTTGACCACCCACTCGAACCCAGTGAAGGTAGCGGGGTTTTGGGGCTTCCAAGGTGATTCGAAAAAATCACGATTGTTATTCTCCCGTCTCACGGTAAGGGCAGCTGTACGAATATCTAGGTCCATTTGTGTCCTCTTTGCTCGATGTGCTGCAAACCCTGTGCCGTAAATTTCAGTATCTATATTCGCCTTCATGCCTTGGCTCGCCACAAGGTAATGGTTACCCTGCTGAATATCTTCAGGGACTCGAGCAATACCGGTCAGGAGAACAAAGACGAAACTTGACGTGTGTAATGCCTAGCTATATTCTTGACTAGCACTGCGCTTGCTAATTACCTAGGTATGCCAAGACTGTACTAAGTCAAGAGTTCAAACTGAATTGGGTTGGTTGAACAAGGGTAGCCCCCTCCTTCTGGATAAGAGCTACATTTGGTGCTAGCAGCATAGCCTTAGTTTGAGTGCTCTGGGCTTGTCTATGCCGTATGCCCATTACACTCTCTCGAATGCGCCGACAAAATAGTCGCCACGCAACTAATTATTCACTCAAGCACATCTATTAAACGGGAATGATCATTTCCATGGATAGCCATGACAAGTGGAGACCTCGGGTTCGCCTTCTAGGGTTTTGGGATGCCCGCCATCAACGAAGTTTATGACTGATAGTTACACTTGGGTATGGAAACTTCTGGAAAGCAATGTCGTATCAACTCCGGAAGTGTTATAGAGAAAAAGTAATATTAGGGCGAGAACTGCTTAGGTGGAAAGTGAAGTAATTGATGAGTATCAGAGGTTCTGACTATTATGCTAAAACTAAACTAAAGATCACATACCAATGGTGTATGTGAGTAATCCCAAATTACCTGGGGCCAGATTATGTCCATCTCAGGTATGGTATTTTTGGAAATATCTTATTTGTGTCTTTATCAATACTCCCGAGCTCTCAATACATTAATCAGCATCAAATTATCCCGAGGTCGTTTTGCCTAACTCTCCAACCACGCCTGCAGTACAGTAGCCAAGATGCGATGCACATGGCTGGTCATATGTCCCGTATTGAACCAGAAATACTCATCCAAAGGCGTCGGACATCCATACTTCAAATAGTTCACCGCAATATCAGGCTGATCATATCCAGCACAGAATCCAGTTGTATTTACAATCCCAAACTTCCCCGGATCATCCAAAATCCCACTCAATCTCTCATGCGCATCAAAAACCCATATCTCAACATCCCCTTTCCGCGCCTTGAACTGCGCTGCTTGCTCCGAAAGGGCAGAATTATACCAAGCGACCTGAGTTGCGTTAGGGCTTGCCGAGCCCGATTTCACATTCTCGGGCGTACGATCTAGTGGTGGCAGGTTCATGAACAGGTATGATCTGTAGCCGAGAGCGTAGAGCTCGTCCACGGAGGCGAAGAGGGTGGCTGTTAGATTTGAGTAGAAGGCTGGAAAATTGATGTTGTATTTTGCGGAGTCTGATATGTCGTTTATCCCGATCCAGATTGCTGTTAGGGTTTCTTTTGCGCTGATGGTCTTTTGTATGGTCTTTGCGCCATAGTTTCGGAATTGTTTGATTTGGGTGACTATGTCTACGGAGAAGTTGTGGTGGAGGGGTGTACTTAGTCTGTTAGTATTAGACGTTGGACAATAGCCTTGGAGATAAGGAGAAACTTACTATTCTGATGAAATATCAGCACCAGCAAATGCAAAATTCCAAAGTTGTTTCTTGCAATCTAGTGGTGAATGCAGACCAGGCTCCACGGCGCAATCTGTGAGGAATTCCACCCAGTTAGGGCCTCCTTCTGCAGTTGAGGTCTATAAAGATCTAGATGTCAGTTGTAAGTATTTTCTGATAGTGTATAGAACTAACTTACTTGATTTTGGACTATCAGATCAGAAAGAAGAGCTCTTTCGTTATATGCGAGATTGAGATTGTCGCCGATGAAACTGTAATTTTGGTGGCCGTAGATTCCTTGGACATAGGTGTATGAGTCTCCAAATGCGAGTAGTGATTTTTTCGAGGACCAATTGAACTTTTCTTTCGTCAATGCGGTGGTGCAGGTGATCAGAGAGATTAGATTGAACAGACTTTTCATTAAAAGCAATTTGCACATCCCGAGGTGACATTCGAAGTTGATAGTTACAAATTTCTGATTCCGTAGACAATTTGATTGGAGTTTTCTAGTTTTATACTCCATACTACGAGGTCCGAGTCCTAAGTTCAGCCCCGCCATTGGCTCAACATCTGTGGTATTGCAGACGGGATTGATTTTCCCGTCGGCCTTATTTCTCCATACGCTGGGTTTCTAAGGTTCAAACTGGGATATAAGGCTTTGAATTTCCGCCAGTATCTCTGAAATTTGAAGAGACCTCGGGGGGTACAGCGCTCGATGGAATGGGATTGGCGGAAGATTAACAATCCTTTACCCTTTGACCTTTCCAATGATGTCTCTCATTCATGAATTTGTTCAAAAACTTGCGAGGTGAATCAACAGCTTGAAAATTTATCAGTGGCGCCCCTCGCCGAAAAAAGTACTGCTGTGTGATTTTGAGGTTCCTGGTCAAATTACAACGCTTGATTAACTAGGCAATAGTTATGACGCATTCACATTCCTACTTCAGAGCTGACTACGTAGATGGGTTGAGCACGAATGTTTTCAATCTTGGCAATTATGAACAGTCGGTGCCCAAGTAGTTTCATTCGTATATAATCATGGAACATGAATCACGGAAGTAAGTCGTTAATCTAGTTACTAGTTTGAATGCATTACAAAACCCATTGCCCATGTACTTCGGATACATTTTCCCGTTGAAGGTGCTAAATTGTGATAGATCCGATCTCGCGGCAGAACCAAAACCCAACCAGTTAGTTCAAAAAAAAGTGATCCCAAACTAGGGCGAACTTTCGGACTATATATGGCTTAGTGGTTGTAAATGAAGCGTAAAAATCTCCGAGATGCTAGTCCGAGGCCCTAACGGTCAAGATTTATGCTTAAATGGCCCACAATGAGGCTGTGCGGTTGCTAGTGTCGGTGGTTTCACAACATTCAATCCGTAACTCCGTAGAGAAATAAGCATACGCTAAGAAAGTGGTCAGTGGGACATGTTCGTTGGCTAAGGACTTACAGGGTATTTTGAATCGACTCTGAAACATGGACAGAGCTCTGGCATCTGACTCATCTTATTTCTCCCAGTTTGTAAGGGAGTAGTAACATTGTAGCCTTGGAAATTCCTTAGCTCTCGTCTCAAGATGAGTGGACAAGCTTCATGCAAAGGCAAGCTTGAAGACAAGCAATGTGCTACGTGCATCAACCGAGACGCTCTCCTATCCCGCTGCACAAGCGCCATTGACGTACATTTTGTCCAGGATCCAGGGTTGAGATTATACCAATAAAGTGTAGAGAAGCGTAGTAAAAGACTAAAAGGACAGAGGCCCAGATCTCGGGCCGCGGCCAATTGTCTGACCGGGCTTACCAGTTTAGCCGTGATATCCGGGTTTGGCCAACGAAGCCCCGCGACAGGATTTGCGCTAAGAAATTAGCCCCTTGTCATGCAATTGTAGTGCGTATTTCCAGTAGGCGTAGAATATGCATGGAAAATGTAACTCTGGTCGGATGGCATTACAAATTCGGGAACGGCTTTAGATCCCGGCATCGATTTCGATTTGCGCATTTTTTTTATTGGTGTTGAAAGAGTTTTATGAGCTGACCACCGAGTACTGATAAGACCGCGAGTTCAGCTTGTGGAGAGAACTAGGGATGGAGATCCAGATGTAGATTCCAAGGTTTTGATCACCATTTAATCAATCCTCGGCCTATTAACTAGGTGGTTTTTTGGGAAAGGTTAAATTAGACTGCCTTAGTCCATGATTCATGTTGACTAGTAAGGACCTTAGAGTTAAGGGGTTTATACTATGTACAGAGTCAAGATCTACCGAAGGAAGAGCGAGTAAGACTCTACCGTGTTTTTTTTTCTTTTTCTTTTTCTTTTACGAAATTAAAGCACTGGCCATGTCATGGCTGTGGCATTGAGTGGATGAAGTGGGCCAGGGGATAAAGTCAAATAATAATAAAAAAAAAGAAGAAAAAGAGAAAAGACAACATAAACGTGGCAGAAAAGGGTATTTTTGTCTTGTTAAAGCCGAATTAACAATGCCTCGTGACAACAGGTAGGGAATAATCTTGTTTGACGTTTTACTGAAGTACTGAAGTACTTGGTTACGTACTTAGGGCTACGGATGACTGCGCCGGAGTATAACCGAGCCCCTTCGGCTTTACAACACGGGTATAAAGAAAAAAAATGGACAAAAAACTGCGATTTTAAGCTACAGCCGCGGAAAGCGCATAACGGACCGATGAGAGACTTTTATTGAGTTGATTAACTAGCAGTTCTGACATTGTGATAGAATGGTGTTCTATTTAGCTTTTACCGCTATCAAGGATGTAGTTGAGTACTAATGAACGACGGACTTCTAACGGCAACCCAAATTGATCCACTTTTTCTTCGGAGGGATCGTCCGAGGTGACAAAGGTCCTGTAAGATTCACGGTCGGACTGTTGACTACAATCACAACAATGCGGCTCTGGCGTCCACTGCGCGCCAAACTTTGTACTAGTCGTGATCAACGAACGGGTGAAGGATGGAGCTCTTTGAAGAGGTTCCATACCGGAGCCTTGACTCAGTTTGCCGGCCGAAAAACGTTCAGCGATGCTTATCTGACTAGCAAAGGATTATGGAGTCATGTTCCCCTCCCAAATCGTGTCAAATGATAGAATGACTTCAGAATGTGGAGGACCCTCGGCAAGCGCCCGCTTGCCTGGGGAGGAGTCATGTTTGTTCCTTCGTCCGGAAGTGGAATGAACCAACTCCGCGCGGGGATCCCAATAACCAATCCCCTCGAACCAATCCCCTCGAACCAATCACTGAGGACACGGAGAGACAAGAAGAAGCTCATTCCGAGGTGGGAGCCTTGCAGCTGTCCGCAACCCCGTTTTCTCCCTATCTGACCCACTTTAGAGCGGTGGAAGATGTGGAATAATGTGATAGTGAAATAGAATCGGTGGAAGAGAGTTTAACGCAGCTAGGATGTTGGAAGCGCCGTGGATACCATCTCGTATATCTCTATACGGGGTGTCGAGGCGGGTAAGCAAACAGTCAACGATTTCCCAATTTCCAATTTCCAGAGATGATCGTATGATACTAAGATCCATGGATGGAAGATATCAAATCAAGCACTCACAGCTCACAGTGGAGACGTGATTTTGCCGCATCCCCTCCCAGACGCAAGAAAAAGGGGCATTTGTATCAGCGTTCTCCACCCAAGTATTCTGGATATAGTATGATAAAGGAACTGACTGTGTAACGGTGATTACGAGAGGATGATAGATCAAGAAGGGTGAATAATTATAATAGAAGTAATAAGAATAATAAATATCTAAATCCCTCTCCAGGACTGTGTTGAATACTATGGATGTGAAGAGAAGATAGAATGAACCAAAAGTACTAAATAACCGGCTTCAACCGCTACAAACTTAATGAACCGGGAATCCACCGAGTTCCCACTTATCAACTACTAGCCCTGGTCTACCCGAGTCTTGCTTCCCCCGACATGCACTATACCCCTTTCTTCTAGTTCAATTCTATCATACACTAAACCTATCTAGGATTCCATGCCCCGTTCCCACGGATGTTCCTCTCGGGCACGCCATTACCTTTTTCCCCCTCTTTCGTTCCCCTGGTCCATGCCCTTTACTATACAGTACTAGGACTAGTTATGCGATCTTGGTTGGTACCCACGGACTGACGCTAGGTTCACTCACTTTCGGCGGGTAGACTAAGAGAAGCTAAGCTAGTATCAACATTAATATACTACATAGCCAAAGTATCAAAGTAGAATATTCAGTCGTATTATCTAAGTAGTTAAATCGGTCTATGCGAATGTTTAATTATCTACCTATAGGTATGTTAAATAATAATGTTCGCCACTACTTTTTATCAACCCCTGGAGTTATGGATCCCGTAAATAACAATACAGTATCAAAGTAACAATGAAGCTAGGAAAAGAGAGGGGAAAGGGGGGGCATCAACAATTAATGCCGGACTTTAGTCATGGAATAGGGAATGGTCCGATACCTATTCTGGCTCGTTCGCTCTTTCTGTCTTTCCCTCTCTTAATCTTTTTTCCTTACTTCCTCCACTCTGATAGGATAAAATAGATATGATAAAATAAAATAATAAAATAAAATAAAATAAAATAAATAAAATCCATAATTTCACTCAAAAATACCAGATCCACTTTCTTGACTCCACCAACATCATCCACGAGGACTCTTCTTTTAGGGGCCCTTGTTCTCTGTTCTCTATTTTTTGCCTCCCCCATTTTCTCTCTCTCTATCTCTTTCACGGCTCGGACGCTACTAACTATCCTACCGCCTTGAGAACGAACTAAGCCTTTTAAGCATTCGGTGGTATCATCGTCTTTTTCTTAAACGCGCTCGGACAACGCGTCGTGATACTTGTTATTTTTTTTTCCAAACATCTTTTATTTTTAGATTAGGATCTCTTGAAAAAGTAAGTTTTTTTCCCTTGTTCTTGTTCTTGTCCATATACTTCTTCTTGTTCCCATACTTCTCTCGTGGTCGCCCCTACCGGTAGCCTTCTCGGGTCCCTTGCTTGGAACTTTGCCCGACTCGTCAATTTCCCCGATTCTCGCTTCTCTCTCTCTTTCTCATCCTTTTCCCTCTTTCACATCAACTAACTGGGGTCAATTGCGTCAGATTGTGGCAACGCGCTCGCATTTTCTGTTCCATTATTCTACATCGCCGCGACTTTTCCCGCGATCTCCTTTTTATGGACCGGCCCACCTCCGAGTTTGCACAGTCAGGTTCGCACCCACCGTCCATCGCAAACGCAAACGCAGCTTCTGAACCTTCCGCAGACCAGACTTCCACTGCTCCCAGCTCGCACTACACCAATACTCCTCAACCAGATCCTCGGCCAACCCCTCAGTACACTCCGCAACCCGAGGTACGACAGGACTATTTACCGCGTCTTCCTCCATACGCGCCCGCATCTCAACCTGGTGCACCCGCCGGTATGGCCCAAGCGACGAGTGCGAAAACCGAACCCTTTTCACCAATCTCCCTGTATTCTAACCATGTCGTAGATTCCACTCTGCCGGCTACTAGCCCACCTTACCCCCCTCCCTACTCCCCCTATCAACCGCAGGGACACGAAATGGCGTACCAAGGCCACCAACACCCACCGCACCAGATGTACGGCGCTCGTGGAGACTGGCCCCATACATACGCCCCTCACCATCCTTTGCCGAACCCTTACACTCCTGCTGCTACGGTTAGTTCTGCCTCCCCTGTTGCCTTGGCAGGGTTTCGCCCTGTTCAAGCATGTTTTTGACGATTCTTGGATCTTCCATTGTCTTGGATGATCCTCTGATCTCGACTTTTCGCCTTGTGTCACCCAAGTCGCCAGGGATCGTCAAAAACAACGCAATTTTATTATTTCCGGTCACTCGAAAAAAATGTGATCCGTTTTGAGTGTTCTTTTACTGACTGTTTATTCTTAATATAGGTTTACTCGTTTGTTCCAATTCCTGGTGCTCAGCAGAACAAGCGACCCCGACGCCGATACGAGGAAATTGAGCGCATGTACAAGTGTGGCTGGAATGGATGTGAGAAGGCCTACGGTACCCTAAATCACTTGAATGCACACGTGACAATGCAATCACACGGCGCAAAGCGCACTCCTGAAGGTTAGTGCATTGTTTTATTTTTTTTCTCTCTGCGATTCCAACTGTCGCAAGTGGCTGGATTGGGTTAGCGCCGGCTGTAACCTGCGCTAGTGAGTTACACTAGATTTCGCGGGGCCGCAGTAGCGTGGCCGATGGGAGGTTATTCTTCATCCCTTCCCGCTTCTTAACATACCTTTTTGACTTCCTTCCCTTTTTTACATTTGCTTCGGACAAAACTAATTACTGCTCACAGAGTTCAAGGAAATTCGCAAGGAATGGAAGGCCAGGAAGAAGGAAGAAGACACCCAGCGCAAGGCCGCTGAGGAACGTGAGCGTGCTGCCGCTCAAGCTGCACAGGCCAACCAGGTCGATGCTTCCGGTCCTTCCGACTCTCAGCCTGGACAACCCTCGGCTTATGGTGGTGGTGTTCGTCCTCAGCTTCCTCCTCTTGGATACCAAGCTGCAGAATCCCAAGTGCCGAGTCAATACGCCCCTGGTGGTATGGTCTATCAGAACTACCCTCCCAATTACCCTCACTCCCCCTACCAGAGCGGTCCTGTGTACCAGCAACGTGAGTAATCAGCAACTAAAATACGCCTCTTCTGTGGATCGACCCAATCGGGATTCTTCTTTCTTGGCTTCCCAAAAAACGCTTTGGCCTTAGGCTGATGATCTCGCTACGGCAAACCAGAAGCACACACGGCCAACTACTCGCATTAATTTCTTAATCGACTCTTTCAACGCCGTGGAACGGACTTCGCATTTCTTTTATGTCTTTTTTTTGTCTTCTAATCACGATATCCCCATTGCCTGTGACTCACGTTGACTATACGGAGCTGATTCCGATTCTCTTTCGATCCTTCCTTTCGCCTATCCAATTCTTTACCTCCATGATACCAACTTTTATGGCACCTAATCGAATCCAGAGAATTGCTCTGGCTTTCCCCTCGTCCTTGACACTCTTCGACATCAGAAAGAAAGCAAGTACATTCACGAAGATATGATACACACTATTGATCTTTCTTCTGCGAAACATGTGCCGAGGATATGGCGTCAAGTAAAGGATTGGTTGGGTGGATTTTTGATGGCTAAGGCCACAGTTGATAATGATTCTTTACCCCTTATGTGCTCGATTCTCCACCAGGTTATCTCCCAAAATTTGGGGCCTTCTTCATTTATTATGGGCTGATACCGCGGATATTACTTTCCCTTTACCCATTCTCTTTTCCTTTTCCTATTCCCTTTTTGCTCTGTGGTGAACTTGGCCCATCTCGCCGTTCTTCTCTCTTTCGCTACTACCCTTCCCTATCTCTATCACTATCTCATATCCCTACTCCCCCTTCTTTAACGTATCACTTTCTCCCAAGCTTCGACTTGGAATTCTATCTTGTGCATTATCCTTATCCTCCTGTTTTGACTGGTAATATCCTCAAGTCTTTCATGCTCTAATCTACTTTCACTGTACATAATCACTGGCAATAAGAAGGGCAGTAATGGAAGGATTAACAAGTCATCCATCAAATCTAGGGAAGAAATCGCTGTGGAAAAATTACCCAAGTACCTAGGTGATGAGTGGCATAGATTTAACTATTACACGTAGTAGTAAATAGCTAGTAAAGCAGCTAAATAACAAGCCAAGAAACTAGTATCAGGCCTTACCAGTAATTTTCCAGAGACTAAGAATTCTTAGTGTAGGGCCCGAAACCTTGGATAAAAAGCTTAAAAAAGAAAATGCTCAAGCTAAAACGAATCCGTTAGCTTTAGCTTGCTTTTGATCCACTGCCTTAGCTTTAGCACTTGGTCTCGGCAGCTAGTTCCAAAGTTCGTGCCCGTTATTAAACTAAAATGTCACTACATGTGCAGGGGCCAGCAGGGTTCATACCGTGGAGATGGCACTAGCGTGAAGCTTGTCAATGAAAATTTTGTCTAACGGGTCTTATTTGCGAGGTCTTCTCATTTTAATAGGGATTAGTTATAGGGTAGCTTTAGGATAATTTTGTTAGAACTTCTTCAACCAAATCTTTTACAGAAATGTATGAATTACGTAGTTGATTCATACCGAGGTAGAAGGGAATACGGGCAATGCAAGTCAGCAATTCTACATGTGCCAACAGATAATCTTGAAGATAATTTTCAGGAACTTGTACTGACCCTTGCATGAGATGTACAAGTACAAGCCACATCCACGTCACCGAGGGCTGAACTAGGTACAAGCCAAAATTTAAGCGCGTGGCTTGCATCGGATCCATGCATAGGCCTAGAGCACGTAGTAAACAATGGAAGATAGTTAAGATATCAGCTTATAATTTTAAGATTTGGACATCAAATTTGCTCAGAGACTTCTATCCACTGGACATGACATGGCAGCAAATTCAGCTTTAGAAGCGAAGCCTGTATTTACATGTATTCCGTGTGGTCTGTTAGTATCAGGCGAAAACCCTAGCCGGATCATTCCGTCTAGGGCTAAGTTGAAACTTGAGCTGAGGTACGAGGTTCTTCGCTAATAATACCACAGGAATGTGACAGCGGCCACAACGGGAGTCTGACCAGGTTCTCCATCGTCTTTATCTCAGCAGGCTAATTTGGAACCTGACTGTACACAGTACTGTACTAAACAGATAGTGTGAACCTAATCTCGTCATAGATTCCCACCAATTGCATTTAACAAGAAGAATAAGGTTAAAGAGATGCAGATACTGATAAGCTAGTATTTAAAACGGCATTAGGCTTTGTAGGTACTAGGCCGACGCTCCACATAGTGTACTTGAAACTGCTACTCCCGAAAGATGGATCGTACTCGACGTCACATGTTGCAATTTGTTTCAGGAATTCACCCTTTTATCTTTCATCCACTTTTCATTTACGAACCGTCGTATCATTCTTGTAAGCTAAATCTAGCTACTCTCATTTAGTATTCTATAACACTGCTCAAAAGTAAGAGCGGCATAAGAGCAAAGCCACTGGTCACTGAGGACGTTCCATAACTACCTGTAGGATCTATAAGTACCTACTACCTAGGTACTTCATACTTAGACCTCAGATAATTGACAGCTCCAAATCCGGAACCGAACTAACGCATATCTGGAACCGTTCCTGAGAGTACCGAAGTTGAGGCCCCGGGAGCTAGTAGTATGTACGCGCTTGTAAGGGTGTTTGGCGGGCCGCTGTGCTCCATCAACACCAAACTGTTTAGGGTATAGTGTTACGGCTATGCCCGGTCCATATTGACTCTATCTTATCTGGCTTGGCAGTTGGTGATTCCTTGGAAGGTAAATCTTAGTATATTCCATGGCATTTGATCCTGGGAGGTTTACCAGCGGGCTTCACAGATTGATGTGTAATCTACTCTTAATAAATAATTCAAATCTTGTCTGCAGACATCTTTCAGATCACTGAGATCAATGAAGTCAATAAGAACGGTTATGGTACTAGTTAGTTATCTACTATTTACCAGACTACTACACAAGATTTATGCACCGGATAAATAAATAATCCGAGCAATTGTTCGAGACTACCTTTGTGACTAGGTACTTACACCTAAGCCTATAACAGCTGCTAAATTAATTCAAGATGCCAGAGCTATCCTCAACTGAACGGAAAAGGCTCCGAGATCGTCGGGCACAACAGAATCTTCGTGATAAGAAGTTGCGCCACACAACAAAGCTTGAGGAGCAATTAGCCCACTGCGAGCAATATCACAACGATAAAGGGGTACAACAGCTGCTTGATATCATCAAAGGGCTTCGCAAGCAGAATGAAACTCTCCAAGATCGCCAGAAAAGCCTAAAGACCCTAGTCAATTCGTGGGATGGAGCACAAGAAATGATCCCAGATGATTGGAATTGTTCAAGACGGACACATCCAAAATCACATGATGAGTCTCTCAAACCTCCTATATTGAATGACTCGAACCCAAAAAGAGTAGTCAATTTGAATACCCCAACGTCACCGACAAGCACACCTCCACAGCTACATCCAAATACTAATTTATCCTGGAATCAACTCCCACTCTACTCTGATGACTTTTCTAATATTCAAACCACATCCTGTTTCTGGTTTGCCTATCCAGACCATATAATAACATGTCCTGACTCCCCCTCCCCCTCGACATCTTATATGGTAGCAAGACAAACCTACTCGCAAACATGATTCACACAGCCCTCTGCAGGCGGCCAATCCGCGATCCAGAAAAACTAGCCACGGGCTGGCTAGCCTACCATTTTACCAGATGGATATTTGCCCCAAGTCCAAGCACCTACAGCCGACTCCCTGATTTCATGCGACCTGTGCAGGACCAGTTACGGGTAGCTCATCCGCTCATTTTTGACCTTGTCTGCTGGCCCAGGATCAGACTGAATCTGATTAGGAAATGGCAGATCTACGACAAGAATCGTGATGAGCTGTTCGGGCTTTTTGGGTGTTGTGTTAAACTTCGCTGGCCGTGGGGGGAGAAGATTCTTGAGCGAAATGAGGACAATGAGATCACTACCAGGGAGGAGTTTTATAATGTTTTTATGAAGGAGGAAGGGTGGGGTGTCACTCAGGAGTTTATAAATCAATTTCCAGAGCTTATGGATGGGATTGATATTGATTCCCTTGTTGCTACGATGACTTAGTTGGGCTAGGCCGGGCTACTATGTTGATAAATTCAAGCATATGTAATAGAAGATGGAATTTGAGCTTCTCGAAAGGGTGTATGCTATATTCAGAGAAAGTCAATTTTACCGAAGAGAGATATCCAACTTTGCAAACCGTTGAAATTATGTGACATCCATCTAGGCAGTTTCAATTCTTGTCCTCCAAATCTACAGGCCACCTTTCTCGAATCGCCTTCCCATACTTACTGAAGACAATGGGAATTGGAACAAATGCAAGAGCCAAAAACCCAAGCAATGAGTTCCCCCATCCTAGCCCTAATGACCTAAACATAGCCGGACCCGCAAGGGGTAGCAACTAGAAAAGCGTCAGTAAGAAGCCGAGTATAAGAATTGGAAGCAACATACTGCGCCAACAAGTGATCGCGATGCCGTCAAAGCGGCATTCGCCGATGCAGCATATGCAGGGTAGCAATCGATGATATAGGTCTGGATAGGCATGAAAACACCCATCATGCCAACACCGAAGGGGAACATGCCGATAATAGGTACTATCCAGTGGACGTGTTTGTCGGCAGACCAGCCATACCAGAAGAAACTTATGGGCAAGATACAGGCGAAGACAATCATTGTTGGAAGGCGCATTTCTGGCTCAAATTTTCCGTTATTCTGAGTGGTGAGCTTCGATACGATTTGATCATTTGTTAAAGCGACAAGCACTAAGCCGAGTCCGAATCCGAGTCCAATGCCTAGATATGCAAGGCCGGATAAGCCGATTGAAAAGCCGTAAACGCTGGTGAAGACGTCGGAGATTGTTGTGAAGAAGAGGTATAGAAGTCCATAGATAAGAGCCTGTTTTTATCTGTAAGTTTTGTAGATTCTGGAAAATTGAGTCAAATTCTTACCATGTAGACCGAAAGAAGGAACATAATGGGTGATTGTAGGAAGAGCTTTGCTGGTCTCACAAGACTCTGTTTCAGATGATGACAATCCGAAGCTGGCTCACGATTGAGCTCATAGGCACTGTGTAAGTCTGAGCGACCAAGGTCCTTAGCTAGCTTCGCCGTCTTCCATTTGATAAGAATAGGGGCATATGTCTCTTTATTGAGGACCTCAATTCCTATCTGCATGGTAAAACTTGCGATAAGGATGACCCAAAATATCCATCGCCAGCTAACATTTTCTCCCAAGAATCCACCAGCAATTGGACCGACAACTGGGCCCATTAGTGGTCCCATACTCCAGACTGCAGTCGCCCTTGCGCGCATCTCTCTTGGAAACAAGTCTGCGACTACACCAGCTCCGATGGTGAGGCAGGCAGATCCTCCTATACCAGCGAACAGCCGACATACAATAAGAGTTTCTATGTTTTTTGAGAGAGCGCATCCGATTTGCCACATGATAAAAAACCAGTTGGCGGCACTTAGGACTATGCGGCGGCCATATAGCTCGCTCATAGGTGCTAGCACTAGTGGTCCAAGCTAGAAGGGGAGATATCAGATCAGACAAGTCGAGAAAGGTATCGAAGCGCATTACTGACCGTGTATCCAAGTAAGAAAATGCTGACGCTGAAAGCAATAACCGTTTCATTTGTCTCATGAAAATCTTCTGCTACAATCGTAATCGCAGGTGAAAACATGCTTGAGGCGAGAGGGGAAATGAAGGTAAAGGCACTGATCAGACCAAGCAATGCCCATTTCTTGCTTGTAGCAAAGTTTTGGGGATTTTCAGGATCATGTTGACTTTCCCAGCCAACAATCCCAAGACTGATGTCTGTTACTGGATATTTGGGGATGGTAGCGATGGTATCTTCTGTGATTCCTAGGGTAGACTGCTTTTCAAGGTCCGGTTGTTCTAGAAGTTCTCTCTCTGCCTCGGGGATATCTGATGTACTCATGGTAAACCTTGGTGAGAAAATATTGAAATTTTAAAGTGTCTTAATGGAAATGAAAGAATTTAATAATTTTAACAGGTGAAAGCTGGGATCCAACTTTAAATAACCAAAAGCCCTAGAATATTTAAGAGTAAATAGATACATAGTAGATGATTCAGGGCTCCACTTTCAACTAACTATTGGCCAATCAAGCGTAATATCACTGCCCAATTAAGGACCGCTGAATCATTGCTTGTACGCCACTACTACTTTGTAGTGAACTAATACTGTTATTCCTCTTGGTAAATCTTATATTCGGGACTCGGTAACTCCGACCCCTAGCCTTATGCACAATGCACAATCTATAACTGCATTAGCTATCAACCAGTTCGGGTCTCTGACGGTCCGCATTGCTATGACTTGTTGCCTCAGAAATAGGGCTCAAATTATGCCTAACAGATAAGGGTGATAATCTAGCCTGATCAAGACTAGTGCCGCATCTCCGAGAAATTGTTGCGGCTGCGCGATTCTCTGGAAAAGCATCTCTACGGCCAGACATTCTCTGAATCACGCTTGAGTTGCACGGTGACTCAATTTTCAGAAATCATGATGTCGGCCCCATGCTCAGTCTTGGGCAGAACTCAACGCAGTCGAGTCCTGCAACGACTCTCACGTTCAAATATTCAACCACATGGACTGCGCACTTCTCTGCTAAATAACAGACTATACACCAATGCCTCCGGACATAAACAACCCTTCAATTCGAACGACGAAGACTCCTTTACCTCGGACAATTCTTGTCAGATCCCAGTTGGTCGTGGCAATAATATGGGACGGCATAAGCCCTCACGGATTCCGAACTACCGCGACAAAGACCACCAAAAGTTCAATAGGGAAGAAGAAGAAATGCTTATGGCGATCGCTTCAGGTTCAGCGGAATCACCCAGGAAACAGATAATGCGCATGGAGATGGACTGGCTGGTTGACCCTCGTGAACTGGCAAGTCGGGTCTCACAACTGCTAAAAGACCAAGATCTATCCAAGGCAGCAGCGCTTGTTCGAGAGTCTCAGAAACAGGGAGTGAAGTGTGTCGTAGCATGGAATTTCCTGATAAAATACTGCCTGGAAAAAGGGTATTCGAGGGTAGCCTACAAGTTCTTCAATGATGTAAGTTCAATTCATCTTTCAATCGTTATGTTAAAAGAGACATGCTGATTCAGTTTTCTCCATCAGATGAAAAAACGAGGTGGTAAACCAAATCCCCAGACGTTTACCGTCTTACTATCCGGTCTCCGCGATTGCCCGTCACGAGGTGAAAGTCAATATATCATCGAGCTTGCAGAATCGATCTATCGATCGATCTCTGCACCAAACTCTTCAGTCAAACTCGATGTGACACATATCAACGTCATGCTTTCGGTTTGCCAGCGGCATGGCGATATGGATGCAATGTGGCGTATTGCTTCAGATTTACCGGAGTCCGGAGCAGCATCCCCCGACATGACTACTTATACCACTATATTGGGGGCTATCCTGTTTGCTGCCCGCACCGATATAGAGAAAATGAAACCATGGCAGGTTGACGAGATCCTGGCGCGAAAGACCCAAATGGTTAAGGAAGGCAAAAGGATCTGGGCCGATGTTGTCTATATGTGGACAAATGATGGATATGTCCTCGACGAGCAAGTTGTGAATGCAATGGCAATGCTGCTGCTTGACGGTGCCACAGAAGGTGACTTTTACGATGTGTTCTCTCTTTATCACCAGACTATGGGAATTCCTCTCTTTGCTAAGCCCCCAACCGATATTTCCAAGGATACTACCTCTCGGAAATACAAAAAGCCAATAAAATCGAAGTACGTGGACGAAACTGTTCCATTTATGAACGAAGATGGCCAAATGATCAGCCTGCGGCAGCATGAATCAGAGACCTTGAAAGTTGAAGATGAGGAGGAAGAAAACTTTGACTCCCTATTTGAACCTGTCGTTCCCGGAAACGAAAACCTGTCTTACATCAAACCTGGGAGTAAAGAACTTACTCTGATCGAGGATGCTTGTTTCAACATGACTCAAGGATCCGCAGCGGGTGTTGCTTATTGGAACCACCTAACGGTTGAGGAAACTCCATACCGTATTGATCCTGACAATCTCGCTATCAATCAATATTTGCGTCTTCTCCGTGTCATGCGATCGAGCAAAAAGGCTGTCGCTGTCCTACGCGATCAAATGATCCCATCCGGCCAAATTAGCGGCAAGTCTTTCCACATTGCCTTGTCCTGCTGCCGCCGCGACATTCAAAACTTTTCAGTCCTCTTGAATGCGAATGAACTTCTGCATCTTATGGGTGAATCTATGGTTCTTCCCGATCCTCGAGTACTCCAAGGATATCTCCAGTTGGTTGGAGCTCTCGCACAAAAACCCCAAATGCTCATGGGCCTGAAAGGACTTGATGTTAATATGAAACGCGGCGCTTCCCGCTTGGATACTCTGGGTAAGGAGCTGCAAGCGAAGCTTCGTTTGTTCACTCATGCTGCGCTCCGTCCCCACTTCTTAAAGCTTCATGAGGCCTTGGAAGGTGGATCGATACGCCAGGTATCTCATTGGAGCGCTGCTTATGAGGAATCTGGGCTTATCATGGCTCAGTCAGCTATCAAGGCCATGGCGTGGGTGCGATTGATGGTTGATGATGTGCTGGCTGTCGAATATAAGGCGCATATCTCGAAGGAGGCGCGTAAGATCCTCGAGGCTGATTCCAAAATGCTGCGAAAGTATTCAAACCAGGAACTGCTTGAAAGATTTGAGGGGAAGACTCTTCGACCCACTACGGCGCAGTGGAACTCATTCCGTGAAGGAAAAGCTGAGAAGTTTGACGAAGCTTCGAAGGAAGTTCAACTGAAGCAGACGAAAAAAGTCCAACCCGAAGAGCAGACGGAAGAAATCTTGGATGCTTCAAGGCATTAACACCTTAATTAGATAGATTGGGGAAATCTCCCTTACTCTTCCATCCTTCCATGTTACACAATTACCAAGAGAACACTTTTCACTCAGGATTTTCAAATCCCTATTGATATCCATGTACCTGTGTTCATTTAGCACGACGGACACTCTCCACTGACTCCAATCTATCAACACTAAAACACTTACGCTACTGCAAGGCCCTTCTGGTGGCCTTTTGAGGGCATCTGCACAAAAAGCACCCATTCACCTATCTTAACCTACAACATTTATCACTACAGAGCAAAAATAAGATTAAATAAAGTACCTATGTACTTCCAAGGTTCGCCTGCGTATTCAGCACAACTCAAGAAACATGGAAGACACAAGAAATAACCATTAAATCCCCATAATTCCCAATCCTCCAGGTCTGTCGAAACCCCCATTCGAGACAGTCAGAACTTTCTGAAAACCGAAGCAGTTAGCCAAGATGAAGTCTTCTGAAGTACATTGACCTGTGAATTATGAAATCCGGTTAGTTTTACTGTTTTGAGTTTAGCGCCCCAATACAACATTCTGTACGCCCTCTGTTGCTCTGGCATAAAAGCCTCCGTGATCTCTTCTTTCTTTCCTTCCTTCCTCATACCCCTCTCTATCTTGTACCGGAGAATGCCGCTCTATCCAACGCCAAGGTCGTTCTGGTCAATGTTGGCTACCACGTCATGTAGTCGCTCCCGGGAGCAGAAACATCGCGATGATCCAGGCCTCTGCATGGTCTTCTCTATCCGCATGACCTGAATCTACATTGCACAGCCCCTGGAGTCTCAGATCGACCCCGTTATTGTCGTCATCGTCGGCCTCTCCAGCCCCGCCGCATACAATTAGTGACCCTTGAATGCACGCTGCAATGATGCTGGCCCATAGCAAATATACCAAATACTCACCTAGTGTCAGCCCATGCTGCATTGTGAGGCCAAAAACCGCAAGGGTACAGTATAGCTAATAGAGATGTGGTTGTTTATGCGGTGGATCGTTGTTTGCGAGAGAGACCCTTTGGCATGTGAGGCAGAGCTGATGCCGAAGGTGTGTCTCGGGGCAGGATACAGTTTCATCACGCATATTTAAACACCCAAGCAGAATTGCCGGCGTGACTGACGCGACACGCACTCATCCCTCGCCCACTAGTAAAGCTCAGGGAGAAAGAAAAGCCTTCCTAGTCGGAAGTGACCAAGCGGTTTAGTCGAAGGAGTGAAGGCTCCATCCAGGTGTACTGGAGCACGACACTTACTAAATCAGGTTTATCTTTAGTAAAAGACCTGGACCAGTACAGTTGCCTGACCAAAATGCATGCCAGTAATCTTGAAGATAGTTGGGTCTTTGTCACCAACATAATGGCGACAATGATTTCATCCGCGGCATCAGAATATCGATCACCGCTGCGAGGCAGTGTTCTTTCGAGTGGGGGGATCGACGGGAGAAATCGAAAAGCCGTCAAGAGATTCCCCCAAGTTGAACTAAGGTGTGTCTCTTCTGTATAATGACCTCGGTCGTGACCTCGTTCCCTATTGCTACAAGCATCGCTCGGAATACGCTGGGGGACTACTAAATAAACTACATCTTTTCTAAGATGCATATATTTCGGAGTCATTCTGATCTTGTTCTGCTGGGCGGTGTACTTAAGGTCAAAGGGCGCTTGTGATACAGTTAGCGTGCCCAAAGTGTACTATTCCCAGTCTGTCTTTCCTTCTACAATGTAGTTTCCCCATGCTCCAGAATCAAGACTTTCCAGTTTCTCATTCACGTTTCCATTTCAACACTTGGTAAAGACTCCAGTCAAAAAACGGTCAGATCATCCCTGGTATCTCAGTTTTCTTCCCTTTTTCTGTACTCTCGTGTCTGCGTTCCAATATGGCCTACCGGAATACTTCAGTATTCTCGTCGCCTTTTGCACTCTCTTCACCGCCACAGTCGCCCAGAAAGCGACGGCATCTATTGAGAGAGTCCGATGAGACCGACGGAATGATCTCCATTGAGCAGTACCTTTACCGCGGAGACCCTTTTCGCTCAACGGATATGGCAGTGGAACTGCCATACCCATTGATCCTGCAGTCCGCCCCTGCTGAGATCACCACGAAGGTCACGTCGTTGTATGAGCAAATACGCGACATACTCCTTGATCATGGGTTCCCCGACGCTAGCTACTTGCAAGCTGCAGTCAACACTGTGACCAAGTTGGGGTACCATTGGGACCCCCAGACCGTCCTTCGTTTGTCATTCGAATATGTCGGCCTTGAGTTCGTTGAGCCTCCAACGCCCCCTAAACGCCTAGGACCAGCCAGGGATGCCATTGTAGAATTCCTGAAGAAAAATGGAGTTCTGATTCACGTTGAGATCATCTTTCCTGACCATGCCTTCATGCCTTGTTTATTCAACCTCTCACCTACTGATCCGACCTTATCCAAATACCGACCAGTTCAAACTTGGGTGCTGGATTACGCTACCAGAGAATTACCCGAAAGCTGGGTATCTGTTTCTTGCTTTGGCGTTGGAAGAACTAAGGAAAAGTCGACACCATCCATTGTCGTCCTCTTTCAGCCGGCGATTGTCTGCGGCTGAAAGAGGACGACAATGGATGGTGTCGACTTTTCCTTAGTTCTTCCAACGCCAAAGCAAGAAACAGATACACAGCAGCACCGATCTTTTCAGATACCATGGCCTTTTTATGAACTGCATGCCGAATAACGAAGATATGCCGAGAAACCAAGACGGACAAATATATTATCGGCTCAAGGGAGAACAAATGCTGAACTTCGGGTCACTTGTCCCCGACGGCTATTACTTCAAATTTGGGCGGACGACGGGAATCACTGTTGGCAAGTGTTGCAGCTTGCAAGTTTGTGTGAACTGGGCAATGACCTCAAACGTGCGATGGGATGAGGAGAAAAAGGTGGTCGACATGAACACCGTCCAGGTAGAGGGATGAGGCATATTGTCGTCAAGTGGCAGTTCTTGTCAGGCTGGTGACTCGGGCGCATGAATCTATTCGTTTGACGGATCGGTTTGCACACTCCTCTATGCCGTTGCTACTCCCCTGGTTGGCCAGTATGCCAACCAGCAGATCGCACTATGCACGCCGATGGATCAACTTCAGGAATGGGTCTCGGAGAAGACGGGCGGTTGCACCCTGGAAATTCCTTGTTAACTTGGTTCCACGCTTATCATTAAGATGACTTCGATGTGTTGGCGAAAAGCCTCTCAAGACAATGAATTATATTAATTACGGAAGCCTGGCCTTTAGCTTACCACGTCCCTGGTCTTCTCACTTTCTAAAACTCCTCTCCACCCTCTTTTCATCAAGTCTTTCACCCTGTGATTGCGCTAAATAATTCTCTATTTCTAGTGTAGTTTTTAGTGTAAGCCCTAGTTTGTTAGATAAAAATGCAGCATATTAGTGTACATAAGCTTTAAAATGGCTCTATATGAAGGCCCGTTACAGCTACAGCAATTACTGGTCTATAGTTATTTTCCTCCTTTAGAATCAATCGTGAGTAGTATTAACCTTAACGAGTCGGCCTCGGAGCGATCGCGTACACAAGCTGCTATTCCATGCAGACCCTTACTATGTATAACTTACCATTTAGAATAGCCAAGATTAATGACCAGGAGTGGAATCTGGAAATACGAGCCGCAAGGTTCGCGAGGTTGATTAGGGGGTCCGGGGTAGGAGAAGAGAAGAGAACTGGGGAAATGTGAGCACATAGAGAGAGGGGCAATAAAGGAGTAGCTTATAAGCGCCCAACTGCGCAGGACGAAGGGGGGCGCCTGGATGGCACTGCATAGGAGCGCCATTTTTGGCGTCGTTTTGGAATCCAAGTTTAAAATCAAGTCTTCAAAAGAAAGTGTATCCCATATTATTTACTGAAGCCTCTTCTCTTGGGACTATATTGGCGACTTCAGGATAGGCGAATATGCTCTATAAACGCTGACACGCAGCCCATGATGGCCCTAACGAGGAGAAATACTACATGGAGCTGAACTACCCATTGAACCCGGATTCGGTTCAATAATGAAGATACTCCATTTGAGTGACAGGAAATTGAGGCGAAGTCAAAATACAATAGAGTCATAAAGGACAATTGTCATAGGCCATGGCACAGGAAAAAAAGAAAGAAAAAAAGACCGAAAATCGAAAATCGAAACCAGAAAATGATATATTCCTTAATCGTCAACTTCAATCAAAGGAGCCCAGCGGCGGACTATTTCTTCCGTCGTGACGTTTGGTCCCATGTTCCAAGTCTCCTGGACTGCATTGCTGCAGTGGGTTGGCTGGGTGCTTGTAGACCCTCTTCCTCCAGTGGTGGTATTTCTTTTTCTGAGCTTCCTTTGAGACCCTCCTGTGGTAGAATTTCTCTTTCTTGGGGTCTTTAGGGTCTTTGGAGGGCGGCTGTCATTGATGTCCTCGTCCTCAACTCGGTCTCTTTTCGGGATGTTTGTTTTAAATCCTTCAAGGTCATCTAACACCCACTCTGCGTCGGAGTATAAATCTCGCAGCCTGGACAATTGTCGCGGTACCTCTTTTCCTAACCGGTCGATTCGGATGCCTGAGAGGGGCCAAAAACGCCGCTCTGATGGTAGCTATGGGGGCACCATGCCAAATTTTTGGCTGCTGAAAAATTTCCAAGTCTGCTCGATCAGTGGTTGGGAAGTCCTCCCAGAGGAAAATGGCGCGGAACAAGCCGCTGTTTGTACCCTCGGGGATGACCCCCTTCTGGACCTGGTGGTCCCTGTAATCTTCCTTCGTCGGCACCGTCCGGGCAATAAGAGCTCCATATTTCTGGGCTTGGAAGCGGGCCTTCCGATCTTCGACTTCAAAGTCAATAAAGTATTGCAGCTCAGAAAGGATGATTATCACCCCGGGGTCGATTCTCCGATCAAAGGCACGATGGCAATTGCAGCATAGTAAGATGGCATTGTGTAGCGAAGTTAATCCAAAGTTGAACAGGCTTTTTTCGAGCCAAACAGAGACCTGTTGATCTGTTAGCTTTTAGGAGGAACAGGAAGACAGGAAATGATTACATACCTGCTGGTCTTCTTTCGCAATAACATGGGCCACTTGAACGGCCATCTTCACACCGCATATCCAGCAAACGTTGTTGCAGAGTTCTTTTACCTTGAGTCCAATTGTATATGAAAATTTTCCCGAATCCTGACTCGACTGTGACAGTGATTTATTGCTTAAGGCAGAAGCAGTTAAGGCAGGCGGAGGCATGGCGGCTCTATCGCGAATTTCTTTTGGTATAACCATGATCAGTTAACAGTAATGGGGGTGATTCTATGATGCTTAGTACTTACAAGGAACCTATCTCCAGGAACTAGGCTGATTTTTTCGAATAGGGCTGTTATTTCCTACTATGTTCCTTCTAAGTTGAGCGAAGGGAAAGTAACTATATGGGATAGCGATAAAGGTAAAGATAACGTCCAGCGTGGTACCGAGTAAACCTAGTAACTCTTTATGAAGAATTATAGCGAACCTCTTATTACTATGTATGTGTAATTATAATAGTCCTCGGCCTTGAAGAATTTACTAAGCTTCACTTCATATTGATAACAGCCTTTTTTATCGTCTTAAAATCTTCAAATACTCCATTCACTAGATCCATGATGTATAAATGATGGCGGATTTATGAATTATTGCTTGCAGTTAGTTTGACCTTTCTAAGTTTATCTTAAGAAACGTAAGGCCTCGAAGCGAAGTAACTTAGGATAGATCGAGGATACTTAGGTAGGAAATTTGTGGTCTATCCTAGGTGAAATTTGATCGGACGATTTAAATTTTCTCATGATAGCTCGAAGAGAGGAAAACTTATGGTCCATCCCCTAGAATGTAAACATTGGCTTGGTCCATGGGTGTAAGGCCTGAATTATCTACACATAGAACATCCATACATGTAAGGACCTCTGGTCAAAGTGCTGGCTTAAAAAATTAGATTTAAACGATCAATCTCCCACGAAATCTCCGGAATAACGATTTATTGCATGGATGTCTTTGTCTACCATAATATAAATAAAAAATTCCCACCAAAACATTAAAGAAAAGGTAAAAAGAATTCCCAATCACCCAAAGAACTAAAAGAAGAATAGGAAGGTTCCAAAAGCAAGAAAAGGCCAGGAAAAATTAAGGAATAAAAGAAAAGGGGAGAAAGAGAAGAGGTTGAAAATGCCATTGAGGATGAGGGTGAAAACCTCGAAGGGACTGGGCATGTCTAATGAAGGTACGTAAGCCGTCGAGGTCAAGGGGAAAGAGAAAGAGTTTCAGCCTAGGCGGCCAAGCTCCGTTGAAAAAGCTCATCGGCATCTATACAGATCCCGGATTTTATTCGCTATTCAGCCTGATTGGAGCTGGTCCTTTGCTCCACTATATGTAAACTACGCAAATCCGCAGTCAACTCGCAGATCACTGAATACGCGTGCCGGCCTTGAAAGTACTTCGGTATTTCTCCGAACCCCTCTTCATTCCTATCACGCAATGATAAACCGAGTGGCATCTTCAAGCTCCCACTGGGTGGGACCTCGGGACGAGCATCTATTGTTGAGCTTTATATTCGATGAAAGAATCGCTACAATTCACACCATGACCAGCGTTAATTCAGATTGTCTCAAGCTACCTAAAGACATCGACAGAAATGACGCTGCTCCAACAACGGAAAAAATGGTATCTGCCCAATTGGTATTCAGCCGTCGATAGCAAAGAGGAGAGGAAATTGATTCTCAAGTTGGACTTGTTGATTGTTCCCTACGCTTTTCTCGCCTATTGGACAAAATACCTTGATCAAGGGAATCTTAGTAAGTTGATGTTCAGTCTTATCCTCTCAGTGCTAACAAGATACTAGATAATGCATACGTCTCCGGGCTCAAGGAAGACTTGAATCTTCAAGGCAATGATTTAGTTCAACTGCAAACTTTTTACACTGTCGGAGCAGTAGTGGGGCAACTACCTTTTTTGTATTTGTTTACAAAACTCCCGATGCATTGGATTATCCCATTGATGGATATCGCATGGGGCATTTTTACTTTGTTGCAATACCGAGTTACAAGATATGCAGAGCTGGCGGCATATCGCTTTTTAGTTGGATGGTTTGAGGTAAGCGATGAGTCTGATTTGTTCAAGAGAAGAGCTCTAATGGATCGAACTTAGGCCGCTTTCTACCCCGGAATGCATTTTATATTTGGTAGATGTTTTTCTCTATAGTGTCTACAAATTGATCGCTGACGGTTTCCAGGCTCGTGGTATCGCAGTGATGAAATTTCCCGCCGGGGAGGTGGGTTTTATGTTGGTCTCACCCTAGGTACAATGACAGCAAGTCTCATCCAAGCCGGAGCATCCAGTCGCCTAGATGGTGTCAATGGTCTCGTAGGATGGAGATGGATGTTCATCATATGCACGATAATCACCATCCCAATTGCAATTGCAGGATTCTTCCTCCTTCCAGGCACGCCCGAGAAGCCAAACAGACTCATTCTCAAGGAAAAAGATATCCAGCTGGCCAAGTCCCGACTTGAGCGAACTTCACACTCCGTCCAAGAAGAGGTACTCACCTGGCGCACTTTCTTGAAGATAGGTCGCAATTGGAAATTTTGGGCTTTCCTCTGGCTCAATATCTTCTTCTGGAATGGCAGTATTAATAGCAGCAGTGGAGGTTATTTGCTATGGCTGAAGAGTCTGAAGAGGTACTCTACCAGTCGACTGAATGAGCTTTCAGCTATATCGCCTGGCCTGGGCATTTTCTATGTCCTCCTGATATGCTTCGCATCTGACTTGTATCTCGGCCCTGCTTGGGCGATCACCGCGGCACATGTATGGAATTCGATCGGGTGCATCATCTTAATAATCTGGGATGTACCGGAGTCTGCAATTTGGTTTGCTTTCTTGACAACTTATTCCGCAGTTGCCATGTCTAGCGTACTTTACGGCTGGATCAATACCCAGCTACGTGCCTCGTCTGTTGAGAGGGCCGTCACTCTGGTTATTGTCAACATGGTTGCCCAGTCGACTACTGTTTGGACACCGCTGCTAGTCTTCAAAACGGTCGAGGGACCGCGGTTCACAAAGGGATATTCTTTTGTTCTTGCCAATGCCATCTGTCTGATTGCACTGGCACATGTCATTCAGCACTATGTCTCTCGAGAAAAGTATGTGGAATAACCTATCTTGATGTGACATTTTCTAACAATGTTTTAGCAAAAATAAAGCAAGCAATGGAGGGGAGGAGTCGACAAGCGATGGCTCGAGTGATATTGAAGCTGGAGTGGATCAGGTGAATACAACAGTGGGCAAGGGGGTCTAGCCTTACAAAGTCTCAATGTTGTGTCTACAGCGTCATAGATACTAATTTTGCGGTACATGCATATGGCGTTTTACGGAAATAACCTTGAAGGCCTGAAAATTAAATGATTCATATTCATTCATTTTAATCTATCTAGATAGGAATCTAGTATTCATTTCGCTCTTGTGTTGTACTTCTAATGTTGACAAGAGCAGTGTCACGCCATCTCACCCGGGATGGTGAAAGATTGTATACTTCAGCCCCTCAATTCGACATTTAAGCCAATTATTCCGATTAATAGTTCAAGAGCAATGATTTAGATATCCATGTATGGTATCCATGCATTATTCCAAACATAGCAACTTTAAAAGTCGGGGCTGCCCCCGGTTGTAAAGGCAGGTGTTGCGCTTTATGTGGAGACAATTGCGAATGCTTCGGTTGCGATAAGCTAGGAAGCCCTGGTCTAGTCCCTCTTGCAACTCAGAGATTATTCGATTATCTGATTATCTACGTACGATGGCGTGAGATACACGTTCAATGCGCAATATACATGCCATGCATGCGGGGGCTGAGGGGGACTTCTCTCCGAGTCTTTGAACCTATTTAGACGGTGCAGTACCAGGTTGCGCGTTCGATTTAAGTTAAGCTGCGGAATTTTCTCTATTGAATTAATAAAGAAGCATATCAATTCAAGAATCACAGTCATGGGAGATACTAGCATAGCCAATGGCCATGAAAATGGCAAGAAACAAATCTTGATTAATGCATTTGACATGTCAACGGTTGGTCATTTATCTACAGGCCAGTGGAAGGTAAGCCAGCTACTTCTCGCAAGTATGGCTCATGTTGACAATTTCAGAATCCAAAGGATAAATCGGCAACCAAGCGCAAGCTCGATTACTGGATTGACCTGGCAAAACTGCTTGAAAGTGGTGGTATCAATGCTCTGTTCCTTGCAGACACAACTGGAGGTTATGATACATATGAGGGTAAGCTGGACGAGTGTATTCGCCGTGCTGCGCAATGGCCAGTGACAGACCCAACAATTGTAAGTGCCTCAAGGATAATGCAGAGGAGAAGGAGCTGACTGTCTATAGCCCATCTCTGCAATGGCAGCTGTGACCAAAAACCTCGCCTTCGGAATCACGGCCTCAACTTCATTTGAGCAGCCGTTCTTACTCGCGAAGCGCTTTTCCACTTTAGATCATCTCACTAATGGTCGAGTGGGTTGGAACATTGTCACTTCGTACAAGAAATTGGCTTTCAAGGCTATTGGTCTCGATACCCCAATTGAGCATGATGAGCGGTATCTGCAAGCTGATGAGTACCTCCGGGTGCTTTACAAGTATGTCATTACCAAACTAAAACAATCCACTCACGTACTGACCTGGTTTTTTCGTTTTTTAGACTTTGGGAGGGTTCCTGGGCACCCGATGCACTTTCTCCCGACCCAGAAAACGACTCATATGTAAACCCTGATAAGGTCCGCTACATCAATCATCAAGGAAAATATTTTTCTTTGAATACACCGCACATTGTCGATCCATCTCCACAGCGAACACCGTTCCTTTTCCAAGCAGGCACGTCGCCAGCCGGATCGGCCTTTGCATCCACCCATGCCGAAGCCATCTTCGTCTCATCCCATTCACCAGAGGTCCTGCGACCTAAGATCGACAGGATTCGAAAACAAGCTGCAGAGTTAGGTCGTGACCCTCAATCAATCAAGTTCTTCGCCACATTCACACCCATAGTGGGAAGAACGGACGAAGAAGCCCAGGCCAAGTACAAGGAGTTGCAAAAGTACGCCTCGGTGGTCGGTGGACTGGTGCTGTTCAGTGGCTGGACAGGTATTGACATCTCAGGTATCCCCCTAGATCAGGAGATTACTGCGGCAGACTCCCTAGCAGCCGGCAGGATCACCAGCCAACTTGATTCCTTGCTCAAGACTAGCGAGTACATTCCTCGCTGGACACCTAGAGTCATTTCTGAAAAGGCTGCCATTGGTGGTCTTGGCCCTGTAGCCATTGGAAGTCCTACCACTGTTGTGGACGAGATGGAGCGATGGGTTCGTGAGGCAGACCTTGACGGTTTCAATATTGCCCATGCTACCACTCCAGGTACCTTTGAGGATCTGATTGAACTGGTCATTCCGGAGCTGAGAAAACGTGGTCTCTACCCCGAGCTGCCAGCTTCTTCTGACGAGCCACTCACTGCCCGTGAAAAGATTTTTGGGAAGGGACAGAAAGAGCTTCGAGCTGACCACCCAGGCAGCCGGTACAAGTATGATGTGTATCAGGAGGACCCACCATTTGTCAAAGAGACTGAAAAGAAAGCTTTGTGATTTCAGCCGGCCGCTATCATTTTTAATTAATAGCCATGGAATCAATTTGCTCTTAGTGAGTACAAGAAAAGAGTAAACAGTTAAATCAAAGTATGAGCCATACATACTTACCGTAAACATAATACACATGTGACAATTTTAAAGTGACTAATTACTGGTAATATTACAGCCTGGTAACCAGCGGCCCGGGATATGTAATGCCACTCTAGCCTTTCCGGGATAGTTCGACCCCATCAACAACTGAACTTCATACCAGTCCTCGAGTGCATCGTTCTGAACAAAACACGCTGCCAACCAGGGAATGCTTTTGTTTTGAACCTTCTAACCCACGCTCACCTAATCACATACCTACAAATCTATGGCTAGTGTACAGTACGGCCATCCTAATGGCGACCTGCATGACGACGAATCCCTCTTTGATGATGATCTGATAGAGGCCGACGATGGTATGCTCTCTTCCCAGATTCTCTTCAGTCTAACGCCCAAAAACCCCTTATATTGTCAGCTAAGATTGATTTCCTCTAGCGCTCGAAGCCGAGGACCCCCTACACGATACCTCCGATACGGCGCCTCTCCGAGGCAACATTGAATCCGAATCAAGCTCGAGAGGTGGACGTGGAGCTGGCTACAACCAATACCTGACCTCCACTATTCCTGGCGAAGACCGTCGCGCGACACAGAATACGATTGATGAGCCTGTCTGGGCAACACTGTCCCGCGACCTGGTTGCCGTTTGGGAAAAGATGCGCCAGGTGCTGTGGCCCAAGTACCTACTTGGAGGCATGATGCAGCGCGGCGGAGGTGGCATCGGCGGTGCTGCCGAGAGAGGCGAGATTGCTGGATTCGGTCAAAACCTGCGCGGGCTCGTTGGGCGCTGGCCGGATGCCGATGTGGTCCTACAAGGTGGTATGAGTGATGGGTTGCGAGACTGGGATCTTTGGTAAGCTACCTATCCCCATTTTATGTCGAGCTTGGGTTATAAACTGACTGTGTTATTGCTTAGGGGTCCTCTTGTCTTCTGCTTGGTTTTAAGCTTATTCCTATCTCTCGCAAAGGGAGATCAATCATCCTTGGTCTTCTCTGGAGTGTTTTGTATCGTTTGGATCGGAGAAGCTGCTGTTACTCTTCAGATAAAGCTTCTTGGTGGCAAAATGTATGCTTTCCCCCCATCTTTTATTGCCATTGCGCGCCATACTAATAAGACAACTCAATCTCTAGCTCTTTCTTCCAGTCAGTCTGCATAATCGGATATACCCTCTTCCCAATGGTCATTGCCGCCATGCTTAGTGCATTGCGCCTTCCTACAATCGCCAGAATACCGGTCTATCTTGTCCTCATGGCCTGGTCCATGGCAGCGGGAGTCAGCATTTTGGGAGGTTCTGGTGTTTTGCGCAACCGTGTAGGCATTGCGGTTTACCCGCTATTCGTGTTTTATGTCTCGATTGGATGCCTTTGCTTCATTAGTTAAGTGGAAGCTTATTGCCTTCCGCTTTTTCCTGGACGTTTCTTGTCCCGACGCGATTATTTGGACTATCATATGAAATTACAGCGCGCAAGTGTATACTGTTTTGTTCTTTCTTTGGTCTCGTAGCAGCGCTATGCATAGCCGTTTCTGATAGAAATGGACGATTATCATGTCAATTAGTTTACGGGCGCATAAACTTCCAGTTCCCTAGTACTAGGGCTCTCTTGCTTCAGTATCATTCAATGGAATTGATCCTCTTCTACTCAATTCATTTTTCCATTTACTCGGGGATGATAGACGGGCGTTTGTCGCTTTGAGCGCAATCGAGTGCGGGGACGTAAGCGGTGACCACGACAACAACCTCCACTTCAACTTCTTCCACTTCGACTTTCCAGTTCCAATTCGGGCATTTTGATTTCCACCCACTTTTTCGTTTGAATACCGCCTTCTCTTCTTGCCGATTATTTTTGCCAACTACTTGTCAAGTTTAAACACTCAAACAGTTTCCACTTTCGACATCCCAGTGCACCGAAGCTTTCTTCTACTCTCTCCTCGAATACCAGCATCACTCTTGAGAGATGACTGGAATTTCCCCCGATATGCCTGCCAAGGCTACTAGTAAGTATCTCCACTCACTCGCTACTCTGTACTGAGTCAGCTTGTTGCCTCGCTTTTTAAATGCTCACATATCTCAATTAGCCAAGAAGCGATCCCGCGATGAATCCTGTGGAGATGACCCCGAAGATGTGGGAGCTCCACGCAAACGATCTCGCGAAGCTACTCCGGAGCAAGTCGCTCAATCTGAAGCCACCCAAGGACCTCTCAAAGCCGGCAACACCAAGAAGCGATCCCACGAGGACTGCAGCGAAGATGATCTCGAAGACGGCGAAGCCCCACGCAAACCACCCCACGAAACCACTCCTGAACAAGTTAATCAGTCCGTAGCCGATTCTACCAAGCCTGCGACGAGCGAAGATACACGCTCAACTGCTACTTCTGGTTCTACCTCGCATTCCAAAATCGTGAGTATTACTCCTACAAGCCCAATCATCAAGCTGGAGGCACGCGACAGTGATAAGGAAGAGGGAATTGACCCCTGGACCTTGGACAACTACGAGCATGACTCGGACTGGGAGACTATCTCGAATGTCTCGACTATCGCCGACAACGACAAGAATGTCTTACCTCCTCCCGACTTCCAATCGACTAACATCGAACGCCAGGCCTCCGATTCTATCAAGCCCGAGACGAGCGAAGACACAGCCTCTGTTCCTGCTTCTGATTCTACTTCGCATCCTGAAAACGTGAGTACTCCCCCCCACCCTGTTATCAAGGTAGACATTAATGAAGAGGAATCCCAGGCGGCCCCGATACCTACCGAAGCTCCCGACAACGGATTTGCCACAAGTGCATTTGCCAAGGCAACATCCAGCTTTGCATCTGTCCCGAAAACATCTGCATTCGGTACCTTTGGAGGCGGATTCTCCAGTGTGGGCGGCGGTTTTAAATCCGCCCCAGGCCTCAGTGGCGGTGGCCTAACCAGCTTCGCAACCACCGACAAGCCCACATTATCCAGCTTTGCTTCCCCGAAAACATCTGCATTCGGAACCCTTGGAACTGAATCTTCGAGTGTGGGCAGCGGTTTCAAATCCGCCTCAAGCCTCGGCAGTGGTTTGACCAGTTTCGCATCTAACGCTAAACCCACATTATCTAGCTTTGCTTCCCCGAAAACATCTGCATTCGGCGCCCTTGGAACTGAATCTTCGAGTGTGGGAAGCAGTTTCAAATCCGCCCAAAATCTCACTGGCGGTCTGACAAGCTTCGCATCTAACGCCAAGCCGACATCATCGAGCTTTAGTTCCTCAAAAACATCTGCATTCGGAACCCTTGGAACCGAACCTTCGAATGTGGGCTGTAGTGTTTTATCCGCTCCAGGCCCCAGTGGTCCTGAAACTGGTGAAGAAGGCGAAACAACTATCTTCACGTGCAAGGGGAAACTATACCACTTCGTCAACAAAGAATGGAAGGAACGTGGCTTCGGAACTTTCAAGGTGAATTCCCGAGAGGACGATGGAAAGAAGGCCGTTCGCATGATCATGCGGGCAGATGGAGCTGGTCGTGTGATGCTCAACAGTCCTATCTTCAAGGGCATGGGCTTCGGTAATCCTAAGAATGAGGCTCCCGAAGGCCGAAGGGTGTTCTTGACGACAACAGAAGAGGGGAGCCCAGTGACCCTGCTTCTTCGGGTGAGTTCCATCTTCCCATTATCCAACTATATTTCAGTCCTAACTTTTCTTTGCAGACTGGAAGCGAGGCCACGGCCATGGAGCTTTTCGAGGTTCTAGAGGAATTACAGTGATGAAAGCCTGCAAGGGCATGATTATGAAGCAATATTATTACCCCACCAAACAAGGGCATACTTATTAATAATCAAGTATCATTATCCCAACTCAATATTATTATCCGAACGAACAGTGGCAAACATATATCTTCCAAGGTTAATTCGCATAAATTCAGCCGAAATGGCCATATTGAGCTGTTTGCATTGTCTCCATATTGGCAGCATGGGTTTTTTACCCATCTCACCAAATACGACCCTACCATCCCAATTGACTACCACCAACAACGCCATATCGACCCTATCAGCACAAATTCGACCATAACCGACAGAGAATAACTAAGCTCTAGCAGACACTAGACTTCTAAGCACCCGCCCAACCGAAATCCTCCATACCACGAGCCAACTCGACCCAACTCAGACAACATCCATACGGCACATCATACTCCCCCTACAACGTAGATAGAAGCTGCAAACCCCAAGAAGAAGTCAACAAAGACATCTCAAAACTGACAGATTACTCTTTTGTCTGAATCTACGGCACAGACTGCGGCCAAGCAAAAGCCCTAGCAACAGCAGCACGTTTGTACTCCATGCAAAAAGTCTCAAAGCCTTCGACGAAGCAGCCACACTACCAAATGGTAAAAAGGACTGGGCCATCTCCCATACAATAGTCATCGGCAACGAGCTAGTCAATAGCAACCTGCATTCTCCGGTTCGTTATAGTAAAGTCCCACCAAACAGGGCATAAATGTAAGAATTAGAGTCCAAGGGCTACCGTAAAGAAGATAAGAACTAATATGAGAAGGCTACCAGAAGACAGGTGTGTGTGGTATCCCATAGGGCTCAATTCCACTAGGGTAATTGGGAACAAGAACAGTTCTTGGAGTCTTCGAAGAGTCCGAAGACCTCAGGGAATAAGTAGGCATTTCTCAAGGGTACTTAAAAGTCCCGAAGATTCGAGAATAGCACGGTGTTCTGCCATTGTAACTTCGAATATAGCAAATAGAGCCTTCAGCTCAGTTTGGATTTCATTGGATTCTTCCATTGTTATTCTGCGTCCAAATTTCCTAAAATTATTCTACTTTTCACATTTGTGAAAGTTGCCTTATCCAAGTGTGTCCAGCCTTCGAATAAGTTTGGGATGATCCAAATTTCTTCAACCGAGCCACAAAGAGTTTTACTGGCTGCAATATGTTCCAGACGGTCAAGGCCTTCACGTGTGAGAAGAAGCAAGATTCTTTTGAAATATCGTGTTGTAGGCTTCTAACGTGTTGCAGTGTATTTGGCGGCAAGTGATGCTGAGCGCTTCCCAATCCTGAGGCTCTAGATACTCACAGATACGAGTCAAAAGCTCTAAAGGCAAGATTGTGATTGAAATTTTGCGTTTATTTGTATACCGAAAGATGTACGATCGGTAACCTTGAATTCGTATGTGAATATTGCTAAGGTTGTTCAATGAGGGAGGGGAACGGGCCGACACCGGAAATCCCGTAGCGGGTCCTCGGCAAACACGGTAACTTCATGTCACTTTACGTACCGGCTTATGATACGGATAGCACAATCCCAGTTACAGCATGAAAAACCATCGTTTTTAGATCTTCGTACTTATAAAACTGATTAAATTTGATCAGATTTAAGAAAATATCATCTAGGAAAGTGTTAATCTATAACTATTTCTCAGACCTTGAATCTCTTATCTGACTTTCGATTCTCTTAATCTTAATTGGAAGACATGGGGATAGAAGCCTTAACAGGCGTTAGGCAGTAGGACTAGCTAGTCTTTCTATCGTGATAATTGGAAACATCTTCGCGACTCGTGATTGATTGTCCAGCACCACAGCGAGAATGATACATAACATTATACCTTCCAACTATCTGACAGATGATTGAGCCTCCATCTCCTCAATTCCCAAGTAAACATGTACCAGAACCATAATTCAATAGGCCATATCTAGGTGTAAATGTGCCAAGGTTGGAGGAATCCAGCATAAAAGGTGGCCGGTGTTGGCCCAATCCGTTCTGGAATGATAGTACACCAGGCTAACGCAAAAGAGACATAATTTTCAGTATTTTCATAAGGATATTTCATCACAACTGTTCCATCCATGGCAGTAATTGACCAAGGGGTGAGCGTCATGCTAAGACAGTCAAGCATTTGATCTGTGTGAATGGAGAATCAGCGTTTGTTATAGGCCGCACATTAAAAACAAAGTAAATAATCAAAAGACACTCACAGCTATGATCCACGATCTGATTTGATCCGCTTTGGCGCTAGTTCCGTACCCATCCCACCTGTTTACCATATGTAGAATTCCATGAAGCATCACTGCGGATGCAACTAGAAATCCGGGGTAAAAGTGGGGCCATATCGAGGCCAAACTCCACTCTTCTCGCTCTATTTCTCCCAGAGTCCTCATTGCTCGTCGTCCGTGATCATAGTAGGCTTGATCAAGTCTCTCTCGTTCATGCTGGACTTATCGCTCTTAGACAGACTGCCTTCCCAGGACCACGACTCAATATCGACAAACTTCAAATTGAAATGGGCATGCTAGATTGCAGAGGCAGCTAGGACATCATTGTGGTGGCCCTCTTTCCATCCCATGGTAGCCGAATGCTAAAGTTTACTTAATAGTCCTATCTTGATCCGTTACTTAATACTTTTATGGACATCATGTGCACGTAGAAGACAGGTATCTAACATGGAAGTTTTGAGATCCTTCCTCTCCAAATCTTTTCTGAGTTTTCACGAGTTCTAGACATCATGAGTGCACCTGAACGACCAAGTGAGGTTTTTTCCTATAGAGAGGGTACTAAGAATATCAATCATTATTCTTGCATTCTTGATTGTTAGGGAGGTTGGCATGTGGCATTATGGACTACGAAAAGTAAATCCGCAAGCCGTCGTAGTCCATAATCGCCAATTAGCCACAAAACCATCAGATTCACTAATTTACTTTGCGGGGGTTGTGATGAGTGAAACCTACCTCAGCCACTGGAATTGTATCAGAGGGCTTGTCCCCGATCTCCAGCTCTCGGCCTCGGCTGGTAAGTAGCTCTACCCGAGCCACCGTAGACCCATCGCTCCTTGTTTGTTAGCCAGACAAGCAAACGGGTCACTCTTTCCCCCAGGCGAGGCTCAATAGATTGAGTTCCCGCGCTCTTGGACAAGTCTCCATGGATTTCTTCGCTTTTCTTGTTGAAGAACCCTAGCTTGATAGCATTCAGGCTCTTCCCGTTCCGACCAATCTCAATATGGCGGACCAGGCCGTCATCGCCGTATGCGTTGAACGGCTTACCGTCGTTGATGCGTCCAACTGGGTTGCTCCCGGTCAGCGGAAGATCGCTGATACTTTTGCCGCTCTAGATCTTAGCACTTGGATCCGCCCAAAGTCTCTCAGAAAGCGCTGAGGGGGCCATTTCCTTTTTGCTTCGATTCCGGAGAACGAGATCAATGAAGGGTAGAAGTGAGGTTATCAATGATCATTTCTAACTAATAAAGGAGTACTTAATTAACACAAGATATGGCTGGAGAACAAAGGGGTACATCTGTTGACAGACTCAGAATCCTTGGGTGGATCAAGGCTATGCTTATATGTTTTAGTCTCCCATCACTTCTACTTCCAAGGTTTTCTTGCTCTGGGACCTTGACCTTGCATTGAAAAAGGCGGTGGGTGGTCCAGCATGCGCAGATAAAGCCGTGACGTTCGTCATACATCTCTCCGTATGTAGGGTTGCATCATACATGGAATTTTTAAAGCGCATGACCATGGAAATAATCAATGCGAATTCTGGCGGTAGGTGAAGTTCTCCCAGTAGCCAACAGGGTGTCAAAGTAATTGTACCCACAGAGCAATCAACAAAAGTGAGAACCTCAAACATTACAAAAATTCAGTAAAGAGATCTATAGACATGGCGATGTACTCCGTGAGCCAAACCCGGGATGCCGACCGGGTGGTGAGACCAGAAGCCGAAGTGGGGCCGATAGTGGCTTGATGGCTGTCAAAAGGACGACAAAAATTTTGACCCCTGGCGTCACTGTTGATTGGAAATAGGCCTGGTCTCAAACTGTGGAAAAATAAGGGGCAGTTCACGGAGCAGTAGAACAGAAGGGGTGTCGAGGAATTGGTCATTCGTTTTGCATGAAGTATGGATGCTGACAATTGGTGCTGACATTGGTGCTGACATTGGTGCTGACATTGGTGCTGACATTGATGCTGACATTGATTGGATGCTGATATTGGATGCTGATATTGGATGCTGATGCTTATCACCATTTCTCAGCATCTTATCTATCAGGGCCTAGAGCATGGCTCCGAGGTAGAATAGAAGCCAGGGATTCTTCTTTTGGACCGCTTCCAATGTGCCTTCATTTTGAGTTTGCTGAATTGGATGTCCTAGCATCTGTTTTGAATTCGTTCCAATATTTGGGTTGCGAGCTGCATCTGCGCCCTCCTTGGGAATTTGCGATTCGGGCATGATTGTCTTTTTGAAGAATGAATTGACGTATGGATTAAATATTGAGTCGATACTAAGAATCAATTGCTAATGGTTATCCATTGATAGTATTGGAGGTGTTGTAATTGACTAGATTTCAAGGTGATGGATAGAGAAGAAAGTCAGTATATACAGGGACTTCCTGTTATTTATATACTCCATGAAGCGTGGATTTCAATGGACCGACAATCGTAAAATTGCAAATCGCATGATCAAGATTGAATCAGGAGAGATCAGGCGATGAGATATAAAAAGAAATGAAATTCCTAGAAGGATCTATGCATAGCTTCGTTTCTTACGTGAATTGCATCAGGCCATGAAGATATCGACTGATCCGACGGGTCCAAGCACTGGAAACTTACACATCAGTCGAGCTAGGAAAGCTTATATTCCAATCCTGAAGAGCACTTTTGACCAGAAAGATAGAGAAGACAAGTTGAGAGATTAGAAGGATCAACCTCCAGGGCTTGGAATACATCGCATCAGCTGTTTTTCATATCAAAATGGGTTGACATGACATGGGTAGAGCGAACCTCGAACATAACTCTACTGTTAATAGCAGAATTTTGTAGTGGGCCTATCTAGCCAAGTACGGAGTAGGCAAAGCCCACAACCCTTCACACGTAGTGTCAAGCTGAATTAAAATCATCCGATATATAACCGGTGAGGGTTATCAAGTAGTTGAAGAGTATTCAAAGATGCCCTCTACTTTTTATGGTCCCAAAAGTGCTACATGCTAAAAATATTCCCAATAAGCACAGGATCTACTGATAGTTATGTGTACAGTCCTTATATCAGAATGGAGAAATAAGAGGGGAAGGAAGATAGGATAGATTGCCAGGGAGTTATGTGTATTCAACGAATATTTACAGGCAGAATATCATTTCCACCGAACCAGAACTAATAAGCAAACCTAGGTATCACCGTGTATAGCTGCTAAACAACAGTTCTGACGTAGGCGAGGTATAGAGTAGCCCCATTTGAAGCTGCCCTTGTACACGCGAGATAAGTGTAAAGACTATTCTTCCTGTTGCTCTCAAAAACTTGGAAGGTTTAAATAAACCTGGAATGTTCAATCGTAATACACATATTCAATTATCACATCTAACTAAGTACGGTATAATGGGTGTCCCACATCATCAATGGATGTATGCCATCTCGGGAGAACCCGCAGGACATAAATCTAGTACTCAGTGGTTAAAGAGAAATAAATCCCGGTTGATATAAGCACTTCTTCGGCGCGACCGCGGCCATGAAAGGGCCGGATCGCAATTTGACATCCGTGCTATGGAGAGAAAAGAACAGAACAGAAAACTGAATAATAGCAATTAGTCCATAAGAAATGAGAATAGACTACGACATCTTGAAATTCATATCGATATCATTTTTTGTGCTAACTCAATGCAGTATGAGAAAAGCCCAGTAAGACCCAAACCAAAACCAAGCACTTTAACGGTAGGACTTTTGGTAACGGGCGCGGGCACCACGACCTCCGAACTTCTTGGGCTCTGCGCGACGGTTGTCGGCAACAAGCAAGGTGCGGTCGTACTGGACGAAGGCCTGCTTGAGCTGGTTCTTGGAGTGCTCATCGACGTACTTCTGGTAGTATGCGACGATGGACTTGGCAACGGCCTGACGGATAGCGTAGACCTGGGAAGTGTGACCACCACCGGTGACACGGACACGGATGTCGACACCGGCGAACTTGTCAACACCGACGATCAGGAGGGGCTCGTAGACCTATTTGATGAACGTGTCAGAAAGCCAAATTTCGAGATAAAGCCGATGCCTTTGTTTTGGCGTATTCTCTTGCGAGATTGCTTTCATAACTTCCATGCGGTAGTTGGGTTTGGTGAAGAAGATCATACCTTGTAGCGGAGGATCTCGGGCTGGACCAGGGAGATGGGTTGGCCGTTAACCTTGATGAGGCCCTTGCCTTGCTGTAAATCGAAAAGTCTCAGCATGCTGTTATTCCATTCGTTTGTGGGTGTGTGTGATTTTCCCAATGCGCTATCCTTGCAGTCGAACATGCCCCCAGAATCTGATCAAAGGTCCATCCATCAAAATTTTGCCATGACTTCCACACATCCTCTCACAATAATTCCAAGGGGCAGGTTGACTGGCGTAGGGAGCGTATATATCGAAGGGTAGATTTGCGTCTTCATACCTTGCAGTGGGCGACAGCGGTGGCTATTGAAAAGTTGATCAGCAAACATCATCCTTCAATTCTAGGAATTAAATTCCAGAAATGAGACTCACCGGTCTTCTTCTTGCCGAAGCATTGCACACTCGGGACGGAAGCCATGGTGAATAGAATGGCCCTTGTCGGTGTCGATTTGGGAGTGTGTTGTCGCGAGAGATGGAAAAGAGTCGGCCGCGAATTCCCACACTACAGCGATTCGCCTGAATTGCCATTCGGTGCGGGTTTCGCTTATGTTACACTAGTACTAATTAGGTTAGAACGCTAGGGCTTGGTCACATGATTGGTATCACGTGACATGGAAAGCGCGGAGTTTGGAGTTCGAGAACTTCGGGCCCATTGATAGCAGGTTGAGTTGCTTTACATTGGTCCACTTACTCTTCCCCATACTTGCGCTTGTCATTACTCAACTCGGACATCATGTCGCAAACAGTTGGCAAGGTTAGTTCTATTCAATTCCCCAATACCCCAGCTTCCTATGGCGGAGGAACAAATAGTAGCTCAAAGATATGCATCTCCAGACCCGCCTGGCCTACTCCCGCACATGGCACTATGTCGATGCTGGTTCTGACCCCCGTTCCCTTGGTCGTCTGGCCTCGTCGATTGCCCTTGTCCTGATGGGTAAACACAAGCCGATCTACGACCCCTCGACTGACTGCGGCGACTATGTTGTTGTTGCTGGTTGCCATGACCTCCGGACAACGGGAAAGAAGCGATTCCAGAAGATGTACTATTCGCACAACACTCGCCCTGGTAGTCTGCGCAGCATGACAATGGATGAAATGTTTTCCAAGTGGGGTGGTGGTGAGGTCTTGCGTCGCGCAGTGAAGGGCATGTTGCCTAAGAACCGGCTGCAAGATCCTCGGTTGGCTCGTCTGAAGAGTGAGTTTACAGACTACAGACGAAAAGATTTCTGATTGTGGGAGACTAACATATATTATTCACAGCCTTCGAGGGTCTCGCGCATCCTTATAAGCAGAATATCGTCAAGTTCGGCAACAAATCTGTCTTGGGTCAGCTTGAAGTTGAAAATACTTTCAAGACCGCCCAAGAAACCAAGCCCTCGGCTTAAATATCGTTATATCTCCTCTTGTTCGCATATCCTCATCTACAACCACCACCCCCCTTCAAACCCAACTGAGTTTCAAGTGAACTTGACTGTGTAATTTATTTTTGTTTTATGATAAGCGCATGGGTGTGGAGTCCATTTTTTGTCAATTCCTTTCTGATTGACTCTCTTTCGATCTACTCTTTTCTTCCAAATGTCAATGACAGAGAGCTTCAACTACTTGCCATTATCCTGATATGTACTATAGAAAGAACCAATTGAAAAATAAGTATATCTTGAAACATTTAAACTGTCATTGGGCCATGCCCTGCACTGCCGGAGGTATATAGAAAGAGATTTATGTACAAAACGAAGTCATGCCTAAACAAATATTTACAGCTTAGCTTTAGCGCCAGCACGACCAATAGTGCACTTGATAAGACCGTTGGGGTTGGACTGGGGAGCGTAAACCTCAGCATCCTTGCCAGTGTTCTGGAGACCGTTGTGCCAGCTGAGATCAATCTCAAAGTAGTGTTTGTTGGGCAGCTCATAGGTCACAGTTTCAAGCAGAGGCTGCTTGGCAAGAATCGACTCGCCCATGTTGTACATGGTGGCCTGGACACTGGGGCTGTTCTCCTCAGCAAATGTCTTGAGGGTGATGTTGCGGGCAGTCTCCCAGGTAGCATCGAAGGAAGTGCCGACAGCCTTGACCTCAGCCAGGTTGGCGAAGTTGCGCCACTGCCAGTTGGCAGTAACGTCGGTGCTGAGAATACGGTCCCAGGTCTCCTTGAGAGTGGTGAACTCGTCGCGAACAAAGCCCCAGAATTGAGAGGCAGTGCTCTTGAGGACGGTCAGGCCGTTGATAGCCGAGTTGACGGTAATGCCCTTGCCCTCGACAACGTCGACCTGCACATTGCGGGTCTCACCGCCCTCCTTGATGAACGAGTGAGGGTGCGGCTTGCCATCGATTTCCATGCGCACCCAGCGGTGGGTGATGATGTTGACATGCGCAGAGTGGATGTGGCTGTACTTTTCGATGAAGTGGGTGCCCAGGATAGCGCCGAACACCTCTGGGGTGGTAACGGATTCTTGCTTGGCTTTGATGTAGATGGTATTCTTGATCGAGTCGGTAGCAACTATGACGCTGTTATCGGCCTTGGTGTAACTGTGCAGAGTCAATTGTTAGCTTACTGTCCTCACTTTCTCCTGGGTCATTTGATAAGGACTTACGAGGTCTCAATGTCACCCTCAAGGAGCACACAAACGGTCATCTCGACGACGGTCTGTATACCGGTCTTCTGATCGCGATGGACCTTGTACACGCGGACATTGTCCTTTCCGTAGCGGGCAGCAGCAAGAGCACTCATTGTGAAGGTTGGAGATAAGGATGAAGATGGGGCTGAAGGCAAAAAGGTGTAGAAAAGGTGTGAAAAGTTGCACAAACCGCTTGATAGAGTAGGAGAAATTGTGTAGATGATTTCTAGAGCAGCAGCGACCAAACTATTTATTCTGAAGGTAAAAAATGGGCTGATCGAACCGTACAGCGCTCAGTAGCGAAAGGTATCGGGCAGCTCCGATGCCCGTTCCCTTATCCCCACTGTTTCAATCTTATCGGCTGATAAGATGATCTATTCATTATGACCTAGATTGAGGATCACATATCAAATAAGAAGATAGTATCTCTTCGTCTCTTCATCAATTGTTACTATTGTTGATATTAAAATTCAACTTGGTTCAGAGTATAGGCCTTGAGGTTGAATTGTTCTTCTCGACTTCCCCCAGATTTCGGGGATTCTCAAATGCTTAAATTAGGTCATCTATTTTCCGAATGCCGAATACCGAAAGTCCGGCGTCCGAATTCAAATCCCTTTTCTTTGTTAGCTTCGTATCCTGATGATGTTCAAGCCCTAGCCTCCACTTTTCGGCGATCTGCACCTGGGCAGCTAAGTGTGTCATGTAGATGACAATTGATTTAATGATCTTCCATTTATGCACATTTTAGGAGCATATAGTATATATTTGTGTCAATTTATGTTAAGGGTGCCATGAGATAACATTGTATGCTACCTGGGTAGGTAAACTGATACCTACATCCATCATGTACCTCATAATGCGACTTTGAGACTTACCGCCTTATGGTCCTAGCTTATTAAAGTGGGGCTTTGTCAAACTGCTGGTATTTTCATGAGCTTGTTCATCTTACCGCCTACTATATTTGTAATTCCTATACTACAATAATCCCACCTCGAAACTTATCACTATCTTTCTGCTTCTATAGATCTTTCTTCTCCTTCACCTAAAAATTGGCTATTCGTTACTACATGTTACAAGAGAAGAGTCTGAGGAGAGGGTTTGAAGGTGATGAAGATGAGATTGAAGAATTTGAAGATCAGGTGGACGTAGGTTTGTAGTAGATATCAGATCGAGTCAAGAATGGCTTCGGTCTTGAATCCAGACTTATCAAACGAATTTTATCATTGTATTCAATTATCCAAGGATCATTCTTTTCCAGAACCAAGCAATGAATGTCAATGCGCCTAGCTAACGTCCGTATCCAGTCAACAATATGGCCTAAAAAATCATACTCTGTCTGAGATCGGCTAGCGAATTCGCTATACCACTCTTCTCGAGCCCCTTTTTTCCGTCACCTAAAAAGTGACATGAATTGAAATTTTCTAGGCTGATCTAGTGAAGAATCGTTATTAATCCATCCTTGGTTTCCTGGAATTACAGGAGCCCAAGGCGAATTGTGAAACGCCGTGTAGATATGCTTTTAATTTGTGGTTCTTCTTTATTAGCCTTCGAATTGTTGAAGTCCTCAAATATAATAAATTTACTGCCAATATTCTCCAACAGCATGGTCAAATGAGTGTTGGTCGTTTTCCGAGACATCAAAGACTGTGATATCTAATTCTCCATAACAAACATGCGACATTTCTGGACGGTAGCTTGGTCTGATGGGTATATCTTGTATAGTATCTCCACATTCATTGAAGAAGGGTTGAATGGCCTGATGAAATTGTGCTTGAACATCTGCGACCGGCTCTTTTGGGAGTGTCTCCTGTAGAACCTCTTCGAAAACGGTAGCGTGTCAGTAAATCAATATCCTGGCTAAGTACGGAACCTTAGAAGCTAAAAATACCTATAAATAGTGAAATTCTAATACTATCTCCGGTATTCTTCTTATCTTTAGCCCAAAAAAAACATCGAGGCTCTTTTAGCCCCTGCTTTCCTATCTCCCACAACTGCCTTCGAAGAGTACAGAAAGATTGATGCACCAGTAGGCTCCGAACACTGAAAGAAATCCATTCCATATAGGAGTGGAAGCCATAGTATCGCCGAGGTAAATGATACTGAGTAATATTTCTCATCTGGTACCAATAACCATTAGGGCCACAAGAAATCCGCTGAGGAGGGCTCCTTCTTGATAATGCCAATGAGTTTTTGTGGGTATCGTCTATACGATTGATGCTTTCAGATTGACTCACGCTATATTTGGACTTTGTAGGGACTTGAAAAATAGGGTGACGTAGTTGAGGCAGTGTGGAGATTGGAAGATTGTCTGGAAGCTGTAGCCAAGAAGTTTCGGAAGATATTTGATTCAGCTGGACTGTAGGCCCAGCCCAAACATCTTTTTCCTGCCCGATTAACCATCTCTGCTATATGGTTTCAAAGATAATGGAAATCGACTTCAAGATATTGGAGACTAATTACTGCTCTGCTGATCTTGTCTCCAGAAAAGCAAACCAATAAAGAACGAACATTCAGAAGTAAGGTCCGCATTTAACTATTCTCTAGAGCAATATATTAAATTAGACTCGGACTCGGTGGTACCATCAATGCTGTTATAGATGGAAAATAAATTTGCCCACTCGGACTTCAAGCCTGCTGTCCTGTCAATCCCAGTTTGATGTGATAAATCAAACTCAAAGGAGACTATCTCAAGACAACTTTCAAAGTTGCCGAGAATTTAAGGGGAGAGCAAGCTTTATACAGCGGCTGTAAACAGCACTGACATAACCTAGGATCATGCTGAAGCCCATAGAGTATTGGAAAAGTTTCCAACTATGACCATCACTCCATTGGATGAGAACCATGATATCTTGATATGGCAAAATCCGGTGACCGTGGTCTACTCGAGCCCAGTAGAGTCTTTGAAAACCAGGCATAGTAGATATTAATCTCAAGGATTTTTGACATAGGATTGATTCTGGCCGGATGGCTCGCAGATATCAACTCCCGTGTGGCATTTGAATTGGAGAATGCTAAGGACCGGATTCGATGGCAGCTGGTCCACTTCTTTTGACTAGAAAAGTACGTTGCTAAGGCAAGGCGGGATAGTAATAGGTTCAGTATCCATCGATCCGAAGTTGACAAAGAAACGAGTAAACAGTGAGCACTGCAGCAGGGCTGCGAAATTTGAATAAAATTAAAAATTTGCAAGTTCAAAAATGCCAAAAATGTGCCGGGAAAATAACCGTTAACGTTAATACTAACGGGCGTAGCTTAATTATATTATGTCTCAAGTGGGGGGACATAGGTGAACAAAGTACAGTACGTAAAGTATTTAGTTACCTATACTAAATGCCAAAAATTCAAAAATTTATATCGCAAGAGATATTGTCGGTATACAGACTTCTAAGTTTTGCCGACCATCTAACATAACGATACCGGTGGACGCCACCTAGCTGCTGGGCATGGTGTGTCAATGATAAAATGATGACATTGAAGCCGGGTCTACCCATGGACCTAGATGCCATGACTGTCAACCTGTTCAGCACTAGATAGACATGTATTCAGACGAGCTTTTCCTATAATGAAAGGACCAGCTCCGTCATGATTTGACTCTCAGGAAGTTGACACTAGCTGTCAACTTTCAGAGTGTTCTAGTCAATTAGAATATGAACGAATGGTGCATTGATTCCAACTAAATAGCGGTTTTGGAACAATGGATGCTTTTACCTGGGTATGATTTTATCAATCATGAAACTTTGAAATGATCTGGGAATTCACATTGTACGCATACAATATGATCCCCGGGGCCAACCTAGCTACGTATCACAGCCCCAGAATTGTATCATCCAGGCTTGTTAGTAATTCCAAGATTATCCACACTGCCAATGGAACAAAGGTCTTTCAATAATCTGTTGTATTAGTTTCTTTGCATTTATAAGAAATGATCATTTTTATCCTTAGATGGCATACCTGCCACCTGGGAAGCTGGGTATCAATATCACAGATCTCAAAGGCCTGGAATTTTAAGGTTCCAAGACATGTACACCTGGGAAGTATCATGAATCTTCCAATTATACAGGACCCTTTCCAGGTCATTCCCTTCCAAGTCCTGGAGGTTCAGGGACTTCGTACTCCGGCCCCAGCGGCCAAAGCTTAGCCTGATTCATAATTCACGAATAGGATGTAAGACTGTCTCAAGGTTTTTGCTTTAATCCCGATCTGTTGCATTTTCAGGTCCGGGGGTCCTGGATCTTGCATAGAGAGACAAACTTCTTCAGCAGTTCGATGTTTCCCTATATCTACCTTGTCCCCGTGAGATTCCTGTCGTTTGTAATGAACCTTGGAATTTCATTGCGTTGCAGGTAACTGGGTCGGACCTCAGTTCTGTTTATCATGGAAACTACAGCTTTCAAGTTGATACCGCGTAGACGACCTCCATGGCTATTAGGTTTACGATCTTCGACAACATTCATCATTATAACAGTCTGGATGTCTACATTTACAGTATGTATCACCACCGGATCTGTTCCCTAAATGCTAACAGGTGTCTCAAAGGAATTCTTCCTATACGCCATGGTAAGTACTATAAACCCAGATATTCGTATTGGAACCATAAATAACAACCTCAGATCGTACCAGTGATGCCAACGGCACTGTCAGTATTCCTACAATCCTAGTATCTGCCAAAGACTAACGCCCCAAAAAGCATGACACGAGCAAAGGTCAAATACGAAGATCGTTCGTCCAACCCTTTCCAATAAAAAAGCCTACTCACAAAAAAATAGAAGAATACTGGATCAGTATCCTACTCGCAAGCGAAGCCGGAACAGCCCTCCTTTTCTGCCCCATATTCGGCTACTTCGTCGACCGAACCCGCACACGCAAAGCCCCATTCATATGCGCGCTCACCCTACTAGCCGGCTGCATGGTAATACTGCATATATCGCACTCACTGACACTTTTCATGGTAAGTAGAGCGTTAGAAGGCTGCGCGAGTGCATTGGCAGTTGTGTCGTCGTTCGCGTTGCTAAGCGATTCTGTCCTTCAAGAATATCTTGGTCAGACTATTGGGCTTGTGGGGTCTGCTATTGCGTGTGGGTTTTTGTTTGGCCCTTTTCTTGGCGGATTACTTTTTCATAATTGCGGCTATGATGCTGTTTTTTATGCTGCTTATTTGCTTGTTTTAGTTGACTTGGTGTTGAGGACTGGCATGATTGAAAAGAAGGTTGCTTCTTCGTATCTCAGCTCTGAGAATGGGATCGAGTTTGAGTCGGCGGAGCCGGGCCTTGAACAGAGGGATATGGGCTTTGCTTTGTTCAAGATTCTTCGGCAGCGCCGGGTTTTGATTTCTTCTTGGGGGCTTTTAGTGCAGGGTATCCTGCTGTCTGCATTTGATACTGTTTGTGGTTTCTGCGATGGCAAATGTTCAAGACTGACCTCTTACAGACACTTTCTATCTTCGTTGAGACGCGATATGGCTGGTCCACACTTGGCATGGGTTTGATTTTCCTCCCACTGGGTATAACAGCTTTCTTCCAGCCATTGTTTGGTTTGTTCCACCCATTCATTTCAAGACATTGTACTTACCTGTTCTTATACAGGTTCCATCACAGATCGCCACGGTGCTCGCATCATGGCATTCACATGTTTCTTCCTCCTATCGCCAGCCCTCATCTGCCTCGGGTTCGTAGAGAAAAACTCCACAGAATCAATCACACTGTTAATCATCTTACTCACCATCATCGGCATCTTCATCCACGCCTGCACACCGGCAATGTACGTCGAGACGCAACTTACACTAGCCGCTATGGAACTCAAGGATCCAGGTCTATTTGGGCCCAAGAGTGCCGTGGCGCAGGGATTTGGTCTACAAAGCATGTGCCAATTCGCGGGTCTATTCTTCGGACCGCTTTGGGGTGGATTTGTGGAGTATAGGTTTGGGTGGGGCGTTATGACGGGGACTCTCGGTGTCTTGACTTTACTCACTGCTTTGCCGATGCTTTGGCTGAGTGGTACTGAGATCCAGGACGAAGAAAGACAACCTTTGTTAAACTCGTGAACTTAAGATTTATGGACTGAACGGAGTAGTGGAGGAAGAAGCTGTCTGATAGTCAGATCTGGCAAGTAGATAGAGTTATGTCATCGCTTGGCCTTGCCCTTTTCGGGTATCGGCTGTACCTTCAACGTCGGAGGACTTCAGTAGAAAGTACATAGCCCTTATACCTTTGGTATAAGGGCGCCTGATATCCTGTGTATCTTAGATAAATAATCATTCATCAATGTCTTCTCTATTCACTCGCTCTTTGGTACGACAGGCTTTTATGAGAAGCTTTTCTCGTCCAGCCTGCAATGTTAGTAACACAATCCCAAGCATAGCCTTAAGGTCTAACTATCCAAAGACCTCATCTTCAATCGGCTTTCAAAGATCCGATCTCAGTAAAGGCCAATTCCAGTTCCAATCACCCAAAAAGCCAACCACAATCCAAAAAGTCATGGCTCTACATACACAACCTCATCCTAAACAAAAATACAAATACCTACCAGAAACAACCACCCACAAAGCCACAATCCTCGGATTTCCATCCCGCTGCTCAACCTTTCCAGCCCTATATGAAGCAACATGTGCCGAGATCATCGATCTAGCTGGCACAATCGCCTTCTTCGAACCAGTATGGCTACACGTCAGACCAGAAGATGAGCCGCGCGCAAAAGAACTAGTCGCAAAGCGCATGGCTTCAGCATCGGCGACTGAAAAGGCTCGTGTAACTCTCATTCCCCTTCCGATTAATCATTGCTGGGTTCGTGATACGGGGCCAGTTTATGTGCGTGGTGAAGATGGGCGGCGCTTTGCGATTGACTTTCGGTTTTGTGAGTGGGGGAATAAGATTGATCAGCTAATTTATACTTCCTCCGAGTCCGAGTGGCCTGTTATGAACGAAGAGCGACAGAAGGAGAATGCCACCTTCGCTTGCCGGGTGCTAGAGCGCGAGAATTCCGTCCCTGGTTCAAATCCAGTGACGAGAGTCGAATCAGCCGTCCGGCTTGAAGGTGGCGGGATCGAACTAGACGGTCAAGGAACACTCATGGCAACAGAAAGCAGCGTGCTCGTCCCATCGCGAAATGCAGACCTCTCCCGCTCAGCCGTCGAGGCCGAATTACACCGGCTACTAGGTGTAACGAAGTTCATCTGGATCCCAGGTCGTGAAGGGCTCGATATAACAGATTGCCACATCGACGCCGAAGCACGCTTTATCGCACCGTGTGTTGTGGTGCTCTGTAAACCGCATCCAAGCTGTGAGGCTGTATACTGGGACATCTACCGTGAAGCGCGCGCGATACTTGATACAGTCACTGATGCGCACGGCCGTCGATTGCAGATTTATGATATTGAGGAGCCAGATCCAGAGCTTGTCAGGGGCCAGGGTGGAGTTGTTCCCGGTGAGGAGGATATGCCTGCGGCTTCTTACGTTAATTTCTACTTTACCAATGGGGGTTTGGTCGTGCCGGCTTTTGGGGATGCCGAGGCTGATTTGAGGGCTTTTGAGCTTTTGAAGAGCCTTGTCCCTAGGAGGGTGGTTAGACAGGTTTTTGTTAATGCGTTACCTAGGACTGGGGGTGTGTTGCACTGTGCTACGCAGCAGGTGCTTTGATGTTGATATTGGATTGAATTGGATATTTCTTTTTGTCATATGTTTTTCACTCTTACCGAGGCATAGACGCTGATCAGATAGAAAAAGGTAAGGTGTAAGGTGTAAGATCTAGTAAAATTAAATTTGAGAATACTCGAGTCATACAATCGATTGTATTGGATCAAGGAATGTGACTCGAGGTCCTCAGGAAGAAAGCCGAGATAATTCAGTAATTCAAATCTAAGAATCATCTAGCCTATACAGAGTACTTCGCACAGCTGATCAAGAGTGGTTGCGATTAATGATGGATTCTCTCATATAAGTTCCCCAAACCGCCCAGAGGGTATGCCGCAATGTAAGAAACAGGTGTAATGTATATCTTTTTATCTTTTCTTGCACCAAGAAAAGCAAGCACAAACTCAAGTGAGGTAGAAGAAAGAAGAGGCCAGAACTCTAGGCAAAAGAATATGCCAATCAAGGAAAAGAAAAAAAGAACCAAGCGCCAGAAACGAAACACCCCCGGAAATTGAACTTCTGGTTCGAATCAAATAGACATAAATGTAAACGGTCATGATAGCACAGAGAAAGTAATAGTCAATCTCGGGGTATGTTCATTTTCATCTCCATCTTGATCTCCATCTTGATCTCCATCCCCCACACTTTCTTCCCCAGTGAAAAGAAAACGTGCGATAAGACTCCACTTTTGCCAAAGTCTCCCCACTTTTCGTAGCTAAGCAAGACAACATGCCTCTCACACCGACCGATCAATCTCAAAGACTCAACTGATCAATACTCCCAACACGACCTCCCCCACCTAACCGCCCACCCCCATTCGTCACCATACCAAGCCGATAGAAACGTTCCTCGCCAGCCGGAGTCCGGCCGCCAATATACCACTTCTCAGCTCCGAGGGCATCGTAGAACCCGCCCGAACCACTTGACGAGTCACTACCTCTCCGCTGGCGGTCCGGACCAGTTACTGTGCCCGAGCCATGGTTTATCGGAATGGGAGTTGACGTTGAGGATGATGACGCTGGGGGCGGGGCTGTTAGCGGGTCCGTTGTGTGATGGTATTGATGCGGTGTAGCAGCTGGACTTGAGGTGTGGTGGTGATTGTGGTGCGAGTGTGAGTGCGAGTGGGTTGTAGTTGTGGCTTTGGTCGCGATGGCGCGGGCTGATTGTGTGATGGACTGTGCGGATGGGAGGGTGTTAGTTGATTGGGAGGTCACTGTTGCTGCTTTGTAGGTTGACTGGGCGCGGAACGCGGCTAGGAAGTTGGCTAGGAATGGTCTGTTGGTGGACATCTTGAGGATCTTTAATTTTTATCGGAAGAGTAGTCTGTGGGGTGAGGCTTTGATTAAATAGTTGTAGTTGTCAGTAGTGGAGTCTGGATTATAATCGGGTTACTCCGTATTCGCCGCTTTTAATATATCACGTGTTTGATAGAAAAAACCGATATATGGCTCTCTTAGTCTACTTTCCCCCTCTCCCCTAAAAAAAGCAGCAGGACTTTGAGGCATAAACTAGTATTTCACGGATGATATTTTCTAAGAAAGCGGAGTTATGGAGGGGTTGGAATGGCGGGGTTGAATGTATATGGCTAGAGGAAATCCCGAGAGTCGCGATGTTCCAATCAGAGTACGTAGATTATGATCATGACGTTTTGGAAGGGAGTTTTCGGGATGAAGCCTTACCCCTGTTTATAATATTATTAGATGGCATGATCGGAGAAAGGGAACTGGTGGGGAGGTCTACGGAGTAACGGAACAATGGAGTAATTCTAGATGCTTTTCAGTAGAACTAACAATATACCCCCTAACAAAAACAACCTAAATCACACCAACTCACCAAAACCAAGAAACCTGAAGAAGATATGTCCGTGCCGTTGCCGACTCTGCTTACAGGAATGAGGCCATGCCAATGCACCGGAGTAAAATGAAAGGGAAAGTAATGGAAAACAGAAAACAGTAAGAAAACTGAAGATATGACAGGAGCCTTCCCAAGCATAAAGCTTTTTCGCTTCGCTTTTTCTCTCTTTCTGTTGAACATTCGCGATAAAAAGAACATGCCCATGTCTATTGTGGACGCCGAACGAAACCACCCTACCCTCTCATCAGGGCATAAAAAACAACCATCGCAATTCAACCACCCGTGTTGTACTCGCCTAAACAGATAAGAATGCAGGTTCTCAAAGATCTGAGAATGAAGGGAAACAGTTCATAATAAACCGGGAGTGGATGCCAAATAACGCCGTGAGATGGAGTCGAACGAGTCGGACAAGATCAGATAGGCGAAAGAAATACTTAAATAGAGCATGTCTGGAGCTGTCCCAAGAGAGAATAGAGAGTATAACAATATTGAAACAGCAAACGAAGGTCATCGCATCCATCGTAGTTAGACGACGGTCAGAAGCTTTTATTTTTAATTCGTTTTTTTCTTTCTTTGGGGGGTGTTTTCCCCTTTCCCGTTTATGGGAACTGCTTACTGGCGAGCGGGCTGGACGGTACCTATGAAAATCATGTCGTTAGCACAGTCCTATTTAACGAGGTTGGTCTATGTACCATCACCGCTCAACGTAGTCGAAGCCAGGTACAGTCCATTCATACCGCTCTCGGGGCCGCCAGCAGTCGTGGCGGGGTAGAACTTGCGATCGGCGTCGACGGGGGCGTGGATCGACTCTTGGCCGGATGCCATGGAGTGGGGAAAGACAGGGGTCATGTAGCCGTCGTTGGGGCCATGCTGGTGATACATCGTCCAGTCAACATGCTGGTTCGGGTGGGGACCGGGCATGCCGGTCATCTTTGGGTCGGCGACAAGGGGCTTTACCTGTTCAATAGAACGATCAACACTCAGTTGCTGACCATGGACATCGGTACCGGGCTGCATGAGGTATGGATTCTGCTTGGCCATCCATGAGGCTCGCGCGGACGGATCGGCGTACGCGTTGTCACCCGGACCACGGGGCAAACCGTTGGCCGGGGACATATTGAACCCCATGTGCTGTTGATCGTAGGCCTGGCGGCCAGCGTTCATACCATTGCCATCATACTGCCCAACCATAACACCATGAGGAGATGGAACGGGATTACTGACTTCATCCTGAATAGGCTTGGCGGGGTTCGCCGCAGCCGCAGCCGCAGCCGCCTGTTGTGAACGCTTGAGATGGGCTTGAGGGTGCGACAAGTGGGTCGCGCCGGTGGGGTTGCCCCGTCGAATGGAACACTTTTGGAAGTGACGCTTCAAGATATCACTGCGAGAGAAGGTATCCTTGCAGAGAACGCACATGTAGGGGCGATCACCGGTGTCTTTGTTTATAAAACGCGTCGTTAGTCCAAGTCCCACAGAAAAAAAAAACAAAAGCAAAGAGAGGGAAAAAAAAAAAAAGGAAAAATCCAAAACTCACGTCTCAAAAGGTGACGCTTCAAGTGCTTCGCGTGCAGGTAAGTCTTGTTACAATGCGGGCAAGGAAATTTACCATCGGCGTCCTTGGCCGGAATGGTAGTGTTCTTTGCGGAACCATTGACGCCGTTGGTGACCGGAGTTGCGCGGCCCGGAACGCTCGGCAGAATACCACGACGACCCTGAGAACCCACAACCTGTGTCCTGGGGGGTTCCTTCGCTCCATAGGGGGAATTGCCGCCATTTACTTCGGGAGTCATGCCCCATTGCTTGCCATCAGAGTAGCTGAAGGCGCCGGAGGGCATGCCGTTGAAGTCGCGACGGTCACGCGGAGGAGCAGGGGCGATGGGTTGCGGGTAGCTCTGAGCGCTCGAGGTAGGAGGCAGACCATTGGGAGGGGGAGGGTACTGTGAGGGGTGGGCCTGTGTATGATTAGGATGCGACAAGAAGGACGGCGGCTGACCGGCACCATGCGACATGATAGGAGCTGAAGAGCCCCCGTACATGTCGTGTGAGGACGCGGGATACCGAGACAAGTCTGGGCGGTAAGGACCCTGAGCCATGTAGGGGTGGTTTGAGGGCGACTGAGAATGATGAGGCTGAAGAGGAGGCAGCGTGTGAGGCTGTGACACCGAGTATTGCTGCTGCATCGAGTACTGAGGCATACTAGGCATACTCGAGATTGGAGTTCCCGAGAGTGGCGTGGAGCCCTGAGGCAGGGTGGTGGATGGAGGTCGCGAAGGGTGCGATCGGGGATCCATCATGGAGAAGGTTTGGAGTTGGATGGAGGAGTTTAATAGTGATAGGCGGAGTGGTGGAGTGAGAAGGATGGAGATTTGGTGAAGTTGAGGGGTTGTAAAAGAATCACGATGCAAACATCGAACACGTCGCGTTCTTTTTTTGACCCTTTCACTCGAATATCAAGGTAGAGGGATAGAAAAGGGAGACACAATTGATCAGAAGATAAAAATCTGATCCACAAAAAAAAAACAGACCAAAATTCCCCACGGTTAGAGAAAGTTGTGTTTTATCCGCACGTTGTCGTCGATGGGTTCTTCTGTATCCACCGAAGAAGAAGCGGGCGTGTAAGTGGGTCTTTTCTTTTATTTGACAACCTTAGATCTTCAAAAGGACTTGAAAGGGAATTAAAAGACAACTTTTGAAAGATCCTCGAAGAGATGTAGAGAGAGAAAAAGAAGAGTCACTAGAAAAAGCAGTTTTTTTTTTTTCTTCTTGGGAATTGAGGAAGAAGAAGGGAAATGGGGGCGACCAAAGTTCACGATGTTTAAAAAAAAAAAAAAAAAAAAAAGGAAAAATTCAAAATCAAAAAAATGAAAATTCATGACGGAAGACCGGGAGAACAAAACGGATGATCGTTTTGCTAAAAGGTAAGCAAATACCATAAAACGCCCCAAATAATGGACTTTATGTATTTTACGGTATTGGCGTTACAGTACTCCGGGCTTCTTCCGAAGTCGTCCCAAATACTTACGTATGAGATATATCACTATCTTAGAGAAGGCATATAATAGAATATAATAGTATCAATGGAATAGAATAAACGTATGCCTATTACTTTACTACTATACTACTATAATATTAGAATACTATAACAATATTAGTATAACTAGAAATACTACGTAATTATTATCTACTCCTACGTATAGGAACAAATCACTGCTTTCAGCTGTCCGATCACGGAGGTGCATCCGATATTAAGATTCAGCGAGTGATCATAATCAATACCTACTTGGTATTCCCATCTCTGAAACTGTCTCGCTATATTAAGATCTCATTCTTATCTTCTGTCATCCATCAAATGGTTCTGACGGCGACCCTGGGACTCCGCAGTGGCTTGACAAGCCCCGCAGGTAAACAGATCACACATCTCCTGCAGGAAGCCCAATTCTAGATCCGAGTCCGGAGCTACAAAGTAAAGGCCAACCACCGTGACAGAATATCTGAAGAGCGCGGTTGACTTTCCTGGAAGCACGTCATCTTCAAGCTACATAAAGATCTCATCGTGCATGTATCATCCCACGCTTGTGTTCCTCGTTTATGCAGGATCCGAAAGAGAACTCAAAAGAAATAAGAGATCGAGGTCGGGGAAATGAGGGGGGATTGATATACGAGTCCATTCAACCCTGGTCTGGTCTCTCTCGTAACGGCCATGCATTGTTCCCTACATTCGTTCATACTCTAAGCTTTAGAACAACCCTAACAGTACCCCCATACGAAGTATACGAAGTATCCGCTCTCGTACTTTCTCTCAGCAAAAGGGAGAAGAAGGTACTACTTTATTTATGGAGACTGTCCACTGTGGACTGATGGAGTTACGGGGGGAACCTAAAAACCCATGTTTCTACACGACGCAGACCTAAGGTCCACCCCTAAACAAGTACGAAAGTACTACCAAAGCAGGTGACTTGTACTCGTTACATCTTGTTCTGTGATTCGCCCCTGCTTAATACATGTATCGAGTACAAGTGGGTCCAAAGTACTCCGTACTTTACCCAAGAAAGGGACAAAATAACACGTCGCCCGCCTATTCCCTATTCAGGGGCTCTTATTGGATCAACGCTCCGACTTTCGCTCTCGGGAATTTAAGCCGATCAAGTCGGGACTCGGGATTATGAGAAACAGTGCTTGAACCATACATCATAGTAAATACATCATACAGTATTTATTTATGTAGGTAGTACGAGAAGTAAGTGAAAAGAAAAGAGAATATAGGAAGCATCTCAGTGACCTCCGTACTTCTCTGTACAACTACCAAACTATGTCTCTGGCCCCTCCTTGCTCCACCTAGACATTCTATTTGAGCTTCTCCCGCTTCGATTGTGGACCTGCACAAAGAGACTTCGACCAGGGTTCTGAAGAATCAATTGATCGGATCTGACCTCGTAATTTTCGAAACTGTCAGATCCCCAGAACATATATGATGTAGAAACCGGGCACTCGCAAAACCTTCTCGTTTTAACCCGATCATATCGTACATAGGTATACACAAAAGGGTTGGGATACTCCAACTCTTTGTGGCCTTTGTGGCTTGTGTGTGGCTTGATTACTGCACGATCGCGGTGTATTCAATCTGGCAGAAATATCATACACGACGTAAAGTAATTTACTTTTACCTTCTTCGTATGCACTAGTGCAGTCGGAACCTTGGTTCTATATGGGACTCGGCAACACAACCGGGATTTGGAAGAGTTCCACTTCAAAGGAGGTGGGTTTCCCGAGACGGTTCAGGACACGAGGAGAAGTTGGGATCCCGTAGAAGCTAGGAAATTACGGTGAGGCTATTCTGGTTTCTCCAGGGGTTAATTAACTATTAGCCTGTTGTCTATGCAGAAACCATGGGCCCGTCACTACTAGATTGCAATCCACTTGGGGGAGATCTCAGCGGATAAGTGCTTAGTTGGAGTACTCCGTACGGGGGACGTAGTAGTTGCAGGGATTAAAAAGGTCCACCAATTGGATTAGTGGAACTAGATATCAACTACGTAGTTCTTAAGAGATCTTACATACGGGAGTAGTTGGAGAGTATTTTGTTCCTACTTAATGAATACAATCTATTCCTACCTATCTCGGCCGAGGTACCTATAACAGCGGTGAAGAGAATAGGTGGCTAGTTTACTTGAAGTCCTAGGTACCTCTGCCGACGGGTCATCCTGCCCAACTTGTGTCAATATCATTTTAGGCATTTTCGTCCATCTCTCCGGCACAATCCGGAAAGGGCTAGAGCCAAATCCGGACGAGTTTCATATAGAGCCAATCAGATGATTAAGCAGCTTCCACCCAGCCGAGGGAGAAGGTGCGCGCCACCCACCTCATTGAGTTTGTATTATTCCGTGTTTCTCCAAGGTCCTCGAGGTCGTTATAAAAGGAGGTTTATTTAAATACCATATGTAGTTAAGTGATGTGATATGACTGTAGGCTCTGTTCTTCGGGACCTGACAGCTGTCGATTTTGCATCTACTAGTTCCATTTGATCTTCTGTGTTGTTCAACAGCGGGGCATTGACTCAAGAAAGTACTGATCGAGTTACGCGCAAAGTAACTGTTAGCCGCTGTACAGCTAAGCTAAACCATGGACTTGGAAAACAGGCAAAAGGCAAAGTGAGTAATGATTGTACGTACAGAGTACATGTATTTGACTATTACAATTTATTACCCTTTATCATATAACCTACGATATTCCGGCCGCGTCATCTACTCGATAGAGGATAGAAATAGATATAACTGAGAAGAGTTATGACAGTACAAGATAATTCCAAGTTCTTAGTTGTTACCATGTTTTACCCCTCTATAATATCTCGCCTTCACCTCAGTCTGTTTTTGGTCGTTAGCTTCAGATGAGCCGTGGTCGGAAGTTAAGATATTCGCCGTTTGCATCTCTATGCTTTTGTATTGTATGTAATGTAATCTGTAATTTAAATGCTACAAGAATAGCGGGAAAAGGTGGTAAGACCCCAATACGCCAATTAGTTTATAACATTAAACTTAATACTTCACTTATTGAAGTCTGAAGTCTGAGTTGGAGTTGAATCCTTCAGTCAGGTTTACCCCGAACCGATCGGGTAAACCTCGCAATACACCGTATGAATCCTGATGGAGCCCCATTCTAATATACTAGTATAGACTAATTGGGTAGGTGGTATTGGTTTCGGATAATGTTTGTATTTTTCTATTTTTCTATTTTTCTATTTTTTTCTAGTTTTTTTTCTATAATTACTCTATTATTCTTTTTCTCACCGGTTTTCGGTTCACGCGGGACTTGGACTAGATGAGTTATTTTTTTCTGTTTTATCTTTCCGCTGACAAAGGTGGCAATGGCCCAGTGGCTTGTTTATCGTACGATATAATGCAAAAAAAGAGGTGAACGCCTGCGAGATCAGATCTATGTACTTTGTTGATGGGCTTGGGTGGATCCTCGCCCTCCCTGCTCATTGTGGGTTGGCCCATCTGGAGTTAGATTAAGCATATCTGTATGTTCCATCGAACTTATTTTTTTTCTCCGTTGCATCCATGTCCAGTGCCCACCAGTGTGGTGGGGACTGTTTCCGGGGGCCCCGGTGGATCTATTTGCAGGATTCCGAGGATTCAATGTACCTACAGCCTACAGTACCTAGTATGGAGGAGGATAAAACGACTCAACCGGGCGCTGGCCGATTTACTCTCTGTAGACTAGTTTTTCCACGTCGACCTTGTGATTTAGTCCTTTAGTCTGTTTTAGGCTTGGTAAATTTGCTAGTGTACTCGTAGAGTACATGGTACGAGATCGACGGTTTTTTGAAGGGGGTATTAACTGAGGCAAAACAACATATGAGTCGTCACCTGGGTATAATTTCAATCACGCAGTTTTGAACATTTGAAATGTTCCGTGGACCTGCATGATACGGTTAGATCAATTCAATGTTATTTGTCTATAGTGCATGTTGTACCACCTGGGCAATGCCAAGGTTCCTAAATATGTATATTTTGGGTAAGACATCAGTTCATATAATCGAACCAGTTGACTGAAATTTGGAACCTTTTTGCTGCTGGATGTTACCTGAGCAATTGACTTGGCAATTCAAGCAATACTGCCCACCAACTGCCCAGTTGTAACTAGATCCTACCTACTGATATAAGTACCCCAGGACTGTATAGAAATAAGCATCGGGACCAGTGGAGCAGCCCACAACTCCAGTCTCCATCACGGGAACCCCATTGTACCGGGACTTGATGGGGCACTGGGTCTGAATCGGATCCATGTTAAAGTGGTGGAGGTGGATGTCGTGGATCGTGATGGATCCTAGCGAACGTCATATCGCAACCTACGTCTACTAGCTCACTTCCCACATCGAGAACTTTACTTCAGCTCCATATTCTAAAATTATTTACTATACTTTGGGATTAAGAGTAATGATAAGGTTGTTCTTAGATCCACTAATTGAGCTCATATGTACCCGGTACCTACTAAGTACATCCTTATATTGGATACCTAACCACGTTGTAAGCCCCACTAGATGTTACAGTTCCCCATATTCCACGTGATGGTTTAGAAATGGACTCCATGTGTAGTTCCCCGGATTTAAGCTAAGCCTTGGAACACGGATAATAGTTAACTTCCAACCTTCCAAGGTTTCAAGGTAATTAACCATATACTCATAACAACTACTTCTTCAATTTTAAGTCTTCTTCTCAAGATCAGCGATATCATGAAGTATCATGCCCCCCAAAACACCGAGTATGATACCAATTGAAACATATTTTTGTAGGAATGCAGATAAATATCTCACCAATAATAAGACCTATGTCACAGATTTTGCAACTGTCCGATAAACCAACGGGCCCGTCGATTTTAGGGTCATTTACAAAAAGGTTAATGGGTGGACAAGGGCCCGGGCCATGATAACTAGCCGTTCATCATAAAGGTAGATTTGATCAGCCCCTGGACTATCTGCTAGAATTGAAGGCAATGCAATTGGAGGCGTTGTTGGGGTTGTTGCGATTAGTGGGATTGCACAGGTGGGAATACTTAGCAGCTGCTCCTTAATCGTTTCTAGACGTTCGTCTGTGATTTTTTTTGTGCTTGGGTCCATTTCTTGAAGGACTTCGATTAGGTCCTTCAGGTCTTGAAGGAGTTGGTTGACTTGTTGGATTCTTGAATCCATTTTGAAGATCGTTTGGTCAAAAAGGGCTGTTATGTGTTGTTAATCGCTTTGAATTTTTTGTGAGTGATGGGTCGTTCGTTGGATATTGAGGCCTTTTATACTGTTGTAATTGAGAGGGATTGAGGACGTTAGGTTTATAAAGACCTTTCACTTGAATCGTTTTCTTTGTTCTGGTTGTACAATAGCCCTTGTTCGAACTGTTCTAGTTACTTTGGGACTCCTCTACTTATCCAATTACCAAAGTCTTACCTGGGCAACAAAGATGCACTACACTACTATGCTACTTACTGCTCTACCAGTCACCAGTAAAAAACTGCCTTGTGCAAACCTTCCAAAGCTAGAATATACCTGTGCTCATTAAGCACAAACTCATTATACAATAAATTAAGATAAAGTACCCGAGAACCCTTCGAACCTGAAAGTGATCACCAAACGCCTTCTATATCCCTTCATGATGACAGAGTCTTGCCAGAGTCCGTCAACCCCATACTAGGAATAGTCTCCGGCTCAATCCCCTCACTAAGAATAGGCTCTGAATGAATGGAATGCTCAATATTGACCTTAGGCCCAGTAAACCATTTATGAGCATCAACAAACCACCAGATGGTGACGATGAGCATAGGGGCACCATATACAAGACAGGTCCAGTTCATCTCGTCGAGTGTGAGATCAGCACCTGTAACACTGGGGAGACACAAGATAGGAACCATGAGCAGGACAAAGGCAACGCCTAGACCGCCGATAAAGGATCCGAATGGACCGAGATGCCAGGGGCCCTTGCGGAATCGGTGGCCGACGAAGAAGACTCGGATCAGGATTGGGATGGCGAAGGCAACGAACTGTGCGATTGCTCCGATTGAGAAAAGGGCGCCGATAGCGGTGTCGCCGGCCAGAACGAGGAGACACATCAATATTCCGAGGATCGCGTTGATGATTACGGCGTTTACGGGTGTGTCGGTGCGCTTGTCTACCTTCTTCCAGATGTTGGAGTATGGGAAGCAGTCATCGCGTGCATAGGCGTATGTCACTCGTGACGCAGCTACCATGCATCCCTGACCCATAGAGAAACCACAGACAATTGTCAAGCCGAGAATGCCTAGTGCGACTTTTTGGGGCAGGACTTGTAGGAGGTATGATGCCCATGGCTGGCCTAGTTCGGAACCGATGACGGCGTCGATGTCGGTAACTGTATAGGCTACTACTAGTTGTAGAAACCAGCCTAGAAGCCCACCGACAGCAGAAGTTATTACGATGGCGCGGGGTGAGGCGACGTTAGCGTTTGAACACTCCTCGCTCAGGTGGAAAGGCGAATCGTAGCCAGACATAGTCCAGATAACACCAACAAAGGTCATGAGCACAGCCACTCCATCAGGGAAATCAGTCTGATTCTCGATGTGGCTCCACACTTCATGAGAAGATGTGAACCTTGGGTTCTCGTTTGTTGTTGCGGCCGGGATAACGATCAATGTCACGACAAGTGCGGCGAAGTTAAAGGCCGAGCCCCATGAATTGATCTGTGCCACACGCCTTGTGGGCAGGCTGCTGATTCCGGCGTGGATGATCATGATCAGAACTGCGAGCAGATACACCTGCCAGTTTGTCGGAACGTAATCCGGATTACTGATCGATGCAGCGGCCAGGATCATGGCGGCCAATGCATAGTCCACTGATGGCGCTGAGGTGATCTGTCCAATCCAATTCGACCATCCTGTAATCCATGCTGCGAAGGGACCCCATCCTGGAGGAGCGAGGACAGCCGCGGCGTAATATAGTCCGCCACTCGTAGGCATTGCCGAACATAGCTCGGCCATTGACATTGCGACGCATTGAATGAAGATCATAGCAATGATCCAGCCCCAGACCATACCAGCCGTTCCGGCATATCCCATTCCTGCAAACAAGCTTAATTGGTGGCTGATACTATCGGCAAGAATGCGAGGACTTACCATAGGTTAGAGTGCTTGCAAACGAGGGCAGAAGGCCCAGGACTGAGAAACTAACGCAAAATGTTGTCCATAGGGAAAACTCACGCTTGAATTCTTGCTTATAGCCCAGTGCTGCAATTACTGCTTCATCTGCATCCATTGAAGAATCGAAAGGTACGTCACAATCATTGAGTACAGATGTGACTTGAGCATGGTTATCGTATGAAGAGGATAAAACCCTCGAATCGGATGATTTGATATCCATGTTAGTACGTAGGTATGTGAAAAGACTACTATTTCTCAGAATGGGAGAAAGGCCGGTTATGATGTGAAGCAAAGTACTTTGTATAGATTCCCCGGCAAGCAATCTAGTGCCTGGGCTATCTGAGATAGGAGTTTGCAAGGCAATAGGTTACGGCCACCTAGAAACAAAATGAAATCGTAAATGTCCAAGGGTGCTATAAGGACCAGTGGAATTTGGGGGAAAGGGAAAATGAGGGGAACAAAGCACCCTAGATCGGTTGGATCGGTGCATATTATGTCTCCGCTTAGTGAAAGTCTGATAACATTTTATAATAATATATTGGCTTGGAAACATGTCAGGTTAGGATTTGGTCAAATGAGGAAACTTAAGACGTCGGAGCTATTCTTATCTGATAATGAAGTATAGATGTATATGATGGTGTCAGAGATAAGGCTTCCTAATTAGGTAAGGACCTAGCCCTTATCAGTCACTTCTTGGATGTACTTGTACTCCTGGATGGACCTGCCCAGATGGGATATGGATGTTTAATCACCGATCCGATCGATATTACCTACACTACTTCACTGATCCCATCTAGAACTTGAATACAGTCCCTTGTAATATTTTCAACGTCTTGTGAATATTCATGCTGTTGAGTTTTTTGAATTCTTCGGGTTGGGATGGATATGAGTATATAGCTTCTCAAGTTTAAAATTTACTTCATTTCATGACACAAAAATCATTGGTCTAGTGGTAGACTTCGTTGCTGCCATAGACGAGACCCTGCGTTCCATCGCACCACTTAGCGCCTTTTTGTGTTCCCAAAGCCTAGTGCTACCTTAGTGGGATAATTGCCACTGGCTTGTAGACTTGTAGTATTTATTACTCTATACTCTGAATATCTTTTGTTTTCTAATAAAAGAAAGTATTGGGCCTCTCCTAATAGCTTCTTCACTACCCTCTCTCTACTATATGGGGCTTAGAATGGCTCTGATGAAGGTGGGTCTAGAAAGAGCTACTCAGTATTACCTAAGTAGTTGGTCAAGCCGATTTAGTCCTACGACCGCTGCATCTCTGCGTGCCACCGGTTTGAATATATTTCTGTGAATTTTTGACGCTATTTTGAGATCTTGTGATGAGACCAAACTGTTTCCTCGTAATGCATGTTCATATTCCGTATTGATCCAACCATAGTGGGAGTCATGAGTTCCACTGGCATTGTCGATGGAGCTTGGCATTACCAGTTGATGTCGTAGAATGATGTGCAGGTTATAGTTTAAGACGTATAATGATGGACCAATCTAGTCTAGAGCGGTAGTTGATGAAGGAAAGTTGATTATAGGGAGAAGAGGATATTTATGGATATATAGGTGAAGTTTATAAGTTAATATGACATGGAATACTAGTAGAATAAAAATTGAGTTGAAAGCGAAAGAGTAAGACCTCAGGAGTGAAGTGAGAGTCACCTTGAAAAGTGATAGCGAGGTGAAAGTACCTTGCCCCGCCAAAGCCAAGCTAGGCCAGTCCAGAGGATGAGAATGATAAGCAATAAAATTGCTCTTCTTCTTCCTCTTCTTCTGCCTCCTCCTCTTCTCCATCTTGGAATGTGTCGATTGATAGCGGCGGTCGGCGTGCTGTTGTCTACAGGGCAGCCAGCTCAATCAATGCATCATTGGACCCACGGGGTAACGACGATCCCTTCAAATGGGCTTATATTCGTGCCAAAGCTCCTCAACAAGAGCTTTGAGCATGTTGCGCGGCAGATAACGCCCAGTTGTGCCCCAGTACAGCTTCCCGCTCTCAGAACAAAGAAGTTTCGCAACGTGGTCTCTTGCAAATTCGTTGCGTTCGGTCTCATTAGTCATCTGCCATGCTCGTCGGAGTATCTGGACACAATAATGGTTGTAAAGAAAGCGGGCCGGAAGTCTGACTTTAATTGCAGGGCTGCGGATCCTTTAAGTCATATACATCGATCATCTGATTTTGAAAGTTAGATTGATCGAAGGTGTTTCGAGCTCCAGCACCTATGAAATTTATCCCAAGTCTAAGATTACTTGCTGTGAAGAGCTTCATGAAGGACAGGCATAGGGTGTTGCTTCCAATATGAGCAGCTGAGGCGCTCTAGCGGGCCTTGGAGGCCCTAAGATTAAGATTCATTTCATTGGTGGGATCTCCTCGAATAACTTTTTGGCTGCGTTGGTCTTCTCCCAGCCCTTCTAGCTTCCCTCCAACTCTCTCAGCGAAATTACACACTTCATGTCCACTTGATTCTGCATTAGCTCGTCGACGGTGACAGCTTGTGCCCAGAATGCTTTGTCAAATGATGACGGGGCTTCGGACGTTTGCGGGACCGGATGACCTCTAATTTGATATCCCTCTCTTTCTGTTTCAGCTGCTCGTCATTCAGCTCGTGTAAAGTCTCACTCGGCCGTTTGGGTAAATTCATCGTGTCTCGAACTCGTGAAGACTCAGCAAGGACTCAGCGAAGAGATGGATCTCGGAGATACTTCCATTTCATGTGCCCATCGTCTATGTAAAATGATGTCAACAGCAACGTCTATGCCACAGACGGATCAAACGGATCATAATAGGTTCAGTATATAAGCTGTGGTCTTTCCCATGAATTTTCATATAGGGCTTCAGGCGGCCACCACCACGTAAAAGCCCTCAAGGTCACGGAATTCCCACTTGTCCGGGTAAGCATCCTCTGCATCTACCACGCATACTCGATTTCCTTCTACCACCAACATGGCACGAATCAACGATTGAAGCCCGGATCTGTAGAATGCGCTGCAGAACATTATATAGCAAAACACTCACCTTCACATGGTTGCGAAGTACGTTGCCATTTCCGTCATACTTAGTGTGACTCTTGCAACCAGCATCTTCGTGATCTTAAGGCGCCGTCGGTATGTATTCTGTAAATCTTTTTGAATATCCAAGTCTGGGTAGCTGATTCAGGTTCGTGCTGGTGCGTGCGTTAATGCTGATCGTTGCTCTTAACTTTTTTCTCTGCTTAAGAAGTGTTTTGACAAAGCTTTTCACGATTGGAAGCAAGAAGAAAAGGAACCTTGAAATCTTAAGATGATTTCTAGTCATAGAAACACTTAGCGTTGTATATTTTCTTGTCGGCGACTGTCGACTTCTCATTAAAACCTAAACTAATCGTAATAGTCCACCTTCTTCCCCAAGACTTCCTCCAACCTCTTGTCAGCATCGGGTCTTACCCCAGTGGCAGCACCATATTCTACTCGTCAGCTAGTCAGCGACTCATTCTCAACGCAAAGCTAGTGCCACAGTACTCACCTAGTCGTTTTTGAACTCCCTTGATCCTCTCAGCGAGCCACTCGCCCTGGGTTGGAGCTCTCCCGCCAGTCGCAACTCTTTCAGGGAAAGCATGCTTGCCCTCTCGCTGGACCACAGGAGAGCCTTCAATTGGCTTCAACTCAACGTCGTATCTTGCTCTGGCGAAGTTAATTAGAATGTATCGAATCCAGTCGCGCTGGTCCTTTGGAGGGCGGACAACACGGTGACGAGTTGCTTTCAACACGCCGCCAGTGAGAACTGTGAGAAAAGAAAACTTTAGCTAGTTTGGAAACTGGAAAGCAAACATTTACTTACAGTCCAAAGCATCGGCGACATTTACAACAGCGGTACCGGGCACATACTTGACCCACTTCCATTCGCCCTCTGGAGTCTGAACCTGAAGAGCAGAGATAGGTTGATTGAATAGAAGAGAGATGGTGTTGAAGTCAGTATGTCCTTTGACAAATGTATCTTCTTTGGCAAAGGTGTCTTGCTCCTTGATATCTTCAGGGAAGTAGTATGTCATAAACCTTTGGCTTGAAGTGCCGAGTGGCTGGTTTTGATCGTGTAAGTCCCACAAATAGTCATCAGGAAGCTCCAACACGCGCGAGATCAAAATGAGGATCCTCTTAATGATGTAGTTGTATGTGTGAGATCCAAATGCCTCAACCTCATCAATGTATGGTACGATGGTACTGGGGAGGGGATAACCAGGAGAGTAGGATTTGGTCGCCAAGTTGAAGAACTACAAACGTCAACCAAGCCAAACCAATTAGCCTCAGTCATGTTGGCTTGTATCCACAATAACAATTTACCTCTATGTGATCATGAGGACCACCACTACCCTTCAGTTTGTACCCAGTGTAGTCACCACCAGCCATATGGGCAAGGTATTTCTGCTTCTCTTCTAATGGCGTTCCAGTCGTCACTAACTGATTGATAGCTTGCTGCCTTATGATAGTCTCTGGATCCACTCCAAGTCCAGAGACGAGAATAAAGCCATCAACGCCCAAAGCCTTCTTGGTCTTAACGTAGAGTGCTTGTTTCACCTCGAGATCGGATGAGTCGAGTAGACTCAAGTCGATGGTTTCTAAGTTGGCCCAAGCCACTGGAAGGATTAAGTAAGAATTGGTTTCAGGCCTGACGTTGTGGGTATAACCAATAAGAGGCTTTACTTACAGTCTTCTTTCGTAGTAGGAGGCTCAACCCAAGGAGCAAGGGTTGGCTCCGTTGATTTGAAGGAGTGGCTGTCAACCTCAACAGGAGTGCTAGTCGCAATAGGAGCCATATTTTATATTCTGGGAGTGCTCAAATGCGTGTGATTTTCGCAGAAATAGCCGTAAACGAAAATAGCTCGACATATATTACTTATATATTCTCGTCTGTGCTGAGCCGTCGGTCACAAGGAGTGCTAAAAGGACGACATTTTTAACTAAAAGGACGAAAATTACCTATTTAAGTAGTAGTGTGTATTCGTATTACGCCAAGGCCTACAACCTCATCACACTCGGCACAACTTATCACTGCTTCGGACGCAGCAAATCATATTTGCCAGTTGTTTGTTAAGTGAAGAGTCGCGGCATGCTAAGCTATCTGAAGGGCGTCTACGGAGTAAATGGCAACACACAGCATCTAAATTAAGTGGGGTCCCGTAAATATTCTATTAGCATGAATTTGAAGCTTACAGAACAGATCGACTGATACGGTTATCCCAGCCCAGTGGTACATAATGTTCCGAGCGCGCACGACATGCCGGGTTCAAATCACGATCAGCATTAGGAACCAACCCATTAATCTTCTCAACCTTCGATAGCAGAGATTATGCACTTTAGTCAAGATAAAGGAATAAATAGCGTACACGCCATGGTGAGCAACTATCACGATCATCTAGATGGGCAATCAAAATGACAGATTCCGTGATCAGTAGAGAGAAAAAATATTACTTAAGAGTACCAGACAAAAAAATTGGTGTTGACAGGAGAGAAGAACTAAAGAACCAAAGAACCAACTACTGGTGGCCCGTTCAAAGAATGGCTACTGCTTCGGATGTCAATGGAGTCACATCTACTGAGCCAGTCCAACTCGTTGAGCTTAGAACCAGTGGTACCCTCAGGAGTACGTTCTGGGGTTATCTGTGGGATTCGGCAGACTTGCCATCCAAAGAGAGGACTTTGGTTGCTAAAGTCGACGCTTCTATTTTAATCTTTGCTTGCGTGAGTAGTGCTCGAGCGCTCACATCGCAAACGATCGATCTGACCATCCCAATCTTTATGTAGCTTGGATATTTCTGCAAGAACATCGATCAATCTAATGTCAATAATGCGGTGAGTACATAAAAGGCGATCTATAGCCGTCAATATGTGCTGGACTGAGACTTGGAAATGTAGTTCTTGAGTGGCATGAAGGAGGACCTCAACATGTATGGGAATCAGCTTACATACTCTAGCACCTTGTGGACCGTTGGATATATCATTGGGCAGGTGAGTTGAGGCCATCAAATTGCTAAATGAGGGATACTCAGCTAACATCGATGCTTCAACAGATACCTGCCGTCTTGACGTTGTCTAGATTCTCACCTGGAAAGGTTATTTCCATCGTAAGTGACTACAATCAGGGTGCTCCCCATGAGTTCCAGGATCAAATCTAAAGAAATCATACTATAGCTTGAACTCGGCTGGGGAATTTGCACTCTAGCTACGTATTCCGTAAAGAGCTACAAGGCCCTGTACGGTCTCCGTTTTCTTGTCGGACTTTTTGAGTAAGTATACCGATAAACTATGCAACCTCTCTTCTAAATACTGACCACTGACTCCTCTGGTAACAGAGCTGGGTTCTTCCCTGGTATTATGAGTGAGTTTCGCCCCGTACTGCTCTCAATCCCCGTCCACTCAGTGGTGCTAAATGTCCGTGCTAAATATCCATCTTGACAGTGATCTTGGGATCTTGGTATTTACCGAGCGAGCTAGCGAAGCGTGTTGGCATATTCTGGGCATCTGGAATCCTGGGAGGCATGTTTTCGGGTTTCTTGCAAACCGCTGCTTATGAGAATCTAACTGGTAAGGGAGGCCTTGCTGGTTGGAGGTGAGTTGCGCCTTAGGTATGGTACAAATTGAGCGATCGTTGATTCAATTTTCTTTGGCCTAGATGGCTCTTTATCATCGATTCAATTATCACGATTCCAATCGCTATCCTGGCTGCATTCGTTCTCCCTGAGCAACCTTACAACGCCACCCCAACGTTTATCCTAAATCAGGACGATATCGATATTGCAAAAGATCGTTTGCGCCGGGTTAAGCGTAAGGGTGCGGGGAAATGGACCCTGATGAAGGTGAGCTAATATCACAGCGACAGCACGATGAGGCAGAGTGACTTACACCTTCAATCATAGATCAAAGGGCTCGCAACGTCTTGGATCACTTATGTCATGCCTCTCATGTACTGCTTTTTCCTTAATGGTGAAATTGTGCAGCCAATGGGCTACTGGCTAAAATCATTCAACGCGACACCTGCACCCGTCCCCGGTGTCAGCTTCACCGTTCCGCAAATCAATCTTTGTGAGTAGTGATTGTATATAGCATCTTGGGCGAAGCTAATATCGCTTCCATACAATAGTACCCCTTCCTTACACCGCGATGTTTGCTGTTGGGCTTCTGAGTGCCTCGTGGATTTCTGATGGCCCATTGAAGGGGAAAAGGTATCCGGTCATCATCTTTTGCGGACTGTATTCGGTAGGTGTATCACTCCGTTGCGATTTGGAAGAACCTCCGTTTCTTATCACCTTCTACGCAGATGGCATTTGCTATAGCCTTGAGATTCCTTCCCACCTACACCCATCGGACTGCTCATTTCGCCCTGTACTATCTCGTTGGGCTTGGTGTAAGTCATGAAAATCAAGACAAGTTCATATGTTTTTCAATTGACTTATTTATGCTATGCTTTACAGGTTGGCGGAGGACCTTCTATTTTCGCCTGGACGAATGAACTCTGCGGTAATGACTTTGAAAGTCGTTCATTCACCATTGCCCTAACCAACAACTTGTCCTATGTGATGAATGCTATCGTAAGTGAAGTATTGCCTCGTGTACTAGCGATAACTTACTCACATTTCTCATGAATTTTAGGCCCCCAACTTTGTATGGAAGACAACTGCCTTTCCCGCAGCACATAAAGGTCTCTCTTATATGGCAATCATGCAAGGTCTATTAGGTGAGTACAGAAACATCTATTCCTTCACTCTTTTGGTTGCTAAGACTTTGTAATTCATTATAGTCGTAATGGTCTTCATAGCGTTGTTCTTACAAAAGCGTGACGAAAAGCTTGGCTTCGTTCGGAAAGGAGATCTCGAGGGAGTAGACGAGGTAAACTCGTCGATTAAGTCTGCTGATGGATCCGTGACAGAAAAACAAAGCCACATCCTTGAAGAAGAGAAAATGGTTTGAAAAGTCAAGGCCAGACTAGAAAACTCAGGCATTGCATTTAAAAATGAGATAAGCTGGCCGATGCGGCTTGAAATCACTAGTGTGTTAAGCTGCATGAATATTGTTAAAGATGTGTCCTTAGAATACAGAAAATATCCACTGCTGAAATACAGCAAAGCAAAATGGAAGGCAAATCACGCAGAAAAAGCACAACCATTGGTCCAATTTCATTGAGTAAACATCTCTAGGAATTGTAACTCTTCCGCATACTGATATGCTCAGTAATCAGTCTCCGGCGCTCTTGAGAGTGGTTTGTCGTATTATTACCTACTGATTTTTCAAGGCAAAACAAATTTCAGTGATGATCTGGGTATAAGGAAAAGTTTTATACCAGCCAGCTCACCTTAACCAATAGATATCGCTGCTTGTTGCAAAGTACTTCCGAATAATTTTATTTGGGACCACGACGAGAGCGTCAGCAAGAATCGTATTGCCGCTCTAAATTTGTAGTTACACTTGACTCATTGCTCACTATAGCATTAAGTGTGTTGAAAGCGTAAATTGCGTCCTTCACCAGCAGCATGTACCATGATTTTCCCCTTATCATTATTGAGTTCGGCTGGAGCGAGGGACCTTCAAGAAGCGTCGTGGTCAACTTCACCCAATCACTGACTTACTCATTACATCGTCGATCGTGACATATATTTTGAAGTTTTAGCCATCTTTGCATCTCGAACTATCACAAATCTACAGACTCAAGAGAACGAGCGGCACACCTTCAATGTTCCAATAATCAGCAGTGCGTGCGTCAAGTCCTCTTTTAGTGAGCGATGTACTGTCACCTTGCATGCCTAGGTCTTTCATTTCTAGGTACTGGAGCGTGAATCGACAGTCGTGCCACGTCCATCATATGTGGTTTAATATAGTTATTTGTCGAAAAGAAACCATTAGTCTCTCTTATGTAGGAACTCAGTACGACCAAGGGGAAAGGCCATCTTCGAAGATATAAGTGCATGTCTTCACGGATGTTCCGAAAGATTCATTTTTTTGAAGATACCTGTCTACGCTTGAAAAGACCGATGCGTTGGATAAATGCCCAATTTTTCTTCATTTCCTTCTTGACTTCATCATCTAGTAGTCATCAGCCCTCCTATAGATAAAGTGAATTTAGCCACAATTGGCATGGAATCATACAGCATCTTGTAGCCTAGATAGCTCTGATTTCTACTAGAAGTAAATAGATTGCCCATGTTGAAAGATTTGAGGATAATACCCGTGATACGATCTGCCGCTACCTGTTGCTAAACTCGCGAAGTAATTTCCTCTGGGTAGCTTTGGCCTGTCAAATTATTAATCGAACACCATTCAGGCGTGCTATTAAGAATCTAGAAATATTCACTTCTGGACTAAATGTTGTTTGCAGCCGAATGATCGATCAGGTCCGCAAATACAGCAGGCTCTTCCTTGGATGTGGTTTCTACCGGAGTCAATTGGACTCGCAAATCAAGCGCAAAAGAATGGTCTTGGTAGAAACTCCTTACCACTAAATACTAAACTACCTAATAGTGACAAAAATAGCAGACAAATACAAAAAACTTAGAAACAGAGGAAATCAACCTTTCAAGAGATCCACTCCATCATTCGCGAAGTCATCAAACATATGTTTGATATCATCTTCTGACTTCCCGTGCTTAACAGCATCTGATATAGAGTCGATGATACTGTAAGTGCAGGATAAAATTAGTTTCACATGGCCACTTGATTGTGTAAAGTTCAGAGGGAGAAACTTACAGCTTCATCTCCTCCTTAGTCAGCGACTTCAGTCCTTTTTTCCCAAGCTTCCCCGCCATGTCAGCTAGCATTTGATCAACTCCATCCGCCAGTAGCTCGTCAACTATGAGGTCACTGAAAGCTCCAGACATTTCACCAATACCTGCCCCAGCAATGATGAAAAGTTCATTCATCAGAACACGATAGACAGTAATTGCAGTGACCTCATTGCGCATTGCCGGGTCACTGATGGATCGACCTATAGCGGCTTTGACATACATCGCAGCATATCCCGCTACCGCCGATGCGACTGCAGCACCCACAGGCCCCAGGAGAGCGCTTCCCACCAGAGTAGCAGCCAAACAGATTGTGGCATATGTACACTCTGCGCAAGCACGCACAGCCTCATCCTTTGATTGAGTCAGCCCTATCACCATCCTTGCTCTTGAGTTATATGATCACTTACATGATCACCTTCGATCTCGTCGATACCTGCAATAAAGTATCCAACCACTGGGACATCTTCAAAAAGCCTAAAAATGGGTCCACGTAAATCCCACTCTCCAGCGCTGAATGAGTAGAGGGTCAACAAACACCTTCCTTCGTTCTTTGACAGAAAGAAGAGACACTTACGGATCCTCCATGATAAACTCTCCGCTGTCACTTATTGTCACCCATTTGTCGAGTATATCGCAGCACTGAATTAATCTTGGGTACGAATCTTCTGGATACCTGTCGAAAAAGGCGATCATGGCCCAAGTTTCCGGATCAAGACGGATGTGATGAGCCGTTTTCTCAAATTCACCGTTTTTCTTCCTCTCTAGAAATCCCTTCATATTGGCAATATGATCGCCTAAATGCAATTCTGAATACCGAATTTTTCCGTTTATGGTTAAAACGTAGCCGCTCAGTATCCCCCACTGATTAATTTTCAGCCCAGACACTCTTGATCTTACATTTCTTGGCCTGCATTTTGTTTAAAATTCGTGAGTCTGTAAATATTGAGAGAAGGGAAGGAGAACTTACGGAATCCAGTAGATCAATTGACCGTTGTCATTATGGAAACACATGTCCAAACATAGAGAGAGGTCGCAATTCTCAAATCCAAAAGATTTCATTTTGCGCACTGTGCAAAGCAACACTGCACCCCCGGCAGTCAGACTCATATTACCAACAACATGCGATGTAATGTTTTTCTGGTCCATCACAATTTGAGGGTCTGGCAACAAATTGTCTATGCCCAGATGCCAATCAAGGGTGATTTCGCTGTAGTACCAATTTCCATCCTTTCCTTTGCAGTTAGCACAGAGATTGGTAATTTTTTGCACTCCATCTTTCAAGATATATCGTAGCGATATATCTTTGCAAGAAGAGCTGAAACCCATTGCCCTCGACTCTGTTATGCTTTCTTTTCTTGGTTGTGTCTGAACAAAGTTGACGAAAAAAGGGCCTGGAATAAGGCCTGCTTTATATGCCAGAGATTAACTCGATTTTCCCACCTACTGTGTAATTATTCATACATCGTTTTGAGGCTAGCTGAAGAAAATCTAACTAGCCACGTAGCAGACTTTATCCACTCGGAATTAAGCCTGTAACATTCGAGCTTTAATCCCAAAGAGCTATCAAGCCAAGAAACTAGCACACCAGTCTTTTAAGTTGGCTTTTATTGTCATTCAATTGGCTCGCTACCCTATTTCGATTACACCGGGGGCCTGGATACGCTACTTATAATCGCTCATTATCTATTTCCGGGATGCATGTCTAAAAACACTACTTAGTATGGAAGAGGAACTTTTGTCTGAAGAAAGAAGCCGTATCATCTTCCTACGGATGATATAGTCCTTACTCGTTTTAAGTAGATTAAGCGTTTCTTTCATTTTGTGGCCATCATCAAAACTCTACTCAGCGGACCGCACATATAGTATTCGGAATATTGAAATAAGGAAAGAGAGAAAGAAAAAGAGCTAAAATCCCGAGACCCCGGTTCTTTCATCCATCCAATCATAAGAACTGTCACCGAGAACATGGGCCCAAAACCAGGCTTATATCAGCCGCCTACCCCATCAAAAAAATAATAGCCCTTGAAGTAAATCCCATACGAACGGATCACACGGATCACCCCAGAACATCATAGTAAACTCGAATAGCATATTTCAACAACCACAAGTTGAAATCATTTTGAATCTTGAATTTGGATTACTTCTAATTAAGGAAATATGTATGTGGAAAGAAAGATTAGGAAATCATTAAGTGACGTGTAGTTAAAGCTAAAATAGATAAATTACACCATAACTTATGGTACTGCTATAATTTATCCATCTAATTTACTTAGAATGAATTGATTCTTTATGAAGAATCGTTATAAATCACCGGATATTTGAATCTTATCGGAGTCACGGTTTTTGGGATTTGATATTCAATTTTTTCGAGTTTACAATGATGTTCTGGGGTGATCCGCGTGATCCGTTCGTATGGGATTTACTTCAAGGGCTATTATTTTTTTGATGGGGTAGGCGGCTGATATAAGCCTGGTTTTGGAGCCACATGAGCATTGAAGATCGAGAATCTACCGGATGAGTATTTCACGTATTTATCATAGCTTGCTTGTATCATTCTCATAGGAGAACACAATTCTGAGTCACAGAATCTATTGCATGGAGAAAAATGGAAGATGGTGAACCTGACTGAAGAAGGGAAAAAAGACGAATTCAAATGAACTGCTAAGTAAAGAATGAGAACTCGCAGTGGAGCATCTGATTAATGTCACGTTAACTACATCAGTCACAGCTCCGCTAGTTTTCGGTGAATTAATTTATTACTGTTTATATTCTCAGCTGCAATAGGTGTTGGAATATCAGTCAAACGACATCCCGGTTTAGACTACACCACGAATTCCTGTTCAGAGTGCATTGCAAACGACAACCTTGAGCAGTATGCATTTATAACAGTGATTTCCCGTCTCTGCCGACTCTTCTGTCTTAGACAGAAGAGCAACTTGTACGATAAATAGCTAGTCCTCACCAAGAATGAAAAGGCAGGCTTTACAACCACTTCAGAGACACAAGATATTATAGGGGCGTAAAGCGTTACCTGTAATAGGTGTCAGAAGTGGACGTTAGCCTCTTGTCTACCTTATCGAATTCACCTCTGTTGTTAAATAGCTATTCCACGCTCAGTACAGATGTACCGAAAATAAGAAATGGTGCAGATACAGGTTGAAAATTATATCCTCTAATGCTGCTGCACACCGCCTACCATTATTACTGAACCTGGGAGGGAATAATCAATGCTCAGGGACTGTTACACTGGTTTATGATAGGACTTACTTCAATCGCGAAAATCATGATACGAGCTGAATACTATATAGCTAGAGAGTAAACATATAGTATAGAAACCGCGACTTAGTAACATATACTGAGTGTATATGGCTTAATTTGGCCTTCTCTCCTTTCCTGATCTTTAAAGGCAAGATTCATATAGAGCTGGTTCTCAAAGGATTTGAGGACCATCTCAATTACACTTACCATAGTGGCGGTGATTGAACGTCTGGTAAGTCACCAATCCGTCTAACTTCAACCCTGACTTATAAGCCTGGATGTACCTCGACATTAGAAACTGCTCAGTGGGACCATCCTTCTGTAAGTGGGCCTTCATGATTTCGACGATTTTGAGCCGATCGATATTAGGCTTCTCGAGCTGTGAATCCTTATATGGGGCATACGCGTTCCTTTCAGATATTGCATTACAGAACGGGGGCTAAGAATTTCAGATATTGCGTTTACTAATCTTAAAATTAACGTCGATGCTCGCCTCGTATTTGCATCGTACTCAAGCTCAAGCTTAATTCTGTAGATGAGTTCCAAGGTAGCAATGGGTTCCCGAGCTTTTGGTTGAATCAACACCATTAAATCATCCCGAGATCGTTCCGACGTTGGCTGGAGCCTTGATCGATGAATAAATGCTGTGCTCAAATGGATATGTATATTGAATAATTCCGAAAGCGATGATCATTCCAATCAATATAAGCTATGTACTCCGTACTATCTATTACAAACAGGCAAATGCCCGCATGAGCCATCATATGCAATGTTCAAAATCAGCCAGCCCAAAATGTAACAGGCTGATGGGGGGAATATTTATAAACCGGCTTCCCAGAAGCGACCCAAAAAAAGCAAACAAACTGAACCCCGATAAAATGCTATATTTGTGTATCGATCATGATAGGTTCTTTTCCGAGGAGATTGTATCTTGCTTCGCACTTGAGATAGTAGTGGCAGAATTGTCGTGACGTTCATTTTTATGTTCATCCTCCTCATCTGTCTCAGCAGCTGGGGGAGACGGAAGGTATCTTTTTGTTTCGAGGAAGGCCTCTCCTCCATGCCCTTGAACATGGGGCTGGTGCGGTGGAAGTAGCTGTGCACGTGGCCTTCGAGAAGATCCTCGTCGGTGTCGGGAGAATCCTCTGTGTTTGAATCCTTCTCGGAGATACGCTGGGCCATGGCTGCCTCCCATTCACTACGGTACTCCTCAACCTTCTGTTGGTAGTCGAGCTCGGCGTCGTAGAAGCGACCCTTGCGCAGGATATAGCGCTCATACCATGACAGATGCTTGGGGTGAACGGCAGCTCCGTGGTAATCATCCTCTCGGCCTTCTCGCAGGCACTGCCAGCGGCGTTCTTGCTCCTTCAGATCTAGGCCAGTGGTGTCGGGCAGGAAAGCCAGAGTCAGGACGACGCCGCCCAGGCCGAACCAGGGGACCACGTAGAACTTAGTCTGTGTGTCGATGTAATTGTATAGGACAGATGCTAGGAGTGCACCAAGTTTGCCAGCTGCTGCCGACAGACCGTGGGCAGTAGCACGGATGGGGGTTGGGTACACCTCTGCAGCAACCAGGAAGGACACGCAGTTGGGGCCAAACTGGTTGAAAAACGAACTGAGGAAGTACATGGCCTGGAAGGCGTGGATGTGGCTTGCTTCGGTATAGTATTTGAAGTGGAAGGCAGGGACCACAAACAGAATGAAATCCATCAAGAAACCAATAGTCTGCATCCACTTACGGCCATATAGCTTGTTGTCGATGAAGAAGGAAGCCATATAGTAGCCGCATAGTGAGACACCGACATTGACCAAGCCCCACAGCCAGCCAGGCATCACAGAGGTAGATGCAGGGCTAATGACCTTGATAAATTCACTCTGGAATAGTTTGTTTCCGTAGAAGAAGACATCGTTGCAGAACCAGCCTCCAGCAGTGGCAATCAAACGGGGGCCAAAATACTTGAAGGTCAAGCGCAGAGAGTCTACATCGTAACCAGTAACAGATGCCTTCTTCTTGGCAGCAGCCAGCTGCTTACTAGCGGCCTTCATGTGATAGGCACGGTAGTAAACTAGCCACAGGGTGCCGACAGCAGGGATAGCAAAGGAGATACGGTAGGTCCACTGGACAGCCACCTTAGAGTAAGGGTAGCTACCGCTGCCGTGGTGGAAAATCAACAGCAGGATGATCAGGATCACCTGGTTGAAGAACTGGCCCCAACCCTGCATCAAGAAGGCACTGGTTACCTTACGGCCGCGGTGGAGACGATCCTCCTTTGTCGAGAGCTTCCCAGAGCCCACAGCATTCTCCATACCACTGGTAGCGGTCATCGGGTACTCGCCACCAACACCAACACTGTAGAAAAATAGTGACCACGCATAGCAGATGACCCAGCCATTCAGAGTGAGACCCCAAGCGGCAGTCAACATGATCAGACCGATAAACATGATAGTGGCGTCCTGAATCAAACCCCAGCGGCGACCGAGCCTATACAGAAGCACCCGTTAGAAGCTGTTCAAATTTTTGCGGAGAAAGAAGAGAGTGAAGAGCATACCAATCACCAATAACACCAACCAAAATCTGACCGAAGATAATACCAATGATTTCCAAATAATCCACAGCGTTCAACCATTGTTTATCACAGACTTCATGTGAGTCCCAGCAGGTCGGGAAAGTCGATTGGAAAAGTGGTTTGATGTTTCCGATAGAGAAAAGCACGTAGCCTTCGAGACCGAGACCGGCACCGGGGAGGACCATATTGCGGAAGTAGTATGAGACGGGAGAGAGAGGATCTTCCTTGATCATGGACCATATGGAGCTGAGCTCTCTCTTGGCTTCTGCTGTGTCGTATGAGCTGACGAATTTGATCTTCTTCCCAAGTGGAAGATCAGCCCAGTAAATGCCTTCTTCTGTGTAGCTGTCATCGGGACGAATAAGCCGGTCGAAGGCACCCTTCTCATGAAGATCCATATCCTCAAGAGGGCTATGAGTACCCGTCATGTCAGGCCCATGAGGGGCACGTAGTCCAAAGTCAGCCATTGCGGGTAAGAATTGCCTATAAGCTTGAGACCAAGCAGGAATTGGCAAGAATGGTGACTCTGGGTAGAGATGGAAGAAAAGCGAAAAAAGCCTGGGACAAAGGAATTGATTTAAATTAATATGGGGGACGGAGTAACGGAGTACTCCGTCCGTTTAGTGGACTCGACTACGCCCGCTTGATAATTTTTTTTTATTTTTCCTTCACGGAAGCTACTTAGATCCATCGATCTGACCGAAAGCGGCGAGTGGAGTTTAGTAGAGGTAAGCAAGTGGGATGGATAATGACCAATCATATACTGTAATTCAGGCACGTTGTAGGCAGAAATCACATTTCAGCTCACCGCCTGCGTTTAAGGCCAAAAAGATCTTCAAATGTTTCTCAAGTGGAGTTAAATACTACCTGACTAGCCTCTCTCGCTAGTTCAAACAAGAAACATGTCGCGTGCCTCGTCACTCTCAAGGTATTCAGTGAAGTGACTAATTATACAGTCATTTACTTGGAGAAATCATAAATCAGAAATCATGAGAAATAGACGAATCTATTCCTTCAGCTTAGAAGATGAATCCGTGGTTACGGATCAGCGCTTGAGGGCGGTTTAGAGACTCATATGAGCACACGTGTGATATTTCTGAGCAGGGATCACTTTGGTACTTACTTAGGTGGGATCTGCTTACTAGGGCGTTAGATAGTACAACGTACAATTATAGGTGGAGTTAAAGCTTTACGCTAAATCGACTACTCCGCGATTATTATATCTGAATTAGCAAATCATATCCTTTGTTGAGTGCACATGGCCTCAAGTGGGGTCTTTCTACAGCTTTATGCTTCCTTTTTACATGACTAAGATGATATGCACATTACGCCCCATACTTCAGCCTATGCCGAGTATCCTGACACCGAGACACCTGCTCGATTCCTTTGGTCATGTTCTTACACGTTCCAGCCCTAGAAACATTACCCCAGCTCACTGTTCATCTGGTTTGTTGGATCACATCCTCTATGACAAGATTGGTTCATGGCTCTTAAAAATATCGGCCCCACCGTGCTTGTCAAGTTGGTTGTGCATTGAGCTTCTCATAACGTGGCAGGACTGGCTAATTTGATTGGATCCTCTTCTACAAAGTACTAAGTATATCCTTCGGCGTGGATATTTGATCGCTCCCGGATTAGGGCCGCTCCCGCACGCCGATCTCCATCTCACACTTAAGTAACACAGATTTCTCTGATTGTCTCTAAGACTATTGGGTCTAGCTGTGAGGACCCGCTTGCAATGGCGACATGTTGATTCTAGAAAATTGCCTCCTTGGGTAGATATAGGTTCCCACGCCTTGCGCCCTGATAGAGATCGCCATGATCCTAGCCGTTTCAACTCAAGTGATTAACAGAACTCCATTCTAGAACAGGGAAGAGGTTAATCACAATTAGCACGCGGGCTTCCTTTTACGTCAAATCCGTTAATCTAATATTCTCAAAATCACCGTTGCTGGTGCCAAGTCTTACTGGATTTTCTCAGAAAATCGGGTAGATTCCACTATCTTGAGAAGAATTTCTGTTTATGTAGGTGGTGATAATTCCTGGAGGTATCATGCGGCAATAAACAGATAGCCTGTGAGCTAGTCCGGGGGTTAATAGATGTCGATGTTCGTTACAAAAACTCCAACTTCTTTTCCAGTTCCAACCTGAAGACCCATTTCTTTCATTAAGACCTTAGAAATGAGTTCGATTTAATTCGTTCATCACTATATATCCCGTCGAATGTAACAGAAGAGGAAGGAGGGCTACTTCTATGGAGATAATACTGTCGCTCGCTTAGCGAGCGTAGCTAGCTAGTCGCTCGTTACTGAGAACAGTGAGCTCCAACAAACCGCTACTCAACACCGTAGACAATCCACCGATCTGGTAGTGGATTCCTACTAATTGAATATTGCAGTTGTTGTGAAGTCTGCTTTTTCATTGATGAAAGAACTAGCTACTTATAGTATATGGGTGCCCCTCTGCCCTGGACGAATGTCAACATTCGTCCGAGACAGAAGAGACGGTGAAGACGGGACATTACTGTCGCGAATGCACATCGCTCAAGGGTGTCGTTTGCGATGAATGCATATCGTTCAAGGATGCCGTGATATACTAATCTAGTTCCAGAGTCACTGTCTTGGCAGAAGCTTTTTCGGCCGAAATACTTTCCGTCTGTTGATGGCCTTGTTTCTCGGCTGTCGCAACAAATACAATACCTCTGGAAATTATGGAGTATACTAAATAGTAGTTCACTATTTAGTGTTAGCCAAGTAGAGAAGCATCATATACCTCAGGCATCAGTATGTTGTGGCCTCAGGCCCGACAATGCCAGCTTCAATGACAGCTTTCACTAAATACGGAGTAAATACTACCCGTGGACTAAATGATTGTTCAACCGTAATGATATCCAACATTACATTCAAGGGCGATGAGATCCAGGAGCAGAGGATATTGGATCTCGAGGCTGACGCCGATATACCAGAAAATTCCTTCGCCATTGCACGATCATTTATGATACGATTTAAACATGATTTTAGTATGATGTAATTGGTTATTCAACTTCCAAGGTTATTGGTGCGGTCTTAGCTCAAAGCCGATCGGCATGCCGAAGCTAGGAGATACCGAAAGCATCCCGAAAATATCCCGAAACCTCAATATGTACTAGACAATCTCCTTTCAAAAATCAAAGGACCTTAGAGAATCAGAAGGCGCCCTCAACAGATATCCAAGAGACCTTAAATACACACCATGCTACCACAAGCGTACCTTCACTCGCGACGCAGTGAGTTACAAAATCCCCAGTGGCTGGCAACATTCCAACCACAGGCCGGGGAAGCTCAAAGCCGTGCAACCCCTTCCCCCAATTTTCAGTCCAAATTCTAGCCAATAGATCGTATTCAAAGCTGCGCGTGAGTAGAGAGTTTCTACGATCGAAGCATTCCTAGGAAAATTGATCCTAGCCCGGTCGACATGTGTGTTTCCGGCCTCTCTTTCGGCTGCTTGTAAGCCCATGAAGGGAATGATGGCTTGAATTTTTGAGGCGTCATTATAGATTCGTCATGTTGAATGTGGTATATAAGAGGATTGGAGAATCCAAAATGAGGAACACCCAGTCAGGTGTTGATTCTATCTCCAACGACATCTAGAGCCTTTGGTAAGTTGAAGTTCCACCTTCTCAAGTATTATTACTAACAGAAACCTTGGAACAGTCTATTAGTTGAAAATGATTGATCTTAAGAGCCTCTTTCCCTCCGTAACGGCATTCATTGCCTTCATCCTCATACTCTGCTGCATATTTGCCGGCACTCAAAAAAACCTTCTAAATAATGCCGATCTCTTCACGGTAAGTTGAAACGTTTGATTTATCTCAGTACGGAAGATCATGTTTTGATATTGAAAATAGCTCTACACACCCCAAGCAGGCTACGAATCAGCAGCTTGTGACTTTTATTCCATTCATGTCATGTCATATTGCCAGGGCATCGTTGGTGTTGTCGAGCCGGGGGCATCAGCTATTACGCGTAACGTGACCGGTTGTTCCAACCGCAATATCCTCTTCTCCTTCGATCCAACACAAGCTTGGCCTGATCAGGTCTCCCATGGCCCGACACTATCATGGCCGCGCGTCCTAAGTGATGATTTCACGGCTTTCAGGATAACTACCCAGTCTATGGGAGTATTTTATTGTCTGGGTGTGAGTGCAGTAGGCGTTGCTCTTGTAGTGCGGGCAGCATCCTTTTTCACGCCTAGCCCACAACATGGTCTATTTGAATCAGGTTTCCTTATGGTAAGTACATCCATCCAATCATATGATAAGGAAAAGTAACTAATGGACTCTCTCTATTAGCTCGGATGGTTTAGCATCACCATTTCATCTATAATCGCATCAATAATAGCTTTTGAATTCGTGGGCTTGATCAACGCCCATGGCGATGGCTCCAACGTATCGGCTAAGTACGGAGAGCGATTTCTAGGTATGACTTGGGCATCAGCGGCACTACTCCTCCTCGGTAGTATCGTGAGCTTCGTCAACCTTTCCCGAGGTACAGAGAGTGCGGCCCCCCTTCACAAAGACGAGGAGGAGGGTTAGGCGCAGAAGCGGGGAAACTCAGGGGAAAGATTTAAGAAATTAAGGAATATGGAAACCGTGGTCGAGCACAGACAGCAGATACGGACACATGTCGGGGAAAATCGTACAGTGCCCCCAATCTTCTAGCGGTTGTGTATATTGAGACAGAATGGAAACTTTGTAAACTTGTTCTACCCAATGACGTTAATTTGGACGTTGATGTAAAACGTGGGTTATTGCTTACTGCGATGCAAGATTGCGAATTCGGTAGCCTTTACTTCATCTGGTAACATGATTCTACTATCAGGACCAATAGACTATAAGATAGCGGGAACTAGCCAAGGAGTTGAAGGGTGGGCACTTTAGAAAGGAGTGGAATGGAAGAGAATAGTATTCAATGGATGTGATTTCATCCTATCATTTTATTCTACTCCATTCTAATTAGAGAATACGTCCAATGTTCCAAGGTTGCTAACCAACAACTACCTAGGTCCCCAGGGGGTTGTCATTTACAGAACAGACTGATAGTAAACCGCAAATAGTACTACACGTTTGAAAGAGAACAAAACGGAACTACGGAGTAGTCAAGGTGGATATCGTGCCTCGGCATGAAACCAAAGTGCACAAGTTGGTGCCTAGTTGGGCCGTTCGACGTCATCGAGAGTTAAACCCCATACCAATCTAGGTTCATCAGCTATACGAAGCGATGTCGCGTATCAGAATCGTCAGACAGTGGGCAGTGCTGGCAATATCTCATGAAAATTCAGGACGACAGTACTCCGAAAGGTGGCTTATTATTTTCCGGGTGATGAGAAGGTGTGAATAGGAAGTTAATAGGGTGTGAATGGGTGCCGGGTTTAACCTACCAATGAGGTTTATGGCATAGTTGGCGCTTGAGGCTTTTTCCTTGGGAATGCGGAGAGACTCTAGACACGGGATTTATCGGGATGCAAGTAGAAACAGTCAAGCCCGGTCCCGGTGAAAAGGTGGAAAGTAGCGAATAGGTTCACTAGGAATCTTCGGGGGGAAGTTTAAGGGGGGTAAGAGAGAAAGAGTGATGGAGGGGGTCGAGCCATGTCCAAAAGTAGTTTAGTGTGAATAGTGGAGTTCCTACTATGATGTATGATGCTGTTATACTGACTATAGTTACTTGTGTACTATACAACATCCATAACCATGAGGTTGCACGGTAAAAGCGGGGGTTACACTGCCAGTATCAAAATAATAAAGACATTGTACTAATTATATCGGAATGTTTTGATGATATTGACAATATTGAAATATAATGTTGAAAACAAGGCGGAGAGCAGTCCCAGTAGTTCCAGATCTATGAAGTCATGGATGATATGATGAGATAACGGAAGCCACGATGTGTAATAATTGAGCAAAGTTGGAAACAACCCAGGAATGATACGCTTCTTGCCTTTCTTGTCGAACAGGGCTCCCCTCACTTTACTTCATTTCCCATTTTCACACTTTCCCTTTTCCCCGTTCTTCAACTCCATAAATACCCTCCACCTTTTCCCTCTTCTACCCCAACTTCCATTCTGCTTCCAGCCACACGCTTCTTAGCATCTCGTTTCTTTCCTCTTTCCTCATTTCTCATCTACTTATCATGGCAAAGACTGCTGTTCACTTCGGTGGTGGAAATATCGGCCGTGGCTTCGTTGCCGAGTTTCTTCACACTGCCGGTTATGAAGTCGTCTTCGTTGACGTGATGGATAGCATCATCACCTCCCTTCAAAACACAAAGTCTTACCAAGTCACTGAGGTCAGTGAAGGAGGCGAGGTCACCAAGACCATTACCAACTACCGTGCTATCAACTCCAAGACCCATGAGAAGGATGTCATCCAGGAAATCGCCAACGCTGAGATCGTGACCTGTGCTGTGGGCCCCAACATCCTCAAGTTCATCGCACCCGTCATTAGCAAGGGTATTGATGCTCGCACTGTCACCAAGCCTCTGGCTGTCATTGCCTGCGAGAACATGATCGGTGCCACCGACTCTCTGCACGGCTTCATCAAGGATAACACCGACTCGACACGTCTCGAGACCATGGAAGAGCGGGCTCGGTTTGCCAACTCTGCTATTGACCGCATCGTCCCTGCTCAGGCCCCAAACAGTGGACTCAATGTGCGCATCGAGAAGTTCTATGAGTGGGTCGTCGAACAGACTCCCTTCGGCGAGTTTGGACACCCTGATATCACAGCCATACATTGGGTCGACAACCTCGAACCCTACATTGAACGCAAACTGTTCACCGTGAACACTAGCCATGCTACTGCAGCCTACTATGGCCGCTACGCTGGTAAGACTACTATCGCTGAGGCGATGAAGGAGCCCTTCATCCGCAACACCGTTCGTGAGGTGCTCCAGGAAACCTCTAGCCTCATCGTCGCCAAACACGGTATCAGCGCTAAAGAACAATCTGACTATGTCGAGACTATCATCGGTCGTATTTCCAACCCTTATTTGGAGGACACCGTGGAGCGTGTGGGTCGTGCCCCAGTGCGCAAGCTTTCTCGAAAGGAGCGATTCATCGGACCGGCTTCCCAGCTGGCTGAGCGTGGCATATGCCCTGATGCTCTGATGGGATCGGTGGAGATGTGTCTTCGTTTCCAGAATGTCGAAGGTGACGACGAGAGCTTCGACCTCGCTACCATTCTCAAGGAGAACTCGCCCGCAGACGCCACTGTCCAACTCACTGGCCTTGAGCGAAATCACCCTCTTTTCCCGACTGTGTCCAATGTGATCTTCAAGGTCCAATCTGAGGCTAAGTACGATATCTCTCTTTCGCCGTATTTTTCTCGGTCCAACACGTTGCTAACTTTTGTTCACTTATAGGGAGACCGCAGGCCAGCCTCGTATGTAGGCTATGCGCTTACAAGATACCATATTTTTTATTCTCGCATCGGTTGGCGAATACACGGACGGTGTGAATTGGGGATTCGGCGTTTTTTTTTCCTTTTAACTTGACATGACTTAAAGATTATGTCCAGTATGACTAGCATAGCAGAAGGAAAGACTATGAAATGATTCAAATGAGTCAATGAATAAATGTATTACATAAATTATCAATTCAGAAACTCCTTCGTCGAGATTTCATAATTTACTATCCCTCCAAACTGGCTTCCTCTTCTCCACAAATGCTTTCAATCCCTCCTTCATATTCTCACCTCTATTCAACCTGCTCAACCAGACATCATTCAACATGACACCCGCCTCATCAGCCCCAATCCCTTCCCATCCCAACTTGATTCCCTCACGACTAACAATAACCGCATCAGGACTATTACCAGTAATAACACCAGCAACCTCCAACGCCCGCGCAACAACAGCCTTACAAACATCCTCCTCAGAAACCCCATCCCCAACAACAACAACATCGTTAACAAGCCCCCACCCCCTCGCCTCTTCAGCCCCTAAAGTCCTCCCAGTCAAAGCCATCTCCAAAGCCCGCTGCTTCCCAACCGTCCTTACAAGTCGCGGCAACGCACCAGCCAACGCGACAACCCCACGCTTCACCTCCGGCAACCCAAACGTCGCGCGCGAAGATGCAAGAACTAGATCACTATTCACTATCATCTCCGTACCACCGCCTAAGCAGATCCCATTCACAGCGCAAATAACCGGTTTGAGACCTTTGCGGCGAGCAAGACCGCCGAATCCGGCATTCGGCATTGCCACGTGGGTATTTGTAGACGAGACTTTATTCCATTCTAGATATAGTGAGCGTATATCCTTACTCCATATCCATTTAATATGAGGTTTAGGTTTAGGGTGAGAGGAAATTCGTTCACCTTTCAGATCTGCGCCGGCGCAAAAGGCACGGCCTGTTCCTGTTATTATGCCTACACGCAGACTGGGCTCGGCGTCCATCCATTCCCACGCTGCGTTTAGATCCACATGGCCTTGTGCATTTATGCAGTTGAGATCGCGCGGTCGATTGAGTGTCACTAGGAGGACGTGTGGTGCTGGGAAGGATAGGAGCGCTTGTTGTAGTTGTGGGGGTGTAGTGACGAAATTGGACATTGTGGTAGAGTAGATAATTATTGCCTATTGTGATCAATGTCACAATTGATTATATGTTATAGAATGGGAATTTTACATGAATTGATTGATTTAGGTGAGGTTGATTATTGATTATTAACTACAAGGAAATGCGGAGAACTTTAGTGGAGCCGAGGTCCGAATTCTATCCACTGGCATCTGAAGCTATAGATTGGAAAGTACTACACAGTTATCGACTAAAAAGATATTTCATAATTTCTAGTTAATAAACTAGAGTTCATCATAAACGCCGGACATAATATCGCTTAAGGCATATCAGAATAAAGATGTAGAATAGTGGGATATCAAAAATCGTAAACTGATCAAGCCTTCGTGATCCATCCACTGTGCACCATGAAGTCGAAAATTCGACCAGTTTTGGTGCCCTCGAACTTGCAGATTGCTCGTGCGTCTTTCTTCTTCAAGTTGCCGCCTTGCTTCATTGACTCCTTAAGGAGTGTCTCCTTAACAACAAGATATGGCTTTGGCATTAGGTGTAGTACGTTGCAAACCTCTATCTCCTCGCGCGTCAGCAGGTGGAGATCGGCTGCTCCGTCGTTTTCCAGTTTCCACGGCAGCATTCCGCTCGGTGGATGCAACACGAATTTGGTTTTTCCTGACGGCGGGGGGATGGGATCTCCCACGGCGAATGCAAGATCGAAATCGTTCATGGGCATGCTGTCTGATTCGGGCTGTTTGTGGGGGTTGGCTGCTTGTTGAAGACGGAGAGGGAGATCGGGTGTTGTCAGCTGGGCGGCGGCTGTGGGTGTCTCAGTTGCTTGAGTTTGTCTGGGGCGTGGACTGGAGAAGCGGTCGAACGAGCCCTGTGGCAGTAGCCGTTGGCCACGATTTTGCTTTTCCACTTCGTATCTTTCGCCCGCTTTCAAATCACCGATGCCCATCTGGCGCCACTCCTGTAGCTGTGCGATGGCCAGGCGAAGATTATGCTCATACTCCAAGCCTTGGTTAAAATCGTCAAAGTCCTTATTGTTCATCATCCGCGCAAAAGGTTTGGCCTTGTGGAGCAGATCTCGCTCCTCTTTCATTCGCTTCTTCTCGATTGCAGTGTTCTTTCGGTATTCCAGCAGATGATGCTCAAATAGGACTTTCTTGCGTTCCGTGCGGGCAGTGAGCCGAGAGTTGTAAATATCCACCACAGTCATCTTCAATTCCATTTCCGCGTCTAATTCGCCTTGACCCGCGCCTGGCTCAAACGCCATGTGTTGTACGGCCTCCTCGGCATCGTTGAGGAACTCCGTCTCAAACTCCAACCGTCCCGGCATGTAACCTTGCACCTCATGACACGCTGGTGTACTGGCCACTGGCTTCTGCTTGGGGGTGGTAGGCGGTGCTGCCTTGGCAGCCTCCTTGCGCTCCTCGATGCGTTGCTTCTTGCGCGACTGGAACTCTTCCTTTGAAATTGAGTCTTGCAAACTCCGATCTTGCGGATCGGCCAATTCGGGGAGGGGGAAGTTGGAGCTATTCACGTAGGTTTCGATATAATGGTCGCGAACTTCATCTTTAGTACGGTAGCCACCGATGTGGTCCGCGATGTCGGCCCACGAGCCAAGTCCGTAGATGTCGGCTCCCTCCAACAGCAATAACTCCTCATCTGCACCCCAGTCTGCTTGGAAAATAGGAACCGCATTCTGCTCAATTACCTGGTAAGGGTGGGTGACCGGGTCGTGATTCTTGGAGCTCTCGCCGGCGGCGAAGCAGGGGACGCACAGGTCATATTCAGGACAAGAGGCGCAAGAGATGCGAACCTGTAAGATTTCAGATCAGTAAATTTCTGGGGATCTACACGGGGTATAATGTCAGACGTACTGTAGATGTGACATCGACCAAGCACACGTCACAGTGGAATTTGGTTCCAGCCTCATTGCCACGCGCAGCGGTCTTCTTTCGAATTACACCCATCGATGGGCGACCCTTTGCATTCTAAAATGGATCAGATTTTGTTCAAAATTCACCGAATTGCTGTCCGGGTCGCTGAGAAGGCGGGGTGGCTGGCAGGTGTTTGGAAGTGAAGGGAACAACCCACCCTGGATTCTTTCTGGGGAACTGCGCTATTGCGGAGATCCGGGTGGAGCGATAATCCGCTCCGAGGATAATGATGAAACACGTAATCATTAATGTCGAGCCCGAGATAGCAAGGCCAAAGGTCTCAAATCATATGTCTATCATACTTGTTCTAGCTTCAATTCTAGGCTCTAACAATTTAACAAATTCGTCAATATGCGTATCAGCGTATCTCCAATGGATGACCCTATGTGTGGCGCTATTTTTGCACTGCCTCGGTGTGGCTGGAATCTGCAATATTACGAGCATTTATCCGTACAATACCTTACACCCCGGCCAATACTAAAGTCCCTGCGTCTTGTCAACTTCTCCATTGACTCCTGTAATTCTACGTCGTAAAATAACACAACCCCTCTTCCCATCTGAATACTACAATCTCCTTCTTGACAATCTCCATCGACTTTCTTTCTTTCTTTCCCCCCGATTGTACTTCACTTCTATTTCCTTGAAAAAAAGAAGGTAGGATCCCTTTTTTCCAAGGGTCTGATCAGGGCTGCGCGAGCGCTGACTGGTTACGGCACTATATTTTGGGAACTTCGATGTTGACTTGTTTGGCGGTTCCAGTATTGCACAACAATATCGCGGTCCGGCATCTTGGATTTCGTTTTTCTCCTTGATACCCTGGCCTTGAGACCGCCATCATGTCCTGGAAGCTCACCAAAAGTATGTTGAGTTTGTCTCCCTATCTCCTCCTTTTACCCCCCCCCCCCCCCCCCCCCTCTCCAAGAAATGAGGGTCTCACCCCTCCATAGTTCAAATGGACCATTTCACATTTCAGGGGCAATGAGCTAATTCGATTGTCATTTAGAGTTGAAGGAGACGCACCTGGCACCCTTAACTCAGGGGTTTGGTCGGTCATCGTCCACCTCGACCATCAAGGGCGATACACATGGCGATGAAGCACTGACGCCAGTGGCCACACAGGCCCCAAGCCTCTCTTCGAACCCCTCTTCGGACGGTATCGGTACGTAACATCATCACCATTATCAATTAAGCATGTTGTTTCTCACCCTTCGTTCAATCACAGCCGCCTCGGAGGCCCTCGTGTCTCCCCCTGTGACCTCGGTGAATCCAGGTATCCTGATCGTCACTCTCCATGAAGGCCGAGGGTTTGCCTTGTCTCCTCAATTTCAGCAGATCTTCAATTCCCATTTCCAAAACAGCTCTTACAACGCATCTTCTCTGCGCCCCAGCACCTCCTCCTCCTCACATTCCAACCATGGCCAAGCGGGCTCATTTGTTTCGTCCAACCGACCGCAGTCCACTAGTGGGGGCATCAATGCTGCTCCCACCATTCACGGCCGCTACTCCACTAAATATCTACCATACGCTCTTCTTGATTTCGAAAAGAACCAGGTTTTCGTGGATGCCGTTTCAGGTACTCCTGAAAACCCCCTCTGGGCTGGTGACAATACCGCCTTTAAATTTGACGTGTCTCGGAAGACCGAACTGAGTGTCCAGTTGTACCTGCGCAATCCAGCCGCCCGTGCAGGTGCCGGTCGGAGTGAGGATATCTTCTTAGGCGCGGTTAAGGTCAACCCTCGCTTTGAGGAGACCCACTCTACTTTCGTAGAAGACCCCAAATTGAGCAAGAAGGAAAACCAAAAGGCCGCAGCAGCTCATACTGAGCAGGATCGACGCCTCGGCCAGTTGGGCGCTGAATGGTTAGACCTCCAGTTTGGAGGCGGCTCAATTAAGCTTGGCGTTTCTTTCGTAGAGAATCGGCAACGAAGTTTGAAGATGGAGGACTTTGAGTTGTTGAAGGTCGTTGGTAAGGGAAGTTTCGGCAAAGTCATGCAGATCATGTAAGAAATTTCCCCCTTTGCTCTCTTGAATGCGTTTGCTAATTGCGATTTCTGCTCTACAGGAAGAAGGATACTGGCCGAATTTATGCCCTCAAGACCATCCGCAAAGCTCACATCATCTCCCGGTCTGAGGTGACACATACTCTCGCGGAACGATCAGTGCTTGCTCAAATCAACAATCCGTTTATTGTTCCCTTGAAATTCTCGTTCCAATCACCTGAAAAGTTGTATTTTGTGCTGGCATTTGTCAACGGCGGAGAGTTGTTCCACCACTTGCAGAAAGAACAGCGTTTCGATATTAACCGCGCTCGCTTCTACACCGCGGAGCTACTGTGTGCGCTGGAATGTCTTCACGGTTTCAAGGTTATCTATCGTGACCTCAAACCCGAAAATATTCTTCTTGATTACACTGGTCATATCGCTCTTTGCGATTTCGGTCTTTGCAAGCTTGACATGAAGGATGAAGATCGAACAAATAGTGAGATCCCTCCCTCTTCTTTTCGTTTCAGGAAATATCTGACCTCGTTTCTTAGCATTCTGTGGAACTCCTGAATATCTCGCTCCTGAATTGCTACTTGGCAATGGATATACCAAAACTGTGGATTGGTGGACGCTTGGCGTCCTTCTCTATGAGATGCTGACGGGCTTGCCACCGTTCTACGACGAGAATACCAATGAGATGTATCGCAAGATCTTGCAAGAGCCTCTGACCTTCCCCAGCAGTGATATTGTCCCACCCGCTGCTCGAGATCTTCTCACCCGGTTGCTGGACCGCGATCCCCAGCGTCGTCTGGGTGCCAATGGTGCCGCAGAGATTAAGTCTCATCACTTCTTCGCCAACATCGACTGGCGTAAGCTTCTGCAGCGGAAGTATGAGCCCAGCTTCCGTCCCAATGTGGTATGTACTTTTGTTCTTTATGTAATGTCACCTTCGTAAACTAATTATGGCCTGCAGATTGATGCACGTGATACTCATAACTTTGATACGGAATTCACAGGGGAGACACCCCAAGACTCATTTGTCGATGAACCTGCCCTGTCACAGACTTTGCAAGAACAGTTCAATGGATGGTCCTACAATCGTCCTGTGGCTGGTCTTGGAGATGCAGGTGGTAGTGTTAAGGATCCATCGTTCGAGAGTATCCCCGAGTAAGAAAGTGTCAATATTTGCATCGGGCTTCTTACCCCGTCGATCCTGGATCGAGAAATGACCTATGTGTGATAAAGGGACTCATAGACACGATATTTTTTTGTACTGTGTTTTTTTATGATTGATCGACATACCAACAATTTTGATCATTCTATTTCGTGTCTTTGTTTTTGATACTTCCATTCCAAGGAGTCTGTGGCATCTTGGTCTTATTGTTTCTTCCAATATTCGAGGCCGAGAGTTTGTTCTTTTCTTTGTCTTTTCCCCCCTTCGCGCCTTCACTCTTCAACTTCCCCCACTGAGCGCTTTTCATTCTATCCTCGGCATCCCCTCTCGAGGCAGGTTCCTCTCCTAACCCTTGTTTGACTCCCATGTTCTACAGCGGTCATCACCTGTCGAGTCTGGTCTGTCTATTGTATCTGCCCGTTTCATTTCGGGTGTGAGATTTTTCATTCTCTGTATTCATGATAAAGTCTCAATGGACAATGCTAAACACATCTTCCTCATCAGTTTTTTTTTTTTTTTTTTTTTTTTTTCGTAAATTGCAAGTACCTCTATCGAGGGATTACGATTTGACCGTCAATATAGTAGTGCCAGCAAAGAAAAAATATTTCACAAAATTTATATCCAGGTAGCTGCCATTGTTTTAGAATCAAACCCAAAATAATCCAGCTCTTCTCAAAGTCTATTGCTATATGCTGAAGATCCGCCTTACTCTCTCATGTAGCCTGTGTGTTGTGATATACTATACGTCGTAGTGGTTATGGATATCTCCCCACCAGAACACAAAAAACATCCTCCATGTTTGGTGAGCCCAGTCTGCCAGCTGAGAGCTAAAGCTGGAAAGAGGAGCCACTAGATCTTCGTCGATGACAGGAACCCCATCCGAGCTCTCGGCCTGCGAGCTCTTAAATGCCCCTAACTGAAGACTGAACATTGTAATGAAGGTGAAAAAAAGGTGGGCCAAAAACATCGAATAGGGCGGCGCAGAAAGCTCGAGACCACCGCGGCCATACCCTTAGAAAACCCTATAGGATGCTCCCACGATTTATTTAGGGGCTTGTAATACAGGACAAAGCCAGAATACTGTAGAAGACTGATACTGCCCATGTCCCTGTGAAAGGTAACCGTATATAGGAAGTTGGCTGATCCAATTACTTAACATAAGAATCCTCAGGTCGCGCACATGAACTTGCGAATGCTTCTTGGGATAGTCCATAACCGTAGAAAGCGATAGCCTGGTAGGTGTAGAGGATGTGGTAGCTCATGACAGCAAGAGCGGCATATCCTCTCAGACCGTCAAGTGAAGGAGTGAAAGAACGACTTTCATGGGTCTTAGAGCCATGTATAAAACTTGGTAGCAGGAATGAGACGAAAAGTCTTGCCCATCTCAATGTTTTTGTGCTTATAGCCGACTGGTGGATTTGCAAAGCTTTGATGAGACGGTCCTTCAGGCTGTGGTTGACGTTCTCATGCATATATTGCTCTTCGTCGATGCCCAATTCATGGTTATAATCTTCATCTTGGGAAGCACTAGATGATAATTGAAAAAAAGAAATATCCATAGCGAGTGACATTGGTCGATGGACAAACCAGACCTAAGTGATGATCAAAGCTCATTTCAGATTTCACTCAGACCAACTCATCGCCAGGGTACACTGATATGGTACACATATCACTACTCTGAAAATGACATCCAAATATAGATGATAGAAGGGTGCTAATGGATTGGAGCGTAATCAATAAAGGATATATGACTAGTCAGAGCCACAACATCAAGATAGTTGAAATCTAGGTACGAGTGTCTTAGTCTACGATAGGTCCAGCGTTGGAAGCTGTCGAGATTACGTGGGTAACATTAAATGATACATTTCAGCCTGATGAGTATAGCGGGTACCCCTCCGCTACTTTAGAGAAAGTATGGGGAGCGTTATTGGACGGTGAGTTCAAAGCTCTTGACATATCCACGTGGTATATGAGACATCGTAACTTATTCGAAAAGTCGGCGCCTTCGCTGTGCTTCTAGATTCTCTTGTGGGATTGAACAAATCTTCAACAATTGGTGATTTCAGGTTGGTCAGCTCAGGACTATCTGCTCATGTTTTGATGGGTCAAAATACCGAGGATCATGCGTAAATATTAGTCAGCTTATTTCATCTCAGCTGCGGCTGTAACTACGGCTGCAACTTCCATATATCTCAATTGCAGAGCGTGTGCTCGGAAACCCGGGAGCGGCCGTTCAGTCCCCGTGACGTGGCGCTGGTGGGTCTAAAGCCGCACCTGCAGCCGCACCCGCACTTTGGTCCCCTGAGCTAGAACCTTCAATCCGATCAGGACCCCGAAAGTTTACTCTAGATACGGATCTAAAGACTCACTAGTCGCAGGACAATTCTATCGATCAATTCTTAGGAGCTAACGGGTCCACCCATCAGTGGATGTCCAATAGTATACAGAGTAGATCAAAGACCCGATTTTTAGATCCAGGGATCACTCCCACTAGTAATAGATCTATCAATACCTCGTCAGTCGCATATGATTGGTTTTTAATTGTGGCAACTATTTACCAGCTTCTTGGATAATTCAGCCTTTTACGGACGAACCTACATTACAAACCACAGTGAACTCCTTCCTAATCAATTCTACGTCGGGCCCCCGAGAGGAAGAACTCGCAAAAAGTTGCACCAACTGAGATAATATGACAATCTGGGGCTCAGTCACGAACACTATTATTGGATGGCGGACTCAAAGATTTCGTTTAGCCAACGCTATTTTGAACACCCATTACTTCCGAAGACCGAAGACCATACCTTAACTCGGTCGATGTACATATTGACCTTTAGTCAGAAGGACTAGAACTCCACCCAAGCTACATTCACTTTTCATATCTGCTAAGCCATCAGAATATTTATAATCACAAGCTCCGCCAAGCTTGGTCATAGTATCATGATATGCTGCTTAAGACCGCACTTAATGCTATGTCCGTAGTATCACTATATTTCCTATAAGCTTGAGCGCCCCCCTTATATGTTTTCTTTCTCCTATACATTTCCTAGCGGTTTCTTTCAGTCGATTTCTTCTTTAGATTTTCAATATCTGATAATGACGTCTTTCGTTCGAAACACCCTTTTTGATTGCAGCGGCTTGGTTGCTGTTATCACAGGCGGTGGGACAGGTATGCTCCCTATCCTATTCATCCATCATCAGGGCGTCGCTAGAAGATCACTTTGATTACTGACGGCTTAATTTTTGTGAAGGTATTGGTCTCGTAATGGCGCGCGCCCTTGAAGCCAACGGGGCCAAGGTCTATATTCTTGGCCGACGTAAAGGCAAGCTTGACGAGGCTGCGGCTACAGCTCTACATGGAAACATCACCGCCCTTCAGTGCGATGTGACATCAAAGGCGAAATTACAAGACGTGGCTAGTCATATCGAAGCGGAAACAGGATATGTGAATCTCGTGATTGCCAACTCCGGGGTATTGGGGCCGAACTACAATGAATTGCTTCTTAATGAAGATGGCAAGATGCCCGAAATAGAGGAGGTACAGAAAGTCCTTTGGGGTCCCTCGATGGAGCAGTTGGGAGAGGTATACAAAGTCAACGTGATTGGTGTTTATTACACGGCGGTTGCCTTCCTGGGCCTCCTTGACAAAGGCAACCAGAAGGGAAACGTTCAACAGACAAGTCAGGTATTGGTGACGAGTTCGATCGGTGCCTTTTATCGGGCGTGGCCGCAAGCGGGAATAGCCTATACAACGAGTAAGACGGCAGTGACTCACTTGAGCAAAAGTTTGGCGAGCTATCTGATCCAATATCGGATCAGAGTAAATGCGATTACTCCAGGAAGTACGATTCCAGCACTTGCCCCCGCCACTAGTTCATTCCTTTCACGTATACCTTGCAAAGCGTCAAAGTTAACTGATGACTGTATCAACTAGCCTTTCGGTCGGAAATGATGGTCGCTACACTCGGCGATCGGGATTTCACAGTCGAGGGATCAATGCCGGCGACGATGCAACCACTGAAACGGGTAGGCAGAGACGAGGAGATTGCGGGAACCGTCCTTTATTTTGCATCAGAGGCAGGCGCATACTGTTCAGGCTCAGTCCATGTAGTTGATGGTGGCAGACTGGGTATTCAGCCTGGAGCAACGTACTAAAATTGGACTGGTATGGAGTGGAGCGTATATAAATGGTAAAATTGCAATGCAGTACTTATTGAAGTCAATGAAGCTGTAATACAATACTTCCTTCGGACTAAAGTATGGATGGATGGATGTTGGGGTCGGTGGTCTTTTAGAAGGGGCTCATCAGATCCATTGCTTGGTAAGTCGCGGCGAGGTCGATGTTGAGACCGCCTAACTGATAGAGACTCCTACAGAATATTGTGGGGCAGTTCATTTATCGAGATCATTGGGACTATAGCAAACTGCCCTCTTTCAGCGGTGGAGAGAAGACCCGCAGACTATTGAGACGCTGAGAATGGTCTTTGCATGTCAGAGTGACGTGACTCCATACTATTTAGTAACAAGTCAAGGTGGGAAGGTGGAAAGCAGAGGACGCCCGCATAAGTGTCGAAATTATCCGAAGCTTGTAGACTGGGTGAATTTGCATGCTGTATTCGATACTGAGGAAAAGTAGTTTCAGTTAGTATGTGGGCTGGGAGCTCAACTAGAATTCAATACCACGTATAATAGCGAATGACCGTCCAATCCGGAAGTAGTCATAAGTCATATGTCATATATTACTGATTACCTAGATGAAAATAGATACTTAGAAACTAGCTAGGCACTAAAATAAAAGATTTAAAAAAGTACGTGCTCGCACTTGGCTAAAATAAAATTCACTAATAAAGGCACTCGCTTCAAATTCCCTCACAGCCCCTTACCCTAAGTCCCAAGCTTCAGGCAGAAATGGTCTTCAACGTCCTCACAACTAACGCTGTCGACCTACAGCAGCTACTTGATGAAAACAAGATCACGAGCGCGCAAATTGTCGAGCAATACTTAATACAAATCGATCGCTATGAGCCTGCGCTTAATGCGCTGATCTCGCCTGTCCCGCGGGACAAGGTCCTCAAGATCGCCAAAGTTCGGGATGAGGAGCGCCAGAAAATGCAAATCCGGGGACCCTTTCACGGAATTCCCATAATTTTGAAAGACAGTTTTGTCACTGCCTCGGAATTAGGCATGAGCACCACGGCTGGATCATATGCGTTCGTCGGAGCCAAGGCGTCAAGGAATGGGGCTATCACTCAGCGGCTGATTGATGCTGGCTTGATCATATTGGGAAAAGCGAACATGACTGTCAGTAGACATGTGGTTTCCTTGAGAACTTGATTATATTAATTGCTGTTCTAGGAATTCGCCGGTATGAAAATGACCATGATGATGCCCGGTTGGTCTGCTCATGGTGGTCAGACTCTGTCACCATATGTAGGGAAAATAGAGGATAATGAGAAGATCCTCGGACACTCAGTGAGAGGATGAAATATGCAGAGTTTTATTCATTTATACTGATACTAAGCAGGCGCCTGGGGGCTCATCCACTGGCTCTGCGGTCGCTGTAGCTGCTGGGTTTAGCCCTCTTGCCATGGCCACTGAGACCATAGGCTCCATTGTAACTCCGTCAACACGCGCTGGTCTGTATGCACTCAAACCTAGTATTGGAGCTCAGGACACTACTGGACTATACACCATGACAGAGTTCTTCGACAGTCCAGGCCCTATGGCAAAATCAACAGCTGACGTTCGTGTTCTTTCTGAGATTCTGCTCAGTCGCCCGTTTAACTCCCCTAAATTTGGTTCCTGGGAAGGTCTCTCAGTGGGCTTCCTGGACCCAAAAGTTTGGAGCATGTCACCAGACTTTTGTACACAATTTGAGGGCACAATAGAGCAAATGGTTCGTCTCAATTTGATCAAAAAGTATAGAGTTCTAACACTTGATTATAGGTAGATGAATACGAAGAGACAGTTTCCACTCTACGAAGCGATGGCTGCTCTGTTAAGTACTCAATTCATTGCAAGGACCCCTCAGTCTTACCGAATACCATATTGCCAATCGCATGTAGGTGTGGGGAAGTACCAGATAAATTTAAGGTCGCTAACCATTTCTAGATTGGGACTTCAAGAATATCTGTATCCCAAAATTTATTCAATCGTTTGACGAGTGCTCTATAACAAGCGTTGCAGATATCGTCAAGTTCAACAAAGAGAACAGCGAAAAAGCCCTTCCAGCTCGTAGGTTGACAGATATGATACGATCCTATGACCTTATAGTGAATAATTACTAACATAACACAGCATTCACCGAGCAGAATGATCTAGAAGTGGCAATGGACAGCACTGAGAGAAAAGAAGAGATAGAGAAACTGGCACGGGACCTTCGCAGGGCCGCTAGAGATATTCTGGATGACCTATTTGATATGGAGAAAATCAATATTCTGGCAGCTCCTGGAGACTCTTCATTGTGTGTTCATGCTGCTGCTGCAGGTAAGAACTCATCAAGTGTGTGCTTTACTCTTGCTAATAGGATCAGGGTATCCTGTCGCCACAGTCCCGATAGGACAACTTCGCTACAATGACCGGCCGTTCGGTATATGTCTAGTGGCCAAGAGGGACGAGGAAGAGACTCTATTGCGGTTCATGGAAGTTTACGAAAAGGTTGCCAAGCCTCGTCCGGTTCCAAAATTCCAAGAAGGAAGATATGGCAGTGGCCAAAACACCACAATAACTCCTGTAGGATGATTTTGGTCCGTAACGTTGATTTCTTGGGCCACGGTAATTCGGTGGCCTGAATAGAGCCAAGATATTAACACCTAGTAGACTTCTTCTCTCCTTAGTACTCAGTACTGTGATATCGCTATTTAAGGCGATATCAACTATAGTTGATCTTAGGAAAATCAGAGACCTAGGAAACCAGTCTACAGCTTCTGATACAAGATAATCTTATCCTCAGATGCACCCTCTTCAATCCAAGAATTCAACAAATTTGACGCAACGGCTGCAACTATCTGCGGGTAGTTCGGAGGAGGCTGCGCACCAGGCGGCAGCTTGCGATTACGGTCACCGGCAATCCAGATAACAGGCTCGAGGGCAATGCCAGCGACTTTTTGCCGGAGCTCTTCGATGTCCTTCAGGTCGAACCCGCGGCCGAAAATGATAGATCGTACTGGGCGATAGTTGTGAGAGCCAACGTTGTTGGCATGTGGGGAGTTGGGATCGTTGCCGGCGAGAAGATGGGGAATCTCTTGTTGAGCTGCCTCTAGACTCTGAATGAAATGGATTACTGATTTAAATCAACATTGGTATTCTGCAAAGTTGGATGCGGAACGGACCTTCGATATTAGGGAGCAGTAGCTCTGACACGGGCCTGCCGATCTGATCATCTAGGGCACAGACTACGATTGGGAGAGGGATCAATGACATGATGAGGGTTAAGATAGTCAATTTCAAGATTGATTACTGTGGAAGAGGAAAGGAAGAGAGCGTTTCCTGGGTGGAAAGCCACTAGTTAAATACATCTTCTTTATCTGAGGGGCTACCTAGATGCAATTCAGACAGAGTAGTAAGGTAGAGAATCCCATAACTGGGGGGAGGGGGCAACCTAAGATCTTTGAGCCTGCTGCCTAGTGATAGGCAAGAGGTGCCTATGAGTGGGTCTTGAATTCGAGACATAATTCGGCCATTTTCGCCCCCTCTTATATTACGGTGTTATGGGGATCGTGAACTGGAATTAAACAGAAGCCTTGGAAGTACAAATAATATCTTCAATTCCCAATATACAGGCGCGAGGACCTCGATGAATTATGAGAAAAGGCTTGGCATAAAATTGAAATAGGAGAATACTAATACCTTGTATCTATCCTTTCACTTTCGAACATCCCGTCGAAATCGAGACTTGTAGCAGCAGAAATTACAGCAGTAGAAGAACATAGAAAGAATAAAGGGGGGAAAAGGGACAAGAAGAATAGGGAATTTGGACACACGTTAAGACGCCGCTCACAACTCAGAATCCACTTCCTTCATGACGTCGAGAAGAATAAATGCTCTCTATCAAACGCATTACCTGAGCATGTCCTGACTACAGGCGTTGATATTTTTACTCCTCAGTCTCGGCTTCAGCCTCGGCCAACTCTTCCTCTGCTGCTTCCACTTCAGTCTCAACTTCGGCCTCGACCTCAGGGCCGCCATTTGTTGCGGTCGCGGGCTCCGTTTCATCATCGGCGTGGATGTCAATCAAAGACTCCGATGAAGGAGGCTCAGGAACAACACCTTCCTTCTCGATGCGGATGTACTCATCCCACTCGGGGAAAAGATCATCATCAGTTGTAATAGTGTCCGGGGCACCGGGTGGAACACCGATCAGACGGGCAACCTTGCTCTTTCCTGATGTCTCAAGAGAGCTCTTCCATTGAACTACAAGCTCGGGTGCACGAGAGGGCTTATAGGTCTGAGCAAAAAGAACGGCCTCGGCAGCGCGGTTAGTCTGGACGAGAAGGTCAATGCAGCCATCGACGTCACCGAGAGACCATAGAGTCGAGAAGGCAACATTGTGAAGACCTGCCTCAGAGGCTTGCGTAGCCAAAGTACGGAGTCCCTCGCGGTTGTTACTGGCTGTATGCACCAACAAGAGAGAACCGAAATCCTTGGCGTTGGAAAAGCACTCCTGGGCCAGTGAGAGGTTCCAAGAAGCTAGAGCAGCATCGCCAACAGTCTTCCACTTGTGCGGGGAGTCCACACTGGTCTCACGAACAATCACAAGGGCAGTCTGGAGGTCATTGAGTGAGAGAGCCAGGTCAAATCGATGCTCTGGGTCGGTTGCAACCTCGAGAGCCAGCTCCTTGTACCCTTGACCCTCGAGGAAACGGGCAATCTTGTTCATTTGATCTTGAGGCACATCCTGGAGCAGCTCTGCTGCTGTATCTAGATCACCACGTAGCACTACTGTCTGGTACTCTACCACACTGAGGGACAAGGCAAATGACACGACGCTGACATCCTTGTCAGACAGGTAGATTCGGCCATCCCGAGGAAGGTAGCCGAGAATGTACATGGGCTGGTCGAAGTGGGAGATAGTGTAGGTCTGGTCACCCACAAGGTAGTTAAGGCGGTTGGTGGAGCTGGTGTAGATGAAGCAGTCGCCAACCCACTCACCAGTGCGGACAGACTCATTAATAGTAGCGACATGCTCAATAGCTGCCTCGACTCCGTCTTCATCGGCTTCGCCATTGTTCATGCCATTAATATAGTTCTCTCGAGAGTAGCGAAGGACGTAAAAGTCGTCTTCACAAGCAAGTGTGACTAGCTCTCCAGATTCAGACCAGTAGACCTTTAAAAAACTTTGGTTAGTCGATAAGAAGATTGATCTCTTGATCTAAAACTCACATTCTTTGGGTCAACTTCGATCCTTCGGACCAAATTACCACTCTCCCAGTCGAACAGACCAATACCACCTTGGCCCTTTACACCAAGCAGAACACCGTCACTGAGACCTTCAGCTTGGAATCCAACATCAAGACCACCGCTTTGCTCCTTAAAGTTCTTAAAAATCTTGACACTGGTCGCGGACTCGCGGATAGCGTAGTCGTTGCTGTTGTCCTTTGCACCCCAGGCAAAATCTAGGGCTTGGCCGAAAGCCTTGTTTCTCCACGCCAGAGCAGTGTAGATAATATACTCGCCATCTCCACAAACGGAAACAAATCGTCCATTAGGGGAGTGAGACAAAGTTTGCGGGTACACTTCACATGTGCCCAGATCCTTTGTCGGCAATGAGAGAGGCTCGCCATCCTTCAAGCTAGCATCGCCACCCTTAATGACAGTCGATACCACCTCGCTGTGCTTGGCCCAGATGAGCTTTCCGGAACCGTCCATTGAGACGGCAGGCTCTTCTCGACCCATCTTGACAACCACTGCACCATCATCGAATCCCATTGCGACCCCTTGTCGGCCTGGTTGGTGAGCAATACACCATGCACGCTCCAAACCATAGCTTAGTGACTGCTCCAGGCGATAGGTGTTGGCGTGCCAGATCTTAATTGTTCCATCTTCAGAACCCGAGATGATGACGGGCAATTCAGGGTGGTAGCAAGCGAAGGAAACGTTGCTAGTGTGGCCCTCGAGGGTTGCGATGAGCGCCTTAGTGGTGTAGTCCCAGACCTTAACGGTCTTGTCATCCGAGGTGGTGAGAAGATACGGCTTATCAGCTGCAGGATAATAATCGACATGGTTGACACCCTTAGTCTCGTGAGCCTCGAGGGTGAAATTGGCGTGAGGAGAGCCCAGGTTCCAGATCTTCACAGTTCGATCTAAACAGGCTGACGCAAAGGTGTTGGTATCTTTAGGATTGATCGCCATGCCCATCACATAGTGACCATGGCCCTCGAAGACCTGGACACACTTCCACCCCTTCTCCCAATCCCAGAGCTTAATTGTCATATCATCGGAGGCGGTAAGAACAAAGGGCTGAGTTGGGTGGACGCAAATTGAACGAATGTAGTCAGGATGTGCCTCAAAGGAGGTGATCTTCTCGGAAGTGTTGTAGTTGTAAACACGAAGCTGGAAGTCATCTGAACCGCAAACGATCCAGTTCTTTCGCGCAATGAATCGACCGGCACGAACGGGGACATCTGTGAGCTCGAAGGTTTTGATGATTGACTAGGAGTAAATAATGTCAGCCGCATTTGTTTCGCGCCTGATATTAATTTCAAGACGAACCTGTGACTCGTATGACCAAATGTATACGTGACCTGTTGCCCACGAGTGTTAGTACATGGAGACCTCGTGGAGGCTTCTTCTGCTCAGACATACCACTGTACAGTGTTGTAAGAATCTATTGATATGTTAGTACAGTCTATCCCAAGCAGTAGAAAATCATATAAGCTTACCCATGGCTCTGTTGGGTGGAAATCGATGCCCTTTACCCGCTCCGAGCGGGCAAACAGCTGCCTCTATATGTAACGATACCAGTCAGCAATTATGCCAATTCCTCGAAATTTGATCATGCAACTATGGCCCCATCTGTCGGAAGAAGTCACCACAGCATTGATCGGTGTCTGCGTACCTTAATATCGAGCCGCATGTTGTGTGGGGGGTTGAGTTGATGTTTGTGTGATGCGGCGTTGAGCCTGCGAGAGCAAGGGAGAAATCCGCGGGACGCTCAGACAGACCAGTAAATCAGGACTGAGCGGTCAGGTTCAACGGAAAATATTAGGAAAAACAAACAGCTTTTCTGGCTGGAAGTGAGCTGGAGATCATTCAGGGACAATCTATGTGTCCACAAGGGATTCCCGCTTTGGCTCTCACCGCCTTCCTTTTTGCCAAGAGGCATCCAATTTCATGACGGAATATAGGTAAATTATATTGAAAAATTCAATACTTCTAAATGGAGTATGTTAGAGTCTGTTATCTAGAGCTTTGGTCTCAGATTGAGATAGTTATGAGGATTTCAGCCCTGTGAATTTAGCTGTAATCTGCAGGGTGGCAGTAGGTATGGTCCTACATATCACAGCATCTATACTTCGAGAACTCAATAGGTTCAATCTTGGAACCTTGAAAGTGTTAAAATAAATAAAAGGTGTATTCAAACATTCCAATTTCTAAAGATACAGCAACTAGGTTCTCAGACCATTTTCCAGAAAAGCTCTAATTACCGCGCTCGAAGTATTCCCACTGGCCTGGTTGTGGCTTCACCTCAAGTTCCTCCCACCTATGATGTATGTTAGCAGCTTGAACCAGATCCAGGATCTAGAATATCTTAGAAGTGTACTAACACTTTGGACTTGTGGAGCTCATCAACAAGATTGAACTCAGCCTCTGCAACCTGAATGACCTCCTCGATGAGACCGGCACCAATCTCACGCTCAATCTGAGAAATTCTGTGAAATTGATTAGTACTGAATATATATACTTCATAGTATCAACCACTTACTGTTCGGCATCCAGAGGGGGCTCGTTCTCCCACTTCATGTGGACCTCGTGGAAGTCTGATTCGTTCTTCGCAGTCTCGCTGCCCTCTTCAATGATCTTGATCCACTCGGCCTCTTCCTCCGCGGTGCGGGTCGGGCCCTCGGTGGTAGCAGCAAAGCCTTCGCCATCCCATTCTTCACCACGAGAGATGTCGCTTCCATCTCTTTGTTGTGAAGCGGCGTAGGCAAATGAACCGTCAGAGCGCTGGAGCTGGGCAAACCGTTCGGGCTCGGCACCGACGGTCTTCTTCACGCGCTCCAACCACGCATCAAAGCCCTGGGGTTTCTTGGACTCGACGATCTGCAGGCGGTGACGGCTCAATGCCTCGACAGATTTACGGTAGGCGGAGTTCTCGGGGAAAGACTGAAGCTTCTGCAAGGTGGAGGTATATAAATAGATCAAAGTCGGGCGGGGACTCGGGTGAGTGACCAGGCCAGTCAATCCAGTCGGGGCAAAAGGCTCCAAGTACCGGGGCTTGACATTGGCCAACAGTCGAAGTGTAGACCGCATTGTTGTGGTGGTGATATGAATAATGAATTGGAGCGGGCGCAATTGGTCAGGGTGATGGAGCGGGAAGTTCGAAGTCGGACCGGCGCGGATAAACGTGTTGCCATTATGAAGTACTCTGGCAGGGGGAAATTGCCCTCCTTCCCGCGGTCCCTTTTCATACGCGCACGCGACTGTCTGGACTATTGCGGAGGTTGTGAGGTCTCATCTTATGCTCTACAACTCAGGGCTTGGTCTTTCTCTCATATTTTCTCCCTTCGCCCCTCGGAGCTAGTTTTCGCCCCCGTGTGCAATGTACCACCTGTGACGGTACTACGACCAGCGTCCCTCGTTTTACATCATTCACAACATCCTACGGCATAACATAAACTTCACACTGTACCTCCTTCTTTTGAGACATACAATTGTTTCCCCACAAAATGAAGACATCTTGGTTGGGATGGTCCCTTCTGTCAGTGTTGGCCGTTCCAACATTGGCCGCCGCATCTGCGAAGCTTGAAAAGAGAGGTCGTGGCGTCGATCCAGAGATCCCTTCAGTTTTTAATGGTTTAGACGTCCCTCCACTGCTCCAGCTAACGTCTGACAATTTTGACGAGCTCACTAAAGAGGGAACATGGTAGGTCAAAATAAACACAGGGGATTTCCATATTTCTAATGAGTTTAGGATGGTGAAACACTATTCGCCTACCTGCGGTCACTGTAGAAAGGCCGCACCTATCTATCAGACCTTGTACGAATACTACTATGTAAGCGACTGTTTTGATTTCTAGTATTTGCATACCATTCTAACCATAGTTATCAGACTTCCAACCCCGAGTCTCCAGCCTCCGGAAAGCCCATCGACCCCAAATCCTCAAACTCCTTCACCGGTTACTATAATTTCCATTTCGCATCGATTAATTGTCTCGCCCAAGGTGACCTTTGTCAAAGACTGAAAATCGACGCCTACCCAAAGTTCGGCTTCTACGAAAATGGCCAACAGAAGGAACTTACTACCGGTGTGAGATCGCTGGAGGAGCTGAGCAAACTTGTCGAGGAGAAACTCGAGGCGAAGAAGCCTGGATCTCGCCCCACACAGGGTGTCAAATTGCCCGAAGTTGGCGCCAACAAGGTTGATTCAACCGCGGAGCCTGACAATCCCGTTGCAAAGGACAAGGACCCCGCTGCCGGTATCCAGGCTGGCGAGAAGCACAACGAGCTAACCACCAACAGAAAACCCTCGGATGGCTCTGCAGACTCTAAATCGGGTGATCTCACTCAAACAAAGGATAAGGCTGAAGCTAAGGATAAGCCTGAGCCGGCTCCTGCTAACCCTCAGGGTCTCTCGGTTCCTCTCACTGCCGAAAGTTTCCAGAAACTGGTGACCACTACTCAAGACTCATGGTTCATCAAGTTTTACGCTCCCTGGTGCCATCACTGCCAAGCATTGGCACCTAACTGGCTCGAGATGGCCAAGGAGATGAAAGATACTCTCAACATCGGTGAAGTCAATTGCGAAATCGAAACCAGACTCTGCGAAGATGCGCGTGTCAATGCTTATCCGACCATTTACTTCTTCCGTGGTGGCCAGAGAGTCGAATACAGTGGCCTGCGTGGTCTGGGTGATCTTCTCTCATTCGCCAAGAAGGCAGTTGGACCCGGCTCCACTATTGAAGATGTGGATGCCGCTACTTTCAAAGAGCTTGAGGAAACCGAGGAAGTCCTATTCTTGTATTTCTACGACGACGCGACCACATCTGAGGACTACAAGGCCATGGACCATCTGACCTTAAGCCTTGTGGGCCATGCTCGGATTGTCAAAACTAGCAGCGCTGCTCTTGCCGATCGCTTCAAGATCTCCACTTGGCCCCGCCTTCTAGTAGTCCGTGAAGGACGACCCACTTATTACAATGCCCTCGCTCCTAAGGATATGAGAGATTTTCGGCAAGTCCTGAACTGGATGCAAAGCGTGTGGCTTCCTATACTTCCCGAGCTCACTGCTTCCAATGCTCGTGAGATTATGGATGGAAAATACGTTGTACTCGGCCTTCTTAGCCGCCGTCGTTCCGACGATTTCAAGCAATCCAAGCGAGAATTGAAAGAGGCTGCCTTCGAATGGATGGACAAGCAGATCCAGCTCTTCCGCCTTGAACGATCAGAACTCCGCGATGCCAAGCAACTACGCATTGAGGAAGCCGATGACCGCAATGACCAGCGTGCTCTGCGAGCCGCTAAGAACATGCGTATTACCATCCGCGAGGATGATAAGAAGCCCGTAGCATTTGCTTGGGTAGACGGTGATTTCTGGGAGCGCTGGCTTCGCACAACCTACGGCATTGATGTGGAGAATGGAGATCGTGTGATCATCAATGATCAAGATGTAAGCTTATAAATTTCCGTCGTTACATTTTTTGTTGATGCTAACCTTCATACTAGAACCGCCGTTACTGGGAGACTGCCTCCAGCGGAGCTCCAATCATGGCCTCACGTACTTCGATTCTCGAAACCATTCCTCTTGTCATTGCTTCCCCACCGAAGCTGTCTCCAAAGTCCACCATTGGCACCTTTGAATCTTTCTTCTTCTTTACCCGGTCCTTCATCGGCAATCACCCTATTCTTTTCTTCATCTTGCTGGGCATTACTGTGGCCTTGGCCACATTCTTTGGACGTGGCCGCATTTTGCGTCGTACCGGTCTTGCCCGCGGTGGTATCCTGGGCAATACTAATGCTGGTACTAGTAGCGGCTTTTTCCAACTGGATGGCAAGGAGGGATTCCTGAACGGAGGTTCGACAGGAAAAGTCGATTGATGAGACCGATGTACAGTTCCGGTGTTTGGCAGTGTCATTCTTATTAATTTTTTTCTTTCTAAAATGTATTTGATTGTATCCAGGCTGTCTTTCACTCTGCGGTCTCCATTTCGAATCTTCTGCATTTCTGGACCTGGAGTGTGAAGCGCATATTTCCTTTATTCTAACTGATTCATTTGTTCAAATCAACAAAAATTTGGCAATTATTTATATTTATGGTGATAGCATGAAGATGGTGGTCAATCGTTAAAGAGCAATTGCAGCAATTTCTGTGCTTCGTCATTTGGACTAATTGTAGCCCGCTTATTGGTCAATCCATCAAATGACACGTGATCGTCTCGGGGGCTTCCGCTTTTCCTGAACGTCGAATGCCGACTTTCTCCATTGAATATCATAATCTCTCCTCTCCGTTCAGAATGGTACGTTCTACTTCCTGGATAACCCTCAATATTTCACATCTCCAGCTATAACCGTCCCGATCCCTTGTAAACAGATGCCGGTGGTCGCCGCAATGGGGCCATCGCGTCACCAGATGCAAGCTGAACGGTACAGGCGCGGAACATGCAACCATACTTCTGGGACAATTTATTACTGTGCATCTTGACTTACTATTGAAAAGTTCACTCCTACCCTCCGCCGTGCCGCCGCCCAGGTCGCTTTCGGACCCAAGTAAGACTCCCCTCAGACCCAGATCTTCGATTCCCCAGAACGTTGCAAGTAGATACAACATTCAGCATCTTCAAGAATGAACTCTATGCTGTTGCACTGGATCAATGCGCACACTCAGCATTAAGGCTCTGAGCCTGTTGATCACATCTGATCATAGCTTCGCATTTGTACACTTGGAACCAGTGCACACCTTCCGATCTCAACGATGGCTCTACCAGTACGAAACACATATTGGAACTGCAAAGCTAATAAATCACGCTGTAGGATTGCTATCAAGCCATCTTTTGCCGGCTACACTATCTCCGACCTCACCCGGGTGTAAGTCACCTCCCACTGGCATGTCCAGACGTATATGTGCTAATTTACATATTAGTGGTACCCTTGCTGGCTCCTTCGGTGTCTCAGCTGGTGTCTTCGCCGTGTTCTTCTTCGGAGATGTTGGTAGCCCTTCTTCAACCCCATCTAGAATGATGTTAATTAGAAACAGATTCCCCGTCTCAACCGCGATGTCCTCCAGAAGATTCCCGGACTCGACAAATACTACAACAACCCTATTGCCCCTGAGGACAACGTAAGTGATTTTGCTTTCGTCTGCTTTGCTTGTCGAAATGCTGACTGTTATATTAGCCCTTCTAAATTATCTCAACGGGTGTATAACATCTGCTGTTTGTAGAATAGCGATATCAGTCTTTCATGTTTTGAATAGCACATAGAGACAGTTGTTACCGAACAATATACGTTATCTTGAAGTGTAAATATGATGATTATCCCAGGGCATACAGAATTCCGCTGAAGCAGTAAGACCTCAAAATTGTCTGAGCATCATAAGATCAGCGCGAAGAGGATGTGAATGCATCTGCATCTCGCTTTTCTAGGTAGACTTGTCGTAATTCATGTGTGCGAGATCGATATGAAATGTCAAGAAGCAGTGGAAAATCGATGTTGCTATCGTATCACCGGGGTCCCCTTAGTATTTACTATCCCCCATATATCGCCCGTCATTCCTCAGTGATTGTGCTGATTTTCTTCATCTGATGGACGGTTCGACCAAATCGTTTCCATCAGGTGCAAAGGGCTAGGGCATCGGGCTCGGCGACCAGTGGTATCAGATAACTTGCTCTTGGCGTAATACCAACATGCGCATCATTCACCATAATTGTTGACGGTATTATGGGTTAACTTCAGGAGTACTGAATCGCTCGAAGATGTCTTTTATTATCTGATGGTCTTGTTTGTATGGTACCCAGATACTGAACTCATCTACCCATGGAAGAATGCTTAGGCATACCATTTGGTTAACTGACCAGAGGGAAATGGAGCACTACCAGTTGCATTCAAATACTAATCAAATTTTTGACTTTGGCGACATTGAATTCGAAAGGATAAGCATTATATGTGGCTTCGATAGGCGAATCTCCAAAGCATAACCAATTCCTCGAGCAAAGGTCACCAGAGGGTCTCCAAAAATACCTAGGTAGTGAAGAAATATCCATACTATAGTTTTGAATCGGGAAAATAATCTGATCCTGGCTAGTATGCTTGAATGCGAATGATGTCCTTGGCTTTTGAGATTCGAGGTTGATGAAGACTCCACCATGATAGCAGTCGATGCCGATAATCATATTAGATAGCTTCCAGCTGATTGCACTATTGTATACCTAGATAACTTGGAGGAACAGTCTTCTCTAACATGGTATTGAAAGGATTAGGGACAAAGACATGAGTTTCAGCGGTGTCTACAGATCGTAGACGGAAGAACCCATAGGACACCCACGATATTTCTCTTTACTTGCCGGATGATTAATCAACGACGGGGATGAAGTTATTATAGACAGTGAGGAAATGCCTTAACGACAGTCACTCTGATGTGCTAAGGAGAACGCTGGACTCTTATCAATCAGACCAAAACTTTCGTGCTTGAGGTAGCCATTCTCTCTCCAGAAGCTCATGCTTGGATAACTGTATAGCACCACTTTTAGAACTAGAGTCAATCAAAATCATGGCTTTAGTGCACCAATATGATATCCCTCTAGGTCTAGGTCATGGTTGACGAAATTGAACTCTCTAGGAGCTAACTTTGAGAGCGAAAGAAGTGCACCTCCCGTGTCCAATCCTTAAAATCCGATTAAATATTCACTTAAGTGACTCTCTTTGGATAGAGTGCTTAATCGCATTTACTTGAATCATTGTAATGTTCTTGGGTGTCGGAAAATTCCGCTCAGTTTCTTACTTGCTGCGACAAGAATTCCTTCCAGGAACATATGAAATGACGAGTATGTGCTAGCATAAAACGTTCACTTCCACCCATCAGCAGCTTCTCTAAGATACTTGATTTGAGACATATTACTATGGGATGCTAGCACTACGGTGAGGGTTAAGGAATTGCAAGAGGGCTAATCAGGGAAAACTCTAGAATGCGATAGATGAATATGAAAGCGGTTTGAGAAGTTTGGGAAAGTAGTGAAGGGACATTTGCTGGAGAAGGAGAGAAAAGTAGGAAAGTTGGGGGGTCTAATTCCAAAAGTTTTCAGAGAATCGACCCTTTGCTTCATCACTTCCCTCCACCTACTTCAACCACCTACTATAATTCACTTCTACTTCTTCTTCTACTTTAAATGCTTTATAGTCAGTTTCGCTAATATATTATAGATAGGATCATCAGCGGAAATTATCCACAGTAAAGTAAAATAAAAACAAAATAAAAAGTAAGATAGCGAGAGATAAATATTATTCCATTCGATGCCGATAAGGGTAGACGGGCCGTCATCCCCTTGGCATTTTAAACCAGTCTTGTGCAAGCACTTAAAACGCATCCCAGGATCATATCTCAATAGCTTATGCAGAAGATCTTCCATCAACTGTCATTCCTCCTGGGATGTGGTCAAGAAGATGTGTGGATCATCTGACGAAGTGAAATATGCTCCTAATAAATCCCATCCTACTGCCTCCTCGAGTGGGGACTCGAGGGGTCTTTAATGCATTTCTATTCATCGGTAAAGAAGTTTTTGCGTGTTTTCCAATTATTCCACCAACGTGGTTTGCCAAGAAGACGCACCATATCGGCCAGAAGAGGTTCTTGATCATCAAGTAGTTTATTCTGTTTCCGGATCTCGAAAAGTGTACACCCGAGCGCCCATAAGTCACAGGCCGAGCTGATGGGGTATTTGTGGGAGCATTGATAATTTTCGTCGGAGCTGATGTCACTTTCTATACCATTTTCCATTTCTAGCAATACCTCAGGCGGAAGGTAGCATTCAGGGGTGCCTGAGTCCGGCGGAGGTGACGAGATTAAGAAACATTCGTCGAAGTCGATAAGGCAGAATTGGTCAGTGAAATAGTCTGCTATCTTGTGTAGGCTGGCAAGACGCGTGAGTACTGTGGCGAAGATAGTGGAAGGACACCACATAACTTGGTAGATGTATAAATCTTCACTGGCTGGCCTATAAAGGAAAGCAATCCGTTCTTGGATAAATGGTTGACGCCATTTTCTGTTAGTTTAACAAGAATGTTGAGATTTTGAAAACGGGCATTGGAATGGTACACCGGTGGCTGTAGGACCGTTAAAAACCTAGTCCAATGTTGAACCAGAAATCACATAATCCCACAGCTCTGATTCAGCCTATGACTCCAGTCTCTGTTACCGATAATAGAGAATATTATATGTTTTTATGTTTTTATAGTTTGTTTTTGGTTGTGTGGAGTGAAGATGCAGATCTTACGGGCGCTAATCCAAATACGGTTAGCGTTACAAGCAGGTATATCATGTGACCAAAAGCGGGAGAATAGGCGATGCTATTTTAGCGTACTTATCAGCCACTTGAATCTTGCTCTATATCAACATAAAGCAACAATGAAACTATTTGCCTTTGGGTCCAATGGATCTGGCCAACTGGGCATTGGTAGCACAGAAGACGTCTCAATTCCAACAGAGTGTCTTTTCGATACGCCACCAGATTCAGCCGACAACGATGAAATAGTCCACATATCCGCTGGAGGAAACCACACTTTACTCCTCACGAAACGGGGGTATGTATATGCAGCAGGTTGTAATTATGATGGGCGATGTGGCACACTTGAATCAGAATCAAAAACACCAGAAGAAAACATTCTCCGCTTTCGACGCGTCGTTTTATATGACTCTACCACTGCTTCTCAAGTCTATTCCTTTAAATTCGTCTCTGCGACATGGGAGGGCTCTATTCTTGTTGCATCTGTGCGGTATATTTCCATAGATTCTGCTGCTGAAGTCATTGGGGATAGAGTCTATGTGTTGGGGTCGACACCAAAGGGTGAACTCGGTCTTGGAGAAAAAGTTCATACTGCAGTGCCCGGAACATTTATTCCAAATTTTCCACCCACTGGCTCAAAGATTACTGCACTGGCTAGTGGGATGTGGCACGCTGTTGCTGTCCTTTCGACTGAAAATGTTTGTGGCTGGGGCGCATCACGCAAGGGTCAACTAGGCGAGAGTCTTAAAGCACAGAAAATAGCTTGGAAGCCGTCACCTGTTGAGGGCGTGCCTTTCCGTACAACCGGAGCCTTGTGCGGTCGTGAATTTACAGTCTTCCTAGGGCGTCGAGACAGAGGCGAGCTCAAGGTTTTTGGAGATAGTAATAATCGATGGGGTGTACTGGATGTTCCAAGTTCTTTACGTCTCAATGACTCTTCTGCAGTTTCGCATATTGATGTTGGAGCTAGTTGGAGTGGTGTCTATGTATGTGTTGCTCCAGTGGAGACTTCGAATAGCTCCTCTGCTGTTCCACCCGCGGGAACCCTGGTAGCCTGGGGCCGCAATGATCGCGGCCAACTTCCGCCATCAGATCTTCCTCCTCTGACTCACTTGGCTGTCGGTAGTGAGCACGTTGTTGCGTTATTACAGGATGGTTCAGTGGCGGTGTTTGGGTGGGGCGAGCATGGGAATTGTGGGTTGGACACAGACCCGCACGGGAATGTGGCAGGCTCATATAACTTGATTCCATTGTCAGGTGATATTATCGCTGCTGGTGAAAAGGTCGTTAGAGTTGGAGCTGGGTGTGCAACAAGTTGGTTGATTATGAGCTGATGTTATTGCTTGAGCCATCCAACAAGCCATGGACCATCCTCTTAGTCGAAGAGACCAAGATCACGAACCTGAGCAGTGTTAGTGGAATTGCCTGAAACATCGATAATTGTCCTAGGGATGCTTACCTGCGACATGTTTTGTGTCGGTGGAATACCCATCTCATCTTGAGCTGTTGTACTGGGCTTCGGGTAACTGAGCTCTTCATCTCGGACCGATTCTGTGAACATGTCCTGGGTGCCTGATGCGTCCCATCCAAGGATATCCTGCGGCTCTTCCTCGTTCATTTCGTCCCATTGATGATCACCGTCCGCAGGAACAAAGAGACTATCAAATTCCACTGACGCTGGCGCCGGGGGTTTATCCATCGCTGGCCTTTGAGAAAGATTTTCTTGTGTTGAAGTACCAGTAAGCGGACGGATAGATCGATTTCGTGATGGCGGAGGGAGCATCTGAGTATTTTGTGTTGCTGTGCGCTCCGCCCTACTTCTACCCACCGGTATTGAGATAGGGGCAGGGGTCTGTCGAGAGAGTTGGGCAATGGGTTTTCGTGACGAAGATGGCGTGCCCTCGCCATCAATCTCACCGCTTGTCATCATTGTGAACTCGGCATGCACACCCTCAGTTTCATAGGCCAGTTGGAGCGGTTTGCAAGGTCGGGTATACCTTGCTGTGACGGAGGCATTTGCCGTTTCGGCATGCGCTACCACTGCTTTGAAATCTTTAAGGTTGATGGCAATATGCATGTTATCCTCGACTACATAGTCTTCAAAGTCTCTCTTGTCGGCTGACACTGAAGTATGCACTGGATGTTTGAGGATTTCTGTTTTACATAAATAGGTCAGTAAAGATATGAGAATTCTTTAGATAATTTACCTTTCCCTTCCATGATCTTCGTTGTAAAGCTTGTAAAAACGGCTTTTTCACCATTGCAAAACATATCAAGCTGCTCGGCCGATAAACTGAAATGCTCGATAATCTGTCTGAGAAACCGCGGATCCGCAATCCACTGGCTGGTAGCTTTGCTCCTATCAAACACGGCATGCTGAATCGATGCCGGCTCGTAAGTAAGCTTATACAGTTTGATAACGCCTATTCGAGTCAGACGTGATAAAAAGCAATATTTAGACAAGAAACGAAAACAAACCTAGTCCGCAGAACATCTTAACAGTCAAACGACACTCCGCTTGCTGGGAGTCTTCATTTATCTCCATATCACAGCGCTCCACGGCTGTATCCTTATTTCGATCGACTCTTCCACGGAAGATCGAAAGAAGGGCCTTGATGCCAAGATTTCTTAGCCGATGATCTTACGAGATCACAATGAGCTTCACTTGACTTACCTTGAGTAAAACTTGGCAATGGAACCGATCTGGATAATTCCGATACTGGGATTGACCATCCCTTTGCACGCTGAACGAGTACGCCTCGAAGAACGACTCCCGTGCACATACAAAGGAGGCGAATGCTGTCTTAGTGGAATTTAGGGCGCTCAGTCGGAGCTGTTTTTATCAGTATATATTTTCACATATCATTGACTTTTAGGAATTGAAATCTCACTAGGTCCTGCTCAGCTTCAAAGGCGACAGTGTCGCTAAACTTGGAGAGGCATATCAGAATGTCGTGAAGGCGGACTAGGGCTGGCGGTGCCAGGGATAGAGAAAGTGTTGTCATTTCCAGGCATTCAGTATTCTGTAATCCAGTTTCACGACTTGGAATAGGGAATTTAGTGATGGTTGCATATATTTAACCTCGAGTGCGCGTCGAGATCGATAAACGCGTATTACATAAGCATATCGATCTATTCCAAGGTTGATAATGAAACTGTACTAGGTTGATTTGGAAGATTGAATGATTTACTACTAAATCCGTGCTTACTTCCGAGGCTGGATGCAGATAAATACCTAATGTAGCCTAAAGGGACTACATATGGAAGCCGTCTCATTGGATCAAAGTCGTACGTTGGCAGTTCTTGTTTTGAAGTAACGGGCTTGCATATTTACATTGAGATAATCCACAAATGCGACTGAAATTGTCAGTAGTATTGCATTAGCCATCAAATTCGTTACTATTGGGGTATCGGCGGCACTAAACGAATGGCCTGTCTCCTAGATCGCGGTCTGGCACGCATAAATTCCAAAACGTGCACGAAATTCATGCCGATATGGACAACAAAGAGAGCGAGAAAGGCACCAGCAACAAGCGTTGTTGATATGTGCGCTTCCAGAGGCTTATCGGAATCGGAACTTGTTAGCTCTGATTGACCGAGCAGCCGCATGCGATTTTCTGGGACAGTTCCAATTGAGATCGAAGCAGAGAAAGAGAAAGAGGTTGGAATGTATGAAAAGATCCGGAAGGCAAATGTTGAAAGTGGGGTGAGCGATAGCACGAAGCAGCATATTAGGAGAGGGATGACCATGTTGAGAATGTATTTGAGAGATTTGCGAGGCCTGGCAGACGTTAGATTTGGTAGATTGGGTTTTCTTCGGCGGGGTGGTCGAACTGGTAGGCATCCATTGCTCTAGTCCACTGTGCTACCATCTGGGAACGTTCTCTGACACTCCTCAATGGGAGAATCTGATATCTGACAATCTCGGAGAGAGGCAAGACAGTCGCAATCCACCATAAAAGTTTGACTGGATCATCAGGAACGTCCCCAAATGGGCCCAATACTTGTGGATTAAGCCACTGGGCATTTTCCCGGCGTGATCGAATGACAAAGTCTCGACATAAGTCAATCAGATCTTGCGTCGACTTCGCGTTATCTTTATACGGGTCAGTGGTTGGGTCGGTATCTGTAGTGGTGTTGAGTGTTTGAAATGCCTCCTGCCTCTCTTGTTCCAAGATTGAGAAATCTTCCACTTTGACCGTGTTTGCGATGATGAAATCAAGAGTATTGTCAGAGCTCAGAATTGCGAATCGTGACACGCCCGTCGCCACAACAAGGCTACGCCCATCTGGGAGCATATCACAGCGATCAATCTTCACCAAAGTTCCATATTTCATGAATTGAACGCTGTTTCCAAGTTCCGACGGATGGTTCTGGGCGTGCATGACAACCCCGAACTCTCCATCCCGAGCCACGACGTGTTCTATCATTTGCCGATAACGGGGTTCAAATATGTGAAAGTATGATGGCATAAATGGGAACGCAACTGTGCAAACAAATATTGGCAGCTGCTTTTGTTCAGTGAATAACTCTGCTTCTTCGGAGGCTCCGCGTCGAGTCATTACTTCGTCAAAGAATAGATGGTCGATAAGTCGTGAAAGGGTAATATTCACACGACCAAACTTGGGCATCATCGCCATACTGCGGCGACATATTGGACATAAAGCCGAGTGCTCCATAATTTGTCTCACGCAGTGAGAACAGAAGGTATGTCCACAGGGTAATGTCCGAGGGTGTAGCAATATTGAATAGCAGATGTGACAATTTAACTCACCCCGAACTCTCTCTTTAAGATTATTGAATCGAATGGAGTCCTCTTCCACGGCACCACCTTCATACTTAACCTCGACCGCAGTATAAGGAAGCTGGCCAATTGCAGCTGCTTGGTATAGACCACGTAGCCATCCCTGCGAGCCAACTTCAGCGCTTCCGGCCGTGAGTCCTGTATCAGGAGAGTTAGATCTCCATCGCACTATCAAACCCTTATCATTTTTCATATCCTGGCTGTTTTCGTTTGGCGTCTGCCACATGAATTCCTCCTGGAACACCTCAGCCACCGAAGAGAGCACGATATCAGGTCCACAGTCTGCAATACAGTGTTCGCGTTCGATAGGATTATGACTATAATTCTTTTCGCTCCAATAGCATATGAACCCCTCTTCTCTACCCTCTACTGCGGGGTAAGTGATGCCAATTCGAGACCGGATTGGAGGAAGACAGCTCTGGCAAAGGGTTCTTCCACATGGTAATCGGCGAGGATTGGTGTAAGGACGAGAGCAAAAGCGGCACTGGATCAAATGCACCAAGGCCTGTGGATCTTCAACTTTGAAATCTTCTTCTTCTAGACTGCCAAAATTCCATGAACTATTGGGGCTCCAGGGGGCATCATCAAGCTCGGTTGATTGCACAGGTTGAAACGAGGGTTCCGTAGTATCCTCCATGGCTTTGTGCCGATGGAATGGTAAATGACATGAGAGAAAAAACGGGTTTTTGGTGTGACCGCATTTGGAATGGGGGAGTATGGATATCGGTAATGAGATCAATATTGTCACGTCACCATGGCAGGAACAGAGGCAGAAAAGAGGCGGTGAGAGAGTACAGGCAGGAGCTATTTCATATACCCACTTTGCTAAGCCCCAGAATGTGAAACAGGGAACATTAAGAAGGAAAGTGAAACCCTGCGCAAGGGAAAAAGAAGGTAAAATGAAAAGATCCGTAGCTATAACGTGCGAATATGATGTCTAAGTGACCGTTTGATAGCCAAAGATATCTGATATTTCCAAGGTTAAATAAGTCAAATATCACTCCATTGAAAAGTTTAGGTTTACTTACAAAATACTTCCGATCAAGCTACATTTAGATAGCTAGATATCTGGGTCAATAGTGTAACAGACATGTGAATGGGAAATACAACCGAGTGGGTAATTTGACACACTTATGATATTTGAACATTCTATTGTATAACAAAGCTCTATTTAAATTTGATGCAGCCAATGCAAAAAACTGAAATCTGTCTGTTTGGGCATACTTGTCTCCTATAACATGTCTGTCCGCAGATACCACATCTGTATGGGCGTTGGCGATGTCGGAAACAAAATTGACTCTGGTGGCCAGAATTGGTATATTACACGGGATTACCACTCGGTTGCATGTCTTTTACTCCGTACTTTAAATACTCACGGGATCCACTTACTCCACGTGTAACCGTGGACCCTGGTTAACTATGTATAACCATAGTTTAACATCACTTCGTATACTAGAGAAGAATAATAGCGGCCACGTTTGCAAAGAATGTAAGTGATATCATTCGTGTCTCGTTTAAAGATCGGTTAACCGCCATATTAGATCCAGATGCTCAAGCTAAAACTGAATATGAGAGAGAACCATAGCAAACCAATGTCTGATGAGGATCAGATAGTCGTGCAAATGTGGATGGCGGGGGACAAAATATAGTCACAAATCAATGAAGAGTGGAAGGTCTGTCCTGCTCTATGTAGACGAATCTGACTCTGAATCAGATTCTGAATCATCATCAAAAACTATACGTCGCATCACGCTCTTGTCAAATAGATCAAGAGCAAAACGTCGTGCAGGTAAACGGAAGTGGTGGCTTTCAAGGATGCAAAGAGTTTTGCGGAAGATGTGGACTTGGTGGAATCGTTCGGGCTGCTTTAATTTAAGACTGAAGGCGGTAATTATTAGCAGGTGAAAGATTCAAAAGTGGATAATGGAAATATTTACGTGTGCAGGTCTGATGCAGATCGCTTGGACAGCACAGTATTTCCAAGGTCAACCATAAGCTTCAAAATCTTTTGATTCTCGGCATCAGAGTCTGTGGTGGCCGCCTTGAGAATGTCCTGGGGTGTACGTTTGGATTCCAAATTGAAACCGGGGAAGGAAATCTAGACTCGTCAGTATTGTCACACTGGTAGGAAGGAAACTGAATACTTACCCTGAATAACTTGCGGAAGTCAGTCGGAAGACAGAGACCCAGAGAGTCGCCTTCCGGATCAATGGCTGAATCCCATCCCAAGCCTCGCAGCACCTTCAACCCATGACGACTACGAGAAATCAATCCCAGGACAAAGAAAGCAGTACCTCGCATAGTCAAAACCCCAGCACTCTCGGCAATTGCAACAATTCGGTGAACTATTTCCCTTTCTAGGAACTGTGCACCGAGCTCCATTGACCCAACATTACCCACAGCCCAGAGACATCCCTTAACCTTGAGAAGAGCCTCGTGATCTTCCTCGTCGAGGCGGAAATCCCGGATTGTCCAGGTGAATTCGTTGAAATGCCCCGACTGTTCCAGCAGTTTGCATCCCTCTGCAGTACGAGCAAGTTCTCTGTAGAAATGGGGAGGCACAACTCCGATGTCCTGTACGTCGACCAAATCTTCTGGCGCAAAGCTGTTGCGCCTTGGTTGATCAACATAGGCTCGAGAGAGAGCTGCTTCCACGAGACCCACATATGAGTCGTTCCGACCGAGGAACCAATCATCCATTTCTTGTGTGATGTAGTCCAGACCATCCAAGTAATGATACCCAACTGAGGTTGACAAAAATCGCAGCAAAAGAGGAGCGCCAATCTCACCGAGGTGATCAAGGGATGGGCGGCACTTGACCACAAACTCTAGATAATCACGCTGGTTGCACGCCTCCTCAAGAATCTTGACAGCCATTTGGCAGACAGTGACATCTGGGTCATACAATTGGGTAACAAGCAGTTTGACAACCCATTCAGCATTGCCAAGTGCCACATTTGGTGAAATAGCGAGATCGCCCACGGCGTACTTTCGAAGAACTTTCGTTGCAAAGAGACGAATCTCCTTTGAGCCAATGGTGAGCGCTTTTGAAAGGATGACTCGGAGGTGGCTTTCTTGACTGTAATCCATGTTTCCAAGAAGAGTCTGTATCAGGTCATTTCGATCCAGCAGTTCAATAATGTGATAGAACATGTTGGGCATGTGCCACCTTTCCATCATGAGCAGTCCATTCTGATCAGCACTCAATACCCCTAACATGGCAAAGTAGCCTCCGCTCAGCGTATTGGCCATCTGCTCTCGCGAGAAAAGTGGGGAAGCAGAAGTCAAGCCACTCATGCGATCCAACTGCGCCAGGCATTCGGCAACCTGGCGTAAGAACTTATTCTCGGCCAAGTACTTGGTGCCTTCCGGAGTTTGGACCAGAGTACGCATGAGCGCGCAGCCAGTGCGAACGTAGCGTTGATTCGGTTTTGTGTTTGAAACAATGGAAAACCGATACTTAAATGGTCGGTAGAACCCAATAAGGCGCTTCATGAACTTAGAGCCTTTAATCGCTTCGTCCATTCGCTTGGAATTTGTCAAAGGGCCCTCGACTAGTCGATGGATTAGATCCCATTTCCACTTGGTATAGTTGACGGTATTCAAGACATGCGTTTCCAAAATGGCATTGCGGAATGTTTGCTCGTCCATCGCGGGGCTTAGCTTGTCTTTGCCCTGGTCAGCGGGCATTAACGAAGCCGATAGTTCTGTCTCCATATTATAACGGCTCACGCCATTGGAGGCCGCTCCAGAGCGTGCCAATGTTCGGTTGATACTTTCGATCTGAAAAATGGTAGATGTTGATACATCATGATTCTCAGTGTCAAATCGGACTGCGGCAGGGAGCAGATGAGGGAGAACCTGCAATTTGGCACTTATATCTGACGGCAGTGAATGATGAGCCAATTTCAGTACTTCGGTTAGAAGGAGAGTGGCTTTGCGCCTCAGGGCAGGATCAGTTTCATCTTCGATAAGAAGCGAGAGTGCCTTTACTTAATCAGTACGTTACATTGTATGGGATCGAAATGGAAATCATACCTTGGGTAACCCTGCTGCAACTAAAGCTGCCAATATAAGGGTCGAAAAATGTGCAGTGAGGTCGAATCTAGTTGAATCATGATCAGAAAAAACGCGTTGGTGTTTCAATTCGGTATCAGAGCGTAGATTTGAGACTCGACCATAGGTCGTGAGCCGTCTCCCTGCAAGGAAGGAAGATGACCATGACGGTGGCTTTATTCGCAATGCATCAAACAACAATTCCATAATAAGATCCCGGGCTTGTGGATCAGGATATTGAAGCGATTCAAGGAGGGAACGTAAAGGTTGGGCATCGTGTCTGGATAGAATAACAAGGCCAGGCCAGGTTTTCAGCATCGCAGCGATTGCACGGGCAGCGGATTTTAGCCGTCCATGGCGTAGGGAATCAGCCAATGAGTCGGTGAACGGAGTCAAAACGGCTTCCAATTCAATCCCCTGTAGGTACTTGCGACTGCGCGGGGTATCTAGTACGTGCAAAAAGCTTGAGATCAAACTCTCCGAAGCACCAAATGTGCCTTCCGCTAAAGAATCGTGTAGAGCAGCAAACCCACCCGCAGAGGCCACGAGCTTGGGATCCTTAACTAAAATTTCCGCCAACGTCATGATTGAGATGTTCCGGAGTCGATCTTCATGATGCTCAGCTATGGAGACGATTGTGCGAACGATAGCTCGGGATATCTCTTTAACACCGTCTTTGACGTCTAGAAACGCTCTTACAAACTTCAATGCTTGCTCTCTTTCGATGCTGGCTTTACTCTCCTTGACAAGTGACAAAATCACAAGTTCTTCAGTGTGCAGTGATCGAATTGTTTGCAGTGACTTTCGATCTGCGATGGCGTATCGAGTCAAACGATAGCCAGCGGCCACCACTTCTTTGCTATCGCTGAGAAGCATGACTTGCACACGCAGACCAAAAACAGACCATGCAAGATCGTACTTCAAGGTTGGGTATCGTTTGAAGAGCTCTACCAAGCTATTCGCACGCTCAACATAAAAATCAGGTGACATATTTTCAATCTCCAACGATTGAAGTGTTTCCGTCAGAACGTAGGTCGGTGACTCCATGTCTCCATCCTCCTCTTCCTCCTGCGTCTCATCCAAGGGTCCGACAAGGTTGTTGTTTCGTGATGGGGACCGCATAGGGCTACCCCGGAAAAGGTTCGAAAGGCGGCTGCGCGGGGGAGTTGAGGACGGCGCCTGCGCACGTAATATCTCCTCATCCAGCTCATGTTGTAATTCAGCTAGTTTGCGATTTGATGAGCTCAGCTCCGACTCCACCCTCAAACGCTGCTCCTTTGTTTGTTTTGGGGGCTTTGCTAATAACGCCTCCAGCATATTTTCTGTTCCAGTCTTGATCTTAATCTCCCTCGCGATTCTGTCTCGAATATAGGCCTGGCGTTCCTCTGTCGTGGGTAGTAGATCATCTTCACCAATTGATCTACTGGCTTTTCGTGTATATGTGCCATCGGGGCGGGGGGTGGTGCTCCTGGACGCCATGCTCTTGAGCTCAGAGCTGAAGCTCCCTGGTCCACCGAATGAAGGCGCCATCGATCCTACACGGCCACCCGTAGTATTGCTTCCTCCGGAACCTGACCGTCCGTTTCTAACAGATCTGGGTCTTCCATCGGGACAGCTCCCGCCCACCATAGATGTGCCATCCTGACTGAATGATGAGCGCCCCTCGCCCGAAACACGGTACTGGGTGGACGCGGAGAAGGTTGAGTTATGTCCGGAAGCCATAAAGCTCCATCTAGCCGTAGAGGCTGTCTATGACCTGTCGTAGGGGTCTCTCGTTTCGAAGGGCTGCATTGGAGTTGTAGAAAGGTTGAGTTCGTAGAGCAAGGGCTCGAGAGTCTGGGGGAGGCGGAAGTGAGGGGTCTCTGGAGTGACGGTTGCAAGTCTGGTTAGCAAAAGGCAACAGTATTTGCCATAACAGCTGGGAAGAAATTCAAAGCGAATGAAGATGCTGGCCCGGACAATTAGCTCAAGCTGTGGATAATCCCACTTGGGTAGTTGGTTCGGTTCGGCTTGCGTGAACCACGAGGATGACTAAGGCGGCTATCAAGAGTTGACCAACTAGTCAAACAACACAACAAGTTACATTCAGGACTGGGTTGAATTGGCCAGGGTTTAAAATGTTTTAGAAATTACTAAGTTGTAACAGTTACTTTTACAGTTATCCGGATTCCGAAGTACATTCCCCATCAACTGCTAATTGCTAATTTGTTGATACCGGGATGTCGATTCTTAACTATCGGTTCAATTGTCGTATCCTCCTCACCTGGGCATGTTCATTTGTACCCTCGACTTTAGTGATACTGAAGCCCTTGGTAGGTACCTGAGAACCAGTAACAATCTTGGAACAAGTTTGCTCTCTGAAGTTCATGGCTAGATGCTACAGGGCAATCCCTGAAATCTTCATACGTAGAGCATACGATCGTATAACTTAAGTGGTAGTAGTTAAAGTACCTGAATTCAATCACGTACATAAGTATTGGTAAGAAGTACACTTATGATAATCACACCTGGGCATCCTACACATGGGCATAATCCGTACACGTGATAAAACAGATCAATCGGAGTTGGTGGTCTTCTCAAGGATCGTCTTCATCATCTCATTTCCAAGAGTGGCAGCCTCAGAGAAACGAGGTTCGAAGAACTTCGCAGTGCGCTCGAAGCGATCACGGTACGACTCAAAGTCGCCGAAGGAGACACAGTCAGACCAGGCCTATGAAGATATCATCAATTAGCAAATGCATTCGAATCAAGGGAAGTGTGGATCAAGCCAGGGAAAATATTACTCGGGCAGCAAATGTAAACTCAAGATCATCTGGGCGAAAGGTATTGTCATCAATCGCAGTGTCCAGCGCTTCTTCCAGAAGTTCAGGATTGCGGAAGAGGTATTCTGTTACGCCAAGCCACAGACGGAAAAGCTAGAATGCGTTAGAAAGGTGATTTCCAATTATAATTTGTCTGCCACATACAGGTGTTGAGCAAATCATATGATCATAAGGGACAATGCCAAGTTTAGACCAACAGTCGACAATGGCAAGTAGACTCAGATGGCTGTTTGGAGGGGACGGATCGCGGGATTTATTGGAAAGAGAGAATCGATCCAGAACTTCATCCTTCAACAAGAGATCTTGTGCTTCAGTGCCCTCTTTGAAGACCGAGGCACCGGCAGCTTTGACTCGGCGCTTCAGCTCATCCCGATGTCCTCCAATCATCAACTTGTACAACTCTGTAACTGATTCGGCATACTGGCGAATCTGTTGCTTGGCAGCCGGGTTGAGAATAGCGAGCCCAGCATACACGTGCCATTTGTTTGAGTAAATGCGCAATGTGATGTTTATCTTCACGTTTTCAATGCCACCCACCCAGCGCGAGATTTCCCAGGGAAACTGTTCTTCGGCCTGCCATGCAGTACCCATACTGAGAAAGGCGGCATGGGTAACAGCCTGGGTATCGGCAGTGATACGATCATGCATCTCACCAGTGAGATAGACATGCTTGGAACCGAAAGAGGATAATATTCCTTCAACAAATTGAAGGCTCTCATCAGAGGCTCGATGTTTGATCAAGACCTAGATCGGCAATTCGTTAATAGACCAGTCTTCATTTAAATATGGCGTAAGGTAAGGGCCTCCTACCAATGGCTGTCCATTAGGGTTGACTTGGGGGCCGTGCAGCGAATGGCATGATACGATCTCTACATCGGGAGGTAGGTGCTTCTCGAATGCTGCGAGTTCTGGGGCCTTGCAGGACGTCTGGCCACCCACGATTGCGCCGACCTTGGTTGCTTTTTTTCAAGGCCAGTTAGAAAATATGGTACTTGTGCTGCCTTGGATTTGACACATACAGGGCCCGTATTGTGCCACAACTCGGTCAATAACGCCGGCTTCTACACTGTAAAGAATGAAATCGCTAAGTCTCGAAACGAGATGTCCATTCGGGAATATGGTGACCCCTTTCTATATACAATAAGCGTCTGTGCGGGCCAACCCGGCGGGCGACGTACTTGAGAGGCGAATTCTTGTTGCAAAGATTCATAGTTCTCTTCTCTATCACAGGCGTTTATCCTGGCAGATGTAAAAATACCGTATTAGTAAAGCATGATCATATTGATCCACAAGGGTCCAGAATTAGAAAATCAGATGATATTTTGGAGAAAATCTATGGGTTCACTCGTTAGCAATTGTTGCAAGAAAGACATCAAGATATTGAAAGCGACATGAGACCCAGTTCGATAGAACTGATCAGACAAAGTTTAAGTAAGGTAGCGAGGGTTTTACATCATCGACGGCCAGCAGCCGACTACCGACCAGAATGGCGATGGTAGAAGACCGCCGACCATACTCGAGCCAAATGCACTCTTGTCATCACGTTGAGGGGGAGGGAAAAGAAACAGAAGAAGCTTACCATAACAAAGTATTTTCTTCGCATCTTGCACGGATATAGAATAAGGTAGAAAATTTACCTCCAACCTGCGTCACTCAGACGCTGGGCATACATCTTGCCCATATCGCCCATACCAATAATGCCGATCGAGGCATCTTCCTTTGTGTGTCCCATGATTGCAGTCTAGATATCTCCGGCCCAGCGAGGAAACAAATGCAGCTCGAGAAAGTTAGTAAAACAATTAGTTATGTGCTTCAAAGCGATCGATCTCAGGTTTCCAATCGTAATTTGAAGTCTGAATTATCATCTGCAACACTGAGGATTGAAGAACTGAAGGCGAAGGAAAAAATTTAAATACCCGAATGGATCAATGACTCACCGCTTTCCGGGCCGACTGAAAAGCCGGTAGTACCTTTGTCAGCACTTCGCTTGGGCGCATGGAAATCTGAACCAATCACAGTACTAAAAAGTCCTAGGGCACACACTCCACTTTTTTTCCATCAAATCTGTCGTCGAGAATCCCTCTTCACTTTTCTCTATATTCCATCCACGACAATTCCATCCACACAGTCGCAATGGCCCCTACCAAGAAGGCTCCCGCTGCCGCCAAGGAGAACGTCTCCCTCGGCCCCCTCGCCGGTGATGGTATGTGAAAAAAGGAATTGCGATCTGTGACGGGTCTAACGATTTTGCAGGCAAGCTCGTTTTCGGCGTTGCTCGCATCTTCGCCTCCTTCAACGACACCTTCGTCCACGTCACTGATCTGAGGTTTGTTCGCCTGTAGTTCTAAGAAGGTCGGGATAATGTTTGCTAACTCGTCGTACAGTGGTCGCGAAACCATCACCCGTGTCACCGGTGGTATGAAGGTCAAGGCTGACCGTGACGAGTCCTCCCCCTACGCCGCCATGTTGGCTGCTCAGGACGTCGCTGTCCGCTGCAAGGAGCTCGGCATCAACGCCCTCCACATCAAGATCCGTGCCACTGGTGGTAACGGCACCAAGACCCCTGGCCCCGGTGCCCAGTCCGCTCTCCGTGCCCTCGCTCGTTCTGGCATGCGCATTGGACGTATTGAAGATGTCACTCCTACTCCCTCCGACTCTACTCGTCGCAAGGGTGGTCGTCGTGTAAGTGAACATTTTATCCAAAATTTGACGATGTTCCAATTAGGAGCTTTTGGTTGATATACATGAAAATCAATTACTAATTACTTCTTTTTTCTAAACAGGGTCGTCGTCTGTGAGCACTCTCAGAGTACTCGCGCTGGAACCTGGAGGATATCCGGGCGTTTGTGGGCTTGTCCTTATACCATATTACGGCTATTTTACGTGACTGGCTTGGAGGCTACCTACGGGCGTTTCCTGCACCTGTGGATGGAATACACGCGAAGAACGGCCCTTATTGCCTGGTCTTCCTTTTTCATACCCTGAAAAGTTTCACATAGATTTAAATGTAGGGTTTAGTAATCTTATTGATGACTGAATTGATACATTACATCTGACTTGTCCTAACCTGTAAATCTCATGTACCGGTAGAACTGGCGCAAAGTGTTAGAACTTACCCAAACTTTCACTATGTCAGACGGAAGCTCTTGCTAGATATAAAGACAATTTGGCAGAGTAGAAAAGTCACAGTCTATGATCTAAAGAAGCCGAAGAAGCCAATGCTTTAAGTACATAACAACACATCCAAATTTATCACAAACTAAAACAGTCCATTCAGTTCAAATAATGCGTTTTTCATTTACTCGTTCTCTTCAACAACGTAAGCCCAGTCATGAGCTTCTTTACCAAACATGATAGCCTCTAACCAAGATTTAATCTGAGCGGCGTAGCCTGCAGGTTCTCCGGAAGCGCTCAATGTGCTGATCTTGGTGTCGTTGCTCTTAATCAAGGCAACGGGGGTGATGAAGTACTAGAAAATCCACCATTAGCGCCTGTAATTATGTGAAAGGCCCAAAATTCAAAACTTACTGCAGTGCCCGAGACAAAAGCCTCAACAATGCGACCCTCCTTGGAGGCATTTTCAATATCATCAATAGTGAAGTTGCGCTCAACAACCTCCAGAGGTTCCAAGGTACCAACAACCTTGGAAAATCTCTCACGCGCAAGCTCCAACACGCTTCTCCGGGTAACACCAGGCAGAATGAGCTGACTTTCCAGCGGAGGGGTGACAAGCTCCAATTTTCCAGTATCGGCGTTTTTCCAGATGATAAAGAAGTTGCTAGCACCAGCCTCAGTGACCTGGCGGTTTTCGCCGAATAGCCATAGAATCTGGTCGTAGCCCTGAGCCTGAGCCTTGCCGTGAGACTGGAGAGATGGACCGTAGTTGGCGCCAAGCTTAGCATAGCCGAAACCACCAGGCCAGGCACGGATTGAATCGGGGGAAGATGCAAAAAGCTTCAAGCCCTTGGGAGCCTCATCCCCATCCTGCTTAATCTTGGTGAAGTCGGGCCAGGGAACGGTAATAATGAAAAGCAAAGCCTCCTTAGGGACGGAGACACCAAGGTGAGGGCCATTGCCGATGACAGTGGGACGAATATAGAGGAAGGAGCCGGGACGATTCTTGGGGAGCCAACCTATATGTTTGTTAGTATGTGAAGATCAAGGAAGTGGGTATTCGACTTACGAGGGCCGTCAATCTCCATCAGCTTCGCAACCAGCTTCTTCAGCTCGTCATATTTGAATCCTGGGAGTGAACAACGCTGGGCACTGGTATTCAAACGCTCGCCGTTACAGTCGGGGCGGAATAGACGCAGCTTGCCATCGTAGCCACGGTACACTTTCATACCCTCGAAGCACTCGGTGGCGTAGTGAAGCACTGAAGCTGTAGGTGGTATGCTGAGATTTCCAAAAGGCTTGACTTCGGGAGTTTCCCAGCCATTATCAACAGTCCACCTCACAGTGACCATGTGGTCAGTGCAATAGGAGTGGCTCTGCTCCTCGGGTGAGCCAGGCAGGGGCACATCGCGCAAGTTGGTGGAGCGAGTGATCTTGAAGTGGGAGCCGTCAAGCTCGGCCACATGAGGTGAAATAGAGCCCATGCTGGATTTATGGAGAGAGATGCAACTGTTGGAGCGTGGGAGAAGGCAATTGAGGCCCAGAGAAAGAATATGGGACGATATTAGGAGGTTTTGTATGAGTCACGGTGGGTCAATGGGATGCTGCACAAGAGACTAAATGAATTGAAATTAAATAATCCAGATGAGAGGGGATCTAAGGCATATTATACCCATGGATGTCCCCCGGTTTGCCTCGGACCTACACTTACCCCGTAATCCACCTGGTATCCGAATGAAAAGTCTTTTTTTTTTTTTGCTCTATCTGGAGTTCTTGTGGTCACGATCGAACCAATTGCGCTCGTTTGAAAGCATATGCCAATATCTTCCAATAACTGCTTCTTAATTGTCATTTAATAGGTTTTGGGCCTATTTTGTACATGTGCGACTTCATATTCAATTGTAGACTGTGGAGGGCTGGAGGGGCACTGATAGTCTTATCGATCTATGAGGTTCCACTCTCTGCCGACGATAACCAGCAAGGAACATCAACGCCCTGTGAATGACTTCGCGCGGATTTAATAAATACCATAAATAACCATGATCAAAAAATAAGTGTCAATGTCGTTAGGTACATGGATCTTCTGTGCTATGGAATTCATAGATAGATAGACCCAAATTATCTACACAAAAAATCATTACAATAAACACACATCCATGGATTTGTACTTCAATTTGGTCTTATTGGGTTCATTGCAGGTTGATATAAATACCTAGGTAGCAGATCTGGGTTAGTGCAGATCAACAGCCTGAATGCATGAGGCTTAAAGCAGAACAGCACAGAACACAAGGATAAAATCTAGATAAGTATGTATCTATATTGTTCGATTGTATAGTTCTTTGACTGAATTTTGGAATTTTTTTGAGTAGAATGCATAGTATCACTATCTACCTCCAACCTTGGAAGGTTACACTATCGAATCTTCCCTATGTACCCTGAACGTGCTTATGAAAATCTTAGAATCGTGATTGACTGAGTGGTGCGACAATGCTCTCAATAAGGAGGTACTAACTAGGATACCTTAGGACCTCGGGATCTGACTGATTCCATTATTAGCGAAACAAGCGATTCGCTAATCGGAAAGAAAGAGGCAATAAAGCACATCTAGAGTGATCTCGGGAGTCGATAACAATGAATCTACTCAGGAACAGGTATAATAATGATCCAAACCAAGCTATATTTGCACGGAGTTAATTTTCAATTTTTTGTTCTCTCGTCAATGAATCAAATAAGTTATCTAGATCATCTACTTGTATGGAATGCATCACTGTATTATACTTATTTCAGTTGAAGATGTATAAAATGATTGATGCCGAGTTTAAACACATAATACACATCCCTCAGTGGCCAGTTGCCGATGCTACGGTAGGCTTACCTTCAATTCAATAGTCCGGCACTTGGCCATGATTTCAGTGCCGCAGTATTCACTTTCATGGTTGGAAAGGTACCTATGTAGGAAGGTATACCAAGGCTCCAGGGTTATCATAATTCCAACCTTGTATCCTGGCTACATTAATTTTAACTATTTACCAGTTGGCCTGGATATACTAAAACTTTCAATCATTGGAGATTGTGTCCCGATACGAATATCTCTCCTAAATTTTCTACTTCTTAGGTAGAAATTTTGCCTAGGTTGATATTTCAGCCCGAAGCTTTCAATTTTGAATTGAATTTAATGGAGACTCTTTTGGACTTCTGCCAATATGATAAATCCTTGGGAGCACTCTTGTAAGGTAACTACTGAGATTCTAATTAATCTACCTAGATTCTTAGAAATAACTGGCTCTCAAGCTACCCGATGGTGTCGTCAAATGACACCGATGATATTCAGTTTGATATATTTCCTAGACGAGAATTAGAGCTACCCATGATCGGCAATACAGCTCATATGATCCTGCAATGTGCTGTGCCAGGAGTCTGTTGTCTTCCAGAGAGCCAGGGTCAACTTCAGCATGCCGTATGATTGTCGACCACATGTAATTATTGACTTGAGGATCTTCAAAAGTTGTACCTGCCGGAATTTTGTAGATGTCTCATTCCCTGGCCTGGCTAACAAAATGATTCCACGTAGATGTATGTGAGTTGTCGGGCTATGCGTCTTACTTACAGTAGTTCATGGTCCAGATGCCAATACAATCAGCCATGAGGCCTGAAGAAACCCTAATCTATGAACTATGGCTCATCCTCGCAGATGAACAACCATCATAACACAACATTTGATGCCTTATTTTCGGAGCAGCGGGGATAACGAACACCAATGAAGTCAATTGGGTTGAGGCCTGACGGACCAATATTATTTTTGCTTTTTCGAGCCTAATATCTAAAGGAAGTATAAGTTGAAAACTTCATTCAAGAAATTGGATAAATACAAAGCAATTTAAGCAATCTCTGATCTATCAAGGCATATAAGACAGCTCAGAACTTACGAGTTCAATTCAAGCCATTCAGTAAGCTACGAGCATCACACTACGGACACGGTGCTAATATAAGAACTATACAGAGATGAATCAAACATGGGATTCGACAAACCTCCAATCGGCGAGCCTCCACAGACGTGTCACTCAAATCCATCTATGCTGCTTGCGAGATGGAACGAATCCCGCTAATCACTGGGTGATTCATCTGGAGCTGGCAGGCGGCTCTACCTCCGTCAAACTTGATATGACTGCCCGATATCCTCCAGACCTCCAGATTGGAAGAGTCGAACTTGCAACCAGGAATTTCCCCGTAACTACGAATGCAATTCAGACTTGGGAGTTCCCAGTTCTTACCAACGTCACCGTGCAGGGCATCATCGATATGCTCAGATCACATGGATTCGAGAAGTACAAATTCACCCCTGAAATTGAGGGATGCAGATGGTGGATGTATACTCTTATGTCTGCCTTGGAATCCAAGGGTCATCTCCGGACTGGGACCAAGGGGGAGGTATGGACCTATATTTCCCGGGTTTGGCATGATGCTCAAAGCTACGAGCCTCGCAGAGTTCAGCAGGGGGTTTTCTATCAGTAACTTGTGTCAATAAAGCAAAATTTTGCTACCAGCACAACGATAAGCGCTTGAACAACCAATTGTTGGGATTTGATTGTGGGAAACCTGTGAGAGCAGTGGCTGGCTACGTTGTTTATGGACAGGAGAAATAGATAGGATAATTCATGATCTGGAAGAGAAGAGAGGAATATAGGTGAGATGAAGTATTCAGATGTTCTTAAATGTGAGAAAGTCAAGCATACCTGATATTGTAAGGGTTTTGAGGTGGAGTCGTAGACCCTAAATAGCATGTAGTTCATGAAGGACGGCAGTGAGTAATAATAAGCCAATAGTCATGTAACTTGGCCCTGAAACCTAGCGCTTGTTTGGTAATAGTAAATTAAATATTATTATTGGCTCAAATGAAGGTACAGTGCAGTAGAGTGAGTTACTTACGTGACGCCTCATATTGTTTAAGCCTACCTAGGTAGAAAGCGGGGCCTGAAGATGTCATGCTACCTTAGTACATAGGCAGATGGGCGCCAACAAGTTCGTCTGACTCTATTGCGCATCTTTTGTCTACATTCTTAAAAGTTAAGAGCTTCAATAATCACAGTCACATAGCTCATTAACCTCAATTAAATTACTCGTGGGCCGAATCTTCAAAGTCAAATCATAGTAGCCATTCTTCATGCAGATACCCCAGCGTTCTTTTTAAATCACTCCCTATTTTGACTAAATTATTCTTAGGCATAACTTAGTCAGTTATGTGCCCAGCGCCACTATCACTATCACTGGATCCTAAACCTGCAATTTGGCTTTATATCCAATCACTATTCACGCAGTTCTTGTCAATACAACATCAGTCTATGTGAAGAAGTTGATCTGACTCGGAGAGTTCTTCAATTTTAAAGCTTTAGGCCTCAGTCAGGTCATTTTAAACTTGAAATATTCCAAAATTCAATAGTTGCAATCTCTTCCAGGGGGTTTCCTGATGATATATCAGTGCAAAGGTACCGGTGGACTCAGTACCTATCTAGGTAGATAGATTGGACGATTACTAAGATTAATGGGGGCACTTATGGGCATACTGATACCTATTTCTGATAGCCACAAAGCACTATGATAAGGATTCCAAGGCTGTAAGTTTCTATGCCCTCCGTGGTTTAGAGCATTGGAAGGCTGAAACCCTAGAGTGAAGCCTGCTGAGCCTTTTTAATTTACATAGGCTATGGAATGATCCTAAGGTTTAATTTCCGAGCCCTAAAAGTACCCCGGAAGTGAATGAGGTGTTAGCACGACTACTGTGTTATCTCCCGATGTTGCCGATGTTGCCGAAAATCACGACGTCTTCCTGGACATATTATTTGGAGGTCATACGGGCAGGCTGAATCTTAGCTCAGACGTCCAGGTCTGTGAGCTGATATATACTCGGTGCCTACAAAAGCCTGAATCCGTTTGACCTGAGCAGAGGCAGCTAGGATTGAGTCTTCTAAGGTTGAAAGACCTGCCAGGTCCAAGCTTGCACATCTAAATTGCTCTCGTAGTTTTATTGCTTTAGGTGCTCATCCAGGCGGCTGTTAATAGCTTGGGAGGATCAGTCAAAATCCATAGACATAGAGTGCAAGTGGCGAGTCAACCATGAGGATGGATGTACATATGCTGCTCAAGGCTGCATATCCATGGATATACCCTGATATTTAGATAACTCTGGAGGTAAATCTACAGGTTGATATCTAAGTATCTAGGTATTTACCTAGTTCCTTTATTACTTTATGGATATACTTGCGGATAGGTTCACTCCCCAAATTAGGCAGATATTCGTACGTCCAGGGCTAGATATCCACTACTATTTTCTGTATACTTGCTGGAGATATTCTGGCGTATGTATCGACAGTAGGTATAATTCATTTAAATGGACTTTCCCACTGATATGAGAAAATGATCAAAGTCTGACACCCGCCTCAGCTTTGGTGGAAGTTTACCCCATGACTTCCTGAGGTCGGTACCTAGGTACAATCGAGCCTCTGATAACTCTGGAGTACATAAGTTAAAATATAACAAACTACTTGAAGTCCTAGGATACATGAAGCCTAACTTTACCAAGCCCTAAAGAAACATTGAGAGCATATTTGGAGTATACACCACTATATACTGCATCATTTAGTAAACTTTGGAAGGTATGGGTAGAGGAGGATATTCAATTAACTTACATTACATAAGGACCATCGTCCTAGATATTACACGTTGGTTAGTAGGTAGGTATTGTGTTCCCAAATGTCCCTTCCAAGGTTTACCTACTGAGGCTCATCGTCACTTACTTCTTGCCCACCTCCCCCCCCCCCCCCCCCCCTTCATCCCAGTCATCACTCAGAATTGTATACTTAGTTATATTTCTTTAGTCATCCTGGAACTATTCTCTTCAATTACACCAATCCACGTTCTAGGTCTCAAGATTCCAACAGTCAGTGCTTTCCTCTCAAAGTCATCTTTCTCTAATTAAAGGCCATACTTACAATCTATCCACCTCCCATATGGATTTTGAATTACCAGGAAGCTGAGCCAGTATAAATTATGTCTCTCGACTAGCCTATAGTATAGATACTGTTGGAACCAATGGAATCTGGTTTGCTGAAGTGAATGAACTCAGGAAGTGAATGAAACTAGTGGAATCGGGGCATACCCGATTCCATCGCGGGAACTTAGAATGAACACACATCTTACCGCATAACTTATTACACGTACAACGTAGTAGTAATAGTGCATTGAGATCCCTGTGAACCGACAGATACCATAGATCTAGGATGTTATTTTCTCCTTAATACGGCTAGTTTCATAGCGGGCGGCATCCTGGCGCTTATTAGGTTGGTTGTTGGGTTTCTAAGGTTAATATGAAAGCAAGGTTTGTCAAATTGTCAAAACTTTTACCCTACTATATTGATTGGGGATGGCTGGCACCTTGTCAACTCCGAGGTCTTTACATCGTCATGTTACGGGATTTTTGCTGTATCCTAAACCCCCACACATCCCCTACCAAGGTACCCAGGTGCCGAGACAGGTGTGATGAGGTCTAAGAGTAAATTGATTACAACTAAGTAGCTATTTAGATAATGCAGCCTGTGCTCACCACCTGGGCAATTACTCTCGTGGGGTGTTGATTCCTCGGGCCTAATATCTAGGTAGTTTAGACCCATGTATACCCTTACTAAGGCCGGTGATTACCGCCATAAGTATTTAGGAAGATTATCTCTGTCATCCAGAACATTATTGACACAGGGTGGGCCACTACTCCACAATATGCTGTTTATGTCAAAAGCTGAAGATTCCAGGGTTATTGAATTACTGCTTATATAGATGTATACAACCACGGGGGCAGCCCTGTCAGTTGGTAAAATAGATAGGCGAATACCTCGCGGAAAACTCCCTGTAGCCTTGAAAGTATAGCTTGCCTATTATCCGACGGTGGTCTCTTTTGGGCATTTATGGGCCTTGGAATGGGTGTGGATGTGTTATTTCCAAGGTTAGTGTTGGGATATCAGACAAACGACACATCACGAATTCCTGTTCAGAGTACATCGCAAACGACAACCTTGAACAGTATGCATATAACTGTGATGTCCCGTCTTTACCAACTATTCTGTCTTAGACGATGGAACACATTCATCTCAGACAGAAGAGCAACTTGTAGGATAAATAGCTAGTCCTCACCATGAATGAAAAACCAGACTTTACAACCACTTCAAGAGAACACAAATATATTATAGGGACATAAAGCGTTACCTGTGATAGGTGTCAGAAGTGGGCGTTAGCCTCTTGTCTACCATTTCGAATAGCTATTCAACACTTGGTACTGGTGTACCGACAGTTAGTTAGGAGTGCACAGAATGTATCTGTTGCGACAGCCGAGAAACAAGGCTGCCAACATACGGAAAGTATTTCGGCCGAAAAGCTTCTGCCAAGGCAGTGACTCTCGGTTCGGAATAACCACTCGGAGGAACTAGGTTAGTATATCATGGCATCCTTGAACGATATGCATTCATCGCAAACGACACCCTTGAGCGATGTGCATTCGCGACAGTAATGTCCCATCTTCACCGTCTCTTCTGTCTCGGACGAATGTTTACATTCTTCCAGGACAGAGGAGCACCCATATACTATAAGTAGCTAGTTCTCTCATCAATGAAAAATCAGACTTCACAATAACCACGATATTCAGTACTGTAGAGAGCACTACACTTGGTGGTTTGTCTACGGTGTTGAGTAGTGGTTAGTTGAAACTCATCAACTCTTTGATTCTACTGCAGTAAACTCCACGACAGTTTTACTGCGGTAAAACCTCGTTCTCAGTTATCGGCGACTAGCTAGCTACGCCCGCTAAAGCGAGCGACAGTATCTACATAGCATACCAGCATAATATTTACAACATTGAAATCCTGGAATGGATTAATAAGATGATTGTTCCAAGAATTTAACATTCATTCATTCATCCGTTAACATACCCAGGTGATAAATCCTATGGAAAACTGCATTTATGTACATAGCATGATGTCGAGACTTAGGAGTGCCTGTTCCAGGTGGACTGACTCGGTTTCAAATCCTCCAAATTTGGAATCTCGATACCTGATCTTATCTATTTTGGGAATGGGTAGCTTTGCATTATCTCCCAGGTAACAGAAATTGGAGTGTCTACGGAGTAGTTCGGATGGGAACTCAAAAAAGCCAAGAAAATATGCCTCTAATCTCCCAGAAGGGCTAGAACTCCAGCAACCGTGGGAATTCCTAGCCAATTGATCCCTAGTTCCTTGTCGAGTGATGTCTCATCTGGTAGCCGATGCATCTCGCCGCGCCGGATTCTAGATTCAGCATGCCGCGTTTAGAGTAAAAAGTACCGAGAGTAAGTAGCACATAGAACAAGGGTTGGAAAGCGCGGCTATGCTAAATGTACCAAGCCGTAATATTTTAATTGTACAGCTTCAAGACCTACTACTCAGGATCTGAGTGGTTTGGCTATGGATGCTTTGATGTGATCGATTGAAAAAATTACTGTATTGTCGACCTGGTCGTTAAGATAAAGTTTTCCCCAGCTAGGCTCACTTGTATTCCAAATTTTGACTGCATTCATGAACCGAGTGGAAAGCTTATTAGTGATTCTGCCCGTTCAATGAAGGAGAAATGTTGAGGGCCTTGAGAGGTGCGAAGCATTTTACTGTATAAATTGACAAAAGTACTGTATCCTCAGGGCCCGTTCCAATTTATTTCGTACTCCTTATTCAGGTATACCGGACCGAAAGGGAAAGTCGATCGATCTTCCGGCCCGTGCAGCGGGTAGGAGAACCATGATTTCCAACCAATGAACATACCGTACCCCGGAAGCGCCTATTGTTTCCGAGCCACTCAGTAGACTGAATAGTCCGCCAAGGCTGAGTAAACCTTCGATAGTATGGAATACAACAAGTACCATTGGAATTATGGCGCATGCTTCTTTGTTAGATGTGATCATGACTCGTATGCAAGTTGAAAGATACGGGGAAGACCCTTGTAAAGTAATCAAGAAGTGGCATACTCTGCCTACCTTGGTATGCAAAAAAATTGAATCTTCTCACTCCTCAGCACCCGATACTAGCCTAGGTAAGTACTTTCGGTGTTTGAAAGTAAGATGCATGACTATGGATATTTTAGACCCAGAAACAGAATATAGATTTCGTGTCAGACAAGACTAATACCTATGACATCGGAAACAACTGAAGGTACCATGTTATGTCAGGAAATCATTCATATTGATTTTGAGCAGCTGATATGCGGAAGGAAAGGGTGGAGCAAGTACGAACTTTGAAAAGAAAGAATCTTGGAAAAGAAAGAGGGCACTGGGTGAGATTGCGTTATGCATGCATTTTTCTAGTCTTGATTGGAGAAGTGCATTGGCGCCGTGGATTTGAAATCCGCATCAATAGGGCAGTTAGGGACAAACCCATAGAATACACAATGTAGAATACGAGTGACATATCATATTTGAAGATCAATGTTTGTTTCTGGGGGTGGGCCTATAATCGAAGTATATACGGAGCATGTATAGTCAAATTCCGAATTCCATCTGCAGCCATACAAAATGAGGCTGCGCAAGTCAGTAACAGCCTTATGTTAGATAAGAGTGGGTACATAATGCCAGCGGCCGATTGGACGGATGACAACCGCCCAGTCAAGAGTATAGGAAAATAGATGACTGGCAATTAGATTGGGTGATAGGTTTTTTTTTTTTTTTTTTTTTTTTTTGCCAGAACTGATGTTCCTGTAGAGTTAATCAGGATGGAGTCAGTGGAGAAACGCATGAAAAGTCCTCAGGTTGCCCAATAGCAGCCTCACATATACGGAAGTGTACTCCGTACTGTTTGTCGCTGTAAAAGATGACGCTCGCGGTTTGTTCTAATGACCGGAAGACTTGGAATTCTTTGCCACGTAATCTGATCCAATAAGTACTCTGCAATGCGAATAATTCATACTATTTTCCAGATAGATCTGACTTAATTGCCACATTTGGAAAGCTTCATGTCATGAGTCGATGTAACGACGGGCGATCAGTGCTCTTTGGTTTGATCCGGGATTTATTCAATCGTGGCATGGTGGTTTTATCACGCCAGTGGCGCGAAATATCGCAATTAGCGAAAACATGTGCGGAGTCTTTTGTCCTTACAGTATTCAGGTGGATATATCATGCACCTACTGAATTATAACGTTGGATTTGGGGCAGTATGACCTGTCCTGTATCTAATCCTAGCATTCTGTCGCCGGCTGTATATGGAAGCAGGCTTCGGCAAACATTTCGCAAAGTTAGCAGTTGATCAAGTTTTCAAGAACTTGAAATTGTTTTGTTCAGGTTTCTGGCCGAGTTGGTACCATAGATTCGAGAGGCCTGTACGCCGTATGTCACCGCAACTGGACAGTCGAAATTATCGGTCGCGGTATCCCGAAAGAAAGAAGTAGAATGCGATTAAAAACTCTCAGGCTTTGTTGTGGTGAACGTCATGATCTATCTCTTTTTGTGGACCAAGTGTTTTCCCCCTTGTTTCCATTTCTTGATAGAATAGAGCCTGTTTCAGAACCGTATTAGTGGTAGCTGTTCCACTCACAGGCATATTAGATAGTGGCCACGTTCTTCTGTTGGCCTTTCGGGCTCTTCCATGCAAATCCACCCTCAACAGAGCCTTCGACCCCTGTTAGCTACATGCCACCAACAAAGCAGATTGGCAGGCCGCAGGCTTATTTCTTCTCCACTCACAGGAGTTCAATCGTGGCCTACTCGGCCACCAGGTACCCTGGCTGTGTGACAATACCAGATCAAATCACCCCGTCCCTGCCCCACCCCGTCTGTTTGCTAAAGTCGTGTCGTGACCCCTCTTGAGCTGCTGAGGCTTTTCTTCATGTCACTAATATATAGCCCAGTGATCCTTTCATCTTCTGTCGGAAAACTGTGCTTCATCCAATCCTTGGGTACACCCAGGCGGCAAAATCGGAACCGTGTCGGTAATGACCTGATCCCTTTTCGATACAGCATCGGACGAAAGAGAGAGGAGCAAAGAGATATATATGATTTATATGAGCCATACATATCTTGAAAAAATTTCATCCAATCATATAGGTGGGACAAGGCTTTGTACATACCCTCAAAATCGAGTCTCTTCACCTATTGCACACCCTCTTGTCAGAACAACAACCGATCACAAAAGTCAACCTCGCGCGTTAAGCTCATAGATCTCGTCAACACTAGGAAGTTAATGGCGGTCTTTGTCCAATCACCGAAACAGGATAAAATTGGACGGGGATTTGGTACTCCAAAAATGAACAATCAGGGTCATCCCAGACCTTTAGCTCCAGGACCACCACGGACATTTGCTCCGCAATCGCCTATGGCTGTGAGTCGACCAAAAAAGAACTCAACGGCTTGTCTGACCTGCAAGACAGCAAAGAGAAAGGTAAGTCGTCGAGTCATGGATTTTCACTTGCAAACAGATTTCCGGAAGAGCCGTCCTGACATTCTTCTTCTTTTGTACTGCAGTGTTCCGGACCTCCTGCTCCTTGCAAAGCATGTACTACTGCTGGAATTGACGATTGTCAATTTGACCCAACCCGTGATCTCAGACGCAAAGTAGCTGTGAAGAGGGTGATAGAGGAGCTTTCAAACTATAAAGAACTGTTAGAAGCCTTTTTCAGGGCACTTCGAACTGAAACTGCAGAAAGGGTGCAGAGTATCATTGAACTGGTTCGAAGCAATGCATCACTGAATGAGATCGCTGAGGCTGTTGGAAGCCCTGCAGTTTATTTCTCCGATCCCAAAGCATTGTCAAACGCCAGTCATCTTATTTCGGATGATGGAGACCCAAATTTAGCTTATTTTGAAGCGGATGAGAACAAACCTAGGCGAGCTTCGGATATCTCAGAGGAGGAACTACCCAGGAAAACACAGATCACTACCCATCCTTATGCGCGAGTGACCCTGGAGAGTCTCTGTGATATCCCTATGATTAGTGTCCCTTCAAAGCCATGGACGGAAGTTACTGATGACAACGAGCTTGTGTCGCATCTAATTTCACTCTATTTCACATGGGACCACCCATGTGCCCAATTTGTTGATCGAGAGACATTTCTTGAACATATGGAGAAGGGAGATCTGAATTCGGAATTCTGCTCACCACTGTTGGTCAACGGTTTGTTAGCAGTGGCAAGTGTACGACGAACACCATCTCCATTTCAATCATGGCAAGGTTTGATCTAACTCCAACAGACGTATTCTGATAGCCCGATCGTATTCTCAAATTCCGAAAACGCGTTCTCTCGAGGGGAGAAATTCCTTGCGGAAGCAGAGAGGCTATGGCGAGCGCAGGAAGGGCGATCATCGTTGACTAATATCCAAGGACTTCTTTTGATGGGTTATTTGTATGTTCCATAGTCCCTAAATCTTCTCTGGATCTAATATTGAGTATTGCAGATTGTCATGCCAGGGGAAGTCTCGTCTGGGCTGGCTGACGTTACGACAGGCTGTCGAGTTAGCTCAGGATTTGGGAATGTTTAAGCACCCCAGTGTCATCCAGAGGGGACAAAAATCGCCTGAGATGAAACGAGCCTATACAATCACAGCATGGGGTATCTTCAGCTTGAATCTGTAAGTAGTATCATCCAGGCTATGGGGCATGGACTCTAATATCGGGGTGTACAAGTACTGACTGGCCATGAAGACAAATGTCCATCAAACTTCAGAGGTTTGCCAATCTGGAATATCCTGTATCGAACATTTATGCCGGAGGTGATCATGATTTTGACTGGGTCCCGTATCCGCGGTCGAATCAGATTGCCTATGATAAGAAACCAGCTCATCTTCCCAAAATCAGGCGAGGTCTTGTAGATCTCACGATCATTATGGTTGAGATCAAGGGTCTTTTGGACGATGCTGAGTTGCACACGAACTTCCGCGCCCTGCAGAATAGGGCAAAAGCTCCATATGACCGTTTGCAAAATTGGTTGACAGACTGGCCCGATTTACCCAAAGACGAAAAGGATCCAATCCCGCAACTTCTCACTCTTCGGTAATATACACCCCCTGATCTGACTTCCTTTCTAGTATCCTGTGCTGACAACCTGTGAAGCTTGAAATGTCTTCAAGTGAGTATGAGCCTTCTTGAGGCACTGATCGATAGGGCTGGGGAGGATCCTATGGCTGTTAGCATAAGAGATGAATGGTGTGAGCAGGCCATAGAAATGACTCGTTGCCTTTCTGCCTATCGTCTGTCGTATGGACTCAAACACATTCCAAGCCAAGTTGCAGATATCATCCAGACAGCCCTTCATGGCCTTCTGAAAAGACTGGAAGATACAAAGGAGGCAACAGTGGCGTTCATTGAATGTTGTCGTTTTGGGGTTGTCTTGAGCCAGAAGTTCAAACCTGTGGCTGAGATCATCCAAGCACTCCAACATGAAAATGCACGGCTTCCTCACGATGCCATCGCAATATTGGAGGACTCAGATCTCTGAGAGAGTCAAGACTTATGAGATCCAGATGCTGAACGTGAAGGGTAAAGTGGGCTGTATTCGGTAAAAATGATCCACAACTACGGGAGACGGCTTCTTATGGCATTCGGTCATACAGGCTACGTGCTCCTACCGGAAGCTTTTTCCGGCTGACAAACCGTTTTTAAACACCTGTAACTAGTCAAGTCAATCTGTCATGTGGCCTTTTTTATCAGCGGGCAAATAAGAGTGGTAGTTGATCTCCCCTTCAAGCAACGGTCTTGCCATAGAGTCGATTTTATCGCCGCGAGTGCATTACTCAACATTCTTTTGACTAAATTTCGGATGATTGTATCAATTTTTTTCATGCTAGTTGACAAACACCATTATAGGCCAATATCAAGCTATCAACTTTGAAGCTTCTCTACATGTAGCCATGGTCCATTCAACTCTAATATTCAAATGTAGACTGACCTTGGAAGTAGAGAGATATCTAATCGCCCTTATAGAAGTCTCATTCTCCAAAATTGTAGAAAATGGATGTTATACCCGAGCATTGAAGTCTTACTAGTTGTCATTTTGTGCCAAACTCCGGCCGACATACATTACCTAGATATTATACTCCTTGTCTGAAACAAAAAGCATAGTCACGGATAATGGCTATAACCACTCCTAAAGACTTCCAAGAATATTTCGTCATTATTTTCAGCAGCCATGATTGATTTCTGAAAATCCTGATGTTTGGTTAGAAGTTTGAGTTACCTGACACGACCTGTAGTCTGGTTTGGTTATTTCCTATTTTGTTATGCTTATCTAATCCGAGCTGCATAAGATGAGTCAGCATCCACTTTATGCCCAGATAAGATAAGCATAACACTCCAAGCGAAAACCCTCAAAATTCGTTCTTTGGCAAATCCCACACGGCGAGCGACGACGGACCCCCACCCAACCCCCCTTCCGCCCTGCCGTCATTCAGGCATCTCAAAGCCCAAAAATATACAACTTCTTTCATCCGCACGCACACTTTCGTTCTCCCCCACAACAATGTCTTACGAAGATCGCGCCTCGGATGCCGAGGAGGAGACCATGGTGAATGACTACCGCGAGCAGGTCAATTACGACGATAGTCTGAGTGAAATAGACCATTCTGTGTCTCTCGGTGGTTCTCAGGCTCAAGACCTTCAAGCACAGCTCGCCGCGGCTGCTACCCCACTGGAATATCAGGCTACTCTTGAGACCAAGTTCGCCAGCTACGACAACTACTGCAGTCTCTTCCACTACATTCTGAACTCAGAAGGTCCTGTGGATCTTGAGGTCCCTTCTGTACGTTCCTCCACTTCGCCATTCTGTAGCTTTGAAACAAAGAAATCTACGCTTAGCATTCACGTATTATATGATGGCTGGTGAGAAAGTGACTAACTTGATGTTCTTTAGTACTACTGGGCCTGGGATGTCATTGATGAGTTCATCTACCAATTCGAGTCTTTTTGCCGATACCGCAACCGCGTTGCTCGTAGTGGATCCAGTGAGGATGAGTCCCAAGTCCTCCGCGAAAACCCGAACACATGGGGCTGCTACTCTGTACTGAACGTACTGTACTCGCTTATCCAGCGCTCGCAGATTAATGAGCAACTGGCTGCCATCAAGCGGGGCGAGGATCCAATTGCTTTCGCTGGCGAGTATGGCTCCCGGCCGCTTTACAAGATGCTGGGCTACTTCTCCATCATTGGTCTGTTGCGGGTGCACTGCCTGCTCGGTGACTTCAGCCTTGCCCTGAAGACCCTCGACGATATCGAGATGAACAAGAAGGCCATGTTCGCCCGCGTAATGGCCGCCCATTTCACCACGTACTACTACGTCGGTTTCTCCTACATGATGATGCGCCGCTACGCCGACGCCATCCGCATGTTCAGCCACATCTTGGTCTACGTTTCCCGGACAAAGAACTTCCAGAAAGGCGGCAACAACTACGATGCTATCGCCAAGAAGAACGATCAGATGTATGCCCTGATTGCCATCTGCGTGGCTTTGCACCCCACCCGTCTGGACGACACCATCCACTCCGCCGTCCGCGAGAAGTACGGCGAGCAGTTCCACCGTATGCAGCGTGGCGGCCCCGAAGCCCTCCCCGTCTTTGAAGAGTTGTTCCGCTCTTCTTGCCCCAAGTTCATCAGCCCTACTCCTCCTGACTTCGACAACCCTGCCTACAACGTCGATCCCGTCGATCACCACACTGCCATCTTCATGGATGAGGTAAAGAACACCCTATTCAATCCCACCATCCGTTCATACCTGAAGCTTTACACCACCATGGACCTCAAGAAGCTCGCCGGCTTCCTCGAGGTCGAGCCTGAGAAACTCCGTTCCTGGCTTCTCGTGAACAAGCAGCGCAGCCGTCAGATCCGCTGGGTCGAGGGTGGTCTGCTTGAGGGTGATGCTGTCATTGCCAACGACCTCGACTACGCTCTCGAAGATGACTTGATCCACGTCAGTGAGACCAAAGCCGGCCGCCGCTTGGTTGACTGGTACCTGCGCAACCTTGCCCGAGTTTACTAAAAAAAAAAGTTTTAACTCCACAAATCCCATAGGCTAAAAGACTAGCCGATTGGTGCAGGTTCCTGCGGGTGATTCGAGACGTAACAAAAATGGTGATGGATGGACTCTTTACATGCAAGAAAAGACGGACACGACTCGAGATGATTTCTTTCATATTCTTATTCCGCTTCTCTTTTTTTTCCATTTTTCCCCATTGTTCACATTGCAATTGCTGGGTTTTATACCCTTTCTAGTTTTCCATATTTGTTATACTTTTCCCCCCTCTGTGTCCTGCGTTTTACCATCACTTGTGGTCAGGGACTCCCGTGTGGATTCAAAATCAAGTCAGACTATCGCGATATCTCTGGTGGGCGTAATATTTACATTGGCCCTGGTCTGCTGTTCTGCTTTAAAGCAAGTGATGTACTATGAGAGAGTACATCCATGGATGGAGGTAGGAGAAAAAGAGACTTGATGAAATTGATTCATAGATCAACGATATTATTCTTTATTCAATAGTTCCTCTATTAGTATATTGTTTTTGCTCTTTTCCTTGGAGGTTTGTTTTGTTCGTGGAGAATTGGATTTAAAGGACCTATCCACAATTTGCCCTGACTTGAGGTGATCAAGCAACGGTCCGATTTTGCCGTCTTGATTCGAAGCCGACTTCTATAGCGGAGTTTCCCCAGATCATCTCTTGGCCCACCTTTATGCATTCTCTTCAGGAATCTTTGCTTCTGACCGAAGTTTCTAGCGGATCGATTGGGCTGTCTTATATGTCCCTTTAGCTGATGCTGTCAGAATCCGTCAGCAAGAAAAACATGGGCGCAGAATTTGTGCCAAAGCAATTCATCCTAAAGCCGATTGAGTGCAGATGGGCTATACGATTGAAAAACGGCCGATTCTGCAATCAGGCAGAGAAGGTATCCGCTTATAGATATCGAAGATCGCCTGACTTTCAGGAATCACAAGAATAGCCGCCCAGGATGCCTCTCGCTTGCCAAACAGAATATTCTCAAAGAAGCTAATCTGGGATCATCAAATATCATATAAGGAAGAAGACACTAGGAATACAAGGAATACAAGGTAACCCTTTTATCTACTCAGTATTCTCGGAGACTTTCCATACCAGTGGCAGAACCGACGTAATTATGGCATGAATGGCCAATTTCCGAAGGATCTTGCAGAAGTATAGTCCAAAATCACCAGTGTCAATCCAAGGTACCTGAACAAGTTGGGGAAGTGATGGGGTGCTTTGATTAATTATAGCTTATATATATATATATATATGGGACAACATAGCTAAGGAACTCCTGAACCCAATCCTCTTTCCGGAGGACCGCTTATTCCCTGTGTTCTTGTACTCGTTGATCCAGTTTCTGAATTGGCAGTCAGCAACATCGGGTTGATATAACCACAGCGGGCAACATCGGACTGAGGGTCTGGTGCAGGATTCGTCGGAAGTAGAAGGCTTTGGAGGACGGTCTGCTGCTGCTAAATAAGAGGATCTGGAACGACCACAGGTTGGTACGCCAGAAAAGAAGGTGCAGCTTCTCGAAACCAGGTTGTTTCAACTTCTGGAAAAAGGACGCTCTGGAAGGTATTTTGGGGGACGCTATGATAGCAAGCTTGGGTTATAGGATATCGACAAGCTTTTTATATGTACGCATTTGGCCAAGGAGGTCGATGTCACCGAGAAGGTTGCCATCACCAACCTCAGAAGAATATCGACTTCCTTACATCAGAGTCGACTAGAACACATTGTGCTGGCCGCTGTCTCCGGGACCGTCATTGGTCTCCTCATCGTTCGTCACTCGGATTCCAAGATTGATATGGACACCTGCCTTGAATGACAGAGAATAGTATCTAAGTTACTGGACAGTAAAATATTCCATATGGAGGCATGGAAAGAATGTGCGTCTTCAACTTTGTCTTCATATTCGTCTTGGACCACATTTACTCTCGTTATGATAGAGTAATAGAGAGTAGATGATGGAGTGGAGAATGGATAGTGAAGAAAGAATCAGAATGTAGAATAATACTCGTGGATATTTTATGTAGGCTTGTATGATGAGTTATAGGAGATTAGACTGGAGTATAAAGAGGCATGGGAGAAGTAATGGTAAGGTGAAGGTGAAGGTGAAGGTTAAGGTTAAGGTTAAGGTAAGATGAGGGCGAAAGTAAGTTAAGTTAAACTACCTGGGTATGCATATGTGTCATGGAAATAGAGAGAAGAGGGGTATAACATGCAAATTATTCTATCCCTGGATGTCCAGTATGCTGTATGTACATGTAAGAGAACTCATCAATCCATCACATCGAAGCTAGTCCCGCAACCACAATTACTTGTGGCTCGTGGATTATCAACAATCTTGAATTGACTCCCAATTAACTCGGTGGTATAATCTACCGTGCTTCCAGATAGAAGCTCCAACGAAGGCTCGTCCATGACGACCTTGGCTTCTCCGCCCTCTGACGTAGCAGTCTCGGCCTCACCCTGGAAGATGGTGTCCTCTTCAGCATCGATCTTGCTAGCTGACTCTAGCGACATCATATACTGGAAACCATGGCAGCCGCCGCTGGTCACAGTAATTCGAAGATGGTTGTAAGGATTTTCTTCCTGAATAGCAGAAGGAGATGAAGTAGGATCGGTGATTTCTCGCAAACGCTGTATTGTTTGTTAGCAAAAAAAAAACGGAAAATGATAAATTCAGTCAGAATAATCAAAATGGAAAATCTGCATATAGATATATGCCTTGGGCTATAAAAACAAAAACATACAACAGTCAGGATTCGCATGTGGTCACCCACCATACTACTAACTGACCGGCGTGTGGCTTAAGTACGGCTGAGCGGACGGGAAGCCCTGTTCTCCACACCCTGTGGTCGTATGTGAATATTTGATCCTGTCACTGGTTTTTGCAGCCAGCAGCTAGTCTGTCTTCATCTTCTGATATTATCAAAGTCTGACGACATTGACCATATCGCTTCCCGTTCGCCCAGTACATTTCTCAAGCCCATAACAGGAGATAGCCGAATAACCATGACAATAAGAAACTATTTTTAACGTACCTCCGCAGCTCGAGGTGAGATATTTATCATTAATGTTGCTCCATCATCTCCGGTTCTCGGATTTTGTAGAACCTGCGTAGCTGCGCGGACGGACGATGACGAAAACGAGGCAACGGATTGACGAATGTAGCAGCGTGATGGTGGTCGTCGGGAGATAGAAGGTGTGTGAAACGATGCGCCAACTGCTGCTGCGGCGCTTGCTCGACGATGAACGATTTCGCAAGATGTGGAGAGGCGCTTAGCAGGCCGGGAAGTTGAGAATAGTCTGGAATATCCTCTTGAGAAGACCTGCCGGGTGTTGATAGATGGCATAAATGTCCGAGACATTTTGAAAGTTGCGTAAGACTTTCGAACACGAAGTCCTAAAAAATGACCAAATTTAAAGTAGTTGTCAATGCCATGACATCGTTCCATCTGAAATCGGCAGCGGCGCGATTGGTCAGCCTAGGCGGAACACGGGGGCAGAAAAAGACGGAATGAGAAGTGAAGTCATCATACATGAATAGTTAAGATCGCTTAAAATTGCTAATGAATGTGATCTTTTAACTTTTAACATTTAAGAATCTAAGCAGTCTTCAGTATTTGGTCACTCACACTGCCTGTCTCCAACACTAACTCTCCACCATGGGATCCCGACAACATATCCGAGATATCAAGTCCGGCCCGCCGCTTCCTTACAATGAAGATATTAGAGCTTACAAGAAGGAATATGCCGAGGCTCTGGATGCACAGGATCCTCTGCGTCAGTTTCGAGAAGAATTCATTATACCTTCCAAGAAAGATCTAAAGAGAACGACCATTGAGGCAAATGAAGGTATTCTTATAATAGTATCTCAATACGAAGAATAGCTACCTGCTAACATTCTTGACGCAATAGCCAGTGACGAGGCTTCCGACCCCAAATGTATTTATCTTTGTGGTAACTCTCTGGGTATCCAGCCTCGCAGCACTCGAAGGTATATTGAACAGTATCTGCGCACATGGGCCACGAAGGGCGTGACGGGGCATTTCATTCCTCATGAGGACCAATTACTTCCTCCTTTTGTCGACGTCGACACGGCTGGATCGAAATTGATGGCGCCCGTAGTGGGCGCATTACACAGTGAAGTGGCTGTCATGGGAACTCTCACAGCCAATATCCACTTTCTCATGGCAAGCTTCTACCGCCCAACACAAGAGAAATACAAGATTATTCTGGAAGGAAAAGCTTTTCCAAGTGACCATGTAAGTGCATAATTTTTGAATCCTGGAGTTGAATTGTGTCTTTCATGCCTAATGCTTACTGCCACTAGTTTGCGGTCGAGTCTCAAATTCGCCACCACAACTTTGACCCCGAAGATGCTATGGTCTTGATTGAGCCCGAGAATCTTGATCTACCCATTTTGAGCACGGAACAGATTCTTAAGGTCATTGATGAAAATGCTTCAAGTACAGCATTGATTTTTCTTTCTGGCATTCAGTTCTATACTGGGCAGTATTTCGACATCAAGCGTATCACTGCACATGCTCACTCGAAGGGTATCCTAATCGGCTGGGACTGTGCCCATGCTGCCGGCAATGTAGATCTACGTTTGCATGACTGGGATGTTGATTTTGCGGCATGGTGTACTTATAAGTATATCAATAGCGGGCCTGGTGGCATGGCAGGGCTGTTTGTGCACGAACGGCATGGTCAGACTAGTGATGATAAATTCCGCCCTCGTTTATCGGGGTGGTGGGGTAGTGACCTCAAAACCCGATTCATGATGGATAATAGTAAGTGGCACCTTGCAAGGTCACGTATAAAGCTGACCGATATAGAATTCACTCCACAACCCGGTGCAGCTGGATTTCAACTATCAAACCCTTCGGTCTTGGATATGACTGCCATTGTTGCTTCCCTCGAGATCTTCAATCGTACGACCATGACAGAAATCCGACAAAAGTCTTTAAATATCACGGGATATCTCGAACATCTACTTTTGAAGTATCCCCTTGATGCTTCTCCAGAAGATAAGCCATTCACTCTCATTACACCTTCAAATCCCGCCGAGAGGGGAGCTCAGCTCAGTATTCGCCTTCAACCCGGGCTGTTAGACCATGTATTGCACCATTTAGAAGAGAACGGGGCTGTTATTGACGAGAGAAAACCCGACGTTATTCGCGTGGCCCCTGCACCATTGTACAATACGTATGCTGAAGTTTTCGAATTCTGCCAAATATTTTTGGAAGCATGTCGAAATGCAGTCAAAGCTCGCCAGTGAATGAATAATATGAACAATCGAATAGATCATTGCGGCTCAGGTTTAACTATATAGTCAATTAACTAACTAATTATTTGTTAAATATTTATCTAGTGAACTGTTTAGGCATTAGTCTTATTTTGGTCTACAACTACTAGATACACCTGCGTATAGTTACTTCGTGCTAAATAATTGCGTAATTATAAATAGATAGACGTGTAGTCGGAGCTTTGGAAGTCTGTAGCCGCTCAAAGCTGAAGTGAGACTCGGAATCCGCATCTCGACTCAAATGATGTGAAATTTGCATGGATGTATTGCGCCATCTTCAAACGGAGTTAACGAATATAAAAAGACTTCCGTCGGCTAATCGGCAAGTACCCACCACTACGGAGAAGATAAGGACTAGTTCGAGCTTCTCGGGCCGCTTTCGCTCCCGTTTGGCCTTAGAACTGTTGATTTATTCATCTCAAATGTTGCACTTTCATTCTTGGCTGCAATCGCCATATCAGCCCTGATCTAGTGATTACAAATGGCATTCATCACTGAGAAAGATGTGGAAATACCACCCCAAACTGATCTCGAGCTTGGAACCTCAAAGGGTGAAAATGACAGTGGAAATGCGGGGGACCATGATATTACTGATGTTGCAGATGTTGCATACTCCTGCTTCACAGATCCCCAGCGGAGATTTATTGTCTTCATGAGCTCATGGGCAGGTCTCTTCTCCGCTATTTCATCACAGATTTATTTCCCTGCCATTACAGATTTGGCCAAAGATCTTAATGTCTCAGGGTCATTGATAAACTTGACATTAACAAGTTACATGGTGAGTCTAGATCATCCTGCCCAAGTGGTCAAGTGTGTCGTCATCCAATGTTGGAAGCTGACAAGCTTGAATAGATCTTTCAAGGCCTTGCACCTATGTTTATTGGTGACTTTGCCGATAAAACTGGAAGGAGACCAGCATATATTGTATGCTTTGTTCTTTATATTGCTGCAAATATCGGCCTGGCTCTGCAAAACAGCTATGCAGCTCTTTTCATACTCCGGTGCCTGCAAAGTGCAGGAAGTAGCACCACCATTGCTCTATCATCTGGGGTAGTCTCCGACGTGGCCACCGCCTCTCAACGAGGATCGTACATGGGGTTTGTAACAGCAGGATCTCTGCTGGGCCCATCTATAGGTCCTGTTGTTGGAGGTTTGCTGGCTCAGTTCCTCGGCTGGAGGGCAATCTTCTGGTTCCTCGTTATTTTCGCAGGTGCCTTTATGATCCCATTCCTGCTTTTCTTCCCTGAGACTGCTCGGGAGATTGTCGGCGATGGATCACTGCCTCCTCAAAAGTGGAACATGTCCTTAATCAGCTACATTCAGGCCCGCAAGCTTCGAGTGGAGGGTGCTGAAACTTCTGCGAGTACGCGCAATCTAAAGATTGGATTCCCGAATCCTTTGCAGACGCTCGCTATCGTTTTCCAGAAGGATGTTAGCGTCATTCTCTTCTGTAATGCGTTGCTCTTTGCTGGATTTTACGATGTGAGCGCCACAATCCCGTCGATCTATACCGACATATACGGATTGAACGATCTACAAGTTGGTCTGTGCTACATTCCTTTCGGTCTTGGTGCTTCCATAGCATCTATTCTGAGTGGGAAATTCCTCGACTATAATTATCGCCGAATTGCAAAGAGCATCGGTTTTCCCATTTTCAAAAACCGGAAAACAGACCTACGGGATTTCCCCATCGAAAAAGCTCGTCTTCAAATTGCATTCCCACTCCTGGCGATCGGAAGTTTTGCTATTATGGCATTCGGGTGGACCTTGAACTACAGGATTCACCTCGCGGCACCAACTACTATTCTATTTGTGATAGGACTTACCCTAACAGGAGCCTTCAACACTATTGGTACCCTTCTTGTGGACCTATATCCAACACAAGCTGCTAAATCCACTGCCGCTAACAACTTTGTGCGATGTTTGGTAGGAGCTGGTGCGACTGCTGTGGTTGATCCTATGCTCTCAGGTATGGGCCGCGGTTGGTGCTTTACATTCGTTGCATTAGTAATGCTGGCCACTTCGCCCTTGCTTTTGCTCGATATCTACAAAGGACCTCAATGGCGGGAAGAACGCCGTCTGAAGCTTGAAGCGAAAGAGCTCAAGATCAATGAAGAAACGAACTCTGAGAATGGCAAAAGCTCATCAGAGCCGAATAATACTTTACAACACTCAATCACTGTCGCTTCAGCTACCATGACGCTATGATATACCCAGCTGCATACATTCCCATGCGATTTTAGCTTTGATGCATTAGATCTAAAGATGATAAAATATAACATTGCATTTTCTTCTCTTGAAACCGCTCCTTGTGGCAAGCTAAATCACCGGAAAGCAAAAGATGCCTGTTCCAATGGCTGCCGTTCCGATTCCCATGCAAGCCAGTCCGATCTCGTATTTCTGTAAGGCTTATCAGTATCCAATCATGGAAAACACGAATATAGAGGAGTCCATACGGGAAAAGTCCCATGGCATTGACTTTCCAAATTCCCAACCCTAGCAGCACAAGCTGCATGGCCACATAAGCCGCCTTCACTCCAACTAAGCGCGTGCGAGTCGATGGGCTTTCGTATTTGGCAAATGCCACATTAATGTTGAATAGACCTTGGATAGGACCCTTGAAAAGCATAAAAACCATCATGATGCTAAAAATCTGAAGGCTATTGCCGGACATGTACATCATGATTGCGTTCATAGGAATCTGCTTAGATGGGGCCATGGCAATCTCCCATGCCTTCTTCAGCTTCAAGGCGTCTGTTTCTTCGGGTTTCCTCGCCACGGGTTGCTCTTGTTGACGCTGATTTATTTTTAGTACACTCCTGGGAGCTTCGTGAGATTGCGGAGGCCTCACCTGTTTACCATGGCCACGACTGCTTGAGAAACCAGGTGGATCCGGGATGCTAGAGGCCGCCTTGGTGGGACGGGGCATAGGAGAGTTAAGCGTGACAACCCATTGCGGCGGGGGTGGAGGTGGAAGAGCTGCCATCGTTTGTGAGGATTTGATGCTCAAGGAGGTGTTAGGTTGAAATGTGGGACTAGGAGGTTCCTCCGCACCACTCACTCCGCCTTAGCGTCGTTGTGCACCGGAAAGGGCAGAAAGACAGGGAACCTTGACTCTCCTTTCCCTCTTTGAACTACAACGTTCTCAGCTGCTCCTCCAGAACTTCCCGTATTTTCTCTGGAATTATTCCCCACTTCATTGTGGTCCATGATTTTCCTGTTTGAGCTGTTCTAGCTTGAGACTATTAATATGCAGTGAGACATCCGATTCCCTTTCGATTCTATCTACACGCCCCTCCGAACCCTCCAACCCAATTTGGTTCCTTCGATTTCAGATCTCCTCCTTCCATTCGATTCCGCCCGATACTAAAAGAAATCCCATTTAATTGTCGCATGTGATTGATTGCACGACTGCCAGATCCGCCAAAGGCCATTGAAGAGAATAAGCCGTGCATTAGGAACTTCAGCATAAGCATATCAATTGATTCATATCGCAGCCATGAGTTCTGGTGGCGATGCGAAACTGTTTGCTAGGGTATGTCGTATCATTGATAATTTGATTGCCTTATTCCTTCCCCATGCATTCCATCATGCAACTTGAGCCCAATTTTATGACTTGCATGTCAGCTTGCCATATGCTTTCTTCTGTTACCTTTAATCCCTCTCTACCGATTTGTAAAGCCCTTATTTCATCACATCTACCCATTACTTACACACTTTCCCACTTTACAGGGCAAAGTTGCCGAGCTACGACAGGAGCTCAACAGTGGCGGCAAGAAGGACAAGAACTATTCTGCGAGGAAGATTGCCCTCAAGAAGATTGTCGCCAATATGACTATGAGCAATAACGATATGGTTACTTTATTTCCGGACGTCGTCGAATGCATGAACCTACCAAGTTTGGAGATTAAAAAAATGTACGGTATACTCCTACGACCCCTGACTTGGTACGGTCAGTATACCGTTGATGTACTAATACAATCTGCAGGTGCTTTTTGTTCTTGGTTAACTATTCAAGGGTGAAGCCTGATGTTGCTCTTAAGGCGCTGCCGATCCTGATTAACGTTGGTCTCAGTCTCCAAGAACGAATTCCAGAGTCGTCGATCTAACAGTTGGAATAGGATATGGAGGACACTAACCCGCTTGTCCGCGCACTTGCTCTACGGACCATTTCATATGTCCATGTGCGCGAATTCGTTCAATCTACTTTCCAACCTCTTAAACGCTTGATGCAGGATAACGACCCATACGTCCGCAAGACAGCAGCTTTCGCTGTTGCTAAGTTATACGAGCACGACAAAAAGACGGTCGAGAATTCCGATTTGATCGATCGACTTAACAGAATGCTAAAAGACGAAAATCCGACGGTTGTCTCCAGTGTTCTAGCTTCCCTGGTCGATATCTGGGGTCGTAGTGAATCTATCTCTCTCACCATTGACTATGTCAGCGCTTCGAAACTGGTTTCAATTTTGCCAGATTGTTCCGAGTAGGAAAATCTTGCCTCCCATACATCCCCATATCTTTATACTAACAGATACTAGATGGGGCCAGACTTACATCCTTGAGGCTTTAATGTCCTATGTTCCCCAGGACACTGCCGAGGCTCTTTTGCTGGCGGAACGAATCGCTCCGCGGTTATCACACTCCAATTCTGCCGTCGTTCTTACGTCCTGCAGAGTTCTTCTCTATCTTATGAACTACATCGCTGACGAAAAGCACATCACCTCGTTGTGCAAGAAAATGTCTCCACCCATTGTCACTCTGCTCTCTAAACCACCGGAGGTCCAATACTTGGCATTGAGAAACGCCATTCTGATTCTTCAGAAGAGGCCAGAAGTCTTGCGCAACGACATTCGTGTGTTCTTTTGCAATTACAACGACCCGATCTACGTCAAGGTGACCAAATTGGAGTTGATGTTCATGTTGACCACGAAGGAAAACATGCCAGTCGTACTGGCAGAACTTCGAGAGTGAGTTTCATTTTCTGATCAAATAAAATAAATGCCGTCATGCTGATAATGGTTTTCAAAGATACGCCACTGAAATCGATGTGCACTTTGTTCGCAAAGCCGTTCGTGCCATTGGAAAGCTAGCAATTAAAATTGAGTCTTCCGCACGGCAATGTATCGATACTCTTCTGGAATTGGTCGACGCCAAAATTCCGTATATCGTTCAGGAAGCTACAGTGGTGATTCGCAACATTTTCCGCAAGTACCCTAACCAGTACGAGGGAATAATTGGCCATGTAATTCGCAATATTGACGACCTCGATGAGCCTGAGGCCAAAGCCGCCATTATCTGGATCATCGGCCAGTATGCGGACCGTATTGAGAAATCCGATGAACTTCTGCAGGACTACCTGTCAACTTTTCATGATGAAACCGTTGAAGTACAATTGGCTCTGCTCACAGCCACTGTCAAGCTCTTTATTCAACGCCCCACCAAGGGCCAGCAGATCGTTCCGCAAGTGCTCAAGTGGTGCACAGAGGAGACAGATGATCCTGATCTTCGTGATCGCGGCTATATGTACTGGCGTCTGCTTTCTTCCGACCCTGCCACCGCAAAGCAGGTTGTCATGGGTCAAAAGCCTCCCATCACAGCCGAAAGCGAAAAATTGGATCCTCAAACACTCGAGGAGCTGTGTCTGAATGTCGGCACTCTAGCCACAGTCTACCTGAAGCCCATTCATCAGGTTTTCCGTGCTGCCCGACCTCGCCGTCTCCAGGCAAGCCCAGCTCTTCAACGGCCTCCCATTGAAGACGGCACAGCCAATATGCTCGACTACAACCCTCCGACCGTCACCCACCCCATTGCCTCAACCAGCAACAGTGGTCTGGCAACCATTACCACAACCGGAAACCCTATCAGTCCCGTCAATGCTGCCCCGCCCCAGCAATACCTAGTTGGTCCTGGTCCCATTGCCCCATCAGCTACAGGCGCCCCCGCCCACGCCCTTGACGCGGCAGATTCATACTTTAGCGGTATCGGCTCACAGCAAATGGCCTCGTTAGATCTGGGTGGTCGTGGTGGCGGTGCTGCCACACCTGGAGGACAGTATCTCGTGACTCAGAACTCGCAGAATGTTTACCAGTCTGGTGGCGCAACGGGCGAGTTGCTGCTGCTGTAGGTCTGTTTTCATAGTTGAAATTGTAGATAGAGAGGCGTTGGTATCCGGCTACTAAGCATAGGGAAGGTTCATTCACTTATTTTAATTCGAACTTGTATTATGGTTACAACTTCTTCCAAGGTTTCCTGTTCAAACAGCATAAGACTCTAAACTCAATATCCATCCTATTTCCAAGTGCTAGAAAATTTCCGAGACTATTTAGAGCCTAAACCACCTGAACTCCAGGGCTTATGAAACTTTCAGTCGACGGGGCCAAGTAGTTAACAGAGCCCTGAACAAATTGTACTGGCAATGGCTTTGGAGTAACACCAAGATGTGATAAAAATTACGAAATATTGTATGTTTTCTAAGGGATATCATCGCGCTAAAAATTATGGGCTCATCGAATTCATAGGTGTAAAACCAGACCCTTCTTGCATAGGTCATTCATGCACCGGATAAAAGGTATGGCATAGTTCCATCAATCGATCCCTTGGAACTAAACCTTAAGAATGTTTTTCTTTTTCATACTTCGTCGCCATCGATTGACCGCAACTCAAACGGATACGGGGTAAAACTGCTTTGTTTGAAACCTGGTTTAATCTTCCATCTTCGAGAGGCCACCGCGGTTGCGGCGAATGCGCTCATCAAGACTATCTTCTTGCACACGCCTGTGTACCTTGGACATGAATGCACCACGGTCCGAGCGTTGGCGGTCGTCGGCTTCCTTCTTTTCTTGTTCCTTGATTGTAATTTCGGCAATACGCTGGCGACGAGTTGTTTCCAGTTCGTTGGCGTTGGATTGCATTTCTGCCAGCTTGCGGAGTCTCTCTGCCTCCTGCTCCTTAGGATTTGGACGAGACTGAGGCTCACGATCTCGGTTGGAATACTCGCGGCGGTTATTGTATTCATTTCGGGGCTCATCTCGGCGAGTGCCACGATCGTTAGTATAACGGCTGTTGCGATCAGGAGAACGTCGTCGGGAGCGGTCACGTCTGTCATCACGATCTCGGGGGTGTGAGCCTTTCTCTCGGGCGTCGCGTCGGTCTCGGCCGTGATATTCATCCCTGCCGTCTCGGTCTCCGCGGTTTCGGCTAACCTCACGATAACCACGGTCAAGACCTTCGCGGTCTGGGTTAATTCCACGACCACAGTTGACCTCACGATCTCCATGGTCACGATCTCCACGATATCTGTCTCCACTGTGAGGGTTTCCATCTCCAAGGTATCGGTCTCCACGGTAGTTGGCGGAAGATCGCCTGGGCGAACGAGATCGGGACCGACATCTATTAGAGGAGGGGTGGGATGAGCGATGAGAAGAGCGATGAGACCGATGACGATCTTCTTCCGCGTCATCACTGTACCGGCGACGCTTCGAACCATGTTCATGTCGGCGATCTCTGTGTCGCGAGTGTCCAGAATCTTTATCGCCATCTCGTCGTGCTTCCCTCTCCTTACGTTTCATGACTTCCTTAACAGTGGCCTCGTACGCGGCTTGCTCCTTCTTCTTGATTTCCAGCAGCGGGTCTGAAAGAACCTTCTGCATGGTATCACGCTGAGATACAACGGGGCGGGGAGCCGCATCCGAGTTCTCTCCAGTCGGGGCGCCGCGAGTAACAGCATTGTTCTTTTCCGAGGATTCAGAATTCTTCATCAAGATCCCATCAATGCGTCGCTTTCCAAGCAAGTAACCTTCCATCTCCTCGGAGTAGTGGCCCGTTTCGGTTGAGGGGGCCTGGTACATCCAGTCGACTCGGCTAATCTGCTTCGTTTTTCCAGAGGCTTCCTCTAGGCGCTGGATTTCTTGCATTTGACGCTCTTCTTCACGCTCACGTCGGAGCTGTTCGATGCGTTTGCGCTCATCTAGGGCCTTCTTTTCCTCCTTCCAGACACGCTCCTGGTTTTTGAACACCGCTGGATGCCATGACCTGTAATCGAATTAGCGATTTTTATCTTAAATTGGCAGAAATTAAATATGAAATTCGATGTTACTCACTTCTTCAAATTCAGGTCACCACTTCCCATTTCGACGAGTGTTGATCAAGCTGATGCTTGATTGATGCAGAAGGTCGAGAATGATGAAAGTGGAGATTGATAAGTACGCAACTTAGCCTGATAAAATACTCACGTGACCCATTAACTCCGGACCCCTAGGGTGTAACTAAGGCACCATATAATTCCCAAAAACGTTAGCGTGAAGGATATATCAATCTTAAGTCTATGATCAAAGTTCCAGGCTTTTCCGGATTTTCAGCCACTCTATCTCCTTCTGGCCTCGAGCTAAGCAATTTCACATAGTCTATAGATGAACCAAGACCATTTGCAGCTTCTTTGGCTTTAGTAATTGGCTAACGAGTTAAGACTATTAATGCGACTCTTTACTGCTATGCAGATACTACTTACTTCTCTAGATATACATAGTTTACAACAGCGCATTCCTTAGAACCAATCAGTGTCAATTACTTACTACAATACACACCTGCATTCAAACTGATGTTAAAGTTTTTTTTTATCCATGTCAACGCATCATGTTCACATTCATTTAAGCACTAAGAGACAAAACAAGGTGCCAATGAAGCCATTTATCTCTCTAATAACCACTACCAAGCATTGGTAACCAGTATTGCCTGGAGCTTCTTAAGTCTTGGCATGCCGTGAATCTTCAGGATCTAGAATCAGGCCTTTGAGCTTGAATTGAACGATCAGGTGGCTCTCGCTTCGTATTGCCAGATCTCCAATAGGAGGTCTTTCCAAAAGAACTACGGTCATGGCTCAGTTGATGATTTTCGGGTAAGCATCCATCTTATTAGGTACCACGGCATCTATGGATATATTCCCCACCATCTACCTAGATACTGAGCACCTGATAGGCTTATCTTCAGAGTCCCATGACCTTAATCAAGTATGTGGGGCTTCTACCTCCAGTCTATAGCTAGATAGCTTCCAACTGTCAAACCCAACAAAGGCCTTTCAAGTCGTTCATTCTATTCTTCAAGTACTACATCACAGGATATGAGAAATTATCTAGTTGTAATCCTATACCTCCAGGGTCCACAGTACTAAATTCTGAATCGCTTACCACCTGGCCATCAAGTTGTTTTATTGATTAATTCAGGTATCCTGGGTACCTTCGAGTTCTAATCTAGTGCCCAGGTGGTTGGAAATAGATACCGAGTAATTCAATTCTTGGCAAGATCTAGCTAAGTCTAACAGTTTTCTAATGTCCATAAAGTTCCAAGGTCAAATAAACGGCGACAACTATTTCCTTGGTTTGATCTCGTAAAATGATAGGTGTCTTTGCTACTACTCGAACTAGACAAAGCCATAATTGCCCCAGGCCAGGTGTGTGCGGGTGGCGATTGGGATCTACGCCAAGATCTTGATAGCTCATAGGAAATTCCTTCATATCATTCAATATGACAGCGTCATGCTTTTACAACATCTATGATAACCTTGGAACCTAGCAAGAGATGAACGGATCAATTGATATCTTGAGACGCCTAGGTTAGGTATTTCCTAGGTACAGAATAGCTTCGGGCTGCAGAACTACCTAGTGGTAGAGCTCTTCCTGGAACAATGAATTGACATTCAGCCGCCCGCTCAATACACCCAGGGCCTGATATCTGGACATTGTGATATCATTAAATGACTTAGGAATAACCTTGGAAAAAGATTTTAGTTCAAATGAACTATTTATGGCATCCTCTTTTGGACCATTGAATGAATACGATCCCCGAGATACCAGCAGAGGACCCAGAGAATCCCCAGCCGATGATTGAATCAATGATATAATATCATGATCATGTTCGAGACCTCGGGATCTAGATAATCCATGATTTCAAGTTGCCCAGGTGTCGAGACCAAATCCCTCATCTTCATACCCAGGCGCATGGGCATAAATACCCTCTCAAGTCCCAACTCTGACATATAATTCAAGACCAACAATACTCGGTATACTCGCTAAGCTGAAACAATTCATCATGCAATTCAAGTCTATCTTTGTTCTGTCTATAGTGTCTACTGCAGCTACTGCAGCTCCTGTGGAGGATATTGAGACGAGACAAGCAAGTTGTCCTGTTGCTACCGCACCCTATTGCTGTGACTCGTACCTCGCAATCAATATCCCCAACATCATCAACGGAATTGGGCTGGGTCATTGTGTTGCACGTAAGTTGGCTAAGATCAAGATGAACAAGTTCCCTCTAACGTAACCTGAATGCAGGGGTCGACCCTGAGAAATGTGGTGAGGGTGGGAAGCCAAAAGTGGGCATCTGCTGCCAGTATCCAAATCTTGTGAGACTACTGTTATTGCTTCAGATCCAAATATAAACCTAATAACAATTACCAGTCTTCCGGCAGCGTTACTTGTTTACCTTTCGCCCTTCCAGCATAGGAGGAGCTTTGATATGCGACTTTTTGATGATGATAAGGTAACAACTGCAGTTTTCGTCTGGATTTTTGTGCAAATTCTCTTTTCGCTTCTAAAAGTACATCCAAACCTTGGAAACTCGAAAAAGACAGTGATAAAGACGGTGATGTCTGAACCCTTGGAAAAGACCTGGGAAGAAACTCTAGGGCTTGGACCTTTGATCGGTAGTTCTAAGGTTGATTTTTAATTCAGTTTTAATGAATGTTTTCTGAATTTCAATTGGATAGCGGAAAATAGTTCCAACTCTCGTAGGTATAGACGGACATGATTCCATTATTAGGCCCACCAGTACCCTATATAAGATGGGAAAATCTAGGCCCTAAGACATTAGAATTTTCGAATTTCCAGAAAGATGCTACTAAGATAGCGTCAAGTGATTATACAATCTGTGGATGATCAATAAAATGGATACATTGCAAATAGATACAGGCAAGTGAAAAGGTGGAAAAAGGCATAAGCGGCGCGGAGAAACACATTCATCATGTAAAATTGACCAGGGCAGTGAGGAGCCGAGGCAAATAAGAAAGAGGGGATGCACGCTCGCTCAATTCTCAATTGGTACGACCATCCCACCAGTCTCTCATTAACACATAAGTAGGACAGTGAAGGGCAGAAAAAAACGTAAACACGAAGGGTGTATAGCGGGGATGATTTGGCCTTAGCTCATTCATTCATACATTATCTTCCCATCCAATGTAAATGGGGGCAGGAGATGAACGACAATTTGGATCGATCTATTTTGTACTCTCCCAGCCTACCCAGCTGCGTGGCATCACTCGCCAGACTTTGCACTCACCACTGCGCATGTCATTCAGCTTGAAGCTCTCCATCTTGATCTTCTTGTTCTCACGTCCTTGCTCCCAAGCACGGATCTTCTTCTTTGTACCATCCCAGTCTACAACTATGCCGACGTGGTCTGGTTTACCCACTTCAGAGTTGTACTTCTGGTGCATGGTCCCGCGGTGACCCTGGAAGCGAGCGTTACGGAAGCTCACAATGTCACCCGCGCGAATCTCGTCATTCTGGGTAACAGATGCGTTGGCCAGATTGGAGTAGACAGCAGCACCATAAGCCCGGGTTCCAATAGGGAGTAGTGCATCGGGAAGAGGGCTCAGCAGATGCTGAACAAGTCCAAACGGTGTACCGTCACCAACAGTGGTGTTTTGGATGGCATTAATAGCTTCCGAGATACGGGTACCAATTTGTACATGTGCTTGCTCCAATTGATCTTGGCGAGGCTGGAGTGGAGAGGGTTCGTGACGCTGCTCGAAAGAAGCATCTGAGGGGTTCTTGCTATCGAAAAGCACAGTGATCACGGTCTGGGAGTAATCCATGAACAGAATATAGACGTCCTTGCTAACTGTTGTCTTTCCGCCCCGCTTTGAGGAACTAGATTCTTCGACCTCGAACAGAATATCCTTGCGTCCTTGGAATGCTGGTGGCAGCGTGTTGGGATGAGTCCACCAAATGGTGTTCTCAGCAAGGTCAACATCAGTGGCAATAAATCCTTGTTCAACGGAGGGACGGCCCACATCCATCGATCTCCGGACATTCGGCGGGCCTCTCAACATGTCCATTGAAGCCCGTTGGCTTCTAGCTGTAGAAGGAGAGGACAAAGGAGGGGCCTGTGTTAAGGGAGGTGGTGGGGCAAAAGATGATCGCTTCTTGTGCTGAGCTGTGGCTTGGGGCTCATTGGGTGGACTCTGCACAGGAGATTCCTCGTATTGGTCATCATATTCCGGGTTCACTGTGAGCGGAGGAGGCATTGCGTGGTGAGGGGGGGGGGGAGGGGGTGGCGCATCGGGGTGCACACTAGGAACAGGCGGTAAAGTATATGAACGATGCTGAGGTGTAGCATAGTTGAAGGGATCATAGTCATCATCATCGTTGCCAGCGGGTTCTTCTTTTGGTGGAGGCGGAGGCGGAGGTGGTCCTCTGGGTGTGTCGATGGAACCCCGAGCATTGCGAGGCTGACTAGGTGGTGGGGGCGGAGCTGCTCTAGGAGCAACAGCTTGGGGAATTGGTGGAGGCAGTCTAGTGTCTTGCGGGCTTCGTGGGGAGTAGAGAGAGTCATCGGCATCAAAGCTTGAATCCCGTTCATGAGATCTCAATGCATCCTTATGTTTGACACCAGATGCAATGTCGGTGTCATAGTCACCGTCGTACTCAGTCACTTCACCTTCAACGTCGTCCCCAGCCTGTCTCGAGGCAGAGGCACTTGCACGGCTATCAATGGTAGACCGGCGACGCATCTGACCAGGAGGGGCTCGACCGGGCAGCGGTGGCTGAGTTGACGGGATTGGCGGAGGTACACGACTTGCTCTCTTCTCAGAAACCGGGGTCTGGGTTACGGGAGAGACCGGTTCATAAGTTGATTGTCGGCGGGCATCAATATAGTCAGGCAGTGCTGGAGCGGGAACCGCCGATGGAATTGGCGCAGAAGGATTCAAGGACAGATTCCGAGTATGTAGCGACAATTCATCATCGGATTCGTCACCAGTTGAAGGCCTAGGCGGGAGAGGAACTGGTCGATCTACAAAATGGCATAAGCGCAAATTCAATAAATCAGCATCAGATTCAACAGACTTACTTCCTGGAACTGATGGAGGGGATACAGGCACCGGAGGTGGAGCTGGGCGCGACACAGGGCGCGACTCAGGAGCCGGCGGTGCAGGAGGCGAACGTTCTATCGGTCATTTAGTTAATGGTTTCTTGGAGCAGATACAAGCTAGAGATCTCACCATGAGTAGGAGGTACGGGAGGGGGTCTTTCAAGAGAACGGATGGGTGAGAGGTTTTCATGGGTAACCTCATCGATGTCTGGGACATCTCGTGGAGCATCATGCTCGGTGACTGGACTGCTATTGGATTCCTCATCTCTCTCAATGTCGGCCGAGGGAGCGAGCTTAGGAGCAGCAGTCATCCCAGGCAGCGGAATCATTGGAACAGGTGGAGCACTACCTGGAGAGGTCGGCTCAGACTCCGCGAGCTTCTTCTCAGTCTCGCCAGGAGTCTTGGGCCTGCGTGAAGTAGGAGGAGGACCCATACCTGGCAATCCACCCGGTGGGCCGAAAAGTCCCATCATACCCATACCACCACTCATCTTTGCCATTCTGTTACGAAGCTCCATTCGGCGTCTGGTTTCGGGGTCCATCTCCTCTTCCTCTTCTTCGGCCTCTTCTTCGGCCTCCTTCAATCCGTGCTCTTCTGCCTCCTCTTCTTCATCAGCCTGCTCAGTCTGTTGTTCAACAGCTTGACGTGGCGGTTGCGGAACCTCCTCATCTTCTTCGTCCTTGCCTGTTGATGACTCTACATCCTCAGAGTCTGCAGCGGCAGAGTAATCGGCATCGTTGGACTCAGAGATTTCTTCAGTTGGTGAGAAAGGTGTAGGCACGGCAGGAGGGGCCCTTGGCCTCGCCATCTCAGCACTAGGATCTCTAGAAGCTTCCGGAGCTTCAAATGAAGAAGGCTCGAGCTCCTCTTCCTGTTCGGTAGGCTCCGTAGGTTGCTCAACAGGTTTCTTTGGGGGCTTAGGTTTTTCTTTCTTTTGAGCCGACTCCGCGTGGCGTTGAGCTTGTTCCAATTGCTGTTTCTGAAGAAGGGCGATTCTATCTTTCAGACTCGTGGGCTTTGGCTGATCCTCTCCACCTTCTTCGGTCTCTTGCGGAGGTGGGGGTGGCGGGCGACTCTCAGATACTGGGGGTTCTCGGGCAATTTGCTCCTTGACTTCTGGATCCTCTTCTCTTTTGTAGATCTTGGGCGCAGGTTCTCTGGGAGGGGCGACAAATGAGTCCTTGCTAGGCGGCGGGGCGACGAATTGTTTCTTGACGAAGGAGCTCGGCTGCGGCGGGCCACCGGGTTTGAAAGGTGCGACAGGTGCAGCTGCAGATTTATTGAATGCGGCGATGCGATCCCTAAACGAAGATCCTGAGGGCTTATCTGCCACAGCCGGTGGTGGTGGTTTCGAAGCTGGTGCCTTGGCTGCCGGTGGTGGAGCGGGGATAGCAGCAACCGCAGGGGCCGGCGCAAGTGCCTGCTTGGGCAACGGGGGTGGGGATGAAACTTCTGCGGCAGGAGAACTCAAAATCTTAGGAGACTGGGGCTGAGAAGGCTTCTGGATAACGGGTTCAATATCGTCCTTGACGGGCTGTTCCGCGACCTCTGGTTCGGCTTGTGGTTGAGGTTCGCTCACAGGGACCGGTGGTTCCACTGGCGCAGGTTCGGACTCTTTCTTCGTCCTAGTCGGGCGTGCCGGTCTTGGAGGAGCCGGGGGCTCATATCGTTCAACAAAGCTCTTGGGGAAGATACCTTCCTGCTTAATCCCAGAGGCGTCCGTGTATTCGCCAACGTACCACTCGGCATCCTCCTCGGCGGTGACCGTTACAACTTGTCCGATTGGAAACTTGAGGTCGTCATCGTGGCCCGAGGAGTATTCGAAAACCGCTCGAACCGTGAAAGGCGGGCCGGACATTTGGCAAAGTCGAGACCCAATTTCGGAGGAACGGGGGGTTAGAGTAGACGCTAAACAACAGAATTGTAACGGCAATCAGGAGAGGAATGTACAGAGCCAAGCACCGATTCTGATCTCTGTATCATACGGCAAAATTGAAGTGAAAGTACTTTCTGGTGGGAATCAGTGTTGGATGACGTCCGGAGATGGGCGCCTGGGCCAGATGAGGGGGGAGCAAAGAGGGGGACTTAGTGGGAGAATCGTACGGTGTAGAGAATCCACTACCTAGATCGCAGATGAGAATTCAGATTTGATGCAAGAAGAAATGTAGCCTTTGCGGGGATACACAAGTGGGAGAAGGAAGAATGTTATTAAAGTGAGGTGGTCGTCACAGGCGGGATGATAGGCTCCACTGACGATCGCGGCTAACAAGAGGCAGTGCAAACAACACATACGGACTATGAGATTGAGATCGTATTGATTAAAGCTGAACGTGGTCGGCTCTTAATCGATCTCAAAGTTGACTTCTTAATTGAGAAAAAAGTAGGGTGACGGTTTTGGACTTTGATGTATTTGATAATGATAGCTCATATTCCATACTTCATGTAACATAATTATTTGGATGTGAGTGGGTTTCGACGCCTAACACGACTACCCAAGTTAAGTACCTATTCAGAGTCCGTAGTAGTATTCAATAGCTATGTTCACAGTTCTTTTGACTTCCTCTATTTCCTCATACAATCTAACATACACATACCAGAGAAACAGCCCCTGAAGATTTTCAATTTCAAATGTTTCGCCCCTCTCCTTTCTATGTTTCATCCCCATTTTCCTTCTATAAATGGAGTTCAATTGACCATCAATGGTACTGAATGTGTTTTCTGTATCCATTTCCTATGAAAGCTGCATCATAAGAATTTCATCTCTCGCAATTGACACAGCGGCATTCCAGCATCCCAATCCATAGCATTAACAGTGACATCAGTGACCTTTCCGAGACTGGCCGCCAATTTGCTTCCTCTGCGTAAAGAATGCGACTCTAAAAGATATGGAGCTTGGGGAGGGTACCTTTGGCAAGGAATATCTTGGGATGAGCCGGGGTTTCTTCGTAGGTTTAGGGCAATCTTCTCAGGTCAGTCTTCCCTGGCTACAGCAAGACTCATTGGTAGCAGGTATTATTTCTTGTGCCGTTGCTCCTATAGATTCCATCGCGCTATCTGTCTTAATCGTGCTCGTATTGCTGAATCCTTTTGAGGTTCTATCAAGAGAAACCACTTCTAGGAACACCGCGCGAACTATATATAGTGGGGTTTAGAGCCATCGCTCGTTTATTATAACAGGACTAGCACTACAACCTTAGGATCTTCCAGTCTTATTCTCCAGCTTTGATATAGGGAAGATGAAGGCCAGTGTACGTCCACGGGTACGTCTAATGAATTACCATAGCCATACGGTCCCGAAGCCATTGTTTGAGTTATCTTTATTCGATTGTTTGCGTTGTCCGTCGAGGAGTTGATTATGGCAAGGAGACGAATAATTTCTATTTATAGAAATATAAGAGTCCAAGAAGACTTCCAAGGTTGATGAATCTCTCTAGTGGTATTTGCATCGAGCTCTGGGATTTAAAGACTTCTATCATTTTACTTTCGTCTCATTTCTATCTTATTCTCACTTCCACTCACTTCGCTCTAACCTTTTTATTATTAGTTACCTAGGTAACTAAAGAATAATTGTTGCTGTGTACTACTATACAAGTTTCATTCTTAGAACATGTGTTCCTTCTCTCTCATCCTCCAAGACTCTACCACTTTTCCATTATATCTTCCAAATACTATTTTAATTCCTTGTCCAACAACTATGTAATGGATTATGATGTGAATATTATGGGGTAGATTCTATGAAATGGATCTTATTGTAATGCTCCTCGTCTTGTTCAGAGATCCAAGACTCAATGCTGCTGAGGAATCTCCGAATTGAAAGGTCATGCGATAGATCCAAGATGGCCACATCTCAAAAGTATGCGCTATACGGTCTTATGATAGATATGTAGTAGCAGAATCAAACAGGGGTGTCGGCAAGCTCTGCCAATCCGCTTACTCTGCATGTCAGAAACAATGAAGATTCGGAAGTGTGCGGAATGGTCTTTCGATACCTCGCAGGATGTGTCAACCTGGTCACTCAGCTACGAAGGGCATTCATCAAGCCCATACATATGGCATCTTTCCCAGTCTATCTCTTGAATTAGTGTTTGATCCGAGCCTTTCAATATCCGAGTCAAGCCAGACTGGACATTCGGTACCAGACTAGAGACTTGAACGAGGCTGCAGACACCTTATTTCGTCTCCCTTCGGGTCACATACTCAATGACATAATTGACTTGGATTCACCGGTGATATCACTAGCAGCACCTAGCGTCGATACAAACCCGAACTCCATAATTGACATAGTAGCTTACATCTATACTGTTTCTCGTTGACGACTCAGAGAACCCGAAAGCTCTCACAGATTGAGCGCGATATCGAAAATGTCAGATGCATCACTGGCAGTGAGAAAGGCTGAGTCTGTCTGATATTCAGTCAAATATTCACATCACTTCTTTTTCACCTCTCTCCTCTTTTTGGAGAACTTACTCAACCAAGCTTGTCAAATTAAAAGTAAGTCATGATATCGGTTTTCGGGGGTGTATGAAAAGAGACTTGGAAGAGGCAAGAGCCTTGGTTCAACAATAAGTTTCCCATGAAGGAAACCAACACTCCTCTGCAAAGGCCTTATGCATTTGACCAGCTGGCGAGGAACATTATGCAGCCAGCTGTTGCTATCAGGTGGCGCCCTTCGCTTACCGATGAGCAGAAGCGGGAAATTACTCACGAGTAGAGGGTGGAGGAAATCATGAAGGGTCCTTCTATGCGGAGAGGCCTTGGCTCTCAGCGCGGCTCCGCAGCCTTCGCAAAGCTCGTTGCTGATTTGAGTAAGCCGAAGCCGAAGCACATGTTGCCCTCCCTTCGACAGTTCAAGTTCACGGTTGAGAGCATGTGATAAGCGAGTCGCTTTTTCCTGGCATATATCAAGCCATTACATGGCAATGTTGACCTTTCATCCCAAAGATGTTTGGGTTTATTGAAAGAAAGCAACCTCTATATCTCAAAATTCTACGACTTGTCGGCGAAAGAAACAAATTATCTCGACAAGTCCCTTCGAACTCTCTTATAATGCTTGATTTTATTGAAACTTTTTAGATCAGGGCATTTGTCTCTCCCAATTGATAATATTCATTTCACTAGCTCATTGCCACCACGGCCAGCCCTCCAAATCCTTTACACTATGGACTTTCACAATGATTCATTCTTATTTTTATGGGAGAATCATTCACTATTGAGCTCTTATATTCAACATATGTACAGTCAATGACACGAAGATGCAGACTCAACGGATCCAGAGAGATCGAGAGCTCAATACTTCGTACTATGATGTCTGCAAGCTCTCATTTGATACCAAGCAGGTATTAGAGATGCATCTCACAACTCACAAGAATGAAGCATCTCCAAGTGGCGAAGCAGTCTGAATCCACCAAGCTTGGAGAGTTTTATTGCAAGTTCTGCAACCTCTAATGCCATAACAAGCCCAATTTCACTCGCCACCTTAACGACGACCGGCACAGGCCGCCAAAGGTTCCCTTGGGACTTGTTGCTGAGACCATAGTTTGAATTCCATTGTGCCTTTTTTTACGTGTGCGTATTCGGTCCTGATAAGGCATTCCGTCTACCCAGTGCATGGAAAAGAGAATCTGATAATAATCGTGATGAATATCTAGCCGATAAGGGAGTAAGTTGCTATCGTTATCGCGATAACATTGACCGAATCACGCAGTTTTTGTTCACAGCCGCCAGACTTTGAGCTTCAATCCTTCAAACTCCGATTATAGTCCTCCAAACTCGATTATAATGGAACAAACATCAGTATACAACCCTTCACAAGAAGATCAAGACAGATATCTACAGGGCAGACCAGGGGCGACTGCACAACACCTGGGTATCGCACTTCAACATGCGCACCAAATCCAAGCGCAGAAAGACGCCGAGGAAAAGATCCTCGACCTCACTATTGATCTACTCGCGATTCCATCCTCTTCTTCAGCCGACCCTGCAGCTCCATTCTCCGCCGATGTGCAAGTTTTCAAATCCGCCTTATCTTCTTTCCGTCCTAAAGATCTTGATAACTTGATCGAAGAGCGAAACTATGAAAATCGATGCGGCTACTGTCTTTGCCCAAAAACCAATCGCAAGACAGGCGTTGGAAAGGGCTCAACTTTTCACTTTAAATACGGTCCTAAGGGGAGCGGAGCTAACGGGAAGGGGCGCAGTGTGGATATTGTGCCTCGAGAAAGTCTGGAGAAGTGGTGCTCTGATGCATGTGGTGAGCGAGCTCTCTATATTCGTGTGCAACTATCTGAAGAACCGATTTGGGAGAGACGGGCGGATGGTTCTCGACTGACGAATATTCTATTGCTCGAGGAGGCTCGTGCTAAAGGGCAGATCCAAAAAGTTACGGCGGAGATGGAGAATCTGGATCTACAGGATAGTGAGTCAAAGGAACTTGCACTGGAACGCGGTGATACCAGCGCTGTTCTTCGTGGCGGGCGTGTAGGCGTCCAAATCGTGGAGAATCAAGATCGTCACCGAGCTGCCGTTGCACCTCAAATGAGACCAGAGGATGTGACAGGAGGCTCCATTGAAGGATATGTTCCGCGAGACAAGCGAGACAAGCACTCAAGTGATGAAGACGACTACGATGTGCTCGACCAACTTTAGATCTAAATTTGAAAGCATTTAGTCGATAGCAACCTTCTAGTTTATGCATCGATAACACCCTGAGGCATATGGAAATTACTGGGGGTTGCTACGGGGAATGGGGAAAGGTTCTACGTAACGACCACATAAATAGATCAAAGACAACAAGATTTGCTAGGCAAAATCAAGCGACGTCTCGACCAGCGGTCTGAGTCTCTTGAACTTTCGTTCGAGAACTTCTTACGTAGCCCAACCTGGGGACAAGTCCACGACAGGAAAAAGCACGAGAAAATTGGCAATCGAGCGTCATCTCCGTGAGGAGAATCAGCGACACCTGGGTTTGGGGAATCTTTTTTTTATTACTCGTCCATGGACGACCTCCTCTCTAAAGCTAAAATCGTAGCCTGGAAAAAATCGAGCCGGAACAAGAACCGTCGGGTGTAACGCCAATGGTCGACCGAAGACAAGACAAGAACTTTTGTTGTTGTCCGTTGGTATCAAGGACGAAAGATTTAGCGGGGACCGAAGCGGCGGGGACGCTCGGCAACCTGCTGCTGGCTGACGGAGACAAGGCTGACCTTGAGGCTGTCGAACTGTACGGAGAGTGAAAGTTAGAAGATTGAATCCGCTTTCAGGTTTGTCCATGTACTTACGCCGAGGGACTTGAGCAGGTCCTTGGTGTCGGCATCAACATCAAGCTGGCCGGACTCGGTCTGGGAAACATCCAGAGCGGAGACCTCAGGGACGTACTGGTCCTTGCGCTCACGCTCCTCCTCCTGGAGCTTGAAGGAGATACCGCGGACGGGGCCACGCTGGATACGCTTCATCAAGTGGGTGGTGTAGCCGGCAATCTTTGGGAACTTGCAGTCAGTATTTGGAGATCCCGGGATTGTTGTGAAGTGCAACTCGGTCGTACCTTGTTGCGGAGGCGCTTGGAGGCAATGATGGCGATCTCATCGCAGATGCGCTTGTTGGTCTCGAAGTCGAGGGTCAACTTGGGGTAGTAACGCTCAATGATGACCTTGGCAGAGCGCTTGACAGTCTTGGTACGGACGCGACCCATTTTGGCGGTTGTTTGTTGGCTGGAAGGATGTTCGAGAGGAGGAGTTCAAATTATCACCAACTTACATTGGGTTGCCCAGTTCGCTGCTCGCTTAGTCTTGTGGGTCGAACAGCCCTGGTCCAGCCCTAATAAGTCACGTGACATTTAGATAGAATCATGTGATTTGATTACCTAATGATATTCTATAAAATAAGTGGGTCTTTGTGGTGGATGAATTCTAGATTGATTCAATTGTGGATAACTATTTGTAAACATGAAGAGAAAATTGATATCAGATTATATCACATGTCCAGAGAATGACAATGAATATAGCCTTATACAAGCGCCAGGTCTATTCTTACATTTCTTTCCTATACTCGCTGGAACCTCCGCAACTAGTAGCCCAAGCCCACTTATTGTCTCGAGTTCAGGTTATCCATGAGGCTGCGGGCAATGTCTTCTGTGCCCGCCATGGCCTTTCTTCCCGCGTAATTCTCTGGGCGCTTGAAATGTGGCCGATTTTGCAGCCTATCCAAGCGAGGAACCATAGTAGCATCACGTTGAGCAGCATCCGAGATGTTTGTAGTTTGTGGCTTCTTGTAGTCTTCAATACCGTAAGGTGCCTTGGAGCTGGCGCTGGCACGGTAAGAGGAGAGGCCAATTCTGCCGTTAGAGTCGACAGAGGCTCGGATAGGAGTGACATGATATTTGGCACCGCCAGGGATGCTTGCATCGAAGAAGGTTAGGCCAGGAGGTGTACCCTGGTCAACAAATGCCAACGCATTCAAATCCTCAACGGCAATACCACCAATACCAGCAATGGCCTTTGATGGGCGGCCTCTGAAGCGGCCCTTGGGGCGCAGAATACGGGCTTCCACGGGCCGCTGGAATGCCTGGGGACCGTAGGATGGGTGATTACGTATCAAAGCGTGCGATCGAGTGTATGAGAGTCCGACAGAGGGGTGTGTTTTAGGAGGGCCGGAGATGGCATATTCAGCCGAAGCCAGCTTAGTTGCTGGAGATTGATAATATTTGCGTCCAATCCGCTCGCTGGGTACAGCGGGAGAGGAGGGGAGGTCCAGCAATTGAAAGACAGTGGGACCAAGGGCAAATGGATTTTCACGGAGGGACTTGATGTATCTTGTGAACTCCGCATCAGAGATGGTTGGGGGCTTGACGGCATCAATATCCTTTCCATAATCCTGTGCCTGCTTCCGAGCTTCTGCAAAGCGTTGATCAACAAGGATGCCGCGAAGCTTCTTCAGCAATTCCGGCTTCTGACGGCGCACTTGGTTCAGATAGGCCGTGAACTCCGCCGGGGTTTGCCCAGCGAGCCAAGGGCCAGAATGTCTGTATTGTTTGGCACCGGGTTCTCCCAGGCCTTTGCTAGTTTCGCTGTTGTCGAGGTGTGTCTCGAATGGACTTTGGTGTCTGGGAACAATGCTTGTCGCATAGTTCACCTTGGACGGAAGAGACATTGGCATATTGAGCTCCTGGAACTTCTCAAGGGTCATGGTGTGATCGGCGGCGGACTCGAAGTCGGTGACATGTTCGTAGGTATCAAGAGCATTGACTCTGACAACGGGCCTTTGTGATTTCTCAGAGGTTGATTTGGCAGGAAGAGCTCGCTTCAGACCCCAATCACCTCTGACCAAAGACGACTGTGGCGTGACAATGGCGGCTCGAATGGGGTGAGGAAGTGTCGCTGTTGAGGATTCGAAAACAGCTTTGGACGAAGCAGCCTCCTGTGTGGGGGTTAAAGCCTGTGGGAGGGCAAATAAACGAGACTTCCGAAGAAGATTCGCCGTTGGCGACAGCCTGGCACTGGCCATAATTGCTCAATTGACTGATGCTGTCCAATGTGGTCGCGCAAGAAAAGTTGACCCGGGGGAAGACGGGCCAAATACGGCGGGCGGTAACGACCAGTAACGCAGCTATACTTCTTATGTATTCTAAACTCGACAAAGACTCAGTCAAACTAAGATCATGATTATTCTCATATTGAGTTGATACATCCCACATATTTACACGACAAATACTAAATAGACATGAATATGTCCTTATCTATCCCAATTATGGTTTAGATATTCGCTTGCAGGCAGTTGACCGTCAAGAAACAATCAGATCAATACCTTAGTCATCAACGAGAGAGTTGCATAATAACTATAAATGCATATCATGACGGGAGTAGGCTGATGGACGATGTCCTAATTTGACTTGAAAAGACCAGTAACTGTCGTTTATTGTATCAAATGGGACTTTAACTCTACAAATATTTCTTACCATTACATGAACCATCCGACATGGTGTAGTGGTTAACATCGTCCTCTTTCACAGGACAGCCCGGGGTTCGATTCCCCGTATCGGAGTTCTTTTTTCTCAATTTTTTTCCCCTCATCCCATTTTCACTTTGCTAGATTTAATTCTATTTCGCTGTGGAGATAATATATACCTCCAAGACTGTATTCCAATGTTTCTTCGTAATTCATAGTAAATAGCTGGTAGGTTTGGACTGCATGCAAACTACGGATATTTCCAAGATTTCCTACTCAGACATCAGATTATAATTTCTAAGTCTAGGTGGTTAACATGCGCATGGACTAGCTACCTAGGCCAGCTATTTACCTTTTACTCACGTATGTATGGAGTCGATATTCAAGATACGTTCTTTACATAAATAGATTGAGAGATCCTCCATCGTCTTATTATGCACATCAAGGTAATACCTGTATAACCTGTATATTCAATAGGATCATATTGAGAAGGCCCAAATGGCTTGAATTTTTGTCCCCTATAGTCTGATAGTACCCATCACCTTCCAACAGGTAATGAAGGACTATTGACCAGACGCAGGTATTTTTTGAAGTCTGCTTTCAGCGATGTTAGTGCCCAACTGAACGACATGGAGTAAGTCAGGAGGTAAAGGCAGCAGTTTGAGGAATAGTGAAGTATATGAGTGTACGTCTGAGTAAGACAAACCCAGAAATATTCAATGTTTAATGGATGTACAGATGTGGCAAAAGAGGAATAAGTAAGTACTGGTAAGTAACGTCGTTTATGGAACCCAAGTGGTCAGTGCGCCCGCGTTACCTTCGTCCTGAGCCTCATAATTCCTTCCTTCAGCAGACTTCCAACATCTATGCCCCCTACGACCTTGATTTTACCTGGTCGGCATCCGATGTCCATCCTGGGGCTTAGCTCCTAACAATGGCGCAACCAGGTCCCATCACTGACTTGACACAGAGACTCTTTACCGAATTGAAGTCTAAGAATGAGGAGACCCGAAAACGAGCTGCTTATGAGCTCTATGAGAACGTTCTATCAGTATCCAGAGGTGCGTTTAACCCTATATACCCTCAAATATATCTTTACTGACTCTTTCCTTGTCCAGACTCCACTGCCGAGAAGTTCGTGGAATTCTACAACGCCGTCAGCCAGCGGATTGCCCAGCTCGTAGTAACTGGCAACGATGCGAACGAGCGAATTGGTGGTCTATTGGCCCTTGATCGACTCATCGATTTCGATGGTGTAGATGCCGCACAGAAAACAACTAGATTCGCCAGCTATCTGCGGAGTGCCCTCCGAAGCAATGATAATGCGGTGTTGGTGTATGCTGCCCGATCGCTGGGTCGACTGGCCAAGCCGGGCGGGGCCTTGACAGCCGAGCTTGTAGAGAGTGAGATTCAGTCGGCATTGGAATGGCTACAATCAGAACGTCAAGAAAGCCGACGGTTCGCCGCCGTGCTCGTGATTCGGGAGCTGGCAAAGGGCTCACCCACTCTCCTCTACGGGTTTGTGCCCCAAATATTTGAACTTATCTGGGTTGCCCTTCGCGATCCCAAGGTCCTTATCCGAGAGAAGGCAGCACAAGCTGTGAGTGAGTGCTTTGAAATTATCGTCGCTCGAGACTCACAGGTCCGCCAATCATGGTTCGCAAGAATCTACGAAGAGGCATTGCTGGGCCTCAAATCTCACAATGTCGACTGTATCCATGGATCCCTTTTGATTCTTCAAGAGTTGATCCTGAAAGGCACCATGTTCATGAAAGAACACTACCGGAATGCCTGCGAAATCATCCTCCGCCTAAAGGATCACCGCGATCCTAAAATTCGCAACCAAGTCGTCCTAACCATCCCTATACTAGCGTCATACGCTCCCACTGAATTTATTGAGGTCTATTTGCATCGCTTCATGATATATCTCCAGGCCCAGCTCAAGCGCGATAAAGAGCGAAATTCAGCATTCATTGCCATCGGTAAGATTGCGAATGCAGTCGGACCCGCGATCGCTCAATATCTGGATGGAATCATCATATATATTCGTGAGGGCCTTGCGATGAAATCAAGAAACCGAACAGGTGTCATCGAGGGTCCTATGTTTGAATGTATCAGCATGCTTTCGCTGGCTGTGGGACAAACTCTCAGCAAGTACATGGAGGCGTTACTCGACCCAATATTTGCCTGCGGCCTCAGTAAGTCATTGACCCAAGCTTTGGTTGACATGGCTCACTACATCCCTCCCATCAAACCCACAATCCAAGAGAAGCTCCTTGACATGCTGAGCATCATTCTCTGTGGAACACCATTTCGCCCTCTTGGATGCCCTGAAAATCGCCTACCTCCCATGCCATCCTTCGCAAAGGACTTTTCACAACAGGAACTTCACTCCGATGCCGAGATTGCATTGGCACTCCATACTCTCGGAAGCTTCGACTTCTCTGGCCACATTTTAAACGAATTCGTGCGCGATGTTGCCATCAATTACGTAGAAAATGACAACCCTGAAATTCGGAAAGCATCGGCTCTCACATGTTGCCAGCTATTTGTCCACGATCCTATCATCAACCAGACCAGCGGCCACTCTATTCAGGTTGTGAGTGAAGTGATTGACAAACTGTTGACAGTGAGTATTGGTGACCCCGACCCAGAGATTCGGAGCACGGTTCTATGGTCATTGGATCGCAAATTTGATCGCCATCTTGCACGCCCGGAGAACATCCGATGTTTGTTTCTGGCTGTCAATGATGAAGTTTTCGACGTCAAAGAAGCCGCCATCTGCATCATTGGCCGTCTGTCGAGTGTCAACCCAGCTTATGTGTTCCCTCCATTGAGGAAACTTTTGGTCAATTTGTTGACTGGACTCGGCTTCTCCAACACCGCGCGCCAAAAAGAGGAGACCGCACAGCTTATCAGTCTTTTTGTTTCAAACGCAACTAAACTGATTAGATCCTATGTGGACCCCATGGTGACAGCATTGCTTCCCAAAACAACAGATGCCAACCCTGGCGTAGCAGCCGTCACTTTGAAAGCAGTTGGTGAACTTGCAAATGTTGGTGGAGGAGAGATGAGAAGGTATCTACCACAGATCATGCCCATTATCTTGGATTCTCTCCAAGATCTCTCTTCTCACACCAAGCGGGAAGCCGCATTGCGGACCCTCGGTCAATTGGCTAGCAATTCAGGTTATGTCATCGAGCCATATCTCGAATATCCTCATCTGCTCGATGTTCTCATTAACATCACCAAAACCGAACAAACTGGAACTTTACGATCAGAGACCATCAAGCTTATCGGTGTTCTTGGTGCGTTGGACCCCTACAAGTACCAGCAGATCAGCGATGTGGAACCAGACGTCCATCATATCAACGAAATACAGAGTGTCTCCGATGTTGCCTTGATTATGCAGGGTCTAACGCCATCCAATGAGGAGTATTATCCCACGGTAGTCATCCATACTTTGCTGCAAAATATCTTGAGAGAGAACTCTCTAGTCCAGTACCACTCGGCTGTCATCGATGCCATTGTCACCATATTCAAAACCCTCGGCTTAAAGTGCGTTCCATTCCTCGGGCAGATCATCCCCGGATTCATCCAAGTCATCCGGACCTGCCCTCCGAGTCGCCTGGAATCCTACTTCAACCAGATGGCTATTCTCGTCAATGTCGTACGACAACATATTCGCGCATACTTGCCAGAAATTATTGACGTCATCCGTGAATTTTGGGAAGTTTCATACCAAGTTCAAGGAACTATTCTCTCCCTGATTGAGGCCATCGCTAGGTCCTTGGAAGGAGAATTCAGGAAGTACCTTGCTAGTCTGGTCCCCCTCATGCTGGACACAATGGATAAGGACCATACTACTCGTCGCCAGCCATCGGAGAGAGTACTCCACGCATTTCTAATTTTCGGTTCGAGTGGCGAGGAGTACATGCATCTAATCATTCCTTCTATTGTGAATCTCTTCGATCGACAGCAGAACCCTCAGGCCATTCGCAAGTCTGGCATCGAAAGTTTGACAAAGCTGTCTCGACAGGTGAACGTCTCCGACTTCGCATCCCTCATGGTTCATTCGCTCTCACGGGTTGTAGCTAGCGGTGACCGTGTGTTGCGTCAAGCCGCCCTGGAGTGTATCTGTGCTCTTATCTTCCAATTGGGACAAGATTTTACGCATTACATTCATCTTGTCAACAAGGTGTTGAAGCATCACCAGATTAGCCATGTCAATTACCAAATACTGGTCTCGAAGCTTCAAAAGGGAGAGTCTTTGCCACAAGATCTCAATCCAGAGGAAAACTACGCTTTCCCCACGGATGACAACAGTTTTGCAGAAGTTGGACAGAAGAAAATGGTCGTGAACCAGCAACATCTCAAAAATGCATGGGATGCCTCGCAAAAGTCTACTCGTGAAGATTGGCAAGAGTGGATTCGTCGCTTCAGTGTTGAACTTTTGAAAGAGTCACCATCTCCAGCATTGCGCGCATGTGCCAGTCTAGCTGGAATCTACCAGCCTCTGTCAAGAGATCTTTTCAATGCCGCCTTTGTATCATGTTGGACTGAACTTTATGACCAGTACCAGGAGGAGCTGGTCCGATCGATTGAAAAAGCGCTCACCTCCCCGAACATATCTCCAGAGATCCTGCAAATCCTACTCAACCTGGCTGAATTCATGGAGCACGATGATAAGGCTCTTCCAATTGATATCCGCACCCTTGGCAAGTACGCTGCCAAGTGCCACGCTTTTGCCAAAGCTCTCCACTACAAAGAACTCGAGTTTGAGCAAGATCAGAATTCCGGTGCTGTCGAAGCATTGATAACAATCAACAATCAGCTTCAACAGTCGGATGCTGCCATTGGTATCCTTCGCAAAGCTCAGGCATATCGCGATGTGGAACTGAAGGAGACATGGTTCGAAAAGCTTCAGCGATGGGATGAAGCCCTTGCTGCATACAAAAGACGCGAGAAAACCGATCCTGACTCGTTTGGTATTACTATGGGCAAGATGCGTTGTCTCCATGCTCTTGGAGAGTGGAAGGTTCTTTCGGATCTCGCCCAGGAGAAATGGAACCAAGCTTCCCTGGAGCACCGTAGAGCCATTGCTCCACTCGCTGCTGCAGCCGCGTGGGGTCGCCGTCAATGGGAGTTAATGGACTCGTACCTCGGTGTTATGAAGGAGCAGTCGCCAGACCGGTCTTTCTTTGGCGCTATCCTTGCCATTCACAGGAACCAGTTTGATGAGGCGAATATGTACATCGACAAAGCACGAAACGGACTCGACACGGAACTTTCGGCTCTCTTAGGAGAGTCATACAACCGAGCCTACAACGTGGTTGTTCGTGTCCAGATGCTTGCTGAGCTGGAAGAGATTATCACCTACAAACAGAACATTGGTGATCCCGAGAAGCAAGAGGCGATGCGCCAGACCTGGAACCAGCGGTTGCTTGGATGCCAGCAGAATGTGGAGGTGTGGCAGCGCATGCTCAAAGTCCGAGCTCTTGTGACTGCCCCTCGTGAGAATCTAGACATGTCTATTAAATTTGCCAATCTTTGTCGCAAATCTAATCGCATGGGTCTTGCGGAACGGTCTCTTGCTGCCCTCGAGACAGTGATCACCGATGCCAATGGAACGCGCAGCTTTACGCCTCCTGAGGTCACCTATGCGCGCCTGAAGTTTAGCTGGGCGAATTGTCATCAGACTGACGCTCTCGAGATGCTGAAAGACTTTACTTCCGGATTGAGTGACGATCTGTCCAGATACACCAGCCTCCAAGCTTCCCAGGCTGACCATCATGGTGTCAATGGTCTCAATGGAATCAGTGACAACAGCCAGGCCGATCTTTTGGGTCTGAGGCAACGAATCAGCGATGTCGGAAAATTCAAGAAACTTCTTTCCAAGAGCTATCTCAGACAAGGAGAATGGCAAACTGCTGTTCAGAAGGGCGATTGGAGACCAGAGAATGTCCGTGAGGTTCTCAACGCATACTCGGCGGCCACTCAATACAACCGTGATTCGTATAAAGCCTGGCATGCCTGGGCACTTGCAAACTTTGAGGTGGTCACGACGATTTCCAACCAAGCAAACCGGGAGAACAATTCAACTCCCATCCCCGCCCACATCGTCACTGAGCATGTGATTCCTGCCATCCGTGGTTTCCTGCATTCAATTTCCCTGTCATCAACCTCTGCACTACAGGACACTCTGAGATTACTGACCTTATGGTTTAATCACGGTGGTGACCATGAAGTCAATACGGTCGTTACCGAAGGATTCACGACCGTGAATATCGATACTTGGCTCTCAGTGACACCTCAGCTCATTGCGCGGATCAATCAGCCCAATATCAGAGTCCGTGGCTCAGTTCATAGGTTACTTGCCGAGGTTGGCAAAGCGCATCCTCAAGCTCTGGTTTATCCATTGACAGTGGCCATGAAGTCGAATGTGACTCGACGCTCTCAGTCTGCCACCAACATCATGGAGAGCATGCGGCAACACAGTGCCAAACTAGTCGAACAGGCGGATCTGGTGAGCCACGAATTGATCCGAGTTGCGGTGCTGTGGCATGAGCTTTGGCATGAAGGTCTTGAGGAGGCCTCCCGTCTTTACTTTGGTGATCACAACGTGGAGGGGATGTTTGCAACCCTGGCGCCTCTTCACGACATGCTCGATCAGGGGGCGGAGACTCTTCGTGAGGTATCGTTTGCCCAGGCATTCGGCCGGGATCTTGCAGAGGCCAAGCACTACTGTATGCTCTACCGTCAGAGCGAGGAGATTGGTGATCTGAACCAGGCCTGGGATCTCTACTACACGGTATTCCGAAAGATTAGTCGACAACTTCCACAGCTGTCGATTCTTGATCTGAAGTATGTCTCGCCTCGCCTCAAGGAATGCTCAGACCTTGGCCTGGCTGTACCGGGAACATACCAGAGTGGCCGGCCCATCATCTGTATCATGAGCTTCGATCCAATCTTGCACGTTCTGCAGACGAAGAAGCGGCCTCGAAGAATGACACTCAAAGGCAACAACGGATTATCTTACATGTACGCTCTCAAGGGTCATGAGGATATTCGACAAGATGAGAGAGTCATGCAGCTCTTTGGTCTCTGCAACACTCTCCTTGATAGCGATGGCGAGAGCTTCAAGCGCCATCTTTCTGTCCAACGCTTCCCGGCCATCCCATTGTCTCAGAGCTCTGGTCTGCTGGGATGGGTGTGTAACAGTGATACGTTGCACGCACTCATTAAAGAGTATCGTGAAAGCCGTCGCATCCTACTCAATATTGAGCATCGGATCATGCTTCAGATGGCACCCGATTACGACAGCCTCACTCTCATGCAGAAGGTCGAAGTCTTTGGATACGCTATGGATAACACTACCGGCAAGGATTTGTACCGCGTCCTGTGGCTCAAGAGCAAGAGCTCCGAGGCCTGGCTGGAGCGGCGCACAAACTACACGCGTTCCCTGGGTGTCATGTCGATGGTCGGATATATTCTCGGTCTGGGTGATCGGCATCCTTCGAACTTGTTGTTGGATCGCGTTACTGGCAAAGTGGTCCACATCGATTTCGGTGACTGCTTCGAAGTTGCCATGCACCGCGAGAAGTATCCAGAAAGGGTTCCTTTCCGACTAACTCGTATGTTGACATTTGCCATGGAAGTCAGTAACATCGAAGGAAGCTACCGTATCACCTGTGAGGCTGTTATGCGTGTCCTCCGCGAAAACAAGGACTCTCTGATGGCAGTTTTGGAAGCTGTAAGTATAGCCTTTCCCCACCAGTGATTTCTTTTACTGATTGTAATTCTAGTTCATTCACGATCCATTGATCAACTGGCGTCTTGGTGCCCACGAATCCCCTGACCGAACATCTCTTACTACTGAACGCCGCCAATCAATCATTGAAGGCATCAACTTTGAGAATGGCGTACAGTCAAGCAACTTCTCTCGACACCGCCGACCTTCTATTCTCGAAGGCGGAATTCTTGATACCCAAGAAGCTGTTCCGCCAGAGGCCCGTGAGGCGCAGAATGCTCGCGCTCTGCAGGTTCTTGCCCGAGTCAAGGAAAAATTGACCGGACGTGACTTCAAGCATTACGAGGAGCTCAACATCAGTGACCAGGTCGATAAGCTTCTTGCACAGGCCACCAACGTGGAGAATATCTGTCAGCATTGGATCGGATGGTGCAGCTTCTGGTAAGCCTTGACTTGACCAAGGCCTTGGTTGGAGTTTCCGGTATGCCTTTGATGCGATACGAACAGTTCTTCTTTCTCATTATTTGATTTCCTCATTGTTTTCGAGCTCTTATTTTCTATGCGCAAATGATCTTTGTGTTTGTGTCTGTAGAATTACCCTTTGACCCTCGACCCTTCTTCTTTGCCATATCCATTTTGTTTTTCTTGAGGGATTTGAACTTTTGCTGCTACCTTGCAGATCGAGTTATAACAATTTCTGGACTGGAAAGTCTAGAGTTCTTTACGGTAATCGTAATGGATCTGAATAATTCATCATTGCCTGTATGCGAATCATATGGTAGTAGTGACTTGACTTCACCCCAGAATAGCTTTATGAATCCATTATGGATCTGACCTTGGAAAATCAAGAGAGATGAATACCATCTACTTACTAAGTAAATACTTATTTAGATAGTATTTATTTAAATAACTAGATGATTAGTTAAGGGCTGAAGGATTTGCTTATTGAGGGACCCGCACGTGATGAAATCCGGGGTAAAACATGTCATTCAGTTGACAATACTGTATTTCATCTGTAAGATATCTAATAGCCATTCAAATCTCAAATTTCACTCGTTTTGTTTCCCTCCGAATCTAAGCCTCCAAAGAAATCTTCATAATAATTTGAGATTATGGTGGATGTTGATTCCAATAGTGAATCTCCGTACCATATGACATAGCATTTAGCCGAGGTCGGGGGTGAACATCTCTCGCGCCCTCATCATCCTTTCTCCCAGTCGCCTATGGGCGGTCAACATTAATCAGGCTCTAATATGGCATCCTCAGATGAAAATGCTGGGTCTCCACCCACTTCTGACAAGATGGATCTCTCCCCTCTCGTCCACAACACCGTGCGCGCCTTCCTAAGCGCGAAAGAATATCGAGCAATTCACGACATCGCAATCAGGCGTACACCTTCTCTCGGTAAAAGGCTCCCTGATTCTCTGAGAGATGATTCAATCACATATGTAGGCAACAGTCGCAATATGAGGGCTCTCCGTGCGTCGATGCGTGTATTCGCCGGCGGTGGGGTTTTGTTGAAGCTAGTAGAGGTCATCATAGCTCGCATTCAAGATCGTGTGAGCTCCGGGTAAGAACTCTCCAGGCTTTTTTAAGCAATAATTAGCAATAAATCTTTCTAATATATCCTCCGCATTATCTAGACGGAAAGCCGGGGCGTCGCGCATTTACTCATCGGCTTTGCGCCTCTCCATCTCTACGTCCCTACTTCTCCTCTTCCACCGCCTGATCTATCAGTTTCTCTCCCAACTCAGATTGAATCTTCGCGTTAAGGATGCCCAGCCATTCCGCGAACGGAACCCGACCATTGCGCGCGCGCTGACCTCGCGCTATGCCCCGGTTATCGGCTCTAGTCTGGCTGGCTTGACTCTTCAGATCTGTCCGCCAGAACATCGATTGGCTGCAGCCATCTACTGGACGTCTCGGAGTATGGAGACTGTCTTCAACGATCTTGAGTCAAAGGGCTATTTTCCGGAGGAGCATCCATGGTGGTTCGGCAGCTGGTTACTGATGCCCGCCTCGTGTGCTCAACTCTTCCATGCCTTCGTGTTCGATCGCGAGACTACACCTCAGGTATGAAGATTTCTGCCTGTCCGTTTGAATTATAACTGATGTTTTACAGTGGTTTAGCAAAGTCGTCATCGCCATCTCCCCGACCTACTTCCCAGGTCGACCGGATTCTAGCTCCTACTCTCGGCCATGGCCGACCTCAGAGGAAGTGGTTGATTCTATTGCATCGACCGCTGATATGGGCTGGCCGTAGGTCACCGAACTAACACACATTATACATTGCTGACACTGCTATAGAGCGTTTGTCTGTCCCCTTCTCTATCCCCAAAACCCCAAAGCAATTCAGCTTCCAGAAACGACTACCTCCCTGATCACTGGGTCTGCTCATCCTGCGATAACGAACTTGTCATGCGCGCTGCTACACCCATATCAGACAAGCTGCAACATGGCATTTATTCAAAACGTCCTCACATCGGCTCCTTACATTTCACGGTGGTTTACGATGATTAGTCTGGCTCTAGGTATTATTAACATTAAAAAACGCCCCACGCCTTTCAGAAATATTAGCTCCGGGTGTTGGGACATCCTCAAGATGACAGCCATGCTCTCTTTCGCTGGTAGCTCCCTGTGGGGTAGTATGTGTCTTATGAACACGACTCTACACCGTTCAATTTTGCCCAACAAACGCGTCTTCATCAGTGGTGCCATTGGCGGTTTGCCATTCTTCTTCTTGAGCAAGAGCCGCGGTGTTTATCTGTATTTCCTCCGTCTAGCCATGGACTCGGCTTGGAAAGTTGGTGTTAAGCGAGGCGTATGGAAGGGCATTTGGGGCGGATCATCCTGGCTCCTTGTCATTTCGTGGGCTGTGATCGGATACATTTTAGAATCTAACCCGTCGGCTGTTCAAGGTGAGCGTCTGCGCAAGGCCCTTGCTTGGATGAAAGGCGAGGGATTTGTCGATCCTGTCGAGATTGAGAAGCGCAAAGCCCGTCGTGGCCGTACTCTTCAGAAAGCAGAGGAAAAAGCTGAAAAGTGATATCAAGGTCGGAGTTCTGGAAATCACTTTCCGATTTCCCCGCATTTTTCGATTTCTCCAAATTCCGGGGAACTTCGATACTCGGAGATTGAACTCCGCTTTCACTTAAAATGATAACGATTCCTCCATATTCTACGACATCTTTTATTCTATATCTTACCTAGTAATTGAAGCTCTATTTAACATCCTCTCTATGTCTGCTCAGAAAATGAAGATTGGATGTGCCGGCCTCGGCCGAATGGGCAAGCGTCATGCCCTAAACTTCCTTGAGCGCACTCCTCGCGCCAATCTCGTTGCTGCAAGCTCTCCAGATCCGACAGAGCTGGAATGGGCTAAGACAAATCTAGAGCCGTTTGGGGTCAGGCTCTACCAAGACTACGACGACATGTTGAAGCACGAAGGTCTAGAAGCTGTTGTCGTCGGATCTGCAACAGCCGTACACGCCGAACAAACAATCAAGGCAATTGAAGCCAACAAGCACGTTCTCTGCGAAAAGCCACTCTCCACAAGCGTAGAAGTGGTCAGTACCTACTCAGTAGTCCCCCCTTCAAAGCCAAACTAACCAGTCCAGTCCCAATCTGTCGTCGACGCAGCCGCCAAAAAGCCACACCTAAAGGTAATGTGCGGATTTTCGCGCCGCTTCGATGCATCCTACCGAGACGCCTTCACAAAGATGAAAGCCGGCGCAATTGGCATACCCTCAGTCCTGCGCAGCCAAACCTGCGACAAACTCGATAAATCCGGCTTCTTCATCGCATACGCCCAATTATCCGGCGGTATTTTCGTCGACTGCTCCATCCACGACATAGACCTAACTCTTTGGTTCTTCGGCGCAAACAGCAAGATCAAATCCGTCTCGGCTGTAGGAATCACAGCCGTAGAACCAGATCTACGCAAGCACAACGACCGCGACAATGCTGTAGGTTTGGTCGAGTTCCACGATGGCAAGATCGCGTACTTCTACGCTTCGCGGACCATGGCTGCTGGCCAGGAGGACACGACTGAAATTATCGGGACGAGCGGGAAACTTGCTGTTAATACGCAGCCGCAGCTTAATCTGGTTAATCTGTTTGATGGCACAGGTGTCAGGCGCGAGATTCCGCAGCATTATTATGAGCGTTTCGAGGCTGCATTTGTTACAGAGGCTAATGAATTTACGGCTGCTGTGCTGGATGATCGGGCTTTGCCACTGGAACTGGGGGTTGCTGTGCAGGCTGTTAGGATTGGGGCTGCGTTGCAGGAGGCTTTGGTTACCGGGAACAAGATCTTTTTCGATGAGAACGGGAACCGGGTTGAGATTGCTCATTTGTAGGAATTAGCAATATCATATAGGCATCAATGTTGTTGAGTGAAATGTGAAGTATTAGAAGAGTTAATCTTCCATGATTAGGACATGATATATGCTCTAAAGTAAATATGCGTACATGAATCTCAAGAGTAGGTAAAAAGTCGTTCGCGGATTTAATACCTAGGCATAGGAGCTAATCAAGTTCGTCCCCGAGAAAACTAGTACTATGTACTCTCACCAAAACACAAAGACTTCCAAAAGAGCAGACGAGAATCTTCCCCGCTCGAGGGGTTGCCATTATTTTTTAGGGTACCAAGTACCGAAGTAATTAGAGTCGGCCGTATGTTGGTATAATGGACAGCGTAGATGATAAAACACATAGATAGTTTAATTGATGATTCTAAAGGCTTGATCCAAGTTGATTTAACAATTACCGTATTACCCTATAATCCCATCAAGTATATGGTTCAACATGCAGTACGGATTCCAGTATCCGTACTTGAAAGCGCTATGACGAAGCCCTAATATTCCCACATTAACGAATGAAGCCAACAGCGTAGTGAGCTTTATGATCCTTCCGTCGAGTCTCGAGAATCCAATACTATAATTGACATATTTACTGATAAAACTTACAAATTTAAACATAGTAAAAGATCTGAGAAGCTCGAAAGATGAAGCATCTGATTTGAAGGACCGGCAATTGGAAAGACATCGAGAGAGGGAACACTTACCCCCACGTGGGGTAATAAACATACCATTTAAATGATACCTAGTACCTATATACTCTTATCATCCCATCTCTTGCCTTCTACTTTCTTCTCCTCATCTCACTATACCTACTACTCTTCAAAATGTCCGTCGCAGACACCCACTTCACCCTAAACACCGGTGCAAAAATCCCAGCACTAGGCCTAGGAACCTGGCAATCAGCACCAGGCGAAGTCGCAAGAGCCGTAAGTCACGCCATCAAAGTCGGGTACCGCCACATCGACACAGCGCTATGCTACGGCAATGAGAACGAGGTTGGGCAGGGCATTAAGGAGGCTATTGATGCTGGTATCGTGACACGTGAAGAGCTATTTGTCACCACCAAGCTTTGGTGCTCGTATCATACTAGAGTTGAGGAGGGCTTGAAGCAGAGTTTAGTTAATCTTGGGCTTGATTACGTTGATCTTTACTTGATGCATTGGCCTTTGGCTATGAATCCAAATGGTATGTATACCCATTTATGAATTTGAACCTTGGAAGGGTGGACTTGATGGACTCGGAACTGTACTGACCTGTATACTGTTCAGGTAATCACCCTATCTTCCCTAAGCTTCCTGATGGCTCGCGCGATATTGACCACGATCACTCGCATGTCACTACGTGGAAGAGTATGGAGAAGCTAGTCGGCTCTGACAAGGTCAGGGCTATCGGTGTTTCGAACTACAGTGTCCCGTACCTGGAAGAGCTTCTACCTCAGGCCACTATCGTACCAGCTGCAAACCAGATTGAGAACCACCCCTCTTTGCCTCAGCAGGAGATTGTCGATTTCTGTCAGGGAAAGGGCATCCATATCACTGCCTATAGTCCTCTTGGTAGCACTGGCAGTCCTCTTTTCACTGCTGAACCTATTGTGGCTGTTGCTAACAAGAAGGGAGTTACTCCCGCTTCTGTTTTGCTGAGTTGGCATAGTGAGTAATCTGCTGTTTCCAAAAAATGCTCGGTTTTGACTGATTTTTATCTAGTTGCTCGTGGCTCTTCCGTGCTCGCCAAGTCTGTTACTCCATCACGTATTGAGGAGAACCGGAATGGTTTGATCAAGTTGGATGCTGAGGACCTCGCTACTATCCAGAAGTACTCGGATCAGCTTGCTGCTGATAAGGGTTTTCAGCGTTTTGTGTTTCCTCAGTTTGGCAAGAACTTTGGGTTCCCTGATAAATTTTGATGACTTACTAGATTACATTTACGTTGATCGTACGAGAATTTAATTTTGAATGATATGTATTTATTTACAACTGAAATATTATACCAGGGTGCACCTGTGCTCGGGTATATTTTGACAAAAAGAAAAAGCAAAGGACGTATGATAGTGGATAGACGCTCAGTAAATGCACCGGGGTGGTATATGGTCGTAAGGGAAGATAATGAGGGGAATAGAAAGGTGGTAGGAGGTCTAGTGTAGAAATAGTGCAAAGATATGTGGCACCAAGACAATAGGTAGAGGTAAAAAGATAAAGGAAATGAGAGAGTGAGTGGATGGACTAGAACATGTGTCCGTTCACGGGGATGGTGGGTGGGGGATATTGAGGGACAGGAGGGACAGGACCGGCCAATGCCTCCTGACGTGCCCGGATCAGGTTTCCACCCTCACTAGATGTCTTGTAAAGACGGCCACGCGAACGGGGACGCTTCTCATCATCGGGGAAGACGCTGTGCTCATCTTTTATGGTTGGGACTGGAGACTCAGTGCGGGACGAGTCCCGGTTCAAGGCGCCAAAGATGGACTGGGTGCCGCGGCGACGGCGCGGGTTCATGGGTGGCACGGCCGGCGCTGCGATGCCAATGGTAGGCACATTGGATGTTGATGATACGAAGGTTGGCTCTGAGATTTCTTTCTTGTTCACTGAGCGTTTCTGCAGTAGAGTGCTTCCTGGGCCACGCTGGGACGAGTTGCCGCCAGAAGAGTTGGGGTTTAGGGATTGATCCATTTCCTGCAGAGGAGGCGTTGCGTTGGCCGAGTAGGCTGGAGTTGCAGGGGATGGTCGTGGAGGAGCACCGATGATCGAGGGCGGGTGCGAGACTTGATTGAACTGGAAAGGCCGCTCGTACTGGAAGCTTGGTGTGCCTGATCGGCTGGCACTGCGATATCTACCGGAGGCAACGGAGGGGGAACGATCACTTCCTTCCGTTGATGGACAGTCAAATTGCATGGGGGCAACAAATTTGTCGTGTGCAATCATATCCTCTTTCACTGTTTGAAGATCATCACGGTACCTGGAGCGGCTCTTAGAGCGAGCCGATGCATCGGAGTCTGAGCGGTCTCTTGATGCGCCGCGACTACGGCTAGAGCTGCGTTCGCGAGAACCATCGCGGCTGGTGCGGCCCATGTTAGGTAGTCGGGACCGGAAAGACCGCTCAGATGGGGCCATGGGGCCAGAGCCCCGGTTCGCGTTAAAGGATGGTCGCTCCTCATCACGTCCGTGGAACATATCTTCTGAAACGAGTGTAGTAGAAGAACCGTTGAAACCATACATTCTAGAGTTCTTCTGGTCCTGTTGCATCACGCCCAGCTTGCTGGACTTGTGCTTCAGGAGGGAAAAAGCGTTGCCGGTCTTGACTCCAGGGATATCTGGAGTCTGGCGTCCAAAAGAAGGGCTGCTTGAGCGGCTCTCGCCCTCTGTGACACTTCGCAGCTTCTCCTGGACCTTTCTACGCCTCTCGGCAAGTTCCATGGCGAATTCCTCCCGTTCTTGCTGTGTTTCGGTGCTTCCACCTCGTCGATGGTGATGAACCAGATCTTCTTTCCATGATGAGAGATTGGAAATAGAGGAGCCAGGACGATTTTCTATTTCAGATGAGTCTTCACTTGCACGGCTATCAGAGACGTCAGAAAATGGCCTGGTAGAACTTTCTGGTTGGCGCGCATCTGTCTGCACAGTTGGCTCGAACAGATCTACCGGCTTCAAGCAGGAGGCTTCGTGCGTAGTGGATTTGGTTGAGAGTGGCTCTCGGGTAGGGACTGGAGATGGATCGGGATAGATGGTTGACATGTCACTTGCAGAGCGCAGGTGAGACCTTATACCATTAAAACCCAAGCCAAATGCCTGCAGAGTGGGCGAGTCGGGTCTCTCGGGAGTTATAGAGCCAGTCTGGTCAGTGATCCGGGAGTCAATTATAACACTGTCTTCTTCAATATATTTGAGTTCCTCAATAGACTTGAGATCACCTAGGTCGGAGTATCTGACTTCTGGAAGAGTTTCCAGGTGGTCAGTAGAATTTGGCGCATTGGGTGCCTGAGACACTATATCAAACCCGCGTCGTTCCTCAGCAGAGTCGCCAGATTCGCTAGCGGTTGAATCGGCATAGAATGTTTTCGTCCCCTGGCGCAATGGAGAAGCTCCCACACTGGAAATCATGGAATAATCGACGCCATTATGCGTATCACTGTCGTAATTAGAAGATCCGGACTCGGCTCTAGAGCGACAGCTAGACTTGGAGAGTCCTCGGGGCCGGGTTACCGGCTCCTGAGGGAGAGGGCGACGGGGAGGAGAAGATTGTCGCAGGGGTGGCGGGTTAGCAACCTGGTGCATCTGGAGTTGGCGGCGCGAGAACTGCTGCTCATCGAAACCGGTTGCAGGTCGGTGGAACAGACCCATGGCGGTAGCCTTTCCATGATCCTCGGGGTTCATAGCGGCCGTCAACAAATTCATAGCCTCGTCTCCTTCGCTTGAAGGTGGGCTCAGAGGGGGTGCGAAAGAGGCAGTTGTGGGGGACAAACGTTCCTTGGAGAGTGTTTCCACTGATCCTTGCTGCCTAAGTGAAGTTGTTGATCTAGGAGGACTGATAGATGGTCGAGATATACCAGTAGAAGTGGAAGTTGAATCGGTGTTTAATCTTTGCAGCCGACCACGCAAATTACTGGCACTGCGAGAGTATGCGCGATTCATGGGGAACTCTAGCGTTCCAGACCGCTGGCGGCTCAGACTTTCCAAACGGTTCAGAGTCGAGGACTGTTGGTTATGGGCAGTTTGCGTCAGGCCTTGGCCATAGAGACGGCGCGAGCGGACTGAGCCATTCCTCGGGTGATTGGACAAAGCAGATGGTGGGCGAGACTCGACTTGGGGTTCTGCCGATTTAGGAACCTGTGATTGAGACGCAGGGGTATCATCGAAAGAAGTAGCGGCAGTCGAAGTGCGATCGGGTGCCTGTCCAGATTCCGTCGAGGAAGAGGTGGTACGCTTAGTCGATGAGCTGGTCGACTTGGCATCGAAATCCTCTCTTGAGAAATCCTCTGACTCAGCCATGGCTTGCTTTTCCTGACGTCTTAATCGCTGGAACGCAGACATCGTCAAATCATGCTCGTAGACAAATTTTCCCATTCCTCGGCCACCTTCTGCTGTGGGTGAGCCCACCGGAGATCGTGTTGGAATGCGATAGACCTTCTGACGACCACCAAACAGATTGTTACCCTCCGCTCGGCGGGCTCTGCTCATTATGCTCCCGTTTTGCGATCGATCGTCATCTGTTCCATATCCTCCGTCGCCGGAAATAAAAGAATTGACTCGTCCGTCAATGGAGGAAACCTCATCGATATCAGTCAATATGTTGGGATTATGACCGAAGAGGTTCAATCGTGAGGCGCGCTTCGGAAATAAGACACTGTCGTCGCTGGCCTTTCCGAGCTTAGATTCCGGGTCATCCTGCTCTCTTAGCATACTGAATCTAGCCGAGAGCTTCGGCATCAGTAGACTAGTGCGGAAATCATCTGTCGAGGGGAGGGCGCTGGCCAAATCCAGAGTAATTTCTGGTTGTTGTTCTACCTCGAAGGAATTCTTCTCTCCGTCATTCACGACATCCTTGACCTTCTTGTTTCTGCGAAAACGACCCATTTTGTCAAAGTACGGGATGCGATCCAAGGATTGGACTAATTGTACGAATGCCAAATCCCTTTCAATCAAAGGAATGAGATGAGTGACTGTGGAATCTATCAGTGTCTGAGATACATCAACGTACCGTTCCCACTTACTTTGACAGTGCTAAAAAGAAAAGAGCAGCATGACCGTCCAACACTAAGAGAAAATAAAAACACAAGGTCCTTAGTGATGGAGGAATGTAAATAAACCGGAAGTTCTTGGCGAGGAATGAAGAGAGTGTACCAAAGGAGTAATCGATAGGGAAGGAAAGATAGAGGTACTGCAGGGGGGGGGAGGAGTGTAATAGAAGAACGAAGAATGAAGGAAGAAGCGGTGGAATGGGGGGAAGTGGAAAAAAGGACATGTCATTTGGAAATTAAGCTAAGGATGGCACTAGACGAGTACGGGGCTAGAAAAACAGAAGAAAAATAGGGATCTGGATCCGGCCTTTAGTAGTCGATCACTGTATTTTTCTACTTTTGTACTTTTCTATTTTTCTATTTTCTCTCTTTTTCTATTTTAAATTTCTTTTATTATATATCTTATTTACCTTGAACGGAGAACTGTCTTCTTCGTCTCCTCTTATGATAGAATTGACGCTGAATTGTCTGTTCGCACAATACGGTAATTTCAAATCATTTGACTCTATACTGACAGGGTCCCTTGCAGATACTGTATGTAAACTATCACATCTCATATATTCTGGTGGAACCTGGGGCTGAGCGCCAGTAGATTAGGTTGTTCTTCTACACGAATGTATTGATGATACCGAATAGGACAAACTTCTACTTTTGAAACCACGCTAATTCGTTCCAAATTATCCCATGGGCCTGGACTCGGCATCCTTTGGGGGTTTTTTTTCCTATTGTACCTTTTTCTCCTTAGATAAATTCACTTAACCCTAAAATTATAGCGGCAATTGTCATGTCGGCAGTGGTATATGCAAGGAGTTAGATATTTTTCTACTACTCCGCTTCTTAACAATACTGTATGCTGTATTCGTCAACTGGTCCTGCTTAAAATTAACCAATCTTTAATTATATCCCCGATCATGCATGGCCTCCTGCGTCATGCAGCGGAGGTACGGAGGATACAGGACTGGCTTACATCTATATCCATGGATCAATGATGGCCATCGATCTCACACCATTACCCGCCTATAAATCAGAGCTTTGATTGTTCTGACCCGCTGCGAGAATCCTTTCTTCAGGGTTTTCTTCTTTTACGAGTCAACTTCATTTACAAGTGGAATTATGATATCATGAGTCGGTCTGTGCTTGTGAAAAGAACACAAAACAGGATGAAAAAAAAAAAAACTATTGATTTTACTTTCCAACGGGCTTCTATAGGTTTCTTGACAGCCGTTGCTGGATCCAAAAACGGGGCAAGATTTTCGCTAAAAGACATTTAGCCAAGGACTTCCTTCGACTGGAGGTATGTGTGGGCCGAAGAAAGTCATAAAAACTAAAGTTATAGTCATCCAAGTGGGACTTTGAAATTTTTGTGATTACTGTATCCACATGGAGAGTTCGTAAACTAGTTCCTCATATTTCAGTCAACCTCATGATGTTTACTGGCACTTAGTACAGAGTAGGAAGTACTCCGATAACGCCACGCACAATTGAAGATGTGATATAACCCTGACTTCCCCGGCGCTTATGATTGGTTGGAGTTAAAATAGTGCCCCTGACTAGTCCTATTCTGGACTTAGCACGGTATTTAGTGAGATTAAATTTTATTCTCAAGTTCGCGATCAGAGGTTAGAATTAAGAGTAAATAAGAATAGATGTAGAGGCCTGTTCATTCTGGTCTTCTCATTTATCTAAATTTTTTATCATAACTTCAGATGTTTTGGATATTTCTGGCAGTTGATCTTGAACCTCAACCTTCACAACAACCCTGAACTATTCGGTGGAGTACCACGTGATCCACTGGGGCGGTCCTCCGGAAGCCGCCTCTATCATACCCGTCCGTAGCTAATCACTACATAATAATAACCCATGGCAAATTTCCGATATTTACCCCAACTTCCAAAGATCCAAAGTGCCCACAGCCCTGGAGGTGCTTCCAAGGTTGAATGTACTCGCTTCTACTTTTCTCACTGTCTAGCATAAAATTTGAAACCATGTACTCCGTATCTATATTTGGATTCGGTCACCGATTCTACTCCGCATGAATCGACGGTTCAGGGCCCTTAATCTATAATCCTGCTCGATCTACTCGGTATTGGGCGTACGAAACACATCTAACATTTGAAAGAAATTAAAGATTAAAGAGGCAATCGATGGGGCTATGTGAAAGATCCCTAATTTCACCGCGTGTCTCGAAAGTACGGTGTCAGATTCGGTTGCAGCCTAAGGCTAATTTTTTAGCGGCAAGGTCATCCAGTTTCACTGCTAGCTCCTTTCAAATCGAAGGTTGAAGTGTATGGGGATTATTTCGGAGGGATGCTTGCTCGATCTGGTAAATAGTTGGCTTGTGGAGTCCTCAGCCGTCTTGGGATTCTAGAACTTTGATTCTAAAATTTGCATAAATTTGCAAGGCTGCCTCTCCACATCGGTATATTTTCTGATACCCAAGAAACCTTCAAGATCCCTGGGCATCTATGGATGGCGTTACAGACATGGATCTAGAGCACATTGAGTATGGACAAAGTACCAAGCTTGGACGTGGATATCTGGATTTAAAACTTTCAAAAATGGATAGACGTTTGAATAGGTCAAAGTTCACACTTTAAAACATATAGCGATTCTCCCTGCGTCTATATGAGGCTGACTGTTATAATATTAATTTCCCATACATATGTTCCCATACATATGTACAATTAGGGTTTTCATGTCCTAGGACTAGTACTTCAGGAGGTTTGTATATGTTTGAAGTAAAGTTAAACTGGGTAAACAGTTCCTGAGTAGAATCGGTGAGTTATTAAGGTTTAAACCGTGGATTGTTGTGACTCCACCAGTGAATTCCGAATTAGTTGGTCATCTTAGTTGCAGATGGTCAAGAGCTGAAACCACAACTGGAGTCGTTTAAACGAGTTCTCAGACAGGAGATTCCCAAGTTTGAGGAAGTTACAAGTTCAAAAAGTTCGAAGTTGGCGAGTCCCGGCCGAAATTCTACCAGGATTTGACTCGGCCTCGGTTAAGGATTATGAAATGCTTCGATCGCTCATCTGTCCTTTCTGACTATCACCTGTGTAGCCAGCAGCATTTGGCATGGACCTCGAGATGAAGAATTGCCATCCTTTAATAACTGTATGACGATAGATGATAGATCGAACACGACTCACTCCGACACAGCGGAGAGACCAAAGCAGCGATGACACAGTTCTATTGCAATAGTCTCGGCGGATAAAATCATACTTTGAAGTCTATGATTCATGAATGGTCATCTATTAGCTTTGAATAGACTTGATAGTAGTAGGGCATGGCAGAATAATTTATATGTAGAATCCTCGCCTACTAGAGAATAAATGTCACGTGAATTCATTCCCCTATGAAAGAAATAAATCCATATCTGAATTCCACCCACTGGATATCCACATCACACTATTCTTAACGGCACTTTCAATTGATTCAACGACCTCCAAATTCCTTCCAGAAAACAGAATGTCCCAACTTATTCCATCTTCTTTCAAGGGACATTCCGTATCACTCCAGACTCTCTCAGATCTTCATCTCGAAATAAATCAGCAATATGCCTCATTTGAAGTGCCTGTCTCATCCAAATACCTCATTTTAGCTGGTGATATTGGCAGTTTACATGACTATAGTGGATATCTTGGTTTCCTCGAAAAACGGACCAATAACTTCCAGAAGGTATTCCTCGTGCTCGGGAATCATGAGTTCTACAATGAAAACTTTGAATCGGGACTTGAGAAAGCACGACAACTAGAGCAAGAACCATGTCTTAATGGTCGATTACTTTTGCTTCATCAACGACGATACAATATTCCAGATACCCGTGTGATTATTCTCGGCTGTACGCTGTGGTCTGACATTCCACCGAACGTAGGAGAAATTGTCCAATCCAAAGTACAAGATTTCAAGAAAATCGAGGACTGGACAGTTGATCAGCATAATAGTGCTCACCAGTCCGATCTAACGTGGCTAAGACATGAAGTGGAAGCAATTCATCAGGAGAATAAAAATACTAAGAGAGATCTACCCTCTATTGTCGTTGTGACGCATCATGCGCCATCTCTCCACGGAACTTCAAGTCCCCAACATGCCCAAAGTCCTTGGTCTGTTGCATTTGGAACGGATATCTTATCTGAGAAATGGGATGGAGTTAAAGTGTGGGTGTTTGGCCATACACACTATACAACCGAGTTCAAGGAAAGGGGCATACGGGTTCTGAGTAACCAGAGGGGCTATGTGCTTCCTTGGAAAGACACTAAGACCGATTTTGACGTGAAAAAGGTGATCTGGGTGTGAGTACCTATGCCATCACCCTGATCTCCACACTACATTGCAGCTGCCCAGGTGGTATGACGGGTAGTCACAGCTCTCCGGTGATCTCATACCCTAGGTACTAAATACTCTGAGCGGTGCCGAGACTTCAGGTTTGTATGTATTATTCCAAGGTTGAAATGGGGCCACTGAGGTGATCAACCCGTATAGAGTAATGATCTGATGTAAATGACGATACTATACAGGGATTTTTATGAATGTTTCCTTTTTGGCATGATTAGTCGCTTCCAAGCCGATAGTTTCAAAGCTATGTCATCAAAACGTTCGAAGGGTTTGAATCTAAGTAATTGTAGGTAGAATTGTTCAAAAAGTGCTCAAATCCACCTGGGCAGAGGTCTCCTCTGAACGGGGTTTCTTGCCTTCCTAGATCTATATTTATTATTAGTAGGTAGTAGTCCATATAGATATTACCTGTAGGTTATTATTTTTTGGAACAGTTTTGAACCCATTTACAAGAAAAAGGAAAGGATCATCCCATACTCTATTGTACAGGGTTACCAAAGGTATTAGCCTAATAAAAAAATATTATTCTGCCCGCACTATTATATAGTATGGAACATCGGCATGTAATATCCTGTTTTAAATACATTTATTACCACCTAGTCGGTCCTTTACTCTCTTAGGCATAGATTGGATAGCTTTCCAATACCCATGCTTCTCTGATATGGGTTGGTAATCTCGAAAGCTCAATATCTTCTAATTCAAATTCTGCAGACATCCAATCCTTAATATATGACCATAAATTCTCCACAGGATTTAAATCAGGAGAGTATGGAGGGTGATCAGTATAATTAGATCCCCATAACATATAACTTTTTCATTGCGAAGGCTGTTGTAGAATAGCAGTCTCATGATACATCTCATCATTAAAACGTAAAATCCAAGGACGCTGATGCTAGCCAGATCGGACAAAACACTCATCTGCTGTCTCATACTTACGAGCTTCAGCCCATCGGAGACGTTTCGCTCGGCATTCAGGATTATCAAGTGGTGGCTCTTCAACAGTCGGATGAGAGGTCATTCCACGTTCTTTAAGGTAATTTCGAAGAGTTTCACCACAAATAGGAAGACAAAGTTGGTGACAGATTAGATCATAGCTTTTTATTCGGTTATGGAAGCTTGATCTAATCCACTCAATAACATCATTTATCTCTTCATCAGAGAGCTTTGTAGGACCTCCTGTACGATATTTCTTCTGAGGTGTAACGCGTTGATGTTTACAGGTATAACGAACCTGGCTACGCGAACACCCAATCTTCTCCATTATATAGGAGATACTCTTGCTTCACGAAAAGCAAGGATTTTAAGACGTTCATCGCGAGAGAGCTCCTTCTGATGAAGCTTAGGAGTGGTTGATCTGATTGGAGGCATCGTATAGAGAGTAATAGTGTATGTATATGTGTGTAGAGTTGAGAATATATCAAGTTGAGCCATGGTTGAACAGGGGATGCTGTGTATTAAACTGTATTAGGTGGCGAATGACGTAAACTCTAATGATACAATTTATATCTTTTATTAAGAAAGCGGTGTATAAAACCTGACCGCTTTTGTAAAGGAGGGGGGCTAATAGTCCTTTGCCCTGTAAACTAGAATTCCCTTGTCCAGGTATCTTAAGTGACGTCCGATGCATCCGATTATAAATCGAAGCTCCAGTCAAAAGTGGGTTCAGGCATGGCGCCATAAATGGCTTCAGCTCCCCGCAATTTCCAATTTTCTCAACACTGAACAATAACATCGAAACAACTTCAAAATCATCGAATCAAAATGCAAGTTCTTCTTCTCGGAGGCCACGGCAAAGTTGCCCTCTACCTAACACCCCTCCTCCTCAATCGCGCCTGGACCGTCACCAGCGTCGTGAGAAACCCCGACCATGAAAGCGAGATCTTAGAGCTAGGCAAAGGTCGCAAGGGCAAATTGAACGTTCTCATCTCAAGTCTGGATGATGTGAAAAGCACTTCTGATGCTAAAAAGATCATTGACGCTGTTTCACCGAATTATGTAGTTTGGTCTGCTGGTACGTCATTCCCCCACTTTCACTAAGAGAGCAATCATATACTAACTTTACAAAGGTGCCGGAGGTAAAGGTGGGCCAGCTCGCACAAAAGCAATCGACGAGGAAGCTGCCAAATACTTCCTGACAGCCTCGTTCGCTACGCCGAGCGTATCCAAATTCCTGATGGTTTCCCACCACGGAAGCCGCCGTAACAAGCCCAGCTGGTGGTCGGATGAAGAATGGGCTAGTTCAGTCAAGGTAGCCACTGAAGTGCTCCCCACTTACTGCCAGGCTAAGCTCGAGGCCGACGAGTACATGACTGCGTTGGCGGCGAAGCGCAAGCTGAATGGATCGCCTTTCCAGGCTATCAACTTGCGTCCTGGTGTGCTGACTGATGAGCCTGCTACGCGCAAGGTCGAGCTTGGTAAAACTGCTAAGTCTCGCGGAAGTGTTTCTAGGGAGGATGTGGCTATTGTTGCGGATCAGTTGCTTGCTCGTGCTGATACTGAGGGGTGGATTGATCTTCTTAACGGGGATGAGCCTGTCGAGCAGGCAGTTGAGAGGGTTGCTAGGGAGAAGATTGATGCTGTTGAGGGCGAGGATGTTGATGGTATAATCAAGAAATTCTTCCCTTGAAGAGATACTAGGTGAAACATTAATTTATTTCCGGTTGAAACTAATGAACCTATAACTTTGCTTTAAACGCCTTGGACCCTTCTTTCAACTTCTGCTTGAGAATCCGGCGCAAGATCTTCCCGCTTGGTGTCTTGGGAATCTCTGGCACGAAATATACACCACCACGCATACGCTTGTGATGGGCAACTTTGCTGTCTATCCACTTGACGATATTGGCCGCTTCCTCCTTTTCACTAATGCCAGATGATTTACTCGCAGCACTGCGAACAACACATGCCAATGGTACTTCGGATCCGTGTGCCTCGCTCTCGATACCAATGACAGCCACATCGTCAATTGCGTCGTTATCCACTAGGATTCCTTCCAGCTCAGCCGGGGGCACCTGGAATCCCTTGTATTTGATAAGCTCCTTCACACGATCTGTAATGAAGAAATTGCCCTTGGGATCTAAGTAGCCAACATCGCCAGTGCGGAACCAGCCATCCTCTGATAGACAGTCCCTAGTCGCTGTCGGATTCTGGTGATAGCCCAGGAAGACGTTAGGGCCGCGAACGTAGAGCTCCCCAACATCTCCTACTTCAACTTCTTCAGGCGCAGACTCATCCTCAGGCGAGGTCATGAACTTGGCCTCCTGGTTCGAGAGTAACTGGCCAACTGAGCCAATGTAGTCACGCCAATCCTCCCACTGCTGTGAGTGCGTGGTGGGACTGGTCTCACTAAGCCCATAGGCCTGCTTGATGCCGACTTTGATGCGAGAGTATACGGCCTCCACTAGCTCTTGTGTAAGGGGTGCTGCACCGCAGTTCATCATGCGTAAACTTGATAGGTCGTACTTATCGACTACAGGGTGCTTGCTCAGCTGTAGAGCGACTGGAGGCACGATATAGCTAAATGTGACATGATAGTTTTGTACATGTGCGCACCATTTCTCAATCTCGAACTTCGCCATCACGACAAGATGCCATCCTTGATAAAATGCCGTTGTAACGAGGCAAGTCAATCCTAGGTAGAGATAAAAAGTCAGTTCCAAGATTCCTTCAAATTTTGATATACATATTTCCCAAGAAAACTCATACCGTAGATATGATAAAATGGGAGGAATGCCAATACACAATCACCCTTTCCCTCAAAGCCTCCATTCCAGGTCAAATGTCTGCCTTCAGCACTGGCAAATTGCAAGACGTTGGCAATGATATTCTTATGCGATAGCATCACGCCCTTAGGCACACCAGTAGTCCCAGAGGAGTAAACCAAAAAGGCCAAATCTGAATCGGGCTTGACTTTCTGCTTCTGGTACCGAGAGCTGCGTGATATGTTCCGAATAGAGGTAAAGTGCCTATAGCGAGCTTTCGGGTCGCGCTGGTCGCCCAGAAGGATGATGTGGTCCTCCGGGATGCCAACTTTCTTTGCTGCCTGCACAGCAATGGACAATACCGAGGCATGTGTCACAATAGCCTTTGAACCTGAATTCTTCAACTGGAAAGCAAGCTCATTGACTGTGTAGGCTGGATTTGCTGGAGAGATGATGCCGCCAGCCCAAAGGGTACCCCAAGTGATTGCGGGCGTATCAATGCTATTGGGTGAGAATATGGCTAGGACTTCCTTCTTGCGCCAGTTAAAGATTGCCTTGAGACCCTTTCCAAATTCTACTGATGAATCTTTCAAACTTTTATAGTTGTAGTATCGCTTAGTGTCGGCATCTTGATAGAGAACTATATAGTGTGAGCCTCAATATATTAATTTCAGAGCCGAGGGAAAAACCAAAACCTACTCTTATCATCGGGAAAAGGCCGGTCTTTCCTTTCAAACAAAAAATCCCAAAGGCCGACGTTGGGAATGTCAATGTCGGGATAGTTCGAAGAGACGGGCATTTTTGCGGGGAAATAAGCCAACAGTATTAGCTGGAATTGCAAATCCGGGTATTTGATTATCAAATGAGTTGTATATCGGAGAAGTTATAATAAGCCTGTCCGTGAAGAACAAATGATTGAAATGAATTATGGGAAAGAGAAGAAAGGATATTGCTGAATTAATTATCTTATGGCCCAATGTTCTTATGCTCGTCTTGTCGGTAATCTTGGAATTTCAGTGGCGCTTGCCTCGGCCTAGAGCTGTACAAATATCCGAAAGTGGCTTCCACGGTTCCCATCTACTGGCAATCCGTACAACCTTCCGTAATATCCGATATAAAAGCTCTTATAAGGCTATATACAATCTTAAAGCGACCTCGGCATCGCCGGTAGAATGTAAATACAGTCCCTGATTAGTATCCTTAGCGCCCTATTGTACGGATCGCGGCGGTGTTACTCGGGTCTGTTGCGGTGTTAAAAAACTTCCCGAGGTAGATGAGCAGACCACGCTGCATATACCCCGTTGCTTTAATACTACTGGTTCAACGCCTTCTAAACAGGGCTAGTTCCAATGTGATACGTGTTTGTGTTGGTAGTTGTCGTAGTTAGCTAGGACACGTATAACTCCAACATTTGAAGGTCATGTAGCTTATATCATTGTTCAGCTAGATAATAGAATGAAACCTCAGACTGTTCTGCTTTCTTCTGTGGATACCCATTATCTGTGTCGGTATTCCTCTCATTCTCATCATTATATGAGAGGATCACATGGGTAGTGCCTAGAACCCGATGGATAGGGGTTTGGGGTCATCTCAAACAGCAATATATGCTTGTATATCAAAGAATAACTAAAACTGAGTAAAGATGTTGAGTATCAGAAAGATGCGGATTAGCAGCGATATATAATAAGAGTAGTTATGTAAGAGAGAAAAATATAGATGAGAGGCAGATGCCTGGCCAAGGTTCTGATGCCGAATTGTTCCTAGGTGCTGGGTGTAGTTGGACTTGTTATGGTAAAAAGGATGGCAAAATTTGCAAAACAACTTGACGGTCTTGTTCCACCCGAGTAAGAATATCATCGAAGATTTAGTGGTCTTCAAATCCGGGATATAAGCCGTTGACACAGTTGCTGGCACATTCCACGTCCAATAATGTTACCCCCTAGCCCCTAGCTCTGGCCATCAAACATAATATTGTGTCGTCCACATTCTGCTACGCGGAAAAAATTTGAGCTTATAGCCTTTGATGCTTAGAAAACTTGGTCCGCAGATTTTGACTGCTCAACCATTCAAAGATGGTTTGGTCTGAGGTGCATCTCTAGTAACTGATTGGTGTCAAAAGGGAGCTTGAAGACATCACACTACCAAGTATTAAGCTCTTGATCTTTCTTTAGAATGTTGAATATAATCTTGGAAGACTGAGGTTGTAACAAAAGATGATCGATCAACATGGAAAGATAGTGATATGGGCTGATATATGTCGAGAGAAGATTGACAGATTACTGCAGGCAGAAAGCTACTGCATGAAGGTACCAGTGCGGAGAAGATAGTATAGGCTGACATTCATCAGTGACGCCAGACCCGTCACAAATGGGGCAAGACACTCAAATAGAGTATTGGTCTTTGTCCGAGAAATCCTAGCGGGGATATAGATGGAACAGGAATCGACCACAAAAATGGCTGATATCATGAGATCCAGGAATTTGTCCCTCGCTAGATTAGAATAGTAGGTAGGTGGAAGAGTAGGTGGAAGAGAATAAACAGGTAAGATATGTCAATTATCAACTGGTTCAACGTAAATAGGATATATAACAGCGAAATAGGGAAGCAAGACCGTCGCATTAAAGATTTAAACGCAGACTTGCATTTGATTCTTCCGACTCTTTGCTAGGACAGTTTTCTGAAGTAGTGCCGAGCAAACCAACAAAAAGATTTCAAACTTTTCCATGACGGAGATTAGGAAGAGAAGGAGAGAATTACAGGCAAGGTTGGTACGCCTTCTGTGGTCGACGTGGGGCGGTGAGTATCTATCATTTGTAGGACTCACAAACTAAATCTCAGTACAGTTCCAGACATCGTGCATCGTGATTGATTGAATTGATATTAGGCACATCTACTTTGAGCCATAAAGCTTCTACAGAAGCAACATGTAGAAAAAACCTTGGAAAATAAATTTTTGTTTCATAAACTATGAATTTCACTCATCACACGCCACTCCAAGGGGGAATCGTTCGAAATCGTTTACTTCAGAGGAATGAAACGGGAAGAGTGGGTGGCACCGATACCGGGACGACCGTGCTTGACGGGCTTGCTGGGAGGTTGTTAGTACTGTTCAAAGCATCGAATTCATGAAGGTATCAGAACGTACTAGGAGATAGAGAACTCAGCCAGGTAGTGGCCAACCATCTCAGGCTTGATCTCGACCTGGTTGAACTCCTTTCCGGAGTAGATACCGATGACACTACCGATCATCTCGGGGACAACGATCATGTCACGCAGGTGGGTCTTGACGAGGTCTGGCTTCTCGTTGGGCTTAGCCTCCTGCTTGGCCTTGCGGAGCTTCTTGATCAGACCCATGGGCTTGCGCTTAAGACCGCGGTTGAAACGTCTGCGGGCACGGGCGTGGACAACATCGCGGAGCTGCTCGGAGGAGAGGTCCAAGAGCCTGTAAATGAAATCTAGTTAGACACATGTTCGCCATCTTCGTTGTTATGGATATCCTGCAACATATAACCGAACGCCCTGGAAAATCAAAAGATAGGCGACCAGACAGCTTATATCCAGACCGATCATTCGTTTGATGACCAAGGCGCAAGGTGTAGGCTGAGAATATTGCAGAGGGTGAATGCTTCACGGGTAACACGTACTGCTCGAGGTCAATGCCGCGGTAAGAGAACTTGCGGAACTGTCTTCTCTTCTTGATCTCTGTTGGTCGAAGGCTTGTCAGCGGTCTGGTCTTTGGTTGGTGATGTGTGTCATTGTGTGTCGCCAATTTTCCATTCATTTAAATCCAAATGTCGAAATTTGTACACATTCCATAAAAGCGATCGTTCCAACAGTCGTATAATCCATAACAAAACAGTCGATTCATTCTTCTCGTGGTAGGGAAAGGGAAAGGGAATAAGGTCGAGTTCAAACGTACCAGCAGCCTCCTCGGCGTTCTAAACACCTTGTTAGCATCATTTTTGGAGATCTAAAAATGGGTGTGCGATCGGTTAACTCACGTATTCACTGTCAGCCATTTTTGCGGTCGATTCCTGTGAAGTCGCTTTTCGAACGGGATCTCGAAAAGCGAAGGAGGAGGGTTGTCGGAGATTGTCGTGTCGCTTGGGCAAACGCTAGCGTACCACATCTGAGTGAGGTGGGCAGGCTCGCCTAAGCGAAGGTAAAACCCTAATACACTAGTCCGCATTGGGACATAAGTATTGACCTAGTTAATTACTGTTTCTAATTGGACTGATACTTTCCCAGTACTAGGTTATATTACATTGATTGGTGTGTATTCAAGTATCTCTCCAGTACCGCTGAATGTATTTTTAATTACCGCTCGCAAACCTGAGGGCCGTAGCGGAGCCCTTCAGATATCAAGTTCGGGGTCGTAAACTACAGGTCTAGATTCAATACTCACTGCGTAGATTAAATGCGGTCATGATTCGTGAAATACGCCTACTTTGGTATGATTTTTGCGAAAAGAGATTTGTCAATTATACAGCCTACGCAAACAAGTCATAGTGGAGGGCAGAATGATCTTTATTGGCTATGGAGATTTTTCAAACTCCTAAAAGTAAAACTTCAAGACCACATTAAAACAGCCTGAGGATTGTACATTTGCATACCCAGTCGGCAAAGATGCTTCCCGAACTGGCTAAGCCAGCCAGACCTCTGTTCCCCCAATTCATCACTTTTGAGATCTCCAGAAGCGATGCACTTAGTCGAAGAGACCGAATCCCATGTCGTCATCGGACTCCTCCTTCTCCTCCTCCTTCTCCTCAGCGGCGGGGGCGTCAGAAGTAGCGGCACCACCAGCGGCGGGGGCAGCGGCACCAGCACCACCGGAGGGAACGGAGGCGAGCTTGGAAGAACCCTCAGCGATCAACTGTAGTGAAAGAGTTAGCGAATGTCGTTAGGCTCATCTCAAAGATTGGTACTAACCTCCTGGAGGTTCTTGCCGTTGAGCTCAGCGAGGACCTTGTCAAGGCGCTCAGAGTCGGCGTCAATGCCAACGGAAGAGAGAACAGCCTTGATATCGGCAGCGGAGGGAGACTCGTTGCCAGCAAGGGCGAGGAGCAGGTAGGTAGCGAGGTACTTCATTTTGAATGTGCTGTTCGCGAGGGAAAAAAAATTGTCAGAAAACGATGTCGAATGATGAGGACGTGGTCGCCAGTGCTGTAGAAAGGACTGAGAAATATAATATTTGCGCTGTACTTACTTATTAGTCTCTGAACCGAGAAACAATCGATTTAACCGCTATTTGGGCGGAGACTGTAACTTCTGGAGGGTGATGGTTAAAGATCAGTCTCTAGCCGAAATCGTGGGAAAAAGTGCGTTGGCGGCAGCATGTGGCTGTGACACCGCCCGGCAGAAAAAACTAAGCGAAGTGTGGCGCATAAAGATCACGTGCCATTTAGCTGTTCAGGTTGTCTCCACCGGTGATGTTGACAACTTTCTTGCTACCTTCTTGTTAACTCGTAGTGTCCGACTTTACAACTCACCTTATCATAAAGGGTTGAATATCTACTAACAATACTCGAAAGAACTTTGACCCTCCACTTTTACCTCTTGTCCAAAATTTTTACTTCGACCTCGAAATTGCTTTGTCCCAAAAGGGTTGACTTCGACTTCGACTTCCACTTCGACGTCAAACTCGCTCTGATACAAGAGGCCTGTGCGGTGTTCTCCGAGCGGAGGTCCATTTAAATGGTCTCTCGTTCGGAGTGATGAAGCTTTACCTCTTCACCAACCTTTTCGACCATAACCATGAGTGTAAGATATCATTGGTATCATTCAAGCTCATTTCCAGTATTTTCTAACTCTTGACTCAGTTCCTCCAGTCGGTTTTGTCGTCGATCGACACTCCATCTGTGCCAACCACGAAGTCTGATTCTCCCACCAAACCCGCATCCACCAAGATGCCTGGCAAACCCGCTGTGGCCACCAAAGTTCCATCTTCACTGGGTCAGAAGAGAAAGGCCGAGACCGAGCAAAGCTCCCCCGTGAAGTTTAAACGAACTTCGAACACCACTATCTCCCCTACCAAGGAGAAAGCACCAAAGCCTGGACCGTTGAAGCGAGCTGGTCCCAAGCCTGCTGAAGTTCCTGCGAAGACCCCGCCTAAGGGTTCATTTGCTGATATTATGGCCAAAGCTAAGGCAGTGCAGGAGAATGCCCCTAAGAACTTTGGTGTGATCAAGAACGGCGCTTTTGAGCGTACGAAACTCGACTTCCCAAAGAAAGGGAAGGGAAAGGGTGCCGTCGCCCACAACCGCACCGTGGCTGCCACTGCCAAAAAACAGCGAATTGCAGACAGCACCGTGCTCCGACGTAAGCAAATTGCGGAAAGCAACGTTGCGGAATACAAGGGCACGGCAAAGCCACGCCCCGAATCCTCTACATATCGGGGTACTGCAGGCCGGCCTGCAACTCGTGCACCCGTTAATCGCCAGGTCAGTGCACGCGAAACCTTTTCTGGATACGAAGACAGTTACGACGATAACTACGATTCTGAGTTCTCCTCCGATATGGAAGCTGGGTTCGATGATGTTGCAGAGGAAGAGGGCGCAGCTCTCAAGTCTGCCAGAAAGGAGGACGAGGAGGAACTTCGCCAGGAGGTGGCCGCCAAGAAGGCCAAGGAAGAACGTCGCAAGAGGTTGGCCGCGCTTGTGGCTCGTAAGCGTTAGATTTGAGAATTCCTGAATACCATAGCTTTTGCTTAACAATTTCATTAAATTATTACATATTTTATTGTATATAGATCCTACCAGTGTCTTCAAAAACAGTGGTTCTACTTCGTACTTCCTACATCCGTATAATCCTTCCGCCGGCCCCACTTGGCAGGCATGACATCACTAGCAGTATTTCTTCATATCATCAACAATCCCACTATTTTCATCTGTTCTTTACTGCTTCCACCGACCATGGAGTCCGTTCATCATGTTTCGACCTCTTCAAAGATTCTCTTTGGAAAGGCTCGCCAGCTTGTACCCCCGATGCTCGAAAAGTTCCACAAAGGTTTGTCGTCTCGATGCCCTACCCTACACTTGCGTTCTGGCGGTCATTGAATGTTTATTGGTACTCTGTTCTGAATATTATACTTAATTTTTCTTCTAGGGCAACTTGGACGTGTTGCGGTCATCGGTGGCTGCGTTGAGTACGATTCCTGATGGCTGTGTTAAATTCACCGAGCTAACTTTACGGAAGCTATACCGGAGCTCCATACTTCTCAGCTATAGCATCTGCAAAGCTAGGTTTGTTCAAGTCAGCCTTTTGAAATTGATTCATAGAATTGACAGTTTGTAGGATGTGACATGGTCAGTGATTCGATCACCGTTTGTGAACATTACCTGCTAACATCTTCAAGAGCCATGTTCTCTGTGAACGATCAGCAGCACCGGTATGGCCAATATTTGGATAGGTATTGATTGAAATATGGACTGATATATGCTTTCAGGTCATTAAAAGCTACTCGCCAAACCTGATGGTGCATCCGATATTGCCCAGTACGAATACTGTCCAGGATCCCCAGTCAGTCGATGTAGCAACTCTCGCGGGTCCTATCATCAGCATGCTTTCTCGAATTCACGCTCTGGTAATTGGGCCTGGACTTGGACGTGATGGTGTTACACTAAAAGTCGTCGTGGAGGTGATCAAAGAAGCACGGAAGCGATCGATCCCGTTCGTGCTAGACGCAGATGGGCTACTTATTGTGACAGAAGATCCTAGCCTTGTGAAGGGATATAAGGAGTGCATTCTTACTCCAAACGTGGTTGAGTTTGGGCGCCTAACAAAGGCTCTTGGAATCAAGGTAGTCAGCCAAGTAGATATCGCAAAGGAAGAAGGCGAGGACAACACCAGCAAAGCGTCGGATGAATGCGAACAGCTTTCTAAAGCTCTCGGTGGCGTGACTATTCTTCAGAAAGGTCCTCGAGACGTGATCTCTAATGGAGTCACCAGCATCATCAATGATATACAGGGAGGTCTAAAGCGCAGCGGTGGCCAGGGAGATACCTTGACTGGATCTGTGGGGACGATGCTTGCTTGGCGAGCAGCTTACCATGATAAGCTGTGGGACTCCGGGGAGACAGAGAATGATAAAGAGGCACAGAACAAGAACGAGGTGCAAGCCGAGCTTGAGTCTAACAGACGCATGTCCCGCACAACTACTCTCCTGCTAGCTGCATGGGTGGGCAGTAGTATTACCAGGGAATCCTCGCGGCGGGCATTTGAAGCCAAGGGTCGGAGTATGCAAGCTAGTGACTTGACAGATGAGGTACATGGAAGCTTTTTGCGGCTGATTGGTGAGCCTGAAGGTTCCAAGACGCACCTTTAGACTGTCATCTTTTCAAAGCCAGCTATTCTTGGAGCTCACATAAAGAAGTTTCAATATCTACATTGAATGTGGATGCACTTGGCATGTCTATGTAATTTCTATCTGTTATCTTCCTGAAATATGGACTAGGAATGACAAACTCCTCCTCTCTCTTCCTTGGATATTGAAAATGCTACTGCCGGCGAGCACATGCAGTCTCAACCTTTTCCAAATAAACCAACTGGCTCTGAAGTTAGAATATGTGGCTAATTATAGCCTCAGTCTTGTTCCTAAACAGACTCAAAACATGCCCTTTCCATCGAGTTCTGCCATAATCGTCAACTCTCTGCGCTTTCCTGGAGATTCCCCGAAGATGAAATTGTAAATACTCGCCCAGCAATCTTGTCATTTCTCACGAAGAAAAGCACTTTGCTCTCCCATCTTTTGCAGGTCGCTCGACAGAATACAACTTCTTCTACTGCTCGCTCAAAGTCTGTTCTCTCCCTTGGCATTATGAATGCGGAGATAGCTCGGGTTCAATATTTGTTCACAGTAGGAGTGTGCACCTGTGGGATTGCCAATGGCCAATGACGAAGTCTTCGAGCCAGTGTTTGAACTCTTGAGGAGATAGATTCCCGGTGGACATGATATAGGTTTGTTGTTCTTCAAGTAATAGTCTTAGTTGGATTCAGATATGTTTGCGATTTGGGATGATTTTCAATTCGCATAGGACGAAGAAGAATATTCGATAGCTAATGGTTCATTAATCCCCGAGGCTTGCTGTCTTTCTGGTCCTGTGATTATTGCGCATATTGACCTCGGGAAGATACTTATACTAACTGGAGGTATCATTCTCCACTTATCAACCCCAGACTAATCCTAATTTGGAAAGAGCATTGTATGATCTAGAATTTTGAGAAGAAAGGCTTACTTTTTACCAAGTACTAACTCTGTCTGCCATGGCTTCACTTACTGAATCTGCCGATTCTGAGGAAGATCAGCTAAGGATCCTCATAGCTGGCGGGACATTCCTACTCATGCCCTCGCCCGCCACGACTTCGCCCACCATAACTTCGCCCACTATCCAAATAACTTCTCCTACCGCAACATCTTCGTCTGGTGACTTAGGTTCACCCATTCGATCTGAATCACCTGACGCAGATCAGTTCAAAGTACTCATAGCTGGCGGGAGTCTAGTAGGCCTCGCCCTAGCTCTAGCTCTTGAGCGTGCTGGAATCGACTACGAGCTTTTTGAGAAGGGAGATTTTGCACCACAGCTGGGTGCCTCCATCGGATTCCATCCACATACCATAAAGATTCTAGAGCAATTGGGAGTATGGGAAGACATTGAGAAACAAGTTGTACCGCTGCGAAACCGAAATCACTATGACGGAAATGGTCACTGCTTCGAAGAGTCGCATGTGTTGGCTGATATTGGTGAAATGTAGGTCTACAAGCTATCTGTCTCCAAGTTTCTAATCTCGAGCTGGCAGAGAGCAGCAAGAATTGTTCTAATGAGGTAACATTCTCGAGAATTTCTATAGTCTCCACCGTCCCATCATCTTCATGGAGAGATGCAAGGCTTTAGCAGTCCTCCATAGCCATGTGATAGACAAATCCAAGCTGCATTCTCGAAACGCTGTCGTGGGATATGAGGAATATCCTCAGGGTGTCATCGTTACTACAGAAGATGGCGAGGAACACTATGGCCAAATACTTATTGGCGCAGACGGAACCAACAGTAAAGTGAGAGAGCTTATGGCTGAGAAAATCAGTATCATGAACCAGTCCCTCTCCAAACAAATCAACGAGGGTTTGTCTAACCTTTTACTGCCCTTTTAAGGTTCCAGCGAAGCCAGTTAACTGATTTCTGACAGCTTTCACAAGCGAGTACAATTGTATCTTTGCCATTTCTTGGAATGGACCTGAAAAGACATTCTTGTCTGATGGCATGGTTCACAGCGTGTACTATAATAACTATTCTGTAACTGCAGCTGCTGGTGTGCATGGACTTGTGTTCTGGTTTCTTTTTATCAAGTCCAACATCACCAGATACCCAGATTTTCCACGGCTCACGGACGAAGATGCAGAGACGTTTATTCAGAAGTACGGAAGCTCTTTGGTAGGTCCTGGGTACACCGTGCAAGATCTCTGGGATGCTCGAGTCAAAGCGACAGTGGCACCCCTGGAAGAAGGCATCATTGGACAGTGGAGTCATAACCGGGTAGTAATGATAGGTGACTCAGTCCACAAGGTGAGGATCTCCTAAGTATTCATAGATTCCAAACGATTCAACTAACTTCTGTTTGCCAGGCGACAATTAACCCTGGATTGGGAGGCAATTTAGCCTACGAAGGTGTCGCTCGTTTCATGAATGGCCTCGTACCTTTACTCAAAGAAAATCCCGCACCGTCTCTTGAACAGTTGGCCGAAGTTTTCAATCGATATATGGTCGATCAAAAGTCTCGAGCGAAAACAGTGGTTGGGATTTCTGGCCAGATTACGCGATATGAAGCCCAAGATGCTTGGTTTCTCAAATTTGCATCCCGTCATATTGTTCCCTGGGTTAGCGACAGACTCAAAGCTTCACTGTATGTAGGGTTTTCAAGAGGTGGTCCTTGGTTGGAGTATCTTCCATTACCTGCCACGGCAGTAGATCTGACAGCACCTCCTCCTAAGGGGCCAGTTCAAGCTCGGAACATTTCCCCAAAGCTCGTTGCAGGCACAATTCTTAGCGGTGCCGTTGCTCTCTTCTGGTTGAAATATTATCGAAACCGCCACTAGCAACTACCGACAACCTTGACTCGATAATAAGATCTTTTGATTGATACATTATAAAACCGACCTCCTATCCCTAGAACACCTCAACACCCGTTACCTAGATTCTACCGATACCACTCAATGCATCTGAAGACACGCCAAGCACAGTAAATCTCACAGAAGAAAGGAAATCAACACCAAAATTACCACTCTTAGCCACGCATCTCATCGTCATTGTCCACAAACATAAGGCGAGAGCCATTGCCAGTAATTTGCCAGACCTGTGGGATAAATGTCAGTATTGTAGTAAGAGTAGGAAATGGAAAAGGAAGGAATGAAACTTACGTTCAATTCACCGTATTCGTGAAGAGTGGTAGTGAGCTGATCCTCGGTAAAGCCCTTGGCCAGCACACGTTCACGGATTCGTCGCACACTCAGCTCGTTGTCTTCACTGTCTCCAATTGCAGCAGCACCACTCTCACGTAGGTTACGGATCAATGTGTAGATCTTGCTGCTAGGAGTATGGTCGGCACCGGACTCGCCGTCACTGAACAAAGAAGCCTTGCTAACTTCGATCAGACGAAGGGCCTCGTCAACATCCTCGCGAACCACCTCTTCGCTGAAGCGGAGACGGGCCAATGCCTGAGAGAGACGAACAATACCCAGAAGTGTACGAGGAGTGACATGTGCAAACTGCTGCTTCCTGGCCTCGTCCTGCTTCTGTCTCTTGCGCATGGCTACGTATGCACCTACCATGTAGTCGGAGACACTAGTTGGCACAACGGGACGGAAGGAGCGGGCCTTGGCAATGTACTGACGAACCTCGTGGGGAGTGAACATGATGCCTGCATCCGCCGACTCGGGGTGCTTGTTGTGCATGTGAACGTAGGTGACGTGGTTGGCAAGTTCCTCATCTCCCTCGCGAGAGTGCGTGTCAAGCAGCAGGAACAAGACATCGAAACGGGAAAGCAGAGCAGCGGGAAGGTTGATGTTCTCTATGGGACTCAACCGCGGGTTGTATCGGCCATACAGAGGGTTGGCAGCAGCCAAGATAGAGGTACGAGCGTTGAGAGTGGTGCTGATACCAGCCTTGGATATAGAGATAGTCTGCTGCTCCATGACTTCGTGAATGGCAGTTCGGTCTGAATCGTCCATCTTGTCAAACTCATCGATACAGCAGATACCGTTATCGGCAAGAACCAGAGCACCTCCCTCCAGCATCATCTCGTCGGTGACTGGGTCACGCATAACGGCGGCAGTGAGACCAACGCCACTGCTACCACGACCAGTAGTATAGACACCGCGAGGGGAAACCTTTGTGATGTATCGAAGTAATTGAGATTTCGCCACACCAGGGTCACCCATCAGACAAATGTTGATATCACCACGGATGTGCATACCATCACCCATCTCTTTTGTGACACCACCGATCAAGAGTAGGAGAAGGGCTTTCTTGACATCCAGATGGCCGTATATTTCAGGAGCAATAGACCGTGAAAGATATTCGTACATGTTTCCTGAGCTTTGATGCTGCTCAATCTTGCGCAGGGTTCGGCTGTCCATACCCATATCCTGGTAAGATTTCTTGTGTTGGGTGATATATTGAGCCTCGAGGTAGGTATCGGTCAAAAGACCGGCACGAATAGCTCGGAAGCCAGTGTAAGGTGTTGGCAAGAAGATGCCTCCAATATCCACAACATCACCGGGGTTAAGCTGGCGAGAGAGAGCACCATGGCAGTGAATGGTTAGAGTCCGAGGAATATGACCCACAGGCACCTGATCGGCCATTTCTTGGATCTTGACTTCCTGGAATGGAACGAACTTGGAGGCGCGCGTGGAAAGGAACAGCTGGCCCTTGGAGTTGTTCTTCTTGCACTCCTCCGACAAGCACTCAGTTAGGGGGAGGAACTGCTTAGTGGTGATAGGCTGGAAAACTTCGCAGCCGCAGCGGTCACAAGTATAGGCATTGATCTGAACGGCGGGCTTCACGTCCGAGACACGAGTGGTGATACCGCGAACGGTGATCAGGCTACCGAGGTGTTCTGCGCGCACGTTTCGAACAGCAAGCGCCTTTCCGCTCTGGTCGCTGCTGGAAGCGGAGGGTGTGAGGGGCTTGAAATTGAGGGTGTAGCGGCGGGTAAGCTCCGGGGGAAACATAGCCTCAGGGGCGGCGGCATCCATATCAGCCTCAGCGGCCATCTCCATGGTCTCATTACGTCTGTCACGCTGGGACATAATTACATCGAGCACATCGTCCTTGAAAGTAATATCCTTCGTTTCTTTCGGCATGACCGAATCGACTGCTTGTGAAAAGACATCGATATAGCGCTTGGCATTCTTTTGGATGGAATCGACTAGCTTCAGTTGCTCAATCTCGTCAGGAAGGACAAGAGCTTTCTCAAACTATGCATTCGAGGTAAGGTTTAGTTCTTGCGATCGCAAATGTGTCCTTGGGCCATAATACATACCACTTCCAAGTCATCCAATTCAATCACAATGTTGGAGACATCGCGGTTGGCAATGTCTTGCAGAATTTGCATGTACTTGAGCTTAGGCTCGCGGTGCCTCCTTGCGCCTCGAGTCCCATCCCCTACACCATTGATATCGTCCATAAAATCATACTCATCGCTTTCGCGGTTGCCATTGATGTTTAAATCCTCCAACGCCTCGGTCGCAGTGGCTTCTGAGGTGGACTGGAAGCTCTTGAAGTGCTTCAAGAAATCCTTGAAAGCATCCAATTGTGCGGCATAATCGACCGGCGCAGGATACTGATTCAAAGCCATATTGCGGGATATGAGGATTGCGCTCAGATGGAGTGAACGCAAATAGTGGTGGGGAGTGGGTTTTTTTCTGGTACAGCGGCAGCCCTTACCGTTGGGTTAAGTAACGCGAAACGCGCGACGCGTCGAGAATGCAGGCGTGTATTACTACTCCATTTCGCGTCTGTACTCCGTACCGTAGCTTGATTTAATTACTACAAAATCCTTCTCATCATATTCAAAGATTTTCCCTTACAGTACAAGAAAATCACGTATTTTCTCTCATTAGGAGCTTTATTTGTCGAAATTCTCACTCTCAGATCATTCCAATCTGCGGGTATTCAACTGAGCATCGCGATTTACTAGATTTCGAAATTGGATAAATAGTGAGCTTAGAACTAATCAATTCTCACAAATATCCAATGGATAATTCAGCGCCCTAAGTGAATACTATTTATTTATATTGCAGCAACTACTACCCCTCTGCGGTCCGATATTCAGCCGTGGATCACATGACTCTGAGCTCTTCCCCAAATCTGACCTCGGCTTAGGCTATGATTGTGGAGTGTCCGGGGCCATCCTCATCTTCCCCGCGCGACAAGAGCTCCTCATTCGGCTCACCATGGCGCCCAAAAAGCCTTCTACCAAAGCAGAAGTGGCTCTGTTACCTTTGAAGAATTGTCTTGTCAACCTCCCGACATCTCTGGTGTCCTTACTCGTTAATGCCAATACAGTCAGTTGCCTCATTCGTCCATTGCCGAGTATAGCGGCTGACCTCCCCTCAGCCTGCTCAGAATGTCGTTATTGAACTTGAGTTCAAGTCTCCTCCTGGGAAGGCCAATGGAGCTCCGCCGCAGCGATCATGCTTTTTGGGCTGGACAGGTATGCCGAGCAAGCGCAGGCTTGCGCCGGTCGTAAGTCGGGATGGTATCAACAACGGATCCTCACGAGAGCAGGAGATTTCCACCGTAGAGCTAGATACCACGTTCGGAAGGCTTCTGGGTCTCGTTGATGGGCAAAGAGTACGTTTGTTGCGGTCATGCTACATCCCATGCGGGGAACTAACTCCTGCAGGTTGGACTCTATGTACATCTTGATCCGCCCGTCGCGCATACTATCAATATCGAGCCATTGACTCCGGAGGATTGGGAAAGTATGTTGGAAATTCAATTCCCTAAGCATACTAAGGGGCCCTGGGCTGACACTCTTCTCATAGTCATCGAACTCCACGCCACATTCCTCGAACTTAATCTCCTATCACAGATCCGCGCTCTCCCCAACCCTTCGTACAGTGAACCATCATCAGGGCATATGCACCCGCTCGCGCTACATCTCTCACCTACATCTACTGCGAATATAACCATCACCTCTCTCGTTCCTGCTCCACCAAACTCATCCCCATTTGCGAAAATTGCGCCCGACGCGGAGGTCATCGTTGCACCCAAAGCCCGATCCAAGACTGTAAAGTCCTCTAGGGGCGACAATAGGAGCAATGCTGGAAGTAGTAGAAGGAGTACAGGAGGACGCAGCGCTGGGAGTACCCTTCCGAAGGGTAGTCGATCTGAGTCTAGTAGTAGAGGCGCCCTGTATCTAAGAGGCGTAGATCGTCTCATTGCCGATGAATCATTTGAGGAAGAGATAGATGTGGATATGAACGACAGCCTATGTGTCTGGGTTGATCCTGAACTATTAACTTCTAAAGAACTGAAGGGTGCGGCTTGGGTTTGCGTCTCTGTTATCCAGCCCTCTGGTCTCAAAACACCGGTGGATCCTCAGCAGCAAATTGCTCAGCAAGAACAGAAGCCCCATGAAACTGGCGCTCCTGCTACCAAGTTGGTGGCGAAACTTTTCCCGTGGGAAGAGGCGCCAGACAATCAGCACGTGCAGATGTCCACAATGCTTTGCAATGCTCTTGGTGCTGAGAACATGGTAGGTGGGATTGTGCGCGTGGAAGCCGCACCACCGCCACTTCATCGATCAGCCACCAAGACACTCAAGATTTATCCGTTTATGGCCGATGCATCGAAGAAAAAAGATGGGCTGAAGTTTGGGTCCGACACGGTAGCCTCTCGGGATGCCTTGGCCGAACGTCTCAAGGTTATCTACGGCAGCGCTGGTTCCGACATTGGCCTTTTTTCTGGCCCTTTGACGGATGGCATGGTTCTACCTAAAGTTGATAGTCATCATGCAGTGTCCTCGTTTGATGGTGCTATCTTGCGATTTGATCCCCCGTTGAAAGGAGGTGTCGATGAAACAAAGACGATGTTTGGCTGGCTTTTGGGCTCTGAAGCCATAATAAATATCGACGTGCAAGCTGAAATCCCCAAGCCATCAGGTGCAGGCGCATCAGCTCTGCCTACAGAGGATCCTCTGCCAGATACTGTTCCTCAACTGGTGGGGATCGATTCAATAATTTCACAGTCGCTAACAAACCTTACCAAGTCCTCATCTATTCTACTGACTGGTGGACTTGGAGCTGGTAAAACAGCTCTTACCCATCTCTTGGCGCACCGTCTGCGAAAAGATCATCTCTTCCATGTTAAATACTTTACCTGTCGCAAACTTGTCACAGATGAAACACGTATTTCGAACATTAAAGAGGTCTTAAACCGCCTCTTTATGTCTGCTTCTTGGTGTTCTCGACTCGGTGGCCAAGCTGTTGTGATTCTTGATGACCTAGACAAATTGTGCCCGGTAGAGACGGAACTGCAGGTTGGTGGAGATAATGGCCGCAGCCGTCAGAATAGTGAGATTATATGCTCCATGGTTCGAGAGTTTTGTTCAATGAACTCATCTGTTGTGTTGCTGGCTACAGCTCAGGATAAAGAGTCTTTGAATAATGTGATCATAGGTGGTCACGTAGTCCGAGAGATCATCAGCGTTAGGGCCCCTGATAAGGAAGGACGTCGAAAGGTCTTGGAGAAACTAACCAGTCAAGACAAGCCTACCGTGTCCGATCCTGAGGGCCTTCATAGCCATGAGCGGAAGACGAGCTCTTCCACACATGACTCATGGCTCGATCCATCTCAACCTGATAGTCGACCAAGCACTTCTGGTGGAGACGGATTTGTCCTCGGCCGGGATTTGGACTTTCTCGAACTGGCTGGTCGAACTGATGGATATATGCCCGGGGATCTCGTGCTACTAGTTGCTCGTGCCCGTAATGAGGCTCTCATACGATCAGTCCAGGATCTATCATCCGATTCTAAAATGATTACTCTAGGCTATGAGGATTTTGAGAGTGCACTCAAGGACTTCACACCCGCCTCACTTCGCAACGTCACCCTAACCTCTTCGTCAACAACATTTTCCTCCATCGGCGGTTTGTTCGAGACTCGCAAGACCCTGTTGGAAACCTTACAATACCCTACAAAGTACGCACCAATTTTTGCCAGGTCCCCGCTTCGCTTACGGTCTGGTCTGCTTCTTTATGGCTTCCCAGGTTGTGGCAAGACTCTTCTGGCTAGTGCTGTAGCTGGCGAATGTGGATTGAATTTCATTAGTGTGAAAGGCCCGGAGATTCTGAACAAATACATTGGTGCTAGTGAGAAGAGCGTTCGCGATCTCTTTGAAAGAGCTCAGGCCGCCCGGCCCTGCGTCCTGTTCTTCGACGAGTTTGACAGTATCGCGCCTAAGCGTGGCCATGACTCTACGGGTGTTACCGATCGAGTTGTAAACCAGCTCCTCACTCAAATGGACGGTGCAGAAGGTCTCTCCGGAGTCTATGTTCTGGCAGCCACATCTCGGCCCGATCTAATCGACCCAGCTTTGTTGCGTCCGGGTCGTCTAGACAAGTCACTCCTATGCGATATGCCCTCACATGCAGACCGCATCGATATTATCCGCGCAGTAAGCGACAAGCTCAACATGAGCGATGAGGTTGCCACCCGACTGAACGAAGTTGCAGACCACACGGAGGGCTTCTCTGGAGCCGATCTCCAGGCCGTTGTTTACAATGCCCACTTGGAAGCAGTGCACGATGCACTGGGTGACAAAACCAGCGGCAATGAAAAGCCAGGCTCTAAACTCGGCGCCTCCAAGACCACCAGTAGCTCCAACAAATCTTTCATTCAGTTCCTCTACTCTTCTACGGAAGAAGTATCCGGTCCAAACGCCCTACCGTCACCGGCGGTGGTTGCGGCCAAGCTGGACGCTCTCAAGAGCTCGCGTCGACGTCAACGCCAGCTCGAAAACGGAGTTTCAGCTGGACCTACCTCCACCGCCCCAACAGCTAAGGGTGCTGAACCCTCTGTTGACGAGCTACGGGAAGAGATCATCGTTCGATGGGAGCATATCGAGCGTTCTCTCTCTAGCACACGCTCTTCTCTCAGCGCACCAGAGCGCAGACGTCTCCAGGGTATCTATCACGAGTTTGTGGCGGGGCGTAATGGAGAGATGCCCAACGGCGAGGCAGTGAATGAAATTGGTGGTCGAACCAGCCTGATGTGATGAGATTAATCTTTTGAGGCTTCTCCGTTCAAACGAGTTAAGTGTGTATGGAGTTAAATGACCAAATTTAAAAGTAGTACATAATCCACAGAGTTTCTCTTTTCCAAAGCTAGGATGTGCTATCGACGTCAATCAATGAATTTAGAATTTCCCAAGGTTCAGTCAGAGACATATCTCAAGACGCACACTGCGTATAAAACATGTATATTTGATTTAGAATTCCTATCTATTCTTTCTCCAGAGCCAGATGGACAAGCTTCTCAAGCTTTTTCCACTCACCACTCATCACAGCCTTCTGTGTACTAGGATCAATGCCCATGGACGTAAACTCCTTGTGTACCTGAGCGAAATTTGACCCAACAAGCTTCTTAAAGCTCGGCACTGTACAACTCTCCAACTGTCTACTAGCCAGATCGGCAAGGACATACCAGATGATGTAATGGAAATTCAGCCCAACCTCACGCAATTGAGGATCCTTGATCTCAGTCTGGTCTTGGGAAAGGTAAATACCCAGTTTCGCCAGGACCCAGGCGTGAACGTGTCGAATTGGATGAGCAGGGCTGTAAATGACCGGATCAATGCGCAGGTACCGGATCGCGGCGTGGATAAACGCCGTACTGAAATTCCCCGTTGAAAGCAGCGAGACGATGAGTTGGTCTCGTAGTGAGGCGTAGGGCTGGCGCGTGATGGGCCAGGCGGATGTTTTGCGGAGAATGTGAATAGCTGACTGCAGTGACCGGATTGTCTCTTCTGGCCTTGTGCTAGATGCGGATGCAGACTGCATAAGTTCTAGAGCTTCGCGCTCGGCTGTTTCGAGAATGGAAATGTCTTCTGGGGGATTGTTGAAGCGATCTTCTAGTGTATCGGTGCCTCTTTCGCATTTTGCGCATTGACAGTCGAAGAAGAAGCGCTCTGATAGCTCTTTACGTCGAACTTCACGGGGTGTTGTGGTATCGATGTATGAAATGAAGATTTGTTCATCCTTCTTGATAGGTTTAATGGCTTTCATATAGAGTTCTTTGCCATCAAATCCGACTGTGGCATTGTAGTCGCAACTATGATTGCATAGTGCGACATATGGATGCAAGTAAAGTCCGATGCGGTCGTAAACAGATGTTGTCAGGTTGAAGGAGTTGAGATCCAGCTGGACGACTATATTAGCTTACAGATCTGAAATAAAATTGGAATAGAAACAGTAATCGAAATGGGAACCACAGCTGGTATCGGTTGGACAGAATCATACCCGGGCAGTGTGAGCTTCGATCTCTTCTGTGGTCAAGTTTGACCCCGAGTACTCCTTGACTGCATTTGCAGTGTAGGTAATCCGGCTCGTATGGGCCTGACTTTGCGACACTTCGGCCATATGTGTCTCTAGATTAGAGAAGAGCTTGAAGAACATCTGAAATTCTGGGGTGTCATATTTTTCGCGACCAATACGAGCGATCATTCGTAGAAGAGCTCGAGCAATGTTTGGTAGAACCATAGGCTGTAGCTTCTCGTATATGGGGCATTCTATCCCATGGCCAAGTTTCCAATCCCTAGATTGACACATCTATGGGTGTGTGTTAGTATCAGATAAAACCATCCAAAAACAAGTTGATGATTTAAGACACATATTCTGTTTGAACTTACCCGATCACAGTATTTCACAACTCGACATCTTGTACATGATCTTAGCTCAGCTGCACCAGTGTCAAGCTGCCTCTTCCCAAAGCAACCAGCACAAGTGTCCCCAAGTCTGGAAGAATCCAGCACAATTATATATGGCACTTTGGCATGCAAGACATCCTCTCCGACTTTGATGTCCTGCACTGCGAATAATCCATTCCCCATCCCATTGGAGGTGGAACGGGACTCAGCTTTAGTTGTTACTGATGGCAAATTATTCTTAGTCGACATTTTGATGGGTAGTTGAGGGAGTAATTAGAATTTGATACTGTTGATATTTATTCGGATAACGTTAACTAATTAATATGTATTAGTCAGCCAATATGCCCCGTCCTTCTTAATTCAATTTACGTGAAAATTAAAGTGAATTTCTGCGATTATATAATGCTCGATTGACGCGTTAGTTACTCCCTACTGGGACTCCGTGTACAGTAAAGACACCTGGGCATGGATATGAAAGGCCTCGAATAACGTCGAAAATACCTATCAATAATCTGCAAAGGCACGCTATTCCAAGGTTCAACAAAGCGTGTCAAAGACTTCAAAATATTGAAATTAATTATTCATTAATAAGGTAAAAAACAAATCGAACTAAAAGCATAAGTAATTCTAAGTTCTCCTCAACTTATATGGGTAACTATGCTCAACTTTCAAAGTTTTGATTATTTTAGCGAATTAAGAGTCAGTTGAAAGTGAGGTAAAAGTGAGGCATTGGAACCAAAGTTGAGGTAGCAGGCCCGGGGTTCACACCTAGGTATATAATTTTTACATCTACAACTTCAGACCTGACCAGGACGCCAGGACAAATCTTTTGGCGAACGCCCAGCCTATATTGGAGTGAGAAAGAGCCTTAAATACAATCATTCAGGTCACCAGAATGACACTATAAAGCAGACTAACTTCAGAGCAGCGAGCCAGACCTGAATCTCAGGCTTTTGAATCAACTACCTGAAACCTCAAGTCATAATGATTCAACTACCAAACGCCGAAGAAGGGGGCTCGGATGACTTATATAAATATTGAAGGGGTATCAAGAATGAAGATTGTCCTAGAAAACTTCGAACCCCTATCATATTAAATGCTAGTACGATGACGCAATTTGTTTAAGAGAGGTGACAAGATCGAGGAGCTGGAGGAAGGATGTTTCATCGAAGCAATTCCAGACCAATGTCGTCGGCAACATCCACCTCTTTAGCCCTTTCCTCCTGCATCTGTTCTGAAGTGGCTATGGGTTTATACTATTAAAATGTCCAGATCTTTCAATTCCGGAGACAAGGATACATACTATCATTCGCAAAGTGGCCCAACTCTACCACTTCTGGGCTGATACCCACGAAGAGCACTGAATGAGATAATAAGTCTTAGTTTCTTGCCAGCAAGAAAAAGATCTCCCCAATCTCAAAGCTTCTTCTCTACATATGACCCTTCTCTATATATGACCAATCAATATCGGTTCTATCGTACCTTAGAGTGAGGCCCTTCTGCCGTGTCGCGGACACGACAATAAACGTATCATCCGATTCAAGTTTTCGATGTGGATACTTTCGAATAACTACTGAATACGCCCGAATGCGGATGCTGACTCGAAATGCGGGGAAACGTGGCAAATTCTCTTTACTCCGGCGTATGCGGTGAAACTACAAGCTAGCCTGTTATACTAACGCACCGTTATCGATCAAAAGCCTCGCAATTGCTTCGTGGCCATTTAATGAAGCCATATAGAGCGGCGTCTGTCCAAATTTGTTGCTAGTGTTGACGTCGGCTCCCTTGTCGATGAGAAGCCTAGCAACTGCTTCCTGGCCATTCCCTGAAGCCATATAGAGCGGCGTCTCTCCATCTTTGTCGCTAGTGTTGACGTCGGCTCCCTTGTCGATCAAAAGCCTAGCGACCGTCTCGTGGCCATTTAATGAAGCCCAGTAGAGCGGCGTCTCTCCAAATTTGTTGCTAGTGTTGACGTCGGCTCCCTTGTCGATCAAAAGCCTCGCAACTGCTTCGTGGCCATTTAATGAAGCCCAGTAGAGCGGTGTCTCTCCATCTTTGTCGCTAGTGTTGACGTCGGCTCCCTTGTCGATCAAAAGCCTAGCGACCGTCTCGTGGCCATTTAATGAAGCCCAGTAGAGCGGCGTCTCTCCAAATTTGTTGCTAGTGTTGACGTCGGCTCCCTTGTCGATGAGAAGCCTAGCAACTGCTTCCTGGCCATTCCCTGAAGCCATATAGAGCGGCGTCTGTCCAAATTTGTTGCTAGTGTTGACGTCGGCTCCCTTGTCGATCAAAAGCATCGCAACTGCTTCGTGGCCATTCATTAAGGCCCTATAGAGCGGCGTCTCTCCAAATTTGTTGCTAGTGTTGACGTCGGCTCCCTTGTCGATCAAAAGCATCGCAACTGCTTCGTGGCCATTCATTAAGGCCCTATAGAGCGGCGTCTCTCCATCTTTATTGCTAGTGTTGACGTCGGCTCCCTTGTCGATCAAAAGCATCGCAACTGCTTCGTGGCCATTCATTAAGGCCCTATAGAGCGGCGTCGCTCCATCTTCATTGATAGTGTTGACGTCGGCTCCCTTGTCGATCAAAAGCATCGCAACTGCTTCGTGGCCATTTAATGAAGCCCAGTAGAGCGGTGTCTTTCCATCTTTATTGCTAGTGTTGACGTCAGCTCCCTTATCGATAAGAAGCCTAGCAAACGTTTCGTGGCCATTCATCAAGGCCCTATAGAGCAGCGTCTCTCCATCTTTATTGCTAGTGTTGACGTCGGCTCCCTTGTCGATCAAAAGCCTAGCGACCGTCTCGTGGCCATTCATTAAGGCCCTATAGAGCGGCGTCTCTCCATCTTTGTCGCTAGTGTTGACGTCGGCTCCCTTGTCGATCAAAAGCCTCGCAACTGCTTCGTGGCCATTCATTAAGGCCCTATAGAGCGGCGTCTCTCCAAATTTGTTGCTAGTGTTGACGTCGGCTCCCTTGTCGATCAAAAGCATCGCAACTGCTTCGTGGCCATTCATTAAGGCCCTATAGAGCGGCGTCTCTCCATCTTTATTGCTAGTGTTGACGTCGGCTCCCTTGTCGATCAAAAGCATCGCAACTGCTTCGTGGCCATTCATTAAGGCCCTATAGAGCGGCGTCGCTCCATCTTCATTGATAGTGTTGACGTCGGCTCCCTTGTCGATCAAAAGCATCGCAACTGCTTCGTGGCCATTTAATGAAGCCCAGTAGAGCGGTGTCTTTCCATCTTTATTGCTAGTGTTGACGTCAGCTCCCTTATCGATAAGAAGCCTAGCAAACGTTTCGTGGCCATTCATCAAGGCCCTATAGAGCAGCGTCTCTCCATCTTTATTGCTAGTGTTGACGTCGGCTCCCTTGTCGATCAAAAGCCTAGCGACCGTCTCGTGGCCATTCATTAAGGCCCTATAGAGCGGCGTCTCTCCATCTTTGTCGCTAGTGTTGACGTCGGCTCCCTTGTCGATCAAAAGCCTCGCAACTGCTTCGTGGCCATTCGATGAAGCCATATAGAGCGGTGTCTTTCCATCTTTATTGCTAGTGTTGACGTCAGCTCCCTTATCGATAAGAAGCCTAGCAACCGTTTCGTGGCCATTCCTCAAGGCCCTATAGAGCGGCGTCTGTCCAAATTTGTTGCTAGTGTTGACGTCGGCTCCCTTGTCGATGAGAAGCCTAGCAACCGTCTCGTGGCCATTCGATGAAGCCATATAGAGCGGTGTCTCTCCACCTTTATTGCTAGCGTTGACGTCGGCTCCCTTGTCGATCAAAAGCCTCGCAACTGCTTCGTGGCCATTCGATGAAGCCATATAGAGCGGTGTCTTTCCATATTTATTGCAAGTGTTGACGTCGGCTCCCTTGTCGATCAAAAGCCTAGCAACTGCTTCGTGGCCACTCATTAAGGCCCAGTAGAGCGGCGTCTCTCCATCGTCATTGATAGTGTTGACGTCGGCTCCCTTATCGATAAGAAGCCTAGCAACCGTTTCGTGGCCATTCCTCAAGGCCCTATAGAGCGGCGTCTGTCCAAATTTGTTGCTAGTGTTGACGTCGGCTCCCTTGTCGATCAAAAGCCTAGCGACCGTCTCGTGGCCATTCGATGAGGCAAGTGACAACGGCGTTCGCCACCCTCTATCTAACTCATCACAGATCGCTCCCCTCTCTAGTAGTAGCTCGACTATACTTGATTGACCATCTTGTGCAGCCCAAGATAATGGTGTTCGATCTTCATATCCTTTCAAGTCTTTTCTTTGGTTAAAACCCTCTGTTATGTCGACACCGTTATGGATCCTTGATGGTAAGTTCAAAAGAGCAGCAACAGCGTCTTTATTACCATTAGCCAGTCCAGCAAATAATGGGTACCCATACCTTTCCCCAAAAATATGAATTTGCGGATCTTTTTTGAGCTTTTCTTGGATAAGCGCTGGACACCCTTTATCTGCCAGTATATAAAATAGACTGGCTTTTGGCGTATATTTTCGAATTGTGAATTTTTCGAAGATGTTGCTTGTGTCGATCCATCTGGAGATAGGAAAACTTGACAAAAATTCCTCTTGGGGAACCGCTTTAGCTGCGGTGTTGGCATGGTAGAGGATATTCTGACTGGCATACTCTAAGAACGGATACTTGGTCAAGATTTCTTTTCGGTCGTTAGAGGTAGGCTCTGGTGGCAGCCTGTTCACAGACGCAAAGATCAACGTATGATTGGTGTAGAGGTCGCAGCACTGTTTCAGTTTGTCATGACCTAGGCTCTCGCAGTTCAACCCAAGCTCGGGCCATAATTCATATAGACCCCTATCTTTGATGAGGAAGTCTCGAACAGATTCATGGATGAATTGAACTGTGGGCTGACCAGATTTAGTGGTCTCAGCAAGTCCTTTTGAGGAGCTAATGATATATCTCTCAGCCGGATTAGTCCTAACCCCAGCCCCAGTTTCTAGGGCGGTCAAATCTGGAATCTGGCTATCAACCAGATGGTTTAAAGACAACCCAGACCAGAGAGCATGATAGAGCTCCTGCGGCCGCAGAGGACTTTTTGCGTACAAAATCCAGAGGATGCAAAGTTGGAAAGCCTCCATATCCTCGTTGTCACGCCGTAGTATATCTTTAAAAAGCTCATTTAGATCACTAGGTATTTCTGAGAGTCTCATTCTCAGAGCCATTCCGCCCCGTCGGTACTCCTTGTTGAGAATATCTATAACTAGGACGACCCACATGAAAACTCCAGCAGCTTTGCTTAGAAGTTGTGGTTGTATCTCGTCGAGAAGCGTACGCTCTTGAATAATGAGACGGTTCGTGATGTAGGTTACCAAGTCTTCTGCGTGACCTGACTGATCCTCAAGTGTAAGTCGGATACCTCGTTGAATTTCGATATAGGGATAGTGTCGGCTCGAAAAGCAGATTCGGAATAGGGCGCCTCCAGCAGTGGATTTTTCGGCTAATTCTTCAAAATATTGGACCATGTCCACCACTTGCTGCTCATCACATTCGTCTAGAGCATCGACGAAGCAAGTGAAGGCTCGTTGACCTAGGGCGCAAACCCCATTGGCAAAAAGTTCCTTAAGAACATCCAAGGATAAAGAACCATTGTGGTTTAGGGGAATCAGGTCGGGATCATCCAGAACAACCTGAAGGTCGGGATACCCTTGAAATAGTTGAAATAGTAATGAGCGATACATCCCTAAGATTGATTTCTCTAAGTATTCGCCTCGAGCATTGAAGAAAAAAGAAGCAGTGATAGCGTGATTATCACGGGCCTTGCTTTTCATGTGAGAATATATAAACTTCATGATTGTTGACTTGCCAGCACCAGGTTTGCCACTAATCCATAAGAAGCCATGATGTTGCGCCAATCTTGCAGAACTAAGCCACTCTTTATAACAGGGATGGCTGAGAAACCAGCGACACGTCTTCTTCTGTTCTCGCTTGATGGTCGCTTTTCGGGCATTCATTTGGTCGAATTCCAAGGAATTTAATAAGTTTTGCCGACGTTTATGTGGTAGAGATTGATCTATATATAGTTTTAGCGGCAGAAAATTAAGATTCTTTCTAAGGTTGGCATGATTTCTTACCAGGGTTCACCATAGAGACAATACTAGTATGCGATTTGGTCATAGGTAACTCCTCAAGTAACTCCCTTGCATATGCAGCTGCAGTTGCAGCGGCAAATCTTTGCCATTCTTTACTCTTGTGAGAGTCTGAGTAGTCACAGATTCCCCGGATTGGGAGACATGGGAGGATGTCCATGAGACCAGCACTTTCCATCTCAAAACATATGACATCTAGCTTGCGAGCAATGTCGTCTCGGGCTATGCCGTCTCTCATAACTTGATTCCCTGAGGCAATTGCGCCATAATGGATCTTTACTTCGTCCGACATTCGTTCGCTTCGTGGTACTAGCTTAGAATGGTCGCATTCATCACAGCTACCACTTAAAGTTGCGTGCTTGTAATTCGCATCGAATAGACGATCTGGTAAATCTGGGCGACCGTACGGGAGTTGTCCTAACTTTTGTTGTAAAATAGATAGGACTCTGCTAGGGCCTAGTTCGTGCTTGGAACGGACAGCAGAAACAACCGTACCAAGTAAATGATTAGAAATTCTAAACGTCGCTGTTGGCTGAAGCAGTCCGCTTCCGAGAACCTTTCCAAGATCATACTGCATCACTCTTGTGCCGACGACAATATCACCTAAACGCACATCAGCCTTGCTTGGCACACCACCGCCAACTCCGACCATTAAACATGCGCGAATCGCTGGAAAAGTCCGCTTCATGTTCGTCATGACAATAGCTGCATTGTTCGTTCCATATTGCTCTGTTGGCAAACACGCAATAACGATGTTATGTTGGTTGATGTTTCCTAGTATATAGGTGTTTCTATCGTCTGTATGCGTAGGCAAGGCTTCGTGAGAGTTGTCTAGCATAGCCCGGGCTGCTGCCATCTCTATATGAAGTGCGCACACCCAGCCGATGGTATAGCGATCGTATTGTAAAGCTGGCAGGACGTCGTGATGGGAAGTCTTATGTCGCTTAGACGGGTAAAATTCTGCTGTGATAGTGCTACGGTTGTCATCCATTTGGATGCCATCATTGACCCCATTATTAGATGGTAATGACATGATTAGTGTAGCCTATACTGCTGGTGGTTTATGGCGGAGGGTATATTCTGACTGTCAGCTGAATGAGGGGGCACTCTGCTGCATCATCAGGTGATCTCTTGGTACTTATGTAAATAAAAACATGCGATCATTAGATATCTAGACCTAGATACTTTACTATGAGAAGCCTTCAAAGCAGTATGAAAACATTTGAAGGTGATTATCCTCTACCTACAGGAAGTGAAAGGTTGATAGAGATAGTTGTATTAAGGCATTTGCAGGTGGGACATGTGATTATTGTACGAAGCAATATAGGTCCAGTTGACTTACTAGTGTTTCACTCGCACTTTCATTGATGCAAGTTATACTCGCGGTTCCCATAGACGACGGGCTTTAGTCGGATAATTCAGAGAGACATGATGATCTACGAGGTATAAATAGCATTTTAGCTATTACAAAACGCTTTACGCCCCTATAATATCTTGTGTCTTCTGGAGCGGTTGTAAAGTCTGAGTTTCATTCTTAGTCTACTAGCTATTATAAAGTGACGATTTGATCACATGACTGCTTTGTTCCATATTCCAACAAAAACAGATCAAAAAAGGGCTCTTAATAAGAAGCAGATATCGCATCAAGGCAGTCTGCGGAGTTTAGATGAGATTGAACAGAGTATGGTTGTCGCTGAAGATGGTGGAAGTGAAGGTATATATCTTTGACTGAACTAGCTGAAGTTGAACCTATACTTCGACATTCACCTTTAATTCGTCGTGTTGTGACGTATTCTAGATGTGGAATTCGTGGGCATATCTATACTCAGTGTCCTACACGTGTTAAATAGCTAGTTTTCATACATTTATGTTGTTAAATTTGATGTTCCGAGAAATTAACTAGCCCGCGCAGCGTACACGTTGTCAATTTTTTTGTGGTCCCTATCAATTCCTGAAATTTTTTTCATACCACTAAGCCTAAATAGTCAGAACGGTTCAGCCATATTTTGGTAGATTGCCTATTTGGGTTAGTTTGAGTTAGCTGGGCTTTTTGGGAGAGTTCAGCTGAGCTGTAGTCACGACAGTCAAGGAATCTTGTAGATATGATCAGAGGCTGCGCTGATGGAACCTCGGAAGCTTTCAAGATTAGGTTGAGTTGTTGAAAGAGAACGCATTGTCTGCCATACTAAGCTTACTAAATTACAAAATTGGTCGTTCATAATAGTGGATTGAAATGTTATTCGCTCATCTGCAGATAATCCAGAAAGACTAGAGGTAGAATCGGACACACGTGGCAATCATAAAACTCATCCTAAAAGGGAGTAAAAAGAAGAATACAAGGCATCATAGAGCCAGAAACACGCCAACGGGAAAGCTTAAAGGAGCTTTGGTTCTTTTAAGCCTTGGGCTCAGAGACAGCAGCAGGAGCCTCGGCAGGTGCACTAGCAGTGGTAGTCTCACCCTCATCGGCCTTTCCAAGCTTCAAGTCTGCGAGACGACGGGCCTCGGTGTGAATATCACGAACTTGCTTATCAGTCTGGACGTAGAAGTCACGCAACTTCTGACCGGTGGGGTGCTCGAGGGCCTTCTCGAAATAAGAGTTCAGACCGTGCCAGCCGCTAACGGCCTTGTTGGAGATCTGGTAGTTCTCATCAATGTTCTTGGCGCGGTCGGTGGCATGGTACTTATTGTCGAAGTTGGTCAGAGCAGTCTGGAATTTGGTGGTGAAGCCATGCTTCTGGTCCAAAGCGATAGCCTTCTGGATGGCACCATCGCTGAGCACGTAGCCGTGGGCCAGGTACTCTGCGAAGATGCGGGAGCGAGGCTTGTCCTCCTGGGAGATGTGGTCCTCCTCTTCCTTCTCGGGTGCCCTGGTGGTGGTGGTACCAGCAATCTCATCAATGGACTGAGCAGCTTCAACGTGTACGGAAGAGCTACCCAATTGAGTCTGATCAAGTAGGAGAGCAGTCTTTGCAGCTCTAGATACGGGGAATCGATGGTCAGTATGGATTAAGATAACATGGGAGTGCCGTAAAACATGGTGCGGGGGTAGCTTACGCTTCCTTCTCAAAGGTGACGGTGGCAGACTTCTGAGCCTCAGCCTCGGAAGAGACGGGAGTGACAGTGAGCGAGGTGATCTTGCCACTGTAGAAATATTATTAGTATCTTGAGAAGCCCAAAGGAGTCGTACGTTCATACCAGAAGCTGAAGAAGTCGCGAACCTCCTTCTCAGTAGTGGCGGACGAGATGCCGGAAACGTGAACAGTGCTAGACATGATGAAGGTAATGGAAATTGTGAAGATGAGAGAAATATTTTAGAGGGAGAGAGGTGAATTTAAGGAGGAAAAAATAGGAGGAAGCCTGGCGTAATTATTCCAACTGCGCCACAAGTGACGTAGAGCGGGGAACTACTGAGTACTAACAAAAACGGGTTACGTTACTCTTTCTGCTTTTTCCTTCCCAAGGTTAAAAACGTAGAACAACGTCAACGAGTAAGAAATATATTCCATTTTAGTCTGCTTGTAGTGAAAACGTAGTCTCTAGGTAATATCTCCCCATTGCTTCCTGGCCTGCAATGCAATGGAAAATAATTGAGTTTGGGCTAAGCTTCTCTGCCTCCACTTCCGCCCAGCGATGGCCGAATAACTTATGTTGATCCTTCTTTTTGACTCTTCAAAAATTGTTCCAATTCACGCACTCGTCGTCGGAGTTGTTCATTTTCATGTCGGACGGTTTCCAGCTCAGATTTATGCAGATTCGCTTCCTCGTACCGTGCGATGGCGTTGCTCGATGGTCCGAGTTGCACCTGAGAAGCCGAGTTGCGGTGTGGGTAGATCGAGGGACTGTTGCCGTAGTGAGGCAGATGTTCGGGGTAAGGGTGTTGCATGTATGACGATGACAGGGACTCGACTGATGGACGGGGAGATTTAATAGATGGCTCACGGCTTCGCGCTGGAGCAATTCCAGTCACACTAGAGGCTTGGTGAACTGACGCAGCGCTAAGACTGGACAGGGAGCGCTGACGTCGAGAAGTAAGGGAGTGTGTCGAACCGGGCAGCGAGGAGAAATATGTATTCACATCCGCCGATTCATTCATGGAGGTGGAAGATGTGGTCGAGGCCACGGATGCCGTCTGTTGTCGAAGGAGGGAGAGCTCACGAGTTAATCGGTTGACCTTGCAGAAATTTAGCCTTCAGCTTCATGTACAAGCTCGCATTGTCCCACTTACAATAGCTTCCTGCTCCTTCTCTAATGCCGAATGCAAGTCCGAGGGAGTGAGAGGCTTGGGGTGACGCAAAGGGCCTGCTTATTAGTTAATATTGGGAGTTACAGGTGGCACAGGTTCTTCAACAGCCCATATAAATTGATATTAATTCTGGGGATGTCTTACCTTGAGCAGTGATGGTGATTCCATGATCACTACCATCAAGCGGTGGGTTTCCTTGAACTGGTTGTCGGGCTGCAAAGGAAGGAGATGCTGTAGATGGGAGCATCATTGTGGCAGCTCGACGACGAGGAGTGGACTGAACAAAGCGGAGATCAGAGATCATGGTCATGGTTGTGAGGGTATCAGGGTGTAGTACCTCCTCCGGTCCTGCAGAAGGCATGCAGCTCGCAGCCTAAGGCGGGGTCCGGAGCGAACTATAACTGTCTTAATGTCAGGCAGCGATCGTCCAGGGTTTCGTTATCCCTTGATTGGAATGTATCAAATGACTTGAAACATTCCAGGAATGAAGTGGTTCAGATTCAGGTTTAGATGGTTCTCTGAGCGGGGGTTTGTTTACCTGCGTCAGGATTATAGGTAACGTGGTAATCTAAACAAACAGATATACTCTTTATGATTGGACCGTGTCCATTCCGAGAAGAGGTTAGGCTGTAAATTCTGTACTTGTTAATATCATGCGATCGAAAATACTATAGTAAATGTTACTGAAGGGATGGGCCTACGAGTGAGACTGTTGGTGCTATCATTATGCCTTATATGGCTTGAAGCTCAGCTTAGCTAAACAGATGAAACACAAGTCTCCAGACTTTGAGTCTATTTCAAAATACCAGTAGTTTTGCCTGACGCAACCACAACTTCGTACCAATATCAAGTTGTTAATTCAGCCAGGTTCTTGTGCCGGGTCCACGGACTTCTTCAGGTCGGGGTTGACTCGTCAGTGTGAAACACATGGAAGTGGCGTCGATAGCAGCATAAGTATCGCACCGTGTAGTGTGAGTGAAGATACATAGCTGGTCGATTGTTTGGTACACAGAAAGCGCGAACCTTTCCCCAGCAACCGCCCCAACGTTCACATGTGAGGGTTTCATGGTGGCGATGTTGGCTTGTCGTTTCAGATCCACGCACTCCCGGGCTTTAGAAGTAAAGTTACTTGAGCTTGACCCAGTTCAGATAGATTTCTTTCAATGTATTCTGTGGGAAACTAATTATATCTGTTTCTTTGTCATAGAGTCATGTAACCATTTCAGCCAAATGGAACTCTTCTTGTACCATCGTATTCATAGCATCAAGGAGTGCCTTCTTTTTCGTGAGATAGCGCATTCGATTTTCCTTGTCGATGTCTGAAGTCGAAGGGTAAGCCAGCCAGCTTGCGGCATAAAGGAGGCGGTTGAAATTCGCGGATTGGAGTCGGTTTTCCAGGAGTTGCCAAATATCAATTCCATTGCGGTTACAAAAAGGCTGTGATAATCTTCAAGATGAGGAAGGCATGACATATCAGCAAGTCGAGTGAACAGACAAGACTGAACAGATCAATTGCCACAGCTATGATGCTGATGGCACTGGCTATGGCATGCACCGGAGAGTTCGATGAAAAACTGGTTGTTAGATATTTCAAACTGGCTGTAAGTACCCAGAAAATCAGTCCTAGGAAGCCGCAAAGTAGAACGAATAGAATGAATGCCACAATTGTCATGCTAAAGGCAGCGAATATGGCATTTAACTGAGAGTTCGTGGCTACCTAAATTAGCACTCTTACTTACTGCATTTAACCAAGCTCAGGTGATAACTATCTCGTGTTTTGCCTACTGTATAACAGCGAAATTTGATATATTGGGCAGCTGTACAGTTGGCATGTCTTAACGACGCTCCATGTCGCAATAACCCATGAATTTGAGAGAGAGGATCTTAACTGAAGCTGATAAATCATTGGAAATAATCACTATGCTGGGTTAACTAGTCTCAGACCATCAGTAGGTAGGCAGCAATGTATCCAAAATACGGTATATACCACGATAGAGATTATGGAATATTCAAGGCCTTCCTGCCTTATGGTGCTCAAGTCAAGAGAAAGCGGTAAGTAAGTCGGTGGATATATTTAGAGGCTGAAAGAGCTGATTAGATCTGGAATTACATAAGCCGACATGCCAAAGCAGCATGACTGAACTAAACCTTCAAGGGAGAGTCTAAATTCAAGGCTAATTGAACTTCGAACTGACAAAGAATGTGATATCTAACGTCCTACCTTGACATCATCAGGTCACGTTCTCATAAGCACTCCTTAGCCATCTCTTGCCAATGTAAACATGGCTCGGCCCTACGAACCGCCTACCCACATTCCGCCCTTTCTGAAACAGCTTGCTCCTTACGTCAAATCGCAACAAGAAGCTCTCCAGATTCGACAGGCGCTGACCTCATATCTACGCTCGCTGATCGTCTTTGACGATGCGGATCCCGCCACTCATACATCCCACCTTACCCTGTGTGCGCCGACTGATGCAATTGTCGATGTCAAGCGTATCCCGGCCGATCTCCCCGGACTGAGAAAAGAATACCTGAAAGCTCTCGAGGCCAATGTTGCCGCTAGAAAGGAATTTCGCGCCGCTTCAGAGGATGTCAGCTCCTTGAGACGTCAGAGACTATCCCTCGATCGACCCTCCAAGCCTGTCGATCTGCAGGAACCCGGGGCAGAATTGCGAGATTATCTCCTCCTTCTGCGCGATCGACGTCGTCATAATAAGCTGCAGGTTTTTCACCATTATCTTGAGGAATTCCGGATCAAACACCACGGTGATTCAGAATGGATTGGCGCTGAGGAAGATTCGAGTCGACAATTGATACCCGAGGGCTTGGATGAGGACATACCGAGTCTCAACGATACCGATACGGATCTAGAAGGGCTGATTCATAATTTGGAAAGGGCCGTAGTTCGTGCTCGAGCTCGATTGGATCGAGAGAAACGATTATTCGAGAAGATCAAGGCGCAGCACGACTCCCAAGGCTACACAAGTGAGGTTCCAGCAGCCACGAAAGCTCATGCACTTCAACAAACCCGCGATGCATTGGTTCAATGGGTTGAGGAGCGACTTGTTAGCGGAGGGGACCCAGACGAGAGCATGGTGCAAGACCTGTCTCCGGAGCAAATTGAAGAAGCGCAGAGTGTGCTGAATCGGCAAAAGGCCCAAATAACCGAGCAGTATGCGGAGTATCTCCAGGCTCGACGAGAGCTTCTTGAAGCAGCTTCCAAGGCCTGTCAGCCTGTAACAGTGACTGCGAAACCCTCTTCTCGAACCACATACAAGACTGAGATTATCCCTGCACAAACACCGCCACCCAACCCGCTGGATGTTCTATCATATGCCAAAGAGGCTCTTGTACCGCTCACCAAGAGCCACAAGGCCATGGCTCTCCAGAAGTCATACTTGTCCAGATTACTCGAGAAAGAGAAATCCACCGTTCTGCGCGCACTAGGTCGGTTGAGCGACGAAAGTCACCTGCTCCCCGAATATCCTATCCCCGCACGCCAACCTTTATTCAAGCATGCCGTCGCGGCTCTCAACTCCCGAAGTTCTCCACCGCAGTCTGAAAATCACACAGACGATGTCCTCAGCCTGGCGGAAGCATGGGCGTTTGCTTCTAGTACCGCGACGGCTGATTCAGGCGAATTCGTGGAGCAAAAGCTAGCTTTGGGCTCGGAAGTTGCCCGTGACGCGAGATCGTTACTGGAGGAGGTATATGGCACGCTTCACCAAGATCTGGATGGAGTCATGCACGGAACGCATAGCCAAGACGAGCGGCCTAAGGGACTTTGGTCTGGTCTTCATGGAAGGGTTGAAATGAATGAGTCTAGCTGAATATGGCGGGCTCCAATGCCAATGCTCTACCTATTCAAAATTTGTACTAAATAGGTACCGTATTGTCTTCCATACCTAGATATACTGTATTAGATTCCATACATTCTATTCCCGAGGCCAAGATCTTCTGTTCCGAGATTAAATATATGTCTTTCAGTTTCATTAAATTCTGAAGGTTCTTGTCGGTACACCTGTACCAAGTGTGGAATAGCTATTCGATAAAGGTGATGAGGCTAACGCCCACTTCTGACACCTATCACAGGTAACGCTTTACGCCCCTATGATATCTTTGTGTCCTCTTGAAGTGGTTGTAAAGTCTGGTTTTCATTCTTAGTTTGCTATCTATTATAAAGTAACAATTTGATCACATGACTGCTTTGTTCCATATTCCAACAGTTCTATAACATATATTCTATTCCATATATCCAAATTCTGAACCACATAATAAAACCTGAACTCGTCAAGTCAGCCACGGCGCTGATCGCTACAGATAAGAGATAGTCTACTTTAGCCCAAGAGGGTCCGGCATCGGCATCAAAAATTGGAGCTCAACCCTCTAATAATGCTTATATATTATCGCATTCCTGAATCAGACCTGGAGGTTCAATTGAATTATATCTTCTCTAGAATCTAATATATCAATAGAAGAAATGAGATATCGAGCATAGACCACATAGCTCATAGCTATAGAGCTAGAGAAGAAAGATCGGGGCTCCACTTAGAGGAACTAGCCAAATCCGTCTGTTGAGTCATTCAACGAGAAAGGAAAGAGGGAAAAGAAAAAAAAAGCCTTAAAAAAAGAAACAAGGGCCAATTCCATACTTTCAAGATTCTCAATATCTTAATTCCCCCAATTCCATCTGAACCAAATATCCTACCTTATCTACTTCTTCCTTGAACACTTCTTATCTCTTTTTTCTCGTTCTTAAAAAGTGGAACTACGGAACCAGCCAATCAGCAACCCCGTGCGGAAAAAAAAAGACCTCTCTCGGGCATTTCACCTTCATTCTACCTCAACCTCCTCACCAGCAATTGAATTATTTTGTTAATCCGCTAATCTGCGGCAATGGTTCTGGCCGCTCGTTGTGGGCAGGCAGCTTCTTTGCTGCGCCAGCGATGTCTCATTGAGGCTCGCCCGGCTCTCTCTCTTCGCGCCTTTTCCTCCCAATCCTCTGTCCGTTCCACCGCTGCTGCTCTGCGCTCGCAGAAGAACCCCTCTGTAGCTCGCTCCCAGCAGCTTCGCAATCTCTCCACCTCTATTCGCCGTTTGGCTGAGGCACAGCAGACCCCTTCTGCTGAGTCTTATCTAGCCAGCGGTGCCATCAAGTCCAGCAGCAACCTCGTCGATGTGAAGAAGGTGTTAGTCATTGGTAGCGGTGGTCTGAGTATTGGTCAGGCTGGAGAGTTTGATTATTCCGGTACGTTGAGATAAGAGACACCCTTGATCCATGTCGTCTTCCCTTCGAGAAACGATGCGCCGGCAAGCTTTCCCTGTCGGGTGGTTTGCAATTGGTCAAATTTCACCTCCGGACTGACATATCTTTCTTTCAATCTAGGCTCCCAGGCTCTGAAGGCTCTTAAGGAAGCCGGCATTCACTCCGTTCTAATCAACCCCAACATTGCGACTATCCAGACCGATCACAAGCTCGCTGATGAAGTGTACTACCTTCCTGTGACCCCCGAATATGTTACTCACGTCATTGAGCGTGAGCGTCCCGATGGTATTTTCCTTACCTTTGGTGGTCAGACCGCTCTGAATCTAGGCGTTCAAATGAACCGCATGGGTATTTTCGAGCGCTACGGCGTCAAGGTCCTGGGAACCAGCATCAAAACCCTGGAGACCTCCGAGGACCGCGATCTCTTCGCCCAGGCTCTGAACGAGATTAACATTCCTATTGCCGAGTCTATTGCCGTGAACACTGTCGACGATGCCTTGAAGGCCGCCGAGTCTGTTGGCTACCCCATCATCGTTCGGTCCGCCTACGCTCTGGGTGGTCTGGGCTCTGGTTTCGCGAACAACGAGGATGAGCTCCGTGATCTTTCTTCCCGCTCTCTGTCTCTGGCTCCCCAGATTCTTGTGGAGAAGTCCCTTAAGGGCTGGAAGGAGGTTGAGTACGAGGTTGTCCGTGATGCCGCTAACAACTGTATCACCGTCTGCAACATGGAGAACTTCGACCCCCTCGGTGTTCACACCGGTGACAGTATCGTCGTTGCTCCTAGTCAGACCCTTTCTGATGAGGAGTACCACATGCTCCGTACCGCCGCTATCAAGATTATCCGTCACTTGGGCGTCGTTGGCGAGTGCAACGTTCAGTATGCTTTGCAGCCCGATGGTCTTGACTACCGTGTGATTGAGGTCAACGCCCGTCTTTCTCGTTCATCTGCTCTGGCTTCAAAGGCCACTGGTTACCCTCTTGCCTACACTGCCGCTAAGATTGGTCTGGGTCACACCCTGCCCGAGCTTCCCAACGCCGTCACCAAAACCACCACCGCCAACTTTGAGCCCAGTCTGGACTACATTGTCACCAAGATCCCCCGCTGGGATTTGAGCAAGTTCCAGCACGTGAACCGCGACATTGGCAGTGCCATGAAGTCTGTCGGTGAGGTTATGGCTATTGGTCGTACCTGGGAGGAGTCACTGCAGAAGGCTATCCGCCAGGTCGACCCCAAGTACATTGGTCTCCAGGGTGACCACTTTGAAGATCTCGATGATGTCCTGCGCAACCCTACTGACCGCCGCTGGTTGGCTGTTGGTCAAGCTATGCTTCACGAAGGTTACTCCGTTGACAAGGTCCACGAGCTGTCCAAGATCGACAAGTGGTTCCTCTACAAGATCCAGAACATCGTTGACTGCAACAACGAGCTAAAGGATATTGGCAGCCTTTTCGGCATCAAGAAGGAGATGATGCTGACTTCCAAGAAGCTCGGTTTCTCTGACAAGCAGATTGCTCTCCTTGTCGGCTCTACTGAGGACGAGGTCCGCGCTCGCCGCAAGTCCTTCGGTATCACTCCATGGGTCAAGAGAATTGATACCCTTGCAGCTGAATTCCCCTGCTCTACTTCTTACTTCTACACCACATACAATGCCTCTGAACACGATGTCACCTTTGACGATCACGGTGTCGTCGTTCTTGGCTCTGGTGTTTACCGTATTGGCTCATCTGTTGAGTTCGATTGGTGCGCCGTCAATGCCACCGTTTCCCTGCGCAACATGGGCAAGAAGACTGTCATGATCAACTGTAAGTGACTCCCGTTCCTAGTTCTGTCCATCGTTCTTCTCGATTTAGCGTTGAGTACACCTTTTATTCCATTTTTTCTTCCAACTCTTGAACTCCTGGTGCTAACTTATATCCTTCTTTAGTCAACCCTGAAACTTTTTCGACTGACTTCGACTCTGCCGACCGTCTTTACTTCGAAGAGCTGAGTTACGAGCGTGTTATGGATATCTACGAGCTCGAGAGTGCTAGCGGAGTTGTGGTGTCTGTGGGCGGTCAGCTGCCCCAGAACATCGCTCTCAGGCTGCAGGAGACTGGCGGTGCTCACGTTCTGGGCACTGACCCTCTGGACATTGACAAGGCTGAGGACCGTCACAAGTTCTCCCAGATTCTGGATAGCATTGGTGTCGACCAGCCTGCCTGGAAGGAGTTGACCTCTGTCGCCGAGGCCGAGAAATTCGCTGACTCAGTCGGTTACCCGGTCTTGGTCCGTCCGTCTTATGTGCTGTCTGGTGCCGCCATGAGCGTCATCTACGGTATCGATGAGCTCAAGGAGAAGCTCGTCAACGCCAGTGCGGTCTCCCCTGACCACCCTGTCGTGATCACCAAGTTCATCGAAGGTGCTGAGGAGATCGATGTTGACGCTGTCGCTTCCGGCGGTAAGCTCCTGATCCACGCGGTCAGTGAGCACGTCGAACAGGCCGGTGTTCACTCTGGTGACGCCACTCTGGTTCTTCCCCCTGTCAACCTTGACGATTCCGTTATGGCCCGTGTCAAGGTGATTGCCGAAAAGGTTGCCAATGCCTGGAACATCACTGGTCCCTTCAACATGCAGATCATCAAGGCTGACCAGGAGGGCGCTGAGCCTGCACTGAAGGTCATTGAGTGCAATCTGCGTGCCTCTCGTTCATTCCCCTTCGTCAGCAAGGTCCTGGGTAAGAACTTCGTCGACATTGCCACCAAGGCTCTTCTCGGTCGTGACGTCCCCGAGCCCGTTGACTTGATGAAGGAGGAGCGCGACTACGTTGCTACCAAGGTTCCCCAGTTCAGCTGGACCCGTCTTGCCGGTGCTGATCCCTTCCTGGGCGTCGAAATGTCCTCCACTGGTGAAATTGCCTGCTTCGGCAAGGACCTCGTCGACGCCTACTGGGCCTCCCTCCAGTCCACCATGAACTTCCGCATGCCTGAGGCCGGCGAAGGTATCCTCCTCGGTGGTGACATTTCTCAACCCTACCTGACCACCATCGTCGACTACTTGCAGCCTCTCGGCTACAAGTTCTTCGCCGCCAACCCCACAGTCAAGGCTCATCTCGAGTCTAGCTGCAAGGATAACGTCACCGTGCAGGTGATTGAGTTCCCCAAGACTGACAAGCGTGCCCTCCGTGAAGTTTTCCAGAAGTATGACATCCGTGGAGTCTTCAACTTGGCCAAGGCCCGCGCGAAGACCCAGCTGGATGAGGACTATGTTATGCGCCGTAACGCCGTCGACTTCAGCGTCCCTCTGTTCATGGAGCCTAAGGTACCGTAACCCCATAAGTCATTTTTAGAGCTTACCGAGACTAATTCACACATAGACTGCTCAACTCTTCGCTCAGTGCATGAGCGAGAAGATGCCCCGTGTTGAAGGTATTCCTTCCGAAGTCCGCAGCTGGTCGAACTTTGTCGGTGGCAAGCACCTGTAAATGATGCGCAAAAAATTAAAATTAAAAACAAAAGCAGCCCCTCGAGCGCCGCACATAGCCAGGCGAGCCTGCAAGACGAACATCCACGCTTTGTGGGCTATCAATCCGCCTTTAATTTGTGGATAGGATATGAGTCTCATCCTTACTGATCCAATCTTGATCTTGATTCCATATATTGTCCCTATCACGTTATTGTTTGGACATGAGGGTATTTTCTTAGCAGCTTCAAGCTGTGAATACACCTAGTCCTAATTCTCAGGATCTGGTGCTTTTTTTCATTTCCATGTTTGATCTGGGTTTCCGTGTTTCAGCGATAAAAAAACAACTTTTTCTATATATCAAATTTCAAGTGTGACTTGCCTCTTCGATTTAGTTTTGCTCGATCGAGCTCATATCAGGCAATCGTGTAGGCCATTTTTCAAGACGAATGCTCCAGTGTCGAAACCACCTTCCTGCTTCCTTTGATGTATGGATTTTAGCATTATTCTGCTGAAATATATCATCATCCTCATAGAGTGGTATAAGGCTCTTTTTTAGGGCTTTAATATAGGATTTACTAGTAAATTCTTTACCTTTAGACCTAGAATCGCGCTCTATAAAAGCTAGTAACACCCGAAATTGGGAAATTTGCCAGGCGCACCAAACACGGGACAGCACGGATAGTTATCAGGCTTCAGACTGTTACATACTAGTATACCCGTTTATCGTCATTCTTTCTACCAATGCATTTCATTTCTTAGCCATCAACCCCGATACCGGTAACACCAATAGTCGAGGCTTTGTAGTATTATAGGGTATAATATACAGATGCAACCATCAGCATTGAATAGATAGGAGGAACTACCTAAGTAGTGGCTGCCTTTCGGCATCCGATTCTTGGCCTCTTTGCCGCAAAGCTAGCCGCAATAATATTCCCTGTCCAATTGCAAAAATTGCCTCGTCAACAGCATAGAAGCCAACCTCATCATACCAAGCAGAGAAAACATGGAACGTGAATCGAGGTGGCTCGCCCGGTCGTCCAAGAAAGGCATTTAATGGGAAATATGCTCGAAAGATCCAAGAGATAGCCGAAATCACGAAAATAACTGATTGATATTTCAATCCTGTTATCGAGAAAGGCGAGCTACCTGGAGATGACCGGACCTGTCGAATTTGTAAAATAGTCGCAATCAGTGGCAGGAAACTTATAATCGGCCGAATCAACATTTCATGAAAGCCTAGAAATATTGGAATTTCAAGCCCACGTTCTCCAACAAGGTCACAATTCGGCTTATCTGGCGGACAAAATATATCACTTGTTGTGATGATCACCAGAGGGATACCGGTCACCAAAAGGGGGTTGTTAAATTCACTAATAGTCTACATTATGTTAGCTATTTACCCGTAGACTAAGTTAGTAGAAAAAGAATGGTTTACACTAGGACATTTCATCGAAAAGAAACCTGTCTAATGACGTTACAGAAGTTCCTTATAGCCCTTCTGTACTACTGGCAAAAAATAGGAAACTAGTGCTAGCTCTCGGATCTACTACCTACTTTGTAGATAGATAATTTAAATCTTTAGTTGGGAATCTATTGATTTCTGGCACAGGCTAAGTGGTTGATATGGACCCTTACTTCTTGCCGACTTCGATTATCCTTCATGCTGTTACCGTTAATCATACGGATCAATCTCGTTATGTAAACCTCGGCATCTCAGCATCTCAACCCGCCACCTTCCTGTTGGAGCTACGACATGGTAGGTTAAAAATGGGAGTTTCTATTGATAGAGAACAGAGGTGAAGAGTGGAAGGTGGGATATCGGCTATCAAGAGGGATTTGTGGCGGGTTTTCTCACAAATTGAAGCTCCTAATAGATCCTGCTTGAGAATGTAAAGGGAGTTGTTCCTTCGTAATGACGCGTGGTAACGAATTCAATGCGAATAGCGACTAGGGCAGTCGCTACTGAAAAAACAGTTCCTTTCTTCGATTCCCTGATTCAGTACGTCTACTGATCAGTGTCGGTAGAAATGGTGACTAGTCCTACTTTCTGCAATTCCATTAATGACAATAATGATGATCAAAGAAGTTGTAAGAGGTGTGTCCAATCTAAGTCCTCGCGATGGAATCGGATATGCCCCGATTCCCTTCCAAGTCCATTCATCTTTTTACTGCAGTGAATCCTCAACACCAACGCTTCACCTGGTTCCAACAGTGTGTGCCTTCAATCTAAACCTAGATCCACTAAGTAAACTAACCGTCCCACTTTCTGCTGTCTGGCCAATCGGAATCAATGTTGATTCAATCAGGTTACTAACGAGTACCCCCGATCAACATCACAGAGAACCTTTAAGGCTTATCACCTACCTAAACGACGTCAAAAGAATAAATCCCCCTTGGCTCTCGTCTTGCGAAAGAACGACTTGAAGCCGCTCAAAAATGGCGTCAGGATGTGGATTGGAAGAAATGGATCTTCTCGGACGAATGTTCTGTTCAAAGAACCTCAAATTCTGATATCTAGTGGGCTTGGATGTTGAAATCAGAGACTTATCTAAGTCATTTATTAATCCTAAAGCCCATGTGAAGAATAATTCGCAGATGGTTTGGGCGTGTATATGGATTGGTGGTCGTTCAAAGTTGGTGGTTATGGAGCGTGATTCTAGGTCCAAAGGTAAAGGATTTACTAGTAAATCCTATATCAAAGCCCCAGAAAAGGACCTTTTACCACACTTTGAGGCTGATGATATATTTCAGCAAGATAATGCTAAAATCCATACATCAAAGGAAGCAGGAAGGTGGTTTCGACGCTGGAGCATTCGTCTTGAAAAATGGCCTGATATGAGCCCGATCGAACCACGTTGGTATCTTCTAAAGTGTAAATTAAGAAAGCTACACACTGAATTAGTCGAAGTGGGCCAAACTGCAGCTGATTGGACCTATTTTAAGGCCTGTATTTGCGAAGCTTAGCCCATTTCGACTAATTCGGGGTGTAGCTTTCTTAATTTACACTTTAGAAGATACCAACATGGTTTTCTCAGGTATAGCTGTACTCCGTCCAGTGCTACATAATGCAGAGAAATTTAAAAAGACCAGGATCGATATCATTCTTGCAGAGTTCAAAACCGACTGTGCCAACTCGCTTTATCCTATTCAGTACCTTTTATTCGATCGACAGTTTAGTCAAAACATATTTTATGAGATTTTACGGGACGTGGAACCTGAGACCCTTAAAAGCTGCTCTCAATCAATATATCGCGAGCGGAAAACACTATCGTGTATAGCCACGAAGTATTCAAAGCTTAGCCACGTCGCTCTTCGTAGTTAGTCTCGTAAGTTAGAATCTCATGGCATTAATGTACATCATGCCCATCATTCATCGCGTGGAATATGAATATGGCAGGTGATATAATATACTAGGAAAGTGCTTAACTATACTATATATTAGTTTACAATGCCAGACTTCCTTCGGCTAGTGTTCTATCCGCTAAGCTTCTGCGGCAATCCTAACTACGAACACGGAAGCCATCGACATTTTCATACTCCGATATTGTTCAAAAACTTACTATATTTGCATCATATCTAGAGGCCATGATCTAACATGGAGATTATCAGATTACACAACAGGGCCAACGGGCCGTCCGTCATGTTTTGGATGAGGTTCTTTCTGCGCCTACCTCGGCCGTTCCGTCAGCATTCGATTCCACGATAGGGTTCAACATCAGCGAGGTGGACTCGGTGCTAGTAAATTCGGATTTACTGGATGGCATCGATGCTGATGATCGGGCCTATTTCTAGAATGGTTTGATAGGACAGCGGATTTGCACGAGCCATGGCTTGTATGGATGAACTTGAGTTGAACTGATTTAGTTAAGTAGAGATAAAAACAGAGGTATGAAAAGAGCTATCAAAAAGTAGTTCACAAGATGAACAGCATTCCAAGGTTTAGTTAGGTACATAGGTATAGACTGAACATAGACTGGATGTCCTAAGCAACCTGTGAATCAGCGAGCCTAGATGCTACCAGCAATATTGAAACTTACTTAGGTACTAAGAGAGTGTGGGCTAAAGATTCCAAGTTTTTGCTTCTTCGATTAGGGCTCGGATTATATAGAGAAAACTAATCAAAATGAAGGCAATGATGATAGATCAAATCAAGTAACCTTAGCTATGGCGGTGTTAGCTTGCAAGTCAAAGTCATAATTCTCGAAGTCAATGTATATTACTTAAGCCAAACTTCAACGCCAGAGCTTCAACACCAGGTATCTCTGAGCTCTCACAAAGGAGACTAAAGAATCGCCGTGTTAGCCCCTACGATATGCCCTTCCACGGGAATTCACGCTGCCCATCCCCTCTTCCTTTCTTCTTTCCCCTTCCAACAGGAAATTCACAAGGATAATTCTGCAGCGGTGTCAATACTATTTTCATCTAGAATTGGCATTACTCTTGATCATTATGGAATTTTCATGCCCTCTTGAGGTAAAATCTCTGTTTTCTTTTGTTTCATGACATCACCTATTGCTTGCTGCTCATTGCGGTGAGAGATGAAATTCCGCATTGATGCATTTGAATTTATCACAACATTTACCTGTTTTCTATGTTTGTTGATCTCCCTTGCAGCAGTCCAAGCGACTAAGCGATATCACACACACCTCAATGATGACGATATTGATAGCTTTCAGTATGATTACTAGAGAAGTGGACTTCATCCCTCGACGGCCTGGCCGTTTTGTGGAAGGGCCACTGTCACAATATGATTCGAACTTGCGAAGCCTGAGAGGATTTCCCCTTTATGTTTTAATTACACTACTCACCTCTGGCCAATCTTCCATATCTCAATAATGATGCGAGTGGATTTCACAATACGTCTAGCAAATCATCCCTCGCCTTGCCCCCAAAGTGCCTAGGTGGAAGGGAGTGTTTAATATTTTGACTAAAGAATAGCTGAGAGATTGTCCCCTTGATGCTTTTATTCTCTACTCTTGACTGAGGATTATTTAGCTGGTTCAATTTATGGAGCTTGGGAGTTCATGGCTGGTAGCTACTTGGAATTTTGGATATCCGAGGCCAACGCCATTAAATTGAGCTATCCAGTATATGATCGTACCAAGGAATCTTCCCAGTGCCACTTGGGTACTTCGTAGGTTACCTGAAAACAAATATTTGAACACTCATTTCGATTTTCGTTTAAATCATACACATGGACTAAAAGGAACCGATTCAATCATGTTTGTCCTTCTCACCATACTTCGCAGCCTGAATCTTCGAATACTCATTCTCGGGGTTACTCTCTAGTCCATGTTCCTTGAAGTGGTTATTGGAGCTTTCTTGGGAGAATTCATGCGTATGGCGTGTCGACTCGCTCATTTTGCCGCTTCCTGGAGGGTCGTGCAGCTGTTGGCCTGTTTGAGTCTCTGGGTCTGGAGACTGACGACCTTCGCCTTGGTATGGGGCAGACATTGTATAATTTGAAAATAGGTTGTTTTAATGAATCTGCGAAATTCAATATTAGTTACTTCAATGTTGTAGTGCGTAAGTGGAAATTATGAATGAACGATACCTTTGGAGCGTAGTTGATAGGTAAAATATGGTATGTATAGATGGATTGACAGATGGCTGATTGATTAAATAATTGGAAGAATAGCAATTTTAAATCTACCATGGGCATTCAATTCAAGTTTAAATTCCTGACGTGACCAGTCTCAACCGGATTGGGTATTTCATCATGATGACGTTGGAGCTTAGTAAGAAATCCAAATACTTTGACGAACTTTATCTTAACTTCAAGTTCAGAATAGAATATGTCATTCCAAGAGAGAAGATCATACAAACCATCGAGTATTCAATTGCCTTACATCATTATACGGTAGGTCATGTGACCTGAGCATAATGAAGTTGTGTATTGGCCTGAAGCTTCAGGCGTATGTTTCCTGACTTAGGGACAACGCTAGACTAGAACTAGAATAGGTTTATTGAATGACTACAATGTCAGAAGCCTATGTATGAGTCTGACTTAATGGTTGTGGCGCTGATGTACTATGATAAAAGATATCTGGTGGGGGAATCTGTGCAGAGGAGACGGATTAAGCAAGGGGGCATGAGATAGAGACTTTTGGGAGCACATCAGCACATAAAAAAAAGAACAGAAAGAAAAGCAGACGTCAGCAAGTATGGACTACAGCAGAACAGACATGATCTAGACATAGACAATTGAGATGGAAGACATGAAATGGGGCATATGTCTCGTGAACAAGGAAAAAGAAAAATGAGATCCCGCTTGATCCTTCAATCAAGTTAGGGATTCACCCACTTCGAAGATCTATTGGATATTGTTAATCTGCATGCCCGCAGCGGCGGCAGCTTCGGCTTCGACTTGTTTTAACGCGGCATTGTCTGCCTCGTGGAACACTCCCTGGATAACGTTCTGCTCCTCGGGGCTGAGAACCCTGGATAGACTATCATACAGCTGTGGCTGCTCGGATTGGAGGTCTAAATGGGAAATTAGTAACCCTTCAAGAGATGGGGGAGGCTAGGAGGTCACATACTCAAGAAGACATGCTTGAACATGCCATAGGGGTCAAGCTTGTCCAATGGAGTCTCGAGAAGACTCTCCTCGTCCAGATCGTCGTCATCGTCATCATCTGCGAAGGAGCCAAACTTGGCGGCCTCCTGGCTGAGGAAATCGAGGTAGGCGGCGCTCTCGTCGGCGACGTCTCCGTCACCTCCAAGGGCCTCCTCAACCTCTTCCTCGTTCCATTCGACATCACCATCCCAGTCGTTCTCCTCGTCATCATCATCGCCTTCATCATCGTAGGTGAAATCAGACTCTTTGGTAGCTTCCTCACGCACTGCATGGGAAATGTTAGTCAAAATTTAGATACCGCAGACACGAAAAAGGGCACGTACACTTAATTGCAGCAGGCAGGGTCTGGAAAAGTCTTGTCACACCCTGCAACAATCTTGGCCATCCCTGTTGGACACTAACGGGAACAACCTCTGCTTTCATAGTCAAAAGCGAGCTAATGGCAGCAATCGACAACTTCTTGTCGTGAACACGACGGAAGGTATCTATGCTGGAGAACCAGGTGCTGAAGAACGTGTTCGTCCAGCCCTTGGATTCCAGAACCTGGAGACTGAGGATAGGGTTGTAATAGATAGCATTGATCACCATCTCCATCAGGTGGAGACGGTACGACTTGGTCGGGACCTCCCCAGCTGCAATGACAGTCATAGCCAATTCAATAAAGAGAGGAATGTACTGATCAACATGACCACGGAGGTTGAGCATGAGAGTCTCGGCGAGTTTGCAGCCACAGATCCGGTCTACTCCGCTAACAGTCTCGTTGCGGAAGATATCTTCTACCATACTGACAGTAGCAGCAAGGTAGGCTGGGTTCTGCACCAGGGTCTCGGAGCCGTAGGTCACATAGTTATCAAGCGCAGGCAGCATATCTGAGAAAAAAGTTAGAGATTATCCAAGGTTTCTGGAAGTCAATGGTCGGTCATATGCGCTCTTACCTTCGAGGTACAGCTCCGCACCGGCCTTGAAGGTCTTGTGAATCAGCTCAAAGGCCTGCCACATGGTGGGAGAAATAGATTTAGATGCAAAGGTACAGCTGTCAATAATCTCGAAGACCTCGTTATACAAATCTAGAGCTTGTCAGCTTCGTCCAGATGCTCAAAAAAATAACACAGCACTTACCGTATAACTTGTTCTCCAAGGTAATACTGATGACAGGTAGCAGAATAGTTTCCAAGTGGAGGAGAACATCAGGAGTGCTCTCGAGGGTAAGAATGAGGGTTCCAATGGTCTGCAAAACACCCAGTGCAGTAATACTCTTATCGTCCAAGAAATCACCGTACTCATCCTCTCCACCCTTGCTAGCATTGCGCTCCAAAAGCTCGCCAACAATACGCATGTAGGTATCGCGCAACTGCTCACTCAAAGCCACGGCGAAGGGGGTAAGTTCAGCGGAGAAAACTTCAACGAAATCTTCCATGACGTTGGCCAAAGCATCCACATCGACCTCGTTAGCCAGCTTGAGAAGCTGTTGCATAATCTGGGGGATATTCTGTTGCATGGAAGTGCGAATTATATCGTGGCGGATCAACGGCTGAAGGGCAAGAGCAGCCTCGACACGAACAGGGAGTTCAGGGTCAGTCATCGACTCGAGAATGTTTCGGTAAATAACCATCAGATTATTGGGATCCTTGAAGTCCAGTTGCTCGAACTTTTCCAGCGTGTCGCAGGCACGGGCACGCAGGAATCCGTGAGGACTGCGGAATTCAGGAAAAACGTGGCGAACAAAGAAGTATTCAACCTGGTCCGCAATAGGGCTCTTCTTACCCAAAATGACGGAAGCGAGAGATCCAATCATTCTCAGAGCACCTTCCTTCTCTCTGGGTAGTTTTTGATCCTCAGGGGCAGCCTCGTACTTGCTGACGGCACTGTTGATAAATGTGAGGATAGAAAACGTCTGCTTCTTGCGGTGCTTGGTAAGGGAAACCAGGAAGTTGGTGGCGGCAACATCGGGAGCTGAGATCTCTTCGTAGAAATTCAGTTTGCGGTGTAGGTATTCTGAAGGATCGTCCTCGAAAAGTTCAATATCTTCATCCGACTGGCACAGGATAGGGAAGACAAAGTGGGCGATAAGGGTATCCATATGCGGCTTCAGGTGTTCCCACATGGCCTTGGGCTTCACACACTCCTCCATAAAGACGCAAGTGTAAGAGAGAGCGCAGTTGCTGAGCCATTGGGACTTTGAAACCCACTTTTCGATCTCCTGAAGATAGCCCTTGAGGATTTCTGGAGCGAAAGTCGTAATGAAAGTCTTCGCATAGGGGGTGTAGTCAGGGCTGGAAGACTTGGACATAGTGGTGGGGTTACCGTATCTGATGAATAGACGGTTCAGATTCGCATATGACCATTTCTTGCACTTCCACCAGTGGTTCAACTCGCGCTCTTCCTTCGACTCTCCCATTGAGTTCGCAGGGGGAACCTTCGAGATTATACGCAGGAACAATGTGCACCAGTCGACGGTGGCCTGGTGGGTCTGTAGGGCTGGGGATAGCTCGAACTAAAAGAAAGTCATATCGGTCAGTTTTTGATAAGGCCCCTCCTCTTGTGTACACGCGATCACTTACATAGATAGCGTGCTTGTATGATTTCACCACAATGCGAAGCATTTCAGCAGCCTCCAAGCTTTCCTCATCGACCAATCTCTGACCAATACTAAGCAGTTGTGGGAACGAGTGCTCCACGATCTTGTCGAACTCCTCCCGCTTTTCTCCGGCTTTGAACCTGTAAACACGGGTAATGGCCATAAGGCACTGCAGACCCGCGAAGACAGTGTTCGCTTCATTGGTAGCGAGAAGCTGAAGGGTGAGATCCAAGAAACCAGGCCACTTCTCGGGAAAGTCATTCTGGAGAATCTTCTGGAGAAGGGGAACCAGCTGGGCGCGAACGTTGGGCGGTGTAGAGGCCAAGGCTGGAATAAGTCGTTCACGGAAACCCGGTTTCTCGACTTCGGGAATGGGCGCACGCGAGGGGTTCTCGTCGACAGGAGCCCATCCTCTGCTGATACGGTTCTTCAAATAGACACCGGCTGGTAGGAAGTGGGGTCAGAAACATTGGTCTGCGACAAAAGTACAAACAGAAAGAAAATTTACCTGACAGCTGAACAGCATTATTCTGTTCGCCCTGAAGGATATCAAGCAGGCCATTGATGAATCCTGGCTGTGTCTCGGCCTAAAAAAAAATGGGGGGAAAGAAAGTTAGGTCTCGCACATTTCGACCCCGCTATACCAAACAACAACATACATATTTCAGGTCCAGCTCTGCTTGCTGACGTGTCTCCGCATTTGCATCTAGAGTAGACTGGATGCGGTCTCTAAGGGCCGTGACATCCATCTCGCACCACCCCAAGCGCCGGGAAAGAAAAGATTATAGAAAGAGTCCCAAGGAGGTGGACCCAAATAATGGTCGGGTATGAGGGGACGAGGTTGTGAGTGTATGAGACGAGTGTGCAAGAACAAATTACGTCCCAGTTAGTCTCAATAAAAAATTGTGGAGGGGTTTGGTAAATGGAGAAATGAAGAGAAGAAATAAATTCTGGCTTGCCTGACCGCCTCGCAGATCGACCACCCACAACTAGTTCATCACCCAATTGACCTCCAGTACGTATTTAGACTTGGATTTTCTTTAATCATATTGACCTAAGAGCTATGGGTTTCGTTAATTTTTCCATACCTTAAGCTTCTAAGTTGAACTAATCAACTTGTTTTCTCTCTGTCATTTGTTCGGAATTTGCTCCAAGCGGTGCCCACCGCACAAAAAATCAAAATCAAAACACCCCAAGTACACCGATGAATCAATGTAGTCTTTCTTGATCACATGTACAAGGATGCAGCGAAGATCACATCACGTTTGATCATCTCTTGTGCCTTCTCCATTTTCAGGTGTAAGGTTGGGTCACCAATTAGCTTAGCTGCATTCTTGACCTCGCGACAGGTCTCATCCAATCGAGAGATGGTTCGGACAATTGTACCTTCCATTACATCAGTGAGATTGGTAATGCGGTTGAAAGACATGCCCCTGGCCCATTCATAGACAACTTCAGCCAAGCCAAACCGGGGCGAGCTAGCAAAGTCATTGGAGTCTTCGCTGGATTGGATCACCTGGTGAAGGATCTGGAAGTTGTTCACTTTCTCGGCAATGGCAATAATGGCCTTCTGGCCAGTCTCCAGGCGGGGAGTAAGTCTGGGAGTAATATCTGTCTTCTCTTGGAATACAAATGCCGATAGAAGGGCAACAATCTCTTCAGGCTCATAGTCAGACAGGACGTTTTCAAGAATCAACTCGGTCATGACAAGCTCATCGGCGGAGTGGATCTCGCATGCCACCTTGCCCTTCAATTGAACGCGAGACAGGTCGTCGACAAACCCAAGCTCCTTTAGAACTTGAATTCGCTGCTCATAATCAGGAAGCAGTTGCAGATTTTGATCCGACATCAACCTTTTCAAGTCTTTGATGTCCTCCTTCAATTTCCACTCGTCGTGCTCCATTTCAAACTGTGAGAATAATTAGCGTTGGTTGAAAAAAAAAAAAAAAAAAAAAAAAACCGTCGTTGAAATGGGTTTACTTACGTGTTTGAGGAAATTCTGGCAATGGAGAGAAACGCATTGTTCCAGGATTTCAACCTGTTTGCGCCGCTTGGTGATAATCTCTCCTACGTGCATCTCCTTGACTCGCGACCAATCTGTTTCATCCCAAATAGAATTGGTCCAAGGACGATGGTATTTGGAGGCAAGTTCCTCTTTGTAAAATTTGAGGCCCTCTGTAAACAGTGTTAGTTAATTTGTACATATGAGAGCAGAGAGGGTGCGGGTTTTAAATGGTTTACCTTTCTGGATAGCCAAGTACCAAAGAGGACTTTGAGTCTTGATAGAAGTGTTTGTAACACATTCAACATCAGCCAGCGGGACTCTGAGTACTTTAAGTGTCATCGCATCAACAGCCTTGGGCAATTTCCGGAAGAGTTCACGGAACTGGGGAAGGAATGGGAGGAGGTCGCTGGGATGGCGTTTATTGCCAGTTACGCCAATCTCGAACACTTGAATACAAGGGATCGGTCCAGGCAAAAAACCATCCTTGACGATAATACCAGCTGTGCGCGACCCATTCTAGAAGCAGGTTAGCAGGTGATTTCATGTAAACTATCCTGAAAAGGGGTTCAAACACACCGGTTGCCGATACACAACCAACTTTTTCGCGGCGAAAAGTCGCTTTCCAACGGGCGTTGTCAGTACCGCCGTATGCAGCTCAAGGGTAAGCTTCTTGTATTCGATTACAGCATTGTGGCAACTCTCCATATCCTGGTCGCAAATTTCGCAAGGCTCGCGTTTAATTGAATCCAGGTTGGCTTGAGAGAGCTGCACTTGCTTCTCTTGTTCTGGTAAAAGCGCTTGCGTGGCATTTTCACTGAAACTCCGTTTGATCATCTCCTCAATCCGCAGTGCTTCAACACGCAATAGATTCAATATCATGTTGTATGTAAGTCGGAATTGTGACCGAAGCTTGGTAGGCTCACCCAGAATCATCTTCTTCAATGAGGCAGCAGTGGGTGCCTCAGTTCTCCCAGGAGTGGCAATCATCACATAGCCCACGCTGTCCAGACCTCGGCGACCTGCACGGCCAGCCATCTGGGTGTACTCACCAGGCAGTAGATCACGGAAGTCTTTGCCGTCGTGCTTACGGTAGCCGCAGAACACGACTGTTCGGGTAGGCAAGTTTAGACCCATGGCAAATGTTTCCGTAGCAAATAGAACCTTGACCAGGCCTCTGGCAAAGAGAATCTCAACGACCTCCTTCATGATTGGGAGGAGGCCACCGTGATGCACTGCAACACCACGGCTGAGAAGGTCACGGAGCTTCAGAATTTGTGGGAGTGTTCGATCCTCCTCCTTGAGACGGGTGAGAGACTTTTCGATGAACATGTGCGTCTGGCTCTTTTCCGCAGCGTTGCAGAAATCCTGGTTGTTTAATGCGTCGGCGTTCGTTTCACATCGCTTCTTAGAAAAGACAAAAATACAGGCTGGAAGCATATCGAATTTGCGAAGGTGTTGAACAAGGCCGACCCAGGCGGTCTTATCCTGAGCAGGAGTTGTTCGAGACCCTCCACGTCCGAAACCTCCACGCCCGCCACGAGCAATGTTTCCTGTTCCATTGTTCGAACCTCGTCCACCGCCACCGCGGCCACCCTGGCCTCTACCTCCTCGCTGGTCGTTGCCTCGGCCTCGACCACGTCCTCCTTGGATGCCTCCACGGCTGGCCTGGACAGACTCAGCCTCTTTTTGTGCTTTGATTTTGTCTCTGCCACTGATGCTGTTATCGGCTGCTTTCCAACCTGGCTCGAGGAATCTCTTATTAGAATCGACAATTTTGAACTTTTCTTGTCCACTCCATAGATAGTGCTCCAAGGGAACGGGTCGCTTGGGGGTCGATATAACCCAAATGTCCTTCTTCTTGGTACGTCCAACCCATGACGCAAATTCAAATGTATTTGGAACAGTAGCTGAGAGAAGGATGAGCGTGACATGCTCCGGAAGCATGATGATTACTTCTTCCCAGACCACACCTCTTTCCTGGTCATTCACATAATGGACCTCGTCGAAGATGACGAACTCAACATCTCGAATCAGGTCGGCTCCACGGTAAAGCATACTACGCAAGATCTCGGTTGTCATGATTAAACAGCTGGCTTCTGGGTTGATCTGAACGTCGCCAGTAAGAATTCCGACATCGTCAAATTCGGTGCGGAAATCACGGAACTTTTGGTTGCTGAGTGCTTTGATAGGAGATGTGTAGATGGCCTTTGTCATGTGTTTGGCAGCCAATGCAATAGCATATTCAGCCACAACGGTTTTACCTGCGGATGTATGGGCGGCAACAAAGACCGAATCGCCTCTCTCCAGATGATAAACAGCCTCCTTTTGGAAAACATCCAGTTCGAAGGGCCATACTTTGGCCATGTCCTGAACAAGATCATGGAAGTTAGGGAATTCTTTATTCACGTTCACAACATGCGCCCATTGGTAACCCTTTTTGTTCGCCATACTCATGAGAAGGTCGTTACGAGGTCCCAGAGATGGGAATTCATCAGGCAGATAGTCGTCAATTTCATCGAACTCGGTCTCATGATCAGACTCCTCATCCTTTGTGTCCGAATCTGGTGTTGCATCAAGTTGAACAACCTCACTCTCTTCTTCAAGAGCATGTTGCACCTCGTCCTCTGCTTCAATGACTTCCTTGGACTTTTGTCCGGAGAAATTGACGCCACGGCTAAAGCCAGGAGGGATTGTCAGGAGACCACCCTGGGAATTGAAGTTGATAATTCGGTCTAAGCTTGATTGTTTTCCACTAGCGCGTGATTCTTCTGCTGCCTGCACATCTGCATCCAAACTGGCAAACGCTTCAACGGCATCAAGGCCTCCTGGCGCAAAGGGGAAAAAAGCCCGCGGCGCCTCTAACAAAATCTGCACGTGCAGCAGGTCGGCGAGTAATAGATGTAGAATTCTTAGCGGTGGCGCTCGAAGCTGGAACCGCAACCTCCTGGTAGCCAGACACACGTCCTTGGAGTCCTTCGCGCGTGAATCGGATAGTGGATCTTGTGTGAGTTGGAGCGATATCGAAAAGGTCGGTCAGGTCCGGCGTGAATTCCCATCGTCTACAGTCTTCGTTAGCTGAGTTCTTTTATTCTCTCATCATGCTAGTGTGCGACTTACTTCTGCAGGCGATTCAGCCATGTGGAGTTGAAGGTGTTAGAAGGAAGTAGGGTATCATTCTCAAGTTCTTTCAAAATATCGTCAATGTTTTGAGTAGTGGGTTTGCGGGTCTTGAAAGGCTTCGAGGGGCCATTCTCTTCGATCAATTTCTTTCCCAAGGATTCTGGATCCAAATCTTTCTCCTCGAGCTTCAACTTCTCTATCGCCAGCAGCAGCTCTGGACCAATTGAGCCTTGCATGGTTGGAAGCCGTTTATACTTTTTCTGTCTCTTGTTTTTTTTTTAAACGGCTAGTTCTGTGGCGGGTCGAACGTTGTGTATCGTGTGAAATCGTTGATGCGTTGCTCAGTAAGAAAACTCACCGCCATCAACAATGGGATGATAGAGAGCAAGTCAGAGATATCGAGAGTGCTGACTCACCTCTTAAGAATCAAATGGAATTCAGTCTGAAGAATAAAACCGAATTATCAATTCTTGGAGGTTTCAGCTGGAAAGATCGTTGGAGGTCAACAAGCTTAATGTCTCAACCCCACTTGGCGGGCGGTGTTTGTCGGCAGTATCGGGCTCATGGCACGTGTGGGGCTCTTTGTTAGACTGACCGCCTTATTAACATCCGAGCTATTCATGTCGCACAGCCGTAAGAACCTTCCAAGGTTGCAGTCCATATCTAGGTGATATATTTATAAGCTCATTTTGAAATCTGAAGGCAGTATCTACTGACTAATACGGTAATACCAAGGACCCATCTATGAATGATCGCACAGGAAAGTTTTTCCAAACGTTACCTATCAAACTAATATACTAGAAGCACCTTTTGTACTATGACTTGATACAGAGATCGCTGTCAAAAAGACCGTGCATTACCGTGAATCGGAGACAAATTGGCAGACTTAATCGAAATCTCAAAACGCCAGAAACATATGCAGTAACAGTTAGCGCCAAAGTCAAAAAAAATTAGTGCAACCCTAGTTCCTTCGGCCTGTTTCAAAGCCGTTCTCACTGGGTTGTCATCGGCAAGATAATACAGGAAACGTCTTTCGATCTTGGACGTTGATCCGGAACTCGAAAATCCCTTCCAGTGTGGCAATATACCTAGAAGATATGATTAGTACAGAGTTCCATAACTGATAAAGTATCAGACCTACAGAGTCTTGCCATCAGCACCCCACCCTAGTCCAGCCGAAGCGTCGGGTTCATCTACACCAGAACCGGGAATAAAGCTTCGATCCGGGAGATCATTGATGATATTTCTGATCCAGCGAGGTGAGTGGGTCCCCTCAAAGCCAAGAAGCTGTTGGCGATGCCGTTGTTCTCCTTCCGATGAGCGGTTTTGTACCTCCGGAGCCTGACGTTGGCGCCTTAGACGCTCAGCTGCAAGATTGGCTCTCATCTCATAATCTGAGAGACGAGATGGGTCATATCGTCTATCTGTGCCGGAAGGTCGTTCAGATCGCCGAAGAGGAAAGTGTGGTCGTTGAGAGCGGAATCGGAACAGTTCTTCGGGCGAGATAGACGATGCAGATTCAAGTTCATTGTCATTTTCTTGAATATCATGTTCTTGGGTGATGAACTCTGGTTCAGGCTCCTGAGAAGTCACATCTGAATCATTAGACTGAGGTTCTGAAGGAGCTGTAGTCCAACTAAGACTGGCGCGTGGGTTACGCTCATGACTGGAAGATGTGATTTCAGGAGGGCGAGGTTGAAAGCGCTGGCGCCATCCCTGGAGTGGGGTACGTCGAGAAGCACCTGTACGTCCTGTCTGATCTTGAAGGTCATCAGAATGAGTGTAAGAGCGTAAGGGTGAAGTCGGACGAGAAGTTCGAATCACCCCATCGGTGGAGCCATCATTTCGCAAGCGAATTACAGACTGGGGAGGATGCAGACTTGCGGGTCTGTCCGACCTTTCAGTAATACCTGGCCAGCGGGCAGTGTTCAAGAACTCCATGATCAATCTCTCCCTTTGAGTTAGGTCATTTATTAGGTTTTCACGCAACGAGGCGCGCTCGTCAGTGAGAAGATCCCCGATGGTGCTGAGTCTCGCCGGTGGCGTAACCCCCAGGTCTTCATCCTCAAAGCGTTGGCCCTCTAACTCTTCTGTCATGGGCTCTATATGAACCTCATCGAGTACTGGATCGTGACGCTCTAAACGTACTATCTGCCTTCGGTGAAACCCTTGACGGACATCTGCAATTCCAGCGCGACCATGAGCCTCCAGCCAGACCAAAAGATCCCATGGCTCGGGTGAGAAAGTCATGCAGCGCACAGCACCTCCCTCCACAGTGGGTCGCGAAGCTGGAAATTGATATATTACAGGTCCATCAAGCTCCATTTCCTCGTCATAAATGTGTAGCATTCCGACATCCAAGACTGTAATTATCCCAGACTGAGAACCGATGGCACAGAGACGGCTAGAGGACGAAAATGCGATGGTGAAGCAGCAGGCATCATCTAGCCGTGGCCCTATATTCATTTCAACGATCTTTAGCAGCTTAAACTCCCATCTTGCAAGCTTGACGTCAGATTCTGAACTTTCTAACGATCTCCAGTCACGAACAATCTCATAGAAATAAGCTCGGTTCTCATCCCCCACTGTTGCCAGGAGTGTTTGGTCAGGTGATACAGTTGCATAGTTCATGCAATTTTGATGTTGAAGGATCTTGAGAATTTTCCCACGGGTCAGAGAATAGACGGTCACAGTCCGATCGTTATTACTATATAATGGTTAATGCCGAGATTAATCGATATGATAAACCCATTATTTTCTTTTTTCGAGTCTTACCTGATAATCATTAGGTCTTCGTCTGAAACACCAATCTCATCCCCAGAAAAGCGATGGATTGTCACTGAATTGACAATACTGCCACCAAACTTGTGAAGTTTGAATTCCGGAGCTCGCTGTCTAGAGGGTTCCGACGTTGAGCTACCGCTCAAAAAAGCCGGCGACAGGAACCTCGATGGTGACTCCAAATCGATGGGGAGCGCACTATCTACATCGGAATGATGAAGAGGTAGTGTTTCGTCATGAACTTGAAGACCTCTCTCATCGATCTTGATATAGGCGCACTCGCCGTTATCCGGCCCACCAACGGCGATCCATCCATGGCCAGCTGCCATACATCGTGGTTCGAACGGGATGACCGCTATGCTCCCACGCTTTTGAGCAGAGATTTGTATTAAATAGATGATGCGATCGACGACGACATAGATGCGATCTGGGTCGGAGGTACTGATGTAGTTGCGGAGCTGAGGATGGCTATAGGATGGTAAGCACAAGGTACATAGTACATAGATAGAAACGAATAGGAAGGTACGAACAAGTTAGGGATTTTGAATGGAATAAAGCGACGTTTATTTGGGAGCAGGAGAGACTCAGTTGGGCGATATCTACATAGCGTCAGTAATTGTGAATGGCGCAAGTGGGGGGTAAGCCTCACAGGATCGAGTCCGAGGTCATGATGATCAACTAAGCCAACAGTGACATTGTCCGAATAGATGGAGAAGGAGAAATCATCAACAAATATTCAGGGTGTATTATACCTAGACTCAAACTAATGAAGATGGAAGCACACGATTGCGCAGAGTTGGAACGGCGTGGATGACGTAATACTTTTGGAGCTAAAAGCCGGGGAACCAAATGCGGTCCGACGTGATTGTAGCCGGAAACGATTGTTGTGTTGCAGTAAGCTCTTTATATTTGTTTGCTAAGATCTTATGTTCTCTGCTTGGCGTTGAAATACCTAGTTGTTAAAGGTCTTGACATGAGAGGAAGGAAAGATATATGGGTATTTTAATCCATATAACCTGGAATTATTTACCCCAGGTCCCTTCCAAGGCTGATAAGTAGATATTAAGTAGACTTGATCCCTTGAACCTCCTCCATACTTAAGTAGGTGGCCTTGAAAGTGCTCTCAAGCTTCGTAGGGCAGGCCATGTTGCTGTGTTGGCCCAGTCGGAGAGGTTTAATGCCGTCACGATCAATATAGTAACACAAAGCCAGCCCAAGTTGGACCCTCAACCCCAGGGTGAAGGCAGCACGGCGTGTAGGGACATATCAAACAGGCCGGACATGAATAGCACGAAGAATCTAATTTCGGAGAGTGCCGGTGGCCGAAGCAGGAGAAAATAATGATGGAATAAAGATATTAAGAAAAAGACTAGACTTAGAAACTACACGGTGGATTAATTCTAAGTAGATCAATTGACTTTAGCACATATAATTCCATTTCCACTAACATGTATAGTATACGATGACATAGTTGTTCACATCGGTCGACCGGCAACCAGATAATGAATATGATTGGTCAAAGTCTCGTGATTCGATCCAATTCGACGGACGCCGAAGCTTTCCGAATTTTCTACCCTTCGATTCTGTTCTCTTCTTCTCTCCTGCTACTACTACTTCTCATCTACCCTTTCCCTTCCTTCTTCTAATCACTCTGCGGTTGATTCGTGCGAGTGTAATACCTCATTCTTTATTACTTAATTCACATCCAAAATGCTTCCTTCTCGCATTTCTCGCGCTGTAAGTTCCCTTCCCAGAAAAAATATAATCTCACGCGTCTTAGTCACTAATTGAATCACAATAGCTCCCTCGCGCTGCTTTTGCTCGCACTCCTATCACAAGAGTCCCTGGTGCTACTTTCCGCCGATGGAACTCCACAGAGGGTGGCGATGAGAAGGTGAAGGGCCAGGTCATTGGTATCGATCTTGGTAAGTAATATCGTACTGGCTTTGAACGTGTCTTGAAGCAGATAATTAACGTGATCGACGATAGGTACCACTAACTCCGCCGTTGCCGTCATGGAGGGCAAGACCCCTAAGATTATTGAGAACTCCGAGGGTAAGTGAAAATTTTTAACTGGGGTATCGGATATACATTGTACGGGTTTACTTCTCTTGCAATGCCCTATCGACCCTCTAGATCTGGAAATGGACAAATAGAAGCAAATTGCGATGAATTTTGATGGCTAACTTGATACTTAACAGGTGCTCGTACCACTCCCTCAGTTGTCGGTTTCGCCCAGGATGGTGAGCGACTAGTCGGTATTGCCGCCAAGCGTCAGGCCGTTGTCAACCCCGAGAACACTCTTTTCGCTACCAAGCGTCTCATCGGTCGCAAGTTCACCGATGCTGAGGTTCAGCGTGATATCAAGGAGGTTCCCTACAAGATTGTTCAGCACACCAACGGTGACGCCTGGGTTGAGGCCCGTGGCCAGAAGTACTCCCCCAGTCAGATTGGTGGATTTGTCTTGAACAAGATGAAGGAGACCGCTGAGGCCTACCTCGGACGCCCCGTTAAAAATGCCGTCGTCACCGTCCCTGCCTACTTCAACGACTCCCAGCGTCAAGCTACTAAAGATGCCGGTCAGATCTCCGGTCTGAACGTCCTCCGTGTCGTCAACGAGCCTACCGCCGCCGCCCTGGCTTACGGTCTCGAGAAGCAGAACGACCGCGTTGTCGCTGTCTACGATCTTGGTGGTGGTACCTTCGATATCTCTGTCCTGGAGATCCAGAAGGGTGTGTTCGAGGTCAAGTCCACCAACGGTGACACCCACCTTGGTGGTGAGGATTTCGATATCCACCTTGTCCGTCACATTCTGGATCAGTTCAAGAAGGAGTCCAGCATTGACCTTTCTGGTGATCGTATGGCTATCCAGCGTATCCGTGAGGCTGCCGAGAAGGCCAAGATTGAACTATCCTCTTCCTTGCAGACTGAGATCAACCTGCCCTTCATCACTGCCGATGCTTCCGGTGCCAAGCACATCAACTTGAAGATGTCCCGTTCCCAGCTCGAAGCTCTTGTTGAGCCTCTCATCAAGCGCACAATTGAGCCCGTCCGCAAGGCCCTCAAGGATGCCAATCTCCAGTCCAGCGAGATCCAGGACGTTATCCTTGTCGGTGGTATGACCCGTATGCCCAAGGTCACCGAGTCCGTCAAGTCCATGTTTGGTCGTGAGGCTGCCAAGTCCGTCAACCCTGACGAGGCTGTCGCTATCGGTGCCGCTGTCCAGGGTGCCGTTCTTTCCGGTGAGGTCACTGACGTCCTCCTGCTTGATGTCACTCCCCTCTCCCTCGGTATTGAGACCCTCGGCGGTGTCTTCACCCGTCTGATCACCCGTAACACCACCATCCCCACCAAGAAGTCCCAGACTTTCTCCACTGCTGCCGACATGCAGACCGCTGTCGAGATCAAGGTCTTCCAGGGTGAGCGTGAACTCGTCAAGGATAACAAGATGTTGGGTAACTTCCAGCTTGTTGGCATTCCCCCTGCCCACCGTGGTGTTCCCCAGATCGAGGTCACCTTCGACATTGACGCTGACTCCATTGTCCACGTCCATGCCAAGGACAAGTCTACCAACAAGGACCAGTCCATCACCATCGCCTCCGGCTCTGGTCTTTCCGACTCTGAGATCGAGTCCATGGTCCAGGACTCCGAGAAGTACGCTGAGTCTGACAAGGAGCGCAAGGCCGCCATTGAGGCTGCCAACCGCGCCGACAGCGTCCTGAACGATACCGAGAAGGCCCTCAAGGACTTCGAGGACCGTCTTGACAAGACCGAGGCCGAGACCATCAAGGAGAAGATTGCCTCTCTCCGCGAGTTTGTCGTCAAGAACCAGTCTGGTGAGGGCACTGCCACCGCCGAGGAGCTCAAGGAGAAGACTGATGAGCTCCAGACTGCTTCCCTGACTCTGTTCGACAAGATGCACAAGGCCCAGAACGAGCAGCAGGGTCAGCAGCAGCAGGGTGAGCAACAGGGTGAGAACAAGCAGTAAATTATATAATACTGATCTATAACTCTCCCTTCCTCCCATTCCCATCTCCCCTACCCGTGGCTACCTCGTAGCCACTTGTACTTTTTATCCTCTTTTTTGCCATTCCTATGTTTTGGGACGTTCATGTCCATTTTGGATCGCATCTCCCTTTTCGCATAACTGTACACATACCTTCAACTTTTATCCCCTGTTCTGGTGTACCGGTGTTTGACTACCAACTTGTATGAGGTTTTTTTTCTTCTCTTTCCCATATATCTCGTCTCGGGAGAAAAGGGAAACTGTCTTCCATTGTATTTAATGACATTACGGCGAAGGGGGGCCATCAAAAAGGATTGCAGACTTTGGCCAATAGAAATCGGAACTCTCCTCTCATTATTCATCTACAATCATATTACTACCTAGATATATGCAAGGTTGACTAAGCTCAGCGTCATGAGTCCATCAATCGATTTAGAGATGCTAGAAACAGAATTCTGTTTGCATCACTGGTGGGTTTATACATCTCGCGACAGTGAGAAGAGATGATAGGGTCAGTCTGACCCACAGAATCTTCTGAGACATGTAGCAAAAAGGATTTTTTTTTTTTTTTTTTTAAAAAAAAAAGAGGGTGGATACGATAATGTTAGTTCGAAACCGCTGTCAGTTCAATTCCGCGCCAATCTCATAAAGAAAGTTGACAAGGATTGATAGCTAAGTGGTTGATGGAGGTCCGCAAAGCGCGGTAAATATCAGTTGCGACTTAAAGTAGATGGACCAATCGTTCTTATAGCCCCGATTCCTTGCATGGACTAATAGGTGAAGAATAGGAAGTACGATGTACCTAGGTAGGGCTTTATATTCAATTATTTACTACTATTGGTATGTTTTGGTACATGCCAAGTAATGAGTATTGTATTGAGTATTAAAGATGACATATCTCATAGTATTGAATACCTTGTTTTGTTGACATGACATTATTCAACGGCCTTTGATTATTCATTTGTTCAACAGGCCTCGAGCCGACAAGTGCGGATCTTTTCAGCGAATCATGATTATACACACAAGCTGAGCTGGCAAAGTGGGTCTTTATGTCTTTCTATTTGCAATAAGAACTTGGAACTTGGAACGAAAAGGAGTATATGGAGTATGTGGATCGATCTATTTTGGTTTGGATATTATGTAGGGACGCAGTAACTTAGAACCTAGGTAACAATTGAATGATATCTAACAAATTACTAAGATGCTAAGTAAATAAAAGTAGGAAAGCACCTCTCGTAATATCGATCATCCTGAGACTGACTAGTTTAGTGCCCCCCTTAGAATTAGTATACATCTACTTATCCCCACTTTTGTTTCGTTCCAATAAAAATAAGTTGAAAAATTGGGCTTGACTAGCCTTATACAGTTGGTCTATAAGCATTCCAAGGTTGATGGATTACTGATCCGAGGGACATTTCAAACATTAGTTAGATTAGCCTTTTATCAGAGATAGCAATGTATACATCTCTTCAAGCCCTGAAAGTATAGGTAATTAGTATTGAATGTAGTATTCCGTACTCCGTGCTCCGTACTTCTTCCCATTAACGTGTCATTGATCTACTTGGCGTAGATCCTCTTCCTATTATTGGCTTACCTAACCACAGCCGTATTGATAGATCAACGACTCATAGACTATTGTAATTAATTACAGTATTCATTAATCTTGGAATCTGAGTAGAATCTTAGAATCTTACTCCGTAGTCTATGAATTGACTGGATCAATCCACTTAGTACTCCGTAGTCATGGCATGATTCCACATTGGTATCTGTATTTCTATAACGGCGCTAGTTGTTTATTTTTATTTCTTCCTTATTTGGTTATATGGGGTCCTTCCTTAAACCGTAACCGTTAGATCGATCTCCTTCCATTTTTCTTTTTCCCTTCTTTTCTCATCCTGGAAGCTTCAATCCTTCCAATTACACCCAAACACCCTAACCCCAATTTTAATCTTCTTTTCTTCTTCAATATGACGGCTGCTCCCCCAGTCAGTCATAATTCTCATCTCGTCCCAACCACTTTACCAAGATATCACCCAATTGCCATAAATCCCACACCTTCAATGCATCCCGACATGATGCAGAATCATCATTTCCGTCACTTTACCTTACATGACCCGCAAACTGGTCCACCACCAGCGCCGCCTGCACCTGCTCCCTCATCACTGGATCAGATTGAAGCTCGTTTGCGACAGTTGGAACATGAAGAAATGAATCGGATGGCTGCTCGCTCTCACTTGCTTGCTGTGCGAAAGCGCGAGGATGAAGAGTTTCGCAGAATGACTGAACTTGCCGAGGCTGAAGAGGATGTGAGTAAATAAACAAATCACAAATATATACCTATGTACTGACTTTGACAGGATCTGCGAAGACAGCGCAAGAGGATCAAGAGAGAGTCAATGGGATTGGGTGGTCATGGAAACCCTGACTCGCCGCCTCTACGACCATCACCACCACGTCGCTTATCAGAGACGAGTGCCGCTACCACTCTGGCTTTCTTCAAGCAGCAGAGCCCTCCAGAGCCTCGTCAGACCACTCTCCCACAAGCTTCACAACCGCCTGTGCCTCCACCAATTCATATGCACCAACAACATCATCCTCAACCATCTCAACTCCAACATCAACTCCAACAGCAACAGCAGCAACAGCAGCAGCAGCAACATCAACATCAACAGCAGCAACAGCAACAACAACAACATCAACATCAACACCATCTTTCACATCAACAACAACAGCAGCAGCATCATCATCAACAACACCATCCACTCCATCACCCTCATCCTGCACACCCTATTGTCGCCCATGACCATATAAACGGCGTGGGTTCAATTCGACGTAAACAAAAATATACCATCAAGAATGTCGAGGCATGGGGCGAGCGTCACGGCCGTCCCGCAGCCCATGATCCTTCCGGCCGTGCTTTGTGGAAAAGGCCATCCGACAGCAGTCTAGTATATCTGACCTGTCCAATCCAGGGCTGCGCCAAATCAGACTTTGTCACGCTGCACGGCTTCATGTGCCATCTGACCAAGAAACACAAAGACCGTACGCTCGGCAGCCAGTCTCGTGCGCTCGAGCTCTGCGGCATCGTCTATGACCCAAACGCTCCCCTTCCCCCAGTGTCATCTACCCAACGCAGCTCAAGAGAAGAGAGCCCGTTAGACCAAATGACCATGGAAGGTGACGACTCACACCTCGAGTCTGAATCCGAGGAGAGCGACGAACGCGACGAGCCATACCCCGTGAAAAGGGAGACCATTGAACGATCCCTGCCCGATGCAGATGAACCTTCACTTGATACACCTCCATTCCCCAGACCCTCCATGAACATGAATGGTTCTACCAAACACTCTATATCCTCTCTCATCGACCGCACTCCCGAACTCGACCACAGAGAAATCCTGGCTTCTTTGCCTTCTTCCGACCCTGCCATGACGACTCAGGTAGCTACACCTGTGTCCATGGAGCAGTCAGTGGTACCTGCGAAACGTAAATATGAATATACACCCCCTTCAGAAAAGGAGAACACAGAACCCGAGGGCTCTGTCGAGTAAACTTTTCTTGATACTTTCGTCAATAATATTTTCGATCTCAAAAACTCATTTGCATCTATTTCATCTCAGCATTGTTCATGGGCACATTTCCTTCTCTTGTTATATGCGAGCGTGGCTTATACTTTGGTTCTTTATGCTTGCACATTTTTGTTCGATTAGCGGACCTGTTCTATAATTTGCATGTTGCGCTTGAGCTGGAATTGAGATTGAGCTTGGGTATATTTGTCAATTATATTCGGGGTTGCTGGATCGTATGGATCCGGGCCTCGTATGCTATGTATAGCTGGAAATATTACTTGTCAACCTTAAGGTTGATTTGACGTCTGACCCTCGGACTACCTAGTGTACATGGTATTCCAATTAATTCAAAAGTAGTTATTTACTTCTCTCTCAACAACAGCAAGTGTACCAGGTATCCCGTTCCAGTTTTAAGCCCAGGACCTAATACCTCATCACTAATCCTCCAAACCCGAAATTCTCTCAGAGTCTCCTGTAACCAAGCCTCAAACACATCCGGCATCCGCTGCTGCTGCGCAACGATGCAGATAGTCGGTCGACGAGACCCGATCTCTTTGGAAGGCTCATAGGCAGGACGTAACCGACAGATCTCAGTACACGTCCGCACAAACGGCTTGACGAGAGCCTCGTTGTAAATACAGTCACAAGAAAGCAGAAGATCAAATCCGCGATCTTTGTCTTCATCCCCTCTACGGAAATCACCCAACTCTGGGATACAATCCCGCAACAATCCGGGTTGATCCAACTCCCAGTCCAGCGTGGTGAGGGTAACATTTGAGATATGGTGCGACTGCGACGGCGACGAAAGCTTTTTAGATGACTTGCCGCCTCGCTTTACCCCTCCAGATTTTTTCGAGTTGGAAGAGACAGAATTGTTAACTGACAGGTTTGTGCGGAATAATCGTCGCACATACTCTTGGTCAGTTGCGAGAAAATACTGTACGCTCGGAGCCAAGGCCAGGGCTACAAGAGCTGAGATTCCACATCCAAGCTCAACGACCACTGATTCAGATGATAGGAGATTGGTTGTCCAGAGAGGATTTGATGGTGTTGAGATCCAGTCTGTGAAGAGGGGCGTTATCTTCCATAGTACTGTAGGGTCAGGTTAGTATACGAAGATCGAAGATTAAAGGTTAAAAATTAAAGATCCTTCTGAGGGGGGGGGGGGGGGGGGTATGGGTTATGGAGTAAAAGCGGGGGATTAAGCTAGAGATCAAGATGAATCTTACAGATCTCGGGCCCTAGATCCTGGTGTCGCGTGCCATAGCGCAGTGAGTCCATGCATGATATACACGATATCTCTCGGGGCGTATGGGGCTGAGAGTGTAGATCTTACATACCAGCACCTGTTGTCCCTCCAGCACGAGAGGAAGAGAGTAAAGTTGGAGATTGAGTGATTGAATATTCGGCACCTTGTATTGTCACTTCTAGGGTTGTGGCGTGTGAGTCGATGAAGCCTAGGTTTCCAGTGGGGATATCTTGGCTGAAGAGTAAAAAGGACTCTTATTTAGTGAGCTAGGTATGTTTTTTTTTTCTTTTCTTTTCGAGTCTTGGTCCCACTAACCCTCATCGACGTCGGTGACTTCCTCACCACAAGAAAGGAGGTCTGTTATTTGTTGATTCATGATTGAATTGTATCAGGGGTTGTTAGTGGACTTGTTAGTTGATTCTAGCTTTGTTTTTGGAGTCACGTGGTATCATAAAACCATCTATACGAGAGACGAGTATATTTTATTCTACTAATACATATATATACGAAGTGATTTGTTTCTTATTACCGCTTTGACCATTGACCATGTCTGCACTAATGTCAGATATTGAAACATTAAATAAGCCTTGGCTTGATTTACTAGCTGGATTCGATGATTGGATTCTATTATGTCCTACAGCAGATCTAAAATAACTAGTTCACTAGCTCCCGGCTCGAGAGATTGTTGGGGCCCAACGAATGCAGGAGCTCTAATAAGCAAAGAGAATGGAGGTTACTTCGAAAGAATAGCTAGAGTTGCATAAATCCTTTCGGCTATCGATTGCATAGATTAAGAATTGAGACCTTGTACAGGACTGAAACGGCCGAGATCCCGCTAGAAGACCGGCTGCGTCATTTGGACCAGCCACATTTTCAAGCTAATCCTTCTCTGCTTCTCTTCTCTCCTCCATTGTGCTTTTTGGAAAACCTCTCTATCAATTTCTCTATCCTAATTCTGTTCAAAAGTAAGTCCCCGCAATTCTTAGGCTTCCCCTCTTGACCACTGACGTCCTCCCAATAGCAAATCCCACACCTCTCGTTTTCGGACTCCCTCTTCCTACCCATTCCTCATCCCTCATCCCTCATCCCTCATCCCTCATCCCTCATCCCTCATCCCTCATCCCTCATCCCTCATCCCTCATCCCTCATCCATCAACCCCCCTACCTTAAATCCTAATACTACACCATCATGTCTTTGCGTGATGCCCATCTCCAGCCGCGCATGTCCAAGAAGGGCCCTTTCTCTGTAGAGGTGCCCGGTGTGCAGCGTGTCGAGGGAGAGACTATTCCTCGCCGACACCCCGCCGCAAAGAACGGACTTGTCCTGCGCCCCTCCGAAGACGTTAGCACCACTTATGAGAACTTCCGCCGTTCCGCACGCCTGTTCGGCAACAACAAGGCCGTCGCCACCCGTCGCTTGATTAAGACCCACGTCGAGACCAAGAAGGTCAAGAAGATCGTTGATGGCGTGGAAACTGAGGTTGATAAGAAGTGGACCTACTTCGAACTGAGTGGCTACACCTACAAGACCTTCCTTGAGTATGAGAAGCTCTGTCTGGAGCTCGGCGCGGGTCTGCGCAAGTTGGGCCTGGAGAGGGACAGCAAGATCCATCTCTACGGTGCCACCAGTGCACACTGGCTCGCCATGTCGCACGGCGCTGCCTCTCAATCGGTGACTATCGTCACTGCCTATGATACCCTGGGCGAGGAAGGCCTGAAGCACTCCTTGGTTCAAACCTCCAGCAATGCCATCTTCCTGGACCCCGGCCTCATCCCGTCCCTGACCAATGTTCTGAAGGATATTCCCTCAGTCAAGCACATTATCTACAATACTGATACTGAGGTCAAGCAGTCCGACCTTGACAAGCTCAAGAGTAACTTTAGTCACATTAACGTTCTCAGCATCGAGGAGCTGCGCAAGTCCGGCGAGGAGAACCTCGTGGACCCCGTGCCTCCCAAGCCCGAGGACCTCTGCTGCATCATGTACACCTCCGGCTCTACTGGCGCACCCAAGGGTGTCTCTCTTACCCACGCCAACGTCATCGCTGCGACTGCCGGTGTCAACGAGATCGTGGGACCTTACATCGGAGTGAAGGACTCTCTTCTGACATACCTTCCCCAGGCGCACATCCTTGAGTTCATGTTCGAGAACCTCTGCTTGTTCTGGGGCGGTGCTATGGGATACGGCAACCCCCGCACATTGTCCGATGCTTCGATGCGCAATTGCAAGGGTGACATTCGCGAGTTCAAGCCCACCATTCTCGTTGGAGTTCCTGCCGTCTGGGAGTCCGTGAAGAAGGGCGTGCTGAACAAGCTTAATTCGAATAGTTTCATCGTGAAGGGTATGTTTTGGGGTGCTTTGGCTGCTAAGACCTTCTTGATGAACAACGGTTTCCCCGGCTCCGGTGTCGGTGCTTCCCTTCTCGACGCCATTGTCTTCAAGAAGCTCAAGGATGCTACTGGTGGCCACCTTCGTATTATGATGAACGGCGGTGGTCCCATTTCGAAGGACACCCAGAAGTTCCTGTCGATGGCCATTGCTCCCATGATCGGTGGCTACGGTTTGACCGAGACCTCTGCTATGGGTGCACTGAACGATCCCATGGCTTGGAACCCCAATGCCTTGGGTGATATTCCTGCCTCCATTGAGATCAAGCTCGTCGACTTCCCCGATGCCGGATACTTGTCTACGAACAACCCGCCTCAGGGTGAGATCCTCATTCGTGGTGGCAGTGTGACCAATGGTTACTTCGATAACGAGCAGGAGACCAAGGAAGCTCTGACTGAGGACGGATGGTTCAAGACTGGCGATATTGGTCAGTTCGACCAGTTCGGCCACCTGCAGATCATCGACCGTAAGAAGAACCTGGTCAAGACCCTCAATGGTGAATACATTGCCTTGGAGAAGTTGGAGTCTGTCTACCGCTCCAGCCCCGTTGTTGGCAACATCTGCGTCTACGCTGCCCAGGACCAGGACAAGCCTATTGCCATCATTGTGCCCCTCGAGCCTGCTCTGAAGAAGATTGCTAGCGAGAACGACATTAATGGTGACTCGATCGAGTCGCTCGTACACAACGAGAAGATCCAGCGTCTCGTTCTGAAACAGCTGCAGGAAGCTGGCCGTGTCGGTGGCCTACGAGGCATTGAGATCATCAACGGTGTTGTCCTGTCCGACGAGGAGTGGACCACTCAGTCTGTAGGTCTTATTCAAGCTCATTGTAATTCAATTCACTAATAATTCGACAATAGGGTTACCTCACCGCAGCACAGAAGTTGCAGCGCAAGAAGATCGTTGCCGCGTACCAGGGCCAAATAGACAAGGCTTACGGCAAGAAATAGAAGGTGAAGACTCCGATTTATGCTTAGGATAAATTTCAGCATGTGCTTATTTAATTTGTCTAACTTCTTTTTGCTTCCGACTTGGTCCTTCCAGTTTTTTTTTTTTCGGGTCCGATTTGATCCCACAAGCTGTTTTCGGTGTTTTTATACGAAATTTCTCGACTCCTGACTGATGACTGTGCTTGCCGTATCTATGGAGAATATGAGAGGACGAGTCTGACAAGACAGTTTGAAGACAGCGGGCTTGTTGCTTTGATACCTAATATCTGTTTCTTTTTCTCCCCTTGTTCATATCCTCTCTTCTTGAAGAGCTGCTGTTGATTTGGGACTAGTTAGTCGCAATGATCTCAAATGCAATATTTCAGCTTTAATTTTGACCATGTTCCTCCGTTCCTAGTAGCAGTGTAGCACCATATAAGTATTTAGATCAGCCGTAGCTACGCGCTGTGGTACTCTGTTAATGTAGCATACATCGTGACAGCCTCATAGCTTCTCACGTGACTAAATCGCAGACAGCTCCAACGTCGACCTCATTACACAACTCTCCAAATCACCGGTCACTTAGCACAATGTCTCTGTGGAGGTACGTATAACCTACTACCATTCACACTCAAGCAGAAATATCTAACACGTCCAAATTAGTGCCTACAAATCCCTCACCCCCAAAACCCGGGCCCTCTTCGGCGCCGGCGTCATGGCCTGGGCAACGATCGGGCTATGGACAACACCTCAAGTCGAGAACGCTCTAGGCATGCAATCTACAAAGGAGGAACAAGATGCTCTCGATCGTAAATTGGCTGTGCGCATCTCTCGCATTGAACCCGAAGAGAGTCGTCCCAATTAATCTTGAGCTTTGTCAGTCTATGCAGCGAGCCATGATTGAACCTCAGGACTTAATTTCATGCAATGGTCTTTCCACTGTGGACTGAAGGCCTTCTCCGCCAACTTCCGAGTGTGAATATTTTGCACCTCATGTCCCAAAACAATATCAGAGCAATGCCAAGGCTGTTATCCAGTCCTCAGCTTTCAAATTCATTATGCGGACAAGAAGCCAATTCGAAGATGGTCATAACTCTGGTTTCCAGTTGTCGTTGACTTTATGCTAATTCGGACCTATTTGTCTTTGGCCTGATAGCACAGCCTTTACAGTACAATACATGTTTTCGGTCCGCCGGCCGAGCTACGGAGATCTTTCGCACACGTCCATGTCCTGCAAAGGATGAAAAGGAATTGAACTAAAATGTCTGTGCTGTGCAGAATTTGTCTTGAAGCTTCAAACCCTCAGATGACCTCTCTTTGAACCTTTCCTTGAATTGATGTAGTCGACTCACAGTGCTTAACATCGGAGCTCTTGCAAATACTAGCGTCTGAGTCTACGCCTGTGAGCGTAGGTGGTTGCTTAATTAGTCCAGATCGGGACTTTTCAAGCCAATGGGGCATTTTATTTTCCGGGGTCGGAATTATAATGCGATTGCGAGCCGCAGATGCGCTTTTTTGGTTCACGGTCGTGCTGGCCTTATCACCCTGGGTTGAAGGAGCAGGCGGATGTGCTGGAGATGCTGGTCATGGTCTTGGTCTTGGTCTTGGTCTTGGTCTTAGTCCTTGTTTTGTTTTTTTTTTTTTGTCTTTTAGTTGACCTGTATTTTATCGCTATGTATATGATACTTTCCCCTACCTAAGTAGCGATTGAATTCTTCTTTTGGCTTTTGGTCTCTGAGGGTACCGTCCGAGATCAGATCGCTCAGCCTTTTTTTCCATTCCCGCTCAAGAACTAATGCTGAAACACAATCGTCAATTGCAATCCGAGCCCAAAAACAACAAGTCAGGTTTTGAATATTCAACCCCGAGCCTGACGTGCTGGCCAAGGGTCTTCATGTGAAACAAATCCAGAAGTCCGAAGCCCAAAGCTCAAAACTGAGAGCGCTGAAGTTGATATTGAAGTCGCGAAATCGGACAAGTACCCTCGGTTTTTCGCCTCCAGCAGATGCCGGACATATTGGAATCTTCTGCAGTAACCTGCTGTCTGCTCTTTGTCGAACCTGGCCAATTGAGCTGGGAATGTAGACGTGGGATGTTTTGAGTGGTCACTTGTAGTTCTCCATTCATACCTAGGTATCAGGAAGTTCAAGGGGTCTAAGATGGGCTAAGCCAATATCTGGAGGGGTTGAGGTTAAGTATCTAAGAACCTTGGAACCTTGGAAACATGGATCTGAGGCCCTGGGATCTTACTTGAATAGGTAGGTGATACTCGGTGGATCTATACGTCAGTGTAAAGCCTAGGTAGGTATTTCAGAGGAAATAACTATCATCTTCGGGGATTATTCGTATCTACCTACCAATAGCCTTACGAAGGTAGAGGCGAAGAACAAAGACACGAGATGAAATCCTGGCACCGCATGGCTTGATTTGGTTATGCACAACATGAGATAGTTTCACGGACAGCCCACCTGGGTAGGAGTCAAGTCTATCAAGATGACGACAACCTTAGAACATTTGAAGAAACATTTGAAGATATGCATATACGCCTAACATCCGTGAATATCTTACATATCCTTGATAACTAGGTAGGCACATAACAGCTCTGGAGGGTAAAATCCATGTAAGTTATCTATCTAGGTACTAGGTAGGTATCTAAACGAGCTCCAAGGTAAGACATGCTCAAATCAATTCTCGACATCACGAGCTAGTAAACGACTTTCTACCTGTAGTGTAACTAAATCCTATTCAGAAATCCTCCGCAATGATCGAGGATATGAGTCTTGCGACAAGGCTGAACTGGTCAAGGCTCATTCGGATATCTCATAGGAGGTCTTTGTCTCGGTGCATACGTAAAATAAGAGAAAAGAGAAAGGAATAGCCTGGAACATGCATATTTTCGGCCGGCGGCTTTCGTACGACATGATCCTGTTTAGGATAACTGGTTTTAGTGTGGCTATACCTGTCGCGTGATTCATTTATTTTCAGTAAATTGATTTCAAATTGTCTGTTTATATAGGATCATGATACAGCTTATTAGCACTGTCTACCAACTGACGAGGCTAGACCTTGACCTGTCAATATACTCATCTACGTTTAGCTTATTGGCAGGTACTCGTAATCAGCCTTCGAACCTTGGAAAGAGATTAGAGCTATACTGCCAAGGTCTACAAATTAAAATAAAACTAAAATTAAAATTAGCAAAGAATTTCCCGAGTTCTGCAGGTCTGATAATTCCTCCGATGTCCAAATGGCGTTCTTACTAACTCATAGTACAGGACTACCCCGGCCAATAACTAGGGCACTGACCTAGCTACATGTCAGCCATAGAAAGTGGCGTACTAAGTACACGTCCACGGAACTTACCGAACAGGAAGTACATATGTAACTATGTATAGTAAGCTGATCATCCAGGCAACAGTTATTTTACTAGTAGCCTGCATGCATAGAGCTGAGAATGCAATAAATTAAATTTGTACTTGCGCATGTACTGTCGATCCGGTGATCTAGGATCAGCTTCTGCTTCCAACCTAATTATGCACGTACTTTTTTTTAAAGGTTAACTTATTTTATGCATTAGTTTTAGGCCCAGTGCCAACACAGTATGTCTATAGCCCTTGCTTCCTTTGACTAACAAAGTGACCTTGGATAGGATCTAGGTCTTTTCTGATTGGTTATTCTCTCGACGCATCTTGCCTCTTTACTGACTGACTCTTAATTGACCTCGGGAGCCTTGGAGATGTGAATCACTTGGTATTCAACAGCAATACAGGTATTATGTAGACACCGTGCGCCATATAGCCGGTATACAATAAACATATTAACAAATGCTATTCCGCTTACTCTCGGAAAGCGAAATGATTTCAAACGTTACCTCGGTAAAAGTAAATAATAACCTTGGAATGAAGGGAAAAAAATTAAACGCCGGCTGCCCACTGTAGCCCTGGATAAATTCAGATTCGGCGATATACCCAATAAGGAAGCAGTCAATTCCAGCCAACGCCTGGAAGCAAGCCTTGGTTTCCATTACGATCCAGCCTAGCATATCCCTGCTCCATCCTGAGCTGAATATAGAACTGGCCCAGGACTGCAGTTCAACGGTTCCTGGCTGACAGCGCGATTCGGGGAATTGCGCTAATATAGCATCTGCGTAGTGAATAATTGCTAAAACAAACAAACAGAAGAATGGACTTCCAAGATTGAATGAAAAATTTCCGAGTTGTATTGAATCTTCAGATAATGCATAACGTCATGTAATGGAATAGAACCAAGGGGTTATAGAAATGGGAATCGCTACAAATAACATTCTTCATTTTGTATCGCCAAATCTGATAAAATATAGCAGAGGGTTGTAAAATGAGTGCTTGATGCGAATGAATATTGGGTATTGTGTCGGTCCTCGGGGCATTGCTGCAATTATGTCAACTTTTCAATCTTCTTCCGATGGACTTTATTGAAAGAGAAAAAAAGTCGTGAATAAAATGAAACAAGAAAGGCAAAATAAGATGTAGGAGGCCAAAGCAGAGGCTATCGTAAATAACAATAAGAAAAATGACAAAAAGAATTTGAAAGGGCCGTGAAATCATATCCCGCGCCTGCACCAGTCCGTAATCCTAGTTTCCAGTCCTGAAAGATTCCCCGATCCCAAGCGTAGAGTAAAAGATGTAAAGATAGCTAATAGTGCTGAAAGCCTAAGTGCATAGGCTGTGGGTATTTTGAATAGGGTCGTAACGGCCATACGTTGAGTAGACAGGATCATAACCGCTCGTGCTGGGGCGGTGATGATGGCTAGGGACTCCTGTGAAGACAGAGTCCTGATATGGATCAGTCTTCAGCGTATCCATCGGATCCATAGTATCGTGAATCATGGAATAGTCAAAGCCTGAAGACGAAGACGAGGACACAAGGGGGCTGTCACTAATAGGTGAATGCTCTGCTGTGGTCATCTGGCGATAATCTGCTCTCCCATATGGTACTGCGCTTCGGTGGGCAGAGTCATACAAAAGCATGTGTGAGCGAGATGTGTGCCCCAGTCCATGAGGAATACCTCCCCCAGTGCCATCCCCACTGTTGCCATCTGGACCCATGCTCGTATTACTGTCGCGCCGTCCATCCTTGTAATGGCCTGGGGAGCGGCCTCGCACTACCATTCTTGAGGAGTGTCGGCGGGCAACCTGGATCCACCCTGATTCTTCACCTGGCCCACCGGATATCTCAGCCTGAAGCTCCACCACCAAGTTATAGTACTGTTGTTGAGCGCGACGCTTGCCATTGTTAGCTGTTGCCTTTTGGAACTGGATTCGCTCAAACATGTGTGAGGTAGGAGGTCTGTAGGGCTGAGGAGCTTCTGTAAATGAAGAATTATAGTCCAAGGATTGAGACCCCAATGGAAAGTTTGAATGGGTTCCGTTTGACGTTGTACCAGCAGCAAGTGATGGTGGTGGTGTAGGTTGAAGAGCCACTCGACCGGGTTTACGCTCAGACTGCTTATCTCTCTTGGGGGTATGCTGAACAAGCTCTCGCGTATCATTGTACTGCCCATTGACAATTGCAGAAATTGACATCGCAAAGCCTCGAATCGGCCTTAGAGTCTGATCACTGTAGCTAATGTAGAGTGGAACAGTGGAGGGCCACGGATGAAGACTGAAGCTGCAAGTTACGGCGAAATAATTGCGTCGATAGCAAGTCCACTTGTTATCTGAAGCAAAAAAGCCCCTGCCGATCTTGGCTTGAACCTCGGGCTTGACGGTTTGCTGAGTGCCTCCAAAGTCAGCAACAATAGAATGGACGATGTGTGTATCCTCAAAGGGTGGGGCATCCTGTGCTTGAGATCGTTGTGTGGATTCGACTATTGGTTGCTGGAAAATAGCCGCTTGGGATCTTTCCAAGACGCTGTCTAGAGCTCGAGGAGCACTGGCATATGGATTGGCACGAGAAACATCATTGACTCCAGTCAGAGGGAGGCCCATACTTCGATGAAGAGCGTACGAAGAAGAATACGGGTGATTCCTTCCACCCAAAGCTGGTATAGAGCCCATATGAGGTGCCGCTTGCATTGTAGACGACATACACGGAGGAGGTTGGCTAGAGGAAATCAAGACCTGTCAGCTTATTTCGATCAGCTAGAAATTCTGCAACGTACAGAGCTGGCCGTCTAAAATCTGGCATCCGATCAAATGTATGCTGATGCTGTGATAAATGTGGGAAAAGAGGGCCAGAAGTTGGAGAGAAAGAATCTAAACAATATTGTATGGGTAAGTCTGAATTCATTCTTTCATTCTTTCACACTTCTGATGAAAAGAACTTACCGGAGCAGGAATCTGGAGGGGTCATGGCAAGTGCAGCTGAGCCAGGGTAACTGAAAGCAAGCATCAAAGTTAGTGTTATCACATCACCACAGAAATTTCCCCAACCCCAAGGATTGTAGACTAAAGCAGGAGCAATAGATCACGCGAGTTCAGACGCAACACAGAAACCATGATGGGTCAAGAAACCTTCCTAGGGAAGATAATCCAAGACGGCCCCGTGGCAGCTCGAATAGGGCCATGGCAAAACAAAAGGACGCAAGGTGATTCCAGATCAAAGAGGATAAAACATCGGAAGAAACGCATGCATGCAGCAGATCGGTATAGAAGGGTACCGAAACAGGCTGGCCTAAAGTCCAAGCTGCCCGGACCCGGAGGAAGTGAACGACAAGGGTGGAGAGAGACTAAGTGGAGCGTGAAGGCAGTCCAGATTAAAAGAGCAGAATAACTTACTGTAAGTCCTGCATTGGAGGCTGCTGCGTGTGGTACCGCACGCCGTTGGTGACAGGCATGGAGGCGAGCCCTCCGACTCGTCCACCATCGTCCTCGTCGGTCGGATACCCTGTCACATGAGAGTTGATATAGTCACCATCAGTAGTGACTGGACAGTCCATGGAAAAGGATTCTGGTAGAAGTGAAGCTATGGCGAGGTGTTTAGTCAAAAAAACTGTAGTGAATTTCAAAACATTGAACGCGTAGAAAAAACGCAACGTCGAGAAAACACATCATATATCAACAATAATATATTAAGGACCTTGGAATGTATTAATCTGAGTAGACTTACTAGGATTCATCATGAATATCGTGATAGCAGGTGCCTCAAAAGACCCTGAAGTATGAGAAATTGGGGTAACACCAGCGAGACGCCTGCAGTCGTCGCCTAGCCCTAGGTAGCCCTTGACGTCTTCGGGTGGCGATGAAAACTTTGTCTATAGCAAACAAATGTCAAGTTAGTTGACCAGGATCAGGGCTATTTTTGCTAAATTTGTGGCTTCCAAGGTAATCCTCACGATTATGAGAGTCCGTCTTGCTTTCCTTGCGTCTCTTCGGTCCTCTCAAGTAAATGAATGAATGTGTCTGCGGGGCAAAGGACGTTTGTAGGCGGGGATTTGCGATATATAGTTCACCAATCCCGAAGAAAAAGCAAAATTCGGTTTCAGTGATCTTAAATTATCACTATAGATGAATGTCCCAGGGGTTTGAAAAAGGATAAACCGAAGTATAAGGCTTGAGAGCAGGTAAGCGATGTGGACTGTGTGGAGTTAAGTAATACGGTAGATGATGATCGGATAGAAAAAATAGGAGACTGAGTGTAGAAATGGGGGTATAAGTGAGAATAAGAAGCAGAACATGTCTCAAGGGCAGAAAGAAGAAAGTCTTCCCCAAGACCTATGTCGCCGGTGGTAGCGAGGGAGAAGTAGAAAGTAGCTGGCAGGACTCGCTCTCACAGAAAAGGGTGCGTCATTGACAGACGTAGTTTCCTAATTGGGGATATCTTTCACATCTTTTTCAATACTGATTTCCGAGGAAAAGAAACAATCGAAGTAGAAGCCCAGATCTAAGTACCACTAGATCGTGAAGATCCCAAAACATAGCCCGTCGGATGGAAATTTGCAACCAGAGCAGGAAATAACGTCGAAAATAAATAGAAAAAACAATAATAAAATCATAGAAATAACTGGAACGAAAACTTACTGGCGTAATTCGGTGCGACACAGAGCACGGTGTTCCTAAGTATCAGGTACTGATTCTCTAAGCCCTAATAAGAGAACCTTGGAATCAAGGCTGTAGACCAAGAGCCTCTCTCGGGGCCTTTAAGCCGGTACTTTTTTTTTCTCGCTCAAGAATGAGATGATTCGTGGCTTGGCTGGAAAGTGTGGAAAGAAAAGCTGAACAGTGGGAATTGAGGTGCGCATGCAATTGATATTTGTTCTCCGTGCATAGAAAAGATAGAAGTTTTTAAGACCCCAGTAAAGTCCCGAATGAGAAATCTCGCCCCAAAATAACTTCAAGTTTATCATCGGCCGAGGATTATCTTCTCGCCACGAGTTCTGGATGAAGCCTGTCAGGGACAAAACACAGTTGTATTCTGGCAAGGTTACAGTGAATGCCTTTGCATAGGGGTCCATAATAATCTCGTTTGAGGGAAAATAAATCATTTTAGTTATTCTTTTTTTGGATTTTCTTTTTTTCACTTTCGCTTTTGCTTTTTTGTTTTGTATTTTCGTAATTATCCATTTTCGAACTTTTTTTTTGCTTTTTTGGATTTTTTCCTTTTCTTTTTTTTTCTTCAGTGATCCTGGTCCTAGTCCATTCACGGTAAAAGGTATGGGTGCGTGCGAGTTCATCATAGGGAAAGAAAACTGTAGTATCAAATCATTGGCCCGAGCTCTAGACAGTTTGATTGTTCAAGGAGCATGGCATTGGTTGAAATCTCCATGTAACTTATTCTGGCAGGACCCGAAAAGAGGGCTGCAAGCCGTTTCAAATTGGGTAAAGGTCAACGGTAATGACAAGTGAGAATAATGAATGTATTCTCCATAACAGTCCCCAATGAAGTGGGATGCCCTCAGCGCGAACACCCGACAGACGGGTCGCTGCAGGAAATCCAAATAAGATGAAACTAGGAAGGATAGAGAAGATGATCAGCCCCCAGGATACCCGTGCAGGGTCTATAGCCCCGGTCGCCTGACAAGTGCTGATGTATCAGACTTTGAGGATCTGCAAGCCAATAGACCAGAGCCACGAGGGGAAAATCTATCATTCGTCGTGGAAGCAAACCAGAGAACAGTCATCCTCCTTGGAATGGTGATGGTTGTGATGGGAACACCTGTCGGAGTCATTCCTGATATGATTCCTGATCTTAGTTTCTCTCGAAACAAAAGTAGCTCCTGCATAATGAAAAAAAGAGTAAAATATAGGGATAGAGCCGGCGATCAGCAAGTTTCTTTCAGCCAGCTGCATTGTGCATATTGGCATAATATTGGTAAGGCCTTCACCGACAGATCTGACGAGAATGCAATTACAAAACAGCAACTTGAGAGTCGAGACTATGCCCCTCCACCGATGCTGAAGAGGGGAGCCCAGAGCGTCGAACAAAGAGGTGAGTGGATATAGTGATTGAACCTGGAAAGAATCTCCGGAACTGCCTGAATTTTGCCCTAGCAGAAGGGAAAATAATTCCAGGTGCGTATCCGGCAGTTTTTTCCAGAATTTAGTACTCCAGCCGGGGTCGCTGGAGTGATTGGGAGATCAAAAGCCTCCCGGTAAAGGACCGGTAGAACCTTCTGCTGGGATACCGGGGAGCCATCAGATCCCACGATCGTGGCCTCAATAGACTCAAACTATGTATTGTTTTGAAGAAACTGCATTAGTGGCTCTAAAATCGGCTAGTCTGCAGGAAGCTAGTTGGTTTAGATGGCAAATCGTAAGGGATTGTTTAAAGAACCCGCCATAGTATGATTGGCTGCCAATCATCAGCGGATCGGGCCCCTTCGATCGGAATATCTAGTGACCAGTTAATGGAAAGCGTGTGGATATGAGTATATGTTGTGCAGCTGAAAATGCCACGGACCACCCCTCGCCATAGGTGAAGGATCATATGGAATCATATGTTAGAGGGCAGTGCTAAGACTTCCAGAGATATCCAATTGAAGATATCATAATAGCTATCTTGACGAGAGGTGCTTCATTAATTCCCGTATCAGAGCCCAGTGGAGAGTATTCAAAGGTTGAAGGTGAATTATTTGACAGATCATCCGCGTTGTCGAGGGCACGTGCGGAGAGAGGATGTAAAAAGTACGCACTCATGGATTGACTACGGGAAGATGGAGACATTATGCATCTATGGATATCTTTCATTCATTGTAGAAAAGACTCAGAACGTGCCCTCATATACGAGACTGTTACTGAATATTGTGCCTAGTCTCTGATATCTATCAAATTGATCCACCCGTACTAACTGTACCCGTTGCCGAATCTCCACTCAAATCCTACGCTCCGCTATTTTCGAGCTATCACAATCTCCTCGGCTACTCTGTACAATAAAGGTAATTAACAACCTTGGAAACGAGATAGAACTGCTGCAAAAGGAAATAAAAAAGTCCAATTATGGGCTCTTTTGATCTTGTACTATTCATGAATCTCCAGCTGCAGGTACCTGTTCCCCAAAGTGTAATTGTTTTTAAGTATTAATGGGCCCTGGAGCTAATAATGTACCTTTAACTTTTACAATTATTCCAAATATTTCAACTTTGCAAATCTTAACTAGTCGGAGCCGACCTGTAATCTGTTCTCCTGACTTCATCCGCTCTGAGACACTACCTAGGTATTGAATTCTCTCTTCTTTTGTTTATTATGCGAGACCAGGGCAAACCAGGGCTTTGTCGGGCACGTGCCCCGTTCATCTATACTTTCCCATTTAAAGATCGCCAGGGAATAGAGGATCAACTGATAATAGATCAATTGATATTTCAATGCAAAAAGAAGAAAAATAAAATCCAAAATTACCTTGTACGACGCAAATGTCAAACTGTAGTCAATTCCGCAGCCATTCCCAGGCTGCACCCGGCCGAATGCCCAGTCTTCAATAGGAGAAGAAGGGAAAGGAGAAGAGTGATCTCTCGGCTTGAAACAAGAGCCAAAGCATGCTTTCCGGAGGTCGGAATCGTATTTTTCTCATCGCATGATATGGACCGTTCTGCTTTGCAGGAGCAGACAAGGTGAAGCTATTGGCCGAACAACAACCTCAAAAACTTGAGCATGGGCAAATATCGAGAAATACAGCCGGTACTATTCTAGACCTGCCTTTCCCTTGTTCCGTGACCCTGGTTAGATTATGCCCGTTGTTCTAGGATTATTTGATCTCTGCTCGTTGAGTGGCTCCCTGGATCCTAGCAAGCAAGAAACACCGTCCACAATGACCACCTGCAGATACCCTGGTCTGGGGAATTCACTCTGAAAGAAAAGAAATGAGCAGAAGAAACGCTCCCGAGCTTGGCTATTACGATCCATGGAGCTATTGGAGCTAGCCCCATTACATTCAAGGACATCTCGAATTGAGAAGTCAAAGACTCTAAGGCCTCCAGGATCCCCTTAATTAGGGTTTGAGACAAAGACGATGTCACTCAACGGAGACTAATTTTTACACCCGCAACCTTGGAAACCTCGCAAGCTGACCTACGAAGTCCCTCGAACGGGTACTCCACTTTTCAACTGTACAGTATTTACCATTGGCCGTTATTTTGCTACCAAATACATACTAACGTCCTTTTGGTTACAGTTTGTTCCAATCTGGAAAGGACAAAAGTCAATTTCAGCCATACTTTGAAAGCCTCGCCTCGTCTGGACACAAGGTTCTGTGATTTATTACCTTTGCATCACGTATTGCAAAGATTCCAGAGTTGATTGGGATGACGCTCGACCTAATTGCCGGGAGCCTACTCCAGAGATTCCGTAGTCTTGCGAAGCGAGGAAGTTTCTCACTGCTTTTACCATCTTATAACATGATCCTAAAGGGGCGCAAGTGACATTGAGCTAGGGATGACATTCCCACTGACAGCATGCGGGTCCTGTCATCCAGAAGTTATATCATGGATCTACGCCGACGCAGATCATATGGAGTCCATGGACCTCCTATAGGTCAATCGGTACTTCAAATCCCCCTATACATGGGTGAGTAGTAGGCAGCATCATCGAAAAGGCAAGGGTGGCCAGACAGCTGAACCCTCGTCAGCCAACATTTTACCGTAGCTTACTGTCTAAGTACGAGAGAAACAGACTTTGTATACCATGATAGCGTGGTGAGAGCGGGCCAGTTGAAGACGTACAGCCCTAGGAGCTCTGCAAACTATGGGCTTAAGCTTCGTTATTGGCTTCATTTAATGATGCTGTGGCAGCTTCAGCCTTCGCTGGCCATCCCTGGCGACGTGGCAACCAACCCGAGCCCATGCCCAAGTAGTACGGGCCAAAAAGACTGAAAAAAACCTGCTCACCAGCAAGAAGCCGAGCAGATGGTGCATAGAGAGAAAATCTTCATTCTAGATCCATTACTAGCACCTGTATCACGGCAGATGTCCTTGTCAATGCTGGGCCTCTACTTCAATGTCACTGGGACTTCTGATCGTCACGAATACCATTCACATGTGTTTGGCTAGGATACTGCATATGACAGTGGCGGAGACAAGCGGACTGGAACATCTAGCGACCTAGTGACGTTAAAGAGAAAGATAGATCTGCCAGAATCGAGACAAAAAGGAAGAGTACGCAAACTGTGCCTCTTTCCTGTCCAAGAAAGAATCCCATATTCTGAAAATAGGGGGCGAGTACCAGCTAGCCATACAGCAAAGTAGACTTTTGGCTTATCAGAGTCTCCTTCCTAAAGGAATCACCGCTGAGCTGTGATGCAACCCAATTCAAGCCCGGGGAAATTAATAGACCATCTCGTTCTCTGAAGCTTTACTGCACCGCTTACCTGGATACGAAGATCTAGATAGATCTATGCCACTAAACTCGAGTGAAGAGCTTGGCCATGGACATGGGGTCTGGCAGATACAGTTAAGGGCGCAACCTTCTCCTTTCCATGAAGTTATCTATACCCGCTGTCAGCTACTGAGAAAAGGTTAATTTAGCTGATTTCTTGAGAGTCAGACCACTTTCTCAGTCTTAACTTGGTCGAATACTAGATCTAGCCCTTTTGATCCTTGCTGAGTTGGTATAATCCTTGGTTCTTATGATAGCAGATGACAAGGAGCGCTGAAAATGGACTTGAGATGCTCGTGTTTTTGAGTACGAATTTTGTAGATGACCTCGGGAGTATATTGCGACTAACGGTCACAATATCCCCAGAGTCTTGTTGTACTGATATAAAAAATTATAGAGTCTAGGAATTACTGATCTTAGTAACCAAGGACTATGTTTCAACCTGCCATAAAGCAGAATCCTGTAAGAATTCTCTAAACCATTGCTTTTGTATGATGAACTGACGAATGCAAGTATATGACATAATGGGTGTCTTTTGGTAATCATTATCAATCATACAGTACAAAGGAAAGAGCTCTAACCAAAAGGCAGGCCCGCCAGAAAAAGAAAAAAAAGTGGAATCAAGCCAAAAAGGTCGTAAGAGAAAAGCAAAAAACGATTCTAAGTAGAGCGCTTGGCGAATTCGACGTGGAGAATAAGGTGGCGGTAACCGACTGTGAAAAAACAAGATGTTAGTCCAAAATAAATCTTAAATATACAGGTCAGAAGAAACATACAGCCGTCCAACTTGTCGCAGGCACTCGCAGCATCGCCCCGATCCGCGTAACTGATGAAAGCAAAGCCCTTGGCCCGCCCGGTCTCTCTGTCCTTTGCGAGGAAGACTCTGGTAACACGGCCGAACCGTTCGAAGAGATCCCGCAACTCGTTCTCCTCCGCCAACTCGCTGACCTGTTCGCGAAAAGGATATATGTTAGTATGGGCTCCCACAGATAATCGATCCATAAAGTAGAAACACGTACGTTTGTGACACGCAGAGTAGCAAGATCGTCCTTCTCGAAACGACCACCCATCTTCTCGCCGCCAGCAGCACCGCCCTTGCGAAGGTGAGGCGGCACGTAGCTGGAATTGCCGGTGCCCAGACCGCCAGCAGCATCCTCGTTGTCCATGTCCAAACCACCAGCAGCGCCAGATCCCTCCTCGACAGGGGCCATGGTGTCCTTGAACGGACAGCGGGCTGTGAAATGCTCTCCGCTGCAAATACGACACTTGACCTTCTTGTCCTTGAGCTGGTCCTTGATACCACCCTTCTCGCCTTCCTTCTCGGCCTCTTTGGCCTGAACCTTCCAGTTTGTGCTAGGGCGGAAGACAATGTTCTCGCCGATGGAGGTGGTGTCGAAAGTAGGTCCGGGAGGGTGGCCCTTCTCCAGACCGAACTTGGCCCACGATCGTCGCTCGGCCATCTGAGGGTTGACATGCTCACGAACAACGCTGGTCTTGATGCGGCGGGTAACCTTCACTTTTTTGTTGTCATCATTGAAGCGGTAGGAAATTACGGTCTTGGTGCCATCTTTGTTGGTAATAACTTCTTGTGGGGGGAGCGCGGAGGGGTCGTCAAATTCTTCGTCGTCGGCCCAGTCGGCGCGGCTGTAATTTTTCAAAGATCTTGTTAGGCACTGAATTTGAGGTATTTATTGGCGGTAAACACTCACTTCCCGAGTCGAGACATTTTGTGTGGTTGATGTGTTACGGCGAACTGCTGAATTTCTAGGATTTCTTTCACAGGCGAATCCGTTGTGGATTTCATTTGCGGCGTTTTGCTGTGGCGCAATATTTATTGTGGCTGGTAAATCACATGACTATCTCATCTTTCAACATCGAAGCAACTTGAATGAAGACTTACAGCGTGCGAAATAGCCATAGTTTTTACATATACCAATTGACCATCCTCTTTTCTTGATTCCGGACTCTTGAAGCCTGGGAAGCCTGCTACTTAGTACATGCCACTTGTCGACACCTCCCTACGCCTATATTTGTAAATATCACAAACACACCTCCAACCCCGTTTTTTACTCTGTTATTTGGTCCTAAACACTCATCAATAAGCAATTGAAATACTCAAATCTTAGCCTTGATGCGCAGAAATATCGAGAGCACCAGAAGTGTATGGTATCTCTGTCGAATGTTAGATAGCAATCAACCTCTTAAAATGGTGTTTGACAGAGCGATCATTTGACTAAATTAAGAGCAATCGGGCATTGATTGACACTATTTCAAAGAATGAATATAGGCAAAAGAAAACAAGAGAGGGAACAGTAAGAAGAAAAAGCAAGAAGGGGAAAAGCAGAAACAGCGGCAAAAAGGACTTGGTATCTCGAAGATATTGAACTAAGACCGAGCCTCGGTTCTGAACATTGAACTAGAGGGAGTACTCGCAGTGAGCAGTAAAATGGCGAGCCTGTATATCTCAGTGATCCTGGTAATATTTTTCGCCATCTGTACCACAGACTATCGAGATAAACTTGCTGAGAACTCGATCCAGGCGTGGACTCAAAACTATGTGCTACTTGATCTCTAGTTATTGCGCTCAAAAATGACTACCGGAAAAATTTATGAAAACAAGTGATTTACCTCAATTGACATCCATAGGAGGTTCGATATCATCCTGCAGTTCAAGCTCATAGAATTTTGCCGTGATGGAGTCCCGGTTTCCGTATGTTCAAAGCTGCTGGCGAATCCAAGATGTTGTAATTGGCTCTCACTCTTTTACTTTTTGACCTCATTTGAATAAGCCACCAGAATGACATCTTGACAGGTAAAAGAGATATTTCTCACCTTGATTAACCGTTCCATGAAACCAATATAGCACTTTTTGTCGAAAGAGTAGAGGTATTTGAGTATACCTAAAATTACAAAACAAGATTCTTAGAACACCATCCATATTGCTCACATTTTTTAAACTCATGAATTTTCGGATCGTACAGAGTTATCGTGACAGTCGTACATCTTGGTCAAGCGCGATTTTATAGCTACTTGAGGGGCTTTAATTGAAATGTCTGAAAATATCTTGGCCAGAGTATCTCGCATGATAGCCGTCCACCCTTGCATGGGTGTGACGAGCTCAATATCAGACGCCATCTGCTCACAGATGTAATTATGTGAGAAACTATTCTATGCGAATCCTTCCACAAGAAACACTGCCTTTGCCGTTGCCTTTGAGACTTTGATCGGTTGCTTGATTAAATCGCGCACTTCTTGCAGAACTGGTCGAGATATATCGCGTAACTCATCCCCTGTTATGTGCAAATACCCTCTACGGACACCAAGGACTTTGCCATCTGATATTTCCGGTACGGGAATGCTGATCCCATCATCGGGGTCACCTCCAAACATCTTTAAAATAGTATCAGACCAAGTTGTTGCCTGGTCAATGGTATTCATTCCGTTCCTAGGCGTGCACAGAAAAGTTGTTCAAAGCGACGATGGAGGAATGCGGCACCGCAAAAGCTGCCGTTTCCTGGAGCTTTCAGGCTCAGAAACATTCTTGTCTCAAATATGACACTCATTCCTGCCTTGGAAGTACGAATGTGAATTAATACTTTTGCGTTCTAGACCCGAAGGCGGGAGCTATAAGAACATAGATGAATTTGAGCAATCTAAAGGCAGTTACAAGCTGCGACTCAAGTTCTTTCATGATGTTAGTCTAGACTGTCTTGATAAAATTCGAGGGCTCACTCTTTGGCGTCATGGCCCTCATTGCAGCTTTTAATTTCTTATCGGTTTATTTAAAGATGCTGGACGCACTGAGCTTCAACTTCTGTATGGGGTCAAGCCTGAGTTTAAACTACCCAAAGCGTAGCATACGTTCTGGGATTCTAAAGCCCCAGATGACTTTGTCTCTTTTGTAAGAAATCTTTGTTAGCACCTTCTCAGTGTTATATGAACTCAATCTGCCACCCGGTATTGTGACATATAGTAAGCCAGAGATACTCGCATTTTTGATTTTTCAAATCATTTAGGGAAAAATAATTTGCATCCCACAATTACTGAGAATTCAGGAGAGTTGCGATTGATTAATCAAATTTATGGTATCATGTCGTGTTTCCATGAAACATCACGTACGTAGTACCCTTGCAAAATCTTTCTTTTCAATTTTGGATCACTGACCTTATATAGGTGCGGAAGCTATCACCAACCGCAAATCAACCACAAACAGAGCCTTAACGAACTTATTAATACCAAAATTGGTTAGGACTTGTGTGCTTCAACGTTACCTTGTCAATTCCGCTACGTATTAATCTATTAAATTCTCTGGATCTGCGATTTAGGACCAATTAACTTGTCGACTGAGAGATCGGATAGTAACACCTACTGGGTCCCTAGCCACCATTTTGGATTGCTCGCCTAATACATCTAGATGATCTTGGCGTCACAGATCCATAGCACCTGTGAAAAAGAAATATATCTCACAAAATGAGATTATCATCTACGGAAGCCAAGTCCTAAGCAACGTTGGAGAGCTTCAGCGATTCTAGAAGACTTTGTTATTAGAGACTTTATTTTGAGCCCAAAAGATTCATTCAATTCAGCTTCATGGTAAGTCAGTGTATATGTATCTCTATCGGAGATGAACCAGGTTTCTTTGCACCGTCCAAGAAAACAATTCTAGCGCTGGACCCAAGGGAAGCTGTTTAGGAGTGCCAACTATTCGACTGGCTCCATCGATTACCAAATGGTATCCAAGTGTGTCGTCGTGACGTCTGAGCCGGAATTCAATGAACCTGAGTACAGATTCACCCGTTCACATCCAATGAGCCCCAAGCAATCTGATAAAGAGAGAGTATTCTTGGGATTTAATAATTTTTGAATAAGGGAGATCTGTTATAACTTGATGGTTGCATTTTGAAAATTTGGATTTGGCTGAATTGGAGATAGAAACTCGACAATTGGAGCTTTGAAACAATAAGGGGAGAGGTCAGGTATTTGCTATTTAAAAAAAAGACTTTGAACTCGTTCGAAAGTGAAGGCAAGAAGTCACTGTAAAAGCTATAAGTCGGCAGTTTTGCCCATTTTCATAGTTCTTATAATATTTTGACAGTTTTTTTTTGTTACAAAATAAGAAAATAAAATAAAATAAAAACTGTTATCTCCAAAGGATTTTGGGGTGATACGATTATTTTACTTTAAGGAATGATGTCTGTGCAAAAGCCGAAATTTACCGAGATCACCTTGGTAGACTGAAGATATTGATGAGTTAGAGAAATAAAAGAGGCTTCTTTCATTTCCGCCGTATTAACGTTTATTATTTACATTAAATTTAAGATTGGGTTTTGTGAAATATATAGTAATTTCTAAAGACACTCGATTCTGCGCTATTTTCCAATCAACTGACCTGAAACTTGCTGTTATCAGCTTATTTATCTAGGAAACTGAAAGGCTTTTCATTAAGCTGGAGAAAGAAGAGGAAGAGATCAAGGATTTCCAAACTCATCTTGGCGGAGTTCGTGAACCTGGGATGAATGCTATGGTCACGTTTTATCTCTAGGAAAATGGCACAAAAGAAAGCTGGGTATCTCGTAACGTAATTAAAGTAAACAGAAACTGAACAGTTCCGAGATTAGCGCCAAATGACTGGCAGTAGCTACAAGAAGCTTTTTGTTGCCAAGATATTCAGCCAGCGCCAGATCTAAACTTTTGAATCAGCAAGCAATTCAAAGTCACTTGGAACAGCTCTTCTCTGTGTGATAGAGCTGGGAGATCTTGGTTAGATTTTGTCGTTGGGAAACATACCCAGGTATTCCTTCTAGAAGTCACAAAGAACAAAATATCAGCCAGCAAAGTACCAGGAAATGATTCCGCACGCTAGCTAGCCATAGTGGAGAAGCAACTGCCCATGGAAAAGAGTCAATCCCGTGTGAAAAATTAACATTTCCTAATTCGCCTCCCAGAGTGCTCTGAGTCCAAGTCAGATGCTCGAAGAAATTTTTTTATGTAACTTCCAACGATCCTCATTCCTTTTGATTATCAAGTGGAATGCAAGAGTGGTGCTATAAGCCTGCCTAGGTGATGACAAGGAGGACATCCGAAGCGCTCGGTGGTGCCCTGGTGGATACTACTGGACCTAACCTAGGTGTCCTGAAAGGGAAACCATCAGATCTGGTTTTCGAGCAGGTCAATTTAAGTTGGTTAAAAATTAGCTTCTGTCTCAACTTAAAGTCTCGAACGTTTCAGCCTCAAGATCTTGGTTTAGGGCCAAGCAATGTCATGTGACCGTCCATCAATTTTTATTTCCACGACCACAGCAAAGTGTCGACCCTTAAAATCGAGAATTGTCCACTTCCAAGGTAATTAATAGTTTTGCCGACCATGATGTCGCATCGGCAAACTAACTATATTCAGGAGTTAGTTAAATTTATCATTTGGAACTTTTAGGAAGAGGCTAGTGCTAATTAATGCAAGCTTAAATTTAAGTGGAGCTCAATAATAATGCACAAAGAATTGGACTGGACTGCTATATTATTGCTAAATTGCGAAAATTAAACAACCGCCAAACCCTTACTGTGTATACGCAACCAATTTTAAGCTTACCGACCAAAGTACTTGAGTTCAAATGGTCGCAAACAGCAATAAATAACAAAGGAAAAGGCGAAACCGAGCTCGAATCCGATGTCTCCACCGAAAGGCAACTCACCGGCGTGCTTGGCAATGGGGCCGACGAACCATGTCTGACTCATACCGGTTACCATACCAGCAACACCGAAGCAGAATGCAACAGTGGCTGAAATGCCCACGGGGAGTAGTTCGCGCTTATCGTAGATCCCGACATTGTAACCGCCAAAGCCGCGCTTGAAGATAAAGTGGTCTGCGACGGCAATTCCAGAGTAGATGGCCAGCCAGTAGGCGATGAAGTTCATGAAGTTGTCTAGCACGGTATTGAAGTTTGAGTAACCGGGAATGGCGATGGCGAGAGAGGCGCAGGAGGCGCAGAGGGTCCAAATGAATCGGGGCACACGTTGGGTGTAGCGACTGAGTACTTGCAGGGTCAGAGAGACAGAGTAGATGTTGGGGCAGTTGTTGGCGATGATGGACAGGGCAAGGATGACGAGGCAGAATTTGCCAAATCCGCCGAGAGGTGAGAGCGCGGCGTCTATCAATCCACCGTTACCAGAGGCTTCGTAGCCAATCATGTACTTGTTGTCACCATTGTTGGCATAGGTAGCACTGTACACAGCCAGACCGAGTAATTCGGTGAACAGCAGGGGGATAATGAGACCAATCCAGGCGGAGGCGAAGATCTTGCGCTTGTTGACATTGGCGGGCTGGTACACGGTATAATCGGCGGCGTAACTGGTCCAACCAGTTGCGAAACCGTAGACGGTGGATCCGAAAGAGAGACAGTCGCCCAGCTCGGAAGTTCCAACTCCCATGGGCACGTTTATGAAATCGCCAGAGTGAGCAAAGGTGCCCAGCAGAATGATGAACACAATGCAGGTTGGGATCCAACTCCAGTACTCGTATGCATGGACGACCTTATAACCGGCGAAAGTGATGAACAGTGTGGCAAAGGTAATGACTAGGATACCAGCGAAACCGGGGACGGTACCGTTGATGGCATTGAGGAGCTGGGCACCAACAATGGCGTTCGCAGCTGACCAACCGACACAGGAGATGACATTGAGACAGGCGACTATCACAAGTTAGTATAAACCATTCTGTTTGGGTGATGCTATATGACCTACTGAACTTCACAGGCCACCATCCAAACCAGAAGCGGGACAGGACCATCTGGCGCAAACCAAAAGTAGGTCCAAAGCAGGTGAAGAAGCAGACGGTAAGAATACCAAGGAGGTTGAAAAAGAAGCAGACCAGGCAGGCGTCAACGAATCCCAGATAGAAGGTAGACATGCCCAAGACACCAATGGCGAAGGAACTCACAACCATGTTGGCCGCCAACCACTAAGGTCTATATTAGTGAAAATCGCGCCAATTGGCAATTTTTATATAGAACACACCATAGAGCCGACATTGTAGATAGAAGTATCTGTCCGCTCATCTTCCGGAACGCGCTCAACACCACGTTGCTCAACGTTCAATTTGCCCGCGAAACGCTGAAGCTTCGCGTAGAGCGAGTTACCGACTTCGAAGCTTTCGCCTCGTACTGCGTTATCGGAAGCAGTTTCATAGGCATTGTTGATATGAGGAGTCTTTTCGACGTCGTAGGCATCGTTAACATTAGGCGCCTTGTCAATGCTGGAGTCAGCGCGGGACCCGAAGCCAAAGGACGGCATATTTTCGATTTTTTGATTAGGGCGAAAAGAGTCAAGAGACCCAAAATAGGTATATAGTATCAAAGGAATTAAGAGCTCAAGAGATCAAAATAACCAGTATCAACTGATGAATGGAGCGTGAGACCCGGACCAAATCCACATCCTTGTGTAATATTTTAAAAAAGAGTGAAAAATTACACGGGCACTTAGTTTCTAATATAGTCCCAAGGGAAAAAAAAAAAGCACAAAAAATCCTAACGCGTCGCCCCACTGACAGTGGCAAAGGGAAGGAGGAAACAGATACGGTCGCGTGAGGTGGAGCGGCGTGGAGCGAAACCACGTTGTGCACTTTCCTTCTATGGTCCTTCTGGGTCATAATCAAAAGTGATTGAACCAATAGGAGAAGTGGATTCATTGCCCTAGCTTATCAGCGGTCTGAGGTTTCATTTTGCTCGCTTCGAATTGAAACTAACGGATTGGACGGTCGGGCCACTGATAAGAGATAAGTTAGTAGTCTGTGTCAAGCCAATTTCATATACGTCGTACTTTCATCCAAAGGAGTATACTCCCGTACGGCAAAATCCGAGAGTTCGCATCTATCCCTGCATTCCTGCACACCGTCCCCTGCATAACTTCACAATAAAATCATAGTATTCTTCTAGATTACCTCTCGCCTATTCAATATCCACAGGGTTTCCTATAGGTATTTATTTAGTAGAAAGGTGGATATCGATCTATCACCTCAAAGGTACCTATAAAAGTCTAAGATACTATGTCTTGGTACCTCTTTAACATGGGATAAGACTATTATAACACTATCACAATCATGATCAATGGAAGGATTAGCGGTATACTACGTAAATACTAACCCCGATCTAATAGATTGCATGGACCAATTTATTATAGATCCATGTATTGCTCGGTCCATATGCATTCGCTATTAGTAGATCATAGGTTCAAATCATGTATCCCAGGTGGTGTAGATCAACAATAATCCCATTGGTTGGATCGGGTTTAACCCCAGATTTGATAAAGCACTGGTAACTTGTACGGAGTATTCCGAGTGGAGCGTGAAGTGTTCCAGTGCCGTAGAGTCCAGAATCAATAGTCAATAGATAGTATCAGCACTTAAGCAGGGCGTATCTCTCTCGGTAGAGGTCTGAGGTTCGAGGTTCACACGAATTAATTCGTTCTTACCCGCAAATCCCAGCATTCTTATTGGGCATCCATCTCTTCTCCAAAAGATTCCATGGAAGAAACTTAAATTGAACATCTTAGCTAGCATATCTTTTTGCTTGTTCTCATATCAAATAAACCAGACGTCATATATGCAACATGATTCCTTTCGGCCCCGACCGATCTTCGGAGTATGACTATCATCAACTGCGGAGGCGGACGTGTTCGGTCTGATGCCCGGTTATGGCGCTCGAGCGCCGATTACAACGGGATGGGCCATTGAAATGCGGCTGATTTGCGGGGCTGCGATTTACGCTCACCCGCCTGATAGAGACGCTGAATTGGCGGTCTTTCCGGTCTCTCAATATGTCAAGTTTCCCCCTATAGATCCAATTTTGGAAAAATGTATTCTGATTGATGATTTCAGCTTTGGATGAATATATTTATTACTGCATAGTCATCTATAATATACCATTAACTGGTATTGTTCTACCCCCAGGCTATTCTATTCATGGAAGGCCGATATCTGTCCTTTACCTTTCCATATGATAAACCGAGAAAGCTAACGCTAAACAAATCAATTGATGGTAGACATAGATTCAGAGCAATCCATAAACAAACAATCAGTGTACAGTTTCGTTTGACATTGAACATGCTTCTCTCAATTTCAATATTTATCGTACCTTGCCACGAACTTCCCAAATATCTTGATCCCAGAAGTGCAAGCCCTAAAACATTTCAATCCGATATCTCTTTCTGCCCAGCCATATTATTCGAATCTATCCCGTTGAAGCCACTTCAATTCACTGCTTCATCATTTATTTCACCCTTGATGTTGTTTTCTATATTGGATTTATCCCATGCAGCAGACTATCTTTAGAAGTGTTGGTGGATTGATCACTTGGAGAAAAGAATGATCTTTAGACGATACGGCACCAAATGGAATCATAAAAAGTCTTCGCTGTGGCGTACCTAGGTAGTACTGGGCACCTAAATTGGCCTGAGACACTACTATTACTCTTCATCCTCTGTTCACATGATACGGTGTGGTTTCGATTATGATTATCTCTGTCGATACCACCAGACCAAAGTGGGGCACAGGACCAATGAGAATGATTACGATGCTGTTGGTCCAGCGACCTGAAGTGAATCTAGTGAGATTTATCTATTTAGTTACAGCGAGGACAAGATTGAATAACACACCTCTTACAACTCGCAACGATACATTTACAAAGTAGATGCATATGCAACAGTAAGACTAGTCAAACCATCGTTCCGACAATCTCGGTACCATGACTACCTGTATCAGGGGCTGGAGTTAATTGTGCGATGTGATTTGTATACATGATCACCTTGACGCCGTCTCACAGCCTCAGAATGGGACGTTGTTCTTCAACCTTGGAATGTAGGGAGCCTCTATCTAGATAGTCCTTTAGCCGATGGGATGTCTATATCAGACTGAGAAGCGACTACGCATTTCAATAGTCTTCTTGGATCATGGGCTAGTCCACGTCTTTCTGCAGTCCTGGAGGCCAGGTCTTTGTGTCCATTGGACCTCGTTGAATAAGATATTCAAAAGAAGCACCAACGTAATCTCGATTCAGATGTCATTATATTTGATTCCACTTATCTTTTAATATATTTTGTAATATCGATATCATTTCAATTATGATACCATATTTACTGCCAACGCCCATGTTACCGAAGGTTACCTGGGTATCTTGGACCATGTCAAAAACTACTGAATATTTAATCGACCTCAAACGACACCCGCGGACGGTCAGGCTATTACTTAGACACCTCATGGCTACCTAGGTAGGTAATTTATACCGTCAAACTTGGGCATAAGTAACCACAGTATCCCTATGGATAGCTCGCGGGGATGGTCGCCAGATGAAGGATAAATCAACATATCACGAATAAATATGTGCCTGGTAAGTTGTATATTTCTCACTAAAGCCTTTGATACTATAAGAAAGTATTGTAGAAATTCATTAAAAAAAATTAGCAAAAATGAACTATATTCATCAATGATAATCCTTCCTTAGCGAATACATATGAACTACATTAAAACGTACATTTTCGCTAAAACAGCATTTAAGATCAGATTTCTTGATAAATATCACTCAGTATCTTGAACAGAAACTAGAAAATAATTTAGGAACTAATATAATTGTGTGTAGTGGTGTCATTTGGTCTTCTGAAGCCGATGTATCTCTCATTCTGCCGAATGTTGAGGCTCTGATTGAACCAGTCTTTTTGGGCATTTAACTGTAACCCCTTATTTGACCAATCCTGATAAATCAAAGATCAGTTCGGAAAGTGCACAAAACCTACCAGCAACACTGGGATTCAGACCTCGGCAGTTCCAGAAAGGTGTTGAATTTATATGTGGAAAGGTGGATGTGCTGTCAGATAGTTTTAAGACCTAGCTTGTAGATGAAGTAGTGGCCATTTAATTCTATTTCAGCCAATAAATACTATGCCTCTTTCCTTAGATGAATACGATTACTCGTTGAGTGAAAATCATGTTCTTAAAATATCCGATTGATAATGCTCAAGTAATGGATATTGAACGTACCTTCTCCAGTCATGCGTTAGATAAATATAGAGGGAGTTTTGAATAACAGAGACAGTGAAAGCTTAGCCAGCTTATAGCTTAGCCACCATCTTGGTGCCCTTGTGTAGCAAAGCAGCAGCATCGATAACCAGTTCATCGACGATAGCCTTAGCGGACTTCTTCTCGTTGACGACAGCAGAGACCTTGCCCATCAGGAAAGGACGAGCGTTATCAAGTGTATCGTCATCAACATCGTCTGACAGGTTCTCAAAGTCGTGCTCTACAGGAATAATACCTTGAGCGGTAAGCTTCTTGATCTCATCGGCACGGTTCTCTTCCCAATTCAGAATGTACTCGTTCTTGCGGACGCGCAAGGGGCGACCCTGTTGAATATGTTAGTATAAACAAGTCAGTCTGAGAAAGTTAGGAACACTAGGCCTACAGTGAAAATAATTGTGCGGATATTATCCTCGAATCCAGCAGTACGGACGGCCTCCTGGTGAGCCTTAGACGCACCAGCCTCATCGGCCAAGATAAATCGGGTGCCAATCCACACAGCGGAAGCTCCGAGCATCAAGGCGGCAGCAACAGAGTTACCGTTGTAGAGACCACCAGCGGCAATGACCTGCACGGGCTGGCCAGTTAGAGGGCTCTTGCGACCCTCAACCAGCTTGACAACGGTAGGAATAAGAATTGTGGTGGGGACATCACCAGTGTGGCCACCTCCCTCGCCACCCTGTGCGCAAATTATATCGGCACCAACGTCAAGGGCCTTCTTAACGTGCTTAGGATGGCCGACCATGTTCATGCAGAGGATGCCAGCTCCGTGAAGCTTTTCAACAACTGCCTTGGGGGGAACGCCGACGGCAGAGACAAAGAGAGAGGCACGCTCTGAGATAATGATATCGACTAACTCACCGAGCTTGCCGTTGGTGTAGTCGTGGCTAGTTACAAAGCAGTCTGCGTTAGCAATGCTTGCTTGCTAATGTACATATAACGCCAACTCACTTGGTTTTGCGAGCATTACCGCCAACCTGGGGGAGTAGTAGGTCGACGCCGAACGGCGCGTTCTTGTCGTGCAAAGCCTCCTTCAACTCGATAATTTGTTCGCGCAGCATTTCGGGCGTGTATCCCACACCTCCAATAACACCAAGACCGCCGGCATTGGTGACAGCAGCAGCCAGCTTTGGACCAGCAGCCACATTCATTCCTGCCAACAATATAGGGTGGTTGATCTTCAGCAGATCAGTCACAGGAGTGCGAATAACCTCTGGGTATAATTAGTTTCATGTTAATTCCGGAGGGATGAAAAGATCTCACGAGGGGAAGCCATGGTTTATTTGTGAAAGTGGAACCTGAAAGAATGAAAGGGAGAGTGAACGGAATAGCAAACCTGGAGAAGTGGACCCTTTAAGAGAACATTCAACCGAGGCGTCCAGTTTGGATCACGAGTACCAAAGATGCCGAGGCTTCTCCAAGTGGGGTCGTCATCCATAATACAAGGCAACAAGGCACCCACAACTATCTTCAGGCACCAATTCACCTGACATTCCGTACTGTATCTTTGATATTCAACGTCTTTTCCTAGTTCATCTTGCATTTCAGCTTGCTAAATACTCCTGCGATAAAATGAGCCTGGTATTCCGTTGCCATAGAATTTCATCTTTATGGCGTCCGTCGCGATCCGGTCGTCTTCTATGGTGGCCGGGTCTGAACGCGACACGGTGTGATGGACCATTGCGCGGCTGGGCAAAAGGGTAAGTCTCCAAAGTGAAGTACTGATCAAGAACTGTTCGAATTAAGTCTCACTATAGTCTTGGAAATTATAGTATCACTTCCACCAACTCGAGTAGGTGCATATAAAGGTCTCTCGTATTGGCCGATACCCTATTACCTGTTATTTATCTGTATCTTTGAAAAAAAAAATGCGGGACAGAAATATGCATTGAACCAGATTGTTCCTGCACATACTACTTGGAAAGGCACAAAAACTAAACTTTAATAGGACGACCTTTGATGAATAGTACCACATCTATGTCCTTGGGTACTAAAGATGTCTCAGTGCGTATGGCTCCTCTGTCCCACTTGAATGAATGCAAGCAACTTCCTAGTTCTCGTCATAATACCAGTATGTGCTCAACGGTGGAAACGTCAAAGACTCATAGGGCATTCATTGCCTTGGGGAGTAATGTTGGAGATCGGGTCGAGATGATTGAAAAAGCCTGTCTTGAGATGGACAGAGCTAATATCAAGGTTAAACGGACCAGTTCATTATTTGAGACTACTCCGATGTATGTGCTTGACCAAGCCACATTTATCAATGGAGTCTGCGAGGTACCAAACTATCCTTCACTCGTGCTATCAAATTTTGTACATGACTGATGGTTGTTAGGTTGAAACAAGTTTGTCCCCCATGGAGCTTTTGGATGCCCTCCAATCTATCGAGATTGCCTTGGGTAGAAAGAAGTTGATTGATAAAGGGCCTCGCTCAATTGACTTGGATATTCTGCTCTATGACCAGGAAATATTTTCTCATGAGCGTCTCAATATCCCACACAGCCTGATGTTGGAGCGAGATTTCGTACTCCGGCCTCTTTCTCAGTATGCTGAGATCCGTGTAAAACGTCCCAGAATATAACTAACTAACAACATCTAGATTAATCCCTCATCATCGACCTCCCCAGTCAGGGAAAAAGATACATACATACATTGAACATATGAAAACTCTTTCTCCAGAGCCTACCCCCTTCTCCACAACTCCAATCTCCCCAGGCTTCCCATCACTGCATGCAACTGACCCAACACGCAAAACCCATATAATGGCCATTCTGAATCTAACTCCAGACTCATTTTCAGACGGAGGCACACACTCCCCGTCAGACTTTACCAAACTCAGTGAAACAGTCCGCACCTTCATTGCCCAAGGTGCAACAATCATCGATATTGGCGGCGAAAGCACACGCCCGGGTTCCATCCCCGTCGGGCCAGAAGAGGAAATTGCTCGTGTCGTCCCAGCAGTGAAGCACATCCGCACTTCTATTCCCGAAGCAGCCAACATCGCTATCAGTATCGACACTTACCGTGCCAGTGTGGCCGAAGCAGCATGTGCCGCTGGCGCTGATATCATCAATGATATCTCTGCCGGACTCCTAGATCCCGATATGCTGCCCACCGCAGCTCGCATTGGCAAATCTATCATCTTGATGCATATGCGCGGAACTCCGCAGACTATGACCACGCTGACCAAGTACCCTAACGGTGTTATTACCGACGTGGCCGCCGAGCTCTGTGAACGAATTGTTGCCGCTGAAGAAGCGGGTATTCGGCGCTGGCGTATCATTCTCGATCCGGGCCTTGGATTTGCAAAGAACCAAGAAGAGGATTTGGAAATACTGCGTAATCTATCACAGCTTCGCGCTAGGGAGAGTCTTGAGTATTTTCCTTGGCTGATGGGGCCTAGTCGCAAGCGGTTTATCGGTCATATCACTGGTGTTAAAACGCCGCGAGAGCGCGTATGGGGTACTGGTGCTACTGTTTCTGCTAGTGTTGCTGGGGGAGCGGATATTGTTCGTGTGCATGATGTTCATGAGATGTGGCAGGTTGCCAAAGTGTCTGATGCCATCTACCGGGTGTAAAGGCACTATCTTTGTATTATATAAATCAACTTTATAATTGAAGCGCACAGAGTCAACCTCGTGTTGCGAACCGACTATTTTATTTATCTCAAGTAATATGTTTTTATTTTGCGTGCATATTATTCAAACTTGAAATAGGCGAACTATAAAAAATAGGAGTAAAAATGGACACAATTATTTTATATGGTTATTATCGAGCTCTGTTGGAAATTCCATCGGGTAATATCTGCAGTTAATGGAAAATGCCAATTATTGTATTCACTGGGTCAGCTGTATGATAGCTGGTCGGACTACATTTCCTTTGCGATATCACGGAAATATTAGGGGTGAATGTGGCTTGCTCAAGGTAACAAAACGCGTAAAGATTCGGGAAACATAGGACTTTTGCCATAATCAAGAGTTGAGGTAGTTGCGAATAGCACCTTCAGTATTATTAGCATGCATGCACTATGAAACATGAAGTCAAAGAACTCACCTTGTAGCTTTGTCGCTCCCTCTCCAACGAGATGCGACAGGTTCTCAATATCATCTCCAGCCGTAATTCCAAAGCGACGAACGAAGTCCTTGGCCGCAGTCTCCAAGTCTCCGTACCCATCATCAATCGCAGCCAGCTCATCCTCGGGCCGGCCGAAGTAGGCATTGCTAGAGATAGAGGTAGCACCATCAAATTCTGTAAGCCGCTGCTTAGCTTCGGCCTGGACATTAGGGTTATATCGTTCACGTCCAAAGAACTCGTCTGAGGAAATTCCCTTTTGAGTGCCGAAGCGTCCCCTGGTTTCGGCTAATTCTTCTTCTATTCCAGTGTCAGCTTTTGTTTTATAGCGTGAGAATATATTTAAAATTACCATTGAGAGGTGCCTTCGAACCAACAGCACCAAAGCCTAGCTTCTTGGGAGCCGGAGGCTTAGACACTTGACCGAACCCGAGTCTACTCATACCCATACCCAAACGCTCCACATCGCTCGAATTTCGCTCGTGGGCTTTCGGGTTGATAGGAGTAGGGGCAGAAATAGGCGTAGCAGAGGCAGTAGAAGCGCGAGCCTTGGACTCAGCTTCGGCCTTTTCAGCCTCAGGGTCGTATCCGAGCTTCTCGATGCGCTCTGCCTCCTCTTTCGCCTTACGCTCGACCTCATCGAAATCGATTTCTCCAGCCACAACCTTCTTAGCTCCAAGTTTCGCCTTCTTAGCTCCCAAAATACTACCCTTCTTCGCAGCAGTGTTGGAGGTGATACGAGTTGCAGAGCTCGGGCGGATAGCAGTCGGGGCAGGAGATGAGGTTTTGGCCTCTGACGCAGCTAAGGGAGACTTTGAGCGAGCGTTTCCATTTGCGCCAGCGTTCAAGAAGGGAGATCCGGTTCGACTAACGATGGGTGGCGTACCCGTGCGGGAAGGTGGGTTGCTGGGACGCTTGATCGACGGCTTGTCCCACGAGGAAAAGAAATCGTCATCTTCGCCAGCTGGAGTGTTCGAGCCATCTGAAGGGATACCGGCGGGAATATCGGTGATGATGACTTCTTCCGGATACCTGTAAAATACGCGATCAATATTCGTACGCCTGGTGCCTAATCATTCGCTTCGCATAAAAGAGGGATACGCACTGCTGTGCGTCGGCGGCCGCCCGGCGCTTAAGCTCTTCCTTATACTTGACAGCTGCATTGGACGTGTACTTGACTTTGGAATCTTTGCTAGCCAGCGCGGCAGAGCCTCCATGTGACTGGAAGTATTTGGTCGCAGATTCATTTCCACCGACCTTCATCACCCGCAGTTGCTCCCATTGCCACTCTGTAATTTGTTTGTCAGCCAATATTATCTCATGCAATTACTATGCTTTGTATTCATTTTCTGTACGTACGGTCGAGGTTTGTAGATCGGACAAAAGAAATGTGGACACCTAGATTGCGGTGGTTGGACGAGCAATCAAGGCAAAGGTAGATGCCAAAGGGAACTGATGACCATGTCGGATTCTTGGAGTTGCAGTCGAAGCATACCTATAGAAGGTTCTTGTTAGCAACCAATGGTCACAAAGACAGCATCGAGGGGCAAAGGTGGATCGCACTTTGTTTGCGGGCTTGAGTTTCAGTTTCTCAAAGATCTTTTGAGACTGCGCCTTGGAGGCACTCATGATGAGTAGATATTTGGCGAAAAAATATACCAGAATTTGTAGTTCGGGGCGAAGACGAAATAAAGGCAAAGTGTATGGGAACGGCGAACGTGGTCTTGAACTCGGAGACCCTTTGGTAGCGGCCACACCCCTGGGCTTGGCGGGGCCACTAGTGGTACCAAGTCACGTGACCCATATCGTGATTAGTTATCGTTATCAATGTTCCATTTCTTTTGATGTCTTCTGCAACGCCATCATGAATATTCAGTACTTAAGGGCCCTGCCTCGAACATCTTCTATTCCAGTCGCTATTCGTATAGCTTCCCAACCGGAGATTATTCGACTCTATGCCACACAAAGTGACCTAGGTGGTGGCTCCCGAAAAACGACAAGAAAGAACATCACAGTCCTATCCGACGATGGGCGATACGGGTGGAATGAACTTAGTGGCCGAGAAAAGGTTGCGCGTGCTACACAGCAATCGTTTAACTTCGTGATAGTACTAGCCGGTGTGGTGCTAACGGTATGAAATACATGCTAAGAATCATCCCAGTAGAAGGTTTCAAACCGAAAGCTACTGACTGGTCAAATTAGGGTGGTGTCTTTACACTTCTGTATCAAGAAGTATTTTCACCGAATAGCCGGACATGGCAATTTGAGAAAGCAGTCGAGCGTATCAAGGATGATCCCCGTTGTATCATGCTTCTCGGTGATCGGAGGGAGATCAAGGCATTTGGTGAAAATACGTCTAGCCGATGGGCAAGGAACAGACCTATTGCGTATGTTGCAAATGTGGCTACTCTACTACCATTTTTGGACATGAATATTTACAGTATGCGTTTAGGACTACTGAGGAGAAGGACCGTCTAGGTCGTGAACACCTTCGCATGAACTTTCACGTACGACCGCTTGTCTTGCAAATGGGTCAAAATAACTAATTTATTTAATAGGTTGAGGGACCCTTGAACGCTGGAGTTGTCATTGTGCACATGATGAAGCCCCTGGACAGAAATGAGTGGGAGTATCAACTCCTAGCTCTAGACGTTAAGGGGCACTCTCGCCTCATTTTGGAGAAGGCTACTGAAAAGCCTAGCGTGGCTAGCTCCTTGAAGCTCTTCGGTATACAGTGGCGATAAACTGCCTTTGTACACTTGAAATTATACCATTGATCTTCGCATGGCATAATGTGTCGTCGAGATTCCTTTCTGATACGACTGCATAACACACAAAAAGACGCACTTTTACTACTGGACGCACCAAATTTATGTGATAATATAGCAATACTGTATAATCCCCAATTTTAAGCTTTATTTACTAATGCTTGCTGTTGCCATAAGTATTAGGGCAAATTTGATGGAATTTAACGCAGTCAGATGGTACTTAAGTAGCTTTACGTACTGCTTTTTCTATGACGCACTTCACAATTCCCGTTCCCTTGGAGTTTCCGGAAAATTATCTTCAAGTATCGAAATAAAAATGAGATCACTATATAAATAGCACTCCACGAGCCAACACTAGTAAACTCCACATACAGTTCCCACATTCAGACAGGATAAATTGAAGGCCATGTCCTCTTTCATCGTTGCTAGAATTGACAGGATTGGATCTAGAATATTTTTTAGGTAATGTCACCTAGAAATTGCCCAAATGCTGATTAGACTATAAAGCGCTGATCTCTAAATCCTTACATTTTTATATCAATATCATCCAAAAATCGAAGTGATTAGGCCTAGTGCAAAAGACCAGTCATCGTGGAAAAGATGGTCCGGAAGCTATTTATATAGACTCTTAAAACTTGTTTCAATAACGGCGGAGAACATAGGGTCCTCAATCATATGTCGGTCAAATAGATATGGCGAACACTAGTGAATTTGTCACTTCTATATCGATGCATGCAATTCCACTATTTGGTTTTATTTAAAAACCAAGCCACTAACTAATGAACTGATATGAATATTTATTGCGATCGTCAAAAATTGGCAGGGATTAACAATTCGGGTATTTCATTGTGATCATGAAGTATCCTGCGCTGATCATGCGTCCGGATATCGCTAAGCAGCCACTAAGTGAGCAAAAATAGTGAGGGAGTAGGCACTAATACGGAAGGAGAATTTCAAGAACTGGCGCTTTAGACCTAGTCATCAATTAATATATATATATAGTTACTTTCAATACTGTTGCGACAGCCGAGAAACAAGGCCATCAACAGACGGAAAGTATTTCGGCCGAAAAAGCTTCTGCCAAGACAGTGACTCTGGAACTAGATTAGTATATCACGGCATCCTTGAACGATATGCATTCATCGCAAACGACACCCTTGAGCGATGTGCATTCGCGACAGTAATGTCCCGTCTTCACCATCTCTTCTGTCTCGGACGAATGTTGACATTCGTCCAGGGCAGAGGGGCACCCATATACTATAAGTAGCTAGTTCTTTCATCAATGAAAAAGCAGACTTCACAACAACTGCAATATTCAACTAGTAGGAATCCACTACCAGATCGGTGGATTGTCTACGGTGTTGAGTAGCGGTTTGTTGGAGCTCACTGTTCTCAGTAACGAGCGACTAGCTAGCTACGCTCGCTAAGCGAGCGACAAATACCAATAGCTCTACCAATGCGGTAAATATAGGTTTATAATCTACATATTGAGATAGAGTATTGGTTACAGAATTGAACCTTATTTAATTTTCAGTATAGCAACCTCCAACTTAACGCACAACACCTAATCTGTGGGGCATCGATAGAATCGAGCTATCAATTGGAGCCTGTGGAATGGCATCCCTTCATAAAATACAGCACTTAAAACAAACCCAATCCACTGCAGTTCCGCCCATTTCTATCAATTTAGGGTGAATATCTCGTAATTTACACTTTTGAAGATACCAGCATGGCTCATATCGGGCGACTGTGCGAGCCATTTCAGAAGATGGATACGCCAGCGTCTAAACCAATTACCGCTTCCTTTGACATTTGAGTTCAGGTATTACCTTGCTGGAATATATCATTATCTTCAGTATGGGGATTAGGACCTTCTTCTAGCGCGATGAAAGTTCTTATGATTTATACCACGATTTCCACTAATTCCTGTGCAAATGGAGCCATGGTTGTCGTAAGGAATAAAAGTAAAAAGAAGGCAACGCGACCAAAATGCGCTACTCCTGGACGCTTGTTTACTTTGGCATAATATAGTCATGGATTTAAATGAATTCACACAATAACCAAGGTTGAATTTTACAACCTAAGGTTGATCGCTGGAAGCAGCGACATAAGCCCACCCTTCTTCTTTGCCATATATAGCTTTTGATTTCCAGGAGCAGTGGCAAAGTAAAGATATTCACGCATAGCACTTCCAGAAAGCCGCTGTAAAGATTCATAGTCCTCCCAAACGATCGCCTCCTCTTGGAACCAGGGCGTCAGCGTATCCCCCTCAGAACTGACAATTTGCATCTCAATGATTATTGAAAGCCGATTAAGTACTCCGCCAGCGGTTTCGACTCTCCTATCAAATATAAGACCTAGGTATGTGAGCGGGTCAAGATTCAAAGCGTCCAAATCAGATCTGAAAAGCCCTTGCCCGTTGCTACCTGTATCATTTGAGATTCGGCACTCGATGAAATGATTTGGGTCGCCGCATTGACCAGGACTGAGACGGATCCTAGCAAATATCTACATCTTATTTTAGCTTGTATTATAGGCAAATTGGATATATAGTATACTTAAGTAGGTATCTAGGTAGAAAGGACTCTTATAACTTCAAACCTACCTCATGCATGTCGCTCCCCGCCATAAACCCGGTAGAATAAGCCTGCACCGGTCGTGCCTGACCAGACTATAGACTATGTTAATCCAAAAGTATACAAGTTTGTTGTGAGAGATAATTACAGAAGCAGTGTCTGGGAGTAGTGCCTTGTGCCCCATCATAGTAGTGACTCCCTAGATTGATTGTGAGGATTTTGATAAGACAGTAATTAGGTAGGTCGAAACGAACCTCTGGCCAGATGACAGATCCTTCAGGTGGAGGGTTATTGAGGTCCATGACATAACTTCTGTCCACAATCTTGCCATTGCAGAGCCAAGTCTTATTTGTGCGAGTAAGAGGCTTCATTTTACCAGTCTCATATAACTCAATAAGAGCCAATATGTTGATTTCTTGTTTCGAAAACATCGGATTTCCTAGCAGCGCCTTGAGCTCTTTGATCCGTTCTTCAGGTGGCACAACCAAGGATTTCCAAGCTCGAGGAGCTGGGAGGAAATTTTCTGGACTGAATTTATATCCTGCAGGTAGTCTGGTTGTTGAATAGACTGCTGATCTATTTTGTTTGGTCGTTGGCTCAGTCGTTGGCTCCGCCATCTTTGAGCGTGAGTACGATCGGAGTGCCTTTTTCTTGTTAATATTGATAGAAAGTTTGGGATTTTTGGTCACTTTAGGCATTTTCAAAGGAATTTCAAGGGAATTTCGAAAGATTTTGAAATTTCAGATGGAAAATAGGTTCCTTTCGCGTGTATAAGAGGGAACTGTAGAAGCTGTAAAGGGATGATCAAAAGGGTTTTCCTATTTAGAGAGACGAACAGAGAGCAGGTTTCTTTTGAGTTGCTTAATAGTGTTCCTTGGGCTTGAGGATGAGGGAACATGATGCTGTTAAGATGCTCAATGGTGCTCGTTAGTTGGCGATACAAAGAGAAAGACATCCTTTGACTTTCTCTCTCGAGTGAACGAAACTCTTTGTTTTCTGCACTTGATCTGCGACGACATAACCTTGGAACGAGTCGAGAAACGGTTCTTTGAAATGAGTGAGGATATTTCTAGTTATGGCTTAGCAAGTTGACAAGAAGAAACTTTGAAAGGAATATTATGAAATGCATCCTTGGAATGAAAATGAAACTTAGGAATTGAATTGTATCTAAGATGCTTAAAAAGGGGTTTCAGATTCGGGGAGAAAGTAGGAAACAATGAATCCGAACAGACATGAGATCAAAAGTCGTGGACTGCTGGCCAGATGCCGGACTAGGCTACCTAGGTGGGTAGTATTATTTACTGTTTCTTGTAAAAGTACTAGGCATACTCTAGGTCAATTAGTTGCCATATGTATAGTAGTATAGTTGCTGGAATTTAGATGCACGCTATCAAGATTCGTCAAACAGATAAAAATGTCTATCCTTTCTAGAGCTATGGACATTGAAGATCATCAAAGACCTCCAGGGCATCTGGGCCATCTAGATCCATAGATATGTACATCAATTTAATATTGACTCATATTATTAGACAATCCGAGGCCCGTCCAAGATTGTCCTTGCCTCTTCTGAGCGCCACCAACTTTTCCCTTCTTCGCCGGGGAACGAAAACTCATCCATGCTTTCGGGCTTCATCTCAACACTGTAGCCGGGCTCCATGGGAGTGACATAGTAGCCATCCTTCACACTAGATGGATGAACAAAGTGCTCATGTAGATGATCCACATACTCGAGCACGCTTCTCTTCCCACTCACTACCACATAATCGATTGTACTGAGGTGCTGCGTGTACTCGGGTAATCCAACACCACCCGAGTGCGGCACAATCGGCACACCAAACTTGCGAGCCAGCAGCAGAATGGCCAATACCTCGTTCACACCACCGACACGACACGCATCGGGCTGGAGCACAGTCAATGCACCGGCTTGGAGCAGCTGCTTGAAGATAACTCGGTTCTGGCACATCTCACCTGTGGCAACGCCAATGGTGCCATGTGGTGTATTCTCCAGGGCTTTCTTAATAGCCGCGTGGCCGAGGATATCATCAGGAGATGTGGGTTCCTCAATAAACCATGGCTTGAATTCAGCAAGCTCCTGCATCCATGTGATAGCCTCCGGAACAGACCAAATCTGGTTCGCATCCACCATGAGAATGTTTCCTTTGTCGTAACCGATAGCCTCCCGGGCAATCCTCAAACGTCGCTTATCATCCTCGAGATTACCACCAACCTTCAGCTTGAAGTGTCTATACCCTTGTGCGACAGTATCCCGCAGTAGTGACTTCAACTTCTCCTCTGAGTATCCCAGCCACCCCGCACTAGTAGTATAAGCAGGAACAGCCTGACTAGCTTCAGCTTCACGAATACGCTCCTGCTTTCCAGCTTCGACTTCCTTAAGCAAACTTAGAGCCTCCTCGGGCGTGAGCGCATCTGTGATATAGCGAAAGTCGATGCAGCGAACGAATTCCTCCGGGCTCATATCTGCAACGATACGCCAGACTGGTTTTCCGAGGGTTTTGGCCCACAGATCCCAGAGTGCATTGACAAGTGCGCCCAAAGCTAGGTGGATAACACCCTTCTCTGGGCCGATCCAGCGGAGTTGACTATCCGATACAAGGTAGCGCCAGGTCTTACCCCAGTCGGCGGTCAACTCATCCAAATCCTTTCCCACTACGAGTGGTGTTAGGAGGGAGATGGCGGCGCAGACAATCTCATTGCCGCGGCCGATGGTGAATGTCTATAACATTCAAGTTAGAATTGTCTTTGAGCTTTGTGGTAGCTCGGACGTACCATGCCATGTCCGCTGTAATCGGAGTCAGTGTGGATAATGCAGTAGGCAGAAGAATAGTCGCCTGCTGCATTCATGGCATCAGAGCCAGTTTTGTCGAGGGAGGTCTGGATAAAGATTAGTCCATTTGTACATCGTAAGATCTAGAAGCATTTCAATGACGTACTGGAAACCTCACATCCCGCGTAGTGAACCCAGTGATTTTGACCATTTTTGAACGAAATTGATGAGCTCAATACCAGTGACTGTTCTTGAATGTTTGTCAAGTCACTGTTTCATTAGCGAAGACTTGAATCCTAAAAATCAATCTAACAATCGATTAATTTCTCTTTGTCTCTTGACTAATCAACTTGATGTAGATTCTGTAAATTCAATGTAGTCCAATGTCAAGAACATAGAAAGTTGAATTCTCAGGCAAACGAGATCCTGCTGGAAAAGTGAATTGGAACGCAGTATATAGAGAGAGTTTGACCCCCACGCCACCAGTATTTCGCCGACCCCCGCACTCTCAGGGCGTTTGATTGGTGGAATCGTCCTAGTATTGGGGAATTGTATTTACCCACCAATCACAGGCCTTAAAGGTAGATAATATCAAACCTTGTTGATGGAAATTCGATATACTTCACTCTAAACTAGGTAGATCTAATGGAAGTACCAACTACACAGCTGCGCAATAATTGTATTTGATCGAGGTCATAATGTTGTGTTATCACGTATCTCAAGTTTTGATGGAGCAAATGGAAGCCACAACGCTAAAGCGAGCGATGCATATGTCAGCGGCAATTAGATTGACAGCGCATGTCCAAGTAGGTCCCAATCATGAGGAGAAACAGGGTAGGTAGACAGAGGAGGAGGAGAGATCAAATAACCGGACACCTAAGTATTCTCCATCAACTCCGTCGCAGACTCGACACATGGAGAATGTACTATGTCAACGACAAATGAGGCCAAAGTCAGCTTTGGAGGCTAATATGATATCTCACTGAGATAAGATATACAAAGTTAACTGTGATGTGCATGGATGTAATGATTTCATAATAGATACTATGCCGTGGTCGCCAATCCAAACCTTGTAATTGAAAGGGAGAAATCTCTTCCCTCGTGAATGTACACCATCTAGATCATAGCAAGGACTAGATATATTTCTATATAGTTGGGTTGCTGGTGAATTGTGGTGTTTCTGCCACAATCCCATCAAATAATCTTGGAACTGTAACCGAAGTGTCTTTCTTTTTTCACGGCCTTGGAATAATCCACAGGTGCGAGTCGTTCACAGAAACAGGCATCCATGGATATTTTTGATCTGTGATAAGAATATGGGTCTAGAGTTTTCCTAATGAGTTGGTCAGAACCTTGCAAGGTTAAGAAGATATCCATGAATACATACACAAAGGTACCTCGGTAGGTATACTTTCGACAAATAGCGTCATTTTTTATATTGATACCTAGAACACTACATTATTCCTGACCTTTAGCACCGATCACAACTGTGACAGTGTCATCAATTAAGCTGACAGTCCGCGCTTCTCGCTCTCGGAAAAGAAAATCAACATCCGCCACAGCTTGCGAACCAACACTTCGGCCTCCTCATCAAGAGCCTAAGAAATTATGTTAGCATCTTATCTCGTGATCTAAAAATGAATAGACTCACCTCTCCCAATTGCTCGACCAGTTCCTGGGGAGTGCCGTGCTTACGCACATGCTCTTCCACAACGTCAACCAGCATTTGCTCCTGAACGCCAAGATACTCGACAATCTTTTTCTCTACAAATGGCTTGATCTGTTCACCGATGATGCTGTCATCCACAAATCCCCATTTGATATCCCAGTTCCAGAGACCTTCCTTGTCAGTGGGGATCTCGGCGGCCAGTTGACGGGCTGCCTGCACACGTTCCTCATCTGACAGGCCAGCGGCCTCAGCGGCAGTGTCAAACTTGATAGGAACAAGAGTTCGGCGAGGAGCGGTGGCAGGTTCGTCCTCGTCTTCAAGCAGACCTTCGATTTCGGCCACTGTGCGGCGAGTAGCCGCATGAGCCTTCTGTGCTGCTGCACCGAGAGACATCTTGAAACGCTGGGGTTCGCGAGGTTCCGGGGCGCGTGCCTCCAATTCCCGTGCTTGGCGAGCGAGGAAGTCATCGGCCTGGCCCCGCGCCTGCTCTTGTTGCTGGGCCGAGCGTTCGAGATCTCGCTGTTCAGCAGCTCGATCAGCCTCATCAATGCTACGCTCACGGGCACGGAAGCTGGCCCGGTTGCGAACCCAAACACTGTAATCGGCGTAGTACGGAACAGTCTTTCGGCTGGCCTCATCATCGTCGTTGAACTCTCGGAAGCGTTTTTCCATCTCATCATGGGCAGCTTGCAGCCGGTCATCTTCCTCGTCATCCCGTTTCTTCTCGCGCTCCAAAGCTGCGGTTCGGCTTCGCTCGCGATTAAGCCAACGGCGTTCCTGGTCAAGGAATTTCTTGTCTTCCTCCGAATTCTTCTTGGCCTGGCGGCGGCGTTCAAGTTCCTCATCACTTGCGTCAGAGTCTTCCTCCTCCTGGGTAAGACCGCTGCTCACAAATGTCACACCCTTATGGAATTCATGCGAAATCTGGCCACTGTATCCCTTTGGGCCGGATGGGGCATTAGGCATTCCACGTTCACGTGGGCCCAGGGGAATACCATTAGCACCACCGGATGGACCAGTGGGGGCAGAGACGGGAGGGGAAGCAAGTCGGTTGCGTGGGCCCGCATTCCGAGCACGCTCCATCGCCTCGATCTCCTCCTCACGTTTCAGCCGTTCCATATCGCGACGATTACTACGCTCACGGAAGGCGGCAATTTCCTTGGCGACATTCTCGCGCATCTCGGGCGGAACATCGGCCAGCTCGTCTTCCACAGTGATGGGAATCGTAACAACTTCTCCTGCGTCAGCATCCTTCATGTCAACATCGCCATCGGGGTTATCAAATTCTGCGACATCCTGCAGTTTTGGGTTGAAGAGCTTCGCAAGTGCGGTCTTCAGATCGGCTCTGGCATTATCAAGGCGCGCCTGAAGTTCCTGGGGGTCCCGATCTCCTCGGGTACTGACGTATTGCTCCAAGTAGCTGAGGGTGCCTTCATCGACCACAACCTAATAAAATGAGTTAGTAATGCAATATTTATTTGTAAAGCCTGTATAGACCCATTTCTAAGACATACCATGAGATTGCTCTTTTCAATTTCTTCAGTTTTCTTCTCGTCATCCCCCTCTGCGCCTGGGGTCTGTTTCTTCACAGGGATCTCAATATCTTTGAGTATCTCTACTGCAATCTCCAGACTCTCTGCGTTCTCAAACTCGGCGAATCCAAACCGGCAAGGTTTCTCATCCGCATCTGTCGCACGGATCCAACGTCGTAGACGGCCAGCGGACCGAAGAATGCGCTCAATGCCGTCGTCACCACCTGCACCTTCAGTGATACCTCCGACGAAGAGGGTGCGCACAATCTCCTCCCGAGTGGGAGGTTGAAGCTGCATAATCGAATCGCGACCACTTTGACGCGAGTTGTCCGTAGTAGAGGAGCCGATACCAGCACGTCGTCCGGGGCCATCAGTTCCTCGTTCACGTCCCGAGTCTTGCGAAGGCTTTGCCGGGCCGGTGCCAAGTCGAATCACTGGTGCAGAAAAGTTGATGTTTGGTATATTGGGGGGGATTTGGAAGGGGAGTCGACCGGCCTGTTGACCGTTCGACTGCTGCATCCCAGGAGGATTGGCTCCCGGGGGAGCATTCAAGCCTGGTGGAGTATTCAAGCCTGGAGGGGTATTCAAACCTGGCGGACCATTCAGACCTGGCGGACCATTCAAACCTGGAGGACCATTAAAGCCCGGCGGACCACTCAAAACTGGCGGGGCATTCATTCCTGGGGGAGCTAATAGGCGTTAACAATACTCAACAAGGTCTTCAATAAGCGAATCATGGAGAAACTATCACCTACCCATTCCCGGGGGTGCGCCAGAATAGGCGCCATACGCGTTAGGAGCTGCGTAATAATTGGTATTTGATCAGAATTGTGTTTTCGTAACTAATAGGGTTAGCTGAGGGACAGGTAATCTCACGTTGGAAATTGTACATTCTGCACGGAATGCTGCTTCGAGGGGTTGCAGCTGCAGATACAAAGATGTTGATCAGCTTTGAAGAACAAAAAGAAGTTGTGGATAATGACGTCCGTGCGCAGACATGGCAGAACGGATTAGCTAATCGGATTTACATGACCGCCTGCTCATAGTTACTGACTGAGTAAATATCTTATTCTCTTCTAGTCCTCCCCCTGGTGGTTTACATGATCATAAGGGATCTTCTCCACTTGAAAGATCAAACCAGAGTTCTTAGATACTTGAGACACGAACTCGGGCTAGAAAGGTCTAGAAATGTTTCGAGTTTCATTAGCATACAAAAAGAAGGCAGCTACCAGCTCACCGGTCACCCGGTTAGACAGAATCATGAAATCATAAAATCAAGAAATCAGAAGGTAAAGGACTGGAATTGCCTTAGACTAAGTTAGTCCATTTTAGAACGTGGGCTGTTCTCTAATATTCAATTCTTCGGTTGATGGAAGTATATGGAACTGGATAATTAGATAAATAGATCCTATTCAATGATATATCGGAGTACTCGGGAGAAGCGGGATGGTTGATCGGTAACTGATGTAAGCAAATAGATACTCGTGGCATTAAAAATATAAAAATAACAGTGAATAGTTCAATAAACCTGTTCAAGACTGAAGTGTGGCCCGAGTGCGGCAATGATGATGATTGCCCCACGTTAAGTAGCCCCTCTGCCGGACCCCAGCGCGCCGAAGTCAAGTGTCACCTAATTCTATTTCTTTCCTCTTACTCCCACTTCTTCCTTTCTCCATCGTGATACCCCTCTTTCGTACTACTTTGTAGGTTCAGATCTATATCTTTAGTGATCTTGTTTTCGCAAGAGCTACCATCCCACCTACTTCCGTTCACCCCGCATTAACCCGATCTCGAATAGCTCCATACATCAATATGCCTGAATTCAAGCAAGCCACCGATCTCGATGCCTGGAAGGAGCTCCAGCAGCATCACACTGAGCTCGGACGTAACATCGTCCTCAAGGAGTACTTCGAGAAAGACCCCCAGCGCTTCCAGAAGTTCAGCCACACCTTCAAGAACACCGTGGATAACTCGGATGTCCTTTTTGACTTCTCTAAGAACTTTTTGACTGAAGAGACCCTTGCCTTGCTTGTCAAGCTTGCCAAGGAGGCCAATGTTGAGGAGCTGCGCGATGCCATGTTCCGCGGTGACAACATCAACTTCACCGAGGATCGCGCTGTTTACCACGCAGCTCTGCGCAACACCTCCAACGAGCCTATGCATGTCAATGGCCAGAGCGTAGTTGAGGAAGTCAACAGTGTTCTCGAGCACATGAAGGAGTTCTCCGAGCAGGTCCGCAGCGGCGAGTGGAAGGGTTACTCCGGCAAGAAGATTGACACCATTATCAACATTGGCATTGGTGGTTCAGATCTGTGAGTTATCCTGATCGTTATCATAAAATCAAAATGTAAGGATTTAACTAACTTGAGCTATTAGTGGTCCGGTTATGGTTACTGAGGCTTTGAAGGCTTACGGAGCCCCAGACATGAAGCTCCACTTCGTCTCCAACATTGACGGCACCCACATCGCCGAAGCCACCAAGAACTCCAACCCCGAAACCACCCTGTTCCTGATCGCTTCCAAGACCTTCACCACCGCCGAGACCTGCACCAACGCCAACAGTGCCAAGAAGTGGTTCTTGGAGACCGCTAAGGATGAGTCCCACATCGCCAAGCACTTCGTCGCTCTCTCCACCAACGAGGTTGAGGTTGTCAAGTTTGGCATTGACAAGAAGAACATGTTCGGCTTTGAATCATGGGTCGGTGGTCGTTACTCTGTGTGGAGTGCCATCGGTCTTTCCGTGGCCCTCTACATTGGTTACGAGAACTTCCACCAGTTCCTGGCTGGTGCCCACGCCATGGACAAGCACTTCCGTGAAACTCCCCTCGAGGAAAACATTCCCGTTATTGGTGGTCTGCTGAGCGTCTGGTACAGCGACTTCTTCGGTGCCCAGACCCACCTTGTTGCTCCCTTTGACCAATACCTCCACCGCTTCCCTGCCTACCTGCAGCAACTTTCCATGGAGAGCAATGGTAAGGCCATTACCCGCAGCGGCGACTACGTCAAGTACACCACCGGCCCTATCCTGTTCGGTGAGCCCGCCACCAACGCCCAGCACAGTTTCTTCCAGCTCCTGCACCAGGGTACCAAGCTCATCCCGGCCGACTTCATCATGGCCGCCGAGTCTCACAACCCCATCGAGAACGGCAAGCACCAGCGTATGCTCGCTTCCAACTTCTTGGCTCAGTCTGAGGCCTTGATGGTCGGTAAGACCCCCGAGCAGGTCCGCTCTGAGGGTGCCCCCGATCACCTCGTTCCCCACAAGACCTTCCTGGGTAACCGTCCCACTACCTCCATCCTCGCCCAGAAAATTACCCCCTCCACCCTAGGTGCTTTGATCACTTACTACGAGCACCTCACCTTCACCGAGGGTGCCATTTGGAACATCAACTCCTTCGACCAGTGGGGTGTTGAGCTCGGCAAGGTCCTTGCTAAGAACATCCAGAAGGAGCTGGAGACTGAGGGTGCTGGTGCCGACCACGACAGCTCCACCAGTGGACTCCTTTTGGCTTTCAAGGCAAAGGCCAACCTGTCATAAGTTTCGATATAATACATAATCGTGGTGTGACTTTGACGAGCAACGAATACTGTTTATGTCCATGTTTAGTATTTGGAAATTGAATATTTCAGCTTTCCTGCTTCAAAACTCAGTGCTTTATCGTAATAGACTGTCTATGTCTGGGGTAAATAAACCAACCCTGAATCTGACGCATAAAAGAGATAAGAGGCAACTTCCAAAATGGTGACAACCTTAGAACGAAGTACAGCACTAACTTGCTATTGTATGATCAATCCGGACCGTGGAAAAAAAAAATAAAAATAAATAAATAAACAAAAATAAATAAAAAAACAAGAAGGAAAATTGAATATTTATCTTCATGTCTATTCTTAACTAGACTGATCTTAATCTCGTCTCAAGTCTAAAATAATCTTATAAGTACTGTGTAGTTACTAAACTTCTGCAAACACTGCAAATCAACATAATCCAAATATGGCTGACAAGTAAATCAAAAAAGCCTCCATTTTTGGTCTGTTGCTGAAATAACAGACACTGACCAACCTTTCTGGTCTGTTACGAATGGCAGACGATATTCAACCTCCAATCCCTCCTGCCCAAAAAGCACTAGTCAACATGCCTCGGCCAGCCAATCTACCTGCTCTTGACATTATGCCTCGTAAGCTATTACCTCTTACATTAGAAAGGAAATCATTAACAGTCGCCATTACTAGGCAACGAGCTCATTAGAATCCTGCAGGCACTGGACGAGGATGTGCGGCGCCAACTGAAGCTGGCATATGGAATCCGTCACCTGGCCGTTTAAGGAGGATGCTTGAGATGTATTTTTATAGTGTATTTTATCATGTCCTTATGATTGTATGATTATTGTATGGAGAGCTTACCAGCTCCTGTCTCCTTGAACGCATCTAAATAATTCATATTAAAAAGAAAAAGCCAATATGTCAAAACCTGACCGCTAAGGCTCGTTCTAAGCCGATTGCTGACCAATAGGAAGTAAGTATTTATAACTTTGAAAGCCGTAATGATCTTCTTTTACGTGCATGACAACTGGTTCATCTTGTGGGGCAAGTCAAGACCTCATGATGTTTCGCTGTGTCTCAGACTTCGAGATTAACCAAGAAATCACTTCATTTGAAACGGTATATACCCGGGAAGAGAGACTTTTGAGGAGAATAGAGAGGCAGAGCTTAGAAGTCCATGATGCAATTAGTGATAATGAGGAGATGACTAGCGATATTGAACCAATTGTTCAGGCTCCAAGTCAACGCGCGCTTGGAAAAAGACGGAAGAGTACTATATCAGACCTTGATGATTCTGATGATGAGGTCCCATTACCGTTGATGTTGACACAGGAAAAAGATGATACACAGCTACTTATGCAAGCAAGAGATAGAGGTCAGAAACGGCAACGGCAAGAGATGACTTTATTTTGTATTAGCTATATAATAATGACATAAGTATTACTCCTCCCTGATTCTAATCTTGTAACTCTTCGTTCTTTTGAAAAGGCTGTTGTAAGTGAAATACCACAAAAAAAAAAAAACACTCAAAGCTGCATAATTAATATGGGGAGCTAGTAAGTGTGTTTGCATTGTTTACAGATATCTCGTACTCCGCAGGCCGCTCCAGAACGCCTCCGTGTTCTTCTCCACGCCACCAAGCTATTCCCAACTACGCGCCACGCGGGGGCTATTTTGCCCAAAGACACTCATTTATTTGCAAAAAATGTTTTCAAAATGCCAATTGGCTCAGGGCCCTACACTGACAACTCTGCTCTCACTCACATTAGCACTATGGCCTACAGCATCAACAGCTGGAAAGAGTAGTAACGCTGGGGAAGGGTACAGAATTGGGGAGGAAATCCCCCCTCTCATGTCTCGAAAGGACAATGTAAGTCTTCAAGTCAAGCCTCCAGCTTTCAGAAAACTCATAGTTTCTAACCAATCCATTGCGATAGGGAGGGAGAACATGTATGCGCCTCAATCTACCACTCCTCCGAGTTCACATCTAACGAACAAACAGATCACAGATAGCTTTGGAAAGATGAAGTATATCCCTTTCGCAACCTGTAACGAGACTTCCGCTCCTTTCATGCTACACTATGGTGTTTCGGAGACAATCACTTGCACAATCCCCGCCCTCACCGATGAGCTCTACCACGTCCTCGAATTCTACGTACACGCCGACGTGCCCATGACCTGCCGTCTGCCAACAGCTCCTCTCATATCGTCTAGCAACACACCGCCAGATAGCTCGGATAAAACCGAGTCCCGTGAAGAAGACTCGCTCGCCGCTCTAAGTGAGAACGGTCCGGCGTTCACTCCTATCACCGTCGCACTCCAGGGCACATTGCAACGTAGCCATCTGCACATTTGGACCGACATGAATATGCTCATGCACAATATTGCCTCTGATGCTGCGGCGCAGCAGGAGAAATCGAAGCAAGTCAGTGGGACGGGTCAGCCTGGTTATGCTGTTGCGGGAACAGCCTACTCTACCCCCGAATTTGAGGCTGCCGTCAAGGGCCTAGAACTCGACGAGGACGAAGAGGTTGTTGTAGTTGCTCAGGCTGCGCGTGAACCCTGGCATGCAGGCCATGGAACGAAGGTTGTTCGTGGCGAGCCGCTTACCTTCTCGTTCCATATTGCCTGGGTTGAGGGTGGTGCTGGTATTGGATGGCCGGTGCGTCCTGAGTCAGAGTCATTTTTAGCTTTGGCTGATGCGAAGGCTCAGAGCTCTGACTCTGGGCTTTTCTCGCGCATGATTTTCTTTGTCATGGCTGCCTCTGTTGGTGCAATTGCTGCGCTTTACTGGGAGCGTAAGGATCGGTTGAAGGGTCGGCGTGGTGATGGTATTTTGGGCGTGTCGTCTCCTGCTAGGGGAGGGATGGGCTCCACTGTTGCCTTTGGAAATGGTGGACGGATCAATGGGTATGGAGGATATGCCGCTACTCCACCCAACGGCGCGAATGGTGGTCAGACTGGATATGGAGGATTCCCTACCGGGAAGAGAGACTGATCAATCGAATCTGTGATTTGATGTATAGATGTATATTCGACTGGAGAAGGGGTATTGAACACTGCCTACAGGGCTATATCTAGCTGATATTGATCAGTGTACCAAGAAACTGCATGCCCAGCGAATTCCCACATGTAATGCGAATGGAGTAGTCAAATAAATTGCACGATAGTTATACAAATAACAAAAAAGTACAGATACCAAGTTCATGTTCCAGTATTATTTCAGTATATACAGACTCGACGCCGAGCACTTAGAAATGCTCACCAACCTTGAGCCTGCATCCGCTGAATCTTCTTGACAGTCTCCTGGAACGAGAACTTGAACAACTTGCGCCATCGTGACCGACGAAGCTGTTTCTTCATAGCACCCCTGCGCACATGGAACTTTTGCTCATTGGATTTCTGCTTGATTTTATTTTGGTTGCAAGTGACCTGCAAGGTACGGATAGCAGAAGCAAGATCAAATCCACGCTCTGGCTCAACACGGACTTGGCGACCTAGCGTAGGTCCTAGCTTCAGATCCGTCTTACGAGATGAAAGCTGTAGCGTTGGGTCCCTTGAGCGTCGAGCTGGTTCGGTGAACAAGCGGCGGCGGCGACTTGCGTGGGAGAGGGTATCTGAGGAGTTGGAACTTAGGCGGTTGCCTAGGTCGAGTTTGTCGAGGATTGAGTCCAAGTCTGAGGGGGCGGGTTTCGCGGGTGCAGCTACTGGGGCTGTTTCCGACGAGTTTTGTGGAGAGGAGTTTGAGGAGTTGTGGCGGATTGTATTTTGGATGAAGGGTTGCTGCATGCGAGGCAATTGGCGTATAAGAAGAGGCCTGGCCTGGAGGCCTCGAGCCAGGAATCGAGCATCCATTTTGTACGAGACAATTGAATTGGGTTTGAATGTCCCAATTGAGAACCTTGAACGCAGCTACCCAAGGTCACAAGGTGGTGGAGGTGGTGGTTGTTGTGGTCTTGGTCGAGTCTCTCTTCCTCCGCCCGTTGCCAGAAAATCGCAAGATATTATCAAGTCACGTGACTATACTTTGATCGCATTGTCGACCCTCAAGTCTTGTTCTTCTTCATCCAAAGAATTCCAATAACGAAACGTATTTGCTGCAGCTTTCTATTCTCGCAAATACTGCCATCAACCATGTCTTCAATAACCGTTGCAAGCATTCCGCGTATAACCCGTGAAGCTCTAGCGGAGAAATTGAATTCGGGCACACCCTCTCAAGAATTGGCCATTGTTGATGTCCGTGATTCAGGTATGTATAGCTTTCAGCTGATCATATTCTGTATGATTGCATGTTACATTATTAACATTTGAGATATCTAGACCATATTGGTGGCAACATCGTCACTTCCATCTGGGCTCCAAGCGAACAACTCGATGCGCGTGTACCTGAGCTTGTCCTCAATCTAAAGGATCGTAAGACAGTTGTTTTCCATTGCATGCTTAGCCAGCAGCGTGGTCCGTCTGCTGCTTTAAAATATGCGCGTGCGCGTGCGAGCAAGTACCCCGATGTATACTCTGATCAAACCATCTATATTTTGGAGGGTGGGTTCTTGCAATGGGGACAAAAGTATGGCAAGGACTCAAGCCTTACGGTGGGATTCGTGGAGGATATCTGGGATGAATACTAAGTGTAAATTCATAGGGAATGGCAGCCCTCATCAAATTATTATATATTACAAGCTTTCCAGGGCTAGGACTAATGGCTGTATTTAGTACTCAAAAGTCTTTTTAAGGCATTTGGATACTCCCTCCAAATCCAATAGGACGCCTGCGTCCATTATTCTCAGGTACAATAGCCATGACCTTGTAGATCTGACCCATGGAACCACCGCCTTTTTCAACCAATCGCTTCCACCCAGTCTCCAATGTCTTCTTGTGCTTGTCATCTCCAGCCTTGCGGAGTATCTGCTCCATACGCTCTGTTATGCCCATGACATTGAGAAAATCGCCTTGCTCAACGGGGCCGTGAACTTCAACACCATCACTGCCCTCAAGAGCTGCTTCGGCTAGAGCAGTAAAGTCAACATCAGCACTTACATCGACTTGGCCCGGCGCGGAAAGTGCAGGTACTAATCGATGGTGCTGAATTCCGCGCAGTGAGTTGATCGGAATAGTCGATAGAGTTCCATAGTCCATGATCAGAGCAGCGCCAGAGGGCGTCTTCTTCTGAACTTTACCAGGAGTAGCCGTCTTCTGGGCATTTGGCGCAGAACTGGCATCACCACCGATACGGCGTGCAAAATCTGCTGCATACACTCGGCTTTCCGGACTGACTTCAATACTGGCACCAGCTTGCGACTTAAGAGCGCGGTAGCGCTCTGAGATCTCAGGAATCACAAGCGAAGTAGGCGTGGCGGCTTTTGCCATGGTCAATTGGAACTCTGGCTCTCCTTCAATGTTTTCGTCGACTGCTTTTGGGTTCAATGTGACTAACAACTCGCGCCATTGAGGAATGTTTGCAGCTTTAAGTGGTTGGTGCAATTTTTGGGGGCCGGTAGGTGTCATGATCTCTTTCGGTTGGTCCGGCGTATTCTCGAGAGATGGAGGAACTGACTCAAAAGCGTGAATTGGAAGCGCATCAAAAAATTCGTGGGCAATGATGAACGGTGTCTTTCCCTCTTCTGTACGGGTTTGTTAATCATATTGTCAACTTCTGTTGGGAGTTAGCAAGCTCACCATGTGGCAGAAGTCGAATATCCTCCACCCAAATGACTGGTACGTCAAAATATTTGCAGGTACTCCGATGACCAATGTCAGTTTCTTCCATGAAAGCCTCCTCCCCGCAAAGCAGTATCTTCTGCGTTTGTCTCAGTGTTGGGCTTGCCTCAACGAGATAAATTGCTTCAACGCTGGAAGAAAAGCTTTTGAAATTACGGAACGTCTATATGGTCTTTTAGTTTCGTTTCCATCTACCAAATCCATTCGTATGTCGCTCCCATAACTCACCCGCAGCATATCGCTCATCAGTGTTCCCTTTCCAGGCCCGACTTCCATCAACTGAATACCACTCCTGGTTCGTCCTTGAGACATCCACTCTGCAATTATCCAAATGCCAATGAGCTCACCAAAAACCTGGGAGATTTCTGGTGAAGTTACAAAGTCACCGTGCTTTCCAAAGACAGCACCCGTTTCGGGACGCGAGGTATAGTAACCGCCTTCCGGTGAGGTCAAAACCTGGCGCATGTATGCCGCAATTGGGATGGGGCCAGTGACCTTCATCGCATTGGCTAATGTGCGAGCTAATGGAGTAGACCATTTCCTTGTTTCGAATGTGGAATTCCATCGTCGTGCAGGTATAGATGGAGAGTTGCGAAACCTGCAGAATGTATGCAGTGCCTCGCGCCGCGCTGCTGTGTTCATTTTGGCAAATGGCCACAGGGGCGGGAATAGTTTAGGCTATTATCAGGTATAGACTTCAAAGGTATACCTAAACTGTTGCGTCATGTAATTGGCTCCCCAAGTTACTCAGCAGAAGTGAAGAATCGGTAAATTCTCGTTCTGCCAAAATGTTCCGCGGAGACTGTCAAATGGAGGTCGACTACCAAGGAATAGTGGATTCTAGTGGGCAAATGAGAACGCAGTATGCGTACCAAAGTGTGTATGTGTATCTATTGTAGAATGGAGGAATCCCATTGTGGGATTCCAATGCTGACTAAAATAGACTAACTATAAATGGAATCGGGCCTTTGACAGAGACTCCGCAACACGTGACCTGATCACTATCCTTATCGAGCTACTTAGGCTTCATTTTGGCCTTCAACATAGACGAACCCATTTTCAAGAATAATCAGTTATCTGAACTCAAGTTGCTCAATTTCCGGTAGTTCTCCAAGAGTGCTTTACGGGGCGCTCCAAAACATGCTAGTCTTACCAGATAAGCCTGAGAAATGCACCCCGTAATGAGTGGGTCGCAAAGTCACTGATTATTAAACGCCACCCGAATGCTGAGTTTCAGCTGAACTCCCACTTCCAAGGTTGTGGATTCGGAACAAATGGCGTTATTATTTTAATTAAAGTTTTTAATATTTTGGATTGGGTTATTCTGACGCCTTGGGTAACTAATCTGACGCTCTGCCTTATCTCCACCTTCCTTACCGCTTTCTCTACCGCTTGACCGCCTTTCGTCATAATATTCAAATACGAATTTCTCCAAGTCAATGTCTTTTTCATTATAAACTCCGCACTTATTTTACAACGGATTCCAACTCTCCTCCGGTCATACCAATTGATCCTATATTCCTTAGAAACCCGCTTATAGAAAGACGACGAGGACGCCCTCAAGGTGCACGAAACTTTATTCGGACCACACAGGCAACACAGATCACAACACAGAACATAACACAATCGACACAGATATCCCAAATCGATCGATCAACACGCCGAGAACTATCGTCGCTTGAGTATGCGTTATCGCAGGAAGGAGTTAGAGGTGGGATACGAGGGACAACTATAAATGCAGTTCGAAATGCTGCTCGTCGCGCCGGCGCTGCCCAAAAACCGGGGGTTTGAAAGCACTCAGAGTGGTGACGGCACTCATAGTGCTTCTCAAAGACCTGTCCGGAGTCGGCGACGAGTTGAAGACCCTGATATGCAGTATTATCAGCTGAAATTAGGTGCTCTGAATGCTTCAAAAATAAACATGTTATTCTATACCGTAAAACAGATTCTTAATTATGTAAACCAGAATGTAAAACAGACTGAATACAAGAGTGTAAGAGAGGAGAAATTGTCATGCAACCGAAAATCTGCAAACATTGGATAATACTGGCAGAATGTCTGGCGGAATTAATAATAACGATGTTGATGCCTTAAGCCTTAAAAATAAGGCATGAGGCGTCGGAATACCCCCTATTTTCACGGCAACTGTCAGTATCAATTTGCCATCCCCACTGTGGAATCGGTGTGAAGGTTTAGATTTTTGAAATGATAGAAAGCCAAGTATTATTAACGAAATCAACCAAGGTTCTAGAGCACAAGTTATAATTATGTATCACTCAAATATATCCACTTAACAAGTCAATGTTGAAGTTATAACTAGTATTTCGTCAGAGTAGGTTGAAACAAGCTGTTGACTAGGGTTAGATCCACGGCTCGAGGTATGGGAGCTACCCCCAATCGGGATGCGGGCTACTTAATTTTGACGATCCCGATGTACCCGGCGCTGCTAAATCCTGCCGACTTACCGTATTACTAGAAGAGGCAAATCTTCAAAATAACGAGACCCATACTAAGATCCCTCTTTGGGTCTTTCTCCGAGGGTTCTTGCGTCTAAAATACTCCATTATTTTGATCTTATCAATGCTTTGATACAGCCCTGGTATTTCTATGGCCCAAGCACCTGAATAGCCATTACTCAGATAGTATTATAATAAAAATATATACGCAGTTTCTTAAAAGAGTAAGTGACCGATGAGATGGAGAATGACATAATTAATATAAAAATAAATTGAGAAAATGGGCCATAATTTCCTCTTGACACAATCTTGGTAATATAGATAAAAGATAAGCATAATAGTAGTACTTTTGCATGTGGTTCTAGGACAAAAGTTTTAGTATGACTCCATTAAAAGTGGAGATGAAATACATCCGCGACGAGTAACGCTGCAGAGGGTAGTATGCTTAATATTAGGTTAAATTTGGATCATTTGATCAAATCTTTGGACTATAGTATAATTTTATAGTCTATTAAGAAATAGGTGGTGTATGGTTGTATTTTAAACATTAGTTGTGTAAATGATGCTGGGATATATATTTGAGGGTACAATCTCAGAATGTGTCTTTCTCTTGGCAAAGTGGGGCGCCATACGAAAACTTTTGTCCAGATACTGTATATACTAGCCAATCATAGCCATTTATCATCAGCGAGTCATAATTACTATTAAAGGCATAGGAGCTTTCAGCCAGTGATAATGATATATCCCACTTTGATATCCACTAGTAGAACGGCGCAATACGGCAGCCCAGGGGATAGCTGTGACCCACTATATAAATCGGAATATTCTACGGAATCCTATCCAAAATGCCGATATCCGTGCTTCCATCACCCCTTATACTTCTAGAATACAAGATATTGGACCCCTCATGTTCCGAAGATAGCGATAGTCATATAACTATACTTTGAGCCCCTTCTAGCTGGCAATTAATTTTCTATCCAGTTTCAAATTTGTTTCTGTTCACTCTTTATACTTTGTTACTTTAATTTCATTCATTTATTTTCCTCCGTCATGGAGTCTAAGCCGGATGATATCTCAGCATCTGGGCCTGCTGAGAGCTACTATGAGAAAAGCATCGCCGATACTCTCCCAGTGAGCCACCAAGACCTCCGCGCTGCTGATAGTTCCGAGACACTTCATGGACTACTCAACACTCCTGCTCCTCCCAAGAAGGTAGCGGAATGGCATATGACATCGCAAGTCATTGCAAATGCCGAGCGTGAGGCAGCAGCTGGCTTCAAAAAGCGAGAGCTAGGTGTGACATGGCAAAACTTGACTGTTGAGGTCCCTGCGGCCGAGGCAGCTGTCAAGGAGAACATGCTTTCCCAATTTAACCTCCCTCAACTATATAAGACTTGGCGTCAAAAGCCACCCATGAAAGCGATCTTGCAAGACAGTCATGGATGTGTCAAGCCTGGAGAAATGCTCCTGGTCCTCGGAAGACCCGGTTCTGGCTGCACCACTCTTCTTAAGTTGCTCACCAATCGCCGTGAAGGATACCACACCATCAAGGGAGACATCAAGTTTGGAAGCATGGACCCCAAGGAGGCCGTGCAATACCAAGGCCAAATCATCATGAACACCGAAGAGGAACTGTTCTATCCTCGCCTTACGGTCGGCCAGACCATGGATTTCGCTACTCGGCAAGTAGAATAAATTCGGGTTGCTCTCTGATGCTCTATTTACTAACATTTTTTCTGCCATTTTAGCCTAAAGGTTCCTTTCCATCTTCCTGAAGGACACGCCAACGTCGACGACTATACTGCCGAGACTAAGGAGTTCCTGCTCAAGTCCATGGGTATTTCTCACACTGCTGACACCAAGGTCGGCAATGAATTCGTCCGTGGTGTTTCTGGTGGAGAGCGAAAGCGTGTCTCCATTATTGAATGTCTTGCAACAAGGGCTTCAATTTACTCGTGGGATAACAGTACCCGTGGTCTCGATGCCTCCACTGCCCTAGAATGGGCTAAGGCTCTCCGCGCCATGACGGATGTGCTTGGTCTTTCCACTATTGTCACTCTTTACCAAGCCGGAAATGCTATTTTCGATCTTTTCGATAAAGTCCTCGTACTTGACGAAGGCAAACAAATCTACTATGGTCCTGCCCAAGAGGCCAAGCCTTTCATGGAAAAGCTTGGCTTTGTCTACACCAATGGTGCCAACGTTGGTAAGAATTTTACTATCCTGCCGTTCAATAACATCGTCTAACTTGATATAGGTGATTTTCTTACTGGTTTAACTGTTCCCACTGAGCGAAAGATTAGACCTGGCTGGGAAAACCGGTTTCCTCGTACCGCTGAAGCCATTTTGAAAGAATATCTCGCATCACCGACCTACAAAAATGAGATTGCTGCCTACGATTATCCTACATCATCAATTGCCATTGAGCGAACGGAGAACTTCAAGGAGTCTGTTAGCTGGGAAAAGTCCAATCACCTGCCCAACGGCAGTGACCTCACCACCAGTTTCTGGGCTCAGCTCAACCATTGCATCCGGAGACAATATCAAATCCTCTGGGGTGAAAAGTCCACCTTCATCACCAAGCAGGTTCTCTCGTGTATTATGGCCCTGATTGCTGGATCTTGTTTCTATAACTCCCCGGATACCTCTGCAGGTCTCTTCACCAAGGGTGGTGCCGTCTTCTTCTCGCTTTTATACAACTGCATTGTCGCCATGTCCGAAGTCACAGAGTCTTTCAAGGGTCGTCCCATTCTGACCAAACACAAGTCATTCGCTATGCATCACCCCTCAGTTTCCTGTCTCGCTCAAATCGCAGCAGATATACCTGTCTTGCTATTCCAATGCACCATTTTTGCTATTGTCATCTACTGGATGGCTGGTCTGAAGCATACTGCAGCAGCTTTCTTTACTTTCTGGGCTATTCTCTTCATCATCACTTTGACTATCACCGCCTTGTTTAGATTCATCGGAGCTGCTTTCAGCACGTTTGAGGCTGCATCAAAGATCTCTGGAACTGCTGTCAAGGGTATTGTCATGTACGCTGGCTACATGATTCCCAAGCCCAAGATAAAGAACTGGTTCCTTGAGTTTTACTACACCAATCCGTTTGCCTATGCCTTCCAAGCTGCCCTCTCCAACGAATTCCACGACCAACACATTGATTGTGTCGGCGAGAACCTTATTCCAAGTGGTGTTGGCTACGAAAATGTTGGAACCGGTCACGCAGCTTGCGCTGGAGTTGGTGGTACTACTGCAGGTGCCGACTATGTCACTGGTGACCAATATCTTAGTTCCCTCCACTACAAGCACTCTCAAATGTGGCGCAACTTTGGTGTGCTCTGGGCTTGGTGGGGATTCTTTGCCGTAATGACAGTCATTTTCACTTGCATGTGGAAGTCTAGCGGCGCTGGTGGTGCTGCTCTTCTCATTCCTCGGGAGAATCTTAAGCAGCACCAAGCTGTAAAGCACAGCAGTGACGAGGAGGCTCAGGCTATGGAGAAGGGCCAGACTAAAACTGACGAGCCTGTCGGAACTGATGACAACCTCGTTCGCAACACTTCGATTTTCACCTGGAAAAACCTTACTTACACTGTCCAAACTCCCACTGGTCCCCGTGTCCTTCTGGATAATATTAACGGTTGGGTCAAGCCCGGTATGCTCGGCGCGCTTATGGGTTCCTCTGGTGCTGGAAAAACCACTCTGCTCGATGTGCTTGCCCAGCGTAAAACCGACGGTACTATCAAAGGATCTATCATGGTAGATGGTCGCCCTCTCCCAGTCTCCTTCCAAAGATTGGCTGGTTACTGTGAGCAGCTGGATGTCCATGAGCCATTTGCTACGGTTCGTGAAGCTTTGGAATTCTCTGCTCTCCTTCGCCAGTCCCGTGAGGTCCCGAAGGCCGAGAAGCTCAAGTATGTTGAAACCATTATCAATCTTTTGGAACTGCACGATATAGCCGATACCCTTATTGGCTCCGTCGGCAGCGGTCTGTCTGTTGAGCAGCGTAAGCGCGTGACTATCGGTGTGGAACTTGTGTCTAAGCCTAGTATCCTGATCTTCTTGGACGAGCCTACTTCTGGTCTTGATGGTCAATCAGCCTACAACACTGTCCGTTTCCTTCGCAAGCTTGCCGATGTCGGTCAAGCCATTTTGGTTACTATCCATCAACCCTCTGCTCAGCTATTCGCTCAATTCGATACTCTCCTGCTTCTCGCAAGAGGTGGAAAGACCGTTTACTTTGGTGATATCGGTGAGAACGGTGGTACTATCAAACAATATTTCGGCAAACACGGTGCTCAGTGCCCATCTGATGCCAACCCTGCTGAGTTCATGATTGACGTTGTGACTGGTGGTATTGCAGAAGTCAAGGACAAGGACTGGCATTCCGTTTGGCTTGAGTCGCCCGAGTCAACTTCTATGTTGGCCGAGCTCGACAGCATGATTGATGATGCGGCAAGCAAGCCACCTGGAACAGTTGATGACGGATTTGAGTTCTCAATGCCCCTCTGGGAGCAGACCAAGATTGTTATCCACCGTATGAATGTCTCTCTTTTCCGGAACACTAGCTACGTTAACAACAAGATGGAGCTTCATATTATTTCTGCAATGCTGAACGGTTTCTCCTTCTGGAGACCTGGACCTAGTGTGGCTGCCCTGAACTTAAAGATGTTCTCAATCTTCAACTTCGTGTTCGTTGCCCCTGGTGTTATCAACCAATTGCAGCCCTTGTTCATTCAACGTCGTGATATCTATGATGCCCGTGAAAAGAAATCCAAGATGTACTCGTGGGTTGCCTTCGTTACTGCTCTCATAGTCTCTGAGTTCCCCTACCTCTGCATCTGCGCCGTTCTCTACTTCGTATGCTGGTATTACCCTGTCTGGACCTTGCCCCACGATTCCAACCGCTCCGGTGCTACTTTCTTTATAATGTTGATCTACGAGTTCATCTACACCGGTATCGGCCAGTTCGTCGCCTCCTACGCTCCCAACCCGACCTTTGCCGCTCTCGTCAATCCCCTGATCATCTGTACCCTGGTCCTGTTCTGCGGTGTGTTCGTTCCTTACTCCGAGCTGAACGTCTTCTGGAGATACTGGATGTACTGGCTCAACCCATTCAACTATGTGGTCTCTGGAATGATGGTCTTCGGTCTTTGGGATGCCAAGGTCACCTGCAACGAGGATGAGTTCGCCGTCTTCGACCCAACGAATGGTACTTGCGGAGAGTACTTAGCCTCTTACATGCAGGGCTCTGGCAGCAGAATCAACCTGACCAACCCGGATGCCACCTCAGACTGCCGCGTCTGCCAGTTCAAGACCGGAAGTGATTTCTTGGCAACCATGAACATCAACCACTACTACGTTGGATGGAGAGATGCAGCTATCACTGTTATCTATGCCATCAGTGGCTACGCTCTAGTTTACGGACTGATGAAGCTCCGAACGAAGGCCTCCAAGAAGGCCGAATAGACTCGTCTTGCATTCTACAACATCACATGTTTCATGCATATCTGGCATATTTTACAGCGAAGGGGATAGAGGAGAAGGATTAATATCCATAGATTCACATTGTTTCCGGCGCAAAGGGTACCTGGTTTATAGAAATTTGAAGCCTGCATTTGTAATTGGGATCCTGTTGGTACAATGGGAGTTGAGGTATCCGTTCTGATTGGACGGATATCAGCACTCCTGATTGGACCGATCTGCCCTAAAGTGGGGCAGCGGAATCCCTTTAGTTCTGTCAAAGGACCGATTCCAAGTTTAGTTTTAGTACATTATTAGTCAGCTCCCATACGTTCTTTACTGCAGCAAATTTTACTGCCAATACACACATACATATTTTGACTATAATGTTCCTATTTGCTCGTACGAATCCACTATTCAGTTCTCATTCGACAAGTTCAGTAAGAGATAGACTTGAATAACACGCCTCTTACAATTCACAATAATACATTTACACAATAGATGCATGTGCACCAGTAAGACAAGTCAGTTTTCCGACAGATACCTCCGCAATTACTTTCACAAATCACTGTACCCATGATGACTACTTTACTAAAGTGATAAAACCGACGGGGATTCAAAAAGATATTGGCTCCGATATCTGGTAGACTGAAATTTGATATTCGATTGCAATTTTTATGGAAGTGAATTTTGGAAAGACATTTCTGATCAAGAGAGGCCCAAATTAAAGACTTTTGAGCAAAAAAATTTACTGTTACCGAGGTCACCTCCAAGGTTTTTAGGCCTTGACCATATATCCGAAGATATCACTTGAAGCATTGATTTCTCCAACACCCGTTATAGTCCGATAGACTTGAGAGCACTTTCCTTGCACATTGAATAACTGAAGAGTCGTAGCACCTTTAGAGCCAACCCAGCTGATTTTGGCGCCACGGGGGATGGAAATAGGCTGACAAGCTTGGGTTTTACTTCCAGTGTAGGGTGTTGCTTGATTATTGATTCGAAGTTCCCAAGCCGAACATAGGCTCAAAATCATGGCGAAGAAGACAATGGAGAGGATATAGGGCTTCATAACTAAGGCTGTCGGTATATCCAATGTTATTCCATTTCCGAGGCTATATTTCAAAAGAAAACCTTCACATACTGATATGTTACTCTGAATTTGTCAAGTAGATTGCCTATCGATGGGTGTGTAAGTTCTACAAATTCGATTTCACCTTGATAAATGCTTGTTATGTACAATATTCGGTGATGATGTCACTACCACTAAGAACCCATGGCACCATACTAGATAATGCCATGGTAACCATATCACCTGCCCAGGCAGATCAAGGTGCGACACTCAAGGTGTTAATTCCTAAGGTTGATGAAGGGGGTGAATGTACGACGGTCTGTCTTAAAAGTAATGTTAGTTTGGTACTTTTACAGACCTCCATAAATTAATAGTGGTGAAGTATATAGGTGGATATAAAGGCATCTTTGATCCAACGAATTAGAGAGCCTCCATAATTCAGAGCGCTAATAATATTGGCCAGAGTTTTTTGACAGGCCCAAAATGGATGTAAACTCGAAATTTGCTTTCTTTTCTTTCTCTTCTTATTAACCCCTATTCCGATATCAACATTTTAAATCTTGCAGCAACAACTCATCGAAAGCATCGAAAATGACTCGGCTTTTCTGCAACTAGGGCAGACAGGACATTTGGAAACTATAACACGATGCGGCTTGGCCGGCGCGTGCAGCTCAGGTCGCCCCAGTAGGTGATTCTTATTCTCACTCCACAAGCAATAATGCCTGTACCCGAGGGGATGATTATCGGTTTATTTTAGTTGCCTACCTTTAGCATTCCTAATCGCAGAATTCCTCTGACATTTAGGCCGATGTCCTTTACCGGGACTGGTGCCGTTTTAAATTGTGCTCCTAATGTTACTGTGGTCAATTACAGGATTCCATAAAATCAGGCTCGATAATCTATGGTCTTCCATTGTGCCCTTTTATTGGATCTATATTTTTTACATGTGGGTAACAAGTCTGAACTTATTGGAGCTGATGTCTTTTGGCATGGGTAGGAAGAATATTTGTTCAAGGGCAAATTTCCCTCCGACTACCACAGCCCATCACGACCTACACCATAGAAGTAGTCTATCAAACTCCTACCTGTTTCAACAATTCCGAAACTTTTTCAGTTTACCTCAAATCTGGTGCATCAACTTAGTTGATCAGGGATAATTGACTACGGAGGTGTGAACACGACATCGCTACTTGAATTTAACCATTTCTGGCCCGGCTCACTATATTTTCGATATTTATACCACAGTAGTGCAAAAGCCTCACTAACCCCACTGTAGGTGTCTCATTGGCCTGTGTCTGACGTCCATATTAACATCCAAATCGATGTTCCTATCCCCCTCTTAAGCGATGGGATCTCTCCAAATGATTGAACATGGTACGTAGTATGTAGTTATCGGACACCTGGATGCCTAAGACACTATGGTCACGAAGTTAGAATAGCCAACACCTAGCTGTAGCTGTCTCTTGTTTTCTCTCTTTTCTCCTGATTATCGGAATTGGTTGTATTTGAGCTACTGCATTCCATTTGTAAGTAGTGCCTTCTAATCTCTCATTAATAGTTGATGGGCCTCCGAAGACCTGGAGAAAACTACATCTTCGTATTACGTATGAAAATTAAAGTTAGAAACCGCTACCCTAAGATAGTGAAGTTGGTAGTTAAAAAGTGATTGGATGAAAGCTATCTACCTAATTTAGATAGGTAGTTAATATTCATGCTAGGTCTAGCACCTGGGCAAGAATTCATCATTCAAGACTTTCGGTTTTACGGGTGACACTCCCAAGGTTCCAAGGGTGTGCTCTTATCACGTGGATGCAGTGAGTTACTTCTCAGCCTGTGGATTATAGTAAGGACGCTCTGCTTGAGGTGTCACACGGAGCATATGTCTTCTAGTCAAAGATTCTTGAACAGCGAAGTCTCTCAGCGCAGAACTTTAAAAGATATTAGTGCTCAATATGACAAGATCCAGATTCTAAAACTTTGGAGCACTTACTGCTGCGTAACTCGGTTGTCATAAACTGCAACGGTACCCGGTAGCCAATGAATACGGATATGCCAGTCTTGGCCGTGTTCAATGTGATTGTACAAGAAGTTCAAAATTTGAGCTGCCCAAAACGCTTTAGCTCAATGGATTCATGTCATGACCTCCCAAGGGAAAAACCTACAGCTCTCCTCTTCTTTGTAATCGACTATTTTTCGAGTGTACAATCTGTTGACATAGAGTGAATTTGTTTTGGTAACCTTATGAATAGTCAGTATCAAGAAGGATACCCTCCGTGGCAGGTATTTAGATAAACTATAACTCACTGGATGTGTTCGAATGACTGGGTGGACTGTTTCAATTGGATCTCGGATGAATCGCTCTCGGTGATCAACAACGGCTGCTTGAGAAAATCCGGAATGCGTCGCAAATTTTCCATGGAGGGTCTGTCTAAATGCTGGCGATAGGGCATTGTATGCGGCTGTCGTGGATAGATAAAGAGTATCACCTCCAGATTCAGGAACATCCAAGGGAAGGAAGATAGTAAGCCCCATTCCATTGACTTCATAGCTCATGTCTGAGTGCCATTTGATGCTGCTGATATTGTTTTTGATCTCCTGGTCAACTGCGCCCGCCACAAAATCTCTGTATACAGGCAGTAGCTCTGGATAACCCTTGATATGGGTTCCCATCTGGTGAACGTGAAGTTTTCCAAAGTGAGCACCGAATTCGCGTTGTCGGTCAGGGCCAATGTCCGCAAAATCTTGATCGCGGAAGAGTACCACTCCTCGTTCGGCGGTAAGAAGTGCAAGCTCATCCTTCTGTTGCGCTGTAAGTGCGCTCAGCTGAAGACCGTGGACCTCGGTTCCTATTGCTGGGGTTATTTCTTTAAATTTTGACCCCAAAGCACCCAGGAGTGCCTTTTTGGCCGGGTCTGCACGCAAGCCAGGATCTTCATGAATAAATTCCTTTAGCGGCGGCTGCAAACCTGGAGTATAGTGTGGAAGGTAAGCCTCGTATTTGTACTAAGAAATGGGTGTTAATCCTTCGATCTATATCATCACGTTGAAAAGTCTGACTTTTTCTTTTTCGTAATTTAGAGACGTCTCGGCCCGGAGATCAAGCTTGGTGACTTTCGGTTCAACTGCGGTTAGGTTTGTGCTGCCGTGAGCTGCCATTTTTGTCTTGAAATAAGAATCTGATACACCACTCAAGACAGATTTCGGGGTGAAGGGCGTCTCATTCTTGTACATAAACCTCCAGGGCTTGGGATCATGGGCTGGCGTGCTCCATACTAATATGGCGTCAACTGGTACCCTGAACCTCCTGAGGTCAGCATATATAATTAGTAGTATCTAAGCCTGTGTGTAGTCATACAGGGCTAATAATTGCGGGCGCAGGTACATATGTACTACAGTATTATCTCCGTGTTTAAGTCCAGGACTATCATTGGCTAAGGTTGTCATCGGATTCTGTATGCAAGATCTGTTTGGTGTTTAATGCCGTAATATGGCGTACATGATTATCAAATTTTGCAATTATGCAAGCGTGGAGACATATCAAAGCTAACCCCTCATTCCTTCCAGGGTGCGGTTTATCTCTTGAACAAAGTACTCGTGATTCAAAAAATAGCCAATAGCTGGTGTAAGGTCTGGCCTAGTTCAATATTTCGACATGTTGGCGGGGGGTGACGAGTAAATTAATGAATTGATAATAAAAGCTCTTTAAGATTCAAAGTACACAGGACGTTTAAGGAGCTGTCAGAAAAGGTAGTGCTGTCGAGTATTCACCTAGAGGAACTTGGAACTGTGAGACCAAGTTCACGACTGCTGGACCAAACTCCCATATGTCTCAAAATGGACTCCCACCGCAAGAAGGGTCTTCTAGGGAAAGAGTACCTCAAAAAAAACTAGTCACAACCACTATAGTCCCGGAAGAACCAGTTAATTCGCCGAAGGAGATCTCCTGGAGATCATGGCTCGTTGGACTTGTCTGGGATCTACCGGATGGGGACACAAAGAACAGACGATATGTACGGAAGCTGGATGCGTTCCTCTTGTAAGTCGAGAAGTCGGTTCCATTACTCTCTTCCCAAGGTGCTCGCCAAGATTTCTCTTATTGTGATTCATTCTAACATTTGATTATGCAAAGCTCCTATATCTGTGTAGCATACTTCATCAAGTACTTGGATCAACAGAACTACAGTCAGTTTCAGAACACAGCACTTACAATCCAGATCGCTCAGCTTGATTAACAATTTCACAGGTAATGCATATGTCAGCGGCATGAAGGAAGATGTCCGTAAGCTATCGATTCGCTGTTGAAGATTTCCATATCTAACATCTTCCCTCATTAGCTTGGGCTATCTGGAAACGATAGAAATTGGCTTGGGACCTATTTCAACCTTGGTATCATCGTCGGAAGTATCCCGAGCCAGCTTATTCAGATGAAATATGTCCGGTCATCTATCTGGATTCCATTTTGTGAGATCTCCTGGTCGGTATTAGTGATGGCGATGGCGGCGGCGAAAAATGTCCAAACGGTTAGTATTTTGATCTCCCTATAAATTTTGAGATTGTTGGATCTAAGATTGTTGGGATAAGCTATATGTACTTCGCTTTTTCGTCGGAGTTTTTGAAGCGTGCTCATTTCCGGGCTACTCAGCGCTTTTAGGTGGCTGGTATGGCCCCAGAGAGCTTAGCAAAAGAGTCGCTATTTTCGAACAGAGCAGCTCCATCGCAAGCATGTTCAGTGGCTACATTCAAGCTGGGCTATACAAGAGTATGAATGGTGCTCGTGGATTAGCCGGCTGGAGATGGCTCTTCATTATTGATGGAGTCATTTCAATTCCAGTTGCGCTGGCGGGTCTGTGTATGATTCCAGATCTTCCCCACACCACCAGAGCTTTCTATTGGTCTAAAGCTGTATGTATTCGAACAGGGTTTGAACTCATCAATTGACAATTGACTGACAATGTTGCAGGAAAAAGAATATGGCGTTGAACGTATCGAAAAAATTGGTCGGTCAGCCCCCCGTCCCTTCACTCTCAAAGGTTTCTGGGCAGCCATGACGAATTGGCGCCTATGGGCATTCCTGCTCCCTTATGTGTAAGTCTGCCTGAATATCTAATATCATTTTTCTTTCTCCCCGGACATAACTGATACATATTAATAAAGAATGGTCGCCGAGGCTAGCACCTCAACAAGCTATTTTAATCTTTGGCTTCAGGATATCGGTTACTCGGTATACGATGTGAATGTTCTACCCACTGCCGGCAATGCACTCAGCATCGTGGTATCCGTCATATTGGGAATTGTCGCGGATCGAACAGGACAGCGGATGCTTATTCTTATAATCATCGAGGGCATTGTCCTTGTAGCCAATATTCTTTTATCCGTCTGGCATATTCCCAATTCTGCAATAATGGCTGCCAACTATTTGGCCTACTTTGGAGCGGCTGCTCAGCCTATCATTATTGTAAGTCTTTCGCGAGGTAGTTTGACTACCTCAATTATTCCAACTTCAATTATCTGTGGCTAACTTTTCTTGAAGGCATGGGGGTATCAGCTGAATGGAGGCGATCCAAACCTGTTTCCACTTCTCGTTGCAACAGGAAATATTTTCACTTACACTTTCTCTAGTTTCCTGCCTTGTAAGTGTCCAAGAGCCCTCGCAACTGGCAATAATCATAACTTACTAAACTTCGTGGCAGTATACTTGTTTCCAACTGGTGATGCCCCCCACTATAAATACGGCTATCAGATTTTGGTTATGTTTGGCTTGGTCTCCATTATAGGGGCATTTATACTTCGATATCAAGAGAAGATGTTGAAATAGGTATCGATGGATGGTATGGCATCATCGATATGCCTTTGCAACCATAATTTGCTTCACTTGAAGTCCCATTTCAAGGCACTTAGAGTACCTTCCAGAATTGTTAAACCACGAATGGAGTATTTTCATTTGATATTTCCCTACTTTGAGTTTTTAACTTAAGCCGTTAATATAAAATGATATAAAGAAAGTGATTTGAAGTTCATTGTTTCACGTGATTTAAGACTACTATTCATGTTCGTAAATAAATAGTCACTTGACTGTTTAATTAAAGTTGACCAGTCATTTGACACTTTGCACGTGGCCTTTTGTCAGCAAATTTGACAAACTTCATCTCATAACCAAAACAGCCCATAAACGGTAAACCGGTGGCTTTTATAGAAACGTCCAATATTGCAGGCGAAATGCGATGAAGAGAGCTCCGAAGTGAAGTAATAAACGGTCAAATAAGAACAACGGATCTCGATAATTTAAACCAATATCTTCGTTCCTGGACTTTCCAAATGAGTTATCATTGCGATATTCGCCAATTTGAGCCATATCAATTACGTCTATGTACTCCTATTACTCTCCAATCATTGGCTACTCGTCTTGATTCTCTACTCTGTCAACGAGCGCTAAGATATGTCTATCATGATCGGGAGTCGGTCCTATGTAGCTTTAGAGAAAAAATGACCTAATTCACAGCTCGATCTGCATATTTAGATACTTTGTACTGCGGCGGTATGTTGGTTGAGTGGATATCTGGCTTTTTCATGGTTGTATTTACTATATCTGTCCCAATGTATTCTTCTAACTCTTCATTCAATGCCGAAGCTGAGGACCATCTCTTTATAAATCCCTTACGTCTTGGGTTTTTCGTTGGTGCTCTGTTGCGTTTCTTCTTCGATCTTCCTCTTTTATGGCTCGACGCCAGGTTTCCGTTTGCTGTTTGCTTTTCTCTTCGCCAGTCATCAAGACATCAGATTATTCAATTTCTTTATCTATCTCTAATGGAGCTTCATTCTATGACGGACAATCCTTGCCTTTTAATCCATAGCCACTTGACTTCATAAACTGTAGTGAAAAAACCTTGACAACACCCAGGTCATTCCTCTACTGGAAATCCGGAACCAAGCAACATAGCAGGCTCATCGATATTGTGGTGTTGATAGCTAAACAATAGTCAGTCAAGTCGATTAATAGTCTAAGGGGAGCTCCATTACCTCAAGACACCAACGGCGCCAGGCTCAAGCATCAGGGAAAGAGGGAAATCCATAGGATATTTCAACCATCTTTTAGTGAAGGCACGGAGCAAATGACCATGTGAAAAAAGGACAATATCGCAATCCTTCTCTCCGTGCATATTGTCTTTGTGGATAGCACGAATCTCCTCAATCAGATTATCAATGCGATCCGTCACTTCTTGTGCAGACTCGCCTTCTTCGCACCCATCACGCCAGATATCCCACGCAGAAGCAGAATCCAAGCCCTTCGACTTGCGCAATGCTCGAATCTGACCAGTCAAAAGGCCTTCGTAGGCACCGTAGTCCCATTCAGCCAGCCTATCTGTCTCGCTGATCTTGTTGGCATCAGCCAGTGCCTTCTGGTCAGCTTCAGAGAAAGCGATCTCAAAAGTCTGGTGTGCTCTTTTGCGCGGACTGATATAGACATGCGCAATCTTGGTCGGGTCCATCAACTTTCCCGGTCCAACAATCATCTTGCCAGAAGCAGCAACCTGCTTCCTGCCATCTTCCAAGAGATCAAGCTCAGTGTTACCAGTGTACCGACCGTTCTGAGACCATTCCGTCTGTCCTGCGACTAATCAGAATGGGGCGAGATAGTTACCACAGTTTACTTCGCACATACCGTGTCGGTAGAGGAAGACGCGGGGTGTGCCGGCGTCCTTTCCAGCAGGCATTGTGTTGATGAGCTTAGAGTATATTTATTTACTGCTAAGGTGCAAGAAAGTAGGTCAGCTGAGATAGGTGTGGGGCTGTAATTGTAGGAGGGAGAAAAAGAGTTGGGCGGCCCTCATTGTTCCGTCTTCACCGGCTGTCGCCACATGTACTAGCCTCTAAAATCATCTGATTGAGGATATAGGTACTCGGAAATCATATTTTTGATTTCAGGCTGCGAGGTCAGTTCAGACAAGCTTTGAGATCTCAAATATTGAGGGGATTTAGCTATTTCTCTCATTAGTAGTACGAACTAAGAACGTAGTGATTCCAGAATGGGTGTGTTGTTATCATTAGTCAGCCAAACTATTTACCAAAAGTAACTAACTTCGCGTCCACGGTCCTAGACGTCAGAATAGCTCTCAATCCTATGACGAGTTAGTTTTCGAGGCTTCCTCACCTTCAAAATAACAGATGGGCATTTCTTATAGCATCTAATATGGCTTCTTTAGATTTTGATTATGAAGACTCCATCGCCGAAAGGTCACGTGTAGGTAACTTGAACGGGTGTTTGATCTATTTGCATTAGAACGAGATATGTTCGTTTAATATCTGCATAAAAGTTCGGATCCAGGCGCAAAAATTTCGATATTGTTCGAGTCCGGCGTTCGGGGTCTATGTGTTGAATATTCGGACTCAATAACATGCGTTATGCAGCAACTGAATCCTTGTCATACAGTCATTTGTTAAATTCGGTCCAGCGTATCACTGGATATTCGTACATGTCGTAATATTAGGTAAATCTGAACTGAAAATATACCTATGGTACCTAGGTTCTGCGTATTCAACTATCGAATTTCTGACCGGGCTCCGATTTTCGCATGTCTTCAAGTCATGGCTATTTATCTTCCTGGAAACAATGCAAGTGCTTCTTTAAAGCTGGAGCATATGATAAATTAGAGAGATTGCAGTTGCCACTTATCCTGTAGTGTCTCCGTTAAACCACAGTTGCCATCCTAAGATCGACGGTTGAGGCGTTCGCGATCTGCCTTCGCGCGGGATTGAGCGTATGTTTCCTGGGCGTAGGTTCCCTGCGTAGTGTTACCGAAAGTCTTAAGCTGCAAGGACAGTCGGCGGCCATCAGCCTTTTATTTGTGTCAGCATTGAACCGTTTGACCTTTCATTGTAATTACAGAACCTACCATTTGATTGTGGAAGTTGGCTACCGCATTGTCGGCATTGTATTTCTCCTCGTACGTAATCTCTGCAGTGACAGTTGGGGCATGCGCAGTGACACGGCAGCTGAGCATGCGGCCACACTGAGGTTCGAGGGCAGATTGGATGTCTGCGGCTGTCGTTCCAGGGGCAAAGTTTTGTCCAATCACCACAAAAGGGCCTGAAGCACCCTTAATGGACAAGCCTTTGTTGCGAACTATGGCTTGACCCTTACCCGATGAAAGATCAGATTGAATACGCTGTGCGTTGGTGCGGGGCTGTGTATTGGGATGGCGCTGGTAGGGGCCGGTTCGAGAGTTGGATGCCGAGCGCTGGATTGCAAGAAAACTGTTAGAGACAGATCATGCGAGTATTCATGACTCCAAGTCAAAGTTCAACTTACTTTAGGCCCAATGCGACTAGCTAAACTCCCTGGTTTGACGTTTGGCACCTTGGACACTGCGCCCGGCGCACTCGATCGACGTGTATTGCGGTTTTTGCCAAGAATTTGGGTTGCTAGTTGTTGATTTTGTTTCTTCTGGCGGTCTGATCATTAGAGTTAGTTTCATAAGGTGTGCAGGACATTGGGTGTAGCGCAAAGTAATTACCAGACTGGATGATAGCATCAAATGAGATCGCAGGTGCCGACTTGGCTGATGGCTTGTTCGCCATGGTGAAATATTAGATAATTGAAGCGCAAATACGATGAGTGGGAGACAAAGGGTAATCTGTTGCCCGGGTGGAGAATGAGGGGGAGTAGAGGATGGAGGAAGGATGTGAGAGAGAATAAGAAGCTCGGTCCTTCCACGGTTATCTTGCCCGACGCGCCGAGCCTCATCAACCAATCTAACCGCTATTGGACTATATAGTTCGACCTCGACTTTTGAATAACACATCGGACGAAGGAATAAATAATATGAGCAGGGGTAGATCATGTGAAGTAGATCATGGTTTCACTGTGCTTGGTACGTAGTGGATTTTCTTTTGATTGGTTATTCATTGCTTCTCTTTAAAGTCGACTCTTTTTACCTCACTTTATATTCCAGTGCAGAAGAAGTTATGTGGAACTCTTCTATTCAGGATGTTGAACTAATTTCTAGCTATATAGTAATGAGCTAGCATGTTTCGTTCAAATAGTTTCAGAAAATCGGGATTGCTAAGGCAGAGTTAGCTAGTTTAGATTGATGTCCTTCAAATCATGAATCAGAGGGATAAATAAGTGTTAAATATCATAAGGGAAGATTTGACTGTGAAATTCGCCTCTAAAATGGCATCTAGCTCATTCAAATGCCGTAATTGAAATGGCTCTTTCCACTTAAAATACAAAAAGAGGCAGCAGCTTCTTCTTCTTCTTCTTCCATCTCCCCCATTCTCTGTTTACCCTTTTCACATAACCACCACCAGCCATTCTCCATCGCATCACCCCTTCCAAACACTTTGATCTCCTAATTTTAGTTTGCTTGGATTCTGCCTGCCTTTACTTTCTATTTGTACTCGTTTTTGAACATGGGACCGATCTCTATCGATATGGAGCCCAATAAGACCCATAACAGAAGACGAAGCCAGTTCTCATTCTCTTCACCTTTCCGTCGAAGATTAAGGTAGGATAGTATTCATGTAGAAAATAACTAAGACTAACAGATTGAAGTTTCATATCGCCCGCGGGTCAGCTTCCGACGTGCGAAGAAAAAATCCACTATCCGATTTTTGATGCCTCAGACCCTCGTCATTCGTTCAGTCCGCCTGAATCATCGCGCAGACAGGAAAACTTTTCATCATCATCAGAGTCTCAGAAGCAGCCGAACTGGGTTCAACAGCTGCCTCGTCGATCAATCCATAAGGCACGATCGGGTTTGCTAGCCATCGCAGCAGGTTGGAGTCGTCGGTCAGGTGGAACCCGTGATAGCGAATATTATGAAGATACACCTTCAGCCTTGCCGAATTTTGCACAGATTGGATCTTCTACTCACCATCCGGAGCTCTCAACTGCTAGCACACAGGAAGAGGATGCCATGGGTGTTGATCTGCACCGAACCAAGTCCTCTGTAGCTTGGGAATCCGCACATGAACCCAGCATTGACACGTTGATGAAAGTTACTTCTATGCATCCATTAACACTTGTTTCATCTGCACCACAAGTGTTGGAGTCCTCCAGTGATCTGAGATCAGAGGGTTCTCCGAGGGGGGCCAGGCCTATGAGCCGTCAACCTTCATACACTGTTGTTGACCACACTACACTCATCTCTGATATTCAAAGTGTTCCCATGCTTGCTCAAAATCCCTTTCCCTGTCTACAGACTAACCACTGGGGCACCGATGGCTCTTCTGATTCTGAACCTACCTGCTCTTTGGAAAACAATCATCGTGGACGGCCCAGGTACTTGCGTGGAAACACTCCAACTCGCTTGCGTCGTTCGAGTTGCGCAACTACCGGAACTTGGGAAGTATTCTGTAGTATAAATGGTGGTGCAGATCACCAGGACCTGGTGACTGAGAGTGAGGACATAGCTTCGCCTGGCTCTGAAGCATTTCTCAGCAGAGCTCTCCCGATATGCCTGAGAGCAGGAGTCATTGTTGATGGAGCAGATAGTGACGTGAGCGATATTCACCTCAGCCAACATGAATCACAAGAGACAGGCCATCTTCTAGAGTCCCTGGCCTCGGATCTCAATGTTCTTAGTATTTCAGCCCCAATTTCTCATCGCTCCCGGTCAAATACCACAGATCACGATGCCTTTAGCACCCAGGAGTGGTTGCAGCTACACAGCAGAGCATCAAGCCATGGTCCTGCTACATCCTCCGTCGCCAGACCTAGAGAGATCTCCACATCCTCTGTTAAGGTCAAGATTGCATTTCCGGGAATACACCGTGCCTTAATGGAGCAGCATGATGAAGATCATCAATGCGCCTGTGAAAATTTGCTGAATGAATGCAGCAAGCCAGTCGGCGTTGATAATGAGCATCGGTCCAATGCTGCGCAGGTTTCACCCCCTCAATTTCAAGAATTCCAGGATACCATGACTTGTCAAGAGCTGAGAGTGGCTTTTGAGACTCGGGAAGTGGACCGAATAATTCCTATTGGTCTTCAGGAGAGTGATGAATGCCACCGATTTGGCATTCATATGGTAATTGAAAGAGTAGGCCCCTTCTAAATCATGATGAGAGATGAAGTACTAATAATGGAAATAGGATCATGAAACCTTGGGGGAGTTCGTGGCTCGACGAAACATGAAAGCTCAAGCCCAACCTCCCGATGATAATTATCCCCCACAGTATGATGGCGGCATTGACGACCGTCCATCTGGCAATGAAAACCACACATTGGAGCGACACGAATCTCCTGGAGATGTAGGCCCCTTTCAAATTGTAATGAGTGATGAAGAACTGATAATACCAGCAGGGAGCCAGAAAAGCGGACCAGGTTCAGTCACAGCAAAATGCTACACAGGAGCCACCTGTCTGGAAAAAGGATCCTGCACAACACGGAGAATGCATGAAAAACCACCTACTGAAGCGGGATCACAGATATGGTCTACACGTGTCTTGTAACGAGGTAAACACCGCCTGAAGAATGATGAGAGATGAAGCACTAATAATATCACTAGGAGCATGAAACTTTAGAAGAGTTCGTGGCAAAACGTAAATTTTCCCCCCGTGAGAAACATTATATGCCCCAATATGATGGCTGCATAAATGACCGCTCATCTGGGCGTGAAATTCGCAAGTCTGATCATAAATCACCTGGAGATGTAGGCCTCTCCCAAATGGTTATGAGAGCTGAAGGACTAATGATATCACCAGGAAGCCAAAGAATTGGAGCGGTTTCAGTCACGACAAAGCATGCAAGTGCAAACTTTTGCTGAATATGACGGATGCAGCGACAAATGTGGTCCCACAACCACCATCCAGTCAGAAATCTCGTCCCCTACATTCACGATCAATAGTATGTGGTCACCCATCGACTCTTCGACTGATGAAGATGGGCGATTCTCCAACTTTCAGGCTGATGAGCTCTCCATCCTTGGTCGAAATACCGATGCTCAGTACCCCAAGCAGGGACCTCAGCCTGCTAAGGTAATCCAATGTGGCGAACTGGATGATCTACTAGAAATGTTGCTTGTTCAGAGCGTTCGAACCCATCCTCGTCGCCGTCATCCATCGCAGGTTGAGGAGAGTGAGTCGAAAGAGGATTTTTTCTCCTGTCAGTGGGAGTAAGGAGCTATTGAAGTAAGTCAGTTCAAGAAAAAAAAAAAAAAAAAAAAAAAAAAAGGATGGGAGCTCTCGTTTGCATTCTTAGGCGACTGAAGTATATCAATTTTTTATGTCAGCGGAGCGCAGTCGACAGCTTTTGATCTCTTACTTGCCTGTTTATGGGCTGGCAGAAGTTACTTCTCATGTGGACGCACAGGAGTTGAACTGGAGTTCAAGTTGCGGTTGACAATCTCTCGTTGGCATGTGTACTTGGAATCAATTTTTATGTGAGCGAAGCACAATTGACAGCTTTCAGCTAAGGACCTCTCAATGGCATGTTTAAGGTGGGGAGCTTTTTTTACAAGGCCGAGATGGAGTCAAAGCTGGGCACATTTATGATCTCTCAATAATGTTTCTGCCCTGGAAACTTAGTTATTGGAACTGATCTGGGTATTGAGGGGGCTTCTCTCAGACTTTTCAGGTTCTTCTATTCTACCTTGAATGATACTCATATATTCAGTAAATTCTTGTAGAACAGTGATAATAATGCAGACCACCGCTTTGTTGAAGCTTCACTGGAAAATCAAGTAATCTACCGCTAAGGATATAGGTGCCTCAGTAATTTTGAATAGTAGATTTGAATCTGATAATCTATCCGAGGCGAAGGGTAAAGCCTGCTCCCGCCTCACCAGACTCTCCTCCTGGGGCACCACCAAACACGCCGGCAAAGTCGAGCTCGGGTGCTTCCTGGCCTCTCTTGGGAGCCTCGGGCGTGTGGCGTCTTCGTCTTTCCATATTAGCTTTGGATGGGAAAGTTGGAAGCATCTCCCGCGGTTTAGGGCGGGGATCTTCCCGGAAGAATGGATGTGAAAGACACTGCTTTGCAGTAGGACGAGAATCAGGGTTCAGGGCTAACAATTCAGACAAGAGACCCAAGCCCGCATTGGTCAGGTAGGGAAATTTAGAGCGAGGTAGGAGAGGCGGGTTTGTCGACGAGCTGCCAGATATTGATGGGATGCGTAGAGATTTAACATTAGGCAAAGACCTAAAAGTAGGCCATGTTTTTACGGTGGGAAGTCCTGTCAATTTAAAGATCTGGGACACTTGGTCCACCTCATTTTTGCCTTGGAGCAGGGGCTCTTTGGTGAGGAGCTCTCCAAAAATGCAGCCAATACTCCACATGTCAATCTCTGGGCCGTACTTTTCTGCGCCTAGGAGTAGCTCAGGTGATCGGTACCAGAGGGTCACGACGAGTTGTGTTAGTTTGGGTGGTGGATCGCCGTAGTAGCGAGCCATGCCGAAGTCGGCGATCTTGATCTCGCCGCGGTTGTTTAGAAGGAGGTTGGAGGTTTTCAGATCACGATGCATAATCCACTGCGAGTGGAGGAAGTCAAGACCGCCGACTATTTGTAGTAGGAGGGTCTTGATTTCTGATGGAAGAAATGGCTCGCGCATTTCGTCCAGGAGCGTTTTTAGATCGTGCTCCAGGAAGTCCATGACCAAGTAGACACTGTATGATTAGGAGGAGAAATAGTCAGCCTTGTCGCGCTTCCAATTCTGTCCAATGACGACGGGGACTTACTCGTCCATTTTATTGCCCATCACCACTTCTCGTAGGAAAACAACGTTTTGATGCCGCGCCGCAAGCAGTGTTTGTATCTCGCGCAAACCCGTGACAGGAAATCCATCTGGTGAGCTCTCGAGCTTCAACTTCTTCAACGCGACCACTTCGCCCGTGCTGATATCCTTCGCCCGCGACACGTATCCATAAGAGCCTTCCTCGATATGATTCAGTCGCTCATAGTTGTCGACATGTCGGCAGCCTCCCCATTCGCGCATCGGGAAGCGCATCAAGTTCGACTGTTTCTTTTGGGCTTGCGGTTCCGGTTCCTCGCTGGCTGGGATTTCGGCTGCGGTATGGGACGCGATGGGGTCATTTGACAATCTCCGTCGTTTACTTGGGGGTTGTACATCGCGATTAGGTGAGTCGGCGCCGTGAACAGATTGTGCAGCAGCTTGGGTCGACTTTGCTTCAATCTGGCGCTGTCTTTCAGCTTTGGCGCGTCGTTTGGCTTCTTTTTCCTTTTTTTGCTGTGCTATTATTTTCTCCGTTTCAGGGTCATCGTCTACCCATCGTGACTTTGCGGCCGACATTGTTCTGACGTCTTGTCCTGACGTCTGTTGGGGGTGTATGGGGGAGAATTGAAGGGAGTACAAATGACGTTTCTTCTGCGGGCCGAAGTCTAGAAAAGCTCCGATTTCAAATCCGATTTTTCCCCCCGTCAACTGCTCATCACGATTGTATCCTTGAAATTTATTCTTGGTCATTTTGAATATCGTAAAGGGATTTATCGTTTGTATTCGATTTTCTCCTTTGATCGTTTACTATAAGCTATCAACTCTGTTTCGGATCTACTTCTTCCCCGCCATGATTCAACCCTTCCAGGTCGGCTTGCCCGGAGACAGTTGCTTGCGTTAAGGGTGAATACTGACATTCTCTGTGATTTTAGACAACCTTTGCGGTCCCAATGACCTGCGAAGGCTGCGTAAAGGACATATCTAGCTCTCTATACAAACTCGATGGTATGTCTATATGCGCCTTGCGCCATTAGTTCGGACCATTTCTAATCAACTTTACAGGCATCAATAAGGTCGATGCAAACATCAAGGATCAACTTCTCTTTATCGAGGGCACCGCAGCACCCAGCTCTATCGTCACTGCTATCCAAGAAACCGGTCGTGATGCCATTCTGCGCGGAAGTGGCACCACCAATAGTATGTAACAGCTTCCACCCATACAAAGCATATGCTAATGAACTTGCTCAATATAGGCTCTGCTGTCTGCATCCTCGAGACACACTCCACCAATTTCTCTAATAAGATCCGCGGTCTCGCCCGTATGGTCGAAGTCAGCTCGAATATTACCCTCGTCGACCTAACAATTAATGGCCTCTCGCCCGGTAAATACGTGGCTACTATACGTGAGGCGGGTGATATCTCCCAGGGTGCAGCCTCAACCGGTGGCATCTGGGATTCTCTGAAGACAGCCGTGCTGGGTAGCGAGAAGGAGCCTCGTGGAATTTTTGGAACTGTAGATGTGAACGAGAAGGGCCACGGAAATGTCTTTTTGGACCGACCAGTTGCTATTTGGGAGTTGATTGGTAGGAGCATGGTTGTTTCTTCTACTGCTGAAGGCCCATTCCGACGCGAGGACGAAAACACCATTGTTGGTGTTATCGCGCGTAGTGCTGGTGTGTGGGATAATGATAAGATGGTCTGCTCGTGCTCGGGTAAGAATGTTTGGCAGGAGAGACAGGACCAGGTAGCCCAGGGGATTGTTTAAGTCCATGCTAGTTGTAGAATGATGCTTTTATGATAGGACATATTCTGCTTGTTTCAATACCCGACTGGAATTAGTTGACTGTGAGACTTGTCCTCATTGACAGCCTTGGGATCTCGTGCCCATGTCTCTGTCGTTTGTTTACAAAGAGATCAAATCTGACAGCTTGTAAAATAGGAAGGACTTCAACAGCGTTCCAAAATCTTCAAGTATCCGCATGACGTTGTATCAAATATGGATCCAGCTGAGTTGCCAGGCCCCGTGGGCCTTATTGGGGAATGTGATAGAAATGATAACTTTTTTGAGCACATTGGCTAGTTGTAATTAGTCACAATGAAAGCTTCAAAATCATTAGACAATTTAAGTAGCCACCTCCTCGTCGCCTTCTTTCACCGGTTCCTTTGGGGCCACAGGAGTATCAGCACATTCAACTTGAATAATTTGATGCCCAATTCTCCCATTGGAAGCCTCAATTACAACTGCGCTTAGCTTGTTGCCATATAAACATCCCGAGTCCAGTCCAATCGCATGGCTACTTATCTGTAAACCACGTCTCGCATCATGTCCGAATATTACGGTAGTCTTGGTTTCTAAGCTATCTTGCCATCGATTCCATTCCACAGTCCAGCTTTCTTCTCCGCGAGCTAAAGCGGGTAGGAATTTATGCTCGTCTTCGGGTGAACGTTCGAGGCTCCGTATATGGAGTATAGCATGTGGATCTTGCTCTTCAATTGGGATTCCGGGAACAAGGCCTGCATGTACGGCAACTAGATTGTTGTCAAGAGATGATGGGAGATCCGGAGGTAACTTGATGCGCAAGGCCACAGGCAAGGCGGCAAGCCAGTCTAGCTGGAGTTTTGAAAGAGCTGATGCCGTACTCTGCGTTGCGGCAGATGGCGGGTTAGGAGCTGATTCATTCTCAGATGCAGCCGAACTTGATAGGTCTCCAGTATTATTTTGACTATCGCTTGTAGCATTGATCGCCGCAGCCGCATTTAGAACTGCATTTTCGTGGTTTCCTCTCACTGCACTGGCACCTAGTTTTATTGCCAGGTCAACGACGCCAGGGCTATCAGGTCCCTTATTTGTGAGGTCGCCAGTCAAGACCAAATGATCACCTTTGGATTTTTCAAAGCTGACTTTTTCCAGGAGTGCCTCTAGAGATTTTCTCATTCCATGCACATCACCAATAATGATCAAGCGTCCCCTCTCTGAGGTATTTCCTGAGAGGGGCAGGATAACATTGGAAGGTAGCTCTGATATCAACGATGATATAGGAAATATCTTGGCGGGCGGTTTCGTGGGTTTCATTTTTAAATCTCGATGTAGACTCGATTCACTCGAAGCGTGTATCTATCTCGTAAGAAAGAAGTCTAGATAGTGCCCAAGGAAGGCTGTGGTGACCACGTGCCCCACATGCCAAGCACTTCCCTGGTGCGGCTCCTCTTGCTTCACTTCACCCTCCGCTTCAAGTATTACTTGCTTGTTACAGACAATACCTCACTGAAAATTCCAAGTTGCTAGCGGTTGGAGCATGTGAAGTCATGAGTATTACGGGCTAAGTGCAGCAGAGAGCGCAATCCATCCAAAATTCGCAAAATTCGCGATATGGCTAGGACGCCCCCAAATTGGACACATTTATATCCCATTGGATATCAAGAAAGGCCAGAAGATTCTGCCTTTGACCTTCCAAATGACTATTCCTGGTTCTTGATTGTTCCTGTGAGAAATATGGGTACAAAAACATCCTTGATTTGAGAATGTGATGGGTCATACGACGTTGAACTAAGTTTGTATAGCTTCGGGCGCCCCTGTGGATATCTCCAAGATCACGGAGTCATCCGTTCATGCGGCCTTCTTGATAGGCTTTCTTTCAAATACTGACAGGAGATATAGAAGGCTCTCTATAAATAAAGTCTGCAAGCGCCGTGGCTCTAGAGGCCAATTAGAGGTAAAGCTGAATATGCCATCATATCCACTAAATGATCTGAACTTCATATACTCTGTGGCCGTCATAATTGATCCATCGTGCATTTCTCAGGGCAATCTCCATATCTACTGAAATTCGACCAACCATTTTAAGGGTCCGTGTACTCCAAACACCGCTAAATCAATCAAGGTATCCATACTTGGTACTTCCAATGCAGAACTAAGATGACAGGGTTTTTGTTTCTCGAAATTCTGTCAAATCGAACCCGAATTCCTCTTTAAATCACAAGGGACTACAAAAAACAGCAGGCACAAATAAACAAATGGATGGGAAACACAGCCATTCGTTGATCTCATTGGATATAAAAGCTGCAGGTGCGCAGGTTATTTTTAACTCATCACATCCTAGTCATCTTAGTCTCTTCCTCGGCGCTTCCGCCCGGACAACCTAGCTTCCCCTGCCCCTCGTTGCCCCTCTACCTTCTTTTCTGCCCTATCTCATTATCAAAACACCCTGGTCCATTGCTATCCGCATGGAGGCGTTTCCACGTTGCTGGGACGGAAAAGCAAGCTCCCCGACGCCGTTCACCTACTTAGTACCTCTAGATCTTTACGGGAGTAGCGTGATCGGTGTTTAGACCTCAACTCATGGACCTTACGTATTTGACCAAACCCTTTCTGATCGGCACCGTGCGATTCTATTAATATACTTTTCTTTTGACCGATCTTTCTCCTCTCCTTCGCAGCCTATCCAACAAATCCGTGGCTCAAGCCACTTCGCTAGGATCGCCATTGAGCGAGTGGTGATTTCGTCGAATCTACTGCTTACCCACTCCCAGCCCGCACTGCTCATTTCCCCCTCTTCTTTGATCCTAGTTGTTGGTCTTGGCAGCTATCAAGTTGGATTGTGTAGCTCTGGCTATCACATCAGGGACAGTGCCTTAGTGCTGAGGCGATATTAATAGAATAGTACCTCAGCTCACTGAATAAGACTCAAGAACCCCTGCTGAAGCACGATTCCCTGCTCGTGATCTACCGGCGGTGTGCATCTGGGCAGTCTTGCTGGATATCTTGCCCTTTCGTAAACCACTCAGCAGCCTACTTTTCAATCCGTTCCTTTTGATATATTAGTAGGAAGGCTTTTCTTGACATATCGTGTCAGAATGTCTCTGAAGCAGGTATAAGACAAACAATATATCAGGACTCCTGAGATTCCAGGCTAACTTTAGAATGATATGCAGGAAATTGAGACGTGGGTGGCGGCTCTAGAAGCCTATGACAATCAGGAGTTCGAGACATCTCTGCAGTTTTTCGACCAAATCGCCGATACATCAAAAATTCTCTTCAATTGCGGAGTGATCTATGCAACAATAGGCGAGCACGGTAAAGCAGTATGTGCCGTTTCTGCGGATACATGAAACCCATGACTAACCACTCAATATCAGGTGGAATGCTACCAGCGAGCAGTTGGCCTAGATCGCTTTCTAGCCATTGCCTACTTCCAACAGGGAGTTTCCAACTTCTTATTAGGAGACTTTGAGGAGGCATTGGCTAACTTCAATGACACCCTTCTGTATCTGCGAGGGAATACTTCTATCGACTATGAGCAGCTGGGGCTTAAATTCCGTCTTTTCTCATGTGAGGTCTTGTTCAATCGCGGTCTGTGCTACGTCTACCTGAGGCAGATTGAAGCTGGTATGAAGGACCTGGAGTATGCTGCAAAGGAGAAGGTTACACCTGATCACGACGTAATTGATGATGCGATTCGTGAAAATGCTGATGTATGTCAATCTATCATGTGTTTTGATGATATATGGCTGATATAAAGCAGGGTTATACCGTTTTCTCAATCCCTGTGGGTGTTCTATATCGTCCAAACGCAGCCAAGGTGAAGAATTTGAAGACAGTGCATTACTTGGGCAAGGCCCGTCTCGTTGCTGCAGCGGACCGCAATCAGAACGCCGATGACCAGTGGCGACCTGTGGTCCCTATCGTTGAAAAATCGATATTTGACGATAGAGAGGGCATGTCTTATGCAGCTACGCACTTGGTCCACAGGAACTTGAGCAGTCGCACTCGTCAACAGTCTGAACCACCCTTAAGCCGGAATGTATTCCCACCAACACCACCTCCAGATGATCGATCATCGAGTTATGCTTCCACATCAGGAAGCGGGCATCACCGATCTTTGTCTCTTCGCACGGGTCGACCACCACGACTGGACCTGGGAACAGGCCCCAGCTCAGATAATAGGTCTGTATCACAAGAAAGATCTGCTGTTCAAATGTCAGAAAGGCCTCGAATTGGCACGACACGCACGGCGTCAGAACCTCGTGGGCCATCCGTGCATCAGAATGTGCGAGGCTTCGCACAAGAATCTAACAGATGGCCTCAATCAGGGGGACATCGAAGGAATCTGAGTGATGCAGGCTCAGAGCATGCATCTTCAGATTTGTATGATCCAAGCTCCAGTTCGCGTGGGCTGGCCGGTGCCAGCTGGGGAAGAGGAACCAGGCATCAACCACCACAGTACATTGCTGAGCAAGACGAGTACGAGTGTGGCAGTGACGGGTGCGATGACGAGTCGAGGGAAGATGGCTTTGAGATATTCGGTTCCGCCCCAAGTGAACTTTCTTCTCCTCAACAACGCACAAGATCACCACCGCGACACTCTCGACGGACGAATTCGCGACGACCAGAAGTCCGCAAATTCAGGACAAAAGTCCATGCGCCGGATGATATTCGCTATATCATCATTGGGCCGGCTATTCAGTTCGAGGAATTTGAATTTCGCATTCGTGAGAAATTTGGTTTTCAGTGTCCATTGAAGATGAAGGTGCAGGATGATGGGGATATGATTACGATGGTCGATCAAGAGGATCTTGATCTACTGCTGACTTCAGCTCGGGAAGTTGCGAATCGGGAAGGTAGTGATATGGGAAAGATGGAGGTAAGCGATTATCATTTCAGCGCTGTAAGGATTATTTGCTAATATTACACAGGTCTGGGTCGAGGAGCGGTCTATGATATAGTCTGGATATGTCAGCCGAGGCTAGCACTTTGATTTGTTTTATACCCTTTGGTTTATGGAAATGATAAATTTGCAATGAATATTTTACAACGTAGACTCTTCTGAACCCTTTCTATATGCGGAGCTGACCAATCATGGAAACTGGCGTTGTTGATAGGCTCCACATCTTCTCTAGCTTGACTAAGAAGTGTACAACTCGCCTTCCAACCTCCACATGATTCAAACATAGAAATCATGACAGATCTAACACCAGCTCTGAAACAACTGCTCTCAAGCAAGGTAGCTCCTCCGAATCCAATCCAACGCCAACCATCAACCAAAACAGCAGACGAGTTCTTAAGAGAAGCATATCGCATCGTCAGTCCAGACCCTCAACCAAAGCCTCCAAATCCAATCTAACATCCCGTAGAACTCACACATCACCTCCCTCCTAAAATATCTCCAATCAATCCGCCACGCCTACCTAACAACAACAACCGCCCGCAAAGACAAACCCTCACACCAATCCAACCTCACAGATCCAGAACGCGATGCAGTAGACTCTTCTACAGCCCTCCTTCTCCGAGACCTAGCAGCCTCAATCTCGAACCTGTCCTCAGCTGAATCCCTCCGCCAAGAAACAGAAGCCTCCGTCCTCCGAAAACGCTACGGCCACACTGCTGCCGGCGCCCTCCTCTGGCGCTGGGCTGGTGGCGCGGGGCCACTGGGAGAAGATGATGCGAGCCATGCGGGTAAATCCGTCGAGCAGATTCGGGCTGAAGAAGGTGCGAAGACTTTGGCTTCCGTAAGGGAAGGCGTGCTTTGGTTCTTGAGGAGGGGGCTTGAGGGGGCGGTTAGCGCGCAGCGGGAGATGGTTGAGAAGAGGATTGAGCGGGCGCGCGAGAAGGAGAAGAGTGTTTTGTATAAGGTTAGTGAGAAGTCAGAGAAGTTCGCTGCGTCTTCATCTGCGTCTGCTGCTGGGGTTGGCGGCTCTAAGGCACAGGGAGGTCCCACGCCCGATGCTGCTTTCTTAAGTGAGGCCGATACGGCACGGATCGAGTCGCAGTTGTCGCCAGAGCAGTTGCAGCTTTTTGCTGAGGAGAATGACTCTATGTTGCGCCATTACGAGGATACATTGGGTAAAGTCCAGTATGTTACAACATGTCTGCTACTTTCCAGATGAGGACAATACTAATAATCTCGCAGAAACGCTGAGAAATCACTACTGGAGATCTCTTCTCTGCAGGAAACTCTTGTTACGCATCTCGCCACACAGGAAGAATATATTTCGCAGCTGGTTAGTGATGTTGATACTACGCAAATAAATGTTGGACAGGGAAATCGTGAGCTTAAGCGCGCGACTGAAAGGCGAAGTACGGCACAAGCTGTGTTTTGGGGCACTGTGGGCTTGTGTACGTGGCTTGTGGTTTGGGATTTGATCTTTTGATCTTTTGATTCTTGCATTTCAGCGTATCATGATGCCCAAGGTAACAATTGACTATCATTGCAGTAGGGCTTGGTTCTGTAGACTACGTAGAATTCAACATGGAAGGTTACTTTAAGGCTGGGACATCTGTTTTACAGTGATCCGTTGCCATGGCTGTATCAAGCTGAAGACGACTAACGATAAGAAAGCTTGGCCTTGCACAAAATAGTATTTGTCTTGCGACGTGAAGTCTAGTCTCCATCGCATCTAATGTGTAGATATGAAAGAAGGGAAACACTTCCCATCCAACCCAAAAGTATGAGTAAGGTAAGTTTCAAGAGGGGAAACGCCTAGGCAAAATTCAGAACCACGAGCGGTACATAGGTTCAACTGGAATTTAGAACCTATAGTATCATCGATAAATCTACACCGTCTCACGAACAACACTATCAAGCGCCTCAGCGAAGTACTCGATGTTATGTGTGTTCAGACCCGCCATAGAGATACGGCCATTTTTCGTCTATAAACGCATTAGTAACTCGTCAATCAGCGTGAAGAAAGACAAAACTCGCCATGTAGATATGCCACTTATCCCGCAAGGCCTTGACCTGCTCCTCGTTAAGCCCAGTGAAACTGAACATGCCAATCTGGCTAGTGATATGATCCCAGGACCCAGGCGTCCCACGAGCCTGCAGCTGCTTCAGCAAACTACTCCGCATATCAAGAATCCGGCCACTCATAGTGCGCAGATCATCTTCCCACTGCGCGAACAGAACCGGATCATTCAAAATGCGACTAGCAATCCGCGCTCCATACGCAGGCGGGTTCGAGATCTCCGACCGCTGCAGCGTAGCCAGCTGACTCGCTATAGCGGCATTAGCCGTCGAAGCATCAGTGCCGGGTCCAGAGACGAAGTGGAAAGCGCCCGTACGCTCGCCGTACAGGCCGAAGTTCTTTGCGAATGACTGCGCGACGCAGAGTTCGAATCCCTGCTCAATGAAGTAGCGAATGGACCATGCGTCGCGGTTTAGATCGCCCGATGCGAAGCCTTGGTAGGCTGTATCGAAGAAGGGGAAGTGGTTGCGCTCACGCATGATGGTTGCTATTTCGCGCCATTGGTCTTGCGTTGGGTCGACGCCTGTTGGGTTGTGAGCGCATGCGTGAAGAAGAATTACGGAGCCTGGTGGTGCTGTCTTCAGAGTTTGGATCATGCCGGTGAAGTCGAGGCCTTTCGTCTGCTTGGAGAAGTAGGGGTATGTTGCTAGCTTTATGCCGACGTTTGTGAAGATCTGGTTGTGGTTCGCCCATGTTGGATTTGAGAGGTAGATTGTGGGCTTTTGCGGGTGGAACTTGGATAGGAAGAGGCCGCCTAGGTGGACGGCTCCTGTTCCTGAGATTGTTTGGAGGGTGCAGATCTAGAGAAGTTAGATTCGGTCTAGATATATAGCTTAGATTGGTGTTGACATACACGTTTCTCTTGGATAGCTGGGCTGTCAGCGCCGACGACCAGCTTCTGAGCGGCGGCTGTGAGATCGGGCAGTCCGGCGATGGAGAGATATTCGTGGTTGAGGTTGGGGTCATTGTGAATGGCGTCATCGGCCTTGAAAGTTCAGTCAAGAGCAATTACGATCATAGCTGTGGGAGTAATACCTTCTTGACGACGGGCAAGATCCAAGGCTTTGCGTTGTCGTCACGGTAGGCACCGATACCAAGATCAACTTTCTTATCAGAGGGGTCCTCGCGATAGGCCTTCATCAAACCAAACAAGGGATCTTCAGGCGCCACGGCAACATTGGCCGTGGTAAATACAGACGGGTTGGAAGCCATGATATGCTGTGATAGGGAAGAGAGACGATTGCGGGCAGTAGATGAAGGAGAAGCGGGGGGATGAGGTTGAGACATAATAACGTAATGGCCTGATCCGCAAATGTCTTCGGAATTCCACGAACCTTGCTTCTTACACCGTTGACCTAAGAAGGAATGGGCGGTTAATATTGGCACGTATAGATCTGGGATCGGTTGATTTTATGACCGGGCTAGTTTTTATACTAAATTAGTTAGATATCTAGTTCGTAATTAAGGTAGTATGAGGGGGAATAAGATACCAAGCAAAGTCCCATGACACATAGTGGAGTTCACATGTTGACATGTGGATTCCAGTATAAATAGACACAGGACTCCAATTTCTCCAATTCAAGTCAATAGAGTAATTATAGCTATTATTCTGTGTAGTACATACGTATATACGGATACAGCTTCACTGATAGGACGGGCTATAACCAACTCTAGTATCATATACTTCGTAGTACTTATCATAAAAGACGCAGTGGGTCCTTGTTCTAGAACAAATATGAATATGACTTGACCTGTCAAAAACCTGGTATTATACCATATCTTACCTAATCCCTCACTAAACTCCATACGGACCTCGGAACTTGTACGGTTAATCTCAAGGCGAGAAGTAATCTCTTCAGTTTCCCCATACCCCCGCCACTTTCGCTCCACTTATATCGTATGATTTTCCCCCACATACATACTACAAGGTGATTCCTTAAGGATGACTCCTGGGCATGGTCAGTGTTGCCCAGGTGGGGGATCGTCACTGTAAATACCTGCCAGCTTGTAATGCTGCCCATCTTTGTCACGCAATCACAGCCATCAACCTTGGAACCTTGGAAGTCTTAGATATGCAGATCCGAAATTGGTGCTCGTATTTACAAATCAAATCGTAGGAAGATAAAACATGAATAAAATCAACTCTTTTCCTCTTACAACGCCTAAAATTTCCTAAATCTTTTCAACCCCAAACGCCCCGGCTTAGTATGAAAATGTGAACGTATTTTCATCATATCGTATCAAAATAGCTTCATGAATCGTTGGTGTGAGCAGGGGTGTGGTACTGTTACTGTCGGGGTTGTTGGAGCACTGCCCGGGGTCTCGACGCCATGGGCTCGAGTGTGGATACGGAATCGATCCCTGAACCGCGTAGACATGCGGTTGCTGGATTGTTCCTCGTCATGACGTGTTGCTCTGAGATAGCGTAGGGCATGCAGGCGTTCCTCGACCGTAGAATCATACATACGGCGCAAATCCAAATGTCCTCGTCCATTTATTAAGCTCGATACTCGGTGAGATTGACGTTGTCCTGGTACTTCTGCTTGGCGTTGGACTTCCGCTTCCCCGAGCTCGGCGTTGTCGTGTTGGTCAGCAGTTTCTTCTTTGGGATTGAGGTCAATGCGGCTAGCGCTTGATTAGTAAGTGACGACAAAGAGAAGTATTTAGGACATAAGACGTACCAGAGAGGACAAGTGCCGGAGACATTCACAAGCCAAGGATCAATACACTCTGGGTGGAATTGATGGTTACAGGGCAGAACACGAAGGTCCTGGCCCCTGATGAAATCATCAGTGCAGATCGGACACACAAAGTTGCCCTCGTTACCCGCTTCAGGCTTAGTATCCTTCAAGTCGGTGGAGGTGGAAGTTGGTCGATCAGTGGCGATCGGAGTTGGAGTTTCGGTTCCATCTACCTCTGGCCCGACCTCGGCAACATCGGCAATGTGTTCGTCTCCCTCCAGTTCAATATCCCTCTTTGTAGCAGCGACATTATCCTCATCACCAAATTTGACAATAGGGATTGTCTCTAGCATAGCTCGTGCTATACCTCTAGCTCTACTCTGCCTAGCTCGTCGTCGTCCTGCTCCAATGATACGGGGACCATATCTCTCTGGATGACGATGGGCACGGACAGCGCCCGTGACAATGATACCCAAAAAGAGGGCTGTGATGACACCGGTGATACTGTAGAGGATGATCATCGCTTCTGAAAGTTAATTTCCAACGTTTCCATTTTCAGAACGAGTAGATCCACTGACCAGTATTGGGACCGCTACCACTCGTCTGGGTAGAAGACCCTGGCGACCTAGAGGTCGGAGTGGGATCAAAACCAGATGCGACACCCGACATTGAGACAATAGTAGCAGTAGGAGTAGAATTGAGAGACCTCTGTAAAGTAGAGACCGATCTTGCTCCGATAACGGTGAATATCTTCTGATAAGCCTCGGTCTGGTTGTCGGTGGTTAGATTACAGCGAATTGCCGATGTACTATATAGAATGACAGCTAAGGCGGGGTGTTTGGAGGTGACGACGTAGTCAAGAGTATCAGAAGCAGTTAACGGTCCAGAGTAAGCTGACGCATCACAAGGAATACAGGCGATTGAAGTAGATGAGAGACCAAGTGAGTTGTCCGCTTTCACTTCAGTGAGGTTACCCGAGATATTTAACGACTGAATAAATTAGCCAAGAGACAGATTAGGTTTCTAAAATAGATTTCGGACCTTCTTTTCGGAATCCGATAGACCGATCAATCCCTGGGTCAGTGGAATAAGAAGAATCCCGCTGAGAGTGGATTCTTGGATGGCGAATTGATCGCGGGGAAGATTTAGGGAAGTATTTGATGGCGACAGAACAAAGGACTGGACAGAGAGGAAGAGAAGAGAGATGTAGAGCAGCCTCATGTCTAATAGATGACGGGAGGCGGCGGGTAACCTGACATTAGTGTCAGAATCGGGTAAAGGACGAAAAGTGATAAGAGTACAAAGTACAAAGTACGAATATGTGGAATATGTGGAAGTTGTGGGAGAAAGTGGATTAGTTAACGGGGCAATGGATACGTGGGTGGAGAGAAAATAGAAAATAGAAAAAAAAGGGAAAAGGGAAAAGGGAAAAGGGAAAAGTAAAAAAGAGAGAAGAGAGAAGAGAAAAAAAAGGAATATGGCAAATCAAAAATACTAAATATGAAATATGGAAACAAGAATTAGAAACAGTGCACAGTCCTTGTAAAATCGATGATCTGTTGAAATCCTGAAACTTGACGTTATTGGTGTTATTGATCTAAATCCACTCGGTTCCGGGGTTCATCCACATTAGTCATCATGTATATATACGAAGTAACTAATAATGAAGACTCCATGGCCCATGAGATTCGTCGATCCTGACCCAAAATACTAGGTACTTAAGGAGTTGTACTATTGAAATATTCATGGATGTAAGCTGTAAATGGAGATGTAGATGTAGCCCAAGACATACCGGGTATAGCTTCGAACAAAGGTTTAGTTAATAATATCAATCTTAACCTATCAATCATTATTTCCATGGAATTTCACTTATAAGATACTGCCTTTTTCACTTTTATCTTTTTCTTTTCTTCTCTCACCCTTGTTTCTCGATATTGTCTCCACCTACTATGTATATGTGTATGCTACTGTGGACTTAGATGTACTGCTGCAGCTCAGCTGCAGCTTATGTTGCCTTTTACATTTTGAGAAAGCAAAAAGCAAAAAGTAAAGGTCAAAGAATAATCATGAATAACCATGAAGACTCAATGCAAAAAAACTGTTAAGATCAGGACTAAATATCGCACTTTTCAAGGTATCTCCATATCTCAATACGTACAACCCCGGATACCTTCGAGTATAACGGCATAATTCTCCAACAATTCTGATTTGCGCACATCCTGGGCCAAGAAATGTCGAGGCTCTGATCGACCGTACAACCTAGATGTACCCTTTTTATTCTTTTCACTTCACTTCATGATTGTCCTATGCCGCCTTCCATATTTGGACTAGGCAATACTTCGCCCTCTCACTTTCTTTACTTAAATCTCAACATTCCTGATTTATCAACAACACTTATTACGCATCGACAACACTCATTTACATCGACAACGCTTCCTACAATTTCTACTATAGATCGAGGGCTCAATCACAGAAGAATATATATCAGTAAGCTAACTTATCTTTAATAGCATTCCATAATGACGACTATCTCACAAGTCAAAGAGCTGTGTGCCTAGATTAGGCTTACTGAGCTAATGGCAATTTTTGCCCCACATGAGGAGATTGCATGCTTTGAGCATCAGAGTGATATTATGGCGTACTTGGAATTCAAAAGGGCATAAGACGCAGTGACGGCCCGCAATACCCTCGATAGGCATAGTATGATGGTGGAGCACCATCTGCAAGTTTCCTCAGCCACCTATATTCCCTTGGTATCACGTCACCGTTGCTTTAAATGCAAGAAGCAAGGACATGTCGTCAATAATTGTCCTAACAATCCCGATCTGCTTATCAATCTCCTTACCAGCCCTCTCACTATCGGAAACGCTCTTGGTCTCCTTGCCCTAGACAAGTCAGTACGGCCACTAGTAACCTCCCTAAGGCTTATAGCACTAAGATAAATGAGCAGCCTGCTCCGGCCACCCCCGGTCGACTCCTACCAGCCGCATCAAGCATAAGGAGGAGCAGGTTATTCCCATTCTTGATACCATTGATACAGTCTTCAGCAGTAGACTAGTAGCGAGATTGGCGGATTAATTCCTAGACAACCTAGACTTTATTCAAGTCGCAGATTGAGCGGCTCACAACAAAGCCGGATCATAGAGTCAAAGCTGCTCTAATAAAGCCTAGATGGATGACATAAATGATCAACTACATCGTGGGTATATTTCTCAAACATCAGAGTCAAGACTGCTCCCTCTATCACTCCTTGGTGTTTTTTTTTCTGTTTATTTCGCTTCCTTTTAACCAAGCTCAGGTCAAGCCTAGCACCGTCAGTTTTTTATTCTGGGTTGATTCCCGCACTTGGCGCCATAGGTGCATCTTTATGCTAGAATACAGAATGATCATATATCATTATCAATTACTCAACTTCCAAGGTTGTAGCCGTACTACTCAACGTAGACGTATACATCGAGCTCATAGTATTATAGAGAGTCGGACGAAACTACTCAGCAGCTAGAAGGCACATCCAGTGATTTCAGTCGAGCACCTCGAGCCTGCTCCTTTGCCAGCACCAGACACCATTCAGCAGGAACCAGCTGGGACAGCAGACGAACGTTTCTCACAAGATGAATATTGGCGGGAAGTGCATGCGGTACTAGACGTGAGAATCTACTGACTCGGGCGAAAAAAATACCCTAGTCAAATACTACCCAGTACACTGGCATGTCATGGTTTAAATTCCAGTCAAGTGGGTCCACGCCAGAAACATGGTTGGAGCTGGAGAAAGGATAGCCCAATTCGAAACTAAAGATATGGATTCTGCTATAGAACCTGCTACTTTTGATACGAATACAGAAGCAGACTCGAATGGTTGCAAAAAAGAATCTGAGAAATCAAAAACTACAGTTGTGGACATAAATATCAATTCCCCCAAACTAAATAGAGCACTTACATAATATGGGATTTGATTAGTCGTTATTTCGGGTAGGGCTGAAAGTAACCCGCTTTTGACCCACTTACTGTGTACATACTTTATACAAAGGTAGAGAATCGATTCAAATCCCAGGAGATAATGACGGTGGACACTAAAGCTGAGCCAACTACCAATTTACTAGCGCTAAAATGCTATTAAAGATACCAATCAATGAAATATCTCTAATTTGTAACATATGATGTAGTGTAATCTGTAAACAATCTAATGGCATAGGGTGAAATAGATGTATTATTTTAAGAAAAGGGCGCGGAGATCCTGGAGAAGTAGTACTAGCTCTCGATGTAGGTTCGATAAGGGCTCATCGACACATAGCTGACAGAGGCAATGAAACTACGATAATTTCAGAATGGATCGAGTGGACTGATTGACATAATTGAAGATGTCGCGAAGCAAGTTGTCCTTTATGGACCGATAAGAATTTCACTAAACACAATTATTGTCTCGCACCATAGTCTATGAGACTGAGTAATTGAAATTGTCTATTATCTGAACCGTCTTTTGAGGTTTTGTTTCAGTGAGAGCGATCACCCACAGCCAATGAGCTTATAGAGCTTGGTTAACTCAAGATCGACGACTTTGGTGTATATGGAGCGCTATTAATCCCTATGTTAGAAGATAGATCGCCTGAGTTCTATGTAGGGTCCGCAATATCTCAATATCTGGCCTTTCAAAGAGGGAAGCAGACCGGGGGCCATTAAAGCTGCCAGTGAAAGCTGTAAGACTATATATTAGACTTATATTCTAAATATAGATACTAATGTATTTTAGGGGCCGGTTTAAACCCTTGAAAATCGGTAGTGTACTATATAACCTTTACGGATTCGACTTTTGTCGATTCCGGAAGTTAGTCTATGTGACACCATCCAGGAATTAATAAGACTTTGCCTGCAGTGTCTGTTCTGACCGCCTAGTTGAATGGGTATATGTAAAGCGACAAAAAATATTCCAGTATAGGGAGTGGGATCTCTTTAGATTGGCTTATGTGGTAATGTTGCAATTTCGGAAGTCCTGCGAACTATGCAGACTCGCAAAATCTACTATATCCTGCGGTAGTTGCCAGCGGAGTGTCCAAATTGTGGAAAGGTGCTAAAAGGCGTATCGGGTCTTAAAAGACTTGAGAGCATTCTGCACTACGACGCTCGAAGCCCGGCGAATATTTGAATGTGTCCTTTGCGGCACGAAGGTTACTGAAAAAAATACTCGCCCGTCATACCTCGCGTGCAGTGTGCACTACGACACTCGAAGACCGGCAACACTTCAAATGTGACCTTTATGGTAGCAAGTTTGTAAAAAAACGAAACCTCAGCCGTCATATCTCAGAAGTAATGTGCACCAAAGACTGGCAAGTATTCTAATGTGGCGTTTGTGGCAAGGCACTTACAAGCAAAAAAGCCTCGACCTTCATACCTCTCGGACTCAACCTGCACCGTTGAAAACCAACCTTGAAATGTGGCCATTATGGCAAGAAGTTTACACAGAAAGGAAGCCTCAATCTTCATACTTCGACAGCAACCTGAACTGCGAAACTCGGAGATCGGCAACCCTTCAAATGCAGCCTTTGTGGAACGAAGTTTACATTAGAAAAATCCCTCACCCGACGACTAACTAATAGGATGTCTGTGGCTGAACTGATATTCCACCACAACCGTAGACAACTATACATATATTTCTATATTGACATTCAAAACTTCAAACTTATTTGCCACTATCTCCTTATTTCCTCCGCAATGACGGGATTTTAAAAGCCCATCTACTGACCCAGATCAAGAAAATCTAGTCAATTAACTGTTTTTTCATACAGGTATATTTAAGAGCCCAAAAATACCTGTATATTTGACTTAATCAAGGACCAGGGCATTTACTATACATATGACGCTTTCCACATCCAGAACAGGTTTGGCTATTTTGCGATTCTCTCTAGTGGAACTCGATGCATATACTTCAACCTAGGTATGTTTAATAGTACGGCAGCAACCTTGGAAGTAGAATGTTTGATAATGTCAGATTATCATTTTTTATTCTAGCATAAAGATAAATCCATGGTGCTAAGCTCGAGAATCAATCCAGAATCTAAAACTGATGGTGCTAAGCTTGACTCGAGCCTAGCAAAAGAACGTGAAAAACAAAAAACTAAGGAAACTCAATCTGGGACTGGAACGAAGTCCAGATTGTTCAAAAATTGATTTGCCAATATCGCTGCTGGTAAATTGGCGAGGACCATACGAATGGCATTCAACTGGCCCATGAAAGCGGTAGCAGCCTGCTCCTCCTTGTTGCTTGGTAGGAGTTGACTGGCTGGAGCGGGCTGCTCATCTTTCTTGGTGCTCACGGAGCCCAAATAAGTCTTAGGGCGGCTGGTAGACATCACAATGACTTGTCCAGGGCGGTTGAGGCGAGGGCGAGGAGGCCGCGAGGAAAGAGCTGGCGATGGGCAGGAGACTGAGAGCGCTTTCGTTGGCGCGTGGAGGACTGGGGAGGAGATTGGCCAGCCGATCGTGAGCGGTTAGGACAGTCATACTACCTCACTATGCCCATCAAGGGTATTACGCACTGTCTCCGCATCTTTTCGCTCTCATGAATTCGACGAAAGCCACGCCATCATTTTGACGGTCAAAGCGTTTGATCTCCCCATAAGGGGTAAAAACCGCTGAGAGTTCGGCGAGTCCAATCTCGGCAACTCAATCACAGCGCTGCATTCCCCTTTGCTCGCGCCATTATTCTGTAAACTGACCAGGTGGCAGAGAGATGTACCTAGGAGTCCCATGCAAGCCATGCATACGTATTACATCAGCGTCGTTTCCTGACAGTTCAGAACCCGCTCGTCCGAAAGGAGCATTCCGTAGATAATATCAGGCAAAATTGTCGTCACTATAGAATGCTGTTGGTAAATAAGTTAACTTGCTGATTCGTAGTACTCTGTGATCGAGCCCTCGATCTACACAGGAGAAATTGTAATAAGTGCTCCAAGATTGTTGATGAATTTGGAATAAGAGTTCGAGACAGAAAAGAAAGTCCGCTATAGAAGGCGGTATAGAATATGCAGCAGAAAGAGAAAAAGAAGTAATCCATGGATAAGAGCTTATCTTGCAATATCCTGTTCCACTAAGTAAAACCCTTTTTCCAAGGGTTCCAGTCTCTCTCCTCCCCATCCCAGGCCATGACTGCCTGCTCGTGAAAGAAGCATCTTTGCAAATCCTTTGGTTTGGGCTGGGCGCAATGCCTCGCACCATGCCCCTAGGGGAGCCCACCCCGCCCCTCGAAGAAATTTGGAGTAATCGCTTTTCACCTAAGGCGATATCGACGTACGTATCTTTTTTTTTTTAATTTTTCTTCTCTCCCCTCCATTTGACACGCCATGATATAGGAATCCGGCCATCGCTATCCTTGATGTCGAACGCAACGAATTAGCCGCAACATGGAAATCTTTTGGCCTCCATATTCCCGCCGAAGATCGCGTGGTCTGGGAGAAGCGGCCACAGACGGCTCGTGACCTCCAGGCCCTGGTGCTTCAACTCCAGGCTGCTTGGAGCTCCAGCCCTAAACCACGTATTTTCAACCATGCGAGCGCTCTCTGTGATCAATTTTTGGCTACCCTCGAATCTCATGCCTCCTTACTCGCCATACTTCCCGATTCCGCCATCTTCCACACCCCTCTCCTGTATGGAGTCTTGCAGTCGGTTGTTAAAGTGCGTTTATACACCTCGCGACCGAAGCCGGAAAATTTGACTGACATATAATTATACTCTCTAGGCCGCTTCAAATTACTCTACAATGATGGAAGGCCTCATTACTGCTTTGTTGGATATGGATATTGCCGTGCAGGCCATGAGGGGAAACAAGGACCCTGTCCCGGTCGAATCCGTCGCCAAGGTCTACTCGTTGATTTACCTATTCCTGACCGAGTTTATGGATTGGTATGTGAGACGATCTACCTGTCAACTATTGAACAGCCACGGTCAGGACACATATTCCGTCTTCCGACCTTTGGCCAGCTGCATCCAAAGGCAGGCCACAACCCTCACTGCACCAGCCGATGCCATGGACTTGAATTCAGATGAACCAGTATATAGTCCCCGGGCTCTCTGGGAAGAATCTCAACTGAGCCAATTGGGACGGGTCGGCGACGATCGCCGACATGCAGCACAGAACACAATGACCCGCCGGTTAATATGGGATATTCAGCAAGATGCAGAAAAACGATCTCGGCTTAGGGAGATGCGCGATCATCTGTTGACTGACTTACAGGCCGCGGTCGGTCCACAACTCCACCCCATCGGCGAGCAGAACAATGGTGCTATCTGCATGACTGCAACTGCGCCAGACCTGGGTAAGGTGTTACTTCCCAGTACTAAAAGCTTCTAAACTGACCTTTTCCAGTGACGCCCCAGTTTGAATGGTCGCGCGGGTCGAAGCGCCGTATCGGTCGACTTGAACTGCAAAGTGAATCTAAACACCTACAGGCTTTCTTCGACAGCGACGACCAGATCTCCGATCTCGAACCGGATGCCAAAATTGTTGTCGAGGGCAGTGTCATCCAATCCATGTATAAGTGGAGTACCAGCCCTCGATCCCATTCCCTGGCAATAGGCGGGCCTCTTTCGACCGCCACTTTGAGTCCTGTGGGTTTTCTTTCGGCGTGCTACACATCTTGCGCTCGCATGTCGCAACTACCGGTCATCTCCCATTTTTGCGCACTTCCGACGCAGCCCATACAAGGCCAGACCCTCCGCGAACAGGGAATCATTGCCCTAGCGTATAGTTTGATCCGACAGCTGATCGATTTACTCCCTACAATGGTGGACAGCGATGCGCTGCTTGATCTAAGTGCAGAACGGTTCCGTACATTAGATGGGACCTTGGCCACTTGGGCTGCCGCGTTGTCACTGATTGATACGCTGCTCCATTTCTCTCCGCCTCTGCTCATCTGCATCATCGATGGTATTGACGTGATCCACGATGCCTCAACGGATGTTATCCTGCGTGAGCTGATCCGCGTTTTGCTCACTCACACACGCCATCAGCCACCAGTCATCGGCGACAAGCCGGGACCAGCTTTCCTGTTCAAGGTACTTTTCACCGTTGCCGGAAGAATCCCTGCTCTGATCGAGACGATGTCAGAGAGTGACCTGATATTAAACGAGTCAGTCCTGGCCAATGAGCCCTCGACATCAGATGCCGTCCTCACCACCGAAGCTGGCGCGGTCATGATGAATGCTTGAAATCTTGCCCTTTTCAATTCTTAGCCTTGAGACAGTGATGATCCATTACGATGCATGAGGTACGAAGCAACGGTGACAACTTGAGCGATTCATTTTTTCGCGCCTTGCATGGGATGATACCTCCTTGGCTTCTCTTTTTTCTCTTTTAATTTGGTTTCTTGGCGTCTATATGATCTTATGGTGTCTGGAATAAATCGGGATTGGTTAATAAGATCTTTTCTGGTAGTAAGGTCTGCTTCGGTAGAAATCTGTATTATTACCTAGTTACTGATATTCAAGTGTATTCTATGACTGATTACGGAGTATCTCGCCTTCCTATTTCCATCGGAAACCAACTCCCGGCTATCGGCATGAAATTCGATCTTTAGGAACTGCATAAATTGCGGGGAACCTGGAAAGAGACTGATTGTCGTATAAATAGTTTAATCCTTGTCCAGAACGAAGTACGAAGTACCTAAGGTACTATCTATTAAGGCCAACATGAATGGAAACATCCCCTCACGGCTGTATCAGTCAGCCTCCATTGACATAGGAGAGTTGAAGCAAATATGCTCTCGTACAATCGACACATCTACCTACCCCCTCGCCTGTAAAGTGGAGCGAAACATACCAATCTACGACCTGGCTGCTCTTGGGCAAACAGTCACAGCGAAGCTTCTATTTCGATTGCAGGATGAGTGGCATCACATCTTGCACACAGGACCAGGCGTCTTCGTGCTGCGCGACATGTACGCTCCAGCCCGCTATGGCCCAACGTTATCAGCCACCAACGAAGCCTTCGACCGAATCATTTCCAAGGAGAAGCAATCGAACACTACAAAAGGCGACCACTTTGCGTCGGGTGGCACGAACGATCGCATCTGGAACTCTTTTGCCAAACATTGCCTCGAAGACCCGGCCTCCTTCATAGACTACTACTCAAATCCATGGCTGGCCTCTGTATGCAATGCATGGCTCGGTCCAGCCTACCGAGTCACGGCCCAGGTCAACGCCGTTCACCCTGGTGGCGCGGCGCAGGAATCCCACCGAGACTACCATCTCGGCTTCCAGGACGTAGACACCACAGCGCAATACCCTGCCCCCACACAGCTGATGTCGCAATTTCTCACGCTGCAGGGGGCCGTCGCACACACCGACATGCCGGTTTCTAGTGGTCCGACGCGCTTCCTCCCCTTCAGCCAAACCTATACACCTGGCTACCTTGCATATAGACGATCAGAGTTCCGCTCTTTCTTCCAGGCGAACTACGTGACCATACCGCTAGCACTAGGCGATGGCGTCTTCTTCAACCCGGCTCTTTTCCATGCGGCCGGGGCCAACCTTACAGATCCCACGCACGGGGGATTCCGCCGCGTCGCAAACCTGTTGCAGGTGAGTAGTGCATTTGGGAAACCGATGGAGATGATCGACTCGTTACCGCTTATCGATAAATGCTGGGAGATGTTGGTGCGCCGGTACCGAGATGCTGGGAATCGACTGGCCAATGTCGATCTTGATCCGGATGTATTTTCACTTTCCGAACGAGAGATCCGCGCGTTCATTCACGCTTTAGCGGAAGGCTATCCATTCCCCACAAACCTTGACCTTCGTCCTCCGGCCCCCGGTGGCATGGCCCCTGAGAGTGAACAGTCCATTCTTTTACGGGCATTAGAAGCGGGATGGACTCGGGCAGAAGTCATGGATGAATTTGAGCGTCTAGGCCATCGGTCTTACTCTACACTTTAAACAAAGGGATACTGCAGCACAGATCAAGACATCAAACGACTTTTCACTTTCGGACCTAAAGATGGCCCATACTAGATGATGGGATGATGGATCTGGTGGCGACGCCCTAGTGGAGAAGTGGAGAAGTTGAGCATTCAGGAACGAGAGACACTACTTGGTATCGTACACCGGAATACTCTTTCTGAATCAATGATGTAGTTGAGGGTAGAGGCTAGAAATAATGGCAATATCAAGCATGATAAACCACATTTAAGTATGGAATGTGGCTTGAGTGGGTATGGAATGTCTCACATTTTTCCCATTTTATTCGCCCCAAATTAAGAAATAATACGTATTTCTATGTAATAATGTAATAAAAGGTACAGTAATAACGTTGAAACGTCGGCTTCTATCCTTTGGCACTCTCTTTTTTATTCTGACCATCGCCTTCAATTCCTTCATTTTTTTCAGGGAGATTATTTTTCTCCAGTCATTCTTTCTTCTTTCGCTTGATGCGACTAGTGAATTACTCGATCGATCAGATCTCATCTCATCTCCACTGATTCTTGTGGAGTCGTGAATAGCGCAATATCAAGACGTCGACGTCAACGTGGTAGCATAACTCCAATCATTACCGAATACAGACATACCTAAATTCATTATACTGGGTCCATAGCCCTAGGAAGCAGTGAGGTAAGACGAACCACGATAATTTTGTCATTCAATTTTTGTCATTCAATTTTTGTCATTCAATTTTTCGTGCTCCACTTGACCCTCATGGAACCAAACACAGCTCAGCCGAGCTAAAGAATCGATCTACACAGACGCCAACTCCAATTCCCAAATTCCCATCTTCCTCCCACCCTCGCTAATCCTTACTCTTTAAAGGAGCCGCTCTTTCTTCTTAGGTTTTCCCCCAGATATGCGAGAAGGGACTTCACGTCTGTCCACACATCGGTTTGAACAACTTCCTGATATGCGCGACGGCATGGCCAACCCAAATGATGTTACGATTGACATCCCATTAACCGCTACCCCTAGTCGCGGTCAAAATGGTATTCGTAAATGGGGCTCCAATGTAGGTAGTGCCGTCCCTGTCGAGTCGCAAGACGAAAAGGCCGCGTTAGGTCCTGGTCTTCGGCGTCGCCGGGACGATAATATCAACGAACACACCGGCAAGCCGTCCGAGTCCCCGGAGGATGGGAAAGTCAATCGTTTGGGTCGTATTTATCAGGCCATTTACAACTTCTCTGTCGTCACTCGTTATATGATATATGTTATTCCCGTTGGCATAATTTTTGCCATTCCTATCGTTATCGGTGCCACTGCTTCGCAAAATGCTCGCATTGGTGGCGTTCATATATACTGGTTCTTTGCTTGGATTGAGGTCGTTTGGGTTAGTTTGTGGACTTGCAAAATTTTTGCAAAGTTCATTCCATTTGTTTTCCAGACGCTTTGTGGTATTGTGAGCTCTGGTACGCGCAAGTATGCTCTTATTTTGCGCTCGCTAGAGACTCCGATTACTTTGGTCTTGTGGTGTGTGGTCTCTCTGGTGACATTCTTGCCGGTATGTTCGATCAGCCACTTGACGAACCTGATAAGTTGCTGATCAAATTTTATAGATTATGACATTGAACCCTAGCAAGAAGTCAAACGGTGACACCGATGTCACCACATGGGAGAAGAGTGTCAAGAACATTCTGTTTGCGCTACTTGTCTGCAGTCTGATCTACTTATGTGAGAAGGCTACCATCCAGCTTATCTCCATCAGCTATCACCGGAAGCAATTCGATGCAAAGATCAAGGAGTCCAAGCATAATGTGTATTTGGTCGGTCTCCTCTTCGAGGCCTCGCGCAACATGTTTCCCATGCACTGCCCGGAGTTCGCAGACGAAGACGCCGAAATCGAAGATTCAATACTTGTCCAGGAAATCAAGAAGAGTAAGCGCAGTTCTATGATGCCGCTTCGCATGGTGCGAAAGGTCGGAGCGAATGTTGGCCGTATTGGTGACAAGGTCTCCAATGTCTTCGGCAAGACTGTCTTCAACCAGAACGCCAACCACACTATGGTCATCGAGGCTCTCGAGCGTAAGCGCTGCGCTGCTGCGATGGCCCGCCGTATCTGGATGTCCTTTGTCGTTGAGGGTCGCGAGTCTCTGTTCATGGACGATATCGTGGAAGTCCTGGGTCCTGACCATGAAGAGGATGCTGAAGAGTGCTTTAACCGCTTAGACAAGGATGGTAACGGAGATATCAGCTTGGACGAGATGATTCTCACCGTTACTGAGTTTGGCCGCATGCGCCAGTCCCTGAACCACAGTATGCACGATGTCGACCAGGCTATTAATGTCCTGGATAACCTTCTGCTGTGCGTTGCTGGTATTGTCGGTATCCTGGTTTTCATCTCCTTCGTGACCACTGGATTTGGTACTGTCATCGCGGCTGGTGCTACCTCGCTGCTCTCTCTCAGTTTCGTCTTCTCTACCACCGCCCAAGAAGTCCTCGGATCATGCATCTTCTTGTTTGTTAAGCATCCATTCGATATTGGTGATCGTGTCGATATTGGCGACAAGTCCTATGTCGTTGATCGGATTTCGCTTCTCTTCAGTGTCTTCCGAACGGTTTCTGACCAGCGCATGTCTCAAGTTCCGAATAACATTCTTAACAGGTAATTTTAATTTCTGGTCCTTTCACTTGTTGGAATTTTCAACTAACCTCTTTTTTAGTCTGTGGATTGACAACTTCACTCGCGCTAATGCCATGCACGAGCAGCTCACTGTTCCTGTCGCCTTCGACACCTCCTTCACTGAGATCCAGCGTCTCCGCGATGAGATGGAGGCTTTCGTTCGCCACAAGGATAACTCCCGTGACTTCCAGCCTGATATCTACATTGAAGTCGGTGGCGTGGGAGACATGGACAAGCTGGAGTTGATCGTTCTCATCCGTCACAAGTCTAATTGGTCTAATGAGACCGTCCGTGCTGCTCGTCGCTCCAAGTTCATGTGTGCTTTGGTTCTAGCAATTCGCAAGGTGCCCATCCGTGCTCCTGGTGTCGCTGCTGAAGAACCCAAGCCTGAGGGTGACGAGACAGATGACCAGGATGGCAAGGATGACAAACCTGATGCTGGAAAGATGGCTGGCGGTTTAACTGCTGCTGCCGCTGTCGTCGGTATGGACTATTTGCCACCAAACACCGCGCAAACTTCAGGCTCTGACCTGAACAGATCCAATGGAACCCTGAACAAGCGCGGTCCCCGCTCAACCCCGTCCAGTGAAGCCGCTGCGATCGAACAGATCAATGCCCGCTCGCCCGCAACAGACGTCTATCGCGACGAGCGCGAAATGGATCTCACTCGCTCAACAACCACCAAATCCACAGGTCACCGACTCAGTGTACAAGGCACCGACATCTCCCGTTCTCTCTCCACCGGCCAGCGCAAAGCCGGCCGCGTTTCATACGCCGAACAAGATTTCGCGCCTCTCTCTCCCGTGCGAGCAGGTCTCACACCATCCTCCAGTAACGTCCCAATCCTAAGAACCCCAGCTCCGGGTTCCAGGGGCAGTGTTCGCTACGAACCCCTCCCCAAACTCCTCCCCAGGTCTAGGCCCTGGCTCGTCACTCTCTATCGTCAGCTCCCAAGGGTCAACAATCTACAACTCCTCACATCACCAGTCTCACGATAACTACGAATCAATTCCCCTAGGTGGCTACAATTCAAATAACCAGAGCCAGCCACTGTCTGGCTTGACGCCAAGTAGTCACTATGACCCTATCTCACCCCCATCACCCTATTCCCCGGGACAAGGTAACCCCGACGTACCAACCTCCAACGCTGAACGACAGGCTTCGATCAACGCGAGGAAAAATAACAAGAACCAGCATGGTGGACATCAGGCATGAAGTTGATTTTCATGGCATTTGATGTGATGGGGTATGACATGGGTAGACATTTGATTTCGGACAAAATTTCCGAAATTTCCTTTGCATCTTAGCTATTTTCCTTCTAAACTCTTTTTTTTCTTGTATCATATGGGTTGGGTTATCATTTATGAGCTGTGATCTAGATGATTACTGTACTATGTGACTTTCACTCAATTTACATCAACTGCCTTTCTATATACTTTTTTTGAGTCACAATTTTGTTGAATCTATTGTTTAATTTAGGAATTAGTCCTCAGGCCCAATGACTGAACTTTTAATGTAACCTCTCTCATCACTAGATGGGATTTGCCTCTAAATCTACAGTTCAAACCTGGTCACGTGACTCGCGTCATTGTTAACCAAGTCAGCAAACAGCATGTCTACCTTGCTACCAATGCCATTGTCGATTAAAATCAAAAGTCAGAAACTCGCCATTTCTATTCAATCAGCTGGCTCTAAACCTATCCCGCTCTCACTTTCAAGGCTCCACAATTGGGTCTACTGTTCCAGGATTCAGCGTTTACTGATCCTATATCAAAATGAGTAGCATCAAGACCACACCGAAAAGGGCCCCCTCAACAGCCTCTTCAACCGTTAGCATGAGAGCCAGCTATAAGAAGGGCACACCCAGAACAGGGGCTTCAACTGTTGGCCTGGGTTCAATGCCCCCTTCCACTATTGGTCCCTCAACCATTGGTCCTTCCAGGATTGGAGAGTCTTCCATTGGAGAGTCTTCTATTGGTGACTTCTCCTCTTTTGGCTTTGGTCCTTCTTCTTTTAGTCAGCCTTCCTCTATTGGTCCTTCTACTATTGGTGAATCCTCGATTGGGGAATCTTCCATTGGAGAGTCCTCAATTGGCGAGTCCTCAATTGGCGAGTCTTCTATTGGGGAATCTTCTATTGGAGAATCTTCCATTGGGGAGACTTGTATTGGGGAATCAAAAATGGATGAGTCGCGCCCGTCTACGACTAGGATTCTTTCTTTGAATGAAGAGCCAAGGAAAAGATAATTGCTGTTTCTTGAACTTGTCTTTTGCTGGAATTATACTGGGGCTGAATAGCTTCAATACCTAGGCTAATCACCGTTCCCAATTAGGATGATTGGCTGGTCTGGTTAGATGATTCATATTCCTTTCAGTTAGGTCTGTTAAAAATCGAATGGATTCACTATGCTGCTGCTGAATGAATACCTTACTTAGGTTTCAGCTCAGTAACTTCCAGCCCTGGAAGACTCGAATGTGTGATACCAGTGTTCCTGACCAAAAAAGTAAGTCTCTCATACCGCTCAAGAGTGCCCAGTATCAGTAGGGATTTGGTTTCTAGGTACCGAAATGGTGCGTATTTCTCCGAGCTCAATCGTAACTCCACATCTACTGTTAAATTGATCTTTAACTAACATCAACTCCCCTATAGGCTAGTAAAGGGGAGCCTGAATGTCACAATGGTGCCAGGTCGGCTTGGTCTGGTTTTCCTGCTAAGCTTTCGCGATTCAAAGCGGCATGGGTGCTTTCTTCTGGCATTAAGGCCTCTTATATATATTTTTCTTTTTTTGGAAATTTGAACTCCTGGGCCTTTCCCAGCCTTTTACCTATGTAGTTTTCCACGGATAAGAAACCCCATCATCCTTTCGTACCCAGATCTTCGTCTTTCTTTTATTGACCACATGCTCAACAAACACCTCACGTGCGTACTTGGCCTTGAACTTCCTGATCCAACGCGGATCCCATAGTTCACTGGCGATACCTAGGTCTTTGCAACAGCGCATGAGCGCATTTGAACGGCAACCCTCTGTGGCAGTAGCAATTCCATCTACCGAGAAGTAAGCTTGCTCGCCGCGAGCGATAGAGACTAGTCTAGATGGAATTTTATCAGTCAAAAGACGTTGGAATGCGTATATGAATAATAAATGCTTACCGCCCATGACAAATAAGTGCATATTCTCTTGTTACGGCTTTCGGTGTAACAATGCTTTCGCCACGAGGGGCAAGACCCCATCCGCCTGGACCGAAAGCCCGGTTCAGAATACGGCGGTACTTGATCTCGGGCAGGTAGATGATGCCGTCGGGCTTGACTTCCACATCTTCAGCCACGACATCTGCGAGGAGAACGTCGGCTATTTCTTTCGAGAAAGGCTCGGTTGAGAGTCCATGGAAGGAATGGGACCAGTTGATCTTATCCTCTGTGGATGATTCGAGATCGAGAGGCTTATCATCAAGCCCTGACTTGGAGATGTCTTCTGTTGTTTGCTTAGATGTGGGTTTGATAGTAGAAGTAGAGGTAGATGTAGAAAGTGTAGGATTTGACTGTTTCGGTGAATACGCTGATCTGGATGTAGCTGAGGTGGGAGTTGTGTTTGAGGTTTGAGGACGCGTTGAGCTGTAGCTGATTCCGCGCTTTTCAAGGGTATGCTGGGGCGAGATTATTCTTGTACGCGGAGCTTGCAGAGTTGTTGTTCCATGGCGCAAACTACCAATCAATCGCGTCTGGCGACAACGTAGGGCAGACATGATGGGCTCGGAAGAATTGGAAGAGCTGGAAGCTGGTTTTCCGGGGTTTCATTACATGACTCGGATATGATATCACGTGATTCAATATTTGAAGTTGGGACTTGATATGTACAGTATTCATGGATGAAGAGGGACAGTAGAGTAATTGTTATACATGAGAGTTGCGAGTGATAGTAATAATACAGGCTTACAAGCCCTGGGGCCACTTATTGCTGGTTTGCAGGTGCATCCTTCGTCTCTGTCCGCTGGTCGTTGCCCTGGCGTTTCCAGCACTCGCGAAAAGCTTCCATCTAGAGAAAATGTCAGCGATGTTGATGAATGTAGGCTGAGAGATAAATTGTAGAATTGAGAAATCAAAAACAGCTTTTCATCTGCTCTTCGACATCAGTCACCAGAAACCAAATCAACTAACCTCTATCTTGCACGCGCGCCAGTCTTTCTTTGCAAAGTAGCAATCATTCATCTTGTCTTGCTCAGCTACTTTTTGTTAATATCATGGGATAGTTCAACCTTTATGACACTCACCATGACACCCGGTGCTGAAGATGCGCTTGTTCCTACGAAAAATGTCAATATCGGATAGCATGATAATTGAAAGCAGTATATTTACCAGTCATCTGGTTCATCATCATCATCATCATCTGGGGCCGAATGAGCTTGATCTGCGTTGTTCGACATAGTTAAAATAATTGACAAAGAGTAGTTGGAATCTGAAGCTTGGCCTCGGCAGGTCTATCGTCTATCCATATCTTATCGAGCCCACAACACCATCTTCCATCAACAATGGCTACACCAACAGGCAACGATGCCAATATCACGGGCAAGAAGCTCAATGTTTTAGTCTATTCCGGTTCGCTCACCAAATCTGACTGGCTTCTCTGCCGTTCTCTGACCGACAAACCATTCTCAGGAAACGGAACCACTGTAGACTCGGTCCGCCATTGTATCTACACCATGCGCCGCCTGCTCGCCCCACGCTATGCCGTCACACCGGTTACGGGCGAAATGCTCCTCCACGAGCCGTGGACCGCTACATGTGCCTTGTTGGTGATCCCCGGCGGCGCTGATCTGGGCTATGCCCGCACACTCAATGGTGCGGGCAACAGGCGTATCACGCAGTTTGTTCGCCGTGGCGGGAAATTCTTGGGATTCTGCGCCGGTGGCTATTACGGAAGCAAGCGATGCGAATTTGAGGTCGGTGACAAAACAATGGAGGTTATTGGGGATCGAGAATTGGCCTTCTACCCTGGAACATGTCGCGGTTGCACGTTTCCAGGTTTCATCTACCACAGCGAGGCAGGTGCGCGGGCGGCGGCATTGGATGTTTCCAAGGATACCTTAAGCATTGGGACTGTGCCTACTCAATTCAACTCATACTATAATGGCGGCGGTGTCTTTGTTGATGCGCCTAAGTTTAAGGGTCAAGGGGTCGAGGTTCTTGCTAACTACGCTGAGAAACTCAATGTTGATCCTGGGGAGGGGCAGGCAGCTGTTGTCTACTGCAAAGTTGGCGATGGCGCGGCTGTTCTGACGGGACCACACCCGGAGTATGTGGAACATCGTAAATCATGAACAAATAGTTGCTAACCCTGCTCTAGGTTTGCAGCTGCCAATCTCGACCCGAAGGCTAGACCTGATTTCGCGGAAGTGATAGATGTCCTAGCTGCAGACGACAAAGCACGGACAGACTTTTTGAAGGCCTGCCTTTCCAAACTTGGTCTACAGGTGACTGATGAAACAACGACCGTTCCCTCGCTGTCCTCTTTGCACATTTCTGCTCTTAATCCTGAGAATGCATTGGAGATATTGTCCCTTCTTGGACCAGTTCTGACGGAAGAAAACAACACCGAATATTTAAAGGCCGAAAATGACACGTTCCGGATCGAGAGACCAGGTACCTGGAACTTAGGTGATTTAGAGGAATCATTGCCAGACAACGGTATCATTGACCACCAAACTGTTATAAAGAGACTTGTATTCCACGATGATCTCCCGTCTTCGAAGCTAACTCCATACTTCAACCATCATTCTTTCTTTGCCAATCTTCGCCAGTATCAGTCCGAGTCTAGAGAAGGTGCATCGCAGTATGGCTCTAACCTGATGTACGCCGAAGTCATAACGAGCACCAATACAATTCTTGAAAAGTAGGTGCATCCTCATTGGATTTACCAACACTATTCCTAACGCATCACAGAAACACGAAGCTACTTTCTCGGCTTCCAAACGGCTTTGTTGCGACAGCAACTGTTCAAATCGCCGGTCGTGGCCGAGGGTCAAACGTCTGGATCTCACCAGCGGGCTCCCTGATATTCTCAACTGTAGTACATCATCCAATTGAGAAGATTCAGTCGGCACCCGTAGTGTTCATCCAGTACCTAGCAGCCATGGCTGTAGTGAAGGGTATTCGAAGCTATGCCAAAGGATATGACAAGGTTCCAGTCAAGATGAAGTGGCCAAACGATATTTGTAAGTGCACATATCAAATCCTTGACCCCATCTCCTCCTATTGACAATACCCTTCGCAGATGCTCTGGATCCAACAGACCCTGAGCAGAAGAAGTATACCAAGATTTGCGGTATCCTGGTCAACTCCCATTACATGTCGAATCAATATATCTCTGTCGTGGGAATCGGCCTCAACGCTACAAATGCCTCACCCACAACAGCAATTACAGCTCTAGCAGCGCGCTACGCCCCTGCCGGTGCAGCTGCATCTCCAGTAACGCTTGAGAAGCTGCTAGCACGCATTCTGACCACATTCGAAGAATTGTACACACGATTTTTGCGTACTGGTTTTGACCGTGGCTTGGAGGCAGTATACTATGAAGATTGGCTGCATATGCACCAGATCGTTACCCTCGAAGAAGAAGGCGGTGCCCGCGCTCGTATCCAGGGTATCACGCGGGATTATGGTCTGCTGCTTGCTGAAGAGCTTGGACCTGCAGATCGGCCGACTGGGCGTATTTGGGAGTTGCAGAGCGATAGCAATAGCTTTGATTTCTTCCGTGGATTGGTGAAGCGGAAGGTCTAGAGGAAAAATCTCAAGCTATACACGTGGGATTTATGGCAAATATGGTATCTAATTTTTTCAAATTCAACTACGCAAAAATGAGACCTTGAAAACAAGTTGAATATCTTTTAAGTCCTAGAATTCGATTGTTTAATTCGACATGTAAATCATATTAGTTCTCATAGCCTAAGACCTAAATTAACATGAACCGCCTTGGTCTGTGAATAAGCTTCCAGACCAGCTTCACCGAGTTCACGCCCAATACCACTCTGCTTAACACCACCGAATGGCACCCGGAAATCACAGTCCTGGCTACTGTTGATCCATACCATACCAGTTTCAATCTCAGACGCAACACGATGGCCCCGCTCAATATCTCTGGTGAACACAGCCGCGCCGAGACCATATTCAGAATCATTGGCGCGACGGATCGCCTCTTCCTCTGTGTCAAAAGGCATAATAACAACCAGCGGACCAAAAACTTCCTCGCGCACAATCCGCATGTTATCTGTCACATCAACTATCACCGTGGGCTGGACAAAGTATCCATCCTTGTTCTTGGGGTTACTGGAGATGTGTGCAGCGCCGCCAGTCAGAATAGTGGCACCCTCGCTCTTGGCCATCTCGACATATGCGAGGATGCGTTCTTGCTGTGCGCGGGTAACTTGCGGGCCCTGGAACACTTCATCATCCCACTGGTCGCCAATCTTCGCAGCCTCCGTCGTGGCCTTGAATTGAGTCAAGAATATATCATAGACTTCTCTGTGGACCAATATCCGCGAGGTAGCAGTGCAAATCTGGCCCTGGTTAGACATAATTCCACCATGCGACCACTTGATCGCCTGATCCATATCCGCGTCGGGGAACACGAGTAGTGGGGATTTGCCGCCGGTCTCTAGCGTGATATTTTTCAAAGTTTCTGCTGCCACTTTCATGATCTCCCGTGCTGTGCTAGTGGATCCAGTGAAGGCAACTTTATCAATAAAGGGGTGCGCAGCTAGTGCGGCGCCGGCGTCCCGACCATATCCATTAACGATATTGATAACACCGGAAGGGAATCCGGCCTCAACGATCAGCTTACCAAGGACTAGGGCACTCAATGGGGTTTGCTCGGCTGGCTTAAGAACAACCGTATTTCCACAGGCTAATGCAGGTCCCAGTTTCCAGGTTGCCATGGACAGAGGGTAATTCCATGGGATGATCTGACCGACTACACCGATGGGCTGACGAATCGTATATGCGAGCTTTTGATGTGTGGTACTGATTGTCTGCCCGCCGATCTTGTCGGCCCAGCCGCTGTAGTAGCGAATAGTACCAATAGCTTCGGGAAGATCATCTGTCATAGCGACATTGTAGGGTTTGCCTGGATTTGAGTTAGTTTGATGCACACTTTCATTAGGACGTAGGAACAGCGGGTCTGCATCATGCATCAGGTATCAAATACGGACCATTATCCCAAGCATCTATAGATGCAAAGAGTTCCTTATTTTGCTCGAGCAGATCGGCTAGTTTGGCCATCATCTGACCCCTATCAGTTGGGGCTAATAGCTTCCATGATGGGTGGTTTAGAGCGGCCTTAGCTGCCTCTACGGCACGATTCACATCTTCAACGCCGGCTGCATGGACTGTAGCAATTGGTTTATCTGTTCTGTTAAGGATGAGAGGCTAATTTCATACACTAAGAGAAGGATTCGAAGCTCACGCGGGGTCGAGGGTAACGATGGTCTGGCCTGAAGACGGCACGAATTCATTGTTGATAAATAACCCTGTTGGTTGAGTGTACTTGTGGCCATTTGGCGTGACGAGCTCGATAGAGGTAGCCATAATATTTCTCTCCAACTTTGGGAAAGTGAATAAATGCAGTGCCAGACAGAAAGATAAATGGAGGTTGTTAGGTGTGACTGTCCCTTTAAGGAAGGTCTATCCGAAAATTTGAAGTGGGGGAGATAACCAGAATTATATCTGTATTTTCTTCTAGTCTACTAAATGAAAACTCTAAATTAGAACTACGAGGTAGTTTTAGATATTTAGTGTTTTCTTTCAATCTATCATTGTTATTGATCTTATCTACTAATAATACTTTCTGCACGTAGACCAGACTTCTAGACTTCCTGTCAGCCTGAGGCAGTTTTTTGTGCCTATGTCTTGTTATTCATATTTTAGTTTCCGAGAGATTCCGTTGACTTAGAATCAATCAATCATTCATGTATATCTAATCTAATTGGGTATCCAAACCTCTCAAAGTTGACACTTCCATCTTATACCTCCGAACGCCTACGTTGAAAATCTATCAGATCAATTGCATCCATAGACCCTAACCTACAATACAGAGATATATACTGAAAAGAAGTAATAACAAGAAATCTCCGGCGGATGACGATGTTTCCAAGGTTCATCTCTCAAGCCCATTGACACCGCAAGTAACACCAAGGAACAACCATCGCACCATCAAATGGAACCTTTATCTAACTCATATCTTCCAAGGAATATCCCTCGATCGCATCCTGAAATCCCCTCCCTTCATCGTACACTCATACTCCTCCCAGTGCCCTGAATAAAGTGCATAAACCCCTTCTCTTCATAGTATGTCGCTGATGGAGTAGATGAGGAAGTTTGATGGGGGATGATATTCCGATACCAGATTCTTTGCCTGGGGCTGAATAAGTGGGTGAGATGGGTGAGGTTTCGGAATTACAGCCTAGGTATACTCCTGGGAGCAAGACTCATTCTATGCAATCTGTGAGAAGGGTTAGGAGTATATTTCAAGCGTTCTGAATAGATAATTATTAATTTGAATGGATGGAGAGGTCCAATTTCTTAAAATCAATAGTTAACCTTCTTCAATCCTATTAAGCTTTCATACTCTATCGGAGATTGAGTTTGGCCACATGACCAGCGGGTCCGTATATTATTACTTTTCTATTTGGACTTCGATATAGTCGCCAAATAGCCATATAGCAACCAATGTACTACTACAATGTGTTTAGGCAGATAATGCCCATGTGGATCTCTGTCTTGGTATCTTCCGTGAGTGTTACCTGGGTACCTATGTACTGAGCCCAGAATACTACTCTGTAAGTGTTGTTTAACTTACCTAGTTTACCTAGTACCTAGGTAGCAATACTTCCGCCGTTTGAAGGCTGTGATTGTGAATTCTCAACTCACAATTCAAGAGAAAAGAAACAACTGGTATTTTGAAATTGGGATATCTCAAATATTATGGTAAATCTACCTCGAGTGCTGTCCGCACAGTAATCGGAGGTTTCTGCACGTTGCAGTTTTATCTGTCCCAACAACCCCTGAAAAGATATGATTCGGTTCCATAACAAACAGTCCCCCCCATCCCCCCACTTCACCTGTCATGGCGTTCCGAGTTCCCGAAATTGAAATCAATCGATTCAATTCGATCTTGTCGATCAGAGGAGAAATTACGGTTGCTAAAGTTGAAACAATGAGGTCCGAGGAATCCCCTTGTTCTTCACTCAAAGCTCGAGATCAATTCAGGCCAACTTCGAAAAGATAAGATGAACCCACTGTTCATTAGCCTAAATTTCGGACGAGAGCCGACGTTCTAGGTGCCAAGTCATGGAGACACGTATCGCGTCTAGAAAAGAACGAGCCAATGGTTCGGATTAATTCTGGAACCTTAGTGGAGTAAAATCCTCCAGGAGTTGAATCGCGGACAAAAGAAACGCGGCACGCTTTCTTAGCGTCTTCCTAGAACGTTATAGTGCTGACCCGCGGACCGAATCGATAGCTTGTCCAAGCTCTTTCCCTTCACATAACCTTTTCGTATACATCTGATTGCTCAAGCATGACATGAGTGTCTTGCATTCTTACCTGCCACCCTAATATATCTCTAAATTATCACATCAAACAACATGGCTGATTCGATCGATGTACATCCGTGGGCTGAGGGAGCAGAAGAATTTAGGGGTCAGCGATTGCTTCCCCATGTTATCGACTATCATGCTCACCATGATCCGGATCGCGTATTTGCCGCAATTCCAAACACGGAGACCATCGTCGATGGTTTCCGCGATGTCACTATGAAGACAATGGCCACTATGATCGACCATATGGCCTGGTGGCTAGACCGGACGCTTAAGGCCTCATCAAAGAGCCAAACGCTGGCCTATATTGGTGCTAGCGATCTCCGATACACAATTGTGTTTTGCGCGGCTATCAAGTGTGGATGGAGAGTAAGTCAAGGTCAATTTCGTAATAGACGGCTCTCTAATACAATGCATACAGACCTTTTTCATTTCGACAGAAAACCCTGTCATCTTGAGTTTGGGGCTCCTGCAACAGGCCGATGTATCAGCTTTGCTACATGCCGATGCCATGCGTTCAACGGCAAAAGCATTGCAAAAGTTCGATCCGTCAATGAAATGTAAACAAGTCCCATCTATGGCGGAGCTGCTCAGATCTGAGTCCGCTCCGTATATATTTGATGGCAAGTTTGCGTGCTTGAAGGATCAACATACTTTGCTATTGCATTCATCTGGTTCCACAGGTGCGAGATTATCCTCTGAGATTCCCCTTTAACCATACTAAATCGTATGCACAGCACCGCCGAAGCTGGTGATGCTCACTCATTCGGCGCTTTCTTGTACTGATAATGATCCGCGAGTGCCTGTACCAGAAGGGCGAAAAGCCCAAAACGCTGCGCAATTCAATTTCAGTCCTCCAGCAAAATTTTACGCCGCTTTCTCACCATACTCTGTAAGATCGCCCGCCATTTTTCTCGTTTAAATCCACATCTTTGACTCACCGCGGACAGATGGCTGGTGCTCACTCCTATATGCTTCTACCTGCATTTTCACAGACTGCTGCAGTAGTATTGGGTCCTTCCAACATGCTACCGAGTGGTGATCTCCTGAGCAGTGTGATGAAACAGCAGGACATTCGGGCCATTTACCTTCCCCCATCCATTATTGAGCAGTGGGCTAAATATTCAACTGCATATGAGCAAGCAAAGAATCTTGACTTCATTTTGTACGGTGGAGGTCCACTTGCGACAGCAGTTGGCGATAAACTCAACAAAATTACGGATGTTTGCCAGACGTTTGGCTCACTGGACATGGGCCACATACAAATGCTCGTGCCCCAGCCTGGAGACTGGGCGTACATCGAGCCCAACCCAATCGAAGAATGCGATATGCAAGAGGTAGATGAGGGTGTATTTGAGATGGTTTTGCATTGTGACGAGAAGTTCCGAGGGCAACGGTCTCTGGAACATAATTACCCAGATGTCACGGAATGGCGGACCAAGGATCTATTCGTTCCTCACCCAGAAAAGCCTGGTCTGTGGCGCTTTCACTCACACACAAACGATATTATCGTTCTCGCTAGCGGTGATAAAGTATGGCCCATCCCCATGGAGTCTACCTTGGTTGGAAATCCCAACATAAATGGGGCTTTGATGGTAGGCAATCACCGGGCTGAAGTACTACTACTTGTCGAGCCAAATCCAGGGCCCCAGGTGGACCGGATGAGCAAGAAGGAGTTTCTGGACTCTATCTGGCCAACTATCGCTTTGGCCAATGCATCTGCGCCTGATTACGGCAAAATTCGGCGATCGCGGATTCTCCTCAGCCAGCCAAATCTACCATTCTTCAAGACTTCTAGGGGGACGATTGCTCGCAAGCCAACAGAGTCTTTATATGCTGAGTGTATTTCTGCGGCCTTTATGGACGGAACTACCGATGAGGAGAGTGAAATTGGAATTCTCGAGAGACATTGGGTGGATGAAGCCAAGAGGTTTATTGGCTCTATTCTTCATGATATTCGCCCGGATGTCCAGTTGAAAGAAACTGATGATTTCTTTGTGGCCAAGGCTATGGACTCTCTCACTGTGCTGGAACTCGGTCAAAAGTTGAGACTGAGCCTTTCAAGTCGCATTGACAAAGAGCAAAATACGATTAACTTTTGGGTACGCACAATCTTTGGGAATCCAACTATCGACAGCCTCGCTAAAGCTACACTGGACGCTTTCTATGTCCACGGGGGCTCGGTTTCAGACTCGCGAGCGTCGTCAAAGAACGTAGAATTCCTCCTGGAAGAGATGATATCCCAGCTGCCTGAGCCGACCAGCAAAGAGCCGTGCCTGCCTTTCCCCACAAAAGAAATCAAGATTGTCCTAATTGGCTCACGTGGACGTGTTGCGCCATTCCTTGTGAAAGACTTGCTTGATAACCCTCGGGTATCTGTCATCAAATGTCTCGATCACTCAGCCCAAGCGGACAGCGAGACATCGCCGTTCCGTACAGATGATATGGGTCTCGATGTCAACTCCAGTGATCCGCGGTTACAGTTCTTCACCGTTGAATTCTCTCAGCCAAACTTAAACCTCTCACATAAGGAGCTGGATGAGATCTTCAGCGACGTCGACGTCATCATTCACAACATGTGGACGTTAAACTTCTCCATATCCCTGATATCCTTCAAGCCAGTCATGCTGCAAGGACTGCTGTCAGTCATTGATATCGCGAACTGCGCCCCATCTCAGCCACGCCTTGTTTTCATTTCAAGCATTACCACTATTGATTCATGGGCTCAAGCAGTATCTCCCAATGTCCCAGTTCCGGAGGAGGTAGTCAATTGTGCTGCTGCTGCAAAGTGGAATGGCTATTCCCAGTCTAAGCACATTGCAGAGAGACTCCTCGCCGCTGCGGGTGCCAAACTCCAAATCCCAATCTCCATCATCAGAATCGGCACGGTTGCAGGTCCTTCCAAGATAACAGAAGAAGTCAAGTGGAAAAGCTGTGATTGGATGCACTCGATTGCTATTCTTTCTAAGGCATGTGGCCTTATCCCCGTGCATACTGATTCCATCGATTGGATTCATGTGGATCAAGCATCGCGAGTTATTGAGGAAATATCGCTGCAAGAAAAGCACGATTACCCAACTGGAACACCCAATGTGCAGCTATACAATTTGATACACCCACAGCCTCTTGATTGGTCCGCTTTTTCAAACGCACTCCAAGGCTGTATATCTTCATCGCAGCAAGTCGGTTTCCAGGAGTGGGTTGACCATCTAGGAAGCCTTCTTCCAAACAATCTAAGCAAAGAGGCAGAGGATGAAAAGATTCGTATCTTACCATTCTTCAAGTCTGTTGCGCAGAGGAACTTGGCGAAGTGTGACTTGCGCAAGAGCAAAGCTGCTAGCCCAACTATGGCAGCGATGGAACCGCTTGATGAGCAGCTGTTGATTCAATGGTGTCAGGATTGGACAGCATAGGTATACCCTAGTACTTACGAGTTAGATGGACTGGTGGATATCTGTGTTATGGTTAGGTATATCTAGGTAGGTATTTAATGATTCCAAGGCTCACAAGTCAGCCTTGGAAGGATGTTGGTATCGCCTAGCTTGTAGTAAATTGTAAGTACCTAGTTACCTAGGTAAATAATAAACTTTGAAAATGTCTACCTGGGTAGACGGGCAGTTTGCTATAAAGCGGTAATATTGTGGCGAGGTAAGAGCATCCCCAGGTGTATTCCCGAGGTCCAAGCCCTGGATGTTGAGCTAATAACGAGAATGAAGAAACATTGGGGGCTAGATTCTCTAAAAGAGACCTCGGGAAAAAGGAGAGAATTCCTTTTCTCCAGCTAACTCTGCCAAGATAGGCCTGACTACCATCTGAACACAGCATTGGAACAGTATGCTAACTTGGGTAATCAGGACTTGTGAATGTTTTGTCCGCGAACCTGGGTAGGTACTATGTTAGAGCGATATCAGTCTAGTAATTGGATGATAGGTGCACGCTACAGCAAGTTTTAAAAGCTGGATACGAATCACTAGTTGACGCAAAATTTTCTGAGATGGCTTGACTAGCCACTTCATGAGCTTAGTGACCTGGTTCTCAAACAAAGGAGTCAGTCAGTGCCCACGAAAGAACCTGGAACCTTGGAAGGTATACTTACTCTCGAAAAGATTATAGATTAGATTGAGCCTTGTCTTGAATAGAAGGTAGATAGTGAGGTCAGCTTAACCACCTATAGATATTGACAGACTGTTTAAGATCTCCTAATGCATTTATACCCCTGGAGCTGCCATACCCTGAACACGTCTATAAACCTACCTAGGTAGTTAAATTGGGGTTCACAAGAATCCAAGTACACGATCGTGGGGCGTTTACTAAGATCTACCCCGCTAATTTTCAATGATTCTATGTAAATTAGTTCAGCCCCTTGGATTCCGAGGAATTTGAGGGTCCCGCCGAAGTAAGTGAGTGGAACAAATTTCAACTGTGCAAATCGATACCTAGATATTGTTGAAGACCAGTCTACCTAGCGAATATGGTAGATAAAGTGGTATGTAAAAAACATCAGATCTTGGTTGTATTGCCCTAACCTCAAATCTTCATCTAAGCTTTGAAGCGGCACCACATGATATAGCGACGGCTTCAAAGTTCACCCTCTCAGAAAGTATCAACTACATGGATTTCCTTGTCAATTGTATTCTTCCAAGATTCTGCCCCCACAATGGCGCCTTGAGTACTTCGTACTGCGACGGCTGCCTTCTTAGTTCGGTCCGCGTGTGTATCTGAGTCGCGACGATTGGGTGTAGACATGTCATTCACTGGTGAAACATAGCGGTTAATTCCGTTTCAGCCAGTAATCCTGATATCTCCCGGGTGGAATATGATATTGCGGATAGTCAATTGATGGAAAGATATGCTCAACAGTTTATTTACCTCTGCATAATTTATTAAGCGGACTGACGTTCAATTTAAAAAGCTTGAGTTTGATATCTTTTGTCGTGATCTTCCATGATACCTTAAGTACTTAGTGAGATCGGTTGGGGTTCATCTCTAAGTTTTGGCATGGGGCCATTGAGACCCTGAGCTGGGGCCATGTGTATGGAGTATCTTTCAGTGGTACATAGATCTCATCTGTTACTCCGTATCTATTATGCGTCCAATCCATATTTTTGGAAGATATAGAAATTAAGATCTTCTGCCAAGAGTTCCAGTGTTCTTCGAGATCGAACATGCTGAATATTATATAGCAAATGCCGAATTAACCACTTCGTACTCTTAGATCTATACTTCTGCCAAATTGACTTGGCGTTTCCCGTGTTTCAAAGACTTTAGGGCTGACGTGTTCCATACCAGAACTAGTACATCGTTGTACCAGCTTCATGCTTTCCATGGTTCAACCTCGATATGCCCGAGGTTTAAGCCACATTACCGCGTATTTTGATCTGTTTATAGCATCTTCGTGGGTATTCGTGGCTATGCCCCGCACATGATGCAAAGTGTAGTATATGTATCTACTTAGGCAGCAGCTTTTTTGGGCTAGACTAGACTTTGGGGCGTGTGTCACTGTGCAGGTAGTTCTGTACTGAGACGTCAGAGTGTACATTTTAAATAGTCTGTGCCGTGTCCAGATTAGAATGAAACTCAGTAACAATTTTCATTTCGATCCTCCGCCGTTAAATCTCCCCATTTCATCCCGCCGATCCTTCTCTCACATCTTAAAAAGCCTTCCCCGCCCCGGTACTTAGTCTTTTTCAAAATCAAACCTCTCTCATACATCAACCATGTTCAACTTCAACCTTTTCAAGTCTTCCTCCTCTCAGGAGGCTGAGCCTACTCAAGCTGTCGGTTGGAACTCAAACGCCTTCTCCATGCAGCAGCCCTCCAGCCCTGCTGCCCCCTCCACTAACAAGAACGTTGTTGATGAGCAGCCTGTCAGTTTACCCTATCCATGATATTGTTTCAACCTCTTGAAGAACCTGAAGCTAATAGTAGCTCAGTCTGGCCAGGAGCAAATGCAACTGCGTGGAGGTGGTGGCGGCGGTCTCTGCTGCGGTCTCTGCGCTGGTCTTGCATGCTTCGAATGCTGCGAGATCTGCTGCTAGACAACCCATCGCCGTCCATGCTTTCGTTACTCTTCGAACCGGTCTTGATATGTTGGCCTGATAGCGGAATGAGAACTTGCTTATGATTATATTTGGGATCTTTTGGCTTTTATTTTGGTTTTTCAACTTCTGTACGCGATATACCCAATGACAATAACTTATGATAAATGTTTCTCGCCTCGTGTATCTCTATAAACTCAACTTCCCCCCCCCCCCCCCCACCTAAATATGTAGGCACTTGAATAGGTATCGATTGTATTTCTGGAGGTTTCATTTCCCCATACAAAGTGGGCCTCCTGATAGGCCTGTGGAGGCATGGTTTTTGGACTTGGTCAAAATCAAATATCGTTCCACTTCCGCCAACTAGTCAGAGATATCGAAAACAGGCGCAAATCGTCGTTTCCCGTGTCCATAGTGACATTTATCTAGTTACCTTTGAACTTCACCTAGTCAGGTACTGATATTGACCACTAGTGGATTCCATTGTTATTGATATTCTTAAAAATTAAGCATTCCGATACGAGGATCCATTCGCTCACATCGACTGGATATTCCATCATGATTGGAAATCTCCAGTGTCCCTACGAAAAACCAAAAACCATGCCGGTCCGATCGAAGTGCAGGAAAGCTTCTGGAACAAGCCATAGAAAAGCGGCAAAAGCTCTCATTCAGACTCAATAGGTGAAGACGATGTGCGCTTTTCTCAATTTTGTAAGGCGTGCCCCGACTTGACCTGTGAGAGGCTCGATATGACACCCAGGGTTGTACGCTTGCCTCCAAGGCTGACTCTGTACCTTATGCTCCCGACTTTTCATTCTCTTTTCGTACCACCTTACAGCGTTTTGACCTGCTCATATGCATAATTTCATCATATCAAAATGGCCGATTCAATGCTGGTATCGTAAGGCAGCCCATATAGTGCATGTCAACGTTTCTCATAGCTGTCACACGAGCACGAACCAATCGTATAAACTCCCTCAATTTGTGATTTTTAGGGTGAGGGGTGTCAACTCCGATGTTATCAATTTAATATAGATGTCATTGGGGAGACAGTGATTGACTACGAAGTCAACCCGACAAACGCATTCTTTCCTCATCTGTTGGATATTATTTGAAGAAGAACTTCTCGATGAACGTAGCGACTGGATTTGAGCCTCGGTTATGCACTGGCAATCCTGCAGCCACGTTATACATGAGCCCAATCAAGAATCAATCCATTTATGCTGCACAAAAAATCCTGAATAGCCACGAACCCACATGTGTATACGGAGTACTTCTCCGGTAGTTATCAACGAGGCAGTTAATCTATAGACCCGTAAAAGGCCGCGATTCACAATTCGCCGTCTCGTATGTCCAGCATTGAATCTGCCGATCTGTGGACTGTTTCTTGGAAATGATTCTTCAATTTTCCCTGATTCCTTCCAGAGCTCGAATATATGTCATAATTTGGCTTTGATCGTCTTTCAAGGGGTTCAGTGTTTTCCGTGTGGAGACAAGAATGTGGATCCGTATATTATTATTATTTCCAGTCGGTCAACTCCGGTCCGGGCAAAATAACGGTACTCTTCACTGATTCAGTCAATTGTCCGATGAGGTATTCATCGGTGTTGATATTGTAAAGGGACCGAAGTCCGACGATAGAATCGAAGACGACCTCAGTTCTTGTCTTCATTGGCTCACAAGTAACATTCAGTCGGGTCCCATATGCCAAAAATGACCCCTCGCTTTTCGGCCAGACCGATATTGAATTATTGTGGCAACTTAATATAAGAGGGCTGGCCCTGCCGTTGTTTTTGTCATTTCACAATCCGACCATGTCTGTGACACTTATCCTAGGCTTTGCTGCTGCGACGGTGTTCGTACAAGTCGTTCGCCTTGTGCTCACATCATGGCAACGTTCGCAAAAGGCCCGGAGCCTGGGCTGTGCCAGTCCACCACATTATCCCGGTAACGGCATTATTGGATATGATAATTTCAAAGCTTCAATCAGGGCCGACAAAGCGAAGACTATCCCGAACCTGTGGGAGGAACGATTAAGGACGGTGTCTGAGAAGGAAAACCGCTTTGTAACGACTTTGGTCACCCGCAACCTTGGTCGCAAACACCTCTTCACCACAGACCCTAAGAACATTCAGGCTGTTTTGGCTACTCAATTCAAGGATTTTGAAATGGGTTCTGTTCGTGCTTCTAATATACACCATCTTCTCGGTACCGGAGTTGTAAGCTTTATCTTCATGGTCGCATGCAAAAGAATATATAACGTTATTAACAAGACTATCAGTTCACTGCCGATGGTGAGGATTGGAGTCGTTCGCGCGCATTGCTGCGACCACAATTTACTCGGGATCAGATCAGTCAACTTGAATTGGAAGAAACACATTTCCAGAACGCCATGCAGGTTCTCCCGGTGGCTGCGAATGGATGGACCGACGTAAAGGACATTCAGACCATTTTCTTCCGACTGACTATGGACTCTGCCACGGAATTTTTGCTTGGTGAGAGTGTCGATAGCCAGCTAGAGGCGCTGAAAACTACCGGGGTCACTGAGAAAGGATTTGCCTATCACTTTGATCGCGCGCAGTGGGTTTGCGCCCAGCGTCTTCGCTTCGAGAAACTCGGATTCTTGGTGACATCCAAGGAGACAAAGGAATCGGACAAGGCGGTTCATGATTTCGTCGACAAATTCGTGCTCAAGGCTCTTAACCAGGCGAAGAACAAAAAGCCCGCTGATGAAGAGAAGGCTAAGTATGTCTTTATCGATGCCCTAGCTGCTGCCACTCAAGATCCCATCGAGCTGCGCTCGCAGTCACTGAACATCCTGCTGGCTGGCCGTGATACTACCGCTTCGTTGCTCAGCTGGACTATTCTTATGTTGGCCCGTCAACCCGAGGTATTCCGCAAACTCCGCGAGAGTATCATTGACACGTTCGGCACGTACTCCTCTCCGCAGAACCTGACCTTTGCCGCTCTCAAATCGTGCCAGTATCTCCAGTACTGCATGAACGAATCTCTCCGTCTCTTCCCCGTCGTTCCAGTTAACAGACGCGATGCCTCACGCGATACCACCCTCCCTCGTGGCGGTGGTCCGGACGGCGAGTCTCCAATTTTCCTCAAGAAGGGCCAGTCTCTTATTTATAGCACTCACTGTATGCATCGCCGCGAGGATATCTGGGGCGCAGACGCTGCCTTTTATAAGCCTGATCGCTGGTTCAACCGAAAGGTTGGCTGGGAGTATATTCCCTTCAACGGCGGTCCGCGTATTTGCATCGGTCAGCAGTTCGCCCTCACTGAAGCCGGATATGTTCTCGTTCGTCTGCTCCAGCGCTTCGACAAGATCGAGGATGTAAATCCCGACAGGGAGATTCGTTGGAGGTTGACTCTGACTAGCTGTCCGGCCGATCTGGTGACCGTTCGCCTGCATCAGGCTGACGACGCCTAGTGCGTTATTTCTGAGGATTTCTTCCAAAATTGGATGTATTATGATATTTTGAGGACATATTGTGACTTTTTAGCATACTTTTAGACTGGGCTGGGTTGTCTCTTTTGTACGTAAACCTTGCGTTTTGCATTTTTGTATTTTTCTACGTTATAATAATTGATGAGCTTGCCTAATGAATAGTTATAGGGTCTGCCCATAAATTGAGAAACAAAAAACTACCTAGGTGTACCTAGGTATAAGATAGGTCCAGAAGACAAGAAATGAAGTAAAATTACAATTGAACTCTCCAGTAAAGACAGGAGAACATATCACCAATCCATTCCAAGAGTCCCAAGTTCCATCACATACTCTACTCCGATGCCGAAACACACTGAGAGTAGTAAGGGTTCTGGACCTTGCAGATATACGGACTCTCGCAGGTGGTCGGGCCAGAGTAGTTGGTTCCACCACACTGGTTATAATGGGTAGCAAGGCCACTGCTTGACGTTGTGGTTGTGGAGCAGGCGACTGGCTGGGTTGAGGTTGCCTTAACAAATGTTGAGATGGACGTGAAGGCGGCTGAGAGACTGGAAGGTGTTCCAACTGAGGTGCTGGCGGAAGTCTTCACTTCAGTCGGGGCACTACCCGATACCTGAAGTTTAGTGATTGGGGTAGTAGTAACTTCTGCGGTAGTAGAGGTAGTAGAGGTAGTAGAAGAGGCCGGGGTGGAAGAGGTAGAGGAAGAGGAAACAGTTGTTTCCTGGGCCGATGTGGTAGTAGCAGCCTTCACAACAGCAGCAGCAGAGGTAGTGCTGGTGCTGGTGCTAGTGCTGGAGCTAGAATCGTCCACGAAATACTTCTCCAATATGGGAAGGTAAGTCGAGTAAGCCGGGCCATCAGTCGGTTCGATACTATACATATAGGTCCCCCACCAGGGACCAGCAGACCACCAGGAGGCGCCCGTCCAGACGTCACTATTCTCCGACAAATAAGCCAGCATGCCCTCAACGGCAGTCTCGCAAACGGAGTTAACGCCGCCGGCAAATTCACCAATAAAGCCCTGCTTGCCGTTGGTCTTCAACCACTCCGTGGCCGACTCTAAACGCTCTTCACCGATAGTGCTGCTGACGCAAGACTCTGAGGTACCAGAGCTGTCGGAGTCGAGGTACTGGTGCATCTCGTAAACGATCTTGTCCTCGGGGTCTGTGAGGTCTTTCAGGTTGTCGTTGGTGGTGCTCCATGACCACGCGCCACTGTAAGCGTTGCCCTCGACGAAGATGTACTGTGTCGTAGCGCCGGCTGCACGGATACCATCGATAGCTGCCTGGTTCAGCTCCAAGACAAGGGACTGCTCCATGTCGTGGTACTCGTTGTCTGTTCATCTTAGTGTCTGGTCGATGTTGAAGACAAAATATAAGCTTACTGGTATCGAAAATGACCTTCTCGTTGGAAGCAAACTCTGCAGCGACAGTCTTCCAGAAGGTCTCAAAGTCAGAGGTTGAGGTGATGATACTTCCAGAGCTAGAGGCAGTTAGTCATAGTGTTCGATATGCAACATGCCACATATAAGGCAGATCCTTACTATCTTCCATAGTTATGAGGGTCGATAAGCGCATGAGCGCCACCGTCGGTGATGAATTCGACGGTCTATATGTAGAGGGCCACATTAGATCATATGACAAAGAATAATGCTTTGTATATCAGCTACTCACCGACTTCAGATCAGCTAGATAGGTGGCATCTAGAGTTCCAGTAATGCCGTTGGGCGCAAGGCGCTCCATTAGGAATGGAATACGGAAGAAGTTCATGCCAGCATCACGCAGCACCTGGATCTTGGAAGTAGTTGGCCAGATGTAGTCAGTATTTAGGGTTCCTGGGATGTTGGAACCAAACTCCGCACCGGATTCACTGGTACCAACCCCTAATGGATATTCTAAGGTTAGTAAAATGGAGCTATAAGTTCCGTCATGTCGAGAAACATACAGGTAAGCCCGGAAGCACGCTTCTTGATGCTTTGCTTTCCAGGAATGACGTCTCGACTACGAGGATAAGCAGAGGCCAGACCAGCCACGCTGGCCGCCATAATGAGGTTACTGATTCTCATCTTGGTAAAAGTAGTTTGAAAGAAAGGAATGAGTGTTGAGCTTGTCAAAAGCAGGAAAAGAAGAAAAGAGTGGAAGACCAAGAAACCAGCCTTGATCGAAGATGAAAAGAATGTTTGCTGTAGTAAAGAAATAAGTCCGGGACTGCCAGACCCTTTATGTAGTTCAACAAAACTGTCTACTTAGTATTTGGATTAGTCCAATAGTCTATGTCTGGTACATGGCTGCTGCAAGTGGCAGGTGGAGCGTGTCTCTCAATACAATGGCCTCAGCCTGTCAGAAGTCGAATTAAAGTGAAGCTCGCTCTGACAGGAAGCTTTCTATATTGCAATGGAGACGCTACATCGGTTTCATATCCAGAGTTGGTAAGCGCCGGTGATATGAGACGACACTGGCATGAGATGCCTCTGAGGCAAGCATGTTCTGGCCACAACTTCATCAAAATTAATTGCACGATTTTAATTAAAACAGGAACTGAGCAAGCTGGACTCTGACAGAGTGGGGAAGTTCAGCATCAAGACCCACAGGGTTCGCGGGGACTAGGGTAAGCATCAAGCGAGATTAGGTATTGTGTCTCAGGATCAAGCCTTGCCAATTTTGGTATCGCATCCGAAGTATCAAGTACCATGTAAATGAAGACCTCTTAAGATGAAACAGATAGCGTAGTTCCTGCCGGAGTATAGGTTCTCAGGCTATGAAATTATGCACGAGTCATGCCATAGAAGAAGTTTAATTGCCTGACCCTCCTTTATCTCGATTATAAAGAGTAGACTCGACAAGCATTCATAATTAGTGCGGCGTTAAAATGTTGATGTATTTCAACCCCATTTTCATTGATACTTCTGTGGCGTTTTACTAACCTACTCAGGCAGAATTTAATGAATTACGCGCCCTTGATGGAGCTCTACAAATTATTTCAAGGTTTTATTATCATAGAGGGAATATTTACGCCCTCTTAGATGAACATCCTTGCCCAAGCCCTGGAGAATCATCGGAAATTCTATTCCTGTGCATAGTAGTTATGGTGGATCTTTAGGGCTAGCCATCCAGGGCTTATTACATTCTGAGTTAGACATGGATCACATACCACAACATAAGCTCTATGGAGAGGAACATCGACCTGAAAAAAATAAAACAGAGAGAAGATGAACAAAAGTATCAAGAGAGGTAATACTCACAGGTATACCTTGGTGTTTGAGCTTTACGAGCTACCTACTCTCGAAGTTATGGATATAGGCAACCGGACCTAGATAATGAATTTTATTTAGATATCAATGCTCCTAGCGGTCAATTTGAGAAACTACCTCAAGAAAGCATGGTTTATCTGGAATCCTGAAGTAGATTATATCGACCCTTTTTCCCCAGTGAAGTGTGGATGATCTATAAAAGTTCGAGACCTAGACAGTACTCAGGTAGAAGATGAGCCGAGGTCGTATAGAGATCACCTTAGATTTTTTATTTTTATTAGAGAAGACCAGTTGATAAGATAATGCTAGTTCCTAATAGCTAAAATAAAACTGAAAATGTATGGTTTTGAATATGGATATGTGAAAGAGATAGGTGGGCTTCATTTTTGGACTATAAGGTTAGTCAACTCATTGCACCTGGGCAACAAGTTGTTCAATGTTGAGCAGTAACTCATGGTTTCTATTTCTTCTAGATATCTTTTTCTACTCTTTCAATAGGTCAACTAGAAGTATGCATAGTACAAATGACAATGACGTCTACCTAGGTAGCTCTTACCCCTCAGAGGCTCTGGGCACTGGGGTTAACGGATCAATGCAAGTAAACACCGATCTGACTACCGAGGAACCAGGATGATGATTCCCGATCATCTCCGATCGCCAGTCGGAGGAATTTGAAGCAGAGAACATTCAATGCATGAGAAAGTTCTGCAAGGCGTGGCAGGAATCGGACGATCTGAAATATGTATCCCTTCGATGTACGGAGTACTTTATCCCTACATAGTATCTATCTGGTAGGTATCTAGGTAAGTAGAATTAATTGAATCTTAACAAGGGATCTTCTATACATGAATCACCTCTCAATACAAAAGATACCAAACAAGTCGACTGTTGATGACTCTTTTATAGATACTCGTCGACCAAAATAGGTAAAGTACACCTGAGCATCTTTTACTATATCAACCACACGAACCCTTCCAAGGTTTGTTCTGATTGCCGACATTCAATATTATCTGATCAGAAGTGAATGGGAACTGTAATAATGAAAGACAATACTTTTATTCTTGCCACCGAACTTCCTCAGTATGTAACATCTTACAGCTCTAGTATTAGATAGAAGAATAGTATCATAAGAACAGCAAAAACAATTCAAAATCTTAGAACATTAGAATCCCAATAGTTTGACAATAAATACCATACCTAGCTGGGTACTGACGTAATCCAAGTTATTGTACTTGCCTCAAAACAATAGTATCAAAATGGAATGGTCGAAGTGAAGTGTCAACGCCTTAACGAGACTTAGTAATTTAGTCCCCACCGAAATTTTCTCCCACATCCATCCGCGTTTAATCATAACCAACTCTTTTGGACCTCACGCTGCTTTCTTTTGCTGCGTTGCTGGTCATCATTCCTATTTGGATTTGACATTCCCTTTTGTCATTCTTCCTTGATTCCCGTGTCAAGATTTCAGGTTCTGGATTGCGGCTCTCGCCTTTTCCACACCTTGACATCACCGTCACTCTCTCTCGAGAAAAAAAAAAAATTCACTTCGCGTCCAACGTGAACACAACCTGTCTAATGACCTCGATCCCATCTCAGTCGGGCGTTCAACAAGGACAGAGCACCGCTACTACCGCTTCCTCCCAGCCCTCTTCAACCCCCTTGGCCACTCAGCCAGTTAAGTCCTACGCCAACGCCACGAAGAAATCCGCGGACTCACCCGCGACCGTCACTGTGGGTGGCTCAGCGCAACATGGGAAGTCGAGTTCGGTCTCTCCTGTGAACGGCAAACCCATGCAAAACCAACAGGCATCGGGGGTGACCATCGTCAATGGTGCCCCGACTGCTCCTGCCCAGGACCACTCTCGCAAGCCTTCTGTGACCATCACATCTGCTGGTACCTCTGGATACATGCCCAACGGTGGACCTGCTAGCCGGCCCAACAGCATTCAGTTCGGTTTCACCAACCCGCAGAGCTCACCCAACATGGGTAATCCTGCTGTTCTCTCCAACCAGTCGCAGTCCAACCTGGGTGCTCCCTCGGGCAACCCGAGAATCACTTCTCCTCAGACCTCGCCTTCCCCCATTCCACAACCCGCATCAAGCGGCGGTCGCCCACCCTCAACTTACCAGGCACAAGGAAACGTCCCGAACTTTGGAAGCTTCGGTGAAACCGGTGAAAATAACGTATGTCCCACATCCTTTGGTTTTTTCGATACATACGGATCCTTCATTGTTGATATGCGCGAAGACGCGACCGCGCAACAACTCCTTCTCCAACGTCCCCATTTTAATCATTCTTTTTACTTACAGATGCGCCCATCTCCGCAGGCACCCCTTGGCCCAAGTTCTCACTTGCGCCGCGACTCCGCTCAGTCTGCCCACAGCGACATGAGCAACCATATGGTAGGTAGTGGTCCTGGCCGTGGCGGCTACCCTCACCAGGGTGGACGCGGTCGTGGATATTCCCAGTCTGGTTACCAAGGCCCGATACAATATTCGCCCGGTCCGAACTTCCGTCAACCCAACAACCAACCTCGCGGTGGTCACAACATGGGTCCTCAATTCCACGGCCCTAACCAAGGCCGTCCGTTGGCCCCCTTCCCTAACTCGCCACATCAAGCAAACCGCAGCCCGGCGATCCCCAACGCGCACCCTACCACACCGCAAATGAACCCTGTACCGATGGCCCATCCCCAAATGCAACCGCAATACGGCTATCCCCAGTCTGTGAGATCTCCCCCTTTGTTCGTCCAGAGGCCGACAAGAAACCCTACCGCCGTGGTGATTTCCGAGGAAATACCCGTGGCAACTATCGTGGAAACAATCGCAGGAACAGTGGTCGTAGCTGGTGGCCGTCGGGAGAGGCTCAACTCAACTTTGACTTCGCTCACGCCCCTCTATATATCCCTGATCAGGCGATGGACCTCGCGCCAGAGAGCGGCTATTTTGAACAATATCTAATGGAAATGAAACAACAACAGGCTTATCCCCCGGCTTACGATCCCAACTATGGCTACTACCCCGGTGGCGGATACATGCAGCCGATGCAGTACATGCCTCCGTCACCTCAACCCCGCCCCGGCATGCCCTACAACCCTCAGCCTGGTTACATGGGCGGACAGTACCCCGTTCAACCTCCTCCGCAGTCGACCCCCCTCTCGCGTACTCCGTCCCAGATGTCTACTGACCGACCAGGCTCTAGTCTGGGCCAGGGCCCTGCAGCCACTGGTCCTTCGGCTCCTGGTCACTCTCACAGATCGTCTAACAGCCCTGCCCCCTCCAGCAAGCCGCAATTCGTCATCCCCTCGACCAAGCGAGTGGCCATTGTCATCAAGGACCCTGGTAGTGGTGCTGTGAAGACCTTTGACAAAGCCCCTGCTTCTCCCGCTCGTGCTACTCCTTCTCCAGTCAAGACATCCACTCCTCCCCCGCGAACCTCGAGTGCTTCTGAGCACACTCGGGCCGACAGCAAGGCTACTAACATCAAGTCCGACGAGGAGAAAAAGCAGGCACTGAAAGAGGCTGTGCGCCAGAAGATTCTGCAGGATGAAATCGCAGCCAAGAAGCTTGTAGAGGAAGAGTCTGCTCGCAAGAGCGCCGAAGAAGCCGAGGCTGCCAAAAGAAGGAAGCTGAAGCTGCCGCCGCTGCCGCCGCTACGGCTGCCGCTGCTGCCGCTGCAGCTGCAGCTGCAGCCCCCGCAGTTCCCGCACCGGAAGCATCAGAAGAGAAGTCTGCCCCCGTTGAGGAGAAGAAGGCGCCAGCCCCCGCTCCCGTTGAGGAGGAGATTGACTACGATGCCATCGAGCGCGAGATGGCTGAGATTGAAGCTAAGGAGCGTGCTGCTGAAGAGGACTATAACCGCAAGAAGCAGGAAAAGAAGGAGGAAGCTGAGCGCAAGGCACGCGAGGAGCGTGAGTCCTATGAAGCCAACATGAAAAAGGCTGAAAAGGAGGCTGAGGAGCGAGAGATTGCCCTCGAGGCCGCCCGCGCTAAGGGCGACACCACCGAGGAAGATGCCAGTCGCAAGGAACGCGAAGATCTCTTTGCCTCCCTCAAGAAGGGCGGTTTCGGCGCAACTGAGACCTCTACCCCAGCTGACAGTGGTGCTGCTACCCCCGTTTCATCTGACATGGGCCCCCCTTCTAAGCCCGCCAGTGCTACTGTTAAGAAGCCTACTGGTCTGAAGCTTGATACTCCCAAGGCTACTGAGCCCAGTGCGTCCATGAAGGCTTTGCAAAATGCCAAGCTTCTTGAGGATCTCAGCAGCGTTACCTACCCGTCCTCCATCAACGGCCCCAACGCTGCCTTGAACTCCAGCGCCACGGCTGGTCGCCGATTCCACTACGACCTTAACTTCTTGCTTCAGTTCCAGGCCGCGTACAAGGACAAGCCGTCTGTTGATTGGGATGCCCGTATCCGCGATACCGTTGGTGACAAGGACCAGTCAGCCCGAACCCCAATGGGCTCCCGCAGCGGCTCTAAACACGGCCCTTCATCTGGTTTCCCCGGTCCGATGGGCGCCGGCTCCATTTTCCCTCACGGAGGCCGTCCCGGAACTTCCATGGGCCCTCGAAACTCTCATCCTTTCCCCGGTCCTTTCCCGAACACCCGACCCGGCAACATGGGTATGCCTCCTTCTCGCACCAATACTAATAGCATTTCTCGCCAAGGCACTGGTAGTAAGAATGGTCCCCGTGGCGGCAGCAAACAACCGCGCGGAATGAAGAATGAGCAAGATCCCAACAGGACCATGCCTCTCACCGCCGGTATGGACTTGAAGGCTATTCAAGTCTCTGCCACTGGCTGGAAGCCCCGCAGTGTCGGCCAATCTAGCGCTGGCCCTGCTCCTGGTGGTGAAGGCTACATGGCACCTGATGTCGTGCAGCGAAAGGTCAAGGCTGCTCTCAACAAGATGACTCCCGAAAAGTTCGACCGCATCTCATCTCAAATTCTGGAAATTGTTTCTCAGTCAAAGGAAGAGTCAGATGGCCGCACTCTCCGACAGGTCATCCAGCTCACCTTCGAGAAGGCTACCGATGAAGCTCACTGGGCCCCGATGTATGCCAAGTTCTGCAAGGCTATGCTTGAGAGCATGAGCGCAGAGATCAAGGACGAGAACATTCGTGACAAGTCCGGCGCCGTCGTCACCGGTGGCAGTCTCTTCCGCAAGTACCTGCTCAACCGCTGCCAGGAGGAGTTTGAGCGTGGTTGGAAGGTCAACCTGCCCGAGAAGCCAGAGGGTGTCACTGAGGAGATCGCTATGATGTCCGATGAGTACTACGTGGCTGCTGCCGCTAAGCGACGTGGTCTTGGTCTGGTCAAGTTTATTGGTGAGCTGTACAAGCTGGGTATGTTGACTGAGCGTATCATGCACGAGTGTGTGAAGAAGCTTGTCGACTACGAGGGTATTCCCGACGAGGCTGAGGTGGAGAGCTTGACCAGTCTCCTGCGCACCATCGGTGCCAGCCTGGACGCTTCGGAGAAGGGTCCCGCTATGATGGACGCCTACTTCGCCCGCATCAACCTTATGATGGAGACCCCTGGTCTTCCCAGTCGTCTTAAGTTTATGCTTTTGGTATGTTCGATCCAGAGACTGCTTATCCGTCGTAACTTCATCCTAACCCACTTTTTTTTTTATCTAGGATATTATCGATCTGCGCAACTCGCGTTGGAACTCCAAGGATGCCGACAAGGGTCCCAAGACCATTCAACAGATTCGTGAAGAGGCTGCCCGTGCCCAGCAAGCTGCGGAGGCTGAGCGCGCTCGCCAGCAGGCCAACCGTGGCGGTGGTGGTGGCGGTGGTCGCCCTGCCATGGGTCGCGGTGATGCCCGTAGTGGCTATGGCGGCTATGGTAACCAGGCCCCCCTCCAGACTATGCCTCCAGCAAGGTTGGCAGTGACGATCTCCGTCGTCTGCGTTCCAACCGCACAACCAACCAGCCCATGTCATTCGGCCCGTCGAGCCTCCTGGGCTCTCGCAGCAGCAGCCGCAAGAACCTGGGCCCGGGTGGTAACCTTGTTCGGGGTAGCGATGACAGCGCTGCTAGCAGCCGCACTGGCACCCCTCCTGCCGGAAAGAAGGAGGAATCCTCGTCAATCAACGCTTTCAGTGCTCTCGCAGCTCTCGAAGACCGTGACAACATGGCTACCTCACCCCCATCCGCCCACACTTCCCCCGTTCTTACCAAGTCTCAACCTGCCGCTGCCGCAAAGGATGGCGAGAATGCATAGATTCCTTAGGAGTAATGATGAACGTTTTCTTTATTTTGGTACCCCACAAAAGATTTCCTTACTGATTTCCCGAGTTTTTTTTTTTCAATTTCTTTTTTGTTCATGTTTAACCCCCCCATCTTGCTCCCATCGTGCGTGAATCCACACCCACACAAGTTCTTTGCATCTTCCGACTGGGTCGGACTTTCCCCGGGATCACCTTCTATTTTCGAACTTTCGTCCTTTCGAAAGCTTCATAGTGTACAATTTTCACAACTGGTTCCATTTTCTTCCCCCTTACATTCTTATTCTTTTATTTTATTTTTTTGTACGCCCACTCGTCTCCTATTTCTTATGGGCTTTCTTTTAATCCGAAGTCTGATGGAAAGTCCAGGGAGAGAAGTTGAGGCTTGTAGGGAGTTTGGCAGTCCTTTTGCAAGGGTAGATCAATTAGCTGATCTTGCTTTTGTAAGTTAGTGCTAGTCATTTCAATCAGTCCGTGCCAAAATTAGTGGTCTATGTAGTTTGGAGATTTACGTTCGTCGTAGCTTTGGGTAATAATCGCCCTATATGATCGAGATTCCACTATGGATATCCCTTGTACCCATAAATACTGGGCATTATGTTAAATCTCGTAGAAGGGTCCATGAATTTCAAGGTTGACCAGTGGTGTTCTACAACTTTATTTTTTTACCTTCGTTTCGAAATATAAGCTTAATCTTGGATGGAAGTTCAGAAACATGGATAAAATAACTTCTAAGGACGCCTCGATGTCACGTCTCAGATGCTCAGAACGATATGTCTTACTGATGAGTGACCAGGATATGAAATTCTTTCATCGATTGCTCACAAATGCAGAGTCTTTTTTCTTTTTCAGAATATCATGTATAGGAATGAATGGTATGGATTGATTGGGTATTCGCTGAGTGGAGGGTATCTTTGGCCAGATGGAATGAAATCTGGCGCTGTACAAAGAAGATTGCTTCGCTTCGTGTATACGTGGTCATGGATGATAACGGTAACGTTAGACGGGCTATAAACGGGTATTGTTGAGATGCAGGAGTGGGAGATTCGTGATTTGGGATGATGTTCTCTTGGCTTAGATGTTGCTGCCATCAGAGACTTCAATGGAGGGTATGGACACTCGCCGTGGGAGAGCTGGGATTTTTGGTGTTGACTCGTTTGTTACGTGTGATTCGTCAGAAGAGTCTTCGGATAGAGGTGACGGCGGTTCATGTTCATGTTCCTGTTCACTTTCTCGCTCACGCTCACGCTCACGCTCAGATTCACTGCGCGGGTATGGCGATGAAGATCTCTTTGGCTCTGTACCCACGCTTTCTTCTGAACTAGCGGGGCTCCTGACCAACGGACTCTTCATCAAGACCGAATCAAGTGAATATGGTACCGGGGACTGAGGATTCTCCGAGTCGTCGAGGTAGGTAATACTGCTACGGTCCGATACCGACAAAGAGCTTCGCGACGTGCCAGCAACGGAATAAGTTGCCGGAAGACCCAGTGCTTCAGCGACGGCAGCTTCCTCATCAGGGAGTTTAGAGGCGGTGCTCTCTGCACTCCAGCTTTCGTCGAAGATTCGACCACCACGCTTCACACTCAGTGACAGAAGTTGGTTGTAACTTTTTCGAGCTGGGTCTGCGCGCCGTTTCTTCTTTTTCTTCTCGCGCTTTGGAGATGGGCGTACGACGATCACGGGAATGGGCGATTGTTGAAGACACCATTTGGAGACCGAGCCCGATGGCAGGAGACTATGAACACCCTTCAAGTTTCGGCCGCGTGTTCCGACAACCAGCATGGCAGGCTCGTATATGCGGATCTACGTCTTGTTAGCAAAATCATAAAAACAAAGACAGTGAAGGAGAAGTACCATGCGCTGGATTATGTCCTCCACTTTTCCGACGGCCAATTCTAAGATCAAGCTGATGGCCTTTTCATCTTGGCTGTTCTTCCGGATCACAGACTCGAACAACTTTTCGGCCTCCTCGCGGTACTTGCCTTCTATGATGGAGGCATCACTCGCCATGCGCGAGTCCTTTTCCACCGCGCGCAGACAAACAATCTCGTCCCCATCATCTAGCATTTCATCAAGCAACCACTCGAGCGCAAACTCGGAGTAATCATTCTGGTCAGTACCGCATAGGAAAGTCCGGCTGCGACGGGTACTCTGATAGCCTTTATGTTTGTAATTCAGTGTCAAGGAGAAGTCGGCGGCATCGCGATTGTCAAATGTGTCGAACGAAACCCCGCGCTCATAAGTCCTATTCATGAAGAGATAGATATTAGCGAATAAAGTCGGATGAATCGCGCACGTCAAAGGGGAAGTGAAGACTCACTTGGGTGGCGGTGGAGACGGCACTCTAATCGCGGTGGATAGGGGCCGCTGCTCTCTCTCCACCAGCTCAAAATCTCTTTGCGCTTCTCCGTCAGGCCTTCGCTTACTGAAACTTGACGAACGGGAGGGCAGCTGGGTTTCAGTGAAGCCCACATTAAACTGGATGGATTTGCGGCGCGCGCCTGGCACTCGTGGCTTATCGTCGAAGGAGATGTTGCGTTTGTGGCTGGAATCGGAAAATTTGGTCATGCTTGGACCTGGTTCCGGGCGATCATGGTTCGCGATCGAGGGCCTGGGTGATGGGCCCGACATGATGAGTTGCGATAGTGGCGAAACTGATGCGGTTAGGCTGAGTTGATAGTCTAACCCAAACTTCAGGTGAGGAGTAAGTTCCAGTTTTGCAGGCTCAGAAAAAACTATCTCTTTGGTATGGTCTGCGTGTACTCGTCCTCAGCCAGGGTTGAGGGGTCCAGTGTCTGGTACGGTGGGGGTGGGATGATGTGGATGCTGATATGATTGTGAGATGACGCCTGAATGTGAAATGCAGATGGTCTTGATCAAAGATATAATTCATTCATTCAAGAATATTGAGGCGCCAATTTGGAGACCCATAGTTCGTATCAGATTGGATATTGGATGGAAGCGACGAAAGGAAGCGACGCTTGCATCGAGGGGTTTGAGCCTGGAATAGTAGGCGGTGAGGCTTTATCGATAAGTTTGTTTATGATCTCTATTTGGGTGCGCTCGTATCACTTATTCTGTATATTCATTTTAATCTAAGTAGGCCCTTAGGCAGTCTGTTACCTCGATAAGGATTCCAAGGTTCGATCTACAAAGCACTAAGTACTAAGTTAGAGATTTACGAGCAATCGAGATCAAAGTCCTAAGTAACGCCCTAAAGTAAAAACCAAGGTATGATCTCCACTTGTGTCCCTCAACCCATTTTGCATAAATGCCGACTTAACCGCGAGAGATCGTCATCTCCACTCTTCCATTTTATGCACTACTATCAGATGGGTCACATGCACTACGAGAAAACAAGATACTCGTGTAGGAGTACGGATGGGAAGATCATTCCAGATCGGTATAGTAGTTTTGATTGTATCGAGTATGTATCCAGTGTCCACACACATATTGAATTGCGTAGTCTCAACCTAAAGTAGGGAGATCTGCCCAATTAAATCCACCATCGTAGTAAAAGGAAGAAAAAAAATGCAAGAAATGGTTGTGAGCAAATATGGCTCGAGATGAGTGGAGATGAACGGAGTAGTTTATCATCGATAGAAAAGACGGAAAAAAAACGCCGTAAAAAGAAACGCTCCAGATGCTTTTCGTCAGGGTATCACATAAATAGTTTAGAATGGTATCATAGGTGGCAAGTCAGGTGGCATATAGATTCAGAATTCAGAATGCCTCAATGATGGGACTCGTCTCCTGTGATACGTAATACCCAGGTTCAAACATGCGGTCTTGGTCGTCAAGTGGAATGGCAGTGGATGTAGATTCTTTGGGGTCAAATGACTCAAGAGTGGTTGTTGGTGGGGACGGGGGCATGCCCTCGTCTTCAGACTCATCGTCGGAGTCAGCGAGAAGCTCTGGGATTTGGCGGCTGGGTGAACGGGTCAGAGCGAGCTCTTCACCCTCATCATATTCAAAGTCCGAGTCTGTATCATCGTCATCCTCCTCCAGGATTGGCTCTGGGAGAGGTGGAGAGATGGGACGGCGGCGGATGGGTGTGTTGATGACGAATTCGCTTTCGTCGAAGTCGGAGTCGTCCTCGTCGCTGTCGGAATCATCCTCCAGTACTTCCTCCTCGACCACTGTTGAGGCCCATTGAATGTGTCGGGGCTTCTCCTCTGAGGTCTGGCGGGCGCCATTGACGGTCTGGTTGAACCAGCGCTCTTGTTCCTGTTCAGCATCGGCCAGATCGATCATGAGGGAGTCAAGGAGGTTGGCGTGACCGACGAGTAGTCGTAGATCGTGATCAGCCCGGGAAGCCTCGCGAGTGAGCTTCTTTCGGGCGGTATGCGCGAGGTAGTAGGTTTGTGTGATGCTCATCTTCTTCTGTTGACGACTTTGAAAGAAGGAAGAGAAGGAAGAGGCGACAGGAGAGCCAATTGTGGATGATGGAACCGCCATGATGAGAAGGATTGTTTATATGGGAGCTATCAAATGCCAAGACTCTGGTGACTCAATGAGGGGTAGGTATGAGTCAAAGTGGAATAGTAAGTGTATCATGAAAAAGTAATAGTAATAGTTATAGATGAAGTCAATGTGGAAATCAATATAGAAACCAAGTCGTGATCGAATATAAAATAGAGGGGAGTAAGTTCTTTTTGTATCCGTAAACGGAGGAAAAGATTCGGAAAGCCGAGATCCACTGAAGGGCCGAGTGTCCGTCCCATTTCGAGCTTACGAGAGTTCATTTTCCGATTATTCATAATTTGATTTCCAATAATATTGATCTGTTCAACCAAGGGATGAAAGCTCACCGCTATCTCCTAACTCCTGCAATACATCTACATTTACATCTACATCTCTACTAAACAAATAAAATATTAAAATGATTCACATCTCCGTAGTAATCATGAGTCAATCCTATTTTGGTTTTTACATTTATTATTTTCCATTTTTTATTCCTAATTTAATTTAATTATATGTGGTAATTTCCCGGACCCTTAAGAAGCCTAGAAGTGGAACGGAATGACAAACTCCGATTATCCAACTTAACGCCTATTTCCATTTATTTCCTTAGTATTTCTAATTCATAATTCCTTTGTCTTCCAAACTTTGGCTTACATTAGCTATGATTTCCAATCCTCGTGTTCATATCTCTATGACCAATAACAAATCTTGGCATTCTAGGCATGCATTCCCCGGAATAAGGCTGTGTATATATTATCCCCCTTAGTTATTGGGGCTGGGGCTCTCGGCTCAGGCAGCTGAAATATAATCTCAACTCTTCTGCCTGACACGTCTCCTTGCAGACCGCATGGCGCATTTACCATAATCAGCCAAGGCTACAGCCAACATTCTCAACGTTTGTGGGGAGGACTTCACTACAGCCTAGGTATCTTACGTCCTAATACTCCGTACTACGTATTTATCAGTACTATATAGTTACTGTGTAGTACTTACTCTTACTAAGTTAACCTAGTCTCAGACGGTAAGTTGTCTCGTGAACCGTACATCAGTGGGTCTACTCTTGAGCCCTAACACTAGCGTCCGTAAAGTAGCATAGTGCATACTAAATTCGGAATGGACTCTACTCCGAATCCGAGTACGGGAAGGGAAGTTACAATCCTTGCGGGATGCATCGACAATTTTCTAAAGAGGGTCATTTACATCCATACTAGGTGCCCGGCTGTCGGAGACTCCGTTAAAGGTCCAGCTCATTCCTCGGCAATTGTCACGTCACTCTGTGTAATGGATTAAGTTTAATGGATGATTCATGAGAGTCGATGACTAACATCTTAATGGAGATAAGGAAATAAGGAAAAAAGGAGATTACTCAGATCCTCGGCGTTAATTTAGTTCATCCGAGGATTTAAGCCGCAATCCAAAATACTCTACGAATATTATGCATGACACATCCATATTTCATACAGTTCTGTATCTCATGCAGTTTTATTGTAGTACCTGATACTTGACAGATTTGGCAAGTGGATATAGATCGACCCACAGTGAAAATTCCTTTGAAAATTAAGAGTCATGATGAAAACAGCAATTCTCGGAAAATTCGGTGAATCGGCATAAACGCGAACAGTCCGAAGTCCGTGGGAGTCCGTGGGGAGCCGGACCAACTGTAATCCGTCTTGAAGAATTTTCCCGAATTCCCCGCAGGTCCCGCAACGTCCGCTTACTACGAAGTACGATCTAGTTAGGTACCTCATCCTTCTTCATTTTAACTACAGAGTATTCCGTAATAGAATGTGTGCAGATTCAGAACTAGAGACTGAAAATCTCATCACACGACAGCCTATTCCTCTATCTACATTTGAAACGTGAAGTTTGATACTATCGTCGTCCTTGTTTCTTGTTTCTTCCGCAATGACGGCATTTTAAAGTCATCCATCTGCTGACTGCGGACCCATGCTGCTAGGTAACTCGATGTAGATTCCAATTTCTCCATTGGGTCTTTTCTTGCCACCATACGAATCTGCTTCTGTCTAGGACATGTCCTAACGTTCGGGTGGTGGGTCGCGAAGCTTGGATTGTTTCCAGTTCCATTGGCTTGGAGCTTGGAATTACACCTACTTAACCCAAATCATTTCTGTGGCGTCCAATCTTCGTGCCATAGAGCTCTTTTGGGCTACCTGCCACTTGATGATCTATTGCCACATGCCATAAGCTCCGAGGCCCTTGATCATTCTAGGCCTAGTTACTATATATTTAAGTAACTAGTTAGGTACCTAAACAGATCATATATATGTATCTCAACCTCAGCCTTAACCTCAACCTTCCAACGCTTTGCCAAGATGATACCATCTGGACAGGTGCCTCATGCTCTGACGAGGCCTGGGTACACTTAGTTCACTTTCCGCCTAAAGTGCTAATAGCCCTAGATGTACCTAGGTAAGGCAGCCCGAGTTCTTATGGGTTCCAAGAGCTCACGGGGGGGGGGGGGGTTTTGCTTGAATCCTCCACAGTAGTGATCCATATCTGCATATGTAAATACTGATCTATTATATATTCATTCATGAAACATTAATCAGATCGACCTACCTCCATGGCCACCCGAAAAATTATTTGGATATATGGAACTTGAAGTGGACCCTGAAGACCCAGTGGACCTACGTCGTAACTGCTGATTATGGATAGCCCAGCGCATCTAGATAAGTGGGTATCCATTTGATTTGCAGTTAGCTCCAAGGTTCCAAAGTTAAGTATATTGACAATTATCCCTGTCATGTTTGTTAATATCACCCGGTCAAGATTTCCTATATGCATCGTATCTATTCAATCAAGGGCTATGCAGGTGACTATGTGCCCAGTCCATGGCATGAATAAAAACCCACAATTACCGAGGTAGCCCTTGCATATCTAGTTACATAGTCATACCTGCCTTCCACCAGGGCTAGGGCTGGGTAAGTTACTGTGTCAGTAGGTAGTAGACTGACCGCTATATCCAGATTTCCAATGAGGCGTTCTTGGTAATGTAGGGTCGTTCCTGGCCTATCGAATTCCAACAATCCTATGCCATGGCTCTATTACGGGAAATATTGATCTCCAAACATGATTTACAATTACATCAATGGCAATACCTATGACCTCTGAATGATATGATTCCAGTCGTCGCTTGCTAAGAAATTAAATCCCACCTGTTTTAGTCCCAAGGCCATAGCACGGCTCCTTCACCTTTCAAGGTTCTAGCGGATTGAGCAACATTAAAAGATCATAACTTGAGATGGTAAGTATACTTCGGGGCTCCTTCCAATTGTTTGAACGTCAATATCAGCCATCATCGGTTCGAAGTGAACTACATCTTGCAGTTTGCCTAGCTGGCTCTGTATCGCCTGTGACTGAACATCAAACTTACCCAGAACGGAATCATTGCCCGAAAATTGAATTCAACAGAAGCATGCAAAGCTTATGACACAAGTGATCAAACGCCTACGGAGGAAGAAGTTGTGAAGATTGGTAAAGATGTCAGAATCGTTTTTGGGAAGGTATAGACACCACGGGCCCCGTCGTGGTCCTGAGTACTAGCTGTTTAGGTGCGCTCTTGGCACTGCTATAGGAATACACTGTTCTTATCAGTTGCTCAGTTCTATCCTCTTATCTCTCAGTCAACATCTTTTCCAAGTCACATGATGACCTTATACGTCCCGTAATATTTAACCTCTTACTTAAACCACTTTCATAAAAAGTCTCAAAAAAAAAAAAAAAAAAAAAAAAACGACGGAATCTTCATGTGGGACATACATACATCAATGACGGCAACATCTTATTACCATGCTCGCCGTCTGTGGACCCATTGTCCCTCCCATACACCCAAGAGAAGGTGACTGTGGTAGCTAAACAAGGGAGTAGAATTGTATTAGAGTGGGACTCCTAGATAAAAAAAAGTCGGGATGCGGACTTGGACACCCTGAAATCGAAGTAATTAGGCTTGTCTTGGAGCATACTGACGTTCCAGTCCCCGAAGTCACTTTTCCTCCTGACATCCGTCCTCCAGATCAATATAGCGAGATTACGATGACAATCATACCCGGGACGCCTCTAGATCGTAAATGGGATATGCTAGATGAAGGGGCTAAAGAGTCGATATGTCTTCAACTCTGGGTTCTGATATCGAAAATCCGAACCATTTCTCGTCCAGAAGGACCTTACCAGTGCGCTGCAGATGGCTCTCCATCCCAGGATCCAATGCTAGTGGATTTACAAGAGCCTGCTCGGCCGCTTCTAAGTGACTCTGCATTACGCTCACGAATCTACGAGCGATGTATCCACTTCGGGGGAACTCTCTACAAGGATCAACTGCTGAACATTCTGCCACGGTTGGAGGACTCGGTATTCACGCATGGGGATATTGCGCCGCGCAATGTGATGGTGGACGAACAGAGTAACGTTACCGGCATTCCTGACTGGGAAACAGCGGGGTGGTATCCAGACTACTGAGAGCATGTACAGATTCTGCGTCCGGCTTTTTGGGGGGACTGATCTATATGGATGGAGAAGATGGCGCCACGACAGTGGGACCTAAAAGGAATTAATGCTGTCAGAAAAGTTTTGTTTTGAATGATATATTTCTGCCAGCGATCAGCAAATGCTTTGCATTCGCGTAATATGATAGTGGACGAACAGAGTAACGTTACCGACATTCTCGACTGGCATATAATTGGAGGGCTTCTGTCGCTGTATAGCGAACCGGTTGCTGTACTGAAGTTGGTGAGCTCCAACTGACTACTACTCAACACCGTAGATAATTCACCGATCTGGTAGCGGATGCTACGATACTAAATGCTGTGGTTGTTGTGAAGTCTAGTTTTTCATTTATAACGAGGACTAGCTATTTATCATACAGGATTACCCTTCTGATCAAAATAGGCTCCAATGATGGAGATTTCAAGGGTATGAGATATTCTCTGCGTACCCTGAATGGCCACTTTGTATCACTTTATCACTTTATTCTAATTCTAACACCTGGGACTATAGATGGCAGACTATATTGATGTGGAGTACCTACAGGATTTATTGAATCATTCGTTCCTCCCTTCTACGAGAGTGACTTCCAAAATTAGTGTAGATCAGAGGCTTAGATAGATTTGTCTATTTCAATCGCACTTTACCTGCTACAGCAATTCCCTGTCACCCTCTCTTCAAATTATCTGCCATGGAGACTCCCATATTACTGTCAATGCAAGAGAGCAGGTACTTCCCACTTGCTGATATCGACCCTGCAAACCCCGCAGCTTCTTGGTGCACTCGCTGTGTTCATCGCATTTCCATTCGCCCAACGCATGTCTGTGGAATTGTGGCTGTTGATGGCAAATGCTCATACTGTAGCTCTACTGGCTGGGATTGTCTCTCCATGGGTTGAGCCATTACGTTCTTCTTGTTTTAGTACTTACACGTTGTTCTACTTTAGAATGACCCCGATTGTACGTCTTCACGAACGCCGCAATTAGGTACACCTGACAGTATCATTCCAAGGTTCCAGGCAATCTCATCTACCTATCTCTGCTATTTCCCACGTGTTACGGGGCTAACTTTGAACTCAGCGTTTAGTGAATTTGCTGTGGTAGAGGCCCCGACTAGAAAGCCGTAACGAAAACGAGAGTCCTATTCTGTCCGAGAATTGGTGCATATAATTGAGCTGTTCTCAACATCAGATTTGGTTCAAATGCAACTCTAGTAGTGTAGTTGAATATGACGTAATTTGATCGAGTCGGACCAGAACTTGATAAAATCAAACTCATCTGAAATGAAAGCGGCTACATAGATCTAGAAAGGTACCAGAATGATACTCACGATAGCCCAAGAAACCTGGCAGGCTCATAGTTGGATCATTTTTGCCCGTTGAAATGTCTTCCGAAAACGTTGTGTTTTAACGTTGTGAAGGATCCAATCATGTGATCGCTGAGTCAGTCTGCTCCCCGCAGTCAAGTGGGATAAAATTTATTTCTTTTTCACCTGCCAAACCCCGTTATCGCGTGGATTTAGGTATGTATCGTCATTGGGACTGTATAGGAGGCTCAAATAAGCCAATTTCATACGTCTGTTTTCTGACTGTTCCTTAGTTTCTACAAAATGTCTCAACAAAAGTCCGGTAGGTGCTCTAGCATTGGTATCACTAGTACTTGGGTAGCCGTGATATAGTCTTTTTTCTTCCCAAATCAAGTCAATGCTGATATTCTCTGTTCTATGGCAATGTAGCTATCATCTCCGTCTATGACAAGACTGGACTTTTAGACCTAGCCAAGGGTCTAATCAAGCAGAATGTCCGTCTGCTTGCGTCTGGTGGCACTGCTAAGATGATCCGCGAGGCTGGCTTCCCTGTTGAGTGAGTATACAATGGCATTCTTTTCATTGGATTGGAAATATAAATTGAGCGAAGGAGAACAGAAGCTTCAATTGCCAAAAAGCCTAGAGTCTGACTCGTTTACTTCTAGAGATGTCTCTGCTATCACCCACGCACCCGAGATGCTCGGCGGCCGTGTCAAGACCCTTCACCCCGCTGTGCACGGTGGTATTCTTGCTCGTGATATTGAATCTGATGAGAAGGATCTCGCCGAGCAGAAAATTGCTAAGATTGACTTCGTTGTCTGCAACCTGTACCCCTTCAAGGAGACCGTCGCCAAGGTTAACGTCACTATCGATGAGGCCGTTGAGGAGGTTGATATCGGTGGTGTGACCCTGCTCCGCGCTGCAGCCAAGAACCACAAGCGTGTGACCATTTTGTCAGACCCGGCTGACTACCACGAGTTCCTTCGGGAGCTCGAGGCCGGTCAGATCAATGAGGCCAGCCGCAAGCTGTACGCTCTCAAGGCCTTCGAGCAGACTGCCGACTACGACTCTGCTATCTCTGCCTTCTTCCGCAAGGAGTACGCAGGCAATGGCATTCAGCAGCTCTCCCTACGCTACGGCACCAACCCCCACCAGAAGCCCGCCTCCGCTTATATGGCTCAAGGTAAGCTGCCCTTCAAGGTCCTGAACGGCTCCCCCGGTTACGTCAACCTGCTTGATGCCCTCAACGCTTGGCCTCTGGTCAAGGAGCTCAAGCAGGCTCTTGGCTTCCCCGCTGCTGCTAGCTTCAAGCACGTGTCCCCCGCTGGAGCTGCCATCGGCGTTCCCCTTAATGAGAAGGAGCGCAAGGTGTACATGGTGGACGACATCAAGGGCATTGAGTCATCCGGTCTGGCCCAGGCCTATGCCCGTGCCCGTGGTGCCGATCGTATGTCTAGCTTCGGCGATATCCTCGCTCTGAGCGACATTGTCGACACTCCCACTGCCAAGATCATCTCTCGCGAGGTGTCTGATGGTGTCATTGCCGCTGGCTACGAGCCCGAGGCTCTGGCAATCCTCTCCAAGAAGAAGGGCGGCAAGTACCTCGTCCTGCAGATGGATGAGAACTACAACCCTGCTCCCGAGGAGAGCCGCACCCTGTACGGTGTGCAGCTGACCCAGCACCGCAACGATGTTGTCATCTCGCCCAGCAAGACCTTCACCAACATTATCACCCCCAAGGGTCAATCTGCTCTGCCCGAGGCCGCTCTCCGCGACCTGACCGTTGCCACAATTGCTCTCAAATACACCCAGTCCAACTCTGTCTGCTACGCCCTTAACGGCCAGGTCATTGGCCTAGGCGCTGGCCAACAGAGTCGTATTCACTGCACTCGTCTTGCTGGTGACAAGGCCGATAACTGGTGGATGCGCTTCCATGAGCGTACCATCGGCATCAAGTGGAAGCAGGGTACCAAGCGTGCTGACAAGAGCAATGCCATTGACCTGCTCTGCTCAGGCCAGACTCCTCGCAACGAGGCCGAGAAGGTCGAGTACGAGCGTGTCTTTGAAGAGGTCCCTGCTCCTTTCACTGCTGAGGAGCGTGAGGCCTGGCTGTCCAAGTTGGGCGAGGTCGCCATCTCATCTGATGCTTTCGTAAGTCTAACCCGCCACTCTAATGATTTGTTGGCTTCTATTTGGATAGCACTGACATAATTTCCCCATAGTTCCCCTTCATTGACAACGTCTTCCGCGCCGCTCGCTCTGGAGTCAAGTATATCGCTGCACCCAGCGGTAGCCAGAACGATGTCCCTGTCTTCGAGACTGCTGAGAAGTTGGGAATCACCTTTGTTGAACAATCAACTCGTCTATTCCACCACTAGAGCTTGAAAGTGGTGGTTTCTTTAGCTTAGTCATGTCCATGTTAAAAGGGTCAAATTATCTTAGTAGTCATGATGATGATATTTTTGTTGATACTTTTTCAAAATTTACATACGTTTCCAACTTTTGATGCCTCGCGAGGTTAAGTTTACCAATCTCTGTACGTACTTAGGTACTTAATACATACGTAGGTAGCCCTAGCCTTGGAAGGTGAAAACAGCATTCACTCCCGAGGTCCAAGTACCTACAATTCCTGATGTGCACAACCCTTGAAGTAATAATGGAAACCTGCCGAGGTTGGAACTTATCTGCATATATGACCAGGTGCAAATGGCCGGGTGTATAAACGCAGACGCCCAAGCGCCGCTTATTCAAATATCCACAGGTTCTTGCTCAATTTCCTCAATAGCGTGTTCCCATCATTCATTTTACTGATTTTGCTTCGGATATGACCTCGGGGCCTAAGATGCATTTGTACCTAAGTAGGTCAAGGTTGTGGGGATATATCAGAGGCAAGAAAAATAGTTCATCGAGTTCCGGTATTCAAGAACAAAACGCCATGCCCGTGTCTCTCATAGAATAAGTGAGAGTGCCAGAATATAATACATAAAATGAGACTGTCTATCTCACATCCGACGCTCCATCCGGTTTAGCTTAACAGGAGTTTTGATCTATAAAAGTTGGTTAGTAGTTATTTTCCCCAATGTTTGACTGACCTAAAGATCAGAGCAGTTCTGCTTTCTTGTCGTGAAGACGAGTGTCGAATTCAGAGCATGCGTGATCTTAGATCAGAGAGAAAATATGGAAAACTCACCTGAGTGCGTGTACGCTGTCCTCGTACAGGAAGACCCAGCGCATGGCGACGCCCGCGGTATGTTCCAGTTTCCTTCAAGCGCTTGATGTCATTCAACACTTCTCGGCGGAGATCGTTCTCAATCTTCATGTCTGAGAGCACGGCAGTCAGGTCGAGGACCTGCTTGTTGGCTAGCTCGCCGACGCGGCAGGTCGGGTGAATACTGAAACGGGCGAGCAGGCGGGAAGAGGTGTGGTTACCGATACCAAAAAAAGTCTGGAGGGATTTCTATTGCGATTCAATTCTGGTTAGTGCCAGTTGATCAAGAGGAATGGCTAGGATCGGAGATGCTGGTAGTGCGACACTTGCCTTGAGCAGGTTCCGCTCTGGGAAGTTGACACCAAGAATGAAAACCTATCATATTTTTAGTATGGATGCATCTTTAGAATTATCGGGTTCACAAACCATCGTGGAAATGTTGCTGGTCAATTATTGATCGTACCGTTCCGAAGTCGTAGATTCGATTCCGGGATTATTTGCTGGGAGAAAGATTCTCCGGCGGATTACGTACGTATTTCCAGGACACGTTCACGCTTAGTGAGGAGTAGACTCGACATCACTCTTGTTGCGAGCCAATTGCACCATGAATTACCGCAACCTTTTCCTGTCTCTTTTCTTTGTCTTTGCCGCCGTTTTGGCGATGGTTCAGGCTGATGAACCTCGCGGCCCCAAGATCACTCACAAGGTAATGGAACTTGCGGTTGGAGCATAGGGAACTCCTAACTGATTCGATCGTATCAGGTCTACTTCGACATTCAGCATGGAGATGAGTCTCTTGGTCGTATTGTGATGGGTCTGTACGGCAAGACTGTTCCCAAGGTTAGCTTCGTCACATCATCTACCATGGTCACAGAGACATATTATTAACTTGGCTACATAGACTGCTGAGAACTTCCGGTATAATAGTTCCCTACGCACCGGGCTCATTGTGAATTCTAACATGATTATCTAGTGCTCTGGCCACCGGCGAGAAGGGCTTCGGCTATGAGGGCTCAACTTTCCACCGTGTGATTAAGGACTTCATGATCCAGGGTGGTGACTTCACCAACCATGATGGCACTGGTGGAAAGTCTATTTACGGCAATAAGTTTGAGGACGAGAACTTCAAGCTCCGCCACACCCGCAAAGGCCAGCTTAGTATGCAATTAGCTCCATCGAAGTTTGAAATTGTGGCAACCAGCTGACATGACATCAGGCATGGCTAACGCCGGCAAGAACACCAATGGTTCCCAGTTCTTCATCACTACCATCATTACCTCGTACGTATTCTAAAAATCCGATAATATTTATTGTCAGGATTATAACTGACATGACTTTCTAGGTGGCTCGATGGCAAGCACGTTGTCTTCGGTGAAGTCCTCGAGGGCTACGACATCGTTGACAAGATCCAGAATGTCCCCAAGGGCCGTGGTGACAAGCCTGCGAATCCCATTAAGATCGTGAAGAGCGGCGAGATCCCAGTGGAGGCAGACTCCGAGGACAAAGGTAGCAGTGACGAACTGTAGAGTGGGCCAGTTCTCGCTCTACTCCTGCTCCTGGACGAAGGTGGCTGATGATGCTTAATTTCCCAAGAACTCGACGATCCATCCACAATCGAAGAAACCCAATTGGACCCGTTGGACTCCCCGAACGTCCCGATGCCACTCCTTATCGTCCTTGTTCTGATTGCCGTGGTCGGCTTCTTCCTTATCCGCAACCGTAGCCAGCAGCACCAGGAGAAGGAATTCGATGCTTAGAGTACTTTCAAGATACGGAGTATTGATGCGCAGGTCATTCGCCACCCTCTTCCAATTTCTAGTTCAAGCAGCCATCATATATGATAGAAATGAAACGTCATCGTGCGGTTGCTGTTGCCTTGTCTCTTCCCTTTGAGTATCGTTGTCCAAGGTTTAATTAATCGCTATGTTGTAAATATTTCAAGTGAAAACAGAGGTGATCTTCAGTTAGATAAATGACCCTCAGTCGTATCATCGCCTTCATCTTAGATTTATCTTGCCCTAACTGATCGGCTGGAAGTTAGGTACTTGGATGTTAGTAGTTATACACCGCTTTATTCTGCCTAGTCCAGGGTTTCTGGTCACGTGCAGCCAGATGATTCGCCTCCCACAGAAACTTCATACCTAGTATCATTAGAACCTACTCCGTACATCCACACATCCCTTTTCTTCTCTGATTATAGAGTTCTGAGTGTGCCTTTTGTCCTTCGTTCGCCACTTTTCTAGTGTTGTCTGGCAAGGCGATTTCTTCTTTTCCCCAAACTTTCACCCCCCACCGTCTTCTCAGGTTTCTTCATCGCGTCTTATCGTCGAAGATCCTCCCGAAAAAAAAACTCCCTCGTTAGTCGATTCACCTCAACAGTTCCCCTTTTTAGCAACACCTCTCTGATCTTAAATTTACTCTCTGTTATAGATTCTCTTCAAAACAAACCTTCAATATGGCCGACGGTCTCCAGATGGGAAATCTTTCCCTTAACGACTCCCAGCACGCTTCCCAGGCTCCCAACGGACCCCCTGGACGTGCCGCTTACATTCCCCCTCACCTCCGTCAGCGTGGAGGTAATATCAGTGCTGCCGCTGTGGACGGTCCTGCTCCCCCGCCAGGCCCTGGCGGTTATGGCGGTCCTCGGTACGCTATATCCACAATCGATGATATGAGTGATCACCCGCTAACTTGAACATTTTAATCTAGCAACAACGGACCTCGTGGTGGTAACTGGGCTAATGCCAACGCTCCTGATTTCAGCCCACGCCCGGCCAACGGTACACCCCCTCCCAACCCATTTTCCGGTGGTCAAATTCGCACATTCAATCCCAATGCTTACGGAAACCCAGGTCAAGGCGGCGGCCACAGCGGTGCTGGTGCCTCAGCTCGTGGATCTGGTGACGGTTCTTGGAGAGATGGCAAGCACTGTCCAGGCCCTGCTAATGCACGCGTGGAGCGTGAGCTTTTCGGTGTTCCCAACGATCCCCTCAAGCAGCAAACTGGTATTAACTTTGCCAACTACGATGATATCCCCGTTGAGGCTTCCGGAAATGACGTCCCCGAGCCTGTTAACACATTCACCAACCCCCCTCTTGATGACCACCTGATCTCCAATATCAAGCTCGCTAGTTACACCGTCCCTACCCCCGTCCAGAAGTACTCTATTCCCATTGTCATGGGTGGCCGTGATCTGATGGCCTGTGCTCAGACTGGTTCTGGAAAGACTGGTGGTTTCTTGTTCCCCATCCTCTCCCAGGCCTTCCAGACCGGTCCTTCGGCCGCACCTGCTCAGGCTTCCGGTGGCCAGTTCAGCTACGGTCGCCAGCGCAAGGCTTACCCAACCTCGCTTATCCTTGCCCCCACTCGTGAACTGGTTTCGCAGATCTTTGACGAGGCTCGCAAGTTTGCGTAAGTTGGTCTTCTATCAGTACTTTATATATGATGCTAATCTATTAACCAGTTACCGTTCTTGGGTTCGCCCCTGTGTTGTTTACGGTGGTGCCGACATTGGCTCTCAGCTGCGCCAAATCGAGCGTGGTTGCGATCTCCTCGTTGCCACTCCTGGTCGTCTTGTCGACTTGATTGAGCGTGGCCGTATCTCCCTTGTCAATATCAAGTACCTTGTTCTGGACGAGGCTGACCGCATGTTGGACATGGGTTTCGAGCCCCAGATTCGCCGTATCGTTGAGGGCGAGGATATGCCCCGTGTTGATGCTCGCCAGACTCTCATGTTCTCGGCTACCTTCCCCCGCGATATCCAGATGCTGGCTCGCGATTTCCTGAAGGAGTACATCTTCCTGTCGGTTGGTCGTGTTGGTTCTACTTCGGAGAACATCACCCAGAAGGTTGAGTATGTTGAGGACAACGACAAGCGCTCCGTCCTGTTGGATATCCTCCACACCCACGGATCTACTGGTCTGACCCTTATTTTCGTGGAGACCAAGCGCATGGCCGACTCGCTATCCGACTTCCTGATCAACCAGCGTTTCCCTGCCACCGCCATTCACGGTGATCGCACCCAGCGCGAGCGTGAGCGTGCTTTGGAGTACTTCCGTAACGGCCGTTGCCCCATTCTCGTTGCTACCGCCGTTGCTGCTCGTAAGTCTTCCCTCCTTTCTTTTTTCCCCCCTTTACTTTTCCTTTCCTTTCCTTCTACACTTGAAATAGCGAGTGCTTTCCTGCGTTCTGTTCTTCCATGATCGTTTCATCATGATTTCTCGTCTCCAATAACCTCCAAGATGGGGCCTGCAACGGATTATATCTCGGTCTTTGTCCTCTTTACGGTTTGGACCTCTCTATCACCCACCGTGCTCTCAAAAGTGGAGAATCGGAGACTGTCTTTCCAACACTGTTCGTTCAAGGATTTATATCGGCAGTGGCACCAGCTCTGAGGTGGCGTCAGAGGATGGATATCAACCTACGATAGAAGATTTCGCATCGGGAAAGCTGATAGTAAGATACCATGCTTTCTCGAAATATCCTTCTTGGAAAGATATGCCATCACTCATAAGGGCTTACTGTTCTGGACTCTTACACCACTTTCTTCGGATCGCTATGCTCCCCGCTATCTTTTTCTTGTTCTTTGAGACCTTATTCAACCTCTGCTTCTGGTCAATGAAAAGTCGTACCAAGGACTGTCACATGCCCAATATCTGTCATTGACATCCGACGGCAATGATGGCTTGACTGGTCCCAACCAAAATCATCTGTGATCTCACATTTCGCTCAAATGCAAAGTTTGTCGAGCACTAAGATCACCCACTTCACATCATCAAGGCCGCTAGAATAGTTCCTCCTCTTCGCGGCCGTGGTGTTTTCCAAAATGCCGTCTCGAAGAAGAAGCATTGGTGCGAAACCTGCAAGGATGCTGCTGTCTTGGCAAAGAAACTCGAGATTCGTCTAAATGGCCCAGGCACGCTAATGGGCTAAGAGACTTGGCATCAAGCTCTAAGCTCGCTTAACCTCAACACTCCCGGGTCTTTGGACTCTTTATTTCCTTGCTTCCTTCCGTCTTTCTATTTATCAATCACTCTATACATCTCTCTAACATCTTACCACATCATTACTAACTCTCTTCACTAGGCGGTCTGGACATTCCTAATGTCACTCACGTCATCAACTACGATCTCCCCACTGACATTGATGACTATGTTCACCGTATCGGTCGTACTGGTCGTGCCGGTAACACCGGTATTGCTACTGCTTTCTTCAACCGTGGCAACCGTGGTGTCGTCCGTGACCTGATTGAGCTCCTGAAGGAGGCCAACCAGGAGATCCCTACTTTCTTGGAAAGCATTGCTCGCGAGGGCAGCGGCTTCGGAGGCCGTGGTGGCCGTGGAGGTGGCCGTGGCCGTGGTGGCTCTGGTCCTACCCGCGATATGCGTCGCATGGGCGGTGGCATGGGCGGTGGCTCTTCTTACGGCGGAGGTGGCAGCAGCTACGGCGGTGGTGCTCCCTCGTACGGAGGTGGTGGTGGCGGCAGCAGCTACGGAGGTGGTGCTTCTTACGGAGGTCCCTCCTCCTACGGTAACCCATCCGGAGGTGGTGCCAGCGGCCCCAGCTCCTGGTGGTAAATTGTGATGCTCTGTCGTGGTCGAGTGACGAGGGGTCCCTTTTCCCTTATCTCTTATGTCTCTCGTTGACGGATCCCCTTGGCTGTTTCTCACGGACGGCTCTGTCATGACTGCCCACGACTTTTACTTGCGTTGCTTTTAGATTTCACGTTCCCCTATCCACTTTCCCACATTTTACTTCTTTTATTTTCTGCTTGCACACTTCCTGCTTCTTGCTCATTTGGTTCATCTCTTTATTTCTTTTATTTGCCTCCATCTCGCACGGGTTTTCACTGGTTCTCATTCTGGCCTTGTTTAGACACGGGGCGTTCAAGCAGTCTGATTTTAACCTTGGTTGCTCTCGGCCATCGCATAACATTTTGCAATCTTCGAGCAACAGGTTGTCAGCACTGTATGGACATGATAGAATGCGTTTTATTTTTTTCCGTGTCCGCTCTCATCAGATACCCCTTTTATGTTCGAGCGTCCCATCGAGGGGCAACGTTCGAATGACGCGCTTGCGCCGAGCGAAGAATGCCGGCCCTTTTCCACCTCTCTGAAAAGTGCTTTTTTTGTTGCTGCATACATCTCTCGGTGCCGTTGTTATGGCTGCAGTGGAGCAGCATAGACTTCTTGACAGCGTCTCGGTATCTTATGGCGGGCAAAGTTGGTTTTCTCGTTTTCCCTCTTCGCGTTCCGCAGTTCGATTTATCTGTTCCGGAAACCAAAAATTACTTCAAGTGACTTTTCTTTGTTGCTGGGGATTCTTTGCATTCTACATGGCGTTGGTCAGACCTTCAGGGGTAAGGCCTTTTTGCATTTTTTTGGATCCGCGGGGGATTTATGAATGCTGTCACCGGCGCTGAAGAATGGCTCACAGGTATCATCGTTTCGAGTTTAGAAGGAAAGCAGAGGAGCCCGAGAATACTCGGAGGTCATGAGAGAAAGCCCTCTTATCCAATGCTATTCGAAAAGTGTTTAAATTTCACGACTATATCGTAGTATACAGTAGAGACTACATTGTAATTATAGTATTTTATAGATCTTATGTGAAAAGTCTAGGCGCGTTGGGCCATACGCGGTACTCCGTACTCGATGCGGGTAGTTATCACCTCACTAAATGGATACTTCACCACACTACTTACACACTCTCCTTTCCGGTCTCTTCCTCCTCTCGCTTTCCCCCTTCAACCCCCACACATCCTTCGAATCACTTTCTTTACTTCTGTTATTTCCTCCATTTCCCACACACCCTTTCGATCTCATCGGATATCTTTCACACGCTGCTTGATCTCAGCATCTTTTCCAATCTCGCGCCTCCTAGGGGGGGCGACATCACCGTCCTAGGACCCTGATCGTTTTGATCGCAAAAGCGTTGTATTTAAGGATATCCTTGGTCGCATCCATCCTTCCAAATGGCCGACATTGACACTGTCCCGGTGGAAGAATCGTTCGCGGCGTCCGAAACCCCAGACGACATCCACGGTCAGACAGCCAGCGCATCAGTTGGCACGAGACGTCAAGCGAATGGCACAATCGGCTCCGTCTACTCTGGAAATAAAATCCGGCATCTGAAGAAGGAAGATGGCATTCCCCTCTGGCGCAAAGATATCCAATACCAGTTTCTGAAGCTCGTCTTCGAGGACAAGACCCCCGTCTTTACTCGGTATCCGGATGGTCAGAAAAACTTAGATTTCGCTGACATCTACATTGATGCAATGGCACGAAGTAGCAAGACGAGCAAGGTCTTGAAAGATAAGCTGCAGAACGATAAACCAGCGGCCATCAACATGGCCATGGTCTGCTTACTCGTCAATTTTGGTCGCATGAATACCACTCTTAACTGTAACTCTGCCCACCATTGGTTTACAGAGTAGACCAATTCAAATTCATTATTTCGTTGTAATGCTAACTCAATCGTTTAGTCTTTCCAGAAATGCGTGCCCAGCTTCGAACCTACCACTCCATCCCTTCGTTACAAGCTCATCAAGACTCCAATGCCTACAAACAGTTACAGGATGCTCCTCGGCTCAAGTCCATTCTGAAGGGTGCCTCTGAGGATGTCGATCAACCAAACACTCTAGAAAAGATCAAAGATCTGACCACGCCCCGAACAAACCCAGTGAACCTCATATTTGTCCTTGCGCAGTACGCACCCAAGGTGTCAGAAATTCATCTCTACACTCCCATCGACTTCTTCGACCTCGTTATGCGATCCACACTGAGCAGCAAGAGTCGTGCCAGAGCGTTCTTGTGGATGATGTGGTGGTATTTAGAGAGTGACTTCAGTCGCGAAGCTGCTCTGAACAATCCCTTCGGTGCTGGTACGGAAGGCGAAGGGACCGATGGGATGCCTCTGAAAGTTCCTGCGCTCGAACCCTTGTCCCAAGTTCGAGCCAATGAGGAGAACGTGGACACAAGAGAAGAATTAGAATATGGAGAACAGAAACGATTGGAGCGCAAGCGTAAGTGGAGCTCAGCGGTCTGCTTTGGTCATCGTTTACTCATTTCAACAGGTATTCTAGAAGAAGACGACCCGCTACCTCGAGTCCCCAAGCGCCCTAAAAAAGGTACGTGGCTAGTCATCTGGCATCTTTTTTCCTTGTTGAAACTAACATTTTCACTTGGTGCATGATAGAACTGGGAGGATATGATGAAGACTCCTTCATGGGAGAATACTCTGGTCTTGCAGGTCGGGGCTCAGCAATGTCTACGCCCCTTCACCCTTCTGCTAAGCGGAGCTTCGAAGATGACGATGACGAGTCAACACCTGGCTCATCACGACCTCGCAGCAAGATGCCAAAACGCGAAACCTCTCTCAACCCAGCCGGTGGCCACCGTCTAATACTGAAGCCTAGTAAAATGGACCACACCCCCGATGCCTCCCCGGCACCGCAAGCTCCCAGTCATCACCACCCTCTAATGAACCAGTTCATCCCCGAGCCCTCTCTCTCTCACCCGTCATCTGCCCGTCGGCAGCGACCTTTGACACAACACCAGCTTGCTGTCGAACAAAATCGTCGACAGCGCATTGAATATTTGCTCGCTAAGCGACGAGAAATTGAATATCGCGAACTTCGCAAGAAGCGTTTGCGCGATCTTCCCTTTGCTCGTGCCACCCGCCTGCTACAAATCCTGCCGGGTTCATACGATTCAGAGAACGAGAATTCCCACAGCAAGGGGGGCCTCCTTCCCAACCCCGAGAACGAGGACGATTACGGTGAGACGGCCAACTTCTACCTCTCAGTCGTTCGAAAGGCCGCTCGACGTCTGGATCGTTGGGATGTTGAGGATTGCAACGGACCCAAGAAGGAACGCGAAAAGGAACGCGAAGAGCGACAGAAGGCCAAAGCTTTTCTCGAGGCCGATATGCGCGCTGCCAGCAAAGCTCGCGCACGACCCCGTCCCAGTGCGTCCAAGCGCAAGTCAACAGCCCTCACGGCTACACCCGGAGCTGCTAAGAAGTCGAATGGATCTTCACGTCCGAAGGACGCTAGCAATCGTCCTTCTGGTGTCGGTGCTGACATCCCCCTTGGAACTTCATCATGGGACCCCGAGACTATTGGTGGTGACGAGATGGAAGGCGAATTGGATGACCTTGATCGCGAGTTGCTCGGCGAGGGCTCTGGCGATGAAGACGGCCTTCCCCGAGCTGGTGAGGGCAATTCGTCTGATGAATCTGGAGATGAGGATGACGAGAACTCCTCAACTTACGACGGTCCTAACGGTTATGTCCGACACGAGAGTTCATCTCCTATTCCTGATGTTTCTGGGCATCGCGAAGACGCTATGGAAGAGTAAAGGCTACTTCGTTTCTTCGTCAACTATTATGACATAATATCTTTTATGTGGGGATTTATTATGAGGTTTCTGGGCACTTGGATGCAGGACATGTCTTTCTCTGTATTTTATTTTATTTACTGGGTATGCATTGAGAGATGCAGCATTAGCCATATTATCTCCTTGTTGTATTGTATTTTCTTTCTGATGTTCAATCTCGAGACTCCATAATACCTGGTGGATCGCGGAACGGGATAAGGAAATTCCGCAGTCACATGATCAGTATCCATCTTAAAAGGCGCAGAAAATTTCCCAGTTTCTTTCTTCTTCATAAATATGAACAACGCAAAAAATCACATTCATCAAAGCATTCCTACGAAGATTTATCTAATGAAGTACGGAAATCGTCATAATGAATGGAGATCGAGTACCACTGGTACAGTGTCGGTCTTGGGTGCAGTTCCTGCTGGACTTTCGGGTCCGGTAGTGGGAAGTGCAATGACTGACTCTACAGTCCTAAACTGTAAAGTTTTTTTCGTTTAGTTATCCGTGCGATATAGCATATAGCAATATGAATTATGAATTATGAATCCATTACATTGATTAATTTCCCTTCTCATTACAATTCTATTTATTTCAATTAAAAACAGTTTCCGTTTTATAGCAAGATCCCCGTGGCGAAAGAAGTCGCCGGTTTGCTGTACTGGGAAGTTTTTGATTCCAAAACCCGAAAAAGATAAAATAAAATAAAAACTTTTCAACGGTGTTGCCTTACGCTTTCAGGCTCTCGTTACTCCGAGCTCCGATGGCAAGCTGGCGGCCGATGTTTCCAAAGCACACGCATGCGCAGAAGATGACACTGGCGACCCATGTGCGGACTGCAATGCTTTCCTGAGTGATGCCTGCTCCCAGTGTGTTTTCCCACCCGGTACCATTCAGGAAGGCGCTGCCAACGGACGGACCAGTAGATGCAGGGATCAATTCTGGCTTCAGGCCTAGAATGACGCTCATTCCGGTCAGGCAAACTGTCACTGAAAGGATGAAGCCGGTCTGTGTGCGGTCGATCAGGTACCATAGGACGGGATTCGCGAGGGCGAGAGTCACAGATGCTTGGGTAGTAGACTGCCACGGGAGTCGACGCTGAAGAAGAAAAAAAAAAAAAAAAGTTAGAAACATAAACGATGAAAATGAGAAATGGGATAAGTGCTTACCATGGCAAAGGCGATTCCAACAAATGCACCAACGCTGCGAGTCATAGTCACCCAGCCTGAAGTACCGTCCGCGGCGCCATCGTTGTTGGCAAGCTTCACCTTCTCGTCCTTCTCACTCTCCCGCCAGCTATCCAACCACGGGAGGATATTTCCGAGCGCAATACCAGCCAGCCCCCAACTGAGCAAGTATTTCCACGAATCGTAGTAGTGGATATTTTCCAACTTCACGGGAGTGATCCAGTGGTTTTCGTGCAGATGAACAGTAATAATACCGTAGACGATTCCAAACCCAAACAGCAACGCACTGCTCAGCGCCTGAGGCAGGATGACGCCACGGAATAGCCCATGACTGAGTCGCGAGCGCGTCCGCTGCAGAGATAGAGGACGCGGCTCAATAGCAGACTTCAACGCCTCAGCCTGTGATGGCTCTGGTGGGAATGCTGAAGTCGGGGAATTGGCCTCTGTCCCCCAGGGGCTGGACTCGTCGCGAAGGGTTCCAAATGCAGTCGGCTGATAGATACCGTAGAGGGTTGAGGATGTCAGGTTCAAGATTGAGCCTGTGCGGCTCACGCTTGTCGATGCTGACCCTGGGTCTGTGAGACTGTTTGGACTGAGCATTTCTGGGTTGGAAGGCTCGATGGGCGTTGGGGATACGGATGATTCGTTCGAGATGGTGTTTAGGTCGAATGGCCTTCGCGGACGCGGGCGCAAAATACGAGGCTGTTCGGCCATTTTGAATGTAGTTTGGGGATGAAGAGAGTAGTGGAAGGAATTTCAATCAGGGCTAAAATGGGGAAAGGAGATTGAATGGGGGGAAACGTTAAGATCGACTGGATATGTGTCAGCGAAATACGAGGGAGAATTTAATCACAGTATACAAAGTATACATACCTGAGTGTATTATTGAGTGAGTATCCCAATGTTGAATATAATAATAATAATAACAATAATAATAATGTTCGACAGAAATGAGGATATCAGGAATTCAGCTGTTTTGAGAAAATGTACAGAATTCCCCCTTTTTATATGAAGTAGGGCTATCACATGCAATGTTACGAGTACACAGTAAGTATTCAGTACTATTATTATTTATATCCCAAAATTACCTAGTAAGGAACCAGGTATCGGATCTCGGAGCTGGAAAGCTCTTCATGTCGCCACTGGTAAGAGATATACCCCGTAGAGATTGGACTACGCCTTGATCCGATTGAACCGAGTTAGTTCTTCAAATCCACTTATTTAAATAAGATCTGTATAATAATGACGCATTTAGGGCTGTAAGTTATAGCTTTACCGTTTTTTATTCTTCTATGGCACTTAGCAACAGTATATTTTATACCTAGCATACGTCGTAGCTTAATGATGTCTGTTTTAAACCAACTATTTTGTTCAGTTAATGAAAACGCCAAGTCTTACTAGTCTAAATATTACTAATTCATCCAGTTTCATTTGTTCAGGTTCTACCATTGCAAGTATCATACTGTAGAATGATCGTGTACTTTGTATACGCCAGGTTTTAGGCTCGTCCGGTTACAGCTTTAACCTTCTCTGGTATAGCCTTCTTCTCGAAGAAATGGTGGAATATTCTTCAGCTCCCGGGTCTTCTAGCAGATCTGGATCCACATAATCCCAGACATTTGAGAAAGACTAATAGTATTGAACTACTAATTATGCCTGCCATTAGCTAGCTTATTCACACTCATCTCGGAATCGTTCAAATTTCGTCGGTTTTGGCCTACTCTCAGGGATAGTTTATATATATAATAGAACTCTCTCAACCTCTAGTTTTACAATTAAAAATGAGGGGTAAAAAATACGATAATAATCTCCGAAATCGATTCTAGCAGCGATTCGGGATAACTGTTGAAATTCTGGATGAGAATCAACGAAATAGATCATTCTCAACTATTTAACACAAATTAAACAAACATTATGACTAATTAGTCCTCGCAACCTGACTCTTCTTCAACCCGCTTCGACTTGAGCTTGAAGCTCTGAAATTCTACTGTCTTTAGCTTCATCATTTATATCAATTCACTTGAATGTCAATATGTGCAATTTAGAGGACCGAATACAGCTAGCTGATGTTTTAAATCATGAATTAATCTAGAAATAGCTAAAGTCTGATTTTCTGGTACAAGGGGGTGCAAGTATACAACATTTTCCATGGAGAAAACGATCTAGGCACGACCTCTGTTGATATTCCCTCCAGGTCCTTAACTTTCTCCATTTATCAAGCTTAAGACCCTTGATCTCGATCTTCTCGGCAATGAAGTCACCTGCTATGTTGGACCAACTTTCAAGAAACCGAAGATCAACATCGAGGGGTCCTAATCATCGTCACATTCTTCGCCTGGAAGTAACCCGTCTATTTCCCAAGACTCCCATTCGCCCACAGCATTATCCCATGGCCATTCTTCCACATTCACGTCTGGCTTTGGTAATTCCGCCTTTGTCTTTCGACAAAGAGTCACGATGCCAAGACCTCCGCCATTCTGATTTAACGACGAAGCTGGAAGGATGATCTCCCATTGGGGTGTTGCCCCCTCATCCCACACAATCCGAATGTCAGTTGTCGGATCTCCACCCATGGTAGTAATATATCGATCCATCAATGCCGAGTTGTCCGCAAAATCCTCGAATCCATCGCTGCCCTCAAGGATCGCATACGCGGGCATTCTGACTTTTTTCGCTTTGGCAAATGCTTTTTTATCTGCTGCGATGAGACAGTAGCTATACATTGATAAGATTCGAGAATTAGCGACTTCTTGTCCTCCCCAGAGTTAGTTACCTACCTAGGTAGGTAACATTGAAGGTCTACGGGTACCTCCAGGGCTTGGTATAAACATTGTACTTACTGGTCTCCTTCATCTACTTCCCAATCACCAATTCCTGGCGTCATGTAAACACCTTTGCCATACCTTGAGAACTCAGAACTTGAATAATTAGGGTTATAGACAAGGGTGTTCCCGGCATTGTCATACTCTTCGGCTTGTCCCTGGATTATTGAAACTCTTAGCGGAGAAATCACTACCTGGATTAGATGGAGCTCTTACAGGAACAACTGTCCGATAGCCAATGCATATCTTGTCCCCGAAATTGAAAGCGGAGACGAGTGCTATGCAAAGAAAGGCAGAACCCAGCCGAGCTATTCTTGCTGCCGCCATAGCACAAAATCGACTGCTGAAACCTTGGGATTTCTTAAGTCAGACCAAATAGGCAGGAGGTCACACATAAGTCTTTTATATCTATGGCGTTTCTACCCTGCAGGATCAGCCCCCATGACTGTGGGATGTATGGGGCACCAGTCTTATCCACTTTCATTACTTCCTTCAAATTTCAGCCCTATATACTTGATTTGATTCCCTGGTCTACTTATGCTTGATCGGGCAACGCCCTTCTTTTTTTATATCTACTATGGAGTCGACTAGACCTTATAAAGGTGGGTTTTCAATTGGTAGTGTTTTTCCTCCATCAGATCCATCTTACAGGATAGACCTAAAAGACAAGCCGAGGACTCGCATCGCGAAAGGCTGGACCCTACGCCAAATCAACTTTCTTTTATAAGCATCTATTTTTGCATCGAGCTATGCGCTTCTTTTGTCGAGTATCCATTTTCGTGATAGGCTTTTCCCTTTTCTCCCCTTCCTGACTTAGCGATTGGAGAAGTATGACAATCGTCAATATAATTCAAAGCAAATCCAAGCAATAGTTAGCGTTAGCCCTCGACCTCAAGAGAAAAGACCTGACCACGTCAAAAGTTGCTTCTCGATTGGAGTCTAATTGATACCGGGTTCGTCAAATGTGTTAGTCAGGCTACGCTAGGTACGCTCATTTACTAAAACGATAATGGCAATGTCATCAGCTTTCAATCGACGGACGAATTTACGCCGAAGAACCCACTCTAGTTTTTTTTCTCTAGTTTTTTTTTTCTTTCTCCGGGACTAGCTGCCAGAAGGCGCTAGGGGCCAAAATAAGATCTTCCTCTGTATCTTTTGGTGCCGATTATTGGCTGTTACTAGCCACTCTATATACGTATCATAGTGGATGCAGATTGGCGAATCCTGGCTGTGATGATATACAAAGGGACGGGTATTTGGAAAGGGCGAAGAATCCGCCAAGAATCCATAAGGACGGATTGAGTATTCCAGGAACTCAGGGCCCGCCACAGGTTGCAGAGGAATCCTGGGGGGTCGCTGGGATTCAGGAGGAATCAATTCTTCAGGCTATCAGCGCCTTCAAAAATGGAGAGTACCCTTCAATATCATCGGGCATCAACAATCAACTGAGTAAGCTTTTGGCGTAAATATAGTTAACTACTTGCATTAAGCCTTAGATAATCATTTTGATAAGACTAGTTTATAAATTGGGGTCGGAAAAAACTAATGGATTATCATGAGAGCTACGGAAGAAGATTGTCTCTGGAATGAGTATAAATAGAGAGTCTATTACTGTGGTTAAAGTTATCTCAACTCCATAATATCCTCTCTGGCATCTGCCAGAATCATGTACTCCAATACCTAGCCCTGGAGATATATACATAAAAATCTAGGTAGTTAGGAATTTCATGATCTTGGAGGTCCTAGTATTAGACCATTTTCTAGAACCTTTAGAACCTGAGCCTTTAGAATATGCATATCTATTTGTGTTGACGGATAATTGGATATTCAATTCCAAGGTTCTCGTGTAAAGAAGAGGGGGAAAGAAGCTAAAAAGAATCTTTGTCCTTTCGCCTAACTTGAGATTCAGATGAATATGTTCAGAAGGTATTTCGCGAAGTTCAAAGATTATGTTTTAGGTCTACTGGTAGTAATTTTGATGAATTTTGGGTGATGAAAGATGAGATGAGGCAGGAGATGGTATCACAGATGAGCTAAATGATATAGCCTCCTCTATAACAATCCGCAGTAAATCGTGCGCGTACCAAGAAACGAATACAATAATGTGATAGAAAGGGCGTAGAATTTGATGGCCTAGTAATCGGTGGAAGCCAAGTGCCAATCATACCTAGATACCCAGGCAGTGCCATATTACGTCAAGGCGCTAAAATGGACATTTTTACAAGGGGATAGCCTAACCTCCGTCATCGGGCATATACCTACTTAAGTACATATGCACATTCAAGGAGAAAATTATACCACGTTACACAAGTACAATAAGTCCAAGGTTGCAGGTACAAGGTAACTACATTGCCTCTCTGATAGCGAAATTAGGGCTAAACTTCCCCGCTTTCTTCACCTGGGCATCCTAACTAGGTAACGAACTACCTTGGTCCTTGAACTTTGACCTCGTCGTAATTCATGACTCAAGTTTACAAGTATGAAGCCTGAGGACTAGTATTAATTTAACATTTGAAGGCAATGGTATCAAGCTTCCGTCTTGTTAAAATCAAGGGTCCAGCGAGATCACCTTGGTCGAGAGGCATGGGTAATCTTGTTTACCCCGCTGTCGCGCTGGGATATATCATTGTTGATCATCAATCATGCAGTAACAAAATATGGTAAGAAAGATATGTGAGATCATCATCTTTGTTATGTGATTACTTCACTGCTTTAAGTCAACATAATTCACGTTTCACTTATAGAAAGTCAAGTTTTTACATCGTCCAAGGGACTTCCAAGGTTGACACCTGGGCATGCTTAGGTAGGTGGTGACAGAGGTATACCCATCACTTGACATAGGTTACCTTCGAAAGTTGTACAGAGGAAAGAGAAATTTGGAAATTGGAGAAGAGAAAGACCTCGAGAAAGGAGTGAGGCTGAAAGAAGGGTGAAGCATAAGTGATGTACATAAAAATGACTATCAAACAAGCTAGAAGAAAAAAAAAACAGACAAGAACACTTTTGACCTGATAACGCCATGCCTATATGCGCAGTCTACCGCTTCGTCGTTGACAAGACACCCTCGCCACGGTTGATCTGGATGCGCTTGTCCTCTCCTGCGCTGACAATGCCCACCGTCTCATCCCAAGCCACACTGAACACCTTAACACCCTCACCGCCGACTCGCTTGGAGTCAAGCTTGCCTTCCTCCTCGAGACTCTTCCGGCCAATAGAGTACACGCTTTCACCAACGACTCCATCCTTCTCGGTCTTGGTCGACCGGATATCCCAGATACGGCACGTACCATCGTGACTACCACTGATGAGGCCGTACGTGCTGTGAGGATCTCGGGCCAAGCTCACGACAGCATTGGTGTGGCCGCGGAGAGTCATTGCTGCCACAGTAGTGGCCGATGCACGCGGGTCGATCAAGGTGATGTGACGGGCAGATGTACCGGCTGCCAGGAGGTGATGTTCGGGGAGATGTTCGAGGGAGAGAAGCGAGTGAGAGGTGGTGCGAGTGTCGACCAGAGCAGCAGTGACCAAATCCCAGGTTCGCAGGGAGTGATCCCAAGAGGCAGAATAACCGACGGTAGAATCCCTCGCATCGAAGATGGCAGCGGAAACTGGACCTGTGTGCGCTGACAACAGAGCCAGAGGACCACGCTGTGCGGTGCTCACGGAGGAATTAAGCTTGCGTCGCTTCGATGTCCGGGAGGCGTTGGATGGGAGCAAGTTTTCTGGAGCAGCAGGAGCGTCGGACTTTCTCGTAGACCAGAATCCAACATTATTGTCAGAGGAGCCGGTCAGAAGGCGGTTGGATGGCGCATGCACGGCCAAAGACTCAATTCCAGACTTGTGTCCGTAAAGCTCCAGCTGAGGGGAAATCTTGGCGGAAAATCCACCCTCTTCCTCGGTATACTTCCATAATCGGACGGTGCGGTCAAGACCAGCCGATGCGATCTGGGTTGGCGAAACAAATTTGGCGGCCTTGATAGAGGCAGAGTGACCTCCTTCAGTGGCAGCGGGTGAAGTTGCGATCGTCTCAGATGACATGGTCCATACACGCAGCAAACCGTCATAACTTCCTGACAAGATCCTCTCTTGGCCCTTGGAGAAGGTAGTACCGGAGGCCCAGGAAGCAGCAGGTGAGGATGCGGAGAGCACATCAGTGGCACTGACCCAGTCGTCGTGCTGGAAAGATGCGATGTGAAGGGGTGGAATCAGAGCTCGCACATACTCGATCTCCAGAGTGGTTTCGGCAGAGATACCATTGGCAGTCAGATATTCATCGATCGAAGTCCGTAGAAATGTTCCGTTGATCAAAAACTCGAACGGGACGGGTTTCTCGCTGCTAAGCAGGTTGTTGACCAATGTTGACAGTGCATATCGTCGCAGGCCTGAGAAAAATTAGATGTTAGTATTGAGAATGCATCACAGTATATAATGCAGGGAGTTTTTACCAGTGGGGACGAGGATGGGACCGGTGCTATCAGGCAGAGCGACATCTTCTTCTTTGCTCGTGAGCTGCACACGAACTTGTCTCTGTACAGGCTCAGCGGCAGTGGAAAGCAGGTCTTCACTCATGGCGGGTAAAGACTGTCCAGAATTGGTGTTGGTAGACTTTGTTCTGTCGCAAATTACTAGCGGAAGAAAAAATTTACGGTGACCGAAGCGGCACATAGCGCAGGGCGGAGAGTCTCGACGGCTAAATTAACTACGAATATTTATTTAACGCATTTAAGTATTAACCTCAGCTCATCATAAATGTAGGCTGGTCTCTAGAGTTTAACTGATTGTCAGATCTCTTGATAATTACTCCATTCTTAATTTCTTATAGAGCTTAGAAGTTCGGCTTTGAATGACTGATGAAAGTTTTAATTGCCTAGTAAAATAATCTAACATACTATAGCTCACAATAAGTTATAAATAATTTTAAGATTGTTCAGTATGCAAAGCACGCAGTCTTCAATCTATTATAATTTGTTCTGCCACACAGGCTGCTTCAAATGCTTCCCCGATCCTTGTTGACTGCTGCTATATTGACACTGCATTCGAAATATGCTCTATAAGATGTGATTTGGTTGTAAATCTATTACCACACAGGCAGCATTCGATGGCTTTCCGGTCCTCGAGTACCTTGATGCACACTGCGCTCAAAGTATGATCTATAAGGATTTGTTTGGATGTGAATTTCTTGTTGCAAAGGTAGCATTCGAAGCTTCTCCGGTCTTCCAGTGTGGCAGTGCCTTGATACACACTACGGTCGAGATATGTTTCGTAACCCTAAATACACCTTTTCGCACCTGTACACAATTTGGACACTCCGATAGCAACTCCCGAAGCACACAGCTGATCTTGCAAGTCTCCATAGTTCGAAGTTCTTCCGACACTGCAGTCTTATCATATAGGCCAGTCCAAAGAGATCTCCCTAAACCAGGGTATTCTTGTCGCTTTACCTACCTATTCAACTAGGCGGTTAGAACAGACTCTATAAGTAGGCAAAGTAGACGAAGTCTTGTTAACTCCTGGCTGTCGCCACATAAACTCGTCTTAGGAATCGATAAAAGTCGAACCCAAAATGTTGTATGACACACTACCAACTATTAAGCGCTTAAAGCGACCCCTAAAATCGATAGGTATCTATATTTGGAATATCAAAATAATATGTATAGTTTTTTTATAGTTTTTTTTTTCGCGGTTTTCGCTAATAGCTTTGATGTCTCCCGGTCTACTTTTCTCCTCAAAAGACCATGTATTGATGTCGCGGACCCTATATAGAACTCAGGCGATCGATCTTCCCACACAGGGATTGATAACGCTCCTTATACACCAGAGTCGTCGGTCTGAGCCAACCAAGCTCTATAAGCTCGTTTATTGTTGGTGGTCGCTCTCGCTGAAACAAACCCTTCAAGAGTGGGTTCAGATAGTAAGCAATTTTGCTGACCCTGTCTCGTAGACTATGCTTCGACACAAGTATTCCGTTGTGCGACATGCTTTGCAGTCCACTCAGGACAACCCTGCTTCACGGCATCTTCAATGTGGTCAATCAACCAACTTGGTTCATCGAATCGGCGTGGTTTCATTGGCTCTGTCAGCTGTGTTCGATAAGCCCCAACTTGATCTGCCTTGAGAGCTTTTAATAATCCTCCAGGATATCTTTAGCCTCTGCGAAGAACACACCTGCAGCCATCTCAACTTCTTCTCCATCATCATTATAATCTTCATCATCGCCCAGGCCATATCGTCATCATCTTGTTCAAGCGCCTTGCTAAATCCATTTCGAGGTCTGAAGCAAAAGCAGGACGGTTAAATAACAAGCTCAACTTGCCCCCTCCTCAACACACGTGATGGAACATCCATTGCCAACGAACAATTCATAATATATCTATTTTACCCTATGTCATTAGATCATTTAAAGATCACATTGCGTCATAGGCTACAAATGGGAGCTATTTCATCAATTCGTATATTTAATAGTACTTTAATGTTGGTGAATTGGTGGCTCAGGTTCAGTGTCCATCATTATCTCCTGGGATTTGAATCGATTATCTATATAGTGGGTTACTTTCAGCCCTACCCGAAATTGTGACTAATCAAATCGCATATTTGATAGGTGCTATGCTTAGTTTGGGCAATGCCAAGAATACCCGTGGACTGTCAACCACTTTCAATATTTAGCTGATCTAGCGTCAGATCGCCGATGCTTTCAGTATAGAGAGCCTAGGCATATGGCCAATGACTGCCTAAACAGCTTTCAATCTTCACGCCTATATTCTCAATATTAACCACCTCGTCAGTCCTCTCTCGCCGCCGGAAGCGCTCTTAGTCTCCTAGCTTCATCCACAATAAGGAGCAGACTCTCACCAATATACCACCAGCAATATCGGCAAATAAATTCCTGGGAAATCTGGATATTGTTCCAGTTCCAGATTGAGTGTCCTTAGATCTTGTTTTCGCTTTCCCTTGGCAGGCTTGGGTCAAGCCGATCATTATCAAGTTATTGTTTCTAGGTTGATTCTCGCGCCTGGTACTATAATTGCATCTTTATGCTAGAATATAGAATTATCATGTATCATTATTAACCACTCAACTTCCAAAGTTCTAAGGTTGACACTTTAGGTCTCCTAGCCCTCGCCTCAACCACCCTAGACAAGTCAGTATGGCAGCTAGTAGCTTCCCTAAGGCTTATGGCCCTGAGCAATATGAGAAATTAGCTGTCGTCTCAATGTCGATTCCGCAAAGAGAGCCTCAATCAGGTCGACCAGCTCTTCTATGGAGAACTCTAGACTCAATTCGCCTTCAATCCAGAGGAATTTGATATCGGCTAGGGAGCTTTCCAGAATATTGACCAGGTACTGAAACCGCAGCCAATTTGGAACATACACAGCGGTGACTGGTAATGCCCCAGTATCACCGGTAGTTGTAGGCATGAATAGGTCCTCCAGTTTGGATACCTGGTTGCAAAACAAGACCAGCTGTTTAGACTGATCTTCGGAAATGTCGCCTAGATCCTCCACGTCTATAATGATCTTGCTGATTACTGTAGACAGTAGGGATCCGATTGACTGAAGCAGGGCAGAATGCGACAGGATGGGCTGCCACTCCTTGTAGACATCGCGAATACGGTCAACAGTGGCGCTTATGGCATTTTCGCATTCCGATTTGAACGGCTGTTCTGAGCATTGTCCAAACCCTTGCGTGCCGTCAAGCAAATCTGTAACGACAGTGCTCTGAGTCTGCATTTCCCTGCTGTATGCATTCTTGCCAAATTTTTCGAGAGCTTCCACATCGGAACTGAGCCTAGTTAATTCATGTTGCTCCACCAGCTCGCGAATTAATTCTGCAAGGTATAGACTGTCGTTATAAAGATACATCTGCCCTGAATTGAGCTTCAGTGAATAAAAAGAAGCAGATGTAGCCTTAAACATGGCGACAATCAAAGTAGGAAGTGCGAGCAGGCCAGTACCTGACGAAGCCACGCGTGAATTAGAATGCCTAGTGAAGATTAGTACGATAGGATAAGAAAAAGAGATTGCCTGTGAAGACTTACGGGGCCTTCAAGATATCCTTGGAATCGGCAACTTGTTGCTGTATGATCTGAACGACCAAATCTGGGATATCGGTAACGGTATAGACTTCCTTCAACGTCACCTCCCTGGGGGATGACTGGGATGATTTGTCTCCGGTATTTGGCCTGTATGATGCAGGAGCAGGAGTTTTCGCTTCTTGATCCTTTTCCTCTCCATCATCATCACCCCAGCCCCATGCGTCATCCGCGTCATCTTCTTCGGTTGAAACGGCTGCATCAGATTGGGTATCATCGTCAAGTCCCCATGCACTGACATCTTCCTCTTCATCTTGAGGCTGAGTATTTTTCTGGTTGGCAGTGTCTTCTTTGTCATCGTCCCAGTTGGCATCCCAATCATCACCTGTGGCATTATCAAGTAAGGCTTCATCAGCCTGTGAAACCTTCTCCTTCTCCACTCTTTCAACTTGCTTGGTGGTGCCCTTACTGGCAGCAAGTGCCTTTCGCACGCTATCAAGAGAATCAACGCGGCGGCGTGTCAGCCACAAGCGAGGAGCTTGATTTACCCAAGAGACAAGCTCCTCTTGTCCGCTCCACCCCCAAGATTGGATAGTATTGGTGAACTGCAAAACATAATCTAGTGTTCTTTCAAACTCGTCCAGGCCTTCGAGATTTGTTGGAATCGAACCAGACAGCCACCCAGCTATTGCTTTTGAAGAAACAGCTGGAATGAAAGCTTGGGGAAGAGTTGCCGCTATTGCCGATGGAAGATTCTGTTTTAAATAACCGAGAACGCTTGAGGTATACTCAAGAACTTCCGCAACATTGCTCTTCTTGCGCTCAGGCTGAACATATATTCCAGTGTCAGTGACAGTGACACCATGACTGCTGCCATCTGAGCGCGGCAGCAAGATTGGATCGATAATTGCCGTCGCAAGGTCCGTCTGGAATTTCTCGATCGCAGGTAGTAGAATATCTAGCCGCGACATTGACACAATTGTCTCCGCCAAAGAGCCCGCACCTTCAGCCTCGTCGACTTGAAACTCGCCTTTTGTGCGATCAATTCTCATCTGCACGCTCCAACGTATAAGCAAATAGTCTTCAATTTCCTGTCGGAGTCTTGCGACCTCGACAGTAAGTATAGCCATCACATTGCTGTTATTGAAGAAGGTATCCGTTTCTATGGCCTTGTCTGTGGACTCTAACTGTTCAATTGCGGTAGTAATTTCACCGAGCTGTAGAGCAATGCGTCCAGCCTCGAGCTGCTGACACAGTCGCTGTAATTCCTCTAGTGTCTCAGCCACAGCTTCATTGAAGGATATCTCTGTCTCAATCAGCCCCACTTTGGCCTTCGCATCCTCCACCTTAGCATGAAGGGGCTTGGTGAATTCATGTTGGGCCACAATTTCCCGGGCAGTCGTTCTCGAGCGTTCAATGTCAGCATGTAACTGTTTTGCTTGACTGATCCAGTTGTCGGTATCAAATGTGTTTGCGACGCCGAGGGAGCTGATTTCGTTCTATTGAACAAGTCAGTACTTGATGGTGATTACAAAGAAAGACAAAAAGCGGAGATAGATACCTCTACTTCCTCACGGGCCTTGGATATAAGCTGCAATTCTGTCGCAAGAGCCGAGGCCGGAAATTCAGCAGCTACGACCTTCTCCTCTGGGTAAGCTCCATCAGTGACGAACCCCAACACAGCCTCACAGACCTCGGTCTCAGAGACCTGCAGCGCCATGACAGGTAAATAGATAAAATAGGAGCTTTCCAAAGATGAAGAAATCGGCGTGTAAGAATTGTGGAAGTTTGCGCGAGATGATTGGAGAAGGCAAGCTGTCAACAGTCTTGGGCCATCAACGACTCACCGCCTCAGCAACTTGCATCTCTGCGTTGTTTTCGCGGGGTCCAATAAGCAAAGATAGAAAGCGAGAAGAGAAGCATATAGTTGGCAAGAGAAGATCTATTTAGCCCAAATTACTAATTCTACAGCTCAAAACTCCAGGTCTAAGGAGGTAATTCATATTTATGTGAAGACCCTCGCTTTGTAAGGAACGGGAACCAAACTTCCCTTGAATTCGAGATCTTCAACTTCATCAACCCACAGTGTCTCGGTTTTATTGGTGTACTCTGAGGCGAGTGAACTTTAATCGGTCCTTGTGAGTCAAATTATTCTGATCTATCTATTTGAATCTATCGTGCCCCGCCAAATCTTCCTTCGTGCCCGCAGTTTCAGCCTGTTGGGGCCAGACTTGCTTGTATTCCTTTTTCAATCCTTGACTTCCCGTCTCTTGGGTTCACGGACCGTATATGACATTGTGTTTTCTCCTGAAAGCTTCCTTGGAGCGTTTTTTGCCGTGTCCTCGATCAAAGGCCGTTGCGGAACTTTTCTACTGTCACGTTGGGGCATTAGCTTCGAATATAGAAGACTTTAGCTAACAAAAGGCATAGAACGACAGGTTTTTGGAAGATCTCCACTGGGCTCGCCCCATTAATCAAGATGCCGTCCTCCGTGCAATCAAGTCATTTCAAACTGCTGCAGCAGTTCAAGCCTGACTATTCGGCTAGCGAATTCGCCGAGTATGAATCTCAGAGGACTGGAATGCGTGTGGTTGTCATTGACCAGAAGGGTCCGAAAGTAAACGGATATTTTGTGCTGGCCACCGAAATTCACGATGACTCCGGAGCTCCTCACACGCTGGAGCACCTCTGCTTCATGGGATCTCGAAACTACCAGTACAAGGGTTTCTTGGATAAGCTGGCTACCCGTGCATATTCGAGCACCAACGCCTGGACTGCCACAGATCACACTGCCTATACCCTTGATACAGCAGGCTGGGAAGGGTTTGCCCAGATTCTACCAGTCTACCTTGAGCACGTCATTGCCCCAACACTGACTGATGAGGGCTGCTACACTGAGGTACACCACGTTGATGGAACTGGAAATGATGCCGGTGTTGTATACTCAGAGATGCAGGGTGTGCAGAACAATGCGGCTGAGCTTATGGACCTCGCTGCTCGGCGTTTGACCTATCCTGAGGGGGTTGGGTTCCGCTACGAGACTGGAGGCATGATGGAGCAGCTTCGCGTATTGACTGCGGAGAGAATCCGAGAGTTTCACCGTGAGATGTATCAGCCTAAGAATCTTTGTCTGGTTCTTACTGGTGAGGTGGACCAGCAGAATTTGCTGGACATCTTGGATAAATTTGAAGATACTATCCTAGACGTTATCCCCAGTCCTAGTGCTCCATTTAAACGCCCGTGGGTTGATTCAAAACAGGCACCGGCCCTGGAGAAATCCGTCGTCCAGAAAGTTGAATTTCCCGAAGAGGACGAGTCGTTTGGTGAGATCGAAATCCGGTTTTTGGGACCGGATTGCAATGACCCTATTCAATGTAAGTTTTCATTGAATTTCTTTTCTTCTTGATAAATATAAGCTCACATAATCACAGCGGGAGCTTTAAACGTAGCTCTCTTGTACTTGGCCGGATCATCTGCCTCTCTACTTGAGAATGTTATTGTTGAAAAGGAACAGATCGCCAGCGCAGTCTACTACGCAACTGAAGAGCATCCTAACATGGAAATCCGCTTTACTTTGACCAGTGTGGAGACCGAGAAGCTGGAAGAGGTAGAGAAGAGATTCTTTGAGATCCTGAAGGGTGCCATGGACAAGGGAATCGACATGAAATACTTGAAGGAATGCCTTGACCGCCAGCGGCGTACGTGGAAGTTCACCACTGAGAGCTCTGCAGCATCCTTTGCAGAATACGTCATCACCGACTTCTTGTTTGGAAAGAGAGACGGCTCGACTCTGCGTGACGTCGCGACTCTGAAAGAATACGAAGTGCTCGAGAAATGGGAGGAAGATCAGTGGCGGGATTTCATTAAGAAATGGATCGCCGATGCACCTCACGTTTCGATTCTGGGGGTCCCATCCCAAAATTTGTCTGAGAAATTTAAGAAAGACGAAGAGGCTCGCGTTGCTGCTCAGAAGGAGCGTCTCGGCGAAAAGGGTCTGAAAGAGCTCGCTGACAAGCTTGAAAAGGCAAAGGCCGAGAATGACCGGGAGATCCCCACGGAGATGCTGGCCAAGTTCAAGATCCCGGGTACTGAATCTATCCATTTCACGGAGACAATTACTGCCCGATCAGGCGCTGCTCTGAAGGCTGGACGCCCCGATCATGCGATTCAAAAAATAATCGATGTCGACGCTGAAAAGGCCGCCTTGCCACTTTTCATCCATTTTGAGCACATTCCCAGTAGCTTCGTACAATTGGCTGTTCTCATCTCTGCGCAGTCTGTTCCCATTCAGCTGCGTCCTTTGTTGTCGATTTACACTGAGGCCTTCTTCAACATTCCAGTTGAGAGAGATGGCAAGACCATTGATTTCGAGCAAGTGGTAGTCGAACTGGAGAAGGATACTGTTGGGTATTCGATGGAGACTGCTCGCAGCCTTGGAAACTCTGAGATGCTTCGTGTTTCTTTCCAGGTCGAGCCTGAGAAGTATGAAACCGCCATCGCCTGGCTACAGGAGTTGTCATGGAACACCATCTTTGATGCTGAGAGACTGAAAGCTATCACCACACGTCTGTTAGCCGATGTTCCTGACTCAAAGCGCAGTGGTGATGATATGCTCATTGCAGTCCATGTAATGGTTCACTACGCAGAGGAATCCATTGTCCGGGCCCGAAACACATTGGTTAAGGCACGTTACCTCAAGCGCGTCAAGCGTCTGCTCGCTGAGAAACCCGAGGAGATTGTGAGCCGCATGGAGGAGATCCGCAAGTCGCTCTTCCAGCCGGAAAATGTGAGAGTGATTGTCATCGCAGATCTAGAGAAGCTTCCCCAGCCAGTATCGGCCTGGAAGCCTTTCGCCGAGCGTCTGGGAGCCAGCGATTCCTTGAACCCCATCCCTAACCGTCGTGCTCTGCTGAGCGATACTGGCAGGTCCATTGGTGGCAAGTCATACATCGTCCCCATGCCAACTGTTGACTCGTCCTTCGCGTACGCTACCGCTCGTGGTCTAGATTCTTACGATCATCCCAAGTTGCCCTCCCTATTGGTTGCTACTGCCTATATGAATGCTGTTGAGGGTCCTCTTTGGGTTGCCGTCCGTGGTAAGGGTCTGGCATACGGTACCAACTTCAGCCACAATATCGATACAGGCTATGTCAACTTTGACGTGTACCGGTCTCCGAACGCCCAAAAGGCCTTTGAGGCCAGTAAGCAGATTGTTGAGGACTATCTTTCTGGAGCCAGTGTTTTTGATCCGATGATGCTGGAGGGTGCTATCAGTAGCATTGTGGTCAGCTTCGCCAACGAGCAGATGACCGCTGCGAGCTCTGCCCAGGGCAGTTTCATCCGCCAAGTTGTGCGCGATCTGCCCAGCGATTACAAAGAGAGAACCCTCAAGAAAGTTCGAGACATCAGTATCGATGAGATCAAGGAGGCTCTCCGCGATATCATCCTGCCGCTGTTTGATGCCAAGACGGCCAACTTTGTCGTCACTTGTGGTACTGTTCTGGAGGAGGTAAGCAATTATTGGCTTCATTCGTCATAACATTCAATTTGCTAATTCTGATAAACAGCCCATCAAACAAGGCTTCGAGGCTTCCGGATTTACTCCCGTTGTCAAGGCTCTCAAGGATTTTGAGGACGACTACGGCTTTTTTAAGACTGACGGCGATGAAGAAGAGGAAGACGAGGAAGAAGAGGAAGACGATGACGAGGATGAAGATGATGAGGACGAATTGGAAGAAGAAAGCGATGAGGAAGATGATGAGTGATGCGCTTCATGAATTGAACTCTAGACTAGGTGGCCTAAGTAGATATATTTTATCCAATGGAGTCATCAGAAATTTGGAATGTTTCTTTATAATTGAGAACTGAAAAACGGCTATAAATCAAGACAATACGAATCTCAAATGTCTCAGATGCCTGGAGTACATGGAAGATAGATATGATACAAGGTCGAATGAACGACCTGACATGTGCAGCCGATGTCTCTGGGGGCTGTCCCTGTCAACAGACTCATCCACCAAGCCTGAAGTCTCCGCAAATTACTCGGCACCACCAAGTTAATTTACCAACTCACATTCCTACGACCCTTAAGTCGTCGCCGAGTAATAATTCTCCGTCCGTTATGAGTCTTGTTTCGGGACAAGAATCCATGACGGCGCTTCTGAACTCGCCGCGACGGGTTGAAGGTGTTCCGGGGCGCGCCTAGAGCTGCAGATGCGGAGAATGAGCGAGCTTGCTCAGGCTGAGTCTGTGAAAACAGTGATAGAGTTGGTGTCGGCGAGGAAAGCCGAGATGTGAGAGACTGCGTCGTCTGAATTGGTTGGCGGGCTGGGGTTGAGAAGAGGATTGAGGAGAAGGGTCTGGAAGAGAGGAGGGACGATGGGGCCACTTGTATCCGGGGAGCGAATTGAGAGGCTCTGCGTGAAGGTTGATTAGCCCTAAGTTACTTGATGTACTGCTTGCTTTCGTGATTGGTGTTGGTATTGGTGTTTGGAGATGCGGATTATCGTACCTGTTCATCGGAGATGACGGGTTCATGGGAGCCCGCATTGTGGGCAAGGCCCTGCGGAGGCAGAACATGACTTTATAGATTGGTGGTTGGTTCTGTTGGTCTAGATGGTTGGAATTGAGCCAGGTCTTGATGGCCGGAGTCCACTTCGCGGTGTTCGGAAGTCGAAAGAAAATTAAGCGCGGAGCCGCAGGCACGGACCCAGTCAGTCAACTGGTTAGTACTAGCAGTATGTCACAGCACCTTAATGCTGATACAGTAGAAATAAAATAAAACATTGAATTTATAATCTTTCGCTATATTTCAATACATCCATACTTTTCCTTGATATCATAATGCTAGCTAAGTCGATAAAATCTCATATATCCATCTACGATAATCAGAGTATACCCGATCAGGACTAGCGCCACCAAAACTTTTTCAATTTCAATGCGCCAACGACCAAATCAACCAACATTTAAAAGACCCATTTTGTCTCAAACTCGCTGTACAGAGACCGGAACACACAGAAAGACACCTGCCTTGTCTCCATATACGGAAACATCCATCAATCACTTCCCTAAGCGGCCATTGATCCCAACCAACCAAAATGACCACCCAAGGCCCTTCCGCTCTCCCTCCAACTATCGTCCACAGCAGCAAGACAATCAGCCAATCCGCCGCGCATGACTTCCTGACCGCATACCTGGACCGCGCGGCCAACGACCCCGCCCTCCAGCCAAATGCCAGCATCAGCGAACATGGCCCGGTCTCGCGCACGACTGCCGCCGCGCCCAACCTTATCCTCCATAATCTGAAGCGCGTGCAAGCGGGTCTGGCTGGTGAGATCCTCGGCCAGGATCTGACTGTTGCTAAGCAGAACCCCAATGAGACCTTCCTTGATGTTGCGGCTGGTGCAGTGACGAATGGAAATGAGGAGGTGGATGGTGATGAGCAGGACCATGATATGGAGGAGTTTGAAGCTGAGGCTGAGGCTTTCCAGGAGCAGGAGCTGTCGCAGGCTGATGTTGATAAGGAGGAGCGGAAAAAGAAAAAGAAGGAGAGACGATTGGCTGAGAAGAAGGCCAGGGCTACTAAGACGGAGTGATTTCTTCTTTTCTAAAAAAAAAAGCATCTTTTCTGGTCAGTGGCGTTGCATTGGGTTGGAGTTTTCTGTTTTCATGTATTCTTGTTTAGGATCTATATCACATCAATTACAGAAGATTTTTCATCTTTCAAAAGCTGTCATTTATCAGGTAGATAGATGCCTTTGTTTCTAGAAAAGCAAAATAGCTATTTTTTCTTCCGGTAGTTCATTTATTTTATCTGCTACATGACTGTAATAAACCTCCTACTATATAAGGAGGGGTGAGTTAAGAAACTACCGTCACGACTTATTTAAAGTTCGCGGCCAGTGGCCTTGGTCTCGCTGGACACCTTGCTGTCTTCATCCTTGAGATCGGTGACCTTTCCGCCCTTCCATCCAAGCGCACCAAGACGCTCGGTGAGAATAGGGTGCGAGAAATGGTAGCTGGCGTACATCCAGTCAGCATCCATGGTGCTCAGATTCTGAATCTGCAGCTTAACAAGCGCGGAAGCAAGCTCATCTGAGTATCCAAGACCCTGGGCGAAAGCATCTGTGATACAAAATTAGCGTCTATATTCTTTGTCGAGAGATGAATGGTTAGATTGAATCATACCAGCTTCAAACTCAAACTTGCGGCTCAGAATGTTCATCAAAAGCTTAACGACGGCGTCCATGGGGGCCAGAGCGTCTGAAAACAAAAGGAATCCAATCATGATGGGCTGTTCCTTCAGGAAGCCGAAGGACTGGTAAAGAGACTTGTTGTTGACGAAGACCGAGAAAAGGGCAAAGATATAGAACATGTGGGCCTAGATAATTCAATGAGTGACAGCTCATAGACTACCAACATTGGTCTGATGTATCTTGAAACCTACCTGTGCAATACCAAAGAGCTTGGTGGTGTGGCTCAGACTCCAGTGGCCAAGTTCATGGCTCAGGACAGCGACAACCTCCTGTGGCTCGCTCTTTTCAATGAGGGTATCATAAATGACAATGTGCTTCTTCCATGGTAGACCATAGAAGTAAGCGTTGCTGTGAGAACTGCGCTTGCTACCATCAATGACATGGAGCTCTGAGAGTGGGAACTTCAGCTTCTTGGCAAGATCTTCAACGCCGGTCTTGAGAGCACCAGGTTCCAGAGGAGACAGTTTGTTGAACAGAGGTAGGATCACGATAGGGTAGATGGTGATTGCAAAGACCTGGACGACGATACCGAAAAGCCACAGATAGTAGAAGAAGGAGTGACCAGTCTTCTGGACGATTGTGAGTAGCCCACTAATAATGGGAGCTCCGAGAACAATTCCCAGAATCTGGCCTTTGATGATATCCGTCACCCAGAGCTTGACCGTCTGCTTGTTGAACCCAAATTTCTCCTCGAGGACGAAGGTACTGTAGTACGAAACCGGCAGGGAAATGATTGTTGAAATAAGGCTAAACCCGAAAACGAAGACCAGAGTCTGAGTGATTTCACCTTGGAACTTACTGGGCAAGTACTGCGCCAGCAGAACGCCACTGACGCTCCATAGCTTGGGCAGAATGTCACCGTAGATGAATGCGAGATTTTGAATTTGACCGTAGAGACCCGAAATGAAAGAAAACTTGGCCTTTGCGCGACCGTATGCCTAAATGATGGGTTTTCTGTATAAGCAAAGTGTTTAGTTTCGTCACTTGCTCTTGTATTGTCCTTACCTGACTCTGATCGAAGACCTTTTCAGAGACCTCTTCTTCAAGCACCTTTGGGATTGTCTTACGCTGCAGGTACTTGTACTGACGGAATGAGAGGATGTTCTCAAGAAGGAACTGGCCCACAGAGAACCCCACGAGCACGTTCTTCCATGGGAAGAGCGGCCGATCAAGGACGCGGGCAAGTTGCTGGAGAGCAAAGTCTGATTAGTAGGACATTTCAAGGGAAAGCTCTTTGAAAAGAGATAGAGAGAGAGGGATGCTATAGTAACTTACTTCAAGAATCCACATCTTGCGACAAAGTTGATGGAAGAAAGACTCGAGGAGCTTAGGTGTTATTATTGTATGCGTGCATTAGTCAGGTCGCGGCCCGTCGGAGGATCAAACAATGCAGGGGGAAGAACCATGGACTGATATCTTGAGTACATACAGTGCCTAACTAGGTAGGAAAGTGTTGCTTTTATTTGAAATATTCAACTCTCATCTCGAGGTCGTAGAATCATTCAAATTCCTCTTAGTACAAGGTGACTTCTAATACTACGATTTGGACCCTGATCACAAATATCTAAATCGGTTTACACGGATCTATGCAAACGCAAAGTTGGAAGAAATCGTTTCAATAGAACACAAAAAGAAAAAGAAGACCTTTTCTTCATCAACGTGACTCGTATCTATCTCTTATTCAACTTTCCGCCTAAAACCCGCCAATACTGGTGCCAAGGCAGCATGTATATCCTAGGCTGGTGATAGACTAAAAACACAGAGTAAGATGTTCAAGGACCTCTATGTTTAGCCGGGGGAATCTGTAAATTTCATGCCAATGATCCGACTCGTCGTGACCGTAAAACTTTTCTGCGATTAGATTTCGCGAAGCGTGAGCCCCAAGAGTGGCTAAGCATTGTTGTTGAATATTCCTGTTTCTTCATATCTCTGTACCCTCGACGGATTAAATCCCTCAGCCCTTCCAAACAACATAGACCATACCAGGCTCTTGGGGCCAGAAGTCGTTCAAGTTGAAAATATTTACTGTTGAACAGGCTCCAGGGTGTTACCACTAAATCCGCAAGGTTAGTTTAAGGTCGACAGTCATATATCAATTGATAAAACATACGCAACAATGTTGGCCCAACCAATCAGACGCCAGTGCTTGTCGATTCTTCGGCTGATGGCAATCTTTTCTCCAATTTCAGTGCAAGCGGGACTGGTCAAGCTAAGCTTGGCTGCATCAGCCTTGACACCCAGGACCTTAGCACCGGTGGCGGTCGAACCGATGTTGACCATCAGCACCTCGTTCTTGGCCAGCTTGGCAACCTTGGCCTATATACACTGTTAGCTAGAAATTCTCAAGCAGGTTTTTTTTTTTTGATCACTTGCCTGTTTGCCGTCGGCAGTCTTCACACCCAACAAGCGACGGAGCAAAAAGTAATTGACCTCGATTTCGGTGTAAATGGCAGGGAGTTGACCACGGTGGCCCAAGACGAAACCGACCAGACGATCAGCCTAAAGATGAGTTAGTTGGATTCCTTGGTTCTGAAGTGATGTATATTTCACTTACTCTGCACAGAGTAGGATCGATCCTTGTTCCCACACCAATCAGACCACCAGGAACAGCAAGCTTGAGAGGGTTTGCCTCAGCAAATAGAGACTCAATGCGAGAGAAGATGGGACGGCATTGGATTTTGCCCTCCTGGTCCTTAGTGACCAAACCGGGACGAATTTCAATCTCATCGTTAAGCTTGATAACGCCGTTAAGGATGGATCCACCAGCGACACCACCCTTAAGCTCATCAATCTCAGCACCGGGCTTGTTCACATCGAAGGAACGAATGATCATCATGTGAGGGGAGGCGGTGAAGTCGCGAACGGGGATGGGAATGCGGGAAATGAGGCCCTCGCATACGGCATCGATGTTGTACTTGAGTTGGGCGGAGATAGGGATAATGGGAGAGCCATCAGCAACGGTACCACGGATGAATTTGAGGATGGACTGGTAGTGCTGCAGGGCACCTTCCTCGCGCATCAAGTCGACCTTGTTCTGCAGAATGACGATGTGGTTGAGCTTCATGATTTCGATAGCGGCCAAATGCTCTGAAGTTTGGGGCTGAGGGCAAGTTTCGTTTCCGGCAATAAGGAGGAGAGCAGCATCCATGACGGCGGCACCAGACAACATGGTAGACATCTGCGGGTGAAAATATTAGCGATGGGTGGTCTAAAAGGCTATTAGTTTAGCGAAATGGATAGGTCTATACCAGAATGTCGTGACCTGGGTACAGTCATTAGCGATTTTGAAAATGAGATATGGAGAATTTTAGAATTTTGACGAAGACATACCTGGGCAATCGACGAAGGACACATGACGCTCCAACTTATACCGGCCAGTGCAGCCCTCGCGCTCACAGGGAGGGTCAACCTCCTTGTCACTACCATAACTCTTGTAGCATGTCGGGCGAGGGCACGCAGAGTTGTCACACTTGTAAATCTTGGCATTGGCGTAACCGAGCTTAATGGTAATGTTGCGCTCCAATTCGTTCTTGAATCTGACGGTTTGCACAGTAGACAGAGCCTTGACAACTGTGGACTTTCCGTGAGCGACGTGTCCGATTGTGCCGATGTTCACAGTAGCTTGGCGAGCAATAATCTCGGGGGACAAAGGAGTCAATTTTGACAGGTCCAAGGTCTCAGGTTCAGGCTGTTCGGGAAGGACAGGGCGTTGCTTTGTAGTTGCAGATGGCTTCTTCAGGGCAGACTTGACGGGCTTATCAAGAGGCTCCTGGTCGTCAAAGTCTTGGGCATTGTTGGCGTCGAGGATGGGAGAACCAGGCTGACTCTCGTCGGAGAAATCTCCATTTGTAGCCATATTGAAAAATTCGGAAGTTGCGCAGGTAAACTACACAACAACTGAGATTATTCCGGGTTGATGTAAAAGTGTGAAGGTGAGTTTTTTGGAGAAGCGGCGAGATGAAAAGTTGATGGAAGAATGTAATGCCCATGTGGTGGGGTTTGTGCGGGCGGTGTCTGGCTATGCTTGCCTAATGTTCCAGGGCTTTTAATTACGAAGAAACTAGCAACTTGGACGAAATAATTTATTTTGTAGTATTTCTAAGTTTCTCTAGATCATTAGTTAATTTTCGAAAAAAAACCATTCAAGATTGAGTGCCAACGTATTCAATGTGTTGTGCTCTACTTAAGAAAATTGGACCTTGATAGTATGAGTCAACCACGAAGAAAAATCTGTATGAAGTAGATACAAGATACTCTGTAGATTATTTGATATCACTTATACGAAAGAAGCTAGATGGTTGAGAATTTTGCTTTCCAAGGTTAAATTTTGCTTTTAATGCTTTTGTTGCCCTAATAGATCACTGGCGTGTGAAATTTCGGTCTAAAAGTAGAGTACAGGGTATAATTTACTCATCATCACTATCATCACTCGATGACTCCTCTTCCTCATCCTCCTCTTCTTCATCTGAATCAATCAGTGTAGATTGATCTTCAGCAGGCAGCATGATGAATGATACCAGGCAAGTGATCCGGTTTCCAGTTTCGTAGGTAGTAAGAACTTTGCCAACCTGGCGGATTGTCTCCTGGGAAGCCTTAGAGGACTTGGATGGAATGAGTTCCTTGTCTGAAACTTTCCAAATACGCACAATACCCTCACTGTTTCCAGTGACGATCAAGAAACCGTCAGAGAGCTCTTTTGATTGCTCTCCAAGGCTCAAAATTTCGAAATCCTTGATGCGTCCTGGGTATCCAGCTTCCTTACCACCAACCTGAGCCACCTGTGTAGCAAATGGGATTTCAGACTCAGAGTCATCCCCTGGCTTTTGAAGGTCTTGGGTAGAGTAGAAGATGACACGGCCGTCTTCTGTGGAAACAGCGAGTAAATCTTCATTTTCCTCCCCATTCCGCGAGATGTATTTCATTTGGTGAACTTTGCTTCGAGGACTGGGCAGAAGTCTACACCGGGGTGTGGAGTCCTTGATTCAACAGTTAGAACGAGGAGAAAGGCATACTAGGCCATCGGCGGAAGAAACTTACAATTCCAAACACAACAGCTCCCCATTCGAAGGCCACCGCAAACTCTTCTCCTGCTGCATTCCATGCAATACGTCGCCCTTCACCACTATTCCATTTGCCCTCCTTGACGCTTTGAAGAACATCTCGAGAGAAGTTCAGGACACCAGCTTTTTTGCCCGTTACCAGATTCCACAGTCGCATGCATTTCTCCCCCTTTCCTACACTTAACATCAATTTCATACTTGGGTGCACTGCAAAGTGATTCACGCCCGCGGGTGCAGCGTCGGGAGGTGCAGTGTCGCCACTAGGACGACCGTAGACCTTAGGGCGAGGCGCCTTGATAGTTGAGACTACAGTCCAATCACGCGTTTTTGACACAGAAATTGTGTTGTCCTCTGCTGCAGCGAGTAGCTTGCTGCGGGATGGGAAGCTCAGAGCTGAGATGCTGGCGGAGTGGTGTAACAGAGCTCCTAGCTCTCGATTCTTAGGGTTCTCGAGGATTTTATTTCCAGCCAGTGTCGGCACAGATGGGTATTCTTCATTCACGGCGGGTGGAGCAGCAGACAGGGAGTAGAGATTAATGCGTTCGTCTGTTGAACCACTGGCCATGATGACCTTCCGGGCGTCTGCCGAGTCGGTGACCTTGGGGATGGGAGAGATCGCTAGACAACGGATTGCGGATCCATGAGCTTCAAATAAGAAAGAGTCCACACATTGGATAGGATCCGTAGTATCTTGGGTCAAGGAAGATGCAGGAATTCCAGCAGTGAAACCGTGCAAAACACGGTCGTAGGAGCCGGTGACCACTTGGATAGTTAGTGCTGCATCTGGAGTTTGCGACGGTGATTCAGTGGACTTGACAGTCTTTGCCGGGCTTTCAACAGCCTTAGTCTCCTTGGGAGTATCGTTCCTCTTGCGTTTGGCCATTGTTGCTGGTTAGATTCAAGGTAGTGTTGGAGAAAAGAAAAATTACTTATCGGCTTCCTATCAAGAACTTCGGTTTTGTGCCTGATCCCTAAGGTGTTGATCAGAACTTCGGTTTGGTGCCTAATTTATAGGGTGTCTATAAGAACTTCAAAAGCCCAGAATCGATTTGGACTGTTGCGCAACACGAAATCTGACCTAGAATCCACCGGATCTCTTGATTCTTACTAAATCATTTTTATATAATCTAGAAGTTCTTTTTTTGAATACGCCTTGAACGTTTTAGCTACCTAGTAAAATAACCTAACATACCATACCTCGTACATAAAGTTCTAAGTAATTTTGCGGATGTCCGGTATGCGAAATACCTGTCTTCACCACTTTTTTCCCCCTTCCGTTTTTCCTTCAACCTCCGTTCCCGGCCCTCAACTCGCTTCACGCGATAATCTCATCGATTTTCATCATTCAAACCAATTTTCTCCATCTGAATGACCTCGGTCAACCCAATTTCTTTGTCCCCGCGTTAATCGGATGCTGTGTTCCCAAGTTAGACCTCATGCTCCGCGACGAGCTTCTCCGGTCTAAGAACGATGAGATCGCGTATGTAATAATTCTAACAAAATGCCTGGGCCTTCTCTCAGGAGATTTAAGATTCATTTGATGCTAATTTCCCCCTAGAAACTGTTTGTTGTCGCGCAAGCGAAAACTGACCGAGTTGCTATATGCGACCGTGGGTTTTGAGGCTGCGACCGGGGATTCTCTATATGAGCGCAAAGAACAGGCCTTTCTCGACGCCAACGATATCACACAGTGAGTTCTTTGCTACTTTTAGTCATCCCCTCTCCTTTATATACTCCCTCTTGCATTCATTTTGTTTATTCAAAATGGGTTGCTCATTGTTCGCAATAGAGGTCGTTACTTTGACGAAAGCACCCTGCCTTTGCCCGCCCATGCGCGTGCCCACTCCTCGAGCAAGAAAACTGTCGCGCCCCCGGAAGATATTCAGGCAAAATCGGACCTCACTGTCAGCATCAAAACCCCTCCAACCCCAGCTGGTCCCGCCATCGCACACCACATAGAAGCGACTCAACCTGGGACAATCAATGGAGCCCAGTTAGCAGCTGCACCACATGGTGTCGCATCTTCTTTGGACAATACTAAAGGCGTCAATCAATCGCTTGTAGATATCAATAGTCCAAGCACTTCCAGATTTCCGAATAGTTCAGCCTCGACCGCATCATCAACCCAGAGCATTGAGCAGAACCCAGATATATCGGCACCAGAAAGCCTGTTGATCTCCAAAGACTGTGATGGAGCCGCGACCAAGATATCTTCCAGTGCAGCTCAAACAGCCGCGCCGACAGCTTCACCCTCTCTTGATGTCTCCAACCATACCCTTCCCCAAAAGAAACTCGAATCCCGCCCATCCCTCGCAATAGGGTCTAATAACGACCAACCACTTTCTCCCGCTTCGTCAATTGACCCATACTCCAACAATACACCCGCGCCTGTTACTGCTTCGCCTGCCACTAGCCCCGGAGAAGAAGCGATAGATATTGGGAAGAGTGGCCGTACTAGCCCTAAACATGATCGACAAATGAAGCTTCGCCCAGGTTTAGTTCCGTCAACCCCTGACGAACAATTGCAGATGGAGGCGGCACATTCGTGGCAGAAAGATGATGATACAGCAGCATCATCATTGAATGAGGGTATGAAGGCGGCCGTGGAGTCTGGGAATGTTACGGACTTGATGGACATTGATCTAAAGCCTGATGTTGGTTCTTCTGGACAAATACCTGTCGATGGAAAAGCTCCAGATGAACCAAGTAGTCTGTCACCAACGGAGCGCTTGCTCAATGGGGAAGGGACCCAGCCAACACGCGATCTTGCCGCGGAGACCTTGTCTACGAAGCCAGTGCCAACTATTCCACCTACCCAACCTGGAATCTCTCAGCCAGAACGCATGACCACTCGCGTATCCTCTGGAGCTATTCGTCACAAGTCTGTTTCTGAAATATTGGGTGAAACACCTAAAACTCCCCACGAAAAGACTCACGCAAACGATCATGACACGCCTGACAGTGTTGCGAGGATGCGATTTAAGGACCGAAAAGAGCGCGAAAAGGAAAGAACTAGATTATCCACCGTCGTTTTCCCCAAGCAAACTCCCTCTCAGCAAGAGAAGGCTGACTCCATGGGTCTCATTCCTCGAGAGTCGGTTGATGCGGTTGCTAAACTCAACGAGGAGCATGACTACTTGTTCACGCTGTTCTTGAATAGGGCTTACGCTCCTCCCCGGGGGTCAAACCTGAGTACGCTACTGGCGTCTGCTCATAAGACATTGAGCACTGCAAACCACTCATTGGAACACCAGGAGCAGATGGATTGCCGAACCCTACGGCGTATCTATGCTCTTCAGAATGCCAATCGGTGGCCTCTGCGTCAAATGAAGCGATCCGCTGAACCTGTCCGTCAGGGCACCCATTGGGACGTTGTGCTCGATCACGTGAAATGGATGCGCACCGATTTCCGGGAGGAACGAAAGTGGAAAATCGCAGCAGCAAAGAGTTGTGCTGATTGGTGCGCGGAGTATACCAATAGCGACGAAGAGCATCGAGCGCTTTTGCGTGTTCATGCAAAGATCCCTGTACTGAACTCCAATGTCCAGAGTGACTTGAAGATGGATCTGGGGTATCCTACAGAAGATACAATGGATGAAACCTTCGATATTTCTCACCCCACACCGGATCTTGTCCATTCAGCAGAAGAAGAATCTATCAGCGATATTTACCATGAAGAGCCTCAGCATGTTGTTTGCGACACTGTAGCTCCAGCTGCCATATTTTCCCTAGGGATGGATGAATTCAATTTCTCCATTGATATGACCACCGCTGCAGAGAAGATTTTGGATGAACTGCCTCTTTACGAACCAATCGGAATGTGTGCAGAGACAAAACTACCAGCTTTCAAAGACGCAATCGATTCCGTTTGGAAAACAGAGCTTTTGCCGGTATCCAAGTTTGCTACAGCCAAAATCAATTTTGTTGATGGTGAACGTCCATACAAACGAAGTCGATATGACTATTCTCAATACGAGTCTCACTCGGAGCAGCGCGTTACAGAAATCCCGCCAGAGCAAACTAATGTTGCCCTTTTCCGTCCAGAGAATAAGCATATTCGTGACAGAATTCACCCTGGCCACCAATTCAGACCTCCCACTGAACACCCAATGCCATCGATTGGCTTCTTCGAATCAAGACAATCATCACAATGGACAATGCCTGAAGATGATGAGCTTCGACGTCTTGTCAAGGAGTATTCATACAATTGGTCGTTAATCTCAAGCTGTCTGACCTCATCATCGCTGTTTGGATCCGGAGCCGAGAGGCGGACACCCTGGGAATGCTTTGAGCGCTGGGTGGGATTAGAAGGTCTCCCTGCGGAGATGTCCAAGACTCAATACTTCCGTGCTTACCACCAGAGATTGGAAGCGGCTCAACGAACTGTTTTGGCTCAGCAACAGGCTGCTCAACAGCAGCAGCAACAGCAAGCCAGCAGTGGCCAGACCCAGCTGCCTATCCGAAGACGCACAACCCAGCCTCTGCGGGTAGATAGGAGAAGATCATCAAGACATTTCGCAATCCTTGACTCTATGCGGAAATTGGCCAAGAAGCGCGAGACGATGCTGCAAAAGCAACAACACGCTTCGCATCTCGCATCTCTCCGTAAAGCAAACGAAGCAAATCAACCAAAGCCTCCAATTACGACACCTGCAGAATTCAGTCGCCTCAAATACGACCGGGAAATCAAAATGCAGGAAAGACAGGAGCAATACCGTCAGCAAATGATTGCTCAGCAGAGAGCTAATCTAGCTGCTCAGCGTACGGGGCAATTGGCCAACCAGCAACAGCAGATGATGAATGTTCAGAATAGAAATCCCAGCAATCTTCTTCCAACTTCAGCTACGCCAGGCCTACCTAGTGGCACATCTAATGGGGTTGTTCCCATTGCCATGCCACCTGGTGTCGGCGTCAATCAAGTTCGGAATCAACCTTTGCAAGGAATGTCTGCCAACACTGCTGCGGTCAATGGACAACTAGCACCCGCTGCTATGGCGATGAAAATTATGCCACAATCTCAGATACAGCAACCTGTTAGTGCGAGACCTGGTATGCCAATGCAGACTTCTCCTGATGGCACCCGCGTCGTTCGAGAGGCCACCCGCGTTCAACAAGAACAGCAACGCCTGCTGCAATCTCGGCAGCAACAAGGCGTCCCTCAGCAAGGACAGTCCCAGCAAGTGCAGCAGCAATTCCAAAATCAGCAGTTCAACCAACAAGGATCGCACTCACCCAATCTCAACATGGCTAATGTGAACGGTACTCCAAACAACCCTGCTATTATGGCCGCTATACAAGCCCAAGGAGGCATACAGAGTCCATCTTTCCATGGCAATACACCTCAGGGTGTCTCCACACCATCTCCTCGGATGGCTCAGCCTAATCCCCTTTCGAGTGGAGTTGTACCAACTATCAGTACCTTCCAAAATCAAATCCAGCGCGCCAACCCGAGTCTGCCTGCGGACCAAGTGAACAAGTTGGCTACGAAACAACTCAACCAGTATCAGCAACAGCGCATGTCCCAACAGGCGGCCATGAACGCTGCCGCTGGAGGCATGAGCAATGTGCAAGCCAATTATCAGGTACCACATGATGGGAACTTCCAGACTCCACAGCAAGCTGGCATGGTCAACGGTAGCCAGGCAATGCAGGTTCCTCAGAACCAAGGCTTTTCCCCGATGATGCGTGTTCCGCAGACCAATCAGCAGAACCGAGTTGTTCCTAATAGCTCGCCCGCCATGAACGGCGCTGTTCCTCAGCCTAACCGAAGTGGAACCCCCCAGACACAGCGAAGCGGTAGTGCTCAAGCTGGTGCGGTGCAGGGTCCCAGCAATAGTCCCCATCCTCCGCCCGCTCAGCTAGCTAACAGCTAGAAAGATGGTCTACCTTCTATCAGCTTTCGTCACAGATCCGTCCTTTCCTCTTATTCTCTCAACTGTACATCTCTTCACACCTACAACTCCGAACCCTCAGTTTTTCGACTTTTCTTTTCTTAATTTTCCCATGACCCTTTTTTCGTCTTTCTCAGCAGGTGGTCCAGGATACGGCGTATCTTCTAAAGGCTGCTATTCCCCCTTGGCGTCCCTTTTTTTTTTTTCTATCCTACTTTCTAAAACTTTGATGTTCCTCTCTCTGGTATGCTCATTACTTTAATGGACCAGGTTTTGGCACTGGCTCCATTTTACCAGTGCCTGTTTTTCCTTAAAGTGAGGGCATGTATTATTCATGGGATAGGCCTTCTGGTTTGGCTATAAACTTCGGATTCACGAACATGAATTGTATGATTACTCTGAATAATTTCCGCTATCCGTAGAAGCAAGTATTATAAGATTAAATCCATAAAACTCTTAGGTGAACCTACTGGAGAATGCGAGATGGGTGAACGGAGATGAAAACAGAATAAAAATCAGTCTTAACCAGACACCTGCGCATGCAATTGACAACAGAGCCAGACATTACAACGTGATGGAGTCGGAATTTGCTCAAATCATCAAGTAAAGAAAACACAAAAGCGTAGTAAAAAAGCGCCAAACTCAGGGAAATTCTGTATCTTTTTAGTCGTTACCAGCAATTAGGCGCGAGCGCGCGTTTAATGCCGCTTTTGCCACCGCTCAAGTCAGAGTATCAACCTTCGACTTTAGAGACTTTGATTCAAGTGACTGTCTCTTCTCCAAGCCCGGTCACTATGCCTCCATCGCAGTCCTCAGGCGACCGAAATGGCGGTACTTTGAAATCATTTTCACTTAAGCCCAACGGCGCATCGGCAAAGCCTTTCAGTCACCAATCAAGTCGCGGTCGTCCCTCTCACTCGTCCCTACCTTCTCGACCACACCAACTCAGCTATGATGATGACTCCTCTGATGAAGAGCATGTCCCCGTTCATGAGGAAGTCGTGGGCTTCGACACTCACACTGGCGGCGCCGTCACAGCCGATGAACTTGCAGTTAAAGAAAAAGGACCGCTCGTCATCCCAGTCACAAGCAAGAACAACTGGCGCGATCGGCCTGGTACGAACGTGAGAAAGGGGAAAAACATCCTGCCTCCCGAAGTCCAGGCTATGCAAGAGGCACAAAGAAACGGACAGGTTCCAGGACCAGCAGTTGAGACGTCAGGGCCCAGCATGGCTTACGGCCTGAGCTTTGCGCAGAAGTCCGCCGAGAATGAAATGGAGGACGCTACAGCGAACGAAGACCTAGCCATACCGGATGCACAACCTCCCATCAACAGCAGCAAGCCCCTTACAGAGGATGAAATTGCCCTACAAGCTTTACTACGCGAGACCACCGGTGAGGTGGAACGACGGACGGATCTTGTTATTGAAGCCTCGAAACTACGAGATGAGGAGGATGGAGCACCTTCACGCTACGACGAAGCTAGTTCATTCCGGACGGATGTTGCGTCCCGTCCAGATCCCGCTACTCTGGATCAATACAATGCCATTCCCGTGGAAGAATTTGGCGCCGCACTGCTTAGAGGCATGGGTTGGAAGGATGGACAATCCATTGGGCGAGGTGATTACAGCGGCACTTCAAGTGCAGACCGAAAACAGGCGAAGAAGGCTTCTAATCCTACGCCGCGGCCTGGATTCCTGGGTATTGGAGCCAAGGATACCTCTGGTGGAAAAGGTGCCGAGGTAGAGCTTGGAGCGTGGGGCAAGTCAGCTATGCGCAAAGCCTCAAGGAGGCAGGGAGAAGAAAATGGTGGTACAAATGAGGGTGTTTACATGCCCGTCATGATGCGGAATAAGAAAACGGGCGAACAAATTACCGAGGAGGAGCTGGCAGAGATGAAGAAGGAGGCTGCCAAGTCTCAACCTGACAAGGATGATTGGCGTGAGAGACGGGATCGCAACCTGGATAAAAGTGGACGAGATCGTGACTATGATCGAGACCGTGATAGAAATCGTGATCGAGATGGCAATCGCGAATACCGAAAACGTGATTACGAGGATGAGCGTTCAGACCGGAGAGGGTTTTCCCGTCGTGATCGAAGTCGCTCTAGCGGTCGTCACTCCTCAAGACGTTCACGCTACGATGATGATCGCTCAGATCGGAGATCTGGCTCTTCCAGATCTGATCGGAGGATCAAGTCTTCGCGTCGTGATCGAAGCCGTTCCACTGACCGTCACTCCTCAAGGCGATAGATAAATATTAACTTAGAAAATCCATAGCTTAATGATATCAAAATACCCATGTGTACATAGATATTACCTCGGGAGCCCCTAAAACATCTGAATACAAGTTCATTCTATGAGAAAGTAGATGGTGATTTATCTGATCCCACTCATTTTACTCCCAGAAAGCAAAGCGCCAATGAATATACACAATTTTAAGGTTGCCAGGCCTCTATGCCTCCAGCATCTTCACATCCTTTTCATGCTCGTCATTCTCCTCAAGGCTCAGCCCGCCGAGACCGATACCTCCGTCCATCTCTCCAAGAACCCATTCTACTAAGTACGAGTCATCAGCGAGCTCCTCGATACGTTTGTAATGTCTCTCTGTGTATGCCTCCAGCGCTGAGAGAATATCCTTCAAGCCAGCTGCAGTACGACCATTCTTGCCGCGCACAGACTGAGTTGCCAGTTCGACAAAAGTCGAGGCAGGGTATGATCGGAAAAGGGCAAATAGGATGCGTTGAGCGACACGCGAGGTGCGTGCGTTGGTGTTCCAGTCACGGATACGGAGGAGAAGAGTGCGTAGATTGGCTGCATCGAGTGACTGCAGCACCTCATCAATAGACGGGTTACCAGTCAGGCTGCCTGCTGCCTTTTCACGGTCCTCTTCCGAAAGAGTCGGGTCATCAGCTGCATCGATAGCTGTGGTGAAGAGCGAGAGAAGCCGTCCCGGGTGGTTGAGCTGCAGAGCCAATGTGATGGCTTCGCGATAGGCACCGGCACGGATGTAATTCTGTAGTTGCTGGTCTTGCTCAACACGCTCGGAGTTGGCGTTCACGGCAGCCTTGTAGGTTGCAGAGGTTGTATCTGTCCATAATGTCACGGTAGAATCGGCAGAACCGGAGGCGAGGGCGTAGGGCTTTGTGTTGAGTCTGGAAGCTATGGCTTTGACGTCGGAGCGCGAGCCAGAGGGCGTTGGACTGGCAAGGGCCCATACACGATCCTCGTGATTATCCAGAGTGGCTTCGATTTCACCAGTGTAAGGGCTCCAGATCTTGACCAATCCATCGGCGGCGGCAGAGGCGATAAGGGGTCGCGTTTGTTCTGCTGTCTTGACAACCGAAGCATCTTCATCTTCGTCATCGCCACCAGTTGCTTTGGAGATCTGGGATGGCGGAAGCCAGACTGTCTTCAGGACACTATTTGTATGCCCTTCAAAGGTCAGCAGACAGCTGTAGTCAGACAAAGACCATAGTTTAACGGTCTTGTCACCACTGGCAGTGGCTATCAAACCGCGACTTGTGCTTGTGCCAGCCTCTGAGTTGATGATGGGTGTATTCTGGGGCGCAAATCTAACAGACCATACACCTCGCTTGTGGCCTCGAAGAATTCCCACTGCGGATCCTTCTTCCACAGACCAAATCTTGACAGTCTTATCTTGTGAGGCAGAGGCAAAGTAAGTAGATGAGGAGTCGATGTCGAGAGCGTTAATGTCCTTTTCGTGCGCTTTGCGGGTGTAGAATGCCTTGGGAGTGTGTGGAGTGTCGCCCTTAAGCGGAGTGAGCTTGCCTGTGTCCCATCGTTTGATGGTTCGGTCCTGAGAGCCTGTAACCAGGAATGCTGGTGGGTGGTTTACTGGGTCTTTATACGCGGCACTGTCAACCGGTGGTGGAACGCGGGGCAAAGCAATCGCTCCCAACGTTTCGGCGTGACCGGTAAAGATTGCAAAGCAGGTGTATGAAGAGGTTTTGGGGTCCAGGCGCCAAAGTCGAGCGGCATTATCTTTCGCGGCTGTTGCCAGCCAGTGACCAGACCAGTCAACATCCATTGCGATGATGATATCTTCGTGGCCTTCCAGAAGTGCCTGATCGGAGCCAAAAAACTCTTCGCCCTCGACCGAGGGTCGGTCATCGGATGGAGCAATCGAGACAATGCGGATACTCTCGGTGTTTGTAGCCAAGGCGAGCATCGAACGATCAGGACCAACGAAGGCCAGATCAATAATCTCGTCGTCATTGCCAGAAATGCGCCGGGTGATCGTCAGTGGCTGCAATTTGGACCCTGGCTTGTAATTTGACAGAGCCTCCAGCGAATGCAAGCGAATTATTTGGTCTGCATGGACAGTAATCACGAAAGGCAGACCGGGTGAGTATTGGATGGCCACAATGGATTCAAACTCTTCGCCGGCCTCCTGATCCTCGGTGATTTCGCTACCACGATTACAATCCCAAACACGTAGTTTGCCATTCTCTCCACCCAGCACACACAATGCACTATCTTCAATAAACGATGCAGCCTCCACACTCTCCAGCACGGGGATAATCCTCCTAGATTTCCAGGTACGGGCATCCCACACAATCACTGTCTTGTCTCTGCTTGCAGATAAAAGCGCATTTTCGGAAGGAGAAAATGAGAGGCCACGGACCAGGGAGACGTGTGAGTCGAGTACCGCAATTGACTTTCTCTTGTGTAAATCCCAAACTCGAACTTTGCCTTCTTCACTACCAGAAGCCAAACGGAACCCGAATGTAGAGTTTGAAATACCAGCCATATCATCATCATCATCGCCCGATGCTTTCTTCTTGCTTGAAGACTTGACATCTTCTATGGTAGGGACCTCGAAAAAACAGAGGGCAGAGATCACACCTCGATCATTGAAGGTGTGTGTCACATAGCCTCCGCGAATATCCCAGACCTTGATAGAGCCATCTGCTCCGCCAGTTGCCAAAAGTGTACTGGTACGATCAATGGCGGTTGTCACGACCGGTGCTGTGTGAGGTTTAAGGGTCCGAACAAGTTTCGCGTCAATAGATTTAGATTCTTCGTCGAAAGGCGACAGGGCGTAGATACGCATAGACATTGATCGCGAGCAAAGAATTGCATGCGATGCGGATGGTGTGACTAATTGACATTAGCAATGTTCTCATTGAGGGAAAGCAGGGAATGCGACATACTCGCCAAGCTTGTGAGAGTTTCTCCATCCTGTCAGTGGAGTATTAGGTTAGTGAATTGTAATCTGAGCATCTCAAATATCCAGACTTACTCCTTCCAGGCTGGCGAGCTGGTCGCCAGTCTCTAGGTCCACGATCAAGGCATCTTCGCCCACACAGGTCAGCAGAATGCGGCCACTAGCGTCAAGAGCTGTGCTGCCTCCAGTGAAGATTGGACGGAGGGTATGAGTCGCCTCAAAGGTAGTTCTGACAATAGCTTTAGACATAATGTATTAATGCGCTTTTGGCTGTTCAGGCCATGCGCTTTTTCAAGATGATTGGGAATCGCGAAAAGCTCATAACTTTTTTTTTGGAGGTTTGCAGTGTTTGACGCGATAAGATATGGAATATGGTCCGTGCACGAAACGCCGTACACGAGTCACTGGGAAGGTTTTCTCTGGACTATTAAATAGCACGGTTTTGATATCTTGGTTTGCACGACAGAAAAAGGCCCTTAGAGATACTACAAGTTGCTAATTAACTAGTTTCTGGGGTTGACCTGACCGCTATTAAAGAGTACTACTACGAAGTGGAATACACTAGTGGGGTGCGCTAGTACAAAGTAAGCGACCAAACACGCTTTGTGCCTAATTTTTAAGGTATTAATTTGCTGCCTGATTTCAGCTTGATCTTATCAAATCGCTTACCACCCCTAACTAGCTATCGTTTTGGAATTATTCCATCTCCATCCATCAAAGAATGAATGACGCCTCTTGGGTGTAATGTAATTTCTCCATATCTCGATAATTCCTCACAATGGGCCGTCAGGCTTATCTGAACAGGCTCGCTTTAGTAAGGAACCCTCCATTCACCCCAGATCTCTATCTGCAAATCATTGGGTCTTATTGATCTGTTTTCATTTGAATAGCGTTGTCAGATTATTACCTACCTTTTTTATTTCTTGTTCCCCAGTTTATTATCAATGCAATGTATTAACTGTTGACAAGGGCCGCTCACCTTATGAACCTCCTGAGCGGGCAGTTATTGGGATCTCTGATGTTCATGCCGACAATTACTCTCAGCAGTATGACGTGCGAGGGCATCCCGTCAACCCAGAGTCCAAAGCTCTAGGACGGGAACTTCGCAGAGCCAAGAATGATATACTCTCTACAATGGGAATAGTCGTCAGTGGCGAAGACAGAACTGCGAGCAAGTCCGATGAGCAGGAGAAGATCAATCAGATCGCAGCTGAGAATGACTTTGGCCTGGTAATTACCACACTTGACCAAATCTTTGTGTTTTTTGGGACCTGGTGGACTTCATCTCTCACTGCGCGAATCATGGTAAGATTGATATCATTGATGTAGATAGTGGAGAATTTATACTGATTACTTGTCACAGACATACAAACACTACACTCATGCGGCACTTCTTAACGTCATCCGTTCTGAGAGAGGTGCAACTGGACTACTTGGTTTCTACTGTGCCGGGATTCCTGCGTGGGCGCTGTCCAGCAGCTTGGCGATTGCTCGGGATAATCCGCCGAGACGTCTGTTCATCACACTCCGAGACTATATACTGGGCTTCACTGGTAGTGGAAGTCTCTTTCGCGGAGTCCGCTTGTCTCTTAACCTCACATATCAAATGTAAGCAATTCTGCCCTGCTAACTGGAACCTGTGACGCTGATCTTGGTCTTAGGGCGAGAAATGTCATGCTTCTGTTATCATTGGAGACCTACATGTATTCTTTGCTTCAAACCCTCTCCCTAGTTCCATCAAACGCATTTCCCAGTATCCGACTTGCCATACCCTTCAGTGAGCAGTCTTTGGTTCAGTTGCCGACTCTCCCCAACGACTTCTCCATTCCATCTGTTGGCGGATATTTACTGCGTTTACTGGCATCTCCCGGTGTCTTGGCATTTCTCTATGCATTCTACCTCCGCCCAGGACTAGAGGATCGTCTGTACCGGCTAATCCGGCGCCAACTACCAAAACCCCCTCGTGCAGATGACCTCTCCGTTCGAGTCGTTTTTGAGGAAAATCTTGTCGAATGGGTTGTGCCGACCTTGGGGCGCAGATCGGAAGAGGAAACTCGCCGCGCAAAACTTACGTGGCTGGAGGATATAAAGCAAGAATTTGTCGTGTTCCGAGGATGGGTGCTTTCGGCATTCGGTCTTTTCTCAAAGCAGTTGACAGACCAGGAAGCCACTGAGGCTTTAGATCAAGAAAGAATGGACAACCTTCGTGACACGATAGAGTCTTTGCAGCATGAGCTCGATGAGGTTCAGCTTCGCCATAACCTCACTATGGTCGAACCAAGTGCTTCTTTAGCTCGGCCCTTGGGGGACATTACTCATGCCAACTCAGTTGTTCATTTGCCACGAAGCTTACCAGCTATAGCAGAGGCCGCACAGATGGCTGAAGCAGGGTTGAATAATATCAACCAAGTACTTACGAATGAGAATCGCATGGCTCAATCTCCCGGTGAGATGAGCAGCGACTTCTCGGACATGGCCATGCTTGGACGGACAAGTGCACCATCTAGCTCCTCCATTGCTCCGAATCAATCAAGTAATCCTCCACAAGATGGAAGTCTAACGAGAACTCGACAAGGCTCACGTTCGAATACACTTTTCTCCCGTCCTTCATCTCCGGAGACCTCGCCACCCACTTCACCCCGTGTCAGAGCCTCTTTGATACACCAAAGTTCCGACATTATCACAATGCAACTGGAGCTATTAGGGAACCGTACTCGCAACGCACAAGGCTTGCCTACCTCCCCACTATCGAGATTAAGCGGTTCCCGCTGGGGCTCTACCGTTGACCGCAGATCAATCGCCGAGTTTCTCGAAGCCCTGATCTTAAATCAGGCTCAAAATCAAAGTGCTCAGCAACAGCCACCACTGATAGAGAGTGAGAATGGCCCAATCAGAAATGCGGCGAGCTTCATAGCAGCCCAAGAAGGCTCTACATCCGAAAGTCGACCTCAAAACCCAACACAGGAGAGCGTAGATAACCGACCAGATCCCATCTCTCCCCACGAAAATGCTTTTGGAACAACTACGACCATTCTCCCAGATGGAATCGAAGAGGCGACTGACGAGGAAAGCGATATTGAATTGCCTCTTGTGGATTTAACTCAAACCACAGGACTTCCTTCCGAAGCTGTGGTGCCAGCTCCTTCCAATGTCCAGTCCCGGCCGTTAGCAAGGCGGTCGTCTGGCTTTCACGTTACTCACAGAGTCACTCTTCTCTCTGCTCACCCTGTGGATTCATTGGCATCTCATCTTGCTGCATTCATCAGTGGCATTATTCTGTCACCCATTGAATCTCTTCTTCTCCGCTCCTTGGCCCACTCTTATCTCGCTTTGCACCATTCTCCTAATGCACAGTTCTCAGATCTTCGCCCTATCGGTTTATGGTTTGGAGGGGGCTCCTGGTCTGACGTATTTGCGTATACTGGGCGGATGGTCCTTATGAGAGGCATGCAGGTTGCCCTAAGAGCCGGTGTATGGGGTTTCCTAGTTGGCTCTACCATGAGAATTGGAAGAAGATTTTGCAGCTGGGGCAGTCTATGATAAGAAAAACATCAACTTCCTATTTTCTTATCCCATAGGGGTTTCGGTGGTTTTTTTTTTTTTTTTTTTTTTTGGTATGAATAGCATAATACATCGCACAAGAATTGGAAATCTGAATATCTGGGATTTGCTAATTCATACGTCGTATTCAGAGAGATTAATAGTACATCATCCAATTAAGGAAAGAAGAGTCACAGATTTGGAGACCTTCTAATTCTAGAACATCCCCTGGGTTTCATCAGTCGGCATCTTCACCACTTGAGGTGAGCTTCAAGCGATCATTATCAGCTTTAGTTGGCTTCCGAAGCCGGTCCCTTTCCTTTTCCAGGGACCTTTCGGCGCTCCCAAACCATCAAGTAGGTCTCTTTCGTGAAAAGAGTCTGGATAATTTCGGATTCATCCTTTCTAATGGACAAATCTTGGATTTCATACCAGTTGGGGCGATCTTCGTCGTTGTCTTGACGGGCATTCTCACGATCTACTGCCTTATCGCGGATCTGAGCGACCCATGCGACCTTGTGATCAACGGTAGTCGATTTAGCACCAGTTGTGGGATTGACAACTGTTTTGACAGCATCATCGACGTTGCCCTTCGTAACAAGGGAAGTATCGAGGGTAATGCTGGATACTAGGTCATAAAAGATGGGCTCAGATGGAGGCCAAACGTCTGGGTTCGGCTCGACGTAGGGTGCCATGTTTAGGCCGTCGGGCGAAGCATGAGTCACAATTGTAGGATTGCGCTCGGACAGCCAGATGTTTGACGTGAAACGCTTGACGTGAAAGATCAGATAAGGAGGCAACGGGTGAATTAGTCGATGTCTAACACGGTTAGACGCTCTTTCAGTGGCTGTGCGACCGCTATACTTGCGAAGTAGGGAGGACAGTGACACTTGAGGAACAATATCGTCTTTAACAGCCGATTGGAACAGGGGGGTTGGCGGTAGATCCAAAGTAAGCATGAAGAAAGGAACGACTTTGCTCTCAATGACGTCAGAATCGATGAACGTCAAACGCTCATTTCGGTCGTCGGCCTGTGCTGTGATAGCCTGGCTTTCAACACGCATCTGGCCCTGGAATGCAAATTGCACAGCAGTAGTACGCTTAGTGGAAAGCTTTTTCGAGCCCCCAAGTGACTGGTGGAGATTATTCAGGAGCCAAGATAGAAATTCCACGGGATCTGCCTGTTTGGTAGAAGTAAACCGTCTCGAAGTAACGAGCCCGATGTACTGAAGTAGTTCCTGAGGAGACACGTGAGATCTGAATGCCTTCGGGTTCCAAAGTTTGCGCACAAGGGTCGAGAAACGTAGAGCGAGTTCAGGTGTGCCGGTGGTGGGGAACTCGTGACAAAGGAAAAAGTTTCGAAGAGGTGTGACATGAGACAAAATCTGAATCACAACGTTGAAGTAATCGTTCGCCTTAATGTTGTTCATGCCAACAAATCCTAGGGTAAAAATGAGTGAATGCCAGCGTTAAATGTTCGGGGATGAGGTCTAACCAGGTCGGTACAAATTGTTTGAGAAATCATAAACCCCATGGGTGTTGCTATCCAGCTTCATCAAATCACGCTTGGTGTAGTGCGGTTCTAACACAAACTTGATATCATCCAGACCGGAACTCTTGACCTCATAACCCTCGGGAAGAATCCATACCTTCTGGTCAGAAAGATTGATGAAGACGTGGTGGTCGGTATCAACCGCATGATGATAAGCGTAAGACTTGGGACCGCGACCCTGGAAGTACTTGCTGCACACGAGACAGGCATAGACGTTATAATTGACAAGGCTGACAGAGCAAAGCTTTTCGAAATCGAAATCGAGAATTGCGCGGTTGACGGTATCAAGGTAAAGATCGTCAAAGCCTTCCAAGGGCTTGTTTTGTCGGTAGCTGTAGACAGCCGTTTCTTTATCGGTATCCGAGAGATCTGAGTTGTCTTGCGCAGCTACAGCGTCCTGAAGCACATCTTCTTCGCTAGCTTCTATCATCTGTTGATCATTGCTATTATTGTCGACATATTTCAAACGCGCCTTTTTGGGGGAAAGGACACCCTCCAATGGGAACTCTGCAAGTCTTTTCGACATCGTAATGGTTGCGGAGGAAAAAGATATTTGCGGAGTTGAAGCTCATATCGTCGCAAACAAGCCAAAATGTCACGTGATGAGCGTCACTACGGGGCTGATTATGTTATCTTGGCTTCTGTAGGTCTAGCCCACCTGGGAAGCTTGTTATTACAATGCAACTGCCCACCTATACCTAGGTCCCTACTACCTAGATGGATTCTATCACTCTTACCCTGGGAGGTTTGTTTGAGGTTTGTTTTTGTTTACTCTGTATACTAATATCTAACTCTTTTCTCCATCGACGCGCGATTGCCAGGTTTTACTATACCTCTTTGTTGGTTTGCGGCTTTTAGAATTCATCCAAGATCTCTCAGTACTCCGTACTCCACCTAGGAGACACCACAAGAACAATTGGAATATATCTTTGTGTTGACTTTCGTGCTCTTAGTAGATTCTTTAGATTCAATACACACTTGCAAAAGTTTTGTAAAATCGGTATTGGATGGGGTGAGGTGCTGGAAGCTCGAGAGAGTTGCATTCTGCCTTCAAAATCACGATGAAATCAAGCAGGAAACATTAACCATGGGCGCTTGATTTCGTGTATTTCATCTCCTCGGATGTTTGGAGCTTAGCCCACTCATTCCGTACTTATATTCTCATCAAAAATGCTAACTCTTCACGAGATTTGTCCGCAAGAGCTAGAGCCTTTTCGTCAGTTTCTGTCTCCATCTTGCTTATTCTGGCCTACATTTTCAAGCCATTAGCGTTTCGGAAAGTCTGGTGTATTTCGTCGAATGCCTCGGGTATCGTCATATATCATTTTGGCTACGAGTAGGCGTCAAACTATCAATCCATTTCATGGTTTTAACTGTGGAAAAGCTATCTGTGATTCATATTAATTCCTACCTTACCTAGGTAATCTTCACTTACTCTCACTTCACTCTTACTTCATTATATCGGTCATTTCGACCTCGATCAAGGTACCTAGGTCCTCTGATATATCACAACCTTGAAAGATAATGTGTGTTCCGTTGTAAGATGCCGTGAGTATGGTTCTTATATGTAGTTCGGCTAGGAATATTATACATATATATGACCTACTTCGATGAATTACTTCAAGGCTGCTTCGCCATGAGATGGTAATGCATAAAAAGTCCAAATTGAGTCATTAGGTTGATTTGGAAATACGGGCCACAATGTAGGCTTGAATCTTTTGAGAATCATTCCGTGAACCAATGTAAAAACGTCATGTCGACCATTTAAGCACAGCGGATGATCTTATCGTTATCAAAGTCTATCACCTTTACTCCATCCTTAGTCACTACCTTCACCAACATCTGTAGATAATCCGTTAGTCACAACACGCAACAGAAGGTTCTCGGAGCTACATACCCCCTTGTAGTCGATCGGTAGCCGACGCTTGAGCTCGTCTGTGCACATGCCAAGGAGCTTGATGCCCTCATCGATGTCGATGTCGGGGTGGTGGTGTTTGTCAAGGAGAGAAAGGCAGTAGTATCTGAAGTCTGTTAGTCAAAATCCGTCACAGGCCCCAATTCCAATATCGTGGTGAAACATACTGGGCATAGCCGTGGGCGGCATATGGGACTGGTGCCAATGACGCCAGATAGTCGATCCAGTAGAGATTAGGTTGCGCGCTGACTGGATCCACACCTCCTAGAAGCAAGTTGACTGTGTACGGGGTCCGTGACCGCAAGCTGCGTGCCAATTCTCCTCGAATGAAGTTGGACACTGCAGGGGTACTGAGCTCGGTATCATTGCGCATAGTATACAGCTGGATGTTGGCTTGGATGTATTCGGCAAATTGCACTTAATAAAGCAGATTATCAGCATCCTGCCAAGTTACGATACGGATCTCAAGCTACTAACCGGTGTCACCAGCCTCTCCTGAGTAGGCCATGAGTGTGTGATTGTTCAACTGTCGTGTCTTGTCATCCTCGGCCTTGATGACAGTCGGACCTCGCGATACACCCTTGGATGCGGCGATAATGACAAAGTCCTTGCCGGTGATTCCCAAGAGAACATCCCTAGGGTGTTGTGTTAATGATAAGTGGTAAGGTTGATGGGTAATGGAAGGAAGAAGCTTACATTTCTGCGGTTATTTTGAATCAAAAGTAAAAAAATGTAAATGCGAGGTTCAGAGAAGATGATGGAGGAAGTGTGTAGTCGGTTGATGACCGCGCGGTGAGCTTGACGCCTGGAGCTCTCACGGGCTCAGCTACCCGCTGACTCAGCCGCCGCTTGGCTGCTTTTTTTCCCCGAAAAAAAAGTTGAAACCAAATTGCCTCGACCACTACAATCTGTTTTCCTGCTCGGGGAATTTTACCCGCAATTTTTATAGGATTAATACGGTTGTGGAAGTACTACAATTGGAGGTTTCGCCATGTCCTCTTTTTTTACCGTCCCTGCTTCGCAACGCAAGCGCAAGAGAGAAGATCGCGCCACAGCTCCAGCAACTAAGAAACGAGGTGTTGACGCAAAAAAAGACACAGGCTCTCGCCGCGCCCAGGAGAGGGAAGATTCTATTTCTGGTAGTGACCTGGATGAAGATGAGAATGATATTGTATCGGATTTGTCGGGAGAAGACTCTGAATTGGACTCCGACGACGGTGAAACGGCCGCAGACCGAAGATTGAAACTAGCAGAACGTTACTTAGACAACATTCGGGAAGAAGTCGACGAAGCTGGATTTGACGCTGCAGAGATCGATCGAGACTTGATCGCAGAACGACTCAAAGAGGATGTGGTATGTGAACATTTCGAGGCACGCATCTCATTCGCAATAATTAACCACAAATCTTTCAGGATGAGTTCAAAGGACGGGCTTTCCGGCAGATCGCTTCCAAATTATCATTTTCAACCGCACCCCACTGCTTTTTCCGTTCAGATACCCAGTCAACCACCTCCATTGCCATCCATGCTCCCTACGTTTACACAGTTTCCAAGGATAAGACATTGACCAAATGGGAATTGGCAACACCCGCTGATTCTGCCGAGACCACCAACCAAAATGGCAACTCGAAACGGCCACCACGCCCCCAGCGCAAGAAGCCCAAGCGAGTGCTATACGCCCGGGGCATGCGCAAGAATGCTGAAACGGGCGAAGAACACGGGCACACGGGTCAGATCTTGTGCGTTGCCGTTAGCCCATCTGGAAGATTTGTGGCCACAGGAGGAGCCGACAAGAAACTAGTGATCTGGGACGCGGAGACATTGACCCCTACCAAGACATTCACTCAGCACCGCGATGCCGTTTGCACTCTCTCATTTGCCCGGCATATTTCAACAATGAGCTCAGGCGAACAGCTATTCTCAGGCTCATATGATCGGTGTATCAAGACTTGGTCCATTAGTGGCGCTGGTCATGCATATGTCGAAACACTTTTTGGTCACCAGGACCACGTCACTTCAGTTGCGGCCATGGCTATTGACCAATGTGTAAGTGTGGGTGCCAGAGATCGGACGGCTCGTCTATGGAAGGTGGTCGACGAGGCTCAACTTGTATTCCGCGGTGGTGCCTCGAAGAAAGCACCTTACCAAGAGTGTAACATTGACTGTATCGCTCCTCTTCCGCCTAACCACTTCGTCACCGGTTCAGACTCTGGCTCCATCTCGCTGTGGTCAGTCCACAAGAAAAAGCCTCTTTATACCGTCTCCCTCGCCCACGGCTTGGATCCCATTCCCCCTTTGAATGAGTTATCGCCTGAAGACGACAGAGAGACTGCTGCGCACAATGCCCGACACATGCGTCCCATGCCCCGTTGGATTACTGCACTGGCCACCGTCCCAGGTACCGACATTGTTCTCAGCGGCAGCTGGGATGGCTTCATTCGCGCTTGGCGCATCTCAGATGAGAAGAAGACGATTATCCCATTAGGCCCTATTGGTACTAGCCACTCTACAGCTGATTCACCCTCAAAACAGCTTAATCAATCGCTTGCCTTTGATGCCACACCGGATTCAGACAGTATGGAAATTGACGCACAAGCCGACAGAAAAGAGCCAGGACCTTTGATTAAGGGTGTAGTAAATGGGATCGCCATTCTTGAGCGTCGACCAGAGACTGCAGATGCAGGCCAATCCAAACCTCAACCGGCATCGGCATCTCAACTTCGGGGCTTGTGCGTTGTTGCAGGAGTTGGCAAGGAACATCGCCTTGGCCGATTCAAGTGTTACTCCAATAACTATGACGAGGGAAGTTCGGCTTCAGGTCGCAACGGTGCTGTTGTTTTCGAGATTTCATTTGCTCCCAATGCCACTGCTGAGGTTGATGTATAAAAGAGTTCTCGGGTTTATCAGTTGTTGTTGTGCCAAACCTGATTTAACTATAAAATTCGGAGTGTTTTCAGGTTGCGGTGTCTAGGGAGTCGGCTTGTTACATGGACTTTACTACATAGATATCTTGCATAGAAAAGTACCGGTTGATATCGACATTGAGATATTTAAAACACATTCCAACCGCCATCTACTAGATATTTTCAAGGTTGTAGTGCCCAACTTATCACCCTCCGGTGAAAACATGATCTGAGAAGAAAGCTCGGAAGACAACACCGGGGCTGTAGATACTTCGTAGTAGAATTATTTACTTCCAAGGTTCTTCTCGCTAGGTACATGGTAACTTGGATACGTGGATGCGTCTGGATCATATAGATCAGCGCCCGGATACTTATCCTGACCGGAGTTAAATCCGGCAGATAAACACTTGGAAGCATCAAGCCAAATAGGAGAGTAGAAGGTGTTTGTAAATTGATCGAGAAATTGGGTAATTCTCTACAGTATCAGGTAATTTCTGAGTTATAGTTATCAATCTTGGTACTTGTTCTAGTGTATGAGTAACCGTCTTTCATAAATTACCAATTTATTACGGACCTGGTAATTTATGAAAGACGATTAAATTACTGGAGATATCGGTATTCACGAATGAAAACTTGGACGATCTTGACATTGATCTTTGACCGCTTCTCTGTGACTATGAGTCAGTCCTAATCAGGATTCGGATTTACTCAATGTCCCTGATCTCCTTTCATGAATTCCTTCTTTCATCGCCTCAAAAATGCCGGCCGAGTCTATGAACCATCAAGCTCAAGCTGAACAGGAGGATGCTGATACCAAATTTCAGCCAACTGAATCAATCAATGAGAAAACTCAACTTCAAGATCAGACTAATCATCTGCCATTCAAAAATGTAATCGTTGTTTTTGTCGGATTGAGTTGTGCTCTATTCTGTGAGATACCTAGTCCATGATCTATATATTCATGCAATTGCTCATCAGTTGGTTTTAGGCTCGCTTCTTGATCAAACCATGTAGGTCGAGTTTCAAGGTCTGAGGCTTCAGGTTGGAACAACACGGTGATTAATGAAATTGACAGCGTGTCTACCGCCCTGCCCACCATCGGGCGTAGTTTTCACGATGCTCCGATCGCCTCATGGGTTGGGACAGCGTATCTGTTGACGTCAACAGCATGTCAGCCACTATATGGTCGTCTTTCAGATATTTTTGGACGCAAGAATATCTTGGTAGGCAGTATTCTGATATTCCTGGTTGGGTCCATCATATGCGCCGTCTCTCAGACCATGATCATGCTTATTGTCTTCCGTGAGTGCCAGAAGTGGTATTTTTTGGACACAATATCTAATCATCAAGCTGTATAGGTGCACTTTCAGGCATTGGAGGTGGTGGTATCATCACTTCTGCCATGATTGTTGTAACTGATGTGGTCTCTCTAGAAAAACGCGGTGCTTATCAGGGCTTCATTGGCATGGTTGTTTCTTTTGCCAATGCCCTTGGACCTCTGATCGGTGGTATATTTACGGAAAAAGTGTCGTGGAGATGGTGCTTTGTATGTTTATGCCTACGTAAAGCCATAGAAGCTTCATTTCTCCCATACTTACTAGTCACAGTATATCAACATTCCATTGACGAGTGTTGCCCTTGTTGTCGCAGTATTTGCTCTCCCATTAAAGCCAGTGACAGTGTGCAAGAAGCTTCAGTTCAAGCAGATTGACTATCTAGGATGCACCGCAATGCTGCTCTCTGCCGTGTTGATATTATTGCCGATATCCTGGTTCGCAACCCTAAACCTTCCAAACTGCTCGTATCATACTAACATCGTCTACGCAGGGGAGGAACCCAATATGCCTGGAATTCAGCAGCAGTGATTGCTCCGTTAGTCATCGGCATAGTGTCTCTCGGAGTTTTCATCTTGGTGGAAATCAAAATAGCAGCCCTTCCACTGATCCCAAGTGAGCGCCGCCTAGTATTGAAAGAGAGTCCAAGAAAAGCTAAATCTCTGTAGTGCATATTTTCAAAATTCCAACTGTGGCCGGTGCATCGACTGTCTCCTTCTTCTCAGGATTCATGTTCTATGCTAACCTATACTATGTTAGTCTTACCCAGAACATATGGTCCGTATGCCGTTGGTACTGACTGTCTATAGTTGCCCCAATTCTTTCAAGTTATCTTATCCGCCTCTCCCATCAAGTCTGGTGTTCTTCTCCTGCCTCTTATCGTTATTCAGTCTATAGTATCCTTTACATCAGGCTTTATAGTCTCCAAAACAGGAAACTATACCATCAATCTACGTGTTGGATTTATCATCTGGACCATCGCTTGCGGCCTGCTTTCCACAATCAATCCCAACACTTCCATTGCCAAATTGGTTGGGTACCAGATTCTGAGCGGCGTTGGCTCAGGACAGACGTTCCAGACGGCTTTGATAGCCATTCAAGCCGGAGTGAAGACAAATGAAATGGCTGTTGCCACTTCCACTCGAAATTTCGTTCGTATGCTAGGTGGCACTGTGGCATTGGCTGCATGTGCTGCTATTCTGAATAATACAGTTCAGTAAGTTCGATTTTGGCGCAAAGCTGTCGATACTGCTCTTAGTCAACTAACATCTTTCAATTGCAGAACTGAGCTATCATCTGTCATCTCAGTCAGTGCTTTGAAAGCCATCGTCGCCGATCCCACTCAAATAAGCTCTACTTCATTAGGGCTCACTGGATCTCAGAAATCAGCCGCGATCCAGGCATATAGTGAGTTCTATCTAAATTCTAAGTGCCTTAATTTCTTTTCCTAATGATAGATAGCACATGGAATTCGAAATATCTACTATTTCATGGTTGCGTGCTGCTTTATCTCGTTCTTACTCTCTGTCTATCCAGTGCGTGGACAAAGTCTGAAGCGGGAAGACGACGCAAAGAGACAGGAAGAAGGCAAGCAATGGGCTGTGAAAAATAAAGGCATCATTGGGATAAGAGGGAAGAAGAACCCCGAATCTTCGCCTAAGAAGATCGAGGAGGGACTTACTGAGGTCACAAAGCCTAAAACGTAGGCTGGGACAACGATAATTACAGGCTACCAATAGATTCTCCACTAGACAGATAGACGACTATTCTAAAAGTTATAGACGTGCTTCAAATGATTTATTCTCCCAGGATAGGCTGATTGTAGACTGATACCACAAGATTGATAATGATGCTGCGCTCTTAAGAAATAATGAATAATCAGACATACTGTTACTACAAAGATAATGGTATCGGCGAGGTTGTCTTAAGCCTTCTTGGCTCTAGGCTTACGAGGCTTTTTTGGCTTCTCATCACTGTCGTCGATAAAGCCGTCATCATCGCCATCATCTGCCGCCTTGCTCTTCTTGCTCTTAGTAGCCTTTGTACCCTTTCCCTTTGCGGTGCTCTTGGCAGCACCCTTCTTCTTTGGCACGCTAACATACTTATCCTTCTTCAAATCAGTCTCTTCATCGTCGTCCTTGACCTCGACATCCTCCTCCTCGTCTGACTCTTCGATAGCATCTTCAATATCTGGTTTCTCCTTGAGTCCTTTCTTTGTTGCCACAACGTTACTTGCCTTCATGAAAGAAAGTGGATGGGAACGCTGGTTGTATAGACGAGTGAATGCTGCTTTGGTCTGAGTCTCAAGCTTGACCTTTGACTGATCCATGGGTCCCAGTCCCAACTCCATGACAGCGTCAAAGTCGTCACGGGTCAAGAAGTAGGCATCCATGAATTCAATAACTTCCTCCACACTGTCTTTGCCTTCGTCCCTCAATCGGCGGACAGATTTATCCCAAACAGAAGGCAGGTACTGTTGACGGATCTCGTCCCGATTACCGGAAGTGCGGAGACGCATATGACCTTGTATTTCCTTGACAAATCGTGACAGTTTTCCTGGGAAATTTCAAATATTAGAAAACATCAAGACTGAATTGTATGTGTGGAGTACTTACCTTGTTTACTATTCTGACCAAGCCAGCTGGCAAAGGCGGGTCGCTCAGTCATATTTCCGTATTGGTAACTGGCCGGGCGAACAAAGCTGAAGACGGCGTGGGTGGGCATAAGACTCCACTGTTGTTGCGTTCCATGAATCATGCGATCGACCAAGTCTCCATCGCTGATACTGGAGGCGGCATTATCCGCCAGCTCCAAAAGTTTTAGCTTATTCTCTCTGCTATCGCGGTAATTATTTGCAAGCGAAGGTCGAGTTCTGAGGTAGTTTTCCTGAAGCATGAGATAGCTGAATTCGTGATCATTGAAGTATAGCTCAATCTTTTCGTTCAGTGTGGTGGTAGAACTCGGTGAGAACATCTGAGCACTGAGAATCTTGCTGACAATATCCCATGGCTTCAAGATAATATGCTTCTCCCACGCCTTCGACATTTCCTTGCCTTTGTCAAAGTCCATACCGTCCTGGCCGAGCTTAGCAGCAGACAGCATATTGATGACTTGACGAATATCGGCATGTGTTCCTTCGATGAGAGCATCGAGAACAGCAGGAGGAATCTTGAGTTTCTCACGGAAGCAGATGGTGGATAGTCGGGCCCGGATCTGCTCAACAGTCGGGCGTCGGAAAGGGATGTCGAGCGTAACATGATCAAAAGGCTTCATCTTTGGGAGTCTCCGCTCGTTGCAGATGAGGATGAGAGGAATATTGGTCTTCTTTGCAATGGCTGCGACAGCTCCGACTCCGCCGCGATCACCAGCGGACATACCGTCAACCTCGTCCATGATAAGAACCATTTTCTTCTTTCCGCTCTCAACCTTCTTACCATCGCCAGCAAAATAACCCTGCAAGGATGTTGTATCGAGAACGCCCATGGTACTGCTCTCAACGAGCTTTTTGCTCCGTGTGTCACTAGCATTGGTCTCCACGACGTCAAACCCTTCCAGCTTGGCTACCAGGTGCGCCGCGGTCGTTTTACCGATACCTGGAGGTCCGTGTATCATAATTGCTCGAAAAGACCCGTTCTTGAAATCATTCTTAGCATTTTTGAACCAATTTCTCAGCCAGACTTGAATTTTTTCCACAGCGCCCTTGTTGCCGCAGATCATCGCAGTAGAAGTTGGCGCGTATTTCGAAGTCCAGAGAAGGCTATCCACATCTGTAGACTGCGATGCCTGCGGAGTAACGCCAGGATTGGCTTGGGCAGCTTTGGCTAAAGCCTTCTGCTGCTTTTTCTCCTCTGCGTCGATCTCAGCAGCCATTTCGAGAATTTTGTATTCGTTAGCTTTCTGTTTGGCTTCGTATGCCTCTGCAGCCTTGCCAGACCCGCCGTTGGCGGGCATGCGTCGAATGAGTTCAAAGAGACCGTCTTCGTTAATGGTCTTGATCTTGAAATTGGCAATTTTCTTGAGCTTTGAAGGGCCGGCATCGCCACCAAGGACGACATAGCTTGTCTTTGAGCTGGGAGCTCCTGTAACTTTACCACCGTATTTTTTCACTAGTTCCTGGCCCTCTTCACGGCCCAAGGTGTCAAGGACACCGGTAAAAACAAATGTCAGACCCACTAGGCAATTCTCTGCGCCAACAGGAATATCCCTGGTTCCGGTAACTGGTGGTGTGCGAGAACGCTGGGCACCAAATTGGAACTTCTTCTTCTCCGCAGTTTCGGGGGGTGGTGACGGAGCCTTGATTTGTGGAATACTGTCAAAAATTGCCTGGATCGCCGTATCTTCCGTTTCATCTGCTGCCTTTTTCTTAGGAGCAGCCTTCTGCTTCTTGGCAGCTGGTGATCCAGAAGGTTTTACGGCCTTGGCTCGAGGCGCGGGCTTCCTAGTCTCTTTGGGAATGTCGTCTTCGTCTTCGTCCTTGTCAATGATCGCTGATGACTTGCGTTTCCGGCTAGCACGTGTGGCTGCTCTCGGAGCAGGTTTGGGCATGTCTTCCATTACTAAATCATCGTCTTCGTCGTCATCGAAAACAGTCTGCTTTTGTGACCTCTTGCTCGCCGGTTTAACATCGAGAATCTCGAAGTCATCGTCATCGTCATCATCGCTATCACCTTCTGCGACGTAATCATCATCTCTCTTTTTGCCATATTCACTAGCGAAGATGTCATCATCGCCATGGGCATCGTCTTCGACAATGGTTATGGCCTTTTTGGTTCTATTGCTCTTAGTCGTATCGGTTTTGGCGGCGGGCGCTTCAACTGATACTTTGGGGGCTCTTCCGCGCTTCTTGCTGGTGGCAAAGTAGTCCGAAGTGGTTGTGGGCTCTCCCTTGGGCTCCTCGGGCTTTCTGGGTAGGAATTTGTTTAATAGAATTTCCAGTGATGCACCCCAACGTGGGCTGGAAAGAAAAGACCTACGGTTTGCCCCTAGGCTTTGCTTTAGGAGTCAATGCTTTTTCAGGCGCAACATCCTCATCCTCATCACTTTCATCAACTACCTTGCGACTACCTATGATATCATTAGGTCATGTTTGGGAGGAAGAAATGCGTAGACCGTACGTTTTTTTCTTGTAGAGGATGCATCCTACATGATTAGGCCAAAGATTCAGCTATAATTCTCAAATAAAAAGAAAAAAGAATGATGGAAAAGCTCAAGACGTGGAGGTTGAAGCTTCACCCAAAATAGAACTTACCTCTTTCTTCGCAGGTGTCGCAGGTTTAGAGGCATTGCTAGGGCTCTGACCTGGCTTGCCGCCAAAGAAGCTCCTGATATCAGAAGGCATCTTCAATTTAATCGAACATACGGGTATGGGTGAAATTATTGATAAAGACCAAAGTGAGCATGCAAAACAAGCTTGGCTGCTAGTAAGGCTACCGCTCCGCGTTGTAGGCTGACGCGACGTGACGGATAACACGTGACCTGAGGCCTGTATCTCACGTGACCTCACTTAGACTAAATAGAGCCTAGCGCTGCCGACATGGAAATGTTCCATTTCGGCCTACTAAGGAACAGTCGCTATCTGCCCATTGCATTATCGCCTTCTTCCGGTCACAATGGGTCCTCAGATCAAGATGTTTGCTGGACCCCTATCAGCATTTGTCCGACCAACATGTACGAACTCCTCCTGAGTTCGCAACTGAGGCCCCGGCTCGAAACTGACTATCGCGATATAGGCCTGTCCACGGGTTCATCACTAGCTACTTTCTCCCTGGCACGATGCTTCTCTACAACTCCAAAATCCCTTGACTGGCTTACTCCAAAGTTTGCCGAGAGATCCAAGTCGCCCAAGGGTCGTCCACACGTTGCAACTGGTGGATCCACACGAGGAACAACAGTCGTGTGGGGAGAGTTCGGACTGCGGATGAAAGATCACGACCGTCGCATGCCGGCGTCAGCTCTGAAGATTGCAGAGGAGACTATCAAGCGCCGTCTTCGCGGTATGAACTACAAGCTTTACAAACGTGTTGCTGCCAACATTGGTGTGTACACCAAGGGTAATGAACAGCGTATGGGTAAGGGTAAGGGTAAATTCGACTACTGGACTGTCCGACTTCCCGTGAGCCGTATTGTCTTTGAATTGAAGGGAGATCTGCACGAGAAGGTTGCTCGCGAGGCATTCAGATTGGCTGGCCACAAATTGCCTGGTATGTGTTATTTTGTGAAAATTCGCAATAATCTGTTTACATCACATTGCTTCATATACTAATTTTTAACTTAGGTCTCTGGGAATTTGTCAAAAAGGATGACCCTCCTGTTGTAGGAATTACCAAGCTTGGAAACGGTGTCACTCTCGAGTCACTCAAGCGCCCGCGCAGAAACCCGCCACTTGGAACCAACGAACTTGAAAGCCCTTCGCCGCAAAGCACATCTTCCGACCCCTCCGCTCCTCAATAAACGAGCAATCTCCGCATGAATTTTGTTCTCAATATGTTCTCTCAGTCCTTTCTTATGTTGAACTAAGTACCGACATTTGGATCAGGCCCATACCCCTGTTGTCTCCTGGCCCGTACAGCCGCAGCGTCGGCTGCCGCGTCAAGATCAAGATCTTCTGTACATTATCATCAGCTTTATGCAAGTTTTTCCTTGCGCCGTTGGATTCAGGCCATCGGTGGATATTTTATGTCTCATATCAGGAATTTAGACCCTTTATCTTTTCTGCACTTACCTTTGCTGGGCTCACAGGCCCCTCTTCCTAACTTCTGTGCTAGGGTATATTCATCGTCCTTAGTAATAGGATCGCCTACACCTGCGACAGTGTGACTTTTGTTATGCGATGCGCCTTCTGTGACAAAATCAGCCGCTGTTTGGTATTCCGCTAGGGCTCCGAGTGTTATATGGCGTACCACCTAGCTGACCTGTCTGCTTCGGAGGAGGTTTCGTAAACTCGACTATCGACTCGTACCTTACATAATTATGTTAATGGGACAACGATACAGTGGCAGGATAGGGTGTGCATACTGGGTGCTCTCGCCACCAGGTTCCACATCCATCAGTCTGGAGTCAGACATCTTTCGATCCCGAGGGCAGATAGCTTTAATGATATGGATAATGAAAGTATGAGAATTGAATATTTTTGTAAAAGGTAAGAATCTAGACGTTGTCATAATGTGCATTTATAGCATTGGATGACGTAATGTCCAGTGAAGTCCAACGCCTCCCAAGTCACCATTGTATGACAACTACTTATTGCCTATTGGAGCAAAATATAGGGTTTATGGGGCTTCAGTAGTTGTTGCAGAGATTGGTATAACTACCTGCGAATTCATGTTTTTCTACTACGAATATCTATCTTATACAAGCCGCAGTTCAAGGCAGAAGATATCAAAAACGCCAGAACCCATGACCAAATGCCCTGGCGCCAGAGAAAGGAGTAAATGGCGCAAAAATGTTTTGATACTAGGGATTATCATATTTTTGCAACTTCCCAGGGCGATCCATTCCTCAGTTCCGAATGAATCAAGATCCAGCTCGCGAAGAGCAAAATAATCAAATCATGAATTAAGCATCCCCCTTCAGTTAAAGTCCATACCCATCAAGTAACTAAGCAATGTTAGTAATAGCTTCACAGAATCTCATATTAGAAAAGCTAACCTCTCGTAAATGCGCATGAATTTGGCCACGAAAGCCTCGAGATGGAAAATCACTTTCTATATTGACATGCATGTTAGTCTCTATATGGAGCGTTCCTGGAGGATTCATGTTGCACTTACACTTCCAAGCTTGATTCTGTGTTCGTAGAATGCAGACCATTTGATCACATCGGGCTTGAGCGCGTCATCGACCTGTGCAACAAGCTTGAATGTCAAAGTCTAGGAGACACTGTAGGTTAGTATTTTGTAAAAGGCCACCAAAACATTTAACACGTACTTTGAGGATTGTAGTCGGAGGAATGCAGTGGGTCAAGAGATCGTAAAGCCGTGCGCGGACTTGCAGAAGCCTTGCTGGAGATCGCTCTTTCAAAATCTCATCTGCAGTGGTTGAAATAAGTGCCTCCCAATCTGGGGGAGGGATGAGTGTTTTGTCGTTGACTTTTTCACTATAGTTCCAAGACCGTCAGCATTTTAGTGGTAGTAGCTAGCATATGGAGACCTACTTTTGTGCGTAGATAGCCTCAAACATTAGGAGCGCACGGCGCAAGTTCCGTCCACTCTCCTTGGCAATCCTCTTGTTTAGTCCCTCCGATTCAATCCATTTCTCCTTCTTTGCCGCATTTTGCAGCACGGTGCAGATCTCGTCTTCTGTAGGCGCAGCAACCCTGACCAGCAGGGTTCGAGATCGAATGGGGGCAATGATATTTGAGGTACTGTTCGCCAAGAGAATCAAACGCAAGTTTGGGCTGTATTTTTCCATTGTGCGTCTTAGCGCAGCCTGGGCATCGCGAGTGAGGTGATCAGCTTCATTGATGACGACCACCTTGAACCGCTGCTTCGCTGAAAGATCGACCTGTTGTGTCTGGGCAACCTCCTTCAACAATTCTTGCACTACAACTCGGTCGTAGGTACCCACATCAGCGGGAGTGATCTCGAGATGATAAACCGAGGAAACGATGTTAAATTCTAGCTTGCGGTTGCTGGTCGTTTGGAAGACTCGGGCGTCAATTTTGATCTTTTCCACTCCTGGTCCGTATAATTCCTTCAGGGTCGCGATGATTCGTGTTTTCTTTCCAGCGCCAGATGGGCCGTAGACTAATAGGTGGGGAAAATCCCCGCTTTGAGCCTGTAGGTAAAATACTCGTAGATAAGTATTTGCTCTTCACACAGGTGGACAAACATACCAATGACCGTAGACGGTCGGAGAGCTCAGGGTGATATGAAAGTTGATCAAGCGTCTTCGGGCGCAGCTTGTCTACTAGCAAAGCCATTATGGGGTTGGTGTAATTCTGGTCAGGTCGAAAGGTGATGCGGCAGTGGGCTTTGGAAAATGCGAAATTGGAGAAACGCGTCGGAATACGCGCCTAATTAATGAGTGGTCCGTGCATCGACACCTCTAGCTGAACTGTACTTACGAAATAGCTTCAAGATTTACTCTACTCTACGGAATAAATGTGAGATTATTTCTCCAATTTTCTTATATACAATAAAATGTCCCATGTGGCATTTCACGCAGCCTAATGAGTCCCTTGATATCTTACAAACACAATCTTTGTCGAGATGAGATGATATGCAACGTCCAAGTATTGAACGTGAGATTTTGGTACAAGTGCCTTTATCCAATTTCTTGGATATCCTCACATGAGCCTGAAATAGTTAAATCAACACGAAGTGCGGTTATGATGCAATGGGCTTCAGAACCCCATTATCATCATACTTCGCTTCTATTTGAGAGTTAGTCAAGCAATCCATAGTACCTAAGCAGTCAGTTCCACTCACTGAAAAATGTATAAGATAGAGTAATCGTATCAATTCCCTTCATAGTCGGATCAGTGGCAAAGTCAGGGTCAATGAAGAAAAAGACCGGCATATCGACCGTTTCACCCGCGTTGAGTTTCTGTTCCTCAAAGCAAAAGCACTGGATCTTGCTAAAGTATGGCGCAACCTGACCTGGTGTCACACTGTATGTCGCAATTCCAATGATATCTTGGGGTCCCTTATTAGTCGCAGTGTAGAAGGCCAGCGCGGTTTCACCCGGCAATACTCGGACTTCTCGTTGCTGTGGGGTAAACTTCCAAGGCAATACGTCAGAAACGGAGCCATTGAAGGTGATGCGCAGTCGGCGAGAGTCTGTTACAGGCTTCACGCGGTCCGCTGTATCGCCGTCGCCAGTACGGTGGGTGAGGATAGGCTGACCACCCCATCCAGTTTGTGAACAGATCTACCAGCAAAATATTTGTCAATCTAAAAGGCTCTTCAAATTCAATGGGCGTGAAAACTCTTCGCATACCATCTTGTAGAGAGGAACTGAGCCGTAGGCGAGAGCAGTGGTTGCAAGTATGACACTTATGGTATAATACCTGATTGAGAGAGCTATTAGAATATTTATTGCTTCAATGATAGATTTCAAGGTTAAATATTACAAGATAGAGGTGTTACTCTTCTGGGTTTTGGGGTCACTGAAGGGTGCGGAAGAGGCATTTTGTTTGTTGCGCAGGAAGGCATTCCTTGAGAAGAACCTCTTTTCTGCTTCCAAAATACCTCTGCGGAAGTATATTGACTGCTGCGGAATGGTTCCAGAGACTATGACCCGTCCCCACAAGGGGAGTGACCTGAAAAACATGTTCTTAGATTATGAAATGGCATCATTGCATGGTCCGATTTGTGTTGAAGTATCCGCAATACTGGGCACGTGATATTGATTATCGATAAGCAATTCCACTAGTCCGCATTAGGTATCCTATAGTTATCTACGACGGACTCCGGAGTAGTTTCTGTTGCTAAGCTAACGCGACTTCAACTCAGGATCTTAAAGTAACTTTTTCGCCGAGGATTAAGCCTCCGGTCAAGTCACCACCGATGAATTCTTCGCGAAAAATAGATAAATAGGCGCTGTGGTGCACCTTCAAGATTCTTCCCTAACTTCTTCAAGGTGATAGAGGGGATCTCAATAGGGGTTTTCAAAGTGCCTAAGGATTAAATAATCAGATATAAAGACGGAGATGAAACAGAGGCTGCGTCTCTGGCCTTACCATCACTGTCGAAAAACTTAGCTGCATACTGGCTTTCTCAAGTATCTCCTTCGACCCAATAATTGCTATCATTTCAGCCCAAATGATGACTATCTGAGACGTTCTCATCAGAAAAATCACGAGCATTAAAGAGATATCCCTGTTCAAAAAGATTCCAGGCCTACCAAAGTAGTCAGTACACGTAGTCTTGGAAGCTAGGACTGAATAGATGTAATATATATACCCATATAAGGACATTAAGGTTCCATATATCGATTTTTCATCTCACAGTAGTCGAAAGCTGCCAGCACCTCCGGGCCCGATAGATCATTGGTTATTTATGCTCAAATTTGATACCTACCTAGGTATATTGGGATCTCGGGAATCAATCACGCTTCGCCAAAGTTAGATAGTAGGTAGTATAAAGCGACTGTGCACCTCAGGATCTCTACCTAGGTAAGTTTGCGAGCAGAATGTATCACCCGGTCCACGACAGACTTATGTGGTGTGATCAGAAATCTCTGATTTTTCAAAATCGATAAGAATTGACTCATATTTTACGCGAGGTATGATTTCTTTTTCTTGTATATCTGACAAGTTTCGAGTCAATTTCAAGATCAAGAACCGGAAACTTCAGGAAGACTGGGAGATGCATACCAGTCTGAGCAAGCCGAGCCTTTGTATGAAGGTAGTCTAGCGCAAGAAGGATGTGGATCATAGTTGGCTTGAATAAATTTATCGGAAGGAGTTGCGTAACTCAAATAGACTCATAGTCGAAGGAGGATGCACAAGACACTGGTGAGAATGTGAATATGAAAGTCATATAGGGCGTATAGAAAAAGAGTGAAGCCTGTGCTTACTTCGGATTCCTACAGGGCCACACCATGTAATGTCACACGTACCCCAGTTTCCCAATTCCTTGACAGGAAAAAGCCGGTCTGGTGAATACCACTGCAGGGTTTCCTCTAGCTTACTGGCTGAGTCAAGAAGTTTTGCTTGTAGTAAATATTGGCGGAATGGAGAATGCCGTCGTTGAAATAAAGACTGAATCAACGCGCAACATGTAGTATGGTTCCTTCACAATGGCCGGACAGAGCGAGATTTGTTAGAGGGACTACACCCTTGAGTACAGTAAATACAGCGATCTGTATTCTTTTTGACTACACTCAAACACCTAGAATGCCCTAGAAATAAGGTGTTTTCAACCAAATAGGTTTAGCTGTAATGCTAGGTATAGTTATCAAACATCTCACTGGATTAGACAGCGTCCTATACATTCTATACGTAAAAATCATCGCCCGAGTCAACTATTTTTAACTTCTCTACCGATTGTTTTACTATATGAGAGTGACGGTGACCATATGTATAAGAGCTCTTAGGTTGCCTGGTACATTAGGTATATGTTATAGCGGAATAGGTGAAAAACAGCATCTTGAACCTGCTTTTTTGCTAGTCCAATTAATGATAGTAGTAATACAAGTAGGCATCCTGCTCAATTAACGAATGTCCGATCTAATAATACAGGAGACCAGAAAAAATACTTCTCAAGTAGCAGCGTTCAATACACTTTTGGCGATTTTTCCAAACACACCACGAACCATATAACTGTTCTTTTCATGAAGGCAAGTGAGAAGAATTGCAGCGCTTAGAGCAAACAAAAAACGCTCACGGTATTGATACTAAAAGAGAGAGAATCAACGAATCAGCATGGAGTCACAATTCGAAATAGTCACCGATCATTCGGGGGATGGAGGGGGATGGTCCGTTTAGGTGTAACCCACGACTAGAATTATGCGAGGCTCTAAAACATACCTTTTTATCATACAACCGTGGCAGTACTGTGGCCACAGCCCGAGGTGCCACGAATAGCGCCAACTCCTGTCTTCTCCGCGCTTTCTCAACCAGTATGCTCCATCCGCACATGAGACATCCCGCACCAACACAAAGCCCAGAATCCCACATCATAGGAGTCACCGTCTCAGAGCCAAAGATCTTGGGACCCAGACGTGTTCGTGCTAGACACACGGAGTAATAAAACAAGGCCACGAAAGACGCAAGGAAGGCAGATGACTGGCCGGCCTCGGAGATAGCACGGATCAAAGCAGCTGGTGTTTTGATTCTTCGTAGGCGTAGAACAATTTGGAGTGGTATGTATGTTGCACAAGCAACCTTAAAAGTTCTGACAAAGCGGGACACCGCGTGTTTCTCACAGCTAGGGCCATGGCCCATATGCACCAATTCGCATGGAATTGGAATTGTTCTTGCTGGGTCACCCCATTCATCTGGCATATTGAAGTCTTTGCACATTGATCCCAGAAGGGAACCTTGTCCCGTATCCTGTCCATATATCCAGTTCCCCTGACGGGCTAAGACAAGTGCCTTTTTTAATCTCTCATCCACATTTGCTATGCCACCGATCCAGTTCTTGTAGGTTCTCGGTAACGTTTCAGGAAGATAGAACCATGCCCACATGACAACAGCTGCACTCATGGCGAATACCCCGGCATCAGCCAAGCCCGGAACTGCAGATTCTATGACAGTCCACCTGTTTTGAGCCTTTCGTCGGCGGTACCAGCGGTTCCAAGCAATACAAGATGCCACATCTAATGCTCTTGTGACCGTGAAAATAGTAAGGTCCATTGTTCGCCCGACCAACTCCAGTTGAGGACGCTGTAGTGGATTGGCCGGAGTTTTACTCAAGTCTTCCGAGTTGGATAATGCCCCTTCTATGCTGACGTCTCGCGCAATGACACGATTTCTGTTCAATAGTTGAAAACTGAACCACGCGGAGAAAAACGCAGTGACGAATCGAATAAGGCGATCACCTTTCTGAGAAATTCGGATGTTACCCTTGGAGAGACCAGCTACAATCCATGTGCATATCCGATACAACAGCACCGGGAGGAGGGTCGAGCCCCCTACCAAGATACCGCAGAATGTGGGAAGGCTGTTAATGCGCAGCGGCCCAGCCAGAATCTGTACAAACTGTAAGATTGATAGTCAGTTTGCAATTCAATTTTGAAGCAAGAAAATCTAATCTCATCAAAGCACGAGGAAGTTATGACATCATTTAAGGCCTGTCATGGGACTTCACACACCCTTTGAAGCTTTTCCTTAGTAGATTCATCCTTGTTTCTGAGTTGGCGAATAAATGTGACAAGTCTGGGGGTGATAGATGACAGATAAACCAGAGCATACGCACGCAGTATACTGTGATTTATGGTTAAAAAATGACTCTGTATATCGCGTGGACTGACGATATGAGATGGAGTGAAACTCACGGTTTGAGGATCTGGGCTCTGAATTGCCTGTCACGGAGACTTAGCCCGACTCTAGGTTCCATAGTGTCGGGAGCCATTCATGTCATGATCTACCGGGGTCAAAATAAGTATTACACCCGGTGAAGGGGGAAGTGGAATTCAATGTTCCCTCTGTCTTGAGCCAATCAAGCTCTAGATCAGGTTATTATTTGCAGGGCTGCCAATAAGCTGAATATTGGGTAGTATTTGGAGAAATTGAGCGAGCAACCTGACACCTGCACGATCGTTGTTTTCCTATGATCTACCGTGGATCTGTGTGACGCGGGCTGAGGCCTTGCGTAAGGGCTGCTCAAGTCGATGAAGTAGACCTCTTCCAGATGAGGGTCCACAGGAGAAAAGAAGTGCAAAATGACAAATGTTCAGAGACAAGTGATAATTGCCAGTAATGTTCGTAATGAGGTATGTGTTTAGGTATAGTTCCCCAGTTCGTGGCGTGCAAGGAAGATGCACTAATATAGGCGCCAAATGGGGCAAGGGTCACGTTCGCTCTTGAACAAAGCCGAGCCGACACGGACTAAGGGAGGCCGAGAATTGATGAATGCTGGAATAATAAGTATTGATAGAGATGTTTTGAGTTACCCCAAATTAAGAACTCGCAGGATTAATTGTCTGTTGAGGTTAACAGATGTATTAATTATGGTAATTTTGGTGTACTTGTTATGTAATTTACTTGGGGAAAATTTACATGTGATCCGAGGCCAAAGCTGAGCGATAGCATCAATAGGACTGATCATCACGTCTCTATCGTTTCCCAATCACTCACCAACATCCCACTCTCCTTCTAGCTCCTCCATCCTCGGACGCACTTACTTACCCTTCATCATCACCGAGTCCTTTCTTTAGATAGTCATATTTGCGCTTTCTTTGCTACATTGTACACGAAAGAGACCAAGATCTGTATTGGTGGCCTGTGAAGTGCGAGAAGCCATCCCAGCCAAGGAATGACCAGCTATTCTTGGTCTACGTCTTCTGAGAATATCAGGGCGGCAACCACTGACCCGGTTTGAATCTCTTCTGATCGGCCTGCTGACCATACGTGACCATGGATGGCCCGGGCCCCGAAGTCCAGAACGGCCGCCTTTCCCCATCAGCAGCTGGCCCATTTGGCTGTAGGATACCCACCTGATCTAGAAATACAGAAGAAATATGTAACTAACGACAGCGCAGACAGCTTTCTTTCTCCCATGGATATTCCGTTTGAACAAGCCCCCGCTTTACCTCCGGGTCCCTCTCTTCTTGACGATAACGAATCCAATATGCTTGACAACTTCTTTTCTACAATGAACGCCAATAACTTGACAAATGATTTCTGGCTTCGAGGACAACAGAATAAATCTTCTGGTTTCAACTTTGATTGGTCTGATGAGCTCCCACCAACGTTTGAGGGCTCCAGTACTTCGTTGTCGCATCCCTCATTCCAACAGCATGGGCCTGGCAAATCGAGCTTGATGGCGGGGAGTGCGGCAGGTCAAGATCTTTATGCTACAGCCTCAATGCTTTACCAAGGTGGTATGAACGGATCTGCAATTTCGCACCCGGCCTTTGCGGGTCAGCCTCTGTCCGCTAATGGTGCACATGATAGACGTGGCTCACAGCATGTGGCTCACACACAAGCATCAAGTCCCTCAGCATCCCGCAACCGAATATCTACCGGCTTTCACACTTCTGAAATGCTTTTCGATGTGCGTGATCCGATTCCCGCCGACCACCCATATCGCAAAGTTCGTGGCCTCCACTGGGGCTCGGATGGTAGTTTTATGGACCAGGGCTATGTTGCCCCTCCTGACCAACCAGACATGGAAACACGCACTAGAGAGCTACTTGATCACCTGGACTGTTTTGAGCCACAGACCAGCACTACTAATACCCGTGCTCCGAGTCCAGAACGTATGGTTAATATGCCTAACCAACGTACGACCTTGCGTGGTCTGGAACCCGAAGATGACTCCCAGCCTCGCAAGCGGCAGCGAACTATCAAAGAAGATGACCAAACTTCAGATGAGGAGGAGATAGAACAGCCGTCGCGAAAGTCTCGGACTCCCAATAGTGCCAAGGTTCGAAATGCGGTGACCCATGTCTCTCGGAAAGAAAAGGCACAACCGGGTAGCAAGCTCCCTCGAGAAAACCTTTCAGAGGAACAAAAACGGACCAACCATATTCTGTCAGAGCAAAAGCGGCGCAATCTCATTCGCCAAGGCTTTGAGGATCTGTGTTCGCTAGTTCCTGGACTCCGAGGTGGGGGTTTTAGTAAGAGCGCCATGCTTACACAGTCCGCAGACTGGCTAGAGGACATCCTGCTTGGTAACGAGGTCCTGCGGAACCAACTAGCAGGGATGAAAGGCGTCAACGGGCTTGCCATGCCTCGATAATCTCATGATCTCACATGACCCCGTGACGCGAATATGACTATTTATTTATTATTTCGAGCGGTTCAGCGCCTTGGTTGAGCAGGCTTCATCTTGCACGCGCTGGCAAGTGGGCGTTTATATTTAAGATACCATTTTATTCCAGACATTTATCTTCCTTATTTGCTACTCATGTTGGTGGCGGCATACACATTTCAACCATCGGGCATGGTTCTTCATTTGACGATATCTTCCAATGTGGTGGCATTCCAAGATTATGCAGTCCTCGGGATGCATGCATAATCTAGCGTGCCTATCTAGCCATACAGTTATCAATTTGATGCATGTTAATATTCACCTTGATCATGTGACTATTATCTACTAGAAAGCTTTTAGAATGAATATAGATCATCGTCAACAGCATATAACCACTCAAATAGCTTCATATTATCGGTGAAGAGAGTGAACCGGCGATATACTTGCTAATTCTACCGATTGAATCTATAGGTATATTCATGGATGTAGGTCAAAATGCATGTGTATTCGGGAGCTTTGTGAGAAGGACACGATGCTCTCCAAATTGATGGACCTTTACCTATAGGTATACTGGTTGGTTTATGTCATACTTGCCTCCAACAGACAGTTGAGGAATCTGAGAGAATTTGCTCTGCAATAACTGCCGAGTCTGTTGAAGAACCTATCGAAAAGAAGAAAACAGATCAGTGAATGATACCGGATTGCTTCTTGACTTAATCTTACCTCGATGTAGCTAGGCTGCTGACTTTTCCGCATGAAAGCTAAAAATGCCCAGCTCATGGCACCTATCAACTTGTTAATATACACATTAGAGAAATGAGGCTGTCTATCATCGTACCTGTTGCAAGTCCTTGCATACTTGTATCAGCGGAGGTTTGCTCATCACTACAGCCTGAAAACATCCAAACGTCCTTTCCTTCGTGGGCCCAATCCTCGGCAAAATTCTCATCGGCAAGTCCGCTATCATCGGAAGGCGCTTCCGGGTTCTTGAGTCGGTTGAAGAGTGAATGTCCACGATGAAGTATGTCCTCGACATTACTGATTTTCTCAATAGAAAACCCGCCATGAAGCAGGTCTCCTACTTCCCTGAGGATCGAAACACCCTCTTTGACGTTGTTGACCATGGATACATTACCGTCGGTATCTGGCCGGTAGATGTAAGGCAACTCCACGGCTGAACCGGAGTGACAGCAGTCGAAAAGAATGGTCAGTCTGCATTTCGGATTCAGAGGCGAGACGATGGCTTTGTGAAGCTTTGAATGTCATGTATTAGTGCCTCATCTCCAATCCATTTCAGCTAAAAGTTCTTTAGCCTACCGTGCCGCTTGTGATCTGTCCGTTTTGTTCGAAATCCACGGGGCAGATAGTGTCATCCAAGCTACGATCCCGAGCTCTGTTAGCACGTTCATTGATTTCTATTGATGTACGAAGGAAGCCATACCCGCTCTCTCTATCTCCATCGGTGTCTCTGACTTGGCCTTTGATATCTTCATGTTAGGCATAATTCAAACTTCAGGGGTAAAGAATTAACAACGCACTTCCATGGCCTGAGTACGATAGCCATAGTGAGTCGCCGGGGCTGTTACACGAAACCAGCCACTTGAAAGCAGCTAACATATTGGCTCCAGTTGGATAAAACGGCGTACCCTCATTCTCGGGCTCATCGGTCAAAATCACGATATCTCGGGAATCTGTGAATCCATGCTCCTCGCGAAGGAAGTTTTCGATGTTTTTCGCGTCATTGACACAGCCATTCAACTGGTGATCGGATCCAGTATAGTTAATTCCAATCAGGACAGCTTTCTTGCGGGACATTTTGGAAGCGATGATACACGATTTTAACTGAGATGACACGCAATTGTTGTGGGGGACGGAGTAACAGTTTTAGTGCCGATTAGGCCGACGACTTAGGAAGCTTGGTAAAGTGGGACCCCAAAGCTGCCTTAGGAGAGCCATTTCCAATCGATGCTTGATGCTTACTTAGATAGAATCATGGATGTTATTTCGTTGGAGGGACTTGGAAGCACTTGAGCAAAGTTGATTTTATCCACAAAACTACCTAGGTATTGCCTTCCTAACTTTCCCATCTTAATCCATATCGGCTGCATTAACTAGCTATATACGGATACTTTTATAACAATTTTACAAACATTCGATCGCTTAGCTGTATAACTCTCTCGCATAGAACTTGGCATTAACCTTGATTGATCTTATAGTTGTTAACCTTGGACTTGGATGCTGATGTTTTTTTTTTAACCTTCCAAGGTCAACTCAACTAAATTGGCACATGAACAGAAGATAGCTATTACCTTTTAATAGAAATTCAATGCAGCTTGAAAACAGAAAATATACCCAGTTGTTCATGATGTAAAAGTGAAGATGTGGCGTGTAGTTCTAATTAAGATGTGTCGATCTCCGCCCCACCAGTTGACCGCTCTGTTTTGGTCGACGCGTCGCAGGAGTACTGTCACTCTAGACACTCCTCTTAACAATATACAATTATGCCCTCCAAAAGAAAGCATGCTGATGACAGCGATAATAATGATGAGGTCGCAGAGGACAATAGGCGCAAATCATATGCCTACCTAAAATCAGAAGTCCGGCGCGTCCCTGAGAAGACCATCAAATCTAAATGGACTACCCTACCAGACTCTGTCCAGGATCAAGTCCAAGAAATGTTCCATGCGCTAGAACGTCCGGTTATAATGCGCCAGCAAAATGAGCGCAAGCGAATAGAGGCACAGACAGCAGTACAGGCGGTTGTTCGAAAGTATGTCGCCCCAATATCGAAGTTGCACTTAGACATACACTAACATATTGAAACTATGCAGTCTAGGACGGCGACTTCCACGAATGCCATTTCCTCCCATTACGAAAGAATCCAACTTTAATTTTGAGTCTGCGCTGGATGAACATGTACGTACGATTGATGCCGGCGTGTATAACTTGCTGACAATATCTGGTTAGCGGTCGCTTGAAGCTGCATTAGCTACCATGAAAGATAGCGCCGATCTTCTGAAGGCTGAAATTGCGAAAGAAGAGACGCTGCTGGCTAGCGAGAAGAAAGCACTGCATGAAATGGAGAAGAACGCCAAGCGAGCCGAAGCGGAGAGAAAGAGACAGATGAAGAATGTTCGTAGCGTCTTGCTTGGACTGAGATCATGAGTTTGGCTAATGTCTTCTTTTCAGGAACACCCTATGCTTCGGCAGCTGGATGATCTTCCACATCCTCAGGATCTCATATCCTCAGATTTCCTAATCCTAGACCCCAAGACCAGTCCGGAGACTCTAGACGAGGTATGTAAATCACGTTTAGCTGATATTGGAATCAAATACTTATCATTATTTTCTTGAACATAGCTGGATACAGACCCGGAAGTTCAGGGCTTGGTGAAGCAACTACACGGGCATCTCCAATCCATGCAGTCCAATGTCGCTCCGCTTGCAGGACTCAGGGATGCTATCATCCGGTCGCAGGCAGCTTTAGACCTTTACTCGGCTTCAAATGATTGAAACAAATATCGGATCATCGAATATGATCTACCACCAGCGACGGAGTATTCGTATGAGAACTTCAGCATTCCCAGCCTTCCATTCATCACCAGCACAATCTGAGCTCGTGATTGAGCATGGCAGACCGGTCTCAATCAAATGCAAATGATCCAATGATCCCTGTACTCAAACCGCGATAAATTCGCCATGGAGCTGCAGGTGCCTGGCGGTGTCACGGTGCACTATCCATCATCAACTCCCTTCTATATGCACTGCATATGAAGTTAGGAAATGGTGAGACATATTCTCATCGCATTGAGATGGATACGAAGATGTTTCGAGTCATTCCAACATGAATAATGACATTGTCCATCCCATGGCTCGGGGTCTATGGAGTACTTAGATACATGAAGATGCAGTGTAATCAACCTCGGAGAAAAGTGTTGCCTGAGTAATAATACTTGAACAAGTTACAACACATGTAATCTAGTACTCCGTAACTTGAATGTAACAAATACGAATCGGTATTCGGTAGGCCTTACCGAGAGAGATGGGGGTTCCCCATGCGGAGCAGGTCGGACTCCGGAGGGGCTGGTTGACTCCGCTTTAACAAACTAAGACTCTTAACATCTTTTACCCTTCAACACTGAAATGTCTGCGGGCAGCCATTCTTCTTGGTCCTCGTGATTATCAGAACACGATGACTGAAAAAAGTATATCCGAGGGTTTAGCGAAGTCCAAGGATGTCGGGAAGGATGCGCGCGCAAAGGAGTCGCAAGCAGCTGCAGTCAAGTCCGAAACCTGCTCAGGCAGTCACTCCAGTCCCAAGAAGCGCCGCAAGGTGAATCACGGTAAGTTACCGTCGTCTGCGCGGCATGCGACAGGGATTCCTGGATCCGCACTAGTTCGCATGGCGATTATAAAGTATCGCGCTAATCAGTGGATTCTCATTTCTAGCTTGCGTCTATTGTCGCCGCTCGGTGAGCTTTCCCCAATTACCATTCGACTCTTGCTAGTTGTGCGATCCTCCAACAACCGGATGAGAAACCCAATATTCAGTCTGGGGCGACATGATGAGAATACTCATTTGCTAACAGAAAGGTCTTTTTTGCGTGGGACAGCATATGACTTGCGATTCGGTACGACATTTCTCTGCTTGAACCCATTCCATTCTATCCGCTGCCCGTGAAATCGGCCTTCAACGCGTATGTGAGATGTTCCTGCTGACCAGTCTCAATGCCTTAAGGATCGACCGTGTACCCGATGTATAAAACGAAACATCGGACATTTGTGCCATGACGAACCCAGGGAACCCACAAAACGTACTCGAAGCGACCAGGAGCACTCGGCAGCCGACGAGGAAGGCTCGTCAAACAATGAGTTGATGAATGCCCAAGGTATGCCTCAGAGTGTCGATGTCTCGGATGCTGCTGGACAGCAAATCATCCCCGACAGCGCGATCGGAATCCCGTCTACCTCGGCACAGCCAGTAGATATTCCTACGTCTGCAGGCCTTGATACCAATAACCAACAGCGTAAGATAAGATAGGTCCACTTATGCATGGGTTAATGCTAATGTGGCATGACAGTAATGGGATACAATGATTGGATAGGTGGTCAAAATCAGTTTCAAGACATGCAATCCCTCCATCCATCGTATATGTTTAATGCACCCGAGGTCACGAATGAATACAATCTACTGGGAGATTTTCTGAGCAACAGTCTGTTAGATGACGGAGCAATCTTCCAAAATCAAGACATGCAGGGAATTTACTCAGAATCATCGTTGGTGAATTCAATGGGCTCCATGGCAAATGGGCTCCCACCACCGGCACAGCTTTCACCACTGGCACAAAGCCATACGCAAGGAGACTCCATTCAACGATCAAATCCTGCAGTTGGCAATGACAAGGCACGTGAAACTTATTATATGACTGCCGCCGACCCGTCAGGATCAGACCCTCCGGAGGAACGCATGAACAAACTTCTCAAAGCAAAGTATGATGCGGGACTTTTGAAACCCTTCAACTATGTCAAGGGCTACGCTAGACTTAACCAATACATGGAAAAGAATATGCAGCCGGCGTCCCGGCAGAAGATTCTGCGACAGCTAGACAAGTTCAGACCTAAGTTCCGGGAGCGTATGCAGAGTCTGACCGATATCGAACTTATTTTGGTGGAGATGTGGTTTGAACGAAGCCTCATGGAGTACGATCGTGTTTTTGCCAGTATGGCCATTCCTGCCTGCTGCTGGCGCCGTACAGGCGAGATCTTCCGTGGTAACAATGAGATGGCCCAGCTGATTGACGTTCCCATTGAAAGCCTTCGAGATGTGAGTCTTTGGTAGATTAATTCTCAACCTGTTGTGCTAATCCAATACTTCCAGGGTAAAATTGCCATCCATGAAATCATTGTCGAAGATCAACTGGTCAGCTATTGGGAAAAGTTTGGCGCCATTGCCTTTGATAACTCCCAGAAAGCTATGCTCACTAGCTGTACATTGAAGAGCCCTAATGGGTCAGGTGAGGGTATTCAATGCTGCTTCTCTTTTACAATTCGACGGGACAATCACAATATGTAGGTATATCATCCTGGACATATTCTTTTCGCAACTGACCAAGATTAGTCCGTCTTTAATCGTGGGCAATTTCCTCCCCACCCAGAGGATAAATAAATAACTGTTCATGAAAAACCTCATTGGGATCATTGCTACCACGAAAGACTGAGGAGAAATCGACCTAAAATGCTGACATTCTCTGTGGCTTTGGATCGTTCATTCCCCGGATTTAGATTCTATCTAGTTGATTGTAATGAATATGTTGAGCTCATGGACTTTCTGATAAGTTAGAAGATGCTGTGAATATTCTGTAGAGTTCCTTCCTTCTGCTGCCGAACACCTGTCACCTCCATCTACTCGCCGCCGAACGACACAACTTACCCAAAGACTCTTCCGGACTCCAACGCTCTTTTCAAAGCCTAAACCTTTAATATCACACGAATATTACACCTCTTGTCGATGCACCCCGTCATGTCATCACAGAACTTCGGTACGAATGATCAAGTCTCAATGCTGATAGGTATGAACTGAATGTTTGAATATGTTGATCGTCGAAGAAAGATCCATAAATTATCAATAACAGCTAACGCATGCTGAAAATTTCATCATTGCAGCTTTGGCTCGTAAGTTACAAGCCTTTATCTTCATTGATGTCCCGAATACTCTTCTCAATAACGATGTCGCTGCCTCTCTCGACCAGCAACTCGAGAACTTCCCTTTCATGACAACAATCGTTCATTCATCTCTCTCCGAGCTTTATAAGACAGGGACTGGATTGTGGAATGCCTGTGTTCAGGTCATGGACATACGTGTTAGCAGAGAGAACCAGGTTCTTCTCAGCAAAGGTGTGTCTATGCAGATTTCTGTCAATCTGTGTCTCCAGGACTACGTACACTGCTAATCAATGGGTAATCTTAGTGATGACATTCGCATTTTTCTTACTCAATACTGCTCCAACGAAAAAAGCCCCAGGTGATGTCAGATTTCTTGAATTGGCATTCATATCAGCTCATCATTGCATCAGTACTTAATCACCAATTTAAAACCACAACATCTTTGCTGACATCGAGTTAGATGTCTCACAAATGGATCTTACACTCAAGATTCTAGAATTGGCAGCACAGCGACTCGAATGCCTACGAGCCTTGAAATATTCCTTATCCCAAACTCGGTTGTCTTCTCTCATTGCCGAGTATTATGTGCTCCGGACTCATCTGGTGAGCATATAGAACGGGCAGTAACTCCAAATCTAACTAAAAATTTAGGCTTGGCTTCAAAAGCGACAAGATATCGCGGATCACTTCTTCTCTCACGTGCCGGCAGCAAAATTTATAACCAATCAAGCAGTTGTTATCGGCGTCTGCTACGATATTGGCTGTAATGCTCTTTCAATTTCTCGGAAAGACCTTGCGATAGAGTGGCTTGAACGAGCGGAGAATTACCTTCAACCTTTAAAGGATAATCAGCCTGATCAGGCTGGAAAGGAAAGCTTTGACTTACTTGTTCGACATGCACTGGGTGAGTTAAGATGCTGTGATACAAATGAGAAAAAGCTAACTTTCTTCAGTCCGGGCATATTTGGAATTTGACAACCCGTTGTCAAATGAGAAAGTCGAAGCACATCTTACTGCACTCAAAATGGTATATTTTCAATATCGACAATGCCAGACATTGGAAATACTGATTCAAAATCCTCTAGAGATATGCGAATGAGGCTGCTGTTTTATTTCTTGAACTTCAAATTCTTCGTTCCGGGGCAGAACGCAGTAGAACTGCATTCTTTGAGAGTGAGTTTTGAGCTCTAGTTCTCTCAGCTTTCTTACTGACCCTTACCCTAGCTCTGGATCATATCATCGACCACTTGGAGCTCACAGAGAACATTTTGAGCCTGTATGTGCTTTTAGCCCGCAGCAGAGACTCTCTAATCATAAGTTTAGGATAATTGACTACATAAAGTTCTCCAAGTGTCTTAGGTAAGTCTGTCCCAGGCTAAAAATTAGAAGATATATGCTCACTGTATCAGCGAGAATCGTGCTCTAGAAGCGTTCCACAAGTTGCTAATGCATCTCCCACTCAACAGAGAAGAGTGGATTGAAACAAGCTTTTCAAAGTTTGTCTCAATGGCTGTGGACTGTCACCTCCCAGACGAAGTCTCAATCGCCATCATCGAAGAAGTCTCCAAAGAAATGAGCGCACGCAGGGTTGAGCAATTGAGCAGTACGACAACTCAAGCAGTTTTGGCTGTAATACAATCATCGATTTAAGCCAAGTCTAAAACATGCTGACCCTAAATTAGATAATTTGGAAACAAATCGTCGGAGAGTTTAACAAGAGCAATTTCCTTGCCGCAGAGAAATGGTGCTATCTTGCACTTTCGGAGTTCTTTGGAAGCTGTTCAGATTCTAACAAGCTGAAAGTCCAGAAGTATTCACTTAGCTACTTTCAACCAGGTCGATACAAAGGCTAAGTTGCTATATAGGAAGCTGGTGATTTGTGCTTTGGCAAGCTCCAACACAGCCTCTTCTCGACACGTGTTGACAGAAATGACAATTCTTCAGGATAACGATATTGTGAATCACACAAATACTGACAAAGAAACTCTTTACTTGACCTGCAGACTTTTGCTCCAGGAAGGCCGCGTGACTGAATTACTCGGTAGGTGCTGTCTCAGCGTCGAATGTAACTGTTCTAACTCCCAGAAGCTTTTTTTCGGCACAATACTCCTTTCGTACATCCAGATATCAAGAAGTGTATCCAGCTAGTCTGCTTGGAAGCTCAGCGCCTGGAAAATATAGAACCAATTTTCGGGTTTTTTGAAGGAATTCTTGACCAAGCTTTCTCCGATGGAACACAATGGCCTCCTGTGCCTGACAGCATGGATAACATTATGTGTGTCCACCCATCTGAAGTTTCAGGAAAAGTCCCCGGATTGATCTTGACAGACAGACTCGCGATATACATACTTTCCGATGAGGTCGAGAAAGGCAATCGGAGTCAGCGATCTCTGCGAATGCTAGCAGAATTATTCAAGTCAGGTAAGAGACAATTCGTAGTGGAATAGTTTGATCAATTTACTAATAACTAGTCCAGCTTCGACGGAGAATGATCGAGATGCTACAGAACTGGAATGGCTTTGTCGAAAGTGTTATGACCTAACCTATCATTTTCTCGAAAGCCTCATACCCTCTAGCGAACTTATCGAAACTTTGGAGCAGGTATCTTATATATCCCTTTATGTCATTGCTCTGTCGATTCATCCTCTGACAAGATAGCAGATTTTGTTACAATACCATGACTGTTCAGAATCCAACAAGTTCTTTGGCCGTCAGCTTGACTATCTCGTTCCATATCTTAAGCTAGCTCAGCTTGTCAGCGACACCCATGTTGAAGAGGTACGTTTTTAATGGCCATGATTGAACTTCATGCTTCTTGCTTATTATTTCTAGGACTTTGGTCGTACTGCAGTTTTTTATTCTCTCACAAAGCGCATTCGAAATAGCCTATCCAGTATGACACTGACAGATCGCGAAGAAAATATAAAGAGCACAATTTGTGTGCTCGAGTTCAAACAATCAATTCTCGAAAAGGATTGGAATTCGTTCATACAGATCATTCACGATGTCACAAACTACTCACCTGACTTTGATTCACGCTACATGGAATTCATCCTTGCCATGAAAATGCCAAAAAGGAATCGGGTTGACGCGATCAGGGTATCTATCCCTCTAAGAAGATTCCCTATGCTCTGAAATTATCTAAATCAATATCTAAATTTAGGTTATCATTTACAAAATCTACAACAGGGGAGTCGCAGCAGTCAGCCCCTCTCTCCAACGCGCATTTCCGCGTTATTTGCGAGTCCTATTCAGAATATGCATGTCTGCAACGAAACATGACGATCTGGATAATCCACAAACCCGAGGCCACGAAGGAAAAGGTACATATCTCAACATTGCCGAGTCTATACTTTGCCAAGCAATAGATGCCGCTTCTGATGATGCTTACATCAAAGCTGACCAACGTACTGAGATAAATTCGCTCGCTAATTCGAAAGACGGGGTATCGGAATCCCATTGTGAGCATCCAGGCTACCCAAAGGATGAGCTTGCATGCCTTGCTACTATGGCCTTCAATCAGGCTATGGATTTCTACTCGGAGGAGAGAGATGAAGAATGTGAGCGTTGGGGTCAAAAGGCCATTATGTTGGCAGAGTTGATGGGTGATGCAGGTTTGGGGTACGTGAAACTGTTTAGGGATCGGTTGGAAGCATTATCTTGATGTCGAAGGTTCTAAGGCTAGTTTATCCAGGTGTGAACTTTGGAACCTGAGGGGTCTATTTGCCCTGTAGGTTTAAATGGATGTTTTTGAAATGGGGGTGGGGGGTCGATCCATCGAATATGTCTTTTCACTGCTTAACTTCAGGGCATAAATGGCGATTAAAAAAAGAAAAGAAATAGTATTATTTAATATCTAATTTAGCGAAAGTTATATAGCATATGCCAGGTAGCGTAGTAATGTGTAATATGAATGTGGGTATCGTCGAAAAAATTGGGTAGAGATAAGAAAAGTGGTCAAGAAAACCGCCATCTAAACCATGACTCGAGTGATGGAGAGCAGGAGATATACAGACGGAAGGAATCAAGTAAGGCAGAATGATGGATGGGGAAGGAAATAGGGGGAAAATGTATGATGATAAACTACCACTTTCAGGCAAGAAAGACCATGGATCTGCAGTATTAAACAAAGCATAAATAAGAGGTATCATGATTGTTCGCTGTTCCCATCATAAGAAGGGGTACGCAAATGCCCTCGCAAGCTCGTGTGGCGCAACGAAGGAGTCGAGGGCACACGATGAGGGCGCGGGGAGCGTGATGAAATTGATGAGTAGCTTGGCTTGCGCTCTATATCTTTTCCGCTACTGTCCGTTTCAGTCTCGGGACTCTCGTCACTTAGTATATGCGCATTCACAGCACGTAGCGTGAGGCTTAACTCTCGCTCAAGCTCTTTGTGTGCGTGCAGTTGTTCACTTGATCCAACGAGCTTCTTTCGATATGTTCGCAGAGTCCGGCAGAGCTGCTCCGAAGACGACTCTAGACCGCCATGTTCATGCCGAGTACCACGGGATCTGTAATCTTGAGATGCGCGTCGATTAAGGTTCCTTGAACTACTGTGCTTTCGAGGAAGGTGTGGTTTCCATTTAGGACTCACGGCCCCAGGTGAGGGAGATCTGCCGCCTCGTTCGTGTGCATACGAAGTGGGCGAAAGACGATTCGGAGATGGTGTACCCGTATGAGGTTGGTTCTTGAGAGAAGATGATGTCAAGGATAATTTGGACAACTTTTTCGTTAAGGTTGGGGATAATTCTCGTGAAAAAGTAGGTGATCCAAGAGGATGCTCGGGACGATGAAAGCCAGCCAGCTCGCTTCGCGAAAGGACCTTCCGAAGAGGTAGCTTAGCTGAAGTTTCCACACCAGAAGATTCATCTTCACCAGCCTGCACCAGATCTGGAGACGGTTGTGGCTGAACCGATAAATTCCAAATCATGAGTATACCATCCAAACCTGCAGATATCAGAGTCCGCTTAGTGATTGCCTTATCGGACTCATCTGGCTCCTCCAAAACTAGCGAATCGCTAACCCCATCGGTGTGACCAAACTCCCCTGCGATCAACTGATCTCTCTCAAGATCGTACACACGAATGGACTTGTCGGTGCTAGATACGCCAACAAGGAGTTTGGGACTTTGGCCTGGGACCTCAGAGATGACCGTCAAAGAACTCATAATGACTGCATCATTTGCCTCAGGATCAGATGATTTAAAGCAATAAAGATTTTTCCCAGAAGGAACGTCGTATTTGGAAATAGTTCGATCCATAGTAGACAAGTAAATCGTGTCTGAATCATCAGGGCAGAAAGTGATTGAGACTGGAGATGCCTTTAACGTGATCACTCTGGCTGCGAGATATGCCAGGCAAGTTCCGCCATCCTCCTCGCGAGTTGCACGCTCTCGAACAAGAACAGTACGATCGGCAGAGCTTGAGAGCAATCTCTCACCGTCATGCATGAAAAATACTTGACCAACTGCACCGACATGCTCATCCATGGTTTGTATCAGGTCCAATGATTCGTCCGTCTTCTGGAACAGCTGCACCGTGCGATCACGTCCACAGGTGGCTACGAGGCAAGAATCAGACGAAGAACTTATGGCAATGTCGGTGATTTCCGCCGCGTGAGCGCGCGCCTCTTTGATACAAGCCCAAGGTCCACTTGAATGAAGCCTTAATACACCAAGCTTGTCTCCTGAGACAAACCAAGATGCATCTTCTGCTGCTCTTATAACTTTCAGCTCATTTGCCGCATCCTCGTCGGTGCCTGGGTGCTCCTCAACGGGCACTGTTTGGGAAATGGTGCATTTGCCTTGAGCGTCCCAGAAATTGACAGAGCCGTTGCGAGACCACGAGAAAAAATCTGCTGAGAAATCGTTGGGTTTCGGAAGACGACCAAGACCGAGAACCGGATCTCGATGCGCTGACATCAAAGTTTCGCCCTGATCTTGTTCACCCTCATCTCTCAGTGTATCCATGGGATAAATATGAATCTCCTTGGTTGCCTCCACAGTGACCAGATGCGAGCCAAGAGAACCCATACAGGTCGTCGCAGGGTCCTTGCTTTTCTTTTCTGTCGCGACTTTCAACAACCGCGGTGAAGGTGGATTAGAGGTGGATTGACGAAGGTATTCAAACGAGAGACTTTGCATCTTTCTTCCACGACCTCCTAGCCAAATCACCTCGCGGTCAAAGTCGACTGCCAGTGATGTAATGCCGAACCCAGCATGCATCACTATCGTCAATTTTTGAGCACCTTCTCGATCATCGAGCAGGCAGACGGCACCGGTTTCCGTGGCAATTACAGCCTCTTGATCAGATATGCTGCTCACGCAGCTAAAGGTATCTCCACCCAATGTGCCCAGAATGCAATTTCTTCCTGAAAGAGCCCTTGGAGCCGAGTTGGGAGAAAGCGGTGGACCCTCCAAAGTCAATCGAGTCTTGGTGGGCGAGACTGGTCGCACAGTTGGGAGCCTCCAGACTTTCACGTGGCGCACACCGGTGCTACAAGACATGTTAGTTTAATATACTGGCCTTGTATTTCTATTTTGGGGGGGACATACGTGACCAAAGCTTGGCCAACCCAGCACATGTCACGAACAAACGATGTACATTTATTGGTCGAGTGAAGCTTTGCGGAACCGTTTTTGAGGTTAATGGACCAAATGAATAAAAAGCCATCGTTTGCGTTGCCTAGCGTCGCCAGATATTGTGAGTCGGGGGTAAACGCCAGGCCGCAGACACCAAACGTGTGCTCGCTGAGGATGGAAAGGGGTGCATCTGGGAGAGCATCTTTCGCAGTGGAAAATATCATAACGCGTGGGTTATAGCCAGTCTGATCTTCGTTAGTACACATTGACTTGGAAGCTTGGATTCTGCTAATCATCACCTACCTCTCCTACGGCAAGAAACCGGCCATTCGGACTGATGGAGACGCTGGTGACCGCTTTGACTCTTTCCCTCGATGACAAGTCACTATGAGGGGATGCATTGTTGACGTTTAAGTGTGGATTCGAGCGATTATGGGACAGCGATCGTAATCGAGGATCGGGAGTTGAAGGAGGGGTGGATTGATTGTAGAAGGAAGTGACTGGATTCATACTGGTAGCTGATGGGCGAGCTCTGAAGAAACGTTGGCTGATGTTGCCATCATCATCCAGCTCTGCCAATACCGCGGCTGATCCTGCACACAGAGCAAAGGTCTTGCTCTGGTCATGGCTGGAGAACCCATTGGGAGTGGTTGTCGTTGTGCCCAGCACGGTCCGCAGGGACAGAGAAGATTGAAGAGAAGATCTGCTAGGAGGTCGTCCTGTCCGAGGGGGGTTTGTCATTTTTAAGGAGGTGGGCCCAACGTGCTTGCCTTTTGTGCTGGACGCGGTAGTTGCCATTTTAACCTCGATAATGGTGCACCCTAAAGGTGGGTTTGATTTTGCATTCCACGATAATAAAAACAACACGGGAAGTGGGGGAAGAATTAAAACCCTGGTCCGAGGGAGAGAGAGAGAAAAAACAACAACTCGAAGGAATGTGGAAAAGCTCCAAGAGCTTTTGAGGAAAAGAAAAGAGAAGGTCCATGGGGTTTCCTTCCGCGCTAACCTCGTTGCTGGGAATCACGATCTGGAAGATTCGCTCGGTATCATCAACCATTGAATTTTCTACTTATTTTATTATTTTATACAGCTAAGGACGTCAAATTGCCCAACTTAGAAGGCTTACAAGATTAGTTCTGAGTGAAGGAAGGGTTCAAGATGAAGATTAAATATAGTTACACATATCTCACACTCACCGCCGTTTACCTCTGGTACTTTATAAAAGTGGGCTTATGGAAGACAGCTGTCAACACTCAGTTAATTAGTCCAGGATTACTAAATAGCTTGGCTGCCAACTGTCAGATTATGTCTATGGTCTTGAGTAGAATTCCGAGGTGAGTACGGAGTACTCCTACTCCGTATTCCATCCATATATTGACACCTGAATCTGAAGGTGTCACTACTTATCTTATCGCGGGTCATTTCTTCCATATTCTTCTCCTTTGCTATAAATCATCTATCTACCTTGGGTTACAGGTATCACCTTATACTATGGCACAATGTCTTGTGTCGGCCAAGCTGGCCTTACCGACCGCTTTACGCAGCGTCTTCTTTTCTGAGCTATCCACCAATACGTATTTTCCGGTTACTAGCTTTTTTCGAGCTCCGCAAAAACCTCATCTCAGATGCCTCAGCACGACAAACAGAGTTCGCCAGGTCCAGATCGAAACTTCCAATGAGATATCACAGTCACATGGATTGCAAAATAATATATCAGAACCACGAAAGCAAGAAGGGAGGTCATCATCTCGCGAATCAAGACCTTTAAGGTCTACGAAACCAGACGGGAAGAATCGTGATTCTGTGAAACCAGACCAGACGAGCCGTGATCCCTCGAAGAAAAAAGACCACAAAGACAAAGGGCGCTGGAGAGATCGCAAACCCGAGGATAAGGACAAGAAAGAACCCAAAGAGAAGTCAAAGCCAGAGCCTTGGCAAGTGCAGAAAGGAGCTCTAGACAAAAAGTTTCCAGTTGGTTGGAATCCCCCCAAGAAGCTTTCTCCCGATGCACTTGAAGGAATTCGTCATCTACACGCAACTGCGCCCCATCACTTCACAACTGCTGTTCTCGCTGAAGAATTCAAAATATCCCCTGAGTCAATTCGTCGGATTCTCAAGAGCAAATGGAGACCATCAGCAAATGAGCAGGAAGATCGTCGCAAGCGATGGGAGAAGCGGCACGATCGCATTTGGGCCCATATGGCTCAGCTTGGTCTTCGAAAGCCAACTGATGCTTCAACCGAGCTATCCGATCATAAAATTTTATACGATGAGGAAAAGGACAAGGGCAAAAAGCAAGACAAAGACCAAGACAAATTCCAAGATCAGAATCAGAAATAATAGTCTTACCATGATTTGGAATTTCATATTAGATTTGCATCAGGAAGCGAGGAATGATCACTTAAAGCTGGTTATTTACAATCTAAAAAAGCATTGATCGACTGTTTGGTTTAGGCTGCTCATCCATGAATGTTTTATGTCAGTTCATGTACTCCATACATATACGGAGAATCTATAGATCATTTCCACCATTGAACGGCTAGGACAAAGCTGCCTCTCCACTCTTCATCGATCAAGAAGCTGTGCTTAAGTAGAGGAAAAACCACAGAAAATTTCAATTAAATAAAGAGCCCAAGTACGTTCATGGTCTTTCATATAATTACAAACATTTGAACAAAGCCGTTGTTGATACTAAAATTCGAGGCCCGCAGATCGAATTGTGGAGGCGCCACACGCAATTGACCTTAACTCCTTCGATCTCCGCCTAGCATAGCTCCATCCTCCACACCTCCATGGTTCGTTCAATATGATGGATTTCGACTTCTGGCCCGCTTCTTAAGCCAAAACTTCCTTCAACTGACAGTCGACTAACGTTCTTCCATCTTCCATCTACAGAGAAGACCGTTATCGGCCCTTATGCTGGCATCGCGCCGCCATGCCCTCAAATATCCAGGTCTTTGTGAAGTGGAAGGACCAGACAATATTTGCAGGGGAGAATGTGGAATGCACTATCACCTTCAAGAACGTCGCAAAGACTGAATCTGAAGCCAGCAATCTTGAGGGCGGCCAGCACCAGCGGAAGGTATCTCGAGTCGCGAACCACGTAGGGAACCACACAGGCAAATCCAACTCCGACTCCTTTTTCTCTTTCAAAAATCCTCAAAGTCTCTTTTCAGGACGACGATCGTACTCCATCAGTTCGCAGAGGAAGCCGCAGCGTACAGTGTCGTCCCTGAGCTCCCCACTCGTCGCCTCACACAGCTTCCCCCAAGTAGTAGCCCCTCTACTCCCCGAGGATGGCAACCGGGCGACAGACACAAACGATCCGTGTCAATTCTTTCTATTGATAGCGAAATTAAACCTTCAAACGCTTCTTCTCCGCAGTTGAATCGAACAAGGCCGCCCAGGAGTCACGGGCGCTCGGCGAGTCTCCAAATCACCCCCAGGAGGCACGATAGCTATGATGATTCTTATAGAAAAGGTACTAGTGAATAGTTCTGGATATTCACCGGATACTAGAGGCTAACGTTGGCTGTATATACAGTGGCAAGAACTCCCGTTCTCCCTTTTTCACTTGAAGAGTCGCCAAACGAGTCCACGCCCGGCAATCTCAAGGTCGACACTACCCATTTCGATAGATCCAGCCGTCTGGGATCCAATGGCATCAGTCCTCTCGCTCCAAATGAGCCATCACGTCCTCCATACCGACGACCAAAACCGCCTCAGTTCGATTTCAAGTTTCCGTCTGCCCCTCCAACAACCGACCCTCACTATCGCCCCGCTCTGACTCCCTCGCCCACATCAGCCGAAAGCACCGTTTTTCCAGGAAAGAGTCCATCCAGAGATGCGTTGGGGCTGTCTACTCCGGCACATCAACAACTCGCCCGAGTAATATCGGCCAACAGCGTGAATGGAAGTCGCAGTAGTGGCGAGTTCTATTCTGCCAGCGATCATTCCACCGAGACATTGGCCTCTGAATATACCAATTACTCGAGCCAGGGAGCACGGGCACCACCTCCAGCGCGACATGCACGTCATTACTCAAGCGTTGTGGCATCGCCGACCAGACTAACCGATAATAATAATAATCAGTCACTCCTAATGGGTTATGCGCAAATCAGCGCTTCCTTCACCGTTGATGGGTCTTTGGTCAATCAATCAGTCTTTGACGAAGTCAAAAGGAAGGAGAGTTATGGGTGGCCACCCAGGCACAGGTGGACTACCAGGACGGCCAAGCCAAGCCAGCTCTGAGCGCCGCAAAGGTGGTGGCTTTTGGGGAGCGCTGAAGTGGAACGCCATAGAGGAGTCCATCAATGGACTAATTTCCAACAATGAGCTTGACGGTCTTCGAGAAATGCGTGGAGTTGCCTCGTCACGCTCCATCCCTTTGCTATCTACTCCACAATCGCTTCTTTTTGTCGACTTACGACTTGCACCGGGGGAGGAACAGTCATATTCCTTCTCTTTCAGTCTACCCAGAGGACTTCCAGCAAGTCACAAAGGCAAGGCCATTAAGATTGCCTACAACCTGGTCATTGGTACGCAGCGACCAAGCGGGCCGAACGAGGCCCAAAGAGTCAATCGTATAAATATCCCCTTTCGGGTATATAGCGGCGTCAATGGTAGGCTTACATCTTGAACCCCGTTTTGAATCAAGTTTTAATATTTTTACAGAGAAGGGAGATGTTCTTGGTCATGATTTGATGTCACCATATGTGCTTCTGCGAGATGAAGCCAAAGTTCACAAAGTCGGGTCAAATACAACTCTGGATTTGAAAACCCCAAGCATCGGCGGGCAATGGCACTCGGCAGGAGATTTTCTTTCTTATGTGGATGAAATCCTGGACCAGCGTGCACGCTCCAATCTTTTATACCCCCCAGGGGTTGTGCCCGAGAGACAGCCAAGTTATGATGGACTTCCACATGCATTATCATGTAAAGACATCATCGACTTTGCAATCCTCCGCAGCAACCAGGCAGCGCAGTCACGGCGCAGCCCAAATCGATTCGAAATTGCTCGCGACGGGCAGCGTATTGCCGTGGTGGTATTGAATCGGCCAGTTCACCGGCTTGGAGAAACCATTATCGCCACTGTGGATTTCGACAAGGCTTCTATCCCATGTTACGCCGTGAGAGCCTCACTTGAGACGTCGGAAAAAATTGTCCCCACTCTGGCCGTTCGATCAGTCGCAAGCATTCATCGAACAACGCGACGAATCCATGCATCCTTGTTCGAGAATACGCTTTACGCAACTCGCGTAGTCTTTAGCCCTGCCATCCCTATTTCTGCGACACCTACAATCCTAACTAGTGGTGTGACACTTGACTGGGACTTGCGGTTCGAGTTCGTTACTCCAAACGTACCTAACGAGCAGGGATCTGGGCTGTCTGGGACCCAGCTACTTGAAACTATATCGTCGGATGATCGAGGAAAAGTGATGTCTGCGATAGAGCATCTAGGCTGTGAATCCTTTGAAATTTCTATTCCCCTCACGGTATACGGCGAGACTGTGCGAGAACCTTTACCTGAAGAGAAAGAGGGCTATCCTATTTGAGGCTATTTTGATTTTTACATATTCCCCCATCCCATTCGTGGATACGTTTGTACACTGGGGAGGTCTTGCTAATGGATTCCTTCTCATCATTATGGAGTATACGGCCCCGCATTAACGGGCTGACAGCTTCGATGCATACATAACCTGTTATTATAGACACATCGTGATTATAAAGTAATAGTACTAGGTTGCTTTTCTTCGTTTTTTTGTTTTTCACTGCTCATTGGAAAAGTCGACGTATCATTTCCAAGATATTGTGGGATTCTAATCGAAAACACGAGATACCTACTAGGTACATACCATACTGCATGTCAATCTGGTCTACTTGTACCTCGTAGTATTTGGAATTTTGGAATTGAACTTCCAAATGCCCTGTTGATATCATTGAAATTATAGAAGCTAGATCAATAGTTTCCCGCAAAGATTTAGATCCCGGTTAGCTTGAATTATAAATAACTTCTATGTCTTATTTCGACAGCATATTACTTTGTATTTGAAAGTTGAATAATGGGCCCACCGCCCCGCACAACAAGGGCCTGAGGGCGTGCAAAAGACCGTGCAAAATATCCCTGTAGGGTTGCATACAAACCGACTAAGCAGTCTAAGATTCCAGGGTTAGCACGACTCCGTTCAACTAATAAGTGGAGATTGTTTTCCAAGGTTGATGCATCCAAAGCTCGCTACCTTCCACCTATAACAAGGTAGAAATGAAGTACACCGACCCAATCGGGCCAATATCTATTCGCTGAAGATGTACCTTTGGCAGTCATCATGAAACTTCTTGTCACACTACGACATATCTGACCGAAGAGACCGTGGAGGTTGTGCCGTTTTTTTTTTAGCTTCGCATTAGTCTCAAACGCCACCTTCTCAATACATGTACATTAGAGATAATCCTGCGAAAAAGTCGGAGGCGATGCTCTGCATATGGATTCAGCGATTCGAGTGGCAGCTGGCGCTTTCTCATGTAGCCTTTAAGGATTTCTGATGTCTTGTTTCTGGCAACATTAGAAGTTTAACCTTGAAGACTTGAGTCAATGCAATATCAAACTCAAACACATCCTTTGATGTTCGAATGATCTTACTTCTAGGCGGTTGAATTGGACAAGTCAGACCTGCAGCTGATTTGACCGCTTGGTAGACCGAATTGGTCCCGAACTGGCACAATATGATTACTATGGTGATAGCTGTTAGGGCAATCATTGCGACGATGGCTAGCGCAGCCCTGATTGTGTGCACAACAAGAGTATGCCTAACCTTGGAAATCGCCTGAATTTTCTCTTTTTCAGCTGAATATCTTTAGAAGCTAATGATCTTTGCTCTATAGCTGTACTTAAGGAAATTTGTCACTCGTGCCTTCGGGCTCGACGACATTTTTGTCGTAATGGCACTTGTACGTGGCTGTGATGCAATCAATCAATCGTCTTACTGCAAAGAGAAACTGATGTTGTGAAAACTACTTAGATATGGGTCTTGTTCTTTGCCGCATTATCCATTTCACTCACCTTTTATGGCATTGGAAGCCACCAGAATCAAGTCCCGGAGGATGACTTCCCTACCATGGAATATGTACGTGCTTTGATGCATGCCATCTCGTCTATTCCAAAGTTTAACTCTGATTCAATCTCAGCTTGTCTATGTGTCCCTTTGCACTTACCTGTTCGTTGCCTCGACTGTCAAGACCAGCCTGGTCCTCTTTATAATGCGCGTCTTCCCAACCAAGTTCATCCGCTGGTATGGTCATGGAATCATTGTATTTCTGGTTCTCCTGACGATCTCTGGAGAATTACCCTGGATTCTTCAATGCAAGCCAGTACGTGCTGCATACTTGAAGTCACTTCCGGGTAGTCAATGTTTCTCTACGAACACACTGTTTGGTATTGAGATGTACCAGGGTGTTTTGATGTTTGTCATTGACCTTGTGATCATTACAATGCCGATTCCGACCATTTGGAAGCTGCAAATGCCATTCCAACGTCGAATTTCGATCATCATTCTATTCTCACTGGGTAGGTTATCTTCTGGGTTTATATGTTCTCTTTTTGATTTCCCCCCGACTGAGCTGACTTAAGTATATGAGTATAGGTCTGGTGGCTTGTGCTGCTGGATTGGCCAGACTGCCCTATTTAAGTTATCAAAACAACACCACAGATTTTACATGTACGTGCCCAACTCTGACAGCTGACAAGACTCATTTCCCAAGTGGGTTCAAAACATGTTTCAAAAGTTTCATTGCTCATTCTTTCTTTTTCTTTTAGATGCCGGAGCCACACCGCTCATCTGGATGAATGTTGAGTTTTCGCTTGCCCTAATCACGGGATCTCTCCCATCGATGCGAGTCCTATTAAGATCATTCCCTGGCTTTGGATCTTCCAATAAAACCCCTCGATACCAAACCCGGACTGGCGAGTGGATTAACGGCCAGGATCAAGCCGGGATTCCCTTGGACCAACATCCTTGGAAGAAGAAGATCGGGAAAAGAAATGATCTAGAAAGTCTGACTCTTGGGAGTCTGGCTTGTGAGAGCCAAGAAAGAATTGTTGATGTCCATTCTCCGAGAAGGGACGGTTACTCGATGTAACGATTCATGTCGTACAATCAATGGATTTTTTTCATATTATCATTCCAAGGTTGTACCACTGTTTACTGTCTACCTAGGTAATAATCACTCACCTTTCCCCGCTTGGCAGTTTCGTACGCTAAAGACGATTCTTAGATTGTGCTAGTATAAAGCTAAGATAAGATCAGGTACTAATATTCAAACAGGGCAAGCGCCTGTACTTAATATGTAAGTATTGCATGATGCTGTCAACCTCGGGAGGCCCGAGAGTCAAGCCAACCCTCGTATCTAGGTACTGAAGCTGGGCCCTTTTCTCATTGACATCTTCATTCTTTTTCTTTTCCACATAATTTCGAGCAAAAACCTCATGATGATTTCAGCAGCAGACAGACCCAAAAATGTTTTGATTACGGGATGTAGTGCCGGTGGTGCTGGGTCTGCATTGGCAGAGGAATTTAATCAACGTGGCTTGCACGTTTTCGCAACAGCTCGTTCATTATCGAAGATGTCGCATCTGGCGAAGCGACCAATGATTACACTCTTGGAACTTGATGTAACATCTACTTCCAGCATCGCTGCTGCTGTAGCAGCTGTGTCTACGACCACAGGTGGAAAGCTGGACTATCTGGTCAACAACTCGGGACAAGCCTGTGTGCGGCCTGCCTTGGATACAGAGCTGGAGTATGCAAGAGGACTGTTCGACGTCAACTTTTGGGGCTCTGTCAACACTATTCACGCATTCTCGCCGCTAATAATTGCATCTGGGGGTACCATTGTCAATGTCTGTTCCATTGCTGCAGTTTTGAGCGTACCATGGGGTTGTGAGTCTAGACTCTCCAAGTCATTCATCTCTATCTTCTCCATGCTCACATGTCATAGCTTTTTATAATGCCTCTAAAGCCGCGATAAAATCATATGGCGAGGCTCTGCGTCTGGAAATGGCACCACTGGGTGTGAATGTCATGACAATAATGACGGGAATAATAGGAACGAATATATTTGCCAATCATCCTGTTAACAAGCTGCCCGAAGGTTCCTTGTGGGAGGCAGCTTCTGAGGATATCATGAAAAATGCATCAGGGGAGGGACTACTGGATACTAGCATGCCTCCTGGTTTATTCGCCGAGAGAGTTGTAGATGATGTTCTCGGTGGTGTTAATGGTTTAACCTGGCGAGGGAAGATGAGTTCCATTGCATGGTTCCTTTCCACATTTTTGCCAACTTGGTTACTAGTAAGTCTTCCAACATTTCCAGTCTCATGCACCTAGAGCGGTGCTGATCGTATTGTCTAGGACCGTGCATTAGTGTCGGGAAAGGGCATTGAAAAATTGAAGTGAAGTATGCTAGGTGCTTTCTATCTTTGTAGTTAGTGCTTACCGCCTTTTTATAACTCTCGGCGTACAACCTGGCAATTTCAATATAAATATATATTGAGTAACTGTATAAATTGTCTGTTGAAATGTTCTAGGGCCGACTCCAAAATCACATTTTTAAGACTCTGGATCGAATCAGCTCCAGGCCCAGAGTTATTCCGAAGGGAAGACTACAGTAGTACTATCCCAAAGGAAATTGCTCTGTAAGAAGAACACAGCTTAGTATTGCGCAACGTGGGGCGATCAACTGAAACCTCCCATTTTCAGTGTTGGTCTTAGCTTCACTAGTTAACATTGATATGGCATTACTAAGTAAGAGTGACGGTCCTTCCATTTCTATTGACTTGAGCTTGGAAATCTTTAACACTGCCGTTTTTAATTATCCTAATTACTACCTCTGTACCACATTCTCTTATGAAAAACAGCACATTGTTGTTTGCTAGATATTTTTAATCTTACGGAGGATAAGAGGTATTGTACGATCTAGATCTGCTCAATTTTATATAGGGCGGTAACTAGGGCAACGCATGAGATCGGATCCGTTTTATCGTGAACCGATAAACTACTAACATCTCCCTTACACTTAACCTCCCCTACGATCTTCTTCCGATCTTCCGTCCCCCTTCTGTTATTCTCACGTCAAGCCGCTGAGGTAAGGACTGTTTCCCTTCATTCCTTAACCTTGGAAATACATTAATCCTTGATCGGAATGCAGGTCACGATCAGCAGTGCATCACTCATCCCGCCGCCTGCAAATAACAAGGAATCTTTTCTCTGAAAGATGGCTTCATTCATCACCACAATGTCTGTCCCTACCCCTGTTCCTACCCCTGCCCTCATTCATAACCCTTCTACCCCGGACCCCGAGTGTGAATCCTTGTCGGCGCAAATTCCCTCTTTAAGCCTAAGCCCCTCTGTTCTCGCCCAAACAATTCGCACGTCACACATTCCTTTTCTGGAACCCCCATCATATCTTTCGCCAGCCGTACGCGCACTTAGAGAAGGCTGCTTTGAACTAACACCTCCCAGCAATGCGCGCACGAGAGCACCCTTCAAGCCCCGATCCACTGTCAAGGGCACGAACAGCTACCAACTACGACAATTCGCCGAGGCCACCTTGGGCAGTGGTAGTCTGCGCAAGGCAGTCCTTCTCCCCGAGGGAGAAGATTTGAATGAATGGCTTGCGGTTAACAGTAAGAGTCCACCCGCCTTGATCATGTGTCATATGCAGAACGATACTGATGCCTTTGGCGTCTTTTTCAGTTGTCGACTTCTACAATCAGATCAACCTTCTCTATGGGTCTATAACTGAATTCTGTTCACCACAGACATGTCCGGAGATGAAGGCAACCGACGAGTAAGATCAAACCCCGTCTATGCGACTTATTTGTTCTTGATTTAGGCTCACAATGTGCAGGTTCGAGTACCTGTGGCAAGATTCAGAGAACTACAAGCGACCTACCAAGATGTCCGCACCCGAGTATATTGAACACCTGATGAGCTGGGTGCAGAGCAATATCGATAACGAGCAGATGTTCCCTAGCCGAATCGGTAAGCATTCACATTTCCCGCTTATCAACAGCATCGCTAACGTATCACTTATTCGCAGGCGTACCATTTCCAAAGACCTTCCCTAGTCTCCTCCGACAGATTTTCAAGCGACTGTACCGTGTCTACGCACATGTCTACTGTCATCACTACCCGGTTATCGTACATCTCGGCCTCGAACCGCACATGAACACTAGCTTCAAGCACTATGTCTTGTTCATTGACGAGCATAGATTGGCTAGCGGTAAGGATTTCTGGGGTCCGCTCGGCGACCTAGTCGACAGCATGCTGCGAAGCGACTAAATAATCACCGAGATTTAAAGAAGTTGTGACTACTAGACGCATTAGGATGCTGCCCCCTTTTGACCTGAAGCCATAATCTTTTGACGTTTGAATGGCAGATTGGATCTTCGACGGCGTTTTAGGTTGCAACTCATGCATTAATTACATCCATGACTTATGATTATGGGTGGCCCTGGCGTTTTGTCGTATTTTTACTCTGGATAAAGAGTCAACTGTTACCCACATAGAATACTTGCTACTATGATAATTGGTCAAATCCCACATATCCGGTAAATTTCGTCATATCTGTAGTACTCGGATCTGGACATAATAAAAGAAAATCAAATAACAAATTAAAATCTAACAAATTGTGCCTTTTCATTTGTTAAGTTGACTATTTTTTAACTCTAGTTAACTAGCATGTGTTGCGGATTACATCAGCCATTCAATCCACGTGACCAGGAAGATGTCGGATTGAACTTCAGCATCTTCATGCAAGCCTTCCGACCCCGTCGCTCGCACCTCACCACATCTCAACTCCACCCTCCTCGAGGCCCTCCTCACACCAATTCCAAGATGATGTCCTCTCGCGTCGCCCGCTCCGGCCTCCGTGCTGCCCAACAGTTCTCCGCGCCTCGCTTGGCCTTCAACGGCCTGCGCTCCTATGCCACCCCGGCCGCCCAGGAAGTCCGCCCCCCAGTCGCTCTTTTCGGTGTTGACGGCACCTACGCCTCTGCTCTGGTATGAATCCGATCCAATGCAACGTTCAGATCGACGCAATCTTGCAGTTTTTACCCACTCCGTGTTCCCCCGACCCTTGCCCACTTGTCTGCCATTTACATTCAAGACGAAACTTCGGCACAACAACCCTGATATCCAATCAATTCACTATCTAACATTCTTTTCCCGCTCCATAGTTCACTGCTTCTTCCAAGTCTGCTTCTCTCGACTCCACCGCCAAGGCCATTGCCAACCTCAACCAGACCTTGAAGGCCGACAAGAAGCTCACCTCCATCCTCGGCACCCCGACCCTTTCCAACTCCGACAAGAAGCAGATCATTGAGGAGCTCCAGAAGATTGCCGGTGCCGACAAGGCCGATATCCTCAAGAACTTCCTCGACACTCTGGCCCAGAACAACCGCCTTGGCTCCCTCGAGGGTGTTTGCGACAAGTTCGCTACCCTGATGGGTGCTTACCGTGGTGAGATCGAATTGAACATCACCAGCGCTCAGGTACAGTCAACCCATACAGACTCGTCATAATGCTCCACAGAGACTCAATTACAACCCGTACCATATACTTATCTTCCTACACACAGGAACTCGACACCAAGACCATCAACCGTCTCGAGAAGGCCGTCTCCAAGTCCGAGCTGAGCCAGGGCAAGAAGCTCAAGGTTGTCACCAAGGTTAACCCCGACCTTGTTGGTGGACTCGTTGTCGAGATTGGTGACCGCACCGTCGACCTCAGCGTTTCTTCCAAGATCGCCAAGTTGAACAAGGCTTTGACCGATGCTTTGTAAATGTAAAATAGCCTGAGAAGTTGTGTGGGATGTGGTCAGATTATAGAAATCCCGTCCCGCATGAACGGTAGCGTTTGAAAGTGGGGATAGGAGGTTTTTCCTTCCTATTGTCTTTTTCATTTCCGTTTGTTTCCATTATCTGTGAATGCACAATGCACAATTCATTTTTTCTATATTTTTACTTGCTCCGATAGCTAGTCAACTCTACTAATCAAGCCTCCAAGCTTATTCAAATGGCAGTCTAGTGGATGAATCTTCAAAAATAATTAAACTACCCGAATGGGACAATGTAATGCGCTCTTGGTATTAATATTCTGATCCGAAATGAGTGGTCCTGATAAGAGTGTGCCCGATATGAAATAGTCTTGTGAAAAATGTAAGTCGTATATACCAGCGGCAGCAGACAACAAGTTCTAACTCAAGCCCCATCACCTTCAAACAACTTGTCTTCGAAAGGCTATTTGTATGAAATGCAAAAGTAAAAGTTGTTGTACTCACAATAGAGGAACCGACTAAACGGCCTCATTTTCCTAATCGTTCCGGGCCTCAAATTCGTCTTCATAAGCACCAAACGAAGCTGAGCTACGCACACGCTGCAGCTGGCTCTCGACATAGTTGTGCATGTGGTGTTCCTCACCATTACCATTTGTCAATGCACTGCTACTACCGCATCGACTAAGCGGAGTGCTCTCATTTTCGTCAAGATAATGTGAGGTCGAGGGTGTCATATCGCCGGCAATGCTGGAGGCGAAGTCACTCCTGTTGCCAAGGGATCTACTAGTCGAAGAGCGACGAACTGTTGACGGGCCAGGGGTTCGACCACCACGTGCAGACCTTGAAAAGATGTCGTCGAAGTAGTGGGAGGCTGCGGCGAATGGCTCACGGGGAGTGTGGGGGAGACGGCAGTTGATACTTGGATGAATAGTCAGTGAAACTGGTCTGTATAATTTATAAAAGAATCTAAGGACTTACCCAGTATCGTGGATGATTTTGGCAATCAATCCAGTCCAGCCACACTGGTGCGATGTTCCCAGACCACGACCAGTGTCGCCATCGAAGAACTCGTTGAACCACATGTAATCCTTCCAGTGCTCGTCAAAGTCTAGCAGATCGGATCCGCCGTTGCAGGCACGGCGACCATCGTCCTGGTTCCGGGCAAACAAATGTTGCATCCGATGCTGAAGCTCCTCGGCAATGTGGCCCAGATGCATATAATCGCCTGATCCGGTCGGACACTCGATCTGGAACGAATCGCCGTAGAACATGTAAAAGCGGAGGAGGGATTCCACAAGCAGAAAGTTCACGCAGAGCCAAATAGGACCACGCCAATTGCTGTTTCCACCGAAGAGAGAGCTGTTTGAGTCACCTGGAACGTATCCTACTGAGAAGTTTTGTCCGTTGACATCCATCGAGTATGGGTTCTTCTCGTGGAATTTAGACATGGATCGGATACCATGCTCGGACAAGAACTCGGTCTCATCGAGCATCCTCTTCAGGATCTTCTCCAACCGATCTTTGCTGACAAGTGCTAGGAGGAGTCGGTCGTCTTTACCGCGGTTCTTGATACTGGCAATGTTACGCTCGGCCACATCTGCCTTGTTCTCCACGAACCATTCAAGTCGTCGTTTAAATGAAGGGAACTTGTTGATGATTTCCGGCTCGAGGGTCAGTACGGCATACAAGGGGATCAGCCCAACCAACGACCGAATGGGCAACTGTTGAGTCCATGGGCCACCGTATGATATGGCATCATAATAGAAATGATCATCTTCATTCCACAGGGACATGATGTTGTCTTCCCCGGACCGGTAGGTCATTGCATCACTAATGAGAATAAAGTGCTCAAAGAATTTAGACGCAATATCCTCGTAAGTTCGACGATGCTTAGCAAGCTCCAGAGCGATATTGAGCATGCAGAGGCAGTAGAAAGCCATCCAGCCTGTGCTGTCAGCCTGCTCAAGAACACCACCTGTCGGAAGAGGCTCCGATCGATTGAAGAGTCCAATGTTATCAAGACCCAAAAAGCCTCCCTCGAAGACATTCTTGCCATCCGAATCCTTGCGGTTCACCCACCAGGTGAAGTTCAGGAGCAACTTTTGGAAGACACGCTCCAGGAAATCCAAGTCCTGCCGGCCATACATCTTACGCTCAATCTTGAAGGTGCGGAACACGGCCCACGCGTGCACTGGTGGGTTGACGTCTCCAAAGTTCCATTCATAGGCAGGAAGCTGGCCGTTGGGGTGCATGTACCATTCTCGGGTCAAGAGATCGAGTTGCTTCTTGGCAAAGTCAGGATCTATCATAGCCAATGGGATGCAGTGAAATGCAGTGTCCCAGGCAGCGAAAAATGGATACTCCCATGAATCTGGCATGGAGAGGATGTCGTCGACATACATATGGCGCCACTGCTCATTTCGAATGCCCTTTCGCCCCTGAGGAGGAGGAACCTCAGCTGGGTCACCGTTACTCCACTGGTCCCAGATGAAGTGGTAGTATTGCTTGCACCACATCATTCCAGAGAATGCCTGTCGCTGAATGTTGCGCAGATCTTCACTCATGGGAAGCGGGCTGACATGGTGATAGAAGTCGTCGGCCTCAGAAAGACGCTGTTCGATGACATCGTCCAACACTGCCTCATCCACAAACTCTTCCTTCTTACGCGAGAAGCGGAAACGTACGACGGCGCATTCACCAGGTGGAACTCCTTCGCCTTCGTCGAATGCGTACCATGCGGCAAATTTAGTACCCTCATTGGCCGGGTTGACCGCATCCTTCTCTTCCTCGACAATGTGGCGGTGGAAGGCATCCTTGACGTAGGGCTGCTCATTCTTGGTACCCCAGAGTTTCGCATTGTTTGTTTCATTATCTGTGAAGAGCATTTGAGGTTGGATATCTTCCTCGCTAGATCCAATAGGCGGCGAGGGGGCGAAGGACACGTATCTCTCTCCCAATTTCTCATGATCAGATTTGGCAGTTCGCGGGCCATCCAAAGTGATAGATGGCTTGGCCTTTTGCTTTTCGTAGCCCCATGACCAGGTATTGCGGAACCACACCTGAGGTACGATATGAAGAGGAGCCGGATCGGGGCCTCGATTGTATGCAATGACTCTGAAGATCAAATCTTCCTCATCGTCAGCTTCCTTGGCAGTCTCAATGAAGATGTCCCAGTATCGGTTCTCCTCGAAGATTCCGGTATCTAGGATCTGATACTCCTTCTCCTCGCGCGATCGTCGAGCGTTCTCTTCGACCAAATCCTCGTAGGGGAACTTTTTCTGGGGATATTTGTAGAGAAACTTCATGTAGGAATGCTACAACAGAATGGGGTTAGCATGAGCGCTAGTGCCCACGATAGATCCGTGCACGTACTGTGGGGGTATTATCGACATGGAAGTGGGCTTCCTTGATACTTTCGCCGTGGTTTCCTTGTGGGTTGGACAGCCCGAAAAGGCGTTCCTTGAGGAAATCGCTGAATAAGAGTTAGTCCAGGTCCTCTTTCTGTAATTATAGGGCTCGACCTACTCTTTCTCGTTCCAAAAAGAAAATGCAATGTTCTGCAATCCGTGGGTGTCAGAAACACCGGCAATTCCATCTTCACCCCATCGGAAGGTCCGCGACCGTGCGTGATCATGAGTGAAGTCTACAGATCGGTCAGTTTGAGTGATCACCGATTTTGTCATCCAAGTTGAACTTACAGCTCCAAGCATCTCCAGTATCACTGAATATCATACGTCAGTCCTGGGATATAGAACGTTAGAATTCTAAGACTTACGAGTAATCCTCGCGCACTAACAATGATGAGGTCATTAGTCAAATGTAGCTCTGCGTTGTCCAGCAAACTAACCGGTCGCCCATTGTCGTTCGGCCACATAAGGACCCCATTTCTTCCAGTAGCGAGTATGTTCTCGATCTTCCCTCAAGCGATTCTCCTCGGCACTGAGAATCTCGTGGTTGTCGATCAACACCATGGTGATGGTGGACCCAAGGAATGCGGATGCGGAATGCGGAGTAGTCTAGCAATTGAGGAGAATGGGGTAACACCAGGAATAAATTGAAACAAAAGAGCGCAGAAAGCAGGAGCTTGAGAAGAAGAGAAGATAGGAGTGGAGAGTTGAAGAGGGAAGAGAGTAAGAAGAGAAAAGGGAGTAGAATCGAAGGTTGAAGAGGGGAAGAGTTACTCCGACTCCACAAGATAGAAAAGCAAGGATAATGACGGCATTTGGGCGGACTGAGCTGTTCAAATGGTAAATGATTGGCTATGTCACAATCTAGACTGCTTTATCTCCTGTATTTAGTTACTCTAGTCATTATAGACTAGCCTCTCAGGTACTCTGTACACCGTAACTAATTTAGACCGTAACCTTGGAATTCCGTGTAGCTTGTCTAGTTTCGATGCGCCATATAACATTGGAGCCCTGAGGCTAGACCCTGACCCTAGGATATTCCGTCAAAAATGATATCACATATGCTACCTGAGAAGAAAACAGCTCCAGGATGTAAAGAATAAAAGATGAAAAGATGAAAAGAAAAGAAAAGAAAAGAAAAGAAAAGAAAAGAAAAGAAAAAGTAGAGCCCAGACATTTGCAGGTCAATGGATGTTCGAATAGTCCTATGGTCCTGCTGTTCCTGCTCCGTGCAGGTATAAAAATAGAAATTGGGAAGAATAAAACATAAGCCACTCGGATCGCATGAAAGTGATCATAATCATGCACCTTCCTTCTGCTCCGATGACTTGTTGGACGTTTGAGCTAACTTTCTGCATCAGCCCCGCCCACATTAAGATATGTATAATAAAACGTCAAGAATTGGAGGTTTAATGTATCGGGATGATCAAAAAGAGTCACCCTTACCGGCTGTCTGACCCTCTCTGGCTGCCTGAGCCAAAGGTTGCTTCTTGAGACGCTCTTCAGCCTCTTGAATCCGCCGTTGAAGAATCTCGAGCTCTCGGCTTTGAATCATCATCTGTTGCTTTCTATCGTTAAATCTAGTTAGCTTTGATGACTACAAGACTCCGAGGTCATGGTCGTATACTGACTTCTGATCAACTGTCTGGGAGAGGTGGCCGACATCCGTGTCCAAGTGGAAGGCACTATCCAATGCCGATGAGAAAGCTTGTGCCATGGTCCTGCCAATCTGTCGTCAACGTCACTGTTTGAAAGGAGCTAAGTGGGAGACACGTACGACTGAGGCCGCAGCTTTGTAGGCTTCCACTCTTGTTCTGTTTGAGATTGGGACATCTTGGTCAAGTCGCCACGGTCTTTGGTCTTTAGTTTTTGTTCCTTTATGTAATTGCTTGTCGAGGGCCCAAGGCTTGAGAAGAAGCGGATGAGGTGTAGGGTATGCGACTGGTTCGGAGCGGGGCACCACCACGACTTGCCCAGAAATGCGTAGGGATAAAGGGAGATCGAAGATCGACGATTTAGGAATCGGAACGAGGGATCGTCACAAAGAATGATCCAGAAACGGAAGCGTGAAAGAATACGATGTCTGCGATCACTGTATGGACATGTCAGTTCTGTCGAGGCCGTGCTTATACTTCGGAACCACACTTAGCGGGCCCCCCTTTCACAACAGGGGGGTCAAGGAGGTGAAATTTACCTTGAAGGGAATAAGGAATGGGAATTGGTAGAATGCACGGATCAATAGCGGATTAGGGTACACGTTGGCTAGGAAGGTCAAGAGCTGGAGAGAGGGGTGAAGAGGGAAAAAAAGAGGTGAGACGATCTTGCACACACGGACTATATGTGACTAGTCGTAGTAAACGTCAAGGTCTAAAGAATATCCACCATGTCCATCACTGTATTACAAGGGGTTTCTAACGCTATTAAGAAACGATCGGAGGTGACTATTTAATCTAGCTAGGAGAAAGACTCTCAGGGGCTACAAAGCTCTCCACTTAGGAGGGGACGAGACGATGGAAAAGGGGTGAAAGTCTCTTTCACTGGGACGAATGGTTCATTTACATTAAACGGAGGTGGAGGAGTCCAGGATGATAGAAATGAGTGTCTTTTTGAGGATGACTTTTTTAATTGGATTTACAAAATTGTTGATATTTTCTCTTCATACATTCCTTAAGTTTATATACTTCCTTATACTGCTTATTTCCCTCTAAGCTGATACTGTTCTGGTATTGTACTAGTCGTACTCTATTAAAAATGACCGCATGCGTGAGTTTAACGGCACGTGATCGTGTAATTTACCGTAACCAACGATACACCAAATCCTGCAACTTCCAAGGTGTCCAAGACGAGAATCGAGGAATCCACCTGTAGCTCTTGATTTCCTTCTCTCTTTCCCCACACGAGATTCTCGAAGGTCAACAACGCGTTCTCCCCTTCCTGAGCTTACGGTTTCTGAATCTTCGCGTCATCTCCCAATCCCCACGCTCCGCTCCACGCTACGATTCCTTCCCTTAACCTCTCCACTACGGTGGCCCCAATTTCTAAAATTTTTCTCCCCAACAGCCAACTGGGCGGGCAATGGGGTATGCCTCCTCTGTCCGCGTACACTCCCTTTGAGTCCCTACTCTTCTTCCAATCCCTGGCTACTTCCGATGTACGCCCGGCGAGCTTCGCAACCATCTCAGCTATCCTTAGCAACAATCCATTAGTGCGTCAAAATAGTAGATTCAGTGCCGATCGCCTGAGTCCAGATGCCCTGGAGGATCTTTACGCGACATTGTTACGCGATGGTTTCGAACGCGAAATGGGAGCGGGCCCTAATGGGCAGCCGACCGAAACCCAAAGCCCAAGCAACCCGAAAAAGCGCAAGATCTCTAGTCCGCTACCAGATGAGCTCCCCGGTGGCTTTACACATGCGACTCTGATCCCCGATCTTGTTTCGCATCTTTATGCACGATACAAGGATATCATGACCAGGGAGATCAGGGATGATGAGAGGAAGTATAAGGAAATCAAGGATCAGGTCGATCGCCTCCGGACGGAAGAAGATAAGCCATCTAGCCTGGTTGCCGCAACACCTCCTGCTACTGCGACAGCTGAGCGGACTGACACGGCGAATGTGGATTTGAAACTGGGCTTCACAAATACGAGTGCTTCTGTACAGGCTACAACACCTCAAGCGAAACAACCTCGGCCAATCCAAATACTAGAGAAGCCAATTGCACCCGCACCAGCTCCCACAGAAGTACCGCGCCAGCCTGTTCCTATCAATCCTGCAGCTCAAACACCTCAAATACAACCGCCAGTGCAGTCACTCCATGCTCAGACTGTGCCTAACCCTTCAATTCAGCCTCCTCTTGCCCCTCGAACACAACACGCTGTTCCTTTGGCATTGGCAACGCCTTCAACACCACGCGCGCCACCTCATCCATCACAACTACCCTCCACCAAAGCGTCGGCTATTACCCAATTTGACTCTCAAGCTACTCAAATCCAATCAAGCTTTCAGCAGTGGCAGCTTGATCCGCCTCCCCATTCTTCATACTCCGCAATTTCCGCAATCTCTCCCAACACCGTCACACCACAAACAGGTCCCGCAACTGGAAAGCAACCAGCAGTACAACCCAGTCCTTTAGTCCCATCTACTGTTCCAAGTACCCCACTCGCGGCCCAAACTACTCGGTCTGTTAGCAATTCTATTGGCCGACCTGGTATTTCAACACCGAATGTGGTGATCCCCTTGTCCTCTTCACGACCACGTCTCTCCATTGATACGCCGGGTTCCTCGACCCCATGGAAACGAATCCCTCGACTTAGTATTCCGCACTCGCCGACTTCACCGGCCCGTCCACGACCTGAGGATGTTAGCCCTATCAGCGAGAAGGCTCCTTCTGGAGACGAAATGGATCTTTCTACTCCCCGCGAAAGAAAGACCCGACGCGGCCAGACCGCAGCCGAAACAGAAAGCAAACCCTTAATAAATATAAAGACTGAGAAATCCTCTACCACTCGAGGAAAGCGTGCTATTAGTTCGGCTTCTACCCAGAGTCGTGGTCTGTCAGTGTTATCGCGTGATACATCTCCCTTGCAGGAAGATATGGTATCAGGACGCCGAAAAGGCGCGAGTGAACAGACCCAGAAAGAGCGCCTAAAACGCAAGCGAGGTCCCAGCGAAGTATTGGACCAAGAGTCTAATCTCTCTGATGTTCCAAAAGTCGAAACATCACGATATGTCATGTGTACGCGCGGCTTCCACCGGACAGCAGCGCCAATTATGAATGATGTGACCACGCATAAGCTTGCTTCCATTTTCGCCAAACCACTTGGCGAGCGAGATGCACCAGGTTATCATGACCTTATCTACCGACCCCAGGATCTGAAATCCATCAAATCCGCAGTCCACCAAGGCAGCAAAGCAGTGGCTGCTGCAACCGAGGCTGTCAGCACACCTGCAGGCGACGGCGAGTCTCCCGCCACCTCAGGGTCTCCGTATAAAAATAACGTGCTCATGCTGCCAAAAAGTGAGGATTTGATGCCTCCAAAGGGCATTGTGAACTCAGCCCAGCTGGAAAAAGAGCTGATTCGTATGTTTGCCAACGCTATCATGTACAACCCTGTCCCAGAACGCGGCTTTGGACCTACATTCCCCATGAGCAACGACCGTGGTTCCCGAGAAAGTACCCAATCAGCTGATGCAGATGAGGGCGGTATTATCCAAGATTCTAGGGAAATGTTCGAGGATGTCGAGCAAGCGGTCACACGTTGGCGTGCTGCCGAGCGAACTGCTGAACGAGCTGCTGAGGAAGTGGTCAATAAGAACATTCTCTCTCTTCGACGTAGTAGTGTCAGTGATTTCAACGGTGACAGCGCCGATGATGTGAAGGGTTGATGATGATCTTAGATGTCTTGTATGACTTTGAGTGTTTTACTAGGGAACGTAAACGAAATGAATCCAATACTAGTCGCTGTAGGCTTTCATGAAAAGGCCGCGACATTAATGATTACTATTTTCCCTGGCAATAGCAGTCCTAAAATACAGTAGGCTTTCACTCAAATGACTGCTCAGGTGTCACGAGACGGCTCTTCGATGTAAGGTCTTGCAACCCGAGTCACCTTGGTAGATATAGCTTTTGGTTACGAATAAGCCTATGCCCAGGTGCTTGACAAAACCTCGGAAGCTTTTAGAATATTTTGAAAACCGACCAACTCCGGGTTCTGTGACTGCTGAATGAGTCTGAGTCTGATCTTCAGACAATTTAACCAGTTGGATTCTGAAGCTGAGCCAGGAAATCTGTGTCGAGATCACCATCATAAAAGCCCAAATTATGTGCAAATATAGGTTCTTGTCTGAAAGTTCATGTCAGTGAATGCCCAGGTGTGCAGGCTCTTGAGGACAACTACATACCGAGTTGGAGGGAAGGAGGTGACCATTTCTGCAAATAAGTCGTCGTATCCATCTAATTCTCCTAATACCGTCTCAGAAGTGGCCAATTGACTCGGTGGAGTTATGTCTGGTAATTGTAATGACAGAGGTTCAGATTGAGATTGTATAGCTACTATTCCGGTATCTTCATGTGGAGCAGGAAGAATAATGCTCGGCCTATGCAAACTGGTATTTGGTGCGTTTTGTAGCTCTCGAAGGGGCTGCAAATATTGAAGGATGCGTCTTCCGAGGTGTGCAACGTCGGTATTTTCTAGAGCAATGGTTGCAAACTCGAGAGATTTCTCACACTGAAGTGCGAAAATGTAAATCAGTGGTGATGGGTGGTTCAATTTTGTCAGTTCAACATAATGGTCTAGCATGTTTAGCATATTTGAGATTATACGAGCACAAGTTCCCATCACGGCAGGAAGGTCCAGCCCAAACTTGCGAATAAATAATAGAGTTGTCGATGCTGATATTATATGTAAGACAAGAAGGGGAGGACACGTAGACCCGTGCCGACTGTATGGCTGGCTCTGGACGATCATATCCTGGTCTTTCCTCAGTGTGACCAAAATTTCTTCAGCATGCGATGAATCGACTGATTCGTACAATATATGGGACAGATGTTGCATGACCCTTCCGATGAGGTTGAATGTGCTCAATGCACGTAACGGTGATGCTGGTGTATTCTGACTGGATCGGGATACGGACCACACCTCCCATTCATCCAAATCATCCTCCTCCACCGGACCGCACTTCATTTGTTCTGATGGAGAAAGGCAGGGTGTCATTCCGAGTAGAGTGGATAACAGGTTGTCCAGAAGTATACAGCCATTAACCGTGTGAGTATAGCGGCTCTTCCTTTCTGGTAAAGGCAGCGTAGTGACCATCCTCATAGCTTTTCCTGCAAGTATCCATGCAGCTGGGATTCTTCCCATTGCGATATAGGCTAGGGCCAGGACTAATGTAGCCTGAATGTGACCTAGTTCTAGCAATTTCCAATCAGCTAGTGCCTGTTCGTAGATGGCAACTTGAATTGCTGATGCCGTTGGAATATTTGTGGCATAAATGCCCTTCATTGTACATGTGTATGAGATTACTGATAATAGCAATAAATGAGAGGCAGAGGGTCCTGAAGCCGATTGGCTCGAGCTTGTGTGCATTACTCTGAGAAGCTCCCTGCGCTCAAGAATTGGGAACCAGCAATGCGTATATGTAAAATAGAAGTCCACCAAGTTCGATGTGTTACTTGGAAGTGGAATATCTATGAGCTTCAATGGCAGAGACAACTTTGGCAGATGCATTGATACTGAAGTCTCAATTCGCTGGGGTTGGTCATTCATACTCTGATGCTGCACCTCCAGCGGTTCCCAATCCAGATCATCAGATGGAGGATCATCCGAATCTAGTGACAGCAATTGAGCTACATCGCGGGATAGTTTGGATTTTCGCCATACATCCACAGAACGATTCGCCGTCTTGCTCGTCAGGAAGTTATTGCGTTTTGAATCGCGCAATATACCCTGAACAGTGGCTTCACTACTTGGAATATATTGGAATATCATGCCGAGAAGAGTCTCAAGGCTTCGTACATATCCGGATTGAAGTCCCCGTCGCCCACCACCAGATTGATAGGTGCAGTTACGATTAGCTGAGTGGCAAATGGAGCAAACAGGCTGTTCCCCATCGCATTTTGACTTGCGACGCCGACATTGGTCACATGCACGGTAAATGCGCTGCCTCTTTGCAGGACGTGAGTCTGGAGTGGACATTGAGATATCGCATATCAATCCATCATATGAATCTCATAGATGGTCGGATCAGATCTTATGCGTACGGACAATTAGTCATGTGATAGGTCTTTAATTTATCCGCATTCTTTCTTACCTACGAGTCAACAGTGTTGAGTGGAACTCATACTTGAACCAATTATGAAATTCAAAAAGAGAAGGCAATCAAATGAATTGAATACTATAGAGCTGGAGGATGAATTTACCGAGGTCAAAGTGAATACTTACTTTCGGTTATGAAATTCGCCGAAGTGGGGAAGGGAAAGCGTTTATCCTACTACATCTATGTAGTTACTATTTACTTATGGCTAAATATATACTGAATATCTACATGAGAACTGTTATTATTACTCATTAACTTTGTGAATTTTTACTGAGAGTACATTTGTCATTTAATAGTACCTCAATCACATTATCATAATCATTACAATGTCGTATCAGCCAGCTATCATGAGTGCGTCCTTAGGGCGCGCTTGGCTCCACGATCTCGACTACAAAATCGAACAGGCTGCAAAAGCAGGCTTCAAGGGTATCGAGATCTTCTATGAGGATTTGGAATATATGGCTAGAAAGACCTCCAAAAACAATTCTCCCGATTCAAATCACATACTCGAGGCAGCTAATCATGTTCGCGCAATCTGCCAAGCTCAAAGACTTGAAATCATCTGTATGCAGCCCTTCCTCTTCTATGAGGGTCTCAAAGATAGAGAGCAGCATGATAAATTGATTGAGAAAATGAAACTTTGGCTCAAGATAGTCAAGAATCTCGGCACAGACACCATTCAGATCCCTGCCAACTTTTTACCTGCAGAGCAGTTGACCGATGACCTTGACGTCCATTCTGCTGATCTTCGGCAATTGGCGGATATGGGCGCGGCTGAAAACCCCTCTATTCGTTTTGCATATGAAAACCTATGCTGGAGCACCTACGTCGATACCTGGGAGAAGACATGGGATATGGTCAAGCGTGTCGACCGACCTAACTTCGGCCTTTGTCTTGACACGTTTAACATTGCCGGCCATATTTGGGCAGATCCCGCCTCTCTTACAGGCAAAACTCCGACTGCAGATGCGGATTTCAAAGCATCAATCGATCGAATGATCAAATAGATTGATGTGACCAAGATATTCTTTATCCAGGTCGTGGATGCCGAGCGAATGGAAACCCCTCTGGTTTCTGTCCATCCGTTCCACGTTGACGGCCAGCCAGCATGGATGAGCTGGTCGCGGAATGCACGCACTTTCATATATGAGGAGGATCGTGGCGCCTACCTGCCAGTGGAGGAAATTTCCAAGGCCATCATTCACAAAATTGGATATAAGGGCTATGTTTCGATGGAGATGTTTTCAAGGACTATGTCTGAGGAGGGGCAGCACGTTCCTGACGAGCATGCGACAAGAGGTATTGCAGCTTGGAAAAAACTGAAGGAGCGACTGCAACTGTGAGGAGTTTACGATGTCAACTTCAAATATTTAGTCTTCCACCAAAATTATAACAGACTTTCTCATTCTTATCTAGAACTTGCTACTAGCAAACTGCAGGTGGTCACCCATAATATAAAATGCTCTCCAACTAGTTTAATAGTCTCGAGATCACGCCACTAACTAGTCGCTGCCTGAATAATAATACAGAAATGGTAACTTGAGTCATTGATTGTCAAACAGCCGACGTGTCACTACTACCTTGGTAATACCCTTCGTAGTAATCCATCTTTTGTTGAATTTATAGAATATTGTTCTATTTACCCTTACACATCGATATCCTTTCCATCTAACCAGTCCTTGGAAAGCTTATACAGCAAGTCATGCTTATCTCCACAGGGTGTGCCAGCAGATCGTCGGTGCCCAGGCATATCCGTCAACACAGTGACACCCATGGTAAGCTCCTGGCAATAAGCCAGACACTTGTAACCCTCAGGATAAGAGTTCAACTTCGCATCATCAATTCTGGGGATGTTGTTCGGATTGACAGGAATGAGTTTGTCCTTCTCATACCAGTGGCGAACAAAGCGTGCACCCCAGCGGCCATCTAGCTTCTCGAAGCAGAACCAGAATCGACAATCAGCCTCAGCGTCGACTTCACAGCCATCAATGGTGAATCGCTGAGTGATAGTTGCCTTCATCTTTGTCAGGGCACGAGTGGCATCGGGCGTGATGTCAGTTGTTACACCATGGCAACGATGCATTATGAAAGCACCTTTGTCCATTCCGACCTTCGAGGCTGCCATGAAGTCCTTGTATGACACTCGGCCAGACCAAGTTGTGTACACAAAGGCATTGTCATGGAAGATTGATTCAAAGTTCTCCCATTCACATGCATCACTTTACGGTATGTCAGTAGATGTAGAGTTCGGACTTGTTCTACTTACCGATAGCATGGCCAGCCTTCTGCTAGTTCACGGAGTTTGGCCCGCTCAAATACTAAGTTATCTGGGCCATTGTTGCGGATGGCATTTGCAGGGTATGTGCCATCAGGCAAAGAGTGAAAGTCAGGCATTATAGTTTGTAATCCTTGATGTGTTATTGATGCGATGTATGAATTATGATATACCCTTCATAATAGACTCAACGGCAATGGGCTTAGCCGATAATCGCCCCCGCAACCCCACGTTCCGACCCTGCCTAGGGATCTTCTTTAAAATTGGCCTTGGCCTAAATGTTTAGCACTCTATACTAAATTCGATATGAGAACAATTATTCACATTGTTTTCAGTCGATTTAATTATTATTTTTCTATTTTCTCTACAGTAAATCCATTGCTTCTCAATGGCCCCTTTAAATAATGAAGCATTGACAGTTAAAATTGCCAGTTTTGGAGTGGGTGAAGTTCCAAGGTTGGGTCAGCCTTTAGCCGACTGAAATTATCGAACCAATTATCCAACATCGCTCTTACTTATTCTCAAAGTCCCTCCAATCTAGAAACGCCGGAATACTACATTTAAAACAATTTATTCCCAAGCCGTTGGTATTCCTGCAATTCCACCTCCATCCGCCATGTCTGCCCCCGAAGACATCCTCGCCGCATCCTATAAATATGGAGCACCCTACGTGAGCAGCGTCCATCGCAGCGAAAAGCTCAAGACCTTCTTGTTCGGCTACCCGATTGCCCACTCAATGGCACCCCTGCTACATGCCACCCTCTTCAAAGGCTTGTCAGTGCCATGGACGTACTCCTTAAAGGAAACACAAGACAGCACAGAGTTTCTGCCGGCTTTGAAACAGCCTGATATCGTTGGCTGTGCTGTGACCATGCCATACAAGGTCTCCTTGCTTCCTGCTGTGGACGAGGTGACCGAAGAGGGTCGAATGGTCGGAGCCATCAACACAGTGTTCCTTCGCAGAGCTGCTGATGGAAGCACCCGCTATATCGGCACAAATACCGATACAATTGGAGTCCGTGAATCATTCTTGCAAAACTGCCCTGGTGTCCTAGCGCAGTCGGCCGGAAAACCTGCATTGGTGATTGGTGGCGGCGGTGCTTGCCGTGCGGCCATCTATGCCCTGTGGAAATGGATGGGTGCGAGCAAGATTTACATGGTCAATCGACTGGAGAGTGAAGTCCGAGCGATCATGGCTTCCTTTAAAGAGGCTGGCTTGGACGCTGAACTAATTTGGGTGGGATCCACGGAGCAAGCTGCTGCCTTGGAGGCCCCGACGCTAATTGTCGGAACTGTGCCGGACATTCCTCCCAAGAAGGAAGGAGAGATTCTTGCCCAGAAGATTGTTGAAATATTCCTGTCATCAAAGACTAAGGGCCATATTCTTGAAATGTGCTATCATCCCCGCCCACGAACACAACTCTTCGAGACCAGCGAGAAAATGGGATGGAATGTACTTTATGGAACTGAGGCTATGATCTGGCAAGGAGTCGCCCAACAGGTGCTTTGGGCAGAGTTGCCGATTGAGAACTTCAAGTTGGAAGAGGCTAAAGCGACTATTTTGGCGGCACTGGAACAATCGACCAAGCACTGAGGTAGAGAAATAGAGTAAGATTAGACATAGATATTGTATATATACACGGTTTCCGGAAGCGAAGAATCAAGTGCGATTCTGTTAACTATATGAAGTACTTGCACGTATCTAAGTTGATTATGCAGAGCACTAAAAATTCTTCGCCCTGCATGCTTATCTTCTTGCACAGTCTTATCGAGTTGATAGAGTGTCGGTGAACTCCGGCAGAAAAGGAATGACGCGTTAGATGAATTATTCTACTCTCCATACAGAGTAGACTTATCATCAATGGAGTAAAGACTTGATATTGCCCACTTACTTTGTAGCCTCATTCCCGATCGGCATGCCACTGCCTAGTGAGGATATATCCATCGAAAGGTCACGATGGACACGGTTTTCCGACCGTATCAAGGGGGCATTTGACGGTGCAGACTCCCGAGTCTGCATCGCTTTCTGGCTATTTGGTGTGTATCACCTTAATGCAGATCGTGAGCAGTGAACTTCGGACTTTCAACTCACATTATCACCTCCACAGGTCTTATCAATAATGTCCTCTATGTGATTATCCTCTCCGCGGCCCTGGACCTCGTCGGCCCCGACGTGCCCAAAGGCATAGTTCTTCTCTCTGATATTATCCCATCCTTTACCACGAAATTGATTGCCCCGTACTTCATCCATGTGGTCCCATACTCCGTTCGAATTGTGGTCTTAGTCGTTCTATCTGTAATCGGCATGCTCGTTATAGCGATGAGCCCAAGTTATACAGAAGGAGGAACAATCACTTTCAAGATCATTGGCATTGCACTTGCAAGTCTATCTTCAGGAGCTGGTGAACTGAGCTTTGTTGGCCTCACTCACTTCTATGGACCATTCAGTCTGGCGGCGTGGGGGAGTGGAACTGGAGCTGCTGGTCTGGTCGGTGCTGGAGCTTATGCGCTGGCAACATCAGCCATGAACATCTCCGTTCATGTCACGCTCTTTTCATCGGCTTGCTTGCCAGTATTTATGATGCTGAGCTTCTTTTTCATTCTACCGCGAGATCCACTCAAGTCACCTTCTGTCGATGCATATCAAGTCGTTGAGAGGGGCGCACATTATGATGATGATGACGACAACAACGAGAATGAAGCTCCTGGCCAAGACCATGAAGAAGTCCAGGGATTATTGGGACCCACTCATTCGGACGCGCAAAAGCCAGCTAACAATATAAAGGAATCCCAGTGGATTGATCATATGCGCGTCAGCTTGCGACGACTTGGGAAGCTATTTGTCCCATTGTAAGTTGCTATCATTTCCAATTCTGAATTCAACTAATTGATTATTACAGCATGGTTCCTATGCTTCTAGTTTATGTTGCGGAATATGTGATCAACCAGGGTGTTACTCCGACCTTACTATACCCGTTAGATACGACGCCCTTTAAAGAATTCCGATCCTTCTATCCGGCCTATAACGCTATCTACCAGGTTGGAGTTTTTCTCTCGCGATCTTCAACTCCGTTCTTTCGAGTCCATTATCTATATCTACCATCTCTGCTGCAGGTCCTCAATTTGGTGGTGCTGAGCTTGCATTCTATGTTCAATTTTATCCCCAGTGTCTACATTATCTTTGCTATCATATTCTGGGAAGGATTACTGGGAGGCATTGTTTATGTCAACACATTTGCAGAAATCAGTGACCATGTACCTGAGGAAGAGCGAGAATTCTCACTGGGCGCTACTACTGTCAGTGATTCAGCAGGTATCTGTATTGCTGGCTTCCTGAGTATGGGATGGGAGGTCTTCCTCTGTAGATGGCAGGTGAAATATGGGCGAGAGTATTGCCGGCAGGTATAACAGCACCTCCCCGGGTTGTATATAGAACTCAGATATAAAATATTCAGAAAATCTTAGGTCTATTACTATTAATACTGTATGAAATGGTGTAGATTCATAAATAATGCTGACTTCAGCTGGTGGCGTCACTTGCATGTGATGCTTAGGCATGTGAAAGAAGTCACTTCTTTCGTTCACTGCTCTTCTCTGTTACCCCTTCACTCTCTTCCCTATTTGTCGTTATTTTCAAGCTCTAGTCTAGTTTTTCTCATCTCTACTGCTCATATCTTGCTGTGTGGTTCTTTGATCTAATTGTCTTCGAGATTGCTTCTCATCCAAAGCCGAGGTTCTGTGGCGATGATAGGTACAGTACATTCTTGCCGCGTAAATAGTCCTAACATTGACACATTTAAAGACCACGTCTTGGGAAGACCTTCAACCAGATTCCGCAAATTCCAGGTGTTTGCTGTGGTATCTTTTTGGTCGATCTATCTCCTTCGGTATGCACCTTTGAAGGTCCTCAAGACATCCATAGCTCTGACGTCAGCTCACTTACTATAGAGCTCACAAGCATGGACCTCCTTTCATCCGCGCTATCTCTTCTCGACTTGAGAAAAAAATAACCATCTGGCAAACTACAGTCTTGATTTTTCTGTGGCTCTATCTTTCCAGGAATTTTGCCAAAATAGTTGGTCTTGAAAGTCCCGAACCATTGGCCAACCTCTACTCCCGACCCTACTTCCGCGCAACATGGATCACAACAGCTCTAGATGCTGGCTACTGGACTGCCATGAGAATCAAGAGTAAATGGCTACGTGATATCTCTTCTCTTGTCTTCACACTTTATTACCTTATCGCTGCGGAACAAGCCGATGAAAAGGTGCGGCGAGTCCGAGCAACACTGACCCTGGAACACCTCCGAGTCTCGTGGAACAAGCCGACAACCCCTTACTTGTGGGCATTAGCTAGTCTGACTCGACCAAGATTCACTCGCTACCCGCCTAGAGCAATCAGGATTTCACGCCCTGCCAAATCCATTCACCGCACACCAGTGAATGCCTGGCTCTACTTTGATGGACCTCTGAGCGCGTTAAGAGACCAGACATGCATCGTTCTAGATGTTCCAGGTGGTGGTTTTGTGGCTATGAGTCCACGGAATTCGGAGGACAAGCTCCTCTCCTGGGCAGGGAAACTGAAAGTGCCAGTGTTAAGCATAGATTATCAAAAGGCTCCGGAATATGCATACCCATTTGCATTACACGAGTGCTACGATGTCTATGAAACGATTGTAAACACTAACGGGCGCTGCCTGGGTTTCAGTGGTACGACCCGACCGCGAATTGTGGTTACCGGGGAAAGTGCGGGTGGAAGCCTTGCCGTGGCGATGGTATTAATGGTTTTGCAAACGAGGGCACAGAACTGGAATAGCGAAGATGCACTGCCGCGGCCTGATGGAGTTGTTCTGGCATATCCGTCGCTCAATCTCAGAGTTGAGAGTTGGATGACCGATGAGCAGATGTCTCTCATTCAAGATAAAAGCTCTCGTCAAACTAACAAGAGTGTCATCGAAAGAAAGCAGGATGAGCTCCGAAAACTAACACCTTATACCTCCCCTAGGCAGTCGGTTGAGAAATTAACCGCAATAAGCCTTCTGAAGCACCCAGAAGGCAACTCGGAGGATAAAGAGGCCTCCGATGTAAACAAGCTCGACGAACATTTGAAAGTTATCGATAATAACAAGGGAAAGGAGACCACCGAAATCGATGAGGTCAAGCCGCTCAAAACTCGTCTTGCGGTTTCTTCCATGATTTCCTACGTTCAAGATCGGGTTCTCACCCCCGAAATGATGCGAGCGATGATCATCCTGTATATTGGACCACACCAGCGCCCCGACTTCAATACCGACTATTACCTTTCTCCAGTTCTCGCACCGGAATCATTATTGGCTATCTTTCCCAAGACCTTCATTATGACAGGGGAACGTGACCCACTGGTTGATGATACAGTCCTTTTCGCCGGTCGACTACGCCAAGCGAAACTACATCAGTTCCGTGAGCGGCAAGAGCTTGGACTGGAGGACTCACAATGTCAATTCTACGAGAAAGATCACATAGATATCTCATTGCTTCCTGGGATATCTCACGGATTCTTGCAGATGGTTGGCTTCTTCCCTGAGGGATGGAAGTACATTACACGAAGTGCCGAGTGGATTGAGTCGCTATTTTTAGCTAGCGAACTCAGAGACTCTCAATACAGCCTCGTTCAGCCTTCTCACTCAGGAACTCATAGTTCTAAGGATCGTAGAGGGTCAGGAAAACACGGCAGGAATATCAGGAGTCGCCAAAGTTATCACCATCGCACCCTAACAGGGGAGTCTTCCGGTGACGACGATAGACCACTGGAAATGAGCATGACCAAGATGTCATCATCTGCAGTGGATGGACAGGCAGACCGACGCAAGAGATCTCAGTCCTCTGGCTCTTCCCATTTAGAGGCCCTTAAAAGTTACGGTAATGAATTTGGATCAGGAAGTGAATTCCTTGCAACACTTCGAAGCTTGGAGAAAAGCAATCGAGAAAATCACCCGTTCTTACCTGATGATATGAGCAGTGGCCTTGAAAGTCCTAAAGCTGTTCGTCACCATAGACGGAGCATTGTGTCGCTTGGCAGCGAAGAAGATCTGCTTGATCGGCGGATGCATGGACTGGCTGGTGGATTAATGGGATTCGGAGATGGATCCCAAACTCCCGGACCGTGAAAGAAGACAGAAAATTATTCAAAAATATTTAGCGGTTTCTTCAAGTTCAAGTTTTGTTATCTTAAGCATCTGGATTTGTTATCATGTTTTCAGTAGGACTTCAATAGTGTTCTCGATGAATACACAAAGCAAGGAATTCGGAGTGCAAGTGGAATTCAACATGCCCAGATCTATGAATGATGAATAGTATATCGCTTCTCAGACTAGTGAGAGTGATCAAGTTGAAAGCGAGCGTTAAAGCGAAAGTGAGAATACATGTAAAAATAAGAGTCTGCTTTCCAAAAAAAGCTTCCTCATTTGAGTCACTGGATGATCACAGTTTAGAATTGTCACATCAACCACTTTCTCCGCTGTCCTTGGCCTGATTCCAAAGTCACCAACGCCTCAAGCCGAGTCCATAATACGGCTAATGTAGCAGCAGCCAGTAACACCCCCACCATAATGGTGGTATTCTCATATGTCTTTGGCGAAGCATTTTTGTGCTGACTACTCCGAATCAATAATCCTGCCAGTGGAGTTCCAGCAAGAGTTGCAAATCCTCTGATCATGTAAAGGACTCCATTTACACTGATGAAGTTTTGGACGCCGAATAGCTCAACCAGACATGTTGGGAACAGTGCGACATAAGCCGATGCGAAAACGCCATAGAAGATTGTAAACGCTATGAATAATGCACTTCCACTTGCTGGCGTTGAGGAAAGTGATGATGGGAGCCACAGGGCTAAAACAGCAATTGCCGAGATCAAAGTCGTCAAGAATAGTGTGTTGAGTCGGCCCATGCGATCAGCAGCATACCCAATAGCGATCTTTCCTACAGCATTGGCAGCGTTTGAGATGGCAATGAAGTTTGCCGATGTGACCTGCGAGTATCCCAAAGTCCGAGCAAAAGAAGCGAAGAAAAAGACAGGCGTGTAGTAAGCTGCAGATTGTAGCGCAGCGCCTGTGGCGTGGACAATGAACTTTTTGGTTTTTGCGACGCGCCAGTCTAGCAGTGGAATCTGGAAGAAAGTCATCTTGTTTGTCCTTGCCGCATTCTCTGCCTCTATACGGGCGATTTGGCTTTGAGGCCATTTCATAAAGAAGCCTGATGTCGAGATTATGGCAAATGAAATCCCGGCTGTGATGCGTAGGGTATTGCGAAACCCGACTTGGGGGATCAGATATCTAAATGCCATTGGCCAGACAACTCCTCCAACACCGGTGCCTGATAGAATGATGCCCATTGCTAGACCCCTGTGATGGGAGAACCATGTCGGCGCCACCGTGACGGAGGGCATATATGCCATACACGTTCCTATTCCAAGCAGGAGTCCCTGGGTGAGCAAGAACTGCCATAGCGTTTGACTAAAGCTGGCCAGGACCAGGGCAACTGCGTAAACTACACCGCCACCCCAGACAACTATCTGTGGAGAGTATTGCTTCGTCCAGGCTGTAGTGAATGGAGCTCCAATTGTCATAAGTGCAATCGAGAGAGTACCGATGAGATCAATCTGGGCAGGTGTGGCGCCTGTAAAGGGTGTATTTGGGAGCTTGGACATGGAGTCATAAAGCTCTTGATAAACACCAAAGGTGAAGTTGATGCCACATCCTGTAAATATAAGTGCAGTGGAAGAGGCTACGACAAAGATAGGCTGTCTGAGATGGGTTCAGTATGGTCCTGGGATTGGAAAAAATATCTAAATACTCACAGGCGCTCCCAGCGACCCGGTTGGATACTACCAGCAAGTATCATCGGCTCTAGTGGACTGTTCATGATTTATCTAAGGTTTTTGAGCTCAAGAGAAGGATTAAGACGGTGGTATTGCCTTCACTTTTGTGGCTTTTGATGGAACAATTTTCCAAAGCTATCTCGGGACGTTTGAGTCACAGTTGAAAGAACGGAGGGTTTGTCATATATTTGCCGATAATATTATGGATATACTTTACCCCATGTCTAAGCGAGGCCAATGGCATCTAGCACCCATCTTGCATCAATAATGTATCCGAGCCGTATATAGAAATGTCGACATATCAGAGGCACGTCATAGGTCATAAGTCTGTACACACTCGGGAATTAGCCCCACCCCAAAGGTATATAATTACTTCAATCATCTATATCTACACCAATCTTATAGCATAGCTGTATAGTATATATATTTATATGGGAAAATGACAGGAGAACAGAATTCCATCCAATATCTAGTATAATATCCCCTAGAATTACGTACAGCGGCTAATCTACGTGGCATAGACCTAATTAGGCTATCAATCGTCGCCTGTGGAATGGCATCCCAAGCTTTGCAAATATAGGCCTTAAAATAGGCCCAACCAGCTGCAGCTTGGCCCATTTCGACTAATTCGGGGTGTAGATTTCTTAATTTACACTTTAGAAGGTACCAACATGGTTCGATCGGGCTCATATCAGGCGATCGTGCAGGCCATTTTTCAAGATGAATCCTCCAACGTCGAAACCACCTTCCTGCTTCCTGTGATGTATGAATTCTAGCATTGTCCTGCTAAAATATATTATCATCCTCATAGCGTGGTATAAGGCCCTTTTCTAGGGCTTTGATGTAGGATTTACTAGTAAATAATTTACCTTTAGACCTAGAATCACGCTCCGTAACCACTAACTTTGAACGACCACCAATCCATACACGCCCATACCATCTGCGAAATATCCTTCACATGGGCTTTAGGATTGATAGATTGACTTGAATAAGTCTCCAATTTCAACATTCAAGCCCACTGGATATCAGAATTTGATGTTCTTTGAACCGAACATTCGTCCGAGAAGATCCATTTCTTCCAATCCGCATCCTGACGCCATTTTTGAGCGAATTCAAGTCGGTCTTTCGCAAGTCGAGCGCCAAGAAGGATCTTATTCATTCGGCGTCGTTTAGGTAGGTGATAAGCTTTGAAAATTCTCTGTAATGTTGATCGGGAGGGGTGAAAATCGGTATTTGCAGCAAATCGTCTATAGCTCCAGAATGAATGTTGACGCGCCTTTAAATAAATCCGACGTCTAGCGGCTCCATTATAGATAGGGGGATTTCCAATTTGAGGGCGAGATTCAAGCGTTTTGGTGGCTTTGTAGCGATTTCGAGTATTGTAGATTGTCTTGCGGGGGAGTGTGAACAGACTTTTGACCCATTATGTAGTATATGTTGACAGAATGGAAAGTTTATAAAGTGGTTTCCATAGCGTTTTAATTATCACTCGCAGACGCCCATAGCATAACTCTTTTTCTAGTCTCTCTATAAGCTTGAGCCCATTGAAGGCGTTTAGCTTGACATTAAGGACTAGCGTATTGCTTATCATTGTAGGATGTATGTATATGTAGTAGTTATAAGGATTATTTCTTGCAAACTAATTACATTATTCCCCATAATTTAGCTGCACCAAGTCTTCGATATGAAGAAAATCAATATTAGTTCCACGGGAAGTCCCTCTTGTACTCCTGTCCTGCTCACCACGGGTCATCCATGGATTCGTCTTCTTTCCTTCCGTTATTTTCTGCAAGTCTTTGTTTTCACCTGAAGGAGCTTATGAACCAAGATCTTGGTTTCATCACTTATGGATAGTACCCATGCCTCTCGTCCCCTTTTACGACACATCAATGTCGGAACTTTGAGAATATCCAGAAATGGGCCCTCACGAAGCCAACCTTAGAGGAAAATTGTCTCATTCAACTTATGGGCTCTATGTATCTCCTTTCTGAATGCCTCCATGTCAGATAGCTAGAGTTTGAAATTGGGCAACCAAATGAAAAACATATTGCTATAGAAAAGGGACACTTGTAAAGCGGTTTAGATGATATTGGAAGAGTCAGAGCCTCCAGCCTACTGGCTTCTCATAGCTTCGGGCGTATCCCATTGTATCTTCCAATGCCGCTTTTGAAAAGCTAGTGGGACACTTCCTTCTGAGTACTCTAAAATAGCGATTTATTGGAAGAACCGTCTCGGTCTTATCGCTTTTATTGATTATAAGGACCGGCACAGCTTTGCTTGGGTTTAGTGCCTGGAACTCAGGGCTTTCGTGCTCTGCCTTGCCGAGATCAATGTAAGTTTAGTGAAAAGAAGACAGTAGTAGTCATATTATTCAACTTAAGAAAAGCGATTTAGTAGGGAATTATTTTTAGATAACAGCGACACTAGCGTGGTTTCAATGATCCCCGTTCTCACCCGGTCCTCACCTTTTCTGTTCCACTGGGACTCTGCTCACTGGTCAATCATGCATCTCCATATGTGCAAGGATCCACCTCTCACAAATTTAATGTATATTTTGAAGATCTCTCAATGATCCTGAGGTCTTGAGTGCTTTGTATTCATGTGTCAGGCTGACAGGCTTCGGCGATCCTGGATCCGTCTTGGAAGGCTGATTGTTCCAAATCGCTACATAGGCGTTTCAAGTTTGGCTCAGTGATCGAGAAAACTAAAGCATTTGAATATATCTTTCTTAACCTTACTGCAAAGTAAAAAGACTTTCTCGCTTTGTCTAAGCTAGACTACGGGTCTCCTATAAACGGTCAAAATGTGGCTCAGTCATATAACTCATTTCTGGTCTTTAAAAACTTTTACTATCACATTGAATATTTCTTCCTTTTTTCTTCATGCAACTGCTTTCCCTACGCTGGGATTTGAGAGCGATCCTCTTCCGCAACTTCATGAGCAGGAGTCCGAAGGGCAGGAGCATTATATTGAAGTTCGTGATAGTAGCGTTAATGAATGGGGAACAGCACTCACGAAGGGATCAGAGCTAAACTGCGGCATGGAGAAAACAGGAGCTTCAGCTGCTACTTGCTTTTCAAAACCAACCCAACTCACAAGTGGCTTTCAACAGTTCATTGATCTAAAGAAATGGGGTTGGATAACTTACGAACAAGACTTCTACAAGTCTAATATACCATATGTTTCAATTACAGCCACCCTTGATCAGCTCAGTATTGAACCTGATGATTTGATATACACTGAAACAAGACATGATGCAGATGTCACTGTGAATCGCGTGGAATACGATGTAAGTTGTAATATACCCAGGCATAACTTTGATCTTCCTATTCTAATAAGGTCCTAGAGCACCGGCGCGCATTATAACAATGCGTATGCACCTGATAATGGATTGATCATAGCAGATGACAGTAAAAGCCCTGCAAGCATGAGCCAGGACTGCCTAGTTGATCCATTGCCCAAGCTCCAGCGCTGGTCTGATGTTTCGTTTTTGACATGGGAAGAAATCTGTCGCCAGAAGCAGAAGTCAGTCCAGGGTTTGAAATATATCATTCAGAATTGGATCGAAAATGAGACCACGGAGAGCATTCTACGAAGAGCCCTTGGAGAACCGAGCAATTTCAACGATTGGAAAAAATACCAGGATGGCATTATTCTGGACAACGAGAACAGCCCTAACGCATTCGCTGCTGTGCTCGGATCTCCCAATGGCGCAGGCACGGCTTGGATGCTTATTCAACATAGAAACCAGCTGGGACCGAAAAAAATATTTCAAATTACTGTTCTTGGAATTGGGGCGCAGCTACTTGAAGTAAAGTGGCATCCGGCTTTGATATTCAATATCACGGATCTTTAGACAGGAATTATCGGATCACTAATGATGAACTTTTCTTTCTTATACCCATTTTTTTTCATAGCTAGGCTATCCAAGGCCACAACGCTTCAAGGCAGCCTTGGCTGGATCAGATTACTAGGGATCAGAGTGAGGCTAACTAGATCGCTGGGACAAGAAAGACCATCAAGGTGGCCAGTGCTTTGAAACCTGTCGACTTAACATAAAGTGGTGATTTGCTCTCAAAGCTTTTGCGCCACTTTCTCCGTCTTCATGATCAAATCAACTTTCGGAGTAGCGATCGTTATCGAAAGATTTGTAGCCTAGATTTAGGGAAATAAGGCCTGGAAGTAATAATTTTTAAGTATCTCTCAGTTCTTCCTTCTCACTAGATCTCGGCGGCTAAAAACAAGTGACTGTGTTATTTTGACATATCCAGGATGATAATTGGACCTCATAGAATGATTTGAAGCCTAATAAATGCGGCATTGACCTCATAGTCCAAAACTAAACAGAAGGATGGTTATCCCGAAACCAGACTGTACTTCCCGTAAGTCGAATAACTTATAGGGCAGGCACCTATTAGAATTCAAATGCACAGCTTGCTCAATTGATTCCCGTCGTGTTGCATGAGTTTCATCATCCCTGGACGAAGATTCATTGAAATCCGGACGTATACATCTATAGAATGATAGGCGAGAATTTAGTAGTCGTCGTCTCTTTTGGCGCCTTCATGCATGCATCGCAATTTCTGATGACATGGCACTCAGGCACTATGTATATAAATCTAGTGAGGTCAATTATTGGTCAGAACACAGCCACTGGTATTGCCTGCATGATCAGGGGGATAAAGCCATACAATAAGCGCCAAGGCGTTCTTTGAATCTCGATATGACGTGGCGCAGAACTTTCTTTTACTTGAGTCTCTATAGCTAATTCTAGGACATAAAAAGCCTTACGTCCAAGTCCCAACCTCAATTACACCATTGACTGAGCTTTTACAATCTATTTCCCCTCTACCAAAACCTCAGCTATCGCAATTTCTACTTTATACAATGCAACGCTCAAAGAATTGCCGTGATTCAATCAAAAGAGCCGGCAACAGTTCAAACATCGTTCTTCTTGTGGGTAGACTGAATGCAGGGAAATCCTCCCTAGCTGAGCTTATTACGGGGGTGACAGGTCTTTCGAGCAACAGAATCCTCTCAGGTGAGTGTCAATATTTCTTAAAACTGGAAATAGTATCTTTTTCTCAATTGCTGTATCATTAGAAACCGATCATTGTCAAATCATAAACACGCAAATTGAAAATGAAGACTACTTCATCATCGATACTCCAGGATTTGAAGCCCACAATACGTGAGAAGTATTTTGCGGGATAGCAACCTTTTTACACGACTTGCATGGCCACGCAACCTTCAGCGTGTGGTATGTGGTGGACAACTCCCGTCGGCAAGAACATCTTGACACGGTCTTGATTTCCTGGTTGGCCGCGTTCTGCGGAGAAGCCTTTTGCCCGAACTTGAAAATTGTCACGACCTTTTGGCGAGGTGAGGGGGCGGAACTTGAAGGCAGCAATGAAATGCTTCTACAGAGAATGAATGAATGGGCTGAGCTACGGGCGCATGGAGCTCAACATCATGCTTTTGGCAAGAAGTATGTGGATGGCAACGCACAGAATGAGACTATCTCTTGGCATAATGCTGCTAGAAGAGACGAGCTCGTCCTTCAGGCAAAGATGATGGTAACTCGCTCTTTTCATGCGGAATCAGCACGTGTGCCACAAATATTGGAAGAACTTGACGAGAAAAAGCCTCTCAAATGCACCAGGGCCGCCCAGGTTCTTCGCCCAAGCAATGAAGATAATCATGACAAATTCAAAAAGAAAGAAGCAGATACTTCTGGGCGAGAGTCCCAGGCTCCAAAAAGTCAACAAGTCGAGCCCGAATCTACCTTGGCGTGGTTCTTCAAAGGAGTTGGAGATGTGGTACTCCAGGTTGCGCGAGTCGCCTTAGAAGGTGGAATTCATTACAATGTAAGCGGTGGCAGTGGGGGCTTTCAAACGAACGCTGGCAGTGGAACTAGACAGAATTTGGATCCTTTCTCGTCCAGGGATACAGCCATTGCCAAAGGGCACGATGGAAGTTACAGCGCCCGACAAGGATACTATAACTCATGGGGCCTGAATAGAGGATATGGAGCTTTTACAGGTTCTCAAAGCCAGGGCGAAGCACTTCGAAAGGAAATGAATAAAAGATGGGGCCGCTAGTTGACACGAGACTCTGCAATGCTGGTGAGACTTCGGTTAGGAGGAAGCCAATCCTATCTGTACCAGTCGATGAGCCAGAGTACCGGATTTTCACCCAGGTGTCATATATCACTTTCCTTCCAGACTTTTTCCTTGAATTATGATGTATCGACTGCTATTTATTGTATGTTCGCAACAGTGACGATGGTAGTGGATATGGATTTCCTTGGAGTGTTGGAACGCATCGGTATTATTGTCGCGTTCAGTACCATCTATTCAGTAGTGATTTTGTTAATTAAGTCTTTCAAGAAAATGAGATATATCTGCTATTGAGTCTATTTGTTGGTACACTAGTACCGTTGTAATACTAGGACAGGGACATCGAATCATGAAAAAATACTTCTGTAGTGGCTGATATTATTTTGTAAGACGTTCGTCTTTTCCAAGTGTAGCTATCTGGGGATTGTTAGTTAACCACCCAATGGCAAAAGGCACGGATAGACTGTTGCTTGATGGATGTTGATGGAGAAGGAGAAGTGAAGACGAGAACCGTAGGTAGGATTGTGCTGATCTGCACCAAGTTTAAACATGACTACACAAAATGCAATGCCCATAGCTACTTCATATACGTGATTGAGGTTCTATCAACCTCTGAATCAAAGGGCTAGTATGAAGATGCTAGGTGGTGACACCGATTTCCCAAAGTACCCATAGATTTGATGAAGAAATGATATTTGTAGCACAGTATTTCCCCAAGGTTACTACCTGGGCAGGTCAACAACTGACCTTAAGTTGCCTAGGAAGTTCCGATGTTATATAGCTTAGTAATCTACTCTGAGCGATCTTGCAGACTGAGTCGATGAACTGGCTCTTCAAAATTCCCAGAGATATCATAATCAGTTATACTCTTGTCATCTTATACATCTGCAGCATCGAAGTTGCGAATGAAGTCATAGTAGAATCTGACGGCATTCAGGTGATCAAAAATGCTTATATGCTCATCGACAGTATGAATATTGTCTAGTCCCCGACCAATAGCTGGAGTCCATCTAAAGACGTTGCGGGTAAGGCCTGGTCATACCGTCAGTATGTATAATACAAGGCTCCTTGAACACATGGGCAAAATAAGACTTACTGAGATAATATCTAGTGTCAGTACCACCTGTCATAATGTCTCCCACTGGCACGACAATCTTATCTTCCGACGCAAAGGCATGCCGAATTGTTCCCGAAAAGATATCCCACACGGGGCCACTAGCAGGAGACACCGGTGCGGCTCCGGCCTTTGTGGCCCTGATGACAAGAGTTCCGTTGTAGTCAACATTATCCTGGCGTTTTAGATCGCTATGATAAAGCATATCACTGGAATGAAGACCTGCGACATAATCGTGATATTCTTTGTCGCCAGTGAATGCGTCCACTCGAAGGCCATACTTCTTGACAACGTCCGCAATTACTTGAATAGCCTTGTATTGAACCTGTACCGGTTTTTCATGGTGGGCAACGCGATAGTTAACAGCCAGGGTAACGACCTCTGGCATGGCATTGATCTTCACTCCGCCCGTAATCAGATCAATAGCCTGCGATGTTTGAACAACAAACCGGTTAAAAGGGCTCGATTTAGCAAATTCAACTGCGAGCCCATCAAAGTCATTATTCCGTAATAACTTTTCGATCTCGGGCTGAGTATTAGGAGAGTATCGCGCTTGACAAATTAATCGTTTGTGAATGGGGCCGTTCTCGATGATTTTAGGCTCATACGGATTAGATTCAAGCGCGACAACGATCTCAGAAACGATGCCGATACCCGTATGCGGCAGGGGGACAGAACTGTGGCCACCCTTGGCATGGAGCTCGAAGAAGAGATTGGCATGACCCTTCTCGGTGATTGCAGGGTGGACATATACAGTATTTCCATCGAGAGGTCCCGAGCCGAAACCACCCTCATCAAGGATGATAGCAACGCTGTCTTCACCATATCTCTCCTTAAGAATCTCACTGATCGGCCCAGCACCTTTATTCAGACCGACTTCCTCGTCAAACCCGAAAGCCAGGAGGAGAGTTCGCCTTGGCTTCCAGTCAGACTCAGAAAGAAGACCCTCGACAGCGGAGAGGATGGCTGTGAGACTGTTCTTGTCGTCGGATGCACCTCGTCCCCAGATATACTCGCCATCAAAATGAGCCTCGAAAGGTGGGTATTTCCATGTGGATGCATCAGCAACAGGTACCACGTCCTGATGGGCAGTAAGAAGAGTCGGCTTCAGAGAAGGATCAGAGCCTTCTAGTGTGTAGAGCAGCCCAAAAATATTTATCTTCTCCAGCTTTGCGCGCTTATGGCTTGAAGTGGTCAGCTGCGGGAAATTCTCCAGCGTGGGCTTCTGACTTACATTGTAGGATATGAGTTTTGAAGAGCCGGGAAAAGCTTGTAGAAGGGATTCCATCGCTCATCCTCCCCTATCTCGCCCAAATCATCATATGAAACCGATGGAACTTGCACAATTGCCTGGTGACGTTTCACCTGTCGTTCCAATGCCTCATCTGACGAAAATAGGCTCAATGCCGACGGTAACCCATCATTGGCAGGGTCAAGAACAGGGGGTAAATCGCATTTAAAATCAACACTCGGATTTCCAATAGTCATCGGATTCTGCTCCAAAAGTGGCAACACGAAAGCCGAAGCACCCGCTATGCCATTTGCTAGGAGCAAGAGCCGGGAAGAAAACATATTTATAGAGTTTTAAAGCTCAGTTAAACCACCTGGGCACGATTTAAACCGATAAACATTCACCAGAAAGACTAGAATGTTATAATTTTTTTGAAGGTGGAGCGTTTTGAAGAGGGGAAAAATTGGAGCGGATAACTAAACCAATTGATTAAAAATTATCTAACTTATGATGACATGTCACTATGACAATATCACGAATTCAATTCATAATTCAATATGATCTACATACTTCTAGCACCAATATTCCGCAGCCATGGCGCGATTATGCGACTTCAAGTTTCCTAACTAGGACATAGTTGAATATTCTGAAGTATCTTATTATCGCCGACGTATTTTGAAGTGATGATAGGAAGGCCTCTCCTTGCGGGGAAGATAAGCTTAGGAGAGCTGAATTCAAGCTCGGCAAGTCAGCCACTACTTAGGTAATGAATCCATATCATGATTGTTTAGACCCGAGATAACTGACTAGTTTGTGACTATGTTTACACTTGATAAGAACTCGCGAGCCCTAACTCGACTCCCCCTCATTGCACCTTTCACCCCATTCTGGCGCCACCATAACAAGTAGTTGATTATTGGTGAAAAAACTTGTTGAAGATGATGCCATAGACCTTGTAATGAGCCACGCTTGGATTTATCCTAGCTTAGATTCTATATATTCCGACTAATGCCAAGATTTCCTCATATTTCGACGTGAAACACGTCCTTTGTCCTTGTGATCGCCTCAGCTCGTCTTGCTTAGGTAGTCAGGATAATGCCTGCATTGATCCCCTACTTTACGACATTCACTCCAATCATCGCGAATATCTAGAACATGTCTACGAGACAGGACCCCTCAACTGGGACACACGATAGTCTTCTAACTGGGCAAGGCACATCCACTTTGCCGGAGATTGACCTTTGACAGGAAAGGCTTGCATCGGCAGTGCCAGTATCTTCTTGGCTAGGAATTGAAGTGTTACTAGTTACTACTACCTATACCTTGACAGATAGCCAGCTAGACATATTTAAGTAGGGAACAAGACTTCGGAAGTTGTGTTTCCGTCAACGACAGTCCTCCAAGCAGCATGGCACAACAGCATGAACCTCAGGAGCTCCCTAATGAGAAGATAAAGCCATTGGATGTCAAGTATATAGGTACAATTGATAAAACAGAGGTTGATTCTATTGAAGTATCGCAATATGACTTCGATTCGGCCGAGTTTAAGAATATTCCTGAGTTGGTGCGGACTGTCGTTGACTTTGAAGATGACCCATCACTTCCAGTCTTGACTTTCCGCTCAATAATTCTATCAGCATTATTCTGTGCGATTGGTAGTATTATTTCCCAATTATCTTAGTAGGTCTCGCTGCCGACAAATTGCACTAAACGTTCTAGCTCACAACCTACTAGCTTTCGAACGACTACCGCTCCATTTCCAGTTTTCTTTGTAATTCTGGCATCTGACCCTCTTGGTCGTTTCCTTGCACGAGTTTTACCTGACTATAGGGTACCACTGGGAAGATTTTCATTTTCCTTGAATCCGGGCCCTTGGTCGGCCAAGGAGCATGCAATTATTGGTATTGCCGCCAATGCTGGAAGTCAAGGTCAATGGGCAAGTATGTGATTCAAATATTTCCCAGTATATGACAAATTCTGATTTCAAAAGCTTATCTTCCCACGAACGCTGCTCTATACTACAATATCACTATAAACCCTGCAGTCGCCTTATTTTTCGGATGGGTAGGCTTCAACTTTTACAGACTAAGAAAATAAGCTTATTCAAGACTAGGGCTGTTCCTTGCTTGGTTATTCATTTGCTGCAATGGGTAAGTACTCCATGATATCTCTCAAATGAATATGGTAAACCTGACCTATCTAGCTCGCAAAATTCTCATAGATGACCCCGAATTCATATTTCCCCTGTCCTTACAACAGGTAACGCTCTACCGAAGTATAGATGCCAACAACAGGTCAAACCATAAAAGAGCGAGGGAACAGGTGAAGGTACTTTTCTGCAGATATACACCACTTTTCTCTCATTGTGGCTAATTAAATATGTCAGGTGTTTTGGATAATACTCGTGGCTACGTTTGTTTGGCAGTTCTTACCCGAATACCTCTTTCCATTTGTGGCATCTCTGGCTCCACTGTGCTGGTTTGCTAGTCGCAGCCATACTGTCAATTTTATCGGAGCCGGTCATGGTGGCATGGGATTGCTGAACATAACACTCGATTGGTCCAACATCACGTCGCATGTTATCACATATCCATACAGTGTACAAGTGATAATTTTCTTGGCGTTTGTCTTGACGGTAAGTGGTAAAATTTTGTGTCAAAATAACCCCTCTAATCTCTTCTAGTGTTGGATCCTAATTCCTATTGCGTATTTCGGCCACCTTTGGGGGTCACCGACTTACAATATCATGTCGAACGGTGTATTCCTAAAGAACGGGTCAACTTATCCGTTCACTGATCTAAGTATGTATCTCTATATCACGCCTTGGAACTTGTGCTGAAGAATTTCAAGTCTACCTTGATTCCAGTGGTATGCAACACATTAACGAGACAAAATACGAAGAATTCGGCCTTGCCTACTCCGGAGCCCAGTATACATGGCAGCTGTTCATGGTAAGCTACATTTCGCATGATTACTGAGATTTATCCTTTCTTTACTGATATTTCCATAGTGGGTAGCCTCGTACATGTCCTCTTACATGTGGTGCGGCTTGTTTTTTGGCCCGAAAATCTACAGCATATTTAAAGCCAGAAAGCAATCGGGAGATTATTATCAAGACAGATTGAGGTATTTGCAGCTGTCAATTTCTTATACCTAAAGAGACTAACAATGAAATCTCAGTCGAATCATCCAACAATACCCCGGTATCAAAAGATGGTGAGCTCCTCTCGCTCTTCGTTTGCAGGGGACTATCTCGGCTAACAAGCATGACAGGGAGTGGGTTGCAATTACTCTGGTACCGTTTCTAATGCTTCTTGGTGTTGTTGTTTCCAAGGCAATTTATATGCCTATCTGGACGTATTTTGTAGCATTGCTTTTTGGAGCAGCAGCAATGCTACCAATGAGCTTTGTGTATGCCATATCAGGCTTTTCCATCAAGGTCGGCTTCTTCAACGAGCTTGTTTATGGATGTAAGTTGATAAGAGCCCGTGTTTTGTTTCGAAATCCAGCTGACAAGTTTATTCTTTTAGACATGATTGAGGCAAAGGGATCATCACGACATCCTTTGGGTCAGCTTGCATATCGAATTATCTCCGGAAATGTGTGGTACGATGCTCGTACAGTTTTAGAAGATCAAAAGGTTCGACGAATTGCAGTGCCATCCACTCACTATCAAATGATGATTTGAAGCTGATTTTTGATTTCAGGTTGGCCATTACCTTCACCTACCTCCCCGACAAGTCATCGGAATCCAAATCATAGCCAACATGTTTGCGCTGCCCATAAACTACGGCGTTATGCGCTGGGTCATCGATACCAAGTTTGACTACGTTAGCGGCAAGAAGACAGACCCCCTCGGCCAGTGGACCGGTCAAGATTTCAAATCGTACAACACAGCCGGCATTCAGTTTGCTCTCGTTGGCCCGAAGAAACTCTTCGCATCGGACTTCTTCAAGCCTGTTCTTTGGGGCTTCCTTGCAGGTGCACTTGCCCCTTGTGCAATGTGGTTGCTGCACAAGAAATTCCCTCGCGCTCGTTTTGATCTGTGGAATACGACTATATTCTTTGCATCAGCTGGAGTTTTCTACGGCAACCTTAGCACTGGGCCTTTTACGACATTCCTCGTCGGTACCTTCACCAACTTCTTTCTCTTTCGGTACAGGAAAGTATTCTGGAATAAATGGGCTTATATCAGTGGTGCAGCATTGGATACTGGATTCAACGCAAATCTGCTGTTTATCTTTATCTTCCTTGGGACAACTGGAACGAAGATGGTTCATTGGTGGGGCAACAACGCTGACAGCACTGAAAGATGTTTTGCATTATAGAGATCCATAGGTAGCATTATGCATGATAATGCAAGTATAGTGCATGTGAACTAGTTATTCTCGAGGTCTTCTGAGGTCCGAGACTTTGAATCAAGGGACCAAGGTTCGATACTGTTAAACATTTCGTATCAAATGCACTTTTCTCATTATGAGCTCTCAAAGTCCTCGGGCAGACCGTTTCCGATTCTTCAATCCTTCAAAACAGAGATCGGCAGGTACGTAGGTAAGCTTCTCTTAGGTATTTTCGTGAGCAACTAAATGATGCATCATATGTGGGTGCTGTGCAGAAATCGTATTCACAAAAAGCGATGTTGATAGATCTTAATGCAAAGCCGGAAAGATGACACCAATGGGAAAAATCTTTAGGCCAAGTCCCGAGTCTCAACTTTTGATGTTCGTAATTCCAAGAGAATAATAGTGAGAATTCAATTAAGAATCTGTGTAGAAGAGTGGACTGATAATACACGTGATCTTATCTTAGTGATTGTTACCGGGTCGACCACCAAGCTTGTTTACTCCGCTCGTGCCCACTCACATACTTAGTGCTGTGTAGTCCATCTTGTTATCTCCGATCGCATCCACACTTGAGTTCCATTCTTCATCTACATTCCAGGAATTCGCGTGGCTTCGGAGGCCTTCAGTTGCGATCATGGGGTCATCCCCTCCATTCCTTTACGATCGCCCTGCTACATACAGCCTCTGCGGCCCTACTGATCCAGAATTCAATCCCAAGGCCGTGACGCAGGCTAGCTGGAGAATCCCAGAGCCTAAAGAAAAACCAACAGGGCCTTTAATCAGCTTCAACAAGCATCCCGACACAGTATGTCTGACGAATCTACTGGAATATTACGTACTGATCCTTTTTGCAGTGGGGCGGTTTCGACAACAGGTCAACATGGACGCCTATGCACCCTAACACCAAGAAAAGAGTTACTCGCACACGCCATATACAGCTGGGCCTTCGAATTATTACTCTCATTGGATCACTTGGTTCCCTTTTCTTCTCCGTCGTTATCACTCAGGCCTCGGCGAGAATGATTTGGATTATTAGGGCGGCTGTAAGTTGATACTTGGATATGTAGATCGAACTAGCACTGACCCAATCCTTCAGCCTATTGCCGCAATTCTTCACACTATCTATGCCATATACACTCTTTGCCAATCACCAATTACTCGTCCAACGGGATCACAAGCCAGCTATGCCGTCTTCGCATCCATTTTGGATTTGGGAATAATCCCATTTTACGTCTTCACTGCATACATCTCCCATGCGGAATACACAATGCAGGATTACGGTTGGGGTACCTTCTTCAACAGTGCCGCTATTAAATTTGAAATTGTTGAGGGCATGTTCATCGTGGCCATTGTTAATGGCGCACTACACCTAGTGTCACTTGCCCTCTCAATCTACTTAGCCGTTGCCTTCCATAAAATCTCTCAGCTTCCTCCTGATATGAACCCTCTGGAAGACAATCTGACTGCTCTGCCCCGAAAGACCCGCAAGGGTATTGAGGCGGATGAAAAACACTGGAGTTCTTCTACCTTGCAATCGAACCTCGAAGACCCGTACGACCCTCTTATTGGACCACCCCGAACTGTGCCTTTCATCCACACCCGCGGTCTTTCCATTGGTGGCGACTCAAGCAAAGGCTCTTTTGAGACAAACGAGAAGCGTACTTCTGTATTGTCATTCCAGCAGCATCGTCATCGTCATCGTCTCTCTCAGATGGAGCCCCATAGTCCCCATAGTCCCCTTAGTCCTGATACGTTTTACGATCACACAGCACTCCAGCCGCTCGATCTCACATCGCATTCAGGAAAACCCGAATATCGTAATGTTGCTTCTCACTCTCCAGAATTTGTCGATGCTACCACCCAGATACGTCCTCTGTCAGCGGATCGTTCGAACTCTGTCAGTTCCGTGTCTGAGGAGAATTGGGTTACCTACGCCGATGGACCCCCGTCACCAACCAGTAATAAGCAGAAGGATGATAATGTAAACGGCAATGCACCAATTCGCCATTCGTCTTCTATTTACAGCAAGACGACCTCTTCCACTGGCAGCACCATTCGAGACTGGTTCGCCTACGGCCAAAAGCCACCAGCTTCCATTGGAAAAGCAATCCCAGAAAGCATTCGCGGGGAATATACATCCCTAGCCATGCATGAGTTTTACGGGAAAGACGAAGGCACTCGTGAGCAAGACTTGGGTGACACACGTTTCAATATCTTCCCAGACCCGGAAGAGTACGAGCAGGGATTTGGAGATGGTGAACAGAAGGATGGTCTTCCATTTAATCCTCTTATGCTGAACCCCCCAACTCCCCAGCCTCCTTTCACTGAAATTCTCGAAGAGACAGATCAGGTTCGGCGCATTGCTCTGAGCGACAACCCAAACCTTATGTCCAACCAGAAGGCAGAACCATACCTTTCTGATGAGTCGATTGATGATTTCGCTCCAGCCACGCCCAAGCACCACTTTTATGACGATTTGGGAGACGATGGACCTAGAGTGAGCCGATCTCGCGATGTCAGCGTCCAGGAAGATGCTCAGAAGAAGCAATCAAAGCTTGTAAAGAAGCGCAGCAAGATGGCAGCTTACGCTTCTCTCAAGAAGGATGACAGCGATGATGAGAGCCCTCTCAACACTCGTGTCATATCTTCGCCAGCTACCAAGGATGGGGATCGCAAGGGCCGTGTTGTCAGTAACTCTGGCGCGGACGCCGCACAGTCAGGTCTCGTTGAAGGCGTTGGTGCTTCCCTCTCCTCGTATGGAAGCTATATTGCCGGTCTTGGAGTTGGTCGTCGGCGCGATGTCAGCGGCAAGATCGCCGAGGAGGGCCGTAGTTTCCATATTTTTGACGAGAATTCGGCCCCTGAACAGCCGAAAAGTACAGCAACTACCCCTATTCGTGCTGCTGGATGGGCTCGCTTCGCCGGACTCTAATATATGAAAGAAATCAAACGGCTTGACATTCCGGGCTGGAGTTTTGGGGTATTCTTTTATGATTTATGTTGAGCGATCCGTGTGTTAGGTTTGGTTGACAGGCCATCTAAGGATGGGGCCTTTTCTATATCTTTCGATGTTTTATTTCTTTTTATGTATTAGGCATGAGATATCATGCAACAAATCCAATAAATCCAAATATCAAATTAGGGTATCACAAAGCGCCCACGTAGGAACTCGAGAGAGAAAACAACTAGAATATAAATTTTATTTTATGAGGGAACACCTTCATATTCCCATCCAGCAATGACCCGTTTTCGACGTCGAGAGTTCCGCCGGTTCGCATTACACTTGACGAACCCAGTCAGGGCAGCAATGATGCAGATGACAATTCCAGCTATCGCCGCAACAAGCACAGTCCTGCGCTCCAGCTGCTGTGGATTAGAAATATAGGGACATGCGGTTTTTGGTCCACCCGAAACCCAGCAGGATGTGACACTGATGGAGTTGAAGTCGAGAAAGACACCTGGACCGGAGTCTGCTGTTGTGCTAAGCTCATCGGACTGGGTCAAGAGGTATTTGTACAGATAGGTGTTTTCAATCCCGTTTCGAGGCACTGCAAATTCAGAGCCGGACGGACATAGATTGGAGACTGATGAGAAATCCCCGGTCGAATGCGATAATGTCCATTCGAAGGGGGAATTTCCTACTCGGCAGGTTCCGCGCCGCGTGTCGGAGCAGTTGGTTGCTCGCCAGCGACCCTGTAGTGACGGGTCTATGATTGCACAGCGGTCGAACGATGGCTGACCCTCTGTGCCGCCACCGGTACCTGCACCCTGGGGCTCACCAGGGGCCCACGCCCATCCTGTGGAAAGGGAGAGGTTACGATAGTTGGAGATGCTGACGTCAGCGGATTGGCCGAAAAGGGTGCTGTTCAGGAATGGGGAAATGCCACATGCCGTGAGGCCTGCGATAACATTATTTATAGATGACATTGTACTCTCTGGGGATAGACCGTCTGCAACAGTGAGGCCATTGGAAATGGCCCAGGAGGAATTGGCCTGGGATACGTCTGTGGCTTCCGGATTATAGATACAGCTCGAAGAGAAAGTATCGTTGGTAGTAGAAGTGCTGGTTGCCGAAGTCAGATATGACGGAGGAAAAATGACCTCCCCATCCTGAGACCAATCATAGTCTGCCAATTGGGGGTCAATGGACCCATATTCGATTAGGATTCGGTTCGTATTTGCGAGTAGTATGAATTTTGACGATGGCCAGCCATCTGGAGTACTCTGCTGGCCTGTTTCATCCCTGTGAATCGTGAAATATTCAGTGATAGGCTTATAATCTTCTTCAACTTCGTACCAAGACGCGTTCAAGTTGCTCCGGTCACTGGCCAGCGTGACGGGGGTGTAGATATAATTCGAAAGTACGGTTTTGAAGAATGCGCCAGCGCGTTCTATATCTATTTTAGGGAGATCATTGCCCGTCACAGCTGAAGCTGGCTTCGTCGGCTCCGCGTCACTTCCGGCTACATGCAGATTCAGAGCCAGATAGATTATGTAGCCGGTCAGCTCGGTTGACGTAGCCTTGAAGTATCCGGTCAAAACTTCAGTTAATGTGTACAAATCGAGATCATTTGTGCATCTATATGGCCCGAGCTCGTAGACCGCATCCCCATGAGAATCCGTATATGCCGTGATAGTCGGTGATGCGGCACCTGTTGTTGTCGAAGCTGTTTCCATCAATGTCATGGTAGACGTTGTCGATGTACTCGTAAAGGTAGATGTATATGCAGAGACGGTCACATCGGCCTTTTTGGGGACTTCGACCGGGCAAAATGACCATGTCCTGCGCTCCACTGACCAATATATATCCAGTACTAGTCGTCGATATCCGATCGACAGTAGATTTGATATGCAGTCCGCACCGGGTATTCGGGCATAGAGACCATCAGCAAAGCAAGCTGATGATAATGAAACGCCGGGGTTAGTGACAAAATTGATTGGGATCTGGCCAGCGACATCGCGTTCGCTCTTCAGTAATATGTAAGTGAATGAAGCAAAATCGATATCAAGCATATCAAGCATATCAATTATAAACGAACCAGAAGCATGGCCACCCAAGTGGCATCCTGAAGGGTAGCATCCGAATTATATGAGACAGACATGAAAGAAAGCGCAGTTCATGCGCCTAGTAATGATACGTCTATAAATATGCAGTCTGGATTGCGCGGGAGGAATTTCCGGGAAGAAGCTGCAGGGGCCGCGATCACCTGAGTCGATCTGTCCACTTCTTAAGATTCTCTTTCATCTTTCTTCAACTTCATTTCTCACTTCATTTCCTCACAACCTCGTCCAACTCGAGGTCAAATCTCTTTTTTTGCACTTTTTTGATACCCTTTTATTATTATTTTCTTTCAAAATGGCCGCGCCACAAGGACCCGGCCCTCAACAGATGGCAGCAATGCAGCAACAATTCGCCGCCGAGGCTGCCAAACGAGGGTTGACACCAGAGCAATTCGCCCAGAAACAGCGCGAACAGCTCATCGCTGACGCTACAAAACTCGGATTGTCTCCGGAACAATACGTTGCTCAGCTACGAGCGCGGGCCATGCAGGCGCATCAGCAACAGATGGAAGCGCAGAAAGCCCAAGCTGGTTCTCCACAGCCTGGACAGCAGGCACAAATTCCACAGCCTGGTAAACCTCAGCAAACTACACAACAGGTGCCCGTGAACCCGAATGCCCCCGCCGACCCTAAGGCCTTGGCTTTGGCCAAGTTCTTGCGGTCGCAAGACTTGAAGCCACGCGCTTGTATAATGGATGGACAGCGGAAGGAGATTTTCAAAGGTATGTCAAAGAATTTCTTACTCAACTGTTAGAAGTGAGTTGGATATGGTATGGATTACTCACAATGATTCTCTCTAGTCAAGCGAGCTATTCGTGCCATTGAGTCCCCCGCCTACGCGAAAGCCGCCGCAAAGAAGAACTCCCTCCTCCCGCCCGTGACAGACCGCGCCTCAGCCGAGAACGTCTTCAAGCTCCTCCCACTATCTCTTCTGGCACTGCGAATCAGCAAGATTGACCCACATGCCGGTCACGACCATGCCAAGCCCAAGAACCGTGTTAAGGGTCTGTGGACCGTTAAGATCGAACAGCACCAGGAGGTTGATCCGATGATGCACTATGTTTGGCTGTGGGAAGGTTCGCAGTGGAAGCAAAAGGCTATGGCTGCCGGTGTTGTTGCCGGTATCTTTGCTGTTGTGCTCTTCCCTCTGTGGCCGATCATGCTGCGCCAGGGTGTTTGGTATCTGAGTGTTGGCATGATGGGTCTCCTTGGTCTCTTCTTTGCCATGGCAATTGTCCGTCTAATATTATTCTGCATTACCGTTGTCGTGGCTTCTCCTGGTCTTTGGCTGTTCCCGAACCTGTTTGAGGATGTTGGGTTCTTTGATAGCTTCAAGCCGCTGTGGGGTTGGCAAGAGGTTCGTTATCTATTTCTCACCGCTTATAACTCGAGTTTGCTAACCTTTTATCGCAGAACAAGAAGAAAAAGAGCAAAAAGTCCAAGTCGAGCAGCTCTGACGCTGTTGCCATAGAACCTGCCCCCTCGGCAACTACCACATCTGCTGAGCCTGCCGCGCCATCTTCGGAACCCGTATTGCGGGATTTGACTGCAAGAGTTGAGGAAGTGGAGGAGTAACTACGTTTTGCATACTATTAAGAATACGTTTCAGCAAAGAGGTATTATCAGTCAGCTGTGATTGATCTCTTCGGAATGCCTTTTTCGAAGTCTTCCAAAAATATTCATTCCTGCGTTCTACCATGTGAATACTCAAAATGAAACCCACTCAATTTTCTAATTCAGATAAATACAGAGTACAATCCCCCTTACGCAGATAATATGAAGAAGGATGAATTCAAGTACATATGTACATTATGAATTGATATAAATGGGGTATAAATAGAGACATAGACAATAAGTAAATCAGCGTATACCTAGGTATACGAAAGAGACGATGCAAAGCCACCAACCTTGGAAAAAGGGTATAGACATTCGAACCAAGGTAAAAGGTCGAACACAAGGAGATAAGACAAGAATGCGAAATGTATGCAGCGGACGCACGAACATGATCGAATGTGAGATTAGTGGTATATCGGAAGTTGCTCATGAGGAGACGTGATGCATCGAGGAACAATCGACACAAGGAGAATAGGTAGGTAGATGGGCAACCTTGGGAAGTGGAATGTTATATTGAGAAATCCGGAGTGACTAATGAGTGATGTTGAGGTTTTGTTTGTATGGTCGTTATTAGTACATGATCGGATCATCGGATGAATCTAGAGGTTCTGGAAGCTGATTTCGAGCCGGGCGTGCTAGCGTTGATTTGATCAATCGTTTGCTGCGATTGATAGAATCGGAGCGTAGGTGATTTAAGTGAAGGGGATTTCTGTGAGCTTTGAGATGTCGGTGTGGGAAGGTCAATCACTGGTGAGCTTGACGAGATTGATGGCGACGGCATCTGCTCTATTATTGGTGATGGGATCTTGGGCAGTGGGCAGTTCGGTGGAGGTGCAGCAGGGGGTCCAATGACAAGACCGGGCATGCTCTTTCGACGGGGCACACTCTGCTGGTGCACTTCGTGATCGTTTAGGGTGGAGACTCGAGTGCGCGAGTTTGGCTCGGATGGAAGAAGTGTTGGGTGATGCGCCTCGTTGCCAATTTGAATACCTAGACCAAGCTGACCGACCAAGCTGAGAGGGCGAGAGGAAGCACCGCCAGTTTCAATGTTCGGGACAGAGCCTCGAGAAATGCGTGAGAAGTTGGGTGCATTCTGCGCTGCACGCACTGTTCTCGATAGCACATCTTCAGAATTGGAAGTCCGCAAAATCCTTCGCCCTGCGCTATCTCGTGCTACTGGTTCGGTGCTTTCAGTTCGACGTGAGCTTGCGGCACTATACGTTGGAGATTGTGGAGGCGAGGCGATGCTCTCACCACGCAGGACACCATCAACAGATGGTCGTGCGTCCTGCATGGTAGAGGATGCTCCTTTTGCAACAAATTTCTTGCTGAACAGCGGCACGCTGAAGTTTGGAGCTGGCGGTGAGGCACATCGCGCGCTTTCATCCGGCACGTTGGCTTGATTCAGCTGTCCCATGGCGGCTGGGACCTCTGATAAAGGAGAGCCATATAGAGATTGGCGCTTGCCGTGGCTGGAGGAAGGTGGGCTGCGGGTGTAGAGACGGTCGAGTTCTCTGGAAATTTGCTCTTCCGTGACTGCTGTCGTGGCTGAGATTTGATAGGATGTGTTTGCATCAGAACCATTCGGGTCTGTCTGTACGGTAGAGACTGACTCTGATCTAGAATCCATCGTCGATCGGTGGACAGACACATACGAGTTTCGCTTCATCCACGAAGCCTCGCTTGAAGGCTGACCATCCTCATCTCCGTCCGGAGAACGCAGGTGCACGGGCTGGAGAAACAGACTCGATATGCGATGAGGATCCTTCTTCACTATTTGCCGAACATTTGAACTTTGGCGCAGTTGAGGCTCAGGCTCCTCTGAGTGTTTTTCCATCGTCAATTTGGGTCCACCACGAGCCTCAATCTCCGCTCGGATGGCCATCAGCCATGAAATCATGGAATCCGGGTCACCGAAGACCAAGAGAATATTACGGGCCAGACGCCGTGCATAAGATCGATGGAATCCAAAGCGCCGTGTGCGAGGCTTGAGAGGCTCTGCAGGCGCCGGGCCAGCCTCTGCTGACGAGTTCTGCGAGACTTGTACTACCCAGTGTTTCCCCGGGATGGCATCGCTGACAAATGCTACCGATTGTGGGCCCAACTGTAGCATCTTCTCGGGAATTCGATCATTCTTCCCCTCCCCCGCATATTGGAGGATAAACCCGGCCGTCGCGAGGACGTAGACTTTATTACTCCAGTCCACTTTACTCATTATGCCAGACAAAGTGCGTAGGTGCTTACGATCTTTATGCTCGCGCTTCTTCGTCTCCTCTTGACAGATGGAACCCTCGTCACCCCGTCTGGTCGTCGCATGAAGGCGTAAGATGGATTCCACTGACATCTCCGGTGTCGAGAGACATGCATGCATAGTCGACTGCGGATATGCCTGAAATAGAGGAGGCGGCTTCCAACCTAGCTGCTCGTGCGCTTTGTCATCTTCGGGCTTCGGTCGACTTGTCTTTAATGTGGCCCGCTGGCGTGGTGTGGCAGGAGAGGAGCGTGAATTCGGGGTCTCTGTGGTGCGCGGACTGATTACTGAAGGAGAGAGTGATGTCAAGTCAGTTGGCACTGAATCCTGGCGCTTGCGCTCACCCTCCTTCTCCTTGATTTCGGACAATTTGTTGTCGGCCGTAAGAGCGCGTGCTGACTTATCGCGGCCGAATAGACTGCGTAGGCCGTTCTTTGACGATTGTCGCTGAACCGCAGTGTTCTGCAGGGGTACCGGATCCCCTGCACCATTGCTCATATGTTCGGACGGTCGAGGCCGTTGAGTGTGTGTTTTTAATTGTGTGGAAGTTAATTGTGCAGCAGTTGGCCGGCTAAAGTTGGTCTGCAGTGGCGCTAGTCGATGGCCACGACGTTCCCTCGATGGCTCAGTAGACTCCGACATTGAAGTTGTATAGAAGAGAGGAACGAAAAGAATCGACAAAAATAAGTCTACATGGCCGTTAATGACGAAAAAAGCGTTGACGGGAAGTAGGATTTCAGGAGAAGAAGAGTGGAAGAGTGGGGTGGATCTACTACTAGTTAGTACCACTCATTAGCCCGTGTTTGGGTCCAGAACTGAAGTGATACGATGTGCATGCATTTTCAGCTATTCCACTTTCCCCTATTCCCGTTCCTCAGTAGTCGTCCTTGTTCCGCTTTTATTGAACCAAATGGATGTGGTTGGATAGAATTGGTGACTCGGTGATGGAAATGAGATAGTATATTCATTTTGGACCACACTTTATCCCGTGACCAGATGCCACAGCACCCATTAGATCCGATCCATTCTCACAGAATTGTGCCATCTTGATATCCTTGTTTGTAAGACCGCGTGGGTGATGCGTCGTCCAGTGAACATCAACGGATCCGATCCGCTTCTCCCGTCAGCTGACATACTATCACTCTCTATTGAAAACAAACACTTACTACTGTCATTGTTGGATGATGTTTCTTCGTTGAGCTCTCCGCGGCGATCATGTTCACAAATGACTGACTAGGATTAGTACTAGCCCCAGAACTATATTCAATAGTGCCCACTGACCACTGCTTTGAAGTAGCTTTTGAAGCTAAATGTCTTGGTGAATCCCATTCCATCGGTGTCTAGCACCCATCCCTGTTCTTGCAGAGATTTGGTCTCTGAGCCAAGCTGCGATGAGTCCTCGCCATCGGCAAAGCGTGGTACAGGGTTGGATGACAACATCCGGAGATGGGCTTGGGGATGGTAGGGAAGTGTACTTGGGAGAGCACGGGAGAATCTCCCTAGAACGAGACGTGAATGTGCGGGGAAGACCATCTTCGCGGTTGAGCCAATAAGTGGAAAAAGTCACAGTTCGATGGTGGTTGATAGTAGAGAACGCACAGGCCACATGGTCAATAGTCTGGCAGATCTTCAACTTCACTGACGGAAGCGGTCTAGAATGTTACATTGCTGTTTATTTCATGATCCTTATCTACTCTTCTTCTGGCGTAGGTTGGTAACAGCTCATCCATGCATTCATAATAATAGGTATCTTTGGGTCAAAGCTCGTTAGCAATTGCATACATAGCACCTCCCTGATCATATATCCGACTCCATTCATAGCAATGTATGTACCATGGTGGACTTGGGGATCAAGTTCGCTTTTTTTTTTTTTTTCTCATGAGAGTCGAACGCTGAAGGGGAAATTATAGTAAGATTCACCACGTCCAGCGTAATGACCAATGTGGGAAGGGGGAAAAAAAAAAAAAAAAAAAAAAAAAAAAAAAAAAACATTCACGACGAAAGATGTAACATTTAGAAATTATCAAAACACCCCTCAGGTCTACAACAATCATCTAGACTTTCTCAGTCTCGTTAATACTGTTGCGGCGAGAGTTGGCTCGAGAATTAACGCGAGAGTTGACGCGAGACTGGACTCGAGAGCCTGGACGGCTTCCCAGGGTCGGGCGAATGCGCAGATCTTGCTGAGATCGCGCATAGGAATGGGCACGAGAGCCAATTGGGACTCTGGAGCTGTGCTCACCATGGCTGGCCATATCGTGTTTGGCCATCTCGAGTTGCTGAGCGAATGGCGACTTACGGCGCAGTTCAGGGCCTTTGACGTAAATCCAGTAAACAGCAGCAACCAGCAAGCATGAGATTACGACTGGAAAAGCAAGTTAATAGATGCTAGATAATAAATAGAAAGAAAAGAAAGGTGGAACATACAGAGAATGGTGCAAGCAAGTGGCACATGGTACTTAGGAGTTTTGCCGATGTCTGTAAGAAGCCAAAGTTAGCGCGGGTTCTGTAATCCAAAATCACCAGAATTACTTACTGTTGAAGAATGGAGTTGCTGGAATGGTCAATACACCAGCCAAGAAGTCACGCGACCACCCATTGCCACCAGTAGCCGAAGCCGAGTATGGTCCGTAAGCGCAGATCATGTAATCAATCGTGGCCATGTAGATGGCATAATTGGCAATACCGATGATAGCGGCAAAGATCATGGATCCAATCCAGTGGCACTGCGGCAAAGAAGTCCAGGCGAAGCCAATCAATCCAATAGGCAAGCAAGGTGCGGTCCACAACAGCCACCACAGTCGCGATTCATACTGTGCCCGTTCGCTGTCCGGATTGGCCTCACGCTCGGCAACATTACGTTTAATGACGGGGAACCAGGAGAACCAAGCAATGAAGTATCCGATCAGGATGGGAATAAAGGCGAGACCTTGCTCCCAAGTGTTGAATCCCCACTGTCCGTAGACGACCGACAGGGATTGAATGAACATGAAAATGAGGGCGTCGCTGAAACCACTCAGGAGAGAAAGAGTCAACACAATGGGTTCGGTCAAGAACATCTTGAACGGGCGGACCCAGGTGGCGATGATCTCGCGAGGTGGGAAACGTTGGCGGAAGGACAGGCCCTCTGTTGGGCCATAGATGTTGGGGTTTTCGCCACTCTCACGCATCTTCTTAGCAATTCGGTCCATCAGCACTGTAGTTCTGGTCTCAGGTACCAGGATGAAGTGGCAGATTTGGACAAAGCCTCCGAAGATCAACTGGATCCACATGCACCATCGCCAGTCGAGGAAGGACTGAACGAAGCCACCAATGACTGGACCGAGAACTGAGCCACCCACCGAGGAGAAGACGACAGCAGCCACAGCGTACTGCTGAGTATCAGACTCCCATAAATCAGCAATCATGCCCAGTGTGACGGAGCCACCGGCGGAAGAGAGACCACCGAGAGCACGACCAACCATGACGGAAGCAAAGTTGGGAGCGAGGGCCACGGGTAACTGCCACACATTGACAAAGAAGAGCGACCACTGGAGGATGGGTTTGCGGCCGAGTTCCTCACTCCAGGGTGCCCAAAGCTCACATCCAAACGCATACAGAACCAAGAAGATCATGGCACCACACCGAGCCGCCTGCAATGAGATATCAAATTCTTTGGACATACCATCGAGACCATTTGAGAACAAGGAGGTGTTGAAGTTCATAGACGTCTGCACGAGGAAGATGACAATAATGATTCTCCACTTTTTCATCTCGGGGAATGAATATCCGAGTTGATCGTAGCACATGTCCTCCGTGAGCTCGATCCGCTCCGAGTTGGTATTTTCGAGCTGAGCATCTTCAGATTCTTTTTCCGCGGGGACTTGGATCTGGGTTGCACTGGATGATTCTGAAGTGAAAACCGGATCTCGGCCTGCCTTTTCTTGGGCCGACATGTTCTGGGGAGATGAAGGTGTTAGTAAGGTGTATGAGGGAATCCGAATGCGGAAGTATACATACTGAGAGTCAACCACAGCACCAGACAATGTAAAATAATCAAATATAAGAAAAGAATGAGAAAGTATCAAGAATTGCCAAGGTCAGTGACTTTGTAAAGATCAGGGGGGACAAAGGAGGATTAAATAGTGAAAAGCCTGGAGGGAAGGTGCAATGCAACAGAACCGGGAGTCAGTCCTAAGCCAGTCAAGATGCGGCACATTCCTTGGATCGAGTACGGAAACTAGTCTTCTTCCTTATTTTATTTAAATTATTTAAATTATTTCTGTGATTTTATTACGACCATTTTATTACGACCACTTTCCTGTTCTAGCGGCATACCGACTTATACCGACTTCCCCGTGGAGAATCCACTTTTCTTTGCCCCGGACAATCGTCCATCCCACATCCAACCCGCAATTCAACCCCAGATATACTAGGTACTAGGCTCGAAATGTCTAACATGGCATGTCAACAGTACTATTCAGGAATCACATCACATGTTGCCCGCTATCATAGCATAGTACGATACTCCGATACTAGTACTGCTGTTCGTAACTTCCCAACAGAGTACGGGGAAGACCGAGCTGCCCCCACAGTCAAAAAAAAAAAAAGAGACCCGCAATTGGATACTGGGTTCCACTGCAAACCAGTCTAGATCCTGAACCAGTTTGCGTTAGGATCGGATAAAGTAGGTGAAGTCCGTTTTGGTGCGATGAAAGAACCTTGGAATGTTCGCATTTGGAACGATGCCATCCTCGCATGCAACGTCAATTGGGATATCAGATCTACAAGAGAAAAGAGAAAGAAAAACAAAACAAACAAAACACTAATAAAAAGAGCAGCAAATAACGGAGTGATAGGTCAGGAAATAAAATGACGCAAAGGATCGAAATCCCTGAAGTCGTCAAGTTTCGTTGATTCAAGTTATTACGGAGATGACGTAAGGCAAGGAGAAATCAAGTCATGCCATGGGTGAGAAGAAAAGAATAGAAGAACAGAAGAATATTTAGATTCCTTCGTTACAGCTACGTATCAGAGGTGGGATAGAGGGGGAGTGGCGTTGGATCGTCAACCCTCACACCGTTTTATACGGTGATCGACATGGATCGGTCTTCGGTCCTCACCTGCACATGGTCAATCGGTCAGTATCGGGATGACACTCCGTACTCCATACTCTGCACTCCGGTGAGTCTTTTCCCCGTGGAGAAAAAAAAGGGTCTTTTCCGAGTTCCCGTACGTCGACTAGAGGCGCAGTGTTTTCTCCAGACTGGAAATGGCTTAGATATCCATTTCGGCCGACGGCGAACCATTATCGGCTTTGATCTTGGCCTAGTCCTGTGAATAATTGTCAACTGTAGAAGCTGAAACTAACTTTTTGCGCCACCCGACACCCGGACGCCTTCGATGTCAGAGTTGACCTCTGACCCGTGGACAGAACATATTCTAACAGTGTTTGGCTTTATACCCCTGGGCACTGGCCAGGTACAATGCGGCGTATAACGGAGGGCTGAGCAGGAACTGTACTGTATAGCATGGAGTGTACGTGGTCTGTGACCCACTACTGTACGGAGTAGAGAGAGAATAAACATTGGCAGGAGTACTCCGTACTGACGCCTAACACCCAAGGCACCAACCCGTTTGCATTCATGTCATGTGACGGTTCCCCGCGCTGAGTCATCTATATTCAGGTGGAGTAACTAGAGGCTCTGGCTGGTCCTCCCTGCTGAGTTGATGCGTATCTCAACCAAACAACCCTTCATCATGTCCCCAGATATCAACTCCCTGTCTCCATCTCCCTCATCATCTTCATCCTCCATCCCACACCGTAACAATTCATCTGCTTCCCCTGCTACAACCGCCGTGAACCCCACCTCCCCTCGCCCCTCACGCGGTTCCAGTTTGGGCCGACTATCCATATCTGAGCGACATCGGTTAAACGCCGGCATGAACCTAACCCTGAACGAGCAAGCTGGTGCAGCTTCGGGAAATAACGGCGCGCAAGCTCGGTCGGACCATCGTACCTCCATGGGACACACCTTCCACGCTTCTAGTCCCACAAGTCACGGCGGTAGCCCCGTCTTTGCAACGGCGGACCCGCACCACCAGCGCGCCCCATCTCTGGGGGAACTGCATCAAGAATTGGAACAAGAGCAGGAAGCTCAAGTGGTTAGTCCTCCATCAAACTATCCTCTAAGCTTATACTAATATACTAACGTTTGTCAGAACCGTCTACTGCAGATGATTCGTAGCCAACAGGCCCAGTTACAACAACTACAGAGTCAGCAGCAGTCAGCTTCAGGAACCGCTATTCTTGATGACACCATTACCTCTTCGGAACGATCGGCATTCTCCCCCACGCACCCCCCGTCCACAACCCCGGGTAATCGACTTTCCATTTCATCTCTCACACATCGGCCTCCCAGCCAAGCGCCATCTCCGCGCATACTACCGCATGATGCGCATCTAGGATCAGAAAGTACAGAGGCATTCCCAGCACTGAGGGATGGCTCATCACGACGAGGCAGTCGAGATGAAAGCGCATTCTATCAAGCTGAAGCAGCCATGTTGAATCGAGAAAATCAAATGCTCCGTCAGCGAATTAGAGAACTCGGTAAGTTCAGAACAGAGATCATGCCATCTCAATCTTATCCTTATCCTTATTTTTACAATACGAAGTACGGGACTTGGCTAACTTATTCCCGAAATCATGCAGAACGACAAATTGGCGATATGACAACTTCCTCCCCCGCAGTTGAAACGGTAGGGCAGGAGAGGGCCGAGGAGACGGACCCGCCTGCCGTTGGATCACCCGACAAGGACTAACCCTTTTCCTTAATACCGTTAGCCCCTTAATACCAACGACCACTTCGGGGAATGATTAACCTGGTCTTGAGACTAGTGTTCAGATGATCGGGGTCAACTTACTCCGGTACGAAGTTATCACATTGGACTTGGGCTCAGTTGAGCGATCTATCAGTTCTAGCAATTCTAGCCTAGCTGGTTGTTATCATTATCTCTAATATGAGTAATCCTTCATTCACTTAGCCATTGGATTTGATTTTTGATGCATAAAACTGATGGTAGTACTAATAGTAGTACTAGTGGTAAATCGTACTGATAGTAATACTGTACTGTTATTGAACCCTATTAAATCCATCTTAGACTCGTAGGCTTATGCAATACATGCCGACAAAAGACCGAATTATAACCTCCAGATGACCTGATCCTGATCTTCTAGTATTACTGTATTTGATCTTCTAGTACTACTGTAATCTCAGATTTAGCCGCCGGCTAAAAGATGAAAAGTCACATGGGGTAATTTGTAAATCCGAACGGAGTAGACCTATTCCATTTCTATTGAGATACCCGGATGAAAGAAACGTGTATGCTAGTGTAAAACTGTAAATGCCGAACCCCCTTTCAAATAAATGACATCCAAATTGAAGGAAAAAGATTACAGCTTCGCCTTCTCGGGTTGAGCTGCTAGATCGGGCATGAGCACGTCACGCAGTTCAGAGGCTGCCTCGTTGAGATAATAGCTCATACGGTGGGCGCCGAGGCGTTTGCACACGATATTGAAATTGAGACTGGAGGGTTATTAGCAAGTTTCTGAATATATGTATAGTATGTTTGTGAGATTTACCTGTTCTCGTTGATCATGTAGGCTATTCCGAAGCCGTCGTCGATCACCTGGCTCCATCCGTAGCCGTTGAAGTACTCTGAGCTTAGCTGGGAGGTGGAGAGGTACCATGAGCCGGAGTATGAGTAGGCTGGGTCTTCGTATAGTGAGGGTACTTTCTCGCCTGGTTGGAGGAGTTTCTTCAGGCCGAAGAGGTGGCGGTCTACACCGTGCGCGTCGCTGGCTTCGAGCGTGTACTTGGTGTGTTGGGTCAGAGCAGCGCGGAACAGCTTGACTAGCTCTTCGCGAGAAACATCTGGGTCATGGTGCGCTTTGCAGAAGGCCGTGCTTTCGTCTGAGACTGTGCGGGTGGTCTCGGTGCGACCTTCTTGGAACTTACGTGTCGAGGCAGACTCGTAGGTTGGTCGGTTCTTGCCGTACATCTTGAAGTAGGCTAGCTGGATGATCATTTGCACATAGGCGTCCGGACTGCATTTGAACTTCTTGATCAGACCCTTGCCATATCCTTGGAAGGCTTGGACTACTAGCTCGTGAGAGGCGATCTGCTTGCGGTGGTACTGGGCTGCTATATCGACTGCTTCGTTCGCTGTCTCGTCCAGGTAGAAGGTGATGGGCTTGGGATCTGCCAGCTGGGAGCGAACGGATTGGGCAGAAAGATCAATGCGCTTGTTAAAGATGAGGTTGTTAACATGGTCACTGAGGCGGTGGGTTGGTGTGCCGTCCATCATGCTGTGCTCGCCCATAAAGCCAGCAGTACCGTTATCGTTGATAATGAACTGCAAAGGCTTGTCAAACCACCGGTTGCTTCCGTCGCCATGCCAGTATTGATGGGCTCGCTCCTCCAGGGTCACGGGCTTCGCATCGTCCAGGCAGACTACGAAGCCGCTGGACTCGATGTCCCGTAGCGCTTGCTCGTTGGCTGGGTTGGAGGATACGAGCTGCTTACGAGCAGCAGTCCAGTGATCACGATCAGCAACAGTCAGCACACCGACCGGCGGGGCAGGCTGGGCAATATCGTAGATGCGCTGGAACTGCTGCTCCAGCTCGGAGACATTCAGAGGCTGGCCGTTGAGAACCAAAGGAACCTTGAAGAACTGGTTCTTGCGCACAGCCACGATGTGTGTGTTCTCGGAGGCATCGTACTTGAGCGGGAAGTCTGCGCCATCGGCGGGGATACGGCAGCAATTGAACATGTAATTGTATGAGCTCATGGCCATGGGCTGGCCACGCATGTACTCAGGCTCGAGAGAGCCATCGTCCACTTGCTTCTTAAACTCCAGAGCGGCAGTCGTGATGGCAGCCGCACGCTTAGCAGGGTTTCGACGCTCGCGATCGTCCTTGTAGGAATAGAAGTACGAGACGTAGGGAATGACGGGATCGCGATAAGTCAGGTAGGCGGCCTGATTCCACCATTCCGAGAGCCAGTTTTTGATCTTTGGGTCGGCAGCACGCTCAAGTAACCGCTTCTGGAGAGGCTCTCCCTCACCACCCGGGCGAATGAAGGCCTCGACGGCCTTTTTGGTGCGCTCGTACTCTGCCTGGTTCACGAGCGGGTGGACGGATTTCAGGTACCGACGGCCTGTCTCCTCGAGGGACGGAATTGGAAGATGGGGCAGAGATTCTTCAAACCGGAGCATCTTGCCCTTGGCCAGATCTTCTTTGTAACCTGATGGCCGGTTAGCCTTCGACGCGAAGAGAGGAGCTCTGTGCTAACTCACCCTCTGGAACTGATGACGCCTTTCTCCGGGGGGCCATGGTGGGAATCTATACCCGCACGAAGGTCAATCAATTGGTTTATCCCTAATTCACGTATTGTCCAGACTTACCGAGCGGGCGAGTAGTTGTGTCGGAGGTAGTAGGCGGGGCCGTGACAAGGTGAAGAGACGACTTCGCGCAGAAGCAGCGAACATCCCTCTCAATGTTAGTGGTTTATGGGATATTGAGAGAGGAGAAAGAAAAATGAAATAGTAAATAGTTTGGATCCTGAAGAAAGGACGAGAGATCTAAAAGGACGAGCCTCGGCTGGCGGAGAGACGTCAGTAGGTCTGGAGTGTCCGAGGGAAATACAGTGACCGTATTACTCGTGTAGAGTTGAAGATTAGCCACGACTGGGCTTTGAAGCGGTAAAGGGAAATTAAATATTCCAAAGCAGCATTTTTAGAAATATCTGAATTGAAACTCTTCTTTGGGAGAAAAAAAAAAAAGCTTCTACATTTGTCATATTCGAAGTGACTATATATAGAGTCAATGGTGTATTACACTGTAATTGCATGAAGCCTCGGCTGTATTTTTGAAGTCCGGGGAACTGACCTCCATACATACATTCTGACTGAGACGGTAGTAACTGAGATATTACTAGAAAGTAATGTGGCGGAATAAGACATATATGGTAATTATCGTCGATCTGGATACCAAAAAGACCCGTGGTCTATGGAAATCAAAACTAAAGACAGTATATGCCATATCACTCAATGCGGGGAGAGCTTCAATAGTGGAGATGCTATTCACATGAAATCTCGTAATTCAAAGACAAAGCTTATTATGAAATAATTGGCAGTGGGACATATTCTTAAAACAGATACATCCTTTCATCCGTTCCCGTTGACCCGAATGCCCAAATAGCAGGTGAAAATGACTGAAGATCATTCGTAGATCTACAACGCTATAGATCTCAATAGCCCAGTAAGAGAAGATTTTTGATAAGAAAAACGCCTTAGATAGCCCCTTCGTTAGACCTGCCCCGAGGAAAAAAAAAAAAAAAAAAAAAAGGTAACATGAAAATAGAAAGGTATCAACTCCAGATAGGGAGAGATTAAGACACTGCCTGAACAGGTGTTGGCCGTTCCGGGCCATCAACTGCCCGGGGAACTTGAACACCACTTTGGCGCAGTTTGTCCATCTTGGCCATGGCGGGTCCCGTACAGATACGCCCTGTCTGCATGAGCGTGCGAAGGCGCTTTCGTCGGGCCTCGCCGCTGCGCTCTTCGCCTCGACCGACTCCGTCATCCACCCAGTCTATGCGGTGCACCTTGAAGCTCATGCCATCGTGACGTCCATTCCATAGCCTGGACTTTATGCCGAACATCACAGTGGAGTCATACTGCTCCAGGCGTGGCAGAAGCAACAAGGTGATGTGGAGGTCTCGATCAGGAGGAGGAAGAGGCGGGAATCGAGGGCCGGCAGCGTTGGAAGTATCCGTATCTAGTTGGGGGGCATGCTCATAGGTATCCTTGATTTCTAGATCTAGCATAGACTCATCCACATCATCGCCCCAGGCGCCTCGTATGAATCCAGAGTGGATGGCGGCGGCGACAGGATCTGAGTCATCTGTATATACGCCAGTGCCCCAGAGGGCTCGTCGCGCACAGATCTCCTCGCGATGACTCGCGGCAATTCGATAACGCGGAACGCGCACGGTGAACGTGCAGTTTTCACGTTTTTCAAATTGCGGGAGAGGCTGCGGCGTAGTCGCGTAACCAAACTTGGAGCTTTCCGAGGAGGCCCTTTCAGAAGGAGTCTCGATACGAGGCGCATACAATGTTGATCCGAGATGGTGTCGTGGTAGGTGAGCCACACTTGATAGTAGTGGCTTCAAATTGACCATGGTACGAGGCTCCCGTATGGGAGAAGTAGCGGCAATGGTAGGGCGGAGAGGATGGTGGTGATGGTGATGGTGATGGTGGTGATGCCCACCTTGTGAGTCCGAAGGAGTAGATGTTCGACCAAAATAGGCAGTAGACATGGGCCGATGGAGACCCAAAGCGGCAGCTTCCTCGTCCACTTTTTGACGATGGTGATGACTAAAAACAATGCAATTAGCTTGAAACAAGAAAATCAGCGGAATTCTAGGTACATACTGGTGATGGTGATGATGAGGATGCGCATGCCGAGCTCGACGGGTTCTGGCAGAGAGCCCAGCAACATCATGCTCCGACGCGTCCTCATCGCGCGATTTCCTCGACCGTCGCCCAGTGTCAGATGCTGGCCGAGGGTTCTTATCATCCTCCCCATTCATAGACCGACCGGCAAGACTATCGTGTTTGAAAGGGCTGGCAATGAGCGGTGTCGACGGTCCGCTGCCAGCAGAGGCTCCCGTTACACCCCCGACGCCGCTACCTATCCCCGAGAATACCCTTCCAAGCTCGTTCTTAATGCCGGGTTCTCCAGATGCACCGATAAACGGAGCCTGTGCGCCCTGCACTGCCTGGGGGAGCGGAGATGCTCGTCCGCCGCGCTTGCCGTCGACACCCACTGCAAGGAGGCTACGGTGATGCAGAAGTTCTTCACTGCCCTTGCGCCGCCCTTCCTCGCCAGCAGTGGCCAGCCCAAGCAAGGCAGACCCAATTGACGCCGCGGTAGTGGGAGTTGAGCCCATATGAGGAGGTAGTTGTTTGCTGGGATACGGTGAATCATGAGGGGAAGCGGTAGTCTGGACGTGTCCGGTTTGCAAGGAGATAGGAGGCTGTCTACTACCGCCTGGTTGCGATCCCAAAGATTTAGTGTAGCTTTGTATGGCACCGAAGCCAAATGCCGGTCCCGACTCTGGCGCGGGAAAGCGCTTGATCTCTGGAGAGGGTGGATGTGAGCGACCCTGGTCCCATGTTGAGGTGCTTACATGGCGGTCGAGAGGATCCCGTTCGCCATATATAGAGCTGGTGTATCGAAGTGCTCCAGAAAGTGCGCCTTTTCCCTCGGCCCCATGCATTGCACGATCGCGATCCCGGAGGGCATTGTCTTCCGAGCTACGTTCCCCAAACAAGTTACCAAATTGAGTACGGGGATCTCGTCCCAGGGAATCTGGTCCTCCATATACTGTAGAAACCCTCTGCCCAGGCTCGTATCGCTCTGGTAGGCCGGCACCAGAACGCGACAGCGGACTATACCTCGGCGGTCGCGTTGACGTCTCCACATTAAGCGGCTGGCTGTTGGGTCTGGCGATAGGGCCACTGAAGCTCATTCGACGTGGTCCGTTAGAAGGTGGCTCCGCAGTTGGGATCTGCGGGGACGGATGAGTAGAGTGTGATTGTGACGGCGACGCGCGTGATAGGCCGCCAAATTTTGATTGCTCGTTCAAAAGACTGGATCCACCACCGGAGCCAGATCGGTAGGGTCGATTTAATGGGGGCCTCGAGTAGGTGGTCTCTGGGGTATGTGATCGACGATAGAGAGACTGATCTAGAGGCGATGGTCGCGCTCGCGCGGTGGGGGGCGACATGGCGGTGGCCGATGTTGGCGCGCTACCGAACATGGGTGATCCCGACGGTCGTGAAAACATCGAGGACCCGGTATCCCTAGCCGGACGTTCTGGCTCCGAGCCTAGCATGGCGGATATCGACATACTACTGCCCGGTCGATGAGCCTGGCTTCCTGGCACATCGCGTGAAGGTAGGGATGATGCGGACGCGTTTGAGGCATAGCTATGAGGAGGTGACGGGGGAGGCATCTGGCGGATCCCGAAAGCAGGGGCAGATTGTTCTTGCTGTCCTATATCAATAATAGCAGGCATTAGTGCGGGTGGTTAGAATTGATGAGCGCGATAAAGCAGGTAACGGCAAAAGAAAATAAAAGTACACAAAAATGGGGCGCTTAGGCTCATGCACGAGTTATGCACATGCATGGCGTCCCGCTAACTTACGGTGATCCTGGCCTCCACTGCTGCCCTGGGAATTCCGGCGCATTTGCGAGTGGTTCATCCTAGATCTTTCGCAAAGGATGAAATCAAAAGCAGGAAAGGAACCCGTGCCGGAAGCTCGACCGCTAGTCCGTAAAAGGTCTAGCGTAACCAGGCCCGATTAGGACTAGCTTACCCGGACTCCCCCAGTTCTCAATGTATTTGGTCCGAGTGGAGAGCGACACGAGAATAAAAACACGGCACAGACCCGAAACGCGAAGAGAAGGAAAAGTTTAGGTAACAATACAAGGTTTTTTCTTACCTTGAAAATGAGGGGAATCGTTGTGGGCATGGGTATACTGTCGTGTCTCTAAACTGGCATGACGGCGATGTTGGGCGGGATGACTTCTGGACGGAGAGGTATGTGCACTACTACTCTGGCCTCGTAATGGTCCAGGTGCAGGTGCAGGTCCAGATCCAGGCCCGGGTCCAGCAGGCGCGCGCGATACACCGTAGACGTTCGATGAGTATTCGTAACGGTTTATCGGGTGGGTTGTGCGCGTGTGAGTATCTTGAGCAGATGTGGATGAGCGAGGATGTTCTTGGGGTTCTTGAGAGCTTGAGCTTCCTAAAGGTGAGGGACGAGGTGGGTAATTGTTTTGCTGGAAGCGTCGGTAGAAATCCATGATGTCGATGACAGGGCAGGAACAAGAAAGATGGAAGAAGCTTAAATGAGAAGAAAAAAAAGCGGCGGAAATGAAAGATCAAGGATCGGTCGATCCCATACCCTATCGGAGATATATGAGTTGGAAGAAGAGTAGATGTTTGTTTCCGTGGAAAAACGGTGAGACTTAACTAGCGCGTAAATGCAACCTCCACGTCTTAGGTGGAGATCTTCGATAACACTAGTACTAGTATTACCGTCTATTTTCTATCTTCTGTTTTTTCCTCATATTTCTGCTATTTTTCTTCTTATTCCTTCTCTATTTCTTCTCTTTTTCTCTCCATTATCTCGTCGTAATATCGTTTATTCCTATTACTCTTGCTACGGGTACCCACTTAGATGCTCCAACCTACCGAGATTTATAGTACATACACGATACCTAATGGGCAGACCTGCATTTAAGTATTTCACATAGCACCCTGGTACTTATTCCAGTCTTGATCACTTATAATGACTCATAACTTTTGAAGATAATAGTTATGTCCTAGTCACTTCAGCAAGGTACTGTACACGGAGTGTACTCACGGGCCACCTATCGATCGGTTCTCTATTGACGTGGCACACTACGCTTAAGAAAATACTAGAAGAAAAAAACACTAATTGCTATCTTGTCATGTCCTGATATTGACCACTAGGCCTAACGGCTTCACAGGGTATCACTTGCAAAATTCAAAACAGAAAATCAAAAAATGAATCAGAGAGCGCATATCGAGATCAGGGGCCCATTCTTCGACAATTCCGACAAGAAAATATCAGAGTACGAAGACTGGGAACAGTCAGAGTTGGGTGAGAGATCACTGCTCACAACTATAGTGAACGTTTCAGGCACAATTCTCGATCCATCCTAGTGGCTCAGTAATTCATTTTGGCGCAATGTGTGCAGCTGGAAAACAAGGTCCAAGTACAATTGCTTTAGAGGTGACTGGAGGTCCATTGCAATGATAAATGACGATGTACTGGACTCTTCTGTCTTATGTTGGTGAAGCTTCAGTCATGATCATCTGGACGTGTTCGGGCGGATCTTCGGCATGCAAGTCGGTGAAGAGCAGATCGAGCTGCAGCTGGAGGTCATTTTCTTCCTGGGGATCTGATGTGAAGTGCAGTTGATGCTCATGCAGCCAGAGATCGGTGCGGAACCCCTCACAGCCAGCTGCAATAGACTGCATGAGAGTGTTAGGGCGAGGATCCGAGAATGGAAAGGTGCATTGCGCTTACTCGTCGAGGTTGTGGGGGTGCATCGACACCGTTTTTTGATGTAGCAAGCATTTGATGAGAGATGGGACGTATCTAATGGAATGTAATACGGCGCTGTAAGAAAATGCCAGCCTCTCTAATATTTTCCATTTCTTCTCTCGCAAAGTAACTTTGGAGGCTTACAGGCATAGCAAAACAACACATCCCATGCGTAGTAATACTGTCTTCCATTGCTTTTTAGTAGAGTACCATTCCGAGAGAAAAGGCATCAATCCAGGAATACACTCGGTGGGATGCGATCGGAGAGGATGATCATCTATTAACCAGGGGTCATACGTGTTGCAAAGCTAGCGACTCGATGTCCTCATCTTTCCTCACGGCCTTTTCCGCCATGCTAATTACATGGAGGAACTTCTTCTCTGGGTGAAAGCTATTCCATCTATAAGAAATGTTATCAGTCCAAGCTTGAGCGGGTCCATCGCGCAATAGAGTACATGATGGTGAAAGCATCAAGCAATCAACGACTATAAAATTGAATTCAGGATCATAAGCTTTAATAGTTTATTTTTTTAGTACCTTAACCGGATGATTTATCGAGAAGTCAAACAAAACACCTTTTTAATTTCTTATACTAAACAAGGAATGCCAGCCACGAGTATCGATCGGAATACGAGTAGATCCCCGGAGTAGATATTCAATTCCTAGTGAAAGGGCTTGTTTGAACTGCCAAGGAGTTTAAGTTCACTAGAAATCAAACTATTTGCTGCAGTTGGATAAAAGAAAAATAAACTGGTTGATCTAAATGCAAGGGTCCACTAGTTTGATATTGGTTGCATCTTATGTTGCCCTCAGGCCTTGGCTTCCTGCCTCAGGCCAATACGGGATGAGGTTGTTTTGAACAACCGTGGCAGTCCAGTCTCTTCAAAGCTCGTTCCACCGACAATCATCTTAGCTAGGCCCTCTGCTGCGAAGAATATTTGGGGCATTCCATGTCCTGTAAATCCCGCAATTATGTATTGCCCTTCTTGTTCAGGAACTTCGCCAACGTGAGGCAGGCCATCAGACGAATTCCCCATTACTATGTGGATTAGTTTCATTCTTAATCTTTCAGCTCTGAAGGGTCAAACTCACTGCCCGTCCATACTCTATCCGTATAAGCATTACTGTTCTCCCATCCAACAAAGTAGCGTTGCATATATCCATCAAAATACCGAATTGCCGCCTCCAAAACCTTACTATCATCACTGACGTCGTACCAACTCTTCTTGTCTGAAAAGAAGGACGACCTGGCTCCTCCGACAATAATACTGCCGTCCGCTCGTGGGATCAGATAGTCATATTCACTGGAATTGAATCGCAGAATGTATGTTTTGGTCAGGCGATGAGCGTTAGATCCTGGGGGAACGACAATCCGACTGCAAGTGCCTCGGACTGGGACAATGATGTCTTGATACTGTGGAGCGATCCCAGAGGTGTAAGCATTTGTTGCCAGTACCACCACCTTGGCTGAAATGGAGCCGCGTGTCGTTTCCACCTCCCATGGGTGGCTGACACTTGGGGTGGCTGACTTGGACACCTTCAGAGCTGGTGTATTGGTCTGCATATTCACGCCGAGTGAAACGACCTTCTCAAGAATATGAAGAACGAATTTATACGCCCAGATATGACCTGCATCGGAAACGAAACAGCCTACGGTACCTTTGACGCCTGAGAACTACAGGCTATACGTGAGTATTTCACTTTGAGAAAGATAATAAAGAAAAGCGTGACTAACCGACTGCGCCTCTTCGGTTTCAATAATTTGGACCTTTTCCGTGGGTTTGCATCCGCCAGCGATGAGATGGCTTATACCAGTCTTGAGCTTATCAAAATGCTCTTCGCTGAACTGCGCATCCACTGTTTTCGTTACTTCGTAGTCGCAGTCAATTGCTTCCTTTTCAATGACCTCTTTGATTTCATGAACATGCCTGGCCTCAAATGCGGCCACCTCGGCTGCCGCAGCTACTCCGTAATCATTCTCCAAGGTAGATATGAAGTTGTAAAGGTCAGGCTTCATGTGCCCTCCTGGAATGGCAAATTCTGTTAATGGAAACGGCCAGAATGTGAATCTAATACTCTGATTATCCTACCATTACGAGCTGTTGCACCAGAGCAAGCCTGTCGCGCTTCTAAGATCGTGATTGACGGTGGTTTAGAGCCCGGTTCTGTTTGGCTGAGAATGTGATATGCAACTGAAGATCCTGCGTATCCTGCGCCAATAATGACAATGTCACTCTCCTGAGGAAGGGTCTCGCTTGATCGATGGTTATCCAAAAGATGAGGATCAGTTCTCCAAAATGGCAGCGTTCCGTTAGGGACTGGGTAGTTGGTCGGTGTCATCTTAGCTTTATGGGATATCAAATGATTAGAACACAGAGAAGCTCCAAATTAAATAAGAGTTTTATGAGTAGTGGAAAGTGTAGGAATTGACCAGGTTCCCCGCTTTTTCCTACTCCTCTTCTGCATTGTTTCACCGATACCGGATCAAGAGATATCCCAAGCTAATAAACATGACTCGCCGTCCCATATCTAAGAAAATCTTACCGAAGTCAAAAGAACTTATCCTTTCCCTTCGCATTGATGATGACCAGATACGCTTTCTGTCGCTTTCTGTCGCTTTCTGTGCGATGACCAAGGATTACTTTTTTTGTAGGTTGAGTTGGTTGATTGTCAGAAGTACAGAGACCAAAATTTTGTGATCTGCTTAATGATGGTTTTATCTAGTATGTAGATCATTTCAACGCTCAATGCCATTCATGGATGATACCTAGGTATAGCGTTGAATAATTTTTATATCATCTCCCCAGCGATACTATCATCCAGTCCGTTCTATACACCATTTTATGGCTCATCATGGTCAAAATCAATAGCATCTCCGATCCGATATAGTGAATCACGGACCGATTACACGATTATGAGGTCCTGTGCCTGGCTAAAAATTCTGTCTGAATAAACAGATCCGTGTATTTTGTGTTGTGTAGTCGACCTCTCCAGAAAACGGCCCAGCTACTCGATTCAACAATATCAACATCAAGCGGAACAACAGCCAAACAGTAGAACAAGTCAGGCCTTTGGTTCTTATAGCCTATAAGTCAGCAGCCGGTTTTACTGGCTTTGGAATAAAGACATTCAAGAATGACACTTAATACACCAGAGAGCTCCTTTTATTGATCAAGTACCCTTTCCTCCACCAAACTCATAGCCCTTCTCAATTCTCCTCTCACTACCTTCTGCCCATCAGTGTTCCTTGCTCTTATAGCGTCGCATGTAGGGCTTCCAATCGGATTAGTTTACATGGATTATGGTTTTGGTTTAGTGCCGTCCCTTCCAGGCCTTGCGTCAATTTTGAAGAAGGAAGTAGTAGATGCACGACGTTCTAACCATGCTTTCTTTCCAGTGCTTACCTACCTCTCATTATCTACTTGTGTAAGCTGTTCTCTGTATTTGGAAAACATGACAATATACTAACAAAGATATAGATCACATCTACAGTTAAGAACCAAAGCCTTCCCTGTTCAATTACGCCTTTCCCGAACTATACTTCAGTTGGCTATTCATCTCTTCCCAAGCTCTCCTCACACAATCGGACAAAATGAGTATCAAGAGGCTGAAACAGGATATTCGAGAGCTGGTTACAAGCATCCTCGACTTCCAGAAAAATAAAATCACTTTGGAGTAGTTTGCCACGCGTGCTGGAAGTCACAAAGCCGGCACAGGAATGGCAGGCAGGGAATTTGAAAGTGTGGCAATCGGATCCCTCTCTGTAAAAGAGGTCGAACAATGTCTGTTAATCAAGCCAGCAAAGAAAGACCTGGAGCTGGAACAAACCCCCATACGACTCCATCCTATGGGGTTTGATCTCAGTGAGTATCATCATGACTAAATCTCAATCAACTGCAATATCTAACTCCAAAAGATCACGTTCTGAGCAGCACTCGAAAAGCTTTTCCTTTAAGCCTGGAGTCAGACACAAGAACTATGTTGAACCTCCTGCTGGCCAATGCCCATGAGATTGCTACAGCACTCCCAGATCCCGGTCGTCAACTGGTGTTCGGAACAGAGGGTGTTTGGTCATTTAGGCCGGTCAAGTTGAAGCGAGTAGGGGAAAGAAAGAAAGTAGTCATGCTCAACGGCCGTTCTGACTACCACCTCTGGTACGGATCCCAAGCTGACGCAGCCGTCAACGTGGTTGTGGTTGAGGCCAAAGCCCCCGGCCTCGCCCAGTTTAGTATTGCCCAGGCACTGGGATACATGGGTAAGTACTCACAAGATCTTCACTATGACTCTTGGAAATCTAACTTCAAACTGTTTGAAGGTATTGTGCATAGAAAACGAAAGGATGAGGGCAAGAAAGACACTAAGGTCTATGGTATGTGCAGTGATGGGGAGTACTGGTTCTTTCTCAAGATTAATGACAAAGTCGAGGTACGTTCTATATTCATTTTTCAAGAAGACCTGATCGCTGAAATATCGATAGTGGAGCCAAAAGTTAGTGATCGTCCGAAATGAGGATTACGCAGAAGTGATCAGAATTCTGGTGTACTTCTTGAGCCAGGCGGCACATATGTCACCAGGTCATTCACTACAGTCCAGCCATGCAAAACAAAGCTCTGGAGATAGTGTCTTGTCCCAAGCGTCTCGATTCCCCCTTGAATCGATTGACAATATTCTAGAAGATCAATAGATCCGAAGAGCGGCCCTTCTCTCTGGCGCCATTCCTAAATAGAGCCGCTTAGCTTCAGAAAATTGCAATCTTGCTATTCAAATTCATATCTTCAGAGCCTTTTCTATAGCGGTATCAAAGATTAGAGATTTTGACACTAATATGAATCCGTGATCAGCGATTGTGTAAGAGTTGAACAATTCTGAGACGGGGAACTATGTCTTTTTCATGTCCTTTTCCCATAATACAGATGGCGTCTGCTTCTCTCATATGAACCAAAAGTCCTACTTTCAATATAGTTCGTGCGTTGATCGCTAGGATGTTGCAGCCGCCTACGCGATGCGGAAATATATCTTTCATGCCTCGGATTTCTTCCAGTGTGATAACATAAGGCTGGTAACTCCTGGAGGAGGCTAGTATATGTTGATATAAGAGGAGATAATATAAGGCATTTAGTTAAGAAAGTCCCATTTTGAGGACTAAAATGTTACAAGATTCACTCTCAAGAAGGATACGCGTACTGGATTGCTATCCATATTGGTCGGTATCGGGATACACAGGTCGTGAGTATCTACAATAGCTTGCTGTTGGACTTTAGCTTACGCCGCAAGTGGTCTACTTTTACGTGTAATACGTGCGGTAGTTGTAAGTTGTAAGAAGTGGTTGATTGTCATGAAACTGCTGCTATGGATATGGTACCTGGAAGTCACATGATAAGCATGTGGTATCAAATGAGATTTTTGACCATCCAACCAGATTAGTTGGCGAAACTGGATTGTCTATCTAGGAATGAACTCCCGCTTAAATACACACATTATGGATCCTGCTTACGTACAGTATAAACCCCGTATCGGACCTCTGACATGTGGCTTCCCACCCGATAAGCGGCGAGTGATCCCATGATAAGCATGAGATGATAGTACCAACAGTCGGACTATAGACTTTTTTTTATTAAGGGTCCATGTTCAGTGTTTTTCGCCATTTGCTGATCAGCCCTCTCTTTTATGTAGTTTCCTACAGAGAGGGTGGTTCGAAGTGGAAGAGTTGCCAGCGGAGTTGGACATGGAAGTTTGTTGAATGTCTAGGGGTGGTTTGTAGGTTATGACTACTCTGGTAGCATGAATGTACTTTTGCCTACCTAGCTCCCAAGTAAAATTTGGTACCCTAGATTTTCCAGTATTCCTGAATCAAGCTGTTTCGTCATAGAAAAGATCCCTAATATAGAACTAGTTCCATATCAACCCATCTAGGTGCGCTTCAAAGGATGGATGTCTCCAGGACTCATCAGATTACATTTTGGTACAATAACTCATACCAGAGAATATATAATTCAAGTGTTGAGGTCACCAAATCATTAATTGAACTATCGAGATAAACACTATGTGTAGGCATGTAATTTCCATTTCATCAAGCCTACCCCACCACTTTCAAGGTTGATTTTACACCGTAGTTCCAACAACTTCCATATTCACATGATCGTATAAAAAGTCTTTAGGAATCTCCTTGTTTAAAGTCCGCACAAGCTACTTGCGACTGGAGTATAGGTTGCCGTGATCCGGCCAAGGGCCCTGAGGGAAGAAGTCAACAATTTGAAACTCCAAATAATGCAATGTTTACTTACTCTGCCTGGTTGTTGGTTAATTTATTCAAGGCTTCAAGACCGATATTGAACCCAGCCGAGGCTGAATCAATTGCGAGAATGTAAATGGTGTTGTCGATTTTGTCGGTCTGGTACGCCAACTCATAGCAGGCTCCGCAGTTCTCACTATTCCAACCGGCAATTGTCGGGGCTCCACCGATCAGAGGGAACTTTGGCAAGGAGCCAAAGGTTGAATATCCTGCAGTCAAAAGTCCATTGGATCCATCTGAGCAAGCAACTGTGCTGAGAGAGGTGCCTGAGACATCATATTTCTGATCGTAGGAGACCGAGACTGAAGTTGCCGCGGTAGAGTCGGCGATTGGTGCAGCAGCAGTGAGCTGGGGGACTGCCAGCAGGGTGAAAGAGATGGTAGTGAAAGACTTCATATTTGCGAGTTTAGTGTTGTTTGAATGTTTTGATGTTCAATCAGACAAAATCAGTTAATGAATCAAAAGCCATCAAGGCGTTGCTGATGCTGTTTATATACATACCCTGGGCAGTCAATTCACGGAACATTGCCCGGGCCCTTGCACTTCGGGAAGGCAAATCTCCGTTACTATTTCTGGTGATATGCCATCATCCATTGTCGCCTGACCGACACAGGTCTTAGACAAAACATTGGCATCCTGAGTAAGAATCCGAATAAAGGCCAAGATGGGCACTGATGGATGTAAGATGAGGCCTTATTGGGCAGACTGTCAAGTGGGTACGCATAGCCGTTTGCCGAGTGAGACATACGGGACAACAGTCAACAGCTTTTGAGCACTTAGATTATAATTAGAAGGTTGAAGCAGGGCACGGCTGTGGCTGAGAGGGTAAAATATCCATAATCCCCACAATATACGGAATACGAAGTTAGAAGTGACAGTTAGGTTACATTTCATGCATTTGATGATGAGAGCAGACGCATTGGGTAGAACAGCTGACCAGTCCAATAAGGTATGAGATGGCAAAAACTTGAAATGAATAGGTAAGAAATAAAAAATTCAAGGAATATCGATCAATCTGGAATGTAATTAATGAATTACTCTGTGGAGAAAAAAAAAAAGGGGGTAATGCAAAAAAAGGCCGTCCCCGGGAAGGCTCGAACTTCCAACCTCCCGATTAACAGTCGGACGCGCTAGCCGATTGCGCCACGGAGACTTGCTATATGAAGGTTTTTCTTAAATTTAATTGTATTCAAGTAGAATTTATTCATATCCTCAAGGCCAAAGAATTTAGAATTTAATACCGGGGATGTTGACAAGGTTGGGCATAAGCATGTCAAATAACAGGCAACTGCCAATAATCAACGCAACCTTCTCGCTTTAGTTATATACATATGCTTATTCACGCTCATTACAACCTTGGAAACCTCAGAACCTTGGAAACCTCAGAACCTTGGAAACCTCAGAACCTTGGAAGTTATACGAAATCCGTATCTTGGAACATATGAAGTCTTTCACCTCGCAAATTTTCCAAGATTATCACCAGATCTCACTACTAGTAACAATGGACTACTGAATTATTCTCAATGTTCTAACTATATCTTAAAGCTTTCGAATTTGGAAGATACTAGCACAGCTCTCATCTATGTATGTGTATTGGGTCTGGAACTTTAGTCACAACATTGGAACATTCCGGCCTGATCATGTCAAAGCCTTCACTTGCCAGTTTTATAAAAGTCCGATCACCTACACGCGATACCTTGAATCCACGGACGGCTCCAGGCAATATCAGGCACCGACATCTATACGTCATAATAGCACGTTGACTAAGTATAGATAGGTAATTACTTATAGTGAATATTTCATTGACATCTGTTCCTCACTCGACGACTTTTTTCACACCCTTATAGTTCCCAAATAAGCCATGGATCTCGAGAGTCAACTAGTTATCTAGCTGAATCCTATGCTTACATAAATATTTACCCGACTCTTGTAGCTTTATGCCCGATAGTTTTGTCTATGGAAAGATCGATGAAAGAAAAGAGGTACAAATGCGGTATATTACAATGGAATTTCCGTATCTGTGACACGCTTTCCAACACTGAGCCAACAGTCTAAGGTGTCACTAGGATAATTCCACCGTAAAGCGTGCAAAGAACCTGAGAAGTAGAATAATGAAGACTAGCAGCCGACGATAATCACATATCGATCAAATGATGCATTGCTTAGAGATGGAAACAGTGGAACTCATGAACGAATTTCCGTCTTTATGCGGGGCTTCACATCAAAAAGCTGAGAGGAGTTAAGCCTCTTTATATAACAACCCGATTTTTGGAGCTTTGTATCGTAGGGTGTCCTGAGTTTGGAGGCTTGTGGTTGCACTCTTTGCCTTTGCACAGGATGTTCGTGGTAAAGTTCTATCAGTAAATTATGTCGTCGAGATCTCTTTAGGGATCTTGTCTCAGACTTATAATTTCGCAGATATAGACTTCATGGATGAGAAGATAAGATCAAGTAATATCTAAAGCTGTAGACAATATGAGTTAATAAAGGGTTGTCTAACCATGTTGTAGTCCTAGTCCCGCGCACTAATAAAAAGAAAACATAATAAAGACAGGGTATCTATATGGGCCACAGAGATGAAGGGAAAACCGGGGCCGAAGAAAAAAAAAGCGAAGAACCCCAAGAATAGCAGCCCTGAAATGAGTAAGAAAACAGGGGGGGAAGTGAAGAGGGTAGAATGAGAACGAGAACCACGTCACACTGAATGTAAAAATAAGCCCCGGGAAGGGAGCCATAAGAGTGTTATGGATTGGTGCTCCGAGGTCAGCGACGCTAATGAGCTAACACGGCGTCCAACCGCCAATTCTAAGACTGACTAGGCGGTCAAGTGGAGTCGATAAAAGTTTCCAGCGATGATTTTGGTCGGGTAGACGCATCAGGTCATCTTCAACTAGCTTTACAACAAACTGGACCTTCAACCGCAGACCAGCCTGAACAATTCCGCGATATTTTAGCTCTTTCTTGAGCTGGGCCACTGTTAGAGATGTGTAATCAACCATGGCTGGTACGGACAGAAGCTGTGATATCTGCATAGGGAACTCTTTGGGATAAGAGGAATACAATCATAATATCAGAAATCATCGAAGCTAATCAGCAACCATGGATAAAAAATGGGAGTGGAAGAAGTAAAGAGAAATTTGGAACCTTCAAGATTGATATATACCTATCCAGTCTTGGAACAACTGGACACAGAATTACTAGGCTTCCGAGAATTATTCTACTGAAAGATGAATTGTGAATGGATACCTGATCAATCTTGGTACTCTTTTTGTTTAGTCTTGCGTATTAAATATGTAGTCTATAAAACTTCATTCAAGTTTAAGGTTTCTTAACCTTAAGAGATGTCCATATCGAGCTGTTGCAGCTTCTCCGCCGTCCATTCGCCTTTCTCAACCTTGTCATATTACACATCGAGACATTCTATGAGTACGAAAGTAATGGAGTCGAAAAGGCTGCCCTTGACGAAATATAGGCTAGGTACAAACCGCGTATCATCGAAGATGTAGCCCTCAGTGAAGCACCAATAGAAGTTGTCTGGTCTCAATTTAAGGTCTAGGTTGATGAACAGAATGTGTGTGGCTCGTTTCTTAGCTACCAGGTGTGTATTATAATTGACAAAGAGTCTTTTCAGACACTAGCGGACACTTCATCTCCACAAGACCGCCCACAGAGCTATTAAAATTTGGGTTACTACGTGAAGGCCGTTAAAGTGTGGCCGGAGGACGCATAGGTTAACAGATGAATGAAATGAGATTTACATATTATACTGAATAAATTGGCCAATTGACACACCCAGTCAAAATATTGTCTTTGTATCAACCCTCTATTTTCAAACATGGCAAAAAACTAGAAATCGCGACAAACTGATATAGCCACCATTATTATTAGCCTTGATAAAAGCCTGGCACCGATCGCGCATTTAGTTAGCTTGCTCCTCCAGAAACCTCCAGTGCTATTTGGCATGGCCTTCCACACATCATTGATCGCTTGCCGAAACTGATCGTAGTTCAAATTCTCCCCTAGCAAAGTCGATATTCTTCTAATATACCCGACGTTGAGGCCTTTTACGAATATATTTTCAGGATCGGCTCAAACCTACCTATCTGGAAAAGTACTTAAAGGCCACTCTTTATCAAAGCTTGTCTTCTGATTATTGGCTTTATTTACTGTTGGAAAAAAGCCAGATCTTTTACCACTTCACCACTGCCCCTCTACATCTATTTTCTTTCGTTGTGCTCCAGATTTCATTGAGAACCGGACTTGAATCCTTATCACTAAGTTCCTACTAGTCTAAATATCTCCTTTATCTTTCTAGTAAACCTTCAGAATTGAACATCACCAGAGCCGAGTCGAATATTTTGAGTTTCAAACTCACTCAGAAGGCCTTTTCGGATATCTGTCTTGCAGTATCACCCGCAGAGAACATTTAGGTATAGCCGCAACGAACTCCAATCGTGGGGGCAAAATCGCCTCAATATTGGTGTTCATTGCCAGCTTATCGACAGGCTCCAAACGATATAGCTTCAGAATCTGGGAAACTGACAAAAATAATTCCAGGTATGCAAAACTGTTCATGCGAAGCTTTAGTATGTATGTGGATGAAGTATCAGGCCTTAAGCGCATGTATCGGTCACTTACTGAATACCAATGCAAACATTTGGGCCTCTGGAGAATGGAATATAATATTCCTTGTTGAGAGGAGCGACTGCATGCTGATCTTTTGCCAGCCATCGACTTGGCCTATATAGATCAGGCTCAGGGAAAGCATCTTCATCTCTAAGATACCAGATCGGAGAGCTAGAGACCATTGTCTGTCGGATGTCAGCTTTTGTCAAAAAAAAAAAAAAAAACTAATATTCCAGCATATCTGGATATTAGGTCATTGATGCACATACTCCGCCTGGAACATATATTCCTTCAAGTTCGCATCCCCCTTTCGGTACAATCCTCGGAAGCATAGCGGCTGCTGCCCCTGTCCATCTTATGCCCTCCTTCACACACGCGACCAATTTGGGGAGAGACTCAAGTTCTGTCATGTCTGTAGGCCAATTCGAAGATTCCAGTTCGGAAACAAGATCCTCCTGGAACGCTCGGTCAAGAGAAAGAGCCCATAATATATGAGCCAGGGTAGCTGATGTCGTATCTGTTCCAGGTCCAAGCATCTCCTTGGCTTCTGAAAGAGCTGACTGCGCAGGAAATCGAGACCCAGCCATAACACCGAGGAAAGATAATTCAGTGTTTCTTTTGGGATCCATTGCCGCGGTCAGTTGCTCATCTGCCCACTATGATAAGTTAGTAACGTTGAACCACAGAAAACATGTACTTTTGCAAAATCTGTATCTTACCCTATCAAATGCTATCGAAGAAAGCTCTTTGCCAGTTACCACTCCGGAGAAAAAGCTTCGGATAGACGCCAACCATTGGCACATCAATGGAAAATTTGTATACTATTAAGTATCATGAGCTGGTTCCCAAGACCCCTCCAACTAGGCTCCCTAGTAGATTCGAGACTGTACATACCAGTGACATCTGTGTAGACTTGTGGTCGTTTTCTTCGACTATTTGCAATTTTTGGCCGCTTTTTAGAGATTCAATTGCTCCGATTGATTTTCCAAATCCAAATTTTGCTAAGATTGTAAGTCAGAAATTGCCAGATGATAAGATTGAACACGAATTTGACCTACAAACTATATCTGCTTCCAGAGCGCGGCAATTAGGGACGAGATCCACCGGCTTATCACTGAATTGCCCTATGAGGGTGTTGAAGTTCGAAATCTGGTGAAGCATCATGTCGGTCAAGAGAGGCACACGGCTCCTATTAAATAGTACTCCCATATGCCGTCGCCGAAGTGCGTGCTCTTTCGGATCTCTGTGGCCAAGTTCAAATAAAGTCAATCATCCTGTTCAGAAATCACTAAAATTTCCAAAGTGACTCACGTAATCGAAAACAGGGCCGGATGCCCATCCTGGACAAATTGCGCATATACACGTGGGTCTTTCACAAACCCACTATTCGGAGAATAAACTTGCTTGTAGATATCGAGAGAGTAAAAAGAGACCTCATTGGGTCCAATCCTCACCAAAGGTCCTGAAAAATTAGAAAAGGGTGTTCAGATATCGACAGATTTGGATTACTTACCAAGCTTTCTGTGTAACCGAGGGAGCTCTAGGGTTAGTTGCCCACGGTACTCTTTAGGAAACTCCCACAGCAAACGCGAAATAGGAGCAAGAATGCTGGCATTAGGGATGTGTGATAATGACGAGAAGAAGTAAGTATAGATTCTCTTTTAATGCTGTTAGCTCAATCCTATTGGAACTTCCAATGATTTTTCTTGTAATCATGATTGAAGTATCCGTTGATGGAACAGCCCTCGAAACTCACCCAAAATGCAATACCGAAGATTAGACTAAGCAAGCTCCAATACGCCAATGCCATGATTGTTTCTTTTATGGCTCAACTTAGATAAATTTTTATTTCATCCAGGTATTTGCTCGTGGTACACTGTACATATTTATAATTTATTGTACTAGAATGTGACTAGGAGATTGTTAAATCATGTAAGCAGCAAGTGGTATAATCCTCCACATAGGTGACGCAATTTCAACTTACGATACAATGATTCTCAAGAACCCTCAAAGCATCACAAACTTTCAAAGTATCGTGTGTGTTTTTTTAGCGGGTAAAATTGCTTTATTACTAGGCTGCATTTTGGCGAGTCCAAGTCTCTGAGGGTGATTTTATCACGCTGTCAAGGTCTGATCCAGCTTTGCATCGTCCCAGTTTTCCCATTCTAGCTCAACTCCTCATAGCGTAGCAACATGGAATACAAGAGTAAATGATTTCGAGATAAAAATGATTGTGTCGTAGTATAATCGGGCAATTGGAGCCTGAAGAAGGGCCTTCTATCTATTGTCTTGCCTTGAATGTTTAGAGCTTGCAATATTTCGACCCCAATGTGCACTCTACTTTGAATAAATCTCTGTAGGATCTAGAAAGTGGTCACAAGATTGAAGGGAGATGTAATAGAGCGAGACAAAGGCTCTATAAGTCAATTTGTTTTTTAATTTAGTTCTGTCAGGTGGGTTGCATCACTCAAGGTGAGTCTCACCCCGTTCTCTTCTCAACTCTCGAAGCCCATTCTCAACATTTCTCACGATCACTCATACTCACTCCGAGGAGCTTCGTGTTACTGATTTTAGAGGAACATGGGTACTGAGGGCGTATAGACTATTGCCCGCGAAGAGTTATAGGATTAAGTACGGCTGAGCGGTAGGGAAACCCTGTTATCCCCACTTCATGGTCGTATGTGAATGGTTTGCTCCTCGTCAGAGAGTATTGAGGGAGAAAACAAGACGCAGGTGGGAAATGGGTGAGCACCGCTTTCGTGTTGTGCGACCACAAAGGGCCCCCACGTCGGCAGGCCGAATCCGAATCGTGGTAGTTTAGGAAGTGAATTTTTTCAGCGCTAAACCCTAGATAGGTACGAGTCCACTTTTGGAGTGAGCCGACTTATTTACGCCAATTTCCTCTCAAATTTCCTAGGTAATTACAGCCTCCTTCTACTTCAGCTGTGGCGGAAGAAGCGGAATAGAAGGCCACTATGGCCTATCATATTCAATATAAACTAGCTGACGCCTTTTTATACATATCTGTTTAGGTTTTTGAACCTTTCTAGATCGTCGCGGATATGTGCCCAGGTGATATCATTGCACATTTGGGCTTGAGAGTGGAGAAAGCGGGGGCACTTGGTTCCAAAATATGTATGACTACTCGTAGAATAGGCTTTATGAGAAAGAAACTATGGCCCATCAGCTTTGATTGAACCCGAAGGTTTTCGTAAGGACTGTTAATTGTTATCCAAATATAGAAAAAGACCGATGCTCTATTTACCAAGAGCTGTCAGGACGCCACATTTTCTTATTTCGAATACTCTTGATTCCACGGACCGTGAAGTTATATCGTCCATCTATATCCGATGTTTTTGGATAGAGACGGGCAATACGATGACTAGTGCTTTCAGAGAGAGTTGAGCAATGCAACCGGAGATACTATAACTAGTGTGTTTGAATAGAGATGGGCAATGTACGGAGTAAAAACAGGCGTTTCAAAAGATTCGTACGGACGCGTTGAATTTTCTCTGAAATACAGATACAGCGCTAGTAAGTAAGCCGCTAGTAATTCCCAAGAGTGCGGTCACTATGGAGTGGATCTATAGAACTCCTCCTTCCGGACAGAATCCTCCTATCAGATCCGGTACCAGGGAATTGGTATAGGGTCAAGCTACAATTAAAGTTCACTTGATTTCTAAGATTATGTCCTGAAATTACGGAGTACTGCAAGTTCATGAATATTGGGCTTCATCTATTCTATAGTCGGCTCAAGCTTCGTCTTCATTCGATCTCAACTTTTTAAGAGTCAATATTTTGATGGCCATCGATTGACATTGTATTGAACTAAAGTTACCTATATTTATCTTCAATGAATCTTGATCATTTTAGTGGAATTTCTTTAATCTTTCGTTCTCGATCATGGGTGGATCTTGACGGGAAATAAACCCACTTGGCTGGACCAAAACAATGCTAGTGAAAGCATGTTGAAGCCTCCCTCATTTAAGAATGACAATCAGAATACGTCGGCTTTCGCTCAGACCGACAGATCATTATCTTATTCTTGTACTATTCTTCTTTCATCCAGGATGGCCCTGGAAAGTGGATAGAGCTCGGCTCATCACACTCGGGAGTTACTGCAGGGCTATTTACCGCAGGACTATCTGCCGTTCAGAGACTCAAATCATCTACCGATTCATGGAATTCGAGATCTTTCCTTACGAAAAACAAAGTTTTCAACAGAAGCAAGTAAAGGATTTTCTGTTCTTCGTTTTGGCAGATCATAGGGCGAGATGTGGCCCGCATCGGATGGGAATGATGAAAGTCCGTGCTCTCAAATAATCTCATTCATATATACATCTGTGGACCCCCTAGGAACCTTGAGATTCAACCCCAGTATTTCTGGTAGCCCTCAGTGTCATGGTCTTTCTCCATCACGTTGTCCGTGCCTTACACGGCATGCAGGAGATTGAAGATCGAGACCATAGAAGCATGGCAAGCGAATGGAAGTTTCAAGATTCAATTCCTCTTGAGGGGGGTGATCGCTCGCTCTTTATTGCCATGGGTGTCATTGCCCTTCTTTCAATGATAACCTCTCTTTCTCTACTATCTTTCCTTACCTATCGCTTTATCTTCTGGAAGCGTTACTATAAACATTCACTAGCGCAAAACCAATATGTCGTCCTCATTTACAATCTTTTGCTGGTGGATTTACAACAAGGCCTGGGCTTTCTGATTTCTTTGGTCTGGGCGTCAAGGGGAACCGTTCAATTCGGTGATGCTGCTTGCTACTTGCAAGGTTGGTTCATTCAAATTGGAGACCCCGGGAGTGGTCTGTTTGTCTTGGCAATCGCTCTCCATACTGGTGCTGTGGTGCTGCGTGGTCGCCAGCTGCCATTTGGAATATTTGTTGTCTGCGTGGTGGCACTATGGGTATTCATTTTAATCCTGGGATTCATCCCAGTTGGTATGTATGGTCATGGATCATTCGTGGTAACAGAGGCGAATTGGGTATTTTATCTCCCCCAAATTGGCTGCGTGAAGAATTTCCAGACTAACTGTTTGATCTTAATAGTGTTGGGTGAGCCCTCGTGCCGAAAGTGATCGTTTATGGGGACACTATCTCTGGATTTTCATTTCCGAGTTCGGCACTATCGTTCTTTACGCAATCATGTTCTTCTACCTACGACGCCGTATGATCAAAGCCAAGATGCTTCGCCAAGGTCAACAAGAGAATCTGCGCCGATTGAATCGAGTCGTTATTTACATGGTTATCTACCCACTTGTCTATCTGGTGCTATCATTGCCACTGGCAGCTGGTCGTATGGCTAGCGCGGGAGGTGACTCCCCCAGCAAAACCTACTTCGGTATAGCTGGTTGTCTAATGGCTTTTTCTGGTATAATGGATGTGGCAGTCTACACATTGACCCGCCGTCACCTGCTCACGGACACCGAGCGCAGCACAACCGACCATAGCTATGAGAACAACACCGATTCTCAATGGCAAACTCAAATCACCACAACTGCGAATGGAATTCGGTCCAGCCGACGGCCGAGAAGGAAGGGCTTCTTTAGCTCACGAACCCGTCGAAATATCGCAGAAGAAGATGGAGAAATCAGTCCTTTCGAAGCATCGACGGATGACATTGTTGCCAAGAGCGACATGGAAATGACTGATCTTCACGGCGTGTACCAGGAGACTACTATTGAAATCTCGCACGAGCCTGCGGAGGGATTGGGGGGATCTAGTAGCTCCTCTCTCGATGGGCACCAACGTCTGAGCACTTGAATGAACCTTTGGATTTAATTCGTGCATAGTGCCAGCTATTATGATTTACTTGTATTTCTTTTTTTTTTCATTCACCGGCATGTGAGTTACCCGTGGATCTCTTTTAAATATGGATTGCTTTCTATACCGGAGGTCTAATGTTATGGATAAAAGTTATAGATATACAAATTATACCTATTCACCTGGGGCATAGTTGTCACATAGATAAGAGACTAACGTGCACTAACGAAGTACGCCCATCTTGAAAGTCAAATTTCAATTCATCTCCATTCTCATTCATATACGTAATTTGCTATAAGAAGCTTTCCGATTCATCCCAATTTTAGATATTTTCAGGAGAGAATTTTGATTACGCCAATCTTCACGCGTGGTGGTTTTGAAGTCTACGCACTAGTTAGGTACTTGGGGTTGTTTTCTTTATTTATTAATTTAATCAAAATCTAGATCTTTTCAACTGACACGAAGGACTGGACACCTGTTATATCGTAATCTTAGACAGCGAGGATTGACACTTCAGTTATCTTCTTGGATGTAATCTTTAGGATTTTCCAATTCTCCGCTTTTTATTATGGGGACTCTTTCGCCAAGATGAAGATTGCTTCAATAGATTCATTCCAAAAAAGCTTGGTAAATCCGAAAATATCTTGTTTTTACAGATCCATACATATTGGCCGACTAAGCCTTAGTCTAAATGTATTTAAGCACGGTCCATCAAACAGATATATATACAGCTTATAAATAAATCATAGAGTCGAGTCCCTTTCTGACTCCGCGATCAAGTACTCATCTGAGGACTCTTAGCGAGAGAGACCAGTCTAGCTTCAGTATAGGGGGTCAAACAAGGCGCGACACTATTCAGCGTAGTGGTCGAAAAAAGGCGCGCAGTCGTTGTAGCCACTTTCCGAAGTCTTTACTTATGGGGTGCACGGAGTCGTAGTTTCCACTTGTCGTCTTTAGCACAGAAAGGTCGGAACGTTTCACCCTCAAGGCCGGTGGTGTTCAGAGAAGCCTGCACTTAGGTTTGAAGCTGGTTGTAGAAATTTCAAGTCAAAAATCTGTTCAAGTCGAGATGATGAAGTGCCTGAGATCGCTTTGTATTATGTCATCTCCGGCATATCCCTCCATGAGGCGAAGGAAGCCTCTGAACTTACCAGAAAAGCCAATGCTCTCCTCTTACTCCTTGTATTCTGTCGCAGGCTTCCCTCTCATGATTCATGAACTGTACCTCGATAATGATTAACTTAAAGGAGCAAGTCTTCTTAGCCTAGAAGCGTTCTTGGAACTGGTAGTTATACAAGTCACTCTTGTCATCCCACCTGTCACTCTGGTGGATGGGCTGCACACCCAAATATAAACCTCACCACGATGGCTGCATCCCATAATAAGCCCGAGCTGTCGCTGCCAAACTACTTGAACGTGTCTAAAAGCTTTAGAAAAATATGCGTCTCGGTGTTTTAAAATACTGTCCTGAAGAAAACGTCAAGTGCCGCATGTCCACTGCTTGAAGACAGCAAGAGGGCTGAGCAGTCAAATCCTGGTTCTATTCAGGGACTGCATCCGGATAAACCGACTTAACAGCACATTAAACTCTATTTGCTTTTCAATTTGGAAAACATGTGAACATGAAATGACAAGTAAGGCCTTCAACCTCAGTGTTTAGGACGATGTTTGAAACTACTCGTGGACCGGACAAACGGAGCTTCTGTTGGTGGACTTTTATAAACGGTGGGAGACTCTTGTCAATACTCTGTCTCCTTAAACCAGACTCATCACAAAACCACCAGCATTGACGAGATGACCGAAGCCATGGCAATCAGGCGAGTGAAGGAGATGGCTGTTCCGTCTAAAGTGTTCCGGAGACTAAAGAAAGCCCTATGGTGGCCTTGAATTGTGAGTTGTCCGATTTTAGTTTGCATAATCAACACCAAGAGAAGACGGTATAATTTCTTGCAGTTATTCGTTTCCGATGGGAATGGCCCTTCTCACGGACTTTATTGTTGAACAGTTTGACCTGCCGATTCATAGTAAGAGTTATGCATTCACTGGAATATCGATGATTGGTATGCAAGCCTTAGGAAAGAGAACGTCGACGGCAAAGCGAAAATGATTAAACTTATCCATACCGGGTTGAGAGACTATTTATGGATGAGCATCTTGAGCAACAAGGTCCTATATTGCATCGTCCACACTGGTACTTGGCTGCTTAGATATTTGAAGCAAGCTTATCCGGTTGTAACAGCTTCGCTCTGTTCAAAAAAATTGTTAATTTCACGGACAGAGTCAAGAACTTCAAATAGCAGTTTGAAGTGCAGATGAAGGAGTCAATTTTGATATATAATATTAGAAATCAAGTTTGAAGAGGAGTTACCAGCCAAAATAATCCGAGTCAGAAACTGGAAAGAATGTTATTTGCAAATTGGTGAGGGCAGTAGCATATATCCATCTTTTTAGGCGTACAATCATGCAATGAGATGCATAGGGTATCACTATGTCCATATGAAGAACAAGAAAAAAAAATTCAAAGATAGGCCAAGAATAGGCTTTAGAAGTATGAGTGGATGAGAGGTTCCCCCCTGCTTTTCAACCCCTGCAATGCGTCAACCCTTTGTAACATAACACCGAGGATAGCAGATGAAGCAAGTTATGAACTTGAATGTTAAAGATAGCAAGATCAGTCCTCTGCCTAGCCATAATTTACATTTCATACAGACGCACATACTTGGCTGCATGGGAGGACGATTAAGACGTCCTCCGCAAATTCGGAGGTTGAATCGCCGGACCAATTTCCTGATTGTCGCAGAGCTGTCTGAAGTTCCAAGCTACAAGTACATTGGTTCTTCGTAATCTTCTGTTACGCTTTAGTTCACTCGCAGACAACTTTTTCCGGGACTGAACGGCCCTCCATGACCTAAATGCTGTCATCGACTTGTGATTTCCTTCTTCTCGTACATACTGATAATTGCCAGTATGTTGACTTCCTGGTATATGGTGTAAAGGAAATTGAGGAGGCCTAATAGACGCTTCTAGGCCCAGAGAATCTATGGGTTATCGTGGGCGTGTCGTATACGCATCCAGCTGAGACATACACGTTCTCATGACATCTTTAAAGATGGACTGCGGAGGGCACCGATTGCAGAAATTACAAAAATAGCATTTGATCATCTGAGTGTCGGATAATAGCTTCATGTATAGCGGTTTATGTTCACTTTTGCTGTGAATTTGTGAGTGACTGGATGTAGTAAAATCTTTATTAACCTTCATGTAGGCATCCGCGATAACATCAGCCTTGCCTAAATAGGTATAAGGTAAAGTGAAGTAAGTGATCTTTCGACAACGGAGGTAAAGTTACTTGGGTATCTCCATGGATGACCTTGAATTGTAGCCTAGAGCCCTGGAAGCTGGAATCTGGAATAGAATTCAAGGTTGGGAGTTCACCTTTCACTTCCATTCTCTTTCGTCTTTTTCCGATAACCAGAGCATACTCTGAGTCCACCCTCTATAGTCTAATACCAAGTCCTCGATTCGATTCGAATCTTTTTTCGACACGCTTTCAATAAAAGAGTTCAATCTCTATAAGTATCTTTAACTTCCTCTTAAATTTTTGAAAAACAGTGCTGCTTCTGCAACACCACATCAGAACGACCTCTCATTTTTTAGAATCCATCGTCTCAAATGGGCGTTGACATCACTGATTCCAATAAGTTATAGGAAGCTCTAGATTGGATCGTAAGCAATTTGCTTGGCCTGCATAAGTATGTCATTTGGATGATCGGGTTAACTATCTGTCGAGCTGTACAAAATATGTTTATTGCTGAGACATACGCAGCCCTTTCGTACTAAATGGCCAGAGAAGCATACAGCCAAATCGATATTCAAGCTGTCCAGGTTAAGTGGATGAAATAGTCTTCAGTAGTGTTCAATCATCCCACCAGATATAATGTACGCTCAGCCTATGTCGAATGATTGAATTGCGGCAAGCATTATTGTGTCACCTGCGCTTTGTACAATTTGATTCCTATATTCTATCATGGAATGGGAAGGCTACTACCCCTTCATATCACGGTTAAAACTAGTACTTATCGAAAGGAAGTTTTCAAGCGGTCCTGAGACTTTTTGTGGCAGATAATTCGATTATTTTCCTATTGTAAGGTCCGCCGACTGAGGCCTCTTCGGAGGCGAAGGTTATATCAGCTCAAGCGTGTTTAATTGAAGCTTCAAGAGGGGAAGAGGGGAAGGTGAGATGACATTATTTTCTCAGTCAATATCACATAACCCGTGAATTTTTGAAAATGCAGGGGATCAAGAATTCGAATTAGTGGTACTACTCAAGCTATGCATTCCAAGAATTGTCACTTCTTGGTGCATTTTCCGCTCTTGTAAATTCGAAGTAGTACACCCCAAATTTATCATGAAGAAAACACTACACACCCGAAATTCGGGAAATCGAGTGTAGTCATGTAAGATAAACACTCGTATCAAGTTATGAACAAATCAATTCAAGAATTGATCAGCCAATAACGTCTTTTAAAAGAAATAAATTGATCCTCGTCGGTCACACCAATTAACCAGCCTGCACAACCGTGAGAAGTGATTACGAGGGGAAACTAGGAAGAACGATGCAGCCATAGTTGATATGATAATAACAGTCGCCGAGGTCTGGTGTAACAGAACTTGATCAGAGTCATGGCAAACAAAGATTTAAAAGTGTGTACTTCCCTTTCTCCAAGTTCCTAATGAAGTATGTTGAACGTCTCTCAAAATGCTAAGACTTTACCTGACCAGTTTACTCTCTCTCACAGTATTGGCCCAATTTCAAACCTTCATCCCCCGCGGGCATAATGATCTTGTCTTTAGCATCCATATCCCAGAAAGCACGGCCAATTCCAGCTTAGGGCCTATTTACTTCCAGTTGAATGCGACAAACCGGGTTCAATGGTTCGCCTTGGGCGAGGGGGAGCAGATGGCAGGCGCGAATATCTTTGTGGTTTACGATGCTGGTAAAGATGTAACAGTGTCCCCGCGATCCGGGGTGGGACACATCCAGCCGTTGTATAACGCTGCTGCGCAAGTCACTGTCTTGAATGGTAGCGGGCTCCACAATGGAATCATGACTGCCAATATCAAGTGTGATAGTTGCATCAATTGGGCCGGCGGCAGTGAGAAACCAACCAATTCTTTAAGCTCTTGGATCTGGGCCGTCAAATATGGGAAACCAATGCGCTCCAAGAGTCAATCAGCCCCCATAATTCTACATGATGACTTCGGTGTCGTAGCTGTTGATTTGACAAAAGCCACTGGGCCAACATCTCCTGACCCCTTTTTGGACTTGGCGCCGTCGTCTCTTTTCCGTACGGCCAAGACATTTGATAGTGAAGGACTTCACCGCATGAGAGTTGCTCACGGAGTTCTTATGAGCGTGGCATTTCTAATTTTCTTCCCATGTTCTGCATTGACACTTCTGGTCTTTTCCAACTCCCACATTGTCGCTATACATGGGATTTTGCAAATATTGACTCTTGCTGTGTCGCTGGTTGGTATGGGCCTAGGTATTGCCATGGCCAAGAAAATCCGCCAAATGGCCCACTACCACATTGTGATTGGGTTTGTGGTATTAGGGGGGCTCACTTTACTCCAGCCAGCCATGGGACTATTGCAACACCGACACTTTAGTAAGACTGGTGGAAAAGGGCCATTTGCTTACTCACACCGATGGTTTGGACGGATCATGATTCTAGTGGGGGTAGTGAATGTGGGACTGGGATTTCAGTTTACTGGAGTCGGGGAACCGGATGCTCCGAGGTCTGTGGTTATTGCAACTAGCGTGATAGCTGGAGTCGTTTTTATTGTGTATATTTTAACCATTGGAAGAGTAAGAAAGTTGAGGAGGAGAGTGACATCATAAGGGTGGAAACATTTTTTAACCTCGGATTTCCATTTCATCCATTTACAACATCTCGATCTCTGTGGCTTTTCCTCCCCCTTGCAGAATATGACGTCTATTCAAGCATTGGTTTAAATTCAAATTCATTTCCCCTTTTTGCCATCTGATATGAAACTATGCCTCTGCATAATCTCGGGATCGTTTTGGAGCTGACACCAACAATTGTTCAGACTCTGATTAATCATGTGGGTCGCGAGATCATGTTATAAAGATACATTTGCTGATCGTAAACTTAGTACCTGCATCGCAGTACTCTTCACAAGAAGCCGGCCATCCATATCACCTATGACGAGGGAGTCCAAATTATTCGCGCATTTCTATACTATGCGTCCAAACACCCAGTTGAGGATCTTCAAGCATACACTCGTCAGTGGGTCCCCAACCCACATTGGGTAAGATCCGAGCTGGTCACTATCCCCGATAATTTCTTGCCCGTGTCGGCAGATGCGATCTCCAAACAGCTTGGTCCGAAGGGCCTCGTGAGGGTTGGTGGTGAGAAGTGGTGGCAATGGCGGGGACCAGCAGAAGAGCTCAAGGGAGAGTGGGTGGAGATGCGCAGTCATTACAATGAGACCGAGGAGTTTGGCGGACACTGTAATCGGATCATGCTCTATGTGCATGGTGGCGCATACTTCTTCGGTAGTGTTGATACCCATCGGTATATGCTGCAGCGTCATGCGCGCAAGTTGAGGGGTCGAGTTTTCGCCCCGAACTACCGTCTTGCTCCTCAATACCCCTTCCCATGTGGTCTACAGGACTGTTTGGCGGCATACCTTTGGCTATTGAAGACATACGATCCGAAAGAAATCATAATTGCCGGTGATTCCGCGGGCGGCGGTATGGCTCTATCTTTGCTCGTCATTATGCGGGACCAAGGCATTCCTCTCCCTGCAGGTGCCATCCTCATCTCGCCCTGGGTGGATTTGACTCATTCGTTCCCCAGCATTGTGGCAGACAACCCGGGTGACTACATCCCCCCGTGGGGATTCAGACATAAGCCTTCCATCGCTTGGCCTCCCCCCAACGCTGATGAGCTCTTAGAGATCAAGAAGCTGTCCCGCAAGAGGAATGTCACCATGGAGGATGTAGAAAAGATAATTCCCTCTCCCGGCAGTTCCGCGGAAGAAGAAGCAGTTCGTGGATTCACCGTTCACAAGGAGGTGCCGCCCCCAAACGAGCACGCCTACCCCGGTGAACAGCAGAATCCAGATCCTGCCAGTCTGCATGTGGAGCCTGACAACCTCAAGGTTGAAATCGATGGAAAGACTGTTGAACTTAAGGACCAGATCCAGATGTACGCAACCAACCAGTTGATGTCCCACCCACTTGTGTCACCCGTACTGCAACCATCCCTGGGTGGCTTACCTCCACTACAAATCCTAAGCGGCGGTGGTGAAATGCTACGCGATGAGCAGTTTTATGTGGCACATAAAGCAGCGAATCCTACAGCTTACCCGCCTGGTGATAAGTATCTTGACGAGTACGATCCAGATCGTAAGATCTTGAACAAATGGGAGCCAACGTACGTGCAGCTACAGGTCTGGGATAATCTCTGCCATGTGGCCCCGACCCTGAGCTTCACCCGGCCGGCCAAATACATGTTTCGGTCGATCTCTCAGTTTGGCTCTTGGGCGCTATCTCGCGCACAGAACGTCGAGGTCGATATCATGGACCAAGATCTTGACTCCGACTCATCCGATGATGAATCGGATGAACCATCGAGTTCTATAACTCGATCAATATCCAACACGAAGTCACGCAACAGTGCCATCTCAACTGTCGGCAGAGCTGGCGATCCCCTGCCAGCGTTTCACCAGCACATGATCCGAGAAAGAATCGACAAAAGGGGAAATGTCTACCCACTAGACCCTCAGTCGTCCTATCCTGTACTCGATATCCCGCCGGCTAATGTCGGTTCGCTCAACCCGGTACTTATCCAGAGATGGTTACATGCAAAGCATGAGTGGGACGTCAAGTTCTCTCGACAGAAACTGCGGGTGCAGGCCAAGCGACTTAAGGAAATGGCGCATGGTTTCCAAGACTTTGATGGCGACTGCCCGCCTTCAAGCTCATTGGCTGCCCGTCGTGCTGCGCCAGGCGTTTTGCCACGGCGACACACAAAGAAGAACTACGGTTTGACACTTTGGAGTGGCTGGGGTAGCAAGCATGATAAGAATTCGATGAAAAGAGAACACGAGGCGCACGAATTGGGTCGCTCTACAACTCGCGCCAGCGTGGATATTGGGCAGGCAGGTCTATGGTCCAGTGAACCCACCAAAACGGTACACCAAAGCAATGGCGAGCAACAAAAGACAGCTTATCTATCTTCAGGAAGTGAAACTAAGGCTTCGGATGAGGAGTATGTCCCTTCCGCATGGGGGTCAACTTTAAATGATGCATTGGAGAAAGTCGACGCTCCCATGCTCATCTTGCCCGAGATGGAAAACCTGAAGCCTACCAATGAAAATAGCAGCACCAAAGCTCTGTTCCATGCTTCGGGAACCTTTCCAGTGAAGTCTGAAGCTTCTTCATCTTACCTTCGAGGACGACCTTCGTCAGTCGGTGATCGTAGTGAGCTCATGTCTGATACCGGTGATGAAGCTAGTACCATTGGTGGAGATAAATACTACGAAATGGTTCCCAATATTGCAACAGATGCAGCCAGTACACGCGCAGTGCTGCGAGCTAAAGGAGTGATCAATTCAATTGAGAAGAGTCACCTCTCAACTGATACAGCATCTACACATGGGACCTCAGATGGAAATGCATTGTCTGCCGGGTTCACGACTTAACTGCTACCAAATTCTTCGAGGTCGGCTTCACTTTTGCCTTGATGTAATCATACATGATACCATTGCACACACTCCTCTGGTCATATGTGCATGTATCTTCTCTCACTAGCGAACCTTGCATTTTCTTGACATTTACGTTGATTGTTTATACCCATTTGACAATCTTACATACTCTTTTAGCGTCGTTTCACGCCCAGGTGGGTGTTATTGTAAATCAGAATCTTCCATTGTGCAACATAGCACATGATATTAGAAGTCGAAAAATAATCGATAGGGAATTTCCAGACGCCAACCAACTAAGGGAAAGCTCACTCTATATGCGAATATCTGTAGTATACACGATTCATGAAAATAATGAATAGGGAAAAAAGATGAAAAGAAGCGAAACGAGCGCATCAACGCCAGTCAAGTCCAATTTTCTGGGCCACTTGTTCAGCGACAGCGAGGAAAGACTGACGCCGAGCACTATCAACTGATTCCTCCGCCACCATGGTGGGTACTCCGCGGTCGGCGTCTTCACACACTCGCGCATCTAGGGGAATATCACCAAGGAAATCAACCCCCAATCGCTTACACTCGGCCAAAACGCCACGATCCTCACCATGCGAATGATTGCCATCGCCATGAGAGAAAATGCGGGTCTCATGGCCACAATTGGGACATGCGAAGTAAGCCATGTTGCGAACCATGCCGAGTACAGGGACATCCATGCGTTGGAACATTCCAAATCCGCGCACAGCATCTCGGAGGGCAATGTCTTGCGGCGTAGTTACTATCACCGCGCCATCGATGATAATTTCTTGATTGATGGTTAGTTGTACATCGCCGGTCCCCGGTGGAAGGTCCATGACGAGGACATCTAATGGACCCCATGAAACTGAGTGAAGTAGTTGATGCATTGCTTTTGTTACCATAAGGCCGCGCCAGGATATTGGTGTTGTGTCCATGGGTACTTCACCCGTTGCATTGTCGGTTTGTGTTTGTGGTAGTAGATAGCCCATTGACATGGACTTGAGTCCATAGTTTGTGAGTGGGAGGAGGCAGTTGTCTATGTTTACATAGTTCATGAGAAAATCTTCTTAAGCTATTCAACAACGGTATAGATCTGATCTTACTATTGTCAAGACGAGGTTCGCCAGAGAGATTCAGTAGTGTTGGAACAGACGGGCCAAAGATATCGGCATCGAGAATTCCGGTCTTGATTCCTCGACGGGCAAATGCGAGGGCGAGGTTCACTAATCCGCAGTATCAGTTAGCTTTTGAACTGAACCGCGCAGTTTTGAAGCTCGTTGTGGATATGATGAATAGGGAACCAAAGAGGAACAAACCAGCAACTGTCGATTTTCCCACACCACCCTTCGCAGATGATACGGCCACTACTTTCTTAACATCACGTATTTTCCGCTTCTCGGGAGGTCCAACTCCACGGCGACTACGAAATGCTGGCGGGGTACCAGAACGTGGGAGCCCCTATTTGACATTCATATCAGTACATATAAATGCCATTGCAATTACTTTTGAGGGGAGAGATGTCGAAAATTTGAATTGCGACTAAGAGAAAAAGAGCTCGAGGCGTAGGTGCTGTTCTTGACCAAGTTTACTCACTAAAGGGTTGTCATGCCCACGAAAAACCGCACCGGTAGAAAACGCCCGCCCAGTGCCGACACATCTAGCGGGTAGTTGAAACATTTCAGCCAATTCCACGAGAAGCAGCTAGTTAAGTGCGGAATTAATGAGCTTCAAAAAGTGAACAAGAACACATGGAAGACGTATACTGCCCGCAGTACTTTTTACCGCCTTTAAATCCACCTCACCGTCATTAGCTCCGGTTCTAGGCCCGATACGGCATATTATCCCGTTATCCGGAAAATCAAAAAAAAATGTCGCGGCCAATATTTCATTCCTTCTACTCAGAATTCGTCAGGCAAAATGGCACCCAGCAAGACACGATCGCTGGCTGACCAGCTAGCTGATCTTGAAGATCCTACTCCGAAAGGTATGTATACTAGACTGTGCATCTTTTCCTGATCGCCTGACTGACTGATTGATCTGCAGACTTTGATCCCGAGGACCTTGATCGAGATGGTAATTCCAGCGACGATGAAGCTGGCAACGCTCCCGATGCAAATGCTGGCAGGGAACACTATCAGGCAGTAGGGTATGTGGTCAATGACAATATAAGAGGTGCGAAAAAGACATACTAACCAACCATTCAGAAAGGGAAAACTACGGAAACAAGAGGCTGTCAAGCTAGGCAAGCAATACGCTGGTGCCCGTGTCAGCAGAGATGCCCTTGATGCGGAGAGCGACGATGATCCGTTTGCGGCGTATACCGATGACGAGGAGGCCTCTGATGAGGAGATTGATTCTGACCTTGAAGATGTTGAGGGATCTGATCTTTCAGGGAGCGATGAAGGCGAGGATGCATCCGACTCTGACGATACTTCCGAGGATGACAACAACATGAGCGACAATGGAAGCGAGGATGAGGCAGGAAGTGAAAGTGATGAATTGGATGCGCGGCCCAAGAGCAAACGCTCCGACCATTCTGCCAATGGAACTAGTGCGAATGATCGGGAGGAACTGCGAAGACTGATGGCAACTGATCAAAAAACAATTGCTGCTACAATTTCTCAAGCTGCCCAAGCAGATGCTGCAAAGGGACAGGCCGTCAAGTCACAACGTGCCACTTTCGACTCATTGCTTAACACGCGTATCAAGTTGCAAAAGGGCTTGAGCGCTATCAATGATATGTCAGCTCTGATGGATGGTGACGATGAGGCTACAGATGCTGAGGCTATTCAGGCCGCAGAGTCAGCTGCTCTCGCGCTTTGGTCAACCCTGGAGGAGCTACGCACCGCCCTAGCTGATGCCCACGCCAAAGATGGTAGTAAAAAACGCAAGCGCTCTTCCCCTGCTACCCTGGAAACGACATCTGCTTCGCTCTGGGAGCGAATGACTGACTTGGAGTCCGATTCCGTTGCTCATCGTCGTGCCGTTCTTGACAAGTGGTCCTCCAAGGTGAGAGGCACCTCGGCCTCCCTTCCCAATTCACGAGGCAAACTTCTTGGCTCTGCTGGTCAGCAAAGTATCACTGCAGTTTTAGATGCTCATGTTGCCACGGAACTTGGTGATCGCTCAATCAAACGTACTCGCCAGACAACGACAGAAAGCCATGAGCCCGTTTATGACGACACAGTATTCTATCAATCTCTTCTGAGAGATTTGGTTGAACAACGCATGTCTTCATCCGACGCTATGACTGACGGTCTTGACAAACTCTCACAATTGCCTTCGCGCTTGCCCATTCACCCAATTACTGGTATGCGCAATGACAAGGTGAAGCGAGATATCGATACTCGTGCATCAAAGGGTCGGAAGATGCGTTTCACTGTTCATGAGAAGCTCCAAAACTTCATGGCCCCCGAAGATCGTGGTGTGTGGACCGTCCGTGCTCGAGATGAGTTTTTCGCTTCCTTGTTGGGCAAGACTGCTAGCGGCTTGTTGGGTGAGGGCGATGAGAGTAGTGATGATAGTGACGACGACCGAGAAGAAGGTGGTCTGAGGCTTTTTCGTAACTGATCCTCACTTTTTACTTTGTAACATACAACGATGTCTATAATGTCAATCAGTTGCGACTCAAACCAAAATTAGCGCCGTTTCCTCCGGAGACTAGAAAATTATATTTCATTCATATCTCTCGAGGCCCAAAGTTCTTATACATAAGTAAGCGTCTTCTCGGACATCTCGGTCGCGATATAAGCATTAGCACTCACAGTTCAGCCTCATGACTATAACCCCGCAAAAGTCGACGTAAATTCGGCGGATCTTCTCTTCGCTAACAAATAGTTAAAACACGGGATACGTGGATCCTAAATTGTGGGGATTTTTCTCCAACTGTAAAACTCCTGATGACGTTGATACTGGTGTAATCAGCGGAGCCCTGGAGCTTACGACCGACCTCCTTCACGTTCCGTCATATCCTTCTGCCACTAAAGTCTTCCTATATTTTGTATCAAATTACTTTCTTATCTTATGGATTAAATATTTGAAGAGGATAGCGCGCCACATTGAAATACGCGTTAAGACACAAAAGGGCTTTGAGATGTTCATGCAGCTCAATCTCCAAATCAGGGCACTATGGCTCGGATCTCTGTATACAATAATTTCGACTCTCTGGAGCAGTAGACATTGATGCCGAGTGATCTGGTGCAGCAGCTGCCATATGCTGAACCTCTATTTTTTCACACCTGTTTCGCCATCAAATTACCTGCAACAGTCTCTTCCGTTTAGTAAGTCTACGGAGGCTTGAGCGTAGCCCCATCTTGCTGTCAGCTCACAAAAGACCACCCCAGGTTATTTGACCGTGAAATTTGGTGAAGTCCGGGACCATAAGATTCAAGCTTACTCTGACATTGATGGAAGATGGACCGGTCAAGGTGAACGATGCATATACGATTTTGAAGTGCACGCTGGCCTTGCCCTTCACCTTCTCTCCGCAGAAGATGCAGGGCAGTATACAGAAGAAAGTGAGATGGCCCTATGGGGTCAAGCAGTTCTTGCATCTCGCTCATCAGACTTCAGTACCATATCTGTTCCTGCCGGAGACATACAGATTGTACGAAATCAATTTGTCAAGCAGGGTGATTAATTGAGTTAGCCTCAAACTGGTCACACCAAGGTGTTATTGCCTTGTCACACGACCTGGGAATTGTCACTAGCAGTGCCTCGATGAGGTTTGCAGTCGGATACGAGAGGAAAGAGGCTATCAATTACCTGGGCTTAAATATTGCTCACGCATGGGTGAAATACATGCAGACCTACTGCTGAATCGTCTTCTGGGCGCTGATGAGGACCAGACACATTTTGTGCTTGAGTACCCTGATTTTCTCACCACATGGAAGATACCTTACAACCTTTTTCCTGATGTGCTGTTGGGTCTTGAGAGATTCTCTTCTGCAGCATATCAACTGGGTAATAATTTCTTCTCTGAGTCTTCAGTACAGGGTGAGTATGGCGTATCACTAGACAACCGACAGAAATGGACCAAATCAGACTGGAACATGTGGCTGGCAGGTACACTTGATACAAGCATTCGAGATGAGTTTTTTGATGATACTTTTCAAAGAAAGAATATGAATTACTGGATTAGTATTCTAGGTAAAAGGAATGAAGAGAAGAAAACTGAACAATAAAAACTGGCCATTTTCTGATCGATATTCTTTCCAGGGTAGTAAGGCGGTATTCCACTGCTCTGTCGAGCCCGTCCAACTGTTGGTGGTCATTTTGCCTTGTTGGCGTGGAAAGGACCAGCATCGCTCTATTCTCTATCCCAAGACCCTATAATTGATACTTTTATAAAACAAAATCAGAAGAAGCTATAGCTTAGATAGAAGGGCATTCAGAATTGCTCTACCTGATAAAGCGAAGTAAGGTCATAAGTATTTAATATACATATTTTGTGTAGGTGATACAAAATATGCTTGATGCATATACATAAGCTATTCAAATTTGAGATTTTTACTTTGAATTTTACAGTTTCAGCAATCTCAACTCATTCAATTGACGATGAAACATTTATACTAGGCAAATGTTGGAACCTTAGAAGAGAATAGTAGTTCATTACTTCTAGTTAGTTAGCTAACTAGATGTCAACAGGAGCGCTTACATAATAAGCCCAGAGTGGATGTCACGGCCTCAGGGTGCTGCTCTCTTCACTGCGCGCTGGTTATTCTCCTCCTCCAACTTTTCTACTCCACCTTTCTTCCTTCTTTCTTCCCCCCCCATCTCTTCCTTTTCTCATATCCCACACCGCTTCCTTCTCATTTATTCTCTATCACACCTTCTCTCTTGGTACACACACACATTGCACCATGTCTTCTGTAAGTTACTCCTGCCTCAACTTTATTGCCCCTCTGCGGAACTTCGAACCAGCTCCACCATCTGAAGTGATTTATCTCAGCCGAAACTAATGTGTGTTATTTTCGTTTCCTAGCCTCGCCCCAACTTCGGTCAAGGCTATCTTCCCAACGGCGCAACAGGTCCAGCACCTGGCGCTACTCCGCTGCTCCCTAACAATGGACGTGTTATTCAGAACGGACCCACCCGTATTTTGTGCATTGCAGATGTCCGGGGTAACTATTGATCCTGGTGACTTCATTATCTCACTATCAACTAATTGTTTTCGAAATAGGAAATTTGAAGTCTCTGAACGAGCTTGCCAAGCAAGCTCGCGCTGACCACATCATCCACACTGGAGACTTCGGCTTCTATGACGACACTTCCCTGGAGCGGATTGCTGACAAGTAAGTGTCTCCCTTGGCTGTGTCGTTGGCTGTCTGATTGATGCAAACTATTCTCGTCTAGACCTTGAAATTGAGGAACTCAGCTAATCTTGTTTATCTACCACAGGACCCTCAAACACGTTGCGCAATATTCCCCCCTTCTCCAAGAGAACATCAAGCGCAGTATCGCACAGGCCACTCCTCACCAATCAATTAAGCAGCGCTTCACTCCTGATCAGCTCCCCCTCTCGGAACTGCCTATGCTTCTTGATAAGCGCATTACCCTCGACGTTCCCGTTTACACAGTTTGGGGGGCCTGCGAGGATGTCCGTGTCTTGGAGAAGTTTCGTTCTGGAGAATACAAAGTCGACAAGCTACACATCATCGACGAGGCCAACTCTCGGTTGCTGGACATTGGCGGTGTAAAGCTGCGTTTGCTTGGCCTGGGTGGCGCGGTCGTCATGCATAAGCTGTTTGACAATGGTGAAGGAAAGACTACAATTGCAGGTGGCCAAGGAACCATGTGGACCACACTGCTGCAGATGGGCGAGCTTATCGACACGGCTAACCGAGTTTACGACCCATCCGAAACCCGAGTTTTCGTGACCCATGCATCCCCTGCCCGCGAGGGTATGCTTAACCAGCTTTCTGTGACCCTTAAGGCAGACTTCTCGGTCTCAGCTGGCTTGCATTTCCGTTATGGCTCCTCATACAATGAGTTCTCAGTTAACCCTTCGCTTGACCATTACCGTGGTAAGCTTGCGGCATCGAAGGCATCATTCAACGATGTCTGGGAAACTGTTCGTAGCGAGGTGGAGTCGGCTATCTCGCTGAATGATGCTCAGAAGATACTTCTGCAGAATGCCCTCGAAGTTGTTAACAAGATGCCGTCCATTGCCAATGGCGGCAACCCCTTCGGTGGCCCTGTTGCCGCTGGTAATGCCGCTGGTCAGGTCGACGAGAGTGCATTCAAGAATATGTGGAACTTCAACCTAGCCGATGCTGCGTTCGGATATCTTGTTCTGGAGATTGAGGGAGGTCGAATTGCAACTGAGATGCGCGCCCAGGGCTTCAACTTTGCTCACCGCAGTGGTAAGCCCGCCGCAGTTGGTCCCCAGGCCGTTGCAACTGCCTTGCCTACTACCACTGCCTCTCCCGCTCCCACTAGCGCCAGCCGCCCGACGCCTGCCACGCCTCAATTCGGCCAGGCTCCTTCCCAGCCTCGTAATGCCACTGCGAGTACTCCCGTGATGCCCAAGGCAGCCACTGTTTCGGCTCAGCCTGAAGAGAAGGCGGCTCCCGAAGTCAATGGAGCGTCCCCCAAGTCATCTGAGGCACCCCGCTTGGAGAAGAAACCGACCAGCGGATTGTTTGTCTCCGGAGTGGATACTGAACATGGTGTACGCGATCTGATCCCTGAAGAAGATCTGGGAAAGGTTAATCGGATCGAAAAATGCGGTAAATTCAACTTTGTGGTGCACTTCTCCACCGTGGAAGAATGCAAGGCTGCATTGGATCGCATGGCACCCGAGTACAAGAAGCCCTCGTCCGGCCCAGGTCCCCGCAAGCCGAACTTCAAATATTTCGAAGAACGCCCTCGCGGCCAGGGCAATGCTGGCACTTGGGGAACTAACCGCACTGGATCTGGCGGACAGCGTGGCTACCAAAGCGCAAGTGATAGCGAGGGTGGCCGCGGCCGTGGTGGATACAGCCGAGGAGGTCGCGGACGTGGATCGGGACGTGGAGGTCGCGGAGGTCGTGGCGGTGGTTACCGAAGCTCCAACGAGTCACCTTCGGCTTCTTCTGAGAAGCCGGCGCCATCTGGCGATGCTTAGATGCTTTCTCGTCTAATTATCTCACACCTGTGAGTTAATCGCGATTTAACGACTGTCTCAACGCTAGCATTCTGTTGGCAATTTTTCCCTTTTCTAATCCTATGCGTTCAATGTATGGGTTCTTCATATAATATTTATCAGTTTTTGACTAACAATATCAGCGATTTGATTATTTTAGTTGATGATTCAGATCGGGATTCGAAGTGAGACAGCGCTCGGGAGGAGGCAACGAGAGAGATACTCAAAATAAGTGTTACGACCCCCTACCTTCTTCTTTTATTTCTTTGTACTTTAATTCTCCTTGGAGATCAACATCGATACCCTTCATCTTCGATTGATTTATGATCTTGCAACATCTCTGCATCCCATCAGTGATAGGTGTTGAGATCTCAAATAAGTTATATGGGATGGCCTGCTTACAAGTAGAAACAACCCGTGCATATGAGGAGTCGAATACCAGCGAGGCACAAGTAATCCATGGTTTGATGGAAAGTGGAGTAGATTGATACGTAATTTGATTGTTTACAAATATAAGGGTAATAGATATACCGGTTCAAAGACACGGTTGAAAAGCACAAGCCAATCCCTAAAGCCATTTGCAAAATTTCCTCGTCCTCCTAGACCGATGGGTAGTGTCCACAATGATCGTGAGAAGTAAAGAAACCACCAGAGCAATGAGTATGAGTTTTCACTTCGGTCACTTCAGCACTCCCAAGAAAATATACCATAGAAAGAGAAAGAAGTTCAGGAGGACCAAACAATGATCAAAGGAGAGTAAAGAAACGAATAAATAGATAAATTCAAATCAATTGGTTGCAAATTCGCCGATGTTTCCTCTTGGGTTTGCCAATATTGCATATATGACGCCGTATGTGTTTTTCAAAATGACAATTTGATGATGGGTATGGTTAGAAATAACGTAGTACAAGTTCAGAGAGAAGTTCCGTGAGTCGTGAGGAAGAAGATGATCGTTGGTGGGTCAACTATTTTGCGCGGCCCACGATTTCTTCGACATCTTGCTGGTTGACAACCACACCACCCTCGGAACAACGAGCCTTGGTGCGAAGTTCGGAACAGAGGGAGTCGACGTCGATCTCACCATTGCGGAATTTCTCCATAGATTGAAGACGGTCCCTAAAGAAGTGAAGTTAGTCAATTGGACGCTGAGGAATGGTGAAAGATGAAAACATACCATATCTTAGTGCAAGACAGCATCTGGCTTTGGTCCTCGCCCGGTACAACTTCCTCCTCCAATTTACTGTCGATCAGGCTTATCAAATCCTTCTTCGGCTGCTGAGTTGCCTCGGATAGATTGTGAGATGGACTACCCAGATCTGGTAGAGGGAAAGCATCATTGAAGAAAGAACCAAAGTCCTGGGAGAGGACAGCTTCCTGCGGCTCCCGCCACTCCCCAAAGAGTACTGGGTCAAATTGACCGCCATTTTGCTGCGCAAGCCAATCGAATCCAATGGCATTATCGGAGGGGCCCGACTGATCTTTGAAGTTACTGCCGGGTTTGGCTGCTGGTATGGGGTTATTGATGCTGCCGCAGGCCATGCCCAGTTTTGCACAGAAGGATTCCTCACCATTTGTACCGCCGTGGATACTGCATGCGGACTCATTTAGCTTTGTACTCGGGGAAGAGTTCAAGCTAGGCTCCGGTGATGTTCCATTGGATGAAAGCATTTGGCTCTGGTGTGAGTCGGATGACGAAGATGGTGATTCCGAAGTAGAAGTTTCATGGCTCGACTCTGATTGCTTGTGGTTATTGGGGGTCTTGACAGAACCAGAGTTGCCGCTGGGAGTGCCATTCAACGTGTTGGCCGATCTGGTGGTTTCAATGCCAGTTGGAGTGCTGGCGTTAGATTTGATCGACCCAGCTTGAGACCCGACACGAGCCAAAACCCCTGGAGCCCGATGCGTGTCGCCATTGAGCTTGAACTGATCATTTTTACCCGTCTGACTGGGGAATAGGATGGAGCCAGGAAGGTCACCAAATTTGGGGAAATCAAACATGAACTCGTTGTTTTGCAGGCCATACGATCCTCGTGACTGACTGGCCGGAATGGCACTCACTGCAGAAAGGCCATTGCCGTTACTCATCCACGAGAGTCGCTTGCGGTACTCACGTAGTTCTACTTGCAAGCGCTCCACTTGAGCACGTAACATTCCATTTTCTTGGGAAGCTGAATCAGAGGCGCTTTGCAGTTCCTCCACCTTGGTCTCCAAGTCCTTCAAGTGTTTCTCTTTTCGCTCACGGAAAGCCCGCTGCGCAGCACGGTTTTGGGCTTTACGCTTCTGTTTCATTCGTTAGAATCCATATGGCATGGGCCTAGGTCACATGGGAGGGTAGCTGCGTACTGTGGTGGGTTCTGAAGTCAGTGGCTTGCGACCTGGCTTTTTAGCCTCACTCTCACGGCGCTTCTTTCCCGTATCCTCGTTCTCTTCATCGGCTAGGCCATCGATAGATTTGCGCTTCTCTCCCAGTTCATAGTCCTGGCCCGACGTGCTGCTTGGAAGATCCCCGATCAAGCTTTCCGAGCCGGGGAAATCAAAGTCTACCTCAGGATTGAAGTCAAGGAAGGGACTCTCGTCCTCACCGAAACCAAATGCATTAATGGAGTCATCGAAGCTTCCTGAGGGAGGAGCACTGATGTCATTTGAGGAGGTGCCGTCGGGGCTGTGGTCAGGCTTAAGTTGTGGGGTGCGGTTGAGCTGCTTCTGAGCCGGGGTATTCGATGAAAGGGCGGCGAGGAGCAAGTCATGTTGGCCGGGGGAGAGGTAAAGACCCCCTTGCTGATAAAGATGATCAAAATCACCCATTGTGTTGTATTTGGAGGGGTTGGTGGGGGGTGGCGAGGGGTATCAAGTTGAAAGATCAATCGAAGTGTAGCTCGATTGTATCGAGATCACAAATGGGCTTCTCGCCCGTAAAAGATTGAAGTGGGGGAGTTAGATAGAGTATTTTCAATTCTGGAGTATGGACCAGAACAAAACCAAACAATTTGATGGGTGTATAGGTCGAATAACCCCAGATATTGAAAAGTGGAATGTTGAAGGGGGAGGGGTCCGAGGGGATGAAGAAAAACGGAGGGCCTGAGGTGTCAAGTACCCGCTTTTCAATCAAGAGCAATTTTAAGTACGCAGTTGTTGGCAAGGCTAGACCAGGTAAGGGAGTTGAAGGGAAACAAGGAATAGATGATGAAAGAGGCGATGGAAGCGGTGTCTGTTTCCTGCCCGGCTTGTTCATTGGTCCGAACTCCGGGATGTAACTCGACAGCCAATCAACGTGGGCCCATGGGAAACACTGGTCTTGATTAGAAATCGAGTTTCGATTCTGTTCCGTCAAGAAAACTCATTCTCTTACATATTGCATACCATGGAAACTGACTCTCCAGTCAGATGAATTATATTGGTTTCGAAAGTTACATAGGTATTTATGACTCATCTTACTAGCCCTAGGGGAAACTACCGTGTTTATACTACGTTGTGTTTGCTGTGTTTGCTGTGTTTGCTGTGTTTGCTGTGTCTGCTGTGTTTGCTGTGTCTGCTGTGTTTGCTGTGTTTGCTTATATGTTTGTTGTGTTTATCGATATAGTTTAATACATCAAGTCCAAGAGCGAGCTCGTTGTCTCTACAATTGACTGGTTTGAGATTCTCTTGAGGGGTTGTTTGCCTCATTCTCATCCAACAACGGAACATACCCTGACATGAAGATCTGGATGTCTAGCGCGGAGGGACCTAAAAGTCTCTGAATATAACTTAGGCCACGCTACTTTCCTCGCCTTATCGCAATACGCAACAACCCTGAGCTTAACAATTCAGAATTTGCAGAGGGATGTCGTCAAAAATAAATATCAATACTACCACTCAACCAAATAGGGTGCTCGATGCCATTTTTTTGGTAACGGTAAAGATAAACTGATATAAAGTTGGAAAAATCAAGTGCACTAGTAACTAAGTATACTTCAAATGCATAGCCTGAAGGCAGGTGGGACATCACAACCTCAATATAATTGATTGATTGAATACATTCTTCTTTTGTAGTCTAGAATCTTGTCACATATTATCCGTCCTCAGTATTGATGTCAAATGGCCAGTCCTATTTTAGTCTAGTGTTCTTTACTAGTCAGCTTCCGTACGCTCTTTACTGCAGTAAGATTTACTACTGCGAATACACACACATATTGGAGATTGTGAAGTCTTCTGATTGGATCCTATAATCCCACTTCCTCGCCCAAGTTGACAATTGAACCTCATCACGTGACTTTGATGGAGGCAAAGGCGGTGTTGGGGATATTCTGCCAATCTACGGATTAGCAGTCCCTCAACTGAATTCCTCTCTGTAAACTATTTCTTCCTCCAGGCATCTCCATCATCATGTCTTTGGCAGAGGTGCGGGAAGAGTTGAATGAATTCAAACAACAGGTAAGTCTTCCTTCCATTCAGAATTTCAGCCAAGGCACTAATCCCCTTTCTCTGTAGCTTGATTCGATCAAGCAAAGTTTGAAGGTAACCCCCGATAACACAGAGTTGCAAACCCTCAAGACTGAAATCGAAGAAATCATTTCCGAAACCAAAATTTCTATCGCCGCACTCGAAGCATCCCAAGCTCCCAAGTATAAGTCCCCGGCCGATCAGATTGAGAAAGAGCAAGTCCCCGCACAAGAGAAACCTAAACATCACTATGATAACTTAACCTATCACGTCAATGAAGTTGTTCTTGCCCGCTTCGAGGATGATCATTGCTTCCATCCCGCTCGCATCGTCTCTGTTATGGGCCCGCCCACAAATCGCATGTACATGGTGGTATTCACGAACTTCTCAGGCAGTCAACAGGTTTCGTCCAAGGATATTGCCAAGAACAACAACCACGCTGTCAAGCGCAAGGCCGATTCGGGTCCCAGCGCTGTGGTCTCCGCGGCACCTGTGCTGTCCCAAACCCAAAAAGCACCTGCCATCGACGATCGCCACAAGAAGCGCAAGATTAAGAACAATGCGCAGCTCGAAGCTGGAAAGGCTAAGTGGCAGGATTTCAATGCTAAGTCCAAGGGCAAGGGCAAGGCTAAGAAGGACAGCATGTTTCGTACTGGCGATGGAATCAACGCGCGCGGTAGGCCTGAAAAATCCATTTACCAAAAGTAACCAGGTTTACTAACTCCAATCTAGTTGGATTTACTGGATCCGGCCAAGAGATGCGTAAGGATCAGATCCGCACTCGCCACGTCTACAAGGAAGATCATCATGAATCCGACTAGGCTTATCTTTCTTTCTCTATGCTCTGTTGAACTTCCCTGGGGATGTTCCAAATGGCTGTCTAGAGTACTTTTGACCTAGTAGCAACGATACCCATATTTTTTTTCTTCATATTCCATTCCTATGGTACCAAGTGCCTGTAGAGTGTATTTCTTGTCCTTCATGGTATTCACGGCCCTTATTCTCAATCTTGATATCTATCTTATGCTGGACCATTTCTTGACCTTCGCAGAACGGACAACCTTCGCGATACGATCGAGTCTTCGCAGCATGTTCGGGTGAGTTATTGTTGTATGGTCAAGTCGCGGTCCATGGGAGATCAATCAATGATAGAAAAGGCTAGAAATTATTGCTATTTCCTCCCTGGACCTGCAGCCCTGGAGGTCCTTTGACGAACTAAAAACTAAAACTACTTACCTAGAGTATCGATAACATTCGTACTACTGATTTGCCTGCAGTTTCCCTTCTACGGGAGTCGAATGTCTTGGGCTTCCACAATTCCTCTGATATCTGTCATTTGTGTAGCAATATCAAGGGCCGTGGTGCTGGATTCACAAGTGGCAAACATCGGGCAAAAGGCCTTAATCTGTTCGCCCTGCGGCCACGAACTATCTTTGACTGCCATTTGAATATAATTTCCATCAAGTTGAATATGAGAATATGGCAATTCTCGAGTTCTATAACATTGAGTCATATTGAGGTTTATAAAAGACAGTCAGTAACTGACCAAGATCCCAGGTCCTGTCTTACGATAGTTGTATTAATGCCTCTCCATTCTAGTAACCGTAATAATAGATGGGTTGTGGCACTCAAGGAAATTCACCAGAGTTTGGCTGTCTACTTCCTCGCAATCGTTGTGGAAGTCGTCGACAATAGACTTAACCATCCCACTCGTTATTTTTTGTCGAAAGCAACATGCATTGTTCCAAAAGTGGGACGCAATCAGCAGCTGCCTCCTTGCAGACCACTCAATCAATGGTCTTGAAAGGATACCATTTCGCTTCTGTGGTCAATAGTTACAAATGATTCTGTTGTTCTCCATTGGTCCAGTCGAGTAATCAACAAGTGGGAGCTTTAGCCCTCAACTCTGCGGCAAAACAACTTGGAATTGACACACATCTTACAACGCATAGTTACTACTTCATTTGAACGTAGTTATCTGCCATTTGGTCTCTGTAATCCGACATATTCTATGGTTCGGAGTTGGACCGTCCACTTGACACAAAAGCATGGAACCAGAAGTATGACGACACCAAGTGTAGCTATACGAAGAGTTACGCCGAAACGAAGGCCAAATTCGAGGCACTTCGGGTAATAACTTTCTTTGAACCACCTATGTAGGTAACGGGCTGTATAGAACCGAGAGTTCTTCATAAAAGAAAATAACTGGAGTAGTTTCTTCGGCTATTAATTCTTCAAATGTTAAATTATATTCTCTCTATTACGACACCAACCTATATCGATCCTCTAAACTACTTTTACCAAATTCTATTGATGACTTCTTGGGTGGTAAACCTAAGCTTTTCAGATTTGGAAGATCAAGCCAAGTCATCAGTGGCGTAGCTAATCCACTCGTGAGTATCAAATTGCATCGCGTCCCCATCATCCCCCCAAGGGTATTGAGATTATCGAGAAGTCACAATTTACGAACACTCCAGCGCTTCGCGGGCATGAAGAGGTCACGGGAGCCAAATTCGTTCAAATATGCGAAGGCATATAATACCTAGGTAGTAGTCGTGGCACCATAAACAGCGTGCCTCTATTACCTAGTTATGCTATAAATGGTAGAGCTTGATAGTTAAAGGTAGCATGATCCTCTACAAGACAGCCCAGAAACCTGCAGCCACTGACATATTTACCCCTAAATCTGCCCTCTGCAACCAGCCATGAAAAGCCTCCTTCTCTTCAGCTAGGTAGTTCTTCGCATGAAAACCGGGGTCTAGACCTCAGGACTATTAGCCGCAGACAAATAATAATTAATGAGCTTCAGGGTCAAGGATATATCCAGGATCCTCTGTTTCTATTTAATAAAGCATTGGGAGGAATTTATAAAAGGCTCATTTCATCATTAGCACTGACAACCTTCGCGTAATTGAGGGCCTAATGGATCAAGTGTCTTATCATTTTACCACAATGGAGGGCAGGGTGGTGATTTAGTAGCTTCCTTTTAAGTGATAGATTAAAAGGCATATCCAAACAAACGGTCGAATCTACGTCAGATATATACCTACATCCAATGGCATGCCTTCCCAATAAATAGAAAGCAATTTTCTGAGTCTCTGGACTACCAAAAAAGCCCATTCACGATGATCTAGATTGGGCCACCGGATTCATACGGCTGAGGCCCTTGTCGAGACTTCACCTTCCCAGTCTACTAAATCTATTTAAGTCGCCTAAGTCTCCCACCATCCTAAGGCATTATATGATTGTTAGACAGCAACCACTCACCACGTCACTACAATCGCAACGTTAATCATGAATACTATTGGCCGCTCTTTAATCCTGTCTATATTAATATTACTCCCGTGGAAAACTGGAGCAGTAACAGTAACCTGTGGCACTGCAGACATCTCCAGCAACTCAGTAGGAAACTGTGAGTGCGCCCCTTCATTTTCTGAAGACGGGTGTGGTGCCTGCACCGACCCATTCTGCGGTGACGCCAAGCTCAAAGGCAAGCTCGCGGTATGTAACGCAGGCTGCGTCCAACAAAACCTCAACTGCTCAGCCTGTGGCCTTTATTTCGGCAGTGTGTGTCGCTGTCTGAAAGGGGCGCCGGGCTGCTCCAACAACGGCGATTGGTGGCTGCTCAACTCCCACGATCTGATTTCCACCACAAAACGCGTACCTGGTATTGTGCAACTGGGCTCTGACAATACTGGCTGGCAACTAGGGCAGACGCTGCTGGCATGGACTGGGATTTCGCTAAGCACAGGAACGGCGACAAGAAAAACGGGGACGCTGGCAGTGAACTCGGTAAAACAGAGGGACGAGGAACAAATCCATATTCATGTTTGTAACCGACCAAACAATCAACTCCGGGATTATTTGTCGACGAAGGTGCGACCGGATCAGTTCCAGTCCCTGAAGCCTTTGGAGACGTCGTTTCCGGAATTTCCTACGAAGAGTGTACTATGTCAGGCGTCACAAACGAAGGGGGATAATCATGTTGATGTTGCGGGTATTACGGCTGATCACCTCAATAAAGCTAAAGGATGTGATGAGTCTCAGGTCGGAGCTGGGCTTATTACTGACACAAACGATTATTCGTGGGTATGTATTACGACGGGTTATCAAAGCGGAGGGCAGCTATTCTGTCGTACATGATTGGAGCGATGGTATCACAAAAGTTTAGTATCATTTGAATTTTGAATTCAATGACATGAAATGTATCAATGTTATCCGTTTGTATCGTTATGGTATATTTTATTCATTGACCAATATACTTCTGAATTCTATGAAAAGTTACACGTTTACTATCCATGGATATCCAGCAGTCATGACTATTCCCTGTAGCAACTAATAAACCCGCTCGGTCACTCTTTATAAAGTGGAACCCATCAGCTTTAACATTTCTAAGAATTAGCTATGTCTCTGTCAAAGATTGGATTACTATATTTAGTTAGTCTGTTCTTCGCGTGTTAAATAGTCATCATTCCCACATCCTACTTAGTTAGTTCCATTTGATAGCCTCCACGTAAATCACCTGTATATCACTTAGTGTCAGCTTGAACGAAGAGAGTGGAACCGAACGAATCAGATGCCTATATTCCTCTATGTATGTGTGAGTAAAATCTCCCTACTGCAGTAAATAACTATTTAGTTAACTAGTTTTTATTCAAACATTTATTTAAAGGAGAGTTGTTAACCAGTTATTTACCGGAAATGACTAAGGAAAATGGCTACTTCGATAACACAAAGTGTCGCCCTTATCTAATGTGGGGCGTACCCATTTAGTCTAGCTCCCTCGAACCGCACGTCATACCTTTTCCTGACCTCATCTCTTCTTTCAATCTCCCTTCTCTCCACCTGCTCCACTTTATAGCTTGATCGTGGATTCCTGTGCAGAAAGAATCTGGAAAATCAAGTTGTATTCAGCTTGACCGTTCCTTACGCGCCTGCAGCTCTTTGAGCTGCCTACACTCGTACGAAAACAGCAGCGTTACTCAAGACGAGCATAGCTTAAGCAGATTGGGACCTATCAGGCCCACAACCTCCTCTACAAGATGCGGCAGTCTGGCCTGGTGACTGCCCTTGTTGCCCTGAGCTCCTTTACTTTCCCATTACTAGCTAATGCACAAGGTGAAACCAAGATCCATGAAAAGGGCCGATGTGCCATTCGGGGTCAGTGTGGAAAGCAATCGATCTTTGGCGGCGACCTTCCCTGTCCAGATAATGATCTGGCTCATCAACCTCCAGAATCCACGCGACAAAAATTAGTTGCTTTATGTGGATCCAAGTGGGAAGACGGTCCCGTTTGCTGTCTTGATGAACAGGTATGATATTAAGAAACTTTGGCAGTCATCCTGATGTATATCTGTTTTCTAATATGATTTATCTCTGACAGATCGATGCCCTCTCGAAGAATCTCAAACTCGCCGAAGGCATCATCGCATCCTGCCCAGCCTGCCGAGAAAACTTCTTCAACACTTTCTGCACATTTACTTGCTCCCCGGACCAATCACTATTTATAAACGTGACACAAACTGTCGAAAAAGCAGAGAAGCGGTTGGTGACTGAGCTAGACAACGTCTGGTCAGAAGAGTACCAGAGTGGGTTTTATGACAGCTGCAAGAATGTGAAAAATGGAGCTTCGGGCGGTAAAGCGATGGACTTTATCGGTGGTGGAGCGAAAGATTACCCACACTTCCTGAAATTCTTGGGCGACAAGAAGTTCCTCGGGAGTCCTTTTCAGATCAATTATCTCACCGAACCCCGTAATCCGGACGAGGGCATGGAGGCTTTACAAATCACGACCAAGGCATGTAACGATCCTGACAAATCATTCCGCTGCTCCTGCGTTGATTGCCCAGATGTGTGCCCAGAGCTACCTGCCCTATCCATACCAAAGGCATGCCATGTAGGCCTTCTGCCATGCGTATCTTTTGCCGTCATCATCATCTACTCTGCATTTCTTCTATTGGTTATGGGACTTGCTAGCTATGTCACGGTCAAGGAACGTCGTTACCGTAAGCCGGAGCGAGTGCGGTTGCTCCAAGACCCCAGTCCCAGCGACGATGAATACGAAGGTGAGGCGGTGCATCGAGGAGGGTACATGGAGCAACCCCAGGGAATCTATAAGCCCAATTCGATGTTGTCTGCTCTTTTCTACCGTGTCGGTGGAGCGAGTGCACGATTTCCAGCTATCACGATTGGCTCTAGCATTCTTGTGGTGCTTCTTCTCAGCTTGGGATGGCTGCGGTTTACGATTGAAACAGATCCAGTGCGCCTATGGGTAAGCCCCTCATCCGCTGCAGCTCAGGAGAAAGCATACTTTGACGAAAACTTCGGTCCTTTTTTTCGTGCCGAACAGGCCTTTCTGGTGAACGACACGGGTCCGGTCCTCAATTACGACACACTCACGTGGTGGTTTGGAATTGAGTCCCATGTGCGGCATATGATCACCGATGATGGTCTCAATCTAGAAGATGTGTGCTTCAACCCAACCGGTGATGCTTGTGTGGTGCAATCATTGACTGGGTACTTTGGCGGCTCCGCCTCCCAGCTTGACCCCAATACCTGGCAGGCCCGACTGACTCACTGCACTGAATCACCGGGCGATCTCACATGTCTCCCAGGTTTTTCACAGCCTCTGAAACCTGAGATGATTCTAGGCGGTTATGATGAATCTGGAAATGTCCTGGATGCCAAGGCATTAGTGGTGACTTGGGTTGTGAACAACTTTGCCCAGGGGACCGAAGGCGAGAAGAAAGCTATCAGTTGGGAGAACAACTTCCGTCGTTATTTTGAGGTCGTCCAGCAAGAGGCCGCCGAGCGTGGTCTTCGCGTATCTTTCAATTCCGAGGTTAGTCTGGAACAAGAGCTGAACAAGTCCACGAACACAGATGCAAAGATCGTAGTCATCAGCTACTTGATAATGTTTCTTTATGCTTCACTTGCTTTGGGATCTGTCACCGTTAGCTGGAGGTCTCTTTTATCCAACCCTTCCAATGCTCTGGTGCAATCAAAGTTCACATTGGGTATTGCTGGGATTCTAATTGTCCTAATGTCCGTGTCTGCTTCGGTTGGATTGTTTTCGGCCGCAGGCGTGAAGGTGACCCTAATAATCGCAGAAGTGATTCCTTTCTTGGTTCTAGCTGTGGGAGTCGACAATATCTTCTTGATCGTCCATGAATTCGAACGCGTCAACTTCAGTCATCCTGAGCAAGAAATTGAGGAACGGATTGCCCGCGCCGTGGGAAGAATTGGTCCTAGTGTCTTCCTCTCCGCGCTAACTGAAACTGTGGCATTTTCTTTGGGTGTCTTCGTCGGTATGCCTGCAGTCAAAAATTTTGCTGCGTACGCTGCTGGTGCCGTTTTCATCAACGCTATTCTTCAAGTCACCATGTTTATCTCCGTGCTTGCCCTCAACCAGAAGCGAGTAGAAAGTAATCGAGCCGACTGTCTTCCATGCCTCAAAATTCGGAAAGCGAACTCCTCCGGCATGCCTAACGAGCAAATATATGATGACCAAGAAGCGGAGAGTACTTTGCAGACCTTCATTCGTCGGGTATATGCCCCGTTCATCCTTGATCGCCGTGTAAAGGCAGTTGTTGTCATTATCTTCCTAGGGCTTTTGACTGCAGGCTTGGCCTTAATCCCTGAGGTAGCTATCGGGTTGGATCAGCGAATCGCGCTTCCAAGCGACTCCTATCTCATATCTTACTTTGATGATCTTGATGTCTATTTCCGCACTGGACCACCGGTATACTTCGTCACACGAAATGTCAATTTGACAGAGCGACACCATCAGCAACAGCTCTGTGGACGTTTCACCACCTGTGAAGAGTTTTCGTTGCCATTTGTATTGGAGCAGGAATCCAAACGTCCAAATGTTTCATATGTGGATGGGTCAACTGCCAGTTGGATTGATGACTTCTTTTACTGGTTGAACCCCCAGCAAGATTGCTGCAAAGAAAACGACAAGCTTTGCTTCGAAGGCCGGATACCGCCGTGGAATATTTCTCTATACGGAATGCCGACGGGAGCTGAATTTATCCATTATGTTCAGAAATGGATCGATTCTCCAACTGACGCTTCTTGCCCACTGGGTGGAAAAGCACCTTACAGCAACGCACTGGTTATTGACAGTGCTCACACCATGATCAATGCTAGCCACTTTCGCACCAGCCACACTCCCCTGCGAAGCCAGAATCAGTTTGTCCAAGCTTACATGTCGGCTCGTCGAATCGCCGATGGAATATCCCGCGAACATGGCATTGACGTTTTCCCTTATTCAAAGTTCTATATCTTTTTCGATCAATACGTGACTATCGTGCAACTCACGGGCACTCTTCTGGGATCGGCTGTTGCCATTATATTCCTTCTTACTTCTGCTATTCTAGGATCAGTTGCCACCGGTGCGGTTATCACAGTCACGGTGATGATGACGGTGGTTGATATCATTGGCACAATGGCCATTGCCGGTGTTTCCCTCAACGCTGTATCTCTGGTGAATCTCATCATATGTGTGGGTATCGGTGTCGAGTTCTGCGCTCACATTGCTCGCGCATTCATGTTCCCCTCGCGTACCCTGCTGGAGAAGGCTCCTGCCCAATTCCGTGGCAAGGACGCCCGTGCCTGGGCTGCTCTAGTTAATGTTGGTGGTACCGTCTTTAGCGGTATCACCGTTACTAAGCTTTTGGGGGTTTGTGTTCTCGCATTTACTCGGAGCAAGATTTTCGAAATCTACTACTTCCGAGTCTGGCTAGCACTTGTTATTTTTGCTGCCACTCACGCTCTCATATTCTTGCCAGTAGCCCTCAGTTACTTTGGCGGTGGTGGTATGTTTTAACCGAATGCCTGAATTTGGGAGGCCTTCCAGCTAACATACCATAAATAGGATACTTCGACCCTGCCTCTGACGGTGGTCTGGAAGCCAACCTTGCTGCTCGGGGTTACCGATCATTGCTGGTCGATGATGATTACGACTCCGATGAATACTAAGGAATATCTGTTTCTATTTTGATTTGTCTCTCATCTTTGCATGTTTTGTCTCCATCACTTTGGTCATAGTTGATTTGGACTCTGACAACTCTATCTTGACTGAGTCTACTGTTACACCACCGGCAGTGCAAAGGAGTTTTATATTGGAAGTTCGATTAAGGAGGCTCTTTTTGGAATTATTGTTTTTATTTTCCTTGGAAATTTATGATTTGATCTATCATTACCACGTAAATACACGTCACGTCAACCAGCAGTGGAAAAATTACAAGGAAAGAATATACGCGGATAAGAGTTACCACCCCGTGGACCATGTTCAGGCGCATAATTAGGCGACAAAGTTATTGCAACGAGCCAAGTCTCAAATTTGTAACCCTATTTCCTCCAGTTTTTCAAAACGAAGGCATTGTTATCGTATTGGTAAGAGAAATAGAAGTTAAGCATCGACGTAATTATTCTTCAAATAGCTAGTAGCTACTGTTAGTTTACTTTTCCTCGCTACCTAGATTTTCTGGAAGATTTTTAAACTCAAATATACTAAACTAGTATAGCTCAAAGGAGTGGGAATTCTGCAATTGTACCCAAAACATACATTACTTTTTCCAGACTCCCGTAATATCAACACTCCAAGGCTTACATACACTTAAATTCCCGATTTCTGTCATACGTGTTCTATAATTGTTTATATTCTACGGAGTGTATTCCGTATTGTGATATCTGTTTTATTAGTGGAGATGGAACGGGACTTTGATTTATCCGTTCGTAAAGCTAGTCTCAATTAGGACTAGCTTAGAGGACCTAACGAAGCATATGTCAAAAATTTTTCGTCTTAATTTTTTCCCCTCCAAAAATCATCTCCCTTTTCCTTTCTTCTTTTGTGCTTTTTTATTGATACCCCAGCTGTTTGTCTTTCAAGGATAAGCTGCTTGCTCATCTACACGCACGTGTGTCCTTATATAAAAGGGAATTAGGACACCCTTTCATTCCATTCACGACAAAAAAAAAAAAAAAAAACTCCTTGACTGGAACCTCATAATTCACATCCATCATGGACCAACAACGGTTCCTGCAGCAATTGCAGATTGTCTTGGATCGTAAGTACATATTCCTTGAATGATACTTGAGGATGTTGTTACTAACCCTTGCTCTTTTTTCCAGCCTCTCAGGGTAATGTCAAAGAAGCTACTGGCATCCTCCAGAAGGAGTTCTACAGCCAGCCTGAGTCCCTTGTCTTCCTTTTCCAGATTGCCACTGCACATGAAAATTCAAATCTCCGCCAGCTGGCAGCCGTTGAGGCCCGCTCGCTTGTATCAAAGCACTGGTTGAAGGTGGCAGCGGACCAGAAGCCCCAGATCCGTGAGCAGCTCCTCCGCTCTACCATGAGCGAGAGCTCTGATCTCGTCCGTCATTCCATCGCTCGGCTCATCTCCGCTGTCGCCAAGATTGATTTGGTCGATGGCGAGTGGGCTGATTTGCCTAACGTCTTGCTCCAGGCTGCCGACGCCGGCAACAAAGATGAGCGGGCGGTCGCCATCTACATCCTGTTCACCATCTTGGAAACCCTCGGCGAGGGCTTTGAAGAGAAGTTCCAGGACCTGTTTGCCTTGTTCAACAAGACTATTCGCGACCCCGAAAGCTCGGAAGTCCGTATCAATACTCTGCTGTCTCTAAGCAAGCTGGCTATGCACCTTGACTCGGAGGAGAGTATGGCTCCCGTCAAAGCTTTCCAGGAGATGGTACCAGCTATGGTTGCCGTTCTGAAGGATGTCATTGACCAGGGCGAGGAGGACCGCGTCATGCAGGCCTTCGAGGTCTTCCAGACTCTGCTTGGTTGTGACCCCGCCCTTCTGACAGTTCACCTGAAGGACCTCGTAATCTTCATGAACGAGATTTCAGCCAACACCGAGGCTGATGAGGACACCCGTACTCAGGCCATCAGCTTCCTCATGCAGTGCGTTCAGTACCGCAAGTTGAAGATCCAAGGCATGCGCCTCGGTGAGCAGTTGACCCGCACTGCTCTGCACATCGTGACCGAATTGGATGATGATTCCGCCTCTGATGGCGAAATCGACCCTCCACGCTCTGCTCTTGGTCTCCTCGACATGCTTGCACAGAGTCTGCCTCCTAGCCAGGTCGTTGTTCCTTTGCTCCAGGCTCTTGGACCTTACTTCAGCAACACCGACCCCAACTACCGCCGTGCCGGTATCATGGCTTTGGGTATGTGCGTTGAGGGTGCTCCTGACTTCATCAGCTCCCAGATGAAGGATATCTTTCCCATGGTTCTTCAGCTTCTCGCCGATCCTGAGCCCAAGGTGCGCCAGGCCTCTCTGCATGCCGTTGCTCGCCTTGCCGATGATCTGGTCGAGGATATCAGCAATGAGCACCAGCGTCTGATGCCTCTGCTCTTCACCAATTTGACTAGTGCTATGCAAGAGTACAAGGGTGAGGAGGATGGTCCTATTTTGCAAATAATCCGGGCCGGTATTAGCGCTGTCGATTCCGTAGTTGACAGCCTGGATGAGAAAGATGTTGCTCCTTACCAGGCTGAGCTCGTCCCCATCCTGCACAACCTCTTCAAGCACCCTGACTTCAAGATCAAGGCTCTCGCCTCTGGTGCTCTTGGCTCCCTTGCTTCGTCTGCCGGCAGCTCGTTTCTCTCCTTCTTTGACGAGACCATGCACCTCCTGCAGGAGTACGCCGCTGTTAAGGACACCGAGGAGGAGCTTGATCTCCGTGCCAGTGTGACCGATGCTATGGGTGAGATGGCTGCTGCTGCGGGCCCCGAGCGCTACCAGCCCTATGTTGAGCCGCTCATGCGTGCCACTGAGGAAGCTCTGCACCTCGGCCACTCTCGCCTTAAGGAGAGCACCTATCTCTTCTGGGGTGCCATGGCCAAGGTCTACGCCGAGCACTTCTCCCCTTTCCTCGATGGTGTCATCAACGGTCTGTTTGCCTGCATCGAGCAGGATGAGACTGATCTTGAGGTTTCCCTTGGTGAGCATGCCAAGGATCTCATTGGCCAGGAGGTTACTGTTGGCGGCCGCAAAGTCAAGGTTGCCAGCGCTGACGACGACGATGATGATCTTGAGGGCGAGATCGAAGATGTTGACTTTGAAGATGACGAGGATGCTTGGGATGACATTACTGCTACTACCCCTCTGTCTTTGGAGAAGGAGATTGCTGTCGAAGTCATTGGTGACCTCGTCACTCACACCCGCAGCACCTTCTTGCCTTATTTGGAGAAGACCATTGAGATGGTTATGCCCCTTGCCGAGCACCCTTACGAGGGTGTCCGTAAGACTACCATAAGCACTCTCCACCGCTCTTACGCTATGCTGTTTGCCATTGCCGAGGAGACTGGCCAGATGCCCAAGTGGCAGCCCGGCCTTCCCCTCCAGTTTGAGCCTGCCAAGGAGGTGAAGAAGTTCGGTGAAATCCTCATGACTGCCACCATCAAGATGTGGGCAGAGGAAGATGACCGGTACGTGAATAAATTTTTTTCTGCTTTGCTTTTCCAACATGATTATACCCATCGCTTAACCCAGCTCACTTTGAGTGCCAAGTGCACAAATGATGTGAACCGCGTTCATCACGAATGATTGTTATTTTTGCTTAATCGCTTTATTATTTTGAATCGATGGTGTTCAATCGCTGACTGATTCATACTAGTGCTACCGTCGCGGATATTAACCGTAACATGGCCGAGAACCTCCGTTTCTGTGGTCCTGCCCTCATCTCTGACGAGACTGTGCTTCATAACGTGATCCAGATGATTACCGATATCATCTCCAAGAAGCACCCCTGTCAGTTTGAGTACGGTCCTGAGGAGGAGACCCTTGAGGCCGGTGACGAGACTTCAGAGTTCGATTGGGTGGTCGTCGACACTGCTCTAGATGTTGTCTCAGGTATGGCCGCTGCTCTTGGCGCCAGCTTCGCTGAGTTGTGGAAGGTGTTTGAGAAGACTATCCTCCGCTACGCCAGTAGTGGCGAGGCCTTGGAGCGCGCCACTGCCGCTGGTGTTCTCGCTGAGTGCATTAACGGCATGGGCGGTGCTATTACCCCCTTCACCTCTACCATCCTTAAGGTGCTGTTGCACCGCCTTGGAGATGAGGACCCCCAGACCCGGTCCAACGCCGCCTACGCTGTTGGCCGCCTGGTGCAGCACTCCAACTCGGATGCTGAGATTGTCAAGGTATACCCTACCATTCTTAGCCAGCTCGAGCAATGTCTGCAGATGAACGTTTCTCGTCTCCAGGACAACGCCACTGGTTGTGTCAGCCGCATGATCATGCGCCACCCCGAGAGCATGCCCCTCAAGGAAGTTTTGCCCGTTTTGGTCAGCATTCTGCCTTTGAAGAACGATTTTGAGGAGAACGAGCCCCTTTACCGCATGATCTGCCAGCTCTGTACGTTTTCACCCTTTCACCCATTCTTTCATAACATCTACTGACAATATCTCTTGCAGACAAATCTGAGAACCCCATCATTCTCGAACTCACTCCTAGTCTCGTTCCCGTCTTCCAAGCTGTGCTGACTGGCGACGAGGACCAGCTGGAGGATGAGCTGCGTGTTGAGTTGGTCGCCCTTGTCAAGTGGCTGAACCAGGTGCAACCGGGCGTTGCCCCTTGGGCGGAGCAACTTTAAATATGCTTCCCCTATCATGGATTTTATGTTGACGACTAGTTTTGTAATGGAAATAGATGGATGACTATGGAAACCCTGAGATGATTAGACGATACCCCGTCTCGGCGAATCCGCAATGAGTGATGAAATTAAAAGTTACTGCTGTATATAAGGGCTTTTTGTTTCAGAATATCACCAGGAGTGTTTTTACCTTAACCGTTCACGATTCCTTTCATCTAGATTTCATTAGGCACCTACGTATTACACGCTATCTAGGGCTGTGACGTGTGTGGCGGGGTAATGCAACTTACTAGTTTCTAAGGTTATTTATAGATGACACTCACTCCAGAGCTTCAATTTCTACATTCCAAAAGTGCTTTATCGTTCTACGGTTATTCATTTTAATTCCAAGGTTTTTCAAGAGTTCTCCTAGATACCTTTTGACGTCCAAGGCTCCTTCTTGCTACTCGTCGACCAATCTCCGTATTGGGATCACCTTTGTAAATTCAAATCACCCCTATATCACATCTAACGTCGTTGCTAACCACTTGCAGCTACGCTAGCTTACTAGTACTGTCGAATACTCCGGTCCCCATCCTTTTCTGAATCAAAATGATTGCTTCCTCGGCCCCAGTAAACTTCACTCTGCCCACTAGTGGCTCTGGAAGCTCAATCAACAAACCTATCAAGACCGTTTCTAAGCCCTGTTTTGGCTGTGGTTGTGGTGATGAGGACTGTGACTGTTGTATTTGCACAGTGATGTGAAACTACCTATCTAGGCTGTTGGCTGCGCAGGTGGTTACGCGGGTCGTAGCCATAATTCTGGATAGGGCAGATATTATCAATGTTTTCGATCTGACATCTGCAATTTCTAATTCGCATCAATGCTTTGCTTCCTGAGATCTGGACCTCTGAGAATGAACTTCCAAAGTTATGAAATCTTGCGAGGCTGCTCAAATGTTGGCTAAATCTATCTTAGTGTATATGGACGGAGGTATTGAGAATAATCCTGCGGTCAGTCAAACGAATCCTAGAATGTTCAAATGTTAATTCCAGCGTAAAAAGACCTCGGGATTATGTGTTGTGATTGAAATTTGAAGTATATAATTTCCAAGGTTTCCAAGTTGGCACTTTCTCATCTGCAAGTTCGAACCTTGGAAATTGGTTGTCCACGTGACAGAGATTCCAAGGTTCGATACTATTTTACGTCAGCGAAAGTGTCAGCAGAATCATCTTTTCCCCAGAACTACTTCTTGAAAAGTAGCGCGGCCTTACAAGTAATATGTTCCTAACACTGTAACATCCTCAGGTCCTCATGCAATCAATCGAGCAGCAAAGGCGTACGTTGCGGGCCTGCGATGGGTGCTATCGGCGCAAAATTAAGTGTGACTTCGATGCCGCGTCTCAATGCAACTGGTGTATCCACCATAATCTTCCTTGTACATTTGATCGAGTAGCACGGGGTAAACGAAAAACCGAAGATGATGGTATCAGGTATGAACCTCAGGGCTTTCAGGCCCTTGTGCTGCTGTTTTTACTCCACTTTTACAAAGTCCATGTCTAACCTCCCCCATAGTCAACCGAAGAGTTCCCGGCTATCCGATCGGATTAGCCGAATGGAGAAACTCATAGAAAACAATTTCAGACAAAATTCAGAATCGTTCGCTATATCTCAATTTCCAGAGATCTATGCGACTACTAGTAGCTCACCCAGCACTAGTACTACTAGCAGCATGCCCGTGTTTCCAGCTGCTGCTAGTGTTCACTTTGCTGGTCGAAAACTCTGTGTCATTAGCTCGCTGACAGGTCTTCCATGTCTTCTTCCAGAAGGACAAGAATGGGTCCAAACTCGCACTGGTCAGACTATCTCGATCGACAATCTCGCATCAAGAGCACGTTGGGAAAGAGAGTGTGGCTGGAAATCTTATGAGTTTTTAATGAATTTACCAACTTATAAAGATTTCGAATTACCAGCCTACCGCAGTGTGCGCTTGTACTTCGAAGCGTACAAAGCGTCACCTGTTATGCGGCGAATTTTCCCAGTCGTGGATGCTGATCTCTTTGAGGAAACGATTCAGACTGCTTATCAAAAGCCAAAATCAGACTCTATAACCACATCCACAACAGAGGTCGCTCTCATCCTTTCTTTTCTAGCATTTGCCTCGCGTCTCCCACTCGTCAAAGAAGTAATCGAAAGCTCTCTACTCTCAGACGTTGTCATCGACCAGGATATACTGGCCTCCAGGGCTCAATATCTCCTGTCACATGTTTTGAAGGAACCTGCCACTCTAGAAGGAGCCCAGGCAGTGACTATGATGGTATGTTCCAGAGCCCTTTATGCAAATCAATCTGCGAAAATTACCTGGGCTGATATTGTCTTCCCTAGACACTTTATGAGATTTCAATCGGAAATATGCGGTCTACAGGTTACTTTGGAGCAATTGCTGCACGTCTAATATTTACGCTTGGAGGCAACATGGCCCCGAGTCAATCTAGCTTACACGACGCCCATAGCCAGAGAAAACAGCAGCAGTTGCGAAATATCTTCTGGATTTGCTATACAATGGATAAAGATTTTGCTCTTCGCACCGGCCAACCACCAAATATTAGCGATGAAAATTGTGATTTGACACTCCCACTAGGCTACTTAGATCGGGCATTCATGGAACCTGAAAATGAGAACATGCCCTTCGACCAGCCTGTATTCCCCTTTGACTTGCGTTTGAGCATTATCAAGGCACGCACCTACAGTTCTCTTTACTCAGTCAAAGCCATTCAGAAGTCTGATGCTGAACTTCTCAAGTCGATACGAGAGTTGGACGATGAACTGGAAGACTGGCGGCTATCGATACCACCCAAATGGCGTCCGACTATGTCTTTCTCGCCAACAGCCTCCGACCCCAATATCAATATGCACTCACTCTTTTTACGACTTAATTACTACCTGTGTATGTCCCTCATCCACCAATCGAGCAGTCGTTGTAAATCGTGGGTGCAAGGTGGAATTATGGATGGGGTGAAGTCTAGTCTCACTCTATCGGTTGAGGCTAGCCGCTCTACCCTTTGCTACCTGCAAGCTGCAGTGGGAATCCTTGTTGATGGTGTTCTCTGGTATGTGAAGTGTTGATTTTCTTAAAATTAGTATCGACAGTGAATACTAAACCACTTATCTAGGAACTTGATCTTCTACCCTATATCAGCATTGCTTTATATTTTCTGTAGTATCCTACAAAACCCACTAGATCCGCGATCAAGAGATGATTTGGATCAGCTGAAGTCGTCCACTGTGATGGTGGAGAGTACCTTCATGCAGAAGTTGCCGGAAAATGAGATCATTCATTTTAAGTTGGTGGCCGAATTTATGAATGAGTTGAACCAGCTGGCGGAGTGTGCTATCGAGAAGGCGTGGCGTGAACACTCCACCTCCATTCCGTCTTAATATTCTTCATTCGACTCAATTCAATGTTGCCTTAGATTGTTGCATTAAGATAGATGTACCTACATTACAAAATAGAGCACAACAATACGGAAGACCACTACAAATGTTTGACGCCGGAAATGATTACGTATATTCCTAACTAGGACAGTAAATTAGTTTTGAGATCACTTATATTCACTTTACTGATAGCTCCTTTCCTCTCCTCTGATATCTATGATTTCCACGTTTTCCTGCTCTTCTTGCCTACTTATACTCATTATTTCCTTCTAAACGAATAATCTCCTGAATTTGCTGAGGAATACCTAACTCACAATCCAAGTCTGGGTCTACTCTTACGGTATTTCATACCATCCATGGATGTCTTTACCCAAGAGAACATATCTTCTGGCCTGTTTTCAGCGTACACTTCTTTATAGTTTCACGCTTTATATAGGGCTACGTTGCTTCAATATTATTCAGGTCAGGTGAATTTGAGCACCAGAGTAGTCTTTTAACCTGGTTTATATCATAAACTGTACGCTGAAAGCAATGGTTATGCGTAGGTGTCTTATCTTCTTGAACTAAGCTTAGAAGATCTTAAAGCGTGTTTAAAGACATTCATTTGTAAGAAAAGATAAGTTTTGTTAATATAATGACTTTCCAATAGTGATACCAGTCAATCACATGTTCCTAGAATAAATACTACCCAGATAGAATATTATAAAGAGTTCCAATGTACGATATGGACCTATAAATCAAATCAAGGGAGTAATTTTACGATAAGCCCTAGGCAGAGAAGATATGAGGAAGTGTGTTTGAAGATGGATTAACAATATATTGAAGCGATTAATCCTTGAAAAACTTTTAAAACTCAGGAAATAGCCTACACTTATACCCGCGGAGACCACCTGGTCTGCTTAACGAGGGAACAAGAATCGAACGATCTCAATGCGCCAGCCATCTATCGGGCAGGCCGGCAGCTCACCGACATGGTGGACTTCCACCAGTTAGTGGCTACAATGCCTGTTGATCTGTTGACCGACACTTTCTCCCGCTGATCTCTATCAGCATTTGGGAACCCGAGATGTTGTCTCCTCAAGCAAGGGAGTCTGTGATCTTGTGAGTGCTCTCGCAGGAGTCGGTCCTGCGTGCCCCAAGGGTCTCCCAAGAATCCTCTGCAACGGTCATATTATTAGTTAGGTGTATAGAGTCGTATTATATAGGCTCATATTACTAACGTTGGAAGTAGGCCGGCCTCAAACATTTGCAGTGACCCTCCGTACATTTTACCTAATGGACGATAAAAAAGGCGATGTGTACATCCTTGGAAGTGATAAGTCACTATTACTCCTACCTAGGTATTTTAAGTGGGCTTCTGTAACTAGTTTACCTCCGGAGCCTGTTTACCTTGATAAATTCGTACCTAGTTGGGTCCCGAGGTCTAACCGTACTTAATTCATTGCCCAGGTGTGGCTTTCCTACTTCTTACTGGCTCTCTCCAATATTTTCCTGATAGTGCCAGTAAAGTAAAGAAATCGAGGTGTCTCGAAGAAGATCGGAAAAAGGATGCGGATCTACATCGGAAGCTTAAAATATGGGTCATAATAAAGTACCACTTGTTCACACTCAAGTGAATATATCTCAGCATGTATAATGGGGTTTGAATTAAGTCAAAGTTTCTCTTTTTCATTTTGCTTTTCTACTTAATGAAGAATACAGCAATATGGCCCCTCCAAATGACTTCGAGCCGTACCTGCTCTCGCCGTTGGATTATGTCCCGGTGGCAGTACATATGACTGCATTTCTGACCTTCCGTTTGGATAATCCAGCTCGGGCAATTCCAGTCCTCGAGGCAGGCGTGGCATGCTTGACCTCTCATCTGCCGTTTTTGACTGGAAATGTGGCCGCTTCTTCTCTATGGCCGGACAAGCAGAACATGATGGAGGTCCAACCATCAAATCAAGATAGTTTGGATCAGTATCCCATGTTAAAGATCAAATATCATCACAGAAGATGGGATACAGAGTTTTATGATCCAGAATACTTGCCGCTGGCTCTTGACAGTATCATAAACGAGCGCAGTCCAGTTTTCCGGCTGCAGGCCAATATCTTGGAAGATGGAATTATTCTCTGTGCCGCTTTCCACCATATGACTATGGATGCCACGGGGTTCTATAATGTGATGGAAGCCCTGTCGATATCCTGTCGGAGTCCAGAGACTTTGGCCGAGAGAACCACAAGCCCAATCGAGGAGAGTTTGACCAGAAAGAAAATCCTCAACGCTGTATCAATAGTGCCGGTTGTCAAAAGCGAAGAGAAAAACGAAGGTGAAAGCTCTCCTGAAGTTCCAGTCGATCTTATCGCCGAAGTCCTGGTCTCCCACAAATTTGTATTGTGCAATGAAAAGATTAACCGGCTCCGAAAACTTTGCATATCATTGACAAATCCACCCACCAAGTTGTCAAGAAATGATGTTGTATCGTCTATTATATGGCTCTGTTTCATGCGAGCTCGTGCATTGCTCTCACCAAGTGCAGCTGAGGATAAATCTCGTTTGCTTACTGCAGCAGACGTCCGCAGAACCCTCAGCTCTGTTCTTCCGCAAACCTACCTAGGAAACTGTCTACAAGGCATCTCAGTTCATAGTCCATTTCCCCTCAAAGCCCTCCTAGAAGTGTTGCCCCGGGATCAGAACGATTCTATCACTCGTCTTAAAAAAACCGACATACATTTTCTTGCCAAATTATCTGTCATTCACCGACAACAGTTTGTCGCAATTGACGACAAGGTTGTTCGAAATACCATATCTCAAATTACGAACACGAAGGACTGGGCATCAAACAGATCAGTCGTGGGAGGACTGGGTGACTTGACACTTAGTAACATACGGAATCTAGGCTTCTATAATTTGGACTTCGGGTCGGTCCTGGGTACGATTCATGACTTTGATAGTCCTGATCCGAGAAACAAAGGCCTTACTTGGGCCCTACCAGCTCGGTTTGGGGATGCACCATGGGAGATTAGGTTGCCACTTGATTCAAAAATCATGGAATTGATGCAGAGGGATCCTTTGATGTGCTGGCTTGAATACAAGGAAGTGGCCAAGTTGTAGTGTAGTTTAATTTGACGTTTTGTTAGGGCCATTTTTAGGCCCAGTGGATCATCATCGCTAGGTTATTTTATCAGATTAAAGTAGAAGTACGAGACTTAACAAATACTACCTATGTTCTTCGATTCAGTCATCAGGAAGTTTGTGGCCAGGCTATCGGAAGATCCAAACCAAATAGAATAATCAACACCACCATAGAGTATTACTTTGTTCTCCGCTGACCATTTGATAGCCTTTTCATACCGGATGCCTCTGTATCGGCGCCAACCTTCAGTTTGAGACCCTTCTGATTCATAATGCTCTAGAGACTTATTGGTATTGGGATTCCTTGGCGATTCCCTTGCCGTATACTGCCGACAAGCTTGAGATGAAGCTAAATGCTGCCTAGACTGTGTAGTTGGTGGTTGACGAATGCCTGGTCGCAGTCCAACTCAGAGGGCTGCCAGGGGCAGTTTGTGAGATAGCTTGTATTCAGTGGTAAGAAAAAGGAAACTGACATAAAGGGAAATGGGATATAATGCATTCATGAGATATCTTCTCAGGTACCTTTCGACCTAGAATATTGATTTTTATCTGATCCTTCTGATGAGCTCATCTGGCTGCCTTCGATTTTAAGTTGTTCCAAGTAGCCTTCGATGTCTGCCTTGACCTTATCCATTTGTTTTATTTCCTCTTTGCCGCGCTCTAGTTGCTCCTCCATCATCATAATAAGCGATTCACGAGCCTGGTGCGGTCGATAGAGATTGAGAAGGTGGTGTGCGTTAATGAAAAGGTTGCGCAGGTCATCCACCTTCGCTTGAAACTGTTCTGGGGCGACGGAGAGGATTCCAACAAATTCCAAAAAGTTGAGAAGAAGGGATTTGCTAATCTTCAGTAGGTAATAGGCGTGGTTAAGTGGCTGAGATGGTTGTGAAGGGTCGCGATCAGTTTCCGAAGTAGGTTCGGGGTATAGCTGCTCAATCCCTTGCTCTTGTAAGGATGGTAGTGTAGTTGATAACTGTCTCCAAGTCAGTCCATTCTTCATTTCGTGCTGTGCTTGAGCTGAATGAGACTCACAGTTTGCAGCTCGCCAAAGACCGAGTACTGCCCATCAGGAATCTCTGGTGGTACTAGGAACCGTAGCTCTGGGGGCAAATTGAGAGCCCGTAGCTCCAGTGGTGACAAATTTCGGTCATGGCCGGTTCCATCCTGGTTCTTGGATTCTGTCTTGATTTGTTCAAGCTTGTCTAGGTTGTCACGAGTAAAATGCTTCCACAATGGTGGCGGTGGTGCAAAGGCGACAGTCACCGCGCGTTGTTGACTAGCATCGGCCATATTATTATATCTATGTAGTCGGTAAAAAGGTAGGCAATAGAAATTGGAAATCGCGAAGAAGTTGGAGCTGGAAGGAACGCGGAACCAAATGTGGGTCTGTGCTTAAGTGACCACATTGTTCCGCTCTTCTACTCTACATCTCAATTCACTTACGACATGCCACTCGACTAAAGGCCTGCTGAGTCTTTGCTATTGCACTCCCTGAAGAATGCCTTATAGCGGCTCGGGGACTGGACATTCATCTCCAATTCAGCGTCGCGCTGACCTAGTTGGAGCTGTCGCTCGCTTTTCCCAACGCTCCTATGCGGCCGACTATATCGCATTGTGCTTTTTAGTACTGGGATGGCTACTGGTAAGCTGGAACTAACCCAAGAATAAATACTACATAGCAATTGTTAACATACGAGCTTTGATCTTAACAGATTGAGCTCTTTCTCACTCCTTTTCACCGAATGTTTTCACTCGACAACAAATCGATTCAGTATCCATATGCTGTTCATGAACGAGTCACTGTTTGTACGAATCCCTAGCTCTGAACCGATCAACTCGCATACTTATATTGCTCTCCCTAGGGTGGTCTATCATCTACGCAGGCGTGATACCCTTTCTCATCATCCTCGCTTGGTCCGCCATGTTTCGCCCTGGTGGACAGAAGACCCAAGTCACGATTTTAGGACTATTGGTGGCTATAATGTTGACAACAGTTCTTACAGATATTGTTAAGAATGCAGTGGGTAGACCCCGCCCCGATATGCTATCTCGCTGCAAGCCCACTCGAGGCACGGCAGACAATGTGCTAGTCGCATGGACAGTATGCACCCAGCCCAACGAGCATATTCTACAAGAAGGATGGCGCAGCTTTCCAAGTGGACATAGCAGTCTCTCCTTCAGTGGGCTTGGATACCTCTCGCTGTAAGTACTACCAAGTCATTTATAAATGAACAGTTTACCGACTGTTTGCGCCTACAGCTTCTTTTGTGGCCAGATGCACGTTTTTCGCCCTCGGACTGACCTTGGACGATGTCTTTTTGCATTTTCCCCTCTTCTTTGCGCCATGCTTGTTGCCATCTCACGCGTGGACGATTACCGACATGATGTATGGGACGTAACGTGCGGTAGCATTCTAGGAATGCTGGTGGCTTGGTTTTCATATCGACGTTATTACCCGCCACTGCGGTCGACTCAATGTGATGTGTCGTACGACAAGGCAGACTTTGCTAATACGGAGGGATTTGGGCGACTGGAGGATGAAGAGCGGGCTCTATCACCAGTAGTCAGTTCATCCACTCGAGAGGGCACATATCAGTTAGCAGATACCCATTGATAGTTTCTTCACTCTTGCGAAAATTTCGGGAATAAGTTCTTTAAATTCCTCTGCATATCTAATACCCATATATCCAAGTACCTTTAGGGACGCACTGCTACCACTACACACTCTGATACTACCACTACACATTTTACTACTACCACTATAATGCCTTAGATTTCAGGCATTTATCAAGATTTTTGTTTTTGTAGTGGTAGTATCAAAACGTGTAGTGGTAGTAGTAAAATTAAAAATGACATGTCAGAGTTAGTAAAATTAAACCCGGCAGAATAAAGATTAGTAATCTCAACCAAGGTGTGATTGAAACTACGTAATTTGGTGTATATCTCTTAATTCTGGAACATACACTCTATTCTGCCGTATAGACCTCACCGCCTTCCTTATTAATCTATTCAATAGATATTATCATTGAAGCTTCACTTGTTCTTATTCCCATCTCCTACCATCAGGGAATCTATCATAATGGAGCCTGAAATCATCCCCGAGACCCCCACTAAGACCCCTGATGGCATCCCTGACTTTCCCCCGCTTCTATTTTCAAATGATTTATGCACGGTATACCGCAACAAGCTATCGGCGTTAGAAGAAATCAATAACTACTCTAAACCCCATGGCTACTCCGTGTCAGTTTTGCGATCTGTCAAATTCGACGACAACTCTGGCCGCTATCGAATCATCCATCTCTGCTGTACTCGCGGACGAAAATATAGACAACGGAACAATAACAACGAGATACGAGAATCGTCAACTCAAGCAGTTGAATGCCCATTCCGTCTATCATTACATGCCATAGACGATTTCCAGCTAAATCTCACCGCGGAAAACATTGATCATAATCATGGGCCTTCGCCTAATATCTCAACACATGTTTACCATCGCCGCCTAGAGCTCGAGCAGAAGACTGATCTTATCCAAAACCAACTACGACAAGGCCTTAAAGCACAACGAATTGTCATAGGTCTCCGGAGAGATGATCCTGAATCATGTCTTATTAAACAGGATATTTATAATCTTGTTCAAAGAACTCAGCGTGAATATCTAGCTAGACGCATACCTATGCAGGCATTGATTGAAGAGCTTCCACGAGACGGAGTATGGCAACTTGAAGTTGAGCTTGATTCATCAAATACTCCAACTCTCTTATTTTGTGCCCATCGCACCAGCATAACCTTACTACAAACGAGTCCTTGGGTTATCTCTATGGACCCAACGTTTAAAACGAATAAGTATTCACTCCCACTACTTAACATTGTTGGATTCGCAGCAACCGGACAGTCATTTCTTATTGCATGCGTTTTTATTGAAGACCAAACACGAGATACATTTATTGTTGCTGCGGAGTGTTTAAAACGACTTTACAATGCTCTGGCTATTCCTCAATGCCTATACCCAACAACAATTCTAACAGATAAAGACGATCAACTTCAATCTGCTCTTTCTATAGTTTTCCCATAGACTGACACAATGATCTGTATTTGGCATATTAATCAAAACATTTCAAAACATGCAAGACCGTTCCTTTCTGATCAGCTCGTTTTCAATCGAACCAATAACAACCCGAGTAAAGCTGAGAGAGAGGCCAAGCGAGATAAGATTGATGAAGCATGGAAAAACATGCACCGCCGGTGGAATCGCATTGTTTATGCTGACGCAACAGATTTTGAAGAGAAATGGGAGTGGTTTAAGACGGAATACGAGGAATTCCCAGACCTAATTAGCTATATCCAAGCCAATTGGCTAGATGAAATAACAGGTTGCCCGAAACAGTTCCTCCGCATGCATACATCTCAATATCTCCACCTTAGAGAATCGGCTACCTCACGAACTGAAAGTGTGAACTGGATGCTTAAACGGGAGCTCCCAGGCTCGCAAAATAACCTTGTTGTTTTACAACACTTTGAGCCACTCCTTGAACGCCGATTTAAGAAGATTCGCCTTAAAATTGAATTTCAAAAGATGAATCGCCTAACACGGTCACATGCTGTTTTCCAGCAGCTTGCATGTCGAATTTCAATTAAAGGTATTCATCTCGCTCAAGACGAATTCGAAAAATATCTCCCTGAGGCGTCACATAGACTACCAATTCCACGTGCCCTAGGATGTGAATGTGGTGTGGAAGAGGCAGTAACCTGTAACTGTCCTTGCACATGCGATTCAATTAATAAATCAGGATACCCATGTATCCATATCATGAAGAAGCACTATTATGAGAAAACCAGTTTACTTCCACAATACTTCCATCAATAGTGGCATCTCTATGGGTTTGAAGCTCCGCCTCCTCAAGAAAGAATGATTCAAGAGCCACTTCGGAAGGTAAATCGCACCGGTGGAAGACCACGTGGTGCAGCTAACTTCCCCCGATCTCAATCCCAATCCCAAACTCAATCGAGTCAATCCCAAACGCAAACACAAACGCAAACACAAACGCAAACTCAATCTCAGACTGAATCGCCACGTTTAACACCATTCGAGAGATCTGTTCATAGGGAGCCGTCTGGGTGGGAATACGGAGACCCAGCACTCTTCCAACAAGCAGGTGATCGGTATCCAGGATGCCCAAGAACAGGCCCAGGAAGTCGTGGAGGACGTGGGCGCGTACAACCTAGCCGGCCTCGAAATCGTAGACGCGTGGACCAGGAGGAGGAAATTGAGTCCTCAGAATCTTCAGAATCCTCGTCGGATTCCTCGGAATTTGAAGGATTTACAGATTAATAGCGATCGGGTTGAAATACAGTTGGATTACATGAAGTAAAAGCGGTAACAAACATGCGGCAGAAAAAGTAGACGTTTCCCGGGGTAAGAGATATATGCTGGTATGTGTAGAACTGATCCCGACTCCCGACCGTAAAGGCGGTAAAAAAAAATAAGGCGGTGTAGCTTTTACTCTAATATGTCATTTTCAACTTTACTGCTACCACTACACGTTTTGATACTACCACTACAAAAACAAAAATCTTGATAAATGCCTGAAATCTAAGGCATTATAGTGGTAGTAGTAAAATGTGTAGTGGTAGTATCAGAGTGTGTAGTGGTAGCAGTGCGTCCCTACCTTTATTCTCATTTCTCTTCTAGTGCTTCTTCCCAATTTATCATCTTATCTCCATTGTATATACTGTACTTCTCCGCCTTTGCGGAGTGGCAATAATGAGTTTTGCCACGGAAAGCCTTATCACATCTGGAATTCCTCTTACACCAATTCAATCCATGGACTACTGTCTGATATGTCCTAAGGCCTTATGACCGTGCGATTGGATGCCACGCAGAAAAGTCGCCGACCGTACTGGACCGGTGAAAACCCGGTCACGGAGTGGCTGTAAAGAATGCCGCGCCAGTCGCGTTCGGTGCGATACTAAAAAACCGATCTGTACGCGTTGCAGTGACAAGGGACTTCCCTGTTCCACGGATTTTGTCCTGAAATGGGAATCCGAATTTATCAGTCGAGGCATTGCATTTGGACGAGCAGGTATCTGGAGTAAAAATGGAGATGTGGCCCGATCACAGAGCTCTCCATCTTCGACGTCTGCGGATGATATGCGTGAATGGTGTCGGTTCCCAAAAATACTTGAATGGGGGTTTGTAAATGCTGGACTGGCCACATTTGAGACTCCAGGCCAGGTGGATGTAGGGCTGAACACACTCGTTCCGTACAACAAATATCCGTCGACAGGTACAAACAGTCTCGAGGGAATTGTCGCGGCCAATCACCATCCTATGCCACTCCTTTCTCTCTTCCCAGAGATATCTCAGCTAGGACATGGAGACCTGCTTGACTACTACATACAATATGTATGCCCCCGTACTACGGCGAGTTCCACAATGTCTTCTCCATTTGCCTCAGTGATATTGCCCTTTGGATTATCTGCCTCACCCACTTTATTCAAGGCTATTCAAGCTCTTAGCGCGTGTCACCGATCTCGTGCCAATCCGGCATATGGTGTTCTTGGACTTCGTTTGAAATCGGAAACATTGAAGGATCTTCGTCATAGGCTTTCCAGTGAAGGATCCTTGACTTGTAGTGAAGACCCGGAGGTTTTGGTGATTATGATGATGCTCTGTCTCTACGAGATTGTGGACAAATGCGACCAGTACTGGACTATTCATCTAAAAGGGGCCAAGGATCTCATTCGGTTGCGGAGACAACGAGCTATCGCACTCTCTCAACCAACGACGGCACCAGATCCTGCCTCCGCATTCGCAGAGCATTTTTTTGCATTCCAGGATGTCATGGGACGAACTGCCTGCGGCAAAGAGGCCCTGTTTGGCGGTGATTACTGGCAGGCGGACGACCGAAAGATTGACATGTGGATGGGATGTAGTCCGGAGCTTGTCCTCATTTTGTCCAACATCACCGACTTGAGTCGTGCTCGACCGCAGTTTGATTCTGACGCTAGTCAAGCTTCCTTTGTCCAACGTGCTTCTATACTCGAAGAAAAGCTTCTACATCTGGTCCAAGACGTGGGAGATGGAGCTGGAGCCGTGGAAGAGATGATTGTTTTCGCTGCTGAAACAAAGCGACTGTCTGCGCTTCTGTATTTGCATTGCGCAGTCCTTGGCTCCTGCCCGACTACTCCTTTGGTGGTGGACTACGTTCGACAGATCCTTGAGTTGATCTCAGAACTAATTGGCCGTGGATATCTGGCTAGCGCGTTTCTTTTTCCAATATTTGTGGCTGCAATTGAGCTCGATCCCTCGCGGGATGAGATCTGGTCCGACTCTGATGGTGCTGTATCCGGGCGAGCAACCGTCCTGCGAGCTCTGGATGCAATGACCGAGTCTACTATTTCCAACGTAGCTCGTACACGAGCAGTGATTGTACAGGTATGGCAAGCGCGCGACCAGGATCTGTTGAAGAGACGGAAAGAGTGCAACGACTGGGAATGTTACGTTGTACCTGTCAGCGACGCCATGAACCTTGCGTAAAAGAAGAAGAAGTGAAAATACGGCCTGAAATGTATATGAGCTCAATCTATTTGATGACCTAATATCAGATAAAATATTTAACAGAACCAAATAACTACTGTGTACGTAACTATAGTTACGAAGAACTGCGGGGATGGGACTGTCTAAGCAGACCGCTTTCGGTTAGTGGACCATTTCTATCGCAAAGCGCGTAGAGCATCTCTTAAATCCCTACATTATTCCTCCTTTTTCGATATGTCTTTCTTGAATTGATTACTCAAAATTTCTGGTTTGCGGGAAATAATGGCACAGATCCAACCTCTAGGGCCTCGGCGCAGCACATCAGCCCATCCTCTCGAGAGCAAATTAAGCCATCAACTACAACCTGAATCGCTATTTCCCCAGTCAGACACAGTTACTCGTTCGCCGAAGTCACGTTCTCTTTCGGACGCGTCAAGGCCAACTCCAACACCGCAGCCTTCTACCGGAGATTTAAGTCGTCCGCAGAGTAAAGACGATACTGCGCTCCCTTCATTGCCGGCCACTCCCAGTCGTTCTAATACACACCACAACCTTTCATTAAACCTTCCGTCCAAAACAGCTTCCCCGTCCATCTCTCGCGCTCCTCTATCCCCACAACTTGACTCTTCACAAATCTATGGGTCACCAGGGTCGGTCCTTCCACGGCGGTCCCGCGGCCTGGACTTCTCTCGCGCCTGCACTAATTTACACCATTCCACTCTCGCCGAATCCTCGCCAAATTCGTCTCCTACTATCGGGGGTCGTGGGATATCTATTCCACAGCGCCGAGGCTCCCTCGGTCTAACTTCCGCGCCACCTTTCTCGACCTCAGGCCCTGCGGACCGAACAGTCATCTCCGGCTCTATGTCGAGTGTGAACATGATGGAGGAAGATACTAGCAGCAGTAGCGAGGGGGAGGATGATAGCATGATGGGTGACGGCGACGATATAATGCTCAGCACGCCGCAGGCGGCGCGAATGAGCGGGCCCGGCCCCTTTGCGACAGGATATATCCAGAGTCCTGGTAATGAATGGATGGGAGGGTATTCACAAGCTGCGGCGAGTCTCATGAGCTTCCAACGAGCACGACTTTCCCGCAAAGGACGCAGTCGCCACAGTTCGAGCAGTGCAAGTGGGAACAGCTCTAAGCCAAGTCCAGGACCGCATTCACCTCCAGTCATGAAGAGTGTGGAGAACGCAGGAGGTTACTTTGCATCCCGACAGACTGTCCATTCTAGACGAGAGAGCTTGAGCCTGGGCACTCGAGATCTCCGACTTTCAGATCTGAGTGATGACGGCGAGGCTCGCGCTGTACGTCCAGGCAGCCCCACAGGAGGTCCACCACTGGGAGTGATACGTCGCGCGGTTACTCGACGAGGAAGTTTATTAGTAAGTCGAAGACATCATAACTTTTCTGGATTGACTAACGCTGTTGAAAAGCCCAAAACGAAGACATTTGCTCGCATTCGCGCGGAGTTAATGGAGGAGGGTGCCCCGATCGATAGTGACATGAAAAGAGAAGCCGAAGTGGTTCGGCAGGTCCGCGACACAGAAACTGAGGCATCTCCAACTCTCAGGGCTATACCCTCGCTGCATTCACCTCAGGATATGGATAGCCCGCAGCCCTCTGCAGCAAAAGCTATTCCTACTACGAACAGCTTCAGCAAGCAAGCGAGTCGTAACTCGGGCGGAGTAGGATTTTGGAATTCCTTCGACGAGCGCTATCGTACCCCACCCCCTATGCGCCAAACAGGTGGCTCGTCCGTCCCAGACGATGATGTCCTCATGGACATGACACCATCTAGCATGGTTGGACCGCATGCAACTGACCTGAAACAACGCTCTCGGTCTTCAACTCCTCATGCCCCGGTTGCAATAGTTGGTGAACTGCGCCGTAAACGCCGCCGAGACGATGACTTCGACCCTAACACCTTCAAACGTCGGGCTGTATCGCCCAGCATGAGTGTCCAGAGCAGCCCGGTGTTAACCCATTCGTCTACCGTGGATAACGGACCTAACATTTGGGGCCCGTCATCGAAGCTCGGCCCCCCATTCTCTGAGCGTCCGGCAGGTACACCGAAGCGTATAGGTCTCCAGGGTATGACTGAAGCTAATGATGGATTTATGAACATGAGTATTGAATGAAATGATCGGCGGTTTCGTACTTTAATGGGGTTCTATTTATAGCGTGGGTTGATTTAGTCTTTCATAGTATGGTGTTGGGGAATCAAAGCGCATACTTTCTAAATGATACCATCTCAGTTTTTGTATCAGGTTTAAAAATGAATTGATGGTTGTCACAAGAGGTTGTTTAGTGTCACTACAACTGTATTTTATTTAAAGGCGGAACCACGTGCGGGCCCGCTTCTCCGTGTCAAGCTTGACTTGCTCTCCTCCGCAAAGCTGCCCTCACCTTCATTGCTTCTCCTATTACTTTTCTGTCAAGTTCCTACAAAATGACTACCACCGTTGAAATTGCATCGACTTTTATCGAGGGAGCTCCTCCTGGTGAGGTACGTACACTCTTCCACCTTGATCCCCGCCACTCCGCTCTTTGCCGTTGAAGCAGGTACTGACATTGACCACTCTGCTAAATAGCTCGCTGATATTGTCGTCGGTAATTCATCCCTTCCATAATTTATATTGTTTGCCCATTTCACACCATCAGCCAACCCTAAACTCCTGAACGTCTACGTGTTTTGATGCTGAACCCCGTGCTGGTCATAGATGTACAAAGCTTGACTGAAGGCGAGGATATTATTCCCTTGCTCGCCCCGGCATTTGAAAGATACAATGAGAGCCAGCTCACCACGGTGAAATTGCCTGGGTCCAGCCAGGAGGTGGGAATTTACCCCGCTCCTCCACTTGGTTTGTTTGTTTGTTGACATTAGGGAAGGTTATTGTCAGTCAATTTAACAAGCTGGACGGCAACCGATACTTCGATACAGAGAGTCAGACCTCCTTTGAAATTGATCATACCACGCAGGTAGGCAGAGATGGATCACGGCCAAAAAGAAGCAATTAGAAGCTTACATGGGTCTAGACTGCCTCTGCGGCACAATCATCTCCCTTGGAATCTCAAAATGCCGACCTGATGTAAGCGATTCAGGAAGATACTAGAGTGAAGAGGTTTCTGATTCAAGCTAGTAAATCGTTGCTCAAGTCACTTGGCGTCCATGCTAAGGAGCATTACCCCAACTGCTCGTACAGCGTCTATCCCATCGAGGATGACCTTGCCGTTGCAATTGTCGTTGTTGCCAATCGCTACTCTCCCAAGAATTTCTGGTACGCCAAAGGAGGTCAGGATATGGGGTTGGATTTACTAATTGATCTCTAACAGGAACGGTCGATTCCGAGCAATCTACCAAGTCCCCGTATCATCCTCCTCTTCTACCACCGTGACCGGCAAATTGCACGTTGATGTGCACTACTACGAAGACGGAAATGTGGCACTTAACACTACCAAGCCGATCAGCCTCTCGGTCCCCTCCGTTTCTGCCGAGTCGATTATTTCGCGCATCGCGGCAGCCGAGCGTGACTACCAGGAGGAACTGAACCGGGCATTCGTGAGCATGTCAGAGGGCGCCTTCAAGGGACTTCGGAGACAGCTACCCATCACCCGGCAGAAGGTCGAGTGGGAGAAGGTTGGCCAGGGACTTCGCGTATTACCACATCATAAGTCCTAAGCAGCTCTTAATTAGGGGGACATTCACTGTGGCATTGTGAAATTGGCCAATTGTAAGAGGCTCACAGGTTTGGGCCTTCTAGGCTGAAATAATGCCATATTTATTCCCTAATCAGATATATCAGTGACTTTGCGACTCCCGTTCCCACCGCAACTTCTCATTTTAAGAATTTACACCGTAACTCCTAATTCCATCTATTCTGCACATTCACTCATCCGTTCAAAATAGAGTATATCTCTACCACCGATAATAATGAAGAATCTTCTATCTTCTCCTCGACCACCTATTCTGGAGGCTTATTACTATATGTTCTTTTATAGTCTTTTGCCAACTTCCTCTTCTTTACTACCTCTTCTTTGGCTTTCCTCGTCATAATTAAGCGATTTATATGATGTGTAGTTAATACACCAGTCTCTTAAAGTGCCTCAAGCTCCTTAATTGTATGCTGCAAAATACAAGCGAGGTGATTAAAAGCGATATGGGAAGTGGAATCGTCGCATTAGGGTTAACACTAACACTCATTATATTCCTTGATTCAGGCATAGCAGAGACTAGTCTTCTGTCGCGACGACCACTACTTGCCCTTCTTATAGCACTCAGCTCTTCGGCGGTGAATCCTATCCCGACATTTGTTTATCCCAACCCAGGAGAGGAGTTGAAAGAAAGAGACAATCACCTTGCTATTATTAATTTCTCCCTAACATAAGCAGCTTTTGTCACGACTCTGGAATATGCTCTTGTTATGGCGGCTGTTGCGAACGTGTACACAATGGCTTTCCATATAGATTCCTGGACCATCAACACAATCAGCTGCAGCGATGTTTGATATCCTGCAATCTGGGCGGTGACTATACTTCCCATTCACCTCTAGCTCTGCGAGTAACTACCTCGTCGCTCTCCTTGGGAATTTCCCTACAAAAAGTTCCAAGATTGATGCTATGGTCAACATAATAACGTGTACCTACCCTTGGTATCCAGAAGATGAGTACTTTCCATCTCAAGAGATTCTTGACCCTCGAAATGGAGACCCCCTTTGAGAGCAGTGCGATATAAAGATAGCTAGGCCTCTCGTATGCTGAATCCTGGAGCTTTTGACCAACAAGTTACATCGTCGGCCTACTGAGCTGTCTATAAGAGTCTTCTGTTGCCAATGCGCTTTTAGCTTGATTTCGATTCTTACTTAAAGTTGTGCGAATCAGGTGACACCTATCTTAGACAAGTCGCCATAAGTATATTTGATGTAGATAACTAAGAGAAGTAAAGTAGCACGATGCTCGCGAAGGACTTAAAGTAAAATTGTTTTGAGAAAATAAGCTTGATATTTCTTCCATACAAAAACCATAAAAATAAAAACATACAACAGTCAGGATACGCATATGGTCACCCACCATACTACTAACTGACCGGCGTGGTCGCGCGATGCTTAAGCAGCGCTCACCATAATGACCTATCTACCTAGGGAATATAGATCGGGAACACCCAGTCACTACCACATACGACCACAGGGTGTGGAGAACAGGGCTTCACGTCCGCTCAGCCGTACTTAAGCCACCTATGGAACGCGGAAAATAGTCCAAAAGCCCTTCCCACCTGGCTCACCCTAAAGCAGCGATAGAACTCCCCTTAGGGTGAGGGTGGGTGATATGGGTGAGCTTGGGTGAGCTTGGGTGAGGACGGGTGAGCACCGGGTGAGCTTAGCACCCCTGCCCCTGCCCTAGAATTTTTCACCTTACAGACCGAAAATAAATAAATACTTGGTAGAGCCCTTCATGTGTTTTGGCATACTTTTTATCCCGGAGGTCAATTTTGAAAGTTTGAAAGATGTCTGATTTTGAAAATCTTCAAAAGATTGCCGCCAAGCGTGCTACACTTGCCGCATCACGTGGATTTACAACTGAGTATCTGTGTCATGTGCACACCCGACTCGTAAAAAAACGAGTCGGGTGTGCACATGACACAGATACCAGGATACTAAAGAAAAAGAAGAGAACAAAATATGCCATAAAAGACTCGCGCCTGCTACAATCAACAAATACGATAATTCGTTAAGAAACTGGAAGCTGTAAGTCAAAGGCTGCAACTTAAGCCTACTTACTCTAATAATGTTTATAGATGGATGTTATCCCGCAATTTACACGAGCTTAAACCAACTGCTTAGGAAATCAGACTTTTTGATTCACACGAGCCCGATCTAACTCCTCAGCAATTGAAGCTTTTCGCCGAAAATTATGTTGCATCCGCAAAGAAAATGCCATCTCAGAGGTCGGCCTGTGATAACTTCACCGGTTTTACCTTAACGTGGGAACGGGAAACTAGACATGTGCATGGGTTGGGTATGGGTCAAAATTCATACCCATACCCATACCCAACCCAACCCACGTGGGTATGGGTTGGGTATGGGTCCCATATGGGTATTTTTGATGCCTTAATGCCTGATTTTCGCATCAACCTAAACTAAATTAGGGTAATTAGTGCCTTAGTGCCTAATTTTTGCCTCAATCTAGTTATAACTAGGTGACAAATATCACGTGAAATAAAAGTCTTGGCAAAAAGATGGGTTTATGGGCTGGGTGTGGGTTTTACTTCAAACCCATACCCAACCCATATGGGTTTTGGGTAAAATTTCTGACCCATACCCAGCCCATTGTGGGTTGGGTTGGGTTGGGTATGGGTTTACCCAACCCAATGAACATGTCTATACATGCTAGGCGGAAACACCACCCACAATCATGGCAATTCTACCGTCACCCAGTGTTATTCCATATCGGATATTGGATATTGGATCGGCCACTAAACGAGTATATAAATCTTGGGCCTCATGGTTCTATATTTATGGCTCTTAAAGATTCTTATTTCCTCTCCAACTTTTCTTTTGGTTTTCCTCTCTTCTATATGAAATAACAGCAATTCGTAGAGAACCCGGGAAGGGTCTCGAAAGAACAAAAAAAAGTCAAACCAATACACTCGTCGTATATCATGTAGCTAGTTACAGACCTTCTGACTAGAAGTTTTCTCCTTATAGCCTAAAAAATACAGAAATCCTTAGGCCATTCATTTTGCTCATTCCCGAGAAGAATCAGAACGATTAAGCTGAAGAAATAAACACAACTATAACAAGTCGACCTCGTGTGATACAACGTGACACAGGCTCACACAGGCCTCATCCCCATCGCAATCATCAATCGCCTATCGCGAATATGATTGTAACCGCTATCTGTCACACCTGCTAGCTGATCCCAGCTATACTCAGCCACACGGCCCTCGCGCTCGTAGGCTAGATACTCTGGTGCAAACCACTCAAGCTCCTCAGTCCACTCAGCTAGTGTATAGTCGTTGAGATGTTCTAAGTCCCCCCGTTGGCTAATTGTCGCCAGAATTTCTAGTAGTGGTGGTTGAAGATCGATACTAATATAAGATTATTAATTAGTATATATTAAACCATAATCTATAGATAATCAAAAGATACGTACGGTTGATTCCATCTTGGATTCACATCAGGCATATCGAAAAGCTCACTCCATAAATGGCCTAGTCCATGCCGGATTGACTTGAGCCGACCTAGTCGATATGGGAGCATCCGTGCCTGGTGGGCAACTTGCCCGTTTATAGCAAAATTAAGCAGTAAGAGGCACCCATCCTGATAGGTCTGATTATCAATCACAACATATTCGAATCCTTGTAGGAGCGGAAAAATGACAGTGCCAGCTTGTGTCATAGCCATCGCGCTAAAATCAGCTGTTTCAAGGAAGAAGGTCACGGGTATATTCTCTGGTGCTAGGAGTTGAGTAGAAGTGTCGAGACTTATATTATTAGGACCAAATATAAATCCTGGGAGATGAGGAGTAGGGTCGGGGTCATTATAGCTTAGTGGATGACAGCCACCATGAATATGTATGTATAGCAGGATCAAAAGCTTCGTGATACGGGAGTAATTTTCCGGTTCATAAGGTTTATCAGCAAGGCAGATAAACCGTTTAGAACAATATACCCCAGAGAAACTGGATATATCAGGTAAGGGTGTAGACGTATGTAAATAACTGTCACGAAAGCTTTGATCTGCAGACGCCCATGTTTCAATTAGAGCCCGTCGCTGGGCTCTGTCATTTTCTGGGCTAGGAAGGGGAGTCCAAGATTCCTAGATCTATATTAGTATTATAAGTATTATTTTAAGATCGAGAAAGGTACCTTCAAAAACTGGCACCAGCCTTTGATTTCTTCTTTTATATCACAATCTCCATCAGGGTGTAGTTGAATAGTGGATGGAATCCCACCAGGCCAAAGCTGTGTAGGTGACAGAACTGTTTGAGTCATATCGTGAAAATAACTCATCACGACCGAGTAGTTAGTTCCAAGGTTATGGGTATTTATCTCTCTTGTTGGTGCTATTAAAGAGTTTTCACGGAGCGCCTGGTCCGGCACCCGATGTGGATTTCCTGGTTACCCTGAAGTTTCTGATCCATCCACCCGGTGGATCAGGGTGGATCAGGCGATTTTAGACTCTACTATGTAAATAGTTCGAAAAATACAACGTAGCGCATACGAGCGTAGGCTATATTAGGGGGATTTGAAGTTTTAAAGTGCGATAACCGTGACGCTCGCGAACTCCATTCTTGCACATGAGGTACTGATAATGACTTATTAGTCTGAAACCTTGCTTTTTTCTACTCTATATTCTTATTCGTAGTCCCTGAAGGTTTAAGGCGTCAAGTGCTCGAAATTGATGGTAACTGTCGCTCGCTTGGCGATATTCGAATATCTTAACTGAGAACGGTGAGACGCTGTGAGCTCCAACAAACCGCTACTCAACACCGTAGAAAATCCACCGGGTGTAGTGGATGCTACGATACTGAATATTGCGATTGTTGTGAAGTCTGCTTTTTCATTGATGAAAGAACTAGCTACTTATAGTATATGGGTGCCCCTCTGCTCTGGACGAATGTCAACATTCGTCCGAGACAGAAGAGACGGTGAAGACGGGACATTACTGTCGCGAATGCACATCGCTCAAGGGTGTCGTTTGCGATGAATGCATATCGTTCAAGGATGCCGTGATATACTAATCCAGTTCCGGAGTCGCTGTCTCGGCAGAAGCTTTTTCGGCCGAAATACTTTCCGTCTGTTGATGGCCTTGTTTCTCGGCTGTCGCAACAGTAACATGCTAACATTCTCGTACGGATATGGCGCTAAAATGCTTAGGTGGCACGCAGCCATCTCTCAAAATGATTAGATATCGGCTATCTCAAAAGAAAAACTCGACTCTACTATGATATAGCTTATGCGTCACATTCTCCATATGAACTATCGCACGTGCTTGCTGAACAATAGTCCGTAGTTGAGCCACTATTTAATGTCAGAAATTCCACTGTCACTTGCAACTTCAAAAATGTTATGTAGGTTTTCTCTAACATACCAATAGCCGTAGATACTACAGCAGCTTCCAAATTGCGAACCTTCACAGGTATAATCGTCATTGGCTGAGCCATAAAGACCGTTTGAAGAGATATTTGATTCTGTTACATGTTGAATTCAGCCAGGTATCAGTGGCGTATGTGATGATCATAGTAACATACCATAAGTTCCATAGCTTGGATCACATATGCTTCCGCAGTAATCGCTAGTCGAACCACTGGACCAGGGTATTAGTCTTTCTGCTGCGCGTGAAGTTATAATAGACTCTTAAGTTTTTCGCGTACCAATAGCCCCAATTGTCACAACAATCTCCAAACTGAGAACCTGCACAGGTATACCCGTAGGACTCGCCACAGGTTCCATCGGGGGAAATTCTAAGACCAGTGCTACTGGGTTCGGCAGATGAGGATGAAGTCGTGGAAGTCGACGAGGACTCGGAATTTGTGGCTGTGGTGGTGGTACTTTGTGCAATCTTTGTAGACAACTGCCCCGTCAGGGCTGTAGAAGTTGTATAGAATATGGTGGACGAAGTGAACTGGGTAGTGCTCGGGTCTCCAAGGGATATACTTATATTAAATGGCTGCGTAGGCAGTGGTTGCGAGACATCAATGAGACACACTCTATCATACTCTGATAGCCAAGCTGCATCGTCGAGCATCTCCGAAGTTAGATCGCCAGAGGAAACATTGTAGTATGCCCTGGCCTAGGAGCAAAGAGTATAGTTACTCGTGAGCTTGACCGCGGTGCTATTATATGTAAATATTGAGGTCGGATAAGTCGCAGATGTCGGGTAAAGCCAGCTACGCAACTTTAGCACAAATAAAAATAGTCTCACCATATAACTCACGTCATATTCCAATTATCTGTAGCGGTAGCGTTGAGATTGAAGGTTGATGCTAGAGTAGTATATGCCGAGCGGCTAGTTGTGGAATACCCAGCGTATGTCTGGATATTGCCAACAGCCTCCACACACTATATAGCCACGAGCCAGTCTGGAATCAGAAATCTTTACACGAGTGTAAGAGACCATACAAGGAACTACTCACATAACTGTTCCCTTCCCATAAATTAGAGCATTTACCGCCTAGTTGGGGGTTGAGAAAGTAAAAGTCCTGGGAAGTGATATCGAATTTGGCCGTCACATTATCGCATGTATCGCCGTCTTGGATGGTATACCAGTAGCCACAGTCGTCGTTGGATGTTGTTACTGTATTTTTTGGGACAGCACTGCGAGAACATTTCGGGTCTTAGCCAATGAGAGAATTTGTGTAGGTAAATAGACGTCTTACACAGCAGAACTAGCAACTTTAAGAGGAAAACTGGTTGGAATAGACATACTGCCCAGTGGACTAGCAGTAAGCATCAATATATCAGCTGATTTGAATCATTGATAGTACCTATGGATCTTGGTAGGGACTTTTGCCGCTACACAGCCCTAGAGCCTACCTCAAACATATATATCCACCAGTCAATAAAGCCAAGTTTGAACACTATGAATTGATACTTGGATTCCATGCCCGAAAGACCAGCAGCGAAACCTGCCGTGAAAGGGTGGACAGTATCAAAGCACAAGTGTCGTTTGACTGTACTAAATAGATATCACATATGCCTAGGAGACAGAGCTCCTGATTTACTGATAAGTAATTGCAACCAACTCCTAGAGCATTTATGTTTTCTAGCATTGAGGTTGAGACATTGGCGGAAAGCGAAATATCAATACAGGTCTCATTGACACTAGTGACATATGTATTGGTACTGATATTGCTGAGGTCACAGCGTGAATTGACGGCAGTTGTCCCTGTTGCGGTAGCAGATGCGTTCAAGGTCGATGTTACAGCCGTAGTTAATGACATGGCCTAGGTGGAAATGATAAGAAATAAGAAGATGATAGGTAGCTAGGGCACTACAGCCCAAGTTATTAAGGCCATTAAGCATTGAGGTGACTGTGTAGAGGGTTTAAGGGCGTGATTCGACTGTAAGGTTGAGGAAGCCCGGGATTATGACGGAAGATACTAGTATAAGAGAGAATCACAGAATTATCATCTAGTCACACTAGATCAGTCATCAAAGGAGAAAAGATTTTGAAAGTTTATTCCAATAACGATACCGGTGGAGTTGAAATGAAACATAGTACCTGTTCTTGCGCTATACCCGAAATCAGGTAATCAGCAATCTCCGAAGCATTAATTCACGCATGAGAATTTTTCATATGATTTGAAAATGCCTCAAACTAACGACTGTAGTGGATAACTAGATCCAAATTATAGATTTAAACCATATGATACTTGCAATACTAGTGTTAAGATAGTAATTTCGGAAATGTTATGCTATGCTCCTGTTCGCCCTTTAGTAGTCTCCAAGCGCTCCCTAGGCTTTTCTGTTTCTCTTTCTTGCCCTTTATCATTTTTCAATTGAAGTGCCTCTTTCATGATATCCCAGCATTTGATCCTCCTATATACTATGCACCGCCTAATTAGGACCACAAGATGGTTCATTGGGCATATATGGTTGTGATATTTGATTACTTTTACTCTATTGACTCGTTCTCATGCCTAGACGACGTACTTCTGTGATAAAGACACCTCTTGCTCTAATGGGGCTTGCTGTGGTGTGACCGATGACCAGGGTGTAAGTTGAACCTTGGTGATCACGACTCCTATGAAGCAATTCATAGTGCTCTACATTTTTATTTTTACTAACTTGCTCTGACTAGATCTGCGGATATGGGAGTGAATTCTGTGGAGATACTTGTGTAAGTAATTGTAATGCTACAGCTGCGTGTGGTAAAGACGCTGCGACTCCAGGAACTACTTGTCCTTTAAATGTATGTTATATAGGTATCTTTGCGTTCGACCCATATATTTTCCGCCAATTATAACTTTGAAGTATCTTGGTGCATGGCTATAGCTTATCTGATAATTATCTCGCTAGGTCTGTTGTTCAGAATGGGGGTTCTGTGGAACCTCCACTGACTTTTGCAATACCAGTTCAGGCTGCCAGAGCAACTATGGATCACCAACTACTCCCTCATGCTCTTCAAATGATGTGTACAAATGAGTCATTGGCTACTACGAAGGGTGGTCCAGTGATCGCATCTGCGACTCTTGGAGCCTAAGCGATATTGCCGCCTCGGGCCTAACTCATCTCTACTATTCCTTCGCAACTTTTTCACCAGCCCCTTATAGTGAAAACAAGACATGGTTGGTAGACTTCATGACAGTTGTCTCTGATCAGGACGATCTGGTTCTCGAATTCATCGATCTCAAGACGAATAATCCCGGCCTATAGTTGTTTATCTCCATTGGAGGATGGTCCTTTAACGACGGTGACACAGCTTCATACTGGTCTGAAATGGTATCTACCCTATAGGGCCGGAACTCGTTTGCTGTGCAAGTCTTAGATATGCTACAACGGTATGGGTTTGATGGCGTGGATCTGGACTGGGAGTATCCTGTCGTAAGCGACCGTGGGGGCAAAGCAGCCGATAAAGAGAATTATATCCGCCTGATCGATGAGTTACGGATCGTCCTAGATAGTTCCGGGTCTCAGTATGAGATCTCTTTTACGACCCCTTCTAGTTATTGGTATTTACAGCATTTCGATGTGGTGGCAATGCTGGACGCTGGAGCCGACTGGACCAATATTATGACATATGATCTCTATGGCGCATAGGATAAAGATGATGCGTGAGTTACGATTCTTTCCCAACATGAAATCTTCAGTTTATGTCTCCAATATTTAACTGAACTGAATTCCATGCTTTTTAGATGGATTGGTAGTGTGATGCTGGCCCACACCAATTTGACTAAGATCAAGTCTGCGCTGGACTTGATGTGGAGAGCCGGCGTTCAGCCATCAGATGTTGTTCTAGGAATTGGCTTCTATGGAAGATCCTATACTATGTTAGATACCTCTTGCTTCGAGCCTGGTTGCTCGTTTGCTAGTTCTGGAACTGCCGGGTCGTGTACGGACAGCGCAGGTGTTTTATCATATAAAGGTATGTTGTGTATCATTAATTGCCCAAAATTGAACGAGCGACAATTTCAAATTCATAGAATAACCTTTGAGCAGAGATAATGGACTCAATGGAGGAAGAGGATGTAGTCATTATTTGGGATGAAACCGATGCTGTGAACTATATGACCTGGGGTGACTAGTGGGTCTCGTTTAATACTAATGAGACGTTCCAGCAAAAGGTTGCTTATTCTAACGAAGTTTGTCTTAGTGGCTTAATTATTGGTCCTTAGATCAAGATACCTATGATTGGCAGGCATTAAGTGGGTTACTAGGGAAAACTGTGAGTAGTAGCGGGCTGCTCACAGGAGGGTCTATGGATACCCTGGATGCAGAGACACTTTCGCAAGACTACTCAGCTTATACAGGTACGGACTGTTACATCAGTGACTATGTTGATTGGAACACTAGTCAGTGCAAGACTGGGTACAGTGTTTTGGATTATGTCCACCAGGGATCGTATGGGATGATTGAGGACCCAGATAAAGAAAGCTGTAAAACAGGAAACGAGACCGATACCAATTCCTAGTACCGCCTCATATGTTGTCCAACAGATGCAATGCCTGAAGGCTGCAACTGGGAGGGCGAAACTGAAGGGGTGTGCTCGGGAGGCAGTATGACCTATGGTGACGGAAAGTTTGAACTGGTGGCTGATTCCTACATCGATCGAACGGGATCATCGCCCTGTCAGGCGTCAAGTGTGAGATCTTTGTGCTGCAGAACTGATTCGGCTCTCGAGAAGTGCTCATGGTCTTACTGTGGGAATTCTTGCAACTCCATAGATTATACCTTTGAGGCAACTTCGCCTTATGCAGGAAGCAGTAAGTTTCTTTTCAATTCCATAAACACCCAGATCTGAAGCTAAAAGCCACTAGATCTTGAACAGGATGACTACAAATATGGGTCTGGCGATGCGAGCTTCTGCTGCCCGTCTGAAGATACCTACGAGGGTTGCGCATGGTATGGCTGTTCGGATAACTGTCCGAGTAGTAAAGTGTTGATCACTCAACGAACCAAGATCATTTAGAATGGGACATCGACAACATATACTTCAGGGAAAAACAAGCTATGCTGTGATCCTCCAAGTAGCTCGAATAGCTGGCCTATGGATCCTGAGGACCTTTTTGAATATCCGGACGAGGAGAATGTGAGCTATGACTACACTATGCAAAAGTCTTCAAATGATGAAGGTAGGTTTTCGATAACTCACTTCGGCTAAACAAGCTAATTTGTAACTCGTTGCACTTTGAAGATATAAGCGATACCAGCGAAGACCCCTTTACGCTCGTGATGATTGACGGCGATACCAGTGCCTACGATGAATCGTTGGTAGACCAATGGACCTTCTTAACCGACGATCAGGAGCTTCGCAAAAGAGACCTCAAATTCCATAAACGAAATAACATCTTTAAGCATCGCAATGATACATTTGAAAATGTGGTAGAGGTCTTTCATATTCAATGCACAAACTTGTTTATGAATGGTTCAGCCTGCACGTCAATTTTTGAAGGTAGTGCCTCCAACAAGATTGTGAAAATGCCTAATAGTATTAGCACCGGTCCATATGCACGCCTTATCAGCTTGATTCCACTAGATACCAGGCAGACGAATATTTTTCAACGCTCGACCAGCGATGTTTACGAGCTGACTATTGACTACGATTTTGCCGCCGCCGCAGTGGAGCAAAAAGGCGATGTGAATTTTCGGATTGACTACACAAATCTATAGGCGTATTGGTATGTTCTTCCCAGCTGGAGTTCAGGTAAGTCTTTGGGGATAAGAGTGCTTATGCTGACTTAAGTGTAGGGAGGATATTACAGATACTCCGGCATCCCGGAAGCGTTGGTTTGGTGGATTCGACAGCTGGCTCAAGAAAATGACAACCATTGTGAAAGACGAAAGAGGCTCTCTGCCCCTATAGTATGACGAAACGATGAAACTCTACCATGCTTATGCGTACTGCCTAGCCATAAAAACTGAGGCTACCTTTGATATTGACGCATTTATCAACTTAGCACTATATAATCAGTATGGTTACTGCTTTGAAGGCTCTATCCTGCCCACGCCAGAGGTCATTTCCGCTTACGGCTACTTTTCCATCGAGCCAGTAGCCGAAGTATGTATTTCAATGTTCGTTATTAGAGCTTGACTGACCCCATGTTCAGATTCTTCTTACAATTCGGGCGAATGCCATTATGCAATCTTCCTCTGGCTCAGTAGAGCTGTTTTCACTTGGATTCCTAGGCATGTCAATTAAGGGTCTGATCAGCATCGGACCCGAAATGGCTCTATATGGTCAGCTGGACGCCTCTCTAAGTATCTCCGGAGAGCTCAATACAGGTGTTTCTGTCAGTTTTAACCGCATAGAAGTCTATTTCCCACAGGATGCTGCCGGGAAGGCAGATAGTAAGGATCCGGCCGATCTTAATGATAATGATAGTCAATATTACTCCTTCGATCCGACCTTCGATGCTTCGCTGACTACAGAAGGAACTATGGCTTATAAGATTTTCTTTCATCTCATCCCCGCTTAACTTGGTTTTTCCTAACACCCTGGCAGTGTCTCTCACTCCGGAAGTCCGCTTTGGTATTTCCGTTTTGGGTGGCGACTTAATGTCTGGATATGTGACTGCTGGACTCAACAACACCATTAGAATGGGAATCAGTGCTCAGGCTTCTTATTCCAATGGGACCACTTCAGCTGGTTTTTGCTACTGGGCTGATTATGTCTATTCTCTTTTTATCAGAGCAGATATGTCGTAAGTTGCATATATGAATAACGCCCTCTTTTACCCTCAGAAAAAATGTTCATATTAAAAATCTTACAGGTTCCTGGATGATGTTGCATACTAGGGGGTGAATATGAAGTGGCCTCACCCACAGATCCCCTCGAATTGGTATCCAAGACTTATATCGATTATTCCAGTGATGTCAATATCACCAAACGTAGCGATTCTAAAAGTTTGGTTGCCAATACTACGGGATCTGCCTGCTTTAGCGGGCTGATATCTTGCCAAATGGTCGACGACTCGGCTACTACTGCAGGCAATCTGTCATGTCCCATTATCTGTGAAGGAGATTCTTGCACGATTTTGGATGACGGAGATACGTCTTCTTCCACCCGGAAACGCCAGCTTGGTGTCGCGCAGTATGCTCGCTTCCCTGCAATGTTCTATAACTATGCCTGGTTCGGAGATGCTTTAATCGAAAATATGGATCAGAACACAAATAGTATCAGCCCATGGTACACCGCGACAGGTGCGAGAAAAACCTCTTCTTTTCATTTGATTCTTGGATCAGACTGACCACTTAATTTCTCACTTTGCAGGAATTTATACTAATATCCAAAATTATCTCTTTAGTCACGCCAACCAGTGGAATCAGCAAACTATGGGATCTAACTTCATGCTGCTAACCTATGCCCCCGATCCCACCGACACCAACCAAGACTATGCTTGCGGGACGAAGTCAACTAACACCGTCACCACTAAATCTTGTGGGGAGGTAAAACGATCTCTATGGTCCGTTCAGGCCCAAAGTGAGTACAACAAGAAACCAAAAGGGGACTACGTGTCAGAGCCAGGTTACAGCTATAGTATTTCTTGCGACGAGTTTCCTTGTATGTTATATCCTCCACCTGAATGATTTAACCATGAGACCTAGGATAAACTAATCCCGCATATCTTGTAATAGTTAACATGTGAGTCTTAAATTCCATGAGTCATACTATCACTACTAACCATGATGACACTTCAGGGCCGCTGAGGGTGGGCAAGGAGCTGTAAGTCACAATACCTTCTTTCAATTAATAATAAGTCGTCTCTTACATCCTTGGTAGAGCACTGCTTGTGCATCAGTTGAACAACAGAATTACCAGAAACAAATCAACAATATTGTTTCCACCATTAAGATACGGTGAGTATACCAATGGTCGCATATTTATGAAAGACGGAACAAAAATGGCTAAATATTTCCCCTACCACCGTAACTAGACGACCCAAGAGAACTAGAAAAAGCAGACAGGTTTTAGTGGTTACACCCACCACTTCACCATGAACCTATTTGATCCCACGTCGGCAACCTACCCCGGCTCTAATTGGCTAGGCGTCTTCGCCGGATATATAGACTCATCAGAAGCGCTTGCGATAATCCGCATTATTGGTGGTGTCAATCTCTTCTACAGCCCGTTGTGGCAGATTGGCTCAGGTGTCCTAACCAACGGTCTCTGTCACGTAGATGCCAACACGCAGCGAGACTTTGTTCCGGTCGATAATTACTGGTCTTACAGAGTAACATCCTGTACCTTGGTCTTTGAAGATCCCTATACAACTGGCCGCTGGAAACGGGAAGCCGACATCGAGGAAGACAGCTACACTGGGCCCGGCCATTTACATCCTAGTCTCTGGCAAGTTAAAGGTACAGTAGAGTCCCGGGTCTTTTGAATGATTAAGTATATACCTAGATAACCTGAAACTGACATTAAAATTCGCTTCTATAGAGATTCGGGTGCACAAGGACTGGAAGAAGCGTTCAATTCAAGTCCGATCTACTGATTTCGATGATCCTACCTGGCTTGAGTCGATGCTTCACGACACGGAACCGACTAAGAAAGACTATCACGTCTTCACCCCGATCAACAGTACGGTAGAAGCCCAAATAAAGGAGACCAGGGCGTCAGCTCCAACTACATCAGCCCGGCCAATCTCGCGACAGCACCTTGAAAGACATCTTCATGGGCATCATTAATATATCCATTATATAGATCAGGTGTAACAGGCTGGTGCCTGCTTTAGCATTCATGCCTGTGCCACTCATGCTCGTCACGTGCCACCCGCACCCGCATCCCTTATATTGCCACATGTCCATAGCTAGTCTCTCTCTCTTCTCTTCAAGCTTAATAAAGACAGTTTGTCGGCATCACTAGTTCTGCATTCAAGATTAGTATTAGCCCTTCGCATCAGGACTAAGGCAGAGACGTTTTTACGCAAAAATTGTCATGAGCAGAGTCAGTACATATTTGGATTACTAGACGGAAGTAACTAGAAATGACGTATTCACTCCAGTTGTCAATTGTTGAAAGATATTTGTCGACATCTAGAATGGCAGGAAATTTGGACAAGTCTGGCTTTTCCAGAATGTAGACAACTAAGTCCCATCCCTACTTGTATTAGTGTCAGAAATTGCTTGGTTTTTGTTATTGGAATGGCCTGTTAAGAACAATCTAGGTATGCCCTTTCACTAAGGTAGTCGCCGGTCTATATTGTTAGCTAGATTTCATGAAAGCATTCATTCGCCAATAGATTTCACCCTAGGTGACTTTGATCTAGGTCGGCGCTCAGTGCATGGTGCTCGGATGCGACATTTGGTACTGTTGGAACGAATATCAGCTTAGACATGTGCATGGGTTGGGTATGGGTCAAAATTCATACCCATACCCAACCCATCAGGGGTAAGGTAAACCCATACCCATATGGGTATTTTTGATGCCTTAATGCCTGATTTTCGCATCAACCTAAACTAAATTAGGGTAATTAGTGCCTTAGTGCCTAATTTTTGCCTCAATCTAGTACTAACTAGGTGACAAATATCACGTGAAATAAAAGTCTTGGCAAAAAGATGGGTTTATGGGTAAAATTTCTGACCCATACCCAGCCCATTGTGGGTTTACCCAACCCAATGAACATGTCTACATCCACTAACATTTACTTCTGATTTATAGCCGACGAGCTCACATTCAGGTACCAATGATGACTCTAACAAAGGGGCTATCGACCACACCGAAGAAGATTTCAACCGCGATGATAGGGTCCAGGCATTAGGATTCATAGGCGATCATTCAGAAATGTCATGGCTATACAAACTTAAGCGTTTTCTTAACCAGATTGACTTCAGGGAAACAGCCAATCCTTCGATATCTTCCCTGAATTACTTCCAAGACGATAGCGAATTCTCGAACCTCGACGATGTTGACACACTAGGACGACCCTCCCAACAACTTGCTATGAAACTTCTCGACGACTTCTTCGAAGTTATATATCCTACCTTCCCAATAATTCGGAAAAATCTCTTCCAAATACAATGCCGGTCGTTTTACTCTGATAAGAATGCTCACCCTGGGAGGCGGTGGCTAGCAATTCTGAACCTGGTCTTTGCCATCGGGGCAAAACATTCCCTACTCATTGATTCACAACCTCTAGTAGCCAAGAATGACCATCTAATATATTTTACACGTGCATGGCGACTCGGGTTCAGGAACGTCGCGCTACTAGACCACCCTAATCTACAGCAGGTACAGGTTGTGAAGGGCTAAAGCTAATCTTGAATTCAGAACTAGCTAGGCACATGCTGTTTACAAAATCCTTAAAGAACGTAAACAATTCGGGGTGGAATCGTGAGGTATGCGGTTTGTCAAAGGCCCGATTCCATTTATAGTTAGTCTATTTTAGTCAGCATTGGAATCCCACAATGGGATTCCTCCATTCTACAATCTATACACATACACTCTTTGGTACGCATACTGCGTTCTCATTTGCCCACTAGAATCCACTATTCCTTGGTAGTCGACCTCCATTTGACACGGTTGGTGGGTCACGTGGTACAACCACGTGATAGTTCACCAGGATTCAACCTGTTACACCGAAGATAGGATGAAAAATTTTGAGAGATGAGACGCCGTGGGCGGCTTCAAATAGGGCGAACGGATGAGCATATACTAACGCTTAGACGACTCGATTCTGCCGCGTCGCGCACTATCCTTCTTGGTGGGTGGTATGAAGAAATAGGTGATTTGAACACCTGACCTTTCGCGTGTAAAGCGACAGCTCGACTAACTGAGCTAATCTCTTTTATAATTTTTCTTTCCTTCCCCTACAATCCAAGACAGAGAAAACTGGTTGAAATTATAATGTAGCCTGGAATTCCGGGTTATTCCATAATGCTGACAGAATTCTGTAGATTTTGGAATAAATATTAATTCGGAGTCTTAGGCAAAAATCAGGCAGGGGGGGTCAGTATATCAAGGAGGTTCGTATATCAATCTCCTAACTTAAGGAGCATACCGAAGATGACTAATAACATGAACTAGACTAAAATAGGACTGGCTATTTGACAGCCATACAGCGTATGGCGCATGTTATGGGGTCTACCCCGTAACAGCTAGGATCTAGGCGTCTATCCACTTATCTCTGCGGTCGGCATTAGTCTGGATTAGTGGAACCCTGATCCTACCAGATTTAAAAACGTACTTGGAGAATAGTCATGTTCTAGTAGTGCTTCATGTCAGGCTATTGATATGGTTCGCTGAAAAGCCGAAAACAAAAAAGACAAACAACCACTTGAAGATTAGATCAAGATATGCCTGAGCAGAAATTAGACATCTGTATTGCTCTTTTCTCTTCCTTCTGGCTTCCAAACAACCCATCCCAACGTGATTGCTAGCTTCAAGCCCATGGCAAACCATATACTTGAAGCCATACCGGTGACTTTCGAAAGACCCCCTGCAGTCATTGCGCCAAGAAACAGGGCTAGGAAAGCTCCGATCCTTCTATTGCGCTTAGGGTTATATTTTGCGGTGAGTCTTGGATCGACAAGCAAGTCGCATAGAAGCGCTGTCAACACCACTGTAGGGATCTCATCCAGCGCAAGAATGCGAGATACGCATATCTGCCCTCCAGCTTGAAAGGATAAAAGGGAAATTGGGAGAACTTGTATCCATTGAATAGGGGCTCGTGGGTCTTCCGGCTTAGGGGAAACCACACCAAGCTGAATGAGAATTGCTGTCGCCAGAAGAGCAAATGACTGAATAGCAAACGAAAAAATCATTGTTGAGCGGCGTCGTGGACTTAATATCCGATGGAAGTTAATGAAAAAAATGTTGCTGGCGATAAAGACGCTAAGAGCAATGAGGGACTTGGCCCAGAGGTATGCCGGATAGGCAGGCTGACCGGAAGGACCTAGAGCCAGGAAAACAGTGTTTCCTAGGTAGATTAAAAGTCATTAGAAAGGCGAATATGAACAGTTGAAGATAGGTTTAACTTACCTGTTTGCATACTCGAAAAGCTCCCCCATGCATTGAATGACAGCCCATCGACCAGACCACCAACAAATCCACATATTATGAGAACAATATCAGTATGCTTGGTGTCTATATTAGCCCGAAAGTGACGGGTTAGAACTGAGCCCATTGTCGTGCTCTCTTCAATTGGGTTGTTAGAAAGGACAGCTGTGCTGCCCCCAGACGACCAAAGCCCAGGTGTATATTTTGATTCTTCAGTGGGAGCATCCATGTTTGAGACGAAAGTAAGATTGCCGTCCTGAGATAGGTTCCGACTTTCGAAATCTGCACCAACTACTGGAGCCGGGAGTTGTATGTTCCTTGGGGAGGAAGGGGATTGCTGCAGCATTGTGAGTTTTATTTTAATATGCTCAAGTGGTAAAGTTCAGGTAGAGATTTTGCACTTGCTAATCAGAAACGCACAATCTAGAGAATTGGGGGTTATATATGTACACTAGATCCACGTCCCCATTTTTTATTCCAATTTATTCTTTTTCTCTCATTTGGTACATACCCCGTTTTCGTGCGGCTTCGGATCAATCCCGTCCAAGGAATAAACAGGGTGATCGCCAAGAAACATAAGAGCGAACTTATAGGAGATGAAACAGGACTACTCGACTCATCCCTACACTACAAGCATACGTGTGACTCTGGAATCAGATATGCAGCGCATCTGAAATCGTGCATTCATTGAAAATGTCTAGACCACCATAATTCGCTTACCGACAGCGAATAAGGACTATTTAGGAACGAAATGCTGACAGCAAAGGAGCGTCTCTCGTTCAATTGGGAAGCCTCATCTCTTCCTCTAGATATGAGATGGATCAATCACGCATATTCGACCTTGGCATAGCCTCGGCGGGGCCTTGGCATCCCGATTATCATCGCTCTATTGAAGGCAATCCCCAGGGTCAACGAGTCCCCTCACACCCTAACTCAACGATACGGGCTTAGGGGAGAAAGGGAACAGGGAATGACTTTTCCCAGTGAAGTGACCAACTCGCTCACACCTGGTAGCCAAGTTGTTTTGGAACTCACGTGTATACTTCGGAATTGTGTAGAGTGCATGGATTACTTTTATGGGCGGGACCGGAGCTACTATATCCCCCCGCTTAGTCAATACTCCTCCTCACTATTCGAGTTCCGCCCTTGACCTTAAATGGAACTCTATGACGCCCAGAAGATGTCATCCCCGAATTTTCAGTCGCCCGTGGAGTGTTACAAGATTCGGTTCCTTCATATGGGTGTGTTTGAAGATTGAGACTGCAGATCACTGATTAGTGTCGGCCTTTGGGCGTCGGTAGAAGTCGGCGACAAGGTTATCCTCCGGCTGAAAGTTAGGTGCCAATGCTCTACATCCGAATTTTTAAGTGTTTGGGTATGATCGTTTAAATAATCCTTGCAAATCGATATGCTATAGTTTTGCCGTATAAGCATGCATGTGACTTAAGCTGGCATGTCTTAGAGTGCACCGCCTGTTCTGGGCCGTAAGATCGTGAATGCCTGTTGCCAAGGGATCGACGCATCCACATTACTCAGCCCGGTTGCGTGTTTCTTCTTTGGTGGCATCTAGGACCGTGAATGCCTGTTGCCAAGAGATCGACACATCCGCACTACTCAGTCCGGTTGTGTGTTTATTCTTTGGCAGCATCGACCATCTAGAACCGTGGATACCTGTTGCCAAGGGATCAACGCATCCACCTTATCAGTCCGGTTGTGTGTTTCTTCTTCGGTGGCATCGACTACCTAGAGCAGTAATTCAATATGATAGTTGCGCATGCGGCAGCCAGTCTGCTGGTCCTGGCAATGAGCGGCCTGATTATCTCAACGACTTTCTAAACCTAGTCAAGCGGTAACAAGCAAAGTACGACTGCTATTTCCCGAGGTATGGATGTTCTTCTTCTAATCGTCTACGGCTGCTACCTCTTCTTCCAATTGAAGTCGCTCGCGAGTATGTACAACAAGTGCAGCAATTTAAAGGGTTACTGGATTAAGCAGAGAAGATAGTTGGGACCAAGAGCTCAGTCTTTATTTTGCAAGACTAATTCTTGAAGGAATCATAGGGGATCAGGATATGGATCGGTTCAGTAGTTATGGGTATATGATTATCCGATTATTAACTCTGTGATAACTATTCCCCTCCCTAATGCCGAACGACTTGGTCAGCTGGGTTCCTTTAAGCTCTTTGTTGTTCTATAAGGTAGAGATTGTATCGTTCTCACATTTCGATCTGTGTATGAATCGCGATCGAGTTACCTATGATCCGTGCCCAAAGAGAGCCCCTAGCATCATAGGGCCGAAAGAAGCGGGTGGGGTGCTTGAGGGCACCAGACATACCGGGCATGGGCCTAGATCCTTTCATCATGAGTTTAGATGATTAAGAGAGATTTCTCTATCATTTAGCTATATAGGATATCCCTCTCAATGAGAGAGACAAATCAGACTTAAACAGTCTCAAGATCTTGACGTATATGCTTCACCAGAATTATCGTACACCTAATTTCAGCGTACATATCCGGGCCGTTCACCAGAAGTAAGCCGCTAACATGAGGCACAGCACCACGAGATTGATCACCAGCACTATAATTAAACGGACTGCTAACCGAGCGCTGAAATTAAAAAGCCGATTATGCTGATTGACTTTCATGGTGAAAGTGAGACGGTTTACACAGCCAGCTATATGTATATACATGCTAGAGTGAAAGCACATAAATTCACCCAGTTCTATGGGCTTACAGGAGTTGTTGGTGTCCCAACAAATGCACAAGAATGGTTCTCTATATCCACATGTATGGCAGACGGCATGGAATCACCACCGATACTGCACACCAACATATCAAACTTTTAGAGCAAGCTATCAAGCACAAATTCAAGGGAAGTGCTCATTGCCACGGGAAATGCTATCACCAGGATCTCATACGACCCCACCAATCCTTGCTGCGAAAGGAACTTGTCTATGCATGTGCAGGGGAGAAGGGAAACAGCCTTTTGAACGAGGTATAGACAACACATGGATATTCAGTATTCTTAGTGCCATTCTCAGTGTAATTTTCGTCAAAAACAACGAGGGGGGCAACTGGTGAAAGCGAAAAATTAGATGATTAAAGGTGAGTGTAGAATAGGGTTGAGGGCGGTAGGCGGCTTCTCGCCCAAAATCAGGGGTGGTGGGGGCCTTCGTTTTCGGCGACAGCTCCTCATCTTCTAGTTGTAAATCATCATAAATACGTTACTCTAGAATATACGTTGTGTATAATGGCATCAAAACTATCGCGATTCTTCCATAATGGTGCCGGTCTGGAGAAGACACTCCGTCTGATCCAATCCATGGCCCAGATAGCTGCGGTGTTTAGTGTGTCTAGCACCGCTGTACGACTGACCACGACCAAGTTACAATTAGCTTTGTGTAAGTTGCCATTGAGCTTCAATTGAAGAGTCTTGTGAAATCTGGGTACATGAACTGAACATGCTCACAGCACGCCGTTTCTTCCGCTTCTTTGGATTTCTCGACTCCTTCCAACGTGTTTCGACATTATTGAGCAATGGAGAGATGAAGTCTGTGGCTGGCTGTTTGGACCTGGCTCAGTGGACCTTCTTTGGACTTTACTTTGTGCTGGAGGATCTGACTATCGTAAGTGATTTTCTTGCTCGTCGGATTGAATCGAATTGACCGGGATAGCTGCATGCAATGGGTGTCTATGCTGTATCATGGGAAGAGTCAGTGATGCGTGAGGCCAATAAATTCTGGCTCTATGCATTGACTGTCTCTATTGTTGGCAGTCTTTATGCTCTTCTCTTTGCTGCGCCGAGGGAGGCTCAGGTCGATGAGAAGGTGGACGAGAAAAAGAGCTGCAAGGCTAAGAAAGCCGAGAGCACTATGATCAGTACAAAGACGGGACTCGTGAAGAAGATTGTGCTGGATAGCTGCGATATCCTGATTCCTATCAGTCTTCTGAAGTGGCATCCCATTGGAGATTTAGAAGTGGGGATAACTATGGTTATCAGCACAGTGTGGACTGGGCTCGATATCTGGTCCCAGATGTGAGACGACATCCAGGTAGAAGAACCATAAAGCCATAGAGATAATTCTTAATGCAAAGTTCAATTCATGAACAATTATTGTTTGGAAAGATGTTGAAAAAAGCAGGGTAAAAAAAATAAGGGAGAAAAAAAGTTGGACTTGCGGGGAATCGAACCCCGGACCACTCCCATGCTAAGGGAGTATTATACCACTAAACCACAAGCCCAAATTGCTATGGATGCTCATCAATTTAATGCTATATAAACTCTTGCAATTTAGTAACGTTCTTAGACATGTTCAAGCCATTGGAGAACATACTGGACTCTTTGCAGAAAAACCGAAATTTTAATTGATTATTTATCGTCCGTAATATAACTAGCAATAGATGGCTAGACTGAAATACACGATCCACTTTACACTCCAGCTATATGCTTTAGGTACAAAGGTCGTGGATTTAGGTAGGTTCTGAATATTGGAAGTGAAGGGTATGAGATGATGTATTCTAATTTCCATGAATTATTTACATCTTGTTTACTTTCCATCTTCCAAACACGTTCTACTCCTCTTTCATTCCACATTTAATCATTATGCGTAAAATCAAACTCACCATCAAGCGCAACAAGCCCCGGGTGCTACTGGGCATTTACTACGATGCCGATGCCCACGAAAATTCACGCTACGTGCTTTTCATTACACCCAAGATCCCCATGATGCAGCGGCAGACAATGGGCTCCAAGCAGCCGAAATCCATCCAAGCTATAAGTTTTTGTGTTCGCAATACCCAGAAGATCATCGAGGGCGAGATCTCGCTCCCGTGGATGTTTGAGGAGGAATACATTGAGTCCATCGATAAGAATCCTCGTCTGATTGTTTGCGCTGTTATTGGAAAGGTACTGTCTAGGAAGCAGGCTTTGAATATGTTGCCTGAAACTCCCATATATCAGGTTGCTGATCCGAACCGTCCCAAAGCTCAAGAGTTCAACTCTCGCACTTGGGCAGCTGATGCTTTTGAGAAATTGAAGATTGCGGGTGCTATCTCAGGTAACTTGCATCAAGCTCTATTATGATTTGACTTTGAATTATATGCTGATCTCTTATCGTTAGGTATGGACTGGCGCACCGCTGAAGGAGGCATTCGTGCCTACAGAGATCAGAATAAGGCTGAAAAATATTGGTCAATTGCTGCTGAAGGACGTCGAGTGACTGAACCACGAGTCCCAATTTTGGATCTATTGGTTGGAGTTGAGATAAGGTCTTAGGGTAGATGTTAAGAGGGCTCGAGACCCCATGGAAGTCTTGACCGAATGAGGAAACTGGAAACTTGATAAACTCCTTCGCACTTCAGGTTTTGAAATGTGTTCACCTTGACACTTGTGTATCGCTATTTTATCCCGGATGCAATGAATTATGTCTAACTTAACTATTGAAATGAAAGCCAAAGCGAAAGTCGAGACATCTTCCATGTCGAGCTCCAGTAGTTCTACAACCGTCAATCTTCCTTCATTCTCTCCATCACTCAATCTTCCAGTCAATGCCATGGGCATTCTTTCCTTTCGCTTTCCCACTCCCGATTTTCAGACCGAAATCATCATCAACCGCCTAGATGGCAGCATAGCCTATGTCTCCACGCACGATCGATCCTGGTCCGGCGATAGCATCTTGCCGCGTCCTAAGGCTGGGAGTTTGATTCAAACTGAATACTTTGGTCTGCGTAATCCTATCCTACGACTCTTGCAGACCTCGAGTATAGTTCCGGATGAGGTTCAAGCCACGCCGAGATGGCTATTGCGATCAGCGCGCTTTAATATACCTGCTAGTGCGGAGTATGAATGGAAGTATGCGGGAGAGAAACGGGAAGATGGAAAAGTCAAGTTAATTGTACTGCGCGCCGTAGACTCTGAACTGTAGACACAAATAGCGCAGTTGGCTCGCAGTAACGAAACTCGCACCCCCAGCACTTCTCGTTATAGATCGTGTAATGGCGGCAAGTTGGAGATTGATGACGGGGCATTGCAGGGGCTTGAGGTGAACGAGTGGGTGATTGTCGCAACCTGTCTGGTCATGTTAAAACGGGAGGTTGATCGACGTCGAAGCATTCAATTTGCAATGATGGCCGGTAGTGGCGGGAGTTGAGAATTGAAATGTTTACTCCATTCAATGTGACCCTTCCAGCAAGCTTTTGATATGAGGATTCAACCAGTAATCTTGCAATACCTCTAGAGGCATCGTCTTTGCTCCCGAAATCAAGCCTCTACATGTTTTCGCCCCACAAGTACATTGAAATGCCTGGTCCATATCCCATTCCGTACTTGGATAAAAGAAAGTCAAGGCATCGTCTATCTTCAAAGGCCGGTCATTCACGACGCGCACTTCCATGCGCGCCATGTCAAAGACCACCGATGGCGAGCAAGAATGATTGGTATATACCAAGTCAGAATGAAGCTCGATGTGAGAATCAGCTCCAGTTTGCACAGTTGTGTAGGCTTTTGATCCGGGTGTAGACCCTGTGATTGGGACGAAAAGAGCACCAGCTGGAAGGTCAATCAGGGAATAGGCTCCACTGCCAAAAGGTTTGGAGCTGCGATGCACGCGTATGTGATCGGGATGAGAGGGGGAATGATTTGAGGACATTGTTAAGATGGTGAGAATGTGAAGAATCAAGAAGCCTGAAGTTATTTATGTCTTTCCTTCCCGCCGAGGTTCAAAGTATACCTCGGCACAAGCGAAGAATCGAGAATAGCGCATTATTGTCCTTGAGTTAGATCCTATATCCTAGTAGTAATAAGTTCATTCCTCTTTACAAAGTAATATTAATTCATTTTACGCGATAATTCCTTCCCATCCAGCCATAGTGTGAGATTCTCCGCTGACTCGCGGTACCACCCGTTAAGCAGTTCCTCCTCTCCATAACCCATGTGTGGAGTGACAAGGACCTGACTACGACCCTCAGTTCCCCAGGGAGTGGTGCGCCACGCGCTATCTAGTGGTAGTGGCTCGGGATCGAAAACATCTATGGCGGCACCTCGGATTTGTCCCGCGTTTAATGCAGCCAGGAGAGCCGACTCATCGATTAAGGGACCTCTGGAAGTATTGATGATCATGGCATTTGGCTTCATGGCCTCCAGTTCAGTCGTGCCTACAATACCACGACTCCGATTGGAGAGCACGAGGTGCACACTTACAACGTCCGCATTGGCGAAGAAGTCTTTTTTGGATGGTGACAGGATAAAGCTGCCGGCTGGTAGTCCCTGAGCCTGGGCCTGCTCGTCTGCCTTCTCCTGGGTCAGGTTGGTAGACCAGGCCTGGACTTTCATGTCAAAGGCTTGCACAGCAATCTTGCCCACCTGAGATCCCAGCTTCCCCAGACCGAGTAGGCCCAAGGTCTTGCCAGAGAGATTTATTCCTAGCGATGAACCTTGCCATTCACCTCGCTTAATGGCGGCGTCGTCCCGGGCCGTGCATCGTGCCAACCCCAGTATCAATGCCCATGTGTGCTGTACGGTGGAATTGACCCCGGGAGGACGTCCCTCAGTCCCGAGCACTGGAATGCCACGGTCGGCAAAGGCTTGAAGGTCAAGGGAGAGGTTGCGCATACCGGTGGTGAGAAGAAGCTTAAGATTAGGGAGGGCGGCAATAGTCTCGGCTCGGAAGGGAGTTCGCTCGCGCATGCACATCACGATATCGAAGGGAAGAAGTCTTTGTATGAGAGCATTTTGTCCATTCTCGTTGCGGGGATCCAGTGTATCGGGTAAACTGGTGACGTCTATGCGGTGTTCAAGATGGGCGAAGTGTGGAGGTGCAATGTTTTGGTAGTCATCCAAAATGGCTAACTTAAATTTAGCCATTATGTTGGTTAGATTGTACAAGTAGAAGTAGAAAAAGAAGTTGAATAAGATGTCAAGTCAATTCCCCGCGATTACTCGCATCCTAGCCGGCTGTTTTCATAGCCGTAGTTTAGTCATTCGTTGACTCGGGGAATTGATAAAGCGAAAACACTTTTTTTTTACCACATCAATTCCTACGTTCTCGCATCTCAACTAACGTTCTGAAATGTCGGCTTGAGGATTGAAGAAATCAATATATTCTTTTGGAAAGTGAACTATTGGCTCGCGCAAGTTTGAACTTCGTTGTTATATAGTCACTGAAATTGGCCTTGGATCCCTCATCATAAGGATGAAGCCCTCCTGTCCTTCCGACCCATATTGACCGTAGTCCAGAGTGATCTTTTCCACAGGCTTCCAACCATGCTTCAAATAGAGCGGATAGCCCTGAGGGGTTGCCTCGAGGTAGATGCGAGCTTGCAAGGCATCAGCTTGAGTAGTTCCCCAGCGAAGCAAGGCTGATCCTACTCCACGTCCTTGATGGGAGGGCATTGTCGCTAGTAGTTCCAAAACTACATAAGGATTAGTACTGAAAAGTGAGAGGCGAAGGATGAACAGACCAATGTCTCGATTTGTGGTATGTCGCCTACGTCTTCCCTCGAGGAGAACACGGAATGCTGTCTTCAGATTTTCATTCCTAGGTTGAGGTGCAAACACCAATGGATCTTGAGCGGCGATCTTGGCCTTTTCACTCAATTTTGGCACATGAGGCTCCCTGAAAGTGGTGGGGATATGCCATCGACTATAGCCAACAATCTCATTCTCAATGGGATCTGTGATCTTGAGAACGTGTATCTCGGGATTGACGAAGTGCTTCATGACATACATGGCCTTGTAGTCTCGCAAGGCCGGTTGACTGGCTCCAGGGAAAAATCCGCCAAACATCAATCGATTGGCAAAGCTCAGAGTATTGACCTCGGCCAGCCCTGTGGCATCCTGCTCCGTGGCATATTCAACTTGATACATGGTACTGTGCATAGAGGATTCAAGAGCACGAAATAAACTCAGACCATGTCACAGGATGAATTTTCGCACCTCAAATACATTACAGCTCCAAAGGTTCCGCCTCAAATGATTCGTACGCAAGAATGGCTCATGCGATAACAAAAATATCTATTTAAATTATGTAATCCGCACCACCGGCCTTTCCGGGATTAGGTTCTTCACCGCTTTTGTACTAATAACCTTCACGCCTCTTGTCAAAGGTCCGATACGGGGTTTATGCTGTACGTAAGCAGGATCCATAATGTGTGTATTTAAGCGGGATTTCATCCCTAGATAGACAATCCAGTTTCGTCAACCATTCTGGTTGGACGGTCAAAAAATCTCATTTGACACCTCTTTTGTAGAAGCGATAGCAGTGCCAAGAGCGCACCCGCTTGATCAATTTTAAATTTCATATTTAATTCCACCTATTCTTCCCGACTTGAAATTAGCGCCGTAATCTTTCAAAATGAAGTATATCTCTATCCATCGCTACTATTATTTCTGGTTCATTTTCCACCTAGTCTGCTCAAATGCATCTTTATACAATTTAAGCTTTTTATAGAGTACTTGAGAATGATGGAAGACACGCATAAGGTCTGTTTGGCGATTTGGTGTCTGAGGATCCTTATTAAGTAGCTTCTCTTGTTTGATCTGAAGCTTCGTCATGTTCTTCGGGGGAGTATTTTCAACACTAGATGATAATAGCGGCGGAATTGATGTCGGATCGTTATAATGTTTAGCAAGGCCACCATTAGTAGCAGTAACATAAGGTATCATATCCTATAGGTTAGGGAGCTTATCCAAGATCTTATTACTTACTTTCCATAGGATAGATTCCACACTCTTTAAAGGTATCTCGAATACCCAACCATCAGCAGTGATATATGCAACCGCAGTAATATTTTCACCTCTTTCAGTCTCAGCAAAATCAGGAGCATTCCCTCTGCTAACCACCTTCTGGTTTTTACCCTCTCCAGGTCGGAGGCTACACTCATCAAAGTTATAGACTAACCGCGAAGGCACACCTTGAAGGACGACATTAAGTAGATCATACCAATGACCTAGCTTAGCTGGATCTTCAGCCTGAATTCGCTTTGATTCCTTGACATTTTGCTTCTTAGGAGCTAGTTTTAGCTCTTCAGGAAGACGCTTGATAAAGCGATATACCCAATTCGGACCAATAGGGCCAGCATCTCCGCGTAAGCGATTTGCCCATACCTCAATTAGCTTCGGGACCGGCGGCATGCTCTAATTATTTAACTGAATGATCCAGCGTACTAAAGCTTCTTCTTGGATATCATTTGAAGCCTTATTAACTGGTTTTTGTTGAGATTCTGTGGCTGTCCCTTTTCTGACGCGACGAGAGAGGACACATCAATCGACACCATATTCGCGTGCAATCTTCGAGATGTTTTGTTTTTTCGCCTTTAGCAGCTTCATAGGCCTTAAAAAGGTAGGATTCAGCAGATTCGTCGGTTTTAGGCATGGTGGGTGGAGGAGATATTCAGGTAAAAGATGGTGTTTAAGATTGATCATTCTGGTGGTGAATTCTAAAATTGATCAAGCGGGTGGTGCGCATCCGAACACGGGACGTCGGGTGCGCTCTTGGTACTGCTATTTGCTTGCTTCTCTAGTATCCGGGTTGAAAGCTTGTTAAAGAACAGAAATGTATGAATATCACCTGATTTATCACTACTAACTGGTACGAACATGTAGATAATCAGGGGATTAAGAAAATGAACTTGCTAGTTATTAATTTCTTGTTTTGGATGTTTTATCAATTACCTCTTTTGAGTTACTTATTGGTGTCTCGAATAGGAAAGTGCTGCGCTAGTTCATAGATTTGATATTTCTCTATTTATTTCATTTTCATCTTCGTCCCATCAGATTCAAAGGTTTGCAAGCTTTCCAGATTTCTTGGCAGTGAAAGTTGATAGAGCATCCATGAGCCCCGGAGAGAGAACGTCGTAGGTTTGCAGACCAACAGACTTGAACTTTTCCCGAACCGAATCTGTCTCTCCGGGTGGGAATCCCTGCTCAATGATGGAGGATACAAATGCAGCGAATTGAGGCTCCTGCCATCCCTTCTCATCCGACAATTCCACATGTACGAAGTCGAGTCCATAGAAGGCATGTTCCTTTTCAATGCGGCCGAATAGGTGAACACCACATTCCTTGCAGGCATTGCGTTCAATCGTGGCGGAGGGATCAATACTAGACAAGTGTTTAATATGGAAACAAATTTATGGGCACGAAGTTACCCACACTTTCAACTTTGATTCATTGGCCTCAACGCTGACGTTGTCACGGGAAATGACACCAACCAACGAGAAGAGGGCGCCTTCTGGCTTCCAGCACTTCGAACATCCACATGCATGATTATGAGCAACGTTGCCCTTCAAGGCGACGACGATCTTGTCTGTGGGGCATCGGCAGTAGAGCTTTCCACCAGGGAAGTTAGGGTCACCCTTGGTGATGCCATTGTCAATAAAAGGGTGGATAGAGGGAGCCATGATGAGTTGAGATGTGATATGGATGTGAAATGAAGTAAATAAAGTCTGGAAATTCCAAAGCTATATAGGCTACATAGAATGTATTACTCCACTTTTCTCCGCATGAGGAGCAGTTACACGGCACGGATAAGATGAACCGATTCGGACCGTTGACTCCGTGTGAGGGGAGTATTTCCGAAATGACGAGATAAGGGATCCGTCTTTTATCATTTCTCCAACTTCTTTTCATAATCTTCAAGGATCAAATCTGCTAATCGCTCTGACATTCCATATAGAACTGCAGACAAATGAGATGACAATTGCTGTGGAATAATGGAAGCATCAATTACCCGCAGACCCTGGACTCCATACACACGACCAGATGGGTCGACCACTCCTCCCATCTCTCTGCCCATCATACTACATGTCCCAATTGCATGGTAGTTGGGCTGGAAGTTCTGGGTGACAAAGGGAACCCAGTCGTCGACAGTAGCATTGTAAGGAACGGTCGCACCGGGAAATTCCTCTTGTCTGACATATGGTCGCATCGCTGGGTCCGAAAAGAGGTCTCGCGCTAATAGAGACGCTGCTGCCTGAGCATACCGATCCAAATCATTCTCCAAGTATCGAGGGTTGCGCGTCACTTTTCCGAGGTAGGGATCCTTGTGAAGAATGTGTACATAGCCACGAGTGAACGGGAGAAGCACCCACACGCTGAACCCCACTCCTTCTGGGCTGATATCGAGGAATAGCTCCACATAGGACACATTATGATGGAGGATCAATTCTCGATTAAGTCCCATTTGTATTTTCAGCGCGGTCGAGTTGTCAAATCCGCCCTCCTGGACGGCGTCCGCGACCCACTGATCGAACTGGGAATCTAAGAGCCCTCGAGCAGTGGCCAAATCGGATGCGGAAAAAAGCTCACTCCAAGTGGCAAAGTATATCGCTTGTCCTTGGCCAGATCCATCAGTATTAATACTTGCCTGTACGCCCGTAGTAGACTGATCTTGTAGGTTCTGCCCAACTGGAAGATCAACAATTTGAGAAACCCCAGCAGCATCCAGAACAGACTTCAGTCCGATACCAGAATATTCCAAAATCAGAGGTGTAACAAGGGCTCCAGCAGCCAGAATTACTTCATGATGGGAATATACATGGAACGTGTGGGCTTCAGTGCCGAATTCAACTCCCTTTGCCGAAAGCCGATCAATCAGCACTTTCCCCACATTCTGACCGACAATAATCCATAGATTTGGTCGGCTCGCAATGGGTAGAAGAAGCTCTCGTGCTGCATCCGCCCGGGTCTGATTCGGATGGATGGTATTTAAAAGCATAGAGACACCATGAGGATCACCGCAATTCAGATCCTTCTGTGTGGGCACACCACGCCTTTCAACTGCTGTCATTAAAGATCGAATGATAGGTGAATACCGTTCACCACTATCCCGCGGGCTAACGTTTATTTTACCGTATTCACCATGGCATTTCAGATCAAAAGAAAACCCCGCTGCTATCTGTTCTTTAGTGGGTGGGTGGGCCCGCTCTTTCTTTTTGATGTATGGATAGAGGGTCTTCCAGTTCCACCCTTTATTTCCCAGATGTGATTCCCAAAAATCGATCTGAATTTTGGCCGGGCTCGTGTAAGACGCTCCATTGATCAGCGATGAACCACCGAGACATTTACCCGCGTGAATCGTCAATGATCTTCCATTAATCTTAAGAGGCACTGTTTGGAAGGCGTGGTCCAGGGATGTGCCGAAAGCTTGACCGAATGGTGTGACAGTTTCAACTATAGGACCCCGAGTAGACTGAAAGAAGCCACTTTCAATCACTAACACGCTGATATATTGATTCGTGGTCAGTCGTGCTGCAGCTGTAAGGCCTGTGAGACCTCCGCCGACAATGATATAATCAAAAACCCTGCCCGAGATCTTTTCTGGATCATAAAGGATTGTAGCATCTGTCAGAAGAGTCAAAAAGGCGAATGAAATAAATTGAATCCAGATTTTCATCTTGACGGTTGCCGTTCATTGTCAAATGGAGCTGGAGGTAGTTAAGTATGTATGAGAAGCTAAAAAATTGGAACTATCGACGATATACATCATCCCTGTTCCAGGACTTGTCTCTCATATTTTCGCACTGTGTGGCACATGACAAATAAGTAGAACACCGGTTGAGGGTCTAAGTATGGACGAATTTGCAATAGGCACTACTGATCCATGATAATATTAAGAATTCCGCCTGCAATACCCAGTTTTTTGTTGGTATGTAACGGAAGCTCCATGGCAGGGACATCTGGATTTTTCAAATCAAGGTAACCTTAGAACATGAGTGTGAAACTAGAGAGGAAGCCATGTCTACGCCTAGTGCAATGCGAAAGATATCTCTTCATGGGAAGTGAGGCCTATTCAGTACCAAGATATTCAACTACAATTACCCAAGATGCACCTGAATCGGCTACCTAGGGAGGTACATAACTTGTAAACTCTTCGTAACGAAGGAAAGGGAAATAAAACCCCTTGGACAACTCATTACATTGAATTCCTTACGGCAATCCTTGTTCATCCCACACCATTATGATTCCCAAGTTTCTTGCTATTCTTGGGTTTGGTTAACCGTTAACCATGGCACCAATAGTCAAGAATCTAGCTTTTAGGACCTGGGTGGTCAACCGGATAGAAACGGCTCATACCATCAAATAGTTAGCTTTCTTGAATTCAGTTACTGCAGATGGAAAGAAGGATTTAGCTAAGCTCAAGAGCAAGGCGAGAACGCAGTCAACGCTGAAGTTCCTATTATGCTGAAGTGCTCTATGTAGACAACTTCAGTAGGAGAGTACATTTGAAATTGACAACTTAAGACATGAAGGACATAAAGTAAATGATAGAGAATACATGGAAGAAATATGCGCTGTTTACCTATGAGAAGATCGAAAAGTTGGAAGGATTTCATTCTTATACTGTAATACTGGTGGACACCTGGGTTAGATGGCACCAACTCAACTTCACAATACATCATAATTGAGAAGCATCCTCCAGAGCTAGTTCCAGCATCTTCCCTATTGAAACTGAAAACTTTGAGAAGGGGTAAATCCCTGTAGTCACCTCGATAAGGGCTCCGGTGCTTCAGCTGACTGGCCCATGTTCCCTGCCACATACTACATCATTCTGCAGGAAAGACTTCCCCTCTTTCTCTTTGCTTTTAATTGCAATATTTCCCCCTCTTCCACTTCACATCCATCTCAAATAGATCAACCATTATTATTCAAAATGAGTGAAACTTGGGAAGTATTAGTTCAGAAGAAGCAGGCAGATGAGGCAGCCAAGATTCCCGCCGAATGGAGACTTCCAGCGGAATTTACGAAGGACATCTCGGAGACTGAAAGCACCAATGTTTTGGATGTCCCTCGTCGCTGTGGTATTCTCTCTGAGAAACAACTGGATATTACCGAGAAAAATGATGCCACTTCTCTTCTGGAAAAAATCCATCGCGGTGAGCTGTCGGCTTATGAAGTGACTGAAGCTTTTTGCATTCGCGCAGCGATCGCACAGCAAGTGGTACGAGTCTTGATAATGGGCTTCACTTATGCGACCAGGGTAGTTAACTAACTCTTCTAGACACGCTGCCTTACAGAAACACTTTTTGATCGAGCTTTGCAGCGAGCTAAGGATCTAGACGAGCATCTAAAGACCACAAGCAAGATAGTCGGGCCGCTACATGGCTTGCCTATCAGCTTCAAGGTAATATTCAACCAAACATGATTTTTTAAGGAAAAAAAAACCGCTGAAATTAATGACAGGACTGCTTCAACATTGAAGGTGTCTGCTCTACCATTGGCTTTACCTCTTTTATCAACAATGGTCCTGTTAAATCCAACTCTGCTATCGTGGAGATTTTGGTGGGACTGGGAGCTATTCCCTATGTGAAGACTAATATTCCCCAGACAATGATGGTACTTTCTCTTCCCTCTTTTTGAATATGAGATCATGCTAAAAATTTATAGGCTGCAGACTCCCACAACTATGTTTTTGGCCGAACACTAAACCCCAACCGATCTAATATCGGAGCTGGTGGCAGTTCTGGGGGAGAGGGAGCATTAATTGCCATGCGAGGGTCGGTGCTGGGCGTTGGAACCGATATTGCGGGATCAATTCGAATTCCGGCCATCTGCAATGGCGGGTTTGCCTTTAAACCCTCGACTGATCGTATTCCATATGCTGGACTTACCAGTCCCGGTCGTCCTGGCCTTACTGGTATCAAGCCTTCTGCCGGTCCCCTGGCAACATCTGTCCGGGACCTTGAGCTTTTCATGCGCCTTGTGACGAATGAAGATCCTTGGAAAGTCGACTCATCTATCATTTTCTCTCCCTGGAGACCGGTAAAGAAATCAACAGACCCGCTTCGAATTGGTTATATTCAGGAGGACAGGCTCTGGCCGGTCCATCCCCCTGTTCTAAGAGCTTTGACTCAAGCACGGTCGAAGCTTGAAGAGGCTGGCCATCAGGTCATTCCCTTGGATACCCCTTCACTCAATGACGCCACTCTGCTTTCCTTCCGTATGTTCTCGATGGATCCGGGAGCAACGGCCTTTAAACATATTGCTGCCAGTGGAGAGCCGACAATCCCTGCGTTGGCCTCAACATCCTTACCGCACAAATATATGCCATACGATTTTGCTCCGATGACACTGGAATCACTCTATGACTTGAACGTTAGCCGAATCAAGTTCAAAGAAGAGTTCCGGTCTCTCATTAACGAAGCAAACTTGGATGCAATTATCATGCCAGGTTATCAGGGCACGGCTCAGCCTCATGATCTGTATGGATTTCCTCCGTACACTGTGCTATGGAACCTCATGGACGTAAGTCAGTTCTTTCATGATTGAAAGGCAATTGCTGACATATTCATAGTATCCCGCTTGTATCATTCCGTTTGGAAAAGCAGAATCGAGCCAGGATGCCGCCTACTTGCGCGATGTGGAGTACAAGCCCCCATGTGAGTGATTTCTCCTACTAACAAATATATTCCGTGCTGATACATCGAATTAGATGAAGCCGAGTCCGTCGAAGGTGCGCCGTGTTGTGTTCAGTTAGCGGGTCGGAATATGCACGACGAGGAAGTGTTGCAGATCGCTGAAATCGTTTCAAAGGTGCTTGGAAACTGATAGGACCTTACTGAGCTAAGATCTGCGAGGTTCGCAGGTACTTTTGAAATAAATAAGGACGACAGGCATAGCGAATAGTTTTGTCGTTCCTCCCATGTGCAAACACTTAATAAGAGCTTTGATAGATGATACGTAAATCTGGGCGTAGGCACACCTTAGCTCCAAAAATGACGAACTTCAAACATTCCAAGGTTGTTTTTGTATCCCTAAGGCTGTACGAGATGCATCTCGTCACCTAGGCAACTTTAGCCGGTCCTTGGCAAAGAAGACATATGTACAAATCTTGCGCATCATCGTCTGCCTTGTTTGTTTCAATATGAGGAAATTCGAACATCACCGCTAACTAAGTACGAAAAAGAAGTGCAGTTATAGTAATTTATAGCGACAGTGTCCAAACAAGTTCGTAAATAGGTAGCAAACAGTGGTACTTTTGCCATCTTTAAGGCTTGAGACCATATCCCTTGTTGGTCAATCATTTTACCTGATTTTCAAGGATGAGGCAACTGTGCAAACTTTTCTAGATATGAGAGAATAGTCATAACCAGGCTGTTTGAAAAAAAAAAAAATATGCCGGATAGCCTGCTGTTATAGATCGCCACGATAGACCGCAGCTGTGGCGAACAAAGTCTCTACCTGCGACTTGAGCCGTGGCTGGTAAATTACCCGAACCAAATTTCAACGACAGAAGTCTCTCTAAGATCGGATTTTGGCCCAGGTACTCTGTATCTCCGCATGCTATAACCCTGGAAGGATTGAGAAGGATCCACTAAGTAGTTATTAACTTCCAAGCTCCACCTTCATCCAAGGCTGTAACCTTGGAGGAATAAGTGCTGTATTAATATTGGAAGAGATCTATGTATACTTAGTATACGGAAATTGTCTCAATATACACAAATTTTAGCCACTCGACTAGTTGATGATGTGTACTCGTCATAACTACTAGTGTGATTTAGCAAATGGGATTAGAGTGAAGGTATTGGTTCATAATTTTGGGGCCCAGACCATTGGATTTCATGATTATCAGGCTTACTAAGTGCATAGGAACAGAACCCCGGTTTATCAGTATCGATCCCAAACCATACCGTATAGCCTGAAAAGTGGAGTAAGAGGGGATCCGAATCTAGATTGAAAACTCCTGTGTTCTCTTGACTCGCCCCCAATACCCACTTTTCCCAAAGTAATCGCATTTATCGATTCCTAATTCTCCTGATTTCTGGGCTTCTTTTCTTTTTTGTTTCAGGTTCGAGCATGCTGTAGTCTTAGATAAATCACTCACACATCCCTACTGTATGCTACTTAAATATAGCCTTGCATATGTGACATGGAGCGGAGTTAATTGATGGGCAAACTACTATGTGGGCCCTGTTTTAGCCTATCTTGATCGATCCATCTTGATCCTAAATATTTTATCTACTTACCCGGTTCCATCGATCTGGGCCCTAAAAAGTCGATAAATTCTGAATCGAGACTGCCGGTAACTATTTGTACTGCCGCATAATCTACTTCTTACCTTTTTTGTTTCTCTTTTCTTCTTCCTTGGACATCTTGAACCTTGGGGATCTGTTTCAATCATGCCTCCCATGACAGAGGAGACCATTCGTACAGTGTCGTCGCTAGCCACACAACTCGGTAACCAGATCTCAGTGCATATGCTCAACTTGCTCAGCACCACCAAGGAGCTACCAGAAGGCTTTCGTGAACTGTCGCATACCTTCCTCGATACCTGTCGCATCTTGTGGGCTATTGAAGCCGGCGTGACCGAATTAGCTGCTGCCAATCGAACCCTCCCGACAGTGATCATCGATGAAGTGGAGAAAAAATTTATTTCCGCGTACCGCGATTTTCAAAGTCTGGACAAGATCATTTTGAAACTGGTCCAGTATGAGCACCGAGGCACACTGGGGAAGATCCAGCGGGGATGGAATCGCCCAGGCCAAGAGCTCAACCGCATTCAAAAGTCACTGTCACAGACCGCGGAGACTCTCCAGATTAGTGGCATGGCCTTCCACTGGTCCCTTGGAGAAGCGCATCCGGAGGAGTCAGTAGGTATTGGATATGCGAGTCTGGCTGCTGCACTCGACCGTATAGCTAAGGGCCGTTCTGTGATGGGCGTCACAAAAGACGGCTCAGAGAATAACGGCTCAGTATTATCAGTCCACAGAAAGACACCCGTTTTTTCGCCATCAGTACCGCCTGTACCTCCGAAGGAACCCCCCAACCTTATTAGTAACCGGCGATATAGCCCAAGTGAACAACCACGCCCCGAACTTCTGCAACACGATGATCACGAAAGCATCGCAGATGACATGTCCTCCGTCGTTTCCCTGAACTCTTTCTTTCGCGGTCAGCCCGCACGCGAGACCGAAACACCTACCTCTATTGATTATAGAACGTTGCATCCAATGCCAGCCAAGACAAGCTCAGCAGCCCCATCTGTGGCAGAAGTCGGCATACGACATGACAGCGATTCGGATACTGATCTGGGACATCTGATGAAGACAAGTCTGCCAGCGTTAGACGCATTACCCCTGCCGCAGCGCGGGATGGGGAATGTCAACCTACGGAATAGTCTCGCACTCGCAATACGAGGGCGTAACCACTCCATGATCGAACATCTGTTGACAAATGGGGCCTCGCCGGATAAGCTGGAACACTTTCATCCGCTGAATGAGGCTGCTCACCAATGCGACTCAGAGAGCATGAGACTATTGCTACTCTTCAAAGCAAATCCAAATATCCCAGATTCCGATGGCAAACCCCCACTTCTTTTATCCGTGGAGAAATCCTTTGTGGAAGGAGTCATGTTGCTGCTTCAAAGTGGTGCAGATCCGAACTACAGGGCGAAACCGGAGCTTGAGTCACCTCTGAGCTTTTGCATTTTTAATAGCAACATCAGGCTGATGCAGACTTTACTTGCGCATGGTGGTAACTTGAAGGAGGAGATGTGCAATGGCACAACCTTGTTGATTGAAGTAATCCGTAGGCGGGCAACGCAGCAACTTGTCAAAATATTGCTGGATGGTGGGTGTGATCCAAATAAGAAAGACGACCACGGCAAGACGGCTTTGTGCGAAGCAGTACAAAGCGACCAGTCTGCCACATTGTCCACACTCCTGGATTACCACGCGAACCCCAACTTGCCAGGCCCGACACATGCCCTCTGGTCCGCTGTGGATCGTCCAGATTGCCTTCGGATCTTGCTAGTGCGCGGCGGTGACATTCGAAAGACCCCAGGACTTATGGAGAAAGCCACAAGCATGAACAAATTTGATGCTGTAAACGTGTTGTTGCAGGCTGGAATAGATCCCAATTCAAAGAAGGATGGAGTATATACACCACTCTGCTCGGCCATCCGCGATGACCGCCCGGATCTTCTGGCTTTGCTTCTGAGCCACGGTGCTGACCCTAATCTCATGGCTTCGGAGTATCCAGCCTGGAAGTGCATCACCCACAACCGCTTGCAATTCCTGCCGGAATTGGTTGCAGCCGGCGCCAACTTGCACCAACCACCTGGTATTGCCGAGTTGGCCGTGCAGGAGAATAACTTTAAGGGTTTGCAATGGGTGGTGGAGCAAGGTGGTGCCAACCCGAATGATAGAAATGAGCGAGGGCACACAGCCCTGACCACTGCGCTCCGAGAAAACCGCCTGGAGATGCTGGATTGGTTGCTGGTTCATGGCGCTGATCCAAACCTGCGCGGCCAAGACTGGCCAATCTTTATAGCAGCTCGGTCACCAGAATTGATGAAGCGACTACTACCTCATATTACTGATATAGCTGCCCACAAAGGAGTCATGGAGAAAGCAGTACAGGCAAACCAGCTAGAGAATATCAAACTTTTGTTGGCTGCTGGTGCAAGTATAGAGTGGAAGAATGGTGGTGTCTTCTCTTGCTTGACCACTGCGTTGCGCGAGCGCCACACGGAACTCGTACATTTCTTACTTAACGAAGCCAATGCCGATCCAAATGCTCCTGGTGAGCACCTACCTCTTGTCAAGGCGATACGCCGATGCGATGACGGTGATTTCTCAATGATCGAGTTACTCCTCGCGAAGGGTGCTGACCCGAATAAATGCTATCGTGACTGGAATGCTATCATGCAAGCTATTGAGGACCGTGACATTCGTTTGCTGCAGCTATTGGTCGAAAAGGGTGGCCAGGCTGATCTCACTAAAAAGGATGAGACGGGCCAAACTGTTCTGGAAATGGCCGATAATTCTGGCTGGCAAGACGGAACTCAGCTCCTGCTGAAGAATTCTCGACAATAATAATCCTTAGCAAGTACTTGCTATCATGTTTGATTTTAACGAGGCGTACATTTTTAAAGGAATATACCTATGTTTACACCGGCTTTTCTTTTATGTAATTTACCTTGATCAATCCTGTTGATGTCGGTAGTAATCAATCTTCCTGCACACCATGTTTTGAATAAATGCTGTACCTTTTAATTAGTAGCCAAGGGCTAACTCAGTCTACTGGTGCTCAAGTCCTCGTCAGATCCACGTTTTGCGCTAGCACAGAGCCCTCTCTGCGCGTCGAAGTAAATCAAGCGGAGTGTACGAAGGATTCACTGGCGGTCTATGATGTGTGATTCTATCCGAGTGTACTGCTGTATTGATTTCTAGAGTTGGCTGAAGATCTGAGGATTCATCCTCGAGTAAATCATTTTTAGGAGCGTGCAGCCTTTCTCCGAGCATGAAAGTTACCGGCATGAGGAAATCAGGTCATTTAGGCAGCAGATCTTAATTTATTGGACCTACCAGTTTGATGGACGTCCACCCAAACCTGCTCATTATCCCAGACCAAATCAAACCAAACTGGAACGCCATGACTTTTCTAAACGATTACAAGTCGTGCGGATGGAACATCGATGGTAATTACACAGCGAATGTGTCGATAGCGACACCGATAACAGCCCTTTGTGAAGTTTTGTCACCCTCATTAAGATGATGGAAGTGAGAGCATTCAATATTTGATTGACGTTGAAAGTGAAATGTGGGGGTTTTCCCGCGTTGAAGTTAGTAGTAAATAAATAATAATACTTGTGTAGTCATCGTTGGTTCTGCTCTGACCGCCGCCTGGCAGATTATCTTCTTCTCTTTTCTTTCCTTTACTTCTAAATGCGAAGTAATAGGAATTCTATTTTGCTACCATTTTTTGGATTTCCGAGTACAATCCTGTGTAAGAATCGTATAATTGATTTCCCATTTTTCGTTCTCCCGATCGATATCAGCAGTCCTGATTTACCAGCCACCATTCCACTTGCCTTTCTGAGTCTTCTCACTGGGGATTAAGGGGATTACAATGGCGCATCTCCTATGCCTCAATACCTGGAACTGTCATTTAAAATCAAGACTTACAGACTAGCATACTCAGGCACAATCTTCTTTGGGCATTTTCATCCTGAGACCTTCAACTGCACAGGGTCCGAGTGAGGTGCAGTATCCGTCTTCGTTCTAATCTTAAACCAGTTATATTAAGCGATAGCCTAACAATATCTCGACCTACGTCGTAAAACTAAGAGGTCCAATCGCTTCAATACTCCGTTCAAATGTAGTGGATCAAAGACTAGGCTGGAATAGGAACAGCGCTGACGCTTTCAACAACAGTTTCTGAGATATCCATTTTGCATCCCGGCCCGATGAGCCTCAAACGTCCCCTGAATTTGATGCACATCTTTCAATTAAGAAATATGATTGGATAGATCCATGTTGTTACCTACAAAGTATTATCTTCCACCGGCCCGACAATCATGACTGATACCTAGCTATTCATTTGAGAAATATGGAAAAATGATAATAAAAGTGTACAAGTAAGCTTTGGGGCGGGGCGCCATGCTATCATGTTTTTTTTTCTCGTTTCTTTCTGTCTTCGTTCTTGTAGGAAATCACACGCCATGTTGAAGGGTGCACTGTTGCTGTCTGCCGCAATCGGTCTTCTTTCGACCCCAGTATAGGCGAAGAATGCCACTACCATATCCTCTGATGGCTGTACTGATCCTTCAGCTTTCAACAAATGTCTCAATAGCGCTACAACAACAGAAGCCAAATGTATCAGTGAAGCGGGCACAAACGATGACTCGGTGGTTGCATGTGGCTGGACGTTGCATGAGCAGCAGTTGCTTTGCTATATGAGTGACTGCTGGAACAAGGTAAATTAAGTTAGAAGTGATCGAGCGACTTTTTCTCATTCAACGTCTAGGTTTATTCCTGTGAATACCAATATCTTGCTTCAGAATTCCTTACCGAGAGCTCTCAGTCCACTCTTCCGTACTATCCCGCTCCCCAAGATGCTCCAGGAGGCTGTTCCTGTAACATGGGCTATTTATTTGGAAATGTAAAAATCGGCATCAACGATATTGAGGATACCTGCTAGGCCTATACATTCTCTTCCGATAACAGCGAATTTGAGTGCCAGTGCTGTGCTTTCAGCGCTGCCGTTTCTTCGTATGATATCCGAAATCTATGGATCCGAAGCAATATTAACCGAGATAATAGATACTACGGTGTTTGTCCCACCACAGATCCCTCCGAGCTAGGACTAGATACAGTTATCAAAGAAATTCAGGAGTATGCAACTTCCGTCACTGGAACCTGCTCTAATCTGGATTCTACTACTTGCTTGGAAAAGTTTAATATCTCATCCCCAGATGGTAGCACATATGTGAACCCTGCGGACCTACCAACGGGTGGCACAGAAAAACTGAGTACAACTACGGGTGTGGGCTACCCTTTGACATCACCCCCAGGCGGAGAGACTATGACGGTTGTCATTTTTAGCGCCACATATACCGTAACCGCTGCGCCTTACAATGCAAAGAATGTGGCCGCTACAAGCTCTACAGGTTCAATAAATACTGCTACGACTGGTATCACCGCTAGTTCGACCAGTACTGGGAGCAAGAAGAGTTTGGGCATTTCTGCATTCAATGTGCCCTCCATTGAGGTTTATGGAGTTCTGCTTTTTGTGGCTTTTATGGTTGGTCTGTAAATTACTGAACTGTCCATTAAGAAAGACTTGATTATGTGTATTCCTAAACTCCATGATTTGAAGGCTATAAATCCATCTCGTAAGTAAGAATCAATATCCCGGGTAGTAAAGAATTTCACTTGTATAGAGGGCTTCAGACCTGAAACATATATTCTAACACACCTGCATTCTAGTCTTACCAAAGATCTGATGACCATTACCTAAATCCCCGTCATGAAAATCTTCAATAAGGCCGGATAATTGGGGGTTCCCAGCCCAGTTACCGGGTCCCAACCCTCAACTGATTTGAACCCAGATGTGTTGCAGCCGGGGTTATTGCCGGTCGTTACGTCAAAAAAGGCCTCTGGATGGGCATAAAGAACAGGATTAACAAATCCGACGGTCGGTTTGCCTACTTTCAGACGTTCCTCGTTGATTCGAGTAAGAATTGCCGCAAAGACAGGCGCTGAAGCCGATGTGCCGCCGATCTGAGCAGGAGCTCCTCTGTTGAATATCAGGACATGGTCGCCCACGGCAGAGACATCAGGGTAGCCTCGACCAATGCGATTGTATATTCCACCGTTTGCCCCAATGTTATTATTGTTGACACCCTCGTAATAGGGGTACGTGTGGTTTGCCCTAGCGAAGTATGCTGCTACGGCCTTTGATTGCCAACTGGGCTGTTCGTATATGTTGCTGAAGCCGCCACCAGATGGGAACCGAGAGACAGCCACTTCTTTGTGATCACTGGCATGAGTGCCACTTGGGAGGTAGGTCGCGCCCGCAGCGGTCATATAAGGACATGAAGCAGGGAAGTCAGGGACAAATATCTGACCATTATCGCCCAAGCAATTGCTAGGAGTAGGATCACCATTCCGTCCAGCCACACCAGAGTCACCGGAAGCAACCACAACGGATACACCCTGCATGCCTAGCTTCATAAATTCATTGCATTGACGGCGCTGGTAAGAAACCGGAAGATCTGCCTCTGCGCTGCCATAGGAGATTGATATCACGCTGGGTAATTTAAAGACCCCACATTGCAAAGTTCCCTTGTATCCCCCATTCTGAGGATCCGGATATGTGGGATCGAGGTTGGATATTTCGCTACAGTAGGAACCATCAATAGCATCAAGAAACGTGTTCAAGAAGCCTTTGAAGGTATAGTTATTCTCATATGGCATGTCGTCTGTCTGGAAGAGAATTGAATTTTGGGGCCAAATAATGGGATATGAGATTTGGAAGTCCAAGTCAGATTCAACGCCAGAACTGAAAAGAGAAGCTGGTGCTTGTGCTCCGTCAATTGCGTCTAGCACTGGGTGAGTTCCTTGGGGAATTTCGCTGGAGTGATTCTTGTTAGAGAGACGAATTATTAAAATAAATATAGGAATGCCTCACCTGGCCAGAGTTGAGAAGAAAAGGTTTAGATCTTCTTGTGAATACACATCTCCGATCCCTTCGAAGATACCCAGCTCGTTGCCTTTAGTAGCCAATGTGCCATTGCTGATATTGTACATGGCTGTTTGGAATGAGTATAAGTATTAATGTCACGTAAATGTTCATATTAATGTTTGTAGTATATCTCACTCTTGATACATTGTGGCGTGATGGTAATATCACAAATATCAGTACCGTTATTGATGATATCCTGAAGAGACGCATGCGGTGGCTCAATAACCGGAGGCAAACCGTTGATACTCCGTTTTTGGATGCGAGAGGCTGTAGAGCTTCCAAATTCCCGCAATGCAACTCCTGGAGTAATGTAGTCAATATGCCCACCCAGCGAGCTTGGAATATGATATCTATCGAAATGAGCTTGGTCAAAAAGTGTAATTGGAGAAACTCTCTTGAACTCACTCGCTGCATGCGACATATTGTCTCCCTGTTTCTGTATGCGAATAGATATGATATTCAGTATGGAGTAAGCGTTCTAGTTCTTCAACCCTGGCATCGAACTGAAGCCACTGTTTGTTAACAGATTGTGAAATACGGCCCTGGGAGATGTTAGAAGACTCCAGCCACGAGCGGACATCATCAATGTTTTGTTGGCTTGGTGCAAAAAGATCATGCACCTCCGATTGTGACATGTGTTTTCCGTAACGACTCGAATATGGATCAGACCTGAGCTCATATGGATGTTAGAGATCAGAATATGTGAAAGATGAGATCTAAAGGAACATATGGTGACTTACATCTTCATAAGGAGGTCATGGCCATAGCCCAGGTTGGGCTGAACTAAGCCAATTCGTACGGGAAGTGATGTTGTTTCATCGAGCCTTTGACCCTTGTTCCAGTAGCTGGGGGTGGACTCCCTTCGCTCATGGACAGTGTAGTGGCTTGGACCGGATTGAGCCCCCACGAGGGTCAAAAGCCTCAAGAGAAAAATAGAGGACTTCATGCTTGGGAGAATGTCCACAAATATCTACTCACAATATCATGGAATCTTGGGAATTCAATTGATTTTACCGGAGAGAGTTACATTTATATCAAGAAAAGCCAATTTAATGACTCTCCTATCTATCCACACTTACAAAGTTCCAAATTTTCTGTCACATTAGGAACTGATGTCCAATCAGTGATGACTTCCAAGGCCTTTTGAGCAGCAAACTTTTGTGTATGTGCCTCACGTTGCAGATTTTGACTTGATTAACCTTGAAATTAAGGTAGTGTTATCTATCATAACGGGTCATTTTGATTTGAGTCAAAGGCAAGAGTACCACTTGGGCAAAATATACCTAGTCAAGAGGTACCCACAGCAATGGGGTCGACCATTCATGCCTCTCGTTATGCTGTACAAATCGACAGGGTACTTGCAATCTACGAAACCTGTTCAATAGTTCCCAAAACACTAATCTAGTTCTAGTCCCACGGTTCAGGCTCAGTACACCCCTATGGAATCATGTGAGATTCTAAATTTGATCTCCGAGACCACGTAAATATTTCGTCATTGATCTCCCAGGTACCGGGGAGTTATCCATGGTAAATACCGACAGAAAATTTCCACATTGGGAAAGTTTTCAGCCAAATGAGATTTCCATGTAGCCTCAGATTTCTATGAATTAACTTTGGAACCTCGGCAGGTGTAGTTATCATGTGAATACTAAATTTTTCAGCAGTTTGTCATTGCCGAGAAAAGTGACATCCAGTTATCGATAAAGAATATGCGTCTTCGTGAGTTGAAGAAGAAAAAGAAATAGAAACCCTTGCAAGTCGTACCTAAGTAGTAGGATCCTGAACATTAGAACCTTCTAATTAGGTCTCATAAGTTCCTGAAGGTGTCTGAATTATATGATAGTTATAGTAAATTTTATCAGAGACTCTTTTCTGTACCGCTAAACGTCCTCCTTGGAACAAGGATCTAACAAAGGATCCAGTTGGATATTTTAAAGTGAAGGGATCCAGTTCCAGCCAATCCATTTTTCGGATTGATTCATTTTGCTTGGACATGTCCAAATAAGTAATGATGAGAGATGAACTTCCCTTTTCACGAATAACCCGGCTTTTTCCACAGCTTTATGAAAAGGGACATAGTGGAAATCAATAAGCACGCAAATTTGGTTCGCATTAGTATTAGAAGAGCTAATAATGGCAGTGAGATTCCGCGGTAAGTGATCATTGAGAGCAATGTTATCTTCCTAAGCACGATTTTTAAGCTTGATATAGACCTTAGAAAACCTTGACAAAATGACCATGTAAAGTTCTCCAGTTTATGCTATATTAAAGTTTCGAAAATACACCTAATCAAGACTAAATTGTATATGGTCCGCCGAGAGACCGAAGAAGTAGGATCCATGATATCTCGGGATGCCTTGGTCTTATATATCGCTAAGCGCAATTTAAATATGTATACACTTGTTCCGTTCGAAAAATGGTATAGCCAGGAGCACAATCGATATAAAGCCGGTCGTAGAAGTTAGCGACAAAAGTTTCATTAGGAATTTGGCTGATCAAACTTTGAGGTCAGACCTGAACTTATGATAGGGAATTATATCTTCTACTTTTAAAACCGCAAGAATTTCCAGGACGAAATTCATGCCCTTGTTTGTTGTGAGTGTTTTATGGGGTGGCTGGTGTATTAAACATCAGGGACTGAGGTGACTCCTTTTAACGCGATCCCTTTTATTGGTAGAAAATCAATAAACAGTGTTTAAGCATCTGGCCCTGGGAGGTGGAACAACATAAAAATAACCTTATAGTTAAGAAAGGCGTAGGATTTGGCACATTGGAGGTCTATACTACACTATAGAATTGATCTATGTTTTCCAAAACAGTCTAGCCGTCTCGCCTTACACTCTATCATATAGCGTTGTCTCCAGTTTGAAAGATATTTTGGAGTAGCTGGAATAGGCAAACTTGGAAGCTGTCCAGATGGCCCAAATTTAATCCTTCGCGGATTTCAGAACCATCGTAAGATCGCAAATAACCTCTCACGTCTGGTGAGTTTGATGGAAAAGTCATGGCCTTTTCCTTATGCTCTAAGGATATCTATATCAATACATGATATCTTAAAATACATTTGTATCGCCCAGCTTAAGCTCTATAGTAATAGGCATAGGTATGCTTATATGAGTAAGAAGGTGAGATAGGCGGAGAAAGTAAGATAAGATCAGAGTAAAGTAACATCACATTGAAGTTATAGAGGTACCTGAGCTTTAGGCTTCGAAGATTGAAAACTATAAAGGGGCTTATCTTCAGAGACTATTTCTCTTCTCCTTCCCACGCTCTTCGCTGAATATTGAACCACTATAAGTTCATTAGCCAGAGATTTCTTTAGCAGTATAATGACTACATGATACGCGACAAGATTTAGTACGTACACCAGATCAGCGTGATTACGACCTAGTTGTTCGTTGTGAGGTCCTTGCTGCTCACAATGGACGAGAATGTGCATTCATACAGTTTGAGCATGTCGAAGATGCCTCCGAAGCTCGCTTGGGGATACATGGTGTTTACGTAAATGGTGATTCCCGGCCACTCCGAGTGAGCTGAACCACTCTTATTGCTCAGCCTGCTTGCTCCGTTCCTCGCCCTGTTACTAGTCATTTTGCTCTTCCTTTTGCTCTTCCTTTTGCTCTTCCTGCATCTCTTCCTGTAGGTTCGCTTCCTGTTGCTCCTGTGCCTGCAGCAACTTCCCCGCTCTCCCTTCTCTGGCAACACTCTCTGCGGAAGGCCATGCTACTGTGATCAGTGAAATTGCCGCCCGTCAGGATACTCATTCTCTTCTCTGCTCTGCATACCGCCTCTGCTAATTGAGAATGCCCGTTGGGCTACCCGTCGGGTTGCTCGTGCTCTTGCAGCAGTGAATACTCCGCCTAATATTTCTTTTGCACTGCCTTTAGTTCCTGCTAGATACAGTCTGATGTCTGCACACGGTAGATATTTCAGTGAAACTCCCCTAGCACGCACGCCTCCAGGCTATGACACGTGAATGAAAAGAATGCCACTGTCTCCATAAAAGATAAGATAATCCCACTGCGCCGCTCTTATGGCGATGTAATCCTATTCCAGGAAATCTTCACAACCAAAGGGTATGTTCGTCACCAAGACTGGTCATTGGTCACATGAGTTACGTCGATTGGAGCCCCTCAATTAACACTTGCGGAGCAAGAGCAGCTTGTCTGAAAGGTCATCTAGACATGATCTAGTAAAAACGGAGGACCGGACTGAAAATAATATCAAAAACATGGGAGTGAAAGCGAGCGAGTATTTTAGTTTTAGTCTCTCTTTTGACATAATTTATTCATGCAAATTGATTTCCTATTCAGGTGCATAAAAAGCTGTTATCATACATCATATATTAACTATAACCTCTTTTGGCGTTTTAGTAATATACAAATAATATCTTCATACCATGTATAAAAGTCATGTTTAGCGCTCTTATAGCTGTGAGTATCGTGTTAGATATCGCCGTAAGATTATCAATATAATTTCTCCATAAAACATGGAGCGACAAACACTATTCAGCCTCTCGATTTGACATTCTCAGTAGTAATTTTCATCATATAGAATCATCATTCATATTGACTAGGAGATTCGGCTGAAGCCTTGCTCAGATCTCTTTCACAATGCACGCAGTTTTCCTTGAAAATGGATTATTTAAGCCATATGCAGGGAGATATCGGAAGAAAATAGATTCCTACACCGGACAAAAAGCTCAACCTGTTTAAAAATGGCCGATTGAATTTTCTTACCCATACACAGATATAAGTAATAGTTAATAATACTGCAGAATGAAGAACGGGATGTGGATCCGGCGACGGGATTTGTGTCCACCTCTCACAATCAAATTCACATTCCATATTTAAGCCTGTTTTTTGCGACCCCTCCAATGCTTCTTCGATCCTTTCGACCTTTTTTATTCTTCCCCTTCGGGATCCTTCGGGATTAATGAAACTGACTTAGTTCAATTACTGTTCCTGCCCGGGCAGGGCAGTTTGAGGATAGCAATCATGGTTCTAGATGAAATGCTCTATCTCAATCTTGATCGCCCCTCCAACTTGTCAATGGTGGTGACGCCACCAGCAGAAAATGACCCCCAGACAAAAGACTCCATATTTGCCGATGATCCCTTGAGGCGTATCTACCGTCTCACCCCGACACCCACGATCGTTTTGGATGGCTCGCTTCGGATACTTGAGGTTTCGGACAGCCATCGTGCGCGATTTCATCATGATCGAAGCCAGCTAATAGGCTCCAGCATCGATAAGGTAGCGCCAGAGATTATTCCCGTATCGGATATGCTATCCATGACCCACGCGTTGGATTCAGCCATTGCCACACGCACCGTCCAAGTCCTCGGCTCTATTAACCACTCGCTCCGAATCACTCCAATCTGGGAAGACGACAACCTGATATATATCTTGCTGGAGGTGCACGACGTCAAGCGGGAAAATACTAGGCCGAAGCTCAACCATGAAAGATCCCTTAACGAGACCTACAAGATTTTGATCGATACCGTGAAAGACTATGGTATCTTCATGTTGGACACCGGCGGCCATATTATGACCTGGAACTCCGGCGCAGCAATTCTTAAGGGTTACACTGCAGATGAAGTCATTGGTCAACATTTTTCTATATTCTACGGACGAGAAGATCGCCAGAAGGACAAACCAGCACGAGAGCTCGAAGTATGTTTGCGGGAAGGCAAAGTAGAGGATGAAGGGTGGCGATACCGCAAAGATGGTAGCCGCTTCTGGGCCAACGTCATGGTCTCACCTATCTATCAATCGGATCTCCATATTGGCTTTGTCAAGGTAACTCGTGATCTGACAGAGCGCAAGGCTGCCGAGGCACGACTCATAGACGCGTTCGAGGAGTCTTCGAAGCTCAAGACCGAATTTTTGGCCAACATGTCGCACGAACTCCGCACTCCCATGAACGGGATGTTCCTTGCGTTGACGATGCTGACTAGGACCGAACTCAATGATGATCAACGGGAATTTTCGTCCATTCTGGAGGACTCGACATCGATTCTTTTGCAAGTTATCAATGACATACTGGACTACTCAAAACTGTCATCTGGTTCATTTTCACTTAACGTCGACGTGCTAGATGTGCCCAGCGTGGTCAGCGCTGTCATACGGAACTGCCAATCAGCATTGAAGCCCAGCGTTGTATTGACAAGCTCAGTCGATGCGGACTTTCCACAGAATCTCAAAGGTGATCCACTGCGCTTTCGACAAGTCCTCCAGAATCTCGTCAGCAACGCCGTGAAGTTTACGGAGGAAGGACATATTCACGTCATTTCTTCTTTCCAGTTGAATGAAGCGGACCATCAATCTTACGACATTTCTGTGCAAGTGGTGGATACTGGCATTGGCATTCCGGAGGAAGTCGCAGGAAGCACTCTTTTCACCCCGTTCACTCGGTTTGCAGACACCACGACGAGGCAATATCAGGGAACTGGGCTTGGACTTTCAATTTGCAAGAGTTTGGCGGAGCTGATGGACGGGGCGGTCGGATTCCATCCAAACCCTGAGCGCCCAGGGAGTGTTTTCTGGATAAAAGCCAAGGTGGGACGTATTGGTATGCCGTCCTTACAACCACGACTGATCACACCAGCCCTGGGAACATCATTCGACCCGTCGAAACTCCTCGAAAAAGTCGCTCCACAGAAACAAATTCTTCTTGTTGAAGACAATAAAGTTAACCAGATCGTCATGATCAAGCTATTGGATACCCTCGGCTTCGGTCGCGTGGATGCGGCCTGGGATGGCGCCGAGGCTGTGCGCATGGTAAAACAGAAGCCTTTTGCGTACAATGTGATCTTGATGGATATTAGCATGCCTATTATGGATGGCATGAAAGCAACCGAGCATATCCGCCAGATCAACAACGACGTTCCGATTATTGCACTGACCGGTAATGCCTTAAAAGGTGACGCCGAGATCTACCTTGCAAAGGGCATGAATGATTACATTGCTAAACCCCTTCATCGTCGACAGTTGGTTGATATATTGTGGAAGTGGTGTGGGTCATAGTCCTACATACTTCCGCTAATGGTCATCATTCTAAATTAGTCCTCATCACATTCGCAACCAGTACGATATCAGAGGTCAACAGCCACATGTCTTGGGTACTTGTTCTCACCAAGAAACCGTTCATCACAAATGTTCCTCTTCCTCGCACGAAAGTTGGTAACGCCGTTCTACGTTCGTTGGACATTTAAGACAGATCTCGCTGGTTCCCTCTTACAAATTTTGCTTATCAATAAGGTAATAGCTGAATTGGTATGACAGAGCACTGAAATATCTCCTGGAATGTGGGCTTTTGAGCTCCTCAACTGGGATTCACTTTCGATCCGCAATCAGATGCTCTCTATATGAACCACAGAACAAAACAATATGAAGGTCTGCCAGCCTGGATGGACCACCGACGTGTGATGCGTGGCGTGCTTCTCAAATTACATATTTCGTGCAGCCATCATACCATTCCTTCTTGTTCTAAGAAGGGCGTTTCGAACTTGGTGTTGCGGTTTTGTAATTGTAAGCCCCGGATAGTACTAATGCCAAGTTGTCTTATAGAAGATTTATTGTATCATTTGCCGTACTTTATTCAACTGCACGAACTGACTCATTTGCATCATTTATCTTGAGTGGAAACTGTCCTTTCGTCCTTTCATCTTCATTCCTTGAAGATTAACATTTAAATGTTGTGTATTATATATTCAATTGCATGTGGTATGAAGACCCATTTCTCTGGAAGATTTCTTTTCTTAGTAATTCTGAACTGGTCAAAAATGATGAAACTGGACGGAAAATTGTGGGTGCGGAATTCATCCGCGAAACAGCTTGATTTTTCTCTCCTTGATTCTTTGTATTTATTTAGCCAACGCCAAAGCTGTGGTTGCGCTATGAAAATGTGTTTCGTTTTTCGGATATTGGTCAAGCTCGATGTACTGGGAATTAATTCCACGTTGAGATTAACGTTCAAAGATAGATTAAAGATTGTGATCTGAAATAATCGAGCTCTAACTTCAGAATTACTGCGATGGACTTGTCTTCAGACTTTATTTCCTGATAAAGACGTTGGTAATGCAATAAACCCCTTTTTATGGAAATATATGACTCAAGAATTGAGTCGGAGGTGTGAACTGTTTCATACATTGTACGTAATAGGCCAAGATCGTCCGTGGAATCAAATGAGAGAAGCCTGATGAGGGACCGTGCAGAATGACTATCTTCTAGAATTTGAATGGCTCCAGAGGCGAGAAATTTGTCAGCCTTTTTCGGATGTCCGATGCTTGAAGCCTCTTGATATCCGTTTCTGAAAGCAGAGGGAAGGAACACTCGCGTGGGCGGGTATCCATCAGATCTCGACGGGAATCGTGTCGATCGCGAGTGTTTGGTAAAGCGATCGGAGGGTTCGGACGTGGTTATAAATGCTGTTGAGCACGAACTGACCTGACGATCGTTTTGGGTTTCGAACTGCTTGGATCGCAGCCTGGCAATCAGAGAAGATGACCATCTTTGTGTAACTGGAGTCACTTTTTGAATCCTGTTAGAGCTTGGCGAAATGGGCAATCGCCATCTCTATCCCGTTGAGCTCCGCAACGTGGACTATTGAATCCTCCTTGGCTGATCCAAGGTGCTTTCTGAGGAACACACCCTCATTTAGGGTCACGGCGGAAGCGCCGATTTGGCCCTTTTTTCCCACTCCCGTCCGTATAGTAAATAAGTGTCTTGTTCTGTTCACATTCTATGTTGTACATTGAGGCCTGGGCTACCTCTGGGTCTGGTTGAATAATGCATGGGATCCGTGCCTCTGATGGTGCCAGAACGAATGATTTTCGAGTTTCCCACTCCTGAGGTGTGTCGATGTTGTGTTGTTTGTGGAGCTGGTGCCAGAATGCCACCCTTCTTGAATCTTAGTACTTTAAGTGGGCTCCACCCGCTGCGCTTCCTCTCTTTAGCATCTCGTGTGTGTCTACTTAGACTCTCTGGTCGCACCCATTGCGGCCCTGTTTGGATTCTTAGTGCTGCTTACTAGGCTAGTTGATCCATGAGTAGCTTAGCTGGTGGAAGGTAGAGCTCCATGTTGAGTGCCGCCGCGCTGGTCGATTTGACCAAAAGACATTAAGTAGCTTCGACAGGCCTACTTGCATAGACCACTACCCTAGTTTTCCACCTAGTAAATCTAAGGCTTCAGGTTCAAGGTGCACCAGGCCTTTCCCCGTAGGTGTCTCTTAGTTTGCTCCTTAAGCATAACACGGGCAGGCTAACTAGGACGACACCGCTTTGATCGACTAGAGTCGGTCTCAGGCCCTCAGTGCGAGTGACCCTCAGTGCGAGTGAGGTAGTTAGCTCCCGGCTCTCTGTACACCGACATGCGCATCCGTCCTCTCGGGTTATATAGATAGTCTCTTCATAGGCCCTGACCCTATCGCAGTGGCTGCCATTATACACCACGCCCCGCGAGAGTATGAGCTCATACTCTCGTTTCGCGTTACCTAGAGAGGTCTCTCTCTACTAGACCGTCCGTGTCTTGCAGAGAGTCCTTTTTGACTTATGTACACTCCAGCTGGCAGCGTACGTCGGTCGCTCTCCACTAACCAAGCTTGGTCCCTAGTGACTGACCAGGGTTGATGGGCTGCCTGTGGCTAAGCCTTAACGAGTTCCATCGATTGCCATTATTCAAATACTAGTATTTTCTAGAATCCCCGTGTGTCTCCTAAAAGGGTGCCCGTGTCTCGGTGGTGCCCATGTCTCGACGACGGCCGGTCTAGGGTTTGCCCGTGGCCACGCCTTAACGAGGTCTCTAGCGAACGGAGTCTTCGAGTCTTAACGAGTTCCGAGCCTTAACGAGGTCTTTATATCTTAAAAAGGTATGTCTAATATTAGCTTAACTACCTGCGTCACCAGTTCACTACCGTCTCGCCACATTTCGCACGATGCGATCCCAGACCGTATAATCAGGGGTGTCCTGTCTTCTTTTTAGGGCGATACCACGTCCACTGTTAATGCAAGACCAACTTTTGGGCCGGAGTGCGAGTCGGGTAAAAAGAAGTCGGATGGTTTTCATATCCAGTATCCCCTGACTTTGGTGTGGTTGTGCGGTCGGCGTGGGGCACGGTCTCACAACAACGTCGGATTCACTTTGGTCTCCCTAACGGGGATTAACACCGGACACCACGAGAAGGTATGAATCCATTGTCCCAGCAGCCTGGCGAGGACTGTTGCCTGGATGTAGTGCATCCCAGCAGCTCTCCCGAGGTCCTATTCGTCTGCGCTTAAAATGATTTAAGAACCTGCAGAAGTTCAGGATAATATAGGCTCTATATATTACGGGATGAATGCAGGAATTTGTACGCTGTAAAGATCCGATTGATAAACAAGAAGAATTAACTAAGGGAAAGGGGTCCTGGGGACCGGATGCTCTCATGTAACGTATGTAAGGCCCGGTTAGTCGAAACCAACCATGCCTTCATGATTCGAGGAGAATTGATCTTGAGATCTGATCAGTAATAAAGCATTTAAAAAAGAGTAAGAAAAAAATTCGAACTACTCAAAACGCCTGTACTTGTTCATTTCTAGTAAAACCAGCACTGTTTAGGCAAAGTCTTGATACCGTGTAGCTGTGGCAGCTATACGAGCTCCCTCGGGCGTATTTGTTAGTTAAGCACACAAGAGATAAATATGTGTTTTCAGCAAAAACCTACTTAAGAAGCCAGTTCATGTCATGTTTGGATCAGTAAGTCTAGTCTAAGATAAGCCACCCCCGAACACCATAGTAAACTCGAAAAATTGGATGTCATATCTCAACAATCACGGCTTTAAATCACTATATCTATTTATCTATATCCAAATAATAAGCACATGTATAATGTCGGTTGACTAAGTTATTACCGAAGCAGACAGCTATTGATATCGTTTCTGTACGTATATAATAGGTGTATGCATATTGGGTAAAAGTGAAGTGTCATTCTAAAATGCTTAGATGAAAGAAGATATAGTAGCTGCCATGCCAAGATCACATGATCTTGGTATGTCAGCTGATATTCGTTCCAACATATAAATTATTACTAAATTTGAAGATATCGTTATATAGCGTGGAGTAAAATCTGAAATAGATAAATTACGAAAATTAAGATGTAATTTAAAGTATCATCATTATCCATCTATCTTATTTACCTAAAGTGAATTGATTCTTTATGAGAACTCTTATCATGCTACGCACCAAAGATGTGAATCTTACCGGAGTCGTGGTTGTTGAGATATGACATCCAATTCTTCGAATCTACTATGGTGGTCGGGGGTGTCCAGCTCGCATGTGGTATAATTTAAGTGGTTACCTAGTTAGGTGAACATTGGAAAGCTCGGAAAAAGCTCAATATCTTGCAAGTGCACTCTAGGTATATGCCCACCTAGGCAGTTGATTATGAACTCCATCACAATTTCACTGATCTGCCACGTACGTAAACCTTGGCGATATTCCTATCGTCACCCGTCATGATCCATTTCTCAAATATGACCGAGATCGAGTCTTCTTCTTCAACAGGGGTCATAGCACCCTCCAAATCCACGGTGTGAACCTCAAGCGCGTCAAATTCCTTTCCAATCGCAAAGTTCCCAGTCTTACTGTCCAGCCCACAAACTTGGGCCCCGCCTAAAGTGGCAAGAAAAACCCTTCGGGTAAGGACAATGCAGGATCTTGGCCTTGTGTGAGCATCTGTCGCGCGTTAGAAACGACAAATGCCTGTTTCATGCATTCCAGCATCGATATAGCGTGACCGCCGCCACAGTCTGTTCCAAGGCCAACTTTGATACCCCGACGTAGATACTCTCTTATTGGTGCTACCATGAACGCATCCATTGTGGTATTAGAGATCGGACAGTGAGCAACTCCGCAGCGAAGATCTTCGATAGTCTGCATCTCCTGCTCTTCTAGAAAGATACAGTGGGCCAAGATAGATCGCTCATTCAACAACCCGAAGTGCTTGTAAAGCTCGGTCTCTGTTCGAAACTCGGGGAAAAGCTGGCGGGTGAAGCTCATTTCTTGCTGGGCCTCATTGAAGTGAGTTTGAATTGGCAGATCAGGATACTCCTGGGAAATCACACCGAGGCCTGACAAAAGATCTGGCTCGCAGGAGATTGCAAATCTGGGTGTTAAAATGGCCTTCAGTAGCTGGCTTTCCGGATCAATGTTTTGAATATGCTGGATCAGCTCGCGAGTTTCATGGAGGGAACCCTCGACTGATTCATCCCTGTACCAGTCTGGCGAGTTGCGATTCATGTTACACTTGCCAATAAGAGCACGCTGGCCCTTGTCGAGGCAAATATTGGCCAGAATTTGGGTTGCTTTTCCGTGGAGGGAAGCATAGTACGATGCCGTAGTTATTCCTTGGGAGAGTAACCCCGTGACACAAGAGGTGTACATGCGCTCGGCATACTCGGAATCTGCAAATTTGGCCTCATGCGCAAATGTCACCTCATTAAGCCAGTCTAGTAGAGCCTTGCCACGACCCACCCCGCGCTGTGCCCATTGGGGCGCATGGTTGTGAGTGTCCACGAAGCCCGGACATAGGAATTTACCATGCTCCAAATACTTCACAGGAAACACATCAGGTGTATATCCCAGATCTGAAATGATGGTATTGATTTGACTGGGGTCGACTCCAGATTGGAGTTCTTGAATTCTTCCTGAGATATCCACCAACAGAAAGCACTTTTCGAGAATCTCGAGACTTTCCAAGCTTCTAGAATGGATGACTGTTCCATAAAAGGCTAGAGGCAAACCAGAAGCTTGGAGTGAGTTTTTATCAAGCGCATCCATGGTTAAAAGATGTACAAAGTGAAGCCTGAAGTGTTGAGAGATGATTATGTCTTATCTGCATGTGAGGGGTAACGAGTGCATAGCTCAGAAGTTAGGAGTAAAATTTTTGGTCAACCTTGGAATACTCCATGTAATTATTAGTAAATCAACATGACCAGTATGCGTTGACTGGTATTTTGAGTGTAGATCAATTTTCCAGGCTGTCGGTTTCTGAAAATAAGGACATGATTTCTCGGCCAACCAGTCCTTTTTCAGTGCTATATATGTGGTCGCAATTGATTAATCTCACCATTTACCTTTGGCTACCATCTGAGAAAGATTGAAGTCATCGGAGTCCATAAATGGAATACTTCAACGAGTGTAAGGTAGTAAGGTAGTGCATGTTTGCAGCTCCAGAAATACCAGTTGCCCTCAGGAGGTACCTAGATATTCTTCTCAATGAAGATGATTGAACCTTGGCACTGGATGAGTACCTTCCAAGGTTATTTATGATTTCCCTTGATTCTTCGATGGCAGAGCAATCTAGGATCCTAATTAATTGATAACTATCGCAGAGCAACAAATACGATGCATACACTAGTGCCGGAGAAACAGGTGTGTTGAGTTCTGCTATGGTGGATTGGGAAAGAAACTCCGAGATGAGCTTGGAGAGAAGACATGGTGTACTCTACTTTTGGTGCTTTTCAAGGTTGCAAACAAAGAGATGTTCGACATGTGGACAGAATGTGATACATATTTGCACAATAGAAACACCGGAACCAGGTATCACAACCTGAAATCCTTAAAAGAGCCAGTTTTAGAGCGCACTTTGTGAATATCCTTCCTATCGGCCGATAAACGTTTGATTAGTACAGAATATCATTTTAAGCAGCAAATTATTCAGGAAACATTCTTCACCATCTCGTCGTCATTGCACGTCATCTTAGTAAATACTTTACCCCTCATTGAATCCCCTTCATCAAATCAAATAATCAAATTCTTTTTTTATTCTTTTTTAAACTTACTAACAGCTGTATTCTACCAAATATCGTTCGGATTAACTGGCCAGGTATGCAGTATTTATAATATGGAATATTAGCAAGACACCGGATAAATATATGGGCTACAGATTGACTCAGAAACCAGCCATTAGTCTGAGATATCAAACACTTATTGTGTCAAAAATGTCCATACAAAAAAGGGACAAATTAATTGTTCTCTATGAAGTTAAAAAATATAGCGAGTAATCCATTGGAAGGCCTAATAGTATTGATATGAAAAGATCATGACAGGGCCTCAGGTTGACACGTGTTGATTCACGTTTCCACTAAAGGATAATTGAAATATAATAAAAGGGATCTCACCATTCATGGACCACCTAGGTACTGACTGAACTATCAGCTCTCCAAGCACTGAGCGCAATCTATAACGCAATTGCGGATATCAAGAACGTGCATATTTTCGGTACAAAGGTGTATAATCCAGGCTATATCACGCAATATGGTTTTCCAATTTGCTGAATACCACTCCAGTAACGGCGATCTTATCGGACTGATCAACCTTTGGCTGTTAAATAGTTCAGCTAAGAACCTGAAAAAAAAATGCTTTAGCACCGAGGTAGCCATATTGCCACTAAGAGTCAAAAATGTCTGCGAGCGACTTGCCTAATCTTCATTTGATTCCCCAGGGAGCTGCCTATGGCCTTCTTGTTGGCCTTGGTGCCCTTTTTTGTGGCTTCATCTTGTTTGCTTTGAAAGTTCAGAAGAATTATCTCTCCGAGGATGCTGAGAAATCCGAGATGTTCATGGTCGCCAATCGATCAGTAGGAAAAGGATTAACAGCTTCCGCTGTATTTTCATCCTGGATGTGGATCAATGAGACAGTCTTAGCAGCAGCTATGTGTTTCCGTTATGGACTTGCCGTGCCACTAGTATGTCATGAACTCCCACCACTTATCACTTGGGCATGACTGACTATAAATGAAAAAATTCTAGTGGTGGGGTTCAGCTCTCTGCTTCGAGATTGCATTAATGGCTGCTCTAGGTGTAATGGCCAAGATTCGAGTCCCGTATGCGCATACATCACTTGAGGTTGTGCGCATGCGATACGGCCGAGTTGCTCATCTCGTCTTCATCGCTTTGAATCTTGTCAACAACGTTTTTGGTTGCGCCTCAATGATCATGACAGGTTCCCAACTGATGTAAGTTTCAATTATTCTCGCCATCAAACTTGCAAATCTGACATTTTTATCAAAAATAGCCACGGTGTTTCAGGAATGCATTTTATCGCTGCAACAATTTTAATTCCCGTTGGAGGTAAAGCCACTTCACGCACAGTCTTCACGCTGAAGAGATTTGCTAATCGCAATTTCCAGTGGTTCTTTATACAGCAGTAGGTGGTTTGAAAGCCACATTTCTCACGGATTATTTACATACAGCTATCGCACTGATTCTCATCATCTACTTTACTCTCTCGATTCTCACACATTCGATGGTCGGTGGACTGAGTGGTCTTTACGACAAGGTGTCCGCCACTGCAAGCGAAAACTATATTTCAGGAAATTATCAAGGCTCGGTCCTAACCTTCAAATCGAAAGGTGCCATAATCTGGGGGTTAATTATCAAGTTTGGTAATCTTGCTTTGGTGGTCATGGTAAGTGACTGTACTTATGAAAACCTTCCAGGGCTGGTGAGCTAACCCTTAAAAATCAGGATACAGCGTTTTGGCAGAAATCTTTTGCCACTGAAGTCAAGGCCACCGTTCCAGGGTATAACATTGCCGCGATCGCAGTCTTTGGAATTCCTTGGGGACTAGGAACAGTCATTGGACTCACAGCTCGAGCTATCCAATATACACCGATTTTCCCAACTTACCCTGGCACACTTACTTCCGCGGAAGTGAACATGGGAATGGTCATGCCCTACACCATTAAGGCACTCATTGGGACCAAGGGGATTGTGGCATTCATTATCCTTTGTTTCATGGCTCTAACGAGTAGCGTTTCCTCCAGCATGATTGCTGTCAGCAGCATACTGTCCTACGATCTTTATAAAACCTACATTAATCCCCAGGTGACAGACAGAGTACTGGTCCGAGTGAGTCATCTGACGGTCATTATACATGGAGTATTCATCACCGGCATTTCTATTGCTTTGAACTACGGATCCGCCAATATGACTTGGATAGGCTATCTAAGAGTAAGTCAATTGATTGCCTATGTGGAGGTCAATATACTAACTGGAGTCGCAATCGCATAGCCTATAGTGAGCTGTCCTGGAATCATTCCTCTCATACTTACGCTCTTCTGGTCACGTCAAACTCGTTTGGCTGCAATTGTCTCGCCTGTACTTGGTTTCTTTTCCGGCCTCGCTGTATGGCTAGCTACTGCAAAGTCAATGTACGGGACAATTGATATGGCTACTACATCGAACCAGCTCCCCGCTTTGTATGGAGCTATTGCGTCATGCTTCTCACCTGCAATTTATTCCGTTATCATCTCGCTATACAACCCATACGTATTTGACTGGAGAGAATTCCTTCGAATCGAACTAGCTGATGAGGCGTATCTCAATGGAGATTCGGAGAGGAATACGCTTCATGAAAGAGATGTTCAACAACATACCAGAGAGGACCCTGATTCAGAGAAGCCGATTTACAATGTGACAAAATCGGAGGAACACAGCGGCGAAAAAATTCAAGACCTTGAAAAGACTGCTGTTGCAACAGAGATATCGACATCAAGAGCAAGTACTGATCTCGATAACCTCCAGCACCCATTCGATGAAGCGACACTCAAAGACTTGCGTCAATGGCTCAAAATTGCATGGATAATTTTTATCGTCATTGTTCTGATAACCTTTGTCGCATGGCCACTTCCACTCTATCGGGACTACATCTTCACCAAATCTTTCTTTTCTGGATGGACAACTGTCGCCATCATATGGCAGTTTGGTGCATTTGGCGCAGTGGTTGTTTACCCCCTATATGATGGGAGGGATGCTATTGGGAAAATTATACGACTGGGCAAATCAAATATTTTGAGGAGAGCGGATGACGGGACATGCCCAACATGATATATATGTCGAGAACTGGTGGTTGCGTGGTACAGTATTTGAACCTAAAGCCTTGTGAATCCACAGGGCTGTTCAGACGATAACAGCTAGATAGAAATTTCATAGAACTTGGATTGGCATGGACTATAATCATGTAATTAATGATATTTCATCTTTGACACAATCAACACGAATCAACACATGGATAACCGCGCGATTGCCAAGACAGATAAGAGAAGTCGGCTCTTGGCACTGCTACTGCCCAATCATCCGTCCTAGGTCACATGACCCAGACAGAAGTTTGCGTTGGAATTCGCTCTGTCATTTTCGAATCAACAAAACAATCGGCAATTGCTCTGTTTCGATCTTATGTCGAAATGGGCTCCAAAACTCCAGAGAACGATGGAGAGACAGGTCGAAGTAAGTAGAGACGTTGAAAATGTTCGAGTTGTTTCTCATCGTGCGGCTTCTAGATGATGCGCCCAACACAAACAGCGCCAAAGGTGCTGGCGGGGAACCCCGAGGATCTCATTTGTCCCGCGATGGTGACTGTAACCTGGGAGATGATGATGGAGATGATGATCCCGACGGAGATAACCTAACCAGTCCTCTCAACCTCTCGCTGGCGTCGGAACCTAAGCCGACAACTAGCTCTAAGAAAAAGAAGCGCAGGAAGCCTAAGAAGGCATCTTCATCCAAACAGTCGTCACCCCCGCGAGTTCCCCTCGTGAAATTATTTCCTGATGCTCGATACCCCGCGGGCGAGTGTCTGATTTACGAATCTGAGGTTGACAATACCGCTCGCACAACCGCGGAAGAGACTCGATACGAGTCGCGGATGCAACCCCGGGACGGGAAGTTTCTCGAAAACTACCGTAAAGCAGCTGAAGTACATCGAGAAGTCAGAAAATGGGTACAGAACAGTGTTCAACCCGGCCAGACTCTAACCGATATTGCTGTAAGTATCGAGGACGGCGTGCGAGCATTACTCGACAATGCTGGACTTGAACCGGGTGATGGTCTGTTGTCAGGGATTGGATTTCCCACTGGTCTCTCATTGAACAATTGCGTTGCGCATTATACTCCTAACCCTAAACAGAAGGAGATCTTCTTACAGGCGAGCGACGTGATGAAAGTTGACTTTGGTGTCCATATCAACGGTTGGATTGTGGACAGCGCATTCACTATGTCTTTTGATCCCACCTATGATAATCTACTGGCCGCAGTGAAGGATGCGACAAATACTGGCATCAAGGTACCAGAAGATCCAAGCTCCAGGCTCCCACTTTGGCACCCGTGCTGACCGTCCTTTTACATTAGAATGCAGGAGTTGATGTCAGAATCTGTGATATATCAGCTGCCATTCAAGAGGCAATGGAAAGTTATGAGGTTGAAATCAATGGCAAAACAATACCGGTGAAGGCTGTTCGAGGAATTACCGGCCATAACATCAACCAATACCAAATTCACGGAGGGAAATCGATACCGTTTGTGAAGAACAATGATCAAACGAAAATGGAGCTTGGGGAGATATTTGCCATTGAAACATTTGGGACAACAGGTAGTGGTTCTTTAGTCGAGGGCCCCGGTGTCTACGGGTATGGGAGAGAGTTTCTGGCACCTAAGACTGTGCACTCCCATCTTGCCAGTGCTAAATCTCTTTACAAGACCATCAATGCCAATTTCGGCTCCCTGGTATTTTGCCGCCGATATCTTGAGCGGCTGGGCATTCAAAGTTATCTAGCAGGTATGAACGATCTCGTTTCTCAAGAGGTTGTTGAAGTATACCGACCTCTCATGGATACGCATGGTTCTGTCTCTGCCCAATTCGAACATGTGAGTTGCCTTATGGTTATCAGAATCCCGAGGTAACATGACTAATCTACTATAGACTATCCTGCTGGGAGAGACAAGCAAAGAAGTTATTAGTCGGGGAGATGACTACTAAGCTCCCACGGATGTGACCCCAGACATCTGTCCAGTCTTGTTCTGTTTATCCGTTATTTTAATCCTTGCCATCCAACATGGCCTCGCGTTATGCGATATGCTAATATCCAACCATCTCAACATGATAACACACTCCTTTGACAACCCAAAATGAAAAATTTCAAGGAAATCTCAGCAACTGGTATGTGTCCTGTCACTTTCTGCATTCTATATATGGTACACATGCTTGAGGCTGCATTAAATAATCGACACTAAATCGCAAACTCAACAGTGAAGCATGGTGGATCCTTGCCTACCCTGTAAAACTTGAAAATGGAAATAAAAACTTTTAGAAGTTTGACTGTCGTACTGGAATGCATTCAAATGTCCCACTTTTACCGACCTTTTAATTGACTAAACGCGATCCACACATATGGAATGCAGTGCACTCCAAGAGCATAGGCCAGAGGGTCCCCCTTTACCCCGCGACCCTCCAAGTTTTTCTATCAAACTGACCAATGAAATCGCCGGAACAAGGGTTTTTTTTCTTAATGAGACAACTCATAAAAAGCTTATGGGCGCTGAAAAAAAAAAAAAAAAAAAAAAAAACTCACAGGCTGTGAATTAGAAGTATTCAATAGTAACGGACAGCTATGGACATGAACACTACCATGAATGACCGAGCTGTATTGACTGGCCAGGTAAGCATTTAAGACCTCTGGAATAACTACACAGAAGTTACAGAGTATCTGACAGTAGCGTCTGGTCACTTCAAACTCCAAAGTTGACAATCATTCGAGGCAGAGAAACTGTCTCCAGCTAGTAGGAATATAACAAAATTTCACAGCTATTTCTCAACCTTGATTTTTGATTCCGTCTCCTTCAATTCCTTCTCCTTCACCTCCTTCTCTTTCAATTCCTTCTCCTTCACCTCCTTCTCTTTCAATTCCTTCTCTTTCAACTCTTTCGCCTTCAATTCCTCCTTCAACGGTTTTCTTGCCCACACGCGGGTGCTTAAAAATTTGTTAGCATTGATATATCCAGCAGTGTGATTTGAGAAAAAACTTACGAAGTTTCATAGGCGTGAATGTGTGGATTCTTCAGCTCCAAGCGCACTTTAGCCAAAAATACCTGCACCTCCTCCTTCGACCATGGATGTGGCTCACCAAAGTGAGTCAGAAGCCACATGGCCCAACCTTCTAGAGCGGTGTTCCAGTGGGCGTTCTGGAGCTGTCCAGCTTCCTTCAGTATCTTATCCTTAGGCCAAGGTCCTAGGGGTATCTTGGTCTTTTCCTCATGCACGTCCACAAACCCGGCTTTCTCGATTGCGCTGCGCATCGTTTCATGAGTTGTAAGTGACCGTCCAGCTCGCTCGGAGCATCGGATGAATAGATCGCCCCATCCCGATAGCTGGTGCTCTTTCTTCAAGCTACCGTCATCGCTGAAGACTCGGACGTCCAATTCCAATTGCTCGATCCAGCCACCGGGCTCAAGGGCACTAGAGCAAAAGAAAGCGAATGAGGTCATGATCTCAGAGAGGTTCAAGTAATACGGATTGATACTCACTCGTAAGCTTGCTTATAAAGTTTGTCCCATCCCTCAGAGGTGAATGCGCCGTACATCAAACGCAAATGGATGAAGTCAAAAGGCTCTCTCCATGTCCACTCGCGACTCACATCATCCACCTCGAAGACGCAGTTCGGGGGCATCCATACCGTAGGCGGGGGGAAGATGTCGACACCGCGGACAGTAGCTAGTTGGTGTCAGTCCACGAATAGAATTAGCTGAATGAAAAATCACAGTACCTGACGGATATTGATCGGCAACATCACTAAAATTTTGGTAAGAATTTCTGTCCACAGGTTGAAATCGGCTCATATTTGACTTACACTGCCCAGCTACCTTGGCCAGTTCCGATATCCAGAATGTTCTACATTATCCGGTCAGTGGGACACCCAAAATGGAATCGTCTCCATATAGATTCACCTTAGGCGAGTCACCAATAGGGGAGCGGAAAAGGGGATTGGCCTGGTTGTGGTCGAGCACAAGAAGCATCATGTGCCTAAGCTTGTCAATATTACAACAAATCTCCTGGCAGCATGTAGCTACCGAGGCACGAAAGGTAAATGGATGAACAGCTTACCCAATCTCAAACGCCTCGAATTGCTGGGCATCAGAAGGACCCCTAGAAAATGTTACTTTATATCAAAACAAATAAAATTTATCAGAACGAACCAGTAATCATCTTCTTTAGTGGCTTGGTATCTTGATCTCGGTTAGGTTCAGAAGTGATGTTAGAATGCCAAGTGGGCTGACCTGCGGCCATTTTCCAACCGTCCTTTAGCGATAGCGGACGCTATCGAAGTAGTCTCTCTGGAGAAATCACGAGGTGAGAATTCTATCCAAAAACATGACTTGAAATGGCACTCACGAGTGAAAGTCCTGAGGATCCGTACCATAGCCAGTGGCCATAGAGTAAAAATCAGGGTCCTACGCGAGAGTTAGTAACGACCAGTGGACTACGTCAGACCACGACACATCGAAAACGACACTTACCACCGCGATTTCTTCCACTTCTTCAGCCATGATGCTGTCAGTACTACGGTAAATTTTTTAAAGAACAGGGAAGGAATAGAGTGCTCTCAAAGACTACAGTCAGTTTCCCCTGGAACTGTTGGGATTTAAACTAGTAACGTCAGCAGAATCCGTCGCGTTGCCGAGTCTGGTATAGGCTGGAAGTTCATGAGAAAAAGTACGATGGCGCGGGCCAAGAATGGGCCTACCATTTTCCTGGGCCCACAAGTAGACACACAACCCAGTTGTTGCTGGCCACATGGCCTCGGTAATCCCTGACTGGAGCTAATGTTTGCCGTAATCCCTGGAGCTAATGTTTGTCGTACAGGGTCATTAAAAAATAACATTCTATCACTTCGCATAATACATATTACTGGGGTAGACTCTTTTGAGTGGCCAATTCCAATTGTGTAATCCGAACTTGCGGAGTTGTTGGTAGGATGAAAGGGCACCAATCCTGTTATGGCTAGCGCGCAGCGTGCGGGGTCTTTTCTTATCTAACTTAATTCTCTCGATAAGAATAAGAGATGTAAGAGATCTCGAGGTTGCCGATTGATTCACCATAAAAAGGGATATCTTAATATTGCTTCGCATCGAGTAAAATGAGCAAATATTTGTATTATCCGTATTCGTATTCGTATTCGATTCGATTTATTAAGCGGTAAATATTCGTTTTGCTCAGTTTTCTGCCACCGCCTATCTTATCTGCGTTACATTACACAGTATTTTGATACATTGTGCACGAATGTCCATGGACCAATGTGCGGCCTGTTCTCACCAGATAGAAAATGGTTTTATTTTATAGAGGCTACTTACCCTGAATCGTATGATACGTATGAAAAATTGATGATGTCCTTCGTAAATAGAAAATCCAGACCCTGGCGCTCCATGTATGCTCGATACGCATCGTTGATAGATATAGACGTAGCTGTTTCCAATACGGTAAATTCGACTTTCTCGTGGGAAAGACGATAGGAGTGTATTCCACCTTGAGAAGATTAAGTTCTCGAATGAAAAGTAAGACTGGCGTATGATGAAAATCTGTGGGTCTCTCTCCTTAACGTGTCCACAGCATGAGATGGAAAACACAAGTCTTCTGTGAAGGGCTAAAGCTAATCTTGAATTCAGAACTAGCTAGGCACATGCTATTTACAAAATCCTTGAAGAACGTGAACAATTCGGGGTAGAATCGTGAGGTATGCGGTTGGTGGGTCACGTGGTACAACCACGTGATAGTTCACCAGGATTCAACCTGTTACAATACCCCCCTCCTATTCTCTTGTTTTCCGGGGTCCATTCGAAGTCATAATTGGTCCGTATCGTAGTTCAAAGGTGTCGAGAGCTGTGCAGTTTTCCACTGCGTCGATAGGTTCCCATGTCAGTTCTGCGTATCCTCGCCATTTCACTAATGCTTCCCTCCGCGATCCACGTCCAATTTTTCGTGTCCTTGCTTATAGGATCTCTTCAATTTCGTATTCCAGATCTCCTTCGACTAACAGCGGAGGCGGTTGCGAATCGTCCACGATTTGTGACGGTAATGGGTCCGTTGCCGCGGGTCTTATTAAATCAACATGGAAGACAGGATGTATGCCGCTTGGCACATCCAGCTTCACTATATGAGAGGATGGCACTTCTAGAACTGTGTATTTGGCGTGAAGCCAGTCTAGTTTCTTTAAAGGCTGTATCGTGCGTATATTCCGTAGGTTTAGCCATACTTTATCGTTGATATTATAGACTAGAGCGGCTCGTCTTGAACGATTCGCTTGTTCCTGTTGGCGTTCTTAGGCGATAGCCATCGCTATATTTACCTAATTGGTGGCGTCTTGTAGCCGGTTCGTGAACATTTCTGCTGCGATCTCTGGTCCTCTCTCTGCTTAGACTTCTATCACTTCGACGGGATCGATATGGTATCCGTGTGTGAAGAAGAATAGAGATAGTCTAGTAGAGGTTGCGTCTTAGTTATTGATCGCCATAGCTACAATAGGTAGTAAACTTGCCTAGTCGTCCTATATGTATGTAGTAAAGGCGCGTAGAATTCGTTCGACTTCTTGATTTATGTGTTCCGTAGCTCCATCAGTTTAGGGGTGGAATGCGGTAGATAATCGGCGTCGAATCTTTAGCTTTTCGCACACGATTTACCAGAACCCCCCTACGAACTATGGGCCGCGGTCACTAGTGATCGCTATTGGTAAACCATGATGTATATAAATATGCTTCATAAAGACATCTGCGACGCTTTCTATAGTAATACTCTAAGTACAAAAAGCATTTGTGCCGAGGGCGCCGGATTCGTCCGCCCCCTTGATCGGGTTTGGCGTCCGTCCCGTTTGGGTTTGGTCCGTCCCAATTCGGCTTGGCGTGCACGCTTTTCCAAAAATGGATGAGACCCACCTGCTCCTGTTCTGGCTTAGCGGACTCCAATCTGGTTTAGCGCTTCCCGAAGCAGTTTGGGGCCTCCAGCTATCCCCAAACGGGGATCTGCCATGTCCGACCGCCTGCCAGCCTTACCCTTGAACTATATAACTTCAGTGCGTCGCTCGATCGTCCTCCTTTTTTTCACTGACTGCACCTTTCTCTTCCGTCACACCCAGCAGTGAAATGTTACCGTAATTCCGGATCGCACGGCATTCCATCCCCGACGCCTCCCTGTTTCAGCTGAGTTCCTCGTCATCGCCTGCGCGCCTTTTCTCCACTCGACTCGCTGTAGATGGATCCATCCATCGGCCCTGGTCGCCCTGATCCTCAAATTAGACCGCTGCGCTGCAACTCTGTGATTTGACTTGGGCGACAGCTTACATGCCTACCCTCTGGTCCCTGTTTCTTCGGTATGTGCTTGTTTTGCCCGCTGCAACGGCGCAGCCTTCTACGATCGGCCCGGGGAGAGAGCCTTGACTTGCGGGGAGATTCGATTTACGACCTGTGACGCAGCCCTCTCTGAGCTAGTACTGATCACAAGCTCTCGCCACACCCATGCATCCATTGGCACTTGCTGCTCTTACGCCCCGCCCATGACGAAGAATGTCTCATTCCCGGATCCTTTTTCGTGAGGGCTTCGACGTTTGATGGCCTTGGATAGGCTAGCGTCACTTTGCGGATGATCTGTTATCATTGGACTGGACGCCAGTGTCTGCGCCAAGTGATCTTCCGTGGACGATCTTGCCGCAATTGTACTGTTCTGGCGAGGCGCAGCAGAGGGGATTCAGGCACCTGGACCATCGGAGGTCCTTGAGAGGGTCGGCCCCGCCGTGTGCATAATGTCTCACCCGACTGGACACTGATGCCCACGCTAAGCAGCCTTTCGGAGACGATCCCTTCACCATGGTCCCCTTCTGGCAAGGCGCAGCAGGGCAGACCATGGACTCATTCGAATAAAGAACGCTTTGATCCAATGGCAGAAATGCCGCATGCAGTGTCAGCCTTGCGCATGACTCGTCAGTCATTTCCGTTGTGGATGGGTTAGGTGGGTCTGTGTATCGGTAGGCTACGCTTTTTCTCATGACTCTTGATTTTGGGGGGGACGGTAGGATGGTATAAAATATCGTTGGAACTCCTCGGAATGACGAAAGGAGGTTGACTACCTGTCCCTGATTCCCTCTCTTCTATTCTGATGCATTGCGTCTGAATCTTTTCGCGGCATGGCACCGATCAATCTGGACGACATCATTCATTATCATCCGCCTGTGAAAAAAACACATTGCAAATTGCTCCACGTACCCGGTCACCACGCTCGTATCCATTCATAGTCATCTTTGGATGCACCCGCGCCAGCACATCCACCTCTATACAGCCAAAACTGGCGTTTGAGTCCTCCACTCTCGGGCCATGGGCCGTATCTTCAAGGTCATTTCAATGCAACCAGTGAAGTCGAGATGTCATTAGCCCCCAACGAGCTGGCGGAAGAAGTGGCCATTGACTGCTCGAATGGATTCGATATGGATTTCTTGAACACCTCTTTGGGAAGAGATTCAAATGTTGCTGTATCAAATGTTAACACGGCGAGTCGAGACTTGCCGGATAATGTTTCCAGCAGTGATTTAGGGCTAAATTTATATGACTAGTGTCACGATGGTACGTGGTGGCCATCATTTTGAGTCCCCTTGATTTCTTCAATTTACTCTGTTGAACTCATTGTGTATATCTTTCTTCCTTTCTTCATGATAAAGTGGTCGACAATTGAGGGCTGACTTTGCACTTCGAAATTAGACTTCCAAGGTGACGATCATCATGAGAGCAACGTGACATCTTCTTCTCAGGATATTATCCAGGGGGCAGGTCTTGACCAATCCACTCCTTTATACTCTACATCGGTCTGTGATGGCCTCTGCATCCCGGTGGCGGAGGAAAAAATTCTAAGCCAAACAGAAGCATATGAAAATCCAGGTCAGTGCTCTCTCAGTCAGCTAGGTTGCCCAGTCCTCTGGCTCACGTGGTAGAATGCAGACCAAGCCACGATGGAAGGAGACATTTTGCGACATTCAACCCCCATAATGGATATAGCAGACGCCAATACAATGGTCAATGGCCAAATTCTTGACCCTGCGGGCCAGGAAAAGCAAACCACTCCAACGAATTTGTTGTCTGGAAATGCTGGAATTGGAGCGGACGAATTAGGATCGAAACCGGCAGCTTGCGTCATCGGGGAAAGCATGCCAGCCAAGAAGTACAACAGACAGCCCGTTTCCGAAAGCCATGTGGTTATTGGCCAGGAGAAAGACAGGGCTGCAGTTCATGACAACGAAGGTGAGCTACAGCGTCGTGATGAGGAGAGCCTGTCAGCATCTCCAAAAATTCGTCAAAATGGAACATTGGCGCGTTCAATCTCACCCACATTTCAAGATAGTGAGAAGCAGTCGCCATGCAGCCCAACAGAGGAAGTTACAGGATTCTGCCCAGTGTTGGATCAGGCCCCAGTGTTGGATCAGCCGTCGGTCGTCATCTCCAACTGCCGTTCTCAAGAGCGAGGAACGAAGGACTCTGTCTCAATAACACGAATGGCCTCTCCGAACAGAAAGCGAGACCGGGATGAGTATATATCCGATGACAGCAGCGATGACTCTGATGGCCCCGACGATGCGGACTACTTGGGCGAAAGTGGTAAAGACGCACATGGAAACAGTGTTCCTTCCCATCGACTAAAAAGAGCAAGGCCACCTGCCGTGCAGCTTAAGCCTAGACCTCCCCGGCAGAACACTAAACGCCTCTCGGTCGACGAGGCAGTTCAATTCAAAGTGCCTGCAGATCAGACTTCCCCAACAAGCTTGCACGATATCGAAACGATTCCTATCCGAGGTTTTCTTACGCGACAGATACTTTTGTCAAGGGTCATCTATTCAGTTACGTTTGAAGAGCAGGCAGAGCATTCCTGCTCTCAGAGATCAGGCAGAGCTACACCACATCATGGAAACAAAATTGGCAGCCAGCATTCCAAGAAACCCCCCCAGAAAGGGTCCCGCGCTGGGAAAACGACTAGACCAACCCGAATCCTGTCTAAGGACGACCAGCTTTTGATTGAATTGAAGGAAGAGCGGAGCTTGCCATGGAAACAAATCGCAGAGCATTTTCCTGGAAGGTCGGAAGGCTCCCTGCAGGTGCGCTATTGCACACGCCTTAAGGGCCGCAAGGCTGGAAATTCTAGGCATTCTGGCCGGAGTTCCAACGCGAGGAGCGATTCTTCATACAGAGACAGACCTTGCGAGGCAGTCCAAGCACCGGGTGGCAAGAGCAAAGGCACCGAAGAAGGTGTGTCAAGACCGCGATACGGTCCACCTCGGCGCAGGCAAACGGTTGACCGCTATTCCCCGGTTTGAGTTGGCAATAGTTATTAGACTTTGTCAAATATCAGTCAAACGGATCGCCAAAAACAAGACCGTCCTGCTGTGTCCAGCGCCCGTAGTGCGTTGGGGATGATGAGAGCCCTCTAAGAGCTATCGTTATATCTCCCGGGAGCATGCAGCATCTTGCCCGAGAGCCACCCATTATTCCTCTGTCCTGTGTACCACCATTTTGTTCTAACCCTTTGATATCGAAAGTTAGAAAGAAGCACGGACAGTTAATTTGTTCGGGAAGAAAAGCCTGATCACCAATATTTGCTTCAACGTAGTCATTTGCTTCAACGTAGTCCAAGACACGCATTGGCAGAAGAGCAAGAGTACTTTATCATATATAGCTTTACCGTCATTACTCGCAAAGGTTTCTATGAAGTTTGTATAATAGTTCAACCTTAAAGCTTAAAGACTGTGCCTATACCAATCAAAAGAGAATCCAATTTGCTCAGGCTCGCCTGTAGAAAGCGCGTGAAGAAGACCACGTTTCTCCAGGTCCTGACAAAATTCCTTTTTCGAAAAAAAATCCTCTTCCATGTAGTTTTGATCCACATCACGATTATCGCCACTGGCTCGCCCGGCGATTGTTGCTTCGCCGTGGACACTCTGTAATAACAACCTCCACCACACTCCAAGGCCATAGCATATCCCATTGATTATGCGACCCATGACCATACGCCGTCGTTCGTTGAAAGGAGTTTTGATGAGGGCGGCCACTTCGCTACTTTTCTTTCCGTTTTCGTTACTTTCCATCGCATCGGTTCTTTCGTTCAAAAGTGTTTTCGTGTGCGCGGCTAATTCTGAGACCGTGACATATTTGTTATGCCAACATTTGTCGATGATATTATCAATCAGGGGATTGCCATCCAATTTCGGAAACTCCATGTTCTGTAGTAGGTCCACGACCTTAGGGCCATGATCGTAAGGATCCTCGGCAAGACAGCGATCTCCATCAACCTCAAAGCCGTAGTTCATCAAATAGTACAAGGAACCGAGGGCAAATTGTTCTGTTCGAGGGCCAAGAAAGCCAAAAGTTCCACATTCTCCTTGGTCTGACTCATTATTATTGAGTATTCGGCCATACGGAGCCATGCAAGCTTCGTAATTTGTGCCAATTTTCGCCGTACAATCAAAATCGGATAGCTTTAGTCGGTTGCGATCAAGTAGAACATTTTCAGGTCGTAAATCACCATGAGCGAGTTTGACGGATTCCAAGAAAGCGACGGCTTGAGCGAGATCGTTCATCCATTCTTTCCGTAGGGGTAGAGGCTGCCCAAGATATTACACGACTCATATTAGAGCATTTGACTACTTGCTTTCCCACAACAACATTTCTTAATAACAAAGATGTCAACGGCGCCGAGTTGACACTATCCCTATCCGCTCAGCTCACACGCACGCGGATGATCGAGCTCTTACTCGAATTTGGTGTGGACGTAAATGTGGTCAACCGCCATGAACAGATTCCGTTACATCAAGTGGTACATAAAGGGCATTTCAGAGCCGTGGAATTACTTCTTAGCCAGCAAGGCATTGATCTACAAGCATAGAACGGTTACGGGTCTACTGCTCTTCACATTGCTGTCAAGCAAAACCATTCTTCTATTGTGGATTTGCTTTTAGCTCATCCGCATATCGACATCCACTGCCAAGATAATCACGGGAATACTCCCTCTCTGGTGGTCTACTCGGCCAGAGCATAATAGCATTTCTAGCCGACTACTAGCTATAAAAAGCGTGGATCTTAATGCTATCGGTCAAAAGAGCGGTCTATATACAACAGAGGACTCGTGATAACGAAAACCTACAGAGGGGTATATGTATGGTCCAACTCAGACACATCGACGCTGAAGAAAAGCTAGAAAGACTGAGAGCGGCGATGAATCACAAGTAACACAGTCGCCCTAGGCCCTTCTCTAACTCGTAGAGATCCTCACTCAAGTTTCATGCCTTGTGGCCATATACACCTTTCTCAATAAACACTATTCAGATCGCCATTTAGATAGCTTGGCCTCGCTCTCTAAATCTCCATTTCGTGAACTATTATCTGCCACTGTTGATAAGGTTGCTAAAGATGCTATCTTTCTGATTACTCAGAACTGTAGGCTTGTCCATCTCTACTACCTTTCCCCGATCTAGACCGACAATCAAATCGTAACTCAAAAGAGTGTGGACACGATGTGCAACCGTAAGCACTGTACATGCATGAAAGGGATCCTGTTGCAGAAGGCCTTGCACATGGGCGTCAGTTTTCGTGTCGACGCTGCTGGTGCCTTCATCAATCAACAAGATCCTAGCGTTGCTTGATTGTATTTTCAACATTGCACGAGCAAATTGTAGCAGTTGTTGCTCGCCTCGGGATAACGATAGAGTGTCGTTTATCTCGGCATCTAGCCCGCCTCTTTCGAGTAGCACACCGTCCCAGATTCCAACTCGGTCGAGAGCCGCGATGATGTCTCCGTCGGGGAGGGTTTCGGTGGGATCTAGATTGAATCTGACTGTACAGCCAACTATGATGAATGGCTTTTGGGAGATAGTGACAAGCCTTTCGCGGACTATATCAGGGGAGACGGTAGTGAGGTCAATGTCGTCGATAACAATTGACCCGCGGATCAGGGTGAGCATGCCTAATAATGTTGATATTAAAGAGCTCTTTCCACTAATTCATTGCGCGGTGGAAGGTTAGCATGGACTAGTAATCCTAATGCTGAATATGATTCTTAAGGCGATGATACTTACCTCCCAGTACGTCCGTAGACACCAATTTTCTGACCTGGCAAAAGTTTCAGAGAGACATTGCTTAGTACTGCTACTCCAGAACTTTTCGTAGTTTGTCAATAATGCGAACAAGAGGTGGTGATGGTTTATATATGCTGCGAAGTACGTACTTGTATTGTGCCGTCATGTCCGAGATCTTAATAGCTCCCTGACTTGGCCAGTCGATGGGAACTTCTCTCTGCTCAGTTGAAATTTCACATGGGACTTGAAGTTCAAAATCTTTGACGCGCAAAATTGAGCCAAGGGATATCTCCAACTGTGTCCAACCAGATATGAGAGATGAAAGGCTACCATTGAAGGCTTCGCGAAGAAAAGTCAGCTGGGTAAGTATATACCGGTCACGATCTTCAAGGGGCAGTATCGGAAAAGTTAAGTTCCATAAGACATACCAAGAATGCTGTTGAGCGATACTCCAAGCAATCCGACACTCGTTATATGTCTCAAAGACACTGCTAAGCTGACGACAATGACTGCTTCGGCAGCGACGATGAGGTCTAGGACCAAAGTGAGCCAGCGCTGGATACAATTAAGCATATAATACGTGCGCTGGGTAGCATCCAGCAATTTTGAATTAGCAATTCGAAAGTCTGCTTCCCAGCCAAATGCCTGAATTGTAGCAAGACCCTCGACAGTGTCAAGAAGATGGGAATACAACGGACTCCTGCTTTCCAAGTCCAGTAAACGAAGTTGTCGCGATGTTTTCAGATAGAAATGCTGCAAGAGAAAGAGGGAGATGAGCAGGAAAGGCACGGATATTGCCATGTACTTCGATCCGGTTGCAATTAGGGCAGCATTGGCAATCGACGAAAAGAGATCTATATCCATCAGCAATAAGATCAATAATTAGCAAGCGATAGTGGTTAGAAAATTTTGCAGAGGTTGAGTAGAATGGCGGGAGTCTTACTTGAGACCGTGATTAAGATGCCAACAGGCAAATCGCTTTCTATAAGGGTCATATCCTGGCTGAATCGGTTTAGTATTGACCCGATGTCAACAGTAACTAGAAATTGAGGGGTTGCCCTTAAGGTGTCAGCAGTTGACTGATGTGCGAGAAAAGAGAATTGAATGTACATCATAACAGTCTTCAGCACGACATAATGAAGCCGACGCGCTGTTGAGGGTGAGATCAGAATAAGGATAGCCCTATAATTTTGTTAGGAGTGAGCACTGATGTATTATCAGACTAAGCGCTTTACCAAACATAACCACCATTTCCGACAGTGTTGCAAATAGCAAGGAAGAAATACACCGAGACATAGAGTGCCTTTTGGGCTCCATCACGATCAGCCCATCGCTTAAGCCAAATTTCTGGTAGAAAGCTGATGTCAGTGATATCGGGAGTAGCACAAGTGAGAATCCACGTACGACTATACGTGCTAGAGAAGACATTCATTGTCACGAAGAAGACAAATATCACAGCGTTCGTCCACCCAACGTAGCGCAGATAATACGCATAGACAGCAGAGTCCCCGGCTGCCCTCCTGAGATCGTCGATCTTATTCGCCTTGGAGATCAAGGTGGCTTTATCCTCTATCGCCAACTCCGGGAATCCTTTCAATGCCTCAGCTTCCACAGCGTCAGACCTTATTTCTTGGTAGTCATTCCCCACGCAGGGCTCTTCCTGGCGAAGACGCCCATCTGAAAGGAAATAAGTTCGATCTGCACAAGGCAGCTGCTCCACTATTAGAGTGTTAGCTCATAATAGGGGACAAAAAAAACCTTGGCGGGGCCCCTACTCTCATGTGTCACCAAAACAATGGTCGATTTTGTTTTTCGGAGCAGTCCATCAACACCCAAAAGACGCGCTATGATATTACCCTTGGTTTTCCGGTCTAGTGCACTGAATATGTCATCTAACAGCAAAAGCTTCTTGCGGATATATACCGCTCGAGCAAGAGCGATCCGATGCATTTGACCACCGCTCAGTATATGGCTGGATCCGTGTCCAATTCGCGTAGCATCGCCCTCGCGAAGGAGATCCAGGTCTAAATCGAGGTCACATGCATGAAGAACAGCCTCGTACCACTTTTTATCAATTGCGCCCTCCCTTGTTGGACCCGCTGAGAAGATTCCACAGATTGTATCACGGATGGTGCCACTTGGGACCCATGGTGTTTGAGCGCAGAAGGCCGGTTGTCGAATGGCCACTGCGATTGATCCTGTCTCGCAAACTGTTTGGCCAAGTATAGCCCGAAGCAGCGTCGATTTGCCTGACCCAACTGGCCCTTGGATGATGACCAGTGTTCCGAGAGGGACTTCTAAGTTAACATCTCTCAAGACAATTTTTGCCGATGAGGATGGGCGAATGCTGAGATGTTTCATTGAGATGACAGGTGTTTGAAGGTCAGTTGTGTCTGGTGGGCCCTTGAAAGACATGTATTGCATTTCGGCGACGTGCGGAGATGCATCACCTTCCGTTTCTCTCGTGCGATCAAAGCCCTCCCTTGTATGTTGAGGACTGGTTGCCAGCAAAAGAAATGCTTGTATTCTATCAAAAGATCCCGACGCAGCCGCTATAGAAGGAATCGCACTTAATAGCTTCGAAGCCGGGTTAGTCAAAAGAGTTATAATGGACAGACTACTGAACGCCTTAGTAGCATTCAGCTCCTTTCCTTGAGCAGCATAGACGACGAAGGTCAAAGCTGGAGCTAAGGCCCAAGGCAGATTCTGGATCATATTCTTCCAGACCACACTCCATCGGTACGTGGCCATTTGATGGGTTTCTTCGGTCCTTTTTCTCTGTACAAGCCGAACAAAGGTTCGAGACAAGCCAGTCGCTTTGATTGTTTGAATACCGTCCAGCAGTGAACGGGTGATCGCAATGCGTTGCTGGACGGCATCCACCCATACTTTCTGATGTCCCCCTATATGCTTCGAGATATAGATACTTCCGCCACTAGATACTATTATCAACTTTCAGCAAATTATTTCCATATGTGAATCGAAACTGGAATTCTTACTAAGAACGATCATTAATGGCATCAGGCAGACCCACCCTAACCGGAGCGCGAGTAGCGCAATACCAATGCCCACTTCAATCGTCCGCGCCCAGAATTCATTCAAAGTGATTAGACAGGCAATTATCCGGTCAACATCGGTAGTCATTAGAGTCACTATGGCAGAACGATCCCCTAGAGTGCCATCGGGGATGTGTAAGGCATGGTCATAGATCATCGACGAGGCTGCCCCTCGAAACATTGTCACGAACCGATACAACATCTGGTCGTATATGAGCTTTGAGAGGGCCATTCCCAAATATATTAGAAGTGTAGCGCCGATGAGGCCGTAGCCGAGATTGCTCGCGCTATATGAGTTATCAAGCCAGTTGAGAATAGATGCGATCAAGAAGGGTTGTGAGAAGGTAAATCCGATCAATAATATGCGTGGAAGTACCATCAAAGCAAGTGGGCCTTTGAACGCTTGGCCTATCTGCCATAGGAATTCGAAGCGGCGCTCGGGATGCCGGCGTAGAGCCCAAGCTCTCAATGCCTTCCGCGCCGTTTCCGTAGACTCCAGGGGTTTGTCTAGACGATCAAGATCTTCGGTAGTAAGCAAGGATCGAAAGCCCGTGGAAAAAAGGCGGTTCAGCCACCACATAAACGATCGATTAACAATTCCACTCGTCGACTCTGGTGGAAGGTCTTGATAAGAACCAACAAGGTGATTTTGCTTCCCTAAGCTCTCGAAAAGCACCATTGCTGTTTTCGTAGCGACACTTGCGACGAACAGAATAGAAATAGGGAGATTTCTGTGAGACAACCACAAACTTCTTGTTTGTACAACATCGAAGAGCAACGTGAAGAGAAGGTAGATGGCGAGGAGCGATGACGGTCTAACCGATCGTTCATCTTCCACCCACGATAAGACTACAATTTGTATTGCCACTACCAAGTTGATTGCACTCGACGCGACAGAAAACTTCGTAGTTGGCTGAGTTTTCTTTGCCCAGCTGATCAGCAGGGCAAGTTGAATCGCGGCGAAAACCAAGGCAGTTATCTAAGGTGAAATCGACGTTACCTCGTGTTTGACTCTGTGAGTAGTGATGTGAAAGTGCTTACCAACTTTGCCAATCTCATTTTGTGAGGCTGAGTGCGCACATTTCTCTTAACCAGAATTCGCAATCGAAGGGGACACACAAGGAGAAATGCGATCGCAGGAACGAGGCCGAGGATGGCTTGTTCGAACAAAAGAGTGAAATCAAAGCCATCACGGCACCCGCTATCTACTATAGGGCCGAAACTATTATCAGCCTGGAGTAAGCACTCTGATGGCATGATTTCGTGGTGTACTCCTTTTCCGCTCTTGCTTTTTCTTTAACGAGATGGAGGTAAGGGCAGAATTGGTACCTATTTATCGAACTGAGAGGGTTGGTCAAATACCACTAGCACCATCCCCCTTGTACGCTAATTAAAAACTTGATCTTAGTTCCTTAATCAATTGGTTCCCTTAATACTAGGGCGTATAGGTAATTATCCTCCGATCCGAAATTTATTTGTAAGCTAATTAACGGATAGGCTCATTGATCCCTTCCCTACTTGCACTCTATGCTATTAAAGCTAGTATCTACTCATATATCCACCGCTAGAGTCACTAACCCTTCATTTGCCAACCTTGCCCTAGCCTTGGACCACTTTGACATCATTCTAGGTACCCTGTATTCAGTCATGCCTAGATCGTTACTCTTCAAGACCAACCGCAACGATTGAATCCTATATGGAGCTCCGTTGTGTGGCATCTGCTCTCCTAGTGGTCGCACGGCACTGAAATCTTCGGGTTGTAGCTGTGGAGGAAAACGCTATCGCAGTAAAGCGTGTGTTCGGGCTTAAGGATATCATTATCTATAGGCATTCCGTGACGGAAGGCGTCGTGGAACTTCCTCTAGGAATAGGTATAGTGAAACTGATGCCACATCCGCGGGCCATAAAGAAGGGTATAATCACCCCGCTCCCATTCTTCGCGTGGCACTTCCTCCATCGCAAGGGTTTCATTGCTGAGGTAGAAATGCTAATCCATTCTCTCCAGGAAGTCCTTCACCAAATCAGCGTGGTAGCATTCTGGCCGCTGCTATGCCTAGGACATTGGATCGAAGATGCAGCTAAGCGCCCGGGCCTCTGTAATGGATTTCCCATAGTGGCCGAATTCATCCCTAGTCGATTGATCTGAGGGTCGATGTACATGATTTGTTGTTAATGCCATTCGGACGGCTATAATTTCGTCACCCGTCTTGGTAGTACCGTTTGCCATAGACGAGATAATAGCAATGTTGATGCCTCCCATAGTAAATATGAGAATTGACAAGAGAAGCAAGCCGCCACTAAGGAGGAGAAAGCGGCTTCGAGCCTGGATGCCAATTCGCTTTTCACCTTGCTCTGCAGACTTCTTATCCGCGTCATCTAAGAGGGGATCATATTGGTCTGAGCCGTCCATCTTCGATGGCTCTAAGTCCTTCACTGCAGAGAACTTGTACGGTGGAAGTCGGTTGCTCATTGTGCTATAGAATTTGTCATAACAAAGTTGACTTAGGAGAATTTGATGCGATTTGGTATGAGAAATGCGAAGGGCTAATACTAATCTTGAATGCAGAACTAGTGATGCCGACAAACTGTCTTTATTAAGCTTGAAGAGAAGAGAGAGAGACTAGCTATGGACATGTGGCAATATAAGGGATGCGGGTGCGGGTGGCACGTGACGAGCATGAGTGGCACAGGCATGAATGCTAAAGCAGGCACCAGCCTGTTACAAGAAACAGCTATAGAAGAGGAGGAACAACGAGGGGCAAGAATTGGACTAGGGCAGGATAGGCTCAGACACGATATTGTGTAATCGATTTTGAATTCTCGATAGGATAGAGAAAACCTCGAGATGCCTCGTAAAATTGATGCATAGTCCACTCCGGGACAACAGTCTGCTTATTCCCCTAAATCAGATACAACGTCCTAGATTGACCCGACCAAAAACCAACGAAATAATGTATTTAGTGCGTTGCTAAATTTTAGTCTGTTAGACTGAGGCAATCATGGCGTGGTAATCGATTGTATCGTCGGTTATTTTTCTCTCAAAACTCATTGTGTTTCAACTAGCTCAAAAGGCTCTGCAGCTAAGAGATTCCGATTTTAAGTAGCAGCATTCTGCTGATCCTGCGACCGTACTTTCCGCCCGTATACCCCACAATTGATCCGACCTCCCGTATATTTTTAGGGGCGATAGGAGATATTTACGGACCCCGAAGGGCCCCCGATTGATTGATGGATTATCCTGGAGATCGCGGTTGATAGCGTCTCATAGCCCGAGACGCTAGTATTCCGTACAGCTTTTGTCCCGAAAATGGAATCCAAGAACAGTGCTTTATCCTAAAGAACACGTAACGTTGAGGATCTTGCTCACATGCTTGTACGGTGCTTGTTTATCTTGGCTCTTGGCATGCTTAGGGTATTAGGGTATTAGGGTATTAGGGTATTAGGGTATTAGGGTATTAGGGTATTAGGGTATTAGGGTATTAGGGTATTAGGGTATTAGGGTATTAGGGTATTAGGGTATTAGGGTATTAGGGTATTAGGGTATTAGGGTATTAGGGTATTA